AAGGAAACTAGTGAAATAGTTTCGAATCAACACCTGAAAATATGGTTGCTGATATGTTGACTAAAAGTTTAGCCAAGATTAAATTCAATAAGTTTGTTGGTCTAGCTGGAATGTCGAACATATCTACAAGTGTTTAGATTATGGTGGGGTGTTGAGATAAGATGCCGAAGTCAATATCAATAAATTAGAGAAAGAGGCTTATTAAAGACAAGGCATTAGAAAAGAGCCTTGTAATGACAAGGCATCAAGTAATCTAAAACTGGAAAGATTAGCCGACGTCATGAGTGTATAAATAGGAGAGGTTTTGTCTCCTATCTGTGTTTAGAATCATTAGTTATTAAGAGTTGTATAAGTTGTTTTTAACTAAGTAACAAACATAAGAAAAAGTGTACATATACAATGGATATTCATAATAGAATAGCTAGACTTCAACAAATAGAATAGCTAGATTACAACATCTTATCACTCAATCCTTATTGGCCTCGGCATCTTATCTCAACCCTAAGATACCTTATCATGATAAGATTCTTATCTCTTATCCCTCGATCATGATTGGCTTCGGCATCTTATCTCAACACTTATCTCAACAAGATTCTTATCTATTGTCTCTTGATCGTTATAGGCTTTGGCATCAGCAGATACTCATTGGCTTCGGCAAACTTATTGAAACTAAAGTAAGAGTGTACCTTATACAATTTCACATAAGCGCAAGTGGTTTAGTGGTAAAATTCAACGTTGCCATCGTTGAGCCCCCGGTTCGATTCCGGGCTTGCGCAATTTTTTTACGGAACAGGATGGAGCAGCAGCTCATCTCATTTTTGCTGTCCACAAGTGGAACTTGGATGAAGCCATTGAGTAAAGTTTAAACCAAGTTAAGAAATGGTTGGGTAAAATAAGATGGCTGCAACAGCTAAATCAACAAGCTTCTATCCTGAATATCGGCCACATGGCAGGGCTCATTCGCCTTTAGTGATACCCACACACCGAAGGGTTGAAACTTTTGCTGCTTTGATTCATTGCAGCTCAATGCTACTATTGCCATGTTTGTACTTCTTCCTTTGGACAAGAGAGGCTTTCTGGCCATTTTTGATTACATACACAATATTCTCCTATATACTAGATGATACACAGTCAATGGGTAACTCCATATATCGCACGTCAAGTTGGTTCAAAAAACAATTTATTTTCAGAAAATTTGTAGACTATTTTCCTGTCTTTATCCATAGAACGGTACCCCTACCTCCGACCACCACAAATAAGTCAGGAATATATCTATGCTACCCAAGATGGACCTGGTGGATGCCATCCACAGTTGTCTCTCTTCTTCACATGCTCCATTTGATTACTAAAAAAGAGAGATTTTTAGACAAAGAAGAGAAGATAGGGCCCCGTTATTTGTTCACTGCCCATCCACATGGTGTTATTTCATTTGGCATTACAGCTGCGCTGTGTTGGGGAGGAGAATACGAAGTAAAGAATACGCTGGTATCAGAAGACCGGAAGGATATTGTTCCGGCTGAATCTAGTGAAGATGAAAATACCTCACTCAAAAGTTTGCCATCGCATACTTTGAAATCATCAAAATCGTTTAGATCATTGTTTCCTGGAATTTCAGTCCATTTGTTAACATTGCCAACACAGTTTCTAATACCCTTTTATAGAGACTACATCATGGCTTTAGGTGTTGGGCTGGTAACCAAAGCTGGTATCACTTCAATTTTGAGAAGAAACCATAGTGTTGCCATAGTCGTGGGTGGTGCTCATGAGTCATTATTTGCAAGGCCAGGGATGAATAGAATTGTTTTGAATCGACGCAAAGGTTTTATAAAATTGGCGTTAGAATCTTGCAACAAGACGGAAAAAGATCTTGAGAAGTTGTCAGCTGAAGAACTAGATAAAACTGTTGAGTCAGGAATGTGGAATGATTTGATGAGTGATGTAGCAATTGTTCCTGTCTACGTTTACGGAGAAAACAATGTTCACAAGGTCTATAACACTACAGAGCAGCCAAATGGTAAAAACTCAAAGACGTTGAAGACATTCTTGAATTTACAATTACTTTTGAAAAAGTACACAGGCTTTACGCTGCCGCTGGTAAATAGCCGGTCGATATTCAATTATGATTTTGGCCTGTTACCGTATAAGCGAAGGATGGATGTCATTACAGGTAAGCCTATATATATTTATCGGATGTTCAACAACTCAATAGGCGATAAAGTAACGGAGGAAGAAATCAATTATTATCACGAGATGTATAAAGCTAATTTGATTGAACTATGGGAAAAAAATAAAAGTTTTGCCACTGAATGGGATGAGAAGCTTAAAATAGTGGAGTAATACGATACTTCATAATCAAATTTCAATCCTCTTCTGGGGTTATAGATAATGTTTTTGTACTTTTCAGTGACCATTATTCTACTATTTTCAAATCTTCATCTGTTATTTCTGAGAATTGCGGCTTTCCCCATTTCCAAACCTCCAGTAAACCTTTCACATATTCATTGTGCCAGTAATCAATTTCATCTTGTGTCACAGGATCACCAAAAGTTAAACCATTCAACCTTGAAATCCTTATTGGTTTACCAAAAACAACATTTATGGATTTTCTGTAAGGTAGTATACCGAAGTCATAATTGAAGATACCACGCGATATAACAATCGGCAATGTCCATCCAAAGTTATTTTTCAGAAACAATTGAAATTGATGTACAAATTTTTTGAATTTCTTGGTTGCTTCTTCAAAAGTCACACCTGAATCCTGAAATTCAAGTTCTTCATCATCTTCGCTGTCATCGGAACGATTTGCTTCAGAATCATCGGTAAAAAAAACATTATAGATATCATTCTCACCGAAGCCATAAACAGGCACAAGACACAATCCATTCTGATCCAAACTTTCCAATGCAAGCTTGACAAAACCTTTCCTCCTATTTAGTACAATCGAATTGAGGCCGGGTTTTGCGAGAAGAGACTCCCTTGCTCCGCCAACAACTATCACCACACTTCCTCCTTTATTGAGTAATAGCTTCAAATTCTTTTTGACAACAGTTGTAACACCCAATGCCATTAAATAATCTCTGTAGAATGGTACCCTAAATTGATTGACTAAAGTAGTTACAAAGCATTTGATTCCTGGAAACATTTCATCCCACCCGGTCCCATTGTTTGTAAAACCACTTGAAACTCCCGTAGCAATCACACCATGGGGATGATACCCAAAAATGTAGCTGGGCCCAATCCTTTCATCAATTCTTTTATTTTCAGTGTCCGGTGTGTCTTTGAAAGTGGGCTCTAGGTCTACCAATTTATGGAATTTTATAGGAAAATAATTCACCAAAACTCGCCAGCATCTGAACCTTCTTATACGGTCTGATCGTCTATACCATACCCCTCCATTGACGGGACTTCGATCCAATAGATAGTAGAACAGAGTGTAGTAAGCCATCAAAGGCCAAACGTATGGAATACACCAAAATGAAAAATACAAGAAAACAAACAATAGTATCGATGTGCTATGGCATAATATGAATACAGTTTGGAGCCTGTTAATCAGAGGTAAATTGAGAGGAGAAATGTTTTTCGATTTCCCATGCTTAGGCTTGACATTTTTCCCTGTATCTTTTGGGCTTGACCGATCCTTGGCATGCATGTTATCTGGTCTCAGCACGTCACTATTGGTAATGTTCCCATCCTTGTCTGTAGCCTGGATCATTGATAGCAAAATTCAGTACCTTTTTATTCAAGTCACATATATGTATTGTCGCAGATGTATAGAAATGCATGAAGAATTCAGAACGCATGGCCTGACCAGGACCAATGTAACAGCAATGTCGGAGGGCACCCGCCTCAAAAATACATCCTCGCTACTCCGAACATTTTTTGTATGGAAAAGAGACAGTTATCCTACAATAAGGATAGACATTTTAAAAGTAGCTTGCTACTTTCAAGCACATGTAGGCTGGTAACTCAGCCTAAAATACTTGATTTTGAATGGATACATTCAAACTGCTACTGATCGTTGACTGAGCATATGTTCCTTGCTGGGAACCCGAATGTGCATGGATGATTTTTAGATAAAACTGATACCTGAGAGATATGAAGGCCATAACAGCACCGTTTTGCACTTTAAAAAAATTGGTACACAAGTAATTTCTGAGCGCAGGATCATAGCGTCTTTTTAATATTGCTACTAGAATGCAAGAGTCATGTAACCTGGAGACTGAATAATGAGGGAATGTGAATCTTATGTTTATATACTAGAAAAAAAGAAGAGATTAGAGGGAAGAAAAAAAAGGTTGATAAAAAGTCAGGGAAAGAAAAATAAAATTAAGAGTAGCAATTGATAGAAGAGTGGAAGCAAAAACAAATAAAAATCATTACGTAGCATAAGGAAACAAACATGACATGAGATTAATGCTGGATTGAACCTATCCAACAAACTATAAAAAGTATTCATTATTATTTTTTTGACTTTTGGATGGATGCATTTTTAACGTATCATCAGGAACAGCGCTGAAAATTTGGAAATTGACATTCAAGTCGTCATCAACTTTCATAACACTCGCCACGTTACCACATCTATAGCAGTAATTTGGTGCGGACCAGACTGTCACCACGTCCTTGTCCGGGAAATGGTATCTGAAGCCCTCCATGACCAACTGATGAGCTCTAGCAATTAAGTTCAAATTGTTTATATGGTTGAATTCTCTGGCGACCTTAGCACCAAATAACCAACCTGCACCTCTAGGAGAGATTGCCCATGTATCGACATTGTCGGGATCAGACCAGACCAAGTCACAGAATCCACCCTCATGAGGAACTTCCTGAGCTCTCGATAACACACGGATTTGATCCAACATTCTAATTTCGGGAGACAAACCGCCGTGTATACATAGTATCTTACCATCAATGATGGCTGATAAGGTCAAGAAGTCAAAAACCTGACAGCAGTATTTCCAAACCATTGTCGAGCCATACTTGTTCAAGCATTCTTCGTAGAACCCATACACTTGTGTGATTTGCCTCGACTCATGGTTGCCTCTCACCAAGGTAATGTGCTGGGGGAATTTCACCTTCAAAATCATCAACATTGTGAAAGTTTCTAACGAGAAATAGCCCCTATCCACATAGTCACCTAGAAAGATATAGTTGTTACTCAAAGTCGAGCCCGACGGAAACCCTCCTGCAATCTTAAAGAGTTCAAGCAGATCGTGGAATTGCCCGTGGATATCACCGCACACAGTGACTGGCGATTTGACCGGCTGTATGTTCGACTCCTCCATCAACAAGTCCTTCACTTTCTCGCAGAGATGTTTCATATCATTCTCAGGAAGTGCCTTGCAATTCTTGATGTCTTCAAACCACTGCTCGGGTCCTCTTTCTGGCATTGTTTGTTCTTTTCTTAGTGTTTTTACTTTCCAAATGCACGAATGGGTTCAGTCGGCCGATACTTGTGATCTATATGTATTGAGGGACGAATCTTATCTTAGTTTGACCTCGGTTCCCCTTCTGTCCTGCTCTTCACTGCTTTTGCGTGAGTGAGTTTGTGAGTGTGTGCCTGTGTTGTACTCTGCACACCACTGTACCCTTATTTCTGGTTTAAACGCTCAGCCTTTCGCACACAGTACGTACCTGGCACTTACATTACATTGCACAATACACATTACAGAAGACTGTCTTCGGGGAAAGCAAACGGTGTGAGAGAAAATCGAGCCTGTCCACCGGCTTACGCAATCACGCACGATGCCCGCGTACCGCGTACCCACTCTTTATACATAGTTTCCTTTTTCAAACAGAAAGCCAATTTTCCACCTGGGATCTGGCTACTCCGGTTGTCAGCCGAAGCCCCTGGCGCCCGTACGGAAAGTAAGACACGGTGTAGTAGACAGAACAGATTGCTTGGATCACGCACGAGATAATCACCAACAGGTTGTTTTTCCATACCAGCGAGAACAGCAATGTCGTCACAATTGAGCCAACAAAAGATAAGGTGAAGGGTAATCGCTCCACGGAGATCGCGTGCTTGAAGAAATTCGTAGGCCCGTTTAATATGGCAAATGCTACCAAGAATAGAACAGATCCGATTGTCCAGATGAGTGAAAATTTCTTAGGTTTAAGCGAAAGAACGGGGAAAAATATGAAACAGATGGCGTAGCATGCATAACAGCCCAAGATGCACACTATGAAGAGTGAAATTCTTTCAAAATAGGAGAGCTTAAGAATCGAGTCGGTGTCATCGCTCGCATCTACCACTGAGGCGGTATTGCTTTCACCAGCACCCAAAGACAGAGGGCGGGAAGTGAAGAAACTGTTTATCGCTCTGAAAGGATTGCCGCTCGACGGTCCCACGTCACTATTGTTATTTGCCACTGTGGCGTTGTCGTCTTGTAGATGAACGGGGCCAGCATTGGACCCGCTGAACCGGCTGGTGAAAAAGTCCATTGTTCTGTTCTAGAATTAGTTTCTTCTGTGTTCTCCATTTGTCACGAATGGAAGGGTAGTGGTTATCAAGGCTTGGATTGATGATAGATAGTAAAAGGCCTGAGAAAGCCTCTTTAGCGAGGAAAAACAGGAAGACTCCGAAGACCGCGACACCTCAAAAGTCGCACATGCATCATAAAAAGAAGGTAAAGTGCCGGGGACCCGTATACTCCGTACCTGCATTTTACCATGCAGCCTGGGGAGATTGCCCCCTCCCACACCAGGGCAACGGCACAATAACTCTACAGCCTCTTAACATTGTGCAAATATGCTTATACTTTTTCCCCGTTGGCATTGTTGACAGGGATCAAATTGTTGTCCTCTTTGCCATCTGAGGCTTTCCCTGTTTTTCTTTCCTTCCTTTGTCTACTTCTCCGGTTTTCCACATAACCTCTAACCAATAGGCTTTTTGCGATTTACAGAGGTAATTAAAAAGCGTCGACAGTTTGCCATTCCTAGTCATTCCTACTCTTTCCTTTTCAAATTGCACAGCTTAACGCACAGAGCGTTCAAACAATTCATTCCGAATATTTTCAAATTTGTTGCACAATGTTGTTTTCCGTCTGTGCGTCCCCTAAATGGAGGGAAGAACCCGTGGCGAGTACGGCGATTGCACTCACAGGCACAACCCAATTCATTGAAGCTAGAAGAAGTGATTATAAGCTATTCAAGACATCTGACTTATGGGCACGAGCAACCACCATTCTTCAAACTCAATTCTTCATGCTATACCAATGGTCTTTAGTACGATTTCTCATTGCTCACCCACCTGCTGAAGCATTTATTCCCCACAAGTATTACCTGGTAGGCGTCCAGAACTTTACTCCAGAAGAGTCCGATATTAGGTTATATTTACAAGATCCCAAGTTTTTATGGAGATTCTCGGTTAGAAACTACGGTTATTTTGCCAAGATTTTTGGCAGATACCTTCCATTTTACTCCTTTACGGATGGATTTGCTGATGGAAAGTTTGCCACGTATCAAGATGACGACAGCCCATTGATACCCTATATTCGATCCAGTGGTGAAGTCGTCAAATTCACGTTGAAACATAAGCTAAAATTGTCACAAAGTCTAAATTCTCATGGTGTAAAACTAGAGCGTATTATACAGATTGAAAGCAAGTTTCAAGCGAAGATTCTAACACCTTTTGAAAAGTCAGAGTACCTCCATTCAGATGATTTTCATTTACACTTGATGGATGGTGATTTTGACTATGTGGATTTTGTTCAGACTTTGATTACCGGTCATACTTTCAGAGGACCAGGAGCGTTGTTACAGATGGATATTCAGCAGTCGAACCAGCTACTGAAGGACAAAAAAATGAACAAAAAATTGATGAAAAGAGAGAAAAAAAAATTGAAAAAAGAATCAAAAGAAGTAAAAAAGAATGATAAACTAAAAGAAAGAAAACTTAAGAAAATGCAGAGAAAAAACTTATCAGCCCAGCACTCTGTGATTCAACAGCAGATACAGCAGCAAATCCACTCAGCTGAAACAAATGTCTCATTTGGTGAGACTTTGAAATCGTCAATGAGATTGATTAGGTCAATGAATAGTAATGTTAACTCTATTATCCACTCCTCCAGTAGTAAATATTCTACCATGGACAGCAGCATCGCTAGAGATAGGTTGAGCAGAAGAGTAAATAATAAATCTTTAACGCAAAGCAATCCGTATCTTGATACCAGAATTGTGACCTCCTCTTTGGCCCCGGACGTTGTAGCTGATACTGAAGCTGATTTGCACCCCATAGAAAATGTTGAACCAGTTGCTAGTGTTTCCGTTATTGAGGACATTAATGGCTCCGAAGTTCATGATAAACAGCTCGATAATTTTGCTGGTCTTACGAGACAGCCACAAATAATTGAGCCTCCAACACCAGAAGTCGTTGATATTGTTGAGTGTTTTGATCCCCCACAAAATGCCCTTCCATATTTGGGGAAAGCTGGAGAAGTTGATAAAAACTTAAGATTATCTCATTTAATAAAATTAGCGAAAGCAAGGAGAGAACTTGTCCCAATACTGAACGACTATTATACGTGCTCTTTTTGGAACCATAGAGCTTTACTTTCTGATTGTGCTATGCCTCAGTCGTTTTATAAGGTAGCGTACCAATATTTCGGAGAATCAATCAACGTCAACCATTTTGTTGAGCTTGTTGGCGTTAATCGGCTATCGAGAGTAGGGTGGCGGTTACCATGTACGAACTTACAGCAGTCGAACTTTGTCACAAGGTATCTCGCAGCAGTCGAAAACTATAAGCAGCAATGCAATACTCATATACCAATAGTCAAAAAAGATTGTAATGGAAGGTGGGTAACTGAGAAGTCACCGTTGTATTTAGGAGCTGATCTGAATGAAATCCTTAATTCTCTTCCTAGTGGTAGGATTATTGATGAGCAATTTCCTACGTTGGGAAGAATTTCAAGTGAAGAAAGTGCAACACAGGTAAGAGTTGAAATTCAAACAGGCGGTGATGGAAATAAATTGAGAGTTTTTAGCAACTCGAGTGAAACAAGAACACCAAAAAATTCAAGTACGTCGAAAGCTCGAAATATTGAACAAAAACTTTTGAAGAACGTTGATGCTGAAGCATACTATATACCTCCACCTATTGTAAAAGGTAGTGATGAAAAAGAAAACCTTGCAGGAACATTCAACCCCTGGATTGATTCCACCTCTAGTAGTCAGGAAGAAAAGTTTTGTTTTTTGTCAGAACACGTTATTGCCAAAAATTCAATGATATCAGTTAAATCTACCAGCATCGAGCATACGTCAGCAAAATGTGATTCTGAGGATGAGAAATTGAAAGATTCAGAGGCACAGTTTTTCACACTGGATGGTGAAATTTCCACAAGTCAGTCAGATCGGATCAGCTTCCACACTTGCGATTTAAGTCTCTCACCTTGTGGAACTGAAGTTGAGAAAATGATTGATGAAAAGACAGACTTCTTGTTTTCAAGCGTTGAGGCCAGATTGAACAGAATTCCAATTAACGAACGTACTAGCATGACCGTTATTCAATGCGTCGAAGAGGAAATGGCAACGAGACCACCACGTATGAGAAGTTTCTTTTATGAAAGCAAAGCTAATTACCTCAAAACCGGAAGTCCAATCGGTCCAAAATTTGAGGCTGTTACAAAACAATCAAGAGGATTCACCTCTAGCTCAGATTATGGCTTAGGAGTTGATATTAATGATTTTGTTGATAAACCAGAAATTTGCCCAAATGCTTTAGTTTCAGAGACCGCGTTTGGTAAACCAATATCCTGTACTGCATCTGAAAAGAATTCATCCAATGTCCAAAGTGTTGGGAAACTTGCACACTTTAATACTTTCAACTCGAAAGCAAATCGAAACATCTTAAATCCACTGGCGGAAGCAAAAATTGTAGAATTGGAAAGAAAGTGTGTTTCTTCAGAAACTAGAGCAGAAGATGAAACTGAACTGACTACTATGGAAGCAGAAAAAGAGTTTGAAAACTGTGATATTTTAAATTTCAAATGCAAGGCCAACAGTTGGGTCAGCGATGACAAGAACGTAATCCATGAAGTTGCTGATGTCTTGAAATCAAAAACTTCTTGGGAAAGTAGTAGCAAACTAGATGCTCGAATGATCAACGATCTTGAGATGCCACAAAAAAAGACTGATACCAATACCAGGAGTAGGTTGGTTTCGATGAGCGGTGATGCAGCCAACGAAATTGACTGTGAAATTGTTGATTGCAGTAACAAATACGCTGGTGTTGTAGTCCAAGTTGAGGAACTTGAAAACCTTTTCAAGTTAATGCTGCAAGACAAAGTAGATCAAGACAGATTGGAAGCCTTGTTTTCGAGAGAATCAAGTTCAGCTCGCTCTATTTCCAAAGATTACCTTCCGAACATCAAAGCTGCTTCTGACATCCATGATGCACGAGTAAGTACGGCAAACACCAACTCTAGTGATGGTGCTACTGATATCCTAGACATAATTGATGATTATGCTATAGAAGGGTCTTGTCTTCTGAACGATGAAAATCATAGCATGAACGCCAATAGATTATGTCTGAAAGTATTCTAACAGAAGTTTGATTAGGGTATCTGGGAAATAAATCTAGAATGATAAAACTATAAAGCTATTGATTAAATTGTAAATTTTATAATTGTAAGTTGATGTATTATGTAGCGGGAGTTCAAAAAATAGATGACGTTTTTCACCTAGATACAAAATTGTATCATTTTCTTTTATTGAACACGCACAAAATCTTTAGCTATTGTCTCGTTCTTTTGGCAGGACGAGGTCCTGGTTGATCATTAATTTTGGTCAGTTGAGATATCAACTCCGAGTCATCAATATCGTCTGAGAAAACATCTGAAGACAGATCATAAAGCTTTCTTTTGTTATATTGATCTCTTTGACGAATAGAGTCTTCATCCAAATCAGTGGCGGATTGAATTTGAGAATCTTTTACAGCATTTTTTTCTAGTTCGCTGAAAGACACATCCGAAAAATTGTCTCCTGAGTTGCTCGAGTGCTCAATTCGAGAAACAGTGTCATCCACTGCAGAAATGTTATTCAACATACTGTAATCGATCTTGATATCACTTTGATCATATCTCTCTTCATTTGATTTGTTTCCGGTTTTCTCTCTCTCGTCATCAACACCTTCCTCATCTCGTGTCAAATCTATACTTGCTTCGCCAGTTGGAAGATCAATAATGCTCATGAACAGATCACTTGCAGATGCCTTGGCTGTACCTTTACTGCTGCCGTTGCTAGAAGTGACAAAATTCCCAAAAAGCTCTTTATTATAATCATCGTCACTATCCAGAATGAGTGGGTTTGATGATTTGCTGCGAGCGGTATCGCTTTGTGATATTTCATTTCCATCCTCATCAACTACTTTCCTCACTACCATACGGGCAACGGGTCGAAATCCTGTTTCAGCATTAGCAGGCATGTAAAATCGTTTCTCGAACTTTGTGTTGTCCTCGTGATCCGTGCCAGTACCCTTTGTGTTTCTTTTGCTCTTTGTCTTTATCTTTCCTTTCGTGCTCGTTGGTTTTTTCCTTTGAATAGTTTGAGTAGCCAAACGTAAAAATTCATCGGTGTCTACAACATCGGAATCTTTCAACAAATCCTCATTTTCTTTAGGAATTTCTACAAATCTTCTTTCTAGTATTGGAACAACATCTTGCGGAACAATTCTATTATGGGAGCCATCATAATAGGTCAAGCTATTGGAGTCATCTTTTATTTGACTTTGAATCCATTCATACTTTCCCATTGAGGACTCAAATTTTTGCCTTTCATTCGAGCTAAACAATAATAAAACTTTACCATCTCTTTTACGGCCCGTTCTACCCATTCTTTGAATGTTCTTTATTGGTGATTGTGTTGAATCGAAACAAATGATTAAATCCACTTCACCGATATCCAAACCTTCCTCACCAATGGACGTAGCAACAAGGACGTTATATTCTCCTGACTTGAAATTTTCAATCAATTCTTTTTGAACCTTTTGGTTCATACCTTTTAGCTGGGCATTTTCTGAACTTCCAATTCTATCTGCAGGCCTTCCGCTAAGGTCAGACTTTTTCCCTTTAATTCCTGTACTTTTCTTCTCTTCAATTTCTGGGCTTCCTTTTTTCTTCCTCTTTGGTTTTATTTTATCTAAATATGTCTGCTGATCAAATTTGTCCTTTTCTTTGGATTGACCAATGAAAATGTGAGGCCTTATGCGATCTCTATCTAAAGTTTTGTTTGCATTTCCCAAAACTCTGACAATCTCCAACGCAGACTCTCTAAATTCGGTAAAAATGATGCAAGAAGACGAAGACAAGGATGAGTTGTTTCGTTCAGAACTGAAAAAAGAAATCAGCTCATTGACAAGGTACCTGAACTTCATATGGGAAAATATACCTTCAATATGAGTTTTATCAATCAGAGCTTTATGCTTATCACTCTCAATCAGATTCTCGACATACTTCTTCAGCTTGATTATATTTTCATCATAGTAAAATTGAGCGGCAAGTTTGTTTGTGGATTTCTTGCTACCGTACTTGGTTGTGAACTCTGTGTATTTTTCCAGAAAATAACTGTAAAAAGTTTTTACACCATAAATATTAAGCCGTCGAAAAAACTGACCCACTGTCCCCAACAACTGAAGGATGAAATAGTATGACCATTTGAGGCCTTCGGGAATTGTTGGATTCTTAATCACTTTCTGACTTTTCTCCATTGCCACAAAATGGTTTATTTTCGAAGGATCGGTAATATCGTATATTCCAGACTCATTTGCTTTCTCGAGGACAGGACGAATTGCCTCACAGATGTATTCAATTATCTGCGAAATTTCATTTGTTGGTTCACAATCCAGCTTATCGATTATCTTTGCCTTAATATATTTGGAGATATCAGGATCCCTTTCTGTTCTGATCTCGATTCTCGAGATGTTGAGGTTTTCTACTACAGACTGGATCGATTCGATGTCGAGACCAGGAGTAGCAGTCAAAGCAAGAACTCTGAAAGATGGATTGAATCTGTTCAAAAACTTCACGACATTTGTGTACGCGTAGTTCCCACGGGCTCGATGAGCTTCATCAATGATCAATAGTGCAACCATATTAGGGTCCAATATTCCCGACTTTAAGTCATTCTCGACCACTTGTGGAGTCGTAAACAGAATTCTCTTACTATCCCAAATTGCCTTCCTATTTCGTTTCACCCTATCCAACATAATGTCTGTGTAAGCCATTGAGATACCTGACAATTGTACAAACGCTTTGATCTGTTGTGCCACCAAGGGTTTTGTTGGAGCCATAAATATGATTTTCATCTCCTTCACCCATCTGAAGTAGTTCAACATCACAGTCGATGCAATGAACGTTTTACCCAAACCAGTTGGAATTGCACACAGTAAATTTTCGAATAGTGATTTCTGAACGATGTCTAACTGATAGTCTCTCGTTTCCAGGTTCGTTGGGTATATGATAGAGTCTATGTTATCAAAATTGATACACTTCTGGATTTTGCTGTCGCTGGCATCAGGGTTTAGCTCACTTCTTTCCATTTCTTCGTATACGACCGTTGCGTGTTTTGGCGTTACTTTGGCAACTGACGGATGGTCTAGGGTTTCCACCAATGCATTTTCGTCGAATGAATCGTCATCAAAGGAGTCCTCTGAGTCTATAGCTACAGAGGTCATTCGCTATGCCACCGTATTTCGAGCGATCATGCCCATCACGAGCAAGCCAGAGAGAGCATGGTTGGGTAGCCATGATGGGATAAAAGAGCAAAAGCATGCTGAAAAAGCCAAGTTCATGTCAACAGTGTGGCGCGCCGATCGGCCGCGGAGCCCTTTTTTTCTGTGTGTGACATCATCGTCATTGACAGCATCATTCCGCTCATCAGGGGAATTATGTGGAGTAAATGGCACTTTGTCTGTTCAGTTCATCTTCCAAAAGCAGGTCGATAACACAATAGGGTACGCAAAGAACCAAACAGTCATGTCGCTACACACAGTGGTGTCCACCGGGCGAGGAGGTGCAGGAAATATGATAAGCAGCCAGGGGGTGAATGCTGCAAATGAGGTGATAATGACAGAAGAAGAATGGAAGAAGTACCAGCAGAACGGTGGGGGTGGAGGCGTTGGTACGAAAGACTACAAAGGCAGGAGAGGGATGCAAGAGCAACCGACCATCAGCGAGGAGAAGACGTACAACCATGACAGACAGGGTCGGATAATCGCGTCGTCAGGGAGAGGCGGGGCTGGGAACATTGCGAAGTACGACAAACTTCCGTCGCCAAAGATACAACCCGAGTCACAGGAGATCGAGTTGAGTCCTGTTTTCTCCACAGGACGAGGAGGCGCCGGAAACATACACCGGACGAAATCCAACACGAAAACGAAGATCAACCTGGAGAGTGAGATTGAGGACCAGTTGTCGCCGCTCCACTCGAACCGGTCTGCGAAGTCGCAGGGTTCAGCGTCATACCGAGACAGCAGCGGGGGCGACTCCAAGTTCATGAAGAAGCTGAAGAAGTTTTTCAAGTGAGGCTCGTGTGAGGCAAGGAGTGTACGGAAGGGGGGTGGGACAAGGGACAGAGACGAAGCAGCAACGGCTACCGAGTTTTGACGACGACAAATGATTACGACCATAACGGCATAGGCATGGACGCATTCTTTTACTACATAATCTACTATCTACATGATGCGCTGCGGTGCAGTCCGATGCGATGCGGCACGCGTGGATCGACGAATAAATAAACCGTGTTGCAGACGATATAAACAGTATATATATATAAACATGGAAAAAGTCCCATCGGTAAATATGTGCTGTACTTTCCTCTGTTATATCATTGTGAACAGCCGGAGGGAGAAGAATTAGAGGAGAACGAATGGATGAAATGTGCGGAGACTTGCCGCAGCCGAGACGGCGGCGCAGCGGCGCTTCTGTGCCCTGCTCAGCTTAGTGGGCGTGGTCCCATGGGTGTTCGATACCCACCCACTGCTTCCAGTCGTGCTTTGCTCTGTAGAACAACCAGAACCACATGGTGGCGCCCAAGAACGTGGCAGAGTATCTGTAGAAAGGACCTGCTTTTGGAACCGGAGCTCCTCCGTGACGTGTGTAACCTGCTGCAGCGTGGGACATGTTTCGTGTGTTGCGGTGCGGTGCTGCCTCTACCTCTGGCCAGCCCCCCTCCGCCTCCGTGTCCCGAACTGATGAGCCCTTGTGTGTCCATGGCTGTTGAAAACATGCCTCTGCGACACCCCTCTCCACAGCACCAGCTCCTCTCGCACCTATTGGAGCGGACGCAATAACGAAAAACGCCGGCAACCCCTCCCGCAGAAAACCCGTGCACCACAAGTCTTCAGACATCCCTCCCCTTTTTCTGCGTTACGTAAGCACATTACCCAATTAGGAGATCTTTTTTCGGCTCCTCCTTGGGCACTCCGTGCCCCGTCACCTTTGCCACGGGAACGGGAGACGGCATGGATCACGGTGACGAGGACGGAAGTTGGTACTACCACGGCTGCCACCAAACTACCCGCCAGCGGACCAGTGTCCGCTACATCACTGTCAGTGCCAAAAATACCCCCCCGCCCCGCTGCAAGATGTCCAGCCTACCCCCCCGGACGCCCGCCATTGTCCTCGTGTACTTTTTATTTCCCTCGACATTGTTTTAAGGTCAATCTCGTTTCGGCTTTCGTTCTCGCACTTCGCTCTGGTCCCGGTTCTCGTTCTCGGTTTTGTCACGTTTTCCGTGATTTTCCCTTGCGAGAGATACCGTGCACTGCAGACATAGTAGACACATAAGCTTTCCGTGAGCTTTTTTTTGACATTTCGCCTTGCCGGGTGTTGGTTGTCCACCTCTTCCATTTTCCTTGCAGTGCACCCCTTTCCGGTTCCTTTTCTCGCTTTTCCTTCCGTTGCACCCCTCGTTCCTTCCTCACCTCATCGGCGGCTCTGTTTCTTTAGCAAAACCGCAACCCCCCCTAGGCTTTCTTTTCGAGCGCAACTGTTTGATCATCCCGTCACCAAACCTTGGTCAACCTATTGTCCCTTTAGAATCCACCACCTCATCCTCTTTTGCTTATACTCCGCAGATCACCTCCGTTGTATCCTTCTTCCTCCCAGCCCCTTTTCTGTCCACCCACCTCCCTCTGTGATTCTGCTCATGCATTTCATCTTCTTGACAACTATCCAAATCTAATCGACCCATGAATATAAACACTACGAATAATCCCAACCCCAATCCCAATATTAGCAGTCTCAACAACCCTGGCTACCTCGATTCCCAGCTTTCCCTACTTTCGAACCACTTGACTCCTACATCAACCTCGAATTCCTCGCAGACCCCAATATCCTCAGCCTCTTTGGGAATCAGAACCCGGCACAGGTCAGGAACTCTACCTTCCTCTTTGTCGAACAGCACAGCAGCAGCACCCAGCAATTGCACGAACATCAATGGCGCCCAGAACCAAGCGATACCAACAAATGACTTCAGGCTTCGATCTATGTCCGTTTTTTCGAACTCGAACTTGTGGGATGAGGCCCCGGTTTTGACTCCTAAAATCAACATAGAGCTAGCAGATGATAACAAAGTCGCTCCTATGAACTTGAACTCGAATCCCATGTCCCACTCAAACGCAGATATCTCGCCCTTCACCAACAAACTGAGGTCTTATTCCAACAACATGCCAATTTCTCAATATATGAATGACGGCATTAATAGTAATAATAGTAGTAAGGGCCTCAACGGTCTTGGGAACCTGAACAATCTGAATACCAATATTTTTAATGACCTTGCCAATACTAATACAACAGTCAATAACTCTTTTGCAACAATCGATGAAAACTACGACCTCCAGCAGCTACAAAATATTCAACTCCAACAACAACAACAGTTTTTACATCGCCAACAGCAACAGCAGCAGCAACAGCAATCTTTCAACCCCTCCATGGTTTCTGCCACTCGACCAAGGTCCCAAACTTATGCTGCGCCAAATATCAACAACAACAATGCCATCAACCAGCTAGCGCTCCAGCAACAGCAGCAACAGCAACAACAACAACAACAACAACAACAACAACAGCAATTTACCGGGGCGTTGCCACACATGACAAGAGCTTCTTCATTTTCTGTTCTGTCTTCCAACCAAAATCGACCAATAAATTCTTACATTAACCCAGTATTACAAGATAACGTTGCAGAAAATTCAATATCTATCACCTCAACTCATACAAACCCAACTCTTGGTCCCACACAGACTTTGTTGATTGTCCATGTACCAAACGACTCAGCCGTTACAAATTCAAACAATTTTTACAACATCTTGAAGCAATTTGGTACAGTTTTGAGCGTTCGTATTATTGTGTGTAACGACTCAAAAGACCTGGTCGTGGTGGCTGAATTTTCAGACATTGAAACTTCAATTGTTGCAAAGGCCAAACTCAACAACCAAGAGCTTTATCCTGGTATAAAATGTCAAGTTTCTTTTGCTAAAATTTTGGAGTTTAACCCAATTACAAACTCAATTGATTTACTGAATCTGCAAATAAACTCTTTAAATCAAACTTCAAATTTGTTGGCTCCGAATATATCAGCTTCCACTTCTCCGGGTCACAATTCTACAAACATTCCGATCACTGGTAGTAACAACAACCATCATCATTTTAACTCAAAATCCTCTCATATAGATGATCCATTTCCTTTCAAGTTGACTAACTTGAAAGATAAAATCTCGTCCTACAATAAGATTCTTAGCTATTTATTCGAAAAAAATCCTGACTTGTTGACCCCGGCTGAGAACGAGAGGGCGAATACATTGCTGAGTAACTCACTTTCATTTGATGAGTTCAAATCAGATGGTTTAGGCCCTTTACCCCCTCCTTTGACCCACAAACAATTCGATAATCCTTCACTGAGGGAGATTAGGAAACAACTGGATCAAAGTAACCTCTCTAGTTTACAAATTGAAGAGTTGGCTCTTGCAATGGATCAAGAATTACCCGAATTAGCTTCTGATTATCTGGGTAACACTATTGTACAAAGGTTTTTGGATGTTGCCAGTCCCGCTGTCCGTGAAGATATTGTTCAAGCATTGGTACCTTATTTGGCTCAAATGAGTGCCCATAAAAATGGTACATGGGCTGCCCAAAAATTGATCAATACTGTGGCAGGAGTGAATGCCAACTCAAAATATCCTGGCTCTTTGAGAGAAATGAAATTGGTAAGTGAAGCTTTAAAACCTTACGCCCCTCAGTTGTTTAACGACACTTATGCCAATTACGTTATTCATGGAGTTTTGAAATTCAAACCGCCGTACTCAAACTTCATTTTTGAATCATTACTTGCTCTGTTTTTGGACATTTCTTTCAACAGATTTGGTGCAAGAGCAGCACGTACCTGCCTTGAAACAATTGAGAGTGAACAAGGCAACTGTCATGATTCAGCTGAAGCAAATGGTATAAGTGTTGGCAAAGAAGTGGTAGTTTTGGTGGTTAATGCCATTTTAACATGGTGCTGGGAATTAATGGCTGATGTCAATGGTTCTTTGTTAATAACTTGGTTCCTAGAAACATGTCAAGTTATTGACAATAAGCATTTTTTGTTAGCCTGGATCCTAACACATGAAGACGATTTCAATCAAACCAGTGAAAAATGTTCATCATCTCTGCCGGCAAGTGACATTGAAGAAGAGAACATACATTCACATATCGGTATAAACGATGTTAGCGGAAGTAACGATGGGAATACTGACAACATTAATGATGACAAAACCTTTGTAAGCTCTACTGATGATGGAAACATTGCAACAAGTAGAACTGTATGCTCTATCAATGGATTAAGATCACCAGGTAAACCATTGGGTAAGGAGAAACATTCTTCGGGTACCAAGTTCATCAAGCTATGCACACTAAAGTTAGGGACTTTGAGTGTATTGAAGTTGCTCAATCATAGAACTAATTTGAGTGCAAGAGATTTGGTGTTAGCCAAAATTTTTGGAGCTGATGTTTTCTGCAGTAATTCAGAGGAAAAAAATCAAGCTACTTTTGATGAATCTGTCTTGAAATCAATTTTAATTGAAGGCCATAATAATAACATAAGTGCAAACACTACTGGAAGCACGACCAGTAATTCTTTGAACAATAGTAATGGTGTGAGTATTTTCAATGGTTCTTCTCATGGTGCCAACTTCATACATAAGATATTGTCCGTTCCAACACTTGAACCTAGTTTAAAGAAAAGAATGATCCATAAAATTAAGTTAGTCTTAACGGATATTACCGCCGGATATGGTCCTGTCTCAAACAATTCACTGAGAAGATTGGCAGATGAGTGTGGTATTAGAGGCTTCAACTGTGTTAACAACCACCATCAAAGGACTGCAAGCTCTAGTAATGGAGCAAACGGCGGTGGTAGTTTAGCTACTCTGACTGCATGGAAATCAAGATCTCGTAGCAATTCGACCAACACTAATGGCAGTTTGATTGGTGGGAATGGTGAGCATAGTCCACCAGTTTTCTCACACATTCAACAGCAACATCAACCCACTAATTCTGGGGTTGACTATGATTTGTTATTGAGACAACAGTTAGATGAACTTTCTTTGAATAACAGCAATAAGCTTTATCCATCTAATAATGGAAATACTGGCGGTAATGCAATGAACTATAATCACATGAATATGAACATCAATGGAATGAACAGTATAAATGGATTAAATGGTATGAATGGTATGAATGGTATGAATGGTATGAATGGTATGAATGGTATGACTGGTATGAATAAAATGAATGGTTTATCTAATTTCAATGGCGCCAATAATATTAACGTGAGTAATATTGATAACAATGGCTTAATGACGAATGGTATGAATTCGAGCAATGGAATGAATATGAATATGAATATGAATATGGGCATGGGAATGCCTATGCCTATCAACATGAATACGAGTAGTAATCCTAATGCTGTGAGTAGTATGAATAATGTGAACAGCATAAACAATGCTGGCTCTTTGAACAATTTGAACAGCATGAATAACCAAGCATTAGGTATGGGGTTAAACCAGGGTCAGGTGAATCCATCTGGAAACAGTATTCCAGGACTTTCTCTGGAAACGAACAATGGCAATATTCATAATAACACTAATAATGGCAACAATCAACTTTTTTGAAGCTGTAATAAACATAATACGAGATAAAGATACAGTAGACTTTCAAGTCTAGCTAATGAAAATCAATGCAATGACACTTCATATTTCACTCTTTCAATTTATAAAGTTACGTATATACTCAAAGTGTGAATATGTAAAAGTAGATAATTACGGTTTTAATACATTTTAATGATTTTTTATATAAACTAATTGATATTATATATTGTATTTTTGCATTTTCAAGTCAAAAACGGTTGAAAGCCTGTATGTTGTTATAGAGAGTTTGCGACCAGAAGTTGGGTTGTTCTAAGTGCCTCGAACTTGACATTCGAATTTGGAGAGTTCATTAAAGTCATAATCTTCGTCTTTGTTCCAAACGAGTTTATGACCTTGACTACCTCAGGAGCTACTTTGATAAGCATTGACAAGTCATAACATATGATGGATTGGTTGATGTATAGTTGGTTGACATTTGCATCTGGTGCTGAATTGTCGTCGGACAACAAGGAGATCAGAGACTTTAGTAGCTTCCAGTTGTTCTCCTTGAATTTATCGATATTATCATACCAGAACTCGCTGTTTTTATGACATGGGGACCAAAGAAGGTGTTTTGTTTTAATTTCATTTTCATACTCATCAAAATTGGTCAAGGATTTGATGGAGTCATTGAGTAAATCGTACAAGGTATTTAGATCGTCTTTGAGTTCATTGTCAGACCACTTTCTTTCGATCAAATTCTTGACTATTGTAAGACCATTCGCAAGGAGGAACTTTTTGATTATTTCTGTTTGTGATTTGGAAGATGAACTTGAGACGTCCAAAAAGTTGATTAGGATCGATATAGACAATCTGACAACCTTCTCCTTGACGGCATCATTTGAGAATTTGAACATAGTTGGTATGATTTCTGCATACTTAGCGTCTGTTGTTAATAATTGGTTTGTCTTTGAATCGAATGTCAATGTCCATAAACAATAGATCGATAGATAACGCATCTGTAGTTCGACGTTCTTGTCCAACATTATTTTTATTAAGGCATCCAAGTATTCAGTCTTTTTGATGTAAATATCTCTGAACTCTTTCACTGATAAAAGTTCCTTTAACAATTGTACACCCAAGAATCTATATTGGGCGTTCGAAGAGGTGACCAATCCATCTTGGATGAACTTCAACACGGTTGAAACCAATTCGAATGCAGTTTTTTTCGAAGAAGGAGGGTTTGTTGTGAGGAAGAAGATCAAAATATGAGCACAAAGAATGGAGATGACGAATTCATCTTGGTTGGAGTCTTGCTCACCTGAAGAAGAAGACTCTAGTATTTCAACGAATGGGGGGTATGGGTTATTCTTTGAGATTTTCATGATTTCATGGGTCATTGTATGCTCAGGAACGGAATTGTCAATGAAGGTCAACCCATCGTAGAGAATGACCAACAAGATTTTGGTTAGATCGAGATACTTGGACTTGTTTTTAGAGATATCAGTTATGGAGTCGAGTAAGACCTTGGAGTACGTTGGCAAGTCTTTGATAAGGACATCAACTCGGGACGCTGGGTCTTCTTGGTCGTTGACAGAGGTGACCGACTTCAAAACAGCCATGTTTTCACTTGACAAGTAGTTGGCCTTGACAAAGGAAGTCCATGAGATGGATCTTGTTCTGATATTCGTGAGCAGTTGGGACACAAAGTCACCTTCCAAACGGAAAGGAGTGAGTGCAGGGGGTCTGAGGGCGGTCATTGTGTGGGCGTGGTACGTATCTATCTAGCTTTTCTATATACTCAGGCAATTGCTCTAGTGTGACCCCTGTTTTCCGCTTCTCTACAGGTTTCTGATAGCATTGCAGGAAGCAGCCAGGCCGTCCGGCTTACAGAATCACAGTGAGGGTGAGACTCCAGCGGAAAGGGAGGGAGGCAGCCACTATAGAGCGAGGGGGTGGTGAGCACCGGGTAACTTTACTAAGGGAAGGGGGACGACTTGCTGAGGACGATGACCTGTTTGGCATGGGAGAGATAGCCCTTGATGTTGTTGGTGGCAATGAGTCGGCAGAGAAGACACTCTGTGTCAAAATCGGTCTGCGTGCAGGAGGTGCCCAGGTTGAGGGAGGTGGTGAAGAAGGAAAAGGCGACGATGTGGGCCTTCTGCAGCTGTTCCGGGGTCTGTGTGTCTTTGTAGATGGCGTATGCGGTTTTCAGGGTCTGCAGCTGGATCATTGTCTGGAATTTGATGTAGAGGGAGTAGACCTTGAACCTGAGCAAGAGGAACTTGAAAGCCTCGAGGTTCTTGTTGTAATCGGACAAGGACAGTTTTTTGATGCAGGTGTAGAGCGGCTGGATGACCTTGAGGTCCGGGTGCTTTTGGAAAAACGCGTCTGTAGGGAGTTTCTTGGAGATGAGGTAGTTCAATGGGAGTAGGTAGAACAAGATCTTGAGGTCCAGCGACCTGGAGTGCTTGTTTTGGTATGCGGAGTTGAAGAAGGCGAACGACTTCTCGTAGTTGGACTGGACGAGGAGGGACAGTCCGATGAAGTAGTCGAACAAGGACTGCGTGGGCAGCATCGGGCTCATTTCTATTCTACGGGTATCTCGGGCGGTGTCGCTGAGGACCGTGTTGGACAACACCTTGTAGAGGTTGATGACGGCGTTCAACTTGTTGTACTTGAAGTAGATGGAGAACAAGTGCGACGCAAAGATGTGGATGGCGGAGATGTTGATTGTGTTGTCGGACTTGTTGGAGATCAAGAGCTTGAACGGGCGCTGGATCGCGTTGGTGAAGCTGTCGACCGTCGGGGTGGCCGTGCTGTCGTCGAGCATGCGGGCGCTGTTGGGCGGGTAGTTGGAGAACACCACCCGGCGCAGGTTTTTGGCTACAATGATGATCGGCATGAGGAAGAACGAGGGCTCGTCCAGCAGCCGCTTCGACAGGAGGTTGATCTGCTCCGTCTGGCACCGGATCTGCGTGTCGACGTTGCCGCTCTTGAGCGCCACCAGCAGGTCCATGCACAGCAGGAAGAGCTGCTGGAAGAACTCGTCGCCGCTGCCGCCGCCGCCCCGCTGTGCCGCCGCAATGGACCGGTTGATCAGCATGAAGTCCAGCGACGTCTGCTCTGGCCGGAAGTCCTCCATGTCCTGCAGGTTGATGATCCGCAGCAGAAACATCGCCAGCTTCAGCGTGTCGTGGCTGCTGATTGCTGTGCACAGCTCGTCCAACAGCTGCTGCCAGGTCATTGCGTGTCGATGTGTGTGTGTGATTTCCCGGGTCTGCTGCCCTTCTCTCTGCTGGCCTTCTCTCTGCTGCCCTGCTCTCTGCTCTGGGGCTCTTCTCATGCTGTCTTCTGCTCTGGAGCCTCCTCTTGGCCTCTCAGCCCAAAGCGCTGAGCATTTTTCCCGCCGCGGGAAGGCGATCGGCGTAATTCAGGGCTTTCCGGCCTCTACTGGTGGGTGTGAAAATTTTTCGGCGTGGCAGCAGAGGGAGAGCGGAAGGAGCCGACGCCAGGAGGCAAGAGGAGACATAAGAGATGGAAGAAGAGAAGAAAAGAAGACAGGAGAAGAGGTGGGAGAGAGATGGGGAAAGAAGAAGGACAAGAAACAAAGGACGGATAGCGCAAGCGAAAACAGAAACACAAGATGTCGTTGGTGAATATCTGCAGAGACAACAATGATCCGTTCTACCGTTACAAGATGCCGCTGATCCAGGCGAAGTCAGAAGGTAGCGGAAACGGTATCAAGACCAACATCCTGAACCTGTCGGAGGTAGCCACTGCGTTGGCTAGACCGGCGTCGTATGTGATGAAGTACTTTGGGTTCGAGCTAGGTGCGCAGACGTCGATCGACAACAAGAACGAGAGATACTTGATCAACGGTCTGCACGACCCGGAGAAGTTGCAGGACAGTCTGGACGGCTTCATCGAGCGGTTTGTGTTGTGCCCGCAGTGCAAGAACCCGGAGACGGTGTTGGAGATAGCGGCGGGCGAGAACCTCCAGAGGGACTGTAAGGCGTGCGGTAAGATCACGAAGGTGAACCCGAGCTACAAGTTGGTGTCGTACATCCTGAAAAACCCTCCGAAGGACGCGTCGAAGAAGCAGAAGAAGAGTGCGTCGGGCAAGACGGCGTCTGCGAACGTGATTGGCGGTGGTAAGTCGATCTCGGACATTGCCAACAGACAGCAGGGCTCCGGGTCGGGCTCGGCGTCGGGCGAGGACAAGCCGGCGGAGAAGGTGGTTGTGAAGGACGAGGACTGGTCCGTGGACATGAGCGAGGAGGCCATCAAGGCGAGGGCCAAGGAGTTGGAGAAGTTGAACATCGGCGAGGCGAGAGCCAAGTACGAGGACTTCGGCAAGTGGCTGCTCGAGGGCGACGACGGCGAGCTGCCTAACGACGTCGAGATCTACAAGAAGATCCTGTCCCTCGACATCGCCGGCGACAGACAGACGGTCGAGGTGCTTGCCCAGGTTCTTTTTGACGACGACATGATAGACCAGATCGACGCCCACAAGGGTCTTCTGCTGAAGCTCGTCACGGACGAGAAGTTCGAGAAGTCCTTGCTTGGCGGCATAGAGAGAACCATCGGCACGCAGCACCCGGATCTTGTGAAGCAGGTGTCTAAGATCCTCATGGCTCTCTACGACGAGGACCTTGTTTCCGAGGACGTCATCAGGGACTGGGGGTCCCACGTCTCCAAGAAGTACGTCGACAAGGAGACGTCCAGAAACATCCGCAAGGCTGCCAGACCGTTCTTGAAGTGGTTGGACGAGGCCGACGACGAGAGCGACGACGAATAGATCCCTCCAGTGTAACCACTGTCTAATTGTAAAGCATAAAAGAAACTACGACACTGTGTCCGCGCCGTCGGCAAGCGAAGCACGCGTCCCGAACGGGCAATACTTCCTATCGCGGTTGGAACGGCGGCTGCGCCGTGTGGGGTGGCCGTTTGCAGGAAAGAAAAAGATAGAAAAAGGCAGGTCCCGCCTGGTGGAGGGTTGGTAAAAGAAACAAGAGGAAGGAGAAAAAAGACAGCAACACGTCCGCAATGCAAGACATGTCTGGATCTGGAAGAGGATCGCAAACGGAGGCTGAAACGGAGCCCGCGGACACAGGGTCGGAGGTGTCGAGCTTGGACTCGGTGCACATGGCCGGCGTGGCGCCGGAGAGCACGACGCGGGAGCTTGTGCGGTCCAACACGGACAACCTGGTCACGAGAACGTCGACGCTGCTGTCGTACATCAAGGAGGACAACCGGTTTGCCAGGACGCAGGTGGAGCCGAACCCGTCGTACGACCCGGCGGACCTGGTGAGGGTGGGCACGGCGGCGACGGAGAGGCACGGACGGCGGCTGACGGGGCTGGAGAACATCCGGTCGGAGGGCGTGCTTGAGGACGAGGAGGACGAGGAGGACGAGGCGGACGAGGCGGACGAGGCGGAGAAGCGCAGCGCCGCAGCGGAGGACACGGGCGAGTACAACACGTTTGACCTGGAAAACCGGCCGCCGGACAAGGGCCTGTGGGCGTGGGTGGCCGCGGCGTGCGTGCTCTCCATCAACACCTTCAGCTGGGGGGCGAACTCCGCGTTCGGGGTGTACTTGAGCTACTACACCACGACGGACTTCTTCCCCGGGGCCACGATGGAGCAGTACGTGATGATCGGCGGGCTCGGGTTGGGGCTCTCGTTCATCGTGTGCCCCGTGACCAACTCGCTGTGCCGGCGGTACAACTACAAGTGGGTCATGTCTGGCGGCTCGGCGCTGGTGTTCCTCGCCTACTGGCTGGCGTCCATCTCCACGACGGTGGTCCAGCTCATCATGTTCCAGGGCTTCCTGATGGCGATCGGCTACGCCCTGGTGGCCGGCTCGTGCTTCGTGATCCTCCCGACGTGGTTCCTCAAGCGCCGGTCCATTGCCCAGGGCATCGCTGCCTCCGGCGCCGGCCTCGCCGGCATCATCTTCTCCCGCCCCGTGGATCAGATCATCAAGAGCTACGTGGACAGCCCCAAGTACGCCCTCGACCCGCACGAGGGCCTCCGCCGCGGCATCGCCTGGGCCCTGCGCATGCAGTCCTTCGTCTGCGGCACCATGCTCATGCTGGCCGTCGTCTTCATCCGCACCTACCGCCCGCTCAAGACCGCCCCCGCCGACCACAGGCCCCTGCTGCACGAGCTCTTTGGCTGCCTGCGCCGCCTCGACCTCATCACCCACCCGCCCGTCCTGTGCCTCGTGCTCTGGAACATCATCTACTCCTTCACCTACACCATCCTGCTCTTCTCTCTCTCCTCCTACGCCACCGCCATCGGCCTCTCCTACAGAGACGGCTCCAACGTCACCACCGTCCAGAGCGTGGCCCAGACCATCGGTCGCCCGCTGCTGGGCCTGTGCTCCGACAAGATCGGCAGAGTCAACACCACCATCGTCAGCACCCTGCTCATTGCCCTGCTCATCTTCCTCTTCTGGATTTTCGTCGCCACCTACGCCCAGCTGCTCGCCTTTGCCTTTCTCGCCGGCTTTCTGCTCGGCGTCAACTGGGTCAACTTTGGGCCCATGGCCGCGGATATCGTGGGCGGCGGGCCCGACCTCTCCGACACCGTGTCCATCCTCATGCTCTCGGGCGGTCTGCCGCTTCTTGTTGCCGAGCTCGTGGGCCTCAAGCTCAAACGCCCCGACATGTCCCGGCCTTTCCTCTACTGCCAGATTCTCTGCGGCGTGGCTGCCCTGCTCAGCGCCCTCGTGCTCATGCCCCTCCGCGAGTGGAAGGTCAAGCGCATCCTGCTTGCCCGCCGCCGCCTGCTGCTGCGGGCCGCCGGCGGCGCCGCCGGCGAGAAAGCTCCCGCCGGGAAAATCCCCGCCGACAAAGCTCCCGCCGAGAAAACCCCCGCCGAGAAAACCCCCGCCGAGCTCGCCCACCTCGACGCCATGCTGCGTCCGACCGCCCGCGCGTACGCCGTCCGCATGTTCTATCCGATTGCCGTGTGAGCCGCCCGGCGGCCGGCGGCGGCGGCGGCGGCGGCGGAGACTCATCCTCCTTGGGCGGCCGGCTGGGCTAAGCGCCCCGAAGAGTCATCGGCGGCCGGGAGGCGGATGTTATCCGCGCGGCGCGCACCCCCCACCACACGGGCGGCTGACAAATGGGGCAGTATAAAGATGGACCGTTGTCTAACCTAAGGCACACGCCGAGGAAGGTTGGGGTCGGGGTTGGTGGGAGGCATCTGTACGGGCTTCACGCCTGTCACGCCTGCGATGCCTGTACAAGACATGTGCGAGTCCGATGTGTCCAGCGTGGACTCGAGCCACGACATCGCAGACGTGGTACCGCTCGACGGAACGTCGGCGGAGATAGGCCGCACCAACACGGAGAACCTTGTGACACGCACGTCAACCCTTCTGTCGTACATCAAGGAGGACAACCGGTTTGCCAAGACACAGGTGGAGCCCAGCCCGTCGTACGACCCGACTGAGCTGATCCGGATCGGCACTGCTGCTCCGCCGGAGAGGGAGAGGGAGAAGGTGGAGACGTTCGGCGACGTGGAAAACGCCAAGTCGGACATCGACGACGACGACGACGACGACGACGACGACGACGTCGAGACACAGCGTAGCGCCGTCGTCCAGGACACGGGCGAGTACAACATCTTCGACGTGCAGAACGAACCCCCGGACAAGGGCTTCTGGGCCTGGACCGCCGCCTTCTGCGTGCTCTTTATCAACACCTTCAGCTGGGGCCCCAACGCCGCCTTCGGCGTCTACCTCAACTACTACACCACAACGGACTTCTTCCCCGGCGCCTCCGTCGAGCAGTACGTCATGATCGGCGGCCTCGGCTTGGGCGCCTCCTTCATGGCCTGCACCATCACCAACGCCCTCTGCAGACGCTTCTACTTCAAGTATGTCATGTCCGCCGGCACCGCACTCATCTTCCTCTCCTACTGGCTTGCCTCCATCTCCAAGACCGTCATCCAGCTCATCATGTTCCAGGGCTTCATGATGTCCTTCGGCTTCGCCGCCGCAGCAGGCTCCTGCTTCGTCATCCTCCCGACGTGGTTCCTCAAGCGTCGCTCCATTGCACAGGGCATTGCAGCGGCAGGAGGCGGCTTGGGCGGAATCATCTTCTCCAGACCCATCGACGCCATCATCAAAAGGTACATCGACGACCCCCGCTATGCAGACAACCCACACGAGGCCTTGAGACTCGGCATAGCCTGGGCCTTGCGCATGGAAGCCCTTGTCTGCGGTTTCTCCCTCGTGGTCTGCATCTGTCTTTTGCGCACATACAGACCTTTGATCAACGAGGAATCCAAGAAAAAACCTTTTCTTCCAGAGTTGTACTCGTACCTCTTGAGGTTCGACTTGCTTAAACAGCCGCCCCTGATCTGCATCATCTCCTGGAACATGGTCTACGGCTTGACCTACACCATCTTGTTGTTCTCCCTCTCCTCATACGCCTCCTCCATCGGCTTGTCTTACAGACAGGGTTCCAATGTCACCACCGTCCAGAGCGTCGCCCAAGCCATCGGCAGACCCCTCACAGGAATGTGTTCCGATAAAATCGGCAGAGTCAACACAACCATCATCTTCACCCTCATCATCACCATCCTCATCTTCTTCTTCTGGATTTTCATCACCACATACAGCCAGCTTCTCGCCTTTGCCTTCCTTGCAGGGTTCATACTCGGCGTCAACTGGGTCAACTTCGGGCCCATGACCGCAGACATTGTCGGCGCAGGCCCCGACTTGACAGACGCCATCTCCATCCTCATGTTCACAGGAGGAATACCCCAGCTAATTGCCGAATTGGTCGGCTTGAAACTCAGACGCCCCGAATTGTCCAAACCGTTCCTCTACTGCCAGATCTTGTGTGGCGTTGCCGGTTTGGTAAGTGCCTTGCTTCTCTTTCCCCTTAGAGAATGGAAAGTGAAACGTATTCTTCTCGCTCGAAGAAATCATTTGCTGTCTTTAGTTGCCGATTCCACAGAAAAAGATGATGCAACCATCACTAAAACTAATGACAGGGTCATCTCTGATGCTGCCAACGGCAACTTCAACGATGATCTTCATGAAAACCAGGTCCACGTGCAAGAGGAAATAAAAAGACTTGATACCATGTTGCAGAGCAACATCTACTTCTATATCTTTAGAACCTTTTATCCAATTGCTGTTTAATACCCCTCCTACCATAGATTATACAACAATCTCCAAACAAACATTCTCCTACATTATATAATCTACAATGTTTATTCTTTAATAACTTAATACTTTAATATTTTAATACTGAATTTTGCCATTCATACATGCATATAAAACATGGAAAGATCTCTAGTCTTCCATAAATTCTTCATCTATATCCTGACTGTCCTCGCGAAATAACTCGACCGCTTCCGGGGGTATATTGGCATATTGTCTACCTTCAGCTTCCTCTTCACTATTCATACCAAACATTTGTAGAACTCCAGCATCTCTTGCAATGGCTAGACGCTGTGTCTGCTCTATATTTCTTTGCTGCTCCTCTTCTAAAAATCGACGCTCCCTTTCCCCCATCTCTTCGCGTCCTCGAATTTCTGCAGGTGTCAATGTCGTCCTATACCTTCTATTGATAATTTCGTTTTCCAATGCGCTTCCATGAAACTCAGGGGTAGGATTCCTTGCTTGTAGCTCCAACATAAACCTTACACTATCTTCGGGAGTAGCTAAAATACGAGGTCGAGCTCGTAATCTTTCAAGTTCCAGTTCTCTGAGCCTATCACGCTCTTGCTGTTGTTGTTGTTGTTGTTGCTGAAGCTGAATTTGTCTATATCTTCCTCTCATCCTCGTTCTTGCAGGCCTATCATGCATTAGTTGGAAAAATCTCTGAACTCTGGTGGCCTGTGTTTGTTGTATCCCTCCAAATATGCATCTGGCGAATAGTTTCATAGTCTCAACTGATATGGCAATTCCATCATAATCATGTAAAAAATCCATTGCATTACTTACAAAATGCTCGAATCTTTCTCTAGCCTGATCAGATGAAAACTGATCCATATTTGCAGGAGTGGTCGTACCTATGATACCGTTGATTATTTGTAGAATCTCTGTTGCCTCCCTATCTTCTACTTCTGTCGTTTGAATAAGATGATTCAAATGATTCCTTAGCAAGTTGACACCTTCACCACTGAAGACACAAAAGATAGATTTCTGATGCGGATTGAACTCAGAAGGAGGTTCTCTACAAAATCTTGTAATATCTGGCCTCAAAAATTGGGATATCCCTGTCAAGGATATATGAGTCAATTTTGGACATGCTCTCAAAAGTCTGTATATTGGATAAATTGTTAAATTAACACAATAACTCAAATGAACTCTTTCTAGTGTATCATCAACATTTCTTGAATTCTCTGCCAATGCTAATATTCCTTCATCAGTAATTTGAGAGCACTTGACCAATCCTATTCTTCTTAGTTTTGGTAGATTTGACAATTCAACTACAGTCGCATTTGTCAATTGATTACAGCATGCTAAATCAATATACTGCAACCTGTAACAATTTTTAATCAACTCTTTTGCCCCCGCATCTGTTATATTGCTGCAATGACCTAAATGAACGTAATGTAAGTTTTTACCTAATGTTGCAATTGCTCTCAATGAAGCGTCAGTGATCGAGGAGCATTTAGATAATACAACGTTTCTCAATTTTGGTGCTAGTTGAATAAATTTGATCACTGCTTTATCTGTTATATTTGAGCATTGTGTGAAATCTAATATTCTCAATTTGTCAAGACAAAGAATTGAGCCATTTGGTGACTCAAAACATTCATATGTTATGTTTTGATTTTTTGATATTTTGAATTCTTTGAGTGATTCAAGCTGTAGGAACAGCATATGCAAAGATTTATTGGTCACTTGTTCACAACCATGTAAGTCCAGCTCAACTAAGCTGGGGCAATTTTTCACCAGCGCATATACAACATCATCTGTTATACTATTGCAGTCACTCAATTTCACCCTTTTCAGTAATGGGCAATTATAAATTAGGTTCAAAACTGCCTCCTGCGATATACTAGCAGAACCTGGAGCATATAGCCCTTGTAGACGCTTGCAATGCATTGATAACTGCATATAGATATCATCCTGTATATCTGTAACTCCTGTCAAATCAATTGATTGCAAACGAGAACAGCCTTCTAACAATCCAGCAATACTTTCATGTGTTATTTTGGAACAGTTCACCAAAGTTATTCTTTCCAGGTTTGTGCATCCAATGAACAATTTCAAGAAATCATCGTTGACCAAATTTGGAATCAAAGATAAATTCAGTCTCTTGATGAATTTCCTATAGTTCCACATTGTTTCGATTGCTGATGACTTCATTGTCTTCTCTAATTTTGCAAAGATATGCTTGTTATTAATCCCGGGCCTAAACCAAATTATACTGATGATAAGATCTGCCCAATATTTACACGATAAAGCGATTGAAATTAAATCAGGTTTTGAATGAATATATGAAAAGATCAAGCAGAGCATTTCGGGAGGCAATGAGGATATTGGGCCCCCGTAATTCTGTTGCACCAATGATGGATTGCGTCCCGGATTAGTTTTCTGGCTGTTTGAATGAGAGTTTGCTCTTGCTCTTGTTCTCAAAATCTGTGATCTAGCATGTTGCTCATTATCTGTGTCTGGGTCGTTGTCCATCTCATCTTCAGCATTGCCATTTCCAAGGTTGTTGCCAATGCCATTGCTACCGGGGTTTTCGTTATTGTTATTTGACGATGATGAGGATAGAGAACTAGCTTTATTATTGTTTATCACAACGAGATTGTTGGTGCTGATTGACACCGATTCGCCATCACTGACAGCTTCAGCAAGTTCTCCGCCTTGACCATTCATATCGTTAAACAGTCCTACACCGGTACCCTCCTGATTCATTTTGAAGCGAGTTAATGCAGGTTGTGTGTAGATGTCAATTAGTCGCCTCCTGAAAACACCGTCCCCAGAACTGACCTCTTTCCCTTTAGTTCTCGTGTTTTTCCCCTCGTGTCTCCTCTTTTCAGTATCTGTCTGGCGATCCGCAAGCTATCCAAAACATGCCCTCCCCCTACAGTCCCGTACCCTTCTTTTTCTCCTAATCGCTTCTCTTTGCCCTCCGCGAAAAATTCACACAACAGCGGTAGTGTCATGACTATTCCTTTATCAGCGCATCTACCATTTATTATACATCACCATTATCAACCTAGTACTAGCCGATTTGCTATACATCAAATTACAATCCTTCAGGGAGGTCCGCTAAAAAACGTATGGCTGTCGACTGGTCTTTGCGGAATTGTTCCATCATTAGCTCCGCCTTGTCCAGAACAAGCCCCACAGCCTGCTCTTCCTGGAATCGAATCCATTCCCTCACCGTCATCTTTAATTGTTCCGGTGGTATCTCGGCAATGAATTCGGTCAACAGTCCTTCTAGATCATCTCCTAGTAATTCATATCTCGAATCTAGCACCTCTTTAACGTATCCTGTGGCTTCCTGTATGTCTTTGTAAAACTCCCGATATTTGTTGCTATCGATTGGAACCCACTTGGTCTTTTCTTCCTTTTCGTCCAGTGACAACTGTCTTCGACAGTCGGTGTCGTGTTCTGTACCATCTGCCTCATCAGTAGGTTTCTTAGAAAACTTCTCGCTCATATCTACAGTCTTGGTATCGTTTGCATAAGGAGTGCTTTGGTTCTTCATCATGATGTCACTTTCAATGAAAAAATGATTCTCTTCTGGTAACTCATTCAATCTATCGCTTTTCGGTCTCCCCGCATTCATCAAGGCATTCAGAGTATCGAATCTAGATTCTTGAGCTTCTGATGGTATCGCTTCAGTGACTGGTGGTGATCTGGCTTTTTTCCGCATCAAGGTTGGAGATTCTTCTTGCTTATCTTCGTTTGTATTGCTCCTCAGTTGTTCATCTGGCTGAGAATAAGTTAAGACCGCATTCCCTACCAACAACTCCGAGTGATCATTGTTGGCTTCATCTGCCAATGAAGAAGTTCCAACGATCTGATCAGCTTCAGTGGGTATTTCAGGAGTTTGCTCTGTTTTCATCTTTAGCTCAGTTCCCGATTCCATCTGAATAGACAGTTCCTGACCCATATCAGGTTCTTGCTTAATCTCGACCTTATCAGATATTTCTGCCTTTTGTCTCTTGTTCTTATTTTCGTGTTTTTTGGACTTTTTCCTAGAATCGAGCTTGAAAGATAATGGATCGTCTGATACAGTAATGACAGTCTGCTTCACTTTATGCACTTCGCTTTCTTTATACTTTTCTCTCTCTTCCTCATGATTCTTTTTCATTCTCTTCTTCTGTCTTTCGTCATTATTATCTTCTTCCCTCTCTTCCTCTTCATCTTTATTGTCATCAACATCTTCTTTGCGTATTCCTGCTTCCTCTCTTTCGTGTAATGTATGTTTTGATTTAGAGTGATTGGACTTGATTTTTCTAGTCTTCTTACGTTTCTTCTTCTTCGCCGTCACTTCTACATGTTCGGAATCAGTATTTTCCTCTTGCTTTACAGAAGAAACCACAATTTCATCATCTCTGAGTGGACCATGCGAGTTTCTTTTTACTGTCAATTCTGGGGATAATAGTAAATTTGCAGGCTCCGTTGTAGTGGCATGTGCCTCAGATTCTTTATCACGAAGCTGTATAGGAGTCGACGTGTTTTCATCTGCAAAATTGTCAGCATCGTGAACCCTAGCTGGGTTAGTGTTCACTTTGTAGGAAGCGTTCTCCGTTGGAGCTTGCAATTGTAAATTTTGGCTATTTTGTAATGCCTCTATTTGCATTCTCAACTGTTTCAATTCGGATTCGAGATGTTTTACACGACTATCATCTGCATCTCGGGTTTCTTTTATTGATTCTCCTGCTTCGGTAGGTTCAGAGAAAAGCCGATTCGAGATTTCATTTTCTTTATCTTGAATGGAAACTGCTCCCATTTTCTCTCTTCTAGGTTTATCTTGCTCGCTCATACGGTGTTTGTTTTCTTGATCTTTCTCTGACTTATGCTGAAAAGAGTCAACTGGATTGTTAAACAACTTGTTATTTTCTGTTTCCACTGAATCTGCAGCAGCTTCATTCATAGTACTTTTATGAGCATCATTGTTCTCAAAAGCAAAATCGTCATTCTCGTAAATCGGAATTTCCAATCCAATTTCAAGCTCTTGTGCAGGTTGAATCTCAGGTTCTAGTTGTGGGTCAGCTTCGTTTGCCAACAGATCATTCTCCATTCCGTTCTTGTCAACTCCTCGTATCTGCTCCGATAAGTCTTCCTCTTTTTGTTGTACTTTTTCTTCCTCATTATTAACTTTACCCTCCTCTGTTGACATTAACGACTCTTCAGCTATTGGCTCAACATTGGCAATAACATTTTCCTTTTGCTCTTTCTCACGTTCACGGCGTCTTCTATTGTTTGCAAAAAAGGAAGCTCCAACTTCACTTTCGCTTTCTGCATCTAACTCGGTAAAAAACTGGCTAAGATCTGATGACTTCATACTTGGAATGTCTACTAGACGGTTATTTTCTTCTCTATGCCGTCCTTGGGAGTTGCTCAAAAACTCTTCAACTTCATCCTGGTCCAGAATTTCTACAGGCAATGCCGTATTTGTGGTCGTCGTCGTAGCCGTAGCCAAAGATATTACTGTCGGCGCATCCTCTTTATCCGAAGAGATGAATTCTATATCATGGTCTTCGTTTAGAGGGTTACCTTCATAGTCTGGTACATCTTCTTGAGCATTATATTCACCGCTTTCTATCATCAATCTTTGATCGTTGTCCAATCCGATTTCTTTCTCTGTTACCGGTTTATCGAAGTTGAACACCCAACAGCTGGGCATTTCTTTCTGATGGACACTTAAAGGGTCATCTTCTTCTTCCCATTGTTCAAGTCTGAGTCCACAGTACATACATATAACCCTGTCATCGCCGCAAACATTGCCATCTACTTCATTCTGATCAACGTAGGGATCGTAGTACAATCCTGAGGAGGCCATACTCTCTACGTCTGGATTACGGTGTTTCCACCACTTGAAAGTTTCTCGCCTGATCTGGGTACCTCTTTCTGAAGAGACGTGTCCAAACACAGCATCTTGCTGCCAACTCATGTCTTTGCTCCTCAAAGAGTCATTTATTATGTTTCTAAATTTCCAAACTGCAGACAATGCACACATTGAGTTTTCCGCAAGGTGGTAAGCGCTGATGTCTGTTTCCAACGGTACTGGATCACGTATTATCTCATTACAAGATGTGCATGTGATCGCAAATTGATGTTTGATTGACAAGGGAGTGTAGTAGAATCCGACCTGTGCTAGCCATTGTGGAGATTGTAAAGTCATCAGGTTCAGACTTCGGTGATGAATTTCAGACCTCGTCACCAGTCTTTCGCTGAATTGTCGCCCAAGCCGGGAAGGTCGCAGTTCCAGCGGTACCAGGGATTCGGAGGCTGTATTTTGGTATGACACGGGTTCGTCGTTGATCATATGCACCTGATGGAAGGTATCTAGTCTGGATGTGAAAGACTGTGGAGCTTGGGGAGCAGGGTTCACTTTGCTCTTGTTGCAAAGATGGCTCTTATCTTTCGCCCTTGCACCACGTGCTCTTCTCTGTGCAGGCATTGCTCTATCACTTCCGGAAACCGTCTGTTCGTTCTTTCCTGCTACACCGTGTTTCGGAAAAGTAAATAGGTCTGCTGAAAATAGCGTGTTTCGTTGTTGTAATATCTATTCTTCTTTGGGGATACGAGAAAAATAACCATGTAAATAAACGAGTAAATAAATAAATACGCTTCCGCATCAGGCGACGCGTCGTCGTGAAGGCCCATTTTCGATTCTCTTCCTTCCTGGGTCTACTATACATGTTTCTATCAGGAGTGTCACAAGAAACTCCAATGGCCGTTGTTGGCGAGTCTGGAAGGCTGCTCTTTGTGCTGTGTCCAGTCTCTGATCATAGGGAGGACGGCTCCAATGCCCTTGTTGGTCCAGCTGGAATTTTTTGTAATCACCTCGACCATCTCGGTCTTGCTGATTGCGCCGTTCTTGCTCACAAAGTCGTTGTCTGCCAACATGATGACTTTGTCCGCCGCAGGGACGCTCTGCAAGCATGGAAGAGTGGTCCATGTGGTTGCGGCGTAATTGTGGACAAACTGGGAGGCTCTCTGCCACTGGTGTTGGAATGTGCTGATGTCCGGAGCGCTGGTGTAAACCCTGTTGACGACAATTCTATTGATGAAGAAGAACGGGCAAATGAAGACGATCGTCTTGATGTCTGCATTGTGAGGGTCGGTGATGAGGATGCCGCATGTCTCGAAGAACTTGCTGTTCTCGATTTCAGACTCATGCATCTTCACGTACGACTGGATTCTTTCGATGAAGCCCGGGAAGGAGGACTCCTCAGCATCGCAGTTGAGCAGATGTTCGTCGATGACCTTGGGTAGCGCGTACTCGTCGTCAAAGAAGTATTCCTTCAAATCGCCTGCGGTTAGCAGTCTCTCTGTCCGAGCATCAGCCGTGAAGTCTTTTCCCTGGACAGCCTTATCTTCCTGCGCAAGTGCCGTGGCCGTGATTTCCAGCCAGGTGATATCCTCACATCCCACGAACCCAAACTGCTTGTAGTAGTCGCCAATGATGCTGTACAACGACCAATGTATCCGTTTCGATGCCCTGAGTGCCTGGGGCAAAATGGAGTCGACGTAGGCCCTGCACTCTTCTTTCCTGATGGAATCCGAAAGCAGCAGCGTTTCGTCACTCTCAAGCACCCCTGTCTCGTAGAAGTTAATAACCCAGTTTATGAGCTTTGCAATAAGTCCCCGTCTTCTGTACTTCGGGTTGGTGAACACCATCGTCACCAAGAGGTTGGTGCTGTTGTCGTGGTTACCGCTACGTGGCACAATCTCGGTCACCGAAGCCACTTCCCCCGTCTCCGATGTGAGGTAGAAAAACTGTGTGGACCCCCTCTCATCCGTGTAATGCTCCATCTCAAGAGCCTTAAAGTCCTCTGTGGGCAAAGGACCTTTGAAGGAGTATGCTATGGTCTCGTAGACCGTCTTCATCTTGCGGATGTCATCCTCGGAAAGGTTGTATCTGTTGTTAAGCTGGTTGACCGTGAACATCGTTGATTCTACGCTGCAGCTACTATTCTACCGCAAAGCGTCTTTTTAGCACAAGAGCTTATGGACGCATCCACAGGAAGATAGACTATCTCGATCAAGACCATCACTATCCCCCACCACCTCCCGGATCTGGCAATTTTCCAGCTAACCAACCGTTGCAGTGTAAAACCTGTCAAACCACCCGAGGAACGGGGGTTGTTGCCGTTTTCGGCCACCCCGTGAAAAAAAGTGCTCTCGGGCGAGAACAGCGGGGCAGAAGCGGTCTAAAGAACAAAGCCGCTGGTGATCGGCGCATCGACGCGTCGGCGACGGAAGGGCTCCGTTTTCAAGAGGTGAAACATGAATTTGACCTGGAACCTGCTTTTGCTGTTCTAGCTCTACTTGTTCTTCTACAAACGGTGATCCTTTGCTCATTCCAGACAAACACAGGCCATGAGCATTCCAGCGAAGCCCGCAGTTGCGTCGACCTCGGTGTCGGCAGCCATTCCGAATATTCCGATGGTTCCTCCTTTAGGGCCAAACAGTGGCACAAACAACAGCAACAGCGGTGGCAACAACAGTACCGTTGGTGGCGCCAGCGGTGGCGGAGCGGGAGCCGGAGCGAACTTTCCGATGAACATGAAGATGAACATGCCGATGAACATGAATCTGCCGATGGGGATGGGCATGCCGGCGGGGATGAATATGCCGATGATGCCGATGGGGGTGCCTCCGATGAACATGAACATGAACATGGGTATGGGCATGAACATGAACATGGGCATGAACATGCCGCCAGGCAATGCAGGAGGCAACGGAAATGGGATGCTGCCGATTCAACCGGGTCCCGACATGATGGAGTCGAAGTATGACCCGGCCATAGTGATGAAGCAAAACCAGATCATCCAGCAGGTGCAAAATAAGGCTCAAAGCCGAACCCATTTTGCCTTCGAACCGTTTCTAAACAAGGAGTACAACCTTGGTTTGGATCCAGATAGACCGACATGTGAATACTGGATACATTCCAACGGCACAGACTGCCCCCTAGGCGCCGACTGCCCCTTGAAGCACCCGTCAAAGATTTTCAAGAACAAAATCGTATGCAAGTACTGGTTGAGAGGGTTGTGTAAGATGGGGGAAAACTGCGATTTCTTGCACGAGTACAACTTGTCCCGAATGCCAGAGTGTGCGTACTACGCCACCAACGGTGTATGCACTCAGAGCCCAGAGTGCATCTATCTACATGTTGATCCGCAGAGCAAAGTCCCTGAATGTTGGAACTACAACAACATGGGCTTCTGCCCCGATGGCCCAAATTGTTCCAAACGACACGTCCGCAAGGTCATGTGTGAGAGGTACCTTGCCGGCTTTTGTCCTAAGGGCAAAGACTGCGAGTCCACGCATCCCAAGTTCAAGCTGGGTTTACTGCATGGTCGCTTCAAGATTTTCACTGACGAGGAGTTGATTGGGAAAAGACTGAAAGACAAAGAAGATTACGAAAACAAAATCAGGTTGGAGAGAGATTTGAGAGAAAGAGGTCTTGCTCCAGAGGTTAGGTTAGAAGTAACTGAGGAGGATGATTATGACCCTGGAAGTGTGCCTAGTGGAAAACCTGAAAAAGAGGAAGCTGTTGACAAGAGCGGAGACGGACAGTAACCTCACATTCTCTGCATGTACAAAGGCAAATGTTTTGCCGGAAAAAAAAACTTGAGAACGCACTTTTCTAAGCTATTATATAAAACTATATCGAATCAGATAATAAAAGTAATAAAAATAATCATATCGTTAAAAATCGTAGTTGTCTTCGTCGCTTGTCTGGAATCCCATCCCAAACAACACAAAGCTCAAATACACCAAAAACCCGCCTGTTAGACTCAACAAGAAACTTCCCCGAGGTATGATATCGTTGCGCCATAGGACAATGGGAAGGAAGGTACCGCTTGAAACTAGCATGGCGGTAAGGAACTTCATGAACGCTTCAAAGTTGCTCACAGGGTCGGAGCCATCCATATCTCCGTAACCGCCATAGTAGGACGACGAGTTAGCCACACATCCTGCTATCGAGTTTGGTATTGGCGCCAGCAAGAACACTAGTATCACAAACAGTGGATAGTAAGTATCGTATAACGCACAGGAAAGGACGATATTGAAGAACCCTAGGGCCAACAACAACGAAAGCGAGAAGAGGGTGGTCAATGGAGATGTTTTGGCCATCACTAGTATTTTGCTCAATCAAAGAGTTTCCAGCTGTTCTCCAGTATCAAGTAGTGTGTTGCGAGTGGCGGTCAATCAGCAGTAATCTGGCTTTGATGACGGTGCGATATGCATGTACCTACCTGCCTGCCTACCTTGATGTCTCCGGGTATAATAAATCATGCCGATAGTAGCTGCTGCGAAAGGCGTTCTCGGGACGATCGTCGTTAAAATTTTCGTGTTAAAAGCTTATCCTATAGGTAAGTTTATAAAAGAGCATCATTAATACAGGCATTTCGTAGCATTGCAGGAAATAGAGACCATCATTTAGCGTGTGGCTTGGTAGCCTGTCTCTGCTTCTTTCTTAAAGCTCGCATATCTGGAGGCAACTCGATATTGAGCTCACTTCGAAGCTCGTCAACGTCTTTGTCCAAGATTTTTTCCCAATATATGTTGATTAAGTTCTTTTTACAGTGGTATGCGTTTTTGAGAGCCCAGGGGTAGTATATCTTGAAGAGTCTTTCCCTTTCAGAGCTTTTTTTAACGTTCCATGGTGCAAATAGAGCGCCCAATCCGCCAAATGGAATGCCAATATTCAAGTACTCAAAGAACTTCAACGCAATTTCACCTTCACGAAAAACGGGGAGTCCTATGAGTGCATGGTAGAAATCATGACATTGGCGGTATCTCTGAAAGATGTAAGCTAGCTCCTCATCGTCTATGAATTTGACGTCGACTCTTGTGTCTGGAGAACAGTGCTCTCTAATTAGCCAATCGTGGTAGCACTTCCCGAAAGAGTTCTCCGGATACGACTTCAACTTTTCCAAGTGAAGATGCTCTGATGTGATGTACGGTCTTTCCTTCAAAATCTCTCTGCCAACAGGATCATGCAACATGTCCGACCTCAATTTCAACAAAAACCCTTTAGTTGCCGTAGATTCGCCCAATGCAACAATGAACTCGTTTCTCTCGGGGTGTAGAAAGGCACCAATTGATGATCCTAGAAAAAGGAGGAGCTTTTCGTATGTGAAAAGCGGAACGTGGTTGGGATAAAGTTTTGGTGGCCTTTTGAAAGATTTGGGCACTCCCGATTTTTTTAATTGGTCGTGCTTTTCCAGTTCAATCTCATTATGAGTCTTCTTGACATGGACTTCATTTCTCTCCATCTTGTTGGCAAGATCTATTGATGGAGATACTGCTGAGTATGCAAGCGAAGCAACTGCATAAAGGGCAGGTTTCACAAATTGACGCTGCTGCTGATGAGCCGGGCCATGAAATAATATCCTACCAGCCGTTATCGATAGCATTGGAAGAATTCAAACGCTCTCGGCCTCGTTTACGGAAGAAACACAGTTATGATTGAGGAAAAAATTGAGTAGCCCAAGCGCAGGAATGAAGTACATGCTGATGATGAAGAGGTGGTACGAGAATACCTGTTTCGAAGAGAATGGGTGTATGAGGAGGAGCCTCGGACCGACTAGGATTTTTTTTGCTTTTCCCACCCATTACACGCTATAAGCCAGATATGTCAAAAAAGTAAGGTTCAAATGATCGAACCCAGGATCGAACTGGGGACGTTATGCGTGTTAAGCATATGCCATAACCAACTAGACCATCCGACCATTTGTTGAAAAACAAGAACAGCCAACTAATATGGCTTTACACTACACCTCACGTGATGTTATATAAAACCTAATTATATATAATAGGTATACTAGCCGATAAGCTAAACCCTCTGGTGTAAAGATGTTTTGTTTTTGGGAAAATGTCATTTTTTTCAGGAGTCGGATTTTTTTCCCCTTGTGACGCCAAAATGGTAGCTTGATTACGTGTGTTATTTGATTCTAATCCCACTTGTTAGAAAGATTCATGTTGTAGATCTATCACAACTAAATCGCTCACACTAAACACTGACCACTTAACTCTATATAAATTATTCCTCATCGCTACTATCATCCTCCCTTTTAGGGAAATACGATATAAGCAATCTTCCTAATCGGTCACTGCTCAACGTGTTGACGTCGATAGGATTAGCTAGGAGCCCTTGCAATCCCACGTGCTGTCCTATTTTCTGACCTTTCACGTACGCCACCATAGTCGGGAGCACCTTGATAGCGAGTTTGGCTACTAAAAATGGAGCTTCGGAAGCCTTTATTATATAGACCGAATAGCTTCCATCACTAAGTTGCACCGTCTCCTTTAATTTCTCAATTAATATCTGACAGGTCGTAAAAGTTTCATCGATGAAGGCAACCAAATAGTTTCCATCCCTACTTCCTTTGAACTTCAATCTTTCAAGTAAATCTTTCTCGTTAAAAAATAGCTCAAAGTTTTGCTTCAAATTCTCTCGTTGTTTGATGGTATGTTGAAACTGAAGAATTTGCTTCTGTCTGTAATAATCGAACGTTCCGTCATTCTCTAGCTCAGCTTCAAGTTGTTCAAATAAACCATCATCACTATCAGACATATTCAGGCTATAAGAGTTCGATACCTCAGAGGAACTAGTCAAAGAGACTTTGAAGAGAAAAGAAATAGTAGTACAGTAGCTCCGGTGAAATATTTCTGGTAGCTCGCTTATCGTGATATTTTTCCTCACCCTGTTACTAGTTATATCTAAGATTCAAAAAACGTAAATACATGGTCAATCCTCATTCCGCTTACTGTTTTACATTCCGTCCTGTCTTGGGGCTTCTCACTAACTGAAAAATGGACCATTCGGGGTCTAAAAGTACTTTTTTACAGAAGAGTATCAAACAGAGGAAATTGGGACTCCTGAAACAACAACAGCAGTCTTCACAACAGCCATCTGCTCAATTAAGTTCCAATCCAAGAAAGAAAACTGAGTTCAATGATGACATTGAGTACCTCCAACAGCTAACACAAGAGTTACTATTTGGAACAATAGAAACATCCGAAACTAAACGTTTTACGGAAAGAAATCTACCGCCATTGACGTCATCTAATGATTTGGACGTACGACTGTATGCGTTATTTGCATTACTTCTACACAACTTTGTATACGAATGGTACACTAAATCCCTTAAACTCGGATCGAGGGACGAATTCACAAAGGAGCTGGTATTCCTCTTTGCCCACATATCAAGAAATCTTCAAGAACGAATAAATTCTGCGGATGATGAGTTTATAAGACTGATAGTTACAGACATACCTTATCTGCTGGAGAAACATTTTGAGAGCATACAAGAAGTTGAATGTATGCTAGCAAGAGATGGATACGAAGATACAAATGAATTTTCTACGAATGAAATTTTTGTAAATGAATGGATGATGAGGTTCAGTGATGGCTTAGTAGATGATGAAAATATTGCAACGTACCGACGACTATTGGTAAAATCAGTGGTCTGCTTGATTCTACCACATGAAAATATCGAGTCAAGCATTTCAAGAGAATTCGTTACTTCTCTCTTAGATGGTATTGTATTGAAGAACGTCGTTGAAAGCTTCTGTGATTCTTTTGTTATTTGGGACATCATTGGAAAAATATGCGTCAAGATGTCCTCACAACCAAAGAAAGAAATTGAAATTTCGGCTACAAGACGAAAATCTTCCATACACCGTATCCTTGAATTCTTTGTAATAGATGAAAAATTTGAGGTAAGGACCGAAAACATGCTGGAATTTGCTGACTTTATTCCTTTGTTTAGCTTCGTCAACTTTTTAACGCTATTCGATTTCAGATTTCCCATTTTATTCACCTTTTTACAAGTTGTCCTTCAATTGATGATGAAAGTGGGCTACTTTAAACGCTTTATTAGCAGCTCCATCAAACGAGTTGTATGCGAAAAAGCTCTCAAATTCAAAAATGCAGAGAAGCTGATTGACCTTTTACGTCATATGATGTTTCCCGAAGACGATCGGTGTCAAATGAAGCCTCGATATATTCCACAAAATGAGAATGAGTTGAAGGCCATCTATGATTTTAATTTTGCTGAAGTAGTCAAGTTTTTATCAAGTGATTCAAATTTGTCGAGAATATTTATATCAAAATATGAGGCGCAAAATCCTACTGCGGTGAAAGCTAAAGCTAAAGATACCATGCAAATGTTCAAACACAGACAAATTAATCAAATACTGATCCAAAAACTGATTGATTTAACAATCGCAAGAATTTTTCCCGAATTACAGGTTCGAGATACTGTCAGTATGTTCAGGATACACCAATAGAGATTGCGCTAATCAAATAATAAATAGTTAATAAATAAATAGATACAAAGACTGTTCGATCGATATATAAGAGGAAGTAAAATTGATTCGGGTCTAAGCCGATGGAGTGACCTTTTTCAATCAGTTTTTATTTTCAGACTTTTCTTGTTGACTTCCTTCAACTTCTTCCTGCTCATCTTCCCAAACCTCTTGCATTTCCCACATACTTGCATACAGGCCGTTCTTTGCCATCAATTCTCTGTGGGTGCCTTCTTCTGCAACCTTACCCTCCCTCAAAACAATAATCTTATCTGCATCTACAATTGTTCTCAATCTATGAGCAACCCAGATACTAGTTGTTTTCTTACCAGTTCTGCTACCCAGAACATCTTTTAAAGTGTTTAGTATTTGCTGCTCTGTGTGAGTGTCCAATGCACTAGTTGCTTCATCTAAACCAATGATAGCAGAGTTTTTCAAAACTGCACGAGCGATGGCAACTCTTTGTTTTTCACCTCCAGAAATCATCAAGCCTCTTTCACCAACAATAGTATGAACGCCTTCAGGTAAAGATTTTATGAGGGTGTCGAGTTTCACCTGGTAAATTATATCGTTAATCTCATCATCAGAGGCGCTAGGTTTAGCATAACGTAAATTTTCAAGTAATGAAGAATTGAACAATGGAGTGTCTTGAGGAACAACAGCAACTTCCCGACGTAGAGAATCAAGATCCACATCTCTGACATCTTGACCATCAATTAAAACGCTGCTGTTCTTAATTTTAGGATCGATATCGTAAAATCTGAACAATAAGCGTAAGATTGTTGATTTTCCGCTACCTGAGGGACCGACAATTGCAACTTTCTGGCCAGCTGGAATTGTGAAGGAACAGTTATCCAAAATCTTTCTACCTTCAGTGTAGGAAAATGTAACATTGTTGAATTTTATCTCTCCATCATTGATTTTGATTGGAGGGGCATTTGGCTTGGACTTGATTTCGATGGGTTGCTTTTGCAACTTGAATAAAGCTTCCATGTCCAACAAACTCTGCTTCAACTCACGATAAACGGAACCTAGAAAGTTTAGAGGAACTGAAAGTTGGAATACCAATTGGTTGATCAAAACCAAATCACCAACAGTCAAATCTCCTGCAACAACACCTTGGCATGCCATATACATCATCGAGGTCAAAGCTGTGGTGAAAATCAGATTTTGACCTGAATTCAAGAACGCCAAAGAGGTTGCAACTTTGATCGAGGCGTCTCTATATTTAGACAAGGCTAGGTCGTACTTGTTAGTTTGAAGTGCTTCGTTATTGAAAATTTTCACTGCTTCGTAGTTGATCAAAGAGTCCAAGGCAACGGAAGCTGCCTGCTGGTCGGCTTTATTTGCTTGACGACGGAAGCCGGTTCTCCATGTCGTTGTTCTGATGGTGAAGATCGAGTAGGCCATCATAGTTAGCAAAGTCACAGCAGCATAAGCTGCACCATAGTTGTAAGTCAAGATACCACACACAACAGAGATCTCGAAGGTGATAGGGATGATGTGGAATACCATTGCTGATAGCACGTAAGAAATACCCTTGGTACCACGTTCAATGGCTCTGGTCAACCCACCCGTTTGCCTTGCCAAATGGTAGGAGAGATCCATATTCAACAAGTGCACAAAGGTGTTACGGGCCACCTGCTTGATGGTTCCTTGAGCAACGGAGGCGAAGATTGCGTTTCTCAATTCTCCAAAGAGAACTGCACCGAATCTTGAGACACCGTATGCAATGATCAAGGCGACAATGGCGGAAGGAAGGGCCGGCGCGTTGTCGATGATCGATTGGGTCACCAAAGAGTCCGGCAACGTTTTCGCAATCGAGTCTGAAAGCGACTGCCAGTCGATGTTCATCTGGTCGATGATGGACTTGAAAAAGAAAGGCACCTGAACATTGAGTAGCTTGGCGGCAATCAATAGAGAGAGCGCCGAAACAACACGGAATTTGACCCACGGTTTGTCCTTCGGCCATAGATACGCCATCAAGTTGGCAATGATTTTCAATTGCGACACATTTGGCAGAGAAGGACCGGCCTTTGCCTGTTTGGAGGACGTGACTAGGTTCGGCTTCTTAGGCGTCGATGAGGAGTTGTACCTCTTGGCTGCGCCGCTGCCCAGCACGCTTTTCTTCTGTGAGTGCAGCGGAAGAGGGTTTCTGCTGACACCCCAGGCATATCTGCTGCTCAAACTCCTGGCGGAACACACGGACTGGCGCAGAAGTGACGAATAACGACGGAGATGGTTATGGTTTTGCTGTGGGAAGAGACCTGGTGAGCGTACTACCAGTACTCTACGGAACCACATTGCCACAGAGAATCCTAACAGAAGAAAAGGACTTGCGGTAGATTGACGGAATGTGACTAGATCCAAGTTCCAGGAACGCGGTTTAAGTGCACCAGGATCAAGAACAGAGATCCAGAAAGAAGAATACAGGCTCTCAAGACCTACCGGTGCAACTTCCAAAACGAGTCAATCAAAATGCGGCTCCGGTCTTTTTCACCTTTCGGTGCCTACAGACAAAAACCCCGGCTCCCGAGTCACGTGAAACCAAGCCACTGCACGTGATATCCCAGCCAGAGCACCCGTGCACCAAATAACTTTGTGCATCAGCCACACTGAGACACATGCGCCACACACCGGGCAAGGTTCTCCAGGTTCTTCTTTGGACACGCCGCTGAGCCGGGTAACGCCGTCGCGCGTCTGTCACGCGTCGATAGAAGAAGAAAGCAGAACTTGCCAAGGTGGCAAATTTGCAGAAATGCTCAGCGGTGGAAAAACGCGCACGGCCGATTTGGCAATTCCGGCGAGTATTTAAATAAACAACCTTTTCCGCTTTGCGGGTGGTCGCTATTTCTCTGTTTTTCTCATTTTTCGGTCTTTTTCGCCACGCTTTTTCTTCCATTGCGTTGATTTATTTTCTCTTTTAGGGCCTTTTCGTTTGCGTTTTCGCTTTCGATTTCTTGTTCGTCCTTGCAGTCTGCCAATTCATTATCGTCTGCTGACGTAAGCACGGTTGATTGTCCTGTTACCCCCAATCCCGATCGAATATCTTTCAACAGAGGACGAGTGAGTGACAATGTCTACAGACCTGGCAACCACAACTAACACTGATACGATTCCTACTACCGCCTCTACCAACACGACGACCGCAACGAACAAGACGACGAGCATAAGCGATGGAGCCAGCGATGCAATTGTAACAACAGACCCCGAGCGCAGCTCCAAAAAGCATGTGCTAGAGGAAGACGGCGACCATGCCGCCAATGGCAGCGGCAGTGGCAGCACTGCCACCGAAGACGAACCTCTGGAGAAAAAGCTCAAGACAGATAGCGAATCGGCAGCCAGCAAGGAAGACACGGGTGTCGGTTCTGCAGCGGCTCCTCAGAGCTCGCAGGGCGGCAAGACCACGACCACGGATCCTTCCGCTCCTCCAATGGTACCTGCCCCTAAACCTCCTTCTGAGCCAGATATGAACAATCTACCCGAAAATCCTCTGCCTCCCCACCAGAAAAAATACGCCCTGAACTCAATCAAGGCCATAAAAAGGTTAAAGGATGCAGGACCCTTCTTGCATCCTGTTGATATAGTTAAACTAAATATACCTTTCTACTATAATTTCATCAAGAGGCCAATGGATTTGTCGACAATTGAGAAAAAGATCAACGCCAATGCGTATGAAGCCCCTAGCCAATTGGTTGCCGACTTCAACTTGATGGTGGAAAACTGCTTCAAATTCAATGGCAAAGATTCAGTAATTTCCCAAATGGTTCGTAATATCCAAGCAAGTTTCGAGAAACACACACTCAATATGCCTCCAAGAGACCTACCTGCAACAACGAATAGCGGTAGAGCTTCGACTGGCGGTAAATCGACCCGTAGGAAAGCTACAAATGGCACAGCTGCTGCAAACGGTAGTGCTGATGTTCCAAAGATCAGAAGGGAGGTATCCAGCTTCGATAACGGTCGTCCAAAGAGAGAAATCCATCCTCCCAAACCTAAAGATATGCCTTACGATATTAGGCCTAAGAAGAAAAAGTACCAACCTGAACTTAGATACTGTCAGCAAATCATGAAAGAGTTCCTTTCCAAGAAATACGAAAACATATCATGGCCATTCTTAGAGCCTGTCGATCCAGTGTCGATGGACTGTCCTACATATTTCGACATCATCAAGACCCCTATGGATTTGGGAACGATACAAAATAAGCTGACGAATGGTGATTACGAAACCGCCAGCGATTTTGAGAAAGACATCAGATTGGTCTTCACGAATTGTTTCACCTTCAATCCTGAAGGCACGGCCGTCAATATGATGGGGCACAGACTCGAAGCTATCTTCAACGAGAAATGGTCCAAGAGGCCGCATACTCCAGTGTCACCTTCTGGTAGTGATGACGAAGACGAAGACGACGAAGAAGAGGAGGAGGAGTTTAACGTTGACATGAACTCAATCACCGACCCAACCATCGAATTCTTACTGGCCAATATCGAAAGAATGACAGAAGATCTACGTAAAATGCGTCAAGAAAAGTACGATCAGTTGAAGAAGGAATGGATGAAGAAACGCCTACAGAAGCGCAGCAAGAGAGGAAAGAGAAACGGCAAGAAGTCCGGCAAGAAGGGCAAGGGTGACGGTGATTTGAATGATAACTTTGATGAAGATTCATTCTATCCAAAACATGTCACCTACGAGATGAAGAAAGAAATTTCCGAGGCAATGCAGCATATCAACGAGAAGATGTTGAAGAATGTGATTGCCATCATCAAAGAAGGTGTGCCCGACCTACAGGACGACGACGAAATCGAGCTAGAGATGGACATGCTGGACAACGCCACTCTTTCTAAGTTATACCGCTATTTGGTGGCTGGTAAGAAAAACAAGAATAAGCGCAGCAAGAAAAACGGTCCTGACTCCGAGGAGAAAAAGATTGAAATGTTAAAACAGAAATTGGCACAATTCGATGCAGTGGGTGCCGATAATAACGGCAAGGCTGACGCCAGAGGTAATGATAGCAGCAGTGACGAGGATAGCGACGAAGAAAGTTCTGAAGAAGAATGAAGAGAACCTGTATAACTATTGTGTATATGTTTCGTATTTTGTATATAACGACTGAATGTATTGTATATTAGTAGAAAGAAAGAAAGAAAGAAACAGCTAGAATTTTCGGAAAACTGTGGAACTATGGGGAAGAGGCCGGAGCGAGGGAAAGAAAAAAGCAAAAAAAAAGAGAAAAGCAAAAAGAAAAGATAGAGTCCGTCCGCCCCTGAGAGACGGAAGAAAGCCTCCTCCTTCACTCGCCCATCCTTTCGAGCCGCCTTTAGCCAAGTACACATGGTCACCTATTGTCGTTAAAGTGAATACATTTTGCAAGAAAAACACAGGAATTGCCCTGGTGGAAAAATGACCGACAAATCGCCCATCACTCCTTCGACCGTGGTGATGAAGATGGCTGCACCGGTGCCAAAAACGCCATACTCTCACCACGTACAACAATTACAGCAACAATACGTGCCACGGAGACCTTCGCCGTTGGCGAGATTCACTTCTTCGGAAGGCGAGGATGAGAATGAAGACATAGACTTTGTCCCTCGCAGCGGTGGAAGAACTCCGATGGACGGGACATACCAGAGTCCAATTTCTGTGGCTTCAGAAGATGGAGAAGTCAAACTCGACAGAAACAATAGCGTTGCCAACAGAAAAGATGATTCCAGTCTGCAAAACCCCGTTCTGCTGAAAAAATCATTTTCCATATCAAACAACATGCTTCCGGACGATAAAGATGGTCGCAAGTTGCTGGTTCCGCCCTCTTCCACGCCATCTTATGGTGGAATTGTGGCTTCTGAGTACAACAGTGACGTTGAAAGCGATGATGATTTTGGAAGCAACGCTGAAGCTGTTAACAATGGCGACTCGAGATCGACATCGATCTCAAATGTCTCTAACATGTCCACGCTCAATGGTCTAGTGATCTCCACCGACGATGGAGAATACGACGAAGAGGACGATGCTGAGAAGCATCCTATACCACTTTTTGTTCACGGAGACCACGTCCTTATCTTCAGCAGTGAGTGTATGAAGGATTTGACTATCAAACATGGAATCACAGGACAATTGTCCGGTACCTTGCCCCTAGCACCACAGCAAAACTCGCTATTGGGCTTCCCATGGAGGTTGAGTCTATATGAAGTGCTCTGGTGTCTACATGAAGGGGTAGGTGTATTGGTGGATGCTGAAGAAGTCGTGAAGAATGGATATCTGAAAGAACTGGCAGATGATGACCGCAAGCGAAGGGTGGTCGTGGACGATTTACAGGATAGGCTTGACCGCTGGCGGGATGAGAAGCAGAAGGAGATTGAAGAGCAGATGAAGAAGTTGAACATTATCAAAAAAGACAGGCGAGTAATGAAACCCTTAGAAAACGTGTTGGTCAGCAGCGCAAGTATGCCTGATCTGCAACAGGTAATCAACGATAAGGAGAGAAAAGAAAAAGACATCGAGGATGCCAAACAGAAGAGCAGAGAGATGCATGAAAAGAGCAAGAAAAACCAAATTGTTTTTATGGAGACTCCCACCGACGACTCAAGAATCTCCTTTCTTTGGGATGGCCTTCTGAAAAAGTACTACGATGCGAAGAGCTACCGCCAGTTTGGTTTATTGCAGCAACTCATAGATTACGAGGTCGAGCACATGCACTACGAGGACAACCAGTCGTGCTATGACAAGATCTGGCTAAACTTCCTCGTCTACAAGCACTTGAAGTCTCAACTGGGCTTCTATCTGTTGCCAGGGATGCGTTTCGGTGGTGTTTTTGTTTCATATCCAGGTGACCCACTGCGGTACCACGCACAGCAGATTATCGACACAAAAGAGTACTACAAGGAGGATATCGGATTGTTCCGAATGTGCAACCGAGGCCGGCTAGCCACAGGCGTCCGCAAGGTGTGGATCGTCGGCGGGACGGTGGATGCCGGTAACAAGGACAAAAGCATAGTAGAGAGGTTGTTCTTCGATGGCAGTAAGGGTGACAGGAGCGGCGGCCGTGGAGAAGCTGGCAATACCAGCTCTGGTTCTGGCAAAATACGGTGTTTCAGCATCGAATGGGCAGGTTTTTAGATTTTTAATAAGTTATGTCTATTTTACGTAAGCGCACGTTTTTTTTCCCCTCTACGATTTTTTGCCTGGCTGGATTTGGCGACATGTTTGTAGACGGCCTAGACTTGAAGATAGCCTGTTATGTTCTGTGATAGCTTCCTGTGTAGATTACAATTCAGCTGCCTTTGTGTGTGACAGAAGTTGTTTCTTGTGTTTCTCTTTTTGCCAGGTGCTTTGTTTGTCCCTATCTGACTAGTGCTACCACGCTGATTGCTATGGCGACGCTTGTGAACAGAAACAATAAGGCTCGGAGCAGTGATAGCCTCACTGCCGAGACGTCGATTCTCCACGAAGCTGGGGATGGGAACGACACCGAGGTTGATCTTGATGGAGTGGACGTCATGGAGACTCTTGTTTTGAACAAGGTGGACCGGTTCTTATCGACATTTGAAACAAAACTTTCCTCGATGGAGAAATACTTAGCACAGTCTGCATCCGGTGTGGAATCGACCGCCTCCAGTACAGCTGCTACGCTCAAATCATACACTCCAACCTACTCTAAATTGGTTGACACGCTTTCTTCTGTGAAGGGGTTTCTCTACAAAAACCAGCAGCAGAACCTGCACCCTTTGAAGAAAATTATTGACGATTACTACGACCAAGAGGAGGAAGAGCTGGAGGAGAAGAGAAACGAGGAAAAGCTTCCTGGCGAAGTGGTCGAACAAAAGCATCAGACAAGACAGCGCTTAATCCAGACCATCCAGCTTCTCAACGCCCGTCTGGCCGATTTCGAGCACCACCACAACTTGCCTCCCCTTGCAACCCACCCAAGCGAAAGATTAATCGCCTTGAAGGAGACTCTTTACAACTATGACACTGCAATGACGGTTTCCTCCCACAGACACTTAACCTTTTACGAGCTGCCATTCCAGTGGAGAGAAAACAGATACATTATCTATGGATACAGATTTGCCAAATCGCACGTTACAGCCATGCTGAGTGCCTTTTCTTGGCATAATGAAACCGTCAACATTTGGACGCACCTCCTGGGCACATTTTACCTACTCTACCTTGCCTTTTACGATTTCCCAAGCTCTGAACATTATTTTAAATACACCACCTCTGCCAATGACCATGCCATAGTTTACCTGTTTATTGCCTCTGCTATCACTTGCTTAATGTTTTCTGTTATATGGCATAGTTATACCAACATCGGCTTCTTATCTTTGCGTTCCAAATTCGCTTGCTTCGATTACAGTGGTATTACAGTCTTGATCACCTCATCGATCATCACGACTGAGCATATCTCACTGAAGGATTATCCAAACTTGAGATTTGCTTTTGTTGCATTTTCGTCCCTTGCAGGTTTGGTCGGCATCGGCATGGCATGGCACCCATATTTTGACAGACCAGAATCCAGGATTATCAGAATTTTATTCTTTGTCTCCTTGTCCTTCCTTGGTGTTGTTTCCTTCATGTGCTCCTGTCTTGTCCATAACTTCAAGTTCGCATTAAACCTATTCTCACCCTTGTACATCTCCTTTGTCTGGTATCTTTCAGGGGTGGTATTTTATGGTTCCTTTTTCCCTGAGTGCATTAGATCTGACGTTGAAATTGATGATTTTCAAATTTCAGACGACACAATCATGGAACTGGACAAACGAGGCACACTTTTGGAGTACCTTCGCAAAAAGCCAGCACATACCTGCAATCACGGTTTTACCTCTCTGTGGTGGGTTGATTGGATAGGTAACTCCCATAACCTTTGGCATTTGTTTGTTATTGGTGGAATTTTGGGGCATTACAGTGCGTTGCTAGAGATGTTCAAGCGTGCCACAGAATTCGCATAAAAAATTCATTGAAACTATAGTTTTTTCTATACATTTTTACATTGTCATGATATACAATTAAGTATTTGTAACTACATTGGCTTGCCAAACTTCGTTCTCCGAAGAGAATAAATTAAAACGTAAAACTAAAAGAATATGAAATGAAACTAGAAAAGCGTAATTTAAGATGCGTTATTATTCACATCAATAGGAGAAGCAGATGCATTCATAGAGTATCTGGCATCAAATGTACTGTAGCGCCTCCCCACCTTACTTCCCTTATTCTCCTTGCTGAAACCATCACGTCCTAAACTTCTCCCTAATGCCCTTGAGCTGCCAATTTGTTCCTGGGTAGTGTCCTTATTAATCACATAGCCGGATATGTTATCATCTGTGCCACCATTGACACCGTCTTTACTGCCACCAGCACTTTTTGTTTTATCCATACTACTTCCTTCTTCATCATTTAAGAGTGGCATAGTCTCTGTTACGCTTATCACGTGTTCGATTCTTCCTTCATCATCCCTGAATCCTTCGCCGTCGCTCCCGTCAATTCCCTTCCTCGAATTACCGAATGTTAACATCAGACAGCATCCGCAAGTGAGCAGTACACATACGACACCAATAAGTATGCCAACTAGAATTGCGAATAGTGGAAGATGAAGATACAATTTGCCGTCATTGTGGTTCATCCAAGTTGGATTTAGCGGTCTATCGAGTAGCAATAAACCAGAGGTAATGGTCGAATTGTCGATAGTTATTCCGTGTCTTAAAATTCTCACTTCGTTTCCACTTCCTTCGGTTATACTCAGCATCATTCCACCGGAAGCCAATTCTCTGCATGTTAGATGCGTGCCATTCATTAGCGTTGGTATATCTGTCAACGATGTACTATTCCTGTAGTCCGTATGTAATAGTGGGGATGTCTCAGAGCTGGCTGAGTAACAATCTAGAATCATGTCCAGCGAGCCTGGAGGGAGTATGTGTAGCTTGGCAAACTTCTCCAAAAATTGGATATCCCCCAATAAATAAGTAATATTTTCTTGCAATAAAGATTTGCTTGAGGGCAGCATTACTGAATATCCTTTGGCTGAATCTAGAACAAAAGTTAAGTTCAAAAAATCCAAGATTTTCTCAAATTCATAACTATCTTGTGCCGACAGTAGTTCTTGGTTAGAAATGCGCATATCCTGCGGTAACGGTATTTCATCAGCTATAGGATGAACAACTCCATTGGAATACAAGATTTGGGATTCAAACGATATTGTGAGATTTGTAGAGTTGTTGATCACTATTTTATCATCCAACAGATTGTCTTTGCTTACTTCCACTTTAGAGTTACCATAAGTCTCAAACTCTTGTTCTCCTTGAAAATCATGATAAAGAACTCCTTTGAAAATCAAGTTGTCTAATATTTTTTCAAGAAGTAAAGGGTTTTCAATCAAATAGTCTAGCGTCAAATCTAGTGCATTCCAGAGTTCAGTTGCTGGTAAAAAGACAGTGTAGAAAGTGTTATCTTTCGAAAGTTTTTTGGAGTAGTTGAATTTTTTCAAAAATTGGGTGGATTTCCCATAACCTGTCAATTCAGACGCAATTGCAGTCTGGAGTTTTGTCGGAAGAGAGATGTCATTATCGATTATGTAAATTGAAGAGTTGCCGACTCTGTATGGTACAATATTGACAATCTTAGAATTTGAGTTGAGCACTTTCTTACCTTCTGGAGAGGTTTCCAATTTGATTCTCTGACAGAATTTCGAATTAGTATCGGTATCAACGCAATATTTGGACGTAAGAAGCACGTTTTCGTCTGTATCCAGGTTGATCTCATTGTTTCCTTCAAGGAAATGGTAGAGCATTCCATTCTTCAAGGAACCCATCATTCCGTAGTCTCTTGAAACAAGAACTGTCTGGTTGAGCGTGTTGTCGTCTATGAGTTCGGACAGTTTCCGGAAATCGATTTCATCAACAAAATCCTCATACTCCAACCCAATCAAATATTTTCGAGCTGTAAATACCGGGAAACTTTTGGTATCATTATAATCGAAAATCTCGTTCTCGAAGTAGTGGATAATCCCATCAGATAATAAGAAGTTGGAAGCGGTTGCACGCACTTCATCGTTGATTATGATCTCGTCGCCTAAGTAGGAAGATGAGAATGTGAGCTTTTCGTTGTTCCAATTAGATGTGGTAATCGTATCGTTTTCAAGATTACCACCAATAATACCGTCAACGAGAAAGTTTGAGATGAAAAGATTCTTATCGTCCATACCTCTGATATGCGAAAGGTATTTACGCTCTATGTGGTTCAAATGAAGCGAGAGGTCCGAAGGTGTCAAGAAGGTCATATTCGACATTCTCAGCGACTTGCAGGTGCTTTCGCTCAGTAGCAGGCTGCTGAAGACTTTAAAGCGCTCGTCTCCGGTGTTTCTGTTTAGACTATTCAAAAAATATCGGCACACTGTCTCCTTCGGATCTGTCAAGAGGTCATCTATTGTGAGCACCACTGTGTCTATCGTCGGTAGGTACTGGTCATCAAACAAGACATTGGCGTTCTCCACCAAATACACCTCTTCGTTCTCACCGTCCTCATCGAAACGGTGGTCTAGCAAAAGCGGGACCTGGAAAAGCTCCACGTACGGGGAACCGTGGTGGTTGAGGGTGGAAACAATCTTGATGCCCACAATCTCTTCCCGGAAGATCACGTCGTCAATGATGAATCTGTTCAACTCGTCTTTGGACATGGTCGAGCCGATCGGGATCTCATGCCTCTCGAAGGCGGCGTTCACCGGGGCCAAGAACGTGACGTTGGCGAGTTCGTTGACGTAGTCAACCAAGTCACTCTTTTGCAGCGTGAGAAGAAGATGGCTGTACGACTCGTTTGCCGATAGCACATCTATTATTGAGCTCGTGGGAACGTTGTCGCCCTCGTGTGTGTGTATGTAGGTGTTAGCCTCGTCGAGGCTGTCCAGTGCTCTTCCGAAGCCGAAGGCTTGCCCTGTTTTGGGCCAGGGCAGCAGTGCCAATGGCAGCAGCCACGGCAGCACCGCCATGTACACTGATGAAAATGACATCTGCAATCCGGATTGTCTTTCCGATACTGTGTTGTGCTGTGCGTGTAACCCTGTAAGAGTGTAGAACAGTGGAGCCCTAAACACAGAGCCTTCCTCCAAGCGTGCCGTGTCCCAGTGCAGAGATAAGGCCCCTTGTCACCCCAAGACTAGGGAAAAGCGGGAGAAAAGGAGAGCCCCCATCGCGACGTCCAAAGATGTCGTGAAGCGACAATGTGCCACGTCGCAGGCCGGCCTCTTTCCCGCGGTGGCAAAAACGACGAGTTCGGCGAGAAATGGTGGGAAGGAGGGCACAACGGAGGAAAAACGTGGAGAAGGCCGGCTCAGCACTGAAAGACGGAGGCATGTTGTGTGCTATATGTGATTGTTTGGAAGATCTGGCTCCGGAGAAAGCGGAGAGCAGGCATAGCACAGCGCAAGAGGAAGCAGCAGGCACTTATTAGACAGGATGGACCAAGAACAAGAGGCACAGCAACAATTCCAAGAGGATCAGCTCGAACAAATGCGCTCTCACGTGTCGCAGATGGAGGAGGAATCGGCGAAGTTGAACGAGATGCAAGACGAGATGATGGCTGATGAGGCAGACGAAGCTGTGGAGTACGAAACCGGCGGCGAGGTAGAGGCTGGGGCGGGAGCGGCAGTGAGTGGCGAGGTGGACGGCGACGAGGAGCTTGGCGGCGTCGAGGAGGCCGGGGAAGGCGTTGGCGAGGACGACGGCAAGCACATGAGCATCCAGGAGAGACAAGAAATCGACAACCGGTCGATCTATGTCGGGAACATTGATTACGCTGCGACTCCCGAGGAGGTGCAGGAGCTGTTCAAAGAGTGCGGCACGGTGAACAGAATCACGATTCTGACGGACCGGGTGACGGGCACCCCGATGGGTTACGGCTTTGTGGAGTTCGAAAGCCAGGAGTCGATTCCGAAGGCGCTAGAGCACAACCAGGCGTTGTTCAAGGGCCGGCCGTTGAAGGTGATACAGAAGAGAACGAACGTCCCAGGTTTCGGAAGAGGCCGGGGCCGGGGCCGGGGCAGAGGCAGAGGCGGCTTCAGAGGCGGCTTCAGGGGCAGGGGTGGCCGTGGTGCGTTCAGAGGCGGCAGAGGCGGCTTTCCGCCTCGAGGCGGGTTTGCTAGAGGCGGTGGATTCCGAGGTGGCAGAGGTGGTGCTAGAGGTGGCTTTACACCATACTGACCCCTTGATTACTTACGCTCCTTTTTAAATATCATTTTGTCCCTTCAATGTGTGTATTATAGGCTTTTCTTTTGATCTACTTTAACTTATTTTTCTATACTTGATCTATTCTCTCTCTATTTTCTCTCTTTTCTCCTTTCCAGTTCTGTCTTCACCCTTTCCGCATTTTTATGCCTCCTTTCTTTCCTTGTACTCTATGAAAAAAAGCTTTCTTCGGACAACAACGACTTTTGTTGTTGCTGATTTCAGTATTTAGTGCCTAAAAAACGTATAAAGTGCTCAATAGGAAGAAGCATGAAAAAGCGAAAACCACTGTCTAGAACTTGGCCTTGTTAACCACGCGTTTGATGTACTCGGCTTCCCTGGCTCCACTGACCCAAGCACCGTGTGCACATCCATTTCCGTCATCCGTCACGCCCTCTCCAGCAAATCTGACTCTTCCAGACCCATCGAATATGCCAGTAGGGTTCATCAAATATTCCAATGCCACCTCGTAGTCATCCCGAACTGTAACACCGGTGTAACTTCCCCTTGCATAAGGATCAGCAGACCACTTCGAGGTTTTGATTTGCAGAGGCTTTGGAATCTCAGAGGCTTTCAGGTTAGTGATCCGAGAAAGTACAGGCTTGAAAACCTCAAAAATCACCTCTTGCGATTCCTGCTGTTCTATATATTGTGTCAACGGAGATGAAATCAAAGCTAGCAGAAGTGGCTTTTGTGTGGGTTTGGCCAAATTTAGGAAAAGTATTGTGTAGTCAAGTCCATTTGGAATTTTCCCCTTCAACTCAATTGGCTTGTCCAATCTTTCCTTGCAAAAATCAAAAGAGGAGAAAGCTGCAGAGTCCGATTTTGTGGAGTTGTAGTAGTGCTGGTCGACCCTCGCAAGTGATAATATTCTGTCGTCTTCCAAGTTCCAAAAAGTTTCAGGGAACTCGAAGAAAACCTTACCCAAGTTCGAGAAACTGACTTTATCCAGAGAGTTTCTTAAAGTTGGTGGTAAAGGCGGGGTCCATTCGATTGCGCCTTCTTCTTTGAGATCTGTCAATTTTAACACACTCAATGGAGCTGTGAAAACCAAAAAGTTTGATCTAAACTGTTCGCTTTTGTTCGTAAGAGAGTTCTTTGAGTGGACGACAATCTCCCGCTTCTTTGCATCCCACTCGATTTTGTATACGACGCTGTTGAGTTTTATTGAACAGCCACCTTGCTTTTCATAGTGCGTGGATGCAGGGTTCACCAATTCATCAACTGAAGATAACTTTGCAGCCTTGACTAGTTCTTCAAGCTCACCATTGTATACTGTACTATACCCGTTCATAACCATGGCGTCTCTTCCTTTATGTTTATCGGTGGCGATCGTTCTGGCGCTCAAAATTTCCCAAGAAGACCCGATCCACATTTCAAAATAACGTACCAACTGAGGAACGTGCTTCAGCTGATAGTCAGTCAAACACCATTTTTTGTCTTTCAAATACTGATAAACAGCTTCCTTAATGCTAATATCTTTATCTGCTGGAATCTTGGTGTACAAATCTTCCATAAAGAGCTCAATTTCTTTGGCGACTGGCTCCAAACGCTTATTTTCGTCGACAAGTCCTTCTTCATTGAAGTAGGAAAACTTACCATCGTCAAAATGGAAATCCACTTTCCCGCTTTCCCAGTACTTCTTCAACAGCGGGTTTGTGTAGCAATCGTGGAACCACGAGGCTCCCATGTCCACAGAAAGTCCACTTTCCATCTGCTCAGTACAGAGGCGTCCTCCAAGCCTACCCCTCGACTCTAGAACAAGCGAAGAAATTCCTGCATTGGCTAGGTCCAATGAAGCTTTAATACCGGAGATTCCTGCACCGATAACGATAACTTCTGTTTTTCCCTTCCCCATTAGTTGGTTAATTACCTTAGGATAGATCAAAACGAATAAGAGAACGATTGTACAATTGATGGTATGCGTTTATATGAGCTGGAAAAAGTGTCAGAAACAATAGCGTTTGACACAACGGCAAAGTTTTTCTATATATAGCGCCCGAACTATATAAAGGTTAGTCTCGGAAACCCAAGTCCTTTCTTGTCAAGGATGAAATGTATTGAAAAAAAAAAAACATGCTATCGGCGGATAGACTACGCGATAAGCAGTTTTGCGAGATAGGAAGGTCGACGCTTTGGGACTTTGTTAGTACGGAAGATGGCTCAACCGCGAACAAGGGGATGACGTGAGAGCATGCACAACAATGTATTATGATTATGTAAGAAATGATTATGTAATCCTGTTGTAACTAAATGTATAATGTTTATTTTTCCAAAATTCAAATCAATTGAGTAAAAGCCAACAACTAAATATTTAGCAGATTTCAATTTATTTATTTGGGTCATTGAAGACTAGTGAGGTGGAGAACGAAAAAAATAAAAACGTTGTAAAAGACTGGATGGCCAAGTTGGTTAAGGCGTGCGACTGTTAATCGCAAGATCGTGAGTTCAACCCTCACTCCGGTCGGATTTGCTTTTTCATTTCTTTTTTTACTTTCTGCTAGATTTCTATGTAGCCGAACGATAAAGAATGTTATGAATAAGATTAGGATGAATTTATAAAGAAAGCATTAAATTAGGAATCAATAGAGTAGTAAAATAAGAACATAAATTAATGACGAAAGTAAGTACTATTGCTGACTCTCCCAAAGTTTCAAACAATTAGTCAAGTATTCTCCCCAGACGTTAGAATTCCAATCACCCAATATTTTGGTGAGCAATTGAAGCAGACTCGAGAACTCGAGATTGACGTTCTTTTCAACCTGTGTGGACAAGAAGTTGACATCATCTAGAAGGTTTGTGAAACAGGGTATCAAGTTCTGATCTAGATCGTTATTCATAATCTTAATTTCGTTTTTGATCAATTGCTTTGTTTCATCAGACAATGAGTTAACGGAGGCAGCTGAGTGGGAAGAAGTAGATTTCATGTTTTGGATTGCCAAATTCAAACTTGGGCTGTTTGAGGAATTCATATTGATAAAGTTTTTTTTCTGAGTTTCTGTGTTACTACGATTGACATTTATGGAGTTCAGCAGAGACCTGAGTTTGGCTTGCTTTTTCAAAATGATATTTTGGAAATAGACCAATTGTAGTTCTTTCAGTTTTCTGAAATGGAGCATCTGTAGAAGATATATGATTGAATTTTTTAGTATTATGAGGGGTTCTTTGATTTTGATGATTAGGTTATTGATTAAGATCTCGATGTTCAAGAAGTTTAAGTCTATTTTATTTCCGAATTTTTCGATTTTAGAATTTTGGTTTTCGATGATACTGAAGATGTTGAGGAAGCCACCAAATTCAACCATGTTTAATCTTAGTGAATGCAAGGTTTTGATCAGCTTTTTGATTTTTGACTCTAAGTTAACTGATATCTTGAGGAAAATTTTCAAGTTCAGTTCCAATTTTTGGAAGACGGTTGAGTTCAACTCGGTATTGAAGTTTTTCAACAGAGCCAACGGTGGGATTGGTAGGAAGGAGAAATAAGGAGAAGGTTTTGTTGGGTTTCTTGTTGAGACCAACAAGATGGAGTTCGAGCTGATGTTTGTGAAGGGCGGGTATTTGAGACAATTGAGCCAGTTTGTGATGAGCGGGTCTAGGAATTTGATTGTGATGGAAGAGTTTGAGAGTTGAGGGATGGAGTTGAGTTTGGAAAGGAAGTAGTTTAGGAGTCTGATTCTGAGTTCGATGATAGAAATGTCGTTTTTGTAGTTGAAGGGGTTTTTCAAGAACCTGCTAATGGAGTGTTTTTCCGGGATAGGAGGGATGAAGAGGTAGGGGTAGAACTTGCAGAGGTAGGAGCGCAGGGATTTGAAGTCGTTGTAGCGTCTGAGTGTGAAGGTGTCGTTGATTGTGTTTTCGATCTTGTAGAAGATTGTTTTCGAGCCCTTGAAGTCCTTGCCGACCTCGAACGTCCTGATTGTGTAGGGGGAGGGTTGCTGGGTGGGGGAGTCCGGGACGGCTGGGCGGTGGAGCTGTGGAGGCGGAGCGTAGAAGGTGGGCTGTTCGGAGGCGGAGATGGGCAGCGACTTGGAGGTGGTGTTTGCCTCGTCGTCGAGGAGGGAGCTTGTTGCAAAGGTGTCGCCGTCGCCGTCGTCGTCGTCATTGCCGTCGTCGTTGTGATCGCCGTGCTGCTCGTTGTCCTCCTTCGCTTCGTCCGTGTCCAAGTCGGGGGCCGGGTTTAGGATGCCGTTGGAGTAGAAGTGGTTGGAGCCTGCAAAGGGGTTGTTGTCGTGGGAGAAGTCATCGTAGTCCATAGCGGAGGCCTGGGGGGGACGGCGGGGGCTGTTTTGTGGTGCTGCGGGGGCTGGCTGGGGTGCTTAGGGTGTGTGCTTAGGGTGTGTCTGAGTGTGTCTTTTTATTTACCTATCTGCTGCCGGTGCTGAGCTCGCCGGCGCTCGCGGCTCGGCTCTGTGGGGAGAGAGGGAAGCGGGAAGAGGGAGGAGCAGAGAGAAGGAGGTGATGAGGAAGAGGCGGAACGCAACGAGAGGAAGACTGCAGAGCAGGGGGTGCAGACCAGCTGGCCAGCAGGGGTGCAGACCAGCACCAGCTGCCGAGACAGCACACATCCCGTCCAGGACACTCCGAAGCGGGACGGCGGCCCCCCAGAGGGAGGCAGAGAGAGCGGGGGCGTTACGTAAGCACAGATATTAAGGTGGCGCTATAGAAGGTATATGAGTAGGTGGCGAGATAAGGACTCCGGCAGCCCGGTCCTGTGGCTACTGGAGGGTTCTGGCGGAGGGCGAGCCGACCCGGAGGCCTGTGTGGGGGTTGACGATGTCCAAGATCTTCTTTGCTCTCGGGGTGTGGATGAGCGGCGACGCCGTTCTGGCCGAAAGCGAGGTGTTTGGCGACGTTGCGGCAGTGGACGCCGAGCCGGCGGCGGCGGACGACGCCGCCGACGACGGAGGACTGTGCTGCAGCGTGTATGCGGCGGCGGAGGCGGCGTCTGTGGGCACGAAGTAGTGCTGGCTGCTGTCTGCAGCGGTCTTGGCGCCAGAGGCGTTATCGCCCGGCGCTGCCGCCGCGTCCAGCACCACGGGGCAGAACTCGAGGTCGTCCTGCCACCCGAAGCCCTTGGAGAGGAGGAAGCGTGTGTGCAGCATGGTCATCAGCGGCGGTGCTGGGGGGTAGGCGAGTGCAGAGCTGTTGTGAAGTCCGCAGAGGAGCAGGGCCGGGTCCATGTTGCTCTGGGTCTCCCTTTTCTCGGAAACGGCGGTCACTCTTTCCCCTCGCTTATCGCTGTGCTCCGGCAGCGGGCAGCAGGCGGCGAGCCCGCGAGCCGGCTGGGACTGCTGCACAGCCCGGCCGGGGTCGATCGACCCCGCGTCGATCGACCATGACGTCATTGCCCCGCGTTGCGTCACCGTCGGCTTTGGCCTCGGTCTCGGCCTCGGCCGCCGGCTCATCGCTTTCTCCCGGCGATCAGGCACCGCCGCGTGTTATGCCGAGCAGTGTCGCGCCGCAGACTGTCTGGGTCGGCTCGGCGGGGCGTCGGCAGGTGGTGTAGCACCAGGTCGGTGGCAGGGCCAGCCAGGAACCAGCAGCAGGCACAGCACGCCGCCACGCACAGGTAAACACGGCAAGGTAAACACCCCGAAGCAAACAGGGATCCAGACCAACATCCCCCCGGACACAGGACACGGTGTGAGGCGCCAGGCCTATTGTGCTCCAAACCCGGCCCCGATCCCCGCAGCACAGCCACGGCTCGGGAGAAAAAAAAGCATTTTAGCGTGCCTGCGGCCGGCACACGACGTCCCCGCTCGTGGGAAGGTCCGGTGTTGAGGAGTTCACGCCCCTGGTGGCGGTTGTGCCCCTGATGGGGTCTTGCTGTGCTGTTGTTGTGCCCTCTCGCCGCCAGGTAGTTGCCCTTCTCCCATGTGAGGAAACTCAGGCAAGACCTCTGGCGCAACAAACACACAGCGGCCCGCAGCCGGACCAAACAGCACACGTTCGAGGACCGCAGCACACCCGGCAGGGCACAGCACCGCACAGCACCGCACAGCACCGCACAGCACACACCAACACACAGCACACACACACCATCCCCATGGCGCCCGCAGACCTCCTCCAGCACGTCGTGCGCTCCGTGCTCAACGGCAGATCGCCCTCCGGCCTCGTGATCAACTTCGCCCTCAACTTCTCGCCCGTCCTCCTCTGACTAACGCTCTTTAAAAACGCAGCCCTCATCCCCGTCGACTGGAGACCCGCCATCAACGTCAGCTGGTTGCCGCTCGCAGACGACACCTGCTTCAACACCCACCGCGGCTCCGCATACCTTTTCTACCTGGTCGTGGTGGTCTTTGTCGTGCTGCCCATCGCACGGCTCTGCTTCGACTTCCCGCTGCCCTCCTGCCGCAAAGACCCTGCACCCTCCCCCAGCCCGCCGCCCCAGTCAGGCCTCCTCTTCCTCTCCCTCCTCCTCCTCGCCTGGCCCGTCCTCAACACCCTCAACTTCCTCGCCGCAACCTTCCAGAACTACCTCCTCGACCTGCTCTCCTACACGTCCTACGTCCTCCTCCACCTCATCGTCCCCATCGTCACCTCCGTCTACCTCTACGTCTTCCACCCGCCAGGCGTGCTGGCCTCCTACGCATGGTCCTTGGGCTCCCAGAACATCCTCGGCCTCTCCACCCACATCCTCCACCCACATCCTCCTCCCCTCCTCCCCCCCTTGGTTCATCCACCTCAACGGACTCAACGCAACCGCAGACTACTCCACCATGGGCTATGCCGCAGGCTTGGTCAGAATAGACTCCTCCTTGGGCACCCACCTCGCCACAAACGGCTTCCACAAGTCCCCCATCGTTTTCGGCGCACTCCCCTCTTTACACAGCGCCATGGCAGTCCTGTCCTGCATGTACATCTCCTGGTTCACAACCTCCAAGTTCCTCGTCGTCCTCTCCTTCACATTCGTCATGGTCCAGTGGTGGGCAACCATCTACTTGGACCACCACTGGAGACTAGACTTGTTTGCAGGAATGTGCTACGCAACCTTGGCCTTCCTCACCTTCCGCTCATTCAACCCACAGAGGTTCAACACTACCCATATCTACACTTCCACTGCCATACCCACCCCCGCTGGTGCTAGCACCCACAGTAACACCCACCCCAGCTACACCAGCTACACCAGCGTCGAGAACAGAGATTTGGAATTGGATTCCGATGAATTCGACCTTGACTGCGACTTGGAGCTGCAATGCCTCAGCAAGGCCATTCCCACTTCTCCAAAAAAACCTACCGACAACATTAACGGTGAGGCGCCTGATCACTATCAGTGCCAACTCGAAGATGAAGAGCACAAGCTGGACTACAGGTACTGCGAATACGAAGACTCGAACAGCAGTAACAGCAGCAGCAGCAGCAGTGAAATCTCAAGCGCGACCGCTTCCTCCAACGCCAGCGTGTCTCTACTTGTCCAGGAGGACAGACCATTTGGACTACGACTCTTTGCAGGCACTCCTCTCGAGTTCTTGTTTGTCTGATTTGGTGCTATTCGTAGCCCCTTTATATGCTTTACAAAAAAAACCTGTTTAATTGTGCTTCTTTATTATGTTCTAATTTTCCCGTTTCATATTACACACACGTTCCAGTCGTACTTGTTGAGAATGTTCTGCCACATTTTGAAACTCACACCGTCCGGGTTGAGGCGCCAGAACTCCTGCACAATCGTCCAGATTTGCTCCAAGTTCCGCTTGTTCGACCCAACACTGTTCACCATACTCAGGTAGAAGCTCTTGACCATGATCCGGTCCCGCATCTCGCATACATTTGCGCCGATGATGAGAAATGGGAACAGCAACTGTCCGCTGTTGAATCGCCCGTTCGTGTGCCTTAGCAAAAACCTCATCTTCTCAAAGATGCCCAACACAATCTGCTTGATCTCGTAGTTCGTTGCTGAAAGCTCCTTCAACTTGAACTTCAAGTAGAGTAACACAGAGAGCTTCATGACCTCAAAATAAGCCACCGTCTCCTCCTCGATGGGACCGTAACCTTCGCTCACCATTGTGCACTCCTGCACCCTCTTCTGCAAAAAGTCCGTCTTCTTCTGCACCCAGCTGTGGAACCCGTATCGGATTTCTTCGTACTCGAGATAGACGTCAGTGTGGACAAACTCAAGCTGCTCCTCCTCGGTCATGTTCCTCATCGCAGGCTCCACATTTTTGTAGTAGATGAAGATCGGGTATTGGATTTTGATTGCAAACTGATCGTACAAGGCATTGATCTCGCCCAAGACAACATAGAGGTTCATGCAGCACGAGATCGAGGTGTCAAAGAACTTTTTCAAATGGAAGTCTTTCTCAGAGTTTGTGGAAACGCTCGAGTTCGAGGAGCCATCTCCCTCTGGTGGGGTCGAAGACGGGCTCAAAGCCAGTTCCTCGACCAGCGCCACCCCCGGCGGCGGCGTCCCACCTGTGATGAACTTCAGGTACTCCTTTTTGGAGAACAGCGGCCCAAGAAGCCGGTTCGACGTCACCTTGATCATCTTGAACACGTCCTGGTAGAAGAACCAGTTGATCACCCACAGAAGGACGTGTCTATTCTCCTGCCGCTTGATCATAAGCAGAAGCATGTCAAGCCCGACCTTGCGCAAGCCGGTGTACAAGCGCTCAAAGCTGATCTTCCACAGCTCCGTGTCGCCGTTGATTGTGGAGATGATTGTGAGGCAGGTCAAGCTGACGATGTAGTCGATCAGATCGTCCTCGTGCCAGTCGTTGCTGTAGTCGATCTTGAGCTCCAGCCGGTCGCAGATGCCCAGCGCCTCGTCGAGAAACTGGCTTGTGCGTGTGTCGCCTTTCATCGACAGGATCCAGGCACACAGCACCATCCGGACCGGCCGGCTGCGATACGCTAGCGGCAGCAAGAGAGCGCAGCTCTTGAGAAACTTGTCTGCAGCTTTAGCGGAGACACCCTCGTCCATCCGGATCGCCGCAAACCTCGCAGTACTGAACGTGTCGATGATGCTCCTCGCCACAAAGTCCAGGTCCATCTCCAACTTCATGCCAAGACCGCCGAGGCCGCCGATATCCTGCGACAGGCCCGGGTTGAGACCAAGGTTGAGGTGCACGTCGACACCTGCGTCGAAGCTTCCGCTCACAGACTCCAACGGCGGGAAATCCGTGTCTCCGTCCGGGGAGAACACCATGTATTTGTACCACCCCGGCGACAGCACCGTACTTCCACCACCGGCGTTGGCGACTGCCAGCAGCTGCCCGCCGCTCTCCTTCTCCCTCTTCCCCGCTTGTCCATCCCCACTCGTCGCCACCGTACTGCCCCCATCCACCTCCTCCTCCAACCGGTCCCGCTGGTACACACAATCCACCCGCCGCTTCGTGCAGGCCCCACACTGCGGCCTCTCTTCATCACACCGTTTCTTGCGTCGTCTGCATTCGTTGCAGCTGACAATTGATCGTTTCGTCTTACTCCCAACAAACCGGATACGACTCCTCACTGTGCTTCCCACTGCCATGCTCTGCTGTCTCTGTGCAGTCTTTTTGCTGTCTCTGTGCCCTCTCTTAGACTCTCCAGCCCCTCCGACCCCTACTCCGAGCCCACCAGCCTTCCTCCCCGGACACCCCATACTTCTCTTCACCAGCCGTTGGACACCGGACCGCCCCAACCGTTGAGCGCTAGCCGCTTCGGCCCGGTTACCGTATTCGGACGGCGTGCGCCACTTCGCTTCCCTGGCAGGCGGATTGTCTATAACATTTCTATACCTTATCTTATCTATTACCATATAGCAATCCCCCATGGTCCGTGTGGGTTCTACAAGACTACCTGGCAAAGAAGGTGAGCACCTGGCGCTCGAACTCGGCTCGGTTGTCGACGTACAGGTGGTGACCGGCGTGCGGGACGACCCGAAACTTGGCCGTGCCGCCAGTGGAGTTGATGGCCTTGCAGAGAGCGTAGCCGGCGGTCTTGTCCATCCAGTCTAACTCGCCGTAGAGAAGCAAGACAGGCACTCGGAGCTGGTTCGGAAGCCTGCAGGAGAGCGGAAGACGCCCGAGCGAGCCTGGGGCAAGAATGGGCCCGAGACAGTACTCGCCGGAGCCGGGCTCGAGAAACATTCTGGTTGTGTACATGCAGATGTCCCACAGCTGCTGGGCGTCACCGACCCGTGCAAACCGGTTGTAGACCCAGATGGCGACGACTTTGCCGGCAAAGGGCCCAAACCAGCGCACGATGTCGATCGGCGTGTAGTTCCACTCCCACAGACGGGTGAGCAGCTTGCCGGGCCTGACACGGGTTTTGATCTGCCGCATGAGCTCCTCCACACGGGTCGGCTGCTCCATGTGGCCGGAGACGACCGAGACCAACGACGCGGCGTCGTCGTCGTCGTCGTCGTCGTCGTCGTCGTCGTCGAAGCCGTCGTCGAAATCAGCACCGAGGTCGTCGTACCCGTACGCCTCGTCAGACTGCCCCTCCCCGGCACCGTCTCGTCCGTCGTGGAGATGGTCTGTGAGCTCCCGGGTGAGATCCACACCCTGGTTCTTCGCCACACGGTACTCTCGGTCGATGCTCTGGCGGTCGTTGCCGTCGCCATCGTCGTCGCCGGCGGCTGCAGAGTCCCCGTCGTCGAGCTGTCCTGCACCTTCCTCGTCGCCGTCCTCGCTACCGTCCCTGTCCTTGAACCGGTTGTACGCAGACAGGTCATTGTCCTCGACCCCGACGGGCGACACCAACACTAGCTTCTCCACCACATCCCGGCCGTACTTCAAGTAGTAGCACGACATCAGGTATCCGCCCAACGAATGCGCTATGACGTGGCACTTCTTGATCCCCCGCTTCAGCCGCCATCTCTCAAACGAGTCCACGAAAAATGCCTCTGCGTTCAAAACCTTTCTCATCGGCGTCGTTCCATCTGCCGGTGCTGGGAACGACGGCCGTCCGGAGCAGCCGAACCCTAGCATGTCGATCGCATGGAGCCGGCAACCCGGAATCGACGACAACCCTTCCAGGTTTGTGTAGAAAAACCCCAACGCCGCCGCATACCCGTGCACTAGCACAATGTCAATCCCTTCTCCGTCTCCGTCTCCATCTCCGGCAGCCTTGGCCGTGTTCGTGATGCACACCTCGTGGATATACGTCCGCCCCCGGTCTCTCCCGCGGGAAGACTCGTCGGACACGTCCGTCTCAACCACCTCAACCCGTCGCCCTTCCATCGCCACACCATCCGTCCGGTAGAACGAGAGGTTCCGCAACAACCTGTCCTCGTAGTGCCGGCAGTCTTTCCACCAGCTCGTGAAGTACACCCCGAGACTGTCCGTCCACGAGATGGAGTGCTCTGTAAGGCTGGCGCCAATCTCCTGCGCCAGCGTTGTATGCTTTTCTTTGCTCTTGCTCATCCTTGGCCTGCACCATCTCCCCAGAAGACGTCCCCCCTGCTCCTTTCTCCCTTAATAGCTTCGTGACATGTCCTGCCTCCGCCTCATCATGGGCTCTCTGCCCGTTTCAGACGGCCGCGTTTTCCGTCCGGGAGGAAAAAAGGAAGGGGAAAAGAAAAGACGAGACACAGGAACGAACATCAACCCGGCCAGTGGTGTGCTCCTCCTTTGGCTCTGCTGTGGGACAGCGGCTTTGCTGGCAGGTACAGATACTAGAAGGTCACCAATACAGAAGCGACCACCGACAGCGAACCACCCGGCACGGACATGCAGTCAGACAACCCATTTGAAACATACGAAAACCCCTTCTCAGACCCTTACGATCCTTCGGGGTATGGGGGCCAGAGTCGTGGCCAAAGCCACGGCGGACACGGCGCAGGAAACGGACCAGCGTTTCTCAACGAATGCCAGAGAATTAAGGACGAGATCGAGCAGTACAAGAGCAACATCGACTACCTCAAGCAGTTGCAGTACCAGCAAATGAAGGCTGTTTCTGAAACCGAGAAGAAACGCACGTTGGAGCAGATCGACAGCTCGACGATGGAGATGAAGACGATGCAGATCGACATCAAGAACGGCATCGAGCGTCTGAAAACACAGGTGGACCGCTCGGACCCGGACATGGTGAACCAGTTGAACAATTTGAACCGACTCTTCAGAGGCGCCTTGAGAGAGCTCATTGTCGAGGAGGACAACTTCAAGGAGTCCGTCACCCACCAGGCGGTCGAGCAGTACCAGATAATCAACCCGGAGGCATCTTACGATGAAGCACAGCAGTTTGTGTTGCAGAACGGACCGGAAGAGATCTTTTCCACGTCTCTCGAGATGCAGAACAAGAAGGCCGAGGCGATGGAGGTGTTTGAAAACGTCAAGTACCGTCACGACGAGCTCTTGAAGATCCAGGAGATGGCGGCAACCTTGAACCAGATGTTCAACGACTTGCAGGACATCGTACTCGAGCAGGGCGAGTACTTGACCAATGCCAATGAAAACATAGACCTTGCACAGGCCCAGCTGGAGAAAGGTGACGGCAACGTCATCCAAGCGGTTCAAACTTCCAAGAAAAACAGGAAGTGCAAGTGGATTATCATTGGTTTGTGTATCTTGCTTGCTTGTATTATTGCCGGTGTCATTGCCGGCTTGGTTAGAGGGTTATCCGGTCATTAGTCAGTTTTGTTTTCCATTTCCATTTCCATTTCCATTTCCATTTCCATTTCCTTTCTATTTTTGGTTTTGTTTTTTCCATTCTTCTTTTCTTGACTTTGTTTCCATTTCCATAGCTCTAGTTCATAGTTCATAGCCCATAGTTCATAGTTCATAGTTCATCTTTTTTCCAAACTCATTTTCTTTTTCCTCTTTTTCCATTGCCATTCGATTTTACTACTCTACTCCCTTTTATTTCTTCTCTTTATATCCCACCCCACAAAAACACGGCTATACTACAAATTAGCATTTATAAATGATTATCTAAAGAAATATTGCGCTTTCCTGATTTTACTTGAATTGAATCAAATTAAATTAATTAAACAAAGCTAAGTTAGTGTACCACATGAAACTATTTGAATGCCTTCTTGACAATCTCCTCGATTTCGTCCCAGTCATCGGCAGGTAATTTTATCATGTCAATACCACCGAAGTATTCAGAGATGTATTGAAGGCATTCGTAAGATTTCTTGTCACTGATGAAAGAAATGGAAACACCTTTACGGCCAAAACGACCCGTTCTACCGATTCTGTGTAAGTATGTGGAAGGATCAGGACGTTGGTTCTTGTCGAATGGCATATCGTAGTTGACCACCATGGTCACAGACGGAATATCTATACCTCTGGCAAGAACATTGGTTGTGATCAAAACTTTGGAACGTCCGTTTCTGAAGTCGTCAATCAACCTATCTCTTTCTTGGGTTTGTAATGAACCGTGCAATACAGAAACCGTGTGACCTTCCTTCTTCATATTGAAATAAAGCTTGTCGGCAGTCTCCTTCTTTGCGACAAATATGATCGAGGATGCAATTGTCATCAACCCGTAGAACTCACATAAGTATTTGAACTTTTCTTCGTCGTTACTACAATCGATGTAAAGTTGTGTGATGGCATCGACGTTCAATTCTTCGTGCTTCAATTCAAGAGAGTTGGCGTTGGGAACAAACTTCTCCGCATAGCTTCTGACTTCATCAGGGAACGTGGCACTGAAAAGAACCATCTGGCACTGTCCTTCATTCTTTGGCAAGAATTTCTTAATCCTGCTACATTGATCACCCAACCCTTGTTGGTCAAGCATGTTATCTGCTTCGTCCAACACAAAAACTTTGACATTTGATGTAGAAAATCTCTTTCTTCTAATCATGTCGAGCAAAAAACCAGGAGTTGCCACCACGATTTGTCCGTTTATTGGAGCATCTCTCTCCAGCGCTCCTGGAACTAATAGCTGAATCTTCGTTTTGGTGAATTTGCCCATTTCCTGGACAACGTCTAAAGTTTGTCTTGCCAATTCTCTTGCAGGAGATAGACAAATTGCTTGGACCGCAGGGTTGCTCTCATCGACTCTTGAAAGCATCGTAAGTGCAAATGCAGCAGTCTTACCAGTACCACTCTGACTCTGTCCAATCATGTTCTTTGGAGGATTGGATAGTAAAAGCGGAAGGGCCTTTTCTTGGATCTTCGAAGGCTTGGAGAACTTCATGGCATATAGGCCCTTGAGAAGCTCTGGCTTGAGTCCCAATTCCTCGAAGGACTTGGCGCTAAAGAGTGGGGAGTTTGGGTCTGCCTGCAAGTCTGCAAGCTTGACCTTGACTTCGTACGTCGATTTGATAAGGTTGTCTGCAGGTTCTTGGTCTTTCTTTTCTACAGCTACCTTCGGTGCTTCTGCAGATTTCTCCTGTGGCCCGTCAGTTTTGACGGTGTCGGTTGGCTCTTCCTTTGTAGATTCCTTTGGCTCCTTCGATTCCTCCTTCGCCCGTGTGGCAGCAATGGAGAGCTTGGAAAGGAGCTCTGAGGCGTCCTGCTTGTCGAAGTCGGGTGTTCCTGACATACTGTAGTCTTCTATATACGCTGTCTGCTGTCTGTTTCTTACCAGTCGTCAGAGTCCTAAAGTAGAACAGCACACCTTCACCAAGTACTGTGTTGGAAAAAGTTCACGTTTTCCAGACGAGAGAGCAAAAACGGAAGAAAAAAACAACACTGCCATCTTTCCTTCTTCAACACCTACAATTGCCTTTACTCTACAGGGCTACCCTCTGCGGCTAGTCTTCTGCAGCCAGCTATGCACGTCCGACTTAAGGCGATTGGAGCAGTGCCTCAGGTCTCCCCGTCCCTGGTGGACTTTTCCCGGGAGGCGCCCTTTGCCGCCGTCCCGGAGCTCGTCAGAGACAGACTCCGGTTAGAAAATAGCCAGCAAATCTGGTGCTACGTCGGCAATGCCTTCATTCCATCCATGGATGACACGCTTGATACCATAGTGGGACTCACTGGGACGTCTTCTGGTGAAGACACGCTCGTGGTAACGTACTCCCTCGTGGAGGCCTTCGGATGACCGGTTTCTTTTCAATACAGACTGCTCTGTTTCTTTTTTTTCGTCGTTACAAATCACTATATTAATAATACCACTAAATTGTTGTTTCGGTTGGTTTTTTTGTATTGTATTTACTGTTTCGTTTCCTTGTGCCCTTCTCCCCAGGCTACTCGCTCTTCTTGATAGTTCCGTCCGGACCAACAACCTCGGTCTTCTCCCAGATACGGCTAGTACCGTCCGAGTAGACCCGGCGCTGGGTCGTCGTCCGCTGGAAATCACCGTTGTCAAGCGTAACCATGCGTGTCTCTGTCTCTCTTCCGACGACCTCTTTGCCATTATCGTCGCCAGAGCTACCGTCTGCACCACCGGAGCTGCTGTTGGACTTCCAGACGTTCCACTTGGCTTTCTCCTTCGCTTCCCAATCAGACCACTGTCTGCGTCTCTGCTCGGCAACTGCCCGCTTCATGCTTGCCTGCCAGCCAAGCATGTCCTCCAGATTCTTGAAAAAGAGGCCATGCTTGTTTTCGGTGTCCTGTTCAACGTCTTCTCTCGAGACAAGTTCCTTTGCCTCACTAGGGCCCACTCCAAACGCATGCGACTCCCCAGTGCCGTAGTCGTACGGAATCTTGCTCCGTGGGAAAAGACAGTGCCACAGGCCCTGCTGGTCCCAGAGAGACAGCCCCTCAGCCTTGGTGCATTCCTCGTAGATCTCGGGAGGCGGAATACCTCTGCTGACCATCTCGTTCGGCTTATGGAGTACTCTTGGGGAAAGCAGCCCCGGCCCCAACAATGGAATCTGGCCGTCATTCCGAGGGTCCCAGGCATCCAGAAGGGAGTTCCATCCGTCGCCAATACCACGGAGCTTCCCCAATGCATTCAATGTGAGGTCATTTGTTAACGAAAGCGTTTTCTGTAAACCATCGTGGAGACCGTTGAGGCCCCCGTTTAAATCCTGAAGACTGTCAAGTGGTGACCCGGCACTGACTGAGTTGATCTTCACGTCTCCTTGGTCTTCGACCTTGTCTTTATTTGCGTCGTAGATGCCCATTTTTCAGTATATCGTTCCAAAATCGTAAATTTTTGTAGTGTCCTTAGTTAACGGGGCAAAGCAGGGGTATAGAAAATTCTCCAATAGCCACTGCGGCAACTTCTACATTAAACACGACCTCTTATATACACGTCACCTACAGAGACAAGAGGGGGCACATGGAGAGACCCGGAGACTCGCAGGCCCGCAGACCCCGCAGGCCCCGAAGCCGTCTAAGCCGTCCAAGCCGTCCCCGCTGTTCGAGGCCACTCCGTCTCTCCCTCGAGGAACCTTCCAGCACCTTCGGACAGCATCGTCAGACATTCTTTTTGCTGCATCGCCAGAGGCTGCCGGGGGATTATGAGTAGGCCTGCACGAGCTGCTCGTAGTGATTGCAGATGGTCTCTCCGACAGGGCTGGCCTGCCCCTCGACGCCCGTGGTGCTGACTTTAGTGGGAGGGGTCCCAGCCATTTCGTTGTCGAGCACGTTATACACGAGCTGGAAGTTCACGTACAAGAACAGCCGGCGCTTGCCCTTGGCGTCATCTAGACTTCCTCCTAACTGGACCATGCCCTTTTCGAAGGTGTTGCTTAATCTCTCTATGGAGCTGTTCAAGGGCTCGCTTGTCTCCAGCTCAAAGACCAAGTTTTGCACAAGCTGGACGAGGTTGCTGAGGACAATGCTGAACGACTGAGTAATCTTCAGCGGCACTAGTATATTATTTTTGCTGCTGACAACCATCTTGATTATCGATGTAGAGGTCAGGGTCTGGGTGATGCTGTTGCACAAGGCATCCACATCTCGTTGGAACACGGGCCATAGCGCAAGCAGCTGAGTGTTCAAGTAGCTCTCGAATAACTCTGGAAGACAGCGGTTCTGGATCTCGTACTCCATCCGCTGGATCCTTCTGATGGTCAAAAGAATCCCGAAGTAATCGCTTCTGCAGTTGTTCAACAAGTATGTAGTAAAGTTTGTCCCCATTTTCATGATTGGGGAGAATATCTGCTTGATCATGTTGTTTATGTCGTCGTTGTTTGTCAGAATGAAGAACTCGACAATGAAGTTGAACTCAATGGTCAAGTTGTCCATCATCGTCTGGTTCAAAAATACGAAAATCTGCTCCATATTGAATTTCATTCCTCCGATCCCACTGGACTCGGCTATCTGTCCAAGAATGGAATACTGGTTGTTCTCGTCGTTCATTTTTTCGAGCCGCTTAGGCAGGTTTATCAGATACTCATTGATAGAGTCTGTGTTGTCTAGCATTAAACTACGCTGGCCGTAGGATGATGAGGTTGAGGAAAGATTGTTAGAATACGTACTTTTCCTCTCTGCATCATACTCGTTTTCTAGTATTTTCAACCCTTCAAGGGAGCTAATGTATTTCACAAAATTGAAATAATAATACCAACGGATGGTGTAAACATATGCCGTTTCAAATTCCTTGGCCAGCCTACTGTTCTTGCTTTTGAGGAAAACGAAAATCTCTTTCACTTGAAGCAACTTGCTTTGGGCTTTGACAGATGAAGTGTGTGTACCTCTCAAGTATTTAATGTTTTCAATCAAGTACCGCTTAATCCGCTCCACACACTTCAATTCCAGCTTATCAATGAGCCCCAATAATTCGACAATGTTTTCATGGTTGAATTTTTCCTTGGTCTCATAGTTCTGTAAAATTTCCTTCTTTTCCTGGAGGATGGTTAACTGCTCGACCCACTTCTCGTCAAGTTTGCCGTGCAAAAGAATCTTGATGCATTGGGGAGGAATCAACATGTCGTTAAGTATAGGCGTAAGCAAATTGTCAACCTTGCTATTCTTCTGAATTTCGTCGTTCAAATTCACAAGCCTTGTTTGCAAGACCTCCATTTCGTTGGACAACGTGTTCAAATTAGACTCAAAATCTTGAATGTATTGAAACAACGGGGTTAGTAGGGAGATTGACCGATCCAGGCTTGACTCAATCTCATGAACGTTTTGCTGTTTCTTCAAAATGTCTATATCCAGCAACCTTGGGTCGAAGTGCACTTCGGCTCTGCGGTGTTTACCGGACTCACCCTCTATCTCTACTCTTTCTACTTCTTCGTGTTCTTTAGCCCCTTCAGGTTCACTATCATCTGTTTCATCACCTGAGATCTCTACATCAAACGACGGATTCACATTGAACTTGTTGTTCAAGTACTCCAACCTTGTTATTGTAGTCTTCACCTCGTTCGAAGCCGCCTTCGCTTTCCGGCCTCTAATTCCGGCTCGAGGCGAGTTGGAGCCATTCTGCGGTTGTTGCAGCTGCTGAATAGATGAGCGCCTAGATATGCTGTGTCTGTGTGGAATGGCAGTCATGATTTCACCAATTCCCATAATCCCACACTCTTAGAGATCCTATACTTTCGTTCCCTCAACTTTAAGGATGTTGATCATATAATGATGAACCGTCAAAAAAGTATCGAGCGTCTCGATTCTTTGCTTGATCTTTCTCACTGGAGTTGCAAATATGAGCTTTCTTCTAGATGTACGTGTCTCTCTTTAAAGAATTGACCGCTGGAGATAACAGTGTCGACAACGGCAGTACAGTTATTTGGGATACAGCTATACCAAAATGGATCTAGAGGAACACGAGGGGGAGGAGCTTGCATATATCAAAAGCACGAGATGTGGATATTGTCATCAGCAGAAGCCCGTGGAGAAGTCATGGGCTCTAGAGTCTGTGTCCAAGCTTATGAAGGACAAGGGTTACTGTAACAGCTCATCAATAACGTTTGACGGGGAGGAATTGTCTTTTCAAAGGTATGAGCAGTTGATCAAACAAGGATGGCGTCGAAGTGGGTCATTCATGTATAAACCTGACTTGCTTCGCTCTTGCTGCAGACAGTATACGATACGAACAAATTACGAAATGTTTGTCGACGATAAATACTACAATAAGTCCAACAAGAAATCGATAAGACGGTTCTACAAGGCCATGGAGATGGGGATAAATACCGCTACAGGATCACTTCTAGATATGTATACACAAAAAGATAAGAAGGGCCGCTTTTTCAGCGTGCTTCTCCCGAACAGTTTTACGATGGATAAATTCCAATTGTTCAAGAGGTACCAGATGTCTATACACAAGGAGAAGGAGTCTGAAATCAACGAATATTCCTTCTATAACTTCCTTTGCAACGATCCTTTCCCAGAAGTAACAAAGAGACGGGAATATGTGGACTGGAAAAAGGTGAACCAGCAGTGGACCAGTGGCGAAATCGGGAAGGAATTACTTGATCTTCAAGGTCCTGTGCATGAATGTTATTTTATTGACAACAAGCTCGTGGCGATCGCAGTTCTAGATATCCTCCCTACGACGATTTCGTCTGTTTATTTCATCTGGGACCCCGATTATGCACACCTAGGCTTAGGTACGGTCAGTGCTATCAGGGAGATAGTCATGACAAAACTACTTGAGAAAGATCACTATTACATGGGATTTTACATTCCGGACTGCGAGAAAATGGTGTATAAGGCCAAGTTCGGCGGAGAGATAAGAAATTTTGCTGATGACGAGTCCTTAGAATGGGTGAAAATGCTTGATGTTGACCACCTAATGAAAGACGGCTTGTTGCGAGTGTTTGCCAAGACTCAAGATGGAGAAAAGCTTGCAGAAGTTACGGAAAAAATGTATGGGGTGGAGGGGTGTCGGGATGCTGAAGCTCTCGACAGTTTCCGTGTGATCTCTAAAACATGCATCTTTCCCACTCCATCCATAATTCCAGGACTAGACACAAGCAGTCTGTAAAGTAATTATGTATAGGGAGCCTACAGAGACTGACTGCCAGCCTCAGAAATATAGTCAGTCATTAGTTTACCCCACACTCGGCAAAGTCGCCGGCCCTCAAAAAATTCGACAGCTTTCATTCACGAAGCGGGAGAAGTCAACTCAGGCTCTCTTTCAAGCCGTTTAACGGTCTTAGCTTGATAAACATTTTTGGGGAGGCTCGGTTTATATCAAGCAATGTGGAACCTAGCAGGTGCATTGAGGCCTACTATTGGATTTCGTTCAAAAGCGATAGCTTTTTCCCAGTTCAGAGCGTTGTGGTCAGGCAACTTGAGAAGATATGCCTTTGTTTCTAACAATGTCACATTGCATCGCCACTTCCAGCTAAAGACGTTCACCACCAAGACGAGGCCAGCTTTGACAACAGCATCATCCATTGCAGATGCCAAAGGTGTCTTCTCGGCGGAAGAACTTGAGCAGGCAAAGCTGCAACGTCTAAACGGGCTCGGGATACTCAAAAACTTCCCAGATAAATGGGTGCCTTATATGGAATTAATGAGGATCGAAAAGCCTATAGGTACCTTGCTTCTCTTGTCTCCGTCGATGTGGGCAATCACTATGGCTGGGTACATGAGCGCAGCCCCACTATTATCCACCGTGTGGATGCTTTCCGTGTTTGGTGTTGGTGCATTCGTCATGAGAGGTGCTGGGTGCACGATTAATGATATGTGGGACAGAAACTTAGACAATAAGGTTGCAAGAACCATAGAACGGCCAATAACTTCTGGAAGAGTTTCCATGAAACAAGCATGGGTATTTCTATCTGCGCAAATGCTTGTTGGATTGGGTGTTCTTTTGCAACTTCCACTTGACTGCTTCCTTCTCGGTGCATCGTCACTCCTTCTAGTCAGTACTTACCCTTTCTTCAAAAGAGTCACTTATTATCCACAGGTGGTTCTTAGCGCTTGTTTCAATTGGGGAGCTTTATTGGGATTTCCAGCTATGGGTGTTTGGAACTGGCCGGTCATGATCCCTCTTTATCTCAGTGGGTTCTTCTGGTGTATGCACTACGATACAATTTACGCACATCAAGACAAAAAGTTTGACATCAAAGCAGGCATCAAATCCACCGCTTTGGCGTGGGGCACCAAGAGCAAAACAATCTTCAACGTTCTAAGTACTGCCCAGATGTCTTGCTTCTTGACTAGTGGCTACTTGGCGGGAATGGGCCCATTCTTCTATTTGGGCGCTGCTGTGGGTGCCTACAGATTGTTCTCAATGACCAAGAAAGTGGACTTGGATAACCCTGCAAACTGCTGGTACTGGTTCAAAGAAAACATTAATACAGGCCACATCTTTTGGCTTGGTATTTTGCTTGATTACCTTTGGAAAATATTCTTATAATCAGCATTTTATATTCAAGATCGTAGACCTGAGGTTTTGAATAAGAATAAAAAATTTGTAAAAATTTATACATATGATCTACAATGATGTCTAGAAATCGGTCTTTTTGGCCTCATCTACATCTTCCTCCTCCACAGGAATACTCCATTGTTCCACCTGGAACTTACTTTTGCTATTTTTGAAACTGTATTCCTTTAAGCGTCTCTCCATAAGACCCATGCAGCTTAGTATAGGAACTCGATACACATCGACGTAACCTTGCTTGATCTTTTCACGCTGAGTTTTGTAAACTTTCTCCATCAGAACATTAAGCTCGTGTGGAAAAGGCACCAAGCGAATTACACCATCAAACAACAAGCTCTCTAAACTGGATAAGATAGCAGTGTCTTCAAATAGCTCACTGCTCAAACTTGCCATCATAGTGATTCTTCCTGGGTATGCGTTCAAGATTCGGCGGAGCCCAAATACAAAACGTATGACCGAGTGAGTCTCCACGAGAGCATCGCAACCGTAAACCATAGGGTTCAGCATGTATGGTATAGCCAACCTCACCATTCTCGTCTCAGTTTTGAGCTCTCTATCCACTATTCTCTTTATATCTCTCAAAACTCCATCAAAACCGCCATCAAGCTTCACAAAGCTAATTTCAGACGCCCCTGGGCTAGGCCTGATTGTTGTTGTAATGTCAAACTGGTGATTGTATTCCGGGTATTTGGAGTCATCTAACTCGTTTCCATCACCACTTCCTTTCCCCGCAATGGCATCCTTTTTATATCGCCATGCAATTCTCAAATCGTTTCCTGCATTAACGTTACTGACACTGATCTTACCCTCTTGTTCTTGCACAAGTTTCTTCTTTCGTTCTTTACTACTCCCAGCATAAATATCCGGTAATTCATTACCGTATGTGTTTTCCATTCCCACAACTATGCAGTGGTTAACAAATTTCCCTGTCTTTCTATTTTGAACAATACCTTCACTCACATATTTCTTCATAAGCACTCCACCAAAATCAGTACTGCCGTCTTCCTCGACCAACAACGAACAATTGACAGGCAAACCACCATGGATTAGTATAGTGTCTATATCTTTAGTTCCGGTTGAAACACAATTGATATTGGACAATGCAATAGAGGGCTTTAATCCTGGATGCTTAAAAATATCCTCTTTGACGGATTTCTTTTCACCAGTGATCGGGCCCTCTCGTGTTGTAGGTACACCTGGTGGCATCCTTAAACCTGCATTATCTGAGATGCCGGCAATTCTTGGGGCGGCAGCAGCCCGATTTAGCATCGGGTTGTTACCTGCGGAACCCCTTCCAGCTACTACTTCTCCTCTTCTTCTGAATGACATATCAGTTTTAGGAATGGACTATCACTATTTTTCAACTACCTAAAGACTCTTTCTAATCAATCGATCAAATGAGTGAATCATCTTTCGAAATTTAAAAAATTTGACCGAAACGATAAAAAAGTAAGAGGAAAAATAAAAAAAAAAGAAAATCACTCCATTTGCCATTGGAACGGTTTGGGCAACTGTTTTGATCCTTTTCACCAATCTACTCTTATAAGTTTCTACGGGGCGTACTACTATACGGACAAATAGGTTCCGATGACTATTACCGATAAGAATTTTGACAAGGACTCAGAGTCGTATCAAAATATGGGCGGCACGGACATGGACAAGTCGTACTCCGAAAATTATGCCTTCGATGACGACTCATTGGACGATAAAACTTTGCTCAACGGGTCAAATAACGAGAATGGAAATCATGGTGGTAAAGATTTGCATCTGCCAGCTATTGCAAATTATCTTGTTCAGAATGGAACATTAGAAGGCACTACTTTGAATGATGGAGAAGCTGGCGAACAAGGCCCCATTTTACCATCTCATTCAAACTACGAAGATCCGTCTGTTGCACATGTTAAACAACTGAAGTACAACCAGAATAAAATTTTGCTTGACAGAGCCATAAACTCAACTGTTTCTATGTTCACCGAATTTAAGGAAAACAATATCAATTCTCCAATACACTATCCTATTGATCAAATGATTTCAAATGGTTACGACTCAAAACTTAACTCGATATCTTCCAAAAGAGCCTTGATGTTGCAAGAAGAAGATGACAATACCACTAAAAATGTGAAATTTGATATTTTGAAACTGGAATTGAAAGTGGGTATGAAGTCCTCAGAAAATTTGCTAACTAATTTGGATGACAATACTATTTCGATGCTCTTGGATGAAAAGTTTATGCAAATTATTCATCACTTGAAAAATCTCAAGGCCAGAATTGATGATATTACATCAAAAGTGTTAATCACAGGGGACTTGAACTCTGGTAAATCTAGCTTTTGTAATGCTCTTCTGAGAAGAAACGTTATGCCCGTTGACCAGCAACCTTGCACCAATGTTTTCTGCGAAATTATCAACTATCAAGAAAACAATTCTATTGAGGAAGTTCATGCAGTTCCAATTGGTTCATCTTACAACATAAAGGATGAAAACACATATAACAAGTTTTCTCTGAAAATGTTGGACGATTTGGTTTACGAGAATGATAAATATTCAATTTTGAAGGTTTATATCAATGACAACAGGAGTGTAGACGAAAGCTTGCTTAAGAATGGTGTTGTTGATATAAGATTAATTGATGCTCCAGGTTTAAATCTAGACTCCTATCAGACCATGCAATTGTTTTCCAGACAGGAAGAGATTGATTTGGTCATTTTTGTTGTCAATGCTGAGAATCATTTCACGCTATCTGGCAGAGAGTTTATCTCCAACGTTAATAACGACAAAAAATTCACTTTCATTGTTGTAAACAAATTTGATTCCATCAAAAGAAAAGACAAATGTGTTGAGAAGATCATGCAGCAAGTTGGTGATTTATCTCCAGAAACTCATAAAGACTCTGATGATTTCGTTCACTTTGTTTCATCCTCTGAAGTCCTCAATAATAAATCGCTACTGAGGGGTGGTGACGATGGTCCAGGTGGTGATCCAAACGATCCTAATGGTCCAGGTGGGAATAGGCCTTCCGATCGTAACTTTGACAGACTTGAAGCATCATTAAGGAACTTTGTGCTCGATAAAAGATCTGCATCGAAGTTGCTACCTGCCAAGAATTATTTGACCAAGATTTTTAAGGAAACTTTGCTGTTAGTGAATATGAATATTGACAATTACAAGAAAAGTAAAGAGAAGTTGAGTACAGAATTAAATGAGATCAAACCGAAGTACGATGAAATTGTGAAAATTTCAGTTAAAGTGAATGAAAAGGTCATGACCATAATTGATGAATGCTCCGACGACGTTTATTCCACCACAAGGGAAAATATAAACAAGACTATTCAAAGTTTTGCGGAAGTCAAAGAGGTCGACAAATCAGTCACGTTGTTCAACATAGATCAATTTATTCAAGCTACTAAGCTTAAGGTTGTTCATGATATTTTATCATGTATTGAGGATTCTGAAGATTACGCCAGACTACAAACATTACATTCGATTCAAGATATACGAAGTCTGGGTAAAAAAGTTCTGGGTGATGAAAAGTTACCGGAGCATAAGTTCAAGCCAGAATCAATGTACTCCCATAAAAGAGATCATCAACTCAAGAACCAGATTAATATTAGCTTTGAGCTACTGGATTTGATTGACTTTGATTCTATACTTGGTTTCTTCAAAAGCATTCAATCACTTTTTGACTTCACCAATATTTCAAAATTTTCCAAAATCAGTAGTGAAGATTTTACGTTGAGCTCAATCCTATCATCGAATGTTCTCAAGACTGGTGTTTCCAGTATTTTGATTTTATATGGCCCAAAGCTCGTTTCGGTATTCACAGGGGTCAGTTCCATCATCAAACTCCCTAAAGTTATCACGTTTACATCTGTTGGGCTTTTAATTGGATATCCTATTTACTATATCGTCAAGGAATCTCCAAAAACTGTACATAAAAACATCATCAAAAAAATCAAATCCAATTTAGTAAAAGATGACTATATCCACTTGAATAGTTTACGGATAAGCAAAGAAGTGCGGAAAGTCTTGAACTATCCTGCCAAAGATGTCTCTGTTGGAATCAATGGGTTGATTGAGAGAGAAAGCAATTTGAAACTGAAACTAGTCAACAAAGTAAACCTTTTGAAGGGGAATTTGAAATTTTTACAAAGTTTGAAAGAGCGTGTTGAAGTCCAAAAACAAATTGTTGATGGATTTGAGTTGGAAGTGGATTAATGGATTGGATCAAGGAATGGTAACAAGCATGTTTTTTTTAAGTAACGAATTATTTTTAATGAGTATATAATTTTCAAAGTATTACAGGCTGATAATGGCTCAAGAAGAAGAGTTGAGTTGCAAAGAACTTCTCTATCTACCGACTGAAGGTTGAAACAAGTAGGAGCGAGGAAAACATCTGAACGCAAAATCGTCTCATAATATACTCCTAATGGTGAAGAAGATCCACACGTTACTCTCAGTGTGGCCTAGCAAGGAGTTGCGATAAACAATAAGATAGTTTACAAGATATGAGTAACAGCTGGGCAAGAATATCAAAGGCTGCTACAGCAATTGCAAGACAGACAGGTAATAAAACCGCCCAATCGGTTTGGAGAGATGGAGGGGTGAAATTTCAAAGCACTGCAGCTAATACTGCCCTCAAAGCAGCAGCACCCCTATCGCCTAAGATTAAAGATATTGATCCCAATACGCTTGATCTCCGTGTAGGAATGATCAAAGAGATCAGAAGACACGAGAATGCTGACTCACTATATGTTTCGCAAATACAAGTTGGTCCAAATGGAGAGGACGCAAGCATTTTACAGGTCTGCTCCGGACTAGTAGGTCTTGTAGATATGGAGGCACTCCACGGTCGCCGTATTGTTATTGTGAACAACCTCAAACCAAGCAAGATGAGAGGTGTTGCTTCTCAGGCTATGCTATTGTGTGCAGACGGTGAAACTACTGTTGATGGGGAAACCAAACCGAATGTTGAACCAGTATGTCCCCCGGAAGATGCACCTCTTGGTAGCAGTCTTTCATTTGTACATGAGGATGATGCAGAGGAGAAAGTTTCAACCGTAGATGGCAAAAGGGAGGTCAAGAAACGTATCAAAAGCAAAGCATTTCAGGCTGTATCTGAAGACTTAACCGTGGACAACACTCTGCGTGTCGTGTGGCGACAGAAACATGTGCTGTGCCACGACATAATATCGCGTTGTTGCACTGTCAGTGATCCAAAATTAGCCGGTGCACAGGTGCGCTGATATTCCTTTTTGGGAAAACGAGGGTAGAAAAAAAGTTTCGGAAAAGGATTTTTTTGGAGCTGGAAAAATTTTTATGTTAAATCTTGCACCTATTTCAACTTATCAAACAAGTAATTGATCTGTACATAGTTTTTTATTTTAAAGGCTTTCTTTTTATACATACTTGCAAGAAGAAGATTGTCAAAGGCGCTAACACGAAAATGGCATTGCAGATTTCCCCAAAGGATACCGACTTGCTTTTAAAAAAGAAGAACGTTCTTTCCGCAGATGTTTTAGACAAGTATAGATATGCTGGTGAAATCACACAAACATGTTTGAGTTACCTCATTTCATTGATCAACGATTCATACCACCTAGGTAAGCACGAGCCGTACAGTGCTGCGGAGCTCTGTCTTCTTGGTGACAGTTTCATCCAGACTTTAGTGAATAGCAAATACAAAAAGGTGATTGAAAAAGGTATTGCACAACCAGTTACGTTGGATGTCAACGACATGATTGTTGGCTACTCTCCAGAGCTCACCGATGAATCCAACTTAACCTTCCAACCGGGCGACATTGTCACCATCAACCTTGGATGTCAGATCGACGGTTACACATCCAACTTGGCACACACGATTGTCATCTATCCCTCTGGTTTGACTGCACCAACCGGACCGTTATTGGGCGGACCGGCCGACGCAGTTTGTGCATCATATCTTGCGACAGAGACTGTGGTTTCCTTATTGGCATGTGCATTGAGTCCTGAAAAAATCCCCAACTCTTTACTAAGCGACAATTCTAATAGACATATAACGGGTTCGATGATAAGGAAGGTTGTTGATACCATTGCGCAGTCGTTCAATTGTGCGATTGTGCCAACGTCCAAGGTCAGAAGAATAAGGAGATTTTTGGCTGGCCAGGCCGAGGGTGTGGTTGCTGAAAGAGACTTCAAGGGTGTTGTGTGGTCCGAGATAGACCAAGAGAGCGATTTGTTGAAGAGAAGCAACTTCCAAGACGGCAGCGCTTCTGCCTCCTCTGGCAATACAGACCTATCGATAATCGACCAAACAAAGGGACGTAGCGACATCCAGAACCCAGACAAGGCGATTCCAACCGACGACTTTGTTGTTTCTGCCGGCGAGGTGTACACGGTGGACATCAAGATGGCTCCGATCGACAAGCAGGAGCCTGGTCTCGTCACCGTGGACTCTGGCGATGGCCGGGACAGAGGCGCCAAGCACTCCATTTTCATAAGAGACGTCTCCATGTCGGAGCAGTTGAAGTTGAGAAACAGCAGACGGTTGTTGTCGTTGGTAGACAAGGAGCAGTCTGTGTATCCGTTCAAGCTTGCGTACGTCTCGGAGAGCTTCCCGCTCGACAGCAAGAAGGACTTAGCCGAGCAGTTGGCCAAGATCGAGAAGGACGTGAAGATCTTCAGGTTCGGCCTGACCGAGTGCACAAACAAACAGCTGTTTGTTCCCAAGGCGGTTTTGTCGTGCAAGTTCATTCCGCTGCGCGAGGTCTTGAAGGTGCCTACGTCGACGGGGATCAACGGCTTCGACGCCAGCAACCCTGCGCTTCCCGGCATGGAGTTGCCGCTACCGAAGCTCGGCCTCACTGCGTTGAAGTTGAAGACGCTACTCAAGCACGGCCGCCCGGTCACCGTCTCCCGGTTCCTCTCCACCGTGGCTTTGAGCCCCGACGCCGGCTGTGTCAGGCTCAGTGGGGGCAACAAGACCTTCACCCCTAGCTGGGTCCACTCCGACTACCAACTACAGGGTCCTGTGGCGGCCGCCGTTGGCGAGCTTGCTGCCCTTGTACAGGACGAACGGTTTGGTCTCAAGATCGACGAGTGCCGCGTCATGGACCTCAGCGCCGTCGCCGCCAACGACGACGCAATGGAGGAGTAGAAACCGGGAGATACCTCTCCAGATGTCCACTGTCCAACTGTCCATGTGTCTATGTATCCGTGTATATGTATCCTGTACCTTTCTAACGCATCCAACAGAGGCATGTGCTGCTTACGTAATGATTACGTCAGCGTCGCCCCGCCGCCGCAGACCCCGGTCTGGACCGGTGCACGGGTGCCGCGCCGCGCCCGCCCCCCCCCCTCCGCTGCCATTTTCCGGCCCGGGTCTGCTGCGGGGGTCGGCCCGTTCTGGCGCCCTGCAGCGTGAAGACGTGCCGGCTGCCGGGAGCGCTCTCGCAGGTCCGCACGCTTTGTTTTTTTTTTGGAGCGCCTGTTGCGGTGTTGTGTTGTTGCCCTCCGCGGCGCCTGGGGCAGGCGGCGCATGGAGCAGAGGCAGAGTGGTGAGGCAGGCAGGGGGGCCGGGAGCAGTAGTAGTAGTAGTAGTTAGAGCTGGTGTGTACGTCTGTGTTGAGCAAGGCTGTCAGGGCGGGGTGATAGGGTGTTTGTTGACAGCCAGTGCAAACACACGACACGACACGACACACCGCAGCACATCACAACACGTATGTAGGGTCCAGGCAGGTGTGCCGCCCAGGCGCAGCAGGCAAGGAGCAGAAGCAGGGCAGGGACAGACAGGGACGAGAAGCAGGAGGAGCAGACAGGGGCAGACAGACAGATGGAGTACTGCTGGCGGCTGCTGCCGCCAGCAGTGGAGCAGAGAGCAGGGAGCAGGGAGCAGGGATCAGACAGCAGAGAGCAATGGATGAGCAGTCAGCACAGCAGGAGAGAAGCAGTGGACGTGAACAACAAGGGCGGATCGGATCGAGAGCAGTTGTCTGCGCAGGACGTTGCAATTGCTACAGCAGGGCACGACAGGCAGCCGTTGGAGCTGTGCAGTGGTGTTCTGTAGGGTGGCAGCAGCGATGGCGGCAACGCCGGGCGTCCGATCCGTCGAGATCAGCTGCTGTGCGGAGCGTGCAGCGGGGCTACGTGGACAGCTGCTGCTGCTGCTGCAATTGCAGCCGGTGGTGCTGTCCACCTCCGCCGCCGGCGTCCCCACGTCTGTCTCCACGCCCCCGTTTCCTGCTGTCAGTGGCTCAGAAGAAGTGACAGCTTGCCCATCTGTCTGTCTGGCTGAGCTTTCCTTCTCACACAACGCTGCGACCTGTCGCGCAGCACACAGCAAGCTAACACAAGCAAATACTAACATTATCTTTTGACCACAGAACTCGACAACATGACATTATCACGTGAAGACTCTGTTTATTTGGCTAAGTTGGCCGAACAAGCTGAGAGATATGAGGAAATGGTTGAAAACATGAAGGCCGTTGCCTCCTCTGGCCAAGAATTGTCCATCGAAGAAAGAAACCTCTTGTCGGTCGCGTACAAAAACGTGATTGGTGCCAGAAGAGCCTCATGGAGAATCGTCTCTTCCATCGAGCAGAAGGAAGAGCAGAAGGGCAACGAGTCCCAGGTCAAACTCATAAGAGACTACAGAAGTAAAATCGAATTAGAATTGACAAATATCTGTGACGACATCTTGAACGTCTTGAACGAGCATTTGATTCCAACTGCCCAGTCCGGTGAATCCAAGGTCTTCTACTACAAGATGAAGGGTGACTACCACAGATATCTGGCCGAATTCGCCGTCGGCGACAAGAGAAAGGGTGCCGCAGACGCCTCCTTGGAAGCCTACAAGGCTGCCTCCGAGGTCGCCGTCACCGAGTTACCTCCAACTCACCCAATCAGATTAGGTTTGGCTTTGAACTTCTCCGTCTTCTACTACGAAATCTTGAACTCCCCAGACAAGGCTTGTCATTTGGCCAAGCAAGCATTCGACGATGCAATTGCCGAGTTGGACACCTTGTCCGAAGAGTCCTACAAAGATTCCACCTTGATCATGCAATTGCTTAGAGATAACTTAACCTTATGGACCTCCGACATGTCTGAAGCTGGCCAGGAAGACGCAAACGCAGCTCCAGCTGAAAAGCAAGATGAAAATTAAGTTAAATGTTAGTTTGTTTCTAATCTCTAAAATGATCGAGATGAAGGAAAACATGAACGAATGCCTCGGAATGAAATTGAAATGAAAATGAACCCAGTCAATGAATGGTTTAACACGCTTAACTCAAGAGTAGAAACAAAATCAAAAAAAAATCAAAAAAAATATACATATATATTCAATTCCTTTCAATCAATTCGAATACAATAAACCAAATAATTTCTTTCTTCATTTGCTGAACCTAAACATTTCTTTCCCTCTTTCCCACCTCTTCTTCTGTTTTCCTTTGTTTTGTTGTTTTGTTTTATCAACATCTTTATACTTTTTTACTTAACTGACTTGATTCTTCTTTTTATTAACTATTATTATCATCGTTAAATATAACCAAATAATGCTCTTTCTCCATCACCATGTTAGAAGCCTGGCTTTATTTTGACTTTTTCATCATTCTCCATCTTTCATACTTCATCTTCCTTCCTATATTTTCTATCCTCTATCTTCCCCCTCCCTCATTTTCTTTCTTCTTCCTCTTCCTTTTTTTCCCTGTCTTCCTGTTTCCATTCCCAGTTCGGGCCTCCACTCCACCATGGCTCTCCTTGTAATCGCCGTTGTGGGTCCCGGCCCCGTTCTGCGATCTTTTGTATATTTATCGATTAGCAGAATATCTCAAAATCTAAAGAGGAAAGCGCGTTGGGAGGAGACGCTGCTTGCCCGACAGGGAGAGGTAGAAGGTCTTCTTCAGCTGACGTGAAGTAGGCGGTCTTCATTCCTGGCTGTAGGTCTGTGCGTTCTTGCCTCTTACTAGCAGACTAGACACTCCGCCACTCACAAATCACAATGGAAACAATCAACCTAGATGACTCCGTGGAGCCACGGTACGGCTTTGTTTTTAAGGGAGTCAACCTCTTGGTTGCATTTTTATCTGTATGTGCACAATGAACACACCACATTCGACCTAGCACAAAATACTAACAGAATGCTGTACTTTTTTCTGTTCTCTTTCTTTTTCTACAGGTCGCCTGCGGATTGACCGAGCTTTTCTCCAGATTTGACTACTTCTTCCAGGGGATTTTCGTCATTGGAATCGGGATCCTCATCGGTTACTTAGAATTCCGTATCCCGCCAAAGCTTTTCACCTATGCTTCTTCGTTCTTCTCCTTCCTTGGGAGAGGCGCCATCTACATGTTGATTGCAGTGCTGAACATGCATGGCTCTTTCATCAGATATATTATTGCGTTGGTCCTTTTGTTAATCGGCGTCTTTTACGTTGTATTGGAGTTCCTGCCCTCCATCCACCCTCCTGCAAACATGCAGGGAGAACAGGGCTTGAGCAATGACATCCTTGACGACGTGATTTAGAGCAGAATCACCACGTTGTTTCTATTAGTTGTTCTATAAATATATACTGTGCGTTTCAGAAAATAAACGGATACTAAGCAATTCAAGCCGAAGGGAATTGGATCGGATCAGTTCAGATCGGGCCGAAGCACTTTCTATAGCGTCATCAATCATCACGGTCGTCAACTGGTTTAAGTCCTTGGTCTTTAATGGTCAAGTTTGAAACAAGACAGTACCCCATACAGCCCATCCACACATAGAAAATAGTCTTAATGCTTTTCATGTACAACGCGCGTAGATATTCAGCCTGCTCCGCGGTGTACAAGGTCAAGTTGATCTTGGAATACACAAGCTTCTTCAACTGCACAATCTCCTCGTTGCTAAAGTATTTGTTGCCCGATATTGACAGTTGGCTAGAGATGGTGTTGGCAATGATGGTCGAGGATATTGCAAGACTGATGGCACCCCCTAAAGAACGTAGAAGGTTTCTGGTAGATATCACCGTTGCTCTGTCCTTCTTATACGAATGAGCCTGTGCGGCAACCAGGGTCGGCTGGAATATGCAACCCACTCCCAAACCATTGAGGATCATCGTAATGATGTTCAACCCGTAATTGTTTGTGCTCGACCAAAGATTCAAAAGTCCTAGCGCTAGCATCCACATGCAATAGCCAAACCATGTCACATGCCAGTAGTGTTTTGTCCTTGAGATGAGTTGCCCAGAGCCTACAGAAGAGAGACATTGAGGGACAACCATTGCCAAGAAAAAGCATGATGTGTGCAAAACGGAGTAGTTCTTCACAACTTCAAAGTAGTAAGGGTAGTAGTAAATTGCGCTGAAGTAGCACATTCCAAAAAAGAAATTCTGTGAAAGCAACACAGTCAATGAGAGGTTTGCAGAAAAAAGCCGCAAGGGAACCATCGGTAGCTTTGCCACTCTGTATTCAACGAACAAAAAGACAAACACAAACGTCCCCCCAATAGTGAGCATTGCAATTGTAAAGGCACTATTCCATTCAAAAGTAGACCCACCTCCACTGATAGGGATCAAAAGAAAAATAATTGCAATAGAACTTGATAAAAATCCAAAGTAGTCGATGTTCTTGAGCTTCTCCTGAATTGTATTATCTGGCTTTGTGTATGGTACGATTTTGAAGACAGAGATGGTTGCACAGAGGATGATCGGAAAAAGAGTGAAGTAAAACTTCCGCCACGAAGAATGCTCAATGAATCCCGCAGCAATAAAGGGACCAATGGCATTCCCTAAGCCTACAAATGCTCCAAGAATACCCTGATACTTCCCCCGCTGTTCTAACGTGACAATATCCGAAACAATGACCGTCGTTAACGACGTGATCCCTCCGGTGCCTATACCGCAGAAAGCCCGACAAATGTAAAACTGTGTTGGTGTCTGTGATAACCCACAGCCAAGGTCAAAGAAAGCCAACACTACCATCGATGCTATCAATGTATACTTCCTTGAAAAGATGTCACTGAACCGGCCAAACAGAATGGCAAACACCGTTGTGCTGATCAACGAAGATGTACCAGCCCACGATATCGTCTGGTGTGCATGCAAGTCGTCCGCAATATATGGCAACGCCACAGTAACTCCCGTTTGGTCAACGAACGCTAGAAACAAGCCAATAGTCATGGAAAGAAACACAATGATGAGCTTCCTCTTTGAGAGGAGGTTCTCATGTGAGTCTGCCATCCTTTGCGCAAGATCCCCAGTGGTCTTTGTGTGCTGCAGCACTGCCTTCTCTTTCTCCAGATCTGAGAAGTCTCGAAAATCACCAGAGTTTAGCATTGTAACTGGATTGTCCACCCCTTGCTGTAATTTTTCAGCCATTATTTTACCGTTTCCATCTAACACGGTGCTATTGGTATTTTGACTATGCATAGCGCTGTGACAAAAAAAATTAAACTTAATTGAAGCATTGTATCTTCTCCATTAGAAAAGATTCAGGTGAGACAGCAGCAGAAATTATCCGATGGGAATCGAGTTGAAAGAACAACCCTTCTATTTATGTATGCCCGTTTCATCCTGCAGCTTCTATCACCGAGGGCACGAAATCGCTCACCTGAAAAAAAAAACGGTCTGCAAACAGTAATTTTTTCTTATCTTTGGGAGGATGAAAACCGACGCTGTTTGTCCAAAAATTAAGCTAATAAGTAGGCAAATGGTAGGCGAAGGGTTGCCGACAAGACTAATGCTGTGGTTGCTCTTTTGGTCTTGTGTTTTGCTTTCAATTTCATTGTGAGAGCAGGACCAAAAACGGAGAACTAAAGCCAACAGAGCACGAGACCGAGGTGTCGGAGTATCTCCGAGAGGTGCGGAAAAGCCTTTTCCGCAGCGTAGTAAAGACGGAGACGTTCCTAGCCAAAGCCATTGATGAGGAGAGCAGGCGGAAGCAAGGCGGAGCAAGACCGAGTTGCAAGCGGGCTAGGTGCAAGTGGCAGTAGCTAAGGGGACACAGTTACGGTACGTACTCAAACTGAGCTGTTAGTGTGGCGTGAAATCATGACCATCGTTATGGTGCATGATCTTTGATACGTCTATAGAAATTAAATTTTCCGTTCGGCCTGTTGGAGCCCGCCAAAGTTCATGAAAATGGACGGTTTTCACTCAATATTTGTTCTATATTTTACCACTTTTAGCTTTATTGTGAAAAATTTGAGGTAAGCATGGTACTGCAGTAATATCTAAAGATATATTTATTATACACCGGTATTGTAGACGCGTTCACCCCAGCATTGGCTTGCGCCAATTGTGCAAATGATAACTATGTCTTGCAGATTATAAATAAGGCAATCTTCAACTATTATGACTACCAACTTGTGTCTGACCTGGAGACTACATTTCACGCTCTTTTATCCATCTTAACCAGACTGCCGCCCATTACCCTTTCGACAGAATTAAGTATGCACATCTTGAGCAAAATTTTAACCTTTTCCACACAGTTCTTATCAAAAGATTCATGGTTTGTTTTGTACAATTCAAATGTGATTATACCCTGAATATACGCGTATCAAGAAAATAACAAACTTAAGAAGTGGAAACTTTGAGCTCTAGATTTTATTAGCCACGATAGATAAACTTTAACAGGTATTGATTTGATGAGACTTGTCTGTCCTGGTTAATGTATCCAGATTTTATGGTTTTATTTCTTGTGTTGCTACTTATCCGAAATTTTTATGTTATGTATAACTTACTGAACGCTGAACTATCCTGGTAAACATAGTTATATCTCAAGGTTTCCTTTTCTTTATTTATCAGTTATTTAATACACATCAAGTATATTTAACACACTAATACACTCAGTATCTTATATATAAATTAAGTGGGAAAACGACTTGTAATTAAAAACTTGTTATTCTTTCCGGATTCGACTTATCCTGATGCCTCATGATCACCAGAATTTGATCCATGTGTTGCAATCTCATAGATTTCTTTGAGATTTTATCTCTTCCGTATTATTGCTTCTGTATTGTCTATTCCGTCTTATCTCTTGCTTATGACTATATTTTTTTCACTCACAGCATTACATTAAACAATATCACATGTGATTTACCGACAATCCTTCAAGCATGCTTATATCCAGCCATACTACGTAAGCAATTTTAGCTTTTAGATTATTAATACATTAGCTGTAACTCTTCCAGCCCCCTTGAAAGCCGTAAATGACTGGATGGCCAAGTTGGTTAAGGCGTGCGACTGTTAATCGCAAGATCGTGAGTTCAACCCTCACTCCGGTCGGATTTTTTAAACTGGTCTCTTTTTTACCCCCTGTTATGAGGAAAAACGCGCTAGTGCGTCGAGTTGAATCTGAAGATTTCCCCTTTTTGTGTAATACACTTATCGATGTGCATCGCTGTGCATCGATGTGCATTGTTTTGTAATGTTTGATACTGTTTCATAATGTTTAGCATTGTTTGACACTGTTTTAACTTGGCATATCATTGTAATGGGAAAACCAACCACAGAATAGGCCCGCATTTTTCGAGACTGTGGACACCGCCGCTCATGTGGAGTCAAGTGATAACAGGGCAATAAATCTGGACTAGCAGACACGAACTATACCGTGTTTGCCTGATTTCAGAGGCACGTATTATCCACGAGGTAATGGAATGGACCAGCGTTGGAGTTGGAGGTGGTGCAAACTATGCAACCATGTGACCTAAGTACACTTCTCTGTCTCTTTTCTCATTTTTTATTCTTTAGACATCTTTTCTTTGGCCATCAATAGATATATCAGTTACAAGCAACAGTTGACTTCTCATCTAGAGAGACAGACAAGGATAAGAATCTGACAAGAGGCTAAGAAGCGTGGGGAAATTAGGAGCTGAAAGGTGGTTGTTATAACAAAAAGTTAGACTGAATTTTCCAATCTATAGTCATAGTGTATAATATCAAGGTATTGAATGACATAGAAGAAAATGAGTTATGACAACATACTAGGCCTTGACAGTTTCAGTGAGGCAGACTCCTCTTTTATTTTTGCAACAGAAGAAACATCACAGCCAAACCCAGCTCTTAACCTCAATAGTGAACCATTGTTTGAAGATGAAAGTAGTGGAGAAGAGGAGGCTATTGAAGCTCAGAGACTGAGAGATTTAGACCATCAGAGTGAAACGCCAGAAAGAGAACCATTGAGAGTGATCTATAATCTGAATAGACACAAACCTTTCAAAAATAGAGGAAGGAAAAGTAAGGACAAGTTTGTATTTGATCCAAAATTGTCTGCGCTTGAAAATTTGAGAAAGATACCAGCATTCGAAGATATAGAGGATATGTTCATTCCAAAAAATGGATTATTTGAAACAGAAAACCAGTTGGAAGAGTATCAGAATGCTGTGTACAAAAATATGGTCTGTAAAGAGTATGCTACACTTAGATCGTACTTCTGCGTTCTACGACAATTTAAGAACTTCATTGAAGAGACGACAGATCGACCATATGCGTCAAACACTGATACGACGATTTCAAATTTTGTCGAGTTTATCAACAATCACAGTAAAAAAGACTCTGACAATGAGGACGTTGAAAACAATCATAATGATAATGGGAATGAAGCTGAACCGAATAACCTAGATTTGGACCTGGACGAAATGGATAAGGAAAATAGAGATCCAAATTCTAACTCGGACGATGTTGAAGAGAATTTTAGACAAAGTAAGAGGAGATTGAGCAGTGTCAATCGGGAAGCATTGAAAGCAACAAAATTTTCAGGTTCTTCATTCAAACAGCTTAATGCGGCTTTCAAGCTCTTGTATACCTCGGTATTCAACAAACACATGCGGGATGATAGTATGTTCATCTCATTTCTCGCAGAGAAGGGACATCAGGAAAAGTCTATTAAGATTAGTGACAAAAACAGGGCTTTGCTGAGCTCTAAAAAAAGCTGCTCTTTTTCCTACGAAGAATACTGTAGGTTGATGAGAAGACAATATAAAAACATGTCGGCACTTTTACCTTCTGAACTTTCATTTGACTCTCAAGAGAGTGCCCCACGGGTCTCCAGTATGGAAAGTTCATCAAACGAGGGAAGTACCGACAGAGATGTGAATACAAATACGAATCAGCAGACGGGGGAAGGGCAGTGCCTGAGGGATCCGGAAAGTGAGAGAGAAGATTACAGGAATAGGATGAAGATTGCAGTAGGTATGGTTGAGAAATTCACCGACTTATCGTCATCTCCCTATATGATGCTGGTTGAATTTGCACTATCTTTCACTTGCTTATTCTGAGATACCACGAAGAAGGGGATTGAAATCCAGCATATTGCTGCCAATATGACGGGGATGCCCAACACGTCGAGTCAAATGGGGCTTTCCATAGTAAGGGTCAAAGAGAGAGTGAAGTCGATCAAAAAGGGTTTCTTTTCATCCTTCATTTTAAGACACAGAGATCCTGTGATGTGTCCCGTTCTGGCTGTGTCAATGCTGATGTTTATGAAATTGAGAACACAGGAGCAGTTTGACAAACTGAACGAGGGTGGTAAACGGTGGTACAATGAGCTTCTGATGGGGCATAGTTACAGTACATCAAAGGCCAATATCGAGAAGGCATTTGCTGAGGAGCATTTGGTGATTGCATCCAAGACACATGCTGGGAGAAACGCAGGTGCAATCTATGCGAACGAGAAAGGTTGTGACCACAAGCAGTTGTTAGCAGCTGCTGGGTGGTCGACGATGAAGGAAAGAAGTGAATACACGTATATCCAGAGGTCAAGTTCGGACATTCTCAACGTCATGGCCGGCTTCGAGGTGAAGGATGTGTATCACGTTGAGAGATCACATATACCTGTGCCTGCAACACTGAAGGATAAAGTTTTCCCGTGGATGAGTGGATACACTTGGGAAAAAGAGATGAATGGTCTCAAGAAGACGATGGAGTTCTATGCAGAAGTGCTACTGCAGGACATGCCGTTCATTTTTAAGCAGCAGCCGGACAATTGTCTGAAGTTCGTCGAGCCCTTTTGCACACTTGAGTTCCAAGAGTTTGAGAAAACAGTTCTTGAGAAAACTCAAAGTGTGAGTAATGAGGAGGAGACCGTGCATTCAGATGATTTGAGGAGAGAGATCCAGGACCTGAAAGAAAAGAGGAAGGTAGACTCGGGGAAGATCGATACGATGATGTCGCTTTTGAATGAGATACACCGCAAGCAGTGCCATCACGACATCCGGGAGATTTCTTTGCAGAATGGATACGACATCATCAACACAAGCATGCGCACTGCGGAGGTGCATGTGCAGAAGTTGTTGCAGAAGTTCTACTCCGACATGAACGAGCAGTTCAAGGCCGCCACGCGGGAGATGAAGAATCAGATGGAGGTGACGAACGGGCTGATCGAGGAATTTCTCGGGGTGATGGTGACGATGCGAGGCGTGCGTGAGGACCACGAGAACAAGTTGCGGGTCATCAACGGGATTTTGTCGGCACTGGAGAGTCGGTCGACGACAATGGAGAGAACGATTCGGACCTTTGAGAGCTCGGAGGTGGCCCAAAGCATACTATCTCTGGGCGCCGCTGCGGCCAAGGCTGGGAAGGGAGATGGCGATGCTGCTGCAGAGGGCGATACCAGTGTTGCGGACGTCACGTTGGTGAACAGCGACGAGGCCGAAGCGCCTGCCGAGGCGCCTGCCGAGGAGGAGACACCCGACAGCGGAGAGCCGCAAAGGAAGAAGGCCCGGACCAGTGCCGACACCGGCATTGACAGTGCTGCTGCCCCCGCCAGCCCTGCCGGTGGCGCTGCCGGGGCATACAAGTACGACTCGAAAATGCCCTTTTCCAAGTTCATTGCAGACTGGTTCTGCGGGTGTGCGGAGTCGGAGCACGTTCCGTTGGTGGACATCCGCACGCAGTGCCGGGGCTGGATCAAGCACAACAAGCCCAACAGCTACTCGCGGTACCGGAAGGTGGCGCTGCTGCTGCGGGAGCTGTTTGGCGCTGTTGTCGACGAGTCGGCGGCGCTGCGGCAGATCGACCGGGTGATGGCTGTGGCAGCGGCGGAGACGCAGACAACGGTGCCCCCAAGAGTGCGCTACGTGCTGCAGGACGTGGGGAAGCTCTCTACGTTTCTCATTGGCAGCGATCCGGAGGGAAAGAGTTTGTGGCCGAGCGCAGCGGACCGCAGTCAGGTGTTGAAGGATGCGATTGTGCGTGCGTGGGAGCAGTGCAAGACGGACTGACCAGGTCCGGGAGAGGACAATAACCCGAGGCGAGGCGAGGAGCCAGGCGGAGACGAATAGGTGGGGAAGAAAAAAGTCCTCGGGCACGGGGTGCGGGGCCCGGATAATCCGGGCGTACTGCTGCCGCCGGCGGCTGCGGCGGGGGAGTTTTTCCGAGATGAGGAGGGGGCGAGAGGGGAAAAAAAATTTCAGCCAACGGCGGAGTGATGCGCCAGACGTCTTCGGGGGTGGCGGCGGCAGATGTTTAGGATGTAGTAGTATAATGTATTAATGGGTTATTTAGAGGGTGTGAATACACACGGGGGAGGAAGCAGAGAGTGGCGATTAGGAAAGAGTTATGGGTGTAGCAGGGCGCGTGGCGGGGTCCGCCGGGGGACGCTCAGTTCTTCTTGTTGACCGAGAGGTCGAAGACGCCGCCGCCGAAGACGGACGAGAAGACGGACGACGAGTTCTGTCTCTGCATGGCGTTGGAGCGGATCTGGTTCATGATCTGCTTCTCCTTCTCTGCGCCGTAGTTGAGTCTGGCCTTCTGTGCCTCGGACTCGGTGCTGTTCTGGGTCTCTTGCTTCTGGGAGAACATGGCGGGGACTGTGGGGAGTGTGTGTGAGTGTGTGTGGGCTGGCGGGTGCTTGTGGGACTGGTGCAAGAGCAACGCAGAGCACCACAGGGCACAGCAGACGGCCTGGAGAGAAAAAACAGGCGAAAAGGGGAGTATTTATTTATGTGTGCTGCTGCGGTCACGGCCAGGGCAGGTGTGGAAAAACAGGCTGGCAGCAGTCCGCGCCGGGCGGGGCGGCCCGTTTCTCCGCGGCGCCAGCGCAGCAGAATCAGTCACCGCTGCGCTGCCGCTAGCAACTCCGAGCGCGGAGTCACGGTGCGCGCGACGCACGCCGGGGGGCCAAGTCAGCGCGCGGCGCGGAACGAGCACCGCCACGTCCGGATTTGCAAGGGGTGCGACGCGTCGGTGGCGCCACCGACGCGTCGATGCTTCCGGCAGTACCGACGCGTCGACGGCTACTCCCCCCACCACGGCGGCTGCCCGATTGGGACGCGGGCGATAAGCGCCGCCCCGGCGTCGGCGGCAGGCGCAAGCGGCCGGCGGCCCGCTCTGACTCACCGCCGGCCGCTCTGGCGGCCGGGGGCGGCGGCGGCGGCGAAAACGGGCGGTGGTTGGTTATCTGGCGGCGGCCCGGCGTCGAGACGCATCCAGGGTCCAGGGCCCGGCGTCGACGTGCCAGGAAGGTTGTCGTCTTTGCAAAGTGTCCCCTTTTTCTCCAGACTGGTGTTCTCTTGCAGGTCTACTGTGTGAGGACGTGCATAGTCAGCTCAGAGTCTAGGACCTTCAGCCGACAAACACACCACACACACAATCACCATGTCCGCCAAGCAAATCCTCCTTCTCGGCTCGGGTTTCGTCGCCCAGCCTACCGTGGACATCCTCGCCAAGCAGCCCGGCGTCGAGGTCACCATTGGGTGCAGAACCATCGAGTCCGCCAAGGCGCTCGCCGGCGACAAGGCCAAGGCGATCTCCGTGGACGCAACAAACCAGCAGGAACTGGACGAGGTGGTCAAGAACTACGACCTGGTGATCTCGCTCATCCCGTACATCTACCACGCCAACGTGGTGCGTGCGGCAATTGCGTCGGGCCACACCGACGTGGTGACTACGTCGTACATCAACCCAACGCTCCGGTCGCTGGAGCCGGAGATCAAGAAGGCCGGCATCGTCGTGATGAACGAGATCGGCCTCGACCCGGGCATCGACCACTTGTACGCGGTCAAGACCATCGATGAGGTCCACCGCGAGGGCGGCAAGATCACGTCCTTCCTCTCCTACTGCGGAGGCTTGCCTGCGCCAGAGGACTCGGACAACCCCCTCGGATACAAGTTCTCCTGGTCGTCCCGCGGGGTTCTTCTTGCCTTGAGAAACTCCGCCAAGTACTTCAAGGACGGCAAGGAGGTGTCCATTGCCGCCGAAGACTTGATGTCCTCCGCCAAGCCTTACTTCATCTACCCGGGTTACGCGCTCGTGTGCTACCCGAACAGAGACTCCACCACCTACAAGGAGCTCTACGGCATCCCAGAGGCCGAGACCGTCATCAGAGGCACCTTGAGATTCCAGGGCTTCCCAGAGTTCGTCAAGGTCCTCGTCGACATGGGCTTCCTCAAGGACGAGCCTAGCGAGATCTTCGCCAAGCCGGTCGCATGGAACAAGGCTGTCGCCGAGTACATTGGCGCCAAGTCCGCCTCCGAGGACGACATTGTCGCCAAGATCGACGAGCTCACCAAGTTCAAGGACGACGCCGACAGAGAGAGAATCCTTGCTGGCCTCAAGTGGTTGGGCATGTTCTCCGACACCGCCATCACCCCAAGAGGCAACCCATTGGACACCCTCTGCGCCACCTTGGAGGAGCTCATGCAGTACAGCGACAACGAGAGAGATCTTGTCGTCTTGCAGCACAAGTTCGGCATCGAGTGGGCCGACGGCAAGAAGGAGACCAGAACCTCCACCTTGGTCGACTACGGTGTCCCAGGCGGCTACTCCTCCATGGCTAAGTTGGTCGGTGTTCCATGTGCCGTTGCCGTTCTCGAGGTCCTCAAGCACCAGGGCGCCTTCGCCAAGCCAGGCTTGTACGCCCCAATGACTCCGGAAATCAACAACCCTATCATGAAGACCTTGAAGGACGATTACGGCATCTTCTTGACCGAAAAGACCTTGTAATTGTGTTCGTTCCAGTATAATTGCGTAGCAAAGACATTTCTTCTATCCCCATCTCCGCCTATCTCGCTCGCCTGTTTTTACCGCACGCGCTGGCCTGTTGCACCCTTCAAGAGGCCTTCTCTTCCTGCTGCACCGGCAGCTCCAGAACCACGGGGCAGCTCCGGCTTCGGCCTCGACAACCGCTACCCACCACAAACTCAGAGACCATGTTCAGAGGGCTGAAGAACATAGCGTCGGACATCCGCAGCGAGGTCTCCTCCACGGAGCAGACGGTGTACGCCCACACCCACTCGCACTCGCAATCGAGCACGGGCTCGGGCTCAGCACGCACAAAGAGGTTCCTGCCCAACTCTCTCAGCAAACACAGCAGCAACGGCACCAATGGCGGCGCCAACGGCAACGGCAGGGGGAAGTCCAAGTACAGACTCGACGAGGAGCTCGACGGACGCACAGAGGACGACACTGTCGTGCACCGGGCGCTCGTGAGGTACTTCCGAGAACAGGGCAAGGCCGTGCCGGCCTATCTTGGCGGCAGCACTGTTTCCCGCTCCGCCGGACCTTCTGCGTCCACTTCCGTCTCCACAACCTCACATGCGCCTAGAGACGGCACTTCGAGGTTTTCCCACGGCTCCCGCAGGTCCCACGGCTCCCGGAACTCGTACGGGTCAGTCCCGACGTCGCCCTCTGCTTCGACGTCTTCTCCAGAACCCGTCCAGACCCAACCGCACGCTCCACGCGTGGCACCTGTGCCGCAGCAGTACAGCGCAAATGCTTCCACCGCAGCACAGAGTCTGAACCAGGGCCGTCCCGGCCTGGCCAAGGCCGGAAGCGACGATTACAGGTTCAGCAATCACCGAGAGCGTCCTGCGCTGCAGCATCGGGCCCAATCGCAGCAGCAGCAGCAGCAGCAGCAGCAACAGAGAACAGCCCCGCTCAACGGCAACAGCGTCAGCAGCACCACCACCAACGGCGGCGGCACCAGCCCCCGGCTACACAGTCGCTTCAGCAGTGGCGGCGGCGGCAGCATCAGCGGCAGCAGCAGGTTTGGCAGACGCGTGCAGTCCTAATGGGCCTTCTTCCTGTCCTGTCCTTTCCTGTTCTATTCTATCCTTCTTTCTCTCTAATATGTACCCTATATCGCCAAAACGACTCGCTGGAAACCCGCGACAGCACTTTTGCAACAGCCATGAAACAACGCGGCGAAAAGGAACAAGAGGAAAAGAGGGTGTTGCGATGTTGCTGTTGTATCACAACTTGGTTTTTGTTGTTGTTAACGGGTTCCAGATGATGTTTTGGCTGGCAGATATAGAAGATCAGGCAGCTAGCAGGACATGACAGCAGGCGAAGAGAACAAGCACGCAGCACATGTGGATGGTAGCGGGGCCGACGAGCATGGCGAGGACGAGTACTTGTCGAGAAAGGCGTTGCAGCGGTACATGCACACAACGAAAGTGATGCAGGAGCAGGGGAAGAAGCCGGAGGATGCCAGCAAGGCGGCGGAGAAGGACAAGGAGGGCGGTAAAAGCGGTAACAGCGGTAGCGGCATTGCCACGGAGAAGGAAAGCGACAAACAGGGTGGCAATGAGGAGCACGACTTCGAAAACATTCTGCGGCTCGACAGTAATGGTGACGCGGGGGCAGACGGAGACGGAGATGACAAGCTGCTGAGCAAGCTTGTCGACGAGTCCAAGCGCAAGAGAGGCGGAGACGAAGAGGAAGACGGAGATGGTGACCGAAACGACGTGGAGGTTCTGGAGGACGACGATGACGATGATGACGACGACCTAGTCGCCAGTACAGGGAACGGGCTCCTCGAGAGCTTGACGACCGATATCGAGAAGTACCACAAGAAGGTCCAATTGAAGAAGAAGTTCGACAACTCTGCGCTGGTTATGGAGAAGAAGATCTCGCACGAGCTCGGCAGGGCTGCGGAGGCAGAGACGGGAGCCTCGGCAGAGGAAGACGAGGAGGAGCTCAACAAGAAGAGGGCACGGAGCACTGGCACGGGCAGCGACAGCAAGGAGCAGATGGAGCTTGACGACGAGGACGGCGAGAGTGCGTACAAGCGGAGCAAGACCCCGATGGCCGGACGGAAGGTGTCTTCGTGGACAAAGGCGGAGGACGACGCAATAGTGTACTACAAGGAGGAGATGAAGTACTCGTGGAAGAAGATCGAGGAGCTGCTCGAGAAGAAGCACTCGTGGCAGGCGATCCAGATGCGGTACTTGCGGAACCACAAGTCCCGGAACGACGAGTGGTCACGGTACATGGAGATCAAGTTGATCAACGCGATCCGCAAGGACTGGGAAAACAGGTGGAAGCGCATCAGCGCCGATCTCGGCAGAGACTTCGGCACTGAGCGGTGCACAACCAAGAATATCGAGATCTGCAAGAAGATGGAGCTGCCGTACTACAACAACGTCTTCAAGAACAAGGAGGTCACCGTCGGGTACAAGAACCAGTTCAACGACATCAAGGACGCCGAGGCCCACAAGAAGTTGATGTTGGTCTACATGGGCTTGGACTCCATCACCTACGAGGACAGCGACAACGAAGACAAGGGTCTGCTCCCGCACGACGCGGACGAAGGCGACGCTGGTGACGCCAGCACGGGCGCCGATGCTGCCGATGCCGATGCTATTGCCAAAACCACAGGCGGCCCCACCACCACTGCCAGCGCCGCCGCTGATGGCGGTCCAGACGACGGCGGAAAGACCGACATCCACATGAACATGAACATGAACATGGGCATGATGGGCATGAACATGGGCATGAATATCGACGATGACGAGAACGACGTCCACGTCGCCGACATCGACACCGCCAACGTCGACCCCGCTATCACCGGGGAGAGTATTACCAAGGACGACGCCTGACATGGTGCCCCCTTCCCCGATTCTGTATTATCTGTATATCTATCTATCGACATATCTATCTACCCACCCGTCTATCTATCCATCTGCCCCCATTTGGCCATCTGGCGATTTCCGGTTCTGTTGCAACGGGGCACGAAAAAGAAAAGGCTCGCCATCCGCGGGCTCAGACCTGACGATAGTGACGGTGTGATGGGGAAGAGCAGAGGAGGAAGAAGAGGGAGACGGTGTTCTGTGTGCACAGACGGGTGTTCTGCAGAGAAATCAGGGGCGTAGTGACGTGAGTTAGCACACACCCGGGACAGAGAGCACCAGGAACGGAGACAAGCAAGGTTTTAGCGCAAAAATGGGTCTCAAGAAGCTGTTCAAACCGCCTAAGGACATTGACGACAAGGGGACGAAGGAGCTTTTGCGGAAGAACGGGGTAGTGGTGAGAGACGACATGAACTACCACCGCAAGAAGTTTAAGTTTGGTGAGTTTGGGAAGTTCTCCGAGCAGCAGGCACAGAACCTGGACACGACGTTGAGACCGGTACTTCCTAACTCGCAGACCGGACAGGCAAACTACGATCCAGCGGCAAACCAGGCGGACTCTAACCAGGGCTACGGGTACGACGAGTACGCCAGCAACTTTAGAGGGCAGGGCAGATCGGGCCAGCCAAATGGCGCTTCGAATTCGTACTCGTACTCGTACTCGGGCGGGTATTCAAACCCGGACTACGGCAACGGCAACAGCTACGGCAGGGGCGGAAGCAACTCGTACGGTTATGGTTACGACGACTCGACGGCGTACAGCTCGAGGACCGCACGAAATCCATCCGAAAGGGCCACGAAAGCCAGACAGAATGGTGACGGGACTCCGCAACGAAGACCCAAACAAAACAACTATCCATCGTACTCGTCTTCGACATCGACGTCGACCTCGACGAACTCCTACGGCTACCAGCCGCCAGTGGCCAGCTCAAGTGGAAATAGCGCTAGAAACGAGGTTGAAAACAGCAGCAATACAGGCCCAGGCAATGGATACGGGTACGAACCTTCCATCAACAATTACTCGGGCTCAAACGGCTACGGCTTCGACCCGTACGCAGATACTGCAGTGACGGCTAACTCCGTTGACGCCGTCACCCCGTTGACCAAAACGAAGACTTCGAACACCACTGTTACACAATCAACGTACGACCCTTATGCGCCAGGTGAGGAGCCCCATGCCGATAGTGCCGGCGCAGGTACCTCTGCGTCTGCGTCTGCGTCTGCGTTACAAGATAGCAGTGGTGGATATGGCGCAGGTTACGGGTCTTATGAACCTGATGTGAACGACTACGGAGAGGCCGATGACAACGCCACGGTGACCGGAGAACAGGTCAACGGTCTCGCGTCAGGCATGCAGGAGCTACAGTTGCAAAAGGAACAAACGCGGCAAACGCAACAAACCCAAGACCAGGACTTCGATCCATATGGGCCATCTGCAACGTTGCAGACACAGACGACAACTACTACCGACCTGGATTTGAACGCATACGAACCGACTCCCGAGATGCAAGAACAGAGCGTGCCCTACGACGAGGACGAGTTCGAAGAGGACGTGGATGAGGACGAGGAGGAGTTGAACCGGATACAGCGGCAGACGAAGGACGTCCGTGAGGACACGGTCAATTTGTCACGGACGCTTGTCGACAATTTAGGACAGGCCAACGTCACGGCGACCAACACTTTGGGTGTTCTGGGTAATCAACGTGAAAAGGTGTACGAGATGCAGAACAACATTGGCACAATGAAGGTGCAGCAGCGGTTTGTGGACGACCACGTCAAAGATCTAGAGCATTACAACCGTAGTTTGTTCCACATCAAGGTCAACAACCCGTTCACGAGGAACTCCAGAAGGAAGGCGAAGGACCAGGCGTTTTTGGCGCAGCGACAGGCCGACCGGGCGAACAAGGACCAGTTGAACAGCGAGCTCTACCAGTCCCAGCGGGCTATCATGGACCAGTTGAAAAACGACAACATCAAGTCCGAGTTGCAGGAGAAGTATGACTACGACCGGCGTGTGAAGGAGGCCGCCAAGTACTTGACGAAGGACCACGACGAGGAGGACGAACGCATGGAGGTGGAGATTGCGGCCAACGTTGAGCATGCCCAGAAGCTGGCCAACAACTTGAAGAAGAAGGCCATGTTGATGAACAGCGAGATCCAGCAGCAGAACGACGACTTACACGACGTGAGTGGGAACGTCGACTACATGGACGACAAAGTCGTTATGACCACGAGGCGCATCCGTGGCATCTAATATATATTCATAGCACACTTTGTCACGTATGTATTTACACTACTGATTAGTAATTCCCGATATACCGGGTTCACCACCTCTTTCGTTAACTGCTGCTCCCCGCGGGCGAGTCCAATGCGGCCGAAAGCGATAAGCTCCCTCGAGCCGAGACCGGTTTGCGATAAAAGGCGAGAGATTTCCACCTTTTGCACCTGTCTTGTTTTCCTCGAACAAGGTAGCAATTGAGCCACAGTTGTGTCCATACAGAACCCATAGAGAACCACCCTGACCCACAATGGCCTCTGCTTCTGTTCCTGCCGAATTTTTCACCAACCTAGGTCCGTCCGGACTCAAGATCTCCCGTATCATTGTCGGATGCATGACGTTTGGGAAGAAGTACTGGTCCGACTGGGTGATTGAGGACAAGGAGAAGGTGTTTGCGATCATGAAGAAGTGCTACGATAGCGGCTTGAGGACTTTCGACACGGCAGACACCTACTCGAACGGGTACTCTGAGGTCTTGCTCCGGGAGTTCATGGAGAAGTACAACATTCAGAGAGACAAGATTGTCATTTTGACCAAGCTCTTCTACCCGGTCGAGCCGGACGTCCCCGGGTTCAGCGCTGCGGCCCGGAACCAGTTCCCTGTCTATGAGTTTGTCAACAGCCAGGGCTTGTCTAGAAAGCACATCATGGACGCTGCCAAGGGCTCCAACGAGCGGCTGGGCACGTATGCGGACGTGATCCAGATCCACCGGTTCGACCCGTCCACGCCCATCGAGGAGACGATGGAGGCCTTGCACGACATTGTCAAGCTAGGCTACACCCGGTACATTGGCGCCTCCACGATGAGAACGTACCAGTTTGTCATGATGCAGAACGTCGCCGAGAAACATGGCTGGACCAAGTTCATCTCGATGCAGAACTACTACAACTTGTTGTACAGAGAGGAGGAGGAGGAGATGATGGAGTACTGCAAGCTCACAAACGTCGGCGTCATCCCCTGGTCGCCCAACGCCAGAGGCGTCTTGACCCGGCCGCACGGCGCCACGGGCGAAACAAACAGAACCGCCGCCGACGCCCACCGCATGAAGAAGCTCGGGCTCGACGTCTTGGGCGACGGCGATCAGGAGATCTTGCTCCGTGTCGAAGAGGTCGCCAAGAAGCACGGTGTCTCCATGGCCGTCGTCTCCACCGCGTATGTCCTCAGCAAGGGCTACTCCCCAATCGTCGGCTTCAGCAAGCCTGAGCGTGTTGACGACGCCGTCGAGGCCTTCAGCTTCTACAAGAAGCTCACGCCCGAGGAGACCGCTTATCTCGAGGAGCCATATACCCCGAAGAAGTGGACCTGCTAACTGTGTGTAACTGAAGAACAGTTTTATCTATACTCTACTCTACTCCTAACCCTATCGTCAACTTGACATTTCCCCTTTAGGCAGTTTTTCCGACCTTTTGCGCCGATCGATCCAACGCCCTTTTTTCCGACAAAGCCGAGCTTCGGAAAAGGGGGCCGCGGCCAGCGAGCCTGACGGCAGTGTGTGTCACACGGAGCGGTAGGCAGGGGCGGAGGAGGAGTTGAAGACAGTGTTGATGGCGACGGGGTGTTGAGAAGGAGGCCTGTGCACACGGGGAGGAGCCCGGAGTTGGTGTGCACCAGAAAGCAACACACAGCAGCGCAACGATGATCCCCAAAAGCCTCAGGGAGCTTATCCGGGTGTCAAGAAAGACAGCCAGAGAGTTCAAACAGGCGCTGGAGGATGTTGCTGAGCTTATCAGGGAGAAACAGCTCGAGCAGTCTCTGCAGAGAGAGCCTGTTCGGGTGCCTGTGAGAAACCAAGCTCGGCAGCATCCTCTGGCCGGCCGTGTGTACAGAAGACAGTTTTCGACGAGCCGGGACGTGAGTGCCACGTTCCGCAACATGAACAAGAACGTTCTGCTCAACTTTGTTCGGGCAGGCAACAGCACGGGCGCCGCTGCGTCCCGCAACATGACGCCCTCGCTCACAAACACGCTGAAGGCGGCGGTGTATCAGACACAGCCCTTCAGAGCTGCGACGAGAGTGCAGATGGGCCTTGTGCGGGGCGGCATCGGCAGTGGGATGTACAGACACTTCCCTCGACACAACGCGAGGATGTTCTCCACGTTCGGGCCCAACATGACCCGGCAGGCGGTGGAGAACCTGTCGCAGGGCGTGCGCATGTTCTTCGTGAAGGGCGGGAAGACGTCGCACGACTGCTTGACCCACGCGTACATGAACGACGTCGACATCGGCCACCTGCGTGCCGACGAGGCGTTTGCGGCCAACGACATCGACCTCGCCAGCACCGTCAGCGAGACTGCCGGCTTGAAGGAGTGTGGCTGCATCGTCGAGTTCGATATGGCCACTCCTTCCATCGTCTCTCTCGTTCCGGAGTCGGGCTACTTCGACGACGACCTGTCTTGCAAGATGGAGACTGTCTACGAAACGTCCATTAAGGTGCAGCAGAAGGTCCTCACCGACATCAAGCTCTTCCGCGAGAACATTGGCTCGACAAGCTACAAGTTCGACAAGCAGCGGGAGAAATTGCGATTCTACTGTCCGAACTGCGACGTCACGAAAATGGAAAGACTTCTGCTGGAGTCGTGCATCACGATGGGTGTGGTGAAGAGAAACGAGAGCATCGGCTCACCAGTTCTCGGCGAGCTGTCTGATTCCGAAGGGTCCGAGTTCTCCGGCCCGGAACTGGAAATGGACTCGGACTCGGTCCTTTCTTCCACCCTGTCGTCCGGTAGTTCCGACCGCTACAACCGGTATTCATACCTCAACGGCGTGGAGGAATTCAGCGACGGCTCCATCCTCTCCACGTCCGACGAATTCTTCGAAGTCTCGTCCACTGCTATCCGAGTGTAGCACAATGGGTGGCGGCGCAGCCACGGTTCTTGGTCCAACATGCATGCATCTATGCACGGGAAGACAGGGTTACGCATTTTTATTTTCTTTCAAATTCAGTTCAGTCATTGGGACTAGTGGATCCGGTTTTTCTTTCTCTCTGAGCGTCAGGTTTCAGGCCTAGGGCGACAGACTCTACGTATGGTTATTTTTATTTTCTGCACAATCAAGACTTCTTCTATCTAAATATTTAGTGTTTTATATACAACGCCAATTCGCCCCATAGGCACTGGTTACACACGCCTTGTTCACCCCCTACACACACACACCCGTCTGCGGCGAGGAGCGAGCACCGGCTTCCTCTTCGGGAGCTGAGGAAGAGAGCTGGGATTACTTGACTGATAGGTACCTGGCGGTGGTAGATCAATGAGCGTGTGGCCGACCTGGCTTGGGACCAGAGAGACATAAAGCCCCTAAGCGACTATGTCCGGAGAAACACCAGCCACAGGGATGCCAGAGACGACAGAAGGCGCCAATTCCCAGCAATCGTTCCACGACGACTCTCTTCAGAGGGGCGGACACGATCATGGCAACAAAGACAGTGACTCCAGAAGCACGACACCGAGCTTTGCCGACGCTGCTGACCAAATGGAAGCGGAGGCGCAAGACAACGGCGGTGACGGTGATGGCGAGTCGATTGATTTTCTAGATAACTACATTCCTTCTGAATCGGCGGAGACTGCGAAGGTGAAGGAAGTGTCGATCGATGACGTAGATGAGCCTGGAACGGGAGAAAAAGAGCATGTGCAGGAAGTGGAGCAAACGCAAGAAGAGGCTAAACCTGAAGTTGCAGGAAATAACGAAAGCACCACCACGTTGACGAAAGCGACAGAGGAGCAACCGGCAGTAGCCAGCCTAGAGGTACCTCAGACGAAGGACGGGGCAGAAAACGCAGGTGCCAGTGCATCGGCAGACGAGAAAGACTCTCTGCCGACCAGCGTCAGCATCGGCGACATGGAGTCAATTGATTCCGAGGAACAAGGTTCGGTCATACATCATGAAACACCACACGCCACTACAATTGCTGCTGCTGCTGCTGCCGTTTCACCGAAAGTTAGCATAGAGGAAAGCAAACCGGAAGAAGAGAAGCCAAGTCCCAAATGGTTCAGTTTCGAGGAGCCAGACTTTGACCAGGCGATCCAGAATATAACTTCACCGCAGAATATGAACCTTGCATACCACAGGTTCCAGGATAACGAACACGAACTAGAGCTCAAGTCGACAAATGACAAGTCCGACGTGAAGAACAGCAGGAACAGCTTGAAGAAGACATTCAATGAAATCAAGACGGGCGTGACTGTGACACAAAACGATGCTCTAATCAATGGGATCAACTGGGAGTTCTGGTCGGAGGTCTTCAACGATTATAGCAGCATTGTGAAGAACAAACAGAACGAGTTGAAGATCAATATCACCAACGGTGTACCAAAGGAAATTAGAGGCATGGTGTGGCAAATCATATGCGATTCGAACTCCATGAAGTTGAAGGAATTTTTCATCAACACAAAAGACATCAAGAGTGACTTTGAAAAGCTGATTAAAAGAGATCTTGCAAGAACAAGCTTCATCAAGGATAGTGCCATCAAGGAGAAAATTGACGACCTCTTCAACATCATAAAGACCTACAGCTTGTATGACGAGGAAGTGGGATACACACAAGGCATGGCATTTATAACTGTTCCACTTTTGATGAACATGGAGTCAGATGAAGCCTTCTGTATGCTTGTAAGACTAATGTTCACTTACGGCTTCAGAGAGTTTTATTTACCCGACATGCCCGGATTACATTTGAGGATATACCAATTTGACAGATTGATCGAAGACACAATACCTGAGCTCCACTTGCATCTAAAGAACCAGAAGATCAAGTCTTCGATGTATGCTATACAGTGGTTTTTAACACTTTTTGCGTACAAGTTTCCATTGGACATGGTGCTAAGGATCTATGATGTCGTTGTGGCGGAAGGTCTAGAATCGTTGCTCAAATTTGCGTTGAACTTGATGATTAAGAACAAGGACCATTTGCTCAAGTTGGGCTTTGACGACCTGCTCGACTTTTTGAAGGAGAAGCTATTTTATTACTACTTGGCTGTGCCGGACTCATCAAGGGAGAAGGACAAGGGTGAGACCGAACAGGAAGAAGAAGAGCAAGCGGGGGAATCCAACACATACCAGATAGACCGATTTATCAAGGACTCGATGGAAATCAACATCCTTCCTATCACCCTCAACAAGTACAGTGCGGAGTTTGATGAAATTGACAAGCTTGAAAAGCAGCGTGAGAAACAAGTAAAGGAGCTGCAAGCGAAGAACGGTCTGTTGACCAAGGAGATACGTAAGATCGAGGCGTCTTACGCGCTATTGAACAAGGAGCATGTTGAGATTGCCACCGAGATGGTGAACGGCAAAGTGAAGATTGGAGCCTTGGAGGAAGACAACAAGAATTCACGGGAAGAGATCGAGAAACTAAGGACCCGGTTAGAAAACTTGACGTCGCAGAAAAGCGGCGGAGAGCGTGTTGACTTCAGCGGTCAGTTGTCGCAGGGCTTGGACAAGGAAATTCAGAACGCGATGGACATCAACCTGAAGGTGATGGATCAAAACCGCATTTTGGAAGACACCCTTGCCAAATTGGAAGAGGAGAACCAGGTGCTGAACTCCACATCCCACAAGATGAGACCGGCCAAGCTAGGCTCAATGTTTGGACTGAAGAAGGGCGGCAAGCTGTGGTGACCGTCCCGCCGTTTCCCATCTGTGTCAATCGACGGCTTTTCTATATCTCTATATTTCTATATCTGTATGTCTGTAATCAACAGCTATCTCACTTTATCGTGCTATGGCGCCGACGCGTCGATTTTCTCTTTCTTTCCCGAAGAAGGGAGCCGTTCTCGCGAGGTTTGTCGAGTGAGGGAGGGAAAAACGCTGATTTGAACTGAAGGCAGAGAAGGATGCCGAAGTAGGGAGAGGAGGGTGTGGAACGGGCGGTGGAAGAAGAACAAGGGGTTCCACAAGCCAGAACAGAGAAATGATGATGATGGATTCCGTCAGGGCGTTCTGCCAGAGTGCGCAGAGCGGCGTGAGGGCGTTCTCCACGTCTGTGAGCAGCAATGCGAGAGCGTACAAGAGCGTTGTGAACAGACAATTGAAGCAGAAGCCAGAGTACAAGGTTGGCGACGCCAGACCCAACAAATTGTGGGTTCCGAAGGAGGTGAGCAAGTATCCGGAATACCCGTACGGCGAGGCCCGCATTTTCAGAAGAGCCGACAGAGGATTGTACGGCGGACAGGTGATCACGTTTGGTAACAAGATCTCCGAGATGCGGAACCACAACAGAAGAACGTGGTTGCCGAACGTGGTTGTGAAAACCCTGTGGTCTGCTGCGCTGAACCGCATGATCAGAATGAGACTCACTGCCCGCGTCTTGAGAACGATCACCAAGGAGGGGGGGTTGGACAACTACGTCACCAAGGACAAGGCTGCGAGAGTGAAAGAGCTCGGCATTTTCGGCTGGCACCTCAGGTACGACGTTCTGAGGGCCAGGGACGCTGCTGCGAGACCGCCTGCCTACGAGGTCGTCAAAAGGGACGACGGCAGCGAGGCGAAGGTGTTCTTCAGGGGCGAGTACCGCGGTGCGCCAATCCAGTTGGCTGTGGGCAAGAGAAAGTTGCTGGAGACCCTCTACCCGGCCGTGAAGCAGAACACTGTTGGCGAGCTCAAGTTTGGCCAGTTCAACGTCCCACGGGCCGCCAACAGCATCGAGGAGATCCTCAAGGAGTGCGAGGCGCTCAACGTCGACCTCTCTGGCTGCACCGTGTGAGCGGCCCGACCCGACGCCTGCGCAAGCCTACCTACTGTACATATAGAAGAAGCGCCCGCATATCCGTCTGCAGATCGTGACCACAGACTCTTGCGTAGATAGATAGATGATCACTGCATATAGCAAACAACCCGCAGAACCAAATGTAATTTCCCGATTGGGAAACTACGCATCTGCAAAAACATGCCAGCTAAAAACGCAGTCACAGCGCGTCCACCCCCGCACCTCACACAAGCGCTTTTTGTGCAGCGGCGGCGCGGGAAAGAGAGAGAGAGCCAGTGAGGGCAGAGGGGCAGGCAGGGAGAGAGAGGGAGACAGGGTGGTGGTCAAAATTTTCAGACACAGGTGGTTGAAGATCGGACCTGTGTTGTTGGAGGGGGCGGTTCTAATGAAGAGCATTTCCACAACACACACAACATGGCTGCATCCGGTATGTACAGCACAAGCTATTTCCAAAGGGAACGGTGGCGGCGAAAGAGCCGGACAGAAGCGTGAAGAAGACAGATAACGAGAGACGGCGATTGCAGAAGAAGCCAAGTGGAAGTCGAAGTTCAAGCGACAGCCAGAACACAAGTGGGCGTGCTGGCGACACTTACAGCTGCAGAGCAGCAGAACAAGCGCCGGAGACTGGAACTAGAGCAAGAAACGTGGGCGTCTGGAGACAGACAGCACACGCAGGGCATCACGACAGCAAGAACACACGAGGACCACAAGCAAGCCAGCCCAGCCAGACGACAAGAGTTTGACCAGCCAGATCGACGTTCGACAGTGGAAAACACGCAACCCGGCCACGGCCAGGACCCACCCTGCGCTCTGCCACTCCACCCACGCTGCCCCACAAGCCCATCCTAGAAACAGCATTACTAACATTTCTCCCCCTCCCCGCACTTTATTCTTCGCCAGGTATCATTCTTGGTTTAAACAAAGGTCACAAGGTCGAAGCTAAGGCTGTCGCACCAAGACAATCATACAAGAAGGGCTCCAAGTCCAACAGAACCACCTTCGTCAGATCCTTGATCAGAGAAGTTGCTGGCTTGGCTCCATACGAAAGAAGAGTTGTCGACTTGATCAGAAACTCTGGTGAAAAGAGAGCTAAGAAGTTCGCCAAGAAGAGATTAGGTACCCAAAAGAGAGCTTTGGCCAAGGTTGAAGAAATGAACAACATCATTGCTCAAGCTAGAAAGCACTAAGTCTCTTGGTGTCGACTTTATAGATTGTCTCTAATGTTTAATCTCTAATACATGTATCCTCTTTGCGTATAAGCACGCCTGGCGGCCGGGGTCTTTCCCTGCTCCTCGTAGTCTGTACGGCGCCTGGGAGTCGCTTGCTTAGCTACACGCGACGATTTGCCGGTCGTGTGGGGAACCGCATCGAAGGCCTGTGTCTGCTATTCCTGTGTTTCACCACACACGGTGTCGAGCAGTGACTGCGGGCCTGGGCCCCGGGTGCAGTGGTGGCCCACAGCAGAGAGAACAGCTCGACCACAGGCATAGATACCATGCTTAGACTCGCAGCAGCTCCGAAGAGGCTTGCGTTCTGCACAAGCGGCAGCCGCCACTACTCCGCCGCCTCCGGCAGCACGGGCGGGAAGCCGCCGTCGTTCTTCCACAACGAGGCCAACTTGCCCCGGAAGATCGAGCCTGTGCCGGGGGGCACGGGTCTGGCACAGAAGGAGGCCGTCCCGTTGCCGCCAAAGACCCACCTCGAGGGCGGTTCCGGCGCCAACACCGCCGTTGCCGGCGCCAAGCCTGCGTTGGCTGTGCCGCAGACGGTGATGCCGCCGAAGCCGCTGTTCGCTGACGCCGCCAACACGCCGCCGCCTCCGCCGCCGGGCCCCTCTGCCGACACGTCGAACTACTTCCGCAGCTACAAGGACTTCTGCAAGGGCATGGCGTACCTCGGCGTCGGGATGGGCGTCATCTTCTTCATGTTCGACCAGCACGAGCGCCTCGACGTCAGCGAGAGACAGATGCAGCTGATGAAGAAGAAGCAGAAGGAGCTGGTGCTGCAGATGCAGACGTACAAGAGCAAGCTCAACAAGGTGGCCGTGGAGAACGCCAAGAAGAGCGTGCTCGTGCAGGGCAAGATGCAGATGCACGTGGCGCTGCTCCGACAGCAGCTCCTCGACCTCGGCGCAGACCCGGTCACCATTGCCGCCGCCATCGACAGGTTCGAGCAGGACGTGAAAGTCGACGTGGCCCCGAACACCGTCGAGTTGTGGGTCCCGGGCGAGTCCAGCCTCAAGAGCCTTATCCCGGACCCGCACGAGTACAGCAAAAAGAAGTAGTGTAGCCCTTACCCAGCATATCCGCCCCGCCACCCTTCTGCATTACCTTACATACTTTCTCCGATCCCTTTCTTATTCATATAGCTTTTCCAAAAGTACAGATAGACCTCTTCATACTCCCTTCTGCCCCCGAGGAAAATACCCTTATCCCAAAACCCTCCCGGCCTGCACAGCCCGGATCCCGCGCTGCAAGTATAAAAGGAGCCCGCTCCGCTCTCTTTTGCCATCTCTGCCACTACCCCCCGTGTGTGGAGGCTTTTTTTCCGTCGCTTCGTTCTCCAACAATGATTTTTAACCATTAGGCGCCCATTAGAGTTGCGACACAGGTCTACTCCATACCTGTGTAGTGCTCCGGGTCAGCCTTAGATTGATGTTGGAGAGACGGACGTCTCTCTGGTTTTTTTCGGCTTTTAAATGTCGTGCCGGCAGACTTTCTCTGTCCCGGCTATGCGGCCCTTAACTCACATTCATCCCCGTTTCTGTGCGCTGTGCTGCGGCGTGGCGTGCGAAACATGCTTAGACTATAAACAAACGTAGCTGTAGAAGATAAAGGCAGGCGAGCCGGGCCTCAGCGCACAAGCCTGGCGTCCAGCAGCTCCTCCGCCCGCTGCTCCATCTTGAACTTTAACAACTTGGGCGTCGGGCAGCACGGCGACCGGGCGTCCCTGCCCTCGCTCTCGTAGAACTGTTTGCAGCACGCGTACAAACGGTCGATGTGTGCTGTGCACTTGGACTCGTCGAACCCGTGTTTCTTGAGACAGTCCTGGATGGCGCACGCCTGCGCCTTGCATGGGTCCACGCACTTCCCCATTTTCGATCCTGCTGTGCTGTGTCTGCTGTGCTGGCTGTTCTGGCTCTTCTGCCTGTGTCTGCTGTGCTGGCTGCTTCTCTCCGGCCCTTCCGCAGAGAAGAGCTCCCCCCGACACCCTTGTCCCTGCCCTTGTCCCGCTGCAGACGGCCTGTCTGCTGTCTGCTCGGCCCGCACCGCCGCCCAATCGGGCAAGTCTCGACGCTAAGCGCCCTAGCAAGCGATGCCGCACGGCCAGAGAAGCAGACGAGAAAAAAGGAGTCATCCGGGGCCGTCTGGGACCTCTGGCCAGAGCCAGAGAGACAGAAGACGGAGGTTGTTGGCGCACTAGTGCTTCTTGTGCGTAGGTTGAGGCGATCAGGAGCACCGGTGCAGCCAAGAACAGGACACCCGTTGACGTCTACACACACACACACGCAGCAGCTATGTTTACGGCGACACTAGGGCCCAAGCTGGCCGAACTCGTTTCTCTGTCGCAGACAGCAGCAGCAGAACCAGGACCTCTCCGGGAACAGCTGTCGTCGGTGTTCGGGTCGATCTCGTTTGCGTGCTGGATGATCCTCATGGTGCCGCAGCTCGTGGAGCAGTGGCGGCTCAAGACGGTGGACGGGATCTCGCCGCTGTTTCTCCTCATCTGGTCGTCCGGCGACGTGTTCAACCTCGTTGGCTCGGTGTGGGCAGGCTTGTTGCCCGAGGTGACGCTCATCGCATGCTGGTTTCTGCTCGCCGACTTCATCACGCTGGCGTTCTACCTCTACATCGCCGTTGTGTACGACAGGAGACGCAAGGCGAGGGCCGAGAGAAGACAGCGCTCCGCCAGCACGAACGTCGTCGTGGAGGACGAACCGCTGCTGCTCGGAGAGCACGCAATTCACTACGAGCACGAGGTGCCGGTCCCTGCGAACCAGGACCTGGAGTACGGCGCCACCGACAGCAGCCAGCCGCAACCCCCCCACCCCCACCACCACCACCACCACCACCACGAACACACTGACAGAAGAAAGTCGCAGTCTTCCACCCTCCACGACATAGTGTACGAGCCAGAAAACCACTCCATCTTTGTCAAATATACCCTACCAATCCTATTGGTCATCTGCGCAGGCACTTTCGGATCCATACTCTCGCCGAACAAGGTTGCGTCCGCCTCCTCGGCGTCGTCCCTGCCTCCTGCAGCCGCCGACAGCATGCTCGGTCCTCAAATCTTTGGCTACCTCTCTGCAGCACTGTACCTCACGGCAAGACTGCCGCAAATATACCACAATTACCAGAAGAAGTCGACCAAGGGCCTCTCTTTGCTTTTCTTCCTCTTCACCATGCTTGGGAACATTACCTACAGCTTGCAGATTGTTGCATACAGATCCGATTCCGAGTATCTAATGCTCAATCTCAGCTGGCTTCTGGGCTCGTTTGGGACAATCGCTGAAGATGTCATCATCGTGACACAATTCTACCTTTACAGACACAGCAGCACCAAATGATTCGACTGGAACAGGTAATGCTGCTCGATCTATTATATCTTATCTAACCAATATATATAGTATGTTACTTATTGTACTAATAGAGTCACACTTCTCAATTAGCAGATCCTCCAAAGCTGCCCACATATGTCCATCCGCCAAACTGCTTCTGCACAGACTCGCTGAGAAAGTCATCCACTACAGAATCCATTGGTCTCTCATCAGTAAATTCAGAACTGATGTTGGATATATCAAGCGAATTTTTCACTTGTGGCTTATATGGAGGGATATAGCCCTTGTTGGTGAGTTTGACCCAGTCAATGTCCTTGAAAAATTGATGAGATTTTATCTCCGACACTCCATGGTACCCAAGTCTTTGTGCAGGGTCTCTGTTCAACAACTTGGAAATCAAATCCTTCGTAACAGAGTCCATGTCACTAGGGAAAATCAGAGGGTCTTCCAGAATCTTCTTGTACATGATCGAAACGTCTTCGTCATAGAAAGGCGGTAAAGAGGTCAACATCTCATATAAGAGCACGCCCAACGTCCAGAAATCAACTACCCTGGTGTACCCCTTGTTCAATAATAATTCTGGGGCTAAATACTCCGGAGTTCCACAGAAAGTATTTGTCTTCTGGTCCAATTTCATGTTGATTTTACATAAGCCGAAATCACAAAGCGCAATATGACCTTGGTAATCCAACAAAATATTCTCCGGCTTGAGATCCCTATAAACAATGTTCATGGAATGAAGTGTTTCAATTGCAGATAATAGCTCACAAATGTAAAATTTTGCCCTTATCAATGGGAACCTTCTGGCTTTCTGTAAATGATAGAACAATTCACCACCGTTGATGAATGACAACACAAGATAGAGCTTTTCACTTGATTGGAACGCAAACTTCAATGGTACAATGAATGGACTATTGACCCTACTCAAAACAAATTTCTCAGCCAACGTATGGGTGACTTCCATCTTATTGACAATGTGAGCTTTCCTAATCGATTTTAGTGCGTAAATCTTACCTGTATCTTTCTTTCTTACCTGCATGACCTTTCCAAAAGATCCCTTTCCTATAACTTTCAAAAGATCAAAATCCTCAATCGACAAAGGTTTGGATTCCTTAGTCAAAGGTTTGAAGTCCAGTGTAACATTGAGAGAGCCTATCAGGTCATCATCTGTGTATGGATTTTTCAGATTTATCCATTGATGGTTCAGTAGTCTGACTGGACGCAAGTTATCAAAAGAGTTTCTATTGAGGTCAGACAATTTGCACATTATTGAGCCAATCAAATGATCTTCTTGTTTATTCGACTCTAGTAAGGAGCCTGGAATCCTGATATAAATTTGAATCGTTAAGATCGCGTTATTTGGAGACGTGACATCGAAAGTCGTGACACTGTTGAACTTTGTATGTGCAATGGTATTACCAACTGAACTTATTCTTTCACTCGAGTTTTCAACTTCAATAATAGCGTAAACAAGGTTGTACTGGGCAATAACATTTTTGTTTGGCTCTGCAGAACTGTTAATTCTCAAAGTTGAAGGGAGATAGTAAGATAGATTAGTATTTGCGGCTTCATCTAGAGATTCATTCAACGCATCAATCTTCTCGTTCAGCTCTTCCTCATTAACATGCTGACCCAAGCTTGCCAGTTTGGAAAGAATCTGTTTATTGATTCTCAAAGGCACTGGAATCTCCAAGTCCTTGGAAGAGTACACTTTAACAGTGAGGAGTCCAGGCTTCATTCGGTTGGAGGAGTTCTGCTGGTTCAAAGACATGCCATAGCTGCTTCCAGCAGAGGTTGATACCTCATCGTCGTTTTCTATGACAGGATCTGTGTTCTCCAGGTTTTTGGTAATCAAAACTGGCTCCCTGTTCTCCTCACTTAGGTTCAACTTGTCAACACCCGATGATATTTTACTCAAGTCAGAGCTCGCTAGCGTCTTTCTAGAATCACTGAAAGTTGCTTGTCCATCCACGGGTGTCTTTGATGCTTCTCTACTGTAATTGTGGCCATAACTTCCGCTGTTGCGGTTGTTGTTTTCGTTTCCTGCTCTCTGATCGTCTGAACTGTAGTCCGCAGAGGCCCTCGACGAAGGCTGATGCTCGTCACCTGACGTTTTGCTCTTGAATAGCTTCTTCCAATTGGACATGTCCGCTTGCACTTGTATACGTCAGATCCTTTTCCTCTGGTGGGGGCCAGCAACCAACAGATCAAGTTCTCAGCCTCTGTCTCAGATGGTCGTTTCCTTCTGTTTGTTTGTTGTTTCCGCCTCCGCTTTCTCTCTCTCCCACACATTTTTTTCTTTGTATTTCCTTTTTCGGAAGAAGAAGAGCGGCGGCTGCAGGCGAAGTCGGGCCATGAGTTCCGAAATGAAAAAGATAGGATAGTCATTTCTCCATCAAAGTCGAAATTATGGGCTTCGGTAGAAGGGTAAACCAACCGGAGAACACGGAAAAGATGAGGAGAATTGCGTTTGAATTGGAATTGGAAGTTGTTGAGCTGGTCAACGTGCCTATGTTTGATGATACCGAATGCTACATAGTGAGTACGATTTCGAACGATAAAATCAAAAACAACTACAAAAAGCTCCACATATCGAGTCACACAACCCATCCCGTGCCCATAAAAAACCACAAGGTAAGGTTTGGTGATGTTGGAAAGCAAAGCACGGAGTTCAGGCTACAAGCCCAGTCGAATTCGAAGGGAGATGTGTTATCAGATAAATGGTTGTGTATTTCGTTCATGTTGAAGCATCAGGATCGCCAGGAGCTACTTGGTATTTTGACTTTGAATCTTACAGAATACGTCAATGAGAAGAGCAAAAAGGAATTAAGGTTTCTTTTGGAAAAGTCGAAGACGAACACAATTGTGAAACTCAACCTGCAAATCCGTCATCTTGAGCATGATGAGTCTGTGACATATCAAACAATAGCAAAAGAACAGGCATCACCAGCACACAGCCTTGAATCATCTGGACTGCTTCGTCTGTCCTCGGTGAAGAGCACTAATGAGCTATCTAGTAGGGGTGGTTTTAGCATGGATGGACTTAGGACACCAACAAAACCCTCCTCGACTGCTGGCAGACTTGCATTACAGGTGCCTTCACCCTCTGCACTTAGGAGCAATAATTCACTGCTAGAGAGAGCAAGTAGTAGACGCAGCTCAAACCCTGGAATGAATTCTCCTTCTAATGTCTCTACCCCAACTTCTTCTTCACCACGTTCACCTAGATCCAATAAACTACAATTCTCAACCTCTTCTTCGAACGTCACTTCTCCAACTCTGGCCATCAATGCAGGGCAACGAGATAGTATGAAGAATACAAGTACACAGACGATGATGAACGATGCCTGCGAGAGTGCGGTAAATGATGTCTCTCTGTTGGACGATCTTATCAACAAAACGTACAGATTCACTTGGCAATTGAAGTGTACGTCATATGAAGAATTCACTCCTGCTGAGTGCGTCAAGGACATCATAGAGAGAAATGGAAATGGGTGGAAAAAGAATGACGAAGGGGTTGATCTTGTGGATGTTGTTGAAAACGAATTTAAGGAAAACTCTGTGCAGCAACGTAATAAATCATCACTGTTCTCTCTTAACACCAGTGAAGACTTACGGCAGAGAGACCACAGAGAACCGGACATATTCTCTGAGTTCAAGGGTTTTGAGAGCGTGCAGTTGAATGAATCTGATGAAGACTCCGACGAGTTTGATCACAGGCACGGCCACGGCCACGGCCACGGAAGAGGAGCACTTGATGATGACAGCGATTCCATATTTTACTCGTATTACAGCAGAGACCGGCATGACGCCTCGAAGATTAAAAGGTACAAGCCACTCACTGAGGCCGAAGTCCGTGAAGACTTGAGGAGTTGGCATATAAGTGCAGAAAGTTGAAGATCAACAACTGTTTACTATTTACTAATCTTCCTTTTTTTATTGTATCGATTTTTCTCTTGCTCCCAATTGGGAGGGTAATCTAGTAGTACATAATTTATATTGCATATCTCGGGTGGATATCGCACACTTGGAAGGAAACTCGGATGCAGGTTCCTTCGCTAGGCAGCTCTTTCAATACCATCACTATCGTTTTCCCACTCATCGTCCGACACGCCGAAGTCGAAATCAGACACAACATCATTACGCAAGTTATTATCGACGTCCCAGAGACGATCATCATCGTCTTGGGTTGATGGTTCATTAGTGGTGCCGTCTTCAGGATTAAGAGAAAAGTCTCCAACTTTGAAATCTTGTAATTCTAGGTCGTTAGAACTAGAAAACCTCATGTCTTTGGCTGAAGGTATTTCCAAATGAAAATCTTCGCCATTGGTAGGGCTTTTATTATTGTCATATTGTACATCTGTATTTTTTTTGTTTCCACCACGGATATGGAATTTCCTCAAATTCCCGTCTGCCCCTATTGTATTTTCAACATCTGAATTGAAAGTAAAACTATCAGGAGATTGTCCCAAGCTCGAGTACAAACTAAAGCTGCGTCTAACTTTGATGTACAGCCGAATCATGTAGTTTCTGGTGAATGGGATAAAGTAGAGAAGTATCATTATTAGGGTAAGAATGGGAAATACTTTCATTGCTGTCGAATGGTTCGACGATTGATAGACAAACTCAGCCTCATCATCATCGTCACAACTCTCATCACCGAAACCACCGTTGTTGTCAAAGTTAGAATCTTCATCTTCATCGTAACCGTTGTCAAAATCATAATAATAATCCATTGCTTGTTCCGTGGTCGTTGCAGGTGGCTTGGCGTGTCCTGCCTTAGTGGCCTGATTTTTGAGGTCAAAGGTGTAAGTCGGATACTCATCTTTCAACTCAAAATCGGGACGTGTAGGCACGCCTTGTTGTTCTGAACCATGATGGAAGAACGTAGGAGCGGAGTTCCTATAGTAGCCAACACGCAATTCTGGAGGTAAGCTTGCGTCGGTTCCGTTGACAAACTTGGCGTATTCTCTTGCAGACTCATCTGCGGCATACAAGAGGGCTCTACCCAATGTCCACGAGAATTTGAAACCATTGATTTTGTCGTTGATCAATAGGTGGTTGGCCATTTTATTTGCATCTGGGTCCTGGTCCAAATCGGAGTTCAAGGGCAAGCCATAGCCGCTATGTAGTAGGGCTGTTATGTAGGACGACTTGAAACACATATTTGTGATCTCATCTGTGGAAAACCTCTTGTGGTTGTCGCTGCCTCCGTAATGCTGCAAAGAGGTGAAATCCATGTTGCAGATTTTTTCTGTTGTTTCTGTGAATATTTCCGGATGATAGACGACACTGTTGGAGACGACTGTGTCTTTGTTCTGGTTGGTGAAGTCTAGGAGTTGGATGACGGCGTCCCAATAGCCCGATATTGCAATGAAGTTGTCCTTATCCAAGCTGAACTTGGGCATGATTGGGTTCAGCATACATTTGGACACCTTGACCGTTGTGCTGTCCTCGTCCGGCACGAGAAGCGACTTGCACTGCTCGTCATTGTCGCCTATGATGGAATATATGTTGTCCATGCATTGCTGGAAGTCGCTGGATCCATGGAGAATGTATTGGTGGCTGTTGAAGGTGAAGGTATCCGAGTACTCTTTCGGTAAACAGGGGTCCAGGATACCGGAGTTTTTGTAGGCGCCGTCCTCGGCAGCTCCAGCTGCGTCGGCAGCGGCAGCTGCCAGCGAGGACTTCTCGATCAGAAAGAGAAGGTAGTCGTGGTGGAACTGGTTGAGCCCGTAGCCGAGGAACGAGGTGGAGAAGAGCTGGTAATTCTGGTCCAGCTGCAAGTTGACGAGCTGGACCGAGCGCTTCTCTGTCTCCGCGGCCGACGGCTGGAAGCAGATCTGCGCAGACCCGCCGCCCAACTCCAGGACGCCGTAGGTGGACGCCGGGTTCTGGGCGGTGCGGTTGCCGTTCAGCAGGTAGTTGACCGTGATCCAGCTGTACAGGCCCTCCACGTCGCCGTCGAGGATGTTCGCGTGCGACGCGCAGTCGGGGAAGAAGAAGTCTGTGTGGTCCGCTAGGTAGCCGCAGATCTTGTCCAGGATCTTCGACTGCAAGTCCGGGTCCAGCGCCCGCAGGCCCGCCGTGGCGTGGAAAAGCACCGGCGTGCGGTAGTGCTGCTCCACCGGCACCAGGGCGTACACCTCCGCCACAAGGTGGTCCAGGTAGTTGTAGAGGTACGAGTTGTGCAGCCCGAAATCGATGATCGACGACTCGATGCTGGGCTTGATGCGTTTGTGCCAGTGCTTCTCGTACCAGAGCCTGGGCAACCCCCAGGCGCCCGCCTCCGACCCCGCCTTCCTCTCCTTCCCAAGGTGGTGTTTTGCCGACTCCCACGCGTACACGTACGCCCGGGAGCCCTTCGATCCGGCGTCGATCACGACAATGTAGTTGTAGGGCAGCTCGTCATTATCGTAGACGGGCGCAGCAGTCCGCCTGGCCGACCCAGCCTGCTCCGACTCTCGTGGCTGCAACAACGGCATCCTTGCTCCCAAACACCGTGCTTCGCTTGCTTGCCGTGTACTGCTGGCTGTTCTCCCGAGTCGGTGCTCGTGCCTACTCCGCCTTCTCTGTTCATCTTGTACTTGCAGGCTCATCTTCTTCTTCCGCTGAGCTTCACGTCCTCCCACCACCCTCCCGCCGGCCCCTTCTGCCTCTCCTGGCTGGCGAGAAACGTGCCATTAACTCGCTGAGCCCGATTCGCTCCAACCCGGGACGATCGTCGCGTTTTTGCCGTCGACGCGACGATCGTCCCAATTTTTGCTCGGAAGAGAACACGCTCGCTTCCGGGGTCCTGGTCGCGGGGCCGGAGGGCGTCTTTGCCGGGGTCGGTCTTCCTCAGAGAGCCAATCAGCAGCGAGGGGCACGTCAGCGAGGCGACGGAGAGGCCCCCGGGTGAGGATGGGACGCTTGCACACGCTCAGACGGTGTGTGGCATCAAGAGGAGCAACGCTGAGCAGAGAAGCTAGGCAGGGGACGGGGCAGGGGGTCGGAATAGATGGTAGGACACGGAAACTCAGGCAAAGATACACGCATCCCCGCATACAGCCGGCACAGACACGCCCAGACACACCGGACACACAGAGATCGCCCCGCACACACACACGCACACACACACACACAATGTTAGCATTCACATCCAGAATCGGCCTCGGGTTCTCCAGAAAGAGCATCCTGCAGTCCACGATTGCATACAGATCGTTCTTCAAGACGATCCCCCAGCCACCGGGGAACATCATCGGCACCGTGAACGACGCCTACGTGCCACCAAAGCCAAACAAGCTGCACGGGTCGCTCCACTGGACCTTTGAGAGGGTCGTCGTGTTGGGCATGACGCCATTGATTGTTGCGCCCCTCGTCACAGGCTCGTCGCCATTCGACGGCGCCATGTGCGCCCTCCTCTTGTACCACTGCTACGCGGGCTTCCAGTCCTGTATCATCGACTACATCCCGAAGAGAGCCTTCGGCGTCTTTCACTCCCTCGCCATGGGTCTCTTGACCTTCGGCACTCTTCTTTCCGGCTACGGTGTGTACAAGATCGAGAACGAGGAGCAAGACGGTGTCTTCGGCATCTTGAAGAAGTTGTGGAAGGCTTAGGTAAGCGGCCCCGGCCTGCACGCCCCGGCCTGCTCCACTGAACATACTCTATTTATTCCGGCACAGATACGCCAAGCCACGCATCGGTCTGTCCATCCCCTCCGTTATCATTATTATTCAATAGGCTTAAAAGCGTCCTCCCCCATTTTTTTCTCTTTATAAACTTATTCAGTTCTGTTAATCTCTATTGACAAAGATATACTCCTTACCGAGGCAGAGTCACTGGATCTGCCGACTCATCTCGCCCACGCGGGCCAGCAGCCCGCCAAGGACGCCCTGGATGTCCGCCACGTCTCTCGTGCCACCGGTTATCCCCTCCACCAACACGGTTCGTCGGAGCTCGTCGATGCTGTAATCGAGCCCCCCGCAGCCCGTCTCCCACGCCTCGTCCTCGAACTCCAGCATCTTCTCGATGACCCGCAGGTCTGTGTCGGGACAGCGCTCCGTCACCCCGAGTATCAGTTCTGCAAACTCGTCAAACCCAATCTCAGACCGGCCCCAGCATACGCTGAACAACTGCTCTATTCCGCCCGATTCTCCTGCCATGGTCGTCGTCGTTGCAAGCGTCGGGACCGTTGCAGTAGCAGTGATCTTTTTCTTCTGTTTTTTCTTGTCTCCCTGCCGGTCTAACCCGTCATACCGTTCGTTGTACCCTACCATATCTGCTTCCGCAGTGCTTCTGGAACAAGTTCACTGTCATAGCACTTATCCTCCTTCCCTTGCACACTTCAAGGTTTCTGAGCACCCCGATCCGAACATGCTCTTGATGTCCATACTATATTCATGGCGCGTATTGCTCCCTACACTAATTTGGTTATCCATTTTGGTTTCCTAAATCTGCACTCGTTAGTATAATCGTACGGTCTCTATCTACAAGAGGTATCTAGGCTCGGACCTAATCGTCGTCATCGTCTTCTTCCTCTTCTTCGTCATCGTCTTCTTCGTTTTCCTCATCGTCATCGTCGTCGTCATCGTCCTGCTCGTCATCGTCCTCTTCGTCCTCCTCCGGCTCTTCTTCGATCGCAGCCATCTCTTCATCATCTTCTTCTACCTCTTCTTCTTCCTCATCCTCTTCTTCGTCGTCTTCTTCTTCTTCGTCTTCTTCTTCGTCGTTCTCGTCATCTTCCTCTTCCTCTTCGTTTTCCTCGTCGTCTTCCTCTTCCTCATCGCCTGCAGTACTGGTAGCAGTAGTGGCAGTAGCAGTAGCAGTAGCGGACTCCACGTTAGCTTCAGCCTTCACTTCTTTGGCATCTGCCTTTTTCTCAATAGCCTTCTCCGTAGCAACGGCAGTAGTGTCCTTCTCCTTCATTGAGTCTTTTTCGACGTTCTCCGCCTCGTTGTCGTTCTTCTTTTCACCATTATCAACATTATTCTCATTACGGTCTCCACTCTTCTCCCCATCATTCGTTTCCTTTTGCTTCGCTCCCTCTTCCTCGTCATCTCCTTCGGCCAATGCCTTTTCTTTTTCACTATCCGCTTCACCCTCTTCCACTACCATGACCTCAACTTCTACATCATCTCCTTCCTTTTCTCCGTCTGCTTCTTCTTCTTCTTTTTCCTCTTCTTCTTCCTCCTCCTTTGCAACCTTGAATACGGTGTGCTTAGGCATGCGTCTCATTTCCAATGGACTTTTGAAAAGAGATCCAATTTTTTCTATCCATCTCCTACGTTTGTCCAAAAGGCCTCGGAACGACGCGTTACTGACCAAATGTGCTGCATCATCCTTCATTAACCCACTACTACTGCTGTCACCACCTGAATGGCTACTATGTGGACCACGTTTCTTGGTTTTCTTCGGAGTAACATTGAGGCGACGTCTGTAATGCTGTTCAACCTGTTTGTCCAAATCATCAACAATGGTCATGTACTCTTGCCATGCAATCTGCTCTTCCACAATCGGTACAAGTATCTCCTTTCTAAAATTATTACGCTTTTGCACTTTAGTCAATTCATTTTGCAAAATACGTAATTCTGAACTTACTTCATCATCTTCCTTTCCTAAAGCCCAATCTTGCTCCCACGATGAATTATTCAGCGTTTGCACAACATTCATGAAAACACCAATATACTTAAGTTCTCGGTTTAAACGTTTTTCTAACTGCTCGAAACTTATCTTGTCGTCCCTTTTAAAGGTTGAAGCATCATTATGACTATCTTCGCCGTTCTCACCATCAGTGTGTTCGCTTTGGTCAAGCTCAAACGCATCGTCCTCATCGTCGCTAACAATCGCACTCAAAATACGAGATGTTAAAGGACCACATGAAACTTTATCCTGTTCTTCACATAATGCCACTAACGCCTCGGGTTTATTAGCATCAAAATTTACTGGGGAACCTTTTGGTGCATACAGTTTCTTCATCTTAGATGCCAGCGATTGCGTTAGCCTACCCATTTTCACTGGTTTCCCTTCATTCTCCAGCATCCAAACATCAGAATATTTAGGGCCAAGAGGAGGTATGTAGTATGGGTTGTACGTATTATCAAGTGGTCTTGCATCCTTGATACCATTTCCAGCTAGAATACCTTTGTTTTCTGCATTGGCATCTTCAGAATTCTCTGTCACTACAAAGGCTTCATTGGCAAGTAAGTATTTGGAAAGGAAACTAGAGGCCACACATTTTTGACGTAACCATTTCACATCATCTTCAGTAAAGTTTCTGTAAAAGGGTTCAATGTAAGCGGTGAATGAGTTCCATGCAACTTGTTGCGTCGGCTTAGGACCACTAAAGTCTATCATTGGAATTTCTCCTGGAAGCATATCCTTCAAATCGCTTTCAGGAAATTCAGAAACAGCAAATTTCCTTTTCTTGTATTCAACTTCATCCCGGGCTGTTTTATGATTTTCTTCATCATCGTATAGTTGAAGCTCTTTCATAGAAGTCTTCACCAACTCGTCCATGTTCAAAATCTCGTTTGCATCAGGATTATCAGATCTATAAACAGAAGGGATAAACACATCATCCTCCTTACCTGTACCTCTGTCTTTACTTATGATTAATTTGATGCTTTCTTCCTCGTCATCTTCAAGCTTCACTCGTATTTTCTTTCTCGGACGTAGTCCTTCATCATCTGGGTCATCAATCAACTCAATTTTATTACTGTCACTGTCAATAGCACTCGTCAAGTCGATCTTGAAATCGTTATCGTCATCGTCGTTATCGTTGTCCTCGAACTTGATGGAGATTGGGGTATTAGTAGCGTCATCTTTGCGGCTGCCACTACCGTTATGATCATCATCAACATCGTCTTCATCACCAGAAACAAGTATATGCTTGCGTTTTTTTGATTTATCGTCCGGGTTGATCGAACGTTTTTCCAGCTTGATATGAATCTTGTCGCCATCTCCTCCAATCTTGATGACTGTCGCATCTCTTCCTTCTTCGCCGGCAATATCGTCACTGACACTGTTATCTTTGTTTGCACTGCCAGTTTTGTTGTTTTCGGGATCATAACGGTCACTTAAAGATGCTTTGTCTGCTGTTTCTTGTGAACTATAGCTTTCTACACATGCACGCACGGCAGATATGCTAGCTCCTTGTCGTAGCAGTTCCACAACAATCTTTCTCCGCAACTTTAACAATAGCAGACGTAGCTGTGTCAATTGTGTTTCAGTAGGGGATGTCTGCACACCATCTCCAGTCAGTTTACCGGACTGAGAGTCGTAGCTAAGATTTGCAGACTCCAACGCTTCAGTGAAGGAGTTCAGAATATCCTCGGAATGGTTGATGTGCCCGCCATTGACCATTCCTGCAGCCTCTGAAGGAACGTATTTTCCAGCGCTTGCAGATTGTGCTTCCTGCGAAGTTTTGGATATTGAGCCTGATCTTCCCGGCGATGTTGGGGGGCCCGCAGAGGGTGACGATCTTAGACGCTGTTGCATGGCATGCGAATAAGCACCAAAGCCGTGCCCATTAGATTGTGCATGTGCTGCCGCTACTGCTGTCGGGGGCAATGGCAACTCTGGAGGAGGAGCAGGAGGAGGGGGTAGTGGGGCATGAATAGGAATGGGGGGGAGCGAAGCGGGTATGTTTGCTGTTGTAGCAGATGAAGATGCGGAGGTGGTGGATGCAGCAGTAGATGAGGCGCCTCTTCCACCACGACCATGTTTCGCTGGCCTTCCCTTGGGACGATGTCCACGCCCTCTCCCCGGCCTTCCCACCAAGGACGATGGCGGAGACGGGTGTGAAGAGGACTCTGCAACGTGGTTGGAAGACGTACTGGCACCGGCAGCGGTAGAGGCAGCGCTTGCCGACTTGCTATTGGTTTTAGTTCTGCGTGTTCTTCCTGTTGGCGCCATTTGTGCTTGTTGCTGCGGCTGCTGCTGCTGCTGCTGCTGATGTCAAAATCGTTGTATCTAGAGACGACGCTAGAAGACAGACGATATGACGGTACTCTCCGAGATATGAAAAAAGAAAATGCTGGCTGACGCAACTTCAACACTCTCAGCATCCGGATCATGTCGCGGCGAGGACCCAAAAGGAGGGAGGAGAAATACAGTACGATGGGAGCTTTGTATTATCTATATGTGTATGTATATATACAGGGTTCGGAGGGGTGGCGGGTGGCACACAAGAAAGCTTACAGATTACCAGCAGCATCGACAACACTGGTGAGTCTGATGGTTCTGTCGCCCGCCTTCTGGGGCTTCTCCCACTCCTTAGGGAATGGGATGTAGTTTTTGTTTTTTCTTTGTTTCTTCGAGTACTTGGCAATGGTGTGTCTCTTGTCCAAAGGCACATCTGCATATTCTTCTGCCTTGTTGTTGCACTCTCTGACAAGGTCATCAAGCACGTCAGAAAGAAAGGAAGCGTTTTGTGCGGGCTCGAGGTATCTGTCGGAAGACATCAAGAGCAGGTCGGTTTTGTGGTCGTATCTGGAGCCTGCAAGAAGCTTGAACTTGTGTTCGGCGGCTGCGGACAACTGCAGGTCCTTTACCTTCAGCTGTAACACAACCTTGCGCTCGCCGGGATGCGATTCACCGATGAAACGGGTGTATTTGTATGTGACCGGCGACTCTGTCCGTGCGGTGGGCTTGTACTCTTTCCTGAACTGGGCCAACTGCGGTAGCTCAAACGCAGCCTTTCTGTTGAACGCCATCAAGTCTCTGAAGTCACGCACAATGTCCTGTGCCCCGGTCGGGTATTCGTCGAACCCGTACGGCTCCAATGGATCCTCCATGTACTCACCCTCGGTGACGTAGTTGTCGTAATCTGTTTCAGAGTCAGCCTTGTAGATGTCTGCCTCCGTAGAGTTGTAGATGTTGTAGAGCGTCTGCGCCTCCAATGGGTTGGCGGCACAGGCAAGAATCGACTTGAGCTCGGTCTCCGAGCGCTTGTAGTTCTTCCCGAGCGAGATCACACGGGCACGATAGAGCTCCACCACCACCGACGAAGGAAGGCCCTTCCAAAGCTCCGGCCGGTGGATGAGTTGGGACGACGAAAGAGACATTGTGGAGTCTCTTGCAGCCCTCTGGAGTGACTTGTCGAGCGACCCGGTGTCCTTTTCCGTGTCTTTCTGCTCCTGTTGCACCTGCGAACGTGCAGAGAACGCTCTGGCCGGTGCAAATCTCGACGAACGAGCAAGCAAACGGCTGGTGTGCGACAGATTTGCGGTGTACATTGTATCCTTTGTCCTTAGATGGTGGGAAATGCCTCTCGGTCCTTTTCTTGCCGTCTGCAGCGGTCTATATGCCCTTCCGGTCTCCATCTCTTCTGCAGTACTGGAAAAGAAATGGACGACGAGCAGGGAACAGACGAAGCGGGTTTGAAAATAGAATTTAGGTCGATCGACCCGAAATCCGCGTTTTGGGGTCGATCGACTCAAAAAAGGACAATGTTGATCCGGCGGGATAGATGAGGCCCTGACCCGAGATAAAGAAGAAGCCTTGAGGAAGGAAATGAGGACTACAGACAGGTCGGAAGTAGGATGCTGGACCCCAGACAGATCCGGCGAGGAAATCGGAAAGTACAAATAGATACAGCGCAATTGCAGTTTTGGGTGCCAAGATGGTGTCGGTTTTGGATGCGTTTGGGATCCAGGATCCGTCGATACTGACGGATAGAGACCGACTGATCACGTATTTGGCGTTGGACAACAACAGAAACGAGGGCGGCGGGTGCTGCAGCGAGGCGCTGGTGTCTACCGTGGTGGCACTTGTAAACGTGGTTTACTCTATGGAGAGTCGTCTCGAAGAATTGGAGCGGGAAGCACCGAAAAGCGGCACGAGGCCTGCGACAGGTTTGAACTTGAAACGTGCCCGTGGGGCAGGCTCGTCGGAGACAGAGTCCGAGAGCAGGGGCAGCGGCTCTGTTCGTGTACACAGCGTGAATGGGGAAGGTGCGGGTGAAAGCAACGGCGAAGAGGATCTGGAGGAGCTTGGAGCTGATGGCAGCCGGCCGGGGTACCGAGAGAGGGGGTTGGACGAGGAGGATGAGGACGACGACGGCGATGAAGAGGACGACGACGACGACGACGACGACGACGAGAACCAGCATACGGATGACAGCGAGGGAGATCTAGACGACGACCTCAATGCCGTTTTCGACTCGACGGGCGTGTCGGATTTCACGGAGCATCCTGTGCCGACAAACTTCACATACAACTACAAGCCGCAGCAGGTGACGAACTTGAAGATGCCGACAAACGTCCCAGCCGGCGAGAAGGTTGGCCGCACGATATCGGTGATCAACTGGACCGACGTGCCGCTCAGCCAGATTGCACTGAAGTACAACGTGTCCAAGTCTGTGATTGGTCCGACGTTGCAGGTGCTGCGTGACTTTGAAAAGAGGAATACGAAGGCACTACAGGAGAGTATCAAGCGCAGCCGGGCCGCCACCGAGGAGAGGGAGCTACAGAAGGTATCCGAGGAGAAGGCTCCGGCGGCAATGGTTGGGACCGGGACTGTGAAGGATGCTGTTTCCTCGAAGCCTGTGCGGAGTAGGAGGAGGGAGCTGAACGCCCATAAGATACGGCTGAGGCTGCGCAGCAAGCGGCGGCGGGGCAGCAGGCGATCCGACGACCACCACGATGAGTCAAGTTCGGAAAGTGTGTACGACCCGAACTACCGGTCCGATGAGGAGGAAAAGGAAAACCGGAGGGTCGAAGATGTAGAGGGGGAGAAGAGGGCGAAAGACGTCCCGAGCAAGCGCCCAGCTGCCAATGGGAGCAGTAGCCTGCTGAACGGGGACGGGAACGAGAGCAGTGGCTTGAAACGGGTCAAGTTTGGCGAGAACATAGAGCACAGCAAGGACCGCAGCCACCACCAGGGCAGCGGGGCAGTTCCCCAGACAGCGACCGGTGCAGACGTGCAGCCGCCTGTCAGCTCCAAGCACAGGCGTGAGCCCGGGGTTGGTTCGACTCTGTCGAACTCGTTGTACTCCCTCTTACAGTCTGCGTCGACCAGCCAGCCGGCGGACGAGCTTGTCGGGTCTGCGAAGCAGGCGACACAGGACCCGAGTGGGAACGGGTCCGTCCCGGTCTTTGCGTATGCGCTCACCAGCAGCGGCCAGTACCAGTGCAAGAGCCAGGGATGCGACGTGAAGCCGTTTGGCCAGTACATCCAGCTGTACAAACACAAGGCGACGCAGCACCCTCAGGAGCTCCCGTCATGAACCGGAACGAGAACGGGAACGAGAACGGGAACGAGAACGAGAACTAGCCGCTCGTACAGGTGGATGGAGATATGTAGGCTGTACAAATAAATACTAAAATTACCAAGATACTAGGATATACATACAAATGAGATTGTAATATTACACGGCGGCGGCGGCGGCGGCGGGAAGGGGTGGGGGAGTGCTCAAGCGGCGTCGATCTTCTTGGACTTCTTGGACTTCTTGGACTTCTTCTTCTTTGGCGGCTCGGCGATCTCGTTGGATACGTCTGGGGGAAGGGCGGACAAGACCTCTGCGCTCGGGTCGGTGTCGAGGTCCGCGGCATCGTCGACAATGTCGATGATGCTGCGCTTCTCGGCCTTGGGCGAGTCCTTCGTGGCGTTGTACTTGACCATCTCCTGGTCGTATTTGACCTTGTCCTTCTCGTAGATGCCCTTCCAGTAGTTCTTGTCGCTCTCGGACATCTCCTTCCACTGGCGGGCGATCTCCTTGGCGATGTCCACCTGCGAGAGCTCCGTGTTCTTCTCGGCGACGGAGGACCGCAGGTGGTTGTAGAAGAGGATGTACGACGTCAGCGGCTTCTTCGGGGCGTTGGGGTCCTTTGCGGCCCGCTTCTTACGCGTCTTCTTCTCCTCTGCCACGGGTGTTTCCTCCGCAGTGCTGGCTGGGGTGTCTGCCGCCGGCTCGTCGAGCTCGACAAGCGGGTCCAACGCCACGTCTGTCTCCAGCTCGGGCTGCAGGCCGGGCTCCGCCTCAGCCACGGGCTCCGTCAGCGCCTGCTGCTGCTTCGTGGCCCGCTGTCTCTTGGCAGGCGCCCTCTTGGGCTTGGACTCCGCCTTGGCGGCCCCAGCCGTGCCGGACGCCGCTGCCACGGCGGACGCAGCCTCCCCCGCGTGCTGCTGCGCCTGCGTGAGGTTGAAGAAGTCGATGGCGTTCTTGGACACCTCGTTGGCGGCCTTCGAAAGCTCGAACAACGACGCAATCAACTACAGCAGTCCATGCCCATGCATGTGCGTGTGTTAGTATCTCTGCACGAAACAGCGCCCCCGCCCGCCGGCAACCGCACCGAGTGCAGGCCCCACGGGCACAATCCTGTCTGCGGCGCCCTGCCCCAACTCCTCCAGCAGCAGCTGCCTCACCGATACCGCCTGCTCACGCTGCAACAACACATACGGAATCCTTCGCCGACTTGAACTGGCCCACGGACGGCGTCTCGTAGTTCCCTGTGTGGTCGATAGGGGTCATGGCGGTCTTATAAGCTTTTTGCCGTGCAAAACAACCTCTTTAGCCACCTCCCAAGCCTCCACCGGACGGGCCCTGCACCCACACACGGTCTTTTTACGGACCGTTCCGTCCGTCTGGGAAGAGTTGAGGGTGGCGACGGGGGGAGGCAACGAGGCCACCACCCCACCGGGACCGGGCGCACGCCTTCCCGCCGCCGCCGCCACGCCCCGCTCAGCGGGCGGCGGGGGGGAACGAGGGGGCCAGGCGCAGAGCCCGGCGGAGCGAGCCGGCCGCGCACGGGGTGCCGGCGAGACGGAGGGCGGGAGGCGGAAGGCGATTTCAGGCGTGAAGAGGCGAGGGGGCAGGGAGCCAGGAGCCGGAGAGAGCAAAAGAGCTGAGCATTAAGAGGAGGGAGACAGGTTGAAGGAAGAGAAAGGCGTTGGGGAAGGGAAGTGAGAGGGGAGGGGGGCAAACACGTTGCTAAAGATGGTCGGAGAGCTGGCGACAGAGACGGAGAGGGCTGGCGGGGTGCCTGCGTCGGCGTCGACGCTGGACACGAGGGACAGCAAGGAGCGAGGCGTGCTCAGCGAGTACACAGGGACGGGGGCGGCTACACGGGAGTCGAGTGCAACGACGGCGGTGAGCTCTCAGGCGGGGTCGACGGGGACGAAGACGGGGTCGAAGACGGGGTCGACGGGGGCAGGAAGAACAGCAGTGGTGGCGTGGTTGGTGTCGGTGCCGAAACACAGGACGGAGGAGGGCCGGGAGGGCCGGGAGGTGCCGAGCCGCAACTACGAGGCGTGGCGGGCGTCCAACTACATGTACATGTGTGGGGGACGGCTGCGGACAGCGCTGTACTGCCCGCAGGTGGTGCGACGGCTGCGGGTGCCCGTGCTGCCGTTGACGGTGGGGCTCGCCGTGGTGCCTGTGGTGCTGTGTCTGGTGTTCGAGGCGGCGTGGTTCTGGCACGAGGTGTCGCCCGCCGTGGTGGTGCTGTTTGCCTACTGCGCCGTGCAGATGCTTGCCAGCGTGCTCAAGGCGGCGCTGCTGGACCCGGGCGCCCTTCCGAAGAACGTGCACGTCACCGACGGCGTCGAGAAGGACGGGCTCCCGCCCGAGTACCACAGCTGGATCGAGATGCCCGGGCCGCAGGTGCTGCGACCCGTGGTTCCGCCGGCGCTTGCGGCGCCCGCGGGGGCGCCGCCGCCGCCGCCGCAGCGCAACACGGTCTACATGAAGTACTGCGACTCGTGCTACATCTGGCGCCCCGTGCGGGCGTCCCACTGCTCCAAGTGCGGCGTCTGCGTCGCCAACATGGACCACCACTGCCCCTGGCTCGGCAACTGCGTCGGCCAGCGCAACTACTGGTACTTCTTCAACTTCCTCGCCTTCGCCGTCGCCACCAGCGTCTACCTGCTCGCCATGAGCTACTACAAGGTCGCCCACGCAGGCCTCCACGCGTCCCGCTGGAGCCTCTTTCTCGGCGTCTACGCCTCCTGCTGCCTCCCGTACGCGCTGCTCCTCCTCGTCTTCCACGTCTGCCTCGGCCTCACGGGCATCACCACCCGGGAGTACTTTGGCGCCGAGCGCCACGAGGGGAACACCCAGATCCAGGACGTGTGTCTTGACCCCTTCAACTCGGGCAGCAGCCTATTCAACCTCCGCCGCCAATGGTTCCACGGCCGTGGCAGGGCCAACGTCGAGATCCGCGGCCGCTACGCCCCCAACGATCTGCGCTACAAGGAGCTCCACGTCGGCACGCTTCTCGTGTAGGCCGCCCGGACCTACCGCATCCCTCATCCATACCCGTATGTCGCATATAGCATGTAAGCAAGAGCCCGGGCGTGTCACACGCCGGGAGGAAAAAAGCGCCCAAGCCTCCCGCGTCGCATCTCGGAGAAGTCATCCGGGACGAAGACAAAGGCAACGGAAAACCGTTTAGGGATTTTTTTTTTCTCCCTTCGCCTCCACAAGTTACCCCCTTCTTACTTTTCTTTTCTTTTCTTTTCTTATCGTCCGCTAGCTCCTCCCCCGATCTTCTTTTCTTCTGTCTTCGGCAGTAGTAGCACGCACACAATGAAAGAGTTCAGTGCAACACAGTATTTCGACTACCCCTGGGCGTACGTGAGTGCCGCCAATTGGCGCAAGTACCCGAACGAGGTGTCCACGCATGTGGTTGCCGTGGACGTTTTGAGAAGAGAGTTTGACGCTGAGAAACAGACGTTAAAGTCGGAGCGGTTAATCACATGCCGGCAGCCGATCCCGAAATGGTTGAAGGCGTTTGTGGGGGGCGCAGAGACGTCGTACGTGAGAGAGGTCTCCGTCGTGGACAGGCTAGGCCAGACATTGACGCTCCGCTCGGTCAACCTCACCATGGCCCGCATCTTGAAGGTGTACGAGACGGTGACGTACTCACCGGACCCACGGGACCCGCAGCACAGCACGAGATTCGACCAGGTGGCCCGGTTCAAGTCCAGCGCCGGCTGGAAGCGGGTCGAGTCCCAGGTCGAGTCCTGGGCCGTGGAGCGCTTCTCGCAGAACGCGTCCAAGGGAAAGCTGGGCTTCGACTCCATCTTGAAGCTCGGCATCTTGGAAAACAACTTCACCGTGCGGTTGGCGGAGCTGTCCAGCTCGGCAGCAAGCCTCGTCGACGAGATCAACCTCAAGACTACAAATGTTCTGGAAGACATCAACGGCAAGACCGAGGAGATCCTCTCTGAAATCGACGCCAACACCACCAAGCTGCTGACGGAAATCAAGGACTGCAACGTCTTCAGAGATATCAACGGAATCTCGCTGGATCTGCTTAAGGAAATGAGCGTCCAGACGGGAAACGCGCTGAACGAGCTCAACAAGACCAGCGCCAGCGTCATCAGCGAGGTCAACGAGATGAGCGAGGAGTTCCTCGACAGTGTCATCAAGGACGTCAACAACAAGAGCGGCGACATCGTCAACCACGTGCAGAGCAAGACCTCCCTCATTCTAGAAGAGTTCGACCAGCGACAGAGAGAGGTCACCGCCCACATCGGACAGGAGACCCAGGTCATCTTCGACGCCCTGAACAAGAAGACCGTCGAGCTGCTACAGGATGTGAAACCGGCACTGCTCCCTGAACACCCAGACAAATCCGAGGTGGCAACTTCCGTCTCCGCCAAGATCTCCCACTTCCTGTTCAAAATAATGCACCCTTTCACGAAAACCGACTAAATGACCCTGCCAGAACCCTTTCGCCCCCAACCTCACTACAACACCGTCCTCTGCGGTCCCGCTACGCCTCCCTGCTTGTATCTTCATATACTCTATAGATTCTTAAGTGTAGAAATGTCATGATCAACAACATACCCCCGGCTATCTTGTCCGTCTGCAGTACAAACAGCTTGGCTTAGGTAAGCAGCTCGCCTTACCTTACTGTCACACAGTTGTCCCGCGCACTGCAGAGTGTTTACGTTTTCCCGAAACAGGCAGTACAGCATCGTGCTCAGAAACTTTTAGCTGCAGGTGTGATACACAACAACAACAACAACAACAACTGCTTTTGCTGCCACCATTTCAACAACATCAAGATTCACCAAAAAGCCTGAAGAGCCTATTCACCCAGTTTACATAATTTTTTTCATCTTCTACTCTGATCTGTCACTTTTCCCTTGAAACTTCTCTGTCGTTGCGCATTTTCGTCCACCAGTAGTAATGTTTGCTACCAGCTCAGACGAAAACATTCCATTGATGGCATCGCATGATGCAGAGTCCGCTATGTCGTCGCCCTTCCAAAGCCCATCGAAGTCCTTCAACGACATGAAGTCTAATTTGTCCTCGAAGGACATCTTCAGAATCGCCAACCAGTCTGTGGACGAGTTTCTGTCGGAAATAGAGTCCAAAAACCAGGCGTCCGACATCAGCCTTCCGGAATTGCAGCAAGTCCGTACGCCTCCGCAATCCCCCTCAACACAGCCCTTGCACGTCGAGAAAAACATACTCAGCAGTCTGGATAACAAAATAGGGGCTGTTGCGGGTTCCGGAGAAGATGAAGAGGAGGAGGACGTCACGCCAACCGATATCGTGCGTGATCCGTCAACACTCTCCGTTGCCACACACAACCGCCAACTCAATGGACCTAAGCCCCCAACACAATCGCCAGCAAAGTCGCCAATAAAGTCTCCCAAAAAAGTCACCATCGATGAATCTCCATCAAGAGTGCATAATTACGAAGTGGAGAAAGAATCCGATTTTGACTCAGACTCTGACGTTTCGTGCTCATCTTTCGATAAACAGAACCTGCACTGGTCAAAAGTGTCAATCAAGCCTTTCGATAAAGATTCTCAAAGCTTGGCATCTAAATTCGCACACCTACCTTCAAAGCCACTACCCAAAATCACACCATCGCAATCGGACTACTCGATCAAGTCCATGCCAAACATGAATTACCTCGAACTAGACAGCGACGACTCAGATATCACTATAGCTCCTTCTCCCGCAACCCATTTATCGGCTCCGAAAAGAGTGCTTTCTTCCTCTTCCTCATTCAATCAATTCCACTACGATCATGATCATTATATGCAAGATATGAAGGCAGGAAATTTGGTTGAACCAAAAGACATCAAATCCAAAATCTCTTATAGTGATAAACTGAAAAAAGATCTAGTCCAATCAAATGCAGTACCTTTAACACAACAACTGAGAAACCACTTATTAGAAGGATTTCAAGATGATGCAGGTCTAGATCGTTCAGATTCGGTGAAATCAATGATGAGCATCTCCGCTGATGACTGCAAACTCGACACAAAACATCCCAATGCGAAGGTGGAAAGATCTGATGTACCGGAGCGTGACGAAATCGTCAAGTTGAATAAAGAACAAGCCGACTTTAGTGAAAGTGAAAACGAAGAGGATGACACGCTCTCAAAGATAAATAACCCTAAAAACAGAGATTCAGGTAACACCCACAAACGTACTTCTTCACTTTCCAAATTGGTAGGAAATATTATTGGTTCCATCTCCGGACGTGGTCTGGATCCTGACCCTGTGGCCTACGACGATATTGAACAAGATGTTGCCAATCTTAGGAAAACTAGTTTGAGGAATATTTCGGTTCAAAGTGTCGCTACTACCATTACCGAATCAGGTTTTGTCTCTGCGGAGGAAGGACCAGATGATAACAACGACAATACTGAAGAGCTACTTTTACCTAGTTACAATCACCAACAGGAGATTGGGAAAGTGAGTCCAGATGAAACCATAGATACCATAGTTGTAACGCCAACAGAGGAACAGCATCCAGGTGACTTACTTCCTGTAGCAAAGCCTACAGGATCTAACACACCTTCCAATACAATCTTAGAGCCTCATTTAAACTCTCCAGTTTCTCGGCCAGACGATCAGGCAAGCATCCTTCAGGAAGCCATTGCTTCTTCATCAAACAACACTAGTTTTGGATCTGATGATTTCATATTACATGTCCCATTTGAAGATGATATTTTAGATGCCGAATTTAATGAGTTTAATAAATCCATCCAAACCAGAACAGCATCCAATACCAGCTCAAGTGGCTCACAGTCTCGTGTAATAAGTATTGAGCGGACAGAGCGAAACGAAATGCTAGACATTTGGTCGAAGCAGCGAAACTACAATATGCCATTTAGAAGGCATAAGGCATTCGATAGTATACATGCACCATCGAAGTCATATGTTGTTGAAGCAGATCATCATAAGGCCATTAAGATAATAAATGCAGCTCCCGAGTTCAGAACTTTCTCCGATGAAAATTCCTGGATTTATCGTGAATTAGAAGTTTTACCCAATGGTGTGAACAAGAATTTGGTTAAGCCTTCAAGCCACAGCCATACTAATAGTGATTCTAGAAGATTACAGAGGGCCAGCTCAAAGTCATCTACTCCCAATACTCTCAAGGTTGTCAGCCATACAGTTGAGTCCAATGTTTCTACAATTCCTAATCTCAAAAATTCGTTCAGCATATCAGTGGATGCTGAGGATCTAAATAATCTTTCAGGAGCAAGTGTAATCAAGCATACGGAATCCATAAGATCAATCAACCCAAATCAAACCAACAACATGACGGCATTGAACTTGAGTATGGAATCCAATGACGATGCTAGCAGATTTTCACAAATATACGAAAATTCGTTGCTGAACGATCTGAAGAACTGGAATCCAGATTATTCCTCTGCAGATCAATCTTATGATATTCCAAAGAAGTTTGTCAATTCACATCCTGCTAGACAAGACAGTATTGATATCTTGAAACAAGTGTGGCACGATACCAATGAACAAGACGTAGTGAAGCTAACTCACTCTGATACTTTCCAGCGTCTGAATGGTAAGAATATTGAAGATTTTTTGAACAAAAAGAGGACTATCAGTGATGAATACCATGTGAAACAAGCTAATGTCTCGAAAGCGAGAGTACAAAATGATCATATTGTTTTGCCTGAGCAAAGAGCAAGTATATACCAATTTGGAAATGAAAGCTATTCAAAAATTGTACCTGAATTGGGTATTGCCGATATAGATAGTGACGGTAACTATTATTATGGTAATGATAATCAAAACAGTTTGATGCGAGATGACAACTCAGGTTTTGAATTCAACTTAAATGGTGATGATTCTAGTGATGCTGCCGAACAAGATGAATTGGAGAAACAGATGATCACGGATTCTAAGAAACTTGAGGTAGAAATTTTACGAAATGATGAATTGGTTCTCAAAAACTCAGACCTATCATATCCCGCAGGTAATAACTTATTAACACCCCCAAAAAGTCCTGTTTCTCCTGCAAGGCAAAAGATGGTTGAGAAGTTTGAGAAACAATTGAAACAAAAAAGAGAACAACAAGCTCAAAAGGAAGTGTTAGAATTACTGCAAAATAAGATCCATCAAGAAGCGCAACTGGTTCAAGCATTCAGCCCACCTCCAAAAACCAAGAAGACCGCTAATATGATCTCAGCTAAGAAAAGATCTTACTCGGTGAATGAAGATAGTCTTGACAATATATATGAGAATTTCGATAACTCACCTACCAGAATTTCATATGTTAGTCCTAAACGAGATGAAGTTGAAGCCAGCAAGTCAGCTAGTCCAGAAAGAAATGCTAACGGAGAAATATCTTTCAATCCATTTGAATCACCAAAAATCAAATCATTGGTGAAACCTGAGAGTAACATTTTCAACGTGCCGGCTAAGGCTTTGATTAATGACGCGGGGTCAGCAAACCCTTTCCTAGACGACGAATCATCCTCAAATTTCCAAAAAATCCCATCCGTTAGTCAAGGTGCTGATACAGAGAATTCAAATTTGGATAATGATAAAACTCAACCCATTATCACTGCCCAACCTAAAGTTAAAACTGATGCTATTCCATTAGTTAATGGTGAGCAGGGTAGATTATTCATAAAACTAAAGGATATAAGCGGCCTAAGAATACCAGATTTGAAAAAAAGAAATGCCAAGTTTCAACTGGTTTTGGATAATGGTATCCATTGTATCAAGACCGATTTTGTGGATGCTGGCTCACAAGCCAACATTCCCCTGAGCAAAGAGTTTGAGTTAATTGTTGCTGAGAAACTAAACATCATTATCACCTTGAAATTGAAATATGACAAACCTCAGCCAAAAACAGTTGAGGTTGCCGAGAAAAAGAAGGTTAAGAGTAAAGGTATGATGGGCAAGTTGATGGGTAAGAAGGAAACTAGGGTCGTTAAGAAGATGGTTACTCAGCCTGCGGAAGAAGATGCACTGGCCAGTTATGTTGCTAGCGATGGTTCTTTCAGTAAGTTGAAAATCAGCTTTGACGAGTACAAAGAGCAAATTTTTGCCAAGCCAAGTACATATGCCTTGACGTGTTTCAATGAGTGGAAGACTACGAAAACTGAGATGGGTGTCGTGAGGAACTTCAAGCCTATTCCAATCTGCACGTTGAACATGAAGATGATGTTTGTTCCACGCACAACGGAGCACGAGATATTGCCGATCAGCATTGCCAACGCCTTAGCTCAACTAAAGCAAGTGAGAAAGCTGACTGACGTCAAGAATGAAGGCTACATGTCGCAGGAAGGCGGAGACGTGGAGATGTGGACAAAGAGACTCTACAAACTCGACAACTACGACTTGCTCGCATACAACATAAGCAGCAGCAAGTTGAAGGCCAAGATCAATCTCAAGAAGGTAGTTGAGGTTTCCTCTCCCCGTACGCTTTCTGCTTCTAATACCCAAAACAGCACTGCGGCCAATCTTCCTGCCAAAAAGCGTGATTTTTCCGACATCGACGGCATGATCTTGAACAACGGTTTCAAAATCCGGTTTTCCAACAACGAGACCATCAGCTTCGGGTGCGATACTGCAGCCGAGAGGGATAGATGGATAAATTGCTTTGAGCAATTGATCATGGTCAACCGATTCCAGAGACAGCCATGGTTGGTGAGCATGGCGCAGGCCATGAAGGACGTTCCCATCGACAGCATGGTTGTATGATTGTTTTTACTGCAACACTGCTATATAATTGTGCTCTAATCTGATCTAATCTGATCTGATCTAATCTAATCTAATCTAATCTAATTTAATCTATTCAACCAATTCGATAAGGACGTCAACGCATTGTAATTCTTGGAAGGAGATCGCCGTGCCCGAGCAGGCAGAACCCCAAAGTCGCCTGACCTGTAGATAACGTGCAGTCTCCAGTAAACAGACATGCCAACCCGACCTCCACATTGCCTCCGTCTTCATCTCCATCTTACGATCCTCGTCCCTATACCCTCTTCGGCCACCGGCGTCGCCGGACACGTTGGCTCCTTCCCGATCGGAAAGCACTCTTCCCGCGTAAAGCACCCGGCTATAGCATTCCGGGCACCGGCGCGTCCCGATCGGGAAGGAGGGGCGGCTTATCAGCTGCGATGACCGGGGACGTATAAAAAGGGAGGTGTTGGGCATCTTAGGTGTCGTAGATCTTCGAGAGGGGAGGGGATTACTGGTCTAATGCAAGAAACAACAACAACAACAACAACACCGATTGCAGCTGCGATAATTACAACAAAAGCAACAAAATGACTATGGATATATTGACTGTTACCCCTCTTGAGGGCCAGAAACTCGGTGCAAAGATCACCATGCCATCGTACACCAATGATCCATCGAAGTTGAAGGATGAGGACTTCAACACGTTGAAGAAGGCATTGCTCACCCACTCCGTGCTAATTGTCCCAAATCAAGAGGAGTTGACTCCAGAATCCCAGCACGCGCTGAACATCAGATTTGACCCTTCGTCGGCTAAAAACTACGGGCACAAGGAAGAGTTGTTCCACTCCTCCAAATCCATCTTAGCCAAGGACGGTAAGTGTGTTCCAAGACGTCCGGAAGTGATGATGGTTGGTAATGGTACCTTTGAAGCAGGCCACGAAGGAATGAAGGAGTTCAATTTGGAGCATCCTTCGCATAAGACTTTCCACAAGAAGTTGTTGACTGAGGAAGAATTGGCGCAAGGTCTTACTAAGTTCTACAGATGGCACATTGATGCTGCCTTGTACGAGCTCTCTCCACCTGTGGTCACTACCTTATTGGGCTTGATTGTGCCACCGAGTGATGAGAGACAGAAGATTATCTACGAGGACACAAATGAATCCATCGATATTGCCAAAGGTGCAACCGCTTTTGCATCTGGTAAAGTTGCCTTTGATTTGCTTTCTGACGAAGAGAAGGAGTTTGCATTGAACACCACTGTCGTCTATGCTCCTCACCCTTACATCTACATCAACGATTGTAAGGCCACTTCGGACGGTCTAACCATTGTCAGTGAGGAACCAGGGAAAGAAGCGGCTTTCGAGTCGTTGCCCGAATGGGAAGAATCCAAGGTCAAAAAGCTACCTTTGGTATGGACAAACCCGGAAACTGGTAACCACCACCTCCAAGTTCACGGATGCTGTGTTTACCAGTTGGTTGATGCCAGAACAGGTAAAACAATTGCTGAGTTGAAGGAGGCTAGGGAAACCGTCCATAAGATGATGAGACCCGCCATTGGCCCTGACAATGTTTATTGTCACCCATGGACCCAAGGTGATCTCTGTATTTTCCATAACAGGGGTGTCATTCACTCCGTCACCGGTGAACTCGATCCAGAGGAAAAGAGATTGATGCACCAATGTAACATTGCCAGTGGCTCCGATCCAGTCGTCGCATTGTAATGGCCTTTGAACAGGGAGCTATTATATCCGTGCATATAGTGGCAGGATGGGAAATTACGAACAGGTTTTGGATTTTTACATAAATTAACTTTTTAGCTTTTGTGATTATAAATGAGTAAACAATTACTTCAATGAATGAAAATATACACGATAAACAAGAATACAAAAACGGTAGCGACAAGTGGGACTTCCACTGCTGGCGTTCAGCGCCTCCTCCTGTGCCGACCACCTCTGTCACCCTCCCTATCTCTGTCTTTATCACGTTCTCTGTCTTTAAACTTTTTCTGGTTGTTACCACCTTTCTCGAGGTCCTTGTCGGCTTGATCTCTAGCATCCCTTAATGCCGATGGAATGTGGGGGAGTTTTGTATTTGTTGGATCCGGCGTGTTGGAAGAGGTTCTGGAATTGATGTTAGGAATATTCGGTATATTGGGTATGTTACTGTTGTTGTTCATGTTCATATTGTTCATGTTGCTCATGTTGTTCATGTTGTTCATACCGTTCATACCGTTCATACCGTTCATCATGTTGGGCATGTTCGGCATATTGGGCATATTGGGCAGGTTAGGCATACCCATGAATCCCGGCATCCCCATCATGAATGGTGGAGGCATTGATCCAGGCGTCGAGCCCGAACCAGGTGCTCCGTTGGGCATGATTTGTGAAAGGGTAGGTGGTATCGAACCAACGGCGAGTAATTCCGTTATCACCTTACCTGGATTGAAATCGTTTCTCATCTTCTCGTTCTTGGCACAATAAGCCCTCCAACTGATCTCGTCAAACCCGAAGTTGAAGTAATCAGATATATCTGCACCTGGTAGTCGCCATGGCTTGTCTTTCAACTCGTCAAGAGAGAGCTGCGTCACCGGTATGTCGTTGTAGAGACCCACTCTATTTATATCGAGTCCTGTAGATTTAGTGAATATCGGAACTGTTGTCACCTGTGTAGTATCCGCAACGGTTCCCACTGGAGCCTCTCCTTCCGGTGTCGTCTTCAGCTGGGCTGCTGGTATGTTCACCTTCGATTCAAGAGACCCAATGATGAACTCAACGTCTGAGTCGGAATCGGACTCGGACTCCTCCACCTCTGGCCCGTCGTTATCATTGTCAGCTCCCTGGCCTTCTGTGTTGTTATCGCTGGCATCTAGCTGTGTAGTAGAAGGAACTCCATCTTTGATTTCAAGTACTGTGTCTGTGCTTGCTGCTGCATCTGCAGCTTTTCCTGCATCTGCACCTGTATCAACATTGGCCTGTTCATTCTCGTTACCAGAGCCATACAAGAAGGCATCACCATCATCATCCATTTCTGTGTCGCTGTAATGTGCGGGGAGGCTCGCTTTACCTTGGCAAACCGCCTGTATATCACGTCAAATGTTGTCTTCTCTGTTTACTCTCTTCCTATGTGTTGTGAAATTCATGAAGCTAGGTGAAGCTACAGCTCGCCACTCAATCCACGACATGACCATTTGTTGTACTTCAAAACCCTCTATTTCGTATCACGTGCCAGATGCAAGGGCTAAGCCCTCTAAAAACGAAGGCAAAACTTTTTTGGCAGTCACGCACTCAGCGGTAGCGCCGCCGCAGGCTAGGTCTCCTCGTCTCTCTGTTTGACCTTCCCTCGCCTCCTGTGCAGGCTTCGCTGCCGTCACTCTGTGAGAGAGAGCATAGTTAAAACTTTTCAGAGTCTTTTATCGAAAAGAGTGTACAGTTCAGAGTGTGCCTGGACGTTCTTTATAGACACCTTCCTATACACACCATCACTCGAATAACAAACAATGTATGTACAAGTCACAGTGGTCAATAGTTGAGAGTGCAGAGGCTACGAACGAAGGCAAAGGGGCAAAAAGAAAGCGTTTATTTTGTGAATCCAGTGACAAGAAATGGAAGAGACACTTAATTAGTTCACATATCTGGAAGAATATGAATTTCGAACACACGCAAGTGATGAAAGCATGCAGCTTTAAACGAAACATAAGTGTTTAGTGAAAAGTCTCTAGTGAACCAGCTTCAGTACAATAACAAGCCAAGAGTAAAGCCCATTAAGCACATAAACGTTTGATGCATTGCCAAGTGTATGGAAGTGCCTAGCATATCATCATGAGCTCAGTAGTTCTATTAGGGCAAGAGACACTTCGAATGAGCAAGTGTACACTGATGCTGATACAACTTTGAATATGCAGTGCCTGCCAACTCTCCACTTCAAGCCTTTTCCTAGCCACAAGCGAAGCATTTACTAACATTTATCTGTCCCCCGTTGTCATCCTTTTATCTATTACAGGTCCAAGAGAACAAAGAAGGTCGGAATCACCGGTAAGTACGGTATCAGATATGGTTCTTCCTTGAGAAGACAATGTAAGAAGTTGGAAATCCAACAACATTCTAGATACGACTGTTCTTTCTGTGGTAAGAAGTCTGTCAAGAGAGATGCTACTGGTATCTGGACTTGTAAGTCTTGTAAGAAGTCTGTTGCAGGTGGTGCTTACACTGTCTCTACTGCAGCTGCTGCAACCATCAGATCTACCATCAGACGTTTAAGAGAATTAGCTGAAGCTTAAATTTCTTGTATTGGATTTTCTAAGTTTATAATTCATAATAAAATCTGTACCATCTTCTATACATAAATAAATAGAAAGAATTCAGCAATAATGAACGGCGATTAACGTACTTGTTTTTCCCTAGGTCCAAATTTTTCTTGGACAAGTTAGATGGAGCCCTAGCGTGTTCGTACAAACTAGTCTACTGTTGGTGTTTACCGGTTAGTCAATCCGGGAGCTTTGACCCAGAAAAAAAACTCTTTGAAACGACTTTACTCGGATTAGCAAAGTGAAGAGAATCCATCTCCCTTTCTAATTGCAAGGCATGCAAGGTTCCTTTCAACCCCAAAGATATGTAAAATAGAAAAAAATCTGAAGAGTGGTGCATGCGGGGTTTGAACCCGCGACCATCGCGTTTCTTGAAACGGTGAAGTGACGTAAGCATAGACGTCAAAATACGACTATAAGCACGATGCTCTAGACCTCTGAGCTAATGCACCTCTCGGAGAAAAATTTAGGCAAAGATATATCTTACCAGCATATAATGTATTACGTCAGTAATGTTCTAGAGCATTATGTAAGCAACATGTTTGTATGTGTTAGGTAAGCTGTTTTGTAGCCTATTTTTAGATTCTGTTGTAAAAACTACATAATTTCTCTTTCGTGTGACCGACACGATAGAATTTCACAAATATTGCACGTGACCAGTAAAAATCAACACTTATGTGTACAACTGCACTTTTGCAAAGGCCCGAAAACACTCCGTGAGGATTTTAGAATTCTCAATTGTGAAATAAAAAACCTACAAGCTGAGAGATCGTGACGTTGTCACAATCAACCCTACAAGCCCACAATCTTATGCGTGTTCCCCCTACCAGTTTTAACAATTTAAGCTCGCTTTCTAAGATATACAGGATCGCGCCTGGCCGGAATCAGAAATATAGCGATCACTGCTACAACAGGTCTTGAATCTGGGAACTATTGCCAAACTCACTTGTGGAAGAGCTCAGTTTCATCATTTCGAAATTTCTGTTTTTCCAACCAATTGTTTCGGTCTACAGAGCTTATTCACGATGAAGAAGTCACAGATCAGAGCAAACCTACTTGATGAAACTGCTCCTTTTGTGCAACCTTCTGGGCAGACTTCTTCGTACTCGAAACATCAACATAGTCAAGGTTACATGAACAACAAATCGCAACCACAACAGCAGCTCCCGCCACAGCAGCATCAACAAATGCAATACGCATTGCACCCACAGCAGCAGTACCAGCAGTACCCCGCAGACCCCTACAATGGGAGTCGAAACTCTCATCATCCGCAGCAAAGACAGGCTCTATCTCCTCCACAGCCACAACCCCATCGCCAACACCACAGTGCGTCATACGGTACCAATCCAAACCCTAAGTATGCCTACAATTATGATCAGCAGAGACCCCTGAGTCAAAATCATCATTCGTATCCGGTGAACCATGCTCCGGGGCCTGATTATCAGGGCGGGTATCAAGAAGGATATGACGCACACCCACAATATATGGATCAATCAAGAGTTTCCTATAACGGCCCCAACGGCCCTTACCAACCGCCACCGCAATCCCAACCATACCACGATCCATATCAAGCACAACCCCGTTCGCATAGTCATTCGTACAATCAACCGTCCCATCCTATTCCTCAAGCTAGATCTCAATCTGAATCGTATCCTCAGACAGGAATTCCTCCACAGCAGGAACCTCTACATCCTAGTCAACAGCTGTTTACAGTTGAGGACTCAGATGGCTATGGTAACACTACGAAGTCGAAGAGTAATAAGAGCGGAAAGAGTAAGAGTCGTGCTATAAATGTTGCCGATGGTGATAATGACCAAGAGGTTCCCAGTACATCCTTCGAAATGATTGCAAGAACCACTAGCATCGAACAGGATAAAATTCAGCAACTAGAAGAAAAAATCCAGCGCTTAGAGCGTGTACTTGCACTTCAAGAATTAGAGAGCAAAACAAGTAGGTCTAGTACCTCAATAGATAAAGTTCCCGACATTGCAAGCGAACCCCAACAACAGCAACAACCAGCACCAGCACCAGCGCCTGCACCAGCATCAGCATCAGCACCAGCCCTACCAACACCACCTGCGAAATCAACGAAAACTGCGACCAAGTCAGCATCGAAACTACCACCATTGACAAACACGGGCGCTCCTCCATTACCACCTCCTCCACCTGCAGATAAAAAATCTTTGTTGAACAGCCCTAAAGCTAATCTCTTTCTATCTGGACTCGATTCATCATCCAAAGGGTCTGATGACTTACGCTTGAGTGCATCCTCCTTGATACCCACAGAGAAATCGCTTTCCGATCTTTCTGATGGCGATGGTGATCATAGTATAGAGCTCAATGATGAAGAGCCTCCTCCGTCATACGAGGAATTAGAGAAATCAGGCAGCTTGACATATTCACAATCGATTTATAGAACAGGATTTGAGAAAGCCGGTTATCAAATGGACCACGTTATTACGCCAACTAATCCTGTTGCAGAATCGTCGAATGAGACAACCAAAAGCACGGGTAAGATAACAAGGGAACTTATGTCGAAGAGAAAAATTCCTTCCCAGATAACTGATGAAATGTTCGAAAAAGCAGCATTTAAAACTTCCTTGAGCTCAATACCGACCTTGTCGTCGGAGACTCCAGCGAAAACAGTCACTGAATCATCAACTTCTCAGCTGAAGTCCTCTGTTACGGCGCCTTCTCCAGTACAAATACCATCGCAAATGTCGCAGGTGCCGCCCCCTATTGCAGCTAAATCTCGAAATTCACTAAAAAACCATGTCACTCCATTCCATAGTGAGTTTAAACCACCTGCCAGACTTGAGAACTCGGCATCTGCTACAAACAGCAAACAATCTCGATCCACAATGGATTCATCATTATATACTCCAAAGGCGACAACTAGCGAACTGACTAATATCATCAAATATTCCACAGATCTTTCCTTTGAATCTTTGGCCAATGGCGTGATCAAACCAATACTACCGTCACAATCGAGGGAGTCTACGGAGGAGACGATTGCAAGGTTTAGAAAAACTAGAGAAAAGGCACTTGCAGACTATAAACAGTTTACACCAAGGGTTCAATTTTTTTGGGCAATTTTACTTGTTGAAACGCTGAGTAAGTCTGAAGTTTTATCTAAGATGACTATTGACGGCAAACTAAGGAAGAATCCAGTATCATACAAGAAATTGAAAAAACAAAGGTTGATGTTTCTAACCACTGCTATCAAGGTGCTGGAAAAGCTGATACAAATTGCACCTAATGACACCAGGGCTCGGCTATATCTAGGAGATATTTATTCTGGCGGTATTCATCCAGGATTGATTGAACGTGATGAGGCATTAGGGTACCAATTGTTTTATGACGCTGCTACAAAGCAGAATGATCCTGTTGCATGCTACAGAATTGCGTGCTGCCTGGAATCCGGGGTAGGGTGCAAGCAAGATATCTCCAAAAGCATAGTTTTCTTTGAACGTGGTGCAACGCTAGGCGATCCTTCGGCCATGTGTCAACTTGGTATGATGCACTTTGCTGGGGTTAATGGGTGTGTTCAAGATATTTCACTATCTATTGCGTACCATAAACAGGCGTACGAGACGTTGAGGTCACGGACGGTTATGGGGTTTGACCCATTGATTTCATCCAGATCTTTCCAAGACGCCAGAGGTGCTTTGTACACGCTTGCGAAGCTGCACCAGACTGATCGCCAGATTTTGTGTTTGGCCGATGGCAACGACGACAAGACAAGAAAGACGATTGAAGAGCTGAAGTTTGCCAACGTATGGTGTAACTCTTCCAAGGCATTGAAGTACTACCTTGAAGCTGCGAAGTTGGACCACAACGAGTCCCAGGCCTGCCTCGGGTACTATTACTCACAAGGGTTTTTCCCGACGTACTCGTTCAAATCAGACAAGGAGGCCAACGACGGTGTGCCGAACACACTGGACGCGAGGAAGTCTATATACTGGTTCAGCAAGGCTGCAGCCGATGGACATACATATGCTTCGCTTGGCCTAGCGAGATGGTACGGATCAGGAGCTGTTGATGGCGAGGGCAAGGTGATTTTGAAGCGTGACGAGCAGCAGGCGTTCCTCTGGGGACGGAAGGCTGCCGACGCTGGGGAACTAGCGGAGGCGGAGTTCATGATTGGGGTCTGCTTTGAACAAGGGTTTGGGGTGGAGAAGAATGCTGTGATGGCTGCCAACTACTTTGAGCGGAGCGGGCGGAAGGGGTACAAGAAGGCCATTCAGAAGCTCAAGGCGATGAAGAATGCCACGCGATGAGCAATGTGAGATGATATAGTATAATACGATTATAGTATAATAAATAAATAGATTGATAGAATTCACGCTATATAAATAAATCTACAGGGAATAGAATAAGGCAAGGGGAGGAGGCGAGGGATGCAGCAGTCATGATCATGCTTATGGGTTAGCCTTGACGAAGTCGACACCCTTCTTGATGTTCTTCTTCAAGGTTTCCTTAGCGGTGGCGATCATTTCCTCTTCAGCAGTAGACAAGTTGCCCAATGGGTGGACTTCCTTGACACCCTCTGGGCCCAAGGTGACTCTGGTGGAGAAGAAGTCGACGCCCTCGGACTTGAACAGAGGGTTGTCGATGTAGGTTGGTTCGGTGATGTCAGTTTCACCGGCCAAACCCTTTAAGACGGAACCAGCCATTCTTGCACCGGCTTGGGCCATGGACAAGGTGGCAGAACCTGCACCATCCTTGGCCTTGACGACCTCGTCACCACCGAATTGGATTCTGTGGACCAAGGCGTCGTACTTGTCCTTTGGCAAGTCCTTGTGCTTGGTTTGGGACAATAATGGGACAATGGTGACACCGGAGTGACCACCCACGACGGTGACGGTTTCGGTGGCTGGGTTGGTGCCGACAACCTCGGACAAGAATCTCGAGGATCTGAGGACGTCCAAGGTGGTGACACCGAACAACTTCTTTGGGTTGTAGACGCCCTTCTCCTTCAAAACTTCGGAGACAATAGGGACGGTGGAGTTGACTGGGTTGGAGATGATCAACAAGGCGGCGTTAGGTGCGCTGGCGGCAGCGGCCTTGGCCAAGTCTCTGACGATGGAGGCGTTGGTGTTGAACAAGTCGTCTCTGGTCATACCTGGCTTTCTTGGGACACCGGCTGGGATCAAGACCACGTCGGCGTCCTTCAAGGCCTTGGCCAGACCGTCGTTTTCAGGACCAAAGCCCTCGACGGTGGAGTTGGTTGGGATGTGCGACAAGTCCGTGGCGACACCCTTGCCCAATCTCAAGTCGTACAAGGCCAAGTTGCTGACCTGGTGGTTCAACTTCATCAAGAGGGACAATGGTTGTCCAATTCCACCGGCCGCACCCAAAACGGTCACCTTGTAGGCGGAGGAGGCGGAGGAGGAGAATTGTCTGACGGAGGCTCTGGAAAGCATGCTGGCTGGGGGGTACTAGACTAGACGGTGTTTAGTTGCGACAAAAACAGAGCTCTTTCTCCTTCTTTTCCCTCTCACGTCCCTGTCCTAATGGCCACCGCAGAGGAAGAAGAACCTGTGGCATATATAGGTGTGTGCCCAACCCCAATGGCAACGCCGATGGCGCCCGCCGCCTCCCCTGCCGTGACCGCCCGCGAATTCCCGCTGTCCTTGATTTCCCACCTCGGACTCGAAAAACTGGCGTCTCCCGCTCTGGACCATCAACGCCGGAGAAGGCGGCTGCCCTACCCGGCGTCCTCGGGGCCACTGTGGTGTGTTCTTCTGCGGCGCCGCAGGCCCTTTTGCAGCACCATGTGTAGCTATCTGCCTGTGCTTGTGCTGCGTCCGGTCCTGCTTTGCCACCTTGTGGTCCCACGGGGCACACGGCGCCCGCACACGTCCTGGCTCGCCCTCTGAGCTGGCCCGCCCTCACCCAAAGAGATCCCGCGGATGTCTGGGGAAAGGCTCGGCGGGAGGGAAAAGCGCGAGGCGGGAAACGGAAGACGGGAAACGGAGCACGGGGACGCCCGGAGCCGGCGCAGCGGCGGGAACTGGGCCGATCGACGCGGAACGGCGGAAACGGCGCCGATCGGCGCGGATTTTGGATGACTCCAGTGGTGGCGGTGGTGCTGGAGTCATCGAGCGCGGACGGCAGATGACTCCGGCGTGTCGAGGAGGATGATTCAGATGACTCCGGCAGCGTTGCCCGCTTGACCTTCCTCGAGGCTGTCATTGGACACTCCGCCCGTAGCACGACGGTTTGCTCCCGCCTGCAAAGCACAGGGTGTTTTCTTGCACTGCTGTGTGCCTTGTTAGGCCGCAGTGTGCTCTGGTTGTGTTCTGGCCTGCAATTGCAACCAACCCCGCTGTCTTGCGCCGCCACAATGATGTCCAGAGCCCTGCTATCCTGCTTCTACTCGTTCAGAAGAACACTGGCTACCAACGCCGCCAACGGGAAGGTCGGCGGCGGCTGCAGCAGCAGCCCGGCAGAGGTGCTGAACCTGGCCTTGACGACAAAGACACCCATCACCAGCTGGACACGGGACCAGGTCGCAGCGCTGTTCGGCATGCCGCTCAACGACCTCATGTTCTACGCACAGGTCCAGCACCGCCAGTACCACAACCCGGCAGAGGTGCAGCTGTGCACGCTCCTGTCGATCAAGACGGGCGGGTGCACGGAGGACTGCAAGTACTGCTCGCAGTCGAGCCACAACGACACGGGGCTCAAGGCGACGAAGCTGCTGGACCTCGACACGGTGTACGAAAAGGCCAAGGTCGCCAAGCAGAACAACTCGACGAGGTTCTGCATGGGCTCCGCGTGGAGAGACATGAAGGGCCGCAAGAGCGCCCTGCGTAAGATCGCCGACATGGTCAGGAAGATCAACACGGAGCTCCAGATGGAGACGTGCGTCACCCTCGGCATGATCAACGAGGAGCAGGCAAAGACCCTCAAGGACGCCGGCTTGACCGCCTACAACCACAACATCGACACGTCCCGGTCCCACTACAAGAACGTCATCTCCACCCGGTCCTACGACGACCGCCTCCAGACAATCCAGAACGTCAACGACTCCGGCATCAAGGCCTGCACGGGCGGCATCCTCGGCATGGGCGAGACCGTCGACGACCACATCGACTTCGTCCACACCCTCGCCACCATGAACAAGCACCCGGAGAGCTTGCCCATCAACAAGTTGATTGCCATCAAGGGCACCCCGATCGAGCAGGAGCTGAAGACCAAGTACAAAGACCGCAAGCTCGGCCTGGACAACATCCTCCGCGTCATCTCCACCGCACGCTTGTTGATGCCGGAAAGCATCATCCGTTTGGCTGCCGGCAGGTACACTATGAAGGAACACGAGCAGCTGCTCTGTTTCAACGCCGGCGTCAACGCCATCTTCACCGGCGAAAAAATGCTTACCACGATGTGCACAGGCTGGGACGAGGATATTGCTATGCTCAAGAAATGGGGCTACGTTCCAATGGAGGCGTTCAAAAAGACCGCTCCTCGTGAGAAGCTGAACGTCACCATTGGCGCAAATAACGAAAGATCTGTCTCCGTGATCACTGGCGGCAATCTGGAATTACCTGATGACAAGAACAGCGTCAAGGAGCTATCTTTATAGGTTTTCTTTCGTCGTATGAGCATTGAAAGCTTTTTCACCCCTTTCACTCCCCAGGGTCCCCTCTCCACTTATGTCTTTTATATGCTATATATTTTATTTGTAGAGAATGGTTTCCAACGTAAAGATACTCCCTACTCCTTTCATTTCCCATCATTCTCCCGTCATCCTCTCCTTCAACACGACACTGAATCATCATGTTGGAAATGAAAAAATGGTCGATCGGCGCGAAAAACTCAAGCCGAACTCTCCAATGCTTCAAAAGTACAACTATCCGACTGAGCGTCAAAGGTTATATCAATCAAGGGTTCCGGGTAGTCGGCTATAATGAGCACTTGGTTCAGCTGTATTACCATCACATGTCAAACACTGCAATCAACCAGTTCCTAAATGCAAAATTCCCCAATGTGGAATCACTTAATTCGGTGGATACAGTGATACACGAGATCGAGACTGCGGTGGCCGATCTGAATGGCGAAAGTGATAGAAACACAACATGTGTCTCCGAGGTGGACGTGTCAGAAGCTAACAAGTTTTTGGATACCTTACGTGCCTACGTGAAGTCTCCCACAGAAGAAGGGCTTGGAAGTCTCGAGGATCTTATACATAGATACGGGAATGTTCCAGCCATAACGTACACCCGTGAACTATTGGAACAGAAATTGAAGCTTGTAAAGGAAGCGCAAATCAGGAAAGATTTTGTGCAGATTCTAGATGACCTCAGCGATTTCGAAATCTTCGAACTGAATGACCTAACGAACATAGCTTCTTCTCACGATGAGAGAGTAAAAGTTTATGAGAAAGTTGCGGAGCTTAGACTCCAAATCGATAATTTCATGAAAAATGCTAGTGCTGCCAACTTTCACATCGATGTCAACACTGATGAAATGTTTGAAGAGCTAGAATCAAAGCTTAGCGATTTGGTGAGCTCTGAGTTGTGTCAGACCCTCAGTAAGTCACTCATAGAAGCAATAGCTAATTGGGATTCTGAGAAAACTCCCGGGAAATCGCAAACTTTGAGCTCTGCAGCCCTATCAGAGTTTAGTCTTCTGCTAGACATACAATTGAAGGCAATACCGAATTACAAACTTGTTGCAGGCTCTTCTTCGGATGTCACTCTGTGGGCAATTGATTGTCTAACTGACAGCTTCCAAAAGAAGTTCATTTACCATTTCGAGGGTAATGGAGAAACGAATAGGTTAGACAAACCTGAATTTGCCTTCAGTTACATAGTTGGGTATTTGAGAAAAAATATCGAGTATGCCAAGGTTCTATTTGCTGCTAGCTTCTCCAGATGTTGCGGTGGAAAGATATTGGGCAGCTTCAGTACTTGGTTCATCATGTCAACATTGGTGCCCCTCAAAAGAAAGTTCACAAAGGAAATCTCTTTGCTTTTGGAAACGCAAAATAGCCACCTTCTTAGTCATTTTGTTACCGAGGTGAAGAAGTTTGATGAGGAAATTAAGAAAGAATTTGCATTCATGCCAGTGAAGGGCCAAGAATGGGCTGGTCTTACAAATGATCTTATACTAAGCCGTGAAGTTGTTTGGAACGCTTGGCTGCAAAATGAAAAGAACTTCGTCAACAAACGATTTGAAGAAATAGTGGATATGGAAGACGCATTTTCAATCGATTATGATTTGGTTGAAAACGGCAAAACTAAGCCAACAAAGAGTGCCATCAATCTAAAAAATTTACTTGAAGGCATCACCATCAATTATGATTCTTTACCATTGAAATTTCAATTGAAATTCTTGAGTGAAGTCCAATTAAAACTTTTGAATTTTTACTTTGATACTTTGAAGAAAGGAGTAAATGCGTTGAAAAGCATCAAGCACGTCCAAATCGACGGTGTTAGTACCCTTGAAAGAGTTTGCCGTATATGGTGCTCCAGTAAATACATCATTGAAACCATGGACAAATGGAGCAATGAATTGATTTTTGTTGAGTTGTGGCAATCCCTTAGCAATGAGAGTCAGTCTGATACCACCTTTTTTGAGTCTGTGATTAACGGATATGAGAAGGAAATCATGAGCAAAATACCCAACCTGATACAAAGTTATTTTGAAAGGCAGCTTAACAGAACAATGAAGGAGTACTTTCAGGCAAACACTGACTGGACATTGATAACCGAAAAAGAAGGGAACAATGACGAATTGGAATATGTTATCCAAACGTTGAGCACAGATCTTCGCTATCTACAAGTCACAGTATCTTCTGTGACTTACAACTCTTGGAAACTCTTACTGTCGAACACTGTGGTTTCCTATTTTGAAAAAAATATAGCCTTAGTCAACAATTTTTCACCGATAGGAGCTGACAAGCTAGAGAAGGATATCAACAAGGTTGTTGATTCACTAGATCTTGTCAAGTCTTATGACAATTACGGAAGATTGATGACAATTTTACGTGTACTTCGAACAGGAAAACCGGAATTTTCTGACGATAAATACCCCCCTGTTGATGATTCTGAGCTGGCAATGCTAATCATGAGACGCAGGTAGTTCTGATAGTGTGTATTATCATATATTTAACATGTAGCATCATTCAGATTGAAGGAGTATGACAAATCCCGCGTTCGCTTTACTAACATTTGGCGCCGCACTCTTTGAGTGGAGGAGTGTTGAAGTTTTCATTGTTGTGTGGCCACGGTTTTCGTTCAACAGTTTGCACATCCAGAAGATATTTTTGGTCTAATTTCTTGTTTATTTTACTTGAGAGCCCAAGAGTGGAAAGCTGTCTGGTGACATCATCAAAGTGCTGACGTGAAAAGCGGTACCAAATAAAGGAAGATGATGACGATTATTGAGCCAGCTGCAACAGTTATAGATAAACACATGGAAAAAAAAGAAGAAAAATCTGAAACTGTTAATGCGATCAGTAAGTACAACGTGACGGAGTCAGATCATGATATTGAGGGGTCTTTACCAGGTGTTAACGGTGAGAAGGCCGCTCAGAAAATACCGAATGTAGCAGTGGTTAAAAACTTCAAAGTAGAAAATGATAAGGATCAGGATCAGAGCCAAAACTATGCGTTGATGACACAGGAAAAAACAGATTCGGAAAAACCCGAACAATCAGAGAATTCCGTGAAACCACCGAAGAAGAAAAGGAAAAATGGTTTCAACTCAGGACTAGCCAAGTTATTGGAAGATTCAATGTGGTATATTGAATCATCTGGAGGAAGCAGAGTACGTGAGTCAAGTCTGAGAATCGAAAAAATCAAAGAGAAGCAAATTGATCAAATGATCCAAGAGAGAGAAAAGGAAGCGAAAGAACCCGTGTTATCAGCTGAAGAAATTGCGATACAAGAGAGAAAAAAGGCTTTGAGACGTGAACAATCTAAACAAAAACTCGAGGCTAAGAGAAAACGTCAAGAAGAACAAAGGCTTCGTCGCAAACAATTACAAGAAGAGCGCAAGAGATTGATTGCCGAAGGTAAAATTCAGCCACCGAAAAAGAAAATACCCACACCAAGTATTGATCTGAATAACATAGACAATGATTCTTATTACGGGGGAGGAGAGATTGCTGAACTGCTGAAGGCGTCTGCATATTTCACGAACCAGGGTAAAAAGTTCGATGGATCCAGGAGGGAAATAAAACCAGTTGAAAGGTTGTTAGAAGACGATGAATTTGCAGCAGATCTGAGAAGAACAAGCAAGGGCAAGAGCCTGAAACATAATAGTAACGGTAACAGCAATGGAAACAGCGACAAAATCAAAACAAATGCTAAAAGTAAAAAGAAAAAGTTTCAAAAGGCCAAAAAGAATACTGAAGTATTTTCAACCAGCAGTGAAATCTCTTACCCATCAGTAGGAAATGGCCAAACTGTTGAAGCTGATACAAACGGTAAAGAAGAGTCTGATTTTAAACAGGAGATAGAGAAAGAAGAAGTTCTTGCTCCCTCTCCACCATCAGAGCCTACTTGGTTTACTGATTTCACTGAAGACGATGTCGAGATTTCTGATAACTGGAACTTTTTCCAAGATTTCGTTTACCAAGGAACCTTTGACCCACACATTCCTAACAATATTGTACATGCTGCAGATATTATCAGGAACACAATCAAAATTTATAGAACAGACCATGAAGTTTACAAGCTCCAGAAAGTCGATTTACATTTCCCATTTTCTGACTATAAAGAACATTACCTACTTGCACTGCCAAAAGATGATGTCCAATTCAATCCGTTTGACGAGATTGGGAAATTGATGGAGTTGATGGCAATTGCATTTTTCCCTCCTTCCGATAAACTGAAGGTGATGAATTTAGAGCAACCAAAAGACTGCATTGTCGGCAAATATATTGAAGCCTTTGAGAATAATGATATTGAGGGGTTGCTAAAATGTATTTCCGAATTTAACTGTTTGATTGATAATCTTCGAACAAGTGGTCAAATTTTTGAATACACAAAAAAGAGGAAAACTTTTCCAAGGGAGCTTATCTACGAGATACTAAACCAATGCTATCTAAGAAGAGTTCTGCCTGAATCCAAGAAGCTTAGTATCTACAAGGCATTTTCCAACGAAGTGTATGGCGAATTGATGCCATCTTTTTTGACAACGGTTTACGCAAAGTGCAATCTGGACCATAATTGTTGCTTCATAGATTTGGGATCGGGAGTTGGAAATTGCGTGATTCAAGCAGCATTAGAATACGGATGCGAGAGCCATGGTGTTGAAATTGTTGAAAATGCATCTCGATTAGGAGATTTACAAGCAGAAGAGTTTGAGTTAAGATGTAGGGTATTTGGTTTGAAACCAGGAGCTGTGAACTTGTTCTCCCAGCAATCTTTTGTTAACAATCCACCTGTCAAAAAAGTTGTTGACAAGTGTGAAGTCATTCTTGTCAACAACTACCTGTTCGACAACCCATTGAACAAAAAAGTCATTGAACTTTTTCAGGACCTGAAAGTTGGGACAAAAATTATAAGTCTAAAACCTATTGTTCCTGCAACACACAAGATCAACTGGGACAACTGCTCCTCGATTCTCAATAGACTAAAAACATCAAAATTTATTTATGCGGAAAATTCAGTTTCATGGACTTCCAAGGGTGGTTTTTATTATATCACTGAAGTGATGAGTGATATTGTTGAGGACAACTTTGTTGTTTTCAAAAGTCGTGAAGCAAGAAGACGTGATGAAGGACTCGATGAGAGAAGTCGTAGTGACACTCCTCTGAACGCTTTTACTAACAACGTATAGTGCTAGGGCACTTCGTGAACGAATAAACATGTACTTCTATATTCTTCTCCATTTGTATTTTTATTTCCGATAGATCATCATTGGGTCCAATGCCGAACGCTTTTTTGACATTGTGTAAGCGAAATTTTGGAATTTTTTTCTATTTTTCAGCTATGTCAAAAAATCCGGTTGCAGCAATTCTTTTCGACATAAGCAAGCTTAATTTGTGCTTCACTAGAAAGATACTCTTTTTGTAGCTGTAATACCGAATAGCACCAAATATATACAAGCTACAAACACACACTATGCACGAGAACGAAGAATTACAAGCATTAGCTTACGAGCTTAGATGTGCACTTCACCAATACCCAAACTTTCCTACCGAAGGTATTTTATTCGAAGATTTCTTACCTCTTTTCAGATCTCCACAACTTTTCAACAAGCTCATTGTTGCATTCAAGTTGTACATTGAGGAAAACTTTGACCAAACTATTGATTATATCGTTGGCTTAGAATCTAGAGGTTTTTTGTTTGGCCCAACATTAGCATTGGCACTCGATGCTGGTTTCGTTCCAATTAGAAAAGCTGGTAAATTACCAGGTGAGGTGTACAAGGTCGCATACACCAAAGAATATGGTCAAGATTTCTTCGAAATTCAACAGGACTCATTCCCTGAAGGTGCCAATGTTTTGATCGTTGATGATATTTTAGCTACTGGTGGTTCTGCACATGCTGCAGGTGAACTTGTCCAGAAATGTAAAGCTAACATTTTAGGTTTCTGTTTTGTTATGGAGTTAGACTTTTTGAAAGGTAAAGATAGATTACAAGCACCTACTTTCACTCTATTGCAAGGCCAACCAGAGTCTCTCAAGGAAGCCAGCCATTAGTCTGATTTGCCAAAACCGTGTCATACTCTATTAAAACGTTAATCAGAAAGATGTTTTGAAATAGAATATTTTTCCACTCTACTTTAGTCGTTCCTTTCTTTTTCATCTTATACTTCCACTTATATTCCTTTTTCAACCATACAATTTCTATACATCATAAACAAATGACCAAACTGTACGTCGTTTCATTTCTATTTTCTTCTATTTATCTTCTCTGACCAATCGCTACGCGTCTGTTTGTTTGTTATAATGATTACCTAGTCCTAGAAAATGTGAAGCAAACGAAAAACATCACTTTTTGTTTTGTTTGAAAACAACATTTTTACCTCTGTCCACTCTTTGCTTCTTTTTCAATTGTGGAATATTCATATCAGCAAGCGCATCATTACTATACGGATCAAATGATGGCTTTTTCTTTTGCTTCTTGAAACGAGTTCTGTCATTGGATTCTTTTTCCATGATACTTTTGGAGAAATCAACAGAGAGATCTTCGGCTTCTGACAATGTGTTAGCCTTCCTTTTGCTACCGTTGCTCCTTTCTGAACGCTTTCTACGTAAAGTGATTATCTCATCACGAAGGTTGATATCGTTTTCATTCTTAGAAGCTTCTCCGCTGTCTTCATCTGCCTCTTGTGGAGCATCCTCATCCTCAACTTCTTCAGCTTCGACTGTGAACTCGACACCTTTGCCCATATCTTCAGTGAAAAAGCCAATAACCTTATTAATTCTATCCTTCACAGATCCATTCTTCACAATTGTAGCTTTACCCTTTTTACCATATTGAACAGCAAATACAGCATCTTCGTTAATATCGTCAACCGTTTCAATCTTAAGAGGTTTGTCGCTATTGGAGATTGTTTGGTTGTAAAAGCGAAAAAATGAATTGAATTGATCTTGTAGTTTGGAAACATCCTTAACTGAAGAGTATATTCCATCTATGTCTGTTGAAGAGTAGCTCGACGCAGGAACAATCTCTTCTGCTGTGTGGTTTTTAGCTTCGTCACCATTGTTTAAAAGTTGTAGCTTGTTCAAATCAACACCTTTCAATTCCATTACAGCATCCTTTATTGTATCTGTCAACTCTTTGACACACTTTCTCACATAATATGAACCACCGAACTTCGAATGCTTGTTGATTACAGCCATTACCGAGTTGACGTCAACGGCACTTTCATGACCTATCTGGAAATTATTAGCCAAAGATACAAGTATGAAATCACTCATGATGTACCTTGGACTTTCATCATTCAGTCTTGCTTGGTTATCTCTCCATTTAAACAAAACTTCTAGTAAAGGTCGCCTTTCTAGAGGAATCCCATTACTGTAGATTAAATTTGTCCACGGCAAATCTCTATCATAATTCAATGTAATTTGTTTCGTGATTTCATCAAGTAAGGGAACAGAACCTGAAGTAGAAACCACTTCACTATTACTGCTCATTGAAAGATTTTTGGGTCTGTAAGTCGAATATTCGAACCGTCTTACTGCAACTTTTCTGGAAGCGTAGAGAGCCTTTTGCAAAGCATTTGGTATTTTCAAAAGATCTTCGTGCATTTTATAAAAGATTTCAATCAAAAAATGTGTATCTGCTTTTGCATAATCCTTCATTTCTGCAGAAAGAGGACGAATACGCCAATCGGCAAGTTGCCATTTCTTTGACGTACGGAACTTGGCGTATTCTTCAAGTAAAAATGCCAAAGAATATTTTCCCAATGCAAGTTGCTTTGCAGCGTGGAAAGTATCAAACAAAGAAACAAGATATAGTCCCAAGTCACGTTGGAGCCAAATAACATCCATAAATGCACCATGTAGAACCTTGATGATGTTAGGGTTAGTGAAAACTTCGTTCAAGATAGTCAAGTGTGGACGCAAAGTTGGTGAAAGGGGATCTATCAAATAATCCACCTTTGAATCAGATGTGATTTGCATCAAACTTGTAAGACCATGGTACGTTCTATAGTCATGATGTTCCAAATCAATTGCAATGACTTTACATTTATTCAACTCAACCAATAAGGAATCCAATTTTTCGGGAGTATCAACCCATTGAGCTTCTGGAGATCCAACCCATGGAATTGACTCATACTTCTCATTTTCCGGAACAGAGTTGAGAATCCATTCTGGATATTCTGTGTTCATTATCTCATAAGCATATGGATTTTCGTAATGCAATGGTACATCATCAGTAGGTTCAACTAACTGAAGGGACTCCTGTAATGGCTTTAGAGCGTTGGGTTTAAATTTGATGAGAGGCTTGAATGGTGTAGTTTCAAAGTTGTTTACAGGATCCAGGAATTTTGTTTGTGGCTTTTCCATGTTTGCACCACCTCTAGGAACAGTGGACGACGAGGAAACATCCTCATTCTGATCTAGATAAGTATATCCATCATCTGCTGTATTTGATGATCGCTGGTTACTGTTCAAAAGTTGATGGTGCTTGTTTTTCTTTGCCTTGTAATGATTGTCCAAATTTATCTCAACTTTTTCGAGAAGTGTGTCCAACACATTTGATAAAACTTGATTATTCTCGGTTTCCGAATTAACTTTGAACTTGAAATCTGCTGTGTCATCGGTTGAAACAGTTAAGGCTGACATTAGCATGTCATTCATAGTGTCTGTAATTTCGGAACTAATGTCATTTGCCTTTTCCTTGATCGCAGGATCGATGCTCTTGTAAAATGAAATGTCCTTTGCATTAACAGCTGAGGAGTATCTGATAAGATTTTTCAGAATTGGCGCATACTCTTCCAGAAGAGAGTCTGTTAGTGACATCTCCTTGCCCTGCTCAGAAGCCATTATACTCAATGAATATGACTTTGACAAATTAATACTTGCAATTGGAAAGAATTATGATGAGATTCCGTAGCAGGTTTGATTTAGGTATTAGATGGTCATAGTTTACGATATTTTTCCTTTGAATTTTTTTTCTTAATTTTCATGTTGGGACAGAAACCCGTGCACCACAAATGCTATTGAGGGCGAGACAGATCTACTTCTTCCAGTGGCGAACACGAAGAAGAGAAAGAGGAACATGTACAACAGGAAGAAAAGAGCAAGGCAAAAGAATAATAGGCTAGATACAAAAAAGAGAAAGGCCATTCAGCAAAAACCAATAATAATGGAGATTGATTCAGAAACTGTGCTTGTGACATTGAGGGAGGAAGTGGAAAGCAAAGATGCTGATCTTGCTGCCCACTTTTATACTCTGGAGGACTACTACGAGCGCAAGCTCTGGTACCAGCTTTCGGAACTATTGAAGAAGGAGATATACAGGAACCCAAACTCAAGGGCCATCCGGTTGAAACTTTATGACAACTTCATCAGCTCTTTCAGCGATAAGGTCAATCAATTGCAGTTAGTTGAGTTTTTGATCATTTCCTTGGCCGATTCATCGCCAGAAAATGCTCTAGAATACTTGACGAACTTGAAGCAGACACTTTTAAAGCGTGGCGAGAAGAAATCGAGCAACTTCGCAGACCAGGATATGAACGATTACGAGATAATACAGGCGCTATTATACTTGGAAAACGAGTTGGCTAAGGTTAAGTTGCAACTTGGGTTTATTGACGAGGCAACCACGATCATTGAGCAATCTCAAGAGAAGCTTGACAACTTGTCAGTCTCTGCTGACAACCGGGTCAATGCAAGCTTTTACTACATCAAAGCACAGCTAGTGAAGAGAAAGGGCGATTTCAACCTATTCTACTACAATAGCTTGTTGTTCCTTGCGTGCATTCCCGACATAGACGACTTAGAGGACAAGGAGAATGTCGTAAGGGATATCTGCATCAGCGGCTTGTTAGGGGATAAAATTTACAACTTCGGAGAGATCATAATGCACGACATCTTCAAGTATCTATCAGATGAATGGTTAAAGGAGCTCCTCTTGAGCTTGAACAACGGTGACCTGACAAGCTTCAACAAGCTTATTGCCAACAAAACAGAGATTGAGAGGATTCCAGAGGTCTCCAACAGGGTGGAGTTTCTCAAGCAGAAGATGTGCATAATGGCCTTTGTCGAGCTCGTGTTCAACAAGCCTACGACGAGCAGATGCATCCAATACAGCGAGATCTTACAGAAGATTCCTCTTCTTGTCAACGGCAACGAGATAGAGCACTTGATAATGAGGTGTTTGAGTCTCGGCTTGATCAAGGGTCTCATAAACCAGGTTGAGGAGAACGTCGAAGTGTCCTGGATTCAGCCTAGAACGATGACTCTGGCGCAGATCAAGGGCATGAAGGCCAAGATGGAGCTCTGGAGCGACAAGGTTTCTGTGCTCAACAAGTACATGGGCCAGGCCGGTGGCGAGATCCTTGTGTAGACTCCTGGAAAGTAGACCACACAGACATAGATTGTTTAAAGATGAAAGATTAAGATGGCAGAATTATATGTATCTCTTGTAGAACCGGACTGGTTTTCCTCCGGCGATTTCCCAATCGGGCAATTGCCCAATGCGGCGCGCCGGCTCTTCCTTTTCGCATTTTCGCATTTCTCGTTTGTCTAGACCGACCGGCCGCGAGAGCGTAAATGGAGGAGGGCGAAGATGTTGCACCGACACCGGGGTGGCACTTTACAGACGTTGAGCATAATAGAACGGTTGCTATGTGGAAAGAGTCTATTATAGAAAAGATAGACCGGAAAGCCACGCTACCAGGAGTGCCTGTACAGACTAGACTACAGCCTGAACTCTTTGCGTATCTCACGTGCACGCTGAAAACATATATACACCCACCTATACTCAAAGACAGACAGACAAATATTCACATACTAATCAGACATACATATTATTGGCTCTCTACCACAGCGAAAGTGAGTGAAAAAGACACAAAGCTACAGCAGAAGTCACCATGAAAGGACCGAACGGAAAATCTGTGCTACTCAACCGGGCAACGGTTTCGATCAGTTCCACCATCTACGATAGGAGAGCGTTGGACTGCACAGATGACAAGGCGCTTGTGAACTCTCTCAACCATTTAACCTTTTTGACGTCTTCCTCATTGAAAGTAAGGGATGCGATGATTCAGGATGGCGCCATAGAGCGCTTGGTTGGCATTTTATACGAATGCAGGGATCCGAAGAACGACACGGACTCGATCATGTTTGCTTGGAAATGGGTGTTGTCTTTGCAATGCTTGGTTTTGGCAGGTACAAGAGGAAGTGAAAAGATGAGGAAGAAGTTAGTGGACGCAGGCATTATCCCAATTTTGGCCACGATTCTTGACAACCACTTTCTCACGAAAAAGAACGCAGTGAAAAATGACATGAATCCGCTCGAAACTAGGGCCACAAACAACTTCGAATCGGGACTATCCGGCACTAGCGGAGGAAATAATACCAACAGCAATGATAACAGCAATAGCCACGATAGTGATGATAATGGCGGTGGCAACGGTGCTAATAATAACTCCAACAGAAACAACAACCAAACATCGAATGCCAACGATTTCACTCGATCATTGGAAGGTTCAGATGTTATAATCAATGATGATATGAATGACAACGAAATTGCAAATGTTTTTAGAGAGGTAAGAACAGTTGTTGGACATGCTGACGAAGCAATACTCGATGCACAAGATGAGATTGAAAAATTCCTCAAAGTAAATAACGACCAACATGAGCCCACTCATTCAACCAGTCTCTTATACGAAGAAGAAATCGAATTATTGAACGTGGTTGAACTTGTCAAATGTTTCCAAAAGCTAGGAGATTGCAACTTACATGAAGATGTTTCCCGTTTAATGAACGAAAATTTCAAAAATGTGATGACAGATTCGATATTAGCAAATGAGCTAACCCATCGTTTAGAGCTTTCGAATATATTATCCACATCGTCCAACCCTTTCGACTGTTTAGCTGCCAACACAAAGCACTTGAATCCTTTGAGCCACACTGTGCCGAGAAGCTTTGAGAATGGGTTGATATTACCAGCAACTGATGATGTCATTTGGTCTTTGCAACTTCTAGCATTCATTTCCAAATACACATACCTTAGACATTCATTGTCAAACACATATTTGATTAATGGCTTATCATTCAGAAGTAGAAATAATCCACCACCGTTAGAAGTAGATTCGACAAGTATAGATTTGGATGAGTTTATGACAGACTTGAACGATGATCCGTTGTTGGCATCTTCCTTTGATATTCAACGTCCAGCTGAATTCGACAACACAAATTTGCGTTTAAACTTAAAGTTTCATCAACCATTGTTAGTCACGAAACAAGAAGAACGACTTTTAAGATTGAAGAATTTGGAGGATGATGAAGATAAGGGGATTGTTGAAGATTATCTGAAAATCATACGAACCGATGACCATTTAGAAAAAATCAAATATCTTGAGAAGATTAGATTGAACTCTGTGAGATTAAAGCATGAATCATTAGGTAAGTTGAGAACGAAGAACAGGCTGATATATAGAAACAAACTAAAGGATTATGCTGCAAAATGGGATTATGATGAAGCTTGGAACGAGTTTGAGACTCCATTGGACACATCTGAGCTAATCGATCGAGAAATTCAGCCTTTTGTGACACTTAACATTTTCCCTCTTGTTGAGAGATTCACGGTCAAAACCTGGTTCCAAGAAGATATATGCTACTGGGCAGCAGTTGTTGTGCGAAATGCCAATAGGAAGGATGAGAAAATGGGCGGTAGAAGACAGTGCGCAAATTTCAATTGCGGAATTTGGGAAGACCATCCAAAACAGTTCTCCAAGTGTAGGAGATGCAAGAGAGCCAAATACTGCTCGAGGAATTGTCAAACCAAGGCGTGGGTCTTTCATAAACATTGGTGTGTCCCTGCTATTGCCCCTAACTCGATGAACAACAACACTAATGTGTCGTCTGCATCATCAGAGCATCCACATTCGCACGATCACGCACTGACTTCTTCCGCTACTACACACACACAAGGGAACACCCAAGGGAGTAGTTCCGCGGGAACTAATACGACAGTTCCATCAGGGTCATCTGTAGGACCTCGAACTATAGCTTCCACAGATTTTTCTGTATCGGTATCCGGTATAGCCAGTACAGAAAGTGGAGTGGATTCTAGGGGAACGGGTAGTAGTCGTGTTGAAGGAACATCACAAACATTTTCGGTAAGCCATCACAACCACAACGTCGAACCGAATACTGCGGCAACAAACGGTAACAACGGAAGCAACAACAATAACAACAATAGCAGCAACGGCGTTAATTACTATGGATCATCGTCCTCAAATATTGAGGAGCCATGAGCCAGAATTAGAGGTAGAAATGAACGTTTACTATTGACACACATACAAATATGTATACGAAAACTGTATGCTATATTTGAACTTTGGGTTTTTTATAAGGAATGTATAATATTTTTTTTTTAGTCGAACGCATACATTATTTTATCATAACACGGTAGGGAGACATGTAAAGCTTTACGCAAGATCGGAATGAAGTGGGGGGTGGGGATATTTATAAAGAGAATAAATAAGTCAGTCTATCAGTGTGAGCGGATTTATGCAAGAAGCTTAGTCTCAACTTTATACACCAAGCTCATTGTTTGTTCCATAAATGTTAAGGTTAGAACTGTATGAGGAGCAATTCTCAAGATCTGGGCACCGAAACCTTTATACAATGCCATGATACCTTCGCTCTTGATCGTTTTCACAAAACAGTCGACAGGGCCTGAATAGAGATCACCCTTCTGGTTGTACACTCTGGTCAATATGACATCCCAAGGGTTCATCACAATACCGACACCAAAACCAGCGACAACAGAAGCACCCAAATGCAACGCTGGACCTTCGCTGAAGAATCCGGAACTCATCATCTCATTTTTGGTGAAGTTATATATTGGTAGTTGAGCTGCCGAACCAGCACCTGTTCTCAGAATGGCTGCGTCGACACCTCTGAACAGACCCTTCACTCCTTCTGCGCTGTAGATCGCACGTAGGCCTTGCCATGCGGATTTATAGTGTGTCTGCTCACCGATCTGGATCTGAGCCGAATATGACTGCATTCTAGTTTTCACCAAATACATTGGGGAACCGATGATGGCACCGGCGATACCTGAGATTGCACCTGCGGCAACATTGATTGGAATGTTCTGCACACGACGAGGGTCTACTTCAGGATAGAACACCGAGTTGAAAATATTTCTCGTTGGTTCATATAGACCAAGACGGCACCCGTTCAAACCTAGCTGGTACACGTATGCACATGCAAGACCCTTCTGGATACCTCTAATACCTTCATTTTTGTAGATCAAGACTAACGCTTGCAATGGGTTCTTGTACACCTTGGGTCCTTTCGTTTTCGACAACTCACCCTGTAGTTGCATACGAGTCTTCACCAACTCGATTGGGTTTGTGAAGGTGACTGCACCACACGCTGCTAGTCCACCAGCGATGAACCCACCAACGGTGGAGATCTTTTGAGATGCCGTGTCTTCACGTGCCATGCTTACTTATCTTCTAGTGAAATCAGCACTATTTGCAGTGCTTTTGAGGGAGACACAAGGATACAAAGGCCTCAACCAGGAAACAGAAGAGCCTGTGACAATCCCACTGGAAAAACCGGCCAGACCGTAACATCGTCCTCGGGGACAGTTTTGCTCTCTCCCCCCGGCTCTTTCCCGTCTCCTCCATCCTTCCGCATCCAGCGTATCCAGCGTTGCGATACCGGCGTATGGAAATGAGGAAAAAACAAAAAAAAGAAAACAATAAAAAAAAAAGAAAAACAGCGCAGACGCTTACCTAACCCGAGGCCTTATCTCGCTAAGACTTTCCACGGGACAGAAGAATGTTTCAGAACTTTGCCCGGATCCCGTTGAGTCTATATTTGACGTCTTTAAGGGCTTTGGATTCAGGCTGCCACTCTTCAAACTCCCGGAACACCAACTGGATCTCGTCCTTACCACTGGGCAAGCGCTTGGAGACTTCGAAAAAAAGACCTCGTGCACACCAGGGGAGGTTGAACGGGTTGGCGCCGTTTCCGAGCTTTTTAATGTCAAAAGGCCTGTACCTGACCGGCTGTTCGATGGCTATGTTGGAACTCTCTGTCTTGAGGATGAAGTCGAGGGCCAGTTTGTAGACTTTCAAGTCGTTGTATATCCTGGAATGGCCGCCGCCGGTGATGGGCCCTGCCAGGGCGTTGGAGATCTCTTTTATCACGTCGTGATCGGTAGATCCGATGTTGTGTAACATACACGAGAGCTTGATGATGCGGGCTACGAAGTCCGGGGTGTTTGTCGACCCATCTATGTAGACTGCTTTGAAAATGTTTGGATGTTGGACATGCAAGGCTATGGCAGAGTATAAGGGGACCAACTGGTCGTCGATGGAGCCGACAAACGTCAACTTGACGTCGTGCCTCACCAAATTTCTTAAAGACTCAATGTACTTGCGGCTTTGCAAGCTTTCGAAATTCTGGAATTGGAACAATTCCAACAATGACTCGTTTTCAATGGTTGAATAGGCCCGCACAAAGAATGATCTATCCATACCAAAAAAGGGTCCTATATTGATGCCGGCCATGCCCAAGATGCCGATCTTTTTGTTTTCGTCAATGATACCATACTCGAGCAGCTTTGACATGAGGATAACCGAGACGGGACAACCTTGAGAATGCGAGCAGACAAAGATAAAGTCGGCCTTCTTGATGTCGTTTGCGGAGTTTTTCAAGATATCGAAGAAGAACTCGACCCGGTCGAAGATCTTGCCCTCTTTTTCCAATGCTATTTTCTGGATCTCGATGTTGAGGTTGTTTTCCTTGGCCCACGACAAGACTGCTGTTTCTCCGACCTGGGCGAACTTCATCGAGGTACCTGTCGGCTCGCCAATGATTGGTCTGATCATCTTTGTCGGGAAGAACCCGTGCACGCCGATGATCAGCACCCTCTTGAAGATCGTCGGCTCCTCTTTCCGGAACAAGTTCGTGTCCCTCGTGTCTGTGTATCCCAAAATCTTCTTTATCCGCTTCACTCCTCCGGCAAGTAGGTTGTGTGTGGAAAGCAGCGGAAGAGTGTCTTCTATTTGCGGGACTATCAGGTTGGGCCTGTTGGCGTGGGGTACGTTTTTCTTCTGGGGTTTCGGAGGTTTCCCGCCGGCCGGTGTTGTTGCTGGCGGCGAAGGCGTGTAGTTGTTTGATTTGCTGACGTTCGACTTGATGACATCTGGCATTGGCGGCACGTCGCTCTTCGTCTTGGACTCGAGCCGGGTCCGGAGGTTGTCCCTAGCGGCAGCGTACGACCAGAACGACCACGAGTAGGTGCGTTCCCGGCCGCTCAGCTGCTGTTCCTCGCCGTCCACGACAACGCTTTTCACCGTGTCATCGTTCGTGGCGACGGTGCCCTCCTCAGGCGGCTGTGTGGGCGATGGCGGACCGTCAGCGGCGGCCTGGACCGGCGAAGACGGCTCTGCTGCGTTTTCGGATCTCCAGAACGCCCAGCTGCTCTTCCTGCGGGAGGGCTGATCGAGCCGCATCTGGTCCATGGCGACGTCCGTGTCCTCGGGGTCGAACACCTGGCTTCTGGAGCGCTTCATGCCACCCTGCGCCGGCGACGACACCCCACGTGCTGCCCCGTCGTCCTCCGTCCTCTTATCGTTTGTGCCGTCTGCGTGCTCATTGTTGATCTCACTCTCTTTGACCGTGTTGCTGCCATTGCTGCTGTTCCCGCCGTCCATGCCGGGGTGCGGTTTGCTGCGTTTCAGAAAGCGGAATGTCCGGAGTGAAGACGTCCCTGGCCTCATGCAGCTGCCCGACTCTATGGAGACGCCTTGCCTCCTGCTCGTGTCCCCATCAGCGGGCTGTAAGACAGGATGAGGGACGGCTTAGTACTGACGGGGAGGCAATGCGATTGCCGGCGGGGGGCGCGTGGGGCGGCTCCGAGAGCTACCCCGACCGGTGCACGGGGGAGCGCGGGGGGGGAGAAGAAAAAACACGTCTGCCTTTGCTGGGAGGTTTCGTGTCGGGGTCGGGAGCAGGCGACGACGCCGGCTGCAGCGAGACCCCCGGACACACCACACACGGCGATGACAGAAACGGCCCCCGCCAAGCGCAAGATCACAGATTTCTTCCAGGCGTCAAAGAGGCCGAAGCGGGAGGAAAAGGCAGAGGTGAAGGTGAAGACGGCGACGGCGCCGGCGACGACGACGACCGCACCGGCGACGGATCAGACGGCCCCCGCAGCCGCCGCTGCGCCGCCGCCGCCGCCCGTCTTCGACAAGGCCAAGTACATCGCGTCGCTTACCAGCGAGCAGCGCTACCTGCTCGACCTCGAGCTCACCACCATGGAGGACTCCTGGCTCGAGCTCCTGCACTCCGAGCTCACCAAGCCCTACTTCCTCGACCTGAAGCGCTTTCTCCTCAAGGAGTGGGCCGGCCCCGTGCCCATCTTCCCGCCCCGCGAAGACGTCTACGCCTGGACCCGCCTCACCCCGCTGCGCGCCGTCCGCGTCCTAGTCATCGGCCAGGACCCCTACCACAACCACAACCAGGCCCACGGCCTCGCCTTCTCCGTCCGCGACCCCCACACCCGCGTCCCGCCCTCCCTCGTCAACATCTTCAAGGGACTCCGCAACGACTACCCGGACTTCGTGCCGCCCGCCCACGGCGACCTCACTCCCTGGGCCCGCGAAGGCGTGCTGCTTCTCAACACCTGTCTCACCGTCCAGGCACACCGAGCAAACTCCCACGCCAAGCGCGGCTGGGAGCACATCATTGCCGCCGTTGTGCGCGAGCTTGTCCGGGCCAGCGAGCGCGCCGGCCGCGCCCTTGTGCTTGTCGCCTGGGGCCGGCCCGCCCAGCAGCTCGTCACCCGGCTCGACCTTGGCCTCGCGCCGCCGGCGCCGGGCGCCGGCGCCGCCAACAGCGCCCGCCCGCTGCTCTACCTCTACGGGGCGCACCCGAGCCCGCTCAGCGCCACCCGCGGCGGCTTTTTTACCAACGGCCACTTCCGCCGCTGCAACGAGTGGCTCCGGGAACATGGCCGGGGGGAAATCGTCTGGCAGCTGTGAGCACCCTCCCCCGCGCCGCTGCGCCGCCGGCAGCCGGGGACAGGCCGCCGCCCCGGCAGACAGACAAATGGGCTCCGTGGTTTCTGCCCGCCGGGCGTGCCGCCCGCTCCGGAGCTGGGGGCCGCCCGAAGCGGCAGTCTGATGGGGCGGTTGGTATTGTCTCGGCTATTGTCTCCGGCGGACACCATGCTGTTGCGGCGCTGCAGAGCAGGGATGACGTGGGTGAAGTGGCCCGGCGTGCACTGGCATGACATGACATGGCATCGGCTGTCGTGGCCTGTCCTGTCCTGTCCTGTCCTGTTCTGTTTGTGCTGTCACGCCCTCTTGTACGGTTCCGGTCGAAGACTTTATCCCTTTTCGGCTGCTGCCCCTATTTATTTTTTATTCCAGATTTTTTCTATATTTCACCTCCCCAGAGCATCCTGTATTCTGTCGAAGCCGGCATTGTTTGCGTGCAGCTCCGCCAGCACCGGTCTTCCTTCCTCGTTTGTTCGTTCGTTTGTTCCCCACCAGACCAGGCCTCGTCCGTCTATCTTCTCCCAGCCGTCCCCCGTTCTCTCTTCTTGTGAAGCCCTCGGTCCACCGAATACACCGGCCCTTCAAGACCACCGCAGAACCCCCACAGCGACACACAGAAGAAGACACGCCCGCCCCACCACACCATGAACGTGCTCCGGATATTCATCATCTTCTTTGCCACGATATTCCTCCTCGGCTCGGGTCTCACCCTCTTCTTGACCATCCTCACGGGCGCAACACAGACGTCTGTTCTCCGCAAGTTCTACTGGCTCGAGACAGACTGCTCCAACTTCTCCGGCTCGCCCGTCTCGTCCACCTGCAGATGGACAAACTACGGCCTCTGCGGCGTCCAGGACAACAGAAACACGGACTGCACACATGACGTGGCCGCCTACCCCTTCTCCCCCTCCAGAAACTTCAACTCCAACGACAACCTCCCTTCGGCCTTTGTCGACAATGCAAACTACTACTACTACACCAGCAGAATCGGATACGGCTTCAGTCTAGTGGGCTTGGCCTTCCTCGTGTTCTCGTGGTTCCCCTTCCTCATCCTCCTTTTCACCAAGGTCGGCTTTGCCGCCCTCCAGAGCGTCTTCTGGGTATTGTATGGCCTAGCGTTGTTGTTTGTCATCATCGGCATCGCTCTCTCCACCTCCGCCTATGCCAAGGGTAGGAACCACTTCAGAAACGCAGGCTTTACCGCCAACTTGGGCACCAAGGCCATGGCAACCGCGTGGACCACCGTCTTCTTGCTCCTCTTTTCCATTCCATTCATCGTCTTCGCCTCCAGAGAGTGGTCCCTAGGCAGTCTTGGCAGAAAACGTCGTGGTTACAACAGCGGCGTCAACGAGGAGACCAACAACAACTCTAAGTCGGGCAGATTCTCCTTCAGAAACAGATCCAAGTCTGCGTACGGCTCCTCCTCCTCCAACGGCGGCTGGTTCAGAAGAAAAGACATCCCCCCAAGCAACCAGATGGTGGCTAACCCGGAGGTGCAACAGACCAACCAGCCTTACAACGAGGTGTCGGGCAACCCAAACAACGTCGTTGGCGCAGACGGCACTACCAATGCCAATTACTTGTCGTTCACCCCAGTCAAGGAGGTGAAGGCTGGCACGGTCGCCATGGAAAACACCGATGCCGACAGAAATCTGTACCCTTGAAATTGAACGAATCCTCCTTTCAATTTTTCCTACTTCCACTTTCTACACAAATTGTGAGATTCATACCTTAACATCCCACAAATAGATGAAAGCGGAATAACTCTGAAAACTCAAAAAAAACACCGAAACTTTCTCTTTTTGTTTGTTCATAATTTTAATGTTTTCCTCTTTTCTTACCTTTTTCTTAATGATTTGTTTTCTTATTTGTTAATCTTCCATATCGTCACAATTTAAAATTCAATCAATACCACTCTCAGTTCACTCGTTCCTAATTTATGTACTACTTTAAATCTCTTTTTTCCTTCCCAAGCTCCACACCATACTATCCCATTCTTCAATCTTCATTTAATAATTTAAGTACCTGTTCTTTTTCTTGTCTTTCACTATATAATAAAAAAACGATAATATCCAATCCTAACTATCCACAACTAGTGCGTCAACGTTACAGGCTTGCCTGCTTCCCACTCCTTCAATGCATTTTTGATGTTGTAGCAGTACTTGAGTCGGATGGTGGCTAACGCAGCTTTGTCCCACTCCTTTGCTTCAAACAACTCGGTCAACGTCTCGCATAGCTCCTTAATCTTACTCTGGTTCTCCTTCTTCATATCTTCGAGCTCTCGCTCGTTCATGATGCTCTCCAACCGCTCGTGGATTTCCATCATCTCAAATAACATCGCTTTGTCTTGAAACTGTAAACTTTTGCCCACCTCGTCGTTCGACAAATCAATGCCTGCCTGCATTAACAAGATATACTGCGCTCTCTTCAAAGGATCAGACAAAGTCTCATATGCCTTGTTAATCAGTGATGACGCCACCCCGTCACTACCTTCACTAGCTCCTCCTGCTTTGTTCAGGATGTTGTTCAAGTCCGGATGACTAACGCTCTGCAATTTCCGGTATTCTTTCCGGAGCTTCTTCACATCAACCAAAAACCCGTATCCAGGAACCTCTTTCCCGGTGGGAAACGTCTGTGGAAACATCTTAAAATAGTTCACGCCACTCGTTCCCGTACTGGTATCGGCATCTGTTCCCTTGCCGGCTTCTGTTGTACTTCCTCCGGATGCAAACCTCGTTTGAACCCACTTCAATCCTCCAGTCCTCAGTCCGATCCCATTGACAACAGCTGTCCGGCCACTCAATGTTGTTTTCAAGGTACGTCTAAACATAACTTCACCTTATAATTACCTCTTACTCAAACTCCGGTATCTTTGTACTTATTGGAAGCCTTCTTTTCTTTTCTTTCTTTCCTTGCTTTTGTAGTTCTTCGATTCAAATTCATCAATCTTTCAAACCCATATCCGGCGTGCGACAATTATGCTGTCGCGGAAGTATTTGAAACACTCCCGTGCACCACAATATGCCTGTACGTTTTTGGCCAAACACTTTCTTTAATGAGGGGACTGCTCTCGCTTCCTTTTTGATTTTTGCATAAGATGTAAGTACATGAATGATGATAGGACAAACAGGAAGAATACCGGAGCTGACTTCTGTACCTGCCAACTCTCTAACAGACCACATATATACCTACTCATACACAACAATGGCTGGCCACTTTGGAAGACACTGTACGTATCATAAACATTTTTTCATCGAGCCCAACAAGCGTTTTGAAAGTGATCATATTTACTAACATCCATATTACATTGGCTGTTCCTAATACACCAATCGTTTTCTGCCCCGTTCTCATATAGTATTACACCCTGACAAGGAAGTCGAGAAGTTCAGTGAATTCAGAGAGAACCTTATCAAGCACTACAAGTGGAACTTGAGGTCAGCAGGTTTCGCTGTTTTGTTCCTTGCTGCTATCCCAGTTGGTTTGACTTACGTCGGCTACAAATATCAATCTCTCCACTTGGTGGCTGCTAAGAGAGAAGAACCAATTTTCGAAAAACACAACAACTGGGTTCCAAGATCATAGGCTGTACCGTGTCATAAGATGATTGTAGCTTTTCTGAATATACCATCTCTTCAAACTGTTACCATCATCTATTATATTTATTTCCTCCCATTTCTACACTATATAGCAATCTTCTACTGATTCAACAATATTTATTATTCTGCACTGTTTCCCCGCTATTGTAAAGACGCTGGTTATACTTCGATGAAAGTGAATCATGTATAATTAGAAGATTAAATTAAGTAAATAAAAAAAAACAAGAGGAATACAGATAATAATAGTTACAAAGCATAAAAATGAGATACATGCACCCATCGACAACTTCCATATGGTACGTTCGGATGTATGCATGTATAATTGTGAGAGAGTTTAGTAAAGCAGATTAATGATGATATTGTATTTAGAATTTTACTTGAATAGTTGCACATGCGTTTTTACTTACATATGCGTTCCATTCTTTTCCTTTCCTTTCTATCTCTCTATTTTTCCCTTACAGTTCATCATCCATTATATTCTTGCCCTCTCTCGTTACCTTTTTTGCCCATTGTCTAGCCAGAATCGAAACTTTCATGAATTTTCTTGATGCGTATTTTTTGAAAAACTCCTCATGAACAATAGGACTAACAAGATAATCCATAATCATAAGACAAACCTCTTGCAAATCGTTGCTCTTGTAGCCTCCTGAATAGTGGATCAGGTTACCATTCCAATCGTTTTTACTGATCATTTTCCTAGAGATGAACATTGCAGCAGCTGCACACAAAGATGGCAGATATCCAATAAACTTATGATCTATCACAGTCACCTCCAAGAGGTATTTACCAATAGTACGTGTATTAACGTCATAGTCGTCAGCTTTGGATATCCGCCTCAAGAAATTCATTGGATTTGGATAACTCATGTTGAAGTTCAGGATTTCAAGTATAAATCTCTCGGCACCCAATATCTCATCTTCCGAAAATGCACCGTCTGTTACGTATGCATAATTTTTGATGGACGGGGAATAAACTTCCTCGTATTTCGCAGCAATGAATAAAGCACCTGTTGCAAGCAATTGAAGACGATCCACTTGAACAAGTTCTTTGGATAAAAATCGGTCCATTATGTTTATCGATAGATAGAGTGTTTCAGGCAGAAGCTTGAATTTCAAATGCACCTCAACCATCCAATCAACCAAGATTGAGCGCATTTTAGGTCTCAAGTTACGCTGCATTTGTAGATAGTTAGGGTCAGGGAGAGTCTTCAACTCTAGTTCGTGGAGATAATCAAAAATGTCATTAACATATTCGCTCACCATTAATGGATCATCAAAGTCTCCTGAATCTAAGTCTTCCCATGAGTAATCATAATCAACGCGTACTCTTTTCAGTTCCTGAGTGCCATCTGGTTCTATCAAATCGGCACTGTCGACTGGCGCTTGTCTCTTTAAAGACATTCTTCTATTTTCATCCTGTATTTGCTCTTCTGTCCTTTCAGCTATCGACTCTAGGTTTTGGCCGTCTTCATTATTTCCCTCAATATCCACTCCTTCATCAAAATTGGTTGAGTTGAAGTTCGACTTCAAGCTCAAGTCATTGTTGTTATCACTATTTTTATCACCTTTGTCAGTGGTACCGGTATTACGTACTTCCAATATGTCCGGAAGTATATTATTATTATGACGAAGGTTGATTTTGTTATTAACGTTGGTATCATTAGCGCTCTGCTGATCTGGTTTTATCTTGATCTGCTTGGTTGGTTGCAAACTAGTGTTATTTTCAAAATTCACAGTATTGGTGAAGAATGGAGAACACATAGTCATCCCACTGATGGCGGTTAAGTGGTCTGCTTGTTGTTGCTTCTGCTGTTGTTGTTGTTGTTGCTGCTGTTGCTGTTGCTGTTGCTGTTGCTGTTGCTGTTGCTGTTGCTGTTGCTGTGATTGTGTTTGGTTTAGGTTTTGGTTTTGACCTTGCGTTTGAGTTTGCGATTGTTTAGGAGCCTCTGGCTTTGGCACTGTGTTACCCTGTGTCTGCTGTTGATTGCCGTGGAAGTTTGGAATGCCATGGTTGTGGACCGTATTTGTGAACACCGACTTGCTCTGCGAATTCAGCTTCGTGGTGTGCAAATTAGTTAACACCTGTCTGTCTCGCTGCGAAATGTTGTTTCTTGGGGGCTTGTTCTCGTTATTGCTATAGTCGCTGACGCCCATTCCTTTCTGACCATTGCTATTGACAAGGTTTGCATCGGACTTGGCTCTCAAGAGCTGATGCTGCTGATTTTCATCGTCGACTTGAATTTGCGATTGTTCCTGCAACAGAGAAAAATGATCAATCAAAAAAAACGTGATAGTGTTAGTAGCTGTGATAATCGCATTTTGTGTGCAGAAGAATGCCAGAAATCAAGTACATACCCTAGACATGACGGTAATCTAAGCTGAACTATATGTGGACGTGTGTGTGATGATGTGTCGGACGCAACTTGACTAACGAACCGTAGCAAAATGTTTATGCTGTGCGAAGTGAGCTTTGTGTATCGTGAATACAGAGTGATACTGCAATGCGGGACTCCTGGGAACAAGACGAGAACGAAGACAGCCACTTTCTGCTGCTGCTGCTAATGCGAGTGCTGGTGCTAGTGCTAGTGCTTCGAGTGCTGCTGTTGCTGTTGTTGTTTCTTCTGCTGCCGTTACTGGAAGAACCGCTATGAAACACCAAGTGGGAGTTTCTCTGGCTCTAAACTAGCATCAACAGCACCAGCACCAGCAAGCAAGCCAGCCAGCCACAAGCCAGACAGGCAACCGCAATGGGAGAATCTAGCGAAACTTGGGTGCAGCGCAAGTTGGCGCTCCTTCCGCTTTGGGAATATTGTATACAAGGTGAAGCTCAGTAGGCGGACACGCTTCGCCAAAAGAGCAAGAAGGGCTTTCTGGAGCAACAAGAGCTTTTTCCGCAGCAAGATGATGAGGGCGGGGGAAGTCGCCCACTGCTGCCAGTGCTTAGTGAAAAGTAGCTTTCAGCTCTTGGAATACATGTGGTGAGAGGGATAGTGTTTCCTTCCAGTGGAGCGATGAGCACGGAAAGCTGTAGACTGAGAAGAGTGGCTCGGCGTGTTGTGCGTGCTTACGTAAAACGCGTAGTAGATGTGCTGATAGATCAGATAGGTGGGTAACTAGCGGTTATCAGATACTAAACTACATTTATAACGGTTACGACGTGGCAAGCACAATTCTATAAAATACCCTTATTTTGCTCTGCTACCTCCATCCCATGGCCCGCTCGTAGGCATCGGTCTCTGCAGCCCCTAGTCGATCCTTGCTGTCCCACGTTATGTTCATGCCAGGTCCGAACTTCTTCCCGAAAAGCTTGTCGCAGTCCACTGCACTGATTGGACCAAAGATCGGGCCAGGGTTGGTCTTTAGCTGCAGTTTCAGCTGTCGCAGAATGCTCTTCTCTGAGGTCCAGTCGTCGCCAGCGTCTGCGGCGCTGCGGCGTGCATTGAGATGCCCGTCGTCATGTTCGTCGTCAGCAGCTTCGTTCTCCGACGGTATACATGGGATCACGTCGGGAAGGATGTTCTCGTTCATATTCTCGTTTGCACTAGTAGCCCCCCTCCTGGTATCTCTTGTGTGCTGGGGGGTCTTGGTGCTCTTGGGTTCCACTTGGGAATTTAGCCTCGAATTACCCTTCGACATGCTCTTCAACCGCCGACGCTCTGAAATAGAGCTTACCGTCGGGATCTTGCTTTCACTCACCACCCGCTTTTTCGATAGTCCCAAGGTTTCCTGGTAAAACCTGCCAGAGGCTACGTCGGCATCGCTTTCAAGCTTTTTGCCGCCATAAAGTTGCTCGTAATTGGCAGACGACTTTAAGCTCTTCTTTGTTAGTGGAACCTGCCTTTTCACCGGAGAGGGAATTCTGGCTCGATTACCAGCTCCTTTTGGGGCTTCCAAAACCTTCAACGCAGAAGGTATCATGCTAGCTTCGCTAGCCTTATTCTCGCTTTTGTGACGCAGACCATCATCCTCGGCCTGAGAAGCGGGTGTAGTCTGGGAGTCAACCTTTGGCGAGGACTTAACGTTAGTTCTCTGTGCCTTTTTTGGCGACAACGAACTTTCTCTTATCCGTTGTTTACTCGCCTCTGTGGGCTGCATCAAGCGGGAAAATAAGTCATGCTTGCCGCTTTCAGTCGATTGTGCTCTTATCGATGACTTTTCAGGAGATTTTACAGTCTGCAAGCTTTTGGTGAAGTTACGGTCAAGCTTGATAGTAGGTTCGTCCACAGATGTGTTCCCAACAGAAAACATTTCATTGGGCAAGGGGTTAAGCTGGAAAGTGTGACTTTCTCTCGTGCGTTTACTACCATCTTCATCGAAAATGGTTGTCATCTGGGTATTCGAAGAACGGTGAGAGTTACTTTTTCTTGCAGAGAATAACTGCCTCTGTTGCTCTAGTGTTTTCCGCATCGACTTCTTTCTAGAAGACTCCAAAGTTAATGGTTCGATCATTGGCATTTCCGAAAATTTGATAGGCGACTTGTATCCCTGTAAGGTTGGCTTTTTCTTCAGGTGAGACAGTTCTATCTTTTCCAGTTTGTCAAGTTCTATGCTCAAATCTTCGTCTTCTGCGTCGCTGAGTAAATCATCGTTTACTCCGTCTATAAGTCTAGATAACTCCTTGATCTCATCCTCCGGGGACTTCACCTTAGGGTTGTGCAAAGGCTCAGCACTAGAGCTTTTCTTGGAGCTGCTTTTGGTATAGGCTGCGTTTGACGTGCCAATGTCTGTACGGATATCATTGTAAGGCTCATCTTCGTTTTTGAAAGCATCCTCTTTTTCTTGTTCTTCTCTCTTTTCTGGCAAAAACTCTTGCATAGCTGTAGTTTTCTGTTTGGCCGCAAAGGACTTTCGTATATCTCGGCTAATTAACTCAAATGAATCTTCCAGATTCAACATCGGCTCATCAATTTCCTCTGCTTCTTCAGTTTTAACCACTACGTTAGGCCTCAAACTGTCCTCTTCTCTTTCTGTCCTCCGCAAACTAGTTTCATAATCTTTTGAACCGAGGACCAAGGCAGTGGTGTCCTTAATTAATTCGATTTCACGTCGCCTGACTTGCTGTATAGGAGACGACTTTTGTTCTCTGATTCTGCGAGGCGATTTAAGCAACAAGATAGAGTTGTCCGCAGTACGTAACAAAATATCATCACTTTCTTTGCCTCGTTCCCTGCCACCTTGCTCTTTAGCGTTATTTTTTAAGTGATGATCCTCATCATCAGAATTCTTGTTTTTCAAATCACTTTTGACCTCCTCATCCACCTCTTCATCAGAAAGCGAAATCCCCGTTACGTTTGAGGTGACATCATAGACAGCTTCATTGATCCACTCAATGTTCTCAATCATGTTCATTGCGAGCTGTTCTAAGGAAGATTCTGCAATCTTGTCCTCTATATACACTTCCGACGTTATCCATTTGGAAAAGCCGGGTATATCTTTTGGCCTTGTCGTGTCATCAGGCCGACGCCCTTTATGTCGAGTAGCTGCTGCCTTCAGTCCCAACATGCTGGCTTTTTCCTTCTTAAACACCTTTTCATCATCATAGTCAAATCAAGGACACTCTGTCTATATGCTCATCCTGATGGTTCCCTTCAAACATCAACAGACCGAAATCTCTACGCGTTACACAACTGTGCACCGCCATGAAAACGAAAACATGTTTTTGGTTGAAGAGATAAAAAAAAATATTCAAATTATCAAATTTTTTTCCACTTCTTCGGACATACCCTTTGTGAGATTGACCAGAGCTAGAGTACGACCAGGATCCTTCTTTAGCACCAAGAACACGAAGTCGGTGCAAAAATATGTCTACCGATGACCAACGTTCTAAATATGTTAGTAACGTTAGCACAGAGTCTGCTGTTCAACTTTCAGATTTTGTTGAATCGATAGATGTTGATAAAGGACAATATCATTCATCTCAGGATGTCATAAACCAAATTGAGTACTTCCTGGACAAGCCATTTAATATCACCTCTCTTGTGCAGATACAATCTTATTGTGCTACTACAAATGATCATAGTGCATTAACATCATTGAACGAAAATCTGAAAACATTAATACAATTCGCCAATGTAACTCCTCAATTGAGCACTTCCGTTAGGCCATTGATTGTGGAACTGATCTCTTCTCACAATATGAAAGTCTTTTACAGATGTTTTAATAACGAGCAACCTTCAATTACAATCCCAGCTGTGAACTTGTTGACTGCGATAGTGTCTTTCGACAATGGAAGCTTTGTCGATCAGGTATTAGAAAATTTTGATCTATCATTAAGATCTCTGGCGGATTTGCTCTACCCTACGAAACTATCAGTAAGATTGAGCTCACAGGGAAAGTCTCACACTACAGTGAGACATTACATGTCGCTATTTTGGATCGCACTTTGCACAAATGCCTCTCCACTCACTCGTATCGATCTACTCACCAACAACAAAAAAATTAATCACAATTGGATTAAGTTTATAACAGAATTTGATAACGCAGATTTGATTAGAAAGGTTTTTGTATTCATTGACAAGAAAATACTTTGCGAGCCGGCATTAAGGAAGATGACAAAATGTAAAGTTTTGGGTGATTATACTCTTTCTAAATTAGTTGAACTTTACAAGAATGAAGATGTCAAAGAGGATGTCCATAAACTACTGACTAAAATTACTACCGATGAAGAGAACGGTTTACTTTTCCACGATTATAGAACATGGTTCAAAAATGTCCCTCTTGATTGTCTTCCTTCAAACACCGCTTTCAACAACGCAGGTGTTAGTATTTCCATTGGTGAGAGCACTTTCAAAATCAACAATAAGATAATTTACAATGTTCTCACTACTCTCCATCCTTGGGCGGATTCCATGCAGCTTAAGTTGGCGGTAAATATTTTGTCAAATGTTCCCGAACTTGTAGCTCCTTACACGACCCATCTATTCCATACCAATGGCGCACATGATCCGAAACTTACATCTTTTTACATCGGTCAAACATTACTTCTTACCAAGATTGTACAATTATCCATACCTGAAGATTTTACAATGTTACTAAAAAATTTGGTGAATAACATGGCCGATGGTTCATATTCGTCCGTGAAATCTGAATCTTTCCTCTCAAATAAAATATTGATGGAAGTAATTTGTCCCGCTTCTCTTAATCGTTCCTCTTTGACGAAAGGTCTCAATGCTACCAATGAAATAACAAAACACTTGACAGCTCAGCTTGTGATTTCAATCATACAGAAGTTCTCTAAGGTTGACAAGCTACTACGTTTCAACGAAAACTCACTTTTCACTAGTTTCGGAAATGATCTACAAGACACACTCGCAAGTTTAAAATTACCAGACCCAAGCGTGCTTGTAGGTGTCACCAATGAATGTTTGAAGGCAAACAAAATAAACAAGCTATTGTTATTGAATTACATGAAAGCGGCTGACTGCTTTTCTAAGAATTTGAACATTGATGTTCACCTTCAGCTTGGGTCCTTTAATGGCCTTATCGGTCTCAATGATGACACTACACAAAATCCTCTTTTAGTCCAAGAAAAGTTGTCTGACGTCGACGTTTTACTTTTCAATTCTTATCTTGCTATTACCACTCAGTCTTCTCAGTCAAGTCAACAAAACAAATGGTGGAATATATCACCTGGTTCGAAAAATAGTTTATTTACCACTATTGCCAAACTTCCTTATGACCTCCAATACAGAGAGGAAGATGACAAAGTAGCACAAGCAGACAACGCTTTAATTGGGAAGTCAGTAGAGGTTTTATCTAACTTCTTGGATGATTCTCTCGCTTTTGAAGATTACAGATCACCAGCTTCCGATGTTCTCAGCTCACAAGCTTGGGCAATAGTTTTATCCCTTTTGAACTGCTTCAACTCATTGACTGAGTCTAAGGCAGAGATTATTGATTCTATTTGTAAGACATTAGATGAATCAATATCTCGTTCTATAAAGACACCATACAAGTATTTTGATGCTGTTACCGATTATGCAAAAAAAAGCGGTTTGAAAAATACTAAGCTTTCTAGTTTTTTTGTTGCTCTCTGTGAACAGTCAAAGTTTGCTAAGCCTGAGCATATTCAATATGTAAACGAGTGGATAAAGCTGCTCAGTGTCTACATGTTTATTTTGGGTGAATCACTGCCATTGATGAATTCTGTTACCAAGGAATATTGCGAGTTTGTGGTGAAGTTTGACATTCATACATATGAATCTTACTTGAAATCAAAAAACAATTTGAGGGCTGTTGGGTTTTCAAACTTCTCTAATATTTGCTTTACTCCGTGGGATAAATTAAGATCGAAGGCAAATACATTAATTCCTAAAACTGACATCGAAATTGTTGCTATACTAAAGAGAGTCGAGACGTTGATTGCTTCTAATTTGGAACTCAAAAGCGTGGAAGAGACAATTCTTGACTTAATTTCACTTTATGGAAATTATATGGTGCAAAAGTATACCAATTATATTGACAATGGTACCAGTTTTAGCAATGTGAATTTACTGGAAAGGAAATTTTGGAAAATGCTTCTTCTTTCTACTGCAGATTATAACAGTCAAGTTGCTGAGTCTAAATTTTCGAAAAAATGTTTTATCATGGATTTATGCTGCGAAATTTTCAAAACTTTATGGAGCAATAATTCGTTAGATTATGAATTCAAAAAGTCGTTGCAGAAACCTATATTTGAATTGGCCAATGATGAGAACTTGCCAAGTTTTGCTGTTGAGCATGTAGCTCAATATTTGTGGGTTTTGTCTGATAAACAGATATTGAAACTCATTGTTGAAAGCTCATCTAATGATCTCGGTAAATTATTGGTTGATGTTGCTATCAAAAGGAACCTAAAGTTCGAAAGTGAAAAGGTTTTAAATTATTGTAAGAAGAAACACAATTCAGGCGACATCTCTCCAGAATTCTCCAGAAAATTTTCCAAAATGTTGAGTGGTTCGGACTTTAGTACGGACCAAATTACCGAGTTAGTTGAATTGGCCAAGTCTACGCAAAATCAAAGGTTTATTTTTGAGATTCTTCAAGCTGCATCTGGCTCCGACGTTGAAATAAAAAAGTTTATTGGTGAGCAGTTGGAAAGTGAGTTTACTAGCATTTCGAATTCTATTGAAGGTTTCAGATTTTTACAATTTATTTCTGTTGACTATTCTGCTTTCAAATCAAGGTTATATGATATTTCCGAAAATCACCTGAACTCTATTCTCAACAACAGAATTGAAGTGGACAAGGATTTGAAAGTTTACTTATATTCCTTGACTTTACAGTGGAATGAAAATTCAGAGGATCATTTGAATATCGAGAAACAAATTAGTGAATTAATATTGTTGGATTCCGTTAGAAACGTTGCAGATTTGATCTTTTCCCCCGAAATGACATCACTCATCTTCTTGTTGTTTGGGAAAAAAGAAGCAGATATTCTCAAAGTTTGGCTAACTCGTGCCACCCTATATGTTACAAAAGTTTTGGCTGAAACGGCCGAGGGAGATCTAGATGAAGAGTTTGAAGACTTTTTGAAGTGCTTGCAAAAGTCATTGAATCTTCCTGTCTGGAAGTTTGTTTCCAAGAGTATGCTTAACTCCCAGCTTGAAGTGATCTTGAATAATTCTTGGATCAACAATCTCAACGTCTTGAAATATGCTACGTGGATTGTTATCTCTGGCTCTAAAAATGTTATTGAGTGTACCAAATTGGTTAATATTCTACTTAATAACCCAAATAATAGCTTGGGACTTGGTGGCGAGTCCGTCAAGGAAGTGAATTTAGAAGAAACAAAATTTTACACTTCACTTATTCTTTCATTTTTGTTCAAAATGAATATTAATCAGTTATCGAGATTCGATTTGTTGTTCAAAATTGCAAAGTTATACAGAGGCACTACTCAGCCGTGTGACTTAGTATTAAAAGACTTGCTTGTGTCTATTGAGGAAGTTAGTGGAGAAAGCTGGATACAACTTGTCTCTAACTGGGATCTAGTTGACGAATGGTTACCGGCAGACTCCAACGGTGATAATGCGGCTGCAGATGCTATAATCACAAAAGCGCCAGAAATGATTATCGAGACTCCAGGGTTACAGGATTGTTTGACTGTTACTCTTCATAAGTCTATTGTCGAAGCCACCGTTAAAAACTTTGACCCTTCGACAAGAAGTATTCGTTTACCTAAGTTGGAGAACACGATTCATACACATGCACAAGATTTTAATAAGCTTGAAGAGTTCTACCTTTGTAAGAAGGTCGACACTGAGGAGATAGAACATCGGGTGATGTATGATTGCGAGTTTATTTTACTTTTGATTGTCAACAACGAGGACTTGTTCAAATTTTCAGGGGATCATGTGACAGTAAACATCCGTCCTTTGATTAGCACTTGGTTATTGCAGTTGACGATTTGTGGCTTGGCCCACGAGGTCAAAGATGTGCAAGAGATTTCCAAGCGTATAATAAGCTCTGTCATTTTGACCGTTGAAGACGATATCAGGACCATTGAGTCCAAGAGAGAGAAGAAAACAGACAAAAGTGAGATTCCCCCTGAAAATGCTGGTGCAGCTATTTCCACATTCAAGGAAAGATCTGCATTCAAAGTTTACCTTTGCAACTTACTCTACACTTTTGAAGAAAAAAAGCTGGCTATCCAGGCAGGGGAAGAGAGGGAGCCAATGCCAAAGCTTTTCATTGTTTTCCTATCTTACCTGGTCCCCATCTTGGCCAATCCGGCCCATTTCTTGTATGAGAAAGCATACCGATACATTTTGGGTGGATCCAAATACAGAGATTACGAGATTCCAATGTACAAGTCGATCATGGTAAACTTTACTAAAGATGAGCACACTCAAAGCCACAATGATGATGCAGACTATTACAAACAGCTACAGTGGACTCTCCGTACTCTAAGCAAATCAATCACAAGTCCTGAAGATCTGAAGATCATCCGAAGAAACGATGTGATTGAGCAATTGTCAAATCTCATGAATTCTCCTTATGTTAATAATAGGATTCAAGAGAGCGTTCTAGAAGTTTTCGAGAGAATCATTAGACTGCAGAACGGAGCCGACTTACTAATCCGTTCTTTCGGATTACTGAGTTTTGTGGAGAGTAGAAAAGTAGCTACGGGAAGAAGCAAGAAACTTTGGGACAAGTTTGCCAAAACCGCAATGAAGGCGATGGTTGGAAGCGACTGTAACGGCAAAGATAAGAGAGCAAGGGAGTGGTGTGCCGACGATTTTGGCAATGTCGTCAAACGCGTATGTAAGTAAGCCACCGCTGGACTAGCCACATTCTGTATATATATTTGTAAAGAGAATGCATTTTTATAGACAAACATGATCGCGCCGTGTTCCAGTGTGAACCATCCGGAAGGGTTCCAACTAAAGAGGGGTACGAGTTCTTCGGCATGTACTCCTAGTACCTCGGCTCAGGCCAAAACCACGTTCTCTGACCACAAGTAACCAGCTTGCACCAACAATGGCAGGAAAGTTTGAACCAAAGACGCCTGTGCAATTGGACCCGCCAAAGAATGACGGGTTGACGATGGCCGATGTGTCAAAATGCGATGGCGTACGAAATAAGTGCATGTACGTGGGGATCAAGGGGACGGTGTTTGATGTGACTCGCAACGTCAATGCGTACGGTGTTGGCAAGGGGTACCATGTGTTTGTTGGGAAGGATGCGTCGAGAGCGTTGGGCAAGAGCTCGTTGAAGCCAGAGGACACCGATCCCTCGCTCAGCTGGGATTGGAGCGTTCTCAACGACAAGGAGAGGAAGGTGCTGGACGACTGGTACACCTTCTTTGAGAAGCGGTACAATGTGGTAGGCCACATTGTCGACTTGCCGAGAAAGTCTTAGCGGTTTATTTGGCCCCATACTCATATATTCATTTTCTCTTTTCATGTTCCGTTTTGTGTAACAGCTGGAATGAAGGCGTGTCATGATCACCCCACGATGAGGACGCTACTGTGAGGTGAATGCTCATAGCGACGCAAGAGAGTGGGAGATAAGTTAAAGCATGTACGTAAGCGGGTGTCGTTTGACGTCAATCAGCAAGTACATCGGGCTCGGACACTCTGTAGGCAGTTCGGCCTGCAGCAGAAGGTAGCAAGAGGCGCAGTCTCAAGCAGAACCCCAGTCGGCCCGCCAACACGGTCTAGTCGTCTGGATAGTGCAAAATAATCTACGGTAAGCACTGTTCAACAAACGGAAGATGGCACCAACCGGCGTAAGGGATGTGTTCGTAGAATTTGGGACATCCTTCGCCAGACCCAGCAGCCGGCATGCATCTTTTCCAACTACCACTCGCTATGCCTTCGGCCCCAGTACAGGTTCTTACAGACTTTGGAAGGCCCAGCAGCTGCGTCCAAACGGTTCTCCGTTTGGAGAGCTGGGGTGCGGTTTCGCCGAGGCCAGAAGCGGAAAACGGCGTTCACCGTGTCTTTCTCTCCATGTGTGCTCTTCTCCGCTGGACACAGGCAGAAGGCAACCCTAGGAGAGAGCCTGATACATACACACACATACACACACGTTCAAATGTCTAGTTTCTTTGTGGATCTCTGGGAGTCGGTGTTCACCCCCGGCACGAACCCTGCGCTCATCCGTGCCACTCACAGCTCCTTCGTGATGCTCGTGACCTCGCTCGTGTGGATGGTCTACACCAGCCGCTCGATCCACTTCTTCAATCTCTTGGTGATCGCCCTCTGTTTGTGGGCTTCGGTGACGTGGTTCCTCTCCGAGTTGGCGAAGGAAAAGCTCAAGAGCAACGAGCAGCTACTGAAGGAGGCCGGCGGCGACGCCGCCGCCGGCGGGGCCGATCAGAAGGAGAAAGCGGCGGGTGAGGAAAAGAAAAAAGAGAAATGACGGCCTTGCTTCCTTGCTTGTTTTGATCCGGCGGACACGTCGGTGTTCCTGGGATGCTCCGTCAGTGTATAGTGTTAGCGTAGCCTTGTTGGCAAGAGTATAGAGACTAATCGATAGACGTTTAGGAATAGCAGAACGCAGCAGAGCATAGCACACATGACATTGAAAACTGTATACATTGTGCGCCACGGATACCGGTCGAACTGGCTGCCGCTAGAGCAACAGGTGGCTCCGCCAACCGGGGTCGACAGTGATCCGCCCCTTGCTCCGCATGGGGTCGACCAGGCGAAGGAGCTGGCGGTGTTCCTCTCGAGAGACTTGGCTGCCCGCCAGCTTCCGGTGCCGCAGATGATCTTCTCGTCGCCGTTCTACAGATGCGTCGAGACGATCCACCCAACTGCCCAGGCGCTTGGACTCGAAATCCACCCGGAGAGGGGCTTGGGCGAATGGTTCAAGCCGAACCGGCAGGTTGTGCCTGTGCCGGTGGACCATGCGATGCTACACACGTTTTTCGAAACAGTGCCCTCGGACATGGACTGGCTCTGGGACACGGTGGTGCCGAGCGTGAAGGGGGAGACGGAGGAGAGCATCTTCCAGCGGTGCCAGACGTTCTGGGCCCGGTTCATTCCAAAGTTTGAGCAGAAGCACCCCGACGTGGAGTGCATTGTGCTAGTCACACACGCTGCGACAAAGATAGCGCTCGGGATGGCGTTGGCCGGGTACGGGAGCACGCGTGAGTTCCTCACCGAAAAGGACGGCGGCGACGGCAAGACGACCCGGATCGGCGGCAGCACCTGCTCGGTGGATGCCTACAGACGCAACGTGGCGCACAACACGTGGAACATGTTCATGAACGCGGAGACGTCGTTCTTGAGTCTCGGCCCTGAGATGGACTGGCATTTTGCGACAAGCCAGTTCGAGGCCGGCAGCAAGGAAGACGTCGAGTACCGGGCGAGACTCCAGCAGGAGCAGAGCCAGGCGAATAGCCGACACGCGAGGCAGTGCAAATTCTGACCCAGACGTCGACATGGACGAACCGGTGAAGCGGGAGGATGACAACGATGACGACAATGACGCCGACGACGACGAGTACGAGGACGTGTACGTGAACATCGTGTTGCCGCCAAACTCGGCGGCGTTTGACTCGGCGACCACCGCCATCGGCACCCAGCCCGGCGACACGCAGCGGGGCACTGCCGCAGCGGCGTCGAACGAGTTGCAGGAGTCCATCGACTACAAGAACAAGGCCGGAGTGGCCACCTCCGTAAACAAGCTGCGGGTCTCGGGTCTCTCCCGGGAGAAGCCGCTCTTCCAGAGCAAGAGCTCCGTGCTGAGGGGGGAGTGGACGAGGCTTGTCGGCACCGAGCTGGTGTTCGACGAGAACGGCGAGTACCTGGCCACCGTGGACGGCCACATCGCTCTCCAGCATGGCCGTCTTGTGCCCCAGCAGGTTGACACCCGAACACTTCTCCAGCGGGCTCGGGACCTCGCCCTCTCGCGTGAGGCCGAGCCCGAGCAGCCCGAGAAGCAAGAGTAGCCACAGGATACCGCACGCTCCCTCTTTTCTATCTACGGTCTTTCTGTCTTCCTTCTTTCTCTTTAAACCTTCCGCCTGTCTTTCTATCTTTTAACCTTCCCTGTGTTCTCCGAGTGCTAAAAAAATGCTGCGACAAGCAGAAAATTCTAACTTTGCCGCCGTTTTCGCTCTCGTCTAGTTGTTTTTTTTCGCTGTCTGAGGGTGTCGGGCTGTTTACTTTCTGGCTCTGGACCTGACGTTTCACGTCTGCTGTCTGGGAGGGCTCTGACATGTCCTTGGACTGCTTGTATCTTGTGTAAAACGGTCCGTCTGTATAGGTTCGGTGGCTCTTGCTAGAACAAGTCTCCCACTTCATACGCACGAGCAGCAACTATGGACGCCGGCATGAGTGCTTCCGCAAGAGGCCGGAACGGCGCTTCGGCAGGAAAGAGTCTGAACCACACCAGAGGACTCGACCAGTCGGCCTTTATCGACGTGTCACTGGAAACGCCGATCAACCAACCACAGCAACAGCAGCAGCAGCAGCAGCAGTTTAGGGGGTATCCAGCTCCGATAATGCAGAATGGTCTACCGCAGACCCAGAATTTTAGAGGATATCCTCCGGGCTTCAATGGCCCTAGCAACGGCGGCAGCCCGATGTACATGAACCCACAGATGAGCACGAGCATGAACGGGTTTGTCGGGAATGGCCCGCAGATGATGTACATGCATCCGAACAGCTCCAGCATGGTGTCGGTGCCGCAGGGCATGGGCATGGGCATGCCGATGGGCGGCTACAACGGCAACAACGTCGGCAGCTACCAGCAGGCGGCTCGGAATAAGCAGCGCAGAAACTCGAATGCGTCGATGAGCACGATGTCTGTCAACCGGTTCATGAAGAAGCAGTGGAGCAGGGTCGGAGGTGGCGGCGGCGATGACGGCGACGGAGACGACGGAGACGGAGACGACGCTAAAATAGAGATCGACACCTCCGAGAACGAGATCTCCTTTGAAGACCTCCAGCACATCAGGGGCGACAGACCCGGCTTCGGGTTGACCGACTCCACCCCATACATTCCGACGCTGAAAGTGTCGACGCAGGGTGGCTCGAAGGTCACAGGTGAACAGCACAGAAAGATCCAGATGGCGCATAAGAAGGCATTCGCCATGAACCTAGCCAGGCAGAACAAGCAGCAGCAGCAGCAGCAGCAGCCGAGGTCAATGAGTCTTCAGACTTACGGAAATGCAGGGTATGCGCCCAACTACGGAGGAGGATATCCTGGCCCGATGGCACCGATGGGGACTGTGGGTCCGATGGGCCCCATGAATCCTATGATGATGCTTCCCCCACCTTCACAGCAACAGCGCCCCTCACTGCCTCCAAATCAACAGAACGGCACAATGATGCTGCCGGTGCAGACCGGAATGATGACGCCGTCGATGACTGGCGGCAGCACCTACGCTAACAACGCCAATACTGGTCACCATCCAGTCCAGTTGAACCAACCTCCATTTAATCCGAGGTCGATGTCCTTGCAGTCTGACTCTGGTATGAGACAGCGCCCTTTCCAAGTGGCTAACAATGGGGCAAACGCCTGGGGTCCGATGATGAGGTCCCAGACTCCAAATAGAGCGTACCCCAACGGAACTGCAGCAAATTCTCCCACCTTAAACCCGGCAGCGGTTGGAAGAACACCTCCTTCGTTTTCGCCAAGGTTGAATCCTACTGGCAAACCCAATGGCGGGAATAATGGCGAGATATTGCAGAACGTGCAGGAGGAAACTGGGGTAGAGTCACAACCGGAACAAGCTCCTGCTGCTGCCACCAGTACCACGGCTATCCCAAAGAGCAAAAAGAACAAAGTTCTCAGCAAGATTGAGTTTTCACCTGTGTCAGAGGGTGACAAGGACGATATGGAGAACGGTGTCTCAGAGCAGGTCAAGCAGATAAAAAGTGGCATCAATGACAACGAAAACAGTCCCATCAAAGAAACAGTCTTGCCTACCTTACCAACTGTGCCTCCTGCATCTAGCAACGGCTCCAGAGTAACTACGCCTACAAGAGAGACTGGTACCCCTCTGAGAAGAAGGGAAAAAGGTCATCAAGTGACAAGAAGTGGGGTAGGTTCGGTGGTCTCCTTTGACTCTCTTACTCAGAAGGATCAAAAGGCAATGCAGGACAAACTCTATCATCTGAGAAATAATTCAAGCCAAAAGACCATATTTTATTCTGCTGCGGAATTCCAGCCCATTGCTTCTTCAGACTCCCTTGCACGTCAAAGGGAGGACGATTCAGTAAACATGAAGAAACAACTTTCCGTTCAGAATGAAGAGCCAGAATTGTCGACATCTACTGCTCTCGATGATGTCCATGAGGGCGTTGAAGAACCAAATGCTACAGCTACTGACTCTATCGCCACCACCGGCGCTGTGGCTCCTCCCAATGTTAACATTGATGAAATCAACGACTCTTTGGATGAGATGGTTCTGAAGACCTCGCCAGTCGTTAATCATAATGCATTTGGTGGCAACTATGGCTCGTACGGTGATAACCTCAGGAACTCAACTACGAGTTATAAGTCTGTAGAGGCCACCCAACCATTGCATCTCAATCTGAAGGAAAACAACAAAAACGCTAACCTTAACCCCAATACCCGTGATACATACAGCTCTTTATCACCTGCTAAAACCGATTATAGCGGGAACTTGGTAGATATGAGCTTAAGTTTGAACTCACAATCAAAAGAATCGTCTCCGCTCAAATCAACTAGTATCAGAAAGGATATCTTGACCAAAAAGGCAGAATTTCCAAATAAAAGAGAATTCACTCCTCCACCAAGCGCCCTTGGCTTGACAACAGACTCTATCACTGCCGCAACCTCCATCAAATCTACTCCTTCAAAAATAAGATCTTCCGATTCTGAACCAAGAACCCCAATCTCCATCGCAAGTCCTAGCCATACCTCCTTTTTCACGCCTGAACAATATGGGTTGTTAAATGACAACACTCAACTCTTACAGGAATTAGAGTTGGTAACGACTGAACTTGCTTCATCAGTCTCCAGAGAAATCGCACTAGAAGGTGATTTAAGAAAACGTTCAAAGAGCATGTCTAGAGAAAATTCTTCAGTTGGAAAAAAGCAAGATTCAGACTGCAATGAACCTGATCTTACCGTGACCGATACTGGTGATAATGAGACTAGTAAGGGATCGGCTAAAAACGACTCTGAAATAGAAATAGATGCACAATCCAAGACTCCTAGTCAGTATGCGGCAACTATAACTTCATTGACTAAGCAATTGAACGAAGAAAGAAAGAAAAGATATTTAATTGAGGGCATATTACTGAAATTTCAAGAATCTCCCGGTGGTGCAGAATTTCAAGATGATTTGCTGGACGAAAAGAAAAAAGTCAGCCAGCTTACCGACCAGTTGAACAATATCAAGGAGAGTGTGAATTTGCACAAGACTGAGAAAGATTTATTGGAGGTTGAAAACACCGCACTTAAGTTGGAAATTGAGGAGCTGCAACGCAAGTACGGAAACATGGAAAGAGAAGTGGTCCCACGTTTGAAAAACCAAGTTGAAATGCTCGAAGAGATGATTAACTCTTCGAAGCATGTTGGAGGATCGTTCTCCTCACCATAAAATTTACAGCATTATAAGTTTAGACTTCTTTTGTTTTTTTTACTACCACTTTCTGGCGTAACTATTTTAATGACCTAATTCTTCCTATTTATATATGACTTTACTTTATAGACAAAGGTGTAAACCCACTTAATCCTATATTCATACTCTCGTTGATAGAAGAGCTCAACATACGATCTGAAAAACTGATCCACCTGTGCACCTCCAGCTGTAGCCATCGGGAGGAAACACCCCCCGAGCAAGTTTCGAGAACATGAAAATGAAAGAATCCAACCTACACACATGAAAATTACGCCAAGTATTTTTGAAGAAGAAGCTAGAACTAGCATAGTCTTCTTTGAAAAGCTCTGCCAGAACGATATCACTTTTAGCATCTACGTGTGTTTCTTAGGAAAATGTCAGAAGAGCTTTCACGTAAGAGACAACGCCCTGATGAATTCGAAGATGATTTCTACGAACCATCTTCACATCAAAATGGCGACAGCAACCAAAATGGCGAAGAGCAACAGCCTACGTATGAGGCAGATGCCTTACCCCCTCATATGATGGGTGGTGATAACGGGTACGATGATTATGCACCTCCTCCACATCAGGCTATGGACTATGAGCAAAATGATGAGAATCTGAAGGATACAAGAAATTTCCAGTCAAATGCAGAGGAGGCAGGTGATCAAGCGGATCTATTCAGACAGTCAGCAGCAGGATCTGGGGGTTATGGTCAAAATAGATACGACGGGGGAGCACCTCGTAAAAGGCAAAGACGGATGCAATTGAGTTCAGAAATTCAAAGAGCTCTTGAGCTGTGCAATAGTTTACAAAGTTTTGGAGATTTGGTATACGAAACAAAGCCATTGTTAACGCAGAGCAGTGAAACAATGGCCAAGTTATGGTCGGATGAAGACTTCAAAAGTAGCTTGCTTAAATTCTTAGGTGCAGTTGTTGTTGAAATGCCACACAAGACTGTCTTGTTTTCTGGCTTAATAATGTTAGCCAACGCAAAGAACGAACAGATTGGCCAAGATATTTTAGAATGGCTGAAAGACCGCATCAATGATGTTTTTGACGCTATTGAGAAGAAAGGAATGGATGTGGATGGTGATGATAATAAACCAGGAGATGATCAAATGAACCATGAAAAATGTTGGAATAGAATTTTCTTGGTTATCCGTATGTTTGGCCTATTAATCCACATCATTGACGACTTTGATGTGGTTGTTAGATTCATTGAACAGCTTTTGGATTTTGCAATTAATTTGCAAAATGCGGACGAAAAAAGATCAAAGTTGGCAGAGTTAGTTTACTATGAAGTTACTTTGAGCATACCATACTTATTGGTGAATGATTCAGGGAACGAAGATTTGAAAAGCAAATGCAAGCAACTGTTAAGCACAGCTAGAAAATTCAGAGTTAGAACCACTGAAAACATGGACGTCTTTTACAGGCCTGTTGCTAATGGTGACGGGACGTCATGCATTGCGATGAGTGACTTGTTGCAGCAAGCCCCGGAATCCACAGAGTCCTTTTTGGAGGACATGACTTTATTTTATGATGTCATGTCACTTACTGAACCATTGATCAAAACTGTTTTGACCGAGAAGGAAACTGCAGTGGTTCCAGAAGGTGCTGAAGAGAATAATGAGAATGAAGTGAACAACGAAGCTAAAGAAGAAAAGCCTGAACCTAAGATGGTAAAACATTCTATTGGTGAATTCGTTATCCCAAGTGCTGAGGTTTTGAGCAAGTATGAAAATTTGGAAGAGTTTGCTTCGATTAGTGACAAACTTTGGAAATATCCAAGATTTATTATTGATATTTTCCCTCGTGAAAAGTCTAGGCGTAGCCTTGAATTTGAAACGAGGCCTCAATTCACGACATATGAATCCATGGTTTTGAACGATATTTTAACAAACATTTTGAGCAACGTCGAATACAATCGTGTAACTGTGTCGAAGCAATTTATCAACTTTCAGAGGTTCTTTAACGAGAAAAAATTCTCAAAGTCAAATTCACCATTGGATAAATTGATGATCATTCATGACTTGGGTAAAGGTTTAGAATTTGACTTGATCAAAAATTTAGAGGAAAGTACCGATTTCGAAGAGCATATCAAGAACCAGATGATAAATTCGGCAAGAAGAATCCAGGCTGAATTTGAGGATGGTTTTAAGTCCACTTGGAAGATGGAAGAAATCATTCTCAACAATATTATTGACCTAATTTTTACATTGCCAAGTAGCGAGTTGCCTCAAATTTACTTTGAGGCTCTCTTGTCAGATACCTGTGGTCGTGATTGGACGTTAGTAAAGAGATCTCAATTGCACTCAAATGAAAGCTTGGTTTTCTCCAAACTTGTTGGGGATTGTTTCCGTTATTTTTATGAGAATATTGAGAAATTGGAATATGAAAACATTGTCAGATTTCTTGAATGGTTTGTATTCCAGATAAGTAATTTCAAATTCGAGTGGGAATGGCAAGAATGGGTAAGTGATGTGATTCAGTTGGGGGACGAAAGAGTGTACAACCCTAGATTATTTTTCATCAAGAATGCTATTCACAAGGAAATATTGATAACCAACTACAAGTTCATCAGAGATCGGACTTTGCCTGCCGATTTGAAGAAGTTTGCGAACCTCACGTTGAAGAATAAGGAAGAGTTGATTGACTACGACTCCAAATTTTTTGGCAAAGAGTTTGCGGAAGCAAATACAAGTGATCCTCTGGAAAATGTTGAGGACTCCGAGTCGAATGGCGAAGGTGGCGAGGACTATGTTGTTGAGACCAACACGGACACATACAAGTTATTTTCACACTACTTATTCAACCATGACGATCATCCATATAATGATATCTGTAGAGATATCTACATGAATTTGGAGAATGTTGATGAATCCACTGAGTCCTTGGTTGAGTTGACGACCAAGCTTAAGGAGAAAATCGAAAGCGATTCGAGCGGGATTGTGGAAAACAGCGACGAGTACATCATCACGCTTGTTGTCCAATCGATCTGTTTGATTGGGTCGAGGTCTTTTTCGGTTTTCGAGGAGAGCTTGAACAAAGTCTTTGGAGACAAGTTGAACATGATTGTTGAGAACACGGACAACGACCGGAAGAAGCAGTGGATAATCGACGCGGTTCTCCGGATCTGGAACAACGAGCCCCGGATCGGGTTCATGTTCATCGAGAAGCTGCTTCGGTACGGGACAGTGAGCGAGATCACTGTTGTCGAGAGCGTGTGGAACTGCAGCGAGAGCAAGGTGCTGCCGCTCTGCGAGGTCTACGCGGACGAGTTTCTCGGAAGACTACTGGATTTTGCCGACGAGAGCGACGGGGAGGAGGAGCTTGCCAAGCAGAGGGAGATCATCCAGGTGTACCTCGGGATGTCTGTGGCGAAGCTGAATGGGTTCTACCACACGGTTGCTGCCGAAGAGGGCAACGGTGAGATCGACATGCGGTACCTCGAGGGGCTAGATGAGACCAGCTCTGAGGCTGCATGGGGGTTGAGGAACTCTGTCGGGCTGATTGTGAGCAAGGTCCGCAAGTACAAAGATTTAGACATAGACTTCGGTGGGCTATTTGAGAAGGCTGACAACGCGGATATCAGAGCACACCTGCAGCAAGCCGTGGGTGTGTAGTTACCAGGCAGCAGATCCTGCTGTCGCTGTTGCTGCCACGTAGTCAGCCGGAGATAACCCGGGAGGATGGGGGGTTGGTTCTTATGGTTGCTGTCACACGCATGCGCACGCGTGTGCGTGCCGTGCTGTTGCTGCGCACTGCTCGTCTGTTTACCCGCCCGGGGTGTGATCTAATCTTTAAATCATCAAAACATCGATACATTACTAATTATTATTTAGCGCCTGCCACATCAATAGTCCGTGATGAGAGGGGGGACACTGTGCGCTATTTTTGGCAACAACAGGGCTTGTTCGCTGCATCCGGCCGCATTTTTTTTTTCACGGGTTTTAAGCTTTCTGCTATATATTTTTTCCTCGAGATCCTCTCCTTCGTGTTTAATTTTAGAACTCCTCGTCTACGGCCGGCCGGGGCGGAAGGGTTTAATTTGCCCCCGAGGTGCTGGATCAGACTGAATCCGGGGGGTCCGTGCAAGCCCGAGCGTCTGCATGTGCACCGAGCTGCTGAAGGAGCGCTTTGCCTGCGCTTCTGTGTTCAAGCCTGCTCGTCTACAGCGGGCTTGGCTCATGCATCCTGTGCTGTGCTGTGCTGTGGCCCCCGCCCGACCCCGACGACGACGACGCCCATCCCGGCCACCGACACGTTTAGCACCTGACGCGTCACGTCTGCGCCCGCGGCAGCCGTAGCCCCCTGTCACAACGCCAGCCGCCATCGGCGCGTCGCTCGCAGCCCAAGCAACGGCGCCGGATCTAGACCTTGCGGCCCCGATGCACAGCGGACGCGTCGCAAAACAAGGCAGCGCCAGCGCGCGCCAGCGCGCGCGCCCAACAGAGCACGCCAATTTAGTGTCCTGCGCGTCGGCCCGGCTGCGATGGCTGCCGCCGGCGTGAGCTGTTGTCGCGAACAAGGGCGGGCGCAGCGATGTTTTTTCGTTTTTTTTTTTTTTTTCATCCCCTGCCGCGGGCGCGAGACGTGGACGTGGTTGTTGTTATTTGTTTTGCACCTGTTTTGCGCTTGCACTGTTCGTCTGTCGGGCTTGATCCCCATTATTGGCGTGTGTACTCTGCTCTGCTCTGTTCCTTCCGCCTGCCCCTGTGTGTCTTTGTGTTTTGTCTTTTCTTTTCCCTGCTTGCCCTCGTCTACCAGAGAGACGTTTCTTGCTTTGCTTGTGCTTCTCCCGTCCCCACGCCCCTCCGTATTGCTTGTTTGCTTTCCTAGGCTCACAAACAAGTTTTTTTTTCCTCCCTTTGCAAACTCCAGCTGCCGTCTTTCTTTTGCTACGGATCGACAGACTAAACAGACCGACTGTTTCTCTGTTTGACTGACCGACTGTTTGATCGAAGCGGATTGACCGAGTCCTGTGCCGATTCCACGCTAGATTCTCAACCAAGCATCCGTTGACCATCTTCTGTCTGTTCACACACACTCGTTCTGTTTGCTTGTTTTCTTGTCTCCACCAGTGTCTTGTTTCTATTCCCACCATTTGCACTCGCTACGAACAAAGAATAAACAACATCTCCACCACACACACACACACCACGAACTCCCGCCTCCGGAGCTTCTGAACACAACCAAAAAATACACCACTCATTAGTGAACTTCCTCTAGGACCTGTGAATTAGTGTTTGTCAGTGTAAGTACCACTCCCCGCCGTCTCTCCACCTCCTCGTGCAGCGTTTACTAACAACACCCGTTTTCCCCTCCTCCGCCCCTTCCACAGATGTCTTACAACGACAACTACGATCCAAACCAAAACCACCAGGGCTACTACGACCAAGGTTACTACGACCAAGGTGCGTACGACCAACAAGGTGTGCCTCCGCAAGGCCAGCCAGGCCAACCGGGCCAACCGGGCCAGCAACCCCAAGGCGGTTACTACGAACCCCAAGACGGCTACTACGACGAGTCGCAACAAAACCAGGGCTACGACCAGTACAACAATGAGGGCTACTACCCGCAGGGCGGCAACGCCGGCTACGACCAGTACTCCACCGACGTGAACCAACAGAACGCAGGTGGCTACTACGACCAGCCAGGCCACAACGACCCAGAGTCCTACTCAGATTTCAGCTACGGCCCTGGTAACGTCCCCGGCACCCCTTACGATGGTGCCTACGGCGCAAACTATACCCCATCACAAATGAGTTACGGCGATCCTCGTTCCTCCGGTGCCTCCACTCCATACTACGGCGCAGGCATGTACGACCAGGGCATGATCGCTCTTCCTTCAGACCCTTACCCTGCATGGACTGCAGACAACCAAGCCCCAGTCACGATAGAACAGATCGAAGACGTCTTCATCGACCTATCCAACAAGTTCGGTTTTCAAAGAGATTCCATGAGAAACATGTTTGACTACTTCATGGTCCTCTTGGATTCTAGATCGTCCAGAATGACTCCGGCCCAAGCCTTGCTCTCCTTACACGCAGACTACATCGGAGGTGATACCGCCAACTACAAGAAGTGGTATTTTGCCTGCCAGATGGATTTGGACGACAGAGTTGGTTTCAGCAATATTGATTTGGGTAAAATCAAGAAGTCCAAGAAGAAGTCCAAGAAGAGCATTTTCAAGTTGAAGAAAGGCAAGAAGGGCGAAGAACAACTCCCAGAAGAAGAAAATCCCGATCAGATTTTGTCCGAAATTGAGGGTGATAACTCTTTACAAGCCGGCGACTACAGATGGAAAGCTCAAATGAACCAATACACGGCAATAGAGAGAGTCCAGCAGATCGCTCTTTGGCTTTTGATTTGGGGTGAAGCTAACCAAGTCAGATTCACCTCCGAATGTCTTTGTTTCATCTATAAGTGTGCCTTTGACTACCTCAAATCGGACGCTTGCCAAAACAGAGTCGACCCTATCCCTGAAGGTGATTATCTTAACAGAGTCATCACACCCCTTTACCACTATTTGAGAGATCAAGTCTATGAAATTGTCAACGGTCGTTTTGTCAAACGTGAAAAGGACCACAACAAAGTGGTCGGTTATGATGATGTTAACCAATTGTTCTGGTACCCTCAAGGTCTTGCCAGAATGTATGTTGGTGAAACTAGATTGATCGATTTGCCTCAGGAAGAGAGATATTTGCAATTAGGTGAAATAGATTGGACTTCAACATTTGTGAAAACCTATAAGGAAGTTAGAACTTGGTTACACGTTATCACCAACTTCAACCGTATCTGGGTTTTCCACATCTCAATCTACTGGATGTATTGTGCATACAACTCTCCAACCTTGTATACCCACAACTATGTCCAAGTGTTAAACAACCAGCCATTGCCTTCTTCAAGATGGGCCGCATGTGCCTTAGGTGGTGCTGTCGCTTCCGGTATCAACATTTTAGCAACCCTCTTCGAATGGATGTTTGTTCCAAGATCTTGGCCTGGTGCTCAGCATCTATCAAGAAGATTGTTGTTCCTATGCATTTTGTTTGGTGTTAATATTGGTCCAATCATTTTTGTCTTTGCATATGCTGGTTTGGTTACGAAATCTACTGCTGCTTATGCTGTCTCCGTCGTTATGTTCTTCTTTGCTGTCGCCACAGTCTGTTATTTGACAATCATGCCTCTAGGTGGATTATTCACCTCTTACATGAAGGGTAATTCTAGAAGATATCTACCACAGCAGACTTTCACTGCATCATTTGCAGGATTGTCTGGTATCGATAGATACCTATCCTATTTGGTCTGGATTACTGTTTTCGCCGCCAAATTCTCAGAATCTTACTACTTTTTGATTCTTTCTATCAGAGATCCAATTAGAAATTTGTCTACCATGGACATGAGATGTCATGGTGAACAATGGTGGGGTGACAAGCTCTGTAAGCAACAAGCTAAGATCACCTTGGGTCTGATGTACGCAACAGATATGATTTTGTTCTTCTTGGACACTTACATGTGGTACATTTTGGTCAACACCATTTTCTCCGTGGGTAGATCTTTTTACTTGGGTATCTCCATTTTAACTCCATGGAGAAACATCTTTTCAAGACTGCCTAAGAGAATTTATTCGAAGGTCTTAGCTACAACCGATATGGAAATTAAGTATAAGCCAAAGGTTTTGATTTCTCAAGTTTGGAATGCAATTGTCATCTCTATGTACAGAGAACATTTGTTGGCCATTGATCACGTTCAAAAATTATTGTACCATCAAGTTCCTTCTGAAGTCGAAGGTAAGCGTACTTTAAGAGCACCAACTTTCTTTGTTTCTCAGGATGATAACAATTTTGAAACTGAGTTTTTCCCTAAGGATTCTGAAGCTGAAAGACGTATTTCTTTCTTTGCCCAATCCTTAGCTACTCCTATTCCAGAGCCTTTACCTGTTGATAACATGCCTACTTTCACCGTTTTCACTCCTCATTATTCCGAAAAGATCTTGCTTTCCCTAAGAGAGATTATTAGGGAAGATGACCAGTTCTCCAGAGTTACATTGTTGGAATACTTGAAGCAATTGCATCCTGTTGAATGGGAATGTTTTGTTAAGGATACTAAAATTTTAGCTGAAGAAACCGTTGCTTTCGAAAATGAAAAGGATGACGACGTCAAGCAAGAAATTGATGATTTACCATTCTACTGTATTGGTTTCAAGTCTGCTGCACCTGAATATACTTTAAGAACAAGAATCTGGGCTTCTCTTAGATCTCAAACTCTTTACAGAACTGTTTCGGGTTTTATGAATTATGCTAGAGCAATCAAGTTGTTATACCGTGTTGAAAATCCTGAAATCGTTCAAATGTTCGGTGGTAACGCCGAAGGTTTGGAGAGAGAATTGGAAAGAATGTCTAGAAGAAAGTTCAAGTTTGTTGTTTCCATGCAAAGATTGGCCAAGTTCAAGAAGGAAGAATTGGAAAATGCAGAATTTTTGTTGCGTGCTTATCCAGATCTTCAAATTGCTTACTTGGATGAAGAACCACCTTTGGAAGAAGGTGGTGAACCAAGAATTTATTCCGCTTTAATTGATGGTCACTGTGAAATTATGCCAAATGAAAGAAGAAGACCCAAGTTCAGAGTTCAAATTTCTGGTAACCCAATTTTGGGTGATGGTAAATCTGATAATCAAAATCATGCTATCATTTTCACAAGAGGTGAATACTTACAATTGATTGATGCTAACCAAGATAATTACTTGGAAGAATGTTTGAAAATTAGATCTGTTTTGGCTGAATTTGAAGAATTGAATGTTGAACAAGTTAACCCATACGCGACTACTTTGGTTAAGGAAGCAGGTAACGTTAAACATCCTGTCGCCATTGTCGGTGCCAGAGAATACATTTTCTCTGAAAACGCTGGTGTTTTGGGTGATATTGCTGCTGGTAAAGAGCAAACTTTCGGTACTTTGTTTTCGAGAACCCTGGCGCAGATCGGTGGTAAATTGCATTATGGTCACCCAGATTTCTTGAATGCTACTTTCATGTTAACTAGAGGTGGTGTATCGAAGGCTCAAAAGGGTTTACACTTGAACGAAGATATTTACGCCGGTATGACTGCCCTCTGTAGAGGTGGTAGAATCAAGCACTGTGAATATTATCAATGTGGTAAGGGTAGAGATTTAGGTTTCGGTTCGATTTTGAATTTCACAACTAAGATTGGTGCTGGTATGGGTGAACAAATGTTATCCAGAGAATACTATTACTTAGGTACACAGCTACCATTGGACAGATTCTTCTCCTTCTACTATGCTCATTTGGGTTTCCATATCAATAACTTGTTCATTTCTTCATCTTTGCAAATGTTCATGTTGACGTTGGTCAATTTGAACTCCTTGGCCCATGAATCTATCATGTGTATTTATGACAAGAACAAGCCAATCACAGATGTCCTGTATCCAATAGGTTGTTACAATTTGGCTCCTGCTGTTGATTGGATTAGACGTTATACCTTATCCATTTTCATTGTCTTCTTCATTTCCTTCGTCCCATTACTTGTTCAAGAATTGATTGAAAGAGGTATCTGGAAGATGGCATACAGATTCGCTAAGCACCTTACATCTTTGTCTCCATTTTTTGAAGTTTTCGTTGCCCAAATTTACTCTACTTCCTTGGTCAATGACGTTTCCATTGGTGGTGCTAGATATATTGCAACTGGTAGAGGTTTTGCAACTTCGAGAATTCCGTTCTCTGTTTTGTATTCAAGATTTGCTGAGGGTACCATCTATGTTGGTGCAAGATGTGTTATCATGTTGCTATTTGGTACTATTGCACACTGGCAACCAGCTTTATTATGGTTCTGGACCATTATTGTTGCATTGATGTTTTCACCATTTATTTTCAACCCTCATCAATTTGCTTGGGAAGATTACTTTATTGATTACAGAGATTACATTAGATGGTTGTCTAGAGGTAATACGAAATGGCATAGAAACTCTTGGATTGGTTACGTTAGATTGGCAAGATCAAGAGTTACCGGTTTCAAGAGGAAGACTATTGGTGATGATTCCGAAAAAGCTGCTGGTGATGCACCAAGAGCTCATAGAACCACCATCATCATATCAGACACAATTCCATGTGCCATCTATACTGCCGGTTTATTTGTTGCATACACTTACATCAATGCTCAAACTGGTGTTCGTGATGCAAAGATGGTCAATGCTACTTTGAGATTGATTATTTGTGCATTGGCACCAATTGTTATTGATATCGGTATCTTATTCGGTTGTCTCGGCTTTTCATGTTGTTCTGGTCCTCTATTTGGTATGTGCTGTAAGAAGACTGGTGCTGTCATGGCAGGTTTTGCCCACGGTATTGCTGTTGTCATCCATCTAGCATTTTATGTTGTGATGTGGGTCATGGAAGGTTTCCATTTCGCTAGAATGTTGGTCGGTTTAATCACCATGATTTACTGTCAAAGATTGATTTTCAAATGTATGACCTTGTTCATGCTAACAAGAGAATTCAAGAACGATCATTCTAATGTCGCTTTCTGGACTGGTAAATGGTACGGTTCAGGTTTAGGTCTTGCAGCATGGACTCAACCATCAAGAGAGTTCTGTGCCAAGGTTATCGAATTGTCTCATTTTTCAGGTGATTTCGTTTTAGGTCACGTTGTTCTCTTCTGTCAATTACCATTTGTTTGTATTCCATATGTTGATAGATGGCACTCAATGATGTTGTTCTGGTTGAAGCCAAACAGACAAATGAGACCACCAATTTACTCTTTGAAACAGGCAAGATTAAGAAAGAGAATGATCAAGAAGTACTCTGTTTTGTACTATTCTGTTCTCATTGCTTTCATTGCACTAATTGCGGCACCTGCAGCTATTGGTTCATTGAAGACTGTTGATATTCATCCAACAGAAGAATTCCCACAATTTGCAACAGGTTTATTCCAACCAAGACATCAAGACAATAATGATACTGGTTATGGTTCTGGATCTTACCGTCCAAAATGGACTACGACAAGTTCATTGGTCACATTCTCAACCAAAAAGTGATTCAAAAACAAAAGAAAAAGTTCATTTTTCATCAAATTTCAGGTCACTTACCATCGTTTTATTATTATTTTCATAACCATTATTATTTTAGTTTTCCACTACCACTATTACTATTATCATTATAAATAATACACTGCATATATTCATTGAAGATATACCTATGGATGTATTTCTTTTAAATATGTTTATTTTTTTCATTTTTCTTACCCTCCTCCCCCCACTTCAATTTTTTCTAGGTTTAAATTATTTATAAATTATTCCTTCTTCATTATTATGTTTTATAGTTGTTGTCTTTATAATTGTGTTTTAAGTTATTACATTACAATATGTTAAAATAGTAAATGTTTAAGCTCAGCGCTTAGGGAAAATATGAGTAATTATTATTAAGAAATGTGATATCATATAAAAATTTATGAAAAGGTTTAATTTTATGAAGAATTTATGACTGCGTGCGTTAGCGTTAAATTGGGCATATTGGAATCAACCTATAATCGCAGCATGAGAAAATGGAGGGAAGGGGAGGGGAGGTAATTAAAAATATTAAGAAGCAAAAAAAGTGGAAAACTGTTAAAGCATCTTCAATGATGGAACAATCTAATTGGGTTTTCGACGTAAACCACATTGTGAGCATCAGCAGCATCGAAAACAGTTCTGTCCATAACCGAGCCTGATGGAGCAGCAATGTATTTAACACCAGATTTAACAGCTCTGTAGACATTATCAGGGAATGGGAAGAAAGCATCGGAAGATAAAGCAACATCAGACAATTGGTCAAGCCAGTCTCTTCTTTCCTTGGCAGTTAAAGGAACAGGAACGACTTCGAATTTAGATTCATATTCGGATTTCTCTGGCTCATCAGTTGGAATTTGGTTCGAGACGTATAAATCAATAGCGTTCGATTTCTCAGGTCTCTTGACACCCTTGGCCCACTTGAAGCCAAGAACACGTGGATGTTGTCTCAACCACCAGTTGTCTGCCTTATCTCCTGCAAGTCTGGTACAGTGAATTCTAGATTGTTGACCAGCACCTAAACCTATAACCATACCATTCTTAGTGTAACAGACAGAGTTTGATTGGGTGTACTTCAATACAATTGTGGCAACAGTTAAGTCAATTGCTGCTTGTTCAGTCAATTGGGTGTTTTTGGAGACAAACTCCTTGAAGGTAGAAGAGTTGAAGATTGCATCGTTTCTCTTCTGTTCGAGAGTTATGCCGTAAACTTGTCTCTTTTCCAATGAGGATGGGTTGTAGTTTGGATCTATTTGTAAGACACAGTACTTACCCTTCTTCTTAGCCTTGAGCAATTCCAAAGCTTCTGGTTCAAAGCCAGGGGCAATGACACCATCGGAGACTTCCTTCGAGATTATTTGAGCAGTTGGCAAGTCAACGATGTTCGAAAGTGCAATGAAGTCACCGAAGGATGACATTCTGTCGGCACCCCTTGCTCTTGCATAGGCATTTGCCAATGGTGAAAGGTTCTCGATTGTGTCGACCATGTAGATCTTCTTTTCTATGTCAGTCAAAGGTAAGCCTACAGCAGCACCTGCTGGAGAAACGTGCTTGAAAGAAGCGGCAGCTGGCAAGTTCAAAGAAGCGGACAACTCCTTGACTAAAGGCCATGAGTTCAAAGCGTCCAATAAGTTGATGTAACCTGGAGAGCCAGACAAGACCTTGAAAGGCAATTCCCCTTCGGTGACAAAAGCTTGAGCTGGCTTTTGGTGGGGGTTGGCACCGTATCTGAGAGGCAATTGGGCCTTACCTTCGGAGTACTTCTTTCTGAAGAAGTCTGAGATAGCTGTGTCGTAGTCAGCAGTGTGTTCGAATGCCTTCAACGCCAAGGTTTGTCTCAAGGAGTCAGAGATCTCGTTTTGGCCGCTCTTGTTCAATTCTTCCAAGAAGACCGGGTAGTCCCTTGGGTCAGACAGAATGGTGACTCTGGAGTGGTTCTTGGCAGCGGCTCTCAAGAGGGTGACACCACCGATGTCGATTTCCTCGACGGCTTCAGGAATGGTGACGTTGATTTTCGCAACGGTCTCCTTGAATGGGTATAAGTTACAGACCACAAAGTCGACCTTTTCGATGTGTTGTGTCTCCAAGTCCTTCTCGTCGGACTCGATGTTTCTGGCCAAAATACCACCGTGGACGGCTGGGTGCAAGGTCTTGACTCTGCCACCTAGCATCTCTGGGGCATGGGTGATGGTCTCGACGTCGGAAACGGGGAAGCCAGACTCTCTGAGCAACTTCGCAGTACCGCCGGATGCCAAGAGCCTGACCTTGGAGGCGACCAGGCCCTTAGCCAAGTCCAAGAGACCTGTTTTGTCGTAAACAGAGAGGATTGCGGTTTTCTTGTATTCAGACATACTGGGTGGGGAGGAGGAAATGGAGGAAGAGGGGGGTCAGTGTGTGTGGATGCCCGTGTACAGTGTTTCAGTCCAAACAGAAGTGGGGCGGTGACGCTGTGGGGGGGAGGCACGAGCACAGAGGTGTTTGGAAGAGCTGAAGACAACGTCTTGAGCACTCACGGGTGTCTGTCTGGCTGGCTGGTCGGCTGACTCGCCGACAGCCCGGCCGGCTGACTGACTTGAGCTCCACATGCAGGCGATTGCAATTTTCAGTGCGTGGGGAAAAAAAAATGCAATTTCTGTGGAGCGAAGTCACCGGCGGAGAGAGGCACGGATTATTACTACTGCGCTACGGTCGAGTCAAATCCTGGGAAGCGTGTATTAGAGTGATATACAGGAGTACAGGCTACTTAGCGGAAAAGAAGCAAAGAAAAAAAAAGGACGAAAGCAAGACGGCGAAACGGGGGGCTTCACGGGGCTTATTTTCTGTATCTCCACAAGGAAAGAGTGTTGTGCTTCTTCCAGTTGTGTCTTCTACCGTTGGAGGTCTTGTTGTACAAGTGACCCTTGTTGATACCTCTGGACTTCTTACCAGCGGAGGTCAAGCCTCTAGCCTCTCTGTGCTTGTGGACAGGGTTGGCGATCCAGTTGTAGGTTGGGTCGTTTCTGATGGCGTTGTGGGATGGGTCCACGAGGATGACCTCGAAGTACTTGTAGGTGGAGTCTTCGTTGACCCAGTACGAGTTGAGGACTCTCAAGTTGGATGCTCTTCTGCCGACTCTTTCCTCGGCGGTGACCTGCAAGGACTTTTGGTACTTGAGGTGGTTGACACCCTGGTTGGTTGGCTTACCGTAGGTGGCACCCTTTGGAACAGGTCTCTTTCTGTTACCTCTTCTGACTCTGACTCTGTAGATGACAAAGCCTTGCTTAGCCTTGTAGCCCAACTTTCTGGCCTTCTCTGGTCTGGATGGCTTGGATGCTCTGTGGATCACCTTGTATTGTCTGTATTCCCAACATCTGACTCTCAACAAGAATCTCATGACATCGGATTGTTTCTTTCTTTGAAGTTCTTCTAAGTACTTGTAGGCACCCATTTTTGCTGTTGTGGTTGGTTGGTTGGTTGGTTGTTGATCCTGATACTGCCCTTCTGCTCGCTATCTGTCTTGCACGCTAACCAAGAAAAGCTCTTCAACACCACCACCACTATCTTCACTCCCGCAGCAGACACCCACTCTCCCTCTCGCTCCCGCGCCGGCCCTTGTGGCCTCGAAAAAAGTGAAAAATTCCCGAAAAGACAAGTGCTTCTGCGCGCGAGGGTTTCTCGTTGCGCGGACGCGCCCAAGCCCTCGACACACGCACGTGTCCCGCCGCCCAGCCCTCTTCCGCGCCGACGCGACGGCGACGCGTCGCCGTCGCGTCGCCCCCCGTGAACAGCGTTGCCCCGTTTTCCCCTCCCCCCTGTTTTTTCCTCTTCTGGCCATGCCGGGCCTCCGTGGCCTCGGTTGGCCCATTCCCAGCGTGCCGCCGCCGTGTTGCGCTGCACACACGGTCAAGCCGGTGTTGTTCCGGGGCGTTTGTCCCGTGCGTTTTGTATTTAACCGTTTCGCCCTCCCTCCCCTTCTGCTTTCCTCCTCCTGGCTCTGCTGCTGCTGCCGTTGCTGCTGCTGCTGCTGCTGCTGCTGCTGCTCCATGCCTCTGCAAGCACCACTCCGACCCCTGCCCCGGACCCCCACACCATGACTTTCTTGTACGTCTGAGCCGCCCACAGCGCCTGAGGCTCATCACACCGGCGGCGCCGCTCTGGCGCACAGCTGTCCACCCCCTCCTCTGTCCGATGATACTAACCGCACCGCGTCGTCCGCCCTCCAGCGGACACCACAGACCCCGTCTGACTGACGGACCCCCGGGAAACACCTGCTCCTGTCCGCAATCGACCGTTCAGATCACATCAAATCACACTACCACCCGCTGCTGATGAGCTCTGGGCCCACCGCCAGATCGTGCCATGTCGCGGACTCGCATGAGCAGAGAAGAAAAACAATGGCCGCTGCACAGAAGCTGGCGCATTGTCGCGTTACGGTTCGGGGCGGCAGCGCAGCGCAGCACCGTTTTCGCGGGCGCGGAAGGCGGGTGCGGGGCCAGAAAAGCTGGGCCGTGGGGAAGCAGGAAGAAAAAGCAGCAGATTGGCACACAGATAAGCCGGGGTCAGGGCTCGGGCTCGGGCCCGGGCTGACCTAAGCTGCGGCAGCCTGCCCTGCCAGCCATGCCAGCCATGCTCCAATTTCCTTTCCCTCCTTTGCATCCCTCCTTGTGTCTCTACTCTTTCTGGCCCCGTGTCTGTCCCCTCTTCTTCCTCTCTCTCCCGCCTCTGGTGCTTTGCCCCCCGCTCCTCATCGCACACAGCAGTGGTACCACCCCCGAGCTCCCGTCAATTGCGGTAAGTGTTTCCCCCCGTCTACTCAGACTGCTCTGTCACGCCTAGTCCAGAGGTGAACTGAAATCCAAAACCAAACGGCTGCACAAGTCGGACAAGGAAAAGTCCAAGTCCAAGTCGTCCTTGAAGTCCATCGCGTCCCTGGGCAGCCACCATTCGCACCCAGGCACCTCCTCTCCGTCCAAGTCGCTGTCGTCCGGAAACTCGCTCAGGTCGCTGTACACGTCACATTCCAAGTCGTCGAAGGCCAACCTCTCGTCTGCCTCCATCTCGGATTCCCCTTCTATCGCGGAGTCGAATACAGCGTCCGTGATCTCCTCCCCCGTGCAGGAGTCTCTTTCGACCGGCGAAACGGAGGAAACCAAGATCTCCTCGGCCCCACTGGCAGTAAACGACACAACGAAAACCCTCCTCAGCTCCAACACCGTAGACACCGTGGTCAGTGATCAACCGGATCCCCAAGAAAAGCAAACTAACACATACAACCCTACAGTCCAGAAAACCCCAGTTATACTAGATATACCTAACTTCCAATCCACCACGATGCCAAAGCAGCAATACGAAGACAAGGCTCAAAAGGCTGCCAACGACGTTGAGGCTAAGGCCGAAACTGTGACAAAGAACGCCCAGAAGGAGGCCAAGAACCTCTCTGAAAAAGTCAAGAAGGACCTACCAACTTCGGACGAAATAGACTCCTTTTTCGAAAAAATCAGAAAAGCCTTTGTCTCATTGTACTCCTCGACCTCAAGCACGATTTCTTCTGCCTTGGGCTCGACTTCAAGATCCTTGGTGGCTCTCTACCAAAAATCGCTATCGATAATACAAACATCGGCTGCGAAATCAATCGACTTCACAAAGTACTATTATTCCTCAGCTTCAACCAAAGTCAGCCAAAACCCATTGATTGCTTATGACGCTTTATACCTTACAGCCTGTTCTGCCCTAGGAGGAGCAGCTTATACTTATCATAGGGACTTCCTCACCAAGAAGATATGTGAGCATTGTCATCATACAAACAATACCCTACATCTTGCAACCGCCGTTGGTGTATGCTTGTCAATCCTGGGAGTTGGAAACTATTTATACTTGAGAAAGCCAGGTACTAAAAAAGCATAATTCTAAGTTTTCTATAGCTCTTGTCAACCCAGACACCAGTCACACTGGCATTATTTTTCCACGATAGTTGTCCTGTTATCTTGATTGAGTTTCATTTTTTTTTCTTCAACTAACTTTCCTCTTTTCTGTCATTTTTTTTCCTCTTCTTACTCAATGACTTCTATTTACACATCTCCATCTCTTTTTCCCTTGGTTTATCCCGGTAGCACTTATACAATATGACACTTATTATCTCCGTAACATAGTTCAAACTTATTTTATCCAACTCTACTTTAGGTTTTCATTCTCAAACCTTATCTTTTTATAAACATATAATTTTTTTCCATTAGTTTAGTAAAGAGTACTTGCAAAAATAAAAATAAAAATCCAAAATTCCAAACTTTTCTATAAAATCTTTCAACCTCATCAAGTTTCGGTCCTTCTCATTCTTCACCTTCTTCCAAACCCCGCTGCCTCTCACGAAGAATCTCGTCAATGCTGTGACCGTTCATACCAGAGACACCATCATCTCCTTCGACATCTTTGTTCTTGGAGCTTCTGAAAATCTTGCGATAAGCACGATTGGAAAATTGATCGCTATTACCAGAGGTTTGGCTGTCTTTCCTGATTCTAACAATCTCCCCACTAGGTAGCATCTCCTCAGTGTATGTATCGTTTGAGTTGATCTTCACGATTGTTGGAGAATTAGGAGGTAATTCTGTGGGGTTCACCATCGTCCCCTTCCGTTTCCGTAATTGGGTGAAGTCGCTCGGGTGGATCGATCCTTTCTTCATGAAAGACCGAAAATTATAAACATGCTTTTTCAAAGTATCATATTCGCCCAGGCCGTCAGGCTCTTGTTCAACAATCTGAGACTCGTGTAACCAAGTCCATCCCTGTTTCAATTCATAGTAAGAGTTCTTCACGAGTTGTTTTTCAATATTAGGATCTTTTTCAAGCCTTTGGAAAACCTCAGTGTCCGTCATCTTGAAACACATTGAAACTGAGTAGAAAATAAAGTCGATCCAAATTCCCAACACCGTTAATATTAGCAGCGTTGCCCAAAAAGATGGATCCCGACCGAAATGCTCGAAAAGACCGTGCTGAACATAAAAAATCGTATTGATCTTACTCTTGTACAATCCAACCAATAGCATACACCAAACGCACCATCCAAGAACTGAGATAACCCAAGAGATGATGGAAAGTTTGGTAATTGTGTGCATCTCGATTATATTCAACTTCGTGTTGATAATTATGATGAGGACCGTGAACATTATAACTCCCATGGGATAGGTCGTATTGTCAATCAAAGCTGAGAATCCATAAATATACCATAAAATAAAACATAAAGAGATCGATTGGGTAGCTGCCAATATGACCCATTTAATGAAAACAACCAAGTTAAAAGTTTCATTGTTGATCCCTTTGCTGTATAACTCTGGAACCGAAATGAGTGTCGACGGCTTCAAATCTTTATCGTACATACCAATGCATAACACTGGTAAAGATGTGAATAAAGTATTGAACATCGACAACGACCATGATTCGTATAAAGAAGATCCAGTAAACATCGTGTACCTTTGATAAAGTAGCTGACTCAAATAAAATAGTAACTCCTTGTAAAAAGTACACAACACAAATTTTGATGTCCTGATGTAGTTGTATCTACCATGAACCAGTAACAACTTCAACAAATATCTAAATTGAGCAATTGAATAGTCTGAAGTTCTCGCAGCTTGTAAGCCTTCTTTACCAGTGATTCCGACACCAACGTCAGCACTTTGGATCATGGCAATGTCATTGGCACCATCACCAATAGCTAATGTAACTTTGCTGCGATCCAATTCTCGAACTTTACTAACCATTGTAGCTTTCTGAGATGGAGAGGCACGACAGCAAATAACAGAATCGGCCTTTACTCCTAATGAAATAAATAACGGCATTATGGTTGGGTCATTTTCAATTTCCGACAATGTTGCTCCATCAATAACAATAACACAGTGAGCTATACCACCTTCATCAAGTTCGATCTCCGTAGCAGTGATAATCGATCTAAGCTTATCAGTGGAATTAGCTCCCTCAATCGAAAGAACTATCACTGAAGAATAATCCTTGATCAATTTACAAGAGTACCCAATATTGATAGCAGTTTCTCTTTTGTCCCCAGTTAGCATCCACATTCTAATTCCAGCACGTCTCAACTTTTCAATAGCTTCAGGTACACCATCCTGTAATTTATCTTCAATAGCCGTACATCCTAACAAGGACAAATTTTCTTCCAATTCCGCCCCGACATTCTCTATCTTGGTCGACCTATCAACGAGTGAGGTTTTGGCAGTTGCGTACCTTTTACTCCATTCTTCATACTGGGGAGCAGTTAAATCCCTGTAAGAATACAATAAAGTCCTCAAACCATCTGAAGAAAATTCGTCAATATGTTGTAAAGTACGCTCGATAACAAAATGATCATCCGAGATCCACTTATTAGATGGAATATATTGATCTTGGGATAAATTATATTTTTTCCTGCTTTCCATATCAAGAGATTTCTTCGACTCCTTGTAAATAGCACCAGCTTCATTAGAATCTAAAATAGAACTAATGTTATCATGACCCTCGTTATTGTTTCTGAGCCTACTCAATGTAAAACTCAGTCTATTTGACGCAAAAGAATTTCTAGGGCTATTAGTCTCTCCTGCATTTTCAATTGATCTTCTGCTCAAAACAAAATCGGACTCAGCTTTCTTTCTCAAACTTATTGATCTTTTCAAATTTTGCTGTTCACTGGTGACAATGTCAGCCTTGGCTAATCTTTCCATTATGATATTATCCGCACCTTTGCAAAATAGGACAATTCGATTATCGGGAAACTTCACTACTACAGACATCCTCTTCCTTGCCGATGAAAACTCAACAACATCAAGAATCTCATAATTCGTGAGTTCTGGTTCCTTGTCGAAACAATGTGGATATGATTTCAAAGTTACAATTTTTTGTTTCCTGTTGAAAAGTATAAATCCCATATCACATGCAGCTTGAACGAGTGCCAACTCATCTGGAGAAGCAGCTTGATATTCAATTTTTCCATCTTCATCAACATTCTTGTTGTTTTGATCTACCACAAACGGATTTGTTGAATTACTTACGCTCCTGTCCTCGCTTGCAACAGTTGGAGAAGCTTCCTCCAACGAGTCAATTGAATCCCGATCCTCTGCCTGAACTCTTCGAGGCAAACATGTATGGCATAGTGCAATAGAGAGTAAAAAAAATGTGGCTTTTTTAGAGAAAAGAGATTGAGGATTTTCTTGAATGTATTTGACAAATTCAAGTGAGGATTTGATATCATGGTGATCAAACTCGTTTTCTTTGGGTATTTTTCTTCTAGTTGAATCAGACAACGATGCCATACTTGGTCGTCCTGAAGTCACAATTGCACCTGGTTTTTCCTCCTCTTTAGAAAACACATCAGAAAAATCTTTCGGATCATCCAATTTTTTCACCAGAAGGTCAATGTCATGAATCCATGGCACACCACATACAGAAAATTTTCTGAAAATCATGATGTTGTCTGTCAAAGTACCCGTTTTGTCAGAAAAAATATAGCTGACCTGGCCCAATTCTTCCAAAATGGTTGCAGTACGAGCCTCGGCGGGGGTGTCTGAGGGTAAGTGATACATGTCAATGTCCCATTGAAGCAATGCCATTTGAATAGCTTTGATGATTTCCATTGTGACGTATAAAGACAAAGGGATCATTGTGTTAAACATAATAATAAATCCCATTATAGTTGGTGCGACACCAACATCGGCACCATCTGTATACCACGTAAGGTCTCTGTACTTTTTATAAAAAAGCCTCTCTGCCATTAAACTGAAACAGGAAATGGTTAAAACAACAAAAACCATGAATGCAACGATCATGTTAATTTTTCTCTGTAGTTTTGGTGCCTTGATTCTTGGATTTTTGATTGCGTTCATCCTTATTTTGGTTTCTTCACCTGTAAAAATAACCATACCAAGACAACTATCAGTATTCCTAATAATTGAACCTCTATAAATGGTACTATCAGGACCCAGAGGATAAGTTATCATTTCCTGCGTTTCCAGATTTGGCAAGTCCAATGAACCTTCGAAGTTGTATAAATCTAAATTTGGGTCTTCAGATAAAACTGTTCCCGAGATATTGAACAAGTTTTTTGCTTTGTTTGCAACTTTGTGCAACTCGATATTGGGTATTCTGGCTTTCAAATTTGTTTCACCATCCAAGGCCATAGTCTCGATAAAAGTCTCACCCATTTCATTTGTACTAGTCAATAAGACAATGTCTGCAGGAACCCATTCATCACTTTCTAGTTTTATGACATCGCCAACTTTCAAATCTTTCCATTTTGTTTTTTTAGTTGCAATCCCTAGTCCGCCCAAAAGTTGATCATTGTCAAAGGAGTTTGGGTGTGCAGACTGGTCTTCCAGTTCTAAGTCATCTTCGAAATCAAAGTCAAAAGATTGACCACTTGGTCTCAACCTTGAAAAAGATGTTGTGCTTTTGCTAAACCTCATATCGGATTCAAACAATGAATCCGGAGATTCCATTTCCTTTAAGACCCTTGTTGTTTTATTGTTTTCCTGCTTGTCTAATTTATGTCTCCTGATATCTTCGTATCCCTCACGTAACATCGAGATCGAAATAAAAATACACAACGGAATAATGGTAGTACTGGTTCCTGTCGTAGACCAAGATGGTATCAATTGCAAGATGGAAACAAGTAGAAAGTAGCAATTTGCTAACTTAGAGAACTGAGCAATTAGTTGTCTTGGTAAAAAACTTATTAAAGTGTACCTTGACGATGTTATCACATTGTTCACATAAGGCGTGTTCATACGTTCATCAACAAGTAAAGTTTCATTTTTTTTATTCTTTACTATTGGGAAATCTGTGTTAGTCATGTTCATTGTGATCGGAATTTGACGTCCCCCAACGGATGGTAACTCTGGTCTAGCACCTGTCAAGAGCAAAAATGTCCGTTTCAGAATATTTGGGAATTTTAAACTTGAGAAAGCTTTCAGTGTTCTCTTTGATTTTGCTTTCCCAGTCCCTCCTCTATACGAGTAATCGTTGTGGTTATCATCCTCGCTCAAACGAATTTTATTCCTCTTACTACTCAAATTAAGATCTGTAAGCGGGAGAACCTCGTCGTTCAAGTCCATGATAGATTCGTTAGTGAGCAAAGTGTCGAATCTATTGCTCGTCAACTGGGGGTATTGTTCATTGTTTCTTACGAAATCTAAATCATTTGGCGTGTAAGTGTTGTCAACGGATTTTAGTTCGATATTTTCCATCGGGGTAGGCTCATCGTCAAACCTGACCGTCTGATTCACAGCTCTTGATGCACCTTGACCGCCGCCGCCACCATTTCCATGATCGTGTAAATCTGTAAGTGGGGGCTCAAGGAAGTGCTCGACCTGTTGATGCATACTATTGTTGAGTAATTGGGTACGCAAACTGTAGCCCCGTTTTCTGGTTTTTACAGAAAGTGCAGGTTTCTTCGGCGATTGTGCCGAACTTTCTTTTTTGTCACCATTTAGATTTGTGGTGCTCGAAGCCATATCGTGACCGATGTCAAAATGCAACGAATCATCGCTGAAATCTTCCGACTCAAGCTTATCAGGCTCAATATAGAAGGGATTGTAAGAATCTTGTACCTTCCTGGTTGGCATCTTTGATCCACGGAGGTACTTTTTCTTAGCTCTAGTGAATTCCAGCGATTTCTGTTTTTTCCAACAGCTTTCTGTTCGCTTTGATGTTTAAAATAGATTTACCGTATCAATAAAATGATAGTTGATGCACCTCTCTGCCGCTGCGCCATGATCGTCAAGTCGACGCGTCGGCAATGGCCGCAGCATTGTTGGCTTTGTCTGTTCCCGCTGTCCGCGCCCCCGTGCACCGCAATAAATGGTGGGTTGATTGCAGTTGTTCCAAGTAGATATCAACGGTATTACTATTTTGAAGTGACAAAATCGTTTTGATGTATTCCCTAGGTCAGCACGTTGGTATCTGCTCGTTCTCATTAGCTTCAGTGAGTTTTGTTTGTTCTTCAAAGGACTTTGCTTCCACACCCACAGACAATGTCTTTGCTTTGCAAAAGTCATCTTTTCTTTTTCCGCAACCCTTCGATCATTAATGCAGGGCTGAAAAACACTATACAAGCTGAAGGACCAGCTGCTTTGAAAAACCTCAGAAGCAACGGCCATCTTGGCATTCCAATTGTTGCTTCATTAAAGAGGCTTGTATTTAGCAAGACTCTGGGTAGAAATGCGTCATCCTCTAGCATTTTCAAAAGATCATTTTCTTCTTTTACCAATCAAACCCATCTCATTGGTCAATCAAGACCGTTTTCCACAAGCTTCAGAAGTTTTGCTTCTTCATCCAGCCCAGCTGTAAGAAGTAGTTGGCCTGCAAACTCTTCCAAATCAGTCGGTTACCTGTGTATTGGCTCCTCCGTTTTGGTTTTCGCCATTGTGGTTTTGGGTGGGTTGACAAGACTAACTGAGTCGGGCTTGTCTATAACTGAATGGAAACCTGTCACTGGAGCAATGCCACCGCTTACCGAAGAGGATTGGATAACAGAATTTGAAAAGTACAAAGAATCTCCTGAGTTCAAACTGCTTAACTCTCATATGGACTTGGAAGATTTCAAGTTCATTTATTCTATGGAATGGTCCCATAGATTGTTGGGAAGAATCATCGGTACGGTTTTCGTTTTGCCAACGTTGTACTTGGTAGCCAGAAAGAGGGTATCCCTTAAAACAGCAGGAAAATTGGTGGGAATTTGTGGTTTGATTGGTCTTCAAGGTGCCATCGGATGGTGGATGGTGTACTCTGGTATCGACACTGAACAGTTGGAAGAGAGACGTTCAAAACCAACGGTCTCTCAGTACCGGTTGGCTACACATTTAGGTGCGGCTTTCTTGGTCTACTGTGCCATGATATCTACCGGTTTCAGCGTTTTAAGAAACCAATGGATCATGCAACAACCTCAAGAATATGCCAAGTATTTCCAACAAATTCAATCCGGCTCTTTGTCCAAGTTTAAAACTTTATCGAAGGGACTTTTTGGCTTAGTGTTTTTGACTGCAATGTCTGGTGCGTTTGTCGCTGGCTTGGATGCTGGTCTTATCTATAACACTTTCCCTCACATGGGAGAAAACTGGGTTCCTTCAGCCGGCGAGCTATTTGATCCTGTTTACTCTAGAGTCAAGGACCAAACTGATCTCTGGTGGAGAAACATGCTTGAAAACCAAGCAACTGTCCAATTAGAACATAGAATACTTGCAACTACCACGGCTCTATCGATCTTTGCATTGCACATGTACTCACACAAAATCAAAACTATTATTCCTCGTCATGCTTACAAGTGGTTGAACATAAGTATGGGTGTTGTTACGTTACAATATATCCTAGGTATGTGCACCTTATTGTATCTAGTTCCGACCGATTTGGCTGCAGCACATCAAGCAGGTGCATTGACTCTGCTCACCTGTACATTGTTACTGGTGAATAACTTGAAAAAGCCAAGTAAGGCAAACATGCTCATCCTCAAAAAATACCTCGAAAAGAGTGCTAAAACGGCAAGTAAGCCATAGATTTTTTGGGAAATTTTCCTTATTTAACCGTACCTGTACATGCCTTGTATATATAATCCTATAAGTTTAACATTTAAGCGTGCACGTCGCCTAAATGCCTGTATGAATAATCCCAAAGCCCATCTACCGGTACTGAGCGTCCATAGATGAGCCGAGATTTTTCGTGGTTCTCAAAGTTGAACTTTCGCTGCTGGGTTCTAGCGAATTCATGTTACCGGGACAAGGTAAAAAAGGTGGTAGTAGATTATAGATAAAAGCACTTAGTAGGCCATACTCTAAACATCAGAGACCAACGGCAACTACAACTCATAAAGTAATGCTTTTCTTCTCATTTTTCAAAACCCTGGTAGACCAGGAGGTATGTTGTTTCTTTAAAAAAAAAACCTGAACCCTTTCATTTTTTATGTACACATGGAAGAAATCGCAACTGGTCTGAAAGATACTAACACTTTAGAATTACCTGATACTCTTTCGATACAGATAACAGTAGAGCTAAAGAACGATGTTAAGATTACCGGAACACTGAAGTCGGTTGATCAGTTCCTCAACTTAAAGTTGGACAACATTCATGTCGACACAGAGAAATACCCACACTTCATTGCAATCAGAAACTTGTTTTTTAGAGGAACCAATATTAGGTATATTCACTTGAATCCGGCCTCTGTGGATACAAACCTTCTCCAAGATGCTAGTAGAAGAGAAGCAATGGCAAGTGCAGGTGAGAAAATAGCGGGTAGGTAAATAGGTACGGGCGTACTTAATTGTATACTATAGTCTGTTTATACGTTTAACATTACACAAAAAAAATCATTCATTTGATTTCAAGCTACGTATAGAAGTACTAATTTGTTAAGCCTCATGGTAGAGGATTTTAGGACATTGGGAACGCTTATGGCCTTTTTCATTGCAGTAAGAACATGATATTTTCTTTTTTCGGTTGTAGGTAGGTTCGTTGACTGCAATATTGTAGGCCTTTTTATGTTGAGTGTTCTGAGCCACCTCTGATTCAGTCTTTGTTTTCGTCTCATTTTTTGGATTCTTCATAGAGTTCATTTGCAAAGGTTTCGTCGGTACCAGCACATAATCCTTAATATCATCGTTGTGGCTCATCGATCGTAGCTTATCTATGAAAGTTGTATCATCGATGTGCCCTTCTTGACTCTCAATATTAAGTCCGGCTCGCACTGTGGCTAGGTATTCATTTAGTATACGTATGCGATCCGTGTATCGTTGCTCTATAGTATCCATTTCCTTTGTTTTCAAAGAAACAATAAGGGCCAATTCAGCAATTTTAGTATTTAATTCTTGAATTTGTTTTTCCAGATCATTGTTTGACATGACTCGTATGGCTATTGTTCTCACTTCTACGAACATGGGTCAAAACTAGGTTTTTAGTTGCATGTAATATTATCCGAGAAACCAATTTCACAATACTGTGCAATGGATCTGCAAAAAAAAATTCGAGAATCACACCGATAGAGAAAAGTTGAACTTCTTTCTGTTACCGATAACAGGCTATAACAGTTCTCATATCACTATATTAAAAGCAGAACTATTCTCAATACTCTTCTAGATGTCGGGTGCTGGCTCTTTGAAGCGAAGAAGAGGAAAAGCGGATGAAAAGGAACAATTCTCTTTTTCCCCTTCACTTTCTGGTGAGAACAAAGGGATCACTAACTCAATGACTTCACGTGGCTCTGCGAGATTCAAAGTAAAAAGAGTGAAAGAAAAAATACCAAATGTATATAGTTCTTCCAACTTAGAAGTTCTCTCAGGGGGACAAATCAAATTTACCAAAGGTCGAGGTTCCAAGTATGACGCTGTCAAAGTAGATAATTCCGTTGTGCCCAAATTAAAACCAGAGTTCGAAGCTATGGGCATATATAAGCAACCCACAGGTATATTGCAAGCTCATTACAAATCTCCAGATGAAGTACTGACTGAAGACTATAAATTTGAACCCAGTGAACTGGTATATTTGAGTAGGCAAGAAATAAAGGGTTATACGAAAATCGAATTACCAGATGAGGATATAGCAAACGACATACATTATTATGTTGCCCATAGGATAATGAATAGACTAGGAATTTCAGAGGAGGATTACAACAAAGAATTTTGCCGATTCCTAGATGGATCGGCCTTACTAGCGTTAAGTTCATTGGTAACTAAATGGGTCGAGGATTGTTGTGGAGAGTCTACTTTTAAAGCATACATGGAGAAAATTGTAGAAAAAAAATCAGAGAAATTAAGTAGCATAGATGAATTTATCAGGGTTTATGATGAAGATGAAGACGATGAAGACGATGAAGAGACAGATGAGGAAGTTGACGGAAAAAATGAGAGTGATAATGAAAGTGAACGCAAAGAGAGGCGAAGTCGAAAAGGCTCTGATTTCGCAACCCGTAGAAGTAGTAGTAACTCAAATTCTAGCTCAGATGACAGTAATAGCTTATCAGAGGATTTCAAGCCAATACGGGTTACAAAAACCACTGAAAGATCTTAACTTTTTGAATCAATCAAGCTCTTGATTTCATCAATTTACACGACCTAATGTTCTGCTATTTTTATCATTTGTAAATTAAATTGTACCTATTACTTGAATTCTGCGGTTCCAGTTTTGACCCAATTGTGCTTTTCTTAATTGATCTAAATCCAGCTGTGAGTTTAGCATTACCGCCTATCTGGTATTTCCCTTTCGGGGCACCCGCAGAAAAAATTTTCATGAATTGAAATTTGTTCCTTCGAAGTCGATAGTGTCTACTTTTCAAACTCACTGGTTCAAGTTGCATGCAAAGGTTCTTTCACACATCAAGAGTACTTTTAGCAAAAATGGGTAAAAAAGGAAGAAGAGGAAGAGGTGGAAACAAGCTTGGCAAGAGAGACGACAGACAGTCATGGGATCAAGTCACTCAAGAAAATGAAGCTTGGGAAAAGTATTACAGAGCTTTAGATTTAATTCCGAATGATCAATTTGATCTTTTCAAGAGCACCTGCAAAGAGACATTACCATTAACATTTAGAGTTACAGGTTCCAGAAAGCATGCCAAGATAATTGCAAACTTATTCCAAGAGAAGATTATGCCATTGCTAGAAAATGTTGAAGGCACAGAATCGTACAACAAGCCATTCTCTTTACCTTGGTATCCTGATAATTTGGCATTTCAAATTGACTTGCCTAAGCAGGTTATTAAGAAACTTCCTCAGTATGCAGCTGTCCAAAAATATTTGCTAGTTGAAAACGAAGTGGGAAATATATCAAGACAGGAAGCTGTTTCAATGATTCCCCCATTAGTTTTGGATGTTGAACCTCATCATCACGTTTTAGACATGTGTGCTGCACCAGGCTCTAAGACCGCTCAATTAATTGAATCTTTACATACTTTCAAGGACTCTAACGATGAAACCCTCAAACCAACAGGTTTTGTCATGGCAAACGACTCCGATTATAGAAGATCGTATATGTTGGTTCATCAAATCAAAAGACTCAATTCATCTAATGTGATTGTAGTCAACCATGATGCACAAATGTTTCCAAAAATGAGATTGGAGGAAAACGGGCCATATGTTAAATTTGACAGAATTTTATGTGATGTTCCATGTTCGGGTGATGCAACCATGAGAAAAAACATAATGGTTTGGAAGGAATGGCGTTTCGGTAATGGGATTGGTTTGCATCCATTACAGCTTAATATTTTGAAGAGAGGTTTACAGCTGTTGAAACCAGGAGGACGACTAGTGTATTCTACATGTTCTTTGAATCCCATTGAAAATGAGGCTGTGGTTGCTTCAGCATTAAAATTGTGGGATGGAAAAGTCAAGCTGGTTGACTCTTCTGACAGATTACCTGGTTTGATCAGACATGAAGGTATTTCTTCTTGGAGAGTTTTCGGCAAAGACGGCGAAGAAAAGCAACAACCTCTTGAGGATGACAAGCTTCCAGCTACTGTTTTCCCTCCAAGCGATGAAGAGGCCAAAGACCTACATTTAGAAAGATGTATGAGAGTTTATCCACAAGATCAAAACACTGGTGGTTTCTTTATTACTGTTTTTGAAAAGGAGGCTGAGCAGGAAGTTGAGCAGGAGAAGGAGGTCACAAATGCGGAGAACAAAAGAGGAGCATCGGAAACAGTCGAATCTGAAACGACCAAGAAACAGAAAACTGAAGAATCGGAAGTCACTACCGTTGTCAAACAAAGAAGAGAAAAATTGCCTATTGATGCAAATGAAGAGCCATTCATCTTTATCGAGAAAGGTAATGCTGAGCTGCAAAAATGTTGGGACTTTTACGAAGTCTCAGACGATTTCTCAAAAGACTGTACATTAGTTAGAAATGCCACAGGAGAGCCATTACGTTCTATCTATTATGTTGCACCTATCATCAAAAAGATTCTCCAGCTTAACGAGCAGAAACTAAGATTCATTTACACTGGTATCAAGCTATTTGTTTCTCAGAAGAGTGCGGTGTGTCCATGGAGAATCCAAAACGAATGTCTCAATGTCATCAGACCTTATATACCAGCATCCAGGCAACTAGAAACCAACCTTGAGCTCTTAAAGCTTTTGCTTCTCGAAGCATCCCCAAGCGTGGCAGAAATCAGAAACAGCAATGCAGATCCTAAATTCATGGACGATGTTGCTCTTCTGGGTGAAGGTTCATGTTTCGTCAAAATTAAGACTGACAAGGACGGTAATGAAGAATTGTTCTTTCCTCTATGGAAGGGTAAGAGTAGTTTCAACTTGATGGTTAACAAGCACGAAACCGCGGAGCTTCTCTACAGGTTGTATGGCATTGACAAGGCAGCTTTGGACAAGAAGAAAGCTGAAGAAAATGCAGCTGAGGAAAAGGAGGCCAAAGAGGCAGCGGACGCTGACACAAACGCTACTGAAAGTGAAGCAAAGTCTGAGGAGCAAAATTAAGTAGTTCCTTACTGCCCAAACTGTCTTAGCACTATATAGTTTTATAAATAAGTTATAAACTGCCAGTTAAACGGTGGACATATTCAGAGAACTTAGTAGTGAGGCAGAAGAGAGCCAAAAATAAGTCGCGAGACAGCCTCGCTTGGCTGACTATCTTGCCGTGTCACATGAGAAGGAATGAAAGTTTTGTTATCGATTTGGCGAACAAACAAGGCACAAGGCGAGTTGTTTGTGAACAGAAGGAAAGCTTGTGGTGGAAGATATTAGCCTTTGCAAACCCGAGGAAACAAGAATGACTATGGTACAAAGCATAGGGATATCGAGGTGGCATTTGGGCTTCGGAGCAGTAAGCACTTGAAAGAAATTTTTATTGAGAAGTTTTGCCCAAGGGGCTGAAGGATTAAATACTAACATTTAAGGACTTTTATTCCGACCGTAACGGGGCATTTGTGATATTATGCAGCTAACAGGAGCACTATATTACTTCAATAATGCGTCAAATAGGCAGCATTTTCAAAATTACTTTTACCACACAATATCCAGCGTCTTCTCGGAGTTGGACCATATGAACATACTGATTTTGATTGCAGTATGCATAATAGGATTCACAGAAATAAACTACAGTTTGATCAACATTTTTGCAAATATAAACATCTTATGGTCGAGACCGCTGATAAATGTGATATTCCTATGTTTGAGGTTCATCTCGGCGATCAAGGTCGTAATTGCTATTTTGAGAGGAGCAATAAAAGCAAGAAAGTTTTCCAAGTTTGAGGCAAGGGTGTCGTGGAGCACGGGCCTCCCCTCTGTCGTCGATGCACGAGAAAAGCTAAACAATAGATGCGTCATCTGTTTGGATGAACTACACAGTCGTTCCACGGGGACCGACAAAGCAGAAAAGGTTTTGACACTTAGGTGTAACCACATGTTTCACTTGGGCTGCTTCAAGCAGTGGTACGAAACTTCTGGTAGCTGTCCTTTTTGCAGGACGAAGGTTGAATTGTAGCAAGAAGCCGGTCGTAAAATTTTTGCTTCATTTGCTCTACAGTAGGCTTGGGAAAATAGAAATGTACAAATTATAGCTTTGTGTGCGCTCTGGGTAGGCACGTAGCATAATTAAAGACTCTATAATGATCACCATACAAACCATATGGGTGTTGGGTAGTTTGCCCTGCGTAGGCAATCAAACCACCAAGTATGGATAAAGAACTGCTTCTTCCCTTGACGGAAGAGCCACATATCACGTGTTCGGTAACGACCAAAAAAGGTGGCACATACAAGTGTCTGCACTCAAACGAGAGCATCAGGATCGGGCATAACATAAAACGCTTCCCATCCTCAGCTGTAGCCTACTCTGACTAGATCAAGTACACTACCGTTCACAACTATGAGTAGCACTCTGCCGAGGAGGCTTGGAAGCGTGTGAGCCACTGTTACCAGCAGTTGCGGAAAACACTATTTCCGTCGGTGCGAGTGAGAGGTTATCTCGGTCGATAAGCAAGTGAACCACAGTGGAAAAATGACTCAGGATGGAAAAGTGATGGATACAGCCGGACCGATTAATTTCATTTACTTGGCCCTCGGGTTTGAAAGTGTTTAGCGATGCCTCGAGTTGTGCTGCAGTTTGCAAAAGTGCAGCGCCGATCTGCCTTCACAGCGAAACGGATATCTATCTCGTTGATCAGCACTGTTGCGCTGCAACCGTCTTCTTCTCGTCCAAACATTCTGAAAAGGTACATAGAACAGGGAATCGACGCTCAGGAAACCTCCGTATGACACACTTTCTTCTCTCTTTGAAGCAGTCTTCGGCGGATATCCGGCTACTATGGTTTTCGGTATTCATCCGTATGATTTCCTTCGGATTGACGAACCAGGTCCTGGCGTCTTATCTCAAGGAGCTCGGTATCTCTGAGGTAAGGATTGGTATGTTCATGTCGATGACAATGGTTGGAGACTCGATCATTTCGTACGTACTCACCTGGAATGCTAACAAGATCGGAAATCGCTTTATCATGCTGCTGGGAAGCGCTCTAATGATTCTTGCCAGTGGCATCTTTTCAACGGGTACTTCGAATTTTGGCTACCTTCTTTTTGCTGCGATTGTCGGCGTGATTTCTCCGTCCGGGGGAGACACAGGACCCTTTAAAACTATAGAAGAAACCGTCTTGGCGAACCTAACTCCGCCCAACCATAGGCCCGAAATCTTTGCAATACATTCCACGTTTGCTAATGTTGGGGCATCACTCGGAGCGTTTCTGGCGGGCCTATCTGTAGACTATTTTACAAAAAGCTTACACTTGACCATGAGGGACTCATACCGCTACACTTTTTGCATCCTACTCTTCACTTCCTTTTTGAAATTTGTCTCACTTATTTTCATCTCACATAAGGCTGAGGCATCATATATCCCGCCTTTCATAGTTGCACAGCGTGAATTGGAAATGGAGCAAGATGGTGATAGGGCTACAAGAACGGATCTCGAGAACTTAGAATTATCTGCACTTGGTTCAGTAGAGGATGAGGAACACGTGCCTTCTTGGCCTGATTCAGCTGTTGAGCTTAAAACTTTCACTGGGTTGGCACCAAGGACACAATCAATACTATTCCGTCTACTTGTTCCATTTATGCTTGCTTCCTTGGGTTACGGATTCATGACAAAAGCCTGGGTGGTTTATTATTTTCAGGAGAAATACAATTCACCGGCAGTGTTATTGGGTACTTTGTTTGGATTGGCAGGAATTGTAAAATCTCTAACTTCTGTCTTATCTGCATGGCTTGTCAAACAGTTCGGCCCAATAAAATCCTGTCTTTTAACGCAGATTCCGCGTGGGATACTATCTATCCTAATTCCGACATTAGGAGTTAACTTTAAGCTCGGCTCCCTATTTTTTCTACTTCATCAATCGACAGTCGAGCTTGAAGTGATTCCAAGACGTATTATACTTACTACATTAGTAGAGCCCATCGAACTATCCAGAGTCATGGGCACTGTGAATATTGGGAAACAAGTTGCCAGGTCTGCCGGTCCTTTCTTCACGGGTTTTTTTGCCCATGGTCATTTACTTTGGGTTTGTTTCATTATCTCCGGAGTAACCTCAATATTGGTCAACTTGTGGATAGCAGCGAACTTCAGTGACCTAGATCAAAAGGTGAAAAAACTAGAGCAAATTCAACATGATATTGAGTAGATGGCCAAATCCCAAAATGCTCAAAGCTGAGTGACGATTTTTTTTCACCACAACCTTGTGGGAAACCGCTGTATTTGGGTGCCGATATTATCACAGTGATACTGCGCCAGCCCACAAGTAATGGGTACAAATTTTCAAAGACACATGATAATCATGTTCACTCAAAAGTGAAGCACTACCTGGTATTGAAATAGAATGCTATGATTGATAAGGAATGAGTCGTAAGCAATTGGATATAAGAATGATAAGATGATTGCAACAAAGCATCATAATCATAACGCGCTAGAGTAATTTGAAAAAGGAATGACCGACATAGAATGTCTTTGAATACAAGAGGTTTTCCTCCTTGTTTTTATACATGAGATCTTGAGTTAGTAAGTTATATTATATATATATATTGAGTATGTAACAAATATAACAGATAAGGACTATACATGATGGATATATCAGCAAGGATAGTTAGATTAAAGGTGTAGATAGTAGCCAGGGAAAAACTTTAATATGTACTCTTCTTTGTATGATGATGTCAGCCATAGCATTTGAATACATGGAGACAAAAATGCCCATAAAATATCAAGTTATTTTAAGCTATCCCTATATAGTCATCAAAGTTCTAATTCCTCTCTGCGGCTAAATACTTTGCCATTTTTGCAAACACCCAAAAAAAGATACATCAGTAGTGGGAATTGCTTAATAATTTGGTGCGGATATAAATTACTTATAGTTTTCAAAAACAACAATGGGAGGTTAGTGTAGTGGTTAGCATACCACCCTTCCAAGGTGGTGTCATGGGTTCGAATCCCGTACCTCTCATTTTTTACTTACTTACAAAGACTATTTTTTTTTTTTGAGAAACAGATAGTTTGGAACCCCAAGTGGAATGGACAATGAAATTGAATGTTCCTGTATATAACCACAGATCTAATTCTATTGATACTACCCTTTTTTACATGTCTGTCCTACCCCCGAGTACAGTGGTCGGCTGCTTCTATGTCCTTTCACTTACTTCATAACTATCAAGACAATTTGATTATGACTGGGCATAAAAATGTGACTGTTAATAATAGCTTTACTCTTTAGATTGTTGTATATAGGGTTTTATTCGAGATACGATCGCTTTATCGTTAATTATGAATTATGATATTAAAAACTTTATAAAAATAGAACTCACGTTGGAAAAATAACCAACTCTAATGAAATCTTGAAAGGTAAATAGAAAAAAAATATAGCCTGAAATATTCAAAGCAAAATTTAAGAGAAGTAGGATTGGTAAGCAGACAAGGAAGAAGCACCACCCAAGTGGACGAAAAGAACGTTAGAATCTTTTTCGAATTTATCTTCCTTGACCAATTCAATCAAACCTTGCATAGATTTACCTTCATAGACAGGATCAGTCAAGGTACCTTCAGTCTTACCCAAAAGCTTGATTGCCTCAATTGTGCCTTCATTTGGAATACCGTAAACTGGACCACCGAATCTGGTGTCAAAGTTAAAAGTGTCAAACTTCTTACCTAAGCCAAGAATTTCTGAGGTGTGGTTGATAATTCTCAACGTTTGTTCAAAGGTCTTTTCTGGTTTACCTGAAGCATCAATTGCAATGACGTCGTTTTCTCTACCGTATTGGGCCATACCAACAAAAATACCAGCTGCAGTAGAACCGGTAACACAACAAACCACAATTTTGTCGAATTTGATGCCCATTTCCTTTTCTTGCTTGATAAGTTCATCAGCAAAACCAACGAAACCTAAACCACCATATTTATGTTCAGAGCAACCAGCTGGGACAGGGTATGGCTTGAAGCCTTGAGAAGTTAATTCTTGAAGTGCCTCCTCAAAAGATTTTCTCATACCAATATCGAATCCGTCAGGCACCAAACGAACATCACCACCTAAAATTCTTGCTGCTTCGATGTTTCCGACCTTATCGTAGGTTGCCTTTTCAGCTTCAGGAATTGGAACCCAGTTTTCTTGAACAGTAACGGCCTTTAAACCAAGCTTACAAGCTGTAGCAATAGTCATCAAAGTTTGGTTAGATTGGATACCACCGATGGAGACAATATGAGTGTAGTCACCGGCAATAATTTCAGGAACGATGTATTCAAACTTTCTTAGCTTGTTACCAGCAAAAGCCAATCCAGAGTTTCTGTCTTCTCTCTTAGCATAGATGTTGACCTTACCACCAAGTTCCTTGGCTAAGTTTTCGAACTTAGAGATTGGAGATGGGCCGAAAAGTAAGTCGTATTTTTCGAATTTGTCAAGTAAAGCCATTGTATTTGAGTTAGTTGTGTTGGATGCAGATTGTCTGATGATCTTAAGATGTATTAAAATTACAGAAATGAAGAAAGGCGTTGAAGATTTTGCTCAAGGACGCACAAGGAGGTGGCCTTTTATACCAGTTCGTTATCGGCAACGGCTTCAATGTTCCTTCAACTGGTGCGGTGATAAATCGCCGACGGCTTAATGTGGAAAATGCGGTGATGTAACACCGCGATAAATTCCAAGTATCGGGTCTTTATTGATTCAATTTTCTTATCTGCGGACTAAATAGGAAAAGTGCCGAAGCAAAATATTATTAGTTAGTGATATAGAAGAAATTAGGAAAAAGGTAGTTAGCCAGATAGCTAAAAATATCGGACAAGACACCCGGGAAAGTACCTGTACCGAGTTTTACACATGAGTGGAGTCCGAATCCGTTTGGCTTTTGTTGTCCATTTCCCTGTCAATCTCTTTCGCATTCTTGTCGTAAACTCCCCCGTCCACTTTCTCCATCAAAAACCAGCAACATACAGCTGCAATAATACTGACCCCAAGCATTAGAATTAACATCATGTTGGAATCTCTATATAACCTTGGCTTATCTGCAGGCCATCCAGAGTATAAGGCGTAGGTTGCAACGACAGTTCCTAGGTTACCTAAACCGGAGATAATTGCAGCAGAGGCAGCAGATCCAACATCGCCGTATCTGTGTGTCATGATCTGTGTGGCGAGTGTCATCGTGATTGGTACAGTGGGTCCCAAACCAAAACCTGCGATTAGTAAGCCTGCATATCTATTCCAAGGTCCGTGAGCATAGGAAGTAACAAGCAGACCAGCGATGATTATCAACGTGGAGAAGCTGAAAATAAAATGTCTCCACCTCTTGAACCTGTCTGCTATAGGTGTGAAGATGATAATGGCTGCAAAATCGAACAACCAAATTGGAGCATATAAAAGCGAGACATCGATACCAGATAATGTAGGATGGTTAACTCTGATCAAAGTGGTGGCAAACACTGCCAAGCCGAAACCAGTGCCGACAACACCGAAGTACATCATAACCAAAGGCCAAGTTCTGATATCTAGCAAAATCAAACACACATCCTTTAGCCCCCATCTCACGTTTTTGTATCTGTATCTCATATCCAAGTAGTGCAATCTCCTTTCCCTTTCATTTAAAGGCTGGGTAGGAGTGAAAAATGTCATAACTCCATCCGGGATTACCTTTCTGAAACTGAGCATGTTGGATTCGTTTGGTTTCAAGTATGCTGGTCTGTCGGGTAACCACCAGACAAGAGAGAGACCACAAGCCACGGTGATTGCACCGTAAACTATGTAGTACCATTTCCAACCGTACAAGCCTCTATCCATATCCATTTTCTGGAAACCTGCTGCAACTAGACCTGCTGCTGAAGCGGACAATTGTGCTGCAGTGAAGTAATACCCAACTCTCCGAGCCGTTCTATGTTCTGGATACCATAGAGAGATGTAGTAAGATAAACCGGGCCAAGTACCAGCATCTGCGAATCCGGTCATGAATCTAATGGCTATCAATCCTGAGCCGCTTTTCAAGGCAGCATAACAGATGTAAACTATGCCAACACCGGTAATGATTCTTGAGAGCCATACTTGTGGAGATGCACGCGTCATTATCAAGTTCATTGGCAAGTCAAAAATGATGTAAGCAACGTAGTATAATGCAGTGGCAGTTGACGTATGGTGAGTGTTCAACTTCAATGACTGGGCCAATGAATGTCCGGCCTCGTAGTTCATAGTCAAGGTATTACCATAAGCTGAAGAGCCAAAGGAGGCAAGAAAATAAAGAACCCAACAAGCAGGGATGATTCTGTAATCTAAATGTCTGTATATAGAGTCCATCTCTTTTTCCGTTGGTATGTAGTCATCCGGATACACTTCGGTGAAATCTTGCTGTTCACAGACACCATGGGTGAGTTCGTCCACACCTGCTGAGTCTTTAATGCAGTCTTCTGACGATTCTAGCTCAACGTTGCTCTGCATGGTCTGTGTATGATAGACGATAAGACTGGCTTAGCAACAAAAAATGACTTATTCGTGAGTATAAAGGTACTGGAAAAAAGAGGAGATAAACGAGAAAATTAAAGAGCTAGACTGTCTTTTTATAGTTGACAAAAAGGTATGGGTAGTGCAGAGACCCAACAAAAGGCAAGGTCATCATCGTCAGTACGGGGTGGAAAGAAACTAGGAAACAAGATGTCATTTTTTTTGTCGAGAAACGCTCGCCTCGTGGAATCATCGTGAATCATTTTGAATCAGCTTGAACGGCTGGAGTCATTGCACCATTTTGACGGTGAAGACCACAAAAGAAAACTTTTCAACGCGTGGAACCTACTACAGTAGCTGAAGAAACGGATGAGGTTGTGATTAATTAGATTAGACATTAGTTTGACAGCCCGGAAGGGACTTGAAGAAATTAAGCTGAACTGAACAAGAAAGGGAAAAAGGGTATTAGGGGGAAAGTCGTGAGATGAGGTTTTCAAGCGGAACTGGACACTGTATGCTCCTTGTCGAGGCTACCTCCGTCGTCTTCCTCCACGGTTGGCACTGACTTCATTCCCTGCTCCACCGAGGCCGCAGGGGAGTACGCGTACCTGGATCTCAACCTGATTCTCGCACCGAAGGTGTAGAACAAGAAGGGAATAATGCAGCAAGCCAAGGAGATAAAGGCCATCAAGGAGGTAGCCCACTCGTAGCCCAAACGGTGGTACATCTGGATGGTGAAGAGCGGTACACAAGCGCCCCAGACGGATCTGACAAAAGTTTTAGCAGCCAAAGCTGATGCGGCGTAGTGCTGGTAGGAGTCGACAATGTAGTTGTTCGCCGGGTTGTAAAGGCAATTGAAACCGAAGCCACAGGCCAAGCCAGAGAAACAAGGGCCGGCCCAACTGAGATGTGGATAGGAGGACCATGCGAAGGAGAACAAGCCGGCTGGAACAAACCAACAGCCGATCATCATTGGGAACAACCTCAATTCTGGGGGAGGCAACTGGCCCCGGTCGGTGTATTTTTTCGCTCTGCGGTTGTAGTGGTTGTTGAAGATGGGGCAGACGGCGGTGGCGATGATGACGCCGACACCGATGGGAATGAACATCAAACCTGTTTTTGACGCCGACCAGCCCTTACCCTCCATGTAGACAATTGGGTAGGCGAAGAAGAACATGTACAACAAGCCGTAGATAATGGACATGTAGATGGTGAGGAGGAAGACAATCAACTCAGACAACAAGACGATGGGTCTGCCCAAGGTCTCCCTGACCGTTTCCGAGACAGTTCTTGCCTTCAATTCAGAGAGAGACCTGTAGCGGGAGTCGCCGGTGAGCTTACGCAACTGTTTAGCTCTCGTCTTCAAGATCTGCGCATGCGACGTCTCGGGCAAAAAGACCACCACGGCGACGTAGACACACCCGGAGAAAATGAGGTGGACCCAGTACAACCATCTCCAGCCGGCGTTGTCGCCGATGTAACCGCCAATGAGAGGCCCCACGACGGGGCCTATGAAAGGTGCTGCACTGAAGATGCTCATGGCCAACCCCCGCTGCGGACCGGTGAACATGTCCGACAAGTTCCCGCCAATCAAGCACATGGGTGCCGAGAAGGCGACACCGTCGATGAGTCTGCACACGAGTAAGGTGCCAATGTTCTTGGCGTCGGCGCAGGGGATGATGAAGACGAGCGCCACGAACAAGGTGACGACGTAGATGATCCGGCGGCCGAACTCCTCCGAGAGTGGGGCAAAGAGCAAGGGCCCAAAGCCGAAGCCAAGCACAAAGAGCGTCACGGTGAGGATGACCACCTCCTGCGAGACGCCGAAGGTGACCATGGGGCCCTCGATGTCGCCTGTGACGATGGCGGAGCCCAGGGCGACGTCGAAACACACGATCCCGAGGAGTACTGTGAGAAACCACTTCCTCCCGTCGGACCAGTTCCGCGGGTCCTCCTTGTCGTTGTCGGTGAACACGACCAAGCGCATCTGCGTGTCGAGGTCCACCGCATATTGCCACCGGTCCTCCGCGTGGTAGTCGGACTGCGGGTCGTTCTGGAACCCGGTGACGCTCTTCTCGAGGTCGATGGGCTGCTCCAACGGGCCCAGCGCCCCGAACCCGTCCGCCTCCATGTTGCTCACCAGTCTCGAGATGCCCTTCGAGTTCTGCGTCAACAACCGCTCCAAGTTGTTCCGGTCCCCGATGCTCTCCTGGCTCGTCAGCGACCTCACAAGCTCCGCCAACCGTCCTGCACCTGCACCTGCTCCTGCTCTGCTGCTTGTCTCGTACAGCTGCACGGGCTCTGCGTCCTCGGACGAGCCCTCGTCCGTCATGTCCATTGCTGTGTCGTGTTTGTCTGACACCGTTTCCGATCTGTGGCTTTCTCTCTCGCTGTCCATGCTCTGTAAATCTTAACCGGAGACACTATGCCGCACAGGAAAAGCCCCAGCATACTCCACCGTGCCATCCCTGTCTGAATCCAGCAACGGAGAACCGTCTCCTTCTTATACCTCTGCTCTTCTGCTTCCCTGCTCCCCCTCTTCCAGGCCTTTCTCGAGCTGACCCCAGCCGTCGGCGAACGCCCGCTGTCCTTTCGCCGTGCCTGTCGCTCTTGCCGCATTCCCCACGCTGTTAACGGGCGCGGCGCTCGGCATCGGCGCCACGGCCGGCTGCGCTTGCCGACGCTCGGGTTGGCCGGCGTCGGCGTTCAGGGAGGCCGCGTTGAGCCCCCCGGAGGTGTCATAACAATATCGGTCTGTATATACGGGGCTATAGAGGGAAGGGGAAGGGGGAAGGGGAACTCGAAGGGGAAGGAGGAAGGGGAAGGAAGGCAAAGCGCTAGTCGTTGAGCTGGAGCTTGGACAAGACCTTTGGATAACACCTGCTGATCTCCTGGAACTCGAAGGGGTGGCTTTCCTGGAAAACTGCTGGGTCTTTGTTCAAGGCGAAGAAAAAGACGGAGGAGCCGGAGACGATGGTGGTGATCAAGACGCTGGTGATGTTGAAAGTGAGGATGAAAGAGTAGGATACGAGCGGGAAGAAGGCGTCGTCGGTGAGGCCCAGAAGGCGTCTGAAGACAACGAGGTAGATGTAGGTGATGATGGTTCCGAAAATGGAGGCGAGGACGCAGTAGAAGCCCAAGGAGGCGGAGATGACAAAGTCGTTGAGGAAGGCCTGGAGGCCACGCTGTCTGAAGAAAAGGTAGGTGGAGCGGGCGGAGCGGACCATGGAGACGCCGTAGAGCGCGACAAAGGAGTATGCGTAGAGGTTGAAGTAGCCGACCCCCATGCCGAGCAGGTTCATGCTGAGGTGGCCCACGTAGCCGAAGAGGCTGTTGCTGTTGATCATGAAGAAGATGGCGACGCACTGAAAGAGCACGACAAAGAGCGAGCCGAAGCAGACGGAGCCGAAGCTGTAGGTGAGCGCCCGCTTGAGCGAGCCGGTGCCCTCTCCGGTCGGCATGCCCTCGAAGGTGCTCTCCAGGTAGTACCAGGTGCCGTAGATGCCGCCGATGGTGACGTGCATGACGTTTCTCAGCACGTCGGCGATGTACAACCCAGAGAAGTTGAGGAAGAGGATCGTGATCACCAACTTCGCGGTGACAACAGAGGTGGGGTTGCCGTCGTCGTCGAAACGCACCGAGCCGTCGCTGTGGAAGCCAAAGGCGATGTATGTGCAGCCGATGGCAAGCGTCAAGATGCTGATGAAGAAGGCGCTGCTCAAGAAGCCGATCAACGCAGCCACGGCCGTGCTAGGGTACCGCTTCATCACGGTGATGACGACGTTCAAGATCGTCGACGCGAGCGACACGAGCGGGCTGTACTTCACGAGGATGACCACGCTGGCGACAGCAAGTGCAACGAAAACAACCGCCTGCACGTGCTGTCCGACAAAGAAGCCGGCCACGCCCGAGATGGCGAGGAAGAAGACCACCACTTTCAAGCCCACCGACGTGAATTTGGCCGAGTTTTTCCCGGCAAGAAGAAAGATCAACAGCGACACTCCAAACGAGATCATGCTGATGAAAAGGATTAGCAAAATCGTCTTGAACTCGAAGAAGGCAGAGTTTGGCAGCGTTGATGGCATTGCGCTCTCGCTTACGAACTCCTCGATGTGCTTGATGATCATCACCATCGACGTGACCACAAACGCCAAAAACACCGCACCAAAGAAGAACGCAAACTTCACGTCGTTCCAAACCGGTTTGGCTCTTGTGAACCGGTCGTCCTCGATACGGAACTCGTCGTCATAGTGGTCCTGGTCAATCTCACCAGGCTCGAAGGCGTGTGCGCCAAGAGAGAGTGAGGCAGCCAGGTCGTTTTCCTCTCCAATTCCTGTGTTCTCGCCATCGTGTCCGGCGTTGTATCCGCCATCATCTTGGTCGTCCCGGTAGACCGAATCCGTAGGAGCAGCCTCGACAGGCTGCAGTTTTGCGTCGACACTGGTCATTTCTATTTCTCTTGCAAACGCCAATTGACACTTCTCGTGTTACTGTGTATCTGTGTGTGTGTGTGTGGTAAGTGTTAGATATGTGTCTCCATCTGTGCTGCTATATACCCGAGCCGTTGCTCCTACATAATGCGGAAGAAGAAGAAAAGGCCACCCGTGGCAAAGAGGCCAGCCTCCGCCTCCCCGTTTGCCAATCCTCATCGCCCGCACCGCGGCTTTTTCATTGGCCATATGGTCATTGTTTAGGGGACACAAGCCAGGTGTAATGATTAACGTGGGCTCAAGGCGTCAGAGACTACCACGGCGATAATGGGGAGAAACTCGATGCGGTGAAGTGGGAAAAGAGAGACATGCATCGAAGAGGAGCCATTTCAAGCTTGTGTGGCTTTCTGGTGGGATGCCGGTGGGATGCCGGTGGCCGCCAGGTGACTCCATGTGTGTCTCATACAGTTTCCACTTCAGCACTTGCGGGGGTACGGGGCGAGGTACGGGTGGATAGCACGGAAGGCAGGCTCGTTCTGGGCATGTTCCCATTCTAACACGTCCTGGTGTTCGACAAGACAGATGAGAAGCACGTGCACGTAGGCGTCTATGATCAGAGAGAGCATCCTGGACAGCTGGACGGCGACGACGCCACTCAAGACCACAAGCACCCACGTAATGCTGCTGTTGCCAGAGGAGTACTGCGGATGGTCGAGCAGGCGGAGACACCCGTATGCGGTGAGGCCGCCAAGGAGGCCGGAGAAGACCGTGTACAAGCGCAAAATGACCTTGATGATACAGTCGTTGACCAAGGTGTCGCAGCCCTTCACGTGGTAGAGGCGGAACATTTTGAACGACGAGCGGACGTATCCCCGGCTGTAGATGGCCATGTAGGCAAAGGCGTACTCGTTGAAGTAGCGCACCGCGATGTCGAGCAGGTACAGGGCAATCTCAAGGAGCTTCCACAAGGGCTTGAGCACGGCGATCCTGTGCAGCTTGTCGCTGGGGTTCATCCACAGACACACCTCTTTGAGCAGTGTCACGACGCTCGCAAGAAGCGAGCCGAGGCAGATCGAGCCGAAACACTTGCCAAAAGTGTTGTAGACCGTCCGGAGCGTGCTTGCGTTCGAGTTGAAGTACCACTTGGCGCAGAGTGCCCCAACAATCACCTGGACCGAGTTCTGGAAGATCTCGGAGAGGTAGAGCCCGGCGAAGATGAGCACCAGGTACACCTGGTGCTCGTTCTGGATGTCCGGATCTGCCCGCAGGGTGGACGCAACGCAGAAGAACACAAAGACGTAGAAGAGCGACAGAGTGGTGTTCAGCACAAGCATCCCCACGTAGATCGCCCAGATGCTCGACTTCTTCCGCAGCAGCCTCGAGCACAACTGGATGATTTTGATGCTGAATGCGACTCTCCTGTGCACCTTCCACGCCACATAGAGGATGACCGCCGTGTAGAGCAAGGTCAACCCCATGAAATTCCACTGCTGCTCGCTGTAGAAGTACGCCGAAGCAGCCAGCCCGGCCGTGCAGTTGAGCACCAACGCTCCGACGATGAAAAGCTTGCACACAAAGAGCATGCTGAGCAATTGCACGAACCCGAGCAGGACCGACGCAAACACCGCCGCAACAGAAACCACTACCACGTCCGCAACCTCCACCTGCGGCAGTTTCGCAACAAGCCGCCAAGGAATGATGTGCTCGAACCGGTGGAGACGGTACATGTTGTCGAACCCGACGTACGCGATGCCGAGAAATACCACCACCACAATTAGAAACACGACCGTGAAAACTGCGTCATGGAACCGCGTGTGCTTGAGCTCCCACGGGATTTTGTTTCTCACTGTTTCAACAGGAAAGATTTGCCCTGGCGTCTTCTCAGAACCGTCAGAATCGCCAAAGCGGTCAGGACGTTCCGGCGTTTCGGGCCGCTCATACAGCGAGTACTCCGGTGGGTTTAGTGGTACGTAGCAATCTACTTCAGGCCCTTTTTTCATTGGCCTTGTCTCCTTCTTTCCTTCTTTTCCGCTCCTCTCTCCAGACTCTCTGTTCTAGCCAAAACCTCCCGTGTCGTCCTGTGTTGCACTGGAGTTGCATTTGTATTGCCTTATCGGGCAACTAACCCCTGCACTATCCCCAAAACATGCTGTCATTTTCGCCCCATCCAAACACCCGTGCACCTGCTGTGCCCGGTACCCCGGACGTGCAACCGAGGCCGAGGACGTCTCTGTGCGAAGGCCGCTTCGCTCTCGGAAGGCTGGCTGCCTATTTGGCCTGGCAAATGTGCTGCATTGCTCCTACATCTGGACAGAAATGCTCTGCCATGAGGCCCGTTTTTAGAGGGTTCCTACTGCCACAGACACTTCATTGTCACGATTTGCTAGCACCGCATCACAATGCCAGTCAACGAGGCTATTTTCCGTATGTATTATTAGTGCCCCGGTCCCCGGGGGTCTGATACCAAGCTTAGCAGAAAAAGTTTTACTAACACGGACGGAATCAACAAAAGGCTTTGCCGTATGTTAACCGCTTGATTGACTATAGGCTCTGCGGAAATGACAATGATCCAGCTGTATATCCCGACGGAGATTTCGAGAGAATCGATTTATTCGTTGGGATCGCTCGGGTTGGTGGAGTTCCGGGATTTGAACAAGAACGTGAACCAGTTCCAGCGTTCGTTCGTCAACGAGATCCGGAAGCTGGACAACGTTGAAAGGCAGTACAGACTTTTGATCAAGGAGATGGAAGCACACGGGATTGTTCCACCGGAGACCTTGGTGGAGGATTACGAATTGTCCCATAAGAACACGGTCTCCACGTCCCAGCTAGACGAGATCTGCTCCAACGCACAATTGCTCGAAGACAGAGTGACACAGCTATCCGATGCGGCCGAGGACTTGTTGAAGAAACAGATGGACCTCAAGCAGTACCAGCAGGTTTTGTCCGCCACGGACAAGTACTTCCCCGGCGAAGTGACGAGGGATTTGATCGAACTGGACGATGACCAAGAGCAGGCATTGCTGGAGGCCCGCGGCGACAGGGATTCCAACTTTATCACCGGTGTGATTCCAAGAGAAAAGATCCCTATCTTGGAGAAGATTTTGTGGAGAGTTTTGAGAGGTAACTTGTTGTTCAAAACGACGGAGATCGAGCAGAAGATGTACGACCAGAAGGCTAAGGAGTTTGTCGACAAAAACTCTTTTGTCATCTTCTCCCACGGAGAGATGATTCTTTCGAGAGTCCGCAAGATCTGTGAGTCGTTGGACGCAGACCTCTATCAAGTGAGCTCCGATTCCAAGTCAAGACAAGGCCAACAGGTGCAAATCAACGAGCAGTTGACCGACATCACCAACGTTTTGGAAAACACGAACCTGACTTTGACGACCGAATTGAGAGTCATCTCCAGCGAGATCGACGATTGGACCAAATGCGTCAAACTGGAGAAATCCGTTTACGAAATCATGAACAAGTGCCACTACGACCTTGGCAGAAAGTGTCTCATTGGAGAAGGGTGGGTGCCAACAGACGACATTCCAACAATCCAAAACACGTTGGAGGAATGCTCCACCCAGTTTTCCACGGACGAGGACTCGACTTTCCCGATCATCATGAACACGGTCAACACCACGCGGACACCACCAACGTACCACAAGACAAACAAGTTCACTGCGGCCTTCCAGGCGATGTGCGACTCTTACGGTATTGCCACATACCGGGAGGTGAATGCTGCTTTGCCCACTGCTGCGACTTTCCCGTTCTTGTTTGCCATCATGTTTGGTGACTTGGGTCACGGGTTCATTATGTTTTTGGCTGCGTCCTTTTTGGTTCTGAACGAGCGGAAGATCGGGCGGATGAAGAGAGACGAGATCTTTGACATGGCGTACAGCGGGCGTTACATCTTGTTGTTGATGGGCTTGTTCTCGATGTATACGGGGTTCCTCTACAACGACGTCTTTTCAATCTCGATGACGTTCTTCAAGTCCGGGTGGGCATGGCCTTCCTCGTGGAAGGAGGGCGAGAGCATCGAGGCGCACCAGGTGGACACGTACCTGATCGGATTGGACCCTGCCTGGCACGGGGCGGAGAACACGTTGTTGTTTGCGAACTCGTACAAGATGAAGTTGTCGATCTTGATGGGGTTCATCCACATGTCCTACTCTTACGTCTTCTCGTTGGTGAACGCGATCCACTTCCACTCGATGATCAACATTGTCGGGAACTTCATCCCCGGGTTCATCTTCATGCACGGCATCTTCGGCTACTTGACCATCTGCATCATCTACAAGTGGTGCGTCGACTGGGTTGCGATCGGCAAGCCCGCCCCTAGCTTGTTGAACATGTTGATCAACATGTTCTTGGCGCCGGGCCAGGTCGACGAGGAGTTGTACGCGGGCCAGGCCGGCGTGCAGGTCTTCCTCCTTGTGGCGGCCCTCATCTGCGTGCCCTGCCTCCTTCTCATCAAGCCGCTCTGGTTCAAGCACCAGGAGTCCAAGAAGTACGAGTCCTTGGCCCTGTCCACAGAGGCCGCCGCAGCCTCCGGCGACGACGAAAACAACCTCTTGTCCAATCTCGACCTCGGCGACGACGAGGAGCACGAGGAGGAGACCTTTGGCGACGTGATGATCCATCAGGTGATCCACACCATCGAGTTCTGCCTCAACTGTGTCTCCCACACGGCCTCCTACTTGCGTCTCTGGGCCTTGTCCTTGGCCCACGCCCAGCTCTCCCAGGTCTTGTGGTCGATGACCCTCGGCTCCAGCTTCAGCTTCTCCGGTCTCGGCGGCTCCGTCTTCGTCTTCCTCATGTTCGGCATGTGGTTCATCCTCACCGTGTGCATCTTGGTTGTCATGGAGGGAACCTCCGCCATGCTCCACGCTTTGAGACTACACTGGGTCGAGTCCATGTCCAAGTTCTTCGAGGGCGAGGGTGTTCCCTACACCCCGTACTCTTTCGGTTCCATCCTTGACACCCCTGCCCAGTGATCCCTGTATATTGATGTAACCACTTACTAGACATTCACAACTAACTACATATACACCAACCAACCCTGCCTCCTACTCCGGCCCAAACCCCGTCCAGACCGCCCGACCCCGTCCCGACGGCTTTACCTCCGCCCTCGCGCTCCCCGGGCCGTCGGCTGCTAATGCCGCTGCCCCAACTTCGCCGCCCCGCCTTCGCCGACCTTGGCGGGACCAGCGGCCTTAGCGGCTGCCAGCGAACGGCGATGGCAGCCGCTAAGGGCGGGGACCGACGGAGTGCCCTTTCAGTAGCTGCTTGGGACTGCCTTTCAGCTGCTCGGGGATGCCTCCAGCAGGAGGAAGACGGACAAAGCAGAAGTCTGCTGGGGTGCTACAGAAGGCTGCAAAAAAAAGGTTTAAGTAGGGACAGACGTAGAGGAAGCACAGGCAACAGCGGGAGCACAGGAAGCACAAACAGGCCGGTGCAAGCCCCGGTCGGAGACGTCAAACGGCTTGACACCTCGCTCTGACAGCTACCCGCTAACGTCTTCGCAGAGCTTCGCAGAAACCGCATTGTGCTGACGCCTGTGACTGGCCCGATACTGCGCCGGCGGCCGGTGCCTGCTGCCTGGCCGGTTCCCTGCATGGTCATCGTTCCGACAGAGATAACAAGCGGGCAGACGGCAGTAGAGCCTGAGGCCTGGCCTGCGTTTCTGCCTGCGTTTCTGCCTGCTTGCCTGCTACCCTGCTACCCGCCCACGTAGCCACGCTTATCGAGGAAAACTCTTCACCGTTATCGGGTGGTTGGACCTGCTGTTGCGGGCAGGCTGGTGGTTTGCCGGGCAATGTGGAGTAGGCCGGGGGGCGGGCGGGGACCTTCTCTCCCTGCCGAGCAGCTGCACCGTTGGTCTACCGCTGCTTATATTAACACCGTAGTTCCGTCTGCACTTGTTTTTCTCCTCTCTTCTTTCTCTTGCGTTTCTCCTTCCTCCTACTAGTGTCTTTGCTTCTGCCTCTGCCCGCATCTTGCTCCCCATCCACACCCCTCAGGCGCAACATGCAGCTCCACTCCGCTAACAATGCCCATCCGACACGCTCGGCACACACAACGGCACACACCTTCCTGAGTCCGGTCTCGTCCAGAATGGAGAACATCAAGTCCCACGAAACCTCCCTGCGTAACATCGATGCCACCCACACCGCCGGCGACGCAGACTTGTTAGCCGAAATCGGTTACAAGCAGGAGTTGAAAAGAACCTTCTCCACCTTCCAGGTCTTCGGTATCGCATACAGTATCATGGGAGTCTTGCCCTCCATCGCTTCGTTGTCAGCGCTAGGCCTCTCTGCCGGGCCAGCAGGCTTCCTCTGGGCGTGGTTCTCCGCCTCCATCATGATCATCTCGGTCGCCCTATCTATGTCGGAGCTCGCTTCTGCCATCCCAACGTCCGGCGGCTTGTACTACTGGACCTACTACTATGCTCCTGAACGCTACAGAGTCGTTTTCTCCTACTTCATCGGCTTCTGTAACGCCATGGCCTTGTGCTCCGGCTTGGTGTCCATCTGCTACGGTAATTCTGAGGAGATCCTGGCCGCCGTGTACTTATCTCACGACGGCTCCTTCGAAATCACCACGGGCAAGACCTACGGTGTTTTTGCCGCCTGTGTCGTCTCCCAGGCTATCTGCACTTGTCTCTCTTCTAAGAGAATTGCATGGCTACAATCTACCTCCGCCATCTGCAACACTGGTATTATCATCCTATTCTTCATTGCCGTTCCAATCGGAAATAGTGTCAATGGACGTGGTTTCAACGACGGTAAATTCATTTTCGGTCAAGTTAACAACTTCTCCGAATGGCCTATCGGCTTCCAGTTTGTTCTCTCTTTGTTCACAGCAGTTTGGACCATTGGTGCCTTTGACTCATGTGTGCACATGTCCGAAGAAGCGAAGAATGCCTCCCACGGAGTCCCCATCGGTATCTTAAGTTCGGTCAGTTTTTGCGCCCTGCTTGGTTTCTTCATCATCATTTGCATCAACGCTTGTGTTAACCCCAATATTGAGGATGTCATTTCCTCTAAAACCGGATTTCCTTTGGCTCAAATTTTCTACGACTCCTTGGGTAAAAACTGGGCCATTGCTTTCATGTCTTTAATCTCCACCTGCCAATGGTTGATGGGCTCCTCTATTTTGACCGCATTGTCAAGACAAATCTGGGCTTTTGCAAGAGATGACGGTTTGCCATTTTCCACCTACGTCAAGGTTGTCCATCCAAAATTGAAAGTTCCTATTCGTGCAGTTGTCTTCGCCACTGTCATTAGTTTGGCATTGGGCTGCTTGTGTCTTGCAGGTTCTGCTGCCGCAAATGCCTTGTTCTCCTTGACTGTCTCAGGTAACTACACTGCATGGTGTACTCCAGTTCTCCTCAGACTAACCTCTGGCAGAGACAGATTCAAGCCAGGACCTTTCTTCTTGGGCCATTTCTGGTCAAGGATTAATGGTATGATCACTTGCTCCTGGGGTTTATTTGTCATTGTTGTGTCCATGATCCCTGCAAATAAATTTGTGAACAAAACAGACATGAATTATACTGTTGTGATCACATGTGGTGTCTGGATCTTATCGATGGTCTACTTCTTCGTTTACAAATACAAGCACTACCACGGTCCAAAATCCAATTTGACGCCAGAAGACGAAGTCGCCATAGAAGCTCAGATGGGAGCTGAAGCTGAAGCCGAAGCTGAACAAGTTCCAGTTCCAACCAGCGAAAAAAATTACGATAAATACTCTGTTTGATCATCAGGCCCATAAATGATCATCCACTAGTTGATCTGATCGATATTTTTTAAAGGCTTTTTTTCTATTAACAGTTTTGTCATTCGTAATGCCTTTGTTTTTTCCCTCATTTATTACAAAAGTTATGAATTTGAACGCTTTAAATCTATATAAATTACTTAATATACAGTCGTTCCATACGAATGGTCGTGTAGTCTTAGAGCAAAGAAACGTTAATTAATCACTCCAAGTAACATCTCGAACTGTACTCTTGATGATATCTTGCTATTCATTTTTTCAGCCATTTGCAGCTGACGTAATCTCTTTTCCGTCTTGCCCCAGCTTTCCCGAAATCAAACGCTGTCTGAAATACCATTTGGGTTACGTACAGTCTCTCCATGAAAGCTCTGCCCTGTTCAATCATCATCCACTGATAAATATGACAGAAATAGAGGAACCAAAGTCACTGTTGAGAACGGCAGAAGATCTAGAGATCTTCCAACATTCGAAAACTTACGCCGATGTGTTCACGTATGTCGAAAGACTAGCTTTGGCGATTCACGGTATCGAATTGACCGATCCAACCTTGCCCAAACCCAAAGAAATCACAGCATTATTGGACCTATTTGACTCGATTAATTATGTCATTGAGAAAAATCCTGTTAAGAAAGAAACAAACAGCAGATTTGGTAAAATTGAATTCAGAAGCTTCTACGACGAACTTTATAGCTCTTTGAACTCGTTGTTGGAAAAACTACCGATTGAATTATCCACACAGCATTTGGTCGATTTACGTGCATACATTACAAATTCCTTTGGTGATAGAGAGAGGATAGACTATGGTTCGGGCCACGAGCTTAACTTCTTATGTTTTTTATTGAGTCTAGATAAGCTAGGATATTTCCCCGATTCACATGAGCTGGATAAGTCGGTGGTATTGGTTGTGTTTTCCGCCTACTTGAAGACAATGCGCCGTCTACAGCTTCTTTATTGGCTAGAGCCAGCTGGATCTCATGGTGTCTGGGGGCTTGATGATTATCATTTTCTTCCGTTTTTATTCGGTGCTGCCCAATTATCTCCCCTGACAAGACCTCGGCCTCTAAGTATACACAATGCTGATTATGTCGAGGAATTTAAAGATAAGTACTTCTATTTTGCGTGTGTCGATTTCATCAACAAAACGAAAACAGGCGCACAAAGTCTCAGGTGGACATCTCCCATGCTCGATGATATAAGTGGTGTCAAGACGTGGAAGAAAATTGAGGAAGGCATGTTCAAAATGTATAAGGCTGAAGTCTTGGGGAAATTGCCTGTTGTTCAGCATTTTCTGTTTAGCACTATTTTGCCTGCTCCGAAGCTACCTGAGCACAAAATTGAAGAGGGTGTAGAAGACGAGCATGATCATGCGGCTCATGGGTGCTGTGGGGGCAACCCTCTACTATCCACATGGGGTGACTGTTGTGGTATTAAGGTGCCCAGCGCTATTGCTGCTAAGGCTGCTGAGCAAAATAAGCATAAGATACCTTTTGATTGATACCCAAATTCTTATTCAAGAAAATTATATAATACATTATAGGCTACATACTACCACCCAAACCTTAGCTGGGATGCTGTAAAAACAGGAGGCTTCCATATTAGTTTATTTGGATCCAATTTGTGTCTATTCTTCTTTTTTAGTTTATCATGAGCCTGGGATACCTGATCTGTGATGCAAATGATGTGCTGTCCTTTGTAATATCGAAGCATGTTCATAGTTTGTAGCGTATGCAAAATGTCTGTTGTTGTTAACGAAGTTTGCTGTGAAATTTCTTCCACACTTATTTCGGCAGGCTTATTTTCAATAAGCAGCTCAGCTATGGTTTCAGCCCAAAACGCTCTATACGAAAGTAATCCCAAGTCCGATAAAGGTTTTTCCGGGGATCCAACTTTACCTTCCTTTTTGGAAAGTTCGTATGAGAATTGAATGAGCAACTTACCATAACCATGCCGCTGGTATTGCGGAAGAGTCAAGATGCACGCCACGTTGTATCCTTCGGCACACTCTTTCTCCTTGGAGAAAAAGCCAACCAAATGATGGCCCAATTCATCTCTTCTGGTCATACAGTAGAACAGGAAAGGATCCACGTCGAAGTATAATGTTTTGTGATCAAGGAAGAGTTTGCATAACAAACAAAGGTTTCTACACCACGTCCTCTGATTTCGTCCATCGATTTCGAAAAAGGATACATAGTCGTCACGGTATATCTCGTTCCCTGGTGGGTGTTTCAATGTACACTTGGATCTGAACCGCTCAAATTGCTTTTTGGAAGCATAAAAGTTGAGAGAAAAGTCGCAAATGTACAACGATCCTTCTTCCGTGTACTCCATCGGATATGGAGAGAAGTACCACGGTTCGACTTCGTATTTTCCGATGATGACCTTGTTGAAATTTCTGATCTTAGCCAGCGCACTGACATTCGTCTGTGTCATAGAACCACTTGTTCTCAATTTCTTTATCTCCTCTTCTCGTGTCAGCTCCTCGCCCTCTCTGACCAAACCTTGGACGTTTAAATTGTCCAAGTCCATCACACCCTCATCCTTTTCCTCCTTCTTGATGACCATCTTCTGGTCCACATCCGGGGTATTGCTTTTCTGGCCGGCAGTCTTCTTCTTCTGTTTCTTGTGGTCCTTTTTGTTATTCTGCTTTTTAGGCAGCGTGAGAGGCCGGTAAAAATCTATTGCATCTTCGTCGATCCATTCGTCTAATCTTTTATTGAACTCCACATAATGCACATAATAATTTGGCCTGCTCTTACGTACTTGAAACGCCAGAATTTCCGCAAGCCGGTATCTCTCGTCCTTCAAGACAAACACCTTCGAGCCTGGAATGATGTTATTCGTTTTGAATAATGGCGACTCTGCTCTTTCTGGTGGGGCTAGAGCAGCATCGTCAAACGTATCAAGCGTCTGCTCAGAGTCCGACGTCATCGTTGTGTTTCAACCTATATGATTTCCTCTCTCTGTGAGGTTTAAAAGGTGCTTGCCACGTTAGCCAGAATCTCTGTTACTTTCCCCTGGTGGCTCAAGAGCCAGCAGATTCATGTTGCCATCAATTCATCAAGAACAATTCACCAACGTGCTTACGTAAATTTTTGCCCGAGGAAGTTTTTTTTGCTCCTTCTTTCTTCGGAAAGTCAGCCGACTTCTCCGACTGACTCTGGTCATTCCGGCTGACATGTTTAGGTTTGTGTCTAAGAATTTATGACGGACATCCGTTTCCAGTTCTGAGAGTGTAGTTTGTTTCTTTCTCAGATTTTGCTCAATTTTGACGATAGCACAAGAAGGTCGACGTTACAATACAGCTGCGCATCATGTCCTACACATATCCTCTTCCTGAGTTGAGTGACTACGACGTTTCTGAGAAAACTGGTTTCCTCCCAGAGGAGCTTCCCGTCACTAGACTTCCAGCTTATTACGATTCGTGGGAAAATACTGTTGGCGTGCTACCAGCACTCTTATTAACAAAGCGCATACGTTCTGTTGTGGACAAATTCGAAGTTCTAGACACATCGCACTTGGAAACCGAACCCCAATGGCGCCGGGCCTATTCGGTGCTCGGATTCCTATCCCACGCTTACATATGGGGGGTCGATATTCCGACCAACAAACTGCCTGTGCAGCTAGCTAAGCCATGGATCGAGATTTCTGACCATCTAAGAATTCCACCGATTGCAACTTACGCAGGTTTGTGCCTCTGGAACTGGCAGGAGATCCTTCCGCAAGAAGGCAAGTATGAGGACGATGAAACATTTTTGGACAACCTACGGACAATTAGCACGTTTACTGGTTCCACAGATGAATCGTGGTTCTATCTGGTGAGTGTATACTTCGAGTATCGGTGTGCGCCATGCATCAGAACGGGTCTGGATGCAATCCGATACGCTAGGAGTGACGAGCCAGAAAAGGTGACTGAATGTCTCAAAGAACTGGCTGAAAGCATAGATTATTTAGGCAGTGTGTTGATGAAGATGGAGGAAATGTGCGATCCCCATGTTTTTTACTACAAGCTGAGACCTTACCTTGCCGGCTGGAAAAACATGGAGAGTGCAGGCTTGCCTAACGGCGTTTACTATGGAGATGAGAAAGAGCCAAGGCTATTAAGTGGCGGGTCAAACGCCCAATCTTCTTCGATCCAGACGCTAGATTTGCTGTTGAATGTGAATCATATGGCCACTGGAGAGTCGACTTCAGATGAAGCACATGCCAACCCTTTTATGAGCGAAATGAGAAGCTACATGCCTGAGAAGCACGCTGATTTCTTGGAGCATCTATCAAAAGTCAACATCGTTCGTGACTATGTTATGAAAAACGCTTCGAAGAACAAGGAACTGGTGCTTGCGTATGATGCCAGTGTTGCCATGTTGAAAATATTCAGAGACAAACACATTAGAATTGTCACTCGTTACATTGTCATCCAAGCACAAAAGGAGAAGACCATGGGATCAGAGGGTGTGCAGAAGAGCACGCTAAGAGCTGGTTTGGCTAAAAGCAACAGCAAAAGTAAGGTGCTGAGAGGTACTGGTGGTACTGCGTTATTGCCATTCTTGAAACAATGTCGGGATGAAACCGGTAATACTGCAGCTGGTAGTTGGGGTAAAAGACTCTTGTCTGTTAAAGAGAAAAACAGTTTTGTTACTGAGGAGAAAATAGAGGGTAAATCTGGGAAGAAGGCAGATGCAGTAAACACTTCCAGTTTGACTTCCACTATGGCTGATAACGTCAGAAACTAAAACAGCTCGTGGTTACCTTAGTGAACTTTTTTTCCTATATACATGTACATCTTTTTTTATATATCTCTTTACGAATAATGACAGCAAACGCCGCAATATTTTACTGTGACAAAAAAGTTCATTGCATTCTATAACACTGTATTATCTATCCATAAAGTTCATAATATTAGGGGCTGATAGCAGTTGTAGTTACAATCAAACATAGAAGAAACATCTTTGCCTGGAAGAAAAACAAACCATCGATTAATGGAGACAAAATTCAACCGAATGTGATATCTCCAAGTCTATCATAAACACCTCTGTTTCTAACACAACCATCGAAGGTTCTATAGTTTTCGCTCAATTGCTTACTTATAGCGATTCTTTCCTGTAGCAGTTTTTTCGAAGTGGCAACATCAGAAGCTTCTATCCATTCAATTGTCTTATTCACAAACTCCTTTCTCAATGATTCCCTTTGGGTTTCGGAGCTAGTAACCATGGCCTTATCATTTGTGGCCAAACCGTTGGCCTCCTTAGTAGGCTCGAGGTACTTATATTCGTAATCATCACTGCCACCCATCTCTTTCAGAATTTGTTTGTTGTCAATGAACTTTTCGAGGTCCGAAGCATGTTTCGTGAAATTGATTTTGGAGGCGACAACGGGGTCCAACCAGTTTTTAACAATTTGCCAGATACCGTTGAAAATCCATGGTGCTCTATGGATGAGTAAAATGCCTAAGGACTCTGGGTAGTGCGCTTCAAACGCTTTGATCATGTACTTCACAGGTTCGTAGTCCATGTTGGCCATGGTGAAACCTTTCAAGTCGAATATTAATGCACATTGGTCAATAGGCTCTGTAAGCATCAATCTGGCATATTCAATCAACAGCAATGTGAATACCTCGACTTCTTCGAAGGTTTGATCAGAGCTGTGATGGAACCTGGGTCTCACAATAACAATTGGTCTGCCCTTTTTGTCTCTCCCTCTGATGATACACTTTCCGCTTCTGAATTGAGTGAGAACGCCTTCCTGTTTCTTTTCCAAACAGCCTAGCTCACTCGCACGTAGAACCTGGTCGACTCTACTTTCATCGATACGCCACTCGATCGAGTGAGCCAGCATCAGTAGCGAGTTGTCAACGTCCCATTTTCTGGCACGGATAAATCGAAGCATGAAGTTGTCCGGGCTGTCGTGACGCAATGCGTTCCAAAAGCCCTCTTCTGTTTCCTTCGGGTTCAGTGAGCGTAGGGCAGAGTGGACCCCCAGATCTGTCGAGTGCTTCACGTTTGGATCAATTGCAGACTGGTTCGAAAGAGTTCTCTTCAAAGCTTCTTGGCTATGGCGACTGTGATGTGGTTGTGAAATCTCATCCGTTCCTTTGTTACGCTTCAATCTGCCCAAAAACCCGCCCTTCTTCTTCTCCTTCTTTTCGACCGGAGCTGGAGCCTCGTGTGTCTTTGCCGATCTCGTCGAGTTTATCGAGTTCGATCTCAGTAGTGGGCCAGGAGGTTTGATGTTGTACCCTTGGAAATGGAGCATGTACATCCACACCTGCTTGAGCACGTGTTCCTGGTCGTCGGTCAATGTTTCGACTCTTCCTGGTGGGAGCTGGACACTAGTCATGTTTGCTGTTCTTCACCTTCGGCTGGAGAGTGGAAATTTTTTGAGTTCGGTAATTTTCCAACTGCTGTCTTCCGCTTCTAAGTGGCAACTTGGACAGGATCGTAGAGGAGAGAGTTGGTTCTCGGGGTCTATTACTTCGCACGCTAGTTATCTCGGTGTCGACCACAAGCCAGCCAGAGCCCCTCCACACCCTGGTCCACACCCCACACGACCAAACAGAACAACAGTCGTTGCACGAAATGGAGAAAACTCCTCCAGGAAACGACTGGACTGGCTCACGCGAACGTCCGAGTGTTAACGGTTGGGTTCAGTTAAAAGCGTGTTCTACCGCTTACAAAACTTACAGGGACACATTAGATAGATGGGATGATCCAAGACGACGCAGAGCTGTCTCGTTGACGGCCCCCGAGAAGGATATACTGGCGACAGCGGCCTGCTGGGCTGTCCCAACAAGCGTTTCTCGGCGGCGGTGGTTGTCGAGGTCGTCCAAAGCGGACGGAAAGGACCTGTCTTCGCTGGCCAGCTGGGCAAGTAGGCAGCCGGCCAACGAGTCGCCAGCTCCCGTGACGTTAATGATCTGGGCGGCATCGACGGTGGCAGCGGCGAAGTGTTGAATGACAACGGCGAGGTTGTGTCTGCCGCCATCACTCGCGATGGTGAAGCTGCTGGCCGTGGTACGGTTGTCCTTGTATGTCAGATGTTGCTTCGAAAGAAGGCTGCGGACGCGGTTGGCTTCCCGGGTAATCTGTACAAGCATGACTCCATTCGCCCCGTCCTTGACGAGAATGTTGGGGAAGAAGGGAAGTAGCTGGAACGCCTGTTGGAACACGCCCTGGTGTAGATAGGTGGCGATCAATGGGAATCTGTGGGACGCATGGCTGAGACGTTCTCGGAAGTCTCCACCGACCCCAAGCGAGTCGAGGACGTTGAACCAGTTGTCGATGTCCTCGAACTTGCCGCTCTCTGCAAACGAGGTGTAAATCGTGAGCAACTCCTCCACCGTCGGGGTGACAAGCTTGACGGGCGTGTTCGGGAAAATGGGCAGATGGCACCGGCCCAGCTTCACGCATTTAACGCCGGACGTAGGCTCGATGAGAACCTCCGTGTCCAGCTTTCGTACATGCTCAATGATGCTGTTCATTAGTTCGACAGAGATGTTGGTGTCGAACAAGACATACTTTGGTTTGTACACTTCCAGCATCTGAACCACCTGGGCAGAGGGGATTTTCTCAATGATGTCCATGTCAGCGCATGCCAACGCTAGGCTCCCCTTGGAGTCGTGCATCGAGATGTACTGTGCGGTGGCCTCTCCTGGCAGATGTATGATGCCCTGCTGCGGCATCGAAAAGCGGTCAAATTGCTTCAATATGAAGTCGCCCGCATTGTCGTTCTTGTTGAGAGCAGAGATGAGCACGGCGGGATGCGAAGGGTCGTAGCAGGACGCTGCTAGAGCAACATTGAAGCCTACCCCACCGATGCTGCCCTTGCCTATGCTACCGGGGTTGGAATCACCGAATTTAATTTTTTCAGCTGGAAACTGGCACATGGTGTCCAGCGCAACGGATCCAATCACCACGGCACTTGGATTGAGTGGGGTCGTAGTTGTAGTCTTAGCTGTAGCTCTTACTTCATGCTTTGCTGGCTCGACAGTTTCGAATTGCGGCTGCACTAGCGACCTCTTCCCCCCTTTAACCAAGCACAAGTCTGATGCGATTTTGGAACCAAGAACAGTGTTGTTTTTCACAAAGGTGACGTTACACTTGGCACTGGCCCCGTTGGTCTTGTCGTACAAGGTTTGCAACATGAATGGTGTTAAATGTTTCCCAGTCACATTTTTCTCCTCCGCCAGACGGAGTGCTTCTTCGATAACCCCGTCAATGGCTTCCCTATCCATTGCCGCTTCCACAGGAGCTGGCGCACAAAAAACATAGCCATTCTCCATGCTCATCAAATACTTACCGTTGTAAATCATTTCTGCTGCCACCGTAGGACTTTCCCAGACAAATGGGCTTTTCACACCAGAATCCCTAACATAAAAACCTGGAACATTGATCCCCTGAGACTCCCAAATACGGTTGATCTCATTGTGACTTTCAGGCGTCGACAATGCTTTCAAATCGTCCAATCTTGTTCTTATCGCCAGTTCCAGACTGTTCTTCATATCTTCATCAATGTATGTCGCAACTGGAACACCTTTAGTTTCCAAGTACTCCATAGTTCGCTTGATATCTAAAATGCTTTTTGGTCCTGAACATACAACTGCAACAGGTGTTTTGCTGAGCTCATCTAAATCAGCACTAACATCGGCAAGTGTCCATGGACGGCTCACCCCTCCTAGACCTCCAGTTGCGAAAACGTCGACTCCTGCTATGTTGGCCAGAATCATTGTCCCCGCTATTGTCGTACCACCAGTAAGCTTTCTCGTCAAAACGTTGGCGAAGTCACGCCTCGTTATCTTGACATTGTAAATATCCGGTAGGCCTAGCAATTCTATTTCGCTTTCGTTTAAACCTACTGTTGGCACCCCCTTAACAAAGCCAATAGATGCAGGAATAGCACCGTTCTGTCTAATAAGTCTCTCCACTTCCTTTGCCATTGCTATATTCTCCGGATAAGGTAGCCCATGAGTGATGATTGTGGATTCTAATGCAACCACGGGCACATTCTCTGATATGGCTTGTCTGACTTCATCGGACACCTTCACCGTTTTCTTGAAAGCCTGGCTGGAAAATCTCCTGCACAATGATCGTACATAATGGAAGCAAAGCTTGCCTGAATTGCCCCTTGCAATCATTGCTGCCTATTACATGTACCCAAGAAGTTTCGCCTCTTCCTCCTACCGGGTACTTGCTGAAAACGAGATTTGCTTAAAACATGTAAGCCGAGGGTCTTTTGGCGAGACGAAGCTGAGTCGCCGTTTCATCAACTAACCAGTTTCCTTTAAGATCAATAGCAGACTGACATATTGGCTGTATCCGGTGATTTACTTTAGCTGTAGCACCGCTCATTACTGATATAGGCCTGGTGATATTAACAAGCTGAATTACGCTTAAGAGCCATACAATGCGATTGTGTGTATATAGAAAACCTTTTTTGAGCTATATATGTCTTTTATATGCTGTGAAATCCAGCTTGGGGTCGAATAGGTCCTGTGTCACAACCCGCCATGTGCATTAATCGGACTTCGGTATTTTCTTGGTTCTCACTTGCTCTTTGGCTTTTTTGGGGATCTGGGACTTCTTGCTACTCATGAGTTCGTAAACCTTTCTACCAATGAGTTTTATGAAATCCAAGGCTATGAAGCAGAGGAACAGCACAACACCGCATGCAATCCAGATCGCATTATCCACGACAAATTGTTTGTCTTCCAAAGCCGAATGGAAATCGTCGTCTTCTCCGAATTTGTACAAGCTTTCTCCTTTTTCAACCGTCTTCTCCTTCCGCTCAAGCCACGTGTCGTCCTCGACTTCCACCGGATTCTTGCCTCCATCTTTGGCCCACTCTTTGTCCTTCAAATCACTCAAGCGGTGGGTATCGCCGATCTCGTTCCGCTCGAACTCGTGGTAACGTGTCTTATCAAACACCGTTATGTCGGGGAATATGAAACGCTTGCTTGTCTTCACCTGTTCCCGCAGCGACACGCTCAAAACCTTAGGGTCGTCTGGTATCTGGTAGTACTCCACAACTTCCTCTCTGTTGGCAATGGAGTTGTAATCGACTTCAGTCGGTGTCGTGCTGGCAAGCACCACACTGACCTTGGGTGAAGGGAATTTCATGCATATTCTCCTGATGAGTTCATCCACTTTCGCCAAAAACTTCTCACGCTTAGAGGGATCTTTCTGGTAGAGCAAAACCTGAGGTACTTCAATATTGATGAGTTTTTTCTTTGTGTCCAAAAAGTTAGGCACCTCATCTTCGTTCATCTGCTCCACGTCATACTGGTCAATGTGGCATTGCATCTCCAAGACCTTCTGAAGCTCATCCCAATGAACGACCGACCGCTGATCTTCTCCCTCAGCCTCTAGGACATTAGGCATCGCCAAAATCGTGCTTGCCTTGGTCATTCGATTCCTCATATGGTGCCATGCTGTGAAGTTCTGGAAGTCCTCAACACGCAAGCCCGGAATTTTCACAAAGATGTAATGGTCATTTAGACACTGCTCGAATGCTCTCGTCAAGTACACGTTTGCCTCGGCCTCTGTAAAGGGTAATTGTTCACTGTGGGATACAGAATGCTTCAATCCGGGAATCAAATTGTGTGAGATGAATAGGACCGGAGCCACGGAAACCTCTCCGTCCGCCGCACAAAATTCTATCCACTGCAAAAAAAGCCATACGAACGACAGGATTGTCCTCATTTTTCTGTCTGTTGGGGGTCCTGGTGTACTGTCCCCTGCTTTCCTGGCAACTGCACCTGTTCCTTATTCTTTGACCAGCTCTTGACGTGATAGGTGGAGAGAAAAAGGCGTTTTTCCTTGTGCAGAGAGAAATGGTTACGTGTTTCATTACGTAACTGCTACTAGCGTTTCTAAACTATGTGCTGGTCCAATCACTTATCTCTATCTATCTATTTATCTATCTATCTGACCATGAATTAAGTGGTGGGAGGGAAAAGGAAGAAGGAAAAGAGCTCAGTTCAGCACTCGACGCCGTCAACCGAAATCGTGTCTTCCAGAGAACTGTAGTTTTCAAAGTACGACTCGAAGAGAGCAACGAGCTTCTCGATGTCTGCAGCACCGCATGTCTCCCGGATGGAGTGCATGCTCAACTGCGGGTTACCGAGATCCAAGGTTCTCACACCAAGCTTGGCGCTGATCATAGGGCCGATGGTGGAGCCGCAGGGGGAGTCGTTTCTGATGACGAAGAGCTGCAGTGGCACCTTGGAGAGGTTTCCGATCTTCTTGAGAAGCACAATGCCGGCGGAGTTTGTGACGTATCTCTGGTTTGCATTGATCTTGATGACAGGGCCGTCGTTCAAGTGTGGACGGTTGTAGGCCTCATAATTCTCCGTGTAGTTTGGGTTAACGCCGTGCGCCATGTCGGACGAGATCATGAAGGACTTGGCCATGGTGGTGAGGAAGTAGGAGCTAGGGAGCTCGCTGGTCAAGTCGACCTGCGGGTTGGCGGTGAGCCGGGTGAGTCTCTCAAGCACGTTGGGTAAGAAGGAGGAGTCTGCACCCTGTGCAGACAAGGATCCGATCTCCTCGTGGTCGAACAAGGAAATAAGCTGGATGCCGCTGCTCTTGGCCAACTTCCCGTCGGCGACGGATTTGACCAACGCTTCGGTGGCGCTGTAGCAAGTGACCTGGTTGTCTAATCTGGGGGAGAAAATGAACTCGTTCTTCATGCCGCCGAGACAGGAAGGCTGGGTGTCGTAGAGCACGAGCTCGAAATCCTCGATCTGCGAAGGCTCGATGTCCAACTCCTGGGAAATGAGATCCAACAACTCTTTGTTATGTCTCTCGATGGTGGACTTCACGGAGTGAAACTCTTCCTCGGTGAGATCTTCGCCCTTGCAGCAGCCATCCTTAGCCGCCGCTGGCTTGGAGGAGTCTGGCGAGTCTGACAAGCTCGACGAGTTAACGAGCCCGGCGATCGGCTTGAACTGGGTCTCCTTGTTGAACTCGAACTTCACGTACCTGTCCTTGGTCAAGTGGATGGCCAAAGTGGGGATCCGTAAAAGCGGTCTGTTGATCTTGACCAGCTTGGCCACGCACTTGCCCGTGTCCGGGTAGTTGACAAAGACCCGTCCGGCAACGCTCAAGTCTCTGTCGAACCAGGTGTGCCAGATCCCGCCCCCGTACGGCTCGACGCCGATCTGGTGGTACCCCTCCTTCGTCTGCTTGGAGATTGGCTTGATTCTCAACACGGGGGAGTCCGTGTGGCCGCCGACCATGGCGAACCCGTTGCCCGGCTGGTACTCTCCGCCGACGGCGAAGGCAATCAACGAGGACGCATTTCTTGTCACAAAGTACTTGGAGTTCTTCTTGATCGTGCCGGCCCAGTTGGCACGCTCAGAGAGCTCCTGGAACCCGTGTTCCTTGAGCTCCTTCTTGACGGTGCTCACGACATGATAAGGAGTTGGCGACTCGTTGACAAAGTCCAGGAAGCCCTGTGCTTGTTGCAGTGCTGATGCCGACATTGTTGTTATGGGTCTCGTGTAGTATGCTGCTGCTCTCGCTGATCTTGTTGCTGCTGCTACTGCTGCTACTCTGTACATGCCCTCCACAGGTTCTTCTACTCCCCGCTGCAAAGCAAGCAAACGTGCACTGCTGCATGGCTTTGTGCTGGGCACGCTCACAAGAGCCGTCCGGACATGCGGGGCCGACAGCACCAGCACCAGAGCCGGAGGCAGGACGGAGGCACGCCTGCTCTGCGGAGGGAGGGTTATAAACCACGTCTTCTCTATAGGATACACATACACGTACATACAGACGAGTGCCGGGGGATACTGGTCGGTTACTTGGATACATGGGTACATGCGGAGAGCGTGCTGCTCACAAGGAGTCGAGTCTGTCGTCAATCTCCTGGGGAGTCAGTTTCCTGAACCGAGGCCCGCTGACGCCAGTGGTGCCTTTGAAGCCAAGCATGTCGTCGTTGGCGTTGCCGATGACACAGATCTCCACGGTGTTGCCGTTCATCTCGCCCTCTATGGACTCCTTGAGAGTCAAAAGCGCAATGTGTATGGCGTCCTCGAGCTCAAGCTCGTCGTTCCAGCGCTTCTCCAAAAACGTCTTGGCGGCGTTGGAACCCTTCCCTATGGCAGCCGCCTTCCAGGGGAAGAACGAGCCGGAAGGGTCCACCTGGTAGAGCATGAACCCGTTGTTCTCGTCGTAGCCGCCGACAAGCAACGACACGCCGTACGGTCTCACCCCGGCGTTCTGCGTCGCCTCCTGCATGATCTTGGCCACGTCCGAGACAAGGATCTTCGTAGGCGGGTATTCGTTGTAGATTCGCTTGTAGTTCGTGTGGGCCACCTTCCGTGACTTGTCCACCAGCACCCTGAAATCCGGACCCATTCCCGAGTACGTCATCCCGATGTCCGGTGTCACCTTGTCGATCTTATTTATGAAGTCCGAGTTCACAAGAATAGACGGGTTCTTTTTCTCCGTAGCAAGCACAATTCCGTTTGTCGCCTTTATTCCCAACGACGTGACACCCTGGTTCACCGCCGCCAAGGCGTGCTCAATCTGCTTCAATTTCCCCGAGGGGGAGAAGGTCGTAAGGGAGAACGAGTATCTGTCGGCCATAGCTGTCTGTCGGCGTCTGTCTGGCTCTTCCAAGGCTTCCTTTTCTCTCTCTTCTGCTTGTCCGTCCCCTTCAATGCTCTCAAGGAAGGCAAATGAGATCAACCACAGAGGACCACCAGCCAGGAGATACGCACGCCCTCTGTGCACCAGCACCTCGCTTCCTGTTTTTCTCTTCTGGGTCCATGTTTCTGTCTTTTTTTTTCAGCTGAAGATGCTGTCAGAGCAGCAGAGCCGCAAAAAAAGGAAAAGAAGGCATATTCTGGTAGTAGAAAGGCATCTTCACACAGTAAGAAGCACAGCGGAAGAATGGCGGGCCCGCAGACAGCACGAGGTGTCGAAAAACCGGCAAAATCGGGCAAGATTCCGAGAAAGGGCGGCAAGAAGAACGGACAGCCGTCCTCTGCGACAGGATCGGGAGCAGGAACGGCGAAATCAGAGTCGAACCGGTCCGGCGGCGGTCCGGCGGCGGCAGCAGGGTTTGTGGCGTTGAAGAAAAGCAAGAAGGCAAAAAGCAAGCGGAAGAAGAGCCAGCTGAGCGACGAGAAGAACTCGAAAGCGGACGGAAAGCGGAAGGCTGGTAACGAGTTTGAGAACCTGGACGAGGAGGAGGAGGAGGAGGAGAAGGAGCAGAAAGAGAAAGCAGCAGCAGAGGACGACGACAGGCTGGACTCGGAGGATGAGCTGGTGGAGATTTCGTCCGCTTCTGACTCGTCGGGGGAGGAGGACGCAGACACGTCGCACGAGAAGGGCAGCGGGGACCCAGATCGGTACATATCGCTGGTGGACTCCGATAGTGAGGACGCCGGTGCCGGGGAAGAAAAGGACGAAGGGGAGGAGGACCAGCTGCCGCCCTTGAAGCGACAGAAGGTGAAGGGCTCGAACATGGACGACGACTACATAGCGTTCGACTTCTCCTCGGACGAAGGCGAGGCGGCGGCAGCAGCGCCCGGCCAGGCCGACTACAGTGCGTACGACGACAACGAGTACTTGAGCAACGACGAGGGCAGCTACCACTCGAAGAACATCCACCACAAGGCGGGCGAGGCGAACGACGAGTTTCCGTGGATCCGTAACAGCGACCACTCGAGAGAACGCGAGATGTCCGACTGGCTCACGTCCGAGATCAAGGACTTTGTGCGGTACATCTCGCCCTCTGCCGAAGAGATCAACAACAGGAACAAGGTCATCAACAACTTGAAGGAACACATCAGGTCCATCTGGCCCGACGCAGAGCTGCACTGCTTCGGCTCGTTTGCCACGGACTTGTACCTACCCGGGTCGGACATCGACTGTGTCGTGATATCCAAGCGGGGACGGTACGACAACAAGAGCTCGTTATACCAGCTAACGTCGTACATCCGAAATCATAACTTGGGGGTCGAAGTCGTCCCCATCGCAAAGGCCAAGGTCCCGATCATCAAGTTCGTCGACCCGCAAACAAGGATACACATCGACATCTCGTTCGAGAAAACCAACGGTCTCACAGCAGCAAAGTTGATTATCGACTGGCTCGCCCAGACGCCCGGACTGCGGGAGTTGGTGCTGATAGTCAAGCACTTTTTGGCCGTGCGGAAGTTGAACGAGGTCCACGTCGGAGGCTTGGGTGGCTTCTCCATCATCTGTCTGGTCTACTCGTTCCTCAAGCTCCACCCCCGCTTGTCCACGAACAACATCGACCCGATGGAAAACTTGGGCTGCCTCTTGATTGAGTTCTTCGAGCTCTACGGGTACAACTTCGGTTACGACAGCGTCGCCTTGGCGTTCAATTCCAACAAGGAGCCCATCTACTTGACCAAGAGATCGAATCCAGATCTTCTTGGAAGGAACCCGTTCTCGTTGGCCATTCAGGATCCATACGATCCAGCGAACAACATTTCCCGAGGCTCGTTCAACTTGAAAGACATCAAGCGTGCCTTTGGGGGTGCCTTTGAACTCCTTGTCAACAAGTGCTACGAACTCAACGCGGCCACGTACAAGCAACGGTTGGGCAAATCCATCCTCGGAGGCATCATCAAATACAAGGGCAAGCAGAGAGACTTCCTTGACGCCAGGAAACACGTCAAGAACGTGGCATTCCATGCTGCCAGCGGGAAAGTCACCAAGAAAACCCTCACCAGCACCGGCGGACTTCCGCCGTTGCCTTCAGAAAAGGCCGGAATAGACGTGGACGACTACTTCATGTCGGACTCGTACTACTCCGAGTCCGAGTCCGACACAGAGAAGCCGGCGCCTAAAAAGTCCAAGAAAGGTGGTGCGGCCGACCAATACAGCAAAATTTTCGAGTCCTCCCAGAAGACACAGACAGTGAAGAAGGTCATAGACAAAAAGCCAGAGGAGCTTCTCGACATAAAGGACGATACCGACGATGCGTATACCCCCGAGTTGCCTGTCGCCGCCAAGAAAGAGCCGGATTTTACAGATTCAGACAGCGACTACGATCCTTCCTCCACCGTGCCTCGCAACTCGGACGCCTCCGTCTCTGCCTATCGTGCAGCCAAGGAGGAGCGTAGGGAATACTGGACTCAGAAGTCGGGCGGCACCTTCTAGTCACCGTCTCTCTCTTCTGTGATCCGGGATTGTATATTAAGTAGGCATGAACTAGTAGACTTTATAGAGCGCAATAGAAGAAAACTCGTTGCTGCGACAGTTCTGCTGTCGCAGCGGCCGCCAAAATGCAAGTGTGCAAAGCGTGTTTTTTGACAGTAGATAATCGATGAATGTACACAACAGATAAGCTGGCTGCCGGAGGGGCCGGATTCACGACAGGAATCAAGGAGCAAGGGCACATTACCGATAACAAATACGCATGGTGGACACGCCGGACACAATTGTGAAGAAAGTGCTGACCGAGCTGGCCACAAATGACTTCGAGGGCATCAACGCCAAGGAGTTTTGGGCCTCTGTGGAGTCGGCATGTGGAAAGCTCGACGAGTTCACCAAGACCGTGGTGTGGAACTGGCTCATCGAGAAGCCAGACTTTGAGGTCTGGAGGAAAGTGGAGGACGGACAGGACGAAGGTTCGGGCTCCGGTGGCAAAAAATCAGAGAAACCGTCGATGACACTGGAGGAGAAGGACCAGTTGCCAGATTACGAAACGTTTTTTGACGACGTGAACATAAACGATTACATGATCAAAGTGAGCGAAGACTTCCAGTCATTGTACTTGACCGGTGTGCAGCAGAAAGACAATATCTTGGGCAAGATGCCCTACGATTTGTTGAGAATCATTGCCAAGCACAAGGAGGCCGGAATCAACTCGCTAGACCTCATTCAGGAGTCCGGGCAGGACAAGCGCTCGTTGACAACTCGGTTGGGCGTATTGGAGGACAATCTGTTGATTACAAAGTTTTCTATCTCCGTGAAGAAATGCATAACCAACCACATGATCCACTTCAGGTTTGCTGTCAAAGACACCAAGACCGAGGATGTCGCACCCGAGTATTACGATCGATACCAAGCGATGAGCCAGATCATTGATGCCCTCAAGAAGGAGGAGAACAAGCTCAGGTTGACGAAAGACTTGTTTGAAGAAATCAAGGAAAGCCAGCCGATTTTGAAACTACGTTGGTTCAACAAGATCTTGAAGTTCTTAGTGGACAACGGGTTCATCGAGATGATTCAAGTGGAGTACACTTCTCGTCAGAGATATTTTCCTGGTGTCCGGTACTTGAAGGACTTGCCTCCTGCCAACAAAAAGACGAAGCTACTTGAGAAGATCAGAGAGCAGAGCTTAAATGAAAAGTCTCAGCGAGACGAGAATGATATAGGGGGTTTGGATGACAGCGAAGAAACTATAGATCAGCCAAACTTTAACAGATACTTCCCATTAACGTCGCAGATTCACAGCCTGGTTTTGAAGAATCCTGGAATAATGAATGCAAAATTCGACTCGGAATTGACCGGTACCTATCATACGAGACAGATATCCAACATAGTGGAAGGAATCTCCACGAATATTCCAAATCCTGCTAATGTCAACGCAATAGTTGGCCAGATCTTTCAAATTGGTAAGACAAAGTTTTACAGATTCACCACGCAAAATGTGTTGAACCGGAGAGATCCTAACTACAAGTATGTGGCCCCGATAGAAGGTGAAATAGCTCCAGCTTCACAAACATCACTTTTTGAAGAATCAGTGAAGTACGGAAGCTCATATACCATCGACAGGCGCTTCAAAATTATCTCAGTACCGGTCTCGGGACAAGAGGGCCAGACAAAATATTATTTTATCTCTAAAAGTTATAGCGGAGCACTAGGATCGAAGTTAGCTGCCCAGGTTCCAACCCGTTTTGCTCTTCAAGGAAGCTATGAATCACAGAACGGGTGGATCAAAGTTGACACAAAAACTAAAAAAGTTGTGAAAGACATACCTTCTTATAAAAAAGTTGTGGAGAGCGGAAATAAAAATATAGCTAAATTTAACAAAGGAATTAAAGACCTTCAGTCCCAATTGAAAAACAGCAGTGGAGCTAATGAGAACGGAAACAATCGAGATGAGAAGGCGGACGATATTTCTGTAAATGGTGCATCCGATGTTGCTGGACCGGAAGAAAGCGTTTTCAATGATAAAACAGCTCCAAAAGATGCGGAGCAACCTTCAATGGATTACGGGCCAGAGTTCAGAAGAGCCAGATTGAGAGAATTGACCGATGAAAACAGATGTATCTGTATCAATAGTGAGTTCTGTGCCAAAATATCTCGCTTAATGAAGGTTGGATATTTGATTGATCGCCGGACATTGATCAGAGATGCAATAAGCTTAGCTGCAAAGAAACTGGTTGAGGCTGAAAAGCTGGAAAATGGTAAGTTTGTTGTCAAGTCGATAAAAAATCCTCCAACAGAAGAACTCATCAACGAATGCATTGTAGACGTTATCAAGACATCAACCAGAAAGTTTAGTGCACAAGTTCAGTTTCAAAACCTTCCTGTTCGGAATGAAGGTACTCTAATTAGGGGTTGGAAGTTTGCTGACAAGGAGATGCGCCTACAGAATGCAATGAAATCTGTTAAAAGTTCCTCCGCCGGTGGGAATCGCCGTAAGAGAGTTAAGATTATTAATAATGGTGTTGAGGAGCAGAGTGAAGAAGATGATGATGATGGAACAGAAAATGGTAACGGAATCAAAAGTGAGGCAGTGGATACTGGCCGCGGATCAGTATCTAATGCTAAAGAAGATGATGTTCTCGAACCATTAATGGATGATAGAAAGCGTAAGAAGTTTAAAGTTGCCAACAAATCGCAAGCTAGGGTTGTCAAAACATTCAAGAAGATACGTACGTCTGTCAAAGTCACCAATGACCATGTGCTGATATTGATCAAAGCCATTGTTATCACACAATCACTTTCTGTAGGTGGAAATATTGATTGGCCAACGGTTGCAAAAGTCTTAGATGACATTTATGGTGTTGAGATGCTAAGGAGACAATGGCCAAGACATCGGAAGATGTTAGGACAAAGGAATTTGATGCAAGCAAAAAAGAATTGGGAAGCAGCTTTGTTAGATGCTGTCTCGAACGGTATTGTTACTGCTGCTGATTTGGAAAACTATGATATATTCAAAATGTTAGATGTCTGGAAAAGTCAAGGAGCGGATATATTCATCAATAAAACTGAAAACGAAATTTTGAGCAACTACGAAGATAATTTCAAAACTCAGGTATTTAAGCCTTTGAAAGATGAGTCTGGACAGGAGGTTTTTAGAGAATCTACTTCCATGATTGAGAAGGAACATGTTTGGACAAGCAGGAACTTCATGTACCCTGTTGATCAAACTGAACATTTGGAGCTCATGAATGAGTGTGAGAACCCATCGGCTTTGCAGATTGCAAAAACCAAACTAAAAGCATTGTTTGCTACAAAGGTAGAAAAGTTTAGCTCCAACAAAGTTCGTGATTTATTTGCTGACATTCCAAAGGAGTTGTATTCGAAGGCCTTGACAGAGCTTGAAAATCAAAAGGCAATTGCATTTCTTGGTGAGGACTCTAAAATTAAGTTTACTCTCACTGATCGTCTAATGCTAACATTGGATTGTAAATTGGATGACGATTTTGCTAACGATGCCCACAAAATGTGCGATATTCTTGATGAAATTGACACTTCTCACAATGGTATATTACTGTCTACAAGATGTCCAAGTGGGTGTTATGCACCACTTCTCACGCTCCTCAGTGGTAACCATATTGTTGTAACAAGAGTGGATCAAGAGATGGATTCACCTAATACGTATTATACAAAGTCGTTAGACAGAGGGAAGCTAGAATCCGATTTTTTGATTTCACATTATAAGAAGGAGCGTGTAATGCTTGCGAAACGAGTACCTGTACCTCTTGGTGCTCCATGTTCACTGTTGTGGGTCGATTTGGAAGGTGATTTCAATGAAAAGTTGTGGCATAAATGCGTCTACGTGTTAATTTGGAGCATAGTATTCCATCCTGGTACTCCATTTGATACGTTGTGTGCAAGAATTGATCCGTTACTAGAGCCATTTGAGGTGAAAAGGATACTTGATTGGATGGTTATGCGGGGAAACGTTGTTACAGGGCAGTTTGGTGGGTACTGGCCAACAGAATGTTGGTACGATATCAAGTAAGCAGCTTTAGCATAGTTTGTTATTATAACTGTATTCTAGAATTTTAGTGTATGTATTTTTAGTCTGATAATGAAATTTTTTATCTTGTATCGGTATAATTATTCGTAAGCAGCGTGTATAAGATTGAGATATAGAAAAGAAGATAAAAAAAAGTCATAGTTTTTCTGTCTCGTCGAAACGCCTGTCTTTGACAAGCTCTTCCAGTTTTGCGTCTCTTTTGAAGCACTCTACACGAGTTTGCATCACAAGGTCGGGCTCTACCGTTTCCATTCTTAGCGAGACACCACATTCGGGACACTCTTGCGAAGACCTAAGGTAGATTTTGAGCGGTTCGAGGTCGTATGTGTGTTTGCAAGTTTTGTTTCTGTACGGTCTGACGAACACTTCTCTTGAAATGGGGCAGGTTAAGTCGACTTTACCTCCGTCGACTTCAACATCGTCGTCTCCGTCGTCTCCGTCCTTCTCTAAACTAAACGGGATGGGTCTATCCGGATAAACCGCAACAAACATCATCTGTTTGAACTGTCGCACAGCTTCATCCTCAACGGTTTTCGTTTCCTCGTTCTGCGATTCTACCTTTTTCACTTCTTGGTCGAAAACTTCCGTTAGTGAAGGGAAAGGAAGTGGGGTGCCGTTTGCAATGGCCTCTGATTCTGTAGAAACGTAGTCATAGAGATTTGATATCGTCACCTTCTGCTGTGTGGTTTGGAAAGCAACATGTAGCATTAAGGAGTACGCGTCATTCGAGTCCGAGTAAGAGTTGAACGCGTCGTGAACTCCGTTGATCCAGTCTTCCTTGATGATCGACTCATAAATGGTGTCTTTCACTCTGCTGTATTCATCATCAGATGCTGCTCCAGAGAGATACTTTTGTGCTGCAATTTCAAACTTCACTCCAATGGTTTCGACAAGTGAGTTCTTCACGTCTGAAAGGAAAGGCTGCACGTACTTGTCGCTGTAAGTCGCCTTTGCTGGAGGTCGCTCCTTTCTGAGCTCGTCTCTGCTTTTCGTCAGCAAGGGATAGTGCTGTGGAAGAGATACCAATTCCGATTCTTCTGTTTCTGACATTGTCTGACAAACGATAAGAGAGTGACTCCAAGAAAGTTGTCTGAGGACTGTTTCTCCATAGATAACAGATGTCTGATGACGGGATTTTGCAAACTTCAACACTTTTTTTGTTTTCTCATGTACGCGCTGGAACTGTTGAAGAAGTAGAACAGCCTCCCTCGAGCATTAGAAAGAGCAATATGGAGGGAGGGACAGCTGCGTGGACAGAGGAGGACAAGCTGGGTCTTCGTAACAACAAGGGACATAAGGAAAGACAGCGGGCTTTGATGAAGACACAGCAGGAACAGGGCAAGAAGGAGAGCAGTAGCAGTAGCACGGGTGCCAACAGCAATAGCAACAACAGCAAAAGCACGAGCAAACAGACCAAGATGCCGACTCCGCAGGAGATGCAGGAGTTGTACGACAAAATCACCCCCTTGCAGAAGATAGTGACGTTGCAGCACATCTACAGTCTGTACATGGCGGCGGCGCAGCAGTCGGAGAAAAAGGAGGTGAGCTTCAACATCATACAACTACAGCGAATGATCAACTCGAACCCACTGGTAAACCCGGATTTCGACTTTTTAGACATCAGCGGATTTTTGAACAGCAACAAGGACAAACCTGGACGGTCTGGTAGTTACAGCTCGGGCAGTGGCAGCGGTGCTAGCAGTGTGAACTCCAGCAAGGGTCCTGTCAGTCCGGTGCAGTTAATCCAGATTTTGACAGAGTCGTTGACGCTGCGTGATGAGCGTGGCAGGAACGAGCAAGTCATTCAACAGGTTCCCAACACAATGCTCTTTAGGTTGAGCAAGTTTATTGATTTGAACTTTGTCAAGGACCGTTTAATCAAACTCCTAAACGCATATAAGAACACCACCCTCAAGGAGATCGAAGACTTGGAAAACAAGTGGAAAACGAAAAAGAGCGAGATACAGAAGATCGAGGAGGGCAAAATGGATGACGGGGTGTTGTACGAGGAGTTTTTGAAGGACTTGAAGCGGAAACGAGGAGCCGTCGACAAGAAATCGGTTGTTGAAGTGAAGAAGGAGGGCGGCAGCAAGTCGATATCGCCGGCTCCAGAGAAAAGCGGCGGAGACCTGCAAGGGAAGAAGCTGCAGATATCGAGGCATGTCAGTAAGCAGATAGTGGAGAAGAGTCTAGAGATGGCTGAGGAGAGCTCCAATCAGGCTGCGGCATCGAGCAACACAGCCTCGCCGGTCGTGTCTGGCGAAAGGGCTCCAGAGGGCGTGATGGCCAAGGAGCAGCCGAAGACAGATGGCGACAGCAGTCCGGACACTGTGGAGAGTGCGGAGGAGCCTCTGGGTGTGACCGGGAGGTCCGAGACGGCGACGACGCCGAAGGCGAAGAAGGACGTTTCGCAAGTGAGGGAGGGCTCGGAGAAAGAGGATGACAAGGAGGTGTTTGTGGATGCAGCGGAGAACGTGAGCCCGAAGGAAAAGCCTGTCGAGCTCAAGAAGACGGCGGTAGGGGTGACGGCGCACCACACACGTTCGTCGTCCAAACACAAGCTTGACGACGGTGACGGTGTGGAGGAGGAGAGTCGGACTAGCAAGCGGGCCAAGGTGGACGCCGGGGACAGCGAGCAGCAGCAGCAGCGTGCCGCCAAGACGGAGCCTGTGGTCGAGGGAGACGCCGCAGACGACGAGAAGGACACGGCGGCGGTGCAGACCCGGGCCAAGACCCGGAGCATGACGAGCCACAGCAAGGAGCGGCCGGCGCCGCCGACGAAGGCCGAGAGCAAGAAGTTCCAGCAGCTGTCCGTGCAGCTCATCATGCACATCTCCTCCCACCGGATAGCGTCGATGTTCCTCAACCCGGTGAACGCCCACGACGAGCCGCAGTACTACGAGTTGATCAAGCGGCCTGTCGACCTGAAGACCATAGTGAAGCGCATCAAGGCCGGGGAGATCGCCACGCTCGAGCGGCTCGAGCTCGAGATGCAGATCATGTTCACCAACGCCATCATGTACAACGACATGGGCCAGGAGGACGTGTACCGCGGCATCCTCGACATGAAGAAGGAGTGGGCCGGCTTGGTGTCCATGCTGAGGGAAAACATGTAGTCTCTGTATTATTTATTCCGTGCAACACATACGTACATATCTATATATAGATGGAGAGGACGAGGCGGCGCCTTCGTTATAAACAGGCTGCGGATCACGCGGGCGGCTCGCTGGCCCGCCTACTGTCTCATCTGCGTCATCAACTTCTGGTTCTGCTCCTGGAACCTGGTGCCGACCCTCTCGCTGTGCTTCAAGAACTTCTCGGCGCACTTTGTCAAGCACGAGTTCTCTCTGTCCGTCAAGTTCTCCGATGTGAAGTCTGTTACACAGTCGTTGAAGCATCTGTCCACCAACGAGGTGTAGAGTCTCATGAAGTCGGCCATCTGCTTCTGTTCGACGACTTTCTGGAACTGTTGTTGTTCGTTGTAGTTGAGCTGGTCCATACTGCTGTTGCTTGACTGTCTTGTTGTGGGTCTGAGATCAGATTCTTTCTGTTTCTTTCTCTCTCAGAGTCCTCCTGTCCCCGTCTTTCTCCTATCCCATCCCCTGTTCTTCTCTTGCTCCTCTTGTCCAAAGTGGAAGACCCGTCCGGAAACGAGAAAGGGCAAGAGACTCGACGAAACGCAGAAAATCGCGGTGCACGGATGCAGACGGAGGGCTGAGGGTGAAAAGTCTGCCATGACGACATGAATCGGACACAGGAAGAGAAGAGACGGAAGAAAGGGGCAGTAGAGAGAGAAATAGGAGGGCAAAGGAGTACCAGAGGAGAACTAGAGAGGATTTGAACAAGCATGTCTGTAGCAGGAAGCTATGCCGAAAGGGCATCCACGCACGCTTCGCCTGTGGCGGCGAAATTGTTCCGGATCATGGAGCAGAAGAAGACGAACTTGTGTGCGTCGTTGGACATCACGACAACGGCGGAGTTGCTGGCGGTGTTGGACAAGGTGGGGCCGTACATCTGTCTGGTGAAGACGCACATCGACATTGTGTCGGACTTCACGTACGAGGGGACGGTGGTGGCGCTGAAGGCGCTGGCGCAGAAGCACAACTTCCTTGTGTTCGAGGACCGGAAGTTTGCGGACATCGGGAACACGGTCAAGAACCAGTACAAGTCCGGGGTGTTCCGGATTGCGTCGTGGGCGGACATCACGAACGCACACGGGGTGACCGGGGCAGGGATTGTGTCGGGGCTGAAGCAGGCGGCGGAGGAGACGACGGACGAGCCCCGGGGCCTGCTCATGCTTGCGGAGTTGTCGTCCAAGGGCTCGCTTGCCTACGGCGAGTACACGGCGAAGACGGTGGAGATCGCCAAGACGGACAGAGACTTTGTGATCGGCTTCATTGCGCAGAGAGACATGGGCGGCCGGGACGAGGGCTTCGACTGGATCATCATGACGCCCGGCGTCGGCTTGGACGACAAGGGCGACGCCTTGGGCCAGCAGTACCGCACGGTGGACGAGGTCGTCAGCACGGGCTCGGACATCATCATCGTCGGCAGGGGTCTCTACGGCCAGGGCAGAGACCCGGTCGAGCAGGCGCAGCGGTACCAGCAGGCGGGCTGGAACGCGTACTTGAAGAAGATCGGCCAGCAATGATGGGGGGCCCGTTCCCCTGCTCCAGCCGGGGTGTTGTTCTATAGTAGGCGTTAAGCTAGATAAAGTCATCATCCAAAGAAAAGGAAAGTCGTTAGTTGAATATTATATAAGTGTACGGTGGAGGAGCGGACGGGGAGGCCTTTCATGCCTCGAGCTTCTCCTTCAGGCTGTCCTGGAGATCGATCGACAACTTCTGTCTCGTGATCTCAAACACCAGCAAGCCGATGGACGTGGCGGGGATGTTCGTCAGCGTGAAACGTGTGAACCCCCGGTACATGAACGCCGGCCACGACATGCCCGCCTTGAGCTTTCTTGCAATCAGAATGTCTAGTGTCTGCTTGTACGAGTTGTAGTAGAGTCGGAACCACTTGGACGTCTCGATCTTGTTCGCCTCGTTGAAGATGTCCAGCGCCTCGAGTCTCGCCAAGTGGATCTTCTGCACCTTGTTGAACGGGTACTGGACGGCAATCAACGCACTCGCTGCAGACGCCCCGGCGAACAGCACAAACGTCAACTGGAGCGCCCGGGCAGACTTTCTCGTGTTCACGTCGTTGGGGTCGACATCAAGGCCCCTGATCCGATCGAACCAGTCAATCACACTCTTCGTTCGGCTGTAGCCCTGGCTCTTGATCACCTCGAACACGGAGAAGTAAAACCCAAAGCCAAGCGACTCCTTGATGAGGTTTAGCCAGAACCCTGCAAAAATCCCGACAATTCCAATGTCCTTGAGCTTCTTCCACGCATACTTATATATCCCGTTGTTCTTCACGTCTCCGTCAACCAACTCCGCGTAGTTCGAACGAGAGTACAAGGCGTCGATCGGACTTGCTGCAATACTGCTGATCGCCCCTGCAATGAACCCAGCACGAAACGAGTCGTAGAAAGAAAGCAGCCATGAATACCAATTCTGGCTCCCTTCCCCCGTCGTCACGCCGCTTAGTGTCCACTTCCACCCCCTGTTGGACGTAAAGTATTGCAAAAACGTCAAATATGTCGAGTAGAGCACCACTCCAATCGCACAGTTGGCAATGATGGGTGGTAACACTTGGTTCGGTATGAACTGCCATCCCCTTCTTCGTACAGACTCGTACAACAGCGCAGGACTAGAGTGTGTAAATATGTGGTATGGTTTCCCCGCAAGTTCGTTCGCCAAGAGCATCCTCGACACCGTCAAATAGTCGAACCGAGCGGGTCGGAAGAGCTTCGCAGGCGTACGTATATATATCGAAGTGAGCTGTAGCAAAATGGCTCGTATACTTGCCGAAGACGCCGATACTACCTGCGTGGAGCGGTGGCTGAGTCCAGCCTTTTGTTGTTGCTGGTCTTGCTGACGTTCGTCTTTATCGTTAAACATTGGCGATTTCATAAACTTCGATTCTTCGTCATCAACTTTTTCCACGCAGCACGATTATTGCGTTTTCCTACTCTGTTTCTTGCCAATAGGTACTGACAGCTGCAATGGTTGTTGTTCTTTGCTTCTCCGGCGTCTCTGAAACCCTCTTAGAGAGAGCTAGAGTCTTTCTCTCCCCCGTCAACTCCTCATCCGTCAAGAATCCATACTCGAGCGAACTCGGAGGAGCATCCCAAAGAGGAAACGAAAATTTGGAAGGTACACATGCCTCTCCGTCTTCGTCTTCGTCTCCGTCTTTGGGGCTGCTTCATGTATAAAGATATGTTTATGTTTCTATTCAGAGTTATGTACGTCTAGGCCGACAGCTATATAAAGGGTGCCACTCAGGCATTGCTCTTGATGACCTCTTCTACCAACTTCTTCAACGCGCCGTCCATCTTGTAGCCCTTCAACTTCACCAAGTCTAACTTGTCCTTCTTGATCATCAACACGTTCCGTAACAGCTCAATGACTTCGTCCTCATGTCCGCTGTTAGGGTAAGATGCTCTGTTTTTCTGTAATAACTGACTTGAGACAGCAAAGACCTTGTCCACGACCGCTTCCACGTTACTAAAATCGAAAGTAAGAATCATCTTGCAAGATAGGTCCAAGACATCGCGTTGTGTTTTGATCATTCCCTTGACGTCGGTACCGTTAACTTCAGGCTTCATTAACTCTACCAACAATCTCAAGCATGCAGCATCAAGCATTTTTTCCAAAGAAAGCTCCTTCAATGGCAGCTTCGGATTGGTTATTAGCAAGTTCGTCAACGTGTTCAATGCATGGTTCCGTAACTGTCTACATGGATTGTAGCATTGGTGCGAAATAGCTTCAATAAGAGGGTACCATGGGTTGACCACCTCAGCACCGCTCGCTTTCTTTTCCTCTGTCGATTTTGCAAAGCTGGTACCATTTATGACATCACCCAGTTGGCTTGTCAAGGTTATTGATTGTAGTGCGATATTGACCAACTCTTGGTACGGATTCTTGTTGACTTCAACTTTCAATCCACTATCGATCAACTTGTCATATTCGTGTTCCCATTGAGCACCGTAAGCACCAACTGCAGAGATTTCATCCAGGAGACCGAGAATATCCATGTAGTTGTCATACTCAATAAGAGTTGGATGCTCTTTGATTATAGAGGAAATAAATTGGTAAACGGCCTCAGTGTTTTTGGGTGATGATGCAAATACTCTCAAAATCACCCAGTAGGTATTCTTCATAACCACATCCTTACAACACCATGAATCTTCCACAATTGCTAGCTGTTCTAACGGCTGCAATACGTTAACGCCGTGCTTAACAAAAGCCTCTCTTGAATTGATTGCCAATTCGTGGATTTTGTCAAGTGCAGAGTCTAAAACACTCTTGGAAGCATCTGAACTCACGTGGACGAGTAGCAACTTGTATGATAAGACTCTTGACACTGTGGACATCTTCAAATCCTTCTTTTCTTCAGACAAGAACAGATCGCATTTACTAAACACTTGGTTAATCAACTTTTGGTTTTCGGTGACCAAAAGATAACAAACACATAATTCCAATAAGAAAAGTTCCTCTTCAACGTAGAATCTTTCTGTCGACTCGTTTCTATGAGGCAACAAAGCCAATAAAATCTGTACTAACTTGTTCATGCTGTCGAAATCTCTCGTTTTACTGACATAGGAGAACAAGTTGTTCACACCTGTACTTTCAATGAACTCAATAGCAGCCAGCGATACTTCAATCTCCTCTTGCGTTGGTTCTGGAGTGTCATCGGATAAACCCTTTAAGTAAGAAGAGAAAGTAGAGAACAACCCGCTCTCTTTCAATACTTCAGATTTTTTAATGTTAAACTCTGCAGGAGGCTTGTTCAATTTTTCAAATTCCAATTTCTTTTGGAATTCTTCAAAAATGTTAGGATTGATGAGGCCAATTTCGAAAAGTTTCAAAACTGCCTTGATAGCATAAAACCATCCTTTTGTGACTTTGTATTTCGACCTTTTCATAATCCTGAACAGTATAATCATACTCAGTTGAGCCCTGTAGTCACGTCCGAACAAAACTGCAAGGTCACTGACGAAAACTGTATCCTCGCCTTCTCTAACATTAGTATCCATCTCAATGATTGGTAGAATGTCTCTGTTATCTACCAAGTATTCCGATTTCTTGACACCGGTGAGGGTTGATAAATGTGCAGTCATTTCGACGATTTGATCTACAATATCATCTATTCCAAAATAAATAGCAATTGCAGCGCATTTTTCAACCGTCGACATCATTTTGGTAACAATGCTATCATGTGTAGCATCATCAAACATGACAATAAAAGAAGAAATCAGATCTTGACAGTGTTTCTCGAATAGTAGTTTATCAAAAGCTAATAAGTCTGTGATAGCTGTATTATTAGATCCAGTCCATGTATCGTTGATTGAGTCGGAGTCTGTAACCTTCTTGTTCTCTTGCTCTGCAACCAATGACTGCCAAACAGTTTCAAACCATTTGACGGTACCCTTGTGCTCTTCTGGCATGATGATCTCCTTTTCTTTAATACTTTGATACATCTTTTCAGTGTACCAAACAGGGAAGTCTTTACCCTTAAAACAACCACGCAAGTTTCTTTGGTAGTCTTCTAAAGTCATTGGCTTCTTGACGTTAGGATTGTGTAAATCAGTGTTTAACATAATAATTGAGAAAGAAAGAACATACATTGCATCGGAATCAGGAACAACTTTTTCCTCTTCTTCTACTGCTTCATCCTCTTCTCCATTGTCTTTGTCTTTGTTCTTTGTCTTCTCGGACAACGCCTTTTCATCAACTTCATCAATTGGGTCTTGGCATTCAATATATCTTTCATTAAAAGTTGATACTATACGATCAATCTGTTGGGCCTCACCAGGAAGTCTGAAGTAGTTCAACAGTACTCTCAAGGATTCATCTGGTCTTAAATTTTTAAAGTCCAATAATCCTACAAATTCTTTCAACAAGTTCACCTTTGCAGGTTTAGCCAAAAGCTCACCCAATTGTTTTTTGTCAATACGTCCTGAGTTTGTAAGTAAAAATTTGGCAACTTCTTTGTCATCATTAGGATCCGTGATAAAACCTTTCTCTTGTAGAGATTCCAGTCCCTTTTCTGGCTTTTCATTCCATTTCTTGACACATTCAATAAAATCAGATTTTTTTGTATACTGCTGGATCAAGGGATTTTTATCACCATTCGAGAGGTCTACGTTCTCATTGATTCCAATTTTGATTCTTTCATAGATACCGTTGACAAAGGAAAGTAGTCCATCTAGGCAAATTGGAGGCACATTCCCAGTTGTCAGCAGCGAGCAATCTGAGTATGATAGTCTGCATAGAAGTTTGATCAACGAGCTTGTCAAGTCTGTTCTGTCAAAATCACAGTCATAAGATTTGAACAGATTGATAAATAAATAAGGTGATCTACACCATAAAACGCTCAAGGATTCAATGAGGAATTCCTTAGATTGAGGAGATTTCCCTGTGTCAAACTCCTTTCTCAATTCTGCAACCTCCACTTCAGTTAAAGAGTTTGTTTCAAATTTACCCTTCCTGGACATGTCGAATACGGTCTCACGATATTTGGACAGATCCTCGTTCAACATAGACTCGTCGGCAATTATGGACTGGAAAATGGTTACAAAAATCAATTCCAGTTGAATCTTGAGGTAATTGGGGAAGTAAAGTGCAAAGTATAAGATTAGTTTCAGAGATAGGGTGACCAGGATCGAAGATTCGCTATTTTGAATGATTTCGACCAAATGGTGGCAGCAATTATCTGATATCAAAGAAAAGAGCTGATTATGCTTGGTGATGTGGGTGCCCGTGACTTCAATCGTTCTGATCAGGATTTCTAGTGCAAGCGTTCTGGTTGCCTCCGTAAACCTGTATTTGTTATCTGGCAAGAGGATGTCGATGGTGTGATTCAAGAATTCTCGCATACATGCAATACCATAGGGGGACAGGTCGGCGTCCTTGTCTGGCAAATCGAGCGAAGCAAGTGTGTTAAGTTCGTCATCTTCTGTTGACACAGAGTTCTCTGCTGAGGCTGTGGTTGTTGCTAGTGGCGATACTATAAGCTTAGCAGCTTTGTTCTCCTCACTTTGGCTCTGTTCGCTCGTCGACCTGTCTTTGGAGATGTCAGAAGGGCTTGCAGAACTTGATCCACCGATAGTGTCTATTGGGAGCGAGTCATTGGTAAACTCCACTTGGGCGCTCTTTGTGTTGTGGTCGATTTCCGGCTTAGATTCCAACTCCTTGAGCTTGGAAAACAATATCTGAGTAATAGTGAGGAGAGACGTTTCTGCGGCGCTTCTTAGCATGTCTCTGCGTCTGGTGTTGATAGCCAAGGAGAAGCACGTGGATATGATTTCGTACATGGAGTCGTCTGTGAGAAGATCGCCTAGAGGGGATGCGACAATGGACTCGAGCAGCTGGATGATCTTCACGAGGAGCAAGTCGTCCTGTGTCTGGTCGGCGCCCTCGAAACGACAGTGCGCCAAAGTGGAGACAATCTGGGACAACGCCTGAACAATGTTTGTCTGGTTGGCGCTGATGATGCCGTAGTGCAGGAACTTGGCGAGGGAGGAGATGGCGAGGTTCGTGATGTGGCAGGACGTGGACGGCGACTTGATCACCACTAGAAAGGGCTGCAAGAGCGTGATGATGTCCACCAACGTGATGTCACGCGTATCGGAGAGAATCGAGCGCAACTCGACAAAGCCGGACAAGAAGTGGTCGTCGTCCTTGAACTTGGTGGCGTACTTGTTAGTGTTCGGGTTCCTGACCGTGCTCGTGCCGAAGCTGCTGCTGCTCAGGTCGTTGTCGTCCGCACGCGTGCCGTCGCTGAGAAATTGGTTCAACAAGATCGCCGCAAAGGGGCTCGACGCCGACTTGTTGTTCTTGCGCATCGCCGAGAGAATGAACGTGCATTCCTGGATGATGAACGCCAGCGGGTCCGTGATGGTCGTGGCCGTCGTGATCGATGTGTCTGCTGCCTGCCACGGGTGGGGCGCCCGGGCGACGGAGGCGTCCGCAAACGCTGTCGAGGTCTGCAGCATGGTCTGTATCAGTGTCCGACGCTAGCTCTGTTCTGCTGTGCCTCTGATCTGCAATGGTCCGCTGCAGAGCCCTCCTGTGCTGACACGCTGTGCTGTGGCCGCCGGCACGAGAAAAAGCCACCAGTTGTTTTCCTTCGGGGGCGCTGGACACCCTCCGGCGCGGGCTGCGGTGCCGGCTGGCGACATGAATCGGACACGGAGGTGTTGAAGTTCTATATACAGGGTAGAAAGAGTCCACTAGAGGGAGCGGGTGCGTTCGGCGTTCCAGAGCCGGAAGGCAAGCCGCCACTCCTTGTACATGAGGTTCGGGTGAAGCAGATCGAAGTCGTACTTCTCTAGCCGCTCGAGGTAGAGGGTGGTGGGCAAGCCGGAGAGGTAGGGGAGGAAGAGGCAATCCGGGAGACCGCGTTTCTGGTGGCGGAGTAGGCTGCAGACAGGGGCAGGGGTGTCCGGTGCAGCGGCGAGCTGCTGGACGTGGGTCTTGACGAGATCGAGCTTTGTGCGGGCGGAGATCAAGTGGTCGTTGGCCCGGGTGGCCATGTCGAAGACGACGTTCTTGAGCCGCTCCTTGGTGTCTGGGTCTGCGTCTGCGGCGCGGCCCTGCAGGTAGCGAAGACACGCCTCCTCGGAGAGCCTGTGTTTGGTGAGGGTGTCTGTCGGGAGCATGAGGGTGTGCTTTTTCTCGGCGAAGTAGCGGAGGCCGACGAGGAAGGAGCCGACGGCGGTGGCCTGGCCGAGGTGGGCGCTGATGTCGGTGAGGCCGTGGCGGAGGTCGTCGGAGCCGGGGAGCTCAAGCAGGGCGACGCCCGGGTCGGCGAAGCCGGAGAGCTGGGGCGACAAGAGGACGGACTGCATGAGGTAGTTCATCTGCGAGAAGGTGCCCTCGCCGAAGGAGCACACGTCGTCGAGGCTGCGGAAGCCGGCGGCGCTGTTGTGGTTGTAGAAGTGCTGGTGGCTGTGGACCATCTGCTTGAGCATGCCGGCGTCGAGCCGCAAGTGGCGGAGCACCGTGTCTGCGAGCAGCACCGTGCACGGCTCGTTCACGCGGGGCAGCACCGCGCCGGCGTTCTCCAGCGTCAGCGTCTCGCACGCCTCCACCTGCTGCAGCCAGAAGGCGAACTTGAGGTTGCTGAACTCCCGGGACTTCGCCGTGGCCCCCGGCTGGAACCCGAACGACACCTTCGACAACTCCATGTTGAGCGCCCGGAACGCCACAAACGAGTCCCGCAGATACGCCGGATACATCTTCGAGAGAAGCACGCTGGACGGGTCCGCTCGTCCTAGCGCCGCCGTGCAGTCGAACCGGGCCTTCTCCACCCTGTCCGTGTACGGGTCCGTCTGTGTGGAGTAGCATGTCCGCCACGCCCTTCTGGTCCTGCTGCCGCCGACGCCCCGAGGGGCGCCTGCACACCAGCCCCACGTCCGTGCAACGACCATTCTTGTCATCGTGTGTCTATTCAGAACTGTTCTGACCGCTCTGACCTGTCGTCTCGTCTCCACCGCCCTCCTGTTTCTCCAGCCAACCACATCCCTTGCATTGTCAGACGTCTGGGGGAGAAGGCGACGAAAAAAGGACCCGGAGAGGGGAGGGGGGTTGAACCACCTGCCCTGCTCACGTAAGCCCTTACGTAACCTTCTTTCTTCTCTTCTTCCTCTTCTATTGCACATCTTCTTTGTCTTCTTTTCCAAAACATGCCCGTTCTACAGCAGCTGCGCGGCCTGCTGGCCGGAGGACTGTGCTGACACACAGTGTGGCCGGGCCAAGCGGCCCCGGGCGCGCGCGCCCCCGTGTGGCCAAGTGGATGCGGCGCGGGCTCGCAACCGCAGCGCGGTCCCCGGGTCGACCCCCGCGCCGGCCCGCCCGTCAGCTCACCCACGCCCGGCCGCTCGTGCCTTGTGGGCCCCCCCGACAAACCCCCAACCCTTTACCTCCCCACTCACATAGACACAGCAGCGGTGCCTGGGTGGAGTGCAGCGGGTGCTGGGGCAGAGGGGGAGATGAAAGAAGGATCTGTCGTCAGATCTGTCATCGTTTAGAGGCGTCTATTTGCGACTCGGCTTGCAATTCCCCCACCCCGTCCCCTTTGGCAGAAGTAAGCGGTCCTCTTGGCGGCACAGGAGCAAAAGCAGCACAGGCAAAACGCACAGGCAGCACAGGCAGCACAGACAGCACAGACAGCACTCGCAGCAGCATTCACACACGCACAGAACAGCAGCAGAAAGTCACACACACACACACAGAAAGCCTACCCGCCGCCAGCATGACAGAGTACTTGGTCAAAGACGTGACCAGCAACACATCCGGAATCACCCGTCCCATGTTTGTGCAGGAGATCACGAAAATCGGCGAAGGGGCGTTCGGCACCGTGCTCCAGGCGAACTTGAAGAACGCGCTGTCGGAGCCAAACAGCCCGCAGGACGTGTGGATCGGGCCGTTTGCCATCAAGAAGGTGCCTGCACAGACGGAGTACAAGTCGAGAGAGCTCCAGATCTTGAAGCAGACGAACCACCCGAACATCGTGGCGTTGAAGTACTACTACAACTACCCGAACAAGGACGACAACAACCGCGTGTACCAGCACTTGGCGATGGAGTGCCTGCCTTGCAACTTGCAGTCCGAGATCAAGCGCTACTACATGAACAAGTCGTTCCTCCCGGAGAGCCACATCCGCGTCTACACCTTCCAGATAGCCAGGGCGATGAACTACCTGCACTCCTTCCAGATCTGCCACAGGGACATCAAGCCGTCGAACATCTTGATCAACCCGGAGACGCTTCTCTTGAAGATCTGCGACTTTGGCTCCGCCAAGGTCTTGGAGCCCAACCAGCCCTCCGTCTCCTACATCTGCTCGAGGTACTACAGGGCGCCCGAATTGATTGTCGGCTGCTGCATCTACACCACCAAGATCGACATCTGGGGGCTCGGCTGCGTCATGGGCGAGATGTACATGGGCAAGCCCGTTTTCCAGGGCCAGGAGCCCATGCTCCAGTTGCGGGAGATCACCAAATTGTTGGGCCCGCCCTCCGAGAAGTTCATCTACACCGCCAACCCGCAGTACAACGGGCCTATGTACTCGCACAAGATCTACTCGTCCACTGCCGAGACCCGCTTCCAAAAGGTGTTCAACAACGCCGACGCCGACGCCGTCGACCTTCTCATGCAGGTCCTCGTCTACAGTCCGACCGAGCGATACGGGCCTTCCCAGATCATGGCACACAAATTCTTTAACGAAATCAAGTCCATCAACTTCACAGTACAGTCTAGAGCCTCGACCACCCCTCTGAAAATCGACAACCTCTTGTTCAACTTCAGCGACTACGAGTTGCGGACCTTTGGCAGCCTCATCAACGACATCCTTCCTCGATCCTGATCCATCCCCATCCGACTCCAGGGGCGGCCCGGGTCCCTCCTGCCTGCCCATATCGTATATATTATTACCCTCAGTCATTTTTATTTCATCCTCTGCAGCCACTCTGGCCCCCGAGGAGACTTTTCTTCTTTTCTTTGCCCTAATCTTATATCCTCCCAGTCTGTCTCTGCACAGGAATCCGACCGAAATCGTCTCTTCTTTTCTCTTCCTCTATCTACTCCTACTTCTACCCCCACTCCTCCTCTGACCCTTACCCTTTCTCTTTCCCTATATCACCTTTTAATGTTAATGACAATATCATAATTATGCAGGCTCGGCGACATTTTTGTATTGCGTTGGTGGATTATAAAATAGAGCGTTAGTTAAACCGGTTACACACAAATCATAGGGACAAGGAGTTGTCCTCCTCAAGCGTGGACACGATCCACAGAATCGTGCAGCTGAGCATAACGCTGACGTTGGCGCCGACGTTCTCCGTGCCCATCCGGATCGTCGGGTTCTCCGTGTAGCCCTTGATGAGGAACTTGAGCACCAAGATCAAAAAGCTTCCGTTGAAACCAACCGCCAAAAGGCTGAACCCGATGAACAACACAATCCGGGCCTGCCATTGCAGGCTGATGGCCCCCGTGTCAAACCCACCCGTGCTGGCGCTCACCAACTGCACCTTGTCCAACGAGTTCACCACCACCATCCCGAGCGTCGAGCAAATGAACGGGATCCAGTCCACAAACGTGACGTGCACCACCGATGCGTTCCGATTCCGGCTGAAGATCGAGGCGTCGATCATCAACCAGAGACCCAACGCATACAACACCCCGGAGACGTACATTGTCTGTGACCGCAACACGTGGTGGTTCACGTGGAACGGCAAGCTGAACTTGAAAAGACGGTTTGTTTCTGACATGGCTCTTTCTGTTGTTTCTGCTGCTCCTCTCGCCTACCCTCTTGCTTTCTCAACACTGCAATGCCCACCCGAAAGACGTCCTTGCCACCGCTACCTTATCCTTCTACCCGGCTGCTCTACCACCTCTGGAACTCGTCTTTTCTCGTCTCCTATCGGGGCGCGACACGGGACCCGTTGTGGTGGCTGATGGCTGTTCCGGAAGGGTCTGGAGGCTCTGTACGTTTGGCTGAAAAAGGTTGTTTGAGGAAGAATATACAAGAATACAGGATACATGACTAGGTGTGGACGTTCTCCTCAAGGTCCTTTAGCCAGGCAGGCACCACGCTCCAGTTCTCGGGCTGGATGACGCCGTTGAAGGCCAGCGTGCCGCCAACAAGGAGACCGAAGGCCAGCATCTGCAGCCAGTGGAAGGACTCCCAGCCGAGAGCCATGGAGATGAGCCAGACCAGCAGCGTCCGGGAGGTGTCAATGGTGGACCTCGACGTGGAGTTGAGGAGGTAGGTGAGGGAGATGCCGCAGAAGTTGAACAGGCAGATGGAGACCATGATGAGCACGGTGGTGAGAAGGATGACGGGGTTGCCGAACATCTGGCGAAACGCAGCGGCGAGGTCGAAGTAGCCCTGTCCGTAGGCGAGCCAGCCGACGGTCATTGCGGTGGTGGTGAGAGCCACGCCGTAGAGACCCTCGTATCCGACAACCTCCACGGGCTCCACCTTGAGGTACGTCAAGATGTGCTCCTCGACGACAAACTGGACAGCCGTGAGCGTGATCCCGAGGAACACGAGCGTCATGCCGATGACGATGTCAAACGACACGCCTGCCTTCGTGGCGCCGGCGCCGACGCCGTCTGCGTCGCCACCGGAGAGGTACCCGCTGAGACCGACAAGAAACACGCCGAGGAACACGACAAAGAGACTCACCCACTCGAGCTTTGTGATCCGTTTCTGGAGAAACATCACCGACATGAGCCCGACAATCAAGATGATCGAGCCACGCGTCATCTGGTACACGGACACGGGCGTGTACACCAACCCGACGTTCATCAACGTCGTCCCCAGCAAGTCACACATCGACGGAACCGCCATCACCAGCGACTCCCGCAACGTTGGCCGTCTCCGCAACGCCGCCGCTCTGTCGCCCACCGTGGCACCCTCCTCAATGAGCCTGCTGCGTTCATGTTGCCCGCTTGCCGGCTTTGCCAGAAAGCACTTCATCAGCAGCAGAGGTATCCAGCACAACATTTCCCCAGAAAACATCTGCAACGTCTGCAACACGGGCTGGTCGAAATATATCACTTCCCCTACACCGTCGCAGTTCCCCACACACTGCATGTCTTGGTACTTTGTGAGTACCGAGTTCAGAGACCCCGAAACGACTGTTCCGAGCACTATGATTATCGTCTGTTCTGCATGGTTAGTATCCTGTATTCCAAGGTTCCCCCGCTCTTCTGCAGCACGTACCGTATAGTCCATTACCGATTGGTTAGTGCAACAGTAACCTTTTTTTATTTTCAGATCACACCCTCTAGACTCTGGTCCTCAACAGCTCAAACACCCACAAGGTCAAGATCTGGAAGTCCTTCCGTTGCAGCGACACCGAACGAGAAAGTCGGCTGAACAATCGCTGGCTCTCGCTGCGACAAAATAGACATGGCGGGCGGCACAAATGCGGGGGGGACGGGGAAACCAAGAGACGCTTCTTAGCGGGAGTTATCTAGCGGGATGTCTACACATAGAGTTCATTGAAAGGCGTCTTGCCCGTGAATCGCCTTGTACAGCCGTCAGCGATGCACTTGAGCGGGGCCGCGAAGGCCGGGTTCTCGAAGTTTTGGTCCCAAGCAGAGACACGATCGAGACTGGCCGCCGGGTCCTTCTTCGTCTTGTTCAACTCGTCCTTTCGTTGCCGAGCCGTGAGCCCGCGGAACTTCATGATGTTGTTGACACAGCGGCCGCAGTAAATGTGACCACAAGTACCGAAAAACACTTTTTTAGATAGGTCGACTTCAATCTTTGTAAAGCGGGTCCACGCTTTCCAAGGTGATATGAACCCTTCTCGCACGAGTCGCTTCACAGCCTTTTCTCTGTCCTCTGCACCTTCTCCAAAGCAGTTCTCCGGAATTCCCTGCAAAAGGGTGACACCGCACAAGAGACAGACGTCCGTCTGGCCTTGTTCGCCTAAGTTGTTGCTAAACTTCATTCGCTGTCGGAGATCCACACGAGCCTCCTTGGCCTTCTTGTTCTTCTCTGTCGTGGCAATAGTGTTTCTCATCTGTATTCTCTGGTTCTCCCGCTCCTCGTCCCGGTTCTGAAGAATCCGCATGACGTTAGCCGGCACGTTGCTGCCGTCACCGTTCTCCATCTCGCCATTGCCACCACCGTCGCCGCCACCACTTATCCACGGAAACCCCCCGACGTCCTGGAAAACTGTGCTGTCGTCTCGGAAACCGAGAGAGTGGAGAAATCTGTACATGTTGGAGTATGCCTGCAGACCCTCCAGCGAGAGGATCGGGTGATTTCTGGGCCTCCCGTTCACCGTCACGTTCTGAAGCTCGTGTCCGGCACGCACACTGCTTCTCTGCGGCCTCCTTCGGACACGGTCTGCAACAGTGTTCCCTGCTGCGTCCCGGGCTCTTCGATTGGCCTCAAGCTGCCGCTGTCGTAACGTATGCTGGCTGGGCGTCGCCCTCCTGTTGGAACGGACCAGACCCAGAAACCCTGAGCTGCCCGGTGTTCTTGCACCGAACCTTCCCATGGTGGCTCTTGATCGGTTGCCGGCACTTCTGATCTCACTTGAGGTCGTGGTGGGCACAAACAACGGCCCCGATGGGGTGTGGAGCTCGTAGCCGGGAGCCGATCGGAGTATTTGTAGGTCTGGAAGCTCCCGCTCTCCAACGAACTGGATGTCATCGTCCATCTCATGGGTGGATGGCGCATTCTCACGCTGTTGTTGCTGATTGATGAGGTGTTGCAAGTGCTGCTGCTGAGCACTCAGGGCGTTTCTGATCGACGTCTGGTCTGCTGAGAGAGCCATCCGTACTCGAGGGGAGGTGGACCCAGAGACCTCTGTATCTGAGTGGAATCCTGGGTCATCAAGTCCGTTCCGTTCTATGCTCTCGAGGTCCTCTGCGTCTGACGTTATCAAAATCGGCCCGTCGTCCTGGATGTGGGTGTTTGGGTTGGTGTAGAACCCCGACACAGCCTCCTGCGAGGCATGAAGGTCTATCACTATTGGGTCATCGATGTTCGAGGAGGCACCAGAACCTGCGGTGGCGTTTGCACCCTGGCTGGTGCCTGTGCTTGTGCTCGTCCTCGGTCCATCTCCATGTCGGTTTCTCCTCTGCTGTCGTTGCTGGCGGAGCCTCTGGCGTTCGTTCTCCGTTCTAAGTCGCCTCCGCTGCCGGGAGTGTTGGTTCTGCAGCTGCTCAGCTATGCCTGTGTTGGCCGAAGACGCAGAAGTGATCTGGATGTCGTCGTTGTCGTCGTTATCAACAACACCGCCATTTCCATGGCTATCTTGCCCTTGGTTCTCGAGCGTGGAAGATCGGGATAACATCGCCGATCAGTCCCAGACAAATCTGTGGGTGTGGATGTCTTTCTGTACGGGTGTCTCTTTCTCTGACACTCGAATTCCCTGTGTTGAAGGACCAGCAGGGCGGAAGAAAGGGAAAAGAAAGCTCTGCAGGCCAGTGCCACCACAGTGGATCCGTGCATTCCAAATTTTTATCTCGGACTCTCAGCGCACGGTTTCGAAACATGTTCGCTGCCCAATGAGATAGGAAGCAAGAGGTTGACGAAGCTACGGATGGATGGGCAGTTACTATATGAAACAAACGTACTATTGATATAAAAAAGATGGGGGTAATGTATATTTATAGAAGAGGAAGAAGAAATTAGTAGTAAATGGAGGGGGGAGGGAACAAAAAGGGAAAGGAAAGTAGTCTAGTTGTAAGTAGCAAGCGAGATGAAACTGTGTTTGGGGAATTACAAACCACTTCTCTTATACACACCGACGACGATACAATGGTCTCTCTCGTAAGGTTCCAAGGTCAATTGTTCTAAAGGCTTGATTCTCTCTTCTCTCATCTTCTGGACTTCTCTGGCGAAAACGGTTTCTGCGTCAACGGTGGAGTCGATACAGTTTGCCTTGATGGAGATGACAACTCCACCGCCGTCTTTCAAGAACATGTGGGAGTTTAATGCGATAATTCTGGCTTGATCAGGCTGCGCAACATCCGCAAAGACGACGTCGACCATGCCGACAAGCATACGGTACTTCTGAGGGTGTCTGGCGTCCTCGACGATAGGAATCACGTTTGGTCTCTTCTTGGCCATGGAGATCAACTCACGACCTGGTCTGTGAGAGAACTCGACGGCGTAAACCAATCCTTCTGGGCCGACAATGTCGGAGACGTGCGACACAGAGGTACCGGACGCAGCACCGAGGTAGAGCACCTTGGCGCCTGGCTTGATGAATATCTGGTCAAGACCACCCATGATACCGGCAGCAAGCTTCGATCTGAAAGGGTTCCAGACACGGTACTCGACCTTGGTGGCTGGGACGCTTGGGTCTTTGGAAGGCTCCTCGACAGTGACTCTCTTTTCACCGTAGACTGACTCTCCTGGCGCAACGTTCTTGGTCACAAGCAAGTCCTCCTTGCCTCTGGCGATGTAGACACCGTCGTGTCTGTGGGGTTCGATCACAACCTTGGCACCACCGCTAGCGCCGCCTCTGGCACCGCCTCTGCCGCCTCTTGGTGCACCTCTACCGCCTCTGGCGCCACCTCTTGGGGCGCCTCTGCCACCACCTCTGGAGAAACCTCCTCTGCCACCACCTCTGGAGAAGCCTCCTCTTGATCCGCCTCTAGATGATCCGCCACGGCCTATAGCAAAAAGAAAAAAACGAAAAAGGGAAGAATGCGTTGTTAGTAAGCTGTTGTGTGTTTCATCAAACGGAACACTTCACGTGGTTGTTGCAGACAGAACATGTCCATAGCAAATATGCGTTGCTGTGCAATCTGCCTGCACCGGGAAACATTGCATCGAACACCGGCATCCATTGACGCCTGCTGCTGCCAGCACCGGTTTTCTCAAACTCTCTGCCGCTGTTCTGCTGGCCAATGCCTCTGCCTAAATCGATGCAATCTCTGCCATGTCCTTGTCCTGTGTTCTCACGCAAGTCATTTCTGTGTTGGGGGGGAATACATACCACCTCTGGAGCCGCCTCTGCCGCCTCTTTGTACGAAAGCCATTATTGTACTAGTATCTGTGTATGTGTCTTTTGTCTAAGGCCTGCTGGTACTGACTTTTCTAAGCGGAGGGGTCCGAACCAGAAGAAGATCTTTGCACCTCTTGATGTGTTGTACAAGGGTAGTAGAAATATTATTTTTTTGGCCTGGAGGAAAAATTTTTCAAAATGGAAAAAAACCAGAAAAAAGCGAAAAAGGAGCAAAAACGGGAAAAAGAAGAAAAAACGGGGGAAAAAAGCTTTCTTCCTGCCTGGGTGGTTACGTAAGCAGAAAAGGCCGATCGACTTAAAAGTTACGTAATCACTTTGAATTTGATTACATAAGCACCACAAGACTATCGACCCAATGGATTACGTAATTGAAATGCGGCCAAATATCTCCTATTTGGCTCGGCGATCTGCGAAAAACGGTTATTTTCCGTTATCAGCAGTAGAGGGGTGTTGATATCTTGACGTTGACGTTGGCTTCGACGCAGGCCGGGGCTATGTCAGGCAAAAGCTGACAAGCAAGGCCACTCTCTTCTGTGCCAGACCAGCTACAGCTAGCTACACCCCCGTCCGTGTCCATGTCCGTGTCCACGTCGATGTCCGCCACCAAGGACGCCATTGCCAGGTGCAACTCCCGCTACTGCGAGCAGTTGCAGGCCAGACCGCTCACGACGAAGGCCGTGACGTTGGCGTTTTTTGCGCTGCTGAACGAGCAGCTTGCATCGTTCTTTGCCGGCGACATCAAGCAGCTCAGGCTGCAGATCCCCGGCAGCAAGCGACAGCTCGCCGTGCCCCACACGGTGACGTCCCGGGTCCCCCTCATGGGGCTCTTTGCCCTGCTCGTGAACGCTCCGCTCACCCACTACGGCTACCGCATCATCCAGAAGCTCGTGCCCTCCCCGCTGACCCCTCGCAAGCGGCTACTGCAGATCCTGCTCTCCACAGGCATCATCACACCCGTGTTCTGCGCCTGCTTCGTCTCGTGGGTGGGCCTCATCAACAACCTGGCGAAAATCAGAGACCGGTTCCAAAACGACAAGACCGCGTGCCTTCTCGCCAGAGTGCACCACACCCTCGGCTTTGTCTCCACCATCATCGCCTCCTCCTTGAAGGCGAGCTTCGTCAAGGTTGCGTCCACGTCCGTCGTGACCAGCCCCGTCTTCATGGTCTTGGCGCAGAAGTTCGTCATCCCCGAGGGGTGGGCCGTCTTCTTCGCTTTCTGCTACTTCATCGTCGGCACCTACAACAACACAAGGGTGAAGCTTGAGCAGAAGAGACAGCAAAAGAAAGACCAGCACACAGAGCCCTCCGAAAAGAAAGAGTCCTAATCTGCCAGTCAGCCTCCACCCCCATATTTTGTGTATTTTTCCGCCATTTTGCGTTTTTCCGATACATGCTATCTACATTCCTACTCTAGAGCACCTCCAATACATTCATTCTTCGTTCTGTTCTTCGTTCTGGCCCATCTTACGTGGCGGCAACACCTCTTCGAAGGCCTTCTTCCAGTCCTTGTACTCACACCATTTCAAGAGCAACTCAACCACATGCGCCGTAGTCAACACTTTGCGGCCGCTGAGCTTGATGTACTCGTCGATAGGCAACCGGCGAATACGAATGTTGTGCCCAAGCGACTCTGCTGTCGTTTTGCACAGGTTCTTGTGACGCCCCTTGTCCACTATCCCGCCGACAACGTATATCTCTCCCGCCTTGAGCTCAGTAATCACGTCCTCTGTGTCCGCAGATAGATACACCACGTTCGAGTAATCCTGGTCTCCCACGGAATTGTCGCCGTTCCATCTGTCAAGTACAGTCTGCAAACTGGTCTCCTTAAACTGTGCACACTCTGGATCCCACTTCTGGTAGTCTGGTAACACACTCTCAAATCTCTGCTTGAGTCTCTTGTCTAGACCGCTGATGACCAGTTTTGCTGCAGGCGCAATGTCCATCTCCTTACGCTCACCGTCTGCTCCGCTCTCCTTCTGCTTCTCAACCTCCTTCGCATAGTATGCTTTCACAGCCTGTCTGTTAGACGAATATGCTCTCGTGATCTGCGAGCTCAAACTGACAACCTCCTTCTCATTCATGTAGTCATCGTAGCCACAGTCTATCACTACACCGATCTTCTTCGATGCGTCCATTGGCGGAACCTCAATGACATTCTCACCGTCCTCTCCAACCTGCACGGTTTTCACAATCTTGTTTTTGTTTCTAGGTTTCACAAGATGCTCGTATGGCTCACCGTTGGCTTTCAACTTGCTGATCTCCTCCCGGCGCTCAGCGTCTCTGTCCTTTCGTAGCTGCTTGCGGTGTTCTCGGTATTCTGCCTTGGTTTCCTCGTGTCTCTGTCTTCGTAGCAACTTCTTGTACGCGGACTTCGTCATTCCCTCGGGAGGAACCAACTTCTCCCCCGGTTTCCTTGTCTCTGCATTTCCGCTCATGCTAGTCTGTTTTACTGTTCCAAAGGCCTCGAATACTCTGCTTGCCAACCTCTATCGTCCGCTATTTCAATCCCCCTCTTGTCCTCTTCCTTGAAGTTTAGGCTTCCCCAGATTATTCTCTCCGGCTTCTTCGTCGCTGAAAAATTTTAAATTCTGAGGCATGTAAGAAAAAAATGACAGTCATGAACTCCTCCTTCAGGGACAAGAAGAGAACTCTTCTCATCCACCCTGCGCTCTACCTACTCTCCTGCCCTCCAAACATAGCTACATCTGGTACCAGTAGCAGCCATGGCACCTCCACCCACACCGTTTATTGACGCCCAGGCTGTTTCCGGCATCACTGGTTCGATATCCATCGCATGCTGGATTATCGTCTTTGCTCCACAAATCTACCAGAACTTTGCACGTCGCAGTGCAGATGGGCTTTCCCTTCTTTTTGTTGTGCTCTGGCTTCTTGGAGACATCTTTAACGTCATAGGGGCGGTCCTCCAGGGCGTGCTTCCGACGATGATCATCCTTGCAATCTACTATACCCTTGCTGATATCGTTCTCTTATGGCAATGTCTGTACTACAGACACGGCAGCGGGAAAAAGGTGGACCCTATCCACTTGTCACCTGCAAACCCTCTCAACAGCGAGGCGGAGCCTCTTCTTGAGTCGGTGATGTCCAACGAACACCACCACCATCACCACCACCATCGCCACGAGGAGTTCGACCCAGATTCTGCCTCCGAGGTGGTCATGGAGTCCGACAACATCGAAAATCCAGCGACCTACAACGACATAAATGGCTCTACCCCTCATGTGAGTGGAGCTGCAAATGGCTCTAACGAGGCAGACGAAGATAGCCGCTCGTCGTGCTCTTCTGCATCGTCTGTGGCTGGTTCTGACTTGACCTACAACTTGATAATGGTATCTCTCGTCATCATAGCAGGCCTAGGAGGGTGGTATTTTGGCGGCTCCGGAAAGGGCTCCGACGATCCACCAAAGGGCGACGACGGCTTGGAGTTTAACCCGCTTGCACAGACTTTCGGCTGGCTATGCGCTATACTATACCTCGGCTCGAGAATACCTCAGATCTTGTTGAACTTCGAACGTAAGTCCTGCGACGGAATCTCCTTCTTGTTTTTTTTGTTTGCGTGTTTGGGTAACGTCACCTACGTTGTGTCCATTCTTGCCGTCTCCACGGGCAGAAACTATCTTCTGGTGAACTCCTCGTGGTTGATCGGTAGTTTTGGTACTTTAGCAGAGGATTTCATCATTTTCTGCCAGTTCTTCATGTACAACAAAGGTGTTGCTGACATTGAGGATGACGAAGAGGACAGTGAAGACTTTGGCTCCAGTGTTGGAGACAACGTGTAAAAACCACCACAACTTTATCTTTACTTCACTCTTTCATTTCCCCATTTCAAAAAGAACCCCTCCCCCTTCCCCCCCCTTTTAGATCATCAAAAAGTCTACAGCCCCTACTTTTACTTGTATTTCTTGTTTCATCCTCTTGCGTTTCACTACTCTCTTGGTTTTCTATGTGCACGGACACTTTTCTGTATAATAAGTATCGCATAATACATACACGTCTTTTGCAACTTTACAACGCGTCGCGTGTCCACCAGAGAAGAGGTCCTCGTTTGCCATTTTCTTGTCCTTTTCTACTGGCATTTCTTCTGTTTTGTTCGGCACCTTTTACAATAGCAGTTCTGTGATAGAGACCGATAGCTACTGAAAACATGTCCGCAAATGTTTACACCGAAGAAACGGAATCGCAACCGTCAATTTACCGCTCATACTTGCGTTTGGCCCCCACCCAGCAGAGGACCGTACGTGCGTTGGTCAGGAGTGGGAGTAAGTCGTCTTCATACTACACATTGTTCGACGAAGACGCAATATTAGCAGCAGAAATAGTGTACTCTTCACACTCTGTATTAAAAACGTCTCCATTGATTGCCCATCCAAAGGATTTGGACAAGAAAGTGTGTGTCCAGTACTTGCCGCTGTCCGAGCAGATTTTTTCCTCTTTGCTACAGACTCTAATTCTAAATAAAAACTACAAGGTGGAAATCCATACAGTAGAGGATGGGAAAAATAGCACATGGAAATTATTGAGATCGGCATCCCCGGGCCATTTGGATGAGATCGAAGACTTAATTTTTGGTAACGCCAATGACGAGAGCAATTCTGAAGGAATCAACTCCAACCTTGAAATAGCATCGTCGTCGATCATTGGTGCACTGAAGCTGATTTCTTCTGCGAAGGAAGGTAAAAAAGTCGGATTGGCATTTTATGATCCAAATTTGAAATTCCTGGGTCTTTCGGAGTACCCGGACACGGATTTGTTTTCGAATACTGAATCGATTTTGATCCAGCTCGGTATCAAAGAGTGCATAATCCAATCTTCTCCAAATCAAACGGCATCGAAAGATCCTGATTTTGCAAGATTGACTCAGACGATAGATAGATGTGATATCCTAATCACCCAGCTGCCATCGTCGTCTTTCAACTCTAACAATTCTGACCAGGACTTGGTAACACTTACCAACAACGAGCATATTCTAGCCACCTCCGAGCTTGCATCAATGACGACAGCTTTGGCATCGTCTAATGCGCTAATACTATACTTGGGTCTCTTGGGAAACGATTCCATCAGGGGTTCCATTAGTGTGGGCAAATATGATCTTGACAAATACATGAGATTGGATGCTGCTGCTGTACGTGCGTTGAACTTGTTCCCAAGCGGTCTAGAAAACACATCTACGGTTGTCAATACCACCGGCATCTCTTCTGCACCTACGTCGATTTTCCAACTTCTCAACCACTGTAAAACGTCTGGAGGTTCTAGGCTATTGTCACAGTGGATAAAGCAGCCTCTAGTAGATGTCAAAGAGATTGATGATCGCCACCTTCTTGTCGAATGGTTTGTTCAGAACCCAGGATTGCTCGGCAATATCAGAAGCAACTTTTTGACGCATGTTCCCGATGTCTCGAGATTGTTGAGAAAGCTTTCGGGGAAAAGATATTCAGGCCTCGATGAAGTTGTGCGTTTGTATCAATTGGTTAAGAAGTTAGATGAAGGTTGCACCATTCTGTTGGAAGGGCTCGAGGAGCTACAAACAGCTGACGAAGACAAGAAAAAGAGGGTATCAGAACTAGTCAACTTTTTTTGGTTAGATGGATTGTACGAGCACATGAAGGTTTTGGGTAAGTTTGCAGATATGGTGGAGCAAACTGTAGATTTGGATTCCCTTGCGAATGCCACGTCTGCAGCGTCTGCTTCCTCCTTGATCCAGATCAATCCACAATACGACAAAAGACTTATGGAACTGCAGGAAGAGCGTGAAAAGATCGAGCAAGAAATGCATGTTTTACACGAGAATGCAGCTATTGATTTGGGTATGGAACTAGACAAAAAGCTCAAGCTGGAGCAGAACGTCAACCACGGTTGGTGTTTCAGACTCACGAGGAACGATGCAGGGGTTCTACGTGGGAAATCGAGCTCATCAAAGAGCAAGAATCCTTCGTCGTCACAATATCAAGAGCTACAGACAGTCAAGGCCGGGGTCTTTTTCACTACCGTGGAGCTCTCGTCGCTGTCTTCTGAGTTTACGAGGATCATGAATGCGTATGCATCCCAACAGTCTGCGATTGTCTCCGAGATTCGGTCGATCACTGCTACGTACATTCCAATATTCACCAAGCTCTCGACAGTGCTCGACAAGCTTGACGTGATCTCCTCCTTTGCTGTGGTTGCCACGTGTGCTCCCGTGGAGTACATCAAGCCGGCGAAGGTTTGGGGCCTCGAGGAGCAGGGGAGACAGATGCGGATATCGCAGGGGAGACACCCGTGCTTGGAGGTGACCGAGGGTATTTCGTTCATTCCAAACGACTACGTTTTGGGTCCAGCTCAGGAGAAGGGGAAGGTCACTTGCGAGAACGGCGACGTGTGGGACTCGGGCAAGGATTTCTACCTGATCACGGGGCCGAATATGGGCGGAAAGTCGACATACATCCGGACGCTTGGAGTTGTCTGTTTGATGAACCAGATCGGTAGCTTTGTACCGTGCTCGGAGTCCTCTGAACTAGCCATTGTCGATGCGATCCACGCCCGGGTCGGGGCGTCGGACTCGCAGTTGAAGGGTGTCTCGACCTTCATGGCGGAGATGCTCGAGATGTCGTCGATCATAGCGTCTGCACACAAGGGCAGTCTTGTCATCGTCGACGAGTTGGGCCGGGGCACGAGCACGTACGACGGCTTTGGGCTTGCGTGGGCAATCAGCGAGCACCTGGCGAAGAGCATCAAGTCGTGGACGCTCTTTGCGACGCACTTCCACGAGCTGACTGCTCTGGCGAACGAGTATGAGAACGTCGGCAACCTCCACGTCATTGCGCACGTCGACGAGGCCGCCCCAGAGAAGGACGCCCGCGAGACAGAGGACAACGTCACGTTGTTGTACAAGGTCGAGCCTGGCATCAGCGACCAGTCCTTCGGCATCCACGTTGCCGAGCTTGTCAAGTTCCCACAGAAGATCATCAACATGGCCAAGCGCAAGGCGTACGAGCTCGACGAGGACGCCGGCGACCAAGCTGCCGACGCGGCTAAAAGGCCCCGCTACAGCAAGGAGGAGTACGCACAGGGAAAGGAGCTGCTCAAGAAGATTCTCAAGGAGTGGAAGAAGCAGGTGCTTGACGCCGGCGGTCTTGAGAGCGTCGACAGCGCCGCCGCCGTGCGCATACTCCACGACCTCACCACTACGGGCGAGTACGCCGCCGCAGTTGCTGCCAGCGATGTTCTCCGCGACACCATGCGTCTCTGAGTGCTCCCTATAGCCCTAACGCCCCACTAGACCCCGCCGAAACCTGTCAAAACCGTCAAACCCGTCACTTTCTGTTATCAACAAACTCGTCTTCGGCGACCGCCGGTGCACCGGGTCCTCGGCGATGGCCGGGCTGCGCGGTTGCCCGATTGGGAAGCGCCGCTGCTATCAAGGCAACGGTTTTCGAGGCGTCAGACCGTTGTCGAAGAGGCTGGTAGGCCTGTCTAGGATGTTGCAGCGTCGCCTGGTGGGTTTGACACCATGTGGAGCTCCGCCGGGTGTCTCTTCTCTGGAAGCCTGCTGGTTCTTGCTCGTGTTGCGGCTGCTCCCTCCATCCTGCGTGGCTTCCCTTTCTCTTTGTTCTATTTTTGTTCTACTTCTGTTCTATTTCTGTCCCATTTGTATTTTTTAGCCAGTGTTTACGGTTTGTTCTCTTATCGCAAACCCTTCAGATACAACACACACACACTTCCGTGACATGTCTTCCGCTATTTCGTCGACTAGGGTCGTGCTGGACGGCGCTGTCGGGCCTGCGACGATCATCTACTCTCAGACGTCGGGCAAGATCGTCGCCATCGTCCCTTCGGTGCTGGACGCAGAGGACCCGCTGCTGTCCAGATACGACGTCGAGTCGTACCGGGAGCTGGCGCCGCTGGTGATCATGCCGGGAATCGTCGACTCCCACGTGCACTTGAACGAGCCCGGCCGGACCGACTGGGAGGGCTTTGCGTCGGGGACGCAGTCGGCGGCCTCCGGCGGGGTGACGACGGTCATAGACATGCCCCTCAACGCCATCCCACCCACAACCAACGTCAAGAACCTGAACATCAAGCTCGAGTCCGCAAAGGGCCAGATCTGGGTCGATACGGGCTTCTGGGGAGGCCTCGTGCCAGACAACATCGCCGACTTGGTGCCCCTCATCAACGCCGGCGTGCGGGGGTTCAAGGGGTTCATGATGGACTCCGGCGTGGACGAGTTCCCCATGGTAACCCCAGCCTACATCGAACAGGCGCTGGCCACGGTCCAGGGAAAGAGCACGATGCTCATGTTCCACGCTGAGATGGACGGCGCAAAGGACGGCGACGCCCTCGACAACGATGCCCTCGGGCAAGAACAGTGCTGTGCCAACCACGGCCACTCCCACCAGACATACGACGGCTTGACAAGCTCACAGGCCGATGCGTTGTCCAAATCCCCGGTCTTGCACGCCGTGGAACCATTGTCCGGAAATATTTCCAAGCTGATCAACAAAGAGGCCTCTGCCAACATCGACGACCAGCTAGACGACATCACCCCGCTAGAGCTAGCAACCAAAAACGCTTCCGTTCTCGAGACAGTCGACCCTACAGCATATTCTTCCTTCCTTGCCTCCCGTCCGGACTCTTTCGAGTGCAACGCCATTCACCACATCATCAAGTGCCTCACCAAACAGCCAACAACAAAGGTGCATATTGTGCATTTAGCCACCCACGAGGCTTTACCTATGATCAAGCACGCCAAACAGACTCTGGGACTCCCATTGTCCGTCGAAACGTGTTTCCATTACCTATCGCTACGGGCAGAAGACATACCGAACGGCGCTACCCAGTTCAAGTGTTGTCCCCCTATCAGGAATGACAACAACCGTCGTTTGCTTTGGGATGCGCTGAAAAACGGCCTCATCACTTCGGTCGTCTCAGATCATTCTCCATGCACCCCCGAATTGAAAGGTCTGGAAAGAGGTGATTTTTTTGAAGCATGGGGAGGTATTTCCTCTGTCGGATTCGGATTACCATTGTTATGGACGGTTGGCAGAGAAGAATTTGGCATTGATATTACGGACATTGTACAATGGTGTTGCGTTAATACGGCAGAACAGGTTGGCCTATCACACAGAAAGGGACGCATTTCTGTAGGTTACGATGCAGATTTTGCTATTTTTGACTCAGAAATGACGTACACCGTTGCAAACGCCAGAACCTTCTTCAAAAACAAGCTCACAGCTTTCGATGGCAAGACTTTGACAGGTAGAGTTGTCGAAACTATTCTTCGTGGTAACTCCATTTACGCTCTAGGTAAGGGCCTAACTGAAGTTCCCCTCGGTAACTTGTTGCTAGAACCAAGAACCGATTAGAGATCAGAAATTTGCCGGGAAATCCTTCTTTCTTTTTATAAATTTATTCATTACTTTATTATTGTCTTGATATCCTTCTATACATAATCTATATATATGGTCTTAACGCTATATTAAACTTTTTAAATTGATTCTATTAGTAAAAGCTCTTGATGTAATTTTTAGTGTCATATAGTATAGTAATATTATTATTATCGATATTATTATAATTATCAATATTATTATTTTTGTCAATATTATTATTATTAATATTATTATTAATATTATTATTGTTATTATCAATATTTATATTATTTTCAATATTATTTATTCTAACTTTTATTAGCTTTTATTTTACTATGAGTTATTCTATTATATCAAACGCCGTATCTTTGACGTAAGGATTGACATGCAGGAGAGTCACCAATAATTCTGTCCCACTCCATTCCTAAACCAGACTTGAATCCTTCTAGAAGTACCTTGAACACTTCAGCTAACTCCACACTTGGTTCGTGGTAGTTAGCAATCATATCAATAATGGCACGAACATTTCCCAGATCATTGGCAATCTCAGGATGTTTCATAATGATGTTACACATACCATTGACTGCGCTTGCTTTCTCTTCATTGTCTTCTAAACCGCTAATGAGCTCACACCACATGATTAACACTTCTTGAGCAACTACTGCTGTCTGATCGGGATAGAAAATTCCAAATCTACCAATCGTAACAGCAGTGTTCTCCAACAAGGTGACATCAGCATTGAAGTCGTGAATCAACGGTTCCAAAACACGAAAGAAGTTGGACAAATATTGTTGAATCAAATTGTTGTCAGCACGGATGGCAATTTCACCTAATGCCCAAATGGCGTTGTTGCATGAGGCAATGGCATCATCATTGAGATTTGTGATTTCCTGGTAAATACTAACCATCAAGGTCTGAATATATGGTTTGATCAACAAATCAAATAAGTATATTGCACAGTCTCCAAGTAATGCATAAGCTGACTGTCTCACATCATAGTAGTTATCATCCAAACATGTAAGAACCAGTTCCATCAAGGAGAAGGATGTTTTGGAGTCATTTTGCGCAATAAGTTGTCCAGAATGTGTTGTCAAACCTTGAATCAACCCGTCAACCAAGTCGAGTGAGGTGACAATAAAGTCCTTTTCAGGTGCAACAAAGGTTGGGTCACTATTTGCCATTTTCTCTTCTTCGATACATTTGTGCAAGATGCGAACAGCACGCTCATAGACAGGCTCAGCACAACCTGCAAAGGCCTCACCAATGGATGCTGCAACAGATGACATACATTCAAGTAGAGGCCATAAATCTTTGTCGGAATCATCCAATTCTTGCCATCTTTGAATGAGAGGTGGCAATAACAAATCAACATATGTTGGATTGTAACGCAGCTGCTCACCAACTTTTTCTGTGAACGTTTGCACAGTATCATACAAGACAATCATATTTTTCCTACGGTAGTTGGCAAAATATGCTTGGAAGTGATGCAACAAAGGCTCGACAAACTGTGAGATTAGCTGAGGGTCAGAACATTCGATGAAGTCGGATAATGACGAACATGCACTCTCTTGAACAACCTTCTTTTTGTCCAAGGCGCAATCCATGATAGCTTGAAAGGTCGGCTTGAAATAATTTGCAAAGGCACCCCCTGTTGTTGCCTCAGAACATACCCATGCGGCGTACCTACTCAGTGTCCAACATGTTATTTGACGAACACGTGGTTGGTCATCCTTTATTCTATCAACGAGAAAAGGAATCAACTCTGGAAGTTGTTCAGCAGCATATTGAAGAGCCGCCTCCGAGACAGCACCCAATATCAAGATGGAAGCCTCACGTATTGGCCATTGTTGGGCGTTCATGCTTTCTTTGATCATAGGAAACGAGTACTGTAAAACCTCCTTGGGGAAAGTGGTCGAAAGCATATCAACAGTTGCGGCAGAACATTTTCTCAGGTTCCACGTGTAAGAGTTGTCAAAGTCGTCATCGTTATCCTCTTCATTATCATCGTCTTCATCGCTTTCTTCGGTTGCGTCAACACCACGACCATTGCTTTTATTGCCGTCTTCATTCTCCTTTTTGATGGCTTTGTGTTCTTTGGATTTCGCCATTTGTGGCTTTATGTCTTCGTCTTTATCTTCTGAGCCATCATCCTTCGCATCTTCGGCTTCCATCAGCTCAACATCGGTTTCGTCGTAAACCATTTTTTCTAGTAATACAGGAATGATAATTTCCAGATAAGGTAAGATCATATCAGGAGGTAGTTCACTCGTGCTCATGGACAAGAGGAACTCGTCTGCCTGCAACGCAACACTCTCATCGCCCTCTTTCACCATGTGTGTACACCAGGAAACGACGCCGGACCAATGTTGATATAGTTTCTCGGGCCACTTGTCCAATATTCCAACAAAGATAGCAGCAATCTGTCCCTGGATTTTTTCATCCGAAATGTTCTGTTGGCACAAAGCAAACACGACGCTCAAAATGGAATCGATATTCACGTATAATGTGTGCGAGCCAACGTTGATACAATGGACCAAACAGGCCAACGCTCTGGCTCTGACTTTGGCAGCCATCGACCCGTTGGCAATGATCTCAACCAGTCTTGGGACCAGGAGTTGCATCGGGACGATCACACCTGCAGATGATTGCACCTCTTGCTCCAATAATCTAGCGCTGTCTTCACAGATCGACAGAAAGGCCTCAGAGGCACCATCGATCGCATCTGCACCTGCAGCACCTGAGATCAACGAGATCAAATCAGGGACGACGCTTGGCCAACCCTGCGGCCCGACGGTACGGAAGACAGCACTGATGATACCGGACGTGATACGCCGCACAAAAGTGCTATTCGAGAGTAGCCCCTGGGGAAGTAGTTCAAGTATGTGGGACTGAAGATCTGGCTTCTTGAACTTGAAGTTTTTCACTAGATCGTTCTTCAAGTAGATCCCTGCGGAGGCACGTGTGGATTCATTGATTTCGGACGCCAGGAGGATATGCAGAAGATAGTTGTCAAAATCTGCAATAGACTTTGCTTGGGTGAGAGCACTGGTGGCTTCCTGCCTGATGGCTGTATCGGGAGAAAGTGTTCCTGCAAAGATATGCACTAGTTGCTGCAAACTAGCCATATCGGGGGTCCAGGACGACGACATGGTTGGGTCACTCTAGTCGGTTGGGTTGGGTCACAGCTAACGCACCGGAAGAGATCTTAGAGTGATGCAGAAAACTTCAAAGAAGCATACAATAAGAGCTTCTTCGTTTCCTCTTAAGGTATAGTGGTTAAATTGCAGACGGCTTAGTTAGATGTATTGCAATCCAATTCAGCAAGATATGCGAGTTGTCTCACCAAGAACAAAAAATTTGTTCAGAAAAAGAAAAAAAAGGACGAAAATGCAAAAAAAATATGTCAACCTCTCGGGTAAGAAAGAGTAACCAGGGACAAGGGCGGAGTCCATGCTGGAGGAGTTTGCCTGCTGCTGTTACCGTATGCAATGCTTAACTTAATCTAAACAGTCTATTTAAACTACAAATACAATATTATAATGCGTGTGTGAGTGTGAGTGTGAGTGTGAGAGGAGACCAGCCGGCGGAAAAATACTCATCTCTTGATCTCGTCCAGCAACGCGTCAAGCTCTTTGATTTGGTTGAACAACGGGTCGAAGATGAGCATGGTTTTTGGATGCAGATCATCGCCCTCTATGCTGGAATCAGACCGCATGTGTAGAGACCCCTTGGACTTGGAAAACTCAGACTCGGTCTCAGTCTCGTCCAACTCCGGCACCAGCAAACTCTTCATCTTGATATCACTGCTCATGCTGCTGGACCGATAGCCCTCGGCCAAGCCCTGGGCTTTGACATCTTTTGTGCCTGATTCGTTGGTCATCGAGCTCGAGCCCGAATTTGAGGCAGACGCCGAGGCCGTGGAGGAGTCTTTGCCATGACCGACAAACTCTGGGTAAGTGTCTAACAAATCGTCCAACATTTTCAGACTTGCCAGCCTTGTTTCACCGGCTGCAGCCGTTTTCTCTGTAGACCTTGTCTTAGCGACGCTCAGATCCTGGGTCTTTCTCTCTTTGAATTCCAAGCCCTTTTGCAAGCTATCCGTAGAATCCGAACACGTACTGGCAGTGACGTTGTTCAGCGCAAGTTTAGTGGGCGTACTTTCCAATGAGTTTCCGTTAGCACTGCTGCTAGGAGTCAAGACCTCAGGGCTTCTGGAGCTGGCTTTGACCTGCTCTACTCCTTCTTCTGCGTCTTCTAGTTCTTGTGTCCTGGCGTCAGTTTCTTTCTCGTCCGAGGAATACTGGTAGTCATCGAGGTTTTTGATCAAAAAGTTTCTTCTCTTTTTTGGCACAATGAGCGGTTGTGTACCTGCTAAATCAGCGTTGTCCCAATCGTCCTTGGAGTTGTAGCGCTGCGTGTGGTCATGACCATTGCGAGGTTCGTGTGGAAGGCCTTCACTGCGAACAGGAATACTACTTTCTTCTATGCTGTATTCATTTTGATAACCCTCCAAAAGACTATAGGAAGTCTCTTCATTTTCGTCTATGCCGTCGATGAGGCCACAGGCGGCGGCATGTTCACCTCGTTCCTGTATTCTATCGATTGATTCTTTGTCGAATTCTTCGTCTTCTTCGTCATCGTTGTTCTCCAGATCGGACGACTCCTTAACCTCGTTGACATCTGCGAAAGAGACCGTCTTCTTTGTGCTGTCTGTGCTTATATAGTTGAATCCGTGTTTTGGTTTCTTCAGTGAGCCCTTTCTCTCAATTTTGTTATCGACGGAGTCGACGCTGTCATTGTTCATGGCGCTGTTGACGAGAGGAATCGACTCGAGGAGAGGGTGGTTCAATGGGTAGTCTGTGTTGAACAACTTTTTCTCCTCTTCGATTTTCAAGCCTGCGATACCGCCTCTCTCTAGGATTTCATTTTTCCAGCAGTTGAGACGAGCCAACCGCTCGGTGTAGGTTTCCAAGATTTCTGCGGGAGCAAACCCTATTCTGTTATTATCGACTTTGCGGACCAGCCACCAGTACGAATCGGAATCGTTGAGCAATAGGACAGACTCGTTTTTCAGCAAGGGCAAATGCGAGGGGTCGGGTCCGCTGAAGTCATACAACGCGTATAACTTGGTTGGATCCAGCTCCTTTGGCGGCGAGGAGGGCGGCGAAGGGAGCATACCCTGTATGTAGTCTGTCAACTTGTCGTTTGTGATGTCCTCCATGGAGTCTAGGGAGTTCGAGCTCCCGATATCGTCGTCGACTTCTTCGTCGTCGTCGTCTTCGTTGCCGTTGTCGCCGTCGTGTTCGTTCTGGTAGTAGTCTATTTCGTCCATGCTGGCCTGTTCGTCACCACGACAGGCGTCCTGCGCGCCCGTGTGGTAAAACCCTGGTTCGAGGCTCTTGTTGTTGTTGTTGTTGTTGTTGGTGTTTGAGAGCCGTAGTGTTCGATGGAGCTTGTTCTGGAGCTCGGGGTCCGACTCTAACGTGCGCAGCGACACGCTGTTCACGAGGTCGTCGGCCCCGGCAGGCGGGGTCGAGTTCGGGTTGTGTATGACGGTCGAGGCGGCCGACGAGGACGAGTTGGACTGCGTGTCCGGGTCCCTCACGGACGGCCTGCTGAACCCGTGCGGGGCGAGCCGCAGGTCCTTCAAGTTGTGCAGGGCAAAGTCGTCCAGCTCGTCGTCCTCGTCGCCGCCGTCCTGGCTGGCGCTTCGACCGAGACTGGGGCTCGAGAACGAGTCCCGCCCGTACGACTCGATGTTGAAGTCGGATAGGTTGTCCAGACTCGTGTGCAGCGACTGGAGGTCTCTCCGGGAGAGCCGTGCAATCTGCTGGGTGTCCATGCTGGCGGAGGCGAGTGCAGAGCGGTGCGTGCGTGTGCAGGAGTGCTGTTTTGTTGTTGTGTTGTTGTGTTGTGTTGTGTGTTGTGTGTGTGTTGTGTGTTTTGTGTGCCGGCCCTTGTTTTCTACCGTATCTTTCTTGCGCCTGCTGCTCTGGTCTGCTGGCAACGGCTCCTGGTCGGTGCTGCTGCTGCTGCTGCTTTGTGTATCTGCAGTCCGATCCGGTCGTCCTCTGCTACCCGCAAACCGCTCCGTCTCACGCTCTTGATCCCCGATCTCCTGTACACGACACCCCACTTTGCCGTCCACGCAGTCGCCAGGGGCTCTCTTTTTCTCTTTCGCTCCCGCCCCCGCTGAGCTCAGCATGCTCAGCGTGCTCAGCAATGCTCAGCGCTCTTGCCCCTTTCCGGAAACGCGCCCAGGCGGCTCGTGCCCTTTTTGCCCCTTTTCGAGTCTGCCACACACACCCGTGCACCCGATAAACGGACACCTTTTACACCCGTGCACCGAGTTCCCGGCCATTTTCTTTTTTGAGACGATCGTCCCCGTTTCCCCTTTTGCTTACGTACACATGGGCTCGTCGCGCTGTCGTCATTGCGGCAGACTTTCCGCCCACTAGTGCTGCGCTGGCGTTTCAGGCTGCTCCGCCTCCTCGACGGCTGGCGCAAGCGGCCCTGGCTTTATTATCTACCGGCTGGATGGAAATATTTATTTGGCTGGCTGGCTAGCTGGCTGGTTGGCTGGCCCGTGTGGATTGCTGTGCCTCTGTCTGCCTCGGCACCGCATTGCACCCCCGCCTCCGTCCCGCTGCTAAAGAGAATGTCATACCAAGCTCCTCAAGGCCCTCCTCCAGGTCAAGGCAACCAGAACCAGAGCTACTACCAGGGTGAAAAGGGAAACATGTACCAGCAACAACCGCAACAGGGCTACTACCAGCAGCAACAGCCTCCGCAACAGTACTACCAGCAGCAACCGCAACAGGGCTACTACCAGCAACAGCAACCGCAGCCTGTCTATGTTCAGCAACAGCAACCGCAACAGGGGAGAAACGACGACTGCTGCATGGCGTGTCTTGCTGCCTTGTGTGTCTGCTGCACCCTAGACGCCTTGTTCTGAGTGCCAGCGCTGCCCTGAAATACGCACGCACACCCCCGCACACACTCAACACAACACACACACACTACACTCAATTGTACCATTACCACATACATTGCCGCCCTTTTTGTCCGTACTGTCTCCCCCACCACTCTCTTTCCCTTTCCACCACACATCTTTTTCCTACTAATGCTCGAGACGTCCAACCCTCTCTTTTTGTTTCTGCTGTGAATTATTACAAAAAATTATATTAGATGTCAAATATATATCTCTATCATCAACCCCTACATACACCTATATATATGAGCTACTGTATAGTCAATTGATGGCACTTGGTGCCTACAGATTCACTTCACAATCCGTGTCTCTTCACTTTCACACCTCACGTGGATGTCCTCCGGGCCCACTTCGTTCCCCGCCGCCACTCCGTTTTCTGCCGTCCCGACCCTCCCTATCTCCTCGGGCCCACCACTCGTCCTCGACCTTTGCTTCCCGCTCCACAAGTAACCCTCCATGTCGTTCAAGCCGTAATTGATACTTCGCCGAAGACCTTCGACCTCCCTGGCCATGTCTGGACTGACCCCCGCCATCGTCAAAGCTTCGTTCACCTTATCTCTCATTTTCCCAATTTGGGCCTCCACCTTCTTGATCCGAAGTTTCAACCCCATCACCCATTCCCACACCTTTCGGTCATTCTCAAGCATCTCGTTGACAGCAAGAGAATACTGAAGATTTCTTTCTCTGATCTTCTTCGTAAAACTTTTCAAGATCTCGTATTTGCTACTAAAAAGCAAAATCTCATTTTTCATCCCATCGACAGTTTCTTGATACTCACTCTGCTTCTTGATCAAAGTCTTCGTCAACAGCATGATAACATCACCGCTACTGCTCTTATCGTCTTTCTCCAGCTTTTCCGCCTTCTTATTGCCATCTCCTCCTTTATCCTTTTTCTCATTTCCAACTTCCAAACAGCTAATGTAATGTAAATTCTCAAAATATTGCTTCTCTGCACTTAATTTGGGTATAAATAAATCCTTGTCTTGCTTTATATCGACGTTTTTCAACTCTAAGTATTTAACATCTTCCTTTAAATCATAGTTTTTGTTCTGAGACTCGGTAAGCTTGCCTTTCAAACTTGCGATAATACCGTGGTATTTTTCTTCCATTTCCATCAGCTCCTGCTCATTTTCCCTCCTGAACTTATTTCGCATTTGGTCCTGAGTTACTTCTTGGCTTGATACATCAGCTTTGCTGAGTTCTTCCTCCGTGTGCTGACTCAATTGCTTTACTTGTAACTCATTACTGGATTCTTTTGTAAGATTTTCAATTGCTTCATATAAACTTTGAATCTTAATTTTCAGCTCTTCATTGGCAGCTAAAAGTCTGATGTTTTGGCTTTCCACCAACTCATTTCTGGCTATGAATTCTTCACATTTTTTCAGTATCTTTGCGTTACAATTTAACTCAACGTCATTGCTATCGGATACGTTCATCCACCCAGCATTACCCAGTATATAGTTTAAATTAGAGCTTTGCAAATTCAAACTCCCCGTTGAAGCAATATTGCCTTTAATTTCCACATCTGCCAAATCTTCTTTTTCATCCACCTGTAAGTCGAATTCTTTCAATTTTGCCTCATTCTTACACCAAGCTTTCAAGATTAGTTTCGATTGATTATCTAAATAATTCATTTGTGTTATACCCCATGCTGCTCTTTTACCAAGGATTCCAATACACAATATGACGGACATATAGAGGTACAACTGATTTATCAAATCTATCACATCCGTTATTCCCAAATTGTAAAGTTCAGATGAAACTTTCTTTTGCATTAAATAGTCATTTCTATGAAGAACCTTTTTTTTGTACAGCGTTGCGTCATTTCTCAACGTTTTGTTAACTTCATCGTCGTAAGAACTATCCTTATTTGCGCCCCAGATAAGTTTGTTCGCTTCTTCCATCAACTTCTTCCTAGTGCTTTGATGTCCGAAGCTCTTCTCTTCTCCAGAACTATAGTCATCAGATTTCCAAGCCGTCAAGATTTCAATATCTATTTGTGTGAGAAAGAGATTTAGTATTTCTACCTGGAAGATTGTAGAATCAGTTGCTGACATATTCTTACTATGTATTCCTTTACCATTGGACTCATTTTTTTCACTAGAATCACTTGAGTCATGAAGTTCGTTGTCTGGGTTATCATCATATTCATCTTCAACTTTGCTATGCTTATTGAATTCAATCGAAATAATATCTAGAAACTTTTCTAAAGAGGACTTTTTGCTGGCTTCGATCTCTTTGTTGAAATTTGAAGTCTCACTCAGATCATCTTCATTGACGGCCATCAAGTACTTTAACACAGCGTGGAAAAATTGAGGTGCCAAGAAGTAGGATATCTTAACTCTTTTAGGGATTTCCAAAACATCAAATTCTTCAAGCTGGGATACGTGGACACAATTCAATAATGAGTTGTCAAATTTGTTAGTACAGGTACAAATCATTACACTTTCGACAAAAAGTGCATTATACATTCTATGGTAGAGTGTTTTTTTTGAAAGTTATATCAAACCATACCCAGCAAATGATGGCAGACACCACTGCGATTTTTGACTCCAAATCCATTATGAACAACTTTTCGGCCAGCTAGATGCATATACCACCAAGAAGAAAAAACAACGATGATGATAAAGAAGAAGAATAGGAAGAAGTAGAACAAATGGCCTCCTGATAAAGACTTCTCTTCTGCAGTTGTTGTCAACTGCTGTGTGAAAAGGGCGACGGAAAATTTCCATATCGGGCAATCCTTGTTTTCCATTATCCGTGGCTTATTTTCATGGGCGAATATCAACTGTGTCACCTTTTAACTCGTTACTTGGCTGTATTTTCTACACCCAAGTTTTTGACACTTTCAGATTTAGGTTTCTGATTAGTTTTTTTCTTGAACTTTTTACTTTTTTTGCTTACTTCTTTGGTTTTCTTTTCAGGGTCAATCTTGCCAGTTATTTCTTGTTTACCGGATTCATCTTTCTTCGCCTTGACTTTCTTCTTATTCCTCTTCTTGGCCTTCTTTTTATTCACACCCTCTTGTTTTGTTTCCAACTTATCAATCTTAGCCTTTAAAATTTTTTTCCCCTTATTTTTTTGGGAATCTGCAGTAATCTTTTCCTTTTTCTTGTTTTTGTTTCCCTTGCTGAATATATTATCTGGAAGTGGCACTTTACCCTCTGAATCAATAGCCTCGCAGAACTTCTTGAATGCAAAATCGTCATTAAGTTTGCCATTCATAAAGTCCCACTTGTCTATGACCGGTTCCCCTACCGATTTGAATTCGGGCATGACCTGATAAAATGATTTTTCTACACTGGGAATATAGGTCTCTAAATCTTCCATAACTTCAGCCTTGTTTAGATTTTCATCATTATTACTGTTATCTGTCTTTGGCTTGCTTGGAGTATCATCTGTGAAGGTCATAGCCTTGACAGCTCGCCCTACCAGCATCATGGTGGACTCATCAGTACAATTGATGTAACAACGGCTAGGAACACTAGATTCAAATTTGTTCTTTGGATAAAATCCGTCGACATAATAATACTCTGCGACATATTGCTCTAACTCAGGATTTTTCTGAAAAACTTTGTTGATGAATGAAGCTTTTGATAAGTTCGGCGGAAGGTTCCTTACTGTAATTTTGTTAACCGGCACTCTAGGCTTTTCTCCTCTCAATTTTTGTGCCTGCTGTAACTGCTTTCTCTTTTCTTTCTGCTGCTGTCTCTTGCGCTTCTTTTTAAGCCTCTTTGCCTCGTTTGGATCCAACGCTGATATGTTATCGCTGGTGGTTACCGAAAGTTCTTTTGAGTCATTTGGTTTATTGTTGTTTTTGTTCTGTGCCTTTTTCGGTTTCTTCTTCTTTGCTTTTATAACCTTTTCACCGATCTGGTCAGGATGATTTATGGTCGCACTTGTTTTCATTGGATCCTGTTTTGGCTTCTGTTTTTCTTTATTCCTCCTTCTACTTTTAAAAGCTGCCCCATTTTTTCTGTTTTCTAAAGTAGTGTCTGCTTGCGGGCTTTTACCATCAGTTACTATAGTAGTATCAGCAGCAGACATGTCCATTGACCATCAAGTTGAACTTTGCTTGTCGTTGCTGCTCTCTCTCCCAATCTTCTTTTTTGATGAAGCTTCAAGGTCTCGAAAAGTCATGTTGAAAATAATTCTGATGAACTATTGCTTCGTGCGAGTTCATGATTTTTGACGGTATCAACACTTAGAACAAGCTCATCAGATGGGGTTCATTAAAACATCATAATACAAAGGGACTTGATACTGTGCATATCATATATAGCATGCAACAAAGCTATACGCTTGACACTTTATTCTCTGATCTAGATGTTACCATCAATCAGAAAGGGCACCGACGAACATTCGAAGAGCTGTTTTCAATTAATTTTGTTAAATATGATGCTAGTAGAATAGCGTCATTACAGCTTGCAATCCATCAGCTCAGCGAGAAGGATATCTCGTCAATAATAGACAACAACCCCACAGTTAAGAAGATATCTTGGCCAGCCTTCGAAAATTTTCTACTCAATTATCTGATATGTGTTAGAGATCTTGATCCCTGGTCAGTGATCCGGTCTATAGATCTAATGATTACTGTTTTCGAATGCCAATCCATTCTCTTTAACCCTAAAACTGCCTTCCATGACCAAATCAGCAAACAAGCGATACCTTACTTTGAAGAGTCCATGGCTTTAATGATTCCATTGTCCAAGTTCATTGATATTGAGTCTATGCATTTGCATAACCGCAATTACGACTATCCAAGGTTGACACACATTTCTACAATCTTACTGAAAGCGTTGAATAATATTCGTTCTACGCCAGATTTGAACGATAGAATGAATGTGGACAAAATCAATTTATTATTCCATATTTCAACCAGTTTATGCAATGTGTACTATAAAATTGGATCTCCAATACTATGCTCAAATGTTTTTTCCAATGTGAATATCCTCAATTTAAATAGAAGGTATGTCAGCCTTTCATCACTTGTAACGTTCCGGTTTATTATGGGCAAGTATTACGCACATCAATCTAACTTCATGGTCTCATTCCATCATTTACGTGCGTGTTTTGAGAGTATCACAGTCGACAATTGCCCAATGACCAATATCTTGATCATACTAAAATATATTGTTCCAGTAGGACTTATAGTTGGGAAAGTTGCGGATATAAATCGAATAAGGGCTAGGTTGTTGAAAAATGGAGCGCAGAACGATGAGACCCGTAAGCTAGATGCATTGTTGAACATTTACCAACCGTTGGTATCCAACTACAAGGTGGGGAACTGCTATGGTGTTTACAAAACCATTTTTGACAATGAGGCATACTGGAAACACATCGGATTGTGGATTCCGATGTTGCAGAGACTACGGATACCGATTTTCAGAAATTTGGCTCATCAGTTATGGAAAATGAATGGGGGAAATTTGACATTTGGCATGCTGAAAACTGGACTTCGTGTGAGCATGCAGGGGATGGAAACTTTGGGCACCGCATACCAGGTGAAGGAAGACAATTACCTTGAAGTGGATGATTTATTTGTGGACAACGTGTTAGCGAGTATTGTGTTCAATGGGTTTTTAAAGATGAAAATGAATGCAGACAGGACTCTCTATTTCAGTAAGAATGACATTTTTCCTGACATGCATACTGTGCTTTCTGGTAGGTTTTCCCTCAACCCCCGTGAAGCATGGTTGGATAATTAGGTGACCGTCGCTAGGAAATGGCATGTACACTTCCTCGGAGTAAATGGTTTTACCTTTTGTAGTCTTAATAAACTAAAATCTTGAAAGGAAGATACTGAACGGTTACTACGCTTTTATATATTTATTCTAAATCTTTAATCATATCTTCTAATAGTCAGTTTCTTAATACGCTAAGGCAGACAACCATTAAAATTGCAAACAATATTTCAGCTGAAAGTATTTATCAACAATATTATTTTAATACTTGATATAGTATTTATTCTTGCACCATTAAATAAAATTAGTTTACGTAATCCAAACTTGTATCTGACTTGGATCTGCTTACGTGACGGGTCTGACAGAAAATGAATCGGCAGGATAGAGCAGTAAAGTAGCTGATAGAGGAAGAGAGCAATGAACGAAAGCATCCAAAGACACCATCGGAGGTAATTGCTTGCTGTTGTCATAGAGACCTCTTGGCATGACTGAGCTGTCAGGCGATACAAATGTGTTCGCTCAGCTTCGAGAAGCCTCAGAGCAGATCAGCAAAAGTTTTCAACTCATTATGAATCTTGCGCCTGACATCGGTCTATATACGATGTTAGTTGAGTCGCAAAATGATCCGTTCATGAAAAACATCATCAGCACTCCTGATGGTGTCAGTCTGGGAGACGATGATATCAAATTTGCTGTTTATGCAAAGGAGCTCTACGCGCAGGGAAAGATCGACATAGTAAAGTCTCTTATCGATCGGAACCTGGAAAAAGTGCTGGCTGAACTGAATCATTCCAGGAAGCCACCGCCGTCATTCGCTTCTGCTTCTTATGTTTCAAAAAATTACTTGATTGGAACTGATTCCCGAACATCGGATATTTCGCCAATTTCACCACCAGCGTCAACTAATGTCGAACCATTTGAAACAAATGACCACGACGACAGCTCTCTCCGGAAAGGTCATACTGCTGACAGTAATGACAATGCTGGTAGTATGACCAGTCCCTATTCAGTTGCCATCGATGAGAAGAATGAAGATGCGTTTGTTGATAAAGAGAATGCTGTGGATTTGGACGACATATCCGAAGAATACACCCAAGTAGCGAAGCTATCTGCTCCCATGGAAGGCGATGGGGAGTATATTTATTGTAGTGATTCGATTCACAAGAGAAACAGGAACTTTCCAGTGTTTCAGGAAAACAGTCCCCCTAAGTTACCCGTGCTTCATTTGCCTGAACTGATTGCTAAGGTATTTACACATCAGTCTGTTTTGAACTATTTGAATATACCAGAGGAATCCAAGGTGAACTCGCATAACGAACGCTTAGAGTTTTTAGGCGACGCATTTTTACAGTTTGTCGTTTCAATGATCATTTATGAAAAGTTCCCTCACTTCAATGAAGGCCAAATGTCCATTTTGAGGTCTAACATTGTTTCCAACAGTAGATTACTGAAACTTTCACAGATATACGGCTTTGATAAGCAGTTGAAAAAAAATTTCAATGACTCCTCTATTTTAACAGGGAACAATAAGATATACGCTGATGTTTTTGAGGCTTATTTGGGAGCAATTGCTGAGCAGTATATGATGGAAAGCAAAGACGGTGAAACCAATGTAAACGACTTTGTCAAAGGATGGTTTGAAGCGAAGAACTGGCTGGAGGCTTTATGTGAAGAACAACTTCAAACGTTTGACCCATCGATAGTGTACAAGATGCAGTATTCCAAGTCTTCCAAGCAGGACTTGAGGTTGTTACTGGGGAAACTCAATGCACCAGATTATGTGAGATGCAACATCGGGAACAGAAAAATTCTCTCTTGCGTTAAAATTTCTAAGAAAGTGTATGGTTACGGAATTGGAACCAGTAACAAGGAGGCTGATTCCAGGGCTGCTACTGATGCTATGTGTAACCCAGGGATCTGCAAAATTTGTCCGGAGGATTTATGGAAAAAGTTTGAGGACGGTGTTGGTCTTGATGAATCGGGAGGATTGAAATTTGAACAATATCCCACTAAGGTGTCATTGAAGGAACTAGATATACTACGAAGAGAGATAGCGATCAAATACAAGGTTGGTGACATCAAGTTGTTAGTGTCCAAGAACAATCCTTACAGTCTGTTGATTGATGATAAAGAGCGGGATACTGTCATACAGGAGATAAACTCCATGCATTCTATTAATAACACCAATGGCGAGATCGGGGAAATGTGCCCTGACAACGATACAGAAAGTGATAAGATTTCGTCCATGGAGAAGCAGACGAAATGTTCCAACTCCATGCATAGTCATTACGGTAAAGAGTTCACCATGGGCAGAGGGGGTATCTTTGGAGAGGAATACAAGAGGATTGCCAAAGGCTCAAGAAAACGCCGTGCTGGAATTCACAGGAACGCAAGCTATTTGATCATGGAGGAGGGTGAAGGAGGTAGTGGCAGCCAGAGCATCACGAGAGAGATTATGTGCCACGAGGTGTTGGTGAAATGCAATGATATCGAGATGGACAGCAAGAATCGGATGAATGCGGTGTTTGCCAAGCGTGGAGGCGTGCCCGGGTACATTACGTACCGAACTGTCGACGACGAGTTTCTATGCGAGTTGTGGTTCAGCGATCGTCAAATAGTAAGCTATGGTCTGGATCGGAACAAGAAAAATGCCTCACAAAAAGCTGCAATGCTTGCCTTAAAACGAGAGGAGTACTACGGTCGCTTGAGCGAGGAGGAGGAGGAGGAGGAGGAGGAGGAGGAGGAGGAGGAGGAGGAGAGAGACGAAGTGAGAGAACAACGGAGAAGGCGGCAGGACGAGGAGGAGCATGGCAACAAGGCTGAGAAGAATAAGCCTTCCAATAGGAGCAGAAGATCCGACGCTGATGAAAGCTCCGAAGACTACGAAAGCGATGACGAGGAAGAGCACGGGAGGGAGAGGGAGAGGGAGAGAGAAAGGAGGCGGAGAAGCAGACAATACCGCAGAGACGCTTCGTCTTCCTCCTTGTCTTCATCATCGCCCCCGCCCCCACCCCGGCTATCGTCGTTGTCGGTATCATCCTACTTGTCGTCATCCGATTGACTTTCGTCAACACACCTTGTACCCATTTTCCGAGAACCAGCATGCAAATAAATCCACCCGAGGCTTGTGCTAAATATATATATCCATATTTGACAGAAAATATGTATACAAAGACGTATTTACATGTACAGATCCTCCGACTGCCGTAGCCGTGCCCTGTCAGTTGCTCAAAGGCATTGATCCGTTTTGGCTACAGTCTAGAACGACAACAGTTGATTGATTCCGTTTGTAAAACGGTTTTTGCCGAAAACCTTCTTCCGCAATAGGTGAGCTGACATAAGCGAGAATTCGCGTTACTACGTCACATTCCGACGCGAAGGCGCGTTGCCTTCCGCATTGGGTGAATGATCAATACCATAGCCGGGCCAGACCGCGTCTGTTTTGTTGACGGTCTGTGTACACGGACGGGCTGTGGGGCACAAAACGAAGGGGTTGTTGTAGTTACAGTTGAAAGTACGCTGCAACGCCAGGTTACCATGGTAGGGAACTGATGGGCTGTTTGGTGTTTGATATTTGGTGTTTGTTTTTCCTCATTGTTTTATGTTGACTCCTCATATGGTGTTTTACTGATTCGTATTGTCGAGACACAACTCGTGTGTTTGCAGAAAGGTACGCCACGCTTTGTGGTCCTCGAGTCTGCGAGTGCACGTTCTTTGCCTTCCGCCTCCTTTCCACTCCCACTTATAACTCTTCTTTTCTTCTTTTTCTCTTTCTTCCTCGTAGTTGCTTTTTCACTTCTTCTGCTACTCTGGCTCTTTCACCTTTTCCTTGGTAGTCTGTAAAGCAAAGAAGTCCGAACAAAATATCGCTCGTTTAAACATTTCTACTTGTTCCTCTTTTCTTTCGAACCACTTTACTCAAAAATTCATCACCGCAGCATAAAAAACACAACTACAAAAATGAAGCTCTCCATTGCACTTTTAACCCTTCTCTCTTCTGCCATGGCTGCAACGGTTCCTTCCCAAGCATGGACCACTTTGACTCCATCCGGCAAAGGTCCATCATGTGCAGTTTCCTCGTACTCCAAGTCCTTCGGTATTGCAATCTCCACCATCACCACTGAAGTCAACGTTAAGGACAAGAGAGATGTAGCTACCCAAATTGGCGATGGCCAGGTCCAAGCAACTACCGCCACCACTGCCACTCAATCCAAGGTCGCCACCACTGCCTCTCCATCCAAGGTGCTTACCACCGCAAGCCCTTCATCTAGTTTGACAACTTCCACCAGTCGTTCAACTGCTCCAGCTAACTTGGTTTCTCAAATCAGCGATGGTCAGATTCAAAAGACCACTGCTACTTTCCAATCAACTACTATCACAAGAGAAGAAACCTACTACGTTTCTTACAGTGCTTCATCTGTGAGTGCAGTTGCTGCTAACCACCCAGAAGTCATTGTCACCCAAATTACTGATGGTCAAATCCAAGTTCCAAACCCAACTCCGGAGGTTGCTCCATCCGTCATTGTCACCTCCGAACATGGTGGCCTCAGCTCTTCCACCAGCTACTACCCAATCACATACACATCATCTTTCTCATACAGATCAATCTCTTCTCTGACCCCATCTTCCAGCATCCAATCTTCCAAGACCTCTGCATCTGCATCTGCCTCTGCTTGTGCTACCAACTTGGTTGCAAAGGAAGCCACTTGTAAGACAGACAGCGACTTGACAATGACTTTGGAAAACGGTATTTTGATTGACTCTCACAAGAGAATCGGTTCTATCGTTGCCAACAGACAATTCCAATTTGATGGTCCAACTCCACAATCTGGTGCAATTTACGCTAACGGTTGGTCTATTGCCGACGGTCACTTAGTTCTTGGTGACGACTACATTTTCTGGCAATGTCTGTCCGGTACTTTCTACAACTTGTACGACGAGTCTATTGCTGACCAGTGTGTTCCTGTTGTTTTGAACGTTATCGATTTAGTTGACTGTTAAGTTTGATCAACTGCTTTCTTTTGTCATCCCCCTCTTATACATTAAACAATCAGACTCTAACGTCTTGTGATACCACTTAGCCTTTACTTTATCGGTTTATTTTATTTATAATTTTGATACCTCTCACGCAAATGCATTTCTTTAAATATCTTTTCTGAAATTCCAAGCAGATTGTACAAGTTCTTGGCCATATCCCCCAATTAGGCCCCGAACGTCTATATGTCTTACCGTAGAACTTGAATCCTGCACCTGCTCACGACTTGGTTTTCAACATGAATTCCCGCTCTGCGACCATTTCCTCATCGGGTAAACCATCTTTCTTCTTGTTCAGCGTATTGCATGATCTTCTTTGTAATAGTGCATTGGTGCTGGTTTTTGGTGGAGGCTATGTTCTTTCCCTTTCTTTTGAAATATTACGAGCAGCACACCTAACGTAATGGTTACCCTCTCCCAACCTACGACACTGCTGTACTCATGGCGAACCGCCCTTATATTTGCAGCGCTCATTGCAAAATTCATACTAGCTGTTCAACCGTCATACATTCATCCTGACGAATTTTTCCAGTCGTTTCAGATAATATACAATGACAATCTCCCCTGGGAGGTAGCAGAAAAGGGAAACATTAATAGGTCTATTGTGCCATTGCTCATTACACATTACCCGGTAATATGGTTTGGCACTAAAGTCGGATTAGATCCTTTCCAGATCTATCTCCTAGTCAGAATCCAACTTACCATAGTTTCGTGGATCATAACAGATTGGTGCTTATACAGGCTAGCACCATTGAAACATGAGCGAATTAAAGCAACTCTTTTCACAATGACCTCGTATCTTACCCTTGTACACCAGACGCATACATTTTCGAATTCCATGGAAACATGCTTACTTTTACCAACTTTGTATATCGTTAACGATATCCGTTCCTACCTTGAGCGCAATACTCCAGGTCAGAGTTACAGTGTGGTGAAATTGTGTGCACTTGGTGCACTTATATCTCTAGGTGTCTTCAACCGAATTACTTTCCCAGCCTGGATATTGATTCCTTCCTTTTTCCTCTTGAAATTCTTCTTGAAACATCCGTTCATTTCATTTATCCCAATTATTATATTTATACTAACATCAGTGCTGTTTATTGTGGTAGATTCACTGTATTATAGTACTGCTCCAAGCTATGTTATAGCACCACTGAACAACTTGGTGTACAATATTTCAACCGATAATCTCAGAATACATGGGATTCATCCTCGCTATACACATATTTTGATCAACTATCCTCAAATGGTGGGGCCGTTGTTTTTCATGATCTTCCCATTCACTAGAACATATACCAGGACAACAACATTTCTGGCCGTCATTTCAGGGTTTTTGACTTTATCCATATTCCCGCATCAAGAATTACGCTTTCTTCTACCAGCTGTACCATTACTCTCCACTCTGATTAGCTTTTCGAATCCAGCCTTCTCTATTTTGAAAAAATACTTCAAGATTGCTCTTTCACTTTGGCTTATATATTCATCGATACTTTCGGTATTTTATGGCTACTTCCACCAAGCAGGTATCATACCTGCAATTGCGGAAATCAACGACAATGTATTGACATCATCATTATCAATATCATCCTCTTCTCATACTACAACATTGCTTTTCTGGAGGACATACCCCCCACCAACGTGGATGCTAGACAAGCTTCCTAACCCATTATATTTGTCAAAGCATGATGATGGAACTATTCCTTTAGACTTACCTTACTGCAATCGGAATTATGTAATTGATCTCATGGGATCATCATTGGAAACCTTACTTGCTGTAGGCAACAAAATGAGCTCCTCTTGTCCAAAAAATAATATATATTTGGTGGCTCCTGTTAATGCAATGCTTGACATTGACACCTCATCGTACAGTATTATATGGAAAACTTTTTGGCATTTGGATATGGATCACTTTGAGTATGATAAGCACGGCATAGATACGTTTACTCCGGGTCTCGGTATCTACAATCTCATGTAGGCAGATGTATATAGATAGGTATATGTGTATAACTTTCTTTGTTGATTATAAAGGGATATTAAATTATTAAAACTACAGAGTTACCGGCACGACAACGGGTGGGACCAGTATATAATAATATCAACATCATTTGTAGAAATCGAACTTGTCTACTTCACTACCTGACTTCACTTGTGCGGTATAAGCTTCTTCCAAATCACTCTGTATTATCATGTATCTGTTCTTCCTGACAGCTCTCAAACCAGCATCTTGCATGATCGCAGCAATGACTGCACCACTCAAAGGATCATTTCTCATAATCAATGAGTCCAAGTCTGCTTCAGGTGCCAATGACATCTTCGAAGCCACCGTGCTGAAAATCATACGTCTTTCCCTCCTATCCTTCAAGGATGGGAACTCAATCTTTCTATCCAATCTACCAGGTCTGAGAAGTGCAGGGTCCAAAGTGTCCGCTCTATTCGTAGCCATTATGACCTTCACGTTTGTGGCCTGGTCGAAACCATCCATCTGTGTTAATAGCTCAATCAAAATTCTCTGGACTTCTCTGTCAGCACCTGTCTGTGCGTCGAATCTCTTTGTTGCAATAGCGTCGATTTCATCGATGAAAATGATAGAAGGTGCATTTTCTCTTGCCAATCTGAAAACATCTCTCACCATCCTTGGACCTTCTCCCAAATACTTTTGAACAAACTCGGAACCGTTGATTCTGATAAAAGAGGCTGTTGATCCATTAGCAACCGCCTTGACCAACATAGTCTTTCCTGTACCCGGAGGCCCATAGAGTAGGACACCTCTTGGGGGATCGATACCAATCTGCTTATATAAGTCTGCTTGCACCAACGGTAACTCCACAGCTTCTCTGATCTCCTGCTTCTGCATGTCTAGTCCACCGACATCGTTGTACGTAACGTCTGGCTTCTCCTTCTCGCCAACAATGGAGATAGACGAATCCGCCTCTGGAGGCAATATGTCAACCAAAGCGTTTGAATGGCGGTGCAATGCCACGGATGCCGCTGGTTTCAACAACTCTCTGTCTAATGTTGATAGTATTCTGACAACGTAGTTAGATCCTGTAGTGGAAGACACAATACCTGTCGTTTGGTCAATTGGTTCAAGAAACTGCCCAATGACTAGAGGGACAGACTGGATCTTCTTTACCTCTTCCTGTGCCCTGACCAGCTCTCTCTTGAGATAGCGTTGTTCATCCTTGATGTACTCCTCCTGTAAAAGAATAAGCTCCAAGTTCTTTTCGAGCTTTTTGAGCCTCAAGTAGACGTCGTTGTTATTGTTGCCATTGCTGTTGGCGTTCTTGTTGAGCGATCCATTGGCGGCCTTTGCCGTTAGTTTGTCGATTTTGTTGTGGGGGTGTTCCGACTGTGGCACAATTCCAAGCTCCTCCATTGTGTCCGGTTGCGTGTTTCTTGCTCTTCTGTTCCGATCAGTCTCTTTGCCTGCTTTACCACGCTTCTCCCAACCCATCCAGTAAAACCAACTTTCTGTCTACTCCAACCAACCCTCTTTCTGTCGTCTCTCGTTTGCCACCGGAATCTCTTCGGGCGCGCCTCATTTTTCTTGCCTTGGAGGAAAGGCAAGACAAGATGAAGATAAAGACGGATAGGAAGGCAGAGACGGGGAGAGAGGAGAGGAGAGGGGAGTGGTGACAGCCCAGCTCAACCATAAAAGATGTCTATTCTTGCCACAGAATTACATAGTAATACAAATAGAACGCTTGACGCTTTCGCCCGCGGGATTTAGGCCACTAGTCGTCCCAGAAGAAGTCCCAGCACAGCACTCGCTATAACGCTGCCACAAACATAACCCTGAAACTCGCCGACAGTCGTCTGCAATGGCGTGCTGCTTGGGTAGGCCAGAGGAGTCATGTAGTGCACGAACTTGTGCAACCAGTCACTGGTCAACAGATAGTAGTGCGCCCAGTATTTGCGTAGTGTTTCGGTGTCCAGTCTTTTGTTCACTACGAGGCGGAACGGCGGGAGAGGTGTTTGCTCCGCCATTGCCTCTTTGGAAGCAGCGATGCTTTCTAATGGAGGACTTTCCAGCAGGGCAGGCTCTAGTGTCGGGTTGAGCCCAGGCTTAGACTCAGGCTCAGGAGTGGAACTGGCATCTTCATCTTGCTCCGAAGCTGCTGCTGCTGCTGCAGCAGCCACGGGATTTAGTTTCAAGGTGTCCAGCTGTCCTTTCAACTGCTGGATGTCAAGGTCAAGCTTTTCGCTGTTGTGGAAAAGGTCTTTCACTTTGTCTTCAAACGAATTCACTAGTCTCCATCTCTTGAACGGCTCGAACACAAATTGGACCAGTAGCACAAGCAGTAAGTTAATGCACATAATTAGAATGGTACCCCAGGTGGAAAACTGCCGTATCTTATCCGACCACACCTGTTCTTCGTGGTACCTGTTCATGATCGACCTGATGAGAGCGTCATGTGTGCTTTCTTGCAGGTCTTCCAAGTACTTCAACCTTTCCGACATCTCTTTCACGCTCGTGTCCAGGTCGTGTGTCGTCATGTAAATTCTAGTGAATCTGTCCAAGTCCGTAGGCTTCCAACTATTCTTTCTTTCCAAAAGCTCGTTGACTTCTTTCTGTGACGAAGATCTCAAGTCAAGCGCTTTTTCGTGTTCTATCTTGGCCTCATGGATCGACTCTTTCAAGTCCTTCAACTTTTGCTCGTTTTCAACAATGATGTCTTTCAATCTGATGACTTTGTTGTATCCGGTGATCTCGTTAAGAACTTTCGATGCTATCTTGATGGATCGTTTCAACTCCACCACGTTCTGGCCCATTCTTTGACTTAAGGACTCCGCCAACACCTGCTGGTCTTTCTTCTTCTTCTGATAGAACATCGTCAACTCCTGTTGCAATTGTTTTACGTTTTCACTCTGCTTAACTGTGTCTATAATTTGCTTGATGTTGAAAATGTCCGCATACGTGTAGGTGGTGCCCGAATTGCTGCTGTTATTGGTGCTGCCTTTGGCGTTTGTGCGGGTTCCAATGGGGGGCTGCTGTGTATCAGTACTGGAATGGACTTTCTCTTGTGTCAGATCATCAATGCCAGGCACTGAAGTGTTACTTATATCGACTGGATAAGCATTGGGCTGAGCACCGAAGCCTTCTCTCGTGTGATCAGTTATCCTTTTCCCTAGTGTACCTCCTGCGCCTCTCTGTTGTTCCTCCACCATCCTCTTGTTTTCGGAGATGTCTGCTAAAATCTTTGACAGTCTCTCTTGCACTGTTGTATCTACATTGTCGCCCTCCTTGACTGGCTCTTTGGTCTTCTCGTCTTTATCGGTGTTTGCAAATTGTGGGGAAGACGACTTCGAGCCGTTGTTAAAAGTCCCGATAGTTGTTCCAAATGATCTTGTCGGCACATATATTCTGCAGCGGATCAACGATCTGATCCTAATCATCCTTGAGAAACTCCTCAGTTCATTTTCATGACCTCCCTGTTGCACAATCCAATGAGCACTCACTGTGAGTATAGACTCTCTATCATAGTAGAGGCCCGACATGTTTCTCACCTGTGTGTGAAAATTGCTCAGCACCTGCATGGGGAAGTTGGCGATTTGACAGGAAAACGGCCAGGAGAACCCGAGTGCAGTTTCGACACGGGGCTACTATACAGTGCATGGACCGCAATAGGACACTACATAGTCAGAGCAAATGAAGAAGTTTTCTTTGAAGAAGAAACCGGTCCCTGAGGGGAGGGTGGAGAAGAAAATAGGTGGGTTTTCCCTCAAAAGCAAAAACGCCAGCAAGGACATCAGGCCACAGGGTGACAAGAAGAGTCTTGGATTTGGAGACGACGAAAAAGACCACGACGACAAGACAGCAAAGCACAACAGCATTGTGGAGCTCACCAATGTCGAAGACCTTGTTGAGAAAGAAGACCCGGACAGGCCGCTGATCATAGTGCCGAGCCACAAGACAGTGAGCATGCAATCGAGGCTACAGAGCCTCCTTGCACAGCAGGCCGAACGGGAGAAGAAGGAGATTGCCGAGAAGGAGAGCGAACTAGCCAAGGAGAATGAGCTGCTGGGGTTCGGCCTGAACGAGCCAAGCAAACCCGTCGAAGATACAGCTGAAAAGCCTAGTACGCCGTCAACTTCGTCGACTGACACTCTTTCTGCAAAGCTGTCCGAGATTGGAGGCGAGGAGCCCACCGACGAAAGCTACAGCAAGGTACCCGTGTCCAAGTTCGGTCTGGCCATGTTACGTGGGATGGGTTGGAACGAGGAGCTGGAGAAGGAGCGGCGCCGTGAAAGCAGAAAGGCCCAAGCAACTAGCCAGCCGGCGACCAGACGACGGGCACCTCTAGCTGGTCTTGGAGCCAGTGTCCATGGTAGCGGCGCCAGCAGACGTTGACATCTCTTCTGCCTGGCTTGTTGCAGTTGCAGTTGCAGTTATTCCGGGGTCGCCTTCCGAATGCGGAGCGTGGCAGGTCCGGTGCGGCGGATGGACAGACCGAAAGACAGCCGAAAAAGGAAACGAGAGAAACGAAAGGAAGACGAGAGAGAAAGAGTGAGAAGAAAGGAGAGATAAGGCGGACATACAACCAAGGGATTCATTTGCAACCAGAAGAAGAAGCAATTAGGTACTGCATTGCCAGTCAGCCATGTTCAACCCGACCATAGGAGAAGTAGACCCGTCCGCACCACACAGGGCAGACGGCGGGTCAAGACGCGGCTCGAGATCAAGCCAGAGTTTAGACGACGACTCGTCCAGGACAGGCATTCCTAGAGCACATGTGAAAAACCATTCGAAAAGACAACAAGAAGGGTCTCTGTCCTACAGAAAATACAGCGAGTTCACGAGACGTAAAGATGGGCTCGAGCTGGATGAGTTGACGATCGATGAAGACTCGTTTCGCAGAAACGATGCCGGCAGAGATAGAACGGGAAGATTCAGAAGTGTGGATGGGGACGGAACTGGAGATGAGGAAGATATTAGCATCGACAACAACGCCGCAGCTGGAACGGATGTCGATGTCGATGCCGACGACTCTCTCTATCCGAAGGGATGGCGGCCGTTAATAGTGGTGTTTGGGAGTTTCCTTGCATGTTTCACCTTGTTCGGTGTGATGAATGCCATCGGTGCTATTGAGGCGTTCGTGCAGGAGAACCAGCTTGCTTCGGACTCGGTCTCCTCGGTCTCTTGGGTCTTTTCCATCTACATGTTCGTGTCTCTCTTTTTGGGGCTTTTGGTCGGCCCGTTGTACGACACATTTGGCGCCACCTACCTCCTACTCACAGGAAGCATCCTAACATTTGCGGGGCTCTTCTCATGTGGTTCTGCAACTACAATCTACCAATTCATCTTGAGTTTTGGGTTGTGCACAGGCATGGGAACGGGGTTCCTCATGTTCCCTGCAATTTCCGTCATCTCCAGTTGGTTCAACAGGGTGAAAAGACCATTCTACATTGGCGTGGCACAGACTGGGGGTTCTGTTGGTGGTATTTTTTTCCCTATCTTGTTAAGATACTTGTTTGACAAATACGGGTTCACCTGGGCTATGAGAATTTTTGCTTTGTTCAACTTGGGTGTCACTTTACTCTCGGTCCTTTTGACGAAGGACAGATTGAAGGAGCTTCGGGATTTAACAGGCGAAGCAATCGATGAAAGAACATTCTGGGATAAGCTCAAAGGTTCCATCGACTTAAACTATTTTAAGGACAAAAAGTTTATGGTTTTGACTAGTGCACTTTTCATGAACGAGTTCTCGTTGTTAATTGTGTTGACCTATCTTGCATCGTATGCAATGGCCTACGGAGCATCAGAATCGGAGAGTTATGTAATGCTTACGATCTTAAACGTTGCCGGGACGTTCGGCAAATTCATCCCATCGTATTTCGCCCAGAAATACGGTTGTTTCAATATGATGATCTTGATGTCTGTCTCGATGACACTGGAATGTTTCATTATTTGGCTTCCGTTCGGCAAACACAAAGCTGCATTGTATGTTTTCATCGTGCTCTTTGGATTTGCCTACTCTGCTACATACTCGTTGACAGGCGCCACGGTTGGGGCCATAACCTCAAAAACAAAGGACTTTGGGAAGCGCTACGGGTCTGCTTATGCGATTGTTTCGTTTGGAAACTTAGTCTCCCTTCCTATATCCGGTGCTTTTATCGTCAACAAGACTACGAGTGATTATGATCACATGGTAGCCTTTGCCTCTGCCTCGTGCTGTGTGGCCTCAATTCTCTTCCTTTTCTCCAGATATACCATTGTTGGAAGAAAGTGGAAAGTTGCCATCTAATCGTATACATTCACTATCTACAGCATATGTAACACATACAGAAACTGATTAGTAATATCAGCCGATAATCATCTTACGATTAGGCAAGTGTGGTGGTGGTGTTTCTTCCACCACATCAATATCCCTCATTTCTCACTCCGGAGAAAGCATCGGATTTTCCTTTTTCTTCAAACTGTGGCATCGAGCCCTGATTAGAACTCCGGAAATGCTAGTTCCGCTTGCCAGAGGAGTGGGTTGGGGCAAAGTTTAGCATTCGTTTCAATAACAACATTGATAATTATAAAAGGGCCTTGCTCCAGATGAAAGAACAGTGTTTGAAATGGAATGAAAGGGCAGAGAGTTTTGTTTTTCAATAAGTTCCACTAACGATCACCGAAATGTCAGCGGCTACAACCACTACCATAACAGAACAACTATCTAATCCAGAAAGGGAGACCGTCAAAATTGTCAATGACGCTCCTATTGATGAACAAATTGAGGAATTGATCCGGAATAACAACCAGATTAACATCACTAGAACTAGGCACAAAAAGATTGCTCTCCAGCCTGGCATAGATAAGTCAGGGCTAGCAATTTTGCCAGAAAGCACAAGAAAAAGATTAGAGGACGATGATATTGACATTGCAAAGGGGTATCCAGAGGTACCAGAAAGAAACAAGATTCCTATTTTTGTTGACCAGGCACATGCTATTAGAGACTACGATGTCCCATTCGTTGACAGGGGCAAGGGAGCAGATCCAGAGAAAAAGGCCTTGTTTGGTGCAGCCAAGGAGGTTATCAATTTGACCAAGAACGTCGGTACCGAAATTGTTGGCTTACAGCTGGAGGATTTGACAAACCAACAAAAAGATGAGTTGGCCTTGTTGATTGCGGAAAGAGTTGTTGTTTTCTTCAGAGACCAAAAGCTCTCTCCAACTGCGCAGCACAAGCTTGGAGACTATTACGGCAACATAGAAGTCCATGCACAAACTCCTCAGGTCCCTGGTCTACCTGGAACGACCGTGATCTGGAACGATTATCAGGTTTCGCAGGGAATGGCGTTGAACTTTAGTAACAGCAACTTGGGGAACTGGGACTCCACTAAGTATCTTTCTGTCGGCAACCAAGGTTGGCACACAGACTTGGTTCATGAGAGACAGCCTACAGGGTACACACACTTGCACTTGGATGCCATTCCAGAAGTTGGCGGCGACACCATTTGGTCGTCTGGCTACGGAGCTTACGACAAATTGAGCGACGAGTTTAAGAAATTCTTAGACGGCAAGGAAGCAGTATACGTTTCTGCACACCAGTACTTGGATAGGGATGATCCATTTGGTGGTCCGAAAAGAATTGAAAGAGTCCACCCGCTTGTCAGAACTCATCCCGCTACCGGTTGGAAGTTCTTGTATGTCAACAGAGGCATGACAAAGAGAATTCTTGGTGTGTCGCCTGTCGAAAGCGATTTGATCCTCAACTATTTGTTTGACGTGTACGAGAAGAATGCAGATCTCCAGGTGAGATTCAAGTGGACTAACACCAAGCAAGGCTACGGTACTTCTGCCATTTGGGACAACAGAGTCTCCCAACATAGAAACGTCTGGGATCACGAGGGGGCGGAGCCTAGACACGGCACCAGAGTTACTTCATTAGCAGAGAAACCATTTTTTGATCCGGAATCAAAATCTCAAAGAGAATCCCTTGGGTTGTACCTGCACCAGTGGGAATGATTACTGGCATTACTCTGTTTCCTCTCTTTGGCTTAGTTCAGTTTAACTTTATTTTACTATATTTATCTTATTATTGCGTATTTATTAATGAATGGTATGGAAAAAGACACGAGAATGAAAAATTTATCTGCTTTGGTTTCCAACGGTAAAGGATTCAAACTAGGCTTAGCGGTAGCAATACCGGATACGTTACATCACATCCCTTGCCATCTCTTTCCTCAATATACCGGGCCGCCACAAATCTCAACTGGCGCTTATCGTCTCCGAATTTCCCATTCAAGTTTTTTTATCCCCGCCACAACTCTTTACCGGCCTTCAATGCAAGCTCTGCCAATCAGCTGTGTTGCCAGTTGCTCGGTGCCTGGGGCCCTAAGATAACAACAGTTTCTTGGTACTATCTGACGGCATTGATGCCAGTGGCCACATAAGTACCTACTGCGGCATTTACAACGAGACTGCTGTTGGCTATCAAAGAAATACTTATGTAAAAGTATCTAAAACTATATGTGCAAGTATCAGAGGAACAGCACAAGGCTAGCTCTAGACCATTATGTGAAGGCATATTTATTCCTTGCAGCATGTAGTAAACTATCGATGTAAGCAAGAAAAAGGTAACCACTGATTGGAGCCGAGTCGGTGGAACACTTTTTTAAATGAACCAGGCTTTATGTATAGCCTATACGACTTTGACATTTTTACATCGTCTAGTGGAAGTGTAAAAAACATTTGTTTCAAGTGAATAAAACAAAGGTATTTTATTCCACAATTTTAGTAGTTTTTCAGCAGTTCAGAACCCTACCGGCAATTGATCCTGGTTATCTCCTCAGTTTTGACCCTAAGAGGACTATACAAACAGCTTGTCTCCAGAGCTAACTCTTTTTGATCACGATTCCATCATCTGTCAACACCTCTTGTCCCACTTCTAAGACTATTTGTAGAATATCATTTTTCCGTCAAAGTGATTGCCGATAAAGACAAGTGACCAGTAACAGATAACGGTTGCCGGATTGGGATATAGGCGAAGAACGGCAGCCGATTGCGGATAATATCCCGACCCTAAAAACAGCTAGGGTGAAGTGAGTATTAGAGGAAAAGAAGTGAAGCAGAAGTGTTTACAGATTTAGGTGAAGAAGAAGAAGTGGAAGAAAAGGTGGAGGCGGCGATGTACAGAAACCGGTGATTTGATGTTTTGGCTAGGGAGACATGTTTAATTCAACAATCGGAGAAATGGATCCGTCTTCTGTGCCACGTAGAAGCGGTGAAACAAGACCAGAGAGTTTCAGCTTTGTGCAAGGTGGCAGTTTGAACGGTCATCTTCCACAGGCACATATAAGAGCAGATGCAAGGTTACAAGAACAGGAGTTTACCTCCTATAAGGCGCTTGATTACCAGAAAGGTGGCATTGAGATGCACGAACTCACTGTCAAAAAGGTCCGCACTTATGCTGAGAATGATTTGGATGCCGGACATAGACACAGAACAACCTCTCTAGAAGAGGTGGTGGTGGAGGCAGAGGAAGAGAATGAGACCGAAGAAGATTCTTACTACCCAAAGGGTTGGAAACCCATGCTTGTAGTTTTGGGAAGTTTTTTATCGTGTTTCACCATGTTCGGAATCTTCAATTCTGTGGGTGCCATCGAAGCCTTCGTGCAGGACCATCAGCTTGCCTCTGCTTCGGTTTCCTCAGTCTCCTGGGTATTTTCAATCTACATGTTTGTTTCGCTTTTTCTAGGCTTGGTGGTGGGTCCGCTGTACGATACATTTGGTGCTACATACCTTCTACTCACGGGAAGCATTCTAACCTTCGTCGGACTTTTTGCATGTGGGTCTGCTACCACAATTTATCAGTTCATCTTAAGTTTCGGACTATGTAACGGCATCGGCGCTGGATTCATCATGTTCCCCGGTATCTCAGTCATATCAAGTTGGTTCAACAAAGAAAAAAGATCTTTCTACATAGGAGTAGCACAAACTGGTGGTTCAATTGCAGGAATATTCTTCCCCATTTTGTTGCGATACTTGTTTGATAAGTACGGCTTTAAGTGGGCTATGAGAATACTTGCTCTATTCAACCTTGGTGTAACTCTAGTATCCTTACCTTTTACGCGGGACAGGTTGACAGAGCTCAGAGAGTTGAGGGGCGAACCGGCCGATGAAAGGCCCTTCTGGATGAAGCTCAGAGGTTCCATTGACTTGAATTATTTCAAGGACAAAAAGTTTATGGTCTTGACTAGTGCACTTTTCATGAACGAGTTCTCGTTGTTAATTGTGTTGACATATCTTGCATCGTATGCAATGGCATACGGAGCATCAGCATCGGAGAGTTATGTAATGCTTACAATCTTGAACGTTGCCGGGACGTTCGGCAAATTCATCCCATCGTATTTCGCCCAGAAATACGGTTGTTTCAATATGATGATCTTGATGTCTGTTTCGATGACACTTGAATGTTTCATTATTTGGCTTCCGTTCGGCAAACACAAAGCTGCATTGTATGTTTTCATCGTGCTCTTTGGGTTTGCTTATGCTGCAACATACGCCCTCACGGGCGCTTTGGTAGGTGCAATTACTGCAAAGACAAAGGACTTCGGGAAGCGATACGGGTCTGCCTATGCGATTGTTTCGTTTGGTAACCTGATCTCACTTCCCATCTCTGGCTCATTTGTCGTCAACAAGACTACCAGTGACTACAACCACATGGTGGCCTTTGCCTCTGCTTCTTGCTTCTTAGCTTCCTTTCTCTTTATAGTTTCAAGGTGGACTGTCGTAGGCAGTAAACTTAGGGCAGTCGTATGAAACTTAGCCTATAAGAGTGTTCTAAGCAACAAACGAACATATATATATCCTGAAAGATAAAGAAACTTTTGTTTATGCCTCACTGGCGTGTGTCACAGCGAATTAACTGAAATGCAAGCTGATTAGATTTTCCTTGTAAACAGAGATTCATGACAACCTTCCTTCAGGCAATGATCACTGGAGTTGCCAATAACCTAGGACCATGCACCATGGATCAGTTATGTCTGAGGATGAAATGTCAGATTTGGACAGAAACCATGATTTGACCTTTGAAGAATATTTGAACAGTCGTGGCTGGCAAAGTATCCGAAAATCCTCTTTGAATGATAGAGAAGCAGACACTTCAGCCGACACTTCAGGATCATTCCACGGAGACAATTTAAGATATAACCTATTCCCCGATTCAACAGATCAGCTGGACTCATTTGATGGTGAGGTGGATCGGTTGAGTGACCTCAGCTTCAGAACTTCAAACACACGTGGAGAAGACAGAAACGATCTTTTGTATGAGCAGCACCAACATGAATACCAGCAGGCACGTGAGCAGCAACAACGACCAGTGTTCAGACAAGAAAGAAACGGAGGGGGCTCCGACCAATACTACAGTAGTTCTGATGAGGATGACGACGTAGTAAGACTTACAGATTCTATAACCAACGAATTCGAGGTGTCTGCAGCATACTACAACGATTCTCTACACTTGGATCTTACTGGAGACCGACCGATCAGAGAAAGTCAATTCATATACAGCAAAACAGATGGAAATAACAAGGGTTTTTACAGGAAAGTAACTGAATGTACAAAGGTTTCACATTTGGACCACACCAACGGTATACCGCTCAACCCTAAGGATTCACTAGAGAACTATAATCGGGCGGAACACCTGGGACTGAATAACACGACTGTTGATAGAGTACTCCAATCGAGCGATCCTATGTTTGCAATGTCTAATCAGCCGAAAGCTAAATTTCATCCTTCAACAGTGTTAGATGTACAAGGATTGGGACAAACAAAGCTCGAGCTTCAACCTCAATTTCGCAGCCCCTCGGTTTACTTCAAAAGTAATCTATCAGCAACTTACTGCAAAAATGGCTACCAAGTTTTAGTAGTGGCAATTGGTTGCAATTTACACTTTTACAATATGAGCGGAATATCAACTCATGACTCCGAAACTTCATCTTCATCTTCATTTATTTCTAAGACAGATTTTCCATTTATTGGAAATTTGAATCTTGAATTTCGAAATGAAACTAATACACAGGTTGAGAATTCGGTGAACCCTCTAGAACGCTATTCAATAAACTACTTAACTATAAAAACTTTTAGAGATCCTGCGAACAATACCAAATATGACGTTTTGGCGGTGTGTAATGATTTCAGTCAAGTGATTGTACTAGACATGAAAGAGATAATGAATCATTTCTTTAGCTCAGACTATAAAGCTGCCACTGAAACTGAGACCTTCAATTGGCTTTTCTTCAATGATGATAGCATGGTTTTCGAGTGTGTATGTGCAAACAAGAAAAACTCTTTTTTCAGGTCCACGTTAAAGGCATTTGATAAACCATTATATGTTAATGCTAGTGCATGGTGTGTGGATATATGTGACGCAATGGTTGCAGTTTCCGATAACTTGAGAAGAATCACCGTTTTTCAACAGTCATCAATCCGAGAAAAGAGAATGAAATATCAATCCTCTGTTTTAAGCCATAATATTCCTTACCTTAACATAGTTCGCAACGGTGTCGAGAATTATCTTATATGCTGTGGAACATATGGTTCTCACCAATGTATTTTAAGTTTAACCTCCAACAAAGTTGGAGAATACTCATTACATGTGCTTGATGTGGTTGAAGCTGATGGTCCAGTGTGGACATGTAATTTTGTCAAGGAAAGTGATTTCATGGATGTAAGCTCACTCAAAGAGTTGACTGGTGATTTGGTGACCGATCTTGATGGCCAGAAATTGGACAAGATAATAACACAGAGTTCCATTCTAGATACCGGTAGAGACTTTGCTGGATTGTACTCTTCGCATATAGGTTTGAATGCCTACCTAACCCATCTGAATATCCCATCCATTACTAGCCGCCATTCCCAGAAAAAATCGAAGTCTAAAACTATGGCAGTTAATGAAATTAATCAATTGGAAAGAGTAAGAAAATTATATTCTGAATGGTATAAAGCACGCAGGATGCCCACGGACTCAGGCTTAAGGCGAGAGAAGAGTAAACTGGCAGCTGCTAAGTTGCATGAAACCAATCACCTCTTCAATTATTTCATTGTAACAACTACCACACAATCTGTAGGCTTATTCTTGATGAGAGAGCTTATCAACTTAGGAACATGCAAACAAGTTTTCCCAATTATCGAGTCGCCGTATATTGTTGAAAGGCCAAACACTAATGAAGATACAGATAATGATATTAATGCCAGTGGTAGAACAGATGTTGCTGCAATTTTGAGTCTGAACGAGTATGTTTCTTTTAGCTCGGGAGCAAATCGTCGGAACCCTATATTGCCACCACGCTATCAATTTTTGAATCGGATATATTTGTCATTTCCCGTCTTATCATTGAACGCTATTGTTATAGCCACACAAGCTGGCCAAGTTGCAGTGTTTCGCCTAACGAAATTTAATGGACTGCACAGCATGAGACTGGAGTCCGTATTGATTGACGCTGAGATGTACGCCATGGCGCAAGATGGCCGTCTTCGGAGCATAATAGGATTGACAGGGAGTGTTTGCGGGTATGACAATACTGGTGAGAGCGAGTGGATGATAGTGGTAGTGTACAGCGATATGTTGACATTGAGCTACAAACTACACAAGAACAAAAGAGCTGGCGATGAAGGAAGATTGTCCGTATTAAGTATAGTGTGATGGAACTAAACACTATAAAGATCAAAACTTTCAATCATTATTATATAGTTACTTATATTAAACAAAGAGGGCAAAGAGAGACGTAGTTGTTGATAGATGTTTGAAGTGATTAAATACAGAGTTGGTATAGATAAATTATGTGCATATCTATTTAGATGGGGTGGCTGCAGCAGCGGCAGCATCTTGCGCTTGTTTCTCAGCAGCAGCCTTGGCGATATCTTCAGCAGTTGGCATACCTTCGTTGACAATTTTACCTAAGGTCAGCTTTTGGTCAGCCATCAGTTCTTTGGTTTTTTCTTCCTCCTCTTTCAAGAGTTTGTCACCGTTTTCTTTCAAGTAGTTGTACATGTGGAGGTAATTTCTTTGACCTTGTTCACGGATCAAATCCAAAGGCATCTTCTTTGCACCTCTCAAGGAAGGAGGGATACCAAGGATTGTGGAGAAAAAGTCGTTGGACTTTTTACGTTCTTGAGATGCCTTCCATTCTTCACGCATTTTCTGTTCTCTAATGGCGAATTCTTCAGGGATATGATTTCTGTCTTTGAAGGAGGCCAAGACTGGTCTTACATCTTTTGTGTGAGAGGTGGCTAAGTATTCAAGGAAAGGTATCAACTTGATTAAGCCGTCATCTTTTGAACCAGTCCATTTTTCCACTGGGAGAGCGTTTTCAGGCTGCATTGAGTAACAGTCTTGGTCAGGGTCGATAATGACGACCTTGGACAAGTCTCTGTTCAAAAGACTCAAGTCCTTAATCAACTTGCCATCTTTGGAACGACAAACTTCACGGAACAAGGAATATGAGATGAAGGCATGATATGGATCCAACTTTGCGACAGTGGTTTCGGCAAAAGCCATGGAGGAACGGGAGAAGACGACAATTTCGTAGTACTGGGAGAGGTAGCCAAGGAAGTAGTCAAGACCTGGTCTCTTGGCAGTTTTCCAACCCTTCTTGTAGTCCCAGGTAGAGTGGACCAACAAGTCATCCAATTCCACGACAAGGGTGAGTGGAGGAGCATAAGGGCCTGCTGGTTGAGGAGGCAACAAGTCTGTAAAGGCTGGCTCGGAGAAGACATCAGAAACACCCAAAAGTCTCTTTCTGAGTCTGGTGACAATTAAGCCCGGAGAAAAGCAGTTTTCGGCCTCGTTGTAGATCTCAGGCTCCTCCACCGGGTCGTAGTCCCTGGCCATGTAGCCCAAAAATCCGAGGTTTGCGGCAAGGAAGGAGTACCAAAAGATCCGAGAGTACAGCTCCTTCTTCTTGTCAATGGTTGACTTAGTGTTGTTTCTTCTCGATCTAGTCTGTTCGAACTCGTCCTTCTCGGGTTTCTCATTGGAGGAATTTTCAGTACCTTCAGTGTTTTCACCTGAGCCAGAAGAGGCCGACGAGGCCTTTTGTGGCTCGTCGGTGTCGACACCAGCCTTGGAGAGCAGGTCATCGTTGAGAATCGAATTGCTAGTGTTCTTCTTGTCGTTAGCAGAAGAGTAGAGGCGCTGCGAGAGACCGTGGCTGGCCGTGCCAACGGCGCAGACGGTGCTGTGACGTAGTAGGGCAGGAATACGTGCCGTCTGTGCCCCGGAGAGACGCACACGGAGGCCCGCTTTGAGGACCGATCTAATCATCACAGAAGCCATCTTCGTTTCTGAGTCTGTGTCTGTCGATGGATGCTGTGTGTTACAGGCAGTTTCAGAGGGAGCAGACCAAGATGGCCTTCTCCACCGGCTACGGATGAACAAAATGCGTCGACGTTCCGCAGTGAAAAAAAAGCGAGCGGAAGGAAAAAACCGACAGTGGGAGAGAAAGGAAGCTCAGCCCTCTGAACGGGCAGAAAGGTGTTGCAAAAGGGGGTGGGTTAGACGTACAGGAGAGGGTTGGTACAGACAGGTTAGACGCGGAAAGAGTCATGTCTCAGACAGTAGGTCATCATCGGGTCATGGGTCTATCTGCTCTGGGAGCAGAGACCTGCACCAACGATGGTTTTAACGCTGAGCGTCCAGAGACGGTGCTGTGGAAAGCACAACGGCAGGGACAGCGCTGGAGCCTGAGGCACCGTGAAAGAGGCCCTGTGTGCCGTTGTGGGTTCGTTGGAGAAAGAAAGGAAAAGAGAAGTAAGGAGAATCCGGAGGGAAGAGAGAGCAAATTTAGGAAGAAGAAGGTGCACAGGGAAGGAGACGAGAAAGGACGAAGCGAGCGACTTTTATAGCAGGGCGAAAATGCAAGACGAAAACGGCAATGCGTAGAGTTGGTGAAGATAGACAAAGACAGAAGAGGAGGGCTCTTCTTGTTCTGACAGGAAACTCAGTGTGGAGGTCAGCAGACGCCATACAATACAACAGCGGTCCGGCATGGCAGATCCGTTTGCAGCACAGCTCTCGGCATTCAAGAGATCGCTCAAGTCGAACACAGACCTCCCGCAGCAGCGGAGAGGTCTAGCGACGACGCCTCCGCCCAGCACACAGCAGGCAAAGACGCCGCCAGCGTCCGCCAAACGACCGGACACGTCGTCGAGTGAAGACGGGGCTGTCGCCAAGCGCCTGAAAACGGCTGGGGAAGGCGATGGAGCAGAGCTTGGCGGGGCCAAGAACGGAACGACCACTCACGATGGTGGGGACGCTGAGGAGATGGACGACGACGAGTACCACGCCACGAGCGTGGCCCAGGCGACGGCAATGTCGGCGGCAGCACAGGCGGCGGCGGCAGCCGGACAGGGAAACCTCACGATGAAGCTCATGGCGTCGTCGGACTACATTAAGAGCAAGGACCGAGACGTGCCCGTGTTCGAGCTCGAGACGTCGCTGGGGTTCAAGGTCGACCCGCAGCTCCTCAAGTGTCTTTCGAACGTGGACCGGATCCAGTACAACCCGGAGTCATCGTCGTTCCAGTACCTCTCGCTTCACAACATCAAGACGGGCGAGGACCTTTTGCGGGTGCTCCGGAACCAGCCTGCGTACGCCGGGCTCAGCGTGAAGCAGTTGCGGGACGGGTGGAACAACTGTTTGCCTACGATTGCCCGGTTGGAGCAGGAGAACGAGATTATAGTGCACAAAACGAAGAAAGACAACTCGCCCCGACACATCTGGCTCAACTTCGACAATTTGCCGATCCGCGTGTACAACAGCGTGCAGACGGTGCAGAGCTGGGAGATCATCACTGGCCAGATCCCCTCGTCGGTGTCAGCGGCCGCCGCCAGCGCCAATGGCAACGGGGTGGGAGACCCGACAGCCAAGACCCTGGACATGATCTTTTACGAAATGTGGAACGCCGTGAACATTCCGCAGCACGACGACTTGGTGAAGTTGCTCCTCGACAACGGCCTCAAACCCACCAACGCCGAGCCAGAGAGCATGAAAAACAAGAAGATTACCTCCGTCCAGGAACGTAAGCAGAAGAAGCCAAGACGTGGTAAAATCACAAACGTTCACATGAGAGGAATTTTGAAGGACTACTCGGGGAAACTCAAATAGCGGATGCCCTCTGTTCGCTCTTTGTTCGTTCTTTGTTTTCTTTCTTACTCTATATAGCTTGCTTTTATATGTATTACTATATAAATCTAAGAACCATAATCATCGCCATTATGAGTCTGACTTCTTCGACTTCTTCTTGTCCTTCTTTTCTTTCTTATCTTTCTTGTCCTTTTTGTCCTTCTTTTCTTTCTTCTCTTTCTTGTCCTTCTTCTTCTTGTCCTTTTCTTCTTCCTCGTCGTCAGAGCCATCTACCTCGTTGTGGCTTCTCTTGTGCTTGTCGCTACTGTGCTTCTTACTCTTGCTGTTTTCACTGCTGCTTTTCCCACTCTTAGGACCGGGCACAACGGGCTCCCGTGCCTCGGCGTAATCCTTAATGTAGTATCCGGTAGGAAAATGACGCATTCTGAGTCCTGTCTCTTTCTCCACATCCTCACGCTGGACAACAACCTTGTCGTACTTTATGCTTGGGATCTTTACTTTCTCGCACACGTCCAAGAAACGGGTGATACTCAGGTCAGAGGCCTTGAAGCTTGATATGCCGTCTTTTTTCGTAGGAACCAGCACCGTGAATTTCCCTTCTTTGCCCAATCCCTTGCCGCTGTCGTCACTCGCTATGCTGTACACTTTCCCCGCTATCTCGAACTCGTCCTCTCCACCGGTGACCGGAATGGACTTGATTTCAGACACATCCACATCCTGTGGAAGCTTGATAAGCCATACTTGCTGTTTTTTGCCAACTTCTTCTAGGGCCTCTGGTCTCTTCAGTCCCATCTGCTTGGTGTATTTCCGTGGTGGTACAAACTCTACTGCCTTCTCCTCGAGTTCTCTCTCTGCTTCGGAATCTGTCGAAAACCCGTCGTCCGAGTCCACGATCATCTCTTCGGATATAACCTTCTTTGCCATTGTTGTGTTGTGCTGGCTCTCTTTGTTACTCCTTGCTCCTTTAGATTAAAGAAAGTCCAATCTCCCAGGCACTCTTCTCTTGGCCAGAAGAAAGCTGAAAAATTTGTACAGAAACAAAAAAATAAAAATCAAAAATCAAAAAAATCAAAAAATTGAAATTAAATGTTAAAAGGTCTCCATTTTCTCATTTTCTCATTTTCTCATTTTTCTCATTTTCCTCATTCTCACGCTTCAAAGAGACAGATAGACATGTATACGACAATTATGGGCACTTGGTAAACCGTAGTCTGTTACTCCGAGATTACGAGGAGACCTAAGCGCTCACCTACCATGTTCAATTCACTACCTGTACCACAGCAACAGCATCAGCTGTCTGGACCGAGTGGAGCCAAGCTCCACGCTGCTGTGCAGTCCCTCAAAGTAGCCTTTGCGGACATATTGGATCAGAACAACTACACCAGCGCAGACATTAACGACCCTTACGTGAGCTTTGCCCTCAGTCTCTACTCGAGGTACAACAACGACCCGGACTTTCACAACATGATGACGATTCTGATGCAGCTACCACCGCAATTGGATATCCGGTCAAACATCAACCCGGCGGGAGCAGCAACAGCAGCAGAACCCGGAACGCTAAACTTACTCTCACCTGCTATACCTTACTTATACCACAGCGACATCCCTTTTGTGTTCTCTCTATTTCCTTCCTTCCCCTATTTGCCGCTCGGAGAGCTTACTCCGACTTTGTTGAACGACGATCTTGAATTTGAAAGGTTTTGTCTCGTGGGAACTTCGATACTAGAGTACCTTATCAAAATCACACTGTACAAGAAAGAGAAGAATTTGCCCGCATTTGAGATAATGAAGACTGTCCGGTCGATAATTAACACCAGATCTCTCACTATACTCTGCCAGGCATACAACGTTGAGTTTAATTACAAGTTCATGGGGTATCAGGCTGCACCCTCTAAAATTTTCCTTTCCTACTTCGGCAAATACTACGAGCACTACCTCAAGGAAGGCGATGCGAAGGTAGAGTGGGAAAAATTGTTCAAGTGGATGGAGCAGTTACTAGGCTACGTGGATGAGGAGAACGTGAAAGGAGAGGACGAAAGCCGGCAACGTAAGGTTGATTCACAAGGCATCGCAAAAGGTATTGACATGGGTGTTTCCCATCCGGAAGCATCTAACATGAGCGAACCTAATTACTTGGAGGATAAGCCGTCGGTATCCGCTTCTTTAGACAACGAAAAATCCCAGAACGAGCAATTCAACTTGCAGGAACTGATTCAATCCGTGCAGCAAGATTTGAACCAAAGTATTTGTTCATCAGTGGAGATTTCATACAGCTTAGGAGAGCACCCTGATTTGAAGACGGGAATGTTTTCGTGTAAGTTCTTTTTAGATAAGGTGGAATTTTCCTCTGCTAGTGCAGTGAACAAGAAGTTAGCGAAATCTGGGGCCGCCCTATTTGCCGCTATTGACAATAAGCTCATCAAATTTTTGAAAAGGTCGTATCATGATTATTGGACGAAGAAGTACATCCAGCGAGAAGCTCTGATACGGCGTGCCTTTTCATTAGACTCGAGATTTGAATATAAGGATGCTGATTCGCTACCACCTAATGTATCGGTATCGAACGAAATGGGAATATCTGAAGACCATTCCAAAGCTTCCAACCTTACGGATCCGGCAATTGAAAAGGAAAAGACACTGCTATCAACTGCCAAGGAGAAGGTGTACGCGTACTACAACTCTAAGTTCAACATTGTACCCAAATACGAGTTTTCACAACTCGGGAACGCCAGATTTGAGGCACGTTTGTTTCTAGGTGATAAGATGGTGAGCAGTGCTGAGGCACCAAATAAGAAAGATGCGGGAGCCAAAGCTGCCTTGCAGGTAATTGAACAGAATCTTGATGTGTTTTGAGCAGAAGGAGAAGAGAACTTAGCGTGAGGTAGTTAAATTAGTAAGTTTAAAAAGAGTCTATACATTTTTTATAGTAATTGAGTAATTAGGTAGTGGTAGGGGATGAGATAAGAAAAATATGATTTTTCTAGTAGTCGCCGCTGTTGAATATGTTAATTTCAGAAGGAGCTTTCACGTCGAGTATGTCCATGCCAGTGGAGCCTGAATCGGATCTGCGTGCATTGCGGGCTCTGGCCTGTTCTGCACGTAGCATATAGCTTGTTTCATCACCAGTGACGTATTTACCCGTGAAAACACCTGCCTCAAAGCCGGTTATCTCAGGAGCTTCGTCGTTTCTGGCAATCATGGAGATAATAGAGTTATCTCTGGACACGACTGGAGTCAGCGCCAACTCCCGTTCATGGTCCTTGAGGGAGTCGTCTCTCTGGCAGCAGTCGATCAAATCCTCCAATTTCTGGTAGAAGACGTGGTCGGCGCCGATCTTGAGGGAGACTTCGTTTTCAGTTCTATTGTAGCCCACAAGCTGCTTGTTGTCTGCCAAGTCGATACCGTAGATGTGGTTGTATCTGATGACCGGAGAGCAGGATGCGAAGAAGACCCTTTTCGCACCGGCCTCTCTGGCCATGTTGACAATTTCCTGAGAAGTTGTACCACGGACAATGGAGTCATCCACCAAGAGGACGGACTTGCCGTAAAACTCTGAGGCCATGGCGTTGAGCTTCCTTCTCACGGAGGACTGTCTCTGTTTCTGGTCAGGCATGATGAAGGTTCTTCCAACGTATCTGTTCTTGATGAACCCTTCTCTGTAGGGGAGGTTGAGGGTGATGGCGCATTGAAGGGCGGAGTGTCTGGAGGTGTCAGGAACAGGGATGACGACGTCAATCTCGTTCAATACGTTCTTGTCCTGGGACTTGTAGTAGTCTGTGATGTTCTGGGCCAACTTCTCACCCATCAACAAACGGGAGCGGTAGACGGAAATACCGTCGAGGACGGAGTCTGGTCTGGCAAAGTAGACGTACTCAAAAATGTCTGGACTGTAGGACTTGAGCGGAACGACCTGCTTGAAGACAGGGAGCATCTTGTCCTTGCTGATGATGACAGCTTCTCCGGGCAGGATGTCTCTGTAGACCTGGTAGCCGTGGGCTTTGAGGACGACGGATTCGGACGCAAGCATGTAGTCTCTCTGGCCGTCATCTTTGAGTCTCTCACCGATAAGCAACGGCCGGATACCGTGCGGGTCTCTGAAGCCGATGATGCCGTACCCGGACAGCATGGCGATGCAGGCGTAGGCGCCCCGGACCCTGTTGTAGACGCCCTCGAGGGCCTTGAAGATGTCGTTTTCGTTGACTCTGGACTTGTCGTAGGTGGCCAACTCGGCCGCAAACAAGTTGAGAAGCAACTCCGAGTCCGAGTCGGTGTTGATGTGTCTGTGCACGACCTCGTCCATGTACTTCTTGAGCTCCTCGCCATTGGTCAAGTTACCGTTGTGGCTCAGGGAGATTCCGTACGGGGCGTTCACGTAGAAGGGCTGGGCCTCGCTGTTGGCGCTGGACCCTGCCGTTGGGTACCGCAGGTGGGCGATCCCCATGTTGCCGACCAACTTGCTCATTCTCTCCTGGGTGAACACGTCTCTGGCCATACCATTACCCTTGCACTGGTAGAGACGCCCGCCTCGCCCGCAGGTGACGATACCGGCAGCGTCCTGGCCACGGTGCTGCAGGTAGAGCGAGCCGTCGAAGAGCTCCGAGGCGACGTTGGTGTTGGTGTCTGAGCTGATGATCCCGAGAATCCCACACATGGCTGTAGTGTACTGGAGTGGCGAAGGACCGGGGTGAGGGGGACGGAGGCTAAGCGAAGTTAGTGCTGGTGTCCTACGACGGGAGAAAGGGCGAAGATCCAAGACTGGTGTCAGGACGACAAGGCTACCCAAGTGGAAACAAGCGTGTAGAGAGGGAGAAGAAGCGCAGAGAGAGATACTGGGGTTAAGAGGCCGTACGGTTCCAGGTGCCAGACCAGGAAATCATGTTGCGGTTGCGGTAGCGGTAGCGGGAGAAAACGAGAAAATGAAAAAAAATTAAAAAAATGAAAAAAAATGAAAAAAAAAACATGAAAAAAACGAAAATTTTTAGACACCACAGTAAACGTGAAAAAGACAATTCGCGCCGCTTCTATCGCCGCTGCCGAGCGGAGAGAAGTCAGAACCGGGAAATTGCTCGCCTTTTATACCCCGCCGGCGAGAAGACCGAGCCCGACCCCGAAAGGGGCAGCCGCCGTTCCGAATGCGGAAGCCTGACGGGGCGACCGAGAACCGCTGAGCATCTGCAGAAATCGCTGAGCATCTGCAGAAATCGCTGAGCATTTTGAGCCGATCGGCCCAGAGCCTTTTTTCCCCCGGGTTTGCCCCCGCTCCGGCGGGCGGTGAAGATAGCGGGAGAGGGGGAGGTGAGGGTGGGAGAGACGGACGGACAGAGAGAGACAGCGAGAGAGAGACGGCAGTAAAGATGGCGTGCGGTGGCAGGAGCGGTGCAGGGGGGCGGGATAGGGATGGACAGCAGAAGGAGCACCGTTCGACCGACACCCCGGCACAGCACTTGTTTCCGCAGGGCCCCCGTCGTACCCAGCAGCAGCGCAGCACAATTGTCCGTCGTTCAGTCAGACAGAGCCAAAAGGCAAAGAACCAGAGAGCATAGAGCACAAAGCGAGAGCACAGAGCGAGAGAACAGAGCGAGAGCACAGAGCACACGTAGCGAGATACCTGCCACCCTGTTTGCAAGAAAGAAGAGCAGCCGCAGCAGCCCCCGTGAACACCCCTTCTCCCCCTCTGCACACACACTGCGCTCCTGGCTACGTCCACACCCCTCCTCAGAATACCCCCCTGGCACTGCATCCTGCACAGGACCACCCCCACGCCCACTTTTCTACATCGCCTACACACAGCTCGCCCGCAGCCACCGCACCCGAGGTCTGGCCTGCTGAGAACACGCCTCACACACCCGCCGTCCGGCAGCACCAGCAACAAGAACAACAGGGGTTCTGCTCATAAGCAGCACAGCTCACCCATCCCGCCCGACAAACCGCCTCCCCCTGCCTCCCCCGCAAGCACGCCATGGGTAACGAAGGATCAAAGCCCAAGGGCAACCCGGGCTTCACTCGCTCGGACACCATGAACTCGACTCGGTCGTCCCGGTCCCTCAAGAGCAGAAGGTCCACCAAGGACCTGACGGGCAGCGACCTCACTAACGTAAAATCTGCCCCGCAATCCGAGTCCACTCCCTCCAAGCACACAACCCAGCTCTTGCAGCCGCCGCAGTCACAGCAGTCACAGCAGCAGCAACAGCGGACGCCGAACGCCAGCAGGCGCAGCTCGTTCAACCACAACGCGTCCTCGGATTCCAAATCTGATCACTACGACTACATCTACGACGAGGAGTTCAACCACAACGACTTCAGCAGCAACAACATCAGCAACGACCATCAGCATCTTCTCAACCACAACAAGATCTACCCGCATGACGACGACCATTTGAGGCTCCCCCCCTCTATGGCCATCTTGAAACCGAAGTCTCCCATCCTCAGAATGAATTCCTCCACCTCAATCAATGACACTTCGATCCAGCATATGTCAAACATAGAGCGCCAGCACAGCAATGTCGACCATCCAAACATATCCAGGAGGAACTCAACCACCACCGTGAACTCGAGAGACAGCAAGAGCAGCAAAACCAGTCGAAATAGCAGAAATAGCCGAAGTAGTCGAAGCGGCGCTAACTACAACGACACCAGTGTCTCTGAAGACGATTTGGCCAGCTCGCATGGAATCCCAATAGATGCTTTCAACAATTTACATTTGGAAAATCCCAATCATAACCCAATCATTGATGTCACTGGTGGCACAGACAGTGCCATAGATTCAGATGATGATCCTGATACTATGAATTACAGCGCCGTCTCTGGCTCTAGTGGTGACAACCAAAATAGATTATCAACTTCAGCAAATTCAAACTCTAACAATTCATTCTCTCATTCTAGATCGCATTCCCATTCTAGATCACATTCACATTCCCGCTCTCGTTCTTCAACAGTTTCAAGTAGAATCAAAACACCATTCTCTGGTGTTGATCCTTCTAATAGCTCTGAAACTGTGGATTACATAAACCACAACGATAATGGCGAGACTGGGAATAAAGACACCTCTTTTGGTAATGCATCAGAGCATAACCTTCATGACTCTTCTAACAGTGAAATTCATAGCCGTACACCGAGAACATCTACCTCGTCGTCCCATTCACGTTCTCATTCAATTGAAGGCATGAGAGGCCTAATTCATTCCAACAATGATAATATATCCAATAATGACAATACCAATAATTACAGTGGCGATACTAATCTAAATGGGGGCGCCAGTAACTATGGCAGCGGGAACCCCGAATCAAGCACTACTGAATCCAATAACACAGACACTATTAATAGTAATGATTTTAGAAGACGTTATAATTTGAACATTGAAGATTTGATCCAACGTCTATTGGACGCCGGTTATTCCGGAAAAAGAACGAAGTCTGTCTGTTTAAAAAATTCCGAAATTGCTCTCATCTGTTCGGTTGCTAGAGAAATTTTCCTCTCTCAGCCAACTCTTCTAGAGTTGAGTGCTCCTGTTAAAATTGTTGGTGACGTTCATGGCCAATATATAGACTTGATCAGAATTTTTTCCAAGTGTGGGTTCCCTCCAGCTTCAAACTATTTATTTTTGGGTGATTATGTCGATAGAGGCAAACAATCGTTAGAAACAATTCTACTTTTACTATGTTATAAGATTAAGTTCCCGGAAAATTTCTTTTTATTAAGAGGCAATCATGAATGTGCTCAAATTACGAGACAATACGGGTTTTATGACGAGTGTAAAAGAAGAACAAACTTGAAGACGTGGAAGCTTTTTGTTGATACTTTCAACACTTTACCCATTGCAGCAATTGTTGCATCCAAAATATTCTGCGTTCATGGTGGGTTGTCACCTGTTTTGAACTCGATGGATGAAATCAGAAACATTAGAAGACCTACAGATGTTCCTGACTTCGGTTTATTGAACGACCTATTATGGTCTGATCCTGCAGACTCGCCAAATCAATGGGAAGATAACGAACGTGGGGTCTCGTACTGTTATAACAAGGTTGCAATCAATAACTTTTTGAACAAATTCCAGTTCGATTTGGTTGTTCGTGCCCACATGGTTGTTGAAGATGGTTACGAGTTTTTCAATGATAGGTCATTGGTTACAGTTTTCTCTGCTCCCAATTATTGCGGTGAATTCGATAATTGGGGTGCAGTTATGGGTGTTAGTGAAGAGTTGCTTTGTTCTTTCGAGCTATTGGACCCATTGGATAGTGTTGCACTCAAGAATCTAATGAAGAAGGGTAGAATAGAAAGAAGAAATGCTATGATGAACTATACTAACTCTCCATCCAAATAAATAACGAACAAATGGAAGGTTCAAAAAAAAAAGGAAATCATTACAAAAATACAATGAATAATAATAATAATAATACAACTATGAAGACTAACAACGGTTGACTAATTTTTACTTATATACTATAATTATCTCTATATCCACACATATATAGTATAGTGCAAAATGTACATTTTGCACTGGCTTCTCAAAGGGAGAAGACTTAATCGAATTAACGTTCTCAAATTCAGCTACTCGGCTTTCTCCACAACTGCCCACCAGTTGTCTCTTTCGTAACCTTCCTTGAGGAGTTTTCCTCCGGCTTTTACACAGTTGTCAGCTAGCTCACCCTTCTTGTATAAGTGATAGAATCTCATCTTCACAGGCGGCTTTTCCTCGGTAGTCTCATTTTCTTCCTTTTTTCCCTCTTTCTTTTCATGTTTTCCCTTCTTTGCCAGTACCCACGGCACTAAGATGTCCTGCTCCATACCCTCATGATAGCCCCTCCTAGACTTTTCTTGCTCTAATGCCCAGCAGTAAATTAACGCCTGTCCAGATGGCTTCAAGACTCTGAGTATCTCCGCAATAGCGTCGACTCGCCGTGCCTCATCTGCAAAATGATGTATCACGGCAATGGATATGGCAAAATCAAACGTGTCCCTCTTATGCGGAAGATTCATACCGTCCGCCACTATTATGTCGTTGCATTCCTCCTTGTGGTGTAGCAGTTTGGCCTGGTCGATCAAACCCGTAGAATAGTCAGATCCTAGTATGAAAAGTTTCTTGTTTACGGCAAGATATTTACCATTTCCACAGCCTACATCGACACCAAAAGCACCATCCCGCTGGGCACCAAGGAACTCAGCAACAATAGGCCATGGCTTGTATCTTGTCTGTGAGAAATGCTGTGCAATCTCGTTGTAGACGTCGTGAACATACTCAGATTCCTTGATTTCGGGAGTTTCACGGGAGTGGAACTTTTCCGTTTCTCTTTTTATCTCGTTCTCCGTGGGCTGCACCATTCCTGACATGTCTGTCTCTAGACGGCTATCTCTGACGGTTTTATCGCCTGGTTTTCAGCAACAGCGTCACCGGTTACAAGAAGGAAAGACGAAGGGGAGAGAAAAACTCATGAGGAAAGTTATCTTTTTCCAGGCTGTGGTGTCTTCCCATCATGACCCGAGCATTCATGTCGGCTCGGTAAATATCCTTTTACAGGGTAACAGGTTGTTTCTGGGCAAGGTAGATGACCATCTTGGGCAAGGACAATGACGATGAATAATAAGGAGCAATTGGAGGACAATGCTGTGCCTGAGCAGGCGCCGCTGAAGCAAAAGGAAGGAAAAGTGAGTCGCTGGATCACGCTTCTGTCCGTCGCTGTCCTCTTATTGTCACTCAGAGCTTGGAATCCAAAAGCATTCTTTACGTTGCCGGCGAACTACTACATCAGAGCATGGTACCTTCCAACAGAAATACTGGACCATTACATTGAAAACATACTCAGCGACGTCAGCTTTGTTGTGCCCGTGTATTTCGAGTCTACACTGTTATTTCCAGATCTCGGGGAGGCAGTGGACATCCAGGTGGATTCCCGAATGCATAATGAGTTCTTCAGTTTGTTGAACTACACGTTGCAACTGATACCCGGCACTAATTCAGAATACCAGAATGGTGCCTACCCTAAAGATGATGTTTTTGTTAACTGCTTGTTGAGCAAGGATAATGCGATACATGTAGACGGGGCCGAAAGCTACGCCGAGCTCTACTTCAACTTGGAAGGTGTGGACGCCAATGACGTACCCTTCTTCATGACACAGCTACTAGTGGATCATTGCTTCCGAGACGAAGTGCAGAAATATGCCCCCGACAACTTCTACAAGCTCGACAGCACCACTACAGGGCAGAAGCAGGACAGCGGGTTGCAGGACGAAGGAAAGTTTCACCTCGTGCATGCCGATTTCATGTCGAGCAACATACTAGCTGCCCTTTTGAGGAGCGGCAGCCACAAGATAAAGGTTCGAGCCGAAATCCACGTGGTTGGAACAACGGTGTTTTCGATTGATATGGAGAAAGCTATTGAAGAGTACATGCAGCCTTTATTTGAGATGCTATCGGACTTTTTCGACTTAGACATCGTCGTGCACAACTTAGGCATGGAGGACTCGACACCACACGAACGTTTGAACCAGACAGGCGATTTACTGTTTCCTTCTGAACTCGTTAATCTTCCCGTGATATGGGACCTTTACCAGCGGACAAAGCTCGAATCTGCGCAAACGGATACCATTTGCGTGAACATGCTCTTCTACCCGTTCTTCCAGGGTGGAGAGCTTATCAAAGAAATCTCTATCGACGCTTCACCCATCTACTCGGACCATGAAAACACGTACCTTACTGTCGAGGAATGGGGCTCCATTTACTTTTCTCACATACTCTATGATAGCTCCAAGTCCGTGAGCAAGCAGCATTTAAAGGACTGCGTGTGGTCCTTCAATGAGAATCTCCTCGACGCGTTGGGAGTGCCCAACGGGAACATGGCCCCCGCTGTCCGTACCAAGATATTCAAGCGGTACATGGTTATGCAGTATTTTACATACTACTCCTCGTTGCTCAACGAGCTTCGGAACATTATCTCCTGGAACACTATCTCCGAGGCCGCTAACTTCAGCCCGGCGAAAACCAGACAGTTCGCTGAGGCATTTGCTAAGAGTCTACAAGAGAGAAAACGGGCGTTGTACCTGGCCCGGTCTGGCGACTTGTCAGCTTCCATTGCCGCCTGCCGCATGATGGTCGACATCCTGCAAGAGACCCTCCACTCCTGATAGATGTATATACACACATATGTAGCATACCAACTTGCGTGTATAGCAAATAGAGACAGCGCGATTGGTCTGTCGGGAAAAAGAAAGTGAATATTTTTGATGTCTAGATGGAAAGTACCGGTATGAAGATGCTGGGGAAGTCGAAAAGTTCTCGTAGTGCAGGATCAGCAGCAGTAGGAGACTAAGGAGCAAAATGTCGGCTAATGGAACAACAAAAAAGATTGTGGCCCTTTTGCAGCAGCTGCCTGCAGACAAAGTGAAGCACTATGCTTCTTTCAAGTACACGCAAATTGAGAGGTTCTGCAACATCGGCGGCATACCCGTTCCGAAGGCAGTGAAGGAGGAGCAGGCAGCAGAGGACAAGAAGAAGCAGGTGTTGATCAAGATTGACGCTGCAAAGTTGAAAAGAATGATTTTTTCCGAGAAGGAGGAGCAACCGGACTACCAGAAAAACCTTTTCAACGAGGACATTCTTAAACAGCAGTATAAGTCGCTAAAAAACATACACGAGAAGAAGTGGGGGGACTTCTATGCGATCAGCAGCAAGCTGCACGAGCCTAAGGGCAATCCTAACTACTACACGAGATTACTCGGGGATGTTAACAAGGGTGGACAGAAGAAGGAGGGCCTTTTTGCAGCCTTCAAGACAATCATCAGTGGCAGATACTGATTTGCGTGTAAATAATAACCATGTCTATATAAGTACGTACATGACTGTATATCCGTTCCCGTAAAGCTTTTTGATAAGACACAGTTTCTTCACTTTTTGGCGAAGGCTAGAGTACAAGTCTGACCCTTGACACTGACAGAGGTCCCCAGCTCGTCGACACACTCCACCGCGTTTTCCTCGGTCTGGAACTCGACAAGCGCAAGTTGTCGCACAAGGACGAGGTTAACCGTGAGAAACCCGGAATACCTAGTAAACAGATCAATGAGGTCTTGCTCCTGCGTGTCCTTGGGCAAACCAGTGATAATGAGGATATGGTTAGGAACAGCTTTCTCCTGAGTCTTCGTCCGCTTGCTTGCAGGCTTTCCGCCGGCGAGGGAATCGTCATCCCTGTCCAATCCTCTCTTCTTGCTTCCAGCCTTCTCCTTCTCTTGCTGTCGTCTAAGCAACCGGGCTTCACGATGTCTCTGGATGTACTGTTTGTATTTCTCACCTGTGAGCGTCTTTTCAGCCGCCAAATCGGACTCAGCCTTGGCGACACGGACGTTCATCGGTTTGCCGCACACCATTTTTGTATTAAACGTCTCTACAACGCTGTTGACATCCACCGTTCCCGCAAACGAGACAAACGCCTGCCCTCGGAGCTTGAGGTTTTTGCATGCCTGGACGTCCAAAACCCGGAACCCTGCATCGTTGAAAAGGGCCGTGAGGTTTTTCCGCAACGAGGAAACCGTAAGCTTCTCGTTCAGGTTGCGTATGTACACTGTGTGTTCCGCTGACATGATAATTTGCTACCCGTTGTCTACAGATGTTGTCCAGCAGTCCCATCTCTGGTCTCTAGAGCTTCCAGTAGTGGGAAGGAGAATTTAAAATGAGTCCCGATGACGGAAACATCACATCACGTGACTTCCTCCTTATAGATTTGCAACTGGTTCTTTTCTTTCATGTCGACATCCAGGCCCCTTAGGAGGAGCCTAGCCTTTGCAATGGTTCTACGGCGGACATGCTGTGTTCAGCAATGGGTTTTGTGTGTGCTCTGTAGCAATGACTGGTTAACGGCAACGGACTGCAGACCAACAAACTGTTTGTGCTCATGTTCTGCCTAATATTTGTTAGCGGGCCTTTCCACACAGACATGATCGGAACACACCAATCGAGGCTCTTTCATGCGACAAGCCCATGTCACTAACTTGATCCCTATATTCCCGTGACCTCCACTGCAACACTAGAGGTTTCCACCAGGCACGGTAGGAAGCAACCTTCCGAATGGGGAAAAAGCGCTCTCAGCGCCATGTTCTGAATCCAAATTAGGCAACTAACTGCTCGTCACGTCTGTTCCGAAGAGCTACGAAGCTGTTAATTGGTGCACTGTTCAAGGGAGTTCCAGTCAAGTATAAAAGGTACACACTATCTCCAGCCTACAATAGATATTTTTGGGTTGATTTGCGTGTCAGGCTTTTCCGACATTATCACCCCAGATATTTCGAGTATTCCATTCTGAGACATGAAACGCATAAGCCAGTTTGACACATTCGCAGAAAGCACAAGCTCACTAGAGGGGTCTAAAGAGTCGGAGACTTTCTTGGACGCTCTTGGAGCGGTTGAAACGCCACAATCATCGTCTCCGACGTTGACGTGTCTCTCCTCCAACCCGACATTTGAGACATCGTCTATCCAGCCAAGCGCCAGGAACGAAGAAGTAGCGTTGAAATCGAGCATGCGCGAACTACTCTCCAAGCATTTGATTATAGGCTTGCTCTGCTTGATGGTAGCATTTGGAGGCTTTGTTTTTGGATGGGACACGGGCACGATCTCCGGGTTTGTGCAGATGCCGAGTTTCAAACAAACTTTTGGGGAATGGAACGTCAAGGATAACAGCTTTGAATTCACAAATACACGTGTAGGATTGATCATTTCTATCTTCAATATTGGCTGTGCTGTTGGAGGCATTACCTTGGGCAAATTGGGAGATGTCTTTGGAAGGAAGATAGGATTGATGGGAGTAATGATGATCTACATTGTGGGTATCATTGTCCAGATTTCGTCCTTTCACTGGGTGCAGTTCATGGTTGGAAGAATAATTTCAGGTCTAGCGGTGGGAGCTGTCTCTGTTTTGTCACCAATGTTCATTGCAGAGACGTCACCTGCTGAGATAAGGGGTATCATGGTCTCCTGCTACCAGTTGATGATCACCCTAGGTATCCTTTTGGGCTACATTACCACATTTGGTACAGTACACTCCTATGATGATGCCCGACAATGGAGAATTCCATTAGGATTATGTTTTGTCTGGGCTGTGGCTATGATAGGAGGTATGCTATTTTTGCCGGAATCAGCAAGATACTTGATTGAAAAAGGTCACATGGAGAAGGCAAGGCTATCCGTTGCAAAAGTCAACAGTATGGACCCCTACGATGAGGTCGTTCAACAGGAGATTGAAACGTTTACTTTAGCTATTGCGGAGCAGCACGAAGCGGGCAATGCTTCCTGGATGGAATTGCTCATGGGGAAACCTCGTATCTTGGCCCGTCTCATTATCGGAATTGCATTGCACTCTTTCCAACAGCTAACTGGTAACAACTACTTTTTCTACTATGGAACATCAATCTTTAAATCAGTGGGACTACAAGATTCGTTTGTCACCTCAATCATCCTTGGTGCTGTCAATTTTGGCTCCACCTTTATTGCGCTCTACAGCATTGGAAAAGTGGGAAGAAGACCGAATCTACTCTACGGGTCTGTTTGCATGGCTGCCTGTTTATTGACCTTTTCTGTGATCGGATCCACCATTCTTTATCCAAATGGTTTTGATCAGCCAACAGATAAGCAAGCTGGAGGCGCTATGATTTTCCTTACATGTATGTTTATTTTCACCTTTGCCACTACATGGGCTCCTGGAGTATTTGTGGTGGTTTCCGAGACTTATCCGTTGAGGATCCGGTCCAAGGGTATGGCTATCGCTACAGCCGCCAACTGGCTATGGGGGTTTATGATTGCTTTTTTCACGCCATTTATCATTTCCCACATTAGGTTTGCCTATGGGTTTGTATTTTTTGGATGCACTGTTGCGGCTGCCATTTTCGTTTACTTGATGGTCCCTGAAACTGGTGGGCTTTCTTTGGAGCAGGTGGATGTTTTATACAAATATTACAAGCCAGGACAAGCCCAAAATACCCGTGATGAGGCAGAAGAGAGTGTCCGTGTCGAAAGGTTGAACGCACTGCCACCTTTTCCCTATCCTTTTGAAGAAAAAATTAGCATGATGACACCGAACTATGATGCATGAACAAAATTATCACTGAAAATTCTTTCCTACTGAAAAAGCTTCTATGTATCATGATTTTTCTACTTTTACATTTTTTGATCTTTCGAACAATTTTATATAACTTTTGAGAAAAAAACGTACGATAAGTACTCTGTGTTGCTTATTTCTCGAACAAACCAATCTCAGCTAAGAAAGCATCTGATTCTGGTTTTCTCCCAAGTAAATCTACCAAGTTTTCCATCTCGTCTCTAGAACCGCCTCTGGCTAAAATTTTGTTTCTGTAGTCCATACCGTTGGTCACGTTCAATGGATCTTTCGAAAACTTGGAGAAAAAAATGTCAGCGGCAAAGACATGAGACCAGAGGTAGCCGTAATAACCGGAAGCATAACCTCCCATCAAGTGGCCAAAAGATCCATAACCCTTAAAGCTTTGGCCTCCGTTGCTGATCAAGCAAATCTCTTCTCTCATATCATTCCATAATTTATCGACGTCAACTTCACCTGTTGCCGAGGTGTGCAATTCCATATCGAATAATCCAAAATGCAACTGTCTCAAATTGAACATCGCACCGTTTACATTTTTAGACGCAATTAGCGATCTAATCAAAGCCGAAGGCATCTTTTCGTTGGTCTTATAGTGGCTGGACAACTTTGTCAACATAGCTTCATCCCAACAAAAATATTCAAGGAGTTGGGATGGCATTTCCACAAAGTCCCAGCTGACGGAGGTACCATGGAACCTCGAGTACTTGGTCTGACCCATCAAATCGTGGATACCGTGACCTAGCTCGTGGAAGAAAGTTACGACCTCGTTATGTTTCAACAATGAAGGTTTTTCCTTTGTATCCTTGGTGAAGTTACACACCAAAGAGGTGGACGGGTAATTCTTCTTTCCAGTAGTAACATCAATGTAGGCTGGGACCAAGCCAAAGTTAGCAGCATGGCCGTATTTGCCCGCTCTTGGGTGCAAGTCAAAATAGAGGTAACCAATGAAGGTGGGTTCGTTGTTGTCCATTTTCCACACTGCAAACTGCTGAACGTCTTCGTGCCAGGTATCGTAGTCTTTGCTTGACTTGGAAATTTCGACAAACTTCAAGTTGAAAATTGTCTCGTAGATGGAGAGCATCTTCTCGATGGTGTTTTGCATCGGAAAGTACTCTGAGATCTTGATATCGTCGACGTTGTAGTCGTTTTCAAGCATCTTGGTGTGGTAGTACCGTTGATCCCAGATGTAGTAGTCATCCGACTCGACGCCTGTCTCCTTTGCCTTTAGGGTCTTCAAGTATTCAAATTCCTTTTCGCCAAGAGGCTTCAACTTGACTCTCAAGTCGTTCATGAAGCTCATGACAGTCTCTGGCGTCTTGGCCATCCGCTCTTCGAGCACATACTCGGAGAAGTTCTTGTAGCCAAGCAAATGGGAAAGCTCTGCTCTGATCTTCACTGCCTCAATGAGCAGGCCTGCGTTTTCAGGGACCTTGGATTGGTCGGCGGTAAAGGCGGCCTTTCTGGTCTCGGCGTTCTTGGCATACTTAAGCACGGGGAAAAGATCCGGGTACTTGAACGTCATCTTGTACTTGACCGGACCTTCCGGCTCCTCAACCTTTTCAAAGCTGGCCACGACGTCGTCCGGTAGGCCCTCGAGCTGTTCTCTTGTGAAGAGCAAAAAGCCCGTCTCCTCGCTCAAGTTCTGGGAGAACTTCAACGAGAGCGTGGAGAGCTGCTGTTTGAGCTCCTTGATCTTCTCCCGCTTCTCAAGCGGGAGAGACAAGCCGTTTCTCTCGTACTGTCTGTTCACCTTTTCAAGGAAGCGTCTTGTCTCTGCGTCGAGGGTAGCGTTGTCCTTGTTGTCCTCGTACACCTTGTGGATCGCCCTGTACACGTCCTCCCGCAATCCGGCCTCGATGCCGTACTTGCGGAACTTGGCGTCCGCCTCATTCGACGCCTCCCGAAGCTGCTTGTCTGACGACACGTGCTGGTAGAAGGACAGCTGGTTGGTCAAGCCGGCCTGGCGGTTCTCCAGGTCGGCGTACGGCTTGATCACAGACTCGATGGTGGCGTCCGTGGCGCCAATCGCCCCGATACGGTTGTCGAGGTCCTCAGCCTCGGCAATCAGTCTTGTTGTCTCTAGCAGAATCGACTCTGGCGTGTGGTTCCATTGCAGCGGGCTCTGTGGCGGAGCTGGTGGTGAGATCATTGATGCTTGCGATGCTGACGAAGTGAGTCTGTGCTGGACGAAATATGCTGCCGAAAGTGTGAGAAGTCCTGTGGAAAGCCAGAACCTGTTGCTGTGCTGTTGTAGCGGTCTATTCAGTGTCCTGCAAAGCGTGTGCATTGGGTTGTGGCCTTTCTTTGGCCTCTCTTTGCCCTCCGTCAAGGCGCCTTTGCCTTCTGCCCCGTCTCCGAACATGTCAAACTGAAAAGTCGGGACCCCGGGGAATTACACCTCCGTGCACCGCGATAGTCTTTTTTTCCAGACTGTTCCTCATGAAAGAGGACGAAAGGTGGTGAAGACAGAAGAGATGAGCCGGCCAGAGAGGAAGAGGGCGGGAAGCAGAGGAAGAGGAGAGACGAGAGGACCACACACACACTGCAAAAGACACAAGATGGCAAAGATAGAGAACATCGACATTCCGGCGCTTCCGATCCCAGGCGAGGACAACCAGGGCCGTGCACAGGAGACAGTGTACGTGCAACCCCAGCAACAGTACTACCAGCAGCCGACGGCGGCAGCAGGGAAGTCTAGCGTGGACTACTACCTTGAGCAGACGGGAGCATACATGTCTGCGCACCCAGTGGTGTCATTTTTTGGGTGTTTTGCAGCAGCTTACGTGGCGGCGGGGGCGTACAAGAAGTTCTCTGGGTCATCGTCGGGCAAGTTCGTGAAGGGCGGGTTCGACCCGAAGATGAACGCCCGGGAGGCGTTGCGGATCTTGGAGTTGAAGGAGGCAAGCCTGTCGCTGAAAAAGCTCAAGGACAACCACCGGAGAATCATGCTCCTCAACCACCCGGACAAGGGGGGCTCGCCGTACTTGGCCACGAAGATCAACGAGGCCAAGGACTTTCTCGTGAAGAGAGGCGGCCTTAAATAGCGGCAGGCGGTCTCCTGCATGTTTACCTGTTTACTTGTTTATATCGTCACCCATAATGAGCGGATTTCACTGTCTATCTGCATATATGTATGTACACGGGGCCGCTACCACACCTTCCAGAACGGCTTCTTCTGTTGGCCGGCGCCGGGGTCGCCGCCGGCCCTGCTGCTGCCCAGCTGCTTCAATTCGATCTCTCGCTGCGCTATCTCAAGGGCCTTGACCATGTTCTCGTCCTCCTTCTGCTTGATGTGCTCCGCGTAGACGACGTGCTTGTTCCCGAACCGGTCCTTGATGAACTCGTTGTTCGTGGCGCTCTCGCCGACAAGGTTCTGCTCGGCATTCTTCTCGTACATCCTCGACGGAAGTGGCTTCTGCGGAATCGGCAGGTCGGCGTCGTAGTGGTAGAGATCGTTGTAGTCGTCCACAGAGAGCTCGCCTAGCAGCAGTTCCTTCGCCCGGAGCTGCAACCGCCGGAACGGCGAAAAGATGTTGTCGTGGTCGTTCCACCGATAGAAGAACACCCCAAAGATGAGAACCCCGTAGATGCTCACCTTCGCCGTCAAGTCGGCCCCCCTCGTGAACCCACTCTTGTGGTTCACCCGCCGCAACACCTTGTATCGCCCAGGATAGAGCTCCGACGGCGGCCGGGGGTAGTACTGCAGCTTCTTCATGTCAATCTTGATCTTCTGGTAGTCTGTTAGGTCTCGGGCAAGCTGTCCCGTGTTCCGCTTCATCGCCGACGGGGCGTTGTACTCGCTCGGGTACCCTTCTGCCGGCCGCAGGTCAGTCGGGTCGTACGGGTTGTAAGGAGCCTTGGGCTGCACCCACCCGGGAGGGTTCGGTCTTCTATCCAGGTCGGGCACTCCCTTGCGTGTTTCGTCCTTCGGGTCGGCCATGCTTGTTTGTGAATGCTCCTGAAGCCCAAACCCAGTCGCCTGCTTCCTTGAACCATCTCTTCGCCTTTCCGTCCGTCTCTTTCATGCTGTGAAAAACGCTTCACCACCTCCAGCGAGACGGGAAAATCGTTTCTCGTAGAAAAGAGGCTTTTGAGGAGCTATTCTCCAGGGGTACTCCAGTCTCGAGAAACACACAGAAAGGGTAGAGTACAACACACACATAGACACAGATACTGCCAATGACATTGGCCAGCTACAACTTTCTGTCGCCGGAAACACTTGACACGAGGCTTGTTGGGTCGGTGAAAACAGAGACACAGACACGTCCGTCGAGATGGTCGACACCGGAGTTCAGGATCTACCTCTGCTGCTTTGTTGTGGTTGTACCATTACTGTTTAAGACTGCCATGTCTGCCAGCAACGAGACAAACCCCAACTACTACATATACGAGGGGATTCTTTCCCCCGGGTGGATTTTTGGCCGCAAGATTGACAACTCGGACTCACAGTATCGCTTTTTCAGAGACAACTTTGTGCTGTTGCTCGGGTTCGTGGCCATCCACAAGTGTCTGCGTGTTGCCTCCAGGTACTTGCACATTTCCCGACTCAACTTTGACCTTGGCTTTGGCGTATGCTTTGTATTCTGCTTGCATGGGTTCAACAGCCTCAAGATTCTCTTCCACGTCACCGTGGCATACGGTATTGCCAAGTCTCTCCGGAAGAGGCCCACGGTAGCGCAGACGGTGCTTTGGGTGTACTGTCTTTCCACGCTCTTTCTCAACGACCGATACAGAATGGTGCAGTTTGGTCAGGTGTGGGGTGCCCTCTCCTTCATGGACACATTCAGGGGGTTGATTCCTCGCTGGGACGTCTTCTTTAACTTCACCCTCCTCCGAATGTTAAGCTTCAACATTGACTACCTCAAACGGCACGAGGCCGTAGAAAGGATTACCCACGAGATCCCGCTGACAAAGCTCAACGATAAGGCAAAGGTCAGCGAGGAGGACCTGGTCTCTCCGGCGATCGGAGACCTCTCGTCGACGACGACTTCGAAACCCGATCACTGCTCCCATCTCACGGAAAGACAGAGACTCGAGGCACCGCTGCCTCTTTCAGACTATTCATACCAAAACTATATGTCATACCTCTTGTACACCCCGCTCTACATTGTTGGGCCGATTATCACGTTCAATGATTTCATCTACCAATCTAAGCACACGCTTCCCTCCATCACGTTCAGGAGAAATATCCTCTACGGTGTGAGACTCATCTTCTGTTTCCTGGTCATGGAGGTCATCTTGCATTACATCTACGTGGTTGCCGTGTCCAAGGCAAAGGCCTGGCATGGGGACACACCTTTTCAAATCTCCATGATTGGTTTCTTCAATTTGAACATCATCTGGCTGAAGTTGCTCATTCCGTGGAGGTTGTTCAGGTTCTGGGCACTCTGTGACGATATCGATCCTCCTGAGAATATGATCCGGTGCATGGACAACAACTTCTCGGCAATGCAGTTCTGGAGAGCGTGGCACAGGTCGTTCAACAAGTGGGTCATCCGGTACATCTACGTCCCACTCGGCGGGTCCAAGTATCGTATCCTCGGATCGTTAGCTGTGTTTTCCTTTGTTGCCATCTGGCACGACATCGAGTTGCGCTTGCTCATCTGGGGCTGGCTTGTTGTCATATTCTTGCTTCCAGAGATTATTGCCACAAAGCTTGTGCGGCCGTACCGGGACGAGTGGTGGTACCGCCACTTGTGTGCATGCGGTGCTGTGGTGAACATCTGGATGATGATGCTGGCGAACTTGTTTGGCTTTTGTCTCGGCAAGGACGGCATGGTGGCGTTGCTGCAGGACATGCTGACGACCTTCGACGGACTGGTGTTCTTTGTGTGCTCTTCGGCGTGCTTGTTCATTGCGTCTCAGGTGATGTTCGAGCTGCGGGAGTCCGAGCGCAGACGGGGGATAGATGTCAAGTGTTGAATGTATCGAGTATGTAAGTATAGACATAAATATAAACATAGGGGTGCTAGCCGTACTTGTTCTTGTACTCCCGCGGGGTGAGGAAGTCCTTCTTGTTGATGCTCCACATGCCGAGCTTCTTGTGCTGTGCCCGTTCCTGCTGTCTCCAGTACACGGCCTCTTTACCGTCGAACTCGGCGCCGGCCTTCGCCTCATACACCGTCGCCAGGCCGGCCTTTATCATCTCCTCGCTCACGTCCTTGAATCCGGTCCACTTCAGCACCAGCACCTTTGCCACGACCCGCTGGTATTGGTCCAGGTGCAACGGCTTCACGTAGAGCCAGCGGCCCAACACGTATCGACGCAACCACGCCAACGCCTCATCGCTGAAAGGTTGTGCCGGTCTTCCAAAATGAGCCCTCTCAGGTGCGTCCGCTCCGCAGACCCTCACGGAGATCGTTTCGCCCTTCAGTTCCCGGAACCTGTTGATCTCGGGCACCCTGCGCAGCCATCCCCAGCCGCCAAGCACCCCGCCGGGTAGGTGGTAGAAATGGAAATTGTCGCCGTCTCCGACAGAGGTGACTTTCCCATAGAGAAAACGTTTGCGGAAGAACGCTGCCGGGATGTCGGCCGCCCGCTTGATTCGTTTGAAGTATCGTGCGTACAGCGAATAGCTGCCGAGGATCGTGAGCGACGTCCCGAACCCGTACAGAAGCACCAGCGGGTGGTATAGCGTGACTTCCCTCGAAGACATGGTGTTCTGCAAACCGTGGTTTTTCTTGCTGACAGCCACCCGCCCTCAGCACCTGCAACCATCGCCGGTCCTGTAAGAGAAACGTCAATACCCAGATCGACGAACTAGAGTTGCCGTTTTGGGAACGTCGGGGAGGGAGGAGCGGGAAAAACATGGCAGCGGAGGTGGTGAAGAGGCGGAAGATGAGCCAGGGACGGCTCTGTTGGAGTAGGCGGGTGTCCCGGAGCCAAGATTCGGGCTGCACAGAGGACAAAGAAGCCCAGCAATGAACAAACTGGTGACGAAAGCAGGCATGTGGGCGCTCGGGAGAGTCGGTGCCGCAGGAAATGGGATGGGGGGCGTTAGGGGCGGTTTCAACAGGGTCAGCAACTTCAGCAGAGGCTACTCATACTACAGGAAACGCAGACCCGAGTACGTGTACTTCAACGGGGCGAAGCAGCAGGGCTACTCGTACAGGGATTACCGGAACTTCTGGAGCAACATGAGCGGGCCGCAGCGGCGGGTGGCGTACGGGCTGGGCGGAGTGATGGTGGTGTTCTTGGTGACACACGTGCAGGAGGCGCCTGTGACGCACCGGTGGCGGCTTATGACGACGCCCGAGTGGATCGAGCGGATCGTGACGAGGTCGAGCTTCCGCGGGGTGATGGGAGAGTTTGGGAACAGCGTGCTGCCGGAGAGCCACCCGGTGAGCAGACAGGTGGCGAAGGTGATGGTGCGGTTGATCAACGCTGCGCACGACTACCCGGACCCGGAGACGGGCCGGCGGCTGAACTTGTTTACGGAGCTGGGCAAGGCGGACATCCCGCTCGACGAGTGGCGGTTCTACGTGATTGATGACGTGGCGATGGGCCGGCCGACGCCGAATGCGTTTGTCATCGGCGGCGGCAAGGTGTTCATCTTCCGGTCGATCTTGCCCATCTGCGAGGACGAGGACGGGCTTGCCACGGTCTTGTCGCACGAGCTGGGCCATCTCCTCGCCGATCATCTGGGCGAGAAGCTCACGCTCTCGCCGTTCCTGCTCACGCTCAACATGGCCATGTACTCGATCTTCGGCAGCTCCAGGCCCGGCGACATCCTCGTCAACGCCTTGCTCGACACCTCCTTCTCCCGCGAGATGGAGACCGAGGCCGACTACATCGGCTTGATGGTCATGTCCCGGGCCTGCTACAACCCGCAGAAGGCCCCCCGCCTCTGGCAGAACATGATGAAGTTCGAGCGCCAGAACGGCCAGACCCCACCCGAGCTGCTCAGCACCCACCCCTCTTCCGACAGACGTTTCCGCAACATCTCCGAGTGGATGCCCAAGGCCGTTGCCGTCTACAGCGACAGCGGCTGCCAACAGGCCCAGGGCTTCAACTCGCTCCTCGGCGGCTTCTCCGGCTTTGGCAAAGTCTCTCTCGTCTGACAGCCATCCCTTGTATATACTCTAGCCAAACACTTTTCATATCTGCCCGACTTCCGTCCCTACTTGCCCGATCCCAGCCAATCCCAGCCGATCCTGTCCTCTATTATCCACCTTTGTTGCAAGAAGTTCACCAAAAATAGGAACACGTGATATTCACGTGACTTTCACGTGATATTCACGTGATATTCACGTGACTTTTCCCACTTTTTTTCCACCTTTTTTTCACATGCAAAAATCTCTTGAAAGGAAAAGGAACAAAAGTTGACGGCCCTGGTAGGGATTTAGGCAGCCTTCTCTTGTTGTGCAATGGGTTTCTGGTTCCGAAAAACAGTTGCCGGTGCCCTGATTCATACACACGCACACACACGCACAATGAGCTACGAATTGGTCTGCTTAGGAAACCCATTGCTCGACATCCAGGTCGATGTCGACAGCTCGTACTTGGCAAAGTACGGGTTGAAGGAAAACGACGCCATCTTGGCAGAGCCACAACACATGCCGATCTTCGACGAGATCCTCGGGTACAAGGACGTGAAGCTGGTTGCAGGCGGTGCTGCGCAGAACACGGCCAGAGGCGCACAGTACGTGCTTCCAGCCAAGTCGGTGCTCTACTTCGGGTCGGTGGGCAAGGACGTCTACGCAGACAAGTTGGTGGACGCCAACCAGTCGGTCGGGTTGAGCACCGCGTACATGGTGCACGAGGACATTGCCACGGGTAAGTGTGCGGCGCTTATCAACGGCGTCAACCGGTCCTTGGTCACCGACCTTGCGGCCGCCAACCACTTCAAGCCTTCGCACTTGGAGAAGCCAGAGAACTGGGCCATCGTTGAGGCCGCCAAGGTGTTCTACATCGGAGGCTTCCACCTCACCGTCTCTCCAGAGGCCATCGAGCTGTTGGGCAAGCACTCTGCCCAGGAGAACAAGACGTTCATCATGAACTTCTCTGCTCCGTTCATCCCTCAGTTCTTCAAGGCCGCCCTGGACCAGTGCGCCCCTTACGCGGATTACATTGTCTGTAACGAGTCCGAGGCTGCTGCCTACGCCGAGTCCCACGAGCTCGGCACCACCGACCTCGAGGAGATCGCCAAGAAGGTTGCTGCGTTGCCAAAGGCCAACACCAAGAAGCCAAGAGTCGTCATCTTCACCCAGGGCACCGACGCCACCTTGGCCGTCTCCTACGACGCCGCCACAAAGGAGTTCTCCACCAGCAAGTTTGCTGTTCACGCCTTGGACTCCGCCAAGATTGTTGACACCAACGGTGCCGGTGACGCGTTCGCCGCCGGCTTCACCGCCGGTCTCGTCAAGGGCAAGGACTTGGCCACGTCCATCGACATGGGCCACTGGCTTGCCAAGCTCTCCATCCAAGAGGTCGGGCCTTCCTACCCATTCCCAAAGCAGGCCTACTCCGCCTAAGCGCTTTGGGGATGCCGAACACGCTGTATAGCCGTTGTGGATAGATTAGACTCTGTTTGAAGCTATATATATATATTTATATATACATACACATATACATGCATATATACAATGTGGGAGTGCTGCATCCACTGCATCTATTCACTCTTCGGCAACATCCTCGACCGTGGCGACACGTTTCTTCGTGCCCGTCTCTGCTGGCTTGGACGACGTCGATACGGCTTTCGCCTCGGAAGTGGTAACGGGCGTCGCAGTCGAGCTCTCTGAAGCAGTCTTTTTGCTCTTCTTCGGCTTCTTGCCCTTCGCCTTTGGGTCCTCCCACTCGTACGCCGGCTGGAAACTCTCCAAGACTCCGCAGTCCTCGAACAAGTTAGGGAAGATCCACAACTGTCTAGACATGGAGGCCAACGTGAGGAGGTAGATTACCAACCGAATGATGGCAATGACAAAGAACATCCCGACAAAACAGAGAAGCCCGGTACTCAAGTACCACACACCTTTTCTCATCCATAGCGGCCACAATGGGAACAAAATGATCGTAAAGACGACGCAAATCCCGAGAATGGAGTAGAGAAGCATATACGGGTTTGGAGGGGTGTAGTTCCACGCGTAGTACACGTCCGGCTGCAAGACAGCCTTGTTGGACATCTCCAAGGCAGGCGTCTGCTTGTCGACCTTGAGGCCTTTTGCCTTTGCGTCCTTCGTCTTCAACTTCGTCACGGGGACAACAAGCTGGTTCTGGATCAGTAGGATGAAAACCTGGTTGATCGCATCGGCCACGTCAGGTATCGGAGGCAGGTCCTTGGCGCCCTTCGCCAGGCTCTTCTTGAACTCGTCACTCTGAATCGCCCTCACAAACCGCTTGAACCGAAAGAAGTCCGTTCTGTTCTTGCTGCTCGTGAGAATTCCCTGCCTCTGCTTGAGCAGCTTGTTGTATCTGACAGCGGTCGCAATGTGGATTGCCGCCGGGTTCTTTTCCTTTGAAAGAGGGACCCTCTGTTGCTGCGGCTGCTGCGCTGCTGGCGCCTGCGGTGCGGTTGACATCTTCGGCACGCTTGTGTGTTCTGCTGCTTCTTCAGGCTTTAATGCTGTCCCATTCACCCTCAAGCCTCGTCGCCATCAACCGTCAACTCCACGTCCTCGTGTCCTTCTTTCTCTCAGGCCTTTCCGCGTACAGCTGAAACTTTCTTCACCTCTGCGAAAATAGTGCGAGGAAGGGGACCAGGACGGGCGCAAGAGAAGAGTTGCACTTATCAGAAGGGCCTGCGGGTCCGTGAGTGCCGGAGAGGCAGTATATGACCGGCAGAACAGCAGAGACCGGTCACAGCACATAGATAACTCATAGAAGCATGTCGGAAGACGAGGATGCGCTGGATCCGTCAAGCACAGGGACGTCGGGGTCATCTGATCCCTCCATGTTTGGCGGCAAGAAGAGCAGCAGCACAAGAATACCACAGACAATGCAGGTGGAGCAGCCACTGGACTCTCTATCATCATCAGGCGTCTCGTACGACAAGAAAAAGACCCAGGTGACGGTCGAGGTGGACTCGGCGGACTCGCTGAGTCTCTTCCCCTCGATGGAGGTTCGCAACACTAATCACGAGACCAGAAAGCCCTTGGGACACACAGACCGGCCTGTATACCGCTTTGGCGCCGACGGCAACGAGCCTGGGAACGCAGGTCGATATGATAGGATGCATGACTCGCATCTGAACCAGGATCTAAACCGGACTCTGACTGACCGGACCGACTTTATTGATACTCCGAAACTCGGAGAGGAACTTGGAGCAAGAATCTCATATTATCATGATGACAATAACAATAATGACAATAATTACAACGACGATGACGACGATGACATCAGAAGCTCAGTTTTGCACCGAATACTAGACAACGAGTCGTTCGCAAACGACAGAAACCATGACAAGATGTACTTCAACAGGCTGTACAACAAGTACGACAGCAGAGCACGAGACCAGCCGGAGACGCTGGAGATCACAGACTTTGCGCAATATAACAACATGTTGCTGAAGGAGGAGAAGTTACGCCACAAGCTGGATATTGTGGCCAAGCGCAAGGGGAAGAACTTTGGGAGACCCTACGAGGGAGACAATGTCCTCACAACGCTAGACGAATCCGAATTGAACTATATCTTTGGGCACGCCGAAAACCCGAAAGACTGGAAAGAGGTGGAATCGTTGAGAAACGGCAAACACAAGAAGAGCATTTTCAAGAATTTCTTGAAGCCAGCAAACAGCGCTGGGAGGAAGAGCCCTGACCCCGCCAACGGTGCTGCCTCTAACGAAGAGAAGAAATACCCATTTGTGGACTACGTGTCCACCTTCAGCTCGATCCCTATCGACGACGATATCGAGTTGGAGGACCTTCCGATAGACTCGCAGCCGTTCCGGAAGATCAGATCCCCTGCAAACACTGATCACTTCCCGTTTGATATTGAGATGGTTGTGAGTGGCCAGGAACAGGTCGACTACGACTTCCATAGGATCGACCAGTACCAGAATATTGATCCGCAGGAAGTTCCTGGCTCAAAGCCTTCAAGCGCTTTCTGGAGCTTCCTAAATTCGATCAATCCTTTGAGAATCATAAGAATCCAGAGAGCAAACAGATATCAAATACAGCGGAAGCTAAACGTGAGGCATTTACACCAAATTGCACTTGGGGGGACCCTAGGTGTCGGACTATTGCTTTCCTCGGGCAAGGCCTTCTCCATTGCTGGACCATTGGGGTGCCTTCTAGGGTTTGTCATTACTGGGTTCATTGTCATCGCAACGATGCTCTCCTTCTGTGAGATCGTCACGTTGATTCCTTTGTGTGGTGGTGTTTCCGGGATTGCATCGAGGTTTGTAGACGATGCATTTGGCTTTGCACTCGGTGTAGTCTATTGGGTGACGTACATGGTAAGTTTTCCTAGTGAAATCACCGCAAGCTCAATCATGTTGTCTTTTTACCCGAACCTAAAGGTTCCCGGACCTAACACCGCCGGTTGGATCACTCTTTTTTACTTTTTCACGTTGCTGATCAATTTGTTCGACATCCGGGTCTACGGGGAATTTGAGTACTACTCCACCATTGTGAAGTTACTGATGCTAGTTGGGTTAATGATATACATGATCATTTTGAACAGAGGCGGATCGCCGCCCCTTCACGAGAACATTGGGTTCAAGTACTGGAATACGGAGCTATCTGATATCTCTAAAAAGATCACATTTGGTCCCTTCAGGCCCACCTTTGACATCGATGACAAAGGATTAGGCTCTCTGAACGGTATTGGTGGCAATACCGGTCGATTTTTGCAGGTTTTGATTTCATCAGTTATTGCTTCCTACGCATACGTTGGAACAGAAATTGTCATTATCGCAGGTAGTGAATCAAGAAACCCAAGACAAGCAATTCCAAGTGCTACGAAAAATATCTTTTACAGGATCGTCATATTCTATTTGGTTGCGATTTTCCTCATTGGCTTGAACGTTTATAGCGGGGATCCAAGGCTACTGCGCTATTTCTCCAGTGATAACAACAAGGCTGAACATGTTGCAGAAGAGAATGCGATCATTGCAATGATAGGAGCAAATCATTGCGATAGCGAAATCATTGATTGGGGCGGGTTTTCCAATGGCAACAAGAGTCCGTGGGTCATTGCCATCCAGAGCGCAGGATTATGTTCGTTTGCATCTGCGGTGAATGCGTTCTTGCTGTATTTCGCCTTGACAGCTGCCTCCTCTCAACTATACGCAAGTTCGAGAACGTTGTACTTCATGTCGATCCAAAACAAAGCACCAAGCTGCTTTTCGTTGTGCACCAAAAGAGGAGTTCCCTACATGAGTGTCCTTTTCACGGGCTCGTTTGGGTTGTTGAGCTACTTAGCTGTGCGGGACAATACTGTGTTGGTATTTGAGAGGATGGTGAGTGTGTGCTCCACTGCAGGGCTATTGGTATGGTCCGGGATGTGCCTCTCATTTATAAGGTTCTACTACGCCTTGGAGCTGCGTCCGGACATCATCAGTAGAAACGACGACGACTATCCGTACCGGTCGCCCTTTCAGCCGTATTTGGCATACTCTGGGTTGATTCTCGGGATGTTTTTGGTTTTTGCGTCGGGATTTGTTGTGTTCTTGAAAAACGAGTGGTCGACAGCGTTCTTCATCTCGAGTTACGGGTGCTTGTTCCTGTTTGTGATATGCTACGTCGGGTACAAGATCTGTCGGGGCACGAAGACGCACCGGCTCGACCAGGTGGACTTGGACTCGGGCCGTCGGGAGATCGACCGGGTCATCTGGGAAGACGAGAAGAACTACGTGAGTAGTTTCCGGGAGATTCTCATTAAGGGTATCAATTTGCTTGTATAGACTAGTGTACATTATTAGCGTAACATAATAACACTTAGGCGGCGTCTCTGTCTGTCTTTTGCATTCTCAATCGTTGCAGCAGTAGCTTTTTCTTCTGCTGCAGAAGGAACTTCTCCATGAAAGTTCTGTCTTGCGTCAGCGGTGGGTCTGCAAAGAACGCCAGCGATGTCAGGCTGGGAGCATCTGCTGCATTCTCCTTGTGTTCTGGAAGCACAAACTCTCCAGAATCGAGCTTGGCGGCCATCTGCTCTGCCCGCTGTCCGCCGAAGTAGTACTCTCCCTGCGGCCAGTGCTTCGGCTGGAGAAAGAGCTGCAGGGCTTTTGCGGCGTCCTGGCCCGTCCGCCGGCGCTTCTTCTCCGTCTCCGCTTCCTGCAGGAGCTGCACCACATCCGGAAGCTCCCGGGCCCTTCCGAAGTACTTGTAGCCTTTCACGGTCACCGTGTCGGTGTCGCCGCTGCCGCCGGCCGTCGTCGTCGTCCCGGACGTGTAGTCCGGCCCACCCAGCTGTTTGATTCGGTACTCCCACGCCCGCCGCTCCCGGAGCAGCCTGTTTAGTGTGTCGTTGATGTCCCGGACCTGATATTCTGTGAGTAGTGGGTCGTGGATCCGGGTGAGGTCTCTGGCGATTTCTCTGAGCGTCTGAGCCCTGAACCGGGTGGCACTTGCCACGTCTGTGCACTGCTGCGTCGCCCGCGGGCGTCCCTTCTGCTCCCGCTCGCCCGTGCTTCTCTTCGGCGTTTTCGTCGTCTTCTTAGTCTTCTCTGCACCCATCTGATGTCCCTTTGGTACCTTTCCCATCCCTCCTGGACCTCTTTGCCTCCTCCTCCTCCTCTTCTCTGCTGTGTCGCCGGCTCAGCGCTTTTCTCCTCCTCCCCTCTCCCCTTGCGAAAAAACCGACGCGAGGGCGCGTCACAGCGGGAGAGAGGTGGTGAAGAGACGGACGTGCTGGGTAACAGTGTGCTGTTCTTCTAAAGCAGGCAGCGGCAGGGAGACAGGAAGGCATTCGGTGGCCATAGACGACGACAGGGCAGCCGATAAAGAAGCTGATAAAGAAGCTGATAAAGAAGCCGACAAACAGCTAACAGGATGCTTAAAGTTGGTCGCAGAAGTAAGTCGTTTTTCCTGGGAGTCACCCTCGTGACAGTGCTCCTGTTGGTGTTCTTCACCTCCAGCAGCGGGACCTCCTCGTCCTCCTCGTCCTCATCTCCCTCTCCTCTCTCGACAGTCGAAAAGGTCGACCACGGGATCGGAGGTTCGGTGCCTCCGGCAAATGGTGTGGGTTTGAGCGGCGACGTGCCAGCCAAGGGCGGCTCTGCCGCAGACGCCAAGGACGGTAGCGACTCGAGCCTTCTCTCGGGCGCCACGATCGACCAGGATGCTACTGCCGACAAAGACAAGTCAGCGCCACCACACCAGGTCGGCGCCGGCGGTTCCGACAAAGCAGACACCGTGTCTGGCTCGGACGCGTCGTTGAAATCGAAGGAGGATAGCGTCAACAAGGCAGACAACACCGACTTCACCGGAGGCTACTCCAACACGGACGACAACCTGGATACCCCAGCAAAGGGTTTGAAGAAGGGCGACGGAGCCGCCAAGAACACACCTGCCGGCAAGGGTGCTCCAGCGAAGAACCCGCCAGCAGGCAAGGGTGTGCCAGCAAAAGACACGCCTGCCGGTGCGAAGGGTGCTGCTGCTGCTGCTGCTGCTGCAGATGACTATGAGTACGTCGTTATGATCGATGCCGGATCCACGGGCTCTAGGGTGCATGTCTACTCGTTCGATACTTCGGTTTCTCCACCAAAGTTGATCAATGAGGAGTTCAAGATGTTGAAGCCAGGCCTCTCGTCATACGACACCGACGCCGTCGGAGCCGCCGAGTCCTTGGACCCGCTTTTGACCATCGCAATGGACACCATTCCTAAGGACAAGCACAGCTGCTCGCCAGTGGCTGTCAAGGCCACCGCCGGCTTACGGTTGTTGGGCCAGGCAAAGTCCGACGCCATCCTCAAGGAGGTCAGACGCCACTTGGAAAAAGACTTCCCCTTCCCCGTCGTTAGCGGCAACGGAATCTCCATCATGGATGGCTCTGACGAAGGTGTCTACGCGTGGATTACCACCAACTACTTGCTCAACAACATCGGCTCCGCGAAGAAGCTCGACACAGCCGCCGTCTTCGACCTCGGTGGAGGCTCTACGCAGATTGTGTTTGAGCCTGTCAGCGGCGAAAAGGTTTTGGAGGGCGAACACAAGTACAACATCGAATTTGGTGGCAGAAAGTTCACTCTTTACCAGTACTCCCACTTGGGCTATGGTTTAATGCAGGCTAGAAACAAGGTCAACGCTGCCGTCTTGCAGGCAGAGATGAAGTCCGCAGCACACAAATTCTCCGCATTGACCGAGTCACAGCTCAAGACCGCCGTCGCAGACGTCACTCTTGAGAACCCATGTGTTCCACCTGGTGTTTCTGCAGAGAACGTCATTGTCGAGCTGGAAGACGGCAGTAAGTACGTTGTCAACTTTGCTGCTCCAGAAACCGAAGCAAAGAAGGACGCCAGCCTCTGCAAGTTCTTGACCGACTCGATTCTAAACAAACAGCTCGAGTGTGCTTCCAAGTCGTGCTCCTTCAACGGAATCTACCAACCCTCCTTTGCAGACCAGTTCTCCTCTGCCGCTGACATGTACGTTTTCTCGTACTTCTACGATCGCTTGCAGCCAATCGGCATGCCGGAGTCCTTCACTTTGAAGGAGATGACTGACGTCATGGAGTCCGTCTGCGCCGGTTCCCACTTGTGGGACCAGTACTTCAAGCAACAGTCCCATCTCAAGGAGTTGGCTGACGAACCGCTCTGGTGCCTCGATCTCACCTTCATGACCTCGCTCTTGCACACCGGCTACGATATCCCTCTCACAAGAGAGTTGAAGACCGCCAAGACCATCGGCGGCAACGAACTGGGTTGGTGTTTGGGTGCATCCTTGCCTTTGTTGGACAAGACCAACTGGTCGTGCAAGGTCACCAAGCAGTTTTGAGTCCCATCTTCCGCTTGCCAGTTTTCTATTTCCTACTAGATGACATCCGATCTATAATTACTTTATTATTTCTTTCTTACTCTCTTACTCTCCTCTCTCCGCCTTCGCCTTCGCCATACCCCTACCCTTTCTTCCCTCCTTCCTCCATTTTTGGTTCGTCAAGACCCTTGTCGTACTCCCGGAGACAAGGCCGAAGCCGCGTCGCGGAGAAAAGCGATAAGTCCTCGCCAAGCTGGCGGGCGTGTATTTCAGGACGACGGCTCTGGGGACTGGGAAGGCGTAAAGGAGTTGATCCAGGGCCAGCGGGAGCAGCAGCAGTGCAGCAGCAGACGAGCAGCAGCAACGCAGCAAAGGAGTTAATTGCCAACAGACCAGGCATAGAGAACACGAACGATGGCAGACAACACCAGGGTGCCACGATTCATGCGGCGGTCTTCGTCGACCGTGCAAAAGGTCCCCATTCTCCACGAAGCACTCACGAAGGAAGCACAGGGAGGATTGTCATCGTCGCTGTCATCAGCTTCGTCGTCAGGAACGTCGATCTCGATCGGCAATGGCAGCGGAAATGCTGGTGGCCACGGAAACGTTGTCACGGGCATGAACGCCATCACGAACGGCAACGGCAGTCCCGGGTACAACCTCCAGAAGAAGATGAGCTACCGTGTGCGGGACGAGCTGGAGTCGAACACAAGGGACGCCGAGAGTGATTCGACGCTCTTCAACACGTTGTCGGACACGCAGGGCTTGAAGTCGGTGCGGTCGCACATGGACTTGGCGAAGACGGCGCACAGTGTGCGGGCGTTGGCCAAGAGACTGAACCGGGCGACGGTGCACCTCAACCTCAGCTCGGTGATCATCATCACCAAGGCTCGGGACAACTCGTTGGTGTATCTCACGAAGGAGATGACGGAGTGGTTGCTCCTGAGAGAGCCTTCGCTGGTGGTGTACGTCGACAAGAATCTCCGGACGTCGCACCGGTTTGACGCCGTCGGGTTGGTGAAGGACATCCCGCACAGCGCCGAGCGCTTGCGTTTCTGGGACAAGGCGATGGTCCGGGAGGGGCAGGTGGCGTTTGACTTTGTGATCACGCTGGGCGGCGACGGAACAGTCTTGCACGCGTCCACGTTGTTCCAGAGCGCTGTGCCGCCAATCATACCCTTCTCGCTAGGCTCGCTTGGGTTCTTGACGTGTTTCGAGTTCGAGAAGTTCCGAGAGGTGCTCACGCAGGCCATCACCAAGGGCGTGAAGACCGACCTCCGAATGCGCTTCACGTGCCGCGTCCACAAGTGCAACGGCGACATCGTCTGCGAGCAGCAGGTGCTCAACGAGCTGACCGTCGACCGGGGGCCGTCCCCCTACGTGACGATGCTCGAGTTGTACGGCGACGACAGCTTGCTCACCGTGGCGCAGGCCGACGGCCTCATCATCGCCACCCCGACGGGCTCCACGGCCTACTCCCTCTCCGCCGGCGGCAGCCTTGTCCACCCCGAGGTGAGCTGCATGTGCATCACGCCCATCTGCCCGCACACGCTTTCCTTCAGACCGATCATGGTTCCAGACTCGATCCACTTGAAGTTGAAGGTGCCCCTGCGCAGCCGCTCCACCGCCTGGGCCGCCTTCGACGGCCGCACCCGCGTGCAGCTCGACGTCGGCGACTACGTCACCGTCTGCGCCTCCCGCTACCCGTTCCCCACCGTCAAGAACGAGAAGGACCAGTACTTTGAGAGCGTCAGCCGCGTCTTGAACTGGAACAACCGCAAGGAGCAGCAGAGCTTCAAGCACTTGTTGAGCGACAAGAACAAGAAGCGCTGCGACGAGGACGATGGCGACCGCAACGGCGACGACTCCGCCAACGAGGCCTTTGACATCGACTACTCCGACTCCAATTCCGACTCCGACTCAGACTCCGACCACCCCAGCTGACCCCCTCTGCATCTGTATCTTGTATCTTGTATCTGTACTTCTAGACCTAACGACCCACGCCAGAAACCTTGCAAAAACATGTTGCGGTCGATCGGCCCAAAAGCCCGTTTTCTCCCGCTCCGTGATGCTCACTGCCTCTTTTTTGCTCCCTGCACTTGGACTGGCTGGACTGCTCCTTCACAGGAGTCCCGGTGTGCAGGATGGCGTTCGGGTGAAAGTAGAGATCGGAGGACAAATCGAGTTGTCTGCACAGCTGGAAGCATACGGAGAAAGACATTGAAGCAATTGCAGCACGACAGGAGCCATGGACAGAAGCATTGATTCGTTGGATCCACGGCCTGAGAAAGACGTCAGGGAGAAGGTGCAGCAGGATGCAGTCAAGCCAGATGTGGTGGAAAGGGTTGCGGGAGAGGGAATTGACCCGGCACAGGTGCAGCCGGTGGACACGGAGGAGCCGGCGGACAAGCTGGAGCGGGGGAAGCTTGCGACGGGGCCGGAGAACGGGGGCGGGAGCGCAGGAAGCATCGTGCAGGCGAAGAACGCCACTGCGGAGCTAGACTACGACGCCAACCTGGAGAAGTTCTTGGAAGCGGCTCCGGAGAGCTTGGATTACATCACGGGCTACAACACGTTTGAGATCGAGGACTTGTCGGGAATGCTTGTCGAGCGGGAGAGGTTCAAGGGCCCGCAGTTCCGGATCGGAGATTACGTCTTCAACTTGATCCTAGTGTGCCAGAAGAGATCCCACTTTTTCTTCTCGGTCTATCTCGAGGGCCATCCGGTCGACGAGAAGGAAGACAGCGTCTGGTCGTTCCCCGTGCAGTTTGCCTTCGACGCATGGGATCCGGAGACCCCGTCCGTACACAAGCACAACAACACCCGGTTCAGATACAACCAGCGCGTGACGGACTGGGGGTTTGTCCAGTTTCTCGACTCGAAGTCCGCCACGGACTCCCACTTCTTCAAAAACAACAAGCTGAACATCACCGTCTACGTGAGGGTGATCGACGACTACACAAACGTGCTATACTCGGACTTCAGAGACTACGACTCGAAAAAGTACACCGGCTACGTCGGGATTGAAAACCAGGGGGCAACATGTTACCTCAACTCACTATTGCAGTCGTATTTCTTCACAAAGTCGTTCCGGAAGAAGGTGTATCAAATTCCAACCGAAGATGAGATCACGTTTGATCTGGAGAGCTACGAAGAGTTCAAGAGACAACCGAAAACCGTCTCGTTGGCCCTTCAGAGGATCTTTTACAAATTGCAAACGTCCGACGTCGCTATAAATTCGTTGGAGTTGACACACTCCTTTGGCTGGACCACGGCAGATGCATTTACCCAACACGATGTGCAGGAACTGAACCGTATACTGATGGACCGTCTTGAAACAAAGATGAAGGGAACAGAAATCGACGGTTGTTTAAATGATATATTTGTCGGGAAAATGAGCAGTTTCATCCGTTGTATCAACGTCGACTACGAAAGTAGTAGAACGGAAGATTTCTGGGATATCCAGTTGAACGTCAAGGGATTGAAGAACATCCAGGAGTCTTTTGAAAACTACGTCGAGTTGGAATTACTGGATGGGGACAATAAGTACGATGCTTCCGGATTTGGTTTGCAAGATGCCGAGAAGGGTGTCATTTTCGAAAGTTTTCCCGACGTTTTACACGTTCAGTTGAAAAGATATGAGTACGATTTTGAAACTGATAATATGGTCAAAATCCATGACAGATATGAATTTTTTGACGAAATAGATCTCAAGCCCTACATCTCAAAAAACACCGAGCACTACGATGAAAACTGGGTGTACAAGTTGCACGGAGTATTAGTGCATCAGGGTGATGTCTCTGTAGGACACTATTACGCAATGATCAAGCCGACCGTTGAAGACAAATGGTTCAAGTTTGATGATGATCGTGTTTCCCGCGTCACGCCCAACACTGTTTTCGAAGAAGGTTTTGGTTGCGGACCTCCAGAGAATATCACAAGATCGATGAGTAGAGATGAATACCAGAATTACATAATAAAGCACCACACGTCGGCCTACATGTTGGTCTACATCAGAGAGAGCAGAATACCTACTGTTTTGGCAGAAGTTGAAGAATCAGACATCCCGCCTCATATATCCAAGCAGATTGAATTTGAAAGAGTTCAAGAAGCTAGGATCAAGAAGGAGAGAGAAGAGATGCATCTTTATGTCAATTTCAAAGTATATACTGACTCCACATTCAAAAATCACCAAGGTTTTGATTTGGGCCCAAACTCAGATGATCGTCGGTATTTTGCCGAAGGTTTATATGATGAGAAATCTTTTCCCATACTGTTCAAGCTTTTGAAAACAGATAGCTGGGAAACAATGTATGATTCTATTGCTGAATTGTTAGGAGTTGATAAGAAAAACATTGAAAACCTGAGACTTTGGAACATTGTCAGACGGACTAATAACACTTTTAGGCCAGACCGTCCAATTGACTCGTTCGTTGAAAATGTCGAAGATACTACTGTTGGCGACATAGCCTCTGTTCTGGAAAGTGGAGTGTCAAGGAGAAAGTTCTCAGGCATGGAAAAGCCTGTTGTCCTGTCACTATACTTGGAAGATGCTTCAAAAGATTTGAAGTACTTGGCCAACCAACTTTCTGTTCTCGGTAGAAATAGTATCTCCGACGCATCTTTTGGTGATTATGAACCCAAGTTTGATGAATTGATCAATTTGGCTGAAAAGAACGACAATGCTACACTGGAACCAGTTTTAGGAACAAGAAATATTCTTATTTTCCTCAAATATTTCTCTTACGAGGATCAGACTCTAAAAGGTTTGACCCATATGATTATACCACACGATGCAACCACAGAGTTTATCTCAAAGTTTTTACAAATTTTATTCAAATTTTCCTCTGAAGAATCACTTTTGTTTTTTGAAGAATTGGATTTCAATAGAAGAATTGAACTTAAATCAGATAAATCATTTTTCAAATCTGAGATTGGAAATGGTGATATCATTAGTTTTGGTTTTAGGAACCCTGCTCCGGTCAACGCAGCTTTGCAGTTCCAGAATTTAGAAGATTTCTATGTTTTCATCGAAAGTAGGGTACACTTCCAAATTTCTCAACTGAAGCGTATTGATGAGGATGAGGAAGACTACGTTTTTATCGAAACTGGTGAGAACTCGGCTAACTATGACAAAATCATTGACGTTTGGCTATCTTATTACAGCACATATCTCGATATTGCCACTGTCATTGGTAAAGAAATTTCAGTTTCACCAGAATACATCAAATTGTCTTTTATCTCCAATGGAAATAAAGTGGACCTGAAGTCCGATTATGATTTCACTAAGGCATTGTCTAATACATCAAAACAATATACCATTGGTCTTTATTACGAAGTACTGAAAATTCCTCTACAAGAATTTGAAGGCATGGAATTGTGTCATATATACTGGGTCGGAAATGGTGTTTGCAAGGAAGAAAGGCATGACTTTTATCTTCCTAAATCGAGCACGGTGGATCACTTGCTGAATAAGTTGGAAACTAAGATAGATATCGATCCTACAGATAGAGATAGTTTATTTGGTTGGATTCCAGAACGGAACCATAAAGTCAAAAAGTGCATAGCATTCGAAGATACCATTGAAAGTAACACTTTTTTGATTGTCGGTGTTTTTCCACAATATAAGGAAATATTTCTGTCCAAGAGTGTGAATAGGGACACCTTATTAGTTCCAGGTTTCCAATGTTATGGTTCTATTGAAAACACCCATGGCTTACCTTTTGTTTTTGACATTGTCAAAGGCGAGTTGCTACCTGAAACACTGATAAGACTACGGAAATTGATGGGTCTCTCCGAAAAGGAGTTCAAGTTTGCTCGTGTAGGTATTACAAATAATTCGTCAGGAATTGAATACTTGGACCCAATAGCCAATAGCGCTCTTGAGTTATTTGCCATTCTAACCAAAAGTAACTGTTCGTTGGTATTGGACCACCCTGATAGAAAATCTAGACGTGCGTCACAGCATTCTTCAATTATGATCAAAAATTAAAATATTTTGGTCTGAATGTGCCTGTGGTTTGAAATTACATTTCTCTTTTTCTCATAGCTTATTTTATCGGTTTCTTGGTTTCTTTTCGGTTCTCCTTGTTGTTGTTTTTGTTGACGCTGTTTTTGTCGTTGTCTATTTTTATCCCTAATAGTTATTGTTTTTTTCGTTTCATTCATTGCATATATATTATTAGTTACATGGCCCAGCGATATCCAAATATGGATAAAACTAACTATCACCTATTTATTAATTTAATGTTAAATTTTACTGTTCAGGATGGTCTCTTAAATACTCGAGTTTTCTGTAGCCAGTACTACTTAGCTTATTCTCAAATTTATCTGAATCTGACCCCCCTACTACCCCTATAGTGTAAACCTGAAGCTCCTTCCATCCCAATTGTGACCTTACGTTATTAATATAATCAGCACCCTTTGACGATTCTAAACTAACAACAAGAGCATCAACATTCTCAATCTTCGCCGTTGGACCACAAATGTCGTTGATTTCATAAACATCGGGCGTCAGAGACGGTCTAATATTATGCAAAAACGATTTGACGCTTTGAACTCTCTCATTGTATGATTGCAGGTATTCAAGGTATTTTTTCTTTTTAAGTAATTCTGGTCCTGTCACACCAATAATCAGAGTTTTCCCAGTAAGAAAAGCAGATGCAGATAATAGTATTTTGTGGCCGTCGTGCAAGTGGTCAAAAGTACCACCAACTGCAACAACAGGTATTGTTGCAAATGTAGATTCAGGGTTTGAAATTTGAGGTTCATTGTTTTTAGAGCACTTTTCTTCTTCAACCAATTCAGATCTTACTAGGTGTATATTTTTCTCAATGATATGTTGGGTGTACATTTTATTTATTGTGCTTGGTAAGACATTTGAAGTATAGTATAAGCTTGACCACAATTCGGAGGCAAGTGAGCTATCGTAATTCTCTTCATCTATCAAAACTGTAACAGGAGTCTCTATATTATGCTTCGCTTTTATCTTGCTTGATTGATCATAAACTTTTCCCGCTAGGTCAATAAACGAAGCCACAGTAACGTGGTTTTCAGATGTGCTGTTGGTGTGAATTAAGACATAAATATCTGAGGGATGGGACTCAAAAACTGTTTCCAACACAGCTTCTAGCAAATTGAATGAATGAGCTTCCCTTTCTGTAATCACCAATAGCATTGCCTTTATTATTTTTGGATTTGACCCGAGCTTTTACCTGAACTTTGGCCCTTTCTCTGCCCGAACATAAAATTAGAAGAAGTCGGTGCAGCAAGAAAATGAGGTGGGGCTGAATCGAAGCTCCATGAAAAATGATGAAGTTTTTTGTTTTCTGGGCTAGTTTATCATAAAACATTTATTGTTCAACATCTTGTACAAAGCAGGGGCTGATATACACACAAAGGGTTTGACGGAATGTATGAGAAGTTGCAGGAGCTATTAAAGCTGAAATCCGGCGGGGTTTATGTTCCTCCCGCCAAATTGAAGGCATTAATGGCAGAAGTTGAACTTGAGCAGGATTCCGAGGAGTATCAAAAGCTACAATGGGAAACTTTGAAAAAGAAAATAAATAGCATTATCAATCGTGTAAACAAAGGAAACATAAAGATAATGGTAATTGAGCTATTCAAATTAAATTTGTTTAGAGGAAGAGGCGCTTTATGCAAGAGTTTAATAAGTTCACAACAGTTATCGACTGCATATACAGACGTTTATTCATCTTTGGTTAGTGTCCTGAACTCAAAGATTCCGGAGGTTGGAAACTTATTAATTAGGAGATTGATTGTGAGGTACAAAAGATTGTTAAAACGTGAAGACAAGTACGGCTGCCGTGCTGTTCTTACTTTTTTGTCTGATTTGGTGATTTTTCACGTATGTTGCCTTGATCTAGTAATGGAAATTGTTCTACAATTATTGGAAGAACCCAGTGACTTCAAAGTAGAACTTGTTCTTGAAATACTGAATATCTGTGGTGTTGAAATGTATGATAATGAAAGTACATGGTTTGATCAAGTAAAAAATACTCTTCGAAATATTCTCTCTGAAGATCTTGTGGATAGTCGATCTCAGTTATTGATTCAATCGTTTTTTGATACATTCAATAAGAAATTAAAGGAGGGACAGGCTCTTGATGAAGACTTAGATTTAGTCGACGAAGATGACTATGTAGTACACAAGTTTAGCTTGAAAGACAGAGTTCAAGGAGATGACCAATTAGACGTCTTCCAATATGACAAAGATTATAAGCAGCATAATGAGAAGTATAATTTGCTGAGAAAAGAGATTTTGGGTAGTGATGTTGAGTCAGAACCTGAAGAAAAAACTGGAGATAATTCTGATTTTTCAAGTGATAATGAAGAGGATGAAGAGGGAGATGATGACGAAGAAACGGAAGATAGCAAAAGATTGACTGTACAAATAAAAGATCTTACGGAACAGGAGTTAACGAACTATCAAAAAAATGTCTATCTTACGGTTATGTCCAGTATGAGCCCTGAAGAAGCAACCCACAAACTCTTAAGATTACCCTCAATTGACCCGAGTCGCAAGGAGTACATGTTAGTAGATATGATTGTCAAATGTTGTGCACAGGAAAAAGTGTACTCCAAGTATTACGGAATAATTGGAGAATGTTTAGTTGTGATGGGCAAGGCTTGGTCGGGGGCTTTTCAGCAATTGTTCAAGGAAAACTACGAAAACTGCTACAAGTTTGAAACTGCATTGCTAAGAAATATTGGTGCGTTTTGGGGACATATGCTAGCTTCTGATAAATTAGGATGGGAGTGTCTTTCGGCGGTAAAGCTAACCGAGAAAGACACAACATCATCGGGTCGTATTTTTCTAAAGTTTGTCTTCTTGAAGTTGTTAGAGGAAAGCGGAATCAACCACTTGGTTGAAAGAATTGAAGAAGCCTATATTGAGCCGTTTGTTATTGGAATATTCCCGAAAACAGATGCTGAAAATCTTAGGTTCTCTATAAATTTCTTTACTGCTATTGGATTGGGCAAGTTAACCGAAAGAATGAGAGTGTCTTTGGAAAACCTTCCTGTTGAAGCGGAAGCTATTGCTGATGGTGATGATGATAGCGATTCCAGCCGAGGAAGATCCAGATCCAGATCCTCATCGTATTCATCGTACTCCTCAAGCAGAAGTAGGAGCTATTCAAGGTCTAGATCAGCGTCCCCCAAAGACGAAGAAAAAGAGAACCGTGGAAGAGGTAGAGAAGAGCGGTCGAGATCAAGATCACCTGCTGACAGAGAGAGAAGCTTTTCCAGGTCCAGGCCAACATCTCCAGATAGGAGACCACAAAGAGGTCAGAGTACTATTCCAAGAGGGCCCAGAAGTCACCGCGGTAGAGGGTATAACAGTAGAGGTAGTGGATACAGAGGCAATAGAGGAAGGGGATTTGGCAGCTACAACAATAATCGTGGAAGTAGAGGTTATAGCAGTCATAGCGGATATGGCAACGGTCGGGGGAGAGATTATTAACAAGATACGTAAATAACAATTTTTATAGGTGTTGCCGATTCATTAGTCGTTTGATATATAGAGGAGGTATGTCTAAAAGAGTTTTGATTACATAGACATTGGATATGAGCTAATATGTCTGTATGAATTTGAATGTATCAGGAAGTGGAATATTATTAGTTCCTCTATAAAGTCAGCTTTTCAGTTGCGCCGACAACCTCGTCGACATCCTTCTTGTCGGAACCAACATTTGATGCCGGAGCAGTAGTTGTGGTGGCCGTAGTGGATATAGGGGAAACTGCTGATGCTGTTGCTGTAATTTCTGGCTCGTCGGCATTGTAAGGGTGTCTGCCCACTGGAATGGTGACTGAGTCGCCTGTTCCTCTAAGATCTACTTCACTGAGGCCAACGACGGCACCGAATTTATTGAATCTCTCCATATAGTGTTTTCTTCTTTCTTCAGTCATTTCCACCAAAGCAGGGAAGTAGATATCTTGCTTGTACTCGAAATCAACAAAACCGTCGAAATCTTTGTCCAACTGCTCACCTTTAACGAAATTGATGAATTCGGCATCAAAAACTAATTTTTCCCTCGTTAGTGGATCAATGAAAGGGTAAATCAACTTCAAGAACGCTCTCCCCAAAAACGGAATGTTGGTTAGCAATGCCTTACCCAATCTCTCTGGATAGTGAGTCTGTAAAATATGCAAGACCTCTCTACCTACCGAAAGAGGAGGAACCTTCGAGGTTTCGACGTTGCCGCTGATCTCAGGGTGGTTTTTGAAATCAATAAGCAAAGCCAAAGAATCCTGGCCAGAAGGCATGAAATCAATGACCTTTTCCAAGCAAAACACCAAGTGTTGCACTTGTCTGTGTGAAGTCTTTGTGTTTTGTCTACCTGGCTTCAAATATAAACAAGGTCTGGCGTCGTTGTCGAAACCAAGCACAACCTGCTTGCCGGTCAAACTTTCAGGCGCAACCAACTCTGAATTAACAGCGTTCTTCGTGTCGTCCTGATACTGGATGCCAAACTCTCTTCTCCAGGCAAGAGTTCCCTCTATTCTGGTGATGGCTTCGTGGGTATTCCATTTGGTCGCACGCAGATATCTCAGAATGCATTCTCTGGTGATCCATGCTTTCTCATCTTCAATCAACGGAGCCTTCTCAGACTTATCATGCTCCTTAACCGAGACCTGCAACTCTGGGTCTTGAAAATGTTTCAAAACCTTCAGGTACTTGTGGTTTTGCTCGTCGTTCAAGGGCTTTTCCTTTGGTGGTTGTATTCCAGGAAGAGGAGCCTCAAACGGAATATCCACTTTGACCAAGTTTTTCGCAACAACTTTCTTGGGTGTCTCCTTCTTCTTTCCAAAACCGAACATATTGGCCTGCTTACCTTTGATGGTCTGTATCTGTGTTGATGTTGATCTCCGCACATTCTACTCGTGTTTCCGCAGGTATCGGACATACTGTGCTATCTCCCGAGTCTGTATCTGGAGACCAACAAGAGGTGTCTCGTCCTGCTCGCCGACCTGGCGAAGTTTCGCGACAGCCTCGACGTGACATATCAAGAGAGGAAGAGACCGCGGTTCGAGGCTTGCTAATAGAGACATTGAAAATAGAAGTACATGGTTAGTGGAAATGGAAATCGAAATCGAAGTTTATAGAGGTACATAGCAAGAGAGGGGCTAGATGTTAAACTTTTTGAACTTTTTCATCATGCCTCTCATCTTCTTCTTTTCGCCGATGCTGGCGTCATCGGCGACGGTGTCGGCACTAGAAAGAGCATCGGCACCACTCTTCTTGCGGCCGTGCAATCCGAAACTGATCTTGTGGTGGTGTTTCGATGGCGACTGAGGCTCGGAGTTCGAAGGGAGTGGTGCAGATTGGCTTGCTCCCCCATTACGCTGAGGCAGATTGGCGTTTGCAGCAGCAGTCTTTTTGGCTTGTGCGGCAGCACGAACGGCAGGATCCTGCGAGTCCTCGACCAGCCATTCCGGAACAGCCTTCTTCTCAAGTTTCTTCTTGAGCGGGAAATCAAAGTCGTCATCGTTTATTAAGTTGATGTCGCCAAGCATGTCCCACACGGAATACACCTCATCTGTCCCGATGATGATGTTGCGGTTGAGGTCATTTTCGAGAGAGGTTATCGTACTGAGTTCCGACGGCGTCAACCCACCAGCACAAAAGATGATAAGTTTCTGACGTGAGGCATCGTTGCTATTCTTAGTGCTTTTCCACTTGGGTTGGTTTCGCACAGTGGACATGCCGTCCATCTCTGTTGGAGTAGGTCCGGCCTTAACAAATGGAAACGACTTCAATGTCTCGTCGTCTTCGTCAATGTAACCTGTAGTGTCCTGCATCATCGTATTGTAGTGTTCTGGAAGCTTCCCGTAGACTAATCTTGAAATGAGATTGCTGAACGTCGGAACGTAGATTTGCATCTGGTTGTCTGTGTCCTTGATCCCAAAATAGGTGTATTTCTTATGCAAAGGGTGAGTCAAGTCTGCTTTAAGGACATACACGCCTAAAGACTGCAAATTCTCAAAAAGCCTCATTGCGTTTTCAGTCTTTTCTGGCATGCAAAACATCAAGAGCTTCTTTAAGTCACTTCTCAATATGCCATGTCTGTATATAGCATAAGAAATCAATAATCTAATTTTGTTGTAAACGTTAATACCGTCATTGCTCAGCAAGCGGAGTAATCCGTCTGTTACAGGTACCTTTATCCTGTCCACGGGGCCTAACCCTGCAGCACACAAATTCTCAAACGTGAGAATGTCACCCATATGTTCTTTCTTCAACATTTGCCACATATTTTCACAGAGCATGTAATGGCCGGTGATGAGAGCCTTTCTTTCTGCGTGAACGTCTTTATTCACCAACGCATGCCTCAATCCATCAGCGGTCTGTAGATTTTTGCCTGAAAACTTGGCATCCTCTGCCCTTAAATTTGAATACAGTTGTCTGATATGTTCTGTTGCTTGCTCCATTGTCAAATCTTTTAACTCAAGGTAGACTGGGTCTTCGTTGTTGAATTTCAACGTCTTCTTCACGTTACCTTCTCCGGTTTGGACTACATATTGATACTTTGCGCTAGGATCTACATCTCTTTCTATCTCAACATCATCCATTAAATCAAAAATCTGAGACCTGTAGAAGGGGTAATGGCAAACAGGCCCAAACATATCCATCATACGATCAGTAATGAGAAATACAGTCTTGTTGTTCATTGGTATAATATCAGGATGCTCTCTGTAGTATTCATCTAGTTTTTGTTGGAATGCTAACGCCAGTTCTTTTGAAATTTGAGAATTATAATATCTGATTGTTGGGTATTCATTGGTCAAGATACAAACACCAAGCATCGAGTTAATTGCCATGTCCATCTGGTAGTGATACAAATTCTTTCCCTGCTTTGCGGGATTAAAATATGCAGGAATGGAGTGATAGTTGCCGGTGACAAACATACGTGGCTCCAACGGCACAAAACTCAAGTATTCCGCAACGTGTGGTGTTTTTTGTATCAATAATGAGTTGCTAAAATACTCATTCCGCAATAGATCGTCCCAAAACAGATTCCATGGGCCCGGTAAAAGCATCACAACGGCATCTCTGTATCGTTGTCCCTTGGAGAAGTCAGCAGCCAAACAGTTAATCGAGTGGTTTCTTGTGGGATCTAGCAAATATAAAGCCGAGTCCCTATTCTTCGACCGTTCGCCATCAATCTTCTTGCACGTATACACATAATTGAGCACATCGTCACTGAACAACTTCTCAATAATAGGGTACGTCGTATCGTCCACAATCAAATGACGGTGAGAAGACCGGAAACGTTTCAGGTCAGCCACAAACGCATCTTTTTGAATTTCAAACAATGACATCGGCGGTATATCCTCCTTATCTCTCTGGTCTCAGTAGACGCCAGTGTTCTGCAGCAGACTATTCTGCAGCTAGCTATCCTCGGTCGTTCCTATAGAATACTTACAATGAGACAACCTCCGAAATTTCGAGTGAGCATCACGAGCGCTTCTTCTTCCCCGAAATGCTTGCTGGCGCCATATCTTGGAAGTTTGTTTGACAAAGGCTGTACGCTTCGGATGTCTTTTTTCAATAACTGGGTTGGGCAAACTGTAAAGCCTGGTAAAAGTATAAATATTATAGAATGTAAACAAATTAAACAGGTAGGGTGGGCTAGAAAAAATGGGTATAGCGTCTTGATTCCTCGTGTATTGGCATCTCTGCCTTCAGCTCATTCAATTCATTCCTGATGTCCATGGCCAACTGTGGAGTCAAGTTATTACATGTGGAAGTCTCTGGTTTTCTGTCATACTCATCTTCGCCGTAGGTGTCGTAGAGGAGAATTCTTGAAGAGAACTTGACGTTTGGTTTCTCTATTTCCGCATTACGAGGAATAATCGAGTCAAACATACCGAGACGGCCGAGTGACACCGATGTCCGATTTCTCTTCTTCGTCAAGCGTTTTGGTTTCTCTCTTTCTTCCTCTTGGAGTGGCAGTATTGCTGGCAAGGAGGACGTGGAAAAATGACCAAACTTGTTGGTGTTCAATTTACCCATCAAGTTCAAAGATTTTCTTCTGTTGGAGGTATCACTAACATGATCAAATCTAGTGCTGCCGTTAGGAGAAGTGGTGCCTAAGTCCTCGTAACTTTGAGAGTAATCTGTAAATGGATTATTTAATGAATATCTCTGGCTGTTTTGAGGCGATTCTTGTTGTAAAGGACTGTTATCGTAATAATTGGCGTAATCGTTGTAGTTGTCATATGAGCTTTCCTTTGGTGTCGTCAAGATATTCTTATCAGAAAACCTGTTGCGATTCAAATCATCGTTGATATGGTTATTGGAATAATTCATATTGTAAAGTGAATTTTCAGAATCTGAAGGAACAACAGTATGGATTGGTTGATTCTTCGCCAAAACTCTCAGAATTGCAGACTTAGTCTCAGGTTTCAGTGTAGAATTGAAAGAAGGCCCTGTCAATCCTTTGAAAGATTTAGAAACTGGTCTAGATGGAGGCTGAAATTGATAAGGCTCTTTCAAACTCTGGGTGCTATAATTCAAATTCTTGTGCAAATTTTCTTCTTCCTTGATGATATCGTCAATGCTATCAGTCGATTCTGGAGCATTGTAGGTCAGCTGTGCAGAAAAGCCTTCATTACCACGACTAGTGTTTACCCTGCTGTCGGTGACATCACCGACATGGATCGAGTTAAAGCTGTTATCTATACCAAGGAAGTCTGGAACACTCGAATCCCTCTGTATTTGACGAACTGGGCTAAATTTGAGGTCCATGGAAGTGTCCACATTGAAACTAGTATTCAGCTTAGAAATATCATCATCATCATCAAAGTTAATCATGTCAATGAATTCATTAAAATCATCGTTATCATTCAGTTCCTCATTAGCGTTGACGTTGACGTTGACGCTGCCATTGCCATTAACAACAGAGCGCTCGTCAAAGTTCATGGAATCTCTCTTCAGTGTAATGTTAAAAGGTTGAGTTCTTGCCGGGACTGGTATTGAGCCAATACGATTTTTCAGAATGCTTGCTGTCCGGACAGGATCCGCTTCCGTCCCTTTGCTCAAAAGTGAACATTGGTCAGTTAGTGGACTTTTCACAACGACCATGCCGTCTGGTAAAAGCATCTCGTTGAAATCATCATTGTTATCTTGGACCATACGAAGAATTGAGTTTTTATGTGATACTCTCTGTCTCTCAGAAGCCACATTAGACCTTACTGATCTCATTGATCTCGATCTCTCCAGGCTAACAATCGATTCAATCTCGTCCACACCTAGCTTTTTGGGAAACATATCATCTCCAATATGGTATCTATTTGGACTAGCCGTAAATGAAGCTACCACAGAAAAGGCTGGGCTAGCGATGGAAGGTGGTGTCCTCAACATGTTGTCATCAAAAGTGGAAACTCCTAATGAAGTAGGAGACGTTTTACCAACATTTTCGGTGATCCCTAGAGCTTTTGGTGGTTTAAAAAATGCCATACTAGTATCATCTTCGGGTTCTGTTGTCTCATATGTACTACTGCTATTGAAAGCCAACGAACTTTCGTTGTTGTAATTGTTGCTGTTCTCTTTACTAAAGCCTTGTGGGGAACGTTCGAAATTTGGAGATGAACCACCAAAGGATCTGGACTCAAAACCTGCTGGGGAGTATTGATCTACCTTAGCAGTTTGAGGTTCCGGCAAGTCCATCGGAGAAGTTGCCGTCTCAATCGCCTGTTCACTCGATGATCTAATAATTTCTGGATTATTATCCCATGTAGGGCTAGGAGGACATTGAGATTTGGTGGTTATTTTAGGGCTCTTCGAGATGATCGGTGTTTGGCTGAAAACAGGAGAAGCCTGATTAAAGCCATATGTTTGCAGTAGAGAGCCGTTACCATTATTTGCTGCAGAGGGTGTTGGTACAGCTACTTTTGCATTTCCAGGAGGAGGCAAGTTTGGTAATTCTTTCGTGAATATAGCGGGAGTTGAGCTGGAGTGTTTATGTGGAGATGATGGAGCTTGGCGTGTAACAGGTGTTTGTGCTTTGTTCAATACTGGTAAACTAACATTACTTTGCGATTTCCTGTGGGTATTATTGTTTTTTGAAGTTTCATCGTTCTGTGGATTTTGAAAAATATTTGAAGTTTTAACCTTCTCCTTTTTATTTTGAAATCCCAAACTTTTCCTCTTCCAGCCAGACAGCAAACTCTTGGATTTTTCTTTCCTTTCTTCCAATTTGCCTTGGTTGTTGTTGTGGCCTAAGGTATTGAAACTAAATGATTTTGGGCGGCCAAATTTCTCATCAGAACCCAGCAAAGGAGATTTCTTTTTGAGATCAGCAGTGTGCGGACTTTGGCTTTCATGGTTTTTGCTAAATATGCTCTTGAATGTTAGCTTTTTCTGTTTTGGTTTAGCGGGCTGAAGCTTTTCCATCTTGGGCATCTCTTCGGTTAGGGCCATTTTTGGTGATTTGACAGCGCTTTTATTAGCCTGAGATCTAACCTTAGGTGATTTTGGCACTTGAGCAGTTGATGATAGATTGATATAATTTCTCTTTGTTTCCTCGGTTGGTGAATTTTTGAAGATCTCAAAAGTGGGGGATGTGTTTCTAATTGGAGAACTATTTAAGAGAACAGGAGAGTTGAACAAACTTCTTTGAGGACTACCGGGTCTTACTCTCTCGGATGCGCTCAAGTGTGGAGTTGATTTAGTCCCTTTGTGGTGATTGTATCCTAAATTTGGAATCTTTTCGATTTTTGGAGTTTTATCATTATCAAATTTGAAACTGGAATGTAGGACAGGAGTACTGCTGCTTGACAAGTTCAAGTTCGGGGATATCACACCATCTGAAACCAAGCTTGCACTATCATCATCTTCATCAACTATTCTAATAGAGTCTCTCACTGAGTTTTTCTGTGTGAAGGGCGGCACATCGTGTCCTTCATCCTCTTGCCTAGTTTTTGTCAAGGTTCCCGCCCTGCTTGGTACAAAACTGAAAGCACTCTCTTGAACGTCTGATCCGGACCTATAAGTATCATTATCGTTGCCATAACCAATTTCATGGAAAGAGTCTGAGATATTGGACAATTTAGAAAAAGACCTGTTGATTGATGGATTTATAAAGTTGAAGCCTTGAACTGGCTCATTATAACCCAAAGCCGGAGATTGGAATTCATCGAAATTCTCACTCATTGTTGACAATCTATTGGAGTATCTTCTGTCTGCAGTCGTACTTTTATCTTCCTTATCAAACTGATCGTACGTGTTAGGAGCTGTGAAGTCAGCATTCCCTGTTGAATTTTTCTCCTCGTAGGAAGCATCACCCTTAACCGGGGAGTACGATTCAAAAAGGTCACTGTAGTTGGTATTATTTGGATCGGCCAGAGACGATTTTGCAGTTTTGAACGACGAGGCGGACGCAAAGTGGTTATTTTCCACGACTGGAGTGTCGAGGTCAATCAAGTTGGGTTGACTATTAGCGTCGTTTCCCTTGGCTGGGATGTTGATTTTCAGAGTGTCCTGGGAGGTAGTTTTGTGGAAGGTTGCGCCATGCTGATTCAATGGAGAATAGATATCATCTATCAGGGACGAAGGCTGTCTGTGCGACGACTTGAGTAAGATTGTTGAATTGTCGTCGTCATCGTCATCGTCATCGTCATCGTCATCATCCTCGTCATTCCCGTCGTCCCCTTCTTCCAAGATCGGAGCTTGCTGGTAGACGGATGTGTTCTTCTGAGAAGCCACCTTGGATGTAAGAATATCGCTCAGAGCTCTGATACTGGGGCTGATCACCATGCCGATGTTCTTCGTGGGGACCTCTGCCGGGTCAGAGAGGGTCGAGGTGATTCTGGAGTCGTTGAAGGAGTCCGTCGGGGTTTCGGCATGGGCGCTCTGGCTGGACGAAATGGAGTTGAAGGAGGGGGAGATGACAAGCGACCTTCTGAACTGGGTCGCGTGCTTGTTGTTGTTTGTCTTGCCGTCGAAGGCGGGTCCCGAGTAGAAGCTGACCGAGGAGAACTTGGGGTTTCTCGTGTTGGTGGGGCCGCCGGTTCTCGTCTCGGGCAACCGGATGGGCGAGTTTGTGCTCGTCTGGGCGGACGACGAGATGTCGGTGGACCTGAAGTCGTAGTCGTCGGCGATGGAGCTCATCGAGGAGGAGTCCTGCGTGACAGGCGACTCGGAGATGAAGAGGAGGCTGTCCTGGACGCTCAAGTTGCCCGTGTGGTGGATGCGACTGTGACCGTGGCTGGTGCTGGTGCTGGTGCTGGCGGGGAATGCAGAGCTCTTCTTGTTCACGGCGTACGACGTGTGAGCAGACAACATCAGAGGACGGGTGGCGGCGGTTGCGGCGACTGCTGTGTGTCGGTGGTTCGGGCAGGCCTGTGCGTACGTGTCTAGCGAGCTGTCTTTGTGGCAGAACAGTTGTTGTTTTCGCTGAGCACTAGGCGCACGAAACAAGGGCTCAGTGCAACGGAACACCTCTAACACGGGGACCAATCGCTTTCTGCTTCTACACCGACTGACGCTGTGTCTGCGTTGCTTATCGTCGTGTGGCAGCACTGTGTCTCTGCCCCTCTGCCTCTCTGCCTCTCTCCCTGCCACTGCTGGTCCCGCTGCGTCTCTACCGACACGCTGCGACAGAGCATGCTGCCTCTCCGCCCCGTGCGTCCCAATGCGGTAGCCGTGTTTGCCGGAACACGAAACTGCTCGCCAGGGAGGGAAAAAGGAGGACCTGCAAGGGGGCCGCCGGTGCCTGACGCGTCGCGTTTTGTCCTTTTTCGCGACGCGCTTTCTCCACACAAACAGCAGATTTGGCCCGATCGTCGGCAACATGAAACGGGGGGCCGGGTGCGACAGATCAGGTGTTGTGGAGAAGGAGTCTGGGGAAAGACCAGACGGGGAGAGGGGAGGGAGAGAGAGCCTGGGGAAAGATGGGGAGCAGAAGGGGGCAGTAGAAGGAAGACAAGAGAGTAGAGAAACACATGGGAGGGCAGATGGGGGGCTGGACGGCTGCTGTTGGGTTCTGTGCCTCGTTTCCGATGCCGCTCGGACGCTGGCGCAAGCAAAAAGTGTGTAAGTTTGTTGCGTAAAGAAATATTTTGTAGCAAAAAGAATTGTTTGGGAAACTACAGCAGGTGCACAGAGCTCAGATTGTTTGTTGGAAACCACTACGAGGATGAAGAAAACTAATGGAAGCCAGCAATACGTGTCGAAGGGGAACTTCGGGCACGACCTCTCGAACTCATTCTCAAACATGAGTCTCGAGCGAGGACACGGGAAGAAGGGGGAGAAAAGCGGGGTGGAGGCAAATGTGTACGTGCACAAGCTGTCGGAGTCGGTGCCGCAGACAGACGTGTTGTACAAGCGGGCGGCTGGCGGGGGCGGCGGCAGCGTGACGCTGCCGGCGCCGGCAATGCAGGACAGCGAGACGTACAACGACGCAGACGACGAGAAGGACACGGGCTCGAACACGGGGTCGGAGTCGGTGTCGGCGGAGTCGGAGCTCGGGTCGTCGGACGTGGGTGAACGCTCAAGCATCCCGATCCGGTCGCTCCCGGAGTTCGAGAAGATCGCCAAGTCGCTTCTCCGGCAGATCAAGGCCAGCCGCAGCGAGGCAAAGCAGAACCGAGACTTGGCGCAGCAGTTGTCGAACGACTTGGCCACCGTCACCCAGAGCAGTGCCGGCCGCAAGGCGTCCGCGGCGTCGGACTCGCTGCAGAACTTCGAGAACATTATCAGCTTCTACGGCAAGAAGTTCGAGGACATGGACCGAGCCAGCAAGGAGAACGTGTCTCGCATGGTGGAGCTGGAGGACACGTTCAACAACATCCAGCGGTTCCAGAGCAGCGTATACCAAAACCACCTCAAGGAGCTCGACACGCAGATCTCCGAGAAGAACAGGGAGCTCCACGAGCTGCGCAGAGACTACCAGCAGCTGGAGCAGTGGGTGCTAGCGCTTTTCAAGGAGGTCGGGGACCGCGCAAAGTCCTGGAGCAACCACGAGTTCGTCTTGACCACCAACGAGATCTCCAAGTCCCTCAAGCCGCCAGTGAAGAAGTCCAACCTCGAGATGCTGTACCGGTATCTTGTCCAGTTTCTATATCTGGAGGAGGCGGAGGAGGGTTCCGGTTGAACGTGCAGCGGGGGTTATGTATTACGTAAGCGCTTTTTTCTATAACGTAATGATTAGCGATAGAAAATAGATCGGTAGATCAGGGCCGGTGGTGGTGTTTGTGTGTCCCCCATCCCCCGTTCCTCCACCTGGCTGGATCTGGTAAGCCAGCTCGAGCATAGACAATGTCCAAGAGGCGATCAGACTACGACGAGACATGCTTTGACTCGTACCGGAGTTCTGGTTCGGAGAAAAAGGTTTCGGTGAGGAACGTTTTCAACGTCGCCGAGGAATGTGAGGACCCCTCCCTGACAACGGTATGCAAGGTGTTGCGAGCCGTCGACGAGCTCAAGGGAGTATGGGTTGACAGCGTAGACCGATATAAGAGCAGAGCGAAATGCTTGCTTGAGCAGTATTCAGAGGACAGCCAGGTTCCGCCCCTCAAGTACACCAACCAAATGGTGGAAATACCGCTTTCGTGTGATTCGGAGATGAAGTTGCACTACTACGAGAACTTCCCCTTTGTCAGAGAGCCGATGTCGATTAGCACCTCGGTGGAATACTTCAGCGAAAACATGAGCAGCTTCACGCATTTCAAGAAGATCATTTTGAAGAACGCGAGGTTGAGAATCGTGCCCGACTCGATGGGAATGGTTTTCAATCCGAACACAAAGAGGAAGGAGATTGCCGCCTCCTGCTTGATCCTCAGCCCTAACGGGAACAATGCCACGAGCATTGTGACCAACGACGTTCTCTCAGCGGCAAACATCTTGCTTGAACAGCCCCGTATCTGGCGAATCGCCTACGAGGTCATCGAGAAGGACGAGAATCTGAGCCTCGTCGACAAGAGGCTCTTTCTCAGCCGGCTTTGGGGGAACTTGTGCAGATGCTTTGAGCTGATGGATGAGATTGAACTCGGTGTAACGGTTGATAGAGACTGCCAGGTTAGAATATCCACCATATTACACAGTTACTATACACGCTAGCGCCGGGCGAGACGGAACGGGCACCAGAGAAAACTCTTTCTAGCTTGGCAAGAATTTGTTAATTGTTCTATTAGTATATATCGAAAGAAGAATGGAGGAGCAAGATCTAGAGATTGAAAGTTGAAAGAGAGTGAAAGACCGGAAGGACAGGGAAGAGCAATTCGATACATCTATATCAAGGTAGTCAAGAGCACTACATGATCGTACAGTCTTCTCTGTTGGCACCGGTTCTGGACTTTTTGAGTCTATTGATATTCTTAGGAATGTACGATGATTTCGAGTTACTGGTGGAACTGATCGAAGGCTCGTATTTGGAGAACACTGGCTGACTTGGAGAGTTTTTGGACGACGCAGCGGACTTCTTGAGAGAGTCGTCGGTAGCAGAGCTCGGATTGTAGCTGCTCCCGACGTCGGACTCCTGTAGGTTTGTCAACTGATCAGCTCTTTCGTCGTCGTCAATCTCTTCGTCTTCGTCGATCTGCGAGTTCTCATCTAATCCAGCCTGTTTCCTGGCCGACTGGAGGTTATACTCGATGACAGGGTCTATACCGCCCTGGATGATCGAGTTTGCCAGGAAGCAGTAGAGCTTGATCCACGCCTCCTCAAGCTCCAACGGAAACGACTCCGGGCTGTTTCCGAACCAGTCCTGGAAGGTCTTGATCAACGCTTCACCCATGATCTTGAAGTAGGGGGAGTCGATACCCAAGATTCTTGCGTGCAAGTGGCCTAAGTTTAAAAGTGACTCCTTCATCTTGGACAAATCTTCCAAGGTGCCGATGGCCACCGTAATGACGCCGGCAAAAGCCGATGCTTGATGTCGGATACTTGGGATCATGTTCTCGATCTCCGGGTCCATCGAGATCAAGTTGTTGTAAAACTGGATGCAGAAGAGAAACGACGAAAAGGAGGCAGTGTTGAAGCTGGAGGTGGTCTTTCCAGGGCCTGCCGAAACAGCACCCATCCCGGAACCAGCCCCTGGACCGCTGGACCCTGCACTACCGGTACCGGCGCTCCCGCTGCCGCCGTTGAGAGGGTTACCCTGGTTCGACGAGCCCGTGTTGGTCTTCATCAGATTGAGTCCGGTCATGGAACTGCTGCGGGACGACAGTGGCTCCAGTCCGTTCGAGCTGGGTGTGTACGTCTCGTTGGATGTGACAATGGCCCACGACTTACGCAAGAGCTCGATCTCACTGGTCTTGAGCTTGAGGGAAATCTTGTACTTCTTTTTGCTCACCACAAACGAGTTGGGCATCCAGTTCGTCTCGAACGTGGTGTTGATGGTCGACGTCGAGTTCACCGACGTCGCCGTGATGCTTCTCGAGAGCACAGACAGCGTCTCGTTCGACCCAAACTTGTGCAGCATCTGGGGAGTTCCCGGTGGGTTGGTCTTAGATGCCGCCACGGAGGGCGTGCCCTCCGTTACCAGCGATGCCGCTGAGCTGTTGGAGTTCTGCGTGTGTGTTTGAAACATCGTCTTCTGCCGCTGTCTCTGCCGCTGTCTGCACGACCTTGCTTCAGCCCGTATTGCCACGTCGCTGTAATGCCATGAGCTGATCAGGCCAGTCGCAATATGTGCCAAGACGCCCACCGGCGGCAAACGAGAAAAATACTGCCTGAACAAAGCAGCGAGGGGCGGCTGTGGCAGGGGCTGTAAAAGCAGCAGGTGTTGATCTCTCCGAGGCGGGGGGTTTGGAAAAGAAAGCGGTAGAATCAGCCAGGTCACTAGTGAAGGGTGTTTTATTAGGCCATTATAGAATATAAAAAGTGTAGTAACAATCAGAAAAGAGGTTGATAAAAAAGTTGTCAAAAGAAGGGACTCAGCGTGCGTGAACTAGATAAGACGGCATAGCAGGGTTGGTGCTGGGGACCGCTGGAGGGACCGCTGGCCTGCAGCTGCGGCCTGCAGGCCTGCTCGTGGTCCTGCTGGCAGGGCAAAAGAGAACTAGGCGGCGGTGGCGGCAGCGACAGTGGCAGGTGCGGTAGACACCGTCTCTAGACGATGGTGCAGGTGCAGAGGTTCAGGTATTGGCTGGCGTACCAGTCGCCCCAGAGCTCGAAGTCGGCGTTATCGAGGTCCTCGTTGGTTTGTGTGGCGGCGGCGGTCTTGGCGTTCATCTTGTTGGGAGTTGGAGGGTGGAGCTGGTTGTTTGTTTGGTTAGTTGGATGATAAACTGAGGTGTAATAAGTTTCTTAATTCACCATCCATCCCAGTTTTTCAGAAAAGAGGGACATTGGTCCTTTTATAACACTTTTCCATGCCAGTGGTAGCCGTGGCGGTAGCTGCAGCTGTTGTTGCAGTGGTTGGAGATGAAGACGGGTAGTAGAAGGACTCCCTTCATGAAAAGGGTGAAACCTAACTGCGTCCGCATTGAAATGTCTGAAAAGGGAAATTCGGATTTTTTTGGTGCACCTGAATTTCCACTTGTACACTAATGGAGCTTGCTACCCTTTTGTCTGCTCCACTAACCCTACCGTATTTGGATATATATAGTTGTGGCCATGCATGCTGCCTGGTGATGTGTCTGCCACTCCGATACACTTTCTATTTCTCACGGGTCGTTTCTGTAGGAAACGCCCTGCAGTTTTGCGTTGTTCCGCCTCGGAGAGAGCACATTGAAACAGGGCGTGCACTAGCAGCGCTGCGGTTACTGTCCCTGTGACTGGTTTAGTTTGGCAGACAGATGCACCCATGTTGCTTGCACTTCTATTGAGCCTATAGCATCATCTGATAAGATAGAGCCTCTCCAATATTGCACTAGCGAAAGAGGACCCCGTCCTACAGATTTAAGCTCTGCAGCAAGCATTATGGTACCTTTGTGCAGAGCACGTCAGATAATTAGCCAACCGCCCCACATGTTGCTCATTGGCCTCCAAAATATAGTTAGCCTGTCACAGGTCCAGAGGAAAATTGACGGCCTTGTCGCAAGTAATGGAGGATTTTGAAACATACAAGCGCTGATCAGTCCACACGGCAGCGCACTGGACGCTATGAACACACTCATCTTGTGCAACATCGTACCGCAGCTTATAGCTGCCGCTATAGCTGGACACCATCAAGGCCTTAGAGCATTGAGAAAGATGATTGAAGGTTGCGTGGAGAATATTTTTCGGGTCTGTAACTTCAAAGCAATGGTGCTGGTCAGAAAAAAAACTGGCTGGCAGGCCAGAATTGACAACTAGAAATCGGGTTGGTCTCTTACTACAACTTGAAACGCAATTAGTTGTTGCCCGCAAGAAACTTAAGCTACAGAAGACCAAGAAGCAAGGGTAACAGAAGGAACCTTTACACTCGTTCGCCGGCCCCACAAGCTAGATACATTGCTTTCACCCTTGTTCATTGTGCCCACAGAATGCAACTACCGTTGCCAGTCCGAACCTTCGTGGTTTCTGCACCCTCCTGGGCCGCAAAACCTAAGCCGATAAGCATGACGTTTCTAACGCAAAGAAAGTCCAGAGGCCCAGTTGGGCCTGTACCCGTCTCCTGTCTGATTAGACCTGGCCTTCTGAACCACAATCGGTCTCGAAGCCGAAACCGCTACACCTTCCCTATTGGTTAGGTTAAGCAATCGCCACAGCTGCCTCATCAGTCCAGCGTTAACAATCGCCAGAGATGCCCAATTAGGCAGCTGTTCCTTTCGCTAGAACTGCCCGATTCGTTTAGTGGAGAAAAATCTTGTATTGACATAACCTTCTTCCGAACTACCGAAGTACACTATCGCTCTTTTACTGTCAGATATTGGTGTCTCATTGAACGTCTTCGGGAGGAAGAGTGACTTTGGAGGCATCAGAATGAGGGAGACAGAACAGCACGTGACGAGACGGTTATAAAGATAAAATAATTTAGGCGCTGACGTAAGGGTATCTACTATATCTCAGCCGCACACTCGCCCGATTGGGAAAACAAATCCCGAGTAAGCTTATCTTCCTCGACCTCGAGGAGACAACAATAGGAGCAACCCAAATTGCTGATGCTGGGGAGGCGGGGCGGCCTGGATGCCGAAATTGCATTATTCGGCTCTTCGGAAGAACGGGAGGTAACGGCAGAAAGCCACGATTGACAACAGTGCCAGTACAGGTGCTAACGGAAGATACCAAGAAGGTTATTTCATAAGCAATGAAACAATTTAGCTGGGATAAACAAACAGTAAAGAAAACGAGCACAGAAGAAATGAAGCAGTAGAAGAGTAAAGCAAATGAAAGATGTTTTAGCCGCTAAGCCTCCGGAGCTGGAATGGCCGCCGTTTTTTTTTGTCACGGAAAAAAGCTTGGAGACACCCAAGCCTTGGACACGGACCACTGACACAAATTACGTCCATTGCTGCACGAGGATATTCCCTCCGGGCACCGATAAGGCGCCCTGAGATGAGGTAGCGAGCTAGCTGGAGGATGAGATGCGTGGCATTACATTCATTGGCCCCCGCCAGTGTTGCTTATCGGCCACATAATTGTGCATACATGCATGTATGTTATCTGCTTCCGCTGTTTTTCTTCCTTTTGATGCTTCCGACGGGTTGCACGTTGACTATCAACCCGTCTCTTAATATCTGTTCTATATTTGTGTCTGCTTATCTTATTCTCTTTAGTTTGCTTTTGCTGAATTTTCTCAAAAATTTCTACGCCTCTATCTGGTTCCATATATATATATCCCGACAACCCCCCCTCGATGATATCAACAGTACTACATTCTATCATTCAACTATATTACAAGAGTTGACATTCTTTTCCCAGCAGCACATTCTTATTAACGCATCCAAATGTCTGAGTCACTTGCCCCTAAGACGACGGCATTTTCTCCCATTACTTCGGTGCAGTCGAGATTTCATGAAATCACAACTGCAGCTTCCCACTTGAGAACTATTGACCCCAAAGAAGCCGAAAACGACGATGACTTGTTAGCAAAGATTGGGTACAAACAGGAGTTGAAAAGACGTTTTTCCACCTTCCAGATCTTTGGTATCGCCTACTCCATCATGGGGATTCTCCCTTCGGTATCCTCCCTATTGGGGACAGCGCTAGCTGCAGGTCCAGGAGGTGCAATATGGTCCTGGGTAGTCGCATCCAGTTTCATTTTGACTATCGGTATCTCAATGTCAGAGCTAGCTTCAGCAATCCCTACCTCCGGTGGGTTGTACTACTGGACTTTTTATTATGCCCCGGAGGCATGGAGAGTCCCTCTTTCATTTCTTATCGGTTTGTCAAACACCATGGCACTTTGCTCAGGTTCTGTCTCTGTCTTTTACGGTAACGCACAAGAAATCTTAGCTGCTGTGTATCTCAGCAAAAGTGGCGATTTTGAAATCACCACAGGCAAAACCTATGGTGTCTTTGCTGGGTGTCTCATCACCGGTGCGATAATCACTTGTCTCTCGTCGAGAAATGTGGCTATGTTGCAAACACTTTCTTCTGTCTGCCATTCAAGTCTTCTTGTCTTGTTTTTCATTGCTTTGCCTATCGGAACCAAAGTCAACAGACATGAGTTCAATGGAAGAGGTTTCATCTTCGGTGAGGTACAAAACTACTCAGATTGGCCAATTGGCTGGCAATTTTGTCTGTCGATTATGACGGCTGTTTGGACTATTGGTGGGTTTGACTCATGCGTTCACATGTCTGAGGAGGCCAAGAACGCATCATACGGTGTTCCAATTGGTATTTGTGGCTCTATCACATTATGTGGCTTCTTAGGATTCTTTATCTTAGTTTGCACTACTGCATGTATGAACCCAGACGTCGCTACGGTCTTAGCAACAGATACCGGCTTTCCAATGGCACAGGTCATTTACGATTCCTTGGGAAGACGCTGGGCCATTGCCTTCATGTCCTTGATGGCAGGCTGTCAATGGTTGATGGGTGCTTCTTTACTCACTGCTGCTTCAAGACAAATATGGGCGTTTGCCAGAGACGACGGCTTGCCTCTCTGTGACATTATTAAGGTCGTCAACAAGAAACTGAGGGTCCCTATCAGAGCGGTCATAATGGCATGCGTGGTCTCCTTAGCCGTTGGATGTCTCTGTTTGGCAGGTAGTGCTGCAGCAAGCGCTTTATTTGCCCTTAGTGTCCTCGGCAACTACCTCTCATGGTGTACCCCAGTTTTCCTCAAGCTTACCTTCGGTAAACACAAATTTACTCCAGGTAGTTTTTACCTTGGTCCAATTCTCTCCGAAGTTGTCGGATGGATTGGTTGTATCTGGGGGGCTTTCATCATGGTATTAGTCTGTTTCCCATCGCACAAAAGTGTAACCAAAGAAACTATGAACTATTGTGTGGTCATTACAGTGGGCGTGTGGATGCTATCTATTATTTTCTTCTTCTCCTACAAGTATAAGTACTACCACGGTCCAAGAAGTAACTTGGATGATGATACCATTGAGGTGGTTTCAAGTGCCGAAGAAGTCTCGTATCCACAAGACGAAAAAGTTTAATAAGGTTCTTAATCCTTACAATCACCATCTACTTTCTTATAGTTTTTTCTTTCAATTCATTTCGAATATATTTATTATTTTGTATCTAAACTGTTTCTGTGTTTTCCTCTTATGATCAGAGTAGTACTTCACAACATCTACTTCAATTTTTGCCCAAATACCCCACGTTGCAGACCATGATATGCTCAGATTACGCTTATCATCTTCACTGTATACAACATCTATTCCATTACTTTTACACGCAGTACAAAACTCTAAATACCTATAAATTGGCCCATGACCCACCACAAATGCAGATACGCTGATAGTGCTGGAAAACAGGATTTGTGACAAATGACATGCTATTTGGGATAAACATAACTTCATCATGAACAACTGAAATAGCGCCACAACGAATGCATTTCCTGAGAACGGACTTTTCATTTCCGAAAGAAGAATTGATAACACTGGTTACCGGAGAGACAGAAAATGCCGAGCCATTACCATTGGTAGTACCGTTGGCAACAAGAGTCTTTTTACTTTCTTCCCGAGAAAATGCCAATATTTCTTCGGGACTGACCCATTCTTTCCTGAGGTCATCTATGAGACCGCCATTTTTGATACTTCTTAGCAAAAGTTGGCCATAAATTTTCCTTGACTTTCTCATGTCTGTCCTCGGAAGTAAAACAGAACCCAAATTATCTTTATCTGCAATACTATTCTCTTGCTTGACTTTGACTGTGCCATTATCTCCGTGGTCAGAATAGTCGTGCGATATGTTGGAATCATCATTCAAGTCCATGTTCCAATCTTCTGCCAAGCTCTTATCCTGGTCGTAGTCAAATGCTTCCTTATCCTCGTTTTCCTCATCATCTTCTAATGTATCTAACCCAAGCCATGACACATCGTAGAAATACAAATCCGACATCTTTGTACCTGAAAAGTTAAGTACAGATTTGCTAAAAACTTCACTTAGTTTTTTCATGGCATCAACAAAATTCTTCGACACATACCCTTGACAAACAATTTGTTGTTCAACAGCGAGAGACATTGGTGGATCCAGTTTCATGTTTCTTAGCGGCCCATCTGCTTCCGATAAGAATTTCTCAAATGCAATTAACGATACCGGAAGTCTTTTAATCATAAGCCCCAATCTGTAATATGCTTCCACTGTGGGAGTTGTGACTATGGCCTTTCCGGTTTTGGAGTTAGCGCCTGAACCAGAACGCCCATTACCACCAAACTTACGTTGAACGACTGAAATATCATTTGAAACCAAAAGATCCTCTATTACGTCAAATGCACCTAACGGGTTATCCGTAGTTATCTTTGCAGTCAAATTGGAGTCATTCTTTTCTACAAATTTTTGGATAAACGAAAATAGTCTTCTGATATTTGCAATCGAGAACACCAAAAATGCACGTGGAATCTTCCCCAAAATTAATGGAATCACAATCGAGTTCTTAATAAGTTTTTCTGTTAACGTCGGGTTTTGGGACTTGAAAGCACTATCAAGTTCTAGCAATTCTTGGGATAATAAAACAACATAATCCAAACACCAACGAATGACACCAATAACCGACAATATACACTCTTCACGCATCTTTGCGTTGAGAAGTGTATCTGTTGTTGGAAAGCCCTTTCTCGCGAACCGTTGCATATTAGAGTATATGGTATGGATCGTGTACATAACCGAAGATGCAACATACCTGAGATTGACCAATGCTAAAGCAATTTTACCACTTCTAGTTTTTTTCCAGTTTTCTGATGTACCTAGTGATAATTGGAGAGTCAAAAGCCTTTGTAGTGGTTGATTTTGTGTCATTTTATCTGATTGCTCTGGTGGGATATCGATATTCAAGTTGATAGCTCGATGTGCTTCTTGGACAACAGATATCATCAATCGGTATGAATAGTTATCATTTGCTAGCTTGGAAGATAACATCAAATCATTTCTGGTCGTAGCCACTAAATCATCTGTAAAATAGCCAAAGTAGCAAGCTGTAGTGTGACGTAATGCCAATGCTGCTGCTTTGGTTAAAATCAACCCTTTTTTTTTGCCATCTAAATATCTTTTATCCACTCCAGCAGCTGTGACACATGAAACTTCTAGCGCTTTTTTACCTGTTGGCAAAAAAACATAAGCACACATATTCGGAGATAAAGAACAGTAAACAGGCTGGGTCATGATTTTAGGAAATTCAAAGCCAGCATCAAGCAAAGAGTATATAGCCTCTGGAAGATGTGGTTCAGTTTCATCTGGACTTTGTGACAAGTAGGCTGGACTGAATTTATTGATTACCTCTGAAAAAGTTTTTCTTTCAAAAACCTTAACAGCACCTCCTGCAACCACAACAGAGAAGTACATATCCAAATGTAAGAGTTCCAAAGTTATTATGGAGTCATTTATCATCAAAGCTTGGAGGTATTCAAGTTTGTATATCGAGTCTGGGGATAACAAGACGTCAACATTGTTTTTTGAAGCAATGTCTTTGAAACTTTGGTGTATCGTTTCGGCACTTAAAATATTTTTAAGCTGATAGCGAAGAATCATGCTCTTTACAGGGTCAGTAGAAAGTTTTCTGCTATTTTCAAGCGTGATCAGTACATCCATCATGGAATCCACCTCAAAATTTGGAGATATAAGGTCAACATTCACAAAGGAATAACCACCAAGTATATTGTCTAGCGCTTTTTGATGTATCTTTTTAATGAGTAATTTCGGAGGCGTTCTCTCATCATTAGGAACCCGATAATTGGGATTCTCTGCCAGAAGCTTTGCTGCCTTGTCAAGATAATTCCATTCTATGTCAATCTCATAAAACTTCAGAATCTTGGAAATTTCATAGTACGCCGCTATAATTATCTTTCCATCTTTCTGGAACCCAATACTTGCTTTGTCAATCGTATCGTAAGAGCTGCCATTTTCCCCATCGTTCAGACTGGCTATGACTTTGTCGTATTCGATACCATGTTCTTCTTGATGGAATAAACAAACTTCTCCATTTCGACGCAATATAATACATGCTTGCTTCGTGGCTAGGGGGTGAACAGCACCATATGATTTGTGTTGCTGCGCATTATACCTATAGTAAAATCCCGAGGCGTCATCGGATGCAGCTCCCATCTTGGAGGCACAACCATTCAAGACCTGGTTTTCGGCGTTTTGTTGAATTCTCATCGCTGGTATATTGGAAATTACGGACTTATCTAGATTAAGCCACTTACCAGTTAGTATTTGGTTGCCAATAGTATTTGATTGCTTGTGCTGAATATTCGAAAGAGATAACTTATGAAGATCTGAGTAGAATATCTCGCAAGTGTTGAAAGATGTACGAGAATATTGGACTTGTAAAATATTTTGATTGACATCTTCCTGAGAAGTCAGGTAAGAATTTGGCTTGTTGTTTTTTAGTCTTTTGATACCAGTGACCAATATTGTCACATGTCCATCTTTGTCTGCCGTTAATAAATCCCATCCGGTGTTACTGAAACAAACGTAGTTGGTGGGTGCCAAGTGTTTGCGTTGAAGATTGTGGCCTGCCTCCTCCAATAAAGTCTCTATACTGAAAATCGTCGGAGGAGCTAATTGCCAATGCTTTCCATCCATGCATTCCAAATAGGTTACTCTTAGGTTACCCGCTGTGCTTATGAACCCATCATCATTTTCAGGTTCTAGCGTGTAAGCAATGTGTCCTTGTCTGGACCAAGACACACTATTTCTTTTCTCAAAATGTAAAGATCTGTTCACCTCTATATTACTGATATGGTAGTCTTGACACGTCATGGCTGCGTGTAACCTCTGTCCTCTAACGGAAGCAAGAGACTTGTTAGCTTTCATGACTACAGTAATGTGCGCAAGACGCCAACATGAACGAAGCCATTTTGCAGTTGAAGAAATACAGGCGCGGTAGATGGACGGAGTGTGTGTTGACTGAGAGGGTGAGTACAATTTGGATGATTGAACCTCCTTCCCTAAAAGGAACAGGAGGCAATTGCCGATTATTAGAATTTTCTTTTTGTATACTTGCACCAGCAATCTTTTGGACAAGATAGTATGGATTTTGCACACTTTTGCGGATGGGCATATGCGATATTCTGGGGAATATCCTTTTATCCGACGCTCTACTTGAATTACACTTTGAAAACATCGGATTCCATCTCTTTGGACTACATAGTGCTAAACATATTAGGTTATTTCTGTTATTGTATTTCAATGTATCTCCAACTATACAATGCTGATGTAAGGACACAGTATCAAGGATACTTTGAGGGGAAATTGCCGCTGTTATCCAATGCAGATCTCTTTTATTCATTTCATGGGATGGCATTATTGCTTGTGCTAGCTTCACAAATTTTTTGCGGCAACACTATTTGGAAATTTAAAAATGAACGAAAGAGTTTCAAAATACATACCTTAAGTAAAATGGTATTGATGTTGTTTCTAGTCTTTGCAATTTTCAGTTGGAAACTTGGTGATCCCGTGTTTGCCTTACTTAACTTTGCAATGAATTTGGCCTACTTCAAGATCATCATCAGTTTGATCAAATACATCCCACAGGTATTGCACAATTACAGAAGAAAGTCCATGTTTGGGATATCCCGGCTCCAGATCATCTTCGATATCACGGGCTCATTTTTCTCGTTTGCTGAATTTTACTTGAAGAGTGATATACCCATCGTCGAGGCAATAGATGCAAATAGAGGCAAGGTAGGGATCACGTGTGTGACATCATTATTTGCTACAATATTTCTTTACCAGATGTATATCTATGGGACTTCAAGGTCAGAGCAGAGATTAAAAGAAAAACATTATGATTTAGCTTAAACAAGAGTTACATTAAAAATAAGATAGATTACGAAGATTAGTCTTGGATTTCATCAACACTCTGGATGTATTCGAAGATGAATGCAATACATTGTAAATGAGAGTCGAATTCAATGTATTCGTTAATTCCGTGGGAGTTACCGTTGACACTTGGAAGGACACCAGGTCTGTATCTGTAGATATGATCTGTCAAGTTCCAGTACAATTTTGTGTCGGTATTTCCCGTTCCCAAACCTGGAGTGACTACCACTTGTTCGTCAGAGTTGTTGAATCTATCTGGATAAGCGAGCTCTTCATAGACATGGCGAGCAGTTCCGGCAAAGATTTTCCAGTGCATGTCGTTGGCAGCAGTAACTGGCGAAGGCTCCAAGATGGTAATAGGCTTGACGGTCATTATTCCGACGTCTGTGGCAGGAAGAATAACCACCTCTGTGCCGTTGCTGTATGGGAACTGAGCACTGAGACCAATATTGTACTGACGAGCAATTGTCTCGGCGTCTTTGAGGAACTTCTTGAATGCGAATGTGACGCTTTCCTCCACGGCGACTCTAGAGTTGACGACGAGCTCAACGAACTCTGGTAGGGCGTTGTACTTGACACCCCCGTGTATAACGTCTAGGGCTTGTGTACTTTTGATGGCATAACTCGTGAATCTGTCTCTGTTCATGAACTCTCTGACGTTGGCGTTGGCCTGTTCGTCGATTTGAGAGTTGAGGATGTCCTGCTTTAGGAGTGGGTCGATGTCGACGGCATGTTCGGCAAGACACACATACTGGTAGAAGGTTGGGTTTTTCTCAACGAAGTAGGTTGGGAACTTGTCGTTCTCTATCTCGACAATGAGACTGCCCATCATGCCGATGGCGGTGTGATCCTGAGGGACGGAGGAGTGGCCTCCTTTCTTCTGGATGGAGAGGGAGACGTCAAGGTATCCCTTTTCACCTGTGCCGACGACAGCCATGGTGGTGCCGCTGATTTCCATCATGGAGACTCCACCTTCATCCATGACGGCGTACATGGACTTTGCGCCGTAGAGCTCCTCGATGAACTCTGCGTTCTTGTTCCGAGGGCCCAAGATCTCCTCGTCAAAGCCGTAGGAAAACACGACGGTTCTCTTTGGCTTGAAGCCGGCCTTGATGAGCTCCTCGACGGCCTCGAAGTGCGAGATGAGGAGGTTCTTGCAGTCGCCGGAGCCTCTGCCGTAGAGGTACTTGCCGTCATAGTCGCCCGAGAAGGGACCATGCTCCCACTTGGCGAGAGAGTCCTCCGAGATGGGGACCACGTCCTGGTGCGCCATCAAGAGCAGCGGCTTGAGGGACTCGTCGCTGCCCTGCCAGATGTACACAAGGCCGTGGTGGTTGACCTTGTGCAGCTCGGTGTGCTCGTGGAAGAGCGGGAAGTCTTTGCGCAAGCTGTCGAGGAAGACGTCGAAGTGCTCGAAGAGCGGGAGGTTGCTGCCCACGTCGAGCGGCAGGTCGTCGAAGCTCGACGTGTCGATGCGCACCGCATGCTGCATCTTCGACACAGACTCGTTTCTGAACCCCTCGTCGTTCATGATCTTGTCCAACGTCTTCTTGTATGTGTCATACGTCTCAGGTCTGTGGATCCCCACCGAGGGACACTTTGGCTGTGCTGCAGCCGCCCCAGCCTTCCCCAGCCTCCCGGCAATAGCCCTGTCCGGCGAGTAGCACTGCTGCAACACCGTTGCAGACGCCACCAGGGCCACCAGCACAAACCCGAGCCATGCGTACGAGCTTAGACCCTTTCTGTTCTTCCGTGTGTATAGCGGGATACCGCTGCTGTTCTTCTCCGAGTCCATTGTGTCGTTCTCCGGTTGCTCTTCTTTCTTCTCTGCTTCTGCAACTGCTGTCACTGCTTTTGCCCCCTATACTGTAGTGTCTTGCTACTCCGACCACACCACTGACAGCACTCCCGGCCCTTATATACTGCCTCCCAGACCCTACACCTCCGGCTGCCTGGCCTATCTCTCTCCGCTACCGTCCTCGACTCCCCGAGGACGATAGCGGGTCTCCCGACCTCCGCTCTCCGCCGCACCGCCGCCATTTGCGGGCGTAAGCGCGTCCCCGTCGGAAAGAGACACGCCCGCAACCCGCAACGGGCCACACCCACCAGCCACAGCACACCAGCCACACTGCACCGCTCGGCAAAATCCGCTCCCCCCACCTTGGGCCCCACCGCAGTGGCGCATGCAACGGCCATCCGTGCACCGCACCCCGTGCTGCCTCCCCCAGGGTCATACCCCCGGTTTTCGACCCCGAGGCCGTCTGGACGGTTGCGGTTCGGCTCTGGGGCTCGTGGGCCGGGGGATTGCAGCAAGCCGGGGTGCTCTTGTGGACTGCATTGGCAACAGCATTGGCTTGTGGGCGTCCAGGATGTGAAGGGCCTCTTTTTTAACAGGATTGGGGCTCAGAGAGGGAGAAAGCGGGCCGGGGTGAGATTTTGTATCGCTTCTCTCCGTGGAGTGCCTAATTTTTTCCCCTACGTGGGGGAGAGGAAACCTTATAGGCTCTCTCTGCCTCCGGCATGCGTTCGGAACCTGGTTGCGGTGATAGCACGCTAGGCTGTATTTGGCGGGCAGTACTTCAGAGGACCGTAGGACATCCGGAGGGTGATATTGCGAGGCTTCTTGTTGATGTGAAGGGAGCAGGAAATGAGCAGGGCAGGCGAGGATTTAGGCAAGTCAAGGCTCAAGCACCACAAGGTGCTTCCCAACGTGCATCCGACGAACTCGTTGATTCTTCCCGACGGGAAGATCTTCAAGGTCCAGAAGAAGCGGCAGCGCAAGATCCACAGCTGCATCCCGTGCCACCAGCGCAAGATTAGATGTTCCCGGGAGACCCCAACGTGTCTGAACTGCCTCAAGCTGGCAGAGAAGAACCCCTCTGAAAAATATGAGATCTTGGACGCATGCAAGTACTTCGACAACGACAAGAAGAAGAATTTAAAGAAAAAGGGCGTTAGTTTTGGCACATCGGCGGCGGCGGCGGCGGCGACAGCGTCGTCGTCAAGGAGGAGCATGAGAACCGCTGTGTCCTCTTCCGGAGCGGGCCATGTGTCGAACGACACCGAAGAGCTGGAATATGAAAAACTCAGCGGAGAGGAGGAGCAGGAAGAAGGGGCCGAAGAGCTCGACACGGCTTATCAAAAAGACAGCGGGGACTGCCAGCAGTTGGCAGGCATCAACAACAATAGCAGTAGAAGTAGAAGCAGCAGCAGCAATAGTAGCACAACCAACTCGCAGACAGACGCTTTTTCCAGTATCTTAGTTACCCAACCTTTCTACGAAAACGACTATGCCGGACACTTCGGAAGACCCACCGGTGTAGGAGCAAGGGAGGGCGGTGAAGAACCGAAAACCTACAGCAATACCAACCCCACCGCCGGCGCCCGCACCGATACCAGAGACACGGCCGATCTCAGTGCTGAGGGGAAGACCAGAAGCAAAAGCAAGAGCAGCAAAATTGACAACACCAATAATGACTATAATACCGGCAACACCAACTATACTATCAGCCTTGGCCAGAGAAATGGAGCTGGCGAAAAATATAATCTTGTGGAAGATAATGTTAACGAAAAATTGGGCCACACTAACGAATACACTAACGACTTCCCCATAGACCAGAATGAGTTTGTGTATGTACCAAGAGACGAGTCCGGCGAGCATATGAATGACGCAGAAAGAAATGGTTTCTCCTATCAGAACCCGAACAACCTCTATCCGGACGACCACATATATTCTCACTACTCAAAGCAATTTGCCTCCCAGTTCATTACGATGCTCAACAACCTCCCCACGAGAGAGAGATCAGACGAGTTGTTAAAGAACTTCCAAACAAACGTGCATTCTTTGCTACCGATTTTGGACATGAACGGTTTCTTGGAGAAATACGACGAATTTTGGTACTGCGGCTTGTTTTTGACTGACAACATAGAAAAATTGTATCAGTATACCATCTACTTCAAAGACAAGTACCCTTCTGTCATACCCGGCAAGATCAACGATTTCCTGTATTGGTATCACAAAACTAACGGCTCATTAAATCCTTCCAACTTCTCAGAGTTTTTGATCCTTCTTTACGCCGTTTATTATACCTCAATTTCAAGCTCAGTCTACGAATTTCTTTCCAAGAAATATGACAACTTCAACAATATTTTGTCTTACAAAAACGAGGTTAACAAATACTACAACATGTTCAAAAATATGAACCACAAGGGACTCAATAATCCAAGGGTCATGTCCTTGGCAGTTTTACAAATCAATGTGTTAGTGCAATCGATTACCAACCTTAAGTCAGGGAAATCCTTGATCAATATTTCCAAAATTTTGAGAATTTGTCAATTCTATCAATTGAATAGAGACCCCGTCTTATATCATGCACTCAAAGATAAAGAATTGGTACAGACCAGAAGAATAGTTTGGTGGCAAATTTTCTTATTGGATAATCTAGTATCATTTTTCTTAAATTTAACTCCCTCAATCAAGTTGTCTGACTTTGATACTAGCTTATTGATGGAGAATTTGGATCATGACTCATGCGCTAATTTTTCAATTATGTATTTGAACTGCATGTACAGATTTATTCTGATTGTCGACGACTTGAATGGTTTAACAAACGGCTTGAACTTTCAGCTGAAAAACGAGGATATTAATAAGATGAAAAGTAATATCAATAATTTGTTCATCACTTGCAACTCAACGATGAAAAAAATGAGTGCCATATTTTACAGTATACCCAACAACAGTGAAATGTTGTCTACGGACAACAACTCAAGTTCCAATCCAAGTCCATCTAATCAATACCAGCATCGCCCAATCTCACGCCAACAACAACATCAAAGTCCACTGAGCAATAGTGTAGAAACCGATCCAACATTAAACTCAACCAGCTACAGCTTCCACGAGCCATCGCTTGACACTTTCAGGTTTTTCATGTCTTCTTTAAATATTTTAAGTGACAAGATGTTGATTATGCTCCAAAAAAAAATCTTACTGAGCCCATATTTGATTTATGACACCCACAAGACAAACTCGAATCTAAATTTGAGGTTGAATAGTACCGAGTACAGTTACACAGATTTACAAAACAACTTGTTACCATCGCTTCTACACTATTTGGACACTTTCTTGTTGTTATCGAAAAAGGATATGCTTAAGTTTAACTGGAAGCTGAAAAATTACATTCCTATTGATGAGTTGATTTTGCTAATGCAAATATTAGCAACAAACTACAAGTCGGGGATCTTTCAAAATGAAATTGATAAATTCTCTGATATAAACTTAAAAATATATTTGATTGATCAAACAATAAATTCATTGAAGTTGAACTGGCATCTCAAATTATCAAGTGTCAACAAATTGATTTCTTTGACGTCTAAACTATGGGAATTGATGATACTCAAATTCAACATTGATTTAGCTTTGTCCTACTCGATGTCTGACAAGTACATCTTCCCTAAACCTGTCCATGAAGTTTTGTCACCGGGGAACTATTCTCGGAACATTAATATTTCGTCCAATTCTGTTAGTTGCGCAGAAATAGCACCAAGGACAATTGGAATTGCATCAGCTCTGGATACACCTCTTCGAAATATGGACTCAAAGCAAAAGGGTACAATGAGCAATGATACCCCAGATCAAAATCCGTTCAACTACTTAAATCCATCAAATAATGAGAAACAAAGCTACAACAAGCAAAAGACCAATGACGCGATACGCCCATCATGTTCGATAGTGGACATGAACTTGAACATTAAGGAGAGGTTTTTCAGTGTTGCTAAACTGGTGGAAGATGAACTTTCCAAAGAAGGCGGATCTGGAATAATACAAGATACAGATGACAATGAAGAAGGGTGGTTCAATCTCGGCACAGAAGAAGAATATGGATTAAACTCAATTGATGATTTCCACTTCTACAAGAACTTGAAATCTGATGTCATCAGGCTATTCAAACTCGTTGTGTGTTGAATTAACATGCTCACTATATAGCTATCAAGAGATAATGTTTTGTATACGTCTAAAGTCAAATCATTAAACTTCCTCAAAGCTTGTTGTAAGCAAAAAGGAATGTGACAATGATCATCGCAGTTAATGCATATGAGTAAAAATAATCTGTGTTTTCCTTCCATGCTAGCGTTATCACATTATTAGATCCGAAGCTAGTGTTTCTGATTGAAGACTTGGTGGTAGCATTGGGACGTTTCGAATCGGACACATCATACACTTTCCTCAATTTAGTCTCCGCACTATAGTCAATCTCATCGCCATCGTAAACATAAAGTAAATTTTCACTTGGCTCATCAATCACCGTCTTCTGCACATTTCCAAAAAAATCTGTAATCAATACGTCCTTGGGATCTCGGTTAAAAAGTTCTGTACTTATTCCCACATTTGAATGAATCTTTTCATACGTGTAAGAATCAAATAGATCTTGTAACGTCGACTTGGAGGTTGTAGTGATATTTTCCAAAAATTCTAAAGTATAATACGTAAACCGATCAATGACTGCAACTCCTATTTCCGTGTCAGAATGATGGGAATACGAAGATTCATGTAAGGCGCTTGATCCGCAAGAAATTATGTTAGGAGAATAAAATTTGGAATACATGGTGTTAGCCTGACAAGTATCAATCATGAAAAAAATTTCATTGTATCTCTTCTTTTCATACATCTGTTCAAATGCATCGGCAATATCATAACTGGAAATTTCCTCAGCATCTTGGAACTTTAAAAATTCATCACCGCCATGGCCCGTAAGGTATATGAATATGTTAGAGTTTTCATCTGTCAAAAGCCTTTTACTTCTTGGCTGTTCTTTTGGCCAACGATCCGTTAATAAACGAATAAAATTCTCAACTGTCACTTCATATCCTCTGTAGTCTACTTTGATATTGTCACCATATAGCTCCAATTGTCTATCTGCATTGTTAAAAACTTCACCCTGGAAAGCATTTCTTGGGTTACATGCAATATCATCACTTAGCATGAGGATGATCTGTGAATCTGGAATACCAAGTCTTTTAACTGTACGATACATGGATAACGAGTTTGCCATATGTCTGTAGTTAAACCAAAACCTAGAGGTAGATATGATCACTGCCCAGTTGTTTGTGTGCTGATGTTCAGACTCAGAGTTGTCCGTTGTTTGTGCATTACTAATGAATGGTTCTGCGGCAAATACCGTAGAAACCACTAAAGCAAGTAGCGGTAAGAAGCTCACTTTCATTTTCTAGTTTTTGATGCTTCAAATGTGCCGGATTATATCAAACAACGAGACCACTTACCAACAGGTGAAGTGTCAACATGAATTGGATGAAACTGCTAAATTTCTTTGCATGCGCATCGTAAACAAAAAAAAAGACACACATTGATTTTCATAACTTCATTTGTAGAATTACTAAGCCAAAAGGAGACTATTTAGGGTTGAAAAAACGGGGTTTACCTAGACACCCAATGCTTCGAAATGTCTACCAGATTGCTGCTAAGCATGTCCTTAAACAGAGGCTACTGAAAAATGCTTTTTCCTCCGACAGTCAGAAGAACAATTTCCGTGCATTGAACTGTCACTTTCGGACTGTCCACTCTGAGAGAGAGGTGGGAACTTTTCAAAATAGTACATCATATGATATTCCGAATGAGGTCAATGACATATCTAAGGAAGCAGAAACAGATGAAAATGAGAATGAACATATCAGCAGAACTGAGGAAACTGGCGTCACATCTGATCCAATCGCACTACGTGCTTATCAAAAAGAATGCATTTCCTCTATAGTCAGTACTCTCTCATCAGGAGAAGAAAAAAAAATAGCTGTTTCCATTGCAACTGGTGGAGGGAAAACAGTCATTTTTTCCATGGCAATACCTGAAATATTAAAAGTATCAAGATTTGAAGGAGATGATGCTAATGGAGCTCTTATTCTTGTACATCGACGAGAATTGGCTAACCAAACTATAAAAACTATACAGCAACTTGAAATTGTCGATGATGATCGAATTTTTTTAGACATGGGAAAGAACAAGCTAGACATTACAAGGACATTTAAAGATCCACGCCCATTCATTATTGTTGGAAGTGTTCCGACTCTTGCTCGAATGGAGTGTAGTCGGGTGGCTGACTACAACATGGATAGATTTAAAGCTGTAATTGTTGATGAATGCCATCATTCTGTAAGTACGAGCTACAAAAAGCTGTTCAGAGCCTTTCGTTGCTCCAAAGATCAGCCTGATAAACGAGGTCCATTTTTACTTGGCTTTACTGCTACAATGGCCAGAACTGATCGAGTTCCTTTGAGAAAAGTGTTTGATAAAATTGTATTTGAGAAGAAGATTGCTTCCCTTATCGAAGAAAATCATCTATGTGATTTTGACTGGCTACGCATAGAACTAGGTTTAAATCTTCAAGACGTCGAAATCAAAGGCGGTGACTTTTTTCTTGACTCATTAGCCAAACATATCAATACCAACGAAATTAACGTTATTGTACTAAAAACATACTTGAAACTCAAGAAACAGTTTCCTAACAACATGAACTCGCTATTAGCATTTTGTGTTAATGTTGCGCATATGCAGACATTGTCTCGGTTATTTAGAGAAAACGGCATTAATGCCCAATATGTTAGCGGAGAGACTAAAAATAGTGAGCGTGATAGTATTGTTGCTGACTTCAGAAATGGTGAGATACCCGTTCTATTTAATTGTGGTGTTTTCACAGAGGGTACAGATATTCCAAATATAGATTCCATTTTTTTGTTGAGACCCACAAAATCCAAACCCTTGTTAATACAGATGATTGGTAGAGGACTGCGATTATCCGAAGGGAAGGAAAAGTTGCTCGTAACAGATTTCGTCGATAGCAAATCTTTGGGATTATCCTTGAGCTCGACTTTGGGTGGGAAACCTGATGTGCTAAGTTTAATGAGTTCTCTAGGCTCGTCAGGATTCAATAGAAGAGACGAAATGTTACCTGGGGATATCGACTATATTAAGTTTACAAACTATAAGGGTATTGAGATGTTGTATGATGAGAATAGAAGAAAGAATTCACCACCATATGAGCTACTCAAAAATATGAAAAGGCTAAATTCTTCAGGAACTTTAGGTCACTGGACTCAGGTAAAGTTTGATACATGGGCCACTTCCAGTGGCTACAAATCATATTTCAAAATAGAAATCACCAAAACAGCCGAATACAAAGCATCTCATTATTTTACCAAAGTTGGAGCACACAATGAATCTAGGCTCATAATTAACAAAGTTTGCGAAAATAAGGATTTTGCTTCAATAACGAACTGTGTTGCTGACTACATCAACACGCATGACTATATCAAATCAGAGATGAACGCTGTTAGACAAAGAGAAAATAATATGAAGCACCAGCCCATCACAAAAACACAAACCAGTTTTATTAGCCAAGTAGTGCCACCAATAGTGGAAAAGTCACAGTCAGATGCATTAGATTACCAGAAGTTCTTGAAACTTTTTGGTGCAAAAGTAACCGGTATGTCTAGATGGGATGCTTATACATTGATTTTTGCATATACGGTAGCAAGAAAGCAAGCGGTGCTGCTATGGCTTAAAGAAGCATTCCTAAAAACGAAGGAGAAAAGGGCTTTGATAACAAAAGAATCTTTTTTGAAGGAGAGGCAAAAGTTGGTCGATGAAGGTTGGGCTTAATTGTATCATGAAAGTAATACATATCATCTTTTATATACCTTAAAAATGTGAACGCTTACGTAATAATTAAACAGGAGCTGCTTTATCCCATTACATGTATTCGGGGTCAATTAGATGATGATGTCGACCGCCTAAGGTTGCTGATGTTCTTGAATACAATGTTGTTATAGAAGAAGATAAAACCGAATTGAGTACTACTATGAGCACTACAGCAGGAGACAAAACATCGAACGTCGCCAACTTTGCCCTCTCAAAAGATTTCCCCGAACTAGTTCGTTTTCAAATTCATGCATTAAAAGGAATCACCACATCTTTACTCTTGAAGAAAATATATTCTGATCAAAATGATGCAGCTACCTCTTTTTTGGATTGTACAAGTGCTTTGATAGAAAGCAAGTTAAAAGAGCATTTGGCAGAAACAGAAGTCATTGCAGAGGTACAAATTGAGTCAGGAATTGGCAAAAAACTTACCGTTCCTGTCATTGTTGGACTTTCCAGTGAGATTGAGAAGCAGACTTGCCGACCTATAATTGGTTCGGGTGACGAGATTACCTATATTGATGATGCTTTTGTCAAATTTACCCCATCGGAGGGACCGATTGATGTTGCTCCAAAAACTTCATCTTCCTTATTGTCCTCAGCCGCAATTTCCGCCTCGGCAGACTCATCTTCCTTTTCCTCAATGTCATCAAAACCGAACACACTATCATTTCTAGATAGTAAGAATTGGATAGAGCTTCCCATTGAGTACTCAAAGCTTCCAATAGAAGCAGCGTTGGTGCTTACTGTTTGTTGTTATGATGTACGAACCGGCCAAAAACAATTATTATGTTCAGGACGAATGCCTATGTTCAGTGATACCTGTACTTTGAACGCAGGACGTTATACAGTAGAGCTGCAGCTACCAGAATCGCCGTCTTATTCATTATTGCAGGTACCTGAGAAGAAGAAGAGCACACTCTCAGAAAACATTCTAGAGAAAATACAATTTGACAACTCCCGACCTACCTGGTTGAATAAACTTACAATCACCAAACTAGATTTCATTGAATCAAAAACCACTTTTCTACCAGAATACCAAAATCCTAAAATTAGATTGATTATTGTTTTTCCAAGCTTTGACATTCCTATAGTTTTTTCTGATATCAAATATGTACCCATATCTCTTCCATCTTATGATCCTTCAAGTTATGCTTTGAATTATGACCCGATGTTCAATGAGATAACGTATACCAACAAAGTGAACAAAATCACTGAAAACAATATGTCTTTAATATATTCAACCGAATCTTTACCTTTTGACCCTGATCAGATACGTGGGGAGCAAATGGAAGATCCAGTAGAGCAAAAGTTTAGAAGATTAGAAAGAATGCAACATCTTTCTCCTTTGGACAAGGAATTGAAACCTACTTTAAGGATGCGTGAATCTTTGTCACTGGTAATGAAAAAACAATTTTTTGAAAAGATGACGGCCAAGGAAAGAAATATGGTTTGGAGATATCGGTGGTTTATGCTAAATACGTTGATCGTAGGAAACACTCCAGGTTGGAGCAATGCGTTGATAAATTTTATCAAATGTGTGGATTGGAACAATAGTGCCGAAATAAATGAATTTGAAACTATCCTTAGGAATCTAAAGGAAAACTTAAACTTGAAGTCCAGGGAGTTGCTTGGCTGGAAAAAGGAATCTGCTTTTGATATCTTCGTTAGAAAATTGCAGATAATTGATTGCTTGGAATTACTAAGTTGCAATTACAGAAACTTCATTGTTCGGAATATGGCAGTTGAAAGATTAGAGCGTGCTACTGATTCGGAGATTTCTGTTTTCATGGTCCAGCTTGTTCAAAGTATTAAAAATGAGACATTTCTCAATGAAGATGCACAATCTGAGCGCTCCAGTGACAAATATGATTCTGCGAAAGCTTTATCAATCAATGATATAGAAGTGGTTCATGTTGATGAGGAAGAAAATGAACTTAAAACTCCGGGAAGTGCCAAATCCGGAAACACCTCGAATTACACTTTAGCATCAAGTGACTATCAGATAGTAGATACTGTTAATGAAAGCAGTGGTTCTGATACTCACATAACTGATTTCATTGATAGTATACTTTTCAAAAATAAAAAACTCAAAAGTATCAATATCCCGGACATTCCATCAAGGTTTATCAACTTTATGATTGATCGTGTGATTAGGGATGCATCATTAACAAACTATTTCTATTGGTGTTTGAAAGTGGAGGTCGAAGAAGAACAGCTTAGAAATAACAATTCCACGATTTATGACATGATCGCTAATAATAATAATAGCAGTAAAAACAATAATGCTATTAATGCAATGGTGAGTAATGGTCATATGGATAATGGAAACTCAAATATAAACAATTATTATACAAATAAGGGTACAACGTCAAATCAGAATATTGGCGATGGAAATAAAAATGGATTTGCTTTAGGGTCCAAAAAAGGAATACTTTCTGTTCCTGCCACAATGAATGAACCCAACAAAATGTTCCACAAAATAATTCATGAATTGACAATGAAAAAATTTATTGTAAGTTTGGCTCAAAGCCAACATGGAAAAGCTAAATTATATGAGCTGCGGAGACAGATAGAGCTCGTCAACAAACTACACAATTTCTGCTATAAGATAAAGGTCGATCACCGTAAAGAGACAACCCCTATGAAAGTTGAAGCATTGAAGACCATGCTTGCAGAGAAGCACAAAAGGACTATTTTTGGATCTAAGTATGAATCGAGAGGTATATTGATGGAAGAAAACCGAAGTGAATCGATGTTAGACTTTCCAAAGTTGACCATGCCGTTGGATCCCTCGGTGATCGTCAACGGAACTCTACCGGAAGAATCAGCGGTATTCAAGTCGAGCTTAAATCCACTTAAAATAACTTTCAAAACAACACAAAGCAGTAAATACCCAATAATGTACAAGATCGGTGATGATTTAAGGCAAGATCAATTTGTCATTCAGATTATCACATTGATGGAAAAAATTTTAGAGAGTGAAAATATGGATCTGAAATTGAAGCCCTACAAGATTTTAGCTACAGGTGAGGTAGAAGGATTTATCCAGTTTATCCCAAATAACTCACTCTCTCATATACTCTCCAAGTACAACAACTCTATTTTGCTTTATTTACAAACGTTTAACCCAGATCCTACAGCCCATCTTGGCGTGAATCCACAAGTGATGGACAACTATGTTCGCTCTTGCGCAGGCTATTGTGTTGTGACGTATATATTGGGTGTTGGAGATAGGCATTTAGAGAATCTACTACTTTCGAAAGACGGTTACTTTTTTCATGCCGATTTTGGCTATATTTTAGGTCAAGATCCAAAACCATTTCCTCCTCTGATGAAGCTACCTATTCAGATAATTGAAGGTATGGGTGGAGCTGACGACATCAACTACAAAACTTTCTGCCAGTACTGCTTTATCACTTATATCACTTTGCGGAAAAATTCATCGTTGATTTTAAACCTTGTCCAACTCATGATCAACACTTCAATCCCTGCTTTAAGGACAGGGATTGAAAACAGTGAGGCTGAAAAAATGGAGCTCTTGTGGAAGGTTGAGGAAAAGTTCATGCTAGACCTGAATGACGAGGAGGCTGTTCTTCACTTTCAAAACCTCATAGATAGTAGTGTCAACGCAGTTCTTCCTGTTGTAATCGACAGACTTCACAACCTTGCTCAATACTGGCGGTCTTGATTGTTTCGCTCACGAAGGCTCGTCCTTTTTTTCTCATTCCCTACTTCTCTCTTTACTCTTCCGTTCGAACACCTTCTCTTAAGTATACTTAATTTAAAAAATTGGCACTATCAGCTTATGGAAATATCACTACCACAGAAGCACCAGCTCGCTTTGAATGAAAGTCTGGCATATCTGGCTTCTGCCATCATGTCACGAGTGTCCAACGCAGCCACAATCACTTTTCAGGACAGTAACTGATCCTGAAACGTAAATACTTTTGATAGCTGTGAATTTCATCAAAGCTGATTTTATAGTCATGTGAATACTGTACTGAAATTGAAAGGTGGTTTTTATGTTGGTGATTAACAACTTGGGGCTACTTTCATAAACGACTTCAGTACTTCACCTCTAACACGTGACTTGATCGTACTCGAATTGCCTTTTTTCATCCATGCACACGACGAGGAATGCAATAAGTTTTGAGACTCGCTAGTGATAGAATCAAGTGCCTTGATAAAGAATTCTTATATAGTTTTCAAAGAGTAAAGGTGAAAACTTGATTGAGTCTACTAAACCTAATAATGGAAAATTGCACAATACCCACAAATGTGGTAACAGACACACTTAATCCCATTCTAAAAAAAATCTTAAGCAAAAGCAAATCAACACACTTGATCAGACTAGATACAGTGACAAATGAAATCAAGCTAAAAGTTGATAAGCCTCATTTGGGACTCATCTACCTTGAGTCTCCGTACATAGCCATCCCATCCTTTGACCTTCTTAAACTCATTGAAAGAGGTAAGTGCTGTGGTTTATGCGGCGGAGTGCTGAAAATCTATGACAATGGTAAGATGAAAGACGATGGGAACAAAAGCACTCGACAGAAGCAGACACACATTGAGAAGCATGAGAGGTATATTAATGGTCTTGACTGCTCGGAGTGTGAAGTACGTTGGTGTGATAAACAGTGTAAAGACCTTGATTTCAAGCATATGCTCTTGAACCACAGGCCCTCAAACAAATCAACGTCTCATTCATTCCTCGATGTTGCTGGTAACGAGAAAGATATATTTTATTTTGACAAGTGGACCAAGCTGAAGAATCTTCTGGTAAGTGAGAATTTGGATGTTGTATACAACACATTTATGTGCATAATACAAATATATTATGATGAAACTTTGGTACAAGGTTTTGAATCGCTAAAATGTGTTGTCTGTGACGACGAATCACAGCTTGAGCTTTACATAAATTCGTGGAACATCTTGAAAGTTATTGATTTGAAGACCCTTTGGCAAAGCTTTACTGGCTGTTTTAAAAAACTCAACATGTCATATTTGAGTTTTCTAAAGTATGTGATAATTTTCAAACTAAATAACTACAACGGTTCCATCTACCTCATATTCTCAGCGATGACTAAATCTGACTCTGTTGAGCCCAATGTCAAAGTCGAGTATTATGATGGAGCTACTCAGTATGATTATGAGGAGTTTAGCGTTAGGACTGGCGAGGATAATGCTGTTCATATGATAAAAGAACATGTCGTGGATAGGGCTTCTGTGAAGCCAATATATACCAATAGATCGTCAGGTATTCTTGACAAAAAGGTCATCCAGGTTTCAAATACTGCACGGGTATCTAATACAGCACCTTTGGTGTTACCTGATGAAGATTTTTCCAACCCTGCCGATGTGGAAGATGATGAAATCGAGTTTCTTTCTGACGGCGAATCAGATACCAAAATCCCCAAAATTGTACTTCCGGTTTTGCCTTCCTATACACAGAAAACTACAAATTCAAAAATAAGAGCTGCATCATTCACATCTTCTGGTGCCTCTTTCGGTGAAGGCATTATAAAATACAATAGAGATCAGATCAGGGAAATGCTTGAGAATATGTCGCATTCCATGAGATTGGATGAAGAGTCATCAGACGAAGCTGAGGACGCTATTGATGATGAGATTTCCAGCTCTGTTGGTTCTTCTATTAGCAGAAATATTGTTTCAATGGTTAAAAACCTTCAGGTGAACAATGCAGCATCGCAAAGAAGAAAAAGCGTGAAATTTGAAGAGAAAGTGACTACTATCTAAACAACGTATAAAGTGAGTAAATTGACCATGTAGGTCCTTCATTTTCAAATAAAAAATCGCGACGAATAGCTTTATGCACAATGGACTATCAAGCTACGGAAGAAATGTCAATCTCCGAAGGCGGTCCGTCCGCCTTCATCTGGGTGAAAGAAAAGCATAAAATCCAATAGAGGAATGAGGGGGAATTGGTATCCTAGCCCTCTTTTCTCAAAATGTAAAGTAATATAACTATAGCCTGGTTTTGGTACTTGGAATCAAAGCTAATCTTATTTCCTCCGACCCATTCCTTTATTCAAACTCTTTTTTGATATATCATCTTTTTCTATTCAGATGAATTCATTAAAAGTTGCAGTCATAGGAGGTACTGGTGGCCTTGGTCGTGCCATTGCCCAAAACCTTGCCTCCAAGGAAGCATCTGTTACTGTTTACGGACGGACCTTTAGGGATAATGATGTCAAGAATATCAAATTTGTCGAAGTTGATCTCAGTTTGATGTCAAACATTAGAGAGTTGGTCACAAAACATTCGTTCAAGATTTCTGAATACGACTTGATAGTTTTCACCGCAGGTATTTTTGCGGCTTCCAAAAGGGAAGAAACCAGTGAAGGTTTGGAACGTGATTTTGCAACAAGCACTCTAAACAGGTATCTATTACTAGAGAAGTCGTTAGCTGAGTTAGAGGCGCAGTCACCACTAAAAGAAGGTTCAAAAATCAAGAAGCCAAGAATTTTTATCATGGCTTACCCGGGTGCAGGTCAGTTAGGAACTCCAGATGATTTGAATCAAGAGAAAAGCTACTCTGCTTATCGGTGCCACATGAACACTGTTGCTGGTAACGAAGCCATTGTTGTTCACTACTCTGACAATGAACATTTTAATATTTATGGTTTAAATCCAGGAATAGTTAAAACAAATATCAGAGACAATTACTTGGGGAAAAATAGCTGGGTTTCCAAGGTTTTGGAATCCTTCATTGGCTGGTTCAACAAGTCACCAGAGCAATACGCAGAGATAATCACACCCTTGCTAACTAACTCAGCCCTAGACGCAGACAATGGATCTTTTTATGATAACAATGCAAAGAAAATTCCAGCCTCCAAAGGGTTTGACAAGGAGTATGCCGACAAGTATATAAGGAAGTCAAAAGAGTTGCTTGACAGCAAGGGGTTGTGGTAATTTTTAGTTTGTAATTATTCTATTTTGTGTTTTCGCAAGTTTTGCAACTTTACTTTCAAATTGTTTTTATCAAACGCTTATTTTCTCTCAGAACCTAAATGGAAGTCAGCTGCTGGTTATTTTTGATAACTAGATGGCTTTTGATATTTACGGCTCGACTCAAGAAAAGTTATTGTCGAAGCAAGGATCAAAAGAAGGTGTCAAAGAAAATATTTTTGAAATGGGTGATGGGCTTTCATTCTAAAAAAGGTCTACCCTTTTTATGAAATTATATCACTCAAGTGTTCTTCGCATAATGAAAAGTGGTATTCCTGCTACAGATATTTAATGATGTAAGGAGAACTCAAAGCTAAGAAATATCATTTTAATGTATCTTTCATACAGTTCCATAATGCAATAACGTTGCGTGCTAACTCGTTACCAATTCCTACTTTGATTCCCGAGTTCTTATACGTTGTATGCAAGATAACTCCTAGTATGCACACACCTAAAGATGCTTTTATTAGAATAGGTGATCGGCGGAGTTCTCGTTTCAATAGTTGACTATTGTTTAGCTTCTCAGTTATGTACCTCTTTTTATTTAACTGAGATTCATACTGCTGGTGCTCTTTTATCTGCAAAGCTAGCACGGTGATCGATGTGGATTTACTCTTCAAGAAGGAGAATTTTGAAATATGTCTGAAAGTTTTGAGTTTCGTCAAGGGTATTTTTTTTCTTATATCTAACGCAAGTTTCAGAACGTTGTAAACTTCAAGCTTTGAGTCAATTGAGTCAATACTCAGATGTATCCGTATGAATTTGTTCAATACTGCATGGACTATATCAGTATCATATCTACTCCCTGCCGAGTCGATGGAAGAGTCGCTCATTTCATTCAAATCCGTAATAATGTCATCCTTATAGTATATCAAGAGGGCAGTATATATATAGATGATCAGTTGGGGCTCATCACATGCAAATATAAAATCCCATATCAATGATATATCCGCTATATTTGTGATATCGTGGGTGAAGAGCGATATTATGCTGCTTAAGGCATACACAGGTGGTGATGGTTCCAAAATGAGATAAAGATCATAGTCAATGTGACTCAATAACTCAGGAATAATATCTAATTGTTTTATCGTTGGACGTATGCTTGTCATCATATGATCACGTAAATATCGCAATGTCAGAATGTAAAGAAACTGAAATGCTTCATAGTCGTCCTCAAACGCTAGTACCACCATAGTCGCCACATCGTGATATCCCTGATAGTAATTTATGCCTGGTATAGCCTCAAGTACCTTCATTATAACATTGAACAACCGTTTCCTCAAATGTGGAATCTCACTGTGTTCGCCAGCTGTATCGCACAAATATATAAAGGACCTGTCGACATCTTTTTGTACTTGATCAGTATCCTTGTGGCTCTCCTCTCCACTGGTTTTCTCCGAGAGAGATTTCATATAGACATCCAAATTAGGATCCTGCCCTATAAATAATGGCCATGCTCTTGCTCTAAGGCTGTTGTCCAAAAGCCGATCCGACGTACAAAGTACAGTTTCTCGGAGTCGGTCAATATCATTTGCGTCTAGCATTTCTGTCATTTCATGAATCTGCCTATCCTTACCGAAATTTGAGCCAAGATCAAAATCATATACGCTTTCACCACTGTCATCCAATAGCACAACCATTATAGTATGTGCCTATCTTTATTACTTGCCGAAATGTAATGCTCTTAGGGATGCCTTTGAATGCTGAAGGGACAAGGCCTTAGCCTGCAATTATTTAAATTGGCAACTCCTTCGGTGAAAATATTATGTAATCATGAACATGATTTTGCGACGACTACTGAAACTGGTACAGAAAGTACCCCGTTTGCTGTGGAAAGTAGTTTATAACCTAGCTAGGAGCAACCTTTAACGCCCACTAGACTTAATCAGTGAAGCATTTGCATATCATCAATGGATGCTCTGGGATGGAAACCGTTGGCCAAGATTGGCGGAGGAAGATTTTCGGATATTTACAGAGTTTTGAAAAGCGATTCGGAAAATAATAGTGCTAATAATGAAGAGCAACAGCTGTTTGCTTTGAAGCTAGTTGATCCTGATGATGAAAAGCCTCCGCATAATATTAGAAATGAAATAAAGATACTTTCTGACTTGAAAAACGCAAAAGAAGGTCAAGACGCCGTAATTCCAAATGTTATCAATTTGATCAGTGTTTCATCTAACAATATTGAATACGGACTACTTTTCCCATTGCTTGATATGACTTTGAATCATGTGATCAAAAGCCACATTAAATCACGTACAATTTTCAATTCTGATGGTACAATGAAAATGAGAAAAGTGAATACAATTCCTATCGATAGCGCGTTCAAGATAGTTGTCGGCTTAATGAAGGGGTTAGATTGGATTCATAAGAACGGAGTAATCCACCGTGATATTAACCCGAACAATATCTTATTTGGCAGAGAAAATCCTGAGATGCCAGTGATTATAGACTTTGGAATATCCTACCAAGAACCATATAACAATGGGCTTGAAAAGCCAAATAAAAAATTCACTGATATAGCGACTGGAATATACAAGGCACCCGAATTACTCCTTTCTAAACGTGACTACTCCAACAAAGTGGACATGTGGGCCGTCGGTATTCTAATTACAGTAATTTTAAGCAAAGATGGGAAACCAATTTTTGAGCAAGATTCGATGTACAGTGATTTGGTTTTACTTTCCAATATACTTGCAACATTTGGCTCTCCTCCATCAGATTGGTCTGATTGTAAAGGCCTAACTTCATTTGACTCTTTAAATCGCACATTTTTCACCAAATCTCCCAAACCGCTAGAAGAAATTGTGCCTCGACTCTTTGAGGAACCGGAAACTCTAAGTTCTTCAAAATTACAAAAGACTATTACTGGCTTAACCAAATACGAAACCAGTGAGAGGCTCTCGGCACATGATGCATTGGCCATCCTCCTTTGCTAAACTTACTATCAAATGTAAATATTTCTTTTCTTTCCCAAAAATCGAAAACTGTAACTATTCTAAAATAAATAAGAACAAGCTAGAGCTTTCTTATATAACTATACAACAAAATCTATTTCTTTTCCTTCAACTCAACCATCTCCTGTTCACATCTATTTATAGAAGCCGTACCAGTTTCTATCTTACCACCCAAATACTTGAGTCTTTCCTTGAAAAGTTTAGGCTCAGGAACCTCTTTGAATTTATTCAGGTCTTCAGCAAATTTACGGACACGGTTCGTTTCAAACTCAATTTGACCCAGTAAACATTCCTTCTCAATGGCACGGTATATTTCGGGATCGCTAACCATTTGTTTGAATGCAACAGAAAAAACGGGTTTGGCTGGAATAACTTTAGTTACAACACCGTCAACGCGGACCAAACGAATTAATTCTGCGTTCTCCATACTTTGTAAAATCATGAAAGTATTTGCCTTAAACATAGGCAACAAGAAAATGTCAGCGTAGTCGATTTCTGCTTTATCGCTCAAAAGTTTAATGATTTGCCATGCTTGTGAAACGTTGAAACCGTAGTCTGCAGTTGAAGTAAGGAAAACTTGAGATAGCTGCTCGACGGCCTGTTGAGTCAAACCTTCAAACGCTTCTTTTGGCGTATCACCCGATTTAATCCGGCGAACAAACATTTGCAAGTCTCTCATACGACCACCAAGTAATGTAGCATATCTGTCCAACTCTTCTTGATCTTTTTCGGTCTGAATATTTTTATCCTTTTCTAAAGAGTGGTTAACATATATGTTTGAAGCTAACTCAGAAGCGTCGGATAAAACGATTCTTTTCAATGGAGCAGTAGGCAATGATGATATCATTTCTTGAATTGATCCTACATCATCTGTAATGAAAATAACATGGGCAATGTTTAGCTGAACCAAGTTTGCAGCCCATTCCGCCAGTGATTTGTATATAAAGGAGTTAGCTTGATTTTTCTTTCTAGCAGCTTGATATCTATCAATGACAATAACAGGCTTGCATTGAGGGTTTTGCTGTAAATAATCTTCTTCCTTCATGTAGAAATCCTGGTTTGACGACATTAGCTCATAATAGTTGGAAAGAGCCAAATCCCTGATGGAACCTAAGGATAGAGTCAACATACTCGAAATTTGAGACTCTTTCGTTTCCGTTAAACCAGCATTCTGCCCGGTCAAACTTTTCACAAATAAGTCCACAAAACTTGAAATACTTGTAAGGAAGGAAAAAACAGGGAAATAACCGATTTCATGTGCAAAATTTTGGATTAATTGATAATCTTTGCGTGATTTAATGATATTTTCACAATCAACATACAACACATTATCTCTGTTTCCCAAGACCATAGAGCTTACTAAATTTCTTTTCCCACTACCTGCTGGGCCTTGCACAACAATCATAGAATTGACATTTTCTTCAAGCCATATTTTAATTTCTTTAGCCTTTTTATTTCTTTCCTCCATTAAATCATCAATTTCACTCCATAATTCCCAGTCTGCATCTTCAGATTGTTGAAAGCTTAACAAGCCTTTAACTTTATTTCTCGTGGTAATCCATCCTCTCCAAATTTCCCTAAACCATAAACTCTTACTCCAATCCAATTCACCCTTGATTTTCTCCTTAATGAACCAGCTCCTGATCGGATCAAAGATCAAAACAGCAAAACCTGCCATTAGTGCTAGCAGCAGAGGAATGGCAATTCTCGGATGGTCTCTAACTAGTGTAGGGAACCAGTGATCATTTACCCTCTTTTTATAATGAATATGGACGATAGTTCCACCTATATCAGCGCCTGTTAGGCAATGTCTAGCACAAATTGCACTACGAGTTGACCAAAATGTAACAAGTGCAACTCTTTCCATATCTCCTGGTTTAGGTAGGTTAATATCTGAAATTTTACCATATCTTCTGAACATGGCATAAAGGGATTCCTGTGATAACTCATCACCTTCGAATTTGACCTTTAAGGTAGGTGAGGCATATCTACCCATATCTTCAACCCAAGGAATACCTTTAACAGGAAAAATCCCCATACGCAAAAAAAAACGATGAGTTTTGGACATCTTTTCGGTAAGGTTGTAAATCAACGATTTATTGTACAATTGGGGAGTCGTTGCAGCAGGTAGCTTGAATGATACAAATGCACCACCATCTCTGGGAACAGGGAAAATCTTCACATCAGAGTAAGACTGTGTTAAATTCGTGACAAACTTCACCATAGCTTCTGCTGAACTTGGGTAAAAAATTGGTGATACGAATTGCGAGTAGTCCCACTTGGATTTTTTTGGAGGACAAATGTGATCTATGTATAGAGTTGTTCTATCCTTGACGTGCAAAATAAAACCGGTATCACTGATGCTTGTGTCTTCGCCGAAGTTGGAACTTTCAATGACGGTAGTTTCATTCACGGGCTTTCTTCCGGTGTATGTAGTGATTGGACGAAACGTCATCATCCGAGGTCTAAAAACCCCGAGTAGTCGGGCTCCTCTGATTGATAGCATCCCTAATAAGGCTTCTGGTTTCCGCTAGTCTGCCAGATGCTACTTTCCTTTACTGGGGAACTAGCGTAGAGTAAATGTGAAACGGCAAGAAGTGGCTAATGTAGTAATAGGTAATTTTGTAGGGCAGGGACATCGCAGCCTTCCGCGTATTATCTCAACATGAATTTAGAAGTAACTAAAGAATTTCTAGTTCCGGCTTGCGAGATCGGAGACACGGCGAGTTGGCTTGCAGAAATGCGGAAGTGATACAAAAATAGTAGGGGGAACCCAGAATGTCTGGCAGAAACACTGGTAAGAAATACGAAACAGAACTTGAAGCCGTACGATCGACCGGGGATGATAATGAGAGCAGTGACGTTAATTATGTTACAGACGACGCGTTGGAAAATACTGTTGACTCTACGTTATTTTTGAAACTACGAGAGCAGTCGGTCAGACAAGTGACAGAGATGATGGATTCAACGATAGCGAGTATGTCTCGCTTGGAGAAATCTATGGATAGGATAGGGTCGTCAACCTCGGGGGTAGTTAGTGCCGCCCGCATATGGTCCAGTTTCTACGACCCTTTAGTGGTAGAGAAACTGAAAGAAGAAAGCGTTAAGGGAAATAGCGCAACGGGGGTTAGTGCTGAGGATGAAAATGCAAAGGTTTTAAGCAGTAACCAAGACTTTGGCGAAGACCTATCAGAAGGCCACCCATTTGATTAATGGTAAATTAAACTAGCAAATATACAGTGTTTATTTATTTTTTATTTGTTTGTTTGTATCCGGAAGAAGGTAAGGAAAATCATTAATATTGATCTTTTCCTGAAACAATCACGTTGTTGATCTTGAGAATCATTCTTGTGAGCTGCGTAGCCAACAAGAGTTGTTGCTTTTTACCGATAAATGTTTCAATGACAAACATTTCTTTCATGTCGTTATTGTTGCTACCTAAACAGTCGATACCCAAGTGAGGGCTATTGGTGGAAACTTGGGCTGCCTTAAGCTTGGTCAACTCTTCAATAGGATTGTAGCCTGAATTTTCAGCTAACGACATCGGAATGACATCCAAAGCCTGTGAGAAAGCACGGAATGCATATTGATCGATACCTTTTTGTTTATCAGCTTCTTCCATGATCTTCAAGGAGCATGATGTCTCTACTGCACCACCCCCATAAACAATCTTGTTATTCTTAATCAAGTTTCTGACAACACAAAGGGAATCATGAAGTGACCTGATGGATTCATCCACAATCATTTTGTTGGAACCTCTGATCAAATCTGTAACGGTATTCACTTGAGTCTTACCGATTGCAGCGGTCGAACTCTTTTCGTTCTCAACAACAATCATCTTGTCTCTAGTGGTACCAAACTCCACTTCGTAAACTTTGTCTGCATGTCCCAATTTCTCAGACGATAAGTCCTCAAATCTGGAAACAATGCTTCCCTTTGTGGCAATAGCAATGGACTCGATATCGCTTCCACCAACCCATCTAACAGCTGGCAAATTATTAGCTAGAAGTAAAGAGTTTGCCTCATCATCAAACCCCCATTGACAGATGACCAAATTAGCACCTGACTTTTTGATTGAATCAATCATCTGGACAAACTTGTCAGATTCATATTTTTGTAAGCTCTTGAATTCTTCCACGTTAGATATTTCCAACTTATGCTTGGTTTTTGGCTTAGGTGGTTCGAATGGACATGATAAGATCGCTATCTTGGCATTATTTATGAACTTGGGCATCTGTGGATGCGAGAAATCTTTATCTATGCAGACACCGTTTATAGTTTTAGAATCAGAAATTGAACCTCCCAACTTACCTTGCAACTTGATCAACTCAAAGTCGACATCATCTCTATCCAAATCGGCAACCTTCAAGACCGATTCAACGGCCATTTTTGCAAATTGGTTGTGGTACTTGTTGACGATTTTCGAGCCAAGAGAAGTCTTGGCAGCCTTGAATAAATCACTGGACGCTAAAAGATTGGAGTCCAAATCCTCCTTGTCAATGAATATCTCATCTGCTATTTCATCTAAATGAGCAGAAATAATTTTGGAAGCTTTCTCGTATCCGTTGGCCACCTTGATAGGATGTATACCCATCTCGATCAACTTCAAAGCTTGTTCGAGAAGTGCACCTGCCAAGATGACGACACCTGTGGTACCATCACCAATTTCATCATCCTGGGACTTCGATAACTCCACCAACAACTTGGCAATCTGGTTGTCAATCTGCATTTCCGTTAAGATGGTGGCACCATCGTTGGTGATGTTGATATCGCCATCTGGAGAAACCAAAATTTTGTCCAAGCCACGAGGGCCAAGAGATGTTCTGAGGATGTCTGAGACCTGGCGGGCAGCTTGAATGTGTGACCTCAAGGCCTCCAAACCAGAGGACTTTGTCTTGCTTGACTGGTCTCTCACAATGATGAAAGGGCGTCCTAGTTCGTCCTGGGCGACAATGGCGTTAGACATATCTGGCATTGGCATCGCATGTTGTTGAGGATGTGCCATGGTGTGTGTGTCTTTAGGTGTCTTTCCGTTGGTATGGGTTCTTCTATACAAAAGGAGATCTTCTCACAATTTGCTACGCGGTCCTCTCTATGAAAGTGTTTGTGTTATGGATCAACACGATGTTCACTCCATCCATAGAGCTCAGCCGTCAACCAGCACCTTGCCGTCGTTGAGGACGAGCTTCTGGAAAAACGTGAAGTGCGAGGAAGAAGAAATTTTAAGTAATTTTTCATTTTTGCTGATTTTCCCGATTTTTTTTCATCATCTGAACCTGTTTGTCTTCGAAAGAGATTAGTTTTTATATCTCTCGACGATCTGGGAACAGCAAACAGCAGGGAAGAGACACAGAAGAAAAACCATGTCGGCGGTAGGCTCTCTTATCTTTTGCACGGCGTGCGGAAATCTCTTGGACTCGATATCTCATCAGCAACATCTTACTTGCTCGGTCTGCCATAGCACATACCCGTCCGGCGACTTCAGTCGATTGAAGGTCGTGACACACACAGCGCCGGATGCGTTCCCATCGAGCTTGAAGTCGAAGAAGTCGTTAGTGAAGACGAGTTTGAACCGTGGAGAGGTGGAAGAGGGGGCTACAATCAAGGAGAAATGTCCGCAGTGTGGTAACGACGAGATGCAGTATCACACTTTGCAGCTTCGGTCTGCTGATGAAGGTGCAACTGTGTTCTACACATGTACGAAGTGTGGCTACAAGTTCAGAACGAATAACTGAAAGCTTAGGAGCTGGTCCAAATACATATATAGTACGAGTACGCTACTGTCACTTGATATATAATTAGAACGATTAAAGGAAAGAAAAAAAATTAAAACTATACCTTAGCGTATTCTATTTCGTTACTGTTCTCATATTCCCACATGTCCAGGGCGACGACCGCACTCTCTCTGACCACTTCGTCCTTATCCTGTAGAAGACCCTTCAACACAGGGAAAGTTTCGTCGGTGGCTATTGCTCCGAGAGCCTCGGCGGCCTCGTGACGCACCATTGGAGCCTCCTCTTCACGCTGAACGACGTCAATCAAACTGGGCACTGTCACCGGATTGCAGATCTGGCCGAAGATGTATGCGATTTCGTGTTTGAACAAGGCGGAGGAATCCTTGAGGCCGGAGGCTAGCGCCATGCATGCCTCGTCAGTGCCCAAGTCACGAAGACGAAACATGGCCCTGTATCTCTGGAAGAGCGGCTCGGACTCGTCGTTGAGGATCTGCTGGAGCTTGGCAACCTTGTCTGTCGATGTGTTGAGCGGAAGTGGTGGAGCGGGGTCGACGGACTCGTACAAAGATTTCTGCAAGACTTCCTCCTTGCTCAACTTGGAGTTTTCCCAGTGGATCCTCTCGATGGCCAACTCGCAGGTCTGTTGGATCTCGACCATTTCCTCGGGGTCGGCCTGGTACTGCACCAAGATTGGCAAGGAGTCCTTGTCGCCTAAGGCGCCCAAGGCTTCTGCGGCTTCGTGTCTCACCATGCACTGCTGATCCTTGTCGGCGAGGATGTCTCTGAGCACTGGGGCTGCCTCGAGGTTGTGGGTTTGGCCGAGGCAGTACGCAACCTCGTGCTTGAGGAGCTCGGAGTCGTCCCGGAACGCCTCGGCGATGTAGTCGATGGCCTTGGAGGCCTTTTCCGAGTTCTGCTCGAACTCTGTTCCAACGGACTTGAGGTAGAACAAGGCTCTGAACCGGTCTGCAAGCGGGGTTTTCCCGTCAGCGTTGACTAGCACGTCTCTCAAGGTGTCCAACGAGGTGTTTTCGTCCATGGACATTGTGTGTCGTGTCTGTGTGTGTGTGTGTGTGTGTGTGTTCGTTTCTGCGAAGCGGCGGTCTTTGTCGGACTTGTGGCCACGGGTTGCCGGCGTGTGGAATATGGAACGATTCATGAAGTTGAAAAAAATTTGACAACGGTCGGATAGAGTGAAAAATTTGGTTCTCCTTCGGGCTGGAGCGAGGGGGTGGGGCCCGAGGCTGTCGGAAGCGAAGGGCGAACTGGATAAGTTTGTGGTGGACGTGGACGGCCGGAGTGTCGTGCGGGAGCGGGGGGCAGGGGCCCCGGGTTACACGCAGCCACGGAACGACATTGGAACCGCCAGGAACAGCATGGTGGCAAGAACAGACAAGACGCTCGTCGTGCCGTTGGTGGCGATGGGCAGCGTGCCGCAGTACGCGGTGCAGCTGGTGATCGACGCCCGCAGAGAGCAGCTGCACAAGCAGCCCATCGACAGCCTCTATGTGTATCCGTTTGCCGGACGTGAGATGAGTGTTGCCGAGGTGGTTGGCGGCCGTGCCGCCAGCGCTGGCGAGATGGTTTCGCCCTGGGAGCTATACTACTCTGACGAAGACGGCGCCGACGCCGACTACATGCAGATGCACTCGCCCGTCATCCCTGGCTGCGAGTCGCTCTACGTGAAGCAGCTTGTGCAGCTTGTTCGGCAGCGGGGCTACGCCCGCGTGGTGTTGCTGGACGCCCTCGACAAGGGCTTGTGGCACGGGGACAGTCCGGTGGCCCCCACGCCGCCGGGCCCCGAGTCCGAGGTCCCGCCGGACGTGCCCGTGCTGCGCTGGGGGAACCGGACCCTGGGCGGCATGAAGCTCGCGGTCGATGATGAGACGCCCGCCGGCCAGACCGACGATGCTGACGCGTCCGCTGTCTGGCCCGGCCCGCTGGTGCGCTTGGTCGGCGAGCAGGTGGACGCCGCCGGCGAGGACGTGGCCGTAGAGGCGCTGGCCGTGCCCGTGTACGACGGATGGAACGCGCCGGCGGCGCGGGCGCTCTTGCGGGCCGCCCGCGTGGGCGGCCCGCTGGCGGCGGCCGGGGGAGAGACGGCGGCCGCCGAGGGCCCCGCCTCCGACAGAGACGGGCTCGCCCGCCTGGAGGGCGTGTACAACTAACTAACTACACAGCTGTAGCAAAACGAAGAAAAAGAGAAGAGAGAGGAGGAAAAAAAAAGTCGCGCCGATTAGTCCTGGGGGGCAACGGGGCAACGGGGCAACGGGGCAAGCGGGTGCACGGGTGTGTTGCGGCAGCGGCGGCGGCAGCTGGCGTGGAAAGCGCTGAGCTTTTTTTCATGGCCAGCGCAAAAGAGCTGAGCATGAATGGACAGACACACCCTGCAGAAGACGGCAGATGGCGGAGAAAGAGGGATAGTGGTTGAAGAGTTTGCAAGGTAAACACGCCATGTTCTCTGCTGCACGTACGTACACACGCGGGTTCCACACCTCGACGCCTGCGCTCCTCAAAAGACCATGGAAAACGTACAAGGACGGAACGCTGTTCTACGGGCAGTCGAAGGCCGGTAACAAGCGGTTGGCGTTGTCGACGAAGCAGGGGAACAAGAACTTCTACAAGGGAACGCGGTCGTCCGGTATCGGACACATCTCGAACAAGGGGAAGTACACGATCGACTACCAGCGGGTGCGGACGTTTGTGACGCCGGCAGACATGGCGACGCCGCTCAAGCCGCTTGTCTCTGCAAGCGTGCCGGTGCCTAAGAACACCTTCAAGGGCTACACGGGCATCACGGACGGGCGTCTGTGGCTCGACAACGTCAAGGAGTACATCGAGACGGGCGACGTGGAGTTCGAGAAGACGAAGACGGGCGTCGAGAAGTACTGAGAGTACTGCCAGCGCCCTCTGTACATACGTCCACGCACGCCATGGTTGCGTAGCGGAGTTTTCTTTCTTATAGCACTTATAGATCTAATTGTCTCAGTATACCGTCACACGGGCGCCGGCGCCGAGGCGCCGTGCTGCATCGACACGTCTCCGTCGACATCGACGGCGGCGGTCCCGGCCGCCTGGGCCTCCACACCCGTCTCGTCCTGCCCATTCTGCGCCTCCGGGACCCCGAGACCTTCGCCACCGTCTCCGGCATCCTCCTCCTCCTCCGCCTCCACCTCCTCCTCCTCCTCCTCCTCCTCCTCCTCCTCTCCAACCTCTTCGTCGTCGTCGTCGGCGTCGGCTTCCACTTCCGCCTCCACCTCCGCCTCCTCGTTCGCAAACCCGTCTCTCGCAATGCTCTCCTCCATCCGCAGCTGGTCGCCCGGCCGCAGCTTCACCAACCCCTTGCTCATGAGCTCCCCGATGGGCGCCCGTTTCGGCACAATGTCCCGCATGAAGGCATAGATGTCGACGTTGCTCACAGCCTTCTGTGCGTCCGCATACATCACCTTCTTGCGGCCCTTCGACCGCGTGATCTCGCTGGCATCAACCGCAAACTGCCTCACAAACATCTCTGTCGCCATCCCCAGAACGTAGTTGGCCGATTCCGTGGAGGAAATATGCTCGGGATCCAACTTCACAATCTTCTTGATCCGGCTCATAGGAAGAGCCAAAACTGTGTCTTCCTTTCCATCTTTTGCGTCCATTCCAATACAATCAATGACCCGCTTCTCTGTTCCCTTGGTCATTCCACATGGTCAGCCTGCTATCAGAAAGAACTAACTCCCCGCCGTCCTTCTCATCTACAACTTAATTTGTTCAGACAAAGTCAAAATCAAGACCCAAACGCGAAAACTTTCCACTTAAATGGCACGTTCCCCTTCAGGCCCACTCGATTTCATCACTCTTTTCACACTGATTCTGCTCACTCTGTCTACCTCTATTCGCCACTCCCTTTCCTAATCGCATCCCCTCACTAAAGCAAATATGTCTGAACAGCCATGGATTGAGAAGTACCGTCCCAAGTCCCTCAGCGAGGTGACCTCCCAGTCGACAACAACGGGAATCCTTCAGAAATCTCTCCATTCTGCAAATTTACCACACATGCTTTTCTACGGTCCGCCAGGTACCGGTAAAACCTCAACCATCTTGGCGCTTGCACATGAATTGTACGGCCCTAATCTTATCCACTCTCGTGTCCTCGAATTGAACGCATCCGATGAACGTGGCATCTCCATTGTTCGTGACAGAATTAAAAACTTCGCCAGGTTAGCAGTGTCAAATCCAACTCCTGAGGATAAGGTCAAGTATCCTTGTCCTCCATACAAACTGATCATCCTAGATGAAGCAGACTCCATGACCTCCGACGCTCAAAGTGCTTTGAGACGAACAATGGAAAATTACGCTAACGTAACCCGATTTTGTCTTATCTGTAACTATGTCACCAAGATAATAGACCCATTGGCAAGTCGTTGTTCCAAGTTCAGATTCCGTAGCCTTGACGAAAAAATGGGCATCCAAAGACTTCGCTTCATTGCTGACAAGGAAAAAGTGAACGTCAGTGACCATGTTATCAAGGAAATTTTACAGTCATGCGAAGGTGATCTTAGAAGAGCAGTCAACCTACTCCAGTGTGTCTCCACTGTCTTAGATGACGATTCCTCAGACAATCGTTCTGGTGGAATCAATGACGTGAAAATAAAGGAATTGTTCGGATATCTTCCAGACGATCTCGTGGACCTTTCAATACAAACCTTGAAATCTAAAAATTTCATTGATATAATCGCTTTCACAGAAGAGAAAATCATCAAACAAGGATATTCGGCTGCATTCACCGTCATCGCATTACATCAAAAACTTTTACTATCTACTGAAGGAATATCCCTTGAGCTTTCTTCTGGACAGAAAAACGAAATTGCTAAAATACTCTGGCAAACCGATAAGAGGATAAGTGTTGGCTGCAACGAAAGCGTACAAGTCTTAGACTGTATGTTCAAACTATGTAACGTATTATGATTTAGTTGTGTAGCAAAAAATAATAAAGTACTAAAATGAAAATTTAAGCTCTTATAGTTTTTTATAAATATTGAACCTTTAGCGGTATGTTTTTCACCCTTTTGGGAACACCCATCAAGTAGATACCTTAATATGGTGTCTGAGGACGACTTCTTGGTAAAGATCTACCATTTGAAAAATTATTAACTGCATTCACACCATTCATGTTCAACATGTTTTGGTTGTTAACAACATTCATACCATTCATACCATTCATACCATTCATACCATTCACACCATTCATGCCACTCAAACCGTTCATACCGTTCATACCGTTCATACCAGGCACACCAGGCATACCAAGCATTCCAGGCATTCCAGGCATTCCAGGCATTCCAGGCATTCCAGGCATACCAGGCATACCATTGATTTTGTTGGCTCCGTTCATGCCGTTCATACCTTTCATACCGTTCATTCCGTTCACTCCGTTCATACCATTCATTCCATTCATACCATTCATACCATTAGCGTTCATGCCCATGTTCATATGGGGTGGATAAACCGGGTAGTTTTGCCCATTAGGTTGCTGTGCACGAATACTTTCTTGAACAGGTGGGGTATGGGCCTGGGCCGGTGGAGATGCTGAAACGGAAGTTGGTGGGACATCTTGACTAGACTTTCTCTTGTTTTTACTCAAAAGCATCATAAGAGGGTGGTTTGGGGCCATACCTTGCATGTTGCCTGAGTTGCTGCCATATGGCAGGTTTTGTTGAGATGAAGCCGAATGATTTGGTTGCTGCTGGGGTGCCTGCTGTGGTGCCTGCTGCTGCTGTTGTTGTTGTTGTTGTTGTTGTTGTTGTTGCTGTTGATGTTGATGTTGCTGCTGCTGTTGTGGTTGTGGTTGTGGTGATTGGTGTAACTGACGTGGTTGCTGTGCCTGTTGAAATCCCCTTTGCTGTGATTGTTGCTGTTGGATTTGCTGTTGTTGTTGCTGTTGTTGTTGCTGTTGTTGTTGCTGTTGTTGTTGCTGTTGTTGTTGGAGTTGCTGTTGTTGCTGAAATTGGAGTTGGAATAGTTGATGCTGGTGTTGTGGACGGTTTGGCTGGTGTAAAGATGGCTGGTTTGGTTGTTTAAATTGTTGCTGGTACTGCGTAGAAGTTGTAGGAACTCCATTTGGCGGGTGTTGCATTTGCATGTGATGAGGGAAAAACTGCGTATTTGGTTGCAGTCCTTGTGGTCTTTGTGTCATTCTCGGATCAATCCCTTTGGATGGTAACTGGTGCATTGGTGGCATTTGATGCTGCTGTTGTGTATTTTGCCCATTTGCAGACGGAGGCGTAGCAGACTTGGCAATTAAAGACTGTAAAAACAGTTGGTTTCTGTCAATTTGCCCGCTGGCCTGAGGCAAAATCATGGGTTGAGGCGAGTTATTTATTGGTTGCATGAGAGGTGGGGAATTCATAGGCGCCTGAGAAGGCAATGGAGACGTTGATGAAGTCACTGGGCTCTGGTTTTCGTCAGAGATGATAGACATCAGTCTGGAAGATCTCTGCTTAGAATCTATAATAGGCGGAGAAGATTTTTCCGGACCGAAAAAAGAAGAGAAATGTGATGCTGATCCACTAGTGTTGGAATTTCTCAATAGTGGCATATCGAATTGGTCATCAACACTACGATGGACTTTCTCCTCAGAATGCTGATGTGTAAGAGGTTGCTGCTGTTCCTGTTGTTCTTTCTTCTGCTGCTCTACTGAAAGTTCGCCAGCATTTTCAGTGGCATCTTTCGCTTTCTCTCCATCATCAGATTCACCTCTACTTTGCTCAAACTGATCACCACCTCTGTGTGTGTTATTTTCAAGTTGTGATTTCAACTTGTCTAATTCCTTCATATCATCTGCATTTACTTCTTCACCGTTTCTCTTCGCGGTTTCAATTCTCATCTTCAATCTCCACATTTCAAAGTCAAGGATACTGTTGCCTGTGACCGAGTCTTGCTCTTTCATCCACTCCGGGGTATCGGCAAACTCATCTCCTTCCTCAATAGCACTGTTGTCAATCTTTTGCGATGTGCCACGTCTCTTGTTTTCCCGTTGGCGTGCACGCTGCGTGCGACGGTCTTCTCTGGCGGCTCCGTTTCCTGCACTCTCCTTCTTCATGTCTTCGACCAGCGCAAAAGGCTTGTCTTTCTTGAGGTTGCTTCCCCTTCTTGCATTACTCGATTTTCTTCTTTCACGGCGTCCATCGATTGGTGTTCCCACTCCAGTAGCAAAGGACCCTCTTGAACTTTTGTTCAATCTGAAAAACTCAGGTGGGGGGAGTTCAGATTCCCAGAAAGAGGGTGGAAGTACAAGTGGTGACACTTCTAGGCCCAATAAAAATTTCACATCGTATCTTACCTTTGTCGGCTCGCCTCCCTTTGCAGGGCGTAATTCACCTTCTTCCTTCTCTAATTCCAGCTCTTTTTTTAGATTCCCAGTTTGCGGTTCTTCGTCTACTTTTGGCTTGCTGTCTCCACTGGAAGCTTTTAACATCTGCATGAGCAACATCTCTTGCGGATTCAATTGGCCCCTGTCTTCAGTAGGCGTCGTTCGCTGTTCGTTTTGGGCATGTAGGTTTGCCTGGGCAAGAAGCCTAGTGATGGGGTTTTCGGATAGTTGTTCTGTCATCCCTGTCTGCATTTCCGATTTCTTGTTCTGAGTCCACACCTTTTCTTTTGCTGAAAAAACTGGCAGGTGTAATCGTTGCTTTCAGATTCCCTGCTCGGATACAAATCTGCTGTTACTACTGCGGCGGTGGTGTCGTGGTTAATTTCGGCCAATGTTGCTTGCTTGGTTCTTTTATTCTAAACAGGTTCTATTTATGTTCACACACACATGCCTCCCTCCCGTCCCTCTTCTTCGTCCTCTCCTTTCGTCTTCTTCCAGGTTTCATCCATCGTCTCCGCCATTACAAAATTTGAAGACCGTGCCATCCGTGCACCCCTTGCAGCACACATTTCTCTTCCATCACGCCGAGTTGGGCCACTGCAACATTCTCGCTGTCGTGGGTAAGCATGTATTTCTGACCATACACCTCACCAAGAACCAACCAGCCACGAGCATCGTCACCCCAGCTGACGGTAGCCAGTAGGAGTTCTAGATGCTTTCTGCAGCGGGCCAGACAAGTAGTGTACTCGTGCGTGTGCTTGCTTTCGAAAACGCCCTCTAGCACCTTGAGAGAGAGCTGCGTGAGACCCAGAATCGTCTCTGCGGCGGTGATAGTTTCGTTCTGTGGCCATTGTCTGACACCACCGGCAGCCTCAACGATACTGATAGCTTCCAAAAGAGAGGTCTTGCCCATTTCTCTCAGTTCAGGCGATTCGCTTCCGGCGTAAATGCACCCGCGGCGTGCCTCAATAGCTGCCCGGTGGATTTGTTCCTCGGTGACGTCTTCGTGGTAATTTGCTGCGTTTTTGTTTCTGCTGTTCTTGGTCGAAAGCATCATAGATGGAATTGAGTAGCTGTCTGCTTCGTCGACACATTGAAGTGCTGTTTCTACATCCCCTACTGACTGGAAGATTCTCGATAGAGTGAGCCACATTGTGCGCAAGAGAGTGACTTCCTTCGGTGTGAGGGACCCGTAATTCGTAGTTTTGGAGACGCCGTTGGTTTTCTGCCCCAGCTCCCTTTTACTGTTGCTGTGGTTTAACCTGTTCACTTGCAAAGATTTGCGGAGAGTTTGCCCAAGCTTCTTAGGCGAGGCGGCCGACTTCAGGGCAGCGCCGTCAATGTCCTGATGATCGTGGGATCTGAGCTTCAACGGATTCAACAATGCTTTGAGCTTCTTCTCCTTCATAGAGGGATTGCTTGACAGCGAGGCGGTAGAGTTCGGCGTGCATGGCGCACAACCATCATCAGCAGCGCCGCCCGTTGCAGTTCTGTTGCCTCCTCTGGAGTTGCTGGTATTCTTGGTGTTCGTATTACGCCCTTCAACTGTTCCATTATTGACGCTGTGCTGATTTCCAAATAATTTATTGACAAACGCAAAGAAAGGAGCTAACGCATCTATTGCAGCGTCACCTAACAAGGTCAAAAAAATGAGGTAAGCCTCTAATGCATGGCGTTTCTTTCGTGCTGACCACTTCAAGCAATCCTCGGTGGAAATTAACTCCGTCAAGTTCTCAATCACTTGCTGGGAAATCAATAGGGAGTTATCAAAATTTTCCTCATCGTTTGACAACAACTTCACGTAGTAGTTGATGTACTTGATATTATCAGGCGAGTATTTCATGGCGTGCTTAGAGTACTTAAGCGCTTGCTCATGGTTCCCACTCTTATGTAGGTAGAATGAATATGTGTAGTAAATGTCAGAAATCTTGGACGGATCCAGTTTAAGCTCGGTGTTTTGGCGGCTCAAGGTTTCGACGGCATGACCGGCAATCACAAGAAGATCGTTGATCTTGAGGAAAGGGCTGGATTCCATTCTCAAAAAGTTCTCATAAATTTTGGCAAGTGAAGAATATGCGTTAGCTAGAATAGCTCTCAAAGGATCGTTGAAAACTGCAATATCATTGCCAATAACGGCTCTGAAAATTTCCATGATATCTTGTACCTCTCTAAACCACTTCTTTAGCTCTGTATACTCTTCATTTGATTTCATATTGGACGACAGGCTTTCAAGAACTTGAATATAAGTCTGGATCACATCCATAATATCATAATATTCTTCATTGTTTTTCATTTTGTAATCGGCCACGTAGTTCAAGTAAGTCCGAAATGTTGCCTTTGCTTCTTCGAGCAACCCTAGTCCTATCGAGTTTACGCACCACAACTTCATGATCCTGACATTCTGATACGTGACGTAAATGTATTTGTTAGTAATACGATAAAGGTCCAGATACGTCCGTAGTGTGCTGTCTTGCACCAAATAGACTGCCAACTTCACCAGTGGGTCGATCTCTTTTTCGTTGGTTTGGTTGGCGGTAGGGAACTTTAATTGCTTTTGTGACGAATCTAAGAAGGACCTAAAATTTGAAGACACAGCTTCAAGTATCGAAGGGGCAGTTTTGAAATGGTTGAATGCAAAGTAGAAGTAGAGAGTCTTAGTAAAGTTACCGTCATGCTTGGCCAGCTGGTTGAATGTGCTAGTGAAGGACTCCATATCGGTGCAAAGCTTGAATGTCGTTTCACTGAAAAAGGTCGAAATATTATCTAGCGCATCCCATGCCATGATATTCGAAAATGAGGGCAGAGACCTCAGTTCAACAGAAGAAAGTTTGTTCATCACCAATTCATTGGTGATAATGGCATCGTCGTGATTTTGTTGTTGATAACGTGACAAGAGAGATACCAAGATGGCGTAGTCAAATTGATTAGTAATGACCTTTGTTTTCATCCACGACATAATGAGCTCTTTGTCCCCTTCCTTGATCTTCTTCATCACGGCTAGTGTAGAATCCAGAATATCCTCCGGCGACGTTCCATTGTTGACAACCTCAAAGTACTGGGGTACATCCACCCCAAAAATCGCTTTTTCTTGGATAGGTGTCAGCGTTGGTGTAGCAGTGACCATTGTGGAGAGTTCTGGAACAGTCATTGTGTTTGGTTCAACTCCGTGCTGTGTTCTTGAGCTCCCTGCTTACTTTACCAGGACGTATCTCCGGACCTCTGGTGGTCTGGCCTTGTGGTTCTTTACCTACTTCTGCGCAACTGCGAGTTCACACGGAAAGGAGAAAAAAAGGATGCACGTGACGCGGAATTTATAGTTTCGGGCTTTTCGTGGGAAGTCTACCAGAATATCAATTATACAGTTACATAGGATACACTAATGGTCTAGCAAACGTCCCTTCAACACCTCCCAGGCCATTCTCCGCCTAAGACTTGGCATGTCCGCCTGGGAGTAGTCCAGTTCTCTGTTGCGGGAGAGATAGTCGACTGCGGTGCACGTGAACACTCCGCAATCGAATCCGTTCTGCTGGCCAGGACCCTCGGCACGGCCATTTATGTCGTAAGTGACATAATCTCTGCCGTTCATGCCGTCACCGTGGTTCTTTTTTGTCTCCTCGGTCATATAGTCCAACAGGAGATTAAGGATGCTGCTTCCATCACCGTAGAGGGAGTCGATGTACTCAAAACGCTCGTTGACATTGTCTACAACCGCCAATGCCCAATGGGTTTGGTTGAGATTCACAGGAACAAATATGTAATCCAATTCTGAGACATCGACTTTGGCTCGCTTCGCCCATTTGCGCACACCTGTGTATCCCTTGGATTTCAAAGTCGTGTAGAAGAATGTGCTGAAAACGTGGATCTTGGAAATCCCTTGCCCATTCACATAATCCTTCACCAACTGCAGGTAGAAATCAATGACATTATCGTTAAGCCAGTGTCTATCGGAGAGGGTAAGTAGATCCCTCGATGTTATTTTAATACCATATTTAGACATGAGAACTCCCTCGGGCTGGTACATCCAAACTTTCTCGATTTCTTTGGCTTGTTCTTCATTGAGTGGACGCACGCCCAAACCATGTTCTTTAAGCGTGGATAGATGGAGTAGTTGTTGCATTGTCTTCCTCTCGGCAATAATTTTCTGATACTCTTTAAAGAGTTTTGTGGACTCAAGATTATTCAAGTAATCTTCCTTGTCATCAACAAGCCATTCAAGGTCTTTAAATCGATTAGTCGATCTGGTAAATGTTGGTTTTGATTCGACCTTTGTTTCTACTTTCGAGCTCTCGTTACCGGAATTGAAAAAGGATAACATGTTTTCTTTGATTTCCGATGACTTGCTAAAAACATTTTGGGGTCGTTTGTCCTCTTGCATCAACGGAGTGTTCATGGCTGCCTTCAAGTAAGAAAGCTCCAAATTCACTTTGTTGCCTGAATGGGCTCCCGAATTAAAAAAGAAAGTCCCATACTGCTCCTTCGTCTTACTTTGGCTCAAAGCCAATTCTTCCAATGAGACTGATTCATGGACTCGTTCTTCTTTCTCCATTTTTCGTTTTTCCTTCAAGAGCTTTTCATTTACATCGTTGTTGATTGACTGTAATTTCTTTTGAAATAAAGGGTTCTTAACCTCATATATACCGCTCGCATCGTGTTTAGACAACGCATTGGGCTGAAAGATGGATTTTTGAGACCGTGGAGTGCTTTCCGCCACCAGTTCAGCGCCGTCGTCTGGTTCGTTCCAATTGGGACTTGGAATGGTTCGTACTTTGTTCAATAGCAGATGAGAGAATTGGTTCAAAATCCAAAGAACCCATAGCGCACCTTTACTAATAAGAAGGTATAAGAGAGAGCCAAAGTTCGTAAGTAAGTCATAAAGTTCGGTTTGAGGGTCAAGATCAGTTTCTTTGTTGCTTGTACTGTGCCCTAAATGACGGTCATTCGTGTAAATTCGTGCTCTATCAGAGTTTCCGGACCACACTCTCCTTCCAAAAAGAAAATTTCTGGATAGTTTGTCAGTGGCTGTATTTGAATATGTTTGTCTATTATTATTTGTCGTAGAAGTGGATGGTTTTCTCGAGTCTGCAAAAAACGATTTATTTATTGGATAATTTTTCGATGGGACAAATGGCAACTCTACTTTATTTGGAGTTGCCGAATTCGTTGATAAGTTATAAAAAGAAGCTTCATTCTGGAACGATGCATTTGGTTGTGCATTTTTTTGGGAGTTTCTCTTGGTTGATGCAAACGTCGGTAAGTTTCCGAAGCTGTAGTGATCCAAATACGAAGAATCCGTAGATGATGCGCTACTCGTTTTCCTCATGTCAGCCGCTGAAAAATGTTCACCCGTCCAATGGAATCGGTCTTGGTTGCTGCTGTCCCAGAAAACAAATATATATTCTGATAATACGGAGAACCGGCAAGTTAAACAAACCGAACAAACCATAATAAATTCAATATCATCAACAAGAATTCGAGCCATGCTTCCCATGCACTTTTTCTCGTTTTACACGCACAGTTGACAAGTAACAAATAAACGCCCCAAAAACTACTCGCTCCTTCTGATGATTGTCAACCGGGGTTATCTTTACTTTATAAAATACCAGCAAGAACTTAAACAAGTATTTGATAGCCACTCACCGCAAATAGCGAAAGTCAATAAGGTAGTCAGTAATTGATTTCCTTTTTCCTACAATTTTGACACCCTTTCCGCCGCCTCTTCTTCTATTTGGGCATCAATCAAGGGATCGTATATTTTTTCAAAGCTGAAAGGGTAATGTATAACTCATCATCAGGAATATTATACAATATATGCTGTAAAATTTCGTATGTATTAAGTGTCGATTTGTTTTGAGTATTGTGTAAACATTTATGTGTTGTATTTGTGTTCACAGAGTCTTTAGAACTCTTCGGCTTGTTTGAAAGTATATTGGCTTCTGTGATTAAGTCGTCCGGGAAAAAACTTGATGGTTCAATTATATCTATTCCATATCCAGAAACCCAATTGATGCCTGGTATTATCCCAAACTTATTGCTGCTGCTATTACTGAGCCCTAAATGCATTTCAGATATTCATGGTTTGTTCTTAAATATTTTGGGAATCTTTACAAGATAGACAAAAAGACATGTACTTTTTAGGATCCAAATCCTTTCAAGCATACTTATACATATGGAGATACCATCTTTGTAACCAGTTTTTTTTGCCAAGCTCATCGACTATAATCAGGGAGTCTTTGTTTGCATTCTGTAAAACAAATGACATTTCTTGCATCTCCATGCTGAATGTGGACATGTTTGGCTCGCTGAGATCGTGGGATACCTTTGTAGAGAGGGACTTGTTAATTTTCAATGAAGAATATTCAGCAGACACAAGCATTTCAATGTGCTCAAGAATCATTTTCAAAGCAAATTGCTTGATATGTATCTATTTTCCACTCATATTTGGGCTTGTAATTATTTGAAGACAGTAAGTATCAAATACAACCGTAAAATCGTTGGGAAAACCATTTCTAGGACTGTTTTCAGTATTGTAAATGTGCTTTAATAGAGGATACCTGCACCCTTTGAGTACTGTATTATTCTCATCCATTTCAGATTAAATATACTTCTCGTAATTGTTTCTCGTGGAAAGTTTGGCAAAGGCCCATATCGAATCAAGTATACTTCTGATACCTGCAAGCTCACTGGTACAAGAATTTTCAACGACAATGCATTACTCTGGACACCTAGTTTATGTACCGTTTCCACAATAGTGGAAGAGTCCGCTATCTAAACTAAACTCATGTTACTACTGTGTGGATCAATCATACATATCCCTACTCTGGGCAAAAGTGTTTTGGACCCAAAAACTGCGCAATACACCGTCGAGTTTACATATTGGGCTGTAAGAATGCCATAATATAAAGACGTCCCTGTTCCGCTCTTTTTTATTGGCAATTGCAGTCTCTCTACTCCCATTTCTAGTCGTACTTGATTTTTCTCGGGAGACATCTTTCTGAGCCCACAACGGTTTTTCAAGCAGACATGTTGCTAATCAGTAGGTCAGAGATAGACTTTTGCAATGAAAAGTAAGAAACTGTTTTTCTGTATTTCATTGGAACAGCAGTAGCTTCACCATTCTCCAAACACGAGTGATGTAAACTACTTGCGTTGGTTTGTCAAAGGTTAAAGAAAGAAGAGATGAAACTGAAAGATGCTGAGCCGACAAAATGCATGTTTACGTAATGCTGATCTTCTTAACGACACCAGCTAGAACATCAACGTCTTCGTCATTCTCCTTATTCTTGACTTTGTCTCTTTTATTCTTCTCTTCATTTTTGTCGTATTCAAGCCCAGCTTCAACTTTCTCCGCTATCTCAGTAGCTGTGGCAGCAGCTTTATCCTTTTGGCTGCTCGAGGGTTCAACTTCATTCTCAGGTTTGCCGCGTACAGATTTATTGCCTGCAAGCCAAAGCGCCTCAAGATCCTCGGACCAACCTAACTTCTCACACAACAATTCGGCAATAATATCACAATCCTTCAACAAAACAATATCTGATTTACGTGGGTTGGTGTCAAAATCGCCACATTTTTCTCGGTTGATCAGGATCCTGTTCGCTTTCTTGCCAACTTCCGCCGGAAGAGATGCAAAAGGGTAAACAGCTAGGGATGTTCCGGCAACAATTGCAACATCTATATCATCGATGTCTTCCTCCCAAAATTCCCAGAGTTTATCTGGTAATGCCTCACCGAAAAAAACAATATCTGGTTTGACGTACCCTTCGCAATTTGCACATGTAGGAATTTTCTTTTGATCCATAAATGCTCTCAACTTCTCCCTTGGCATTTCTTCGCTACATTCGATACAGTGGTTTCCGCAAAATGATCCGTGTGCTTCTAAAACCTTATCATCAGAAACACCGGCTATTCTTTCTAATGTATCAATATTCTGAGTGTAGCAACGCTTCAAGATACCCTTGTCTTGGCACAGCTTGATAAAGTAGTGAAATTTACTTGGCACAAACTTGCCTGGGAATAGCTCCTCTGCCAAAGTATAAAAAGCTTTTGGTTTTTTCCTGAAGTAATCAATATCAAAAACTGCCTCTGGGTAGGGAAGATTTAGTTTCCGAAGGTTGGAATATAATCCTGTTTTTGGTGACCTAAAATCTGGTATACCACAATTTGTTGATATTCCGGCACCCACAAAAAAAGCTACTTTAGCATTTTTTCTTTGAAGTTGAGAAACAACCGTATCAAGCTGTTTCGTTATAGTTTCTGTATTCTGTCCTTTACCCATGGTGGTCTCCCTGCTCCCACTTGAAATGTTGTCCAATGAAATTTCAGAAAAAATAAGAAGGCTGATAAAAGATTATCGATCTCAAAATGTATCTTCCTTAAAAATATCGGCCTGGCCCTCGCAATCATTTTTCACACAGGTTTCTTCTTTGTCAAAGATTTGTGATGTGTTACATTTGAACTAAAGCTAGATTTTCAACAGTTTTCGGTAAAGTATTCATTGAAGCTAACGCACACTATGAAGCAAAGAGTGTCTTCCTTGGATTTAAAGATCTTGGTTTCCGAGTTGGAGCAATCTTTAAAAGGGTACAGACTTCAAAATGTTTACAACTTGACATCAAACAATAGATCCTTTTTGTTGAAATTCAGTATTCCAGATTCTAAGTTTAATGTTGTGTTGGAATCTGGATTCAAAGTTTATATGACAGACTTTCAGAGGCCAACACAACCTGAACCATCGAATTTTACAACCAAGCTAAGGAAGCATTTGAAAACCAAAAGGCTGACGAATATAAAGCAAGTTGGAGACGACAGAATTGCCGTCTTAGAGTTCAGTGATGGGTTTTATTATCTTGTTTTAGAATTTTTCAGTGCAGGAAATATTATTCTGCTAGATTCCGACTTGAAGATCCTGTCACTTTTCAGATTCGTGGACACTTCGGGAAATGTACAAAAATGCCAGTATGATGTTGGCGGAACTTACACAATGTTTGACAAGTCGTTATTTGAGGAGGATTCTGTCACTTTTCATAATGCTTCATTCAATCAGGAAATGATTCTTAACTGGATATCGAGATCTAAACAAGCTGATAAGGAAAAGAAAAAGATTTTTTCCATTGAAAAACTATGTTTCAATCATGCCTCCTATCTGTCATCTGATTTAATTCATATCTCTTTGTTGCAAAATGATGTTAAGCCATCGACAAGTTGTTTGGAATTACTAGAAAATGAGAATCTTTTGAGTACCACCGTCAGATCTCTAAACGAGACGCAAGCTAAGTTCAATACTCTTCTTGAAACACCAGTTGGTGAAATCACAGGATATATTTTGAGCTTGAAGAATCCTTTATTCAAAAATGATCAAGAACCCTCCACGGAGAACTTGGAATATGTTTATCACGAATTTCATCCATTTGAGCCTATCCATAAAATAAAGGATAACGTTAAGGTAGACACTGTTAAGGGGTACAACAAAACTGTTGACAAATTTTTCACTACCTTGGAAATGTCCAAAGTTTCATTGAGTCGTCAAAATCAACAGGCAAATATTGAAAAAAGGTTGCAGTTTGTGAAAGATGAGCATGCAAAGAAACTACAGGCATTAGACGACGTTCAAGGTTTAAATTATAGAAAAGGTTATTTGATCAACTTGTACAATGAGCAAATTGAACAATGTAAAGAAGCAGTCCAAAAGTTAATTGATCAAAAGATGGACTGGAAGAACATTGAAAAATTAATAAAGGTGGAACAGACTAGAGGCAATGAAATTGCCAAAATGATCAAATCGTTAAACTTGCTAAAAAATGAAATTACCGTTTCTTTAGTCGATGAAGAGCATTTACTTGAAACTAAATCTGACACTGACGAAGACGATTCTCGCTGGAGCTCAGATGACTCTGATTCGGATTCTGATTCGGATTCTGAGATAAAAACAGAAGCCAAAAAGAGCGTGAAAGCTACCAAAATGCACGTCAATACAATTGACGTAATCATAGATATAACCCAATCTGCGTTTGCTAATTCATCAAGGTATTTCGATATAAAAAAAAGTGCAAAACAAAAGCAGGAAAAGACTGCAAAAAGTGCTGTCTTGGCAATAAAAAGCAGTGAGCAGAAGATTTTGCAAGATCTGAAAAAAATTGAAAAGGAAGCCAAGCAAAACGTCGAATTCAAGCAGCTTCGTCCAAAGTACTGGTTTGAAAAATTCTTTTGGTTTATTTCAAGCGAAGGCTACTTATGTATTGCTGGACGAGATGATTCCCAGATTGATTCTATTTATTACAGGTTTTTCGATAATGAAACAGATTTTTTGGTTTCGAACGATCTAGAAAACGCGTTGAAAGTCTTTGTGAAAAATCCTTACAAAAACAAGGATATTCCTCCTACCACATTCATGCAAGCTGGTATTTTCTCTTTGTCTTCAACTAAAGCATGGGAAAACAAAATGGTTACCAGTCCATGGTATGTTCAAGGGAAGGATGTTTCCAAGAAAGATTTTGATGGAACAATCCTTCCAAGCGGATTATTAAACGTCAGCAAAGAAAAAAACTATCTACCACCTTGTCAAATGGTTATGGGTGCTGGACTACTTTTTGTTGCTAATACTGAAACTTTTGAAAAGTATAGAGATAACAAAGAAGCACGTGATAAGGAGCTCGAGCTTGTTTCCTTTGATCGAGGCGCAGGTTATTCGAGTAAAATCCAGGAATTGAAATCCATGCTGCAAAAATTGGAGGATCAAGAGAAGTCATCCAAAGATTCAAGAAAATCTACCGAAAGTATGATGGAAGCGTCAAGTGAAAATGAATCTGAATCCGACCATCAGCTTTTTGAAGATAACTTGGCTACCCCGCCTTCTCCATCTCAGCAAACTCAGTCCAAAATCAGAGGAAAGAAAAATAAGCTGAAAAGGATCAAAGAGAAATACGGAGAGCAAGATGAAGAAGAGAGAAAGTTGAGAATGGCTGTGCTTGGTACCTTAAAGCAAGTCGAACAGCAAAAAAGTCCAAAAGAGTCTCTCGATAGTAAAGAGATTAATGATAGAATGAGTGCTGCGGCTAAAAAAGACAGGAAGAGACAACAACAAATCAATCAGATTAGCAAACTAATTGATGAATTAGAAAGCAAAACAGATGACGTGGAAGCCGCTGATGATAAAGACAATAACGTCAATCAATACGCAAAACAAATCAGCAGTATCGAAAACTATCATATCAACATAACAGGTCTTTTGTCGTCTCCCAATAAAACTGACAAGGTCACGGATTGTATTCCTGTGTTTGCTCCATGGAGTGCATTGAACAAATATGCTTACAAAGTTAAATTACAACCAGGGAACTTGAAGAAAGGAAAAACCGTCGCCGACATCACCGAGGTCTTTAAAAGACACACTAAAGAACTAAAAGAAGAAGAGTCTGACTGGCTTGATAGTGGTAACTTAATTGATCTCATAAATTTGCAAGACTTCATGATGATATTGACTGCTTCTAAGTTCAAAGTTGGAAATGGAAATGGACGTGATTCGGCCAAGTCTACTAGCAAAAATAGTAATTCTAACAGCTCCAAGTCCAAAAGTGCCAAAGGAAAAGGTAAAAAAAAGTAAGAGGAGTACAATAGTGTAATGCATTGTTATATTATGTTCTTTTAGATACTATAGTTACTTAGCGGATGGACATAAAACATAAAAAGTATTAATAAATATCTGTACCTTAAAAGCCCTGTTGCAAACGTTCTGAAATATTTTTCTTTGCAAAGTTGAAAGCATTGAGCAAACCTTTTTCCGAAAGATCGATTTTAATGTTTACAGCATCTTCGGTCGGTGGATTAGTCACTCTTGCGGCGATCGCAGAAGCATCAGTTTCCAAAATAATACCATCATCAACAGTTTCATCGATAGCAAGAACTAGCATATCGTAAGACTCGAGCATTGACCTCTTATCTAATTGTGAGCTTAGAATGATTTCAAATGCACCGGTTAGTCCTTGTAAGACATTATATAGCAAAACTTCGCTTTCGCTAAGGCCACCTATGACATAAACAATGGTATCAGAATATTCTTTGTACACGACGGTGTGGTTATCAAACAGTATTATGTCCGTGTTTTGTTTGAGTGTCTTTTTGAATAAGTCTTTTTCAAACTGCTTTTGCTTCTTTATGTTCGTTATTAAATCATTCTCAGGAGTCTCATGTGGTGGTTTGTAGTATTTGGTAAATATTCTATTTTGTTGGTTGTCCAAAATGATGATTGCATCAATTGAATAAAGTGATACGTTAAAGCTCATGATGGTATTTTCGATAACTTCAGGCGATTCTCCCGATAACTAATTATCTTCTTTCTTCTGCACGCCCTACCTTTCAGGATGTTTGAATAAACCAACAAGGCCAGATCAGCCACGGTGTAATTATTCATGTTCGCAGTTGTATAATTGACACGCCGAATGAGCGCGTAATCATGTTTTCTCCCACAGTGAAGAATCCCGTAGGGGCCCGTCAGCGAAGATGGCAGACATAAGGAAAGAAGTCTTCCTATGAAAACTTTTCACCCGTTTTATAATAGTGATAAGATTACAAAGACCTTAAATAAATGTAACAATGTTCTACGGCTGTAGTAGATTAACCAGGGCAGGAATCATCTTCGGAGAAGAGTATTTCAACAAAATGGATTGCGATATTGTAGAATATGAGCTTTTCATATGGATCCAAAGCCACTTTCTGATCGTGGATTTTATTATATAGGTAGTAGAGTCTGTGCTAAATTCGGTGAAAGTTGATGAAACATTCGTATGATTACTGTTCAAAAATAATTTTGGTTTTTGCTCACTTTTGTTTTCACAAAATATTTATAACTTTCAAAGAACTTTACTTCGCCTAGAGAATTTAAGTTTACCACTTTAAAAAGTTTGTCACCTTTGAGCAAACAAAGTTTTGCATTTGCACTACAGGTACTTTAGAGTGTAATTTTGATGCTGTATTGTTCATCACTAATACCGAAGTACTGATTTGCAAAAGAACTTCCAACTTGTAAGTGCCCCCCACCACGACAAATATGTTGTCGCGTTTCAGAGCCTTGCCGCATTACGAGAAACATGATGATGTCCCGAGGGGATACCCAAAAGAGGAATATATTCTCCTTCTTGACTAGCACCGGCCCTTTAAGCTAAACATATACCATCAAAACTTTTGTCATTATATAGCAGAGTCCTATAAAGGTAGTCACGGATATGAAATTCAGCAATCGTTTCAAATCCAAGACAGTTTCGCCGTCGGGTATGATATATACCGGAACTAAATTTAATAAGAGCCACTTACTTATTGACAAGATGGATCATCTTTCAATCTACACCACCTTGTAATAGTTGGTCATCATTGTGATGAACGGTCAGGTTACTAACTACTCTTCTTTCCATTTCCCATGCGTTTTTTATATTAGGATCTCTACTGAGTTCGGACAATGCTAGAGCTGAATTGGTTTCTGCGTTGAGTGAGAAAACAGCACAACCGTTCAGTGCCTTCAAAACTCCATATCTTAACACCAGCAGATGGAATCATATTGATAAGTTAGGAGATGTTTTTGGTGCTCAGTTTTTTGCAACAAGTAAAGAGCATGGATACGAAGATTTTGCGGAAAGAGGCATCAGTGATACCTATGATAACAACTATGAGCCGTATCCGGCATGGTCAGCAGAAACAGCCCCTATAACTAGGGATCGAATCCAATCTATTTTCATTCACATTTCTAAGATTTTTGGATTTCAGTATGACAATACCAAAAACATGTATGATTATCTCATGAAAATGTTGGATTCGAGAGCATCAAGAATGGGTCCAGCAAAGGCTTTGAGAAGTATACACGCTGATTATATCAGTGGCTACAACTCGAATTATAGGAAATGGTATTTTGGGTCTCAAATGGATGTTGAAGATAATATGCTTTCCGAAAATCCCTCTTTATATGAGTCAGATGTGAAGACTAGAAAGAAGCTTTTCGCTTCACAAAACTATTCTTTGAAAGACTCTGAGACAAATTGGGCCAATACAACGAACTCATTTTTACCTGAGGATTGCATTATACAGCTTGCAATCTATCTATTGATTTGGGGCGAGGCAAACAACATAAGGTTCATGCCGGAATGCTTATGTTTCATCTTCAAATCTTGTGTAGACTGCTTCTACTCCTTGGATTTTACCAATGACATACAACCTCTTACCGAAAGCTTTCTTGATCACGCTATTACACCCTTATACGAGTTCTATAGAAATCAACTCTATTCAAAAATAGATGACCATTGGGTTATCAAAGAAAGGGACCATACTAATATCATTGGTTATGATGATATCAATCAATGCTTTTGGTACAGAAAGAGTCTAGAAAAGATTGAACTTTACGACAAACAGAAGTTGATGGATTTTCAACCATTCGAGAGATATCTTTATCTTAGTCAAATCAACTGGCAAAAATCAGTGTCAAAAACGTACCACGAATCCAGATCTTGGTTCCATGTTCTTATAAACTTTAACCGTGTTTGGAATATTCACTTGGGTGTCTTTTGGTACTACACTTGTTTTAACTCTCCAACCTTATACACAGAAAGATATCTCATCACTGCAGACAATCAACCAACGGCCTTGGCTACATTAACATGTTTATCGATTGCAGGATCTATTGTTAGTTTTGTGAATTTGGTTTCTTTGATTCTAGAGTTTATTTTTGTTCCAAGACACTTCCCAGGTGCACTACCACTTTTGTCAAGATTCTGCTTTGTTACAGCTTGCTTTATAACAGTTACTCTTCCCACAATTTATTTTTTCTGGGTAACTGGAACAAGTGATTCATCACCGTTAAACTATGCAATTGCGGTCTCCCAATTCATTTTTTCTCTTCTGGTTGTTTCTTACTTCTCTATCATACCTTTGTCACGTCTAACCGGAAATAATCATTCTGAAGATAAGAGGAAATACTTACCATCATACTATTTTACTAACTTTATATATACACTCAAGGGTAAGAAGGCCTTGGCATCATTGGGATTATGGGGAGGTGTTTTTGTATCAAAGTTTACTGAATCCTATTTCTTTTTGACATTGAGCTTACGAGATCCGGTTCGTGAGCTAAGCATCATAAAAATTGATAAATGTTTAGGAGAAGAGTGGTTTGGACCTATTTTATGTGAACAAGAAGCCAAAATTATCCTAGCATTGATGTTTCTGACCGACTTGGTTTTATTTTTCCTAGACACATACCTATGGTACATCATTTGGAACACTTTACTTTCTGTTGCTAGGTCCTTCTACTGTGGCGTATCAATTTGGACTCCTTGGAGGAACATGTTTTTCAGATTGCCGAATAGGATTATCTCAAAAATTTTAAATCCGGCTGCTGTTGGGAAACGCACCGAAGTGGAACGTAAAAACATGATTTTCAAAGTTTGGAATTCAATTGTTATTTCAATGTACAGAGATCATCTAATTTCTGTTGATCATTTGGACAGCTTAATTTATCAGTGCACAAAAGGCGAAAACGGTGAAAAAATTGTGGCAGAGCCAAGTTTTTTCATCCAACACGAGGATGGCGACAATATTTCCAACAGAAATGATTATTTGAAATCAGATTCAGAGGCTGCAAGGCGTTTATCTTTTTTTGCTCATTCTCTCTCTACTTCAATTTCGATGGCTATGCCGCTAGATAAGATGCCATCCTTCTCTGTTTTGATTCCCCATTACTCAGAGAAAATAACATTATCTTTACAGGAAGTAATCCGGCGAGAAGATGACTTCTCTAACATCACATTACTTGAGTACTTGAAGCACTTGTATCCCCAGGAGTGGCATAATTTTGTCAGAGATACTAAACTACTTGCTTCAGAGCAATACAGCGATAATGAAAAGGAAGAGAAAGATGTTAGTGATGTGCCATTCTATGCAGTTGGATTCAAAGCTGCAACACCTGAGTATATATTGAGAACCAGAATTTGGGCATCTTTGCGTTCGCAAACTTTGTTTCGTACCATATCAGGGTTCATGAATTACTCAAGGGCGATAAAACTATTATATTCAGCGGAATGCGAAGATCAAAGTGTAAGTACATTGGTAAACATTGAAGAGGCAAACGTTATGGCACAAAGAAAATTCAGAATAGTGGCATCCTTGCAAAGACTGAAAGAGTTTTCTCCTGAACAAGAACAAGCCAAGGAATTTTTGTTAAGAACATACCCAGAGCTTCAAGTTGCTTATCTAGATGTTGAGAGAGATCCAGTGACGAACGAATTCATTTACTACTCGGCACTTATAGATGGAAATTCTGATATTTTAAGTAACGGCCAAAGAAAACCCAAATATCGGATCAGGTTGTCCGGTAAACCTATCCTTGGTGATGGTAAAGCCGATAATCAAAACCACGCCATAGTGTTCTGTAGAGGAGAGTATGTTCAATTAATCGATGCTAACCAGGATAACTATCTAGAAGAATGCTTGAAAATAAGAAGCGTTTTGAACGAGTTTGAAGAATATGACGCACCAGATAATCCTTATACCTATGATCCTAAAGATATGTCCGTTTCAGTAGATTACATTCATCCTGTTGCAATTTTAGGTACTCGTGAGTATATTTTCTCTGAAAATATTGGTGTTTTGGGTGATGTTGCAGCAGGAAAAGAGCAAACTTTTGGTACTTTGTTTGCCAGGACATTGGCTCAAGTTGGTGGTAAATTACATTACGGTCATCCAGATTTTCTCAACACTATATTCATGTGCACCAGAGGTGGTGTTTCTAAATCACAAAGGGGGTTACACCTAAATGAAGATATTTACGCAGGAATGAATGCTTTAATGCGTGGAGGTAGAATTAAACACTGCGAATATTTCCAATGTGGTAAAGGTAGAGATTTAGGCTTTTGTTCTATTTTGAACTTCACCACAAAAATTGGTTCTGGTATGAGTGAGCAAATGCTATCCCGGGAATATTTTTATCTTGGAACACAATTACCCCTTGACAGATTTTTATCCTTCTTCTACGCACATCCAGGATTTCATCTCAACAATGTGTTCATTTTATTATCATTGAAAATGTTCATGCTATTTTGTATTCATTTGGGCGCTTTGACAAATGACTCAGTGTTGTGCTCATATAATAAAAATATACCGTTTACTGATCCACGTGTACCTTCTGGCTGTACTAATTTAGTTCCAGTCATTGATTGGATTCAGCGATGTATTTTATCAATCTTCATTGTGTTTGGAATATCCTTCATACCATTATGTGTCCAAGAGTTGATGGAGAGAGGACTCTGGAGATGCATGTACAGAACTTTCAGGCACTTCACATCTTTATCCCCGATGTTTGAAGTTTTTGTTTGCCGGATCTATTCACAATCGTTAGTAACTGATTTGGCTGTGGGGGGTGCTAGATACATTGCCACCGGAAGAGGATTTTCCACCGCAAGAATGTCCTTCTCAGTGCTCTATGCAAGGTTTTCTTACGAAAGTTTCTATTTTGCAGGGACGCTATCGTTATTGCTACTCTATGTTTCATTGGTTCTGTGGAAATTTAGTTTCCTTTACTTCTGGGCTACAATCTCATCTTTGTTTTTCTCCCCATTTTGGTTCAATCCAAATGCATTCAATTTCACTGAATTTTTCATTGATTATAGAAATTTCTTAAAATGGCTAACAAGTGGAAATGTGAGAACAAAGAGGGATTCATGGATTTCTCACGTGCGTGCTACAAGAATGTCAGTCACCGGCTCTAAAATCAAAAGGTCAAAAGGTGACACGACATTTATGGGATCGAACTATCAAAGACCTTCGTTTCTTTCTTCGTTCATTGCACAAATTGGGTCTAAAGTTGTCACAACTCTATTAATAACCATTGCTTATTTGTTCACAAACTCTCAAAATCAATCAGGAGGGGGTGTTCCATCAAACTCTTTATTGAGATTACTTGTCGTGACCTTTGGGCCTATTGCTATCAATGCAGGTGTCCTATTTTGCCTCTTTATTGTATCCATTTTGACAGGTCCGCTTATCATGTGCTGCTCTAGTTCTTTTCCTGGGATGATTGCTAATTTAGCCCACATGATCAGTGTCTTTGTCTATATCTTTTCATTTGTTTTCTTACTTTTATGTCAAAATTGGGATGTTGCAAAATCAGTGTTGGGAGCATGTGCTTCTTTCAACTTACAAGAGCTATTTTTTAAATTGGTAACAATACTTGTGTTGAATAGGGAAATTAAAGATGAAAAATCTAACAAAGCTTGGTGGACTGGATCGTGGTTAACTTCTGGTCTAGGCTGGCACATTTTCACTCAACCATTTAGAGAGTACATCTGTAAGATTATTGAAATGTCTTATTTCGCTTTGGATTTCTTAATCTCACATTTCATCCTAGTATGCCAGGTCCCTGTTTTATTCATTCCATACATTGACACCATTCATTCAATGCTATTAATGTGGCTTAGCCCAGAAAACATGTTAAAAAAGCCGATCTACTCATCGGCCAAACGCAGAATGAGGATGAGGGTAACGGTTACATACTTTTTCTTATTTGTTTCAAACATCTGTGTTATTTGTTCGATTGTCGTTGTGCCAATTGTTTTTTCTCGCGTCTTCGAAGTTGACTTTGATGAATACATGCCCGAATTTTTGAGTATCTTATTCCAACCCGCTGAAATCACTGATAAACGGAAGGGGTTACAAAATTATATCCCTCCAAAATTACACGGTTAAGCACTATAACGCCTAATCGAATTGCTCAATAAGATTCTTATTTTTTTTATAAATAAGAGTACCAAATTTGTTTAATGCTATATACATTGAGTATAACAAATTTATTTTATAAAAGAAATAGAATACTGAAAAAACTTCACTCAAATCACAATTGACCACAACCACAATACAAGACTTCAGTTCCAAAACTCGCCGAAGTTTTTATTAATTTTGTTTTTAAACAATAATTTTAAACTTTGAATTTTAGACGAGTCGGCAAACATGGATGTAAGAGAAAATCTTGGCAGACTTGCAAACAGCGACAACAAATTCAAAATGCTTTCTTTGTATTGTAGATGATCGTTCTGCAATGCATATACACATGCTTCCAAGAAAAAATTAAGAAACTCGGGGTCCAGTCCTGTCATCTTGTATATATCACGATATTGCTGAGGATTAACACTGAGAACGTATTTATAATAAGACTGACGTTTTGTTTCAGGCTGGAGCCTCAGAGCAGACAGAAACTGAACCGTAGGGTGTGAAGGATACTCAGGGGTACCGGTGTGATTATCTATGCCACTCACCGTCATTCTCTCACTAGCAGAGTGATACTCTTCATGAGCTTCAGTCCTTATTGGAGAACCTTCATTTGATATTTCACTAGAAATCTCCTCTGCGTTTGGATTTTGAGAAAAGAAGTCCTTTGGAATTTCATCCACTTCTTGTATATCCACAGTAACTAAATGAGCGTTGTTTGTTATCTGACCAAAGTTACTTTCTGCCAATTGTTCATTTCGTACCAAAAGGTGCCATTCGCTCTTCAAAGCTTTGTTTGTAGGATCAATAAGTAAAGCATCGTTAATGCACTTCAATGCTTCCTTCGGTTTATCACTGTTTCTCAATCCGATAGCTTTTCGACAAAGGAGTTTGACCTCAACGGGTGACAAAGCGGCAATGTCTTTACGTCCAACCAGCTTCAATCCAGTATCACAGTCATCAATTGCTCTTTTCCAGTTGCTCAAGTTGAGGTAAGTGGCAGCTCGATTAGAATATAGAATTGGATTAGCCTCATCCAGATTTATGGCCTTTGTGTATTTTGAAAGGGCTGACTCAAAATCTTTTCGCCCAAAAAACTCATTTCCTTCTAGCTTTAACTTATTTGGAGAATCTATCGACATTGGCTGATTATCGATTAGTCTTATAACATGGTTTCTTAGAAAAACTAAGTTTTCAGACGTTTTTTCAGTTTTCAGTTACTCATACGAAGAAGATACATGGAGCGATAACATCTTCTTTTTCGAGGGTTGTCTCTGGAAAATTTCAGTCAAATTTCCATGCCGACAAGGAGATAAGAGTACAGGCTTTAAGAGGGGGTAAACTTCGTTGTTGTCTAAACTCACCTATTTTCCCATGAGCAATGTCTGAAAGCAAAGATTTAGAGCTAGAAGTGGGAGCAATAGAGGCGATATACCCTGAATGCATAGAGAAACTTGCGTTATGTATTTATAAATTCAAGGTACCTCAACATGAACACATAATATTCCAGATGTCATTTCCTGAGGATTATCCGGAAGCCAAACCTCACGTCCTTGACGTGATCTCTGAAAAGGAAGGCTTTGATGAAAATTATTTGATGGAGTTATTTCAGGAGGTGTTGGATTCAATATATGTAGCAGGTAATGTTGTCATCTTTGACCTTTTCACCGAGCTTGATGCGGTGCTATATACTGGAGAGGAGGATCAGGAAGTACTTGCCGATACCGATCATTGGAATACGGAAGACACAGATTTAGGTTTAATATCTGAACAATTAGCAGCTAGTGCTTTTGAGGATACATCAAAAGAAGGTTACTTGAACTATGTTTACGATGAAAAACTTGAAAAAGCTAAAATGACAACACCTAAGAAAAATCAGACCGTTGACAACAAGAACGGATCGAGTATTTTAAAACAGAGAAATACCTTGGATGGATGGTTTATCAGCGATCCCATCTCTGATCGTAAGTCAACTTTTGTGGCGTTTGCTATCAAGGTGCATACAGTGGATGAAGCTTATCGACGGTTCCACGAGTTGATGGAAGACAAGAAGTGTGGCCGTGCCAACCATGCGATGAGAGCATGGAGGATAAAAGACGAACAAACAGGCGCAAGATATCAGGATTGTGATGACGATGGAGAGACTGCTGCTGGGGGAAGAATGCTACATTTGATGACTATAATGGATGCTTGGGACGTAATGGTCGTTTGCTGTAGATGGTTCGGTGGTGTCCACATTGGACCGGACAGATTCAAGCACATCAACAGTGCAACCCGAGATGTCTTGCTCAAGGGTAGTTTTGTTCAACTAGAATCCAGTTCTGGTAAAAAGTCAAAGAAGAAGAAATAGTACATGCGTTTTATAAGGTTGTGTAAATTTAGAAGAAAAGCTCTATTTCTCGACATCATTATTTTCTGTTTGCTTTCCACAAACCAAGCAAGCTCTTCGAAGTGAGATCAACCTCTGTTGGATCGAACTCCTCGTCACTTTTGCTTACAAACCCCTCTATCACTTTTGATTTCTTCTTACTTTTTTTAGACCTTTTGCTCTTCCTTTTTTCTTTACGTTCGGAGTCCGAGTTTGGTTTTTCATCGCTTTCATCAACCGTCAATGTCTTTTCGGCATCTTGCTTCTCACCGCCGTTTGCATCCTGCACGCTGGACAGCTTCATTCTACCCAAAGTCCCATCGTTTAAATCTTTTGATATATTCACCGGTCCCATTGAATTTATTTTGGAAAATCCCACCTTACGTACTTTTCTGTTTTTCGACTTTATCACCTTCAAAGCTTTTGTGCTGACAGGGAGAGTCCATTCACTTGAGTCCTTCAGTTTCTTAATTCCATCTTTTTCAGCCGCTACAATTTGATCTTTCCTGTGTTTATCTCCTGCAACCTGCATGAACTTCATATTTTTCACCCTACTAGATAGATTACCACTACCCATTTTGATATTCAGTACTATCTTTTCCGTAGAGCTTTCCAATTACCTAGCTTTTTCTTTCAAACTGCTAAAGTGATCTTCTTTTGATAGAATCGTAGGAAAATGTTTATTTTCATGATGCCTGAAAGATATTTGGAGTCAAGAAAAACTTATATGCTGACGTAATTTAAATACCCTTTTGGGAAACTTAGGGAAAAATTTTGTGAAGCAAATTTTTCGATTTTTCAATCAATTAATCTGAAGATAAACTACACTGGTTTCTGATCTTTCAAGATTCTTTGGAACAGAGCACATACAAGAGCTCATATAACAAAAACCCCGATGAAAAGTGATTTCAAGTTTAGCAATCTTTTGGGAACCGTGTACCGACAAGGAAACATTGTCTTTTCCCCGGACGGAACATGTTTATTGTCCCCGGTCGGAAACAGAGTCTCGGTTTTTGATTTGATTCACAATAAGTCATTCACATTCAATTACGAACACAGAAAAAACATTTCAGCAATTGCTTTAAACCCACAAGGATCATTGCTGATGTCGATCGACGAGGACGGTCGTGCTATTCTCGTGAACTTCAAGGCTAGAACAGTTTTGCACCATTTCAACTTCAAAAACAAGGTCAGGAGTATTGAGTTTTCGCCTGACGGTACACACTTTGCTGTCGCAGCAGGAAGATTTGTGGAAGTGTGGAAGACCCCAGATCTAGCTGAGGATAGGCAGTTTGCTCCCTTTGTGAGATATCGGGTATATGCTGGCCATTATAATGACGTAACAGCTGTGACGTGGTCGAACGATTCAAGATTTATTCTTTCTGCAAGTAAGGATATGACGGCTCGAATTTTTTCATTACATTCAGAAGACAAAAGCGTGAAAATGTCACTTGCAGGACATAGAGATTACGTTGTAAAAGCTTTTTTTGACTCCACCCAAGAAGTTATCTATACTGTTTCCAAAGATGGTGCAATTTTCAGATGGGAATACACCGAACGCCCAGGAGAGGAGGAGTTGCCAGAGGAAGAAAAAACTATGAGTTGGAGAATCATCTCCAAGAACTTTTTTTTCTCAGACGCATCCTTAAAATGCTGCACCTTCCATTCGAAGTCTAACCTATTGATCGTTGGGTTCGGAAATGGTGAGTTCAGACTATATGAAATGCCATCATTTACTTTGATTCAGCAACTTTCTATGGGATCGAATGGTGTAAGCACTATAACTGTCAACCCCAGTGGAGAATGGATTGCCTTTGGCTCGCAATCAATGGGCCAGCTTTTAGTGTATGAATGGCAATCAGAATCATATATCTTGAGACAGCAAGGTCATTTTGATTCAATGAATGCTTTGGCATACTCTCCGGATGGATCAAGAATAGTGACAGCATCAGAAGATGGTAAAATAAAGATATGGGATATAGTGTCTGGATTTTGTCTAGCCACATTTGACGAACATCAGTCTTCTGTCACAGGAGTAGCATTTGCCAAGAGAGGACAAGTGATGTTCTCATCATCTTTAGATGGTACTGTTAGAGCTTGGGATTTGATTCGGTTTAGGAACTTCAGAACTTTTACCTCCACAAGTCGAATTCAGTTCTCTTCTGTTGCTGTTGATCCCAGTGGTGAAATTGTCGCTGCAGGGTCGTTAGACAACTTCGACATCCAAATATGGTCGGTTCAAACCTCGCAACTATTGGATCAGTTATCAGGACATGAAGGTCCTATTTCGTACCTGAGTTTTGGCTCCGAAGCCAATGCTAAATTGGCAAGTGCCTCCTGGGATAAAACAGTCAGAGTCTGGGATATATTTGGCAGAAGCCAGGCAAGTGAACCTTTTGATTTGACTTCTGAATGTTTGGCATTGTCTATGAGACCAGACTCGAAAGAATTTGCCGTTTCAACTATGGACGGTAAGATTTCATTTTTTGATATTGAAAGTGGCAGAATGATTAGAGAAATTGATGGTAGGAAAGATATATTACAAGGTAGATACAAGGAAGATGAGTTTGCGAGTGCTAATTCAAAGCGTGGTAAGCATTTCACAACCATCGCTTACAGTTTTGATGGCTTAACATTGATTGCTGGTGGTAACAATAATAGTATATGTATGTACGATTTGCCAAATGAAGTTCTTTTGAAAAGATTCAAAATCTCATTGAACATGCAGTTGAATGGTACCCTTGAATATTTGAACTCTAAAAATATTGTCGATGGTAATGCTGTTGATCTTGTCGATCGTTCAGGCGAGTTATCCGATGCCGAAGAAAATCATAAGGCTGATTTGAGATTGCCGGGGTCTCATCGTGGTGATGCAGGATTGAGATCGACCAGACCAGAAGTGCGTGTGATGAGTGTGGGGTTTTCTCCTACGGCAAATGCTTTTGCAGCTGCATCAACTGAAGGTCTTCTAGTGTACTCTGTTGACGACTCATTGCTTTTCGATCCAATAGATTTAGACATGGACGTGACACCAGAAAACACTTTGCAATGTTTGAATGAGGGAGAGTACTTAAATGCAATTGCCATGGCTTTCAGATTAAATGAACAATATTTGATTCACAAAGTTTACGAAGGAGTGAATAAGGATGATATCCCTCTTGTCGCAAAAGATTTGCCAGCAATTTATGTTCCTAGGATATTAGAGTTTATCGGAAGCATTGCAATGGAGAGCCAGCATGTAGAGTTCAACTTACTCTGGATCGAAAACTTGATAACCGCCCACGGTAAATTCATAACCAAAAATAAACATTTGTTTGTCAAAGGATTAAGATCTATTCAAAGATTTTTAAGTAGGGTAGTTAAAGATGTCATTGGTTACGGTTATAAAGTGAATTACTTGGTTGAGTTTTTACTTGTGTCCTCTAAGACTGAAAATATGGTTTTGGAAGCCAACCACGAAATCGAAGACGTTATCATCGAGGACATTGAAGTTGATGCTGCCGGAAATCACGAGGACGAAGAAGCCGAGGAAGAAAGCGGCGATGAAGATGAGGAAGACAATGACGAGGGCTGGTTCGGACCGGGAGATGAGCAGAAGAAGTATACCGACAACTTTTCAAATTCGGACAGCGATTCTGAGAGTGAGGAAGTCATCCAAGACGATGACTAGGAAGGATCTTTTGCATGAAAGGATTCACTGTGTACATATAAATCCTGCAGCTGTAAGGTAGCAGACCTAGTGTTTGAATGTCGAATTAAGTAGGGGTTGGATAACCAGATCGCTCAACTAAATAATGCCTGACTTTCAATTTTGCGCAGAAGATTTATCGATAATCTAGACTTAGATGTATCATTATTTAGCTTCTTAGACAACCCAAATGTATAATTACCTATATCTTATCGATTTGTACCAGGTAGGATTTTAACCCGCACATTTGACAAATAGTCGCCACATTTATAGAAAAAAAATGTTATTCTTCTTTGGTGACACGATAAACTCTGGGTTCCTTAATGGGTTTATGCCTAAAAATGTACAAGTGATATAAAACTTGTTTTGTCAGCATGGCCACGAACATGGAGGTCCAGCTTTTAGAGAAACTGCGGGCATTTTTCGAAGATGGTTTTGGAAACCCCAATTCGCTAATCACGGATCTCGGAGAGGTTGTTCAGATGTCATCTTTGATGATGACAAACGACAACATGTGGATTTATTGCGTAAATTTGTCTGAAGATGAACAATTGTGGAAATTGCTTAAAGCATTGATGATCAAAGTGACTGGACTGCGGAAACTAAGCATAGAACAATTACGAATAACCAAAGGAATCGTTTTAATTGTACGCAACCTACTGATAACCCATGAAAAAAAGGCTGAAATGCAAAGCAAATCAGTTGACTACAACTTCTTTCTGGAATACTTTCATCTGGCGTACAAAATAGGTAAGCACTTGAGTATCATTTTCAAAAGCGAAGAAAAAGATGTTTTTAAGTTGAAAACTCTAGATGTTTCAGTTGTGTGTTTTCAATGCATGTTCAATATCTTGCAGTGCTTATCGGAGTCATCGAAAAAGGATTTAACTGAGTTTTCTAGCACTCTGGACTTATTGAATGATATCTTAGTTGAAATGAAATCTACTGGAGGTGTGTTCGAAATTAAGCAGATTGTCTTGCAATTCAAGGAGTTTTGTATGTCACCTGAAGGCCGAAGGGTAGTAGCGGACCACGATTGTCTCATGCTGAGGAATTTGATAACAGCACTTACGCGATCTCTCAAGTTTGCTGTTGATACAGACCTTGCGAATCTGAAAGACACATCGAAAGATGATTATAACTTGGTATCAACATTAGCTCACACGTTGATTTATCTTTTTAACGATGAAAAAATTGGCAGCACCATGTATAGACTCGAAAGAGATGGTGGAGAAAAGTGTGAAAGTATGGAGGTATTACTATTTCTTGCTGCGTGTCAAATGACATTTAGTATAGATGCATCCGAACTAGAATCCAAATGGGAATGGGATTTTGTTGCGATTGGTTCAATGTGTTTGGATTTTTTTCATTTGTACAAGGAAAGATGCATCTCTTTGCTGAATCTCAAAACATGGAACTCGAATAGGGAAAGAGAGCTTAGTGTTGTACATAGGAAGATGATTGCGGTTTTAGATATTATCTCGAACCTACTACCTTATGAACTTTTCAAAAAGACGTTAAATTCCTACGATTTTCTACAAGAAATAATAGAGTTTTTTAAAGTTGTTGAGTCAAACACAGAAAGAAAAAGGCTAAAAGATTCCAGCGAATTGGGACTTCACAAGAAAAGCTTTCCTCATGCCAAGATAATTATAGTGGAAATAGTTACTTACTTGGTCCATGGAGACTTCCACAACCAAGAGGTAGTGAGAGAGCACGATGGGCTACAGTTAGTTTTGACCAATTGCAACCTTGATGTTAATGAGCCGTTCATAAGGGAGCGTTGTATTTTGTGTTTGAAATATCTACTTGAGAACAATCAGGGAAACCAAGCTTTTATTGCATCTTTAGAGGCTCAAAGGGTAGAGATTGACAAGGAAAAGGAGAAAGTTCTTGAAAAATGCGGTTACGAAGTGGACATTGTAAATGGGAAAGTACAACTTAAAACACATCAGGGAGCGGAAACTCCTGGGACAGAGGAGAACAAGATTGCAGAACTTTAACCATTTGAATGTGTAAGACTTGTAGAACATGTAAATAATAGTAGAGCTACACGCTCTAAAAGAGAAAGATAAAAAACTTCAGGCTGTGCGGAACAGCTGAAAAATTAAAATTTTTTATTCATGTTTTCCTTTCTTCATTTATCAGAGGATATCTAAGAACTTAATTCTGGTTTAACAAGAAGTTTCCCTTTAAAATTTAAAGAGAAACAAACAGAACAGACTAGAACAAACGTGATGGCCAAATATAAGGAAACAAGTACCGCCGTTGGTGTGGATTTGACGAGAGCCCTAGCGCACGGGAGCTCAGGAATAAGAAAGAAGATGAGAGATATTACTAGACTTTTACAGAGAGACAATCTTGCAGCAGACATCAGGATTGCCAATGAGAGAGCATTGAAGACGTTAAAACTTGAGCTACAGAAAGTGCAAGGAGACCAAAAGGAGAGAAAGTTTGCACAAAAATACCATAAAGTGCGTTTTTTTGAAAGGAAGAAAGCAATAAGATTTTACATCAAAAGTAAGAAGAGCGTCGATGCATTAAACAAGCAAATCGCTGAGATCGAGGCAAATGGGGATAAAGAGGCAGAAAAAGAGCTGAAGAAACAGTTGAAGAAGGAGAAACGAGTGTTTGGACACTCTCAAGTTGACCTTGCATATGTGTTGAATTTCCCAAAAAACGAAAAGTACATAGCCTTATATGCAACCAACACGACTCCAGTAGAAAAACTCCCTAAAAAGGCCCAAGCCGGAATCAAAGCATCCAATGAGAGGAAAGAGGAATTTAAAAAATTGTTTGCCGACCAATTAAAGGAGGGTACGCTTGAACTAGGCTTAGAGGAAGGATTGAGAAAGGAGGGATCTGAAGAGACAGCAGAAAATAGCAATAGAGTTAGAACCAGCGCAAACCATGTAAATAAGAAAAGTGAACAGATTGACGATGTGGAAGCTGCAGCCGAGAACGAAAAGGACGACTTCTTCGAATAAAATTATAATTTTTATTAGTCTATATGGAAATGTAATATGTACAGCGAAAGCTAGAAGAAAAGGGTCTCAACATCTACTGTCATGGTGAAATTCATACTATGTACAAATGCTAAGCTAATAAAGTATCCACCGAGCTGACAACAGAATGTTAACGATCGAAGTTCTCTATAATACGTAAACTCTATATGGAACATCCTTTTAAGTTACAAAGGATAAAGGAAGGATAGATAGCCACATCTATCATGCATCCGTAAGAGGCAGCAGCTCAGTATCTAAGAACTTTATGTCCTTCAACCTGTCTGTGTCTATTGCTTCCTTCTTCAGTAATCCGAACTGGATCATATCTCCGATGAAGATCCCTATCTTACCCAATGCATATTTTTGGTGATCAAACTCGTCATCCAAAGTAGGCTTTAGGAATTCATCGTCACTGCCACTTTCATTTTCGTTCATCGTTTCGATCTCGTCAACGATAATCTTGTACTGTTCTCCATTCGGACCTATCTCGAATTTTGGTGTTTTGAAATCCAAGCTGTTACTTTTACCGGCATTGTTGTTGTTGTTGTTGTTAATGTGTTCGTTACTTGCTGTGTCAATTGACCCTCTACTGATGATTGCCCACAATGCCCAAAATATTGAAGAAGTTGAACGCCAGTAAATTGTTTCATTGTACAAGTGAGTGACGCTCGGTGGAAGATCTGCCAACTTGATAGAAACTACCGAACGGGATTGCTTTAGTGGAGGAGGAGGTGCAGCAGCAGCAGAAGGATGTTTAACGAAGCTGGAAGAGGCTGCTGTTGGTGTGGATAAGGAGTAAACCGAAGAAGAAGAAGAGGATATTGGCTTCAAGTTTGGGGTTGAAGAGCCGGGTACATACTGTGCATATGAGTTCAAATAGTTGATCCTTTCTTCGACAGAGGGATACTTTGATTCATCGGTTTTGTAGTTGAACTGCGGGTCATGGTAGTCGTACATCCATTCTGAAAAATGGTTTGTGATATCGTAGGCGGGAGGGTTCTGACCTGCGTACTCGAAGTCAATGACTGTCAATCTTGTATCGTACTTGAAGTTGGTGTCTGTGACAATGGGGAGAGGTGTGTCTTTGTTGATTGAGTCAGACAAAGACATTGCGGTTGGGTGATGCTTTAACGAGAGCTGATCCATTTGGTTCGACAAAGATAGACTTGTAATTTCGCTATCATCGATTAGTACTTCTTCGTCATCTGCTTGGGTTTGATGGTGATCACCCTCTTCTTCGCCATCGCCATCGCCATCGCCATCATCGTCATCGCCGTCACTTATAGGCATACTTTCAGACTTGCTGTAAAATAAGAGGTTGCCGTATTGGGTATCATTGTGACAAAACCTGAGGGACTCTTTCAAATTCTCCACGTTTCCGTAGGTTGAATATAGGTAGTCTCTATAGCTTATGATCAACTTTTTAGAGTCGGCCCAGTTCAGGATAAAGACATTTTTCTGGTCTTCAGCAGAGGAGTTTTCAATCAATTTATCGACAACGGATATCCACCTCTCAATTAGCAGCCAGGCTTTCGGACCTGAGTTGTACTCGTCGTAATTGAGATTGACGCCGTAGTGGAACTCCTTCATTCTTCTGGCTATCATTCTGCTGATCTTCGGGTCTCTGAGCTGGGACTTGTTAAGGGTGATGGAGTTGTTCAAGAACTCCTCGAACCTCCCGTTGTTGAAACAGCCCAAGAGCTTCGGGCCGATGTTTTTCCTCGAAAGCCTGATTAAGGTCAGGAGTTCTGAGTTCCGGTCGATAATGTTTTCCACGTCTCCGTAGATCCTCAGGAGAAGCGGGTAGTAGCTGTGGTAGGTCATCTTGTAGACGCAATTGGTCATTGCGCCGCTGATTCTGTCCAAGTGGATGGCCTTGTAGTTAGACTTGCTGATTTTCCGCCATTTGGGGATACGGAGCGCCTTCAATACGGAGAGAATGTCCTGTTTGAAGTAGTCTAGCGGGAGAGAGTTGTCGAGGTTGACGTTGAGGACGTTGTCCAGAGAGACCACGCTGCCGGCTCGGCTCACAGACGTGTGACTGTGGTGGCTGTGGGGGTGGTGGTGCGCCACCTCATGGGCGGCGGTTGCGGGAGACAGCAGGCTGGGGCCCGTGTCTGTCGTGGTGGAGGAGGCGCCGGACGCTCTTCTTGTTCTGCTCCTGCTCCTGTTTCTGCTGTTACTTCTGGGCCGCATCGGGATGGCCCCTGAGGATGACGAGGAGGCGCCGGAGGCTGCCGTGGCCCGTCGGGCGACCAACAGCGGCGACGCTGGGTTGGAGGAGCGTTTCCTCGTGTAGGCAGGGCGGTCCATCTGTGTGTGTGCAGGTGGGGAGCCGGATAACGAAGTGGTGCTGCAGGCTGTATCTATGTGTAACCGAAAAGACGAGGCCCATAAGCTGAGCATCCAGCTGTCCAACCCGCTGAGCATCCAGCTGAGCATTCCTGATGGCGAGCGGCCCGACCTGTCAACACGAGCGAGACAAAACGAGGCCATAAGGGGGGCTCCCTCGCTCTTCCGCATTCTCTCGCACCACACCGCTTCCCTCTCCGCCCAGCCCATCTCTTGCCACAAGACAGACGCATGTGAAAATGGGCCGCCCTATATCACGTCACGTGACCTTTTTTTGTGGCTGTGCAGAACTGCGCTGAGCCCCCGTGTGCCCCGCGGCGGCCCTTTTGGGACGATCGACGAAATTGCCCTTTTTTTTTTTCCCTTTTTCGCTTCCGTTTCGGGCAGTTCCCCGTTCGGGCCGTTTATTTATCCTCGGCGTGCTTTTCTGCAGGGTGCCGTTTTCGCTGCCTTTTTTCGTGCCCGTGTGATTTGGCCACGACGGACAGCACAGCGGACAAAGCGAGAGCCGGTGCGCCAACGGTTGCGGACGGTGTGGATGCGAGAGGGGAGGGAGAGAGGAAGGAAGGAAGCAAGGAAAAGAGAAAGCACGTCTTTGCTTTTGCTGCTTCTGCTGCGGAGGTGCCCGTGGAGACGGCAGAGGGTGCCGGCAGTGCTCTTCTCTCCTTCTGCCAACACTGCAGCCTGTGTCCGCCCGCCCCGTCTTTGCACGACCCCCGCCCTTCTGCGACTTCCGCCCAAGACCCAGCTTGTGCTGCCCAGCTGCCTATTCATCGACGCTTCCTGCATCCACGGCTGCCGATCGATCGATCTCTTCACTCATTTGACGCCGAGACAGAAAAGAGCATTTGCACTAGTACCACACAGCACGCCCGCCCACCGGCCCCGGCCACGACAGACCCGAGATCAACGCAACATTCCTCCGTCTGCCTAGCTTTCTTCCGCCCAATTCTAGATTATATTTCCTCACCTCAAGTCTCTCCTTAACACTTACCACAATATATATCTTCTATTGGCCGCAGCGCCCCTTTGCCTCCGCTGATTCACACCCCCTTGCCACTTACACCCGTCCGCCTGCCTAGTTTAGCACCGATGTACCAACACTCCAACCACAGCATGGACTCCTCCTCCGACGACAAGCTGGTCCTCTCGTTCTCCTTGCCTTACCAGTACTTCATCAAGCCGTTTAACGTGCACCGCGAGTTTCTGATCCCCTCCGACTGGAGAGTCAACAGCTACTCAAACCTCAACTTGAACCTGAACACCTTGAATCTTTCGAACAACAACAACGTCTTTGACACCTCCAAGTTGAACAACATCGTCAACAGTCCTAACCCCAACCTCGCCAATAATGACAGCTTCAACGACAACAGCCTTATTTTTGACAACCTCAAGAACCTGGGACTTGTTGTCAACCAGCTGAACGAGTCGTACGCCTCCTTCGGCATCATCATCATCTTGAACGAGTTCAGGATCTCCGACTACAAAATCACAATCTCTATCATCGGTACAAACCGTCTGAAAAAGGAGATGCTTGACATTAGGCTTCAGATCTTACAGAACTTCTCCCAAATATCCAAATCAATGATTGTTCTCGATCCAGTCAAAAATAAACATTGTTTCAACATGGACAACGAGCATGATTTGAAAATGGAACTCATCAGTTTCATTTCTAGTGTCTCGAGCTTCAACAAGTGCTCCATATATATTGAAAAAAGTGATAACTTTGCATTCTCAATCTCTATCATCGGTTACAGAGATCAAGTCAAGGTCACCGAGAATAAGATAAACCTTTTCATCGATGACATGAATCCACAATTCTACTCTGACTATTTGGAACTCTCTTCTGTCTCAATACTACCCTTGATTTGTGGCACCGATCTATTTACACTGAAAAGAATCATAAAAGAAACAAATTGTAACATCTACCTGCCCAACTTGCTACCAAATCTCTATTATAACAACTCCTTGGAAGTCGAGCTTGGAAACCCAAAAATATTTCTGGCAGGATTAAGATCTGAAGTTTTATTGGCAAAGAAATGCTTATCAGATATGATTTTGAAATATACCAAAACACCCTTTATCAAGCAATTATCTCTGATGCCCATCAAAAGAGAATTTTTGATCTTGGATCAGATCACCAAGAATGGTGGAGATTATTTTGATAACTTAATGTTCCATACCTCATGTTATATATCCATGCCTTCTTTAGGTTCTAAAAATTCAAATACCTCAACTATCACTGCTAACAACAACAACAACAACAACAACAACAACAACAACAACAACAACAACAACAACAACAATAGTAACCCAAATACTGGTATCGGTGACAAAATAAATTTTCAAGGGAATTCTATAGAGGAAGTAGAACTGGCAATCAATGAGTTTGTTAACCAGATCTCCACATATTACTCCGAAAAGGTTGAGTTCACGATCAAAAATAACGATCATAGAGTCGATATCAACAAACTATTGAACTTTAACGACTCCTTAGCTTTTAACTCAAACTGTTTTATCACTTGCTCTAAAATAGATAATAAATATACCTTTCAAATTCTTGGAAATTCGAGCAACGTGAAAGTGGCCACTAATTGTTTATCTCAATTTAACTCTTATATAGGCGAAACTTTGAAGAGTCAATTTGTTAAGTTTCAAATAGAATTACCTAATAACGAAAAGGATTTTATTGCCGGTAAGAAGAATGGTAAAATTATCAAAATTATTAACATGTCTTCTGTCTCAATAAAACTATTACCTTTTACTGACCAAAATTTTGTGGTCGAAATATCGGGCAACGACTTGATGGATTCAATACTAGGTTTGGGTTTATTTGAGGATGAATTACCTACTATTTACAATTTCAACGTTCCGGAATCTTTTCATAGACAAATTATTGGTGTTGGAGGACAAACCATTCAAATTATCATGAGGAAGTTTAATGTCTTTGTCAAGTTTTCCAATTCTTTCGAGTTATCCGACAAAACTCTAGATTCCCAACACTCATTACAATCCACAAATTTCCAACAATCTTTTATCAGAAAGAATAACGTTATAATCAAATGTCCTTCGAAAAATAAATTTGAAATTCCATTGGCAAAGATAGAATTGGAAAATCTGGTCAATAAAGTAAAGAGAAACAGTTATTCTTGTTCAGTGGTGAAATTGACAATTCAACAATGGAAGTTAATAACGTCTTCTGAGTTTAATATCTTGTACAACATCAATCGAAAGAAACCTACAAATTTTATAACCGAGTTGGAGAAAAAGACAAATACCTTTATAGATTATCCTTCTCTCGATTCCATCTCAAACAATTTGAATTTCATAACCATCAAAATTTATGGAATCGAAAATAACTCAAAATTGTGTTGCTTGGAGTTGAAGAAAATCATTCCCTACTCTTACGAGTTTAAGTTGCAAAAGGATACAAAGTGTTTGGATTTACTTCATGTTCTCAAGCTCGATAAACTTTTATTATTTCAATCAGACCAGCTCTCTCCTTTGCAGCTGAATTTTTTGAATAATATTGTAGTTCCGATGAAGCTACTATACAATATTGAACTACAGGTCAAGATTGGCGAGCAATATGATTCGATAATAGTGAACTATTATCCTCATTCATTTGGTTTTAAATTGAACGTTACAACCCCTGAAAGATTATCCGAACAATCTCAATTACAAGTGATATACTCAAATTCCTTCAGCCAAATTACTGGGGGCATGAACAAATTTTTGAATGATTGGTCATTTAGAATGATCTCTTCTGAAATTTACAATCCAGATTTGTTGATTGAAGATTTAGGATATCAGCACAGTAATAACGGTTCTGATTTTACTAAAAGCAGCAAAAACAACTCCGACGATAACAAATGAGGCTATTAGAGAGTTCGTTCTTTGATTCCCTCAATTCAGTACTTCTTTCCTACACCATCCCCACTTTTTTTGTACATCAAATTACAATTTATGATCCTTCTTTTTTATTCTACAGACAGTTAATAAACATATACAAATAAATAAAAAGATATACAAAAAATGAATTTCAGAGCTCCTCAAGCGTTTTATGTAATTTATCAAGTTTATCTGAAAGTCTAGAGTCCTTATCAGCTAATATGTATTGGTTCGGGGCGTTTTCTCTTCCCTTTCCATCGTGCTCCTCTTTATCATCATCATTCGGACGATCGCTGCTCTGCACAATTTCTGTCTTGATGTTTTTTCGCAAAGTGCTTTCCTTTTCTACTTCCAATCCCAACCTTCCAGTAGAATCCTGTCGCTGATCCTCCATATATTTCAGCTCAAGTCGATGATGCTTATGAGCAAATTTTAATTGAAATTCAAGTTTTGAATAATCAACAATTAGATTCATTTTTGAGCCACAAAAGTATCCAAAGGAGGAGTGGAATCGTGAATTGACAGGCTCATTTTCAATTTTCAGATTGAGATCGTCAGGTTCGACATCTGTAGGCTCCACCCATTCTAACAACTTGCTTTTCAACAAACTGGTTTCCTTATCAGCGCTCTCACCAGGCTCATTAGTCGGAGAATCTGCTCTCCTCTTTTCATGAGCCAAACTGATCTGGTCAGTATCTACCCCAAATCGTTTGAATGCACTCTTATCTTCAGAGCAGCGAAAGGATGCATAATACTTGCCATTTTTCCATGATGATACGTAAAATTTGAAGTCACATTCACAAAGTCGTAGAACATGGCGTATACGATCAATATAATGAACTTCAAATGACTCAGTCAAACTATTTTTTAGCATCTCGTCTTTGTTGATTTGCACTGAAAGTAAGTATGTCGATCCATCTGTCAAACTATTTACTGTTTCTTCGTGTGCATTGAGCTCGTTATCAACATTGATGTCATCTCCCTCTTCAGACAAATCTGAAATGTCCGCACTTGCTTCTTTTTTTTTTACAAACACATTTCCAGTTAAACCCGTCATATTTCTTGGAAGTGTGAAATTGTCAACGAGGACGGTTTCGTTTATCACCAAATCTTGCCTCTTCACATCGTTGTAAATGATTTCTAGAAACTCTTTAAATTCAATTGCTTTCTTCTTGCCTTGAGCTTTTTTTGTCTCAACTGCACTTGGAACTATACTGACATCAATCCGATCATCGCTTGAGTTTTTCTTCTCGTTTTCAACTCTTCTCCTCTTCTTTACATGTACTCTTCTATACTCTTTCAATTTGTTTCTGCATGAGATGCACGTTTTGTAATTGGATAGGTCAGCAATGGTAAAGTCGGTTTTACCAACCACACGCTTAACCTTGCACCTACTACATGAGATGGTCATTTTTAAAATGTATTTTATTTAATCAGAGTACTACACTAGTTGAGTAATCTAGTCATGATGGATCTACAGATCAACATTATTCTGCGCAACTCCAGCTTTACCGCATAAACCTTCACTCTGCGCGCTGTAGAAAAAATCATGCAACGCATAAATTTACTTTATTTTAAACAAGATTAAGGCCTGTTTAATAATATAGCCATTAAAGTGAGATTTTCAATGAACCCCTCTACAAGGACGGCAAGGAAGCTCATTAGCAAAAAATAATGAGCTCTTCCTTACTTTTACCAAACCCTTGTTTGCTAGGTATAGTTTTTACAATTGCAACACACGATGGAAACCAATTAGTTTTTCATTACCCGCCGAAGCCAAACGAATATGGGTTTCAGGCTACACCATTGGACATGAACGAATTGTCACACAATGTTGAAGGGTTGAATGACTCAAGCGAAGACGAGATATATGATGATGACGATGACGACGATGATGTGAGGTATAATGATGAAAACGATGATTACGGAATTGATGATGAAGACGACGACGACGATAATGAAGACGACGATACCGAAGACGAAAGTGAGTTTAATGATAGCGATTTAGATAGTGTTGGAGCAAAGAGTAACCGAACATTGAGCACAGATAGTCTAGCCAGTGATCAAAATCGACATAAAAGATCTTCTTCTTCTTCAAACAATCGATATCAATCTGGTAGAGATTTGCTCGAGCTGATGTATGAACGTGAACAGAAAAAAAAGAAGAAGAAAATTTTAAGAAGGAAACAACGAATGAGAAAACGCAAGAGAGAAAGATCAAAAGCTTATTTAGATTCGCAATCGGCAATTTCTTCACTGAAGACATCAATCAGTGAAAGCACTCATAATAGCCAGAAAAAAAACCAAATTAAGGAATACAAAGTTGAAAAATTATTTTCATTTGATGCTGATTTCATAAGTGACTTAGCAACTCCCCCTAAGTCACTATGTAATACCAGATTTGAATTAACAGTGGAAGACATGGTGTTTTTAGGCCTTCCCATCCATATACAAGATGATGGAAGTTGGAGAATTTCCAAAAAATCTAAATTTGTTAGATCTAAAAGTATGTCGACTTCACAACGTTCAAGAAAACAGTCTTGCTCAGATTCTAATCAAAATGAAGATAAGAGATCTAAGAGCAATCGACCCTCATTCAACAATTCGATCAATCTTGATGACCATAAGATTGATGATGCTGAAATCACCAATGATGATGAGCTGCATGACGATCATATAGACCATCATAACGATATGGAAGTTCTTGAATATACTGGTGAGAATTCTCATGTGATGGAGAAAGATTGTGGAATGTATCAATTTCACATGTTATTTGTGATGAACCCACCTGTGGTTGAGTACAATCATCGGATTGATGAAATGTTTCATTATATTATTAGTAGAATTTCCTTGTTACTTCGATATGAGCAACAAAAGACAAACTATGTGTGGGAAGAGTCCAAAAAAATTTTGAAATTAAAAGAGGAGCTGGTCCATTTACCAGTTAACCAACAATGGAAAACAATTATTGAAAAATCTTCTTTAGCTAAGCTAATATGTGAGACCTATAAGGCTGTTAGTAGATCTCAAATTGTCAACATTGAGATTAATGGAAAATTGAACTCATTTCAAATTCCTATCCGAAGAGAGTTCGTGGTACTGCCCCCCAATTATGTTGAACTACCTGAATATTCTACACTTTCATCTATCTCGCCTTTTAACCAATTGAATAGTTATGAATCTCCCACCTCGTTGAGCCAAGCAAATGACGTAATGGCATTTTTTGGACTAATCCTACTGGATGACACGGAACGGATAATCAGAGACATTAAAGCAGAAAAAGATTCTGTCATCGCTAGTTTTATAAGACTGATCAAACCAAGTGAGTCATTACAAAGACTATCAGTTTTAAGTGGATTAGATATCCAAGAGGTAAAAATGTTTGCCAATCATTTAGTCTACTGGAGAAGAGCGATGGCGGTCCTTCCATTAACGTCTAGAAGCATATATGTTGTGTCTCCCATTGCTCCAATAAAAAACATATACAAAGACTCTCCAGATTTCAACCGTACATTTCCCAACTTGCCTCCCCTACCAACATTTCTATCTATGATCTCCGATATTTCCACTAACAAGCCGAAAAGCATAAGCAATATTATTCCAAGTAGAGATCATCGAGATTTGTATATGGATGCAATTGCTTGGCTTTTCAAACGTGGATATATTATTCAGTTATACACTTTTTTATACCTAAAAATTACAAAAGAAATAAAGATCAAAGTTGCTGAAGAAATTGAAATAGAGATCAAAAGAAAGCAGGAGTTGAAAAAAAAAAGTGCTTTGATTGATAAAGACTTATCCGTGACAAATGAGAATGGCTCAGACAGCGATAACATGGTCACAGGTAACAGAGTGAAAACCGATGCCAGCGATATCGACGATTTAGACTTGACAGATGGGGTGGATCAAAGTGATGGAAATGTTTCATCAAATGAAGATAGTATGATAGAATTAAAGGATGGGGAACGCAGTGATAAGGGAACCCTAGAGATTGATAAAAACGGCAACAATAAGCTGGGAACCAGGATGACAGACAACTCTGCCGAAACAAATATAGCGCAAGAATCTAACGGCCCAACGAACCAAAGTGCCGCAACAGTTTCTGGTGCTGATAACCGGCCGGTGAATGGTATACAGTCGGGAAAGAATAATCCTACAGACAACCTTCGTGATTATGGCTCCGAAACCCAGCAAAATAATACCACCGTTCCCAATCAGTATATATATAATAAAGAGTCCAGCAAGAATGGTGAAGAAACAAGTAAGACACACTATCCTCCCCCTTCAGAAACAGAAAGCTACTACAATATTTCAGGCTCTTACGATCAAATTCAATTTGAGGAAGAAGAGGAGGAGGACACAATATTGCTTGAGCCTGAATACTCTAGTTCTTTGGAAAGACGATGGATAGCAAAAGTGGTAGAGGGACAGCCGAATGAGATCTCCAATCTTTTTTACAAGGTGCTTAAGTACATGAATGGTCGAAATGCCCAAGAGGTTTTCATGACTCAGGAAAATATTAGTCGTCATGATATGAAGAAACTCAGTGATGCAGTGGCGGAATATATTGTCGTGATGCGACATTGGTGATGTTATGCCACCATTACGCCCGTGCACCATTGTTTTACTGTGGGTGAATTTACTGGAACCAAAAATGAGAGGTATGTATAGTAAAAAGACACGATCCATTATGCAATTGTCTGATGGTTAGGTACAAGGACGGTTATGGAAAACAATTAATTTTTATAGAAACCAAAATAGCATTTTACAATAATCGTCTTTGATGCATATTAATTGCTGAAATTCACTTTATAAACGGCTTTACTTAGAAAAGACAATCGATCCAAACACGTTAATCCCGAACTACAAGTGTTTCCATCTCAAAAAAGTTTGTATCCGTTATTTTTGATTTACTTTGATTTCATTTTCTTTTCCAACTCTGTACAATTCTTTTTGAGTTTCCAAAATTAGCTGTTTTTGTTGATCAGCATCAGTGGACTCAACCGTAAATGATCAATACAAAACCATACTTGAGTTTGAAACACGCAACAAAATAAAATGGTATCTCCGAGTCTCCGAAATACACCAATATCCATTCCAAGCTCTCAACGGTCAGATGAAATCAAAGACAGGTACAATTATCGTGCCAAAAAATTGGGCCAGACAAATTCCTCCTACGTGAAAGTAATGTTCCTTTTTGGAATACTTCAAACCATTGCCTTGGCGTTCTTTACAAGAGGATTTTTATTATCCAGGAACGTTCTACCCGATCTTTCAACATGCGAAACGCAACAGAGTGAGATACTTTCATCAAGCGGACTAAACATTCGAGACGGCTCTTGCTTTCACCCTTCTGGATTTAAGAAGGCAGTTATACTGGTTGTTGATGCCCTTCGTTTTGACTTTACAATTCCAATTCCGGGTGTGTCGGAAGATTCTCCAGACTCTAATTATCATAACCATTTCAATATCTTTTACGACACCTTCAGGAAATATCCCGAGAATTCATTGCTTCTAAAATTCATTGCTGACCCACCTACAACAACATTACAACGATTGAAAGGATTAACCACAGGCTCGTTACCAACTTTTATAGACGCTGGTTCAAATTTTGACGGGGATACCGTCACTGAGGACAACCTTCTGAGTCAGTTTTTCCATAACAACAAAACAGTTGCCTTTGCAGGTGATGATACCTGGACGGCAATGTTCTCTCCTTTTCTAAATCCTAACTTAACATTTCCGTATGATTCTTTGAATGTTTGGGATTTGCACTCAGTTGATAATGGAGTCATAGACCATGTTTTCCCACTATTGAAGAAGGAAAATCAGAGCGAGTGGGATGTTCTTATTGGCCACTTTTTAGGTGTGGACCATTGTGGCCATAGATTTGGGCCGGAACATTATGCCATGAAAGATAAATTGTTACAGCTGAATGATATAATCGAGAAAGTCATGCGCCAAATTTCGGATGACACCCTCCTAGTGGTTTTTGGTGATCATGGTATGGATAAGACTGGTAATCATGGAGGTGAGTCTGATGATGAAGTAGAAGCAGCTTTATTCATGTACTCTAAAAAGAAACATTTCAAACCTTTCAACCACATGAATGAAAACGTATACGATATCTCAAAAATGGGGAAAAATTACAGAAGGGTGAACCAAATTGATATAGCACCAACTCTTGCGATGCTTTTGGGCATACCGATTCCTTTTAACAGTTTGGGCTCTCCAATTGCAGAGGCCTTCATGGCTGACGAAAAACTGTATTCTGTTGCTTCGATGCTCACGTCTTCGCAGATCAATAACTATAGACTTAGCTCAAATGAATTGAAGGGTGATGAAAATATTAATGAACTTTACAGAACTCTGTATCAAAACTGGACATTAAATAGCGTATTGCAACCATCACTGGTTGATGATAGCTACAAATACCAAAGCTTGTCGTTACAAAGGTGCAAGGAACTTTGGGCAAACTTTGACGATCTCAATATTTGGCTCGGCATATTTTTGATTTTTGTTTCGTTGATTGTTCTCATTGTCTATTCCAAACTAGTTCCCTCTGTTGTGGTATCTCAGCTAAACTATCAATGCTTTGTTGCTTCCATTATTCTTATTTTGGTATACTGTGTTTTGTGCTCTTCCTTTTCTACTGTGTTCAAACCAGAGGGATTACCATTGAGCTGGTCATTAGTATTGGGAGTTGGTCTAGGAATTGCTAATGGTATTCTAGCTCCAATAATGGACAGATACTCTATTTTCTTTTTGATTTTACAGGTGAGAGAAAATTTGGTTCAAAATGGATGGACTTATTTAGGCATGTTGATTATCTTTTTGCATTCTATCATATATGCATCTAACTCGTTCATAATATGGGAGGATAAAATTGTTTCTTTCTGGTTAAGCACTTTCGGCTTTCTAGCTTTTTTCAAGTCTTTTCAAAACGAGGAAAAACACAAGAGATTCATAGGGGCATACCACTCTTTAATTTTCATGATTCTTACGCGGTTGACCTCATTGATAACTACGTGTAGAGAAGAACAAGGTGATAAATGTGTGTCAACTTTCAAAATTACGTGGTGGTCAGTAGCACTATTGTATGCGTCGACTCTTGTTCTTCCTCAAATAATCAAAACCTTTTACAAGATCTCATATTCTTACGAAGGGGCTGCACCGATGTGGATATCCAAAGGACTGAGAGGCACTATGCTTTTAATTGCGATTTTGTGGACTTTAGAGTTTGTTGAGAATGATGAATTTTTGAACAAAAATTATGACTTGCAATTTATTGCCTTGAAAAATTGGCGTATTATCCTTGGACGAATCGTTCTAGGAGTTTCAATGATTGGTGCTAATTTTGGCTGGAACGTTGGTCCTTTGTGTATACAAGTTGAGTTGGAACAAGAAGAAGTTGAAACCGGAATGGTCAAAAGCAAAAATAAGAGAAATACAGCTGCAAGAAGTCAACAGTATGAGATGAGAAAGACTGCTAGGATTGTGGGATATAGTAACGTCTACGGGTCATCCTACTTTTTGTTTTTTATCAACATTCTATGTTCTATCCTGGTTGTTTCCAAACCTCTCGGCGGAATATCATTATTTTTTTTGGTTAACCAGTTACTTACATTGTTTGAGTTAGTGGATATTTTGAACATTCGCACAAATTTGATATCTGTTGTTGTGATTTGTATGCTAGGGTATCTTCATTTCTTTTCCACAGGACATCAAGCGACCTTACAATCCATCCAATGGGAGACTGGGTTTATGTTCACAGAAACAATTGTTTTTCCAGTAACGCATCTGGCTATCTTGTTGAACACGTTGGGTTCTTTTATATTGGTAGCTATTGCTATTCCACTATTGACATTATGGAAAATTCCGCCCACCAACAAACCAGTCGCATTAAGCTCTAAAATTGTTGAAAATGCTTTGACAGTATTGATTTATCAAACAAGTTTGACACTAGTTACGTTGATCATGACTAATAATTTTAGAAGGCATTTGATGGTCTGGAAAATTTTTGCTCCTAGATTCATGCTTAATGCGCTGATTTTGGTACTTTTCAATGTGGTACTCACCTTTGTTTCAGTTGGGTATTCTAGTGTCAAAGTCGTGTCCAGGTGGTATGAGGTATTTGGAGCGTAAGCATTGTATTTAGTAACCTAATTATTCTGTATTTATTGGAAATTGATATTTCCTCAATATTATGTATACACTCTGTTTAGTTCCTACAGACACCATTAATACACAACTTAAAAAGGAAAAAATACACTACATATTAAGAAAAACTTCGTTGCTCAATGATCCAAAATCATCATCATTATCATCATTATTAAAGTCAGCGGAATCATAAAGCATTTCGTTCTCAAAGTCAAAGTTATTCTGAGACTTTAGGAAGTTATTCATATCGTTGTTAGAGGTCTTTTTAGTAAGATCAGTAACCAAATCTTGAGAGCCTTTTTCAACATCCGAGACATGGTCATTGATCTCGGAAGGATCTTGCGGTACCAAATCCATAGAGCCTTGACCAGATATCTGATCAGCAACAGCAGTATCGCCATGCGCTAGCGGCAATGACGGCGAGATATTTTGTTCTTGATTTTGTGACGTCGATACCAACGTCGCCTCTTCATTTGTTGCTACTAAATCGCGTGGGCTAAATGAGATAGAAGCTGGTGGTTCAATTAGAATTTGAGAAGTCGGACTTGCCCCTGGGTTGCGGTCGATCTTAACGTCAGAATTCTCTCCTCTAACGATAGATGATGCGTTTGTCTGCAGCGATAATGCCGATGATAAATTTTGGGGTATATCGTTCGCCTGCAAACTTACCTTCTTGAATTGGCTATTGTAATCTTCAACAGTTAATCCTGTTTTGAATGAATCAAAGGCTTGTGTTTTGAACTGATTTTTCTCATTTGAATCTACAAATCTCTTTTTGAATTTAGATTTCAAGTCTGATTCTATTTCACTTACTTTGTTCTCACATTCTTCAATAGAGTTGGCAGTATAGCTCAGAAATGTTTGATGTAAATCATCTATCGCTTTCATGTTATAGTTGAACCTCTCACCAAACTCAAAAGGTTCCTGTCCTTTTTGCTGTGTCTCTTTTTCGATCTCGGCCAACGAATACTCTTGCATTTTCATTGTTTCTAAATCTCCAAAAAGAAAATCAGTTCGAACTTTGATTTTCATACGAGACTTTAGATAGTCATTGATAACTTTTTTGGTTTCAGTAGAATCTTTCGGATAAGGGATTTGGTAGCCGTCAAAATCAGGGTCATAGTCACTTAAATCGTCTTCTATATCTTTGACAAATGCTCTTGTTCCGTCCTCATTCTTTAGGTTTACATCATACTTTCCTGAGTCATTCTTTGAGTTGTTCTTCCCATCTTTAGAAACTTCGGTTTTATTCTCTTCCTTCTTACGCTCTTGTGTAGTGTTGAAATCAGTTACCACTCCAGAATTCAGTTTTGGCGCAGCTTCTTTGTTATCCTCTATTTCCGTTTTAATTTCATTTTTTGTTTGGTCCAAAGTGAGATTTGCATCTTGACTCTTTTCATCGTTCTTGAGATCTACTAGGTCGTCTTGGGATTTATGTTTGGCTATTTCCGAGACATCTTTCAATAATTCAGCCCTTTTTTTCTCATATGGCATTCCATCCACAAATGCAATAGGGAATAGCCGTGGAGGTATAATTTTATCAGTAGGTATAGGCTTTATGATAATGTTTTCCAAGAGGTCATTCAGCATCTGATACTTAGAAAGAAAGTGTTTCCTAGGAAAATACATGTCGACTTCGTCATTGAGAAGCGTTGCTTTATGGGGGTCAACATTTGGAATATGAAATTGAAAAACAGGGTTTCCACCATTTGTAATGTTTTGTCTATTACTAAAACTCGATGTTTTCAAATCAGGACCGAATGTAAATGGGTTAGAAGTACTTTGCTGTATGGTTTTGGTCTCTTGAACTGGGTAAGGATTTGTTTTGAATGTCGTCTTCCTAGATCTTTTCCTTTTCGTAGCAACAGGCATCGTTTAATAATTAGTCGCTCTGAGTTATGTAGCCAGAAACCTCTGAAGTACCCTACTGAAGCAAGGAAGAATGCGTTATAGTGAATGTACAAGAAGTTAAGACAAAAAAAGCGGTGATCAGTAGATGCCTGCGCGGTAAATATCAACAACGTAAACCTTAATCTGTTTTACACCCAACTACAATAGGTACGCTTTCATTGATTTAAAATCAATTCTGATCAAAAAACATGGACAGTAAAGAGATATTGGAGTCGTACCTTGATAGAGATCTGGCAGAGGTGCTTGGAGAGAAGGGGTTGCAAAACATCATTGCGACAGAAACTGAACAACGGCTTTCTGAAACAGAGACGGAAATTTTGACGGCTTTGATACAACGAAGACACAATGAGATTGCAATGGAGAGAATTAGAAAAAATGTGTCTTTATTATTATTCAAAAACGTTTTTGATGTTCAACAGACGGTTTTAGACAACGATTATGAAAATGATAGTGAAGTTGAAAATTTTGTATGTAGACTAGAAAAGATATACAGTAGATTGGAGGACAAATGCTTGTCTTTGGAGGTAGAGAAGGATACTGAAATAGATAAACTTGAGCAATTGGTGAAGGAATTTTCAGAAAGTGATGGACTTTTATTCAATGAAAGTGATCCTTTAGATGCTGTAACTCAAGAAATCAACCAATATAATACCACCATGTTGAATAAACCTTAAGATTTTTACGTTCCCTACACATATATAGATGGGTCAATGTCCTCAACTTCATTTGCTAGCTGCTCGTCCAAATATTGGAATGCTTCGAATTTCCAGTTCAAAACGCATGATAAGTGGATCATTTCTCTTTTTCCACTGTTTTTACCAATACCACCAGTTTTGAGTGAAGGTTTCAAGTAAACCAACTGGGATATACGTGAGTGGACAAGTCCCATCGAACACATGGTGCATGGTTCATGGGATGTGTAGACATGGTACTTGAAGCAGAGATAGTTGTTTGCTTTAGGGTCCTCTACTTTCCGTTCTTGACGTCTAGCTAGTTCAAGGTCGGCTATCTCTGCTATTCCGTCCATCACCGTATGTTTTATCGGATCTGACGCACATCTTTCGTCAATCCTAATTGACTTTATAACATCTTTTGATGGATCTACGAAAATGCTGACAACTGGGCATTTTGTTTTCTGGAGAAACGAGCTTACCAGGTTAGAAAAAGAGCTTGATAGCTGTTAGTAAATCAGTTTTATGAAAAATATTTTGATTGTAATTATTACATACCTGTTGTTTAGAAAGTTCTGCGATCCTCTTCATATACTTGCTTATTTTATTTATATCAAGGCCTTTGTATATTTCATTGAGATCTTGCACCACAGGATTACCTTTCCAAAGAAGTGGCCAATACTCTTTTGACCATTTGATATTTGTCTCTTTGTCTAAAGGTTTGTTCATCGGTATACTCTTAACTTCCAACCTTATATTGTCTTGGTGGGTGGCACCGATCAACATACTCAGTAAAGCTTCCTTCGTGATTGAAAATTCTTTAGATTGGACAGGACATAGTAAAACTTTCAAAACTAGATTCCCTTTGCCATCATTTTCCTTGTGTATTCTTTTTAAATGCTGTAAACCATCAACAGTGTGTTGAAATTGGGATTTTATCAAGCCAAGAAGTTTGGGTGAATTTTTTGGATCTATGCTGCAGACCCAGTATTCTTGTAATATTGGGCTTATACCCCCCACAGAAGGGGCCATTCTTTGCAATAACCCATATAAAACCTCATTCTTGTAATCTATCTGAAGCGTCATACCGAGGAGGTTACCTAAAGTCCCCCAATATCCATAATGCAGTAGCAATGTGTATTGCAAGCAATCATGTTTGCGGAGAAAAAAATAGGCAAAGCAAATTAGCACCGCCAAAACATGTTTCAGTGAAGCGTTGTTGGTTAAAAGACTTCTTTACCATTACATTACGCTGACAGTGATGCCCACCCTTGAGGAACATATAATTACAAAAGTACCGGCATTTGATAAATCTACTTTATTGGAATATGGGTCGGGTGCTTTTTTCGAAGAGCTACTGTTTCTTATCACCAATCTTGAGCTGCAATCGACTAAAAAAAACAAAACGATTCCTGCATTATTGATATCGAAGGCAACCTTTTGCTACCACAGCGATTGCATTGACCTTTTGGTTGAATTTATCATTGACAAGAAGATAGACAATGTTCTCAAGTTGGGATTTACAGATGGTTCCACTTTCAATTCGAGTAAACCTTACGTCTTCAAAGGTTATAATTCTACTATTGAATTGTTGAAGTCGAAGCCAATGGAAATAGTAAGAAGTATCATTGGAGTCGAAGAATTCTTATACTTGATTTTACACTTCAACGGGATATGGGCCCCTTCTAATCAGTTATTATGGGGTGAGTTTCAACAAAAAAGCTACGAAAGATTCAAACGGCCTCACTCAATCAGTTTCAGATCAATGCTATACGTGCATACGTCTGTATTGCATAAAACGAATCCCGTAGCATTTGAACCTTGGAAGCTTCTTACTTTAATTTTTAAGGATGCTAAGCTTGATTGTAGAAAGAAGAATGAGCCCCCTCGTCGTTTACGAAAAGCCTTCAAGTTGATAAAAATGCTTATAATAAATCACAACTCCCATATGAAAGAGTATCCGTACATAGTGGATCAAATTTGTGACAATAACAAATCCGATGATAAAGACAATCTTTCACTTTCGACTGATAAAAGTAGGGTTATCAAATTTATCATGACTATCATCTACAAAGTCATACCTTTGGATTTTTTTGGTACAGAAAAAAACCGAAGTCTCGTGATAAGGTCAATACCTCGACTAATAAATAATACTATCATCTCTAAGGTCTCAATGGAGGAAGTCATTTGTAATGTCCAGTTGAATCAGATATCCTGGATTAAACCGAGAGCAAACTTCACACTGACTAAACCTGAATTCATCACAGCTAAAAAATTGTTTTGTTCATTTATATCTTGGTTGTTTCAAGTTTTTATTTGCAAAGTCACTGCCGCTTTTTTTTACGTTACTCAAGCATCCCAGAAAAATAGACCACTATTCTTTAGACACCATATCTGGAACAGAATGACTAAAAAGTATTTATCAAAATATGTTACTAACCACTTGATCAATTTAAAAGATACCCAAAACAGTTTCAGTAATTATTCCGAAAATAAAGATTTTATAGGCAATCTCTCTTTACAGCCCAAAAAATCAGGTTTTAGATTGATCGTAAAACCTTTTAAAGGATCTTGGGATAAAAAAATTGAATATTTGACGTACCAGAAAAGAATTCTCCGGCCGGTAATGCAAATACTTCAGAAAGTCAGAACTCATAATAGTTGCAGTTCCGTTACTGAAATTATTAATCGAATTTATACGTACAAGAGCCAGCTCCTCGCCAGTAATGACGGGAAAATCCCTATCATCTATTGTTATAAATTTGATGCGCAAAATGCATACGATTCAGTTCCACATGAAATAGTTCTTAGGGTTCTCTCTGAGAGGCTAGATACATTCACCAATAGTGATATCATCTATTTACAATCGTTCAACGAAATTGACAAGTCTGGGCTTTTAAGACGAAGAAGGAATATTGTTGTTGACTGCTTAAGTGACCTATCCATCTTGAGAAACAGTCAGCGTAAGTATGACCCACATTTTACCAGCAATAAAAGGTTAATAGATAGTCATGAAACTTTTAAATTTACGAAAAGCGAAATTCTAAGTCTTGCAGCTAGGCAGTACAAAAACACCTGTTTCCATACAGATTCTAGGTCATATTATAGAAAGATTGGTTTCTATCAAGGTTTTCCAATGTCTGCATTACTGTTCAACATTGTGTATGATGCTTTGGTGGCTGACTTTTATGCTGAACTTGGAAATCATGAAGAGACAACTATCGTTCGACTTATGGATGATTTCCTTGTTTTGAGCACAAAAAAACATCATATTGACTTACTGAAAAAGCTGACCTCAAGGTGTATGAAAACATATAATTTGAACATCAATCGTCTCAAAACTGAATTTTCAACGTCGGAGGTCTCTTTTGCTGGCTTAAATATTGATATAAAAAGATTAGTGTGCCATAAGTTATTGGAAGACTATAATAATGCTCCAATTCAAGCATTCACATTTCAGAAACTTTACAAGAGCTTGATGAGATTTATCCAGCTCCGCACGAAGACTGTAAGTTTGTTTGATCCATCAATTGATAAAAGTGAGAGGGCAGGCTGTAGGAAAAATGTAATTTCATTGCTTAAAAGTATATTGTTCAAGTTTTGCAACTCATATAGGCTGCTGAGATTCAAAAGTGACTTCAAAATAACAGTTTTTAGCCAATTTTTAACGAACGTCTTTTCATTTCTTACAACGAAGTTGCCATTAATCGACATAGGAGTGACCTTCGATAGATTTTGGTTGTATACTTTGAGGATACTTCGATATAAACGTATAATACAATAAAGGTATAAAAAAGAATAGTTAGCATGATAGTTACCTAAACAATTCCAAACGTACTTTTCATGTGTTCTTGATCTTTTTCTTGGCGTTGTTTCTCAATTTCAGAAATTCCTCCTCCATTTCTCTTCAATTTTTCGTTGCTGACAAAATCACCCAACTCTTCTTGGAACTCGTCTTTCAACCTCAATTCTTTCTCCATTTCTCTTACACGTTCCGCCTTCATAATAGCTTCAACTCTTTCCTCGTGGTTTGGATTGATCGCGTCAACTTCTGCCATCACTAATTTAGAAGCATCCCATGGAGAAACCGAAGGATCTGGAACTGGAAGTTTAGATTTATAGGTGAGTGAACCTTTTTCTAGTTGCGTTGCACACGAAACTATCAAATCAAAGGTTTCTTGCGCTGACTGGTAATCTTGTGCTAATAATCCCATGATTTCTTCTTGTGCTTTGAAAAAACGTTGGTCAGCCGATATGGTTGCCATTTGTTTGCTCCACATCGAAAGAAGGTTTTTACGTTCAATTTGTGTATAGTCAGTTAATGAGCTCAGCTCCGCTTTTGTGTTTTTCATTTCTTTGGATAGATGTTCGAGCTGTTTATCGGATGGCTTGATATTGTGTTTGGTTATGTCACGCTTAATGAACTCAATAACGTCTTGCAAATCATCAAGTTTTTCTACTAACGATTCACAGCCTTCGCTGACTTTAGCTTTGCAATCTTTAACGTACGTGTTTTCTGAAATCTGTGATGCTAGGCCATCTGCTTGTATTCTGTCAATAGTTTCAACTGTGGAGTTGATCATGCCATTTATTCGTCTCACCGATTTGATTTGATGTTGTTTTACCTTGGTTAATTCATCTTGCAAATCATCAAACAATTTCTGGTGATTTTCTTTCTCTCCCAACTTTTTCATATTTTTCCCGGAATCAATATCTGTTGACTGTCTTAATGAAGGTGTTGCTGGTGCTGAACTTTGCAAAGCTTGTAATTTTTCAAGTTTTTTCAAAATTCGGTCCTCCATGTTCATCATATCATTTTTTACTGTTCCTATTTGTGAGTCTACATGACTAATAATCAGACTCTTAAAATCTGGCTGCTGCAATGATATTATCGAACCATATTTGATTTCCGAAATATTCTCAAGTTCATACGCAACTAAATTGGGACCGTCTTGTATGTATATTTTGGGGTAGGAAGATGTTGCAGGAGAAGAGTAGTTAAATCTTTGAGAGAAAAGGACTTTCAGGTTGGGAAATGTCGTTGGAAGATCTATACTAACTTTTTTGACTTGATCCCCCAACTTGAGGAAAATGCTGCTCTGAGAATTTCTCTCTGCATGATTTTGTCCTCCTGTTAAAGATTTGGCAGTATCACTTAATGTTTCTTCCTTCAGAGCTGTTAGATTGTTGGTTGAAGCTTTACCTGAAACTTTAGACAAATCCGGTTGCCTCTTGGTTTCATTTTCATCAACATCATCCAATTTTGTACTATTCTTAGCTTTTTCCAGGTCTTCAGCTGTAATATTAGGAGCGATATCCATCTGCAGTGGTGTTTTTGGGAGATCGATAGCGTTAAAAATATTGTCTGACATTGGAGACTGCATTGAGATTATGCTTGAAGTTTGATAAGCCGAAAACCTTTTTGAGGCTCTTCTCATCAAGTCGTTGTTATTCTGAAGTCTAGTTATAGGGTCTTTTGATGGTGTGCGATTGAAATCTAAGGGTGAGTGTCCGGAGGATGATGTTGTCGGCGTAGTCTGTGAATTTGATTGTTTAAAAGATAAAATAGAAGATGATGCAGATATAGATCCATTTTTCCGGTTTTTATCCACTGTATTTAATTCATTTTGTTTCTCTTTTAACATTTTCATCAGCTCAGCAACTGAGTCTCCAATCTGTGGTAAAAACTTGTCCAGAGATTCTTGCGAAGGCTCCATTACAAGGGAAGCTTCTAATATCAGTCGAACTTTTCCAGGAATATCTGGCAGCTGTGTAACATCAACACCACTCGTAGAATATGATCTTTTCAAGCTTTTATAAGCATCGCCAAACTTCACAAATCTAGATGAAACATCCGACACACTAGTTGTGTTTTGAGACCAGCTGGTTAATGACTGTAGAAGAGCTTTTGTAGCAGTTAACAAATGGCTGGTGGCTGTTGCAATAGATGGTACATGCTGCTAATTTGTAATTGGTAAGATAGAGTCGTAGGATAAAACATGTTAGTACTTATTACTTCAAATTTCAAAGAGTTCATTCTTCCGAGGTAAACAAAGAACACTTACACCTTTCCTCCGGGTTGGACTTTTACGCCCAAAACTGCCTAAGTCAGTTTCTGACATATTCGTGTAACAATGACTTGGGTAGTTTATAAGTAAACAGGAACGTCTCTTCACCCTTGTCCTTATGTCTTTATTCCCTAACAATTCTATCTCCATGAGGGTTCCATGAATAGCCATGAAAAGAACATCAATCTTTTGATTCGAAAAAGCTTACGTCAGCAATTTCATTGAAGGGACCTTCTCTATTTAGTTCTCTTGACCTACTACTACCTGTCTATGAATAAGAAAGGTAAGGCCAAAAATAGTACAAGCATAGGTTTAGCCACCCAAGATGAGTGATAATCATCTAATAGATGACTCACAACCGGAATACTTGCTGGACTTGTCTTTATCTTGGGAGTCTATCAGCAAAGAGAAGGAAAGGTCAACGCGTAAAGCTAAACAACTAGAAAAGCTGCATAAAGAGTTGCACCCATTGAATAAAGAGTTCGAAGATGTGCAATTAACGAGGACAAGGAATAGCTCATTTCACAAAAATAACCAATTTACTGTTGTTGCTGCAAAATTTCTCAATTTGAGCTCCAAAGCTGAGCTCGACCAACTTTATAGAGATGGATACTCAAAACATGATATTGAAAATATGCTTGAAAACAAGTATCAGGAAAAGAAATTGTTTTTCACTGATCTTAATGTGAAACATCACAGATTCAGAAGGAAGACATTTGAAGCTTGGAGAAGCATGAGCAACTCGCAAAGTGTGAACACAAATACTTTTACGTCGGAGGAAGAATTCATGTCACAAATAAGCAAACCTCAGCAGTTGCGTCTAAAACAAATAAATAATAAACCACTCAAAGCTTTCATTACAGTAAAACGAGTTAATACAAAAAACAATGAGATAATCACCAAACTTTCAGTGGATGATACAAATTCAGGGAATAAGAGTTCCAGATCTGACTCTTCTTCTCGCCTGAGAACTAAGTTCCTTAGAACCACCCGTAACGATATACCGAACGAAACAAACCTGCTAGGAATATCCTCAGAATATGATACAGATGCTCAGAACAGTAGCTTGTTAATGTTTAGTGAGATGCACGAACCACAGAGTAGCACATTAGAGGTGACAAAAGCAGCAAGTGATAACCAACCTATAGTTGCTAAAGATGACCTTGCGGCTTTGAGTTCACCAACGTTAACAACAGCAGAACCACTAGAGCACGTTGAAGGTGGGTCTAATATGTTAAATGAGGATTCTCAGATTCTCAATACACAGACAGAACTATTAGAGATTTTTAGTGAAAAGAAAGATACAACTTTCATGTCATCTGATCAGACAAAAAATGAACCATCAGAAGCAGTGATTCAACTCCCTTCTTCCCCTGAACAACTTTTTAGTAGTTCTAGCACTCAACACCCCTCCAGGGATAATATCGTGGACGAAAGTATTACCAGAATCATTGGCTCACGAAGGAATCTTAGACATAGAACAATTGTTAATAAAAATCCTTATCTTGTTGACAGGGCTGAATACTTGGGATTGTCTACAAAGTATGAGCTCATATATATGACTGAAGAAGGAAAATCTGACGAAGAAATTTTATCTTTTTTAGATTCCAAATACCAGCAAAGAAGAAAGGAAAGAAAAGATAAGGAAGTAGGATTTGGCCCATACTCGAAATCATCTTTTTATGATATCATGAACGGGAAAATTCACACTGATAATTTACTAGCACCTGGTAATACAGATTTATTGACTGAGTCCTACCAGGCAATAGGAGAGGACTCAGTCTCGGATCATGAATTTGAGTGGTCAATGGATGAGGAAAGCAACCATTATAATGATACTCTCAATGAAGAAACTGACGTCAAAAGCAGTAATTATTTATTAGAAGCTTATGATTTAGAGAATGAGCTTGTGGGACTAGATCAAGATTTACCGCAAGTAGATGAAAACGTCTCTCGCTTTAATATTAACGAATTAACGAAAAAAGCTTTGTCCTCAACTTTTGTGGCTGAGAAGAAGAAACGAAAACTTACCTCTGACAATTTTGCTAATGCTGCAAAGAGACAAAAATCATTGGGAAATGGCGGTATGATACAAAAATTTGGAGATGATACAGACATAGTGAAGTTACCATCTCCAAATTCCACAGCCTTCAATCCGTATTCTATGAACTTTTTAACTTTATCGGATGAAGAGACACAATCTGAGCAAAAACTAACTGACTCTCAACCAAAGAAACAGGTTGCAAAACAGACAAATCAAGAGAAAACTGGTTCTGAAATAACCAATCGGCCAAACCGAGTCAATGCAACAAGCCTAATTGGCCTGTCTAACGTTGCAGTGAATAAAAACTGTTTGGCAGCTGGTGCTGAAATTCAGTCTAAGCCAGTAATTTCCTCTTTGGATAATGCTACAGAGATAAAACGTTCGATGAAAAATAAACAGAAAAAAATTATAGGCATAACGTATGCCCCAATCAGTAATTCAAACTACGTTTTCAACAGAATCCCTAATGCAGGTACCTACCAGGAAGAAGTAGTGAAACCTCATGTTTTGGACGATGGGCTCCCGCCGCCCATAACAACATTAGATCTTGGATTTGCGAGAAATACCAGTTTGAATTTGAAAAGATCTAAAGATGTTATCAATTCCAATTCTTTTGCGGAAGACAAACCACACATTTACCGTCTGTGGGAAAAATACAAAGAACCTAAAGATTTGAAGAAACAAAGGTATAAATTTTTACTCAACTTGAAACCTTTGGATTATAAAAGTTTGAAAGCACCTCAATCATTTTTGTCTTCTAACTTACTTGCCAAGTCGTTAAGAGAAGATGCTGATTTTTATTGGAATAAGACGATAAAGATTGATTTCTTATCAATGAAGATGGTTTTTGAAAAACCTTTGAAGGCTGAGGACACTTTATCAAGGGTAAAAGCTTTTCATGACATTTTATTAGGTGCACTTAAAAGCAATAGTTTGCACAAGCACCAAATAAAACAACTGAGGAAATCACTAATTCATTTTCTCATGTTAATAACTAATATTAAGCATGATTGCCCAAGTATATTACCTGAAATTGGAATGGAGATGAACTCTTTTCTCAACCGTTATAAGAAGAACACTAATAACAATGAGATTTTGTTCTGTATATTTGCCCCATATTATCTGGTTTATATGAGAATGTTTCAGAAACTCTTGCCTGCTTCCTCTGACTTCAATAAGAGCTTTAAAAATACTGCATTTTGGTTAAGCAAGAAGATTGTTAGCAATGTTTGCAGTATCTCATTTGAGAATATATTTATCCACACTAAAAGCATATTGAGTGAATCGCTTTACATCTTCTTGAATTGTACAAGTAATCCTTGGTCTTTTGTGGAGTATTTACCACAATCAACAGAAATTGATGTGCTGAATGTTTTGAATTTTTTATATTTCTGCAATTCTTACAGTCATGTGGAGATGGATTGGGAGTATTTTACTACTGTTTTAACCGGCTTCTGCGATTCAATGGAAAAACAACCAACAGATTTGATATCAATCAAATTTATTTTTGCTTCTATCTTGAAAATTAACAGGGAGCTAAAATGGGACTTAGAGGATCACCTTCTTATCAAGATGTTCAGGCTTTTAGCAGAGTACAAATTTGAAAACATAGGATCGGCAAGTACTGGAAAACCCACAATATACCCAAATATACCGGCAACGGATTCCCTCACAGAAGAAGATGGATGCTTAGACGTCTATTTCAAAATCTTGAATATTTATACCAAACAATATTTATCGGAGAACACGAAATCATTGGTTGAAAGATTGATACCCATAAGGTCAACCTCAGGTTATTCTTCGGTTCAGCTTCAAAATAGAGCAAAAGTTCTGCTCATGATGGTTTACACCTTTGACCAGGACTTAGGCTCTAGTCTAGAATCCATCTTAAACGATATGGTACGAAATGGATCGTTATTTTCTCTCAAATCATCTTTTGCTTTGATTCGGACTATTATACGACAGACCCCGAAAAGGCCTTATAATTTAGTTAGAAAATATCTCCCCATGCTAATTAAAAAAATAAATCATTCAAAGCCAGATGGTGAAACTTTCAGCATATTCAAGGACCTTATATTCAGTGTAAATGAGCTATTAAATGGTCAAGATGTATCACATTTGAAAAGGATGGTAGACTTTCTAGCTATTATTTTGACGTTCAAGCACGCTGATACCGACACAGGCTTTGAAGGTGTGTTCACTAAATCATTCATGGTATTATCGCATCAATACGAGTTTTTGAATGGTGTCGAAATTTCAGAAAGAGATGAGGTCAGACTTCGGAGAAGTCTTGCAGAGATAAGTAAGAACGCAAAATCAAGACTTTTGGATGAAAACGCAAAAAGCTTTACCATAAATAAATTGTACATGAAGTTTTGGTTGTATGCCGTTGCCAAGTCTCGGCAACCTGCCATTCAGTTGCTATATACGGAGTGGAATTATTTTGGTTCGGAGCAATTACGGAATAAATACGAGCTAGCATTTTTTACTTATCTGGTGCAATTGTTTGAAGTATCTAACATTAAAGAAGAAATTCTGAACATTTTTTTTAAGCATCTTGCTTTCATTTTCACAGATTTATCAAATTTATTTCAGGGCATAGTAAAGCAAAAATTGCTTTTGGTTAAAAAACATGGGCTTCAAAGCTTCACCTCACAATCCTTTCAATATAGGCGAATTGAGTTAACCATTATATGCCTATCTTCTCTTTTCAGGGAAAAAGATGAAAAAATGATTTATCAAGTACTTAAGTCATTCATTGTGTCACTAAAAAGCCAACTAGTAAATCATGAGGCGAGAAATTACATCAAAGAAGTTGGACTTTACTTATACACAGTGGCCAATGATAAATATGACATTCCTGAATGGGACTATTTGGTCAGTAAGTTAAAGCTAGAAGCGGTCGAGGGATCGCTTCCCAAGAAAATACAGTTTGTGGAAACTGTAGAAGACACAATCTTTCTTCTTCAAAAAATATATATCGCCTCCATTGCCGGTAATACCTACGCTGATTTTCAAAATCAAATGACACAGTACTCAAAAATGCAAGTATCCAGAGCTAATTTATTAACTTCTTTTTGCGGTATAATCTCCTTTCATGTGGAATGCATATTACAATCAAAGAGTGATCATTGGATGTATTTAAATCATTGGATGGATATTTTCAGTTCTCATGTGGTACGTCAAACGTACAAGCAGGATATGGGTCAAATATGCAAAGTATTCCGTATACTATCTAAGCTAAACACTATGTTTGCAACTGCCTATAATTACCGATACTATTACTACAAAACTTTGCAACAGTTGTATACATTGTTGAAATGGTCTTTGAGAATGTTTATGGGTTTTGATGATTCAAAATTGTTTATTGAAAACTTTTGGATTTTTGCCGGCATGGACCCAATTGTTGTTAACCCATTAACATCCTTCTCTGTGTTGCCCCTGATAGATAACGAGTTACTGCTAAAACTTAAAAATTTGTATCAAACTTCAGACACTATTTTACAGGGGAAAGCAGTAAACCAGTCCACCGAGAAGGATCTATATTTGCTTGAAAACGAATTGAAGAGCCAGCGTAGTTTGTTGGTCAAAAACTGGAAACTCCCCATTATCGGAGATATGGTTTCAGCTGAGCCCACTGATGGGGGAACGCGAACTTGAAGAGAATGGGAGTGAGGAATCTCGGAGTTCGGGTAGGAAAAAGGCAACATGACTCGGAAGCCTCATGTTTGCATCTCGATGAAGATGACCGTTAGACTGTGTATTAACCGTTACACATATATAAAAAGTGATTTCCACTTAACCAAACCTCAATGAAAAATAAAAGTAGGATTTCTTCTTTGAACGACAAGGCTGGTGGGGTCAAGGATCTTATATCCGCCATAGAGCAAAAAAACAGCCAAGACAGTGGGGACGAAATAATAATAGAAGGTGACTCAAAAGGCATCATGGAAATTCAGTATGTCGGAAAAGCTGAAGATGCGGAGTTCCAGAATTCCTATAAAACTGTAAACTCGAGTGGTGATATCCAAGACTTGGAATCGCACAACGCCGAAGATCAAATCAACACCTTAATTGATGAGTACAGAAAAAATACTGGCGTAGCTGAAGAAACTTCTGAAGTTAACCAGGGCAGCTCAGAAATGGGAGACAGTGTAGATGATGTAAATATTGTTGATTTCACTGCCAAAAAAGTTAGGGAAACAGTCAATATACCTGATAATAGCCAATCTGCAAAAGTTCTGGTAGAGGATAATACTGGTAATGAAGCAGAACAGACCTCCTCTGTTTATGAGTCAGACTCAGAAGCTAATTTGCATATTGATTACAAACGACCAACAGCTGAAGCCAGCCCAGAAACTGATGTTTCGAAGGCAACAAGCACTTGGAGAGATGGGGAGCTATTGATTAAAACGTTTGGCTATAACTCTAACTCTAACACAGGCTCAAATCAAGTTTCAAGCAAAGAATCACATCCAAACGTGATAAACAATTTTGGTGATAATGAAACTTTAAAGTTAAGTAGATCAGAATACAGTGGCTCTGTTCACACCAACAACAACTCAATTACAAGAAGAAAAGTATCATACAACTGGAAATTTGGGGACATAGATGGTTTAGAAAGGGCATCAATGAAAACTGCCAGTATTTCTGAGCATCATCCAATAACAGAAGATATTGCTGCTGATAATTTGAAGAGAGACAAGTCAGTGACATCAACATTCAGTAGAGCCAGATCTGTCAGTTTTAAAGATGGAGCCAATAAGACATACTATTCTGGAAATGAAAAAAATGATGATCCCTCTCTTAGTGTGAGTGAAAATAATATTAACCCCTGGAAATACGTTTGTTATGGTATACTTGCTACTATTGCCTTATTATACGTACTTACATTGTCTTTCAAAGAGTTTTTTGCTTCGGCAAGGCCAACAATAATTCTTACTGAACGTGATGTTTTTGAATACTTTGATAAAAGCTCCAATGGGACTAGAGATACTTTATTTAGTGAGCTTGCAAAAAGATACAACACTAAAATTTTTGATGACAGAAACAAAAACACTACTATATTGAAGAAACACAAAATCCGATATGCACCAAGAGAAAATGATAAAGAAATTAATGTGATACATAACTCATTTGGAAATATAAACTCTAAATTTGAGCAAGATGTTGAGATAAAAAATATGATGGAAACAGATGATTTGAAATTCATGTTTTCGGGAATAGCATATGCACCGGAGGGAGTGATGGAACCAGAATGCGGAGCTACACTTCGAAACGTTATCTTAGATATAGCAAGGCTTTCCAAGATTACTGGTAGCGTAAAGACATATGGTACACAGTGCAGACAGGCAGAATTCATCTTAGAAGCCATCGATCAATTACAGTTGAACTTTACACTTTCTATGGGTGTTTGGATTGGTTCAGATGAGGCTACAAACCAGGCACAATTGCACGTTATGAAGGATTTGATCAAAAGGTATCCTAGGAAGTACTTTCGCTCGATATTCATAGGAAATGAAGTCATTTATAGAAAAGAGAAAACTGTTCCAGAGCTAATGGGTTATGTGAGGGAAGCAAAGAATTATCTTCTTAGTCTGAATATTACTGACTTACCTGTTGGTGTTTCAGAAATTGGATCACAAATCACCAAGGAAATGCTTCTTGATTGCGATTTTGTGGGAGCAAATGTTCATCCATTTTTTGGGGGAGTTGATGCTCAATTTGGCACAAGATGGGTACTTGATTACTATCACAATCAATTACTTCCACTAAAAGAGAGCATCAATACAACTACTGAAATAATAATTTCGGAAGTTGGCTGGCCATACCAAGGAGGTGAGTTTATAAGATCTGTTGCAGGAAGCTGGGAATATCAGCAATTTTTGAACGATTGGCTTTGTACTTCACCTGCAAATATCTTGAACAACTGTTTCTATTTTGAGGCTTTTGATGAGCCTTGGAAACGCATCTGGTGGGATAACGATAGGACCTGGGAAACAGAATGGGGTTTTTTTACAAGTGATCGGAAAATGAAAAAACATATTTATATACCTGACTGTTCCAAATATGGGAACCCTTCGCTTGTTGATTTTGAATATATTGAAGAAGTTGAGGACCCGTATGCAAATGATGAGGATCATGATTGAAATGTTTTAGCCACTAAGATTTTTCATGCGTGAAGAGTTGCTGAAAGCTAATAATTGATGCTTTCACTTGTCGAATATTGTATATTATCTAGCTATGAATTATTTAAAATTTGAGTACATAAAGTATGTTTTGACGGAGTATTTTTTTCGGTAGGAAATGAAAGTCACAATGGTGATCTTATTGTAGCTTTAGTTTGGAGCTATAAATTTGGAAAATTTTGTAATTGAGCCAAAGGTAAATCAAACCAAAAGACACAAAAGAAACTAGAACGTTACTGATAACCCACAAATCTGGAAGATTAGCTGGTGGAGGAACAAAGCAATCAAGATAAAGTGATAATGCAGCAAAGAAGTAAAATCCAACGATAATTATTCTCCAAAACCAGCTGTGTGGAAGAACTGGAATTGCATTTTTCCTTTTCGAAACAAAAGGAATAAAATAGTTAGTGTATTTACGTACCCAACTCAAATTTCCCATGAGCCAGTTACTCAATAATCCCAAAACCAGATATTGCAAAACAAGTCCATCTTTTTTCAAGAGCGGTGTCATAGAAAACAAACTGACATTACAAAACCAGCAAACCATGGAAATAACATCAGGGTCTACTTCATTCAATAGTAAGGTGATTGGCATCCAGGGTAGCAATATTGACTTTTCATGAACTTGGAAGGAAAACAAGAAAAAAGACATCGAGCAGGAAGCAAGACACCACGATAAAAGTCTTTTACTATGAGTAACAAATATGACATAACATGATGGGGACATCCCTAGGATTGTAAGAAGTAAAGAGAGGCTTTTCAGCTGGGCAGTTGAAAAAATTGTTCTGTATTTTATAATCACGTTGGTGGCACACCAGAAATTTGCAACTTTATCCTCAAATATACCTCTATTGAAGGGGAACATTCTCAAAAAAATCTGTCTCACTTGAACTATTCCACCAGCATACAAGAATGGTCCAAAAAGGAATGCCAACGCACTTAGCACCGATACAGCAATATAGACCAGTCGTGTTAATTTGAAGCGTGGGAAAAAACACAATGAAAGCAAGTAAAAGAAAAAGATGGGAGCATAGTAAAGCGCCATTTGCTTGAAGCCTATCGATAATGTGAACAAGACAGACGCCAGCGCTAACTTGTCAGAGAGCAAGTTATTCAAAGCAAGCAAGGATAAACCTAGCATTATCGAGTTATACTGGAAATGTCCGTGGTCTATGATAATAAGATCTGGCAGAAATAATATGGCGGCAGCAATGATTGTTTGATCAATGGAAGGAGCTTTATTGTAGTATCGTCCCATCCATCGTGTATAAATTATGACTGCGGGGATATAGCATGCTAATTCCGAGAACAGCGCAGTCAACCGCATGAATGATTTTAAATCAATGCTTTCTATTCCACGGGATTCATCCAACAAAAACCAGCTGCTGTCTATCAGGTTTCCGATTTTCCCCAAAAACCAGGAATGAAAAGCAGTCAAAGGTGGGTAGTCCAGGCCCCAGTATTCCAGGTCGTAAAAGTACCATTGTGTCATTGGCAAGCTTGTGGTGATTTCCAGCCAATGACGCTGTGCTTCAAAATCACCAAACATTGGAGGAGTGTTCTCTCCAGAGTACGAGCCCAAGCCAACAGCGCACCGTATAATTACGGCAAATATGACAATAATGTATCTAGCCACCCATTGGTTCGCTGCCTTCTTGAATGGATAGAGGAAGTCATTCAAGGGGGAGCCCTTGAACAAGAAAACAAAGTCTTTTCCATCAGCAGATCTAACCTTCTTCTCCATTGCGCCGAACAATCCTGAAATCTGTTCCCAGACTTATGGTTGTCTCTTCATGTGACAATTGGCGAGAGATGAAAACATGAATGTAAGCTTCGAGGTCATTTTCTCACCCCAGCTCCAGCCGACATTCAGACCCGAAGTAGTGCATAGTGCAGCTTTATGTGATTAGGTAATCAACTAAAATGTACGTTTGTCAGAGCATTTCCCACAGTATAGCACTAAATCTCTTCATTTTCTGAAATTTAAGAAGCCAAACATTACTTTATATGCTTGACAAGGTGGGCAATTCAAGCCCAGGAAAAATCTAGTAGACAAGAGCAAAATAACTCCCAGCAAAACTTATAGCTACATGTTCAATTCCTCCAAATGCTTGCCGTCTTCGATGCTGAATTCGGAAATAACTCTGTGTTACGTAATAATAATAATGTAAACCTGAGATAAAAATGAATGCGGGCCTCTTGATATCGTTACCCGTTTACGTATCTCCATTGAAGCTGAGATGAATCATGCTAAAGAAAAGTTTGAAAAGCTTGCAATCAAAATACTGCCAGTGATGCTAATAGAAATTATGGACATATCTACCCAACCAATGTGAGGAGCTACGAACAGCCACAAATATATTGCTACTAAAATATGCTAAACTGGAGAAGGCAAGCTTCCAAGTTAAGAAAAAGCAAGCGAAACAAACTGTTGAGCATTTTTATTTCTACTATGAATATTATATTATTGGGAAGCATCCTTTTACGACAAAAAGGAAATTAAAATATATAATATAGTAATTAAACTGAAATCATCTAAAAAATTCACCCAGAATACCAGTAACTTCACAAGCTACGGTAAATGTAGAGGTATTACTTTTGCAACAAATCGGGGAAAAATATTTCAAGACTGCGGCTTATCAGAAACTGAAATGCAGTATAAAAACCTTTTTAATCTTGTGGAATTTGCCTATGGCTAAATGAAGGAAAAAGGAAGTCTATAAGTTGAAAAGGGTTGGACCGGCGTCACTTGATATCTTTGCAGAGTAAGCCTTTGTCTGAACAGTTTTCACAAAATGTATGGAAATTTACCCCAAGAGTATAAACCTAACCTTTCAATGCCAGAAACTTTGATAATATAGATGATTGTAAAATTTTCCTCGGTTTGCGATGGGAATTATTTCAGATTCAGGCCATATTACCGGTTTAGAAGAAAATGGTAATCAAGACAAAAAAAATGACCAGAATAGTGAATGGGAAAGTATAGATTCCTCATTAGACGATCGGATAATGTTGAGAAAGCCAGAATTGTTTGGCCTGATCTAGATCTAAACTGGATCATGTCAGTTATAAACATCGAATCTGCAAAATGTTATGAGAAAATCGCTGAAAATTCCGAAAAACACATCGTTTGTAGCACGCCATGAGATAATGAACGTAACCGAGCTAGTAACAATGAATGTTCTATAAACTCAATCCACATACTTCGGCGTCAGCATATTTTTTTTTAGTATTTTAAAAAAATGATTCTTCAATTTTTTTAGCTACCTGGTTGCTTCTTGGGGTTAGTGCATTGCTATTGAGTAGGTACTATGTTACGACTGTGCTAACCACTATTTAAGATCTGCTTGGTTGAAAAGCATAAACATCCTACGGTTCCATTGATAATGATTACGTCATCAGTTTTTTTATCAGAACTGCGCCCCCTGGTTAAACGGTGCGCAACTCCGTAATTTCAGTTTCTCCGCGATAGGAATCCAAAAAGGGGGATTTTAAGAGTAGGCGATGATAGTCTACCGCCAAGAGAACAAAAGGGCTTAGCTCTTGGCACAACTTGTACCTCACAAAGAAAACAACCAGGTACCTTAACCAATGCGGGTTGCGGCGGTAGCAGCCGTAAATAGAAGTTTTCACCCGGTGAAATCAGCGCTGTGCCGTCCCAGGTGTTTTCCTAGATTACGGCTCATCTTAGTACATGCGCAATAGCCGAAAGTCAAGTCCAGTAAAAATAGAACACGCTGAGCAGAACGTAGACCCAAAACTTGTATGACCTAGTTTACTTTCCTTTCTTCCAGCTAACGATCGAACTGTCACCCAACAGGAACCTACGATGCAAAAAGTGACATCCTTACATACCTTTATTTAACAGGTTGTCTCAGCTACTTGTCTTTACATGGTGCACTTATTTCTGTTTATCAATCGATCAGTTTCCATCCAAACATGAAACGCGCAACACCACAAACTATCTTCAGCTGCAGTTCCTGGGAGTCTATTTCCTAAACACAGTTTGCCATGTCATGTGACCACAACAAGCCACTCGGAGTTTTCTTACGTCATCAGACTGGTCAGTTCCTGCCACGTGCAGAGTATCTTCAACACATGCACATATACAAGTCAGCAAGTATATCACTAGTGTATACACGGCGAACTGAAAAACAGCCAAAAGCGGGAGGCCGACGTGGCGGGGGAAAAGTGAAGCACGAGGATTCGTCGTTAACGGAGCTCACTCGCGCACGGCTTCGGCATACCGTAAGATCCTCCACTGCATGCGTGTGTGAAAACGTGTGTGTACCTGTCTGGGGTATCCCGCCTTTACACAGTATGGTCTCGCAAAAGCTCCCAAGGCAAGGCTAAAACTAAACGCCGTGTTCTCGATCGTCCCTCGGAATGAAGCAGGCATTACTAGATCTAGCAGTCACACAAGGTATCTGGCGATTCACACAACACTCCAGTGAGAGTCCTTCAAACGCTCCCGCTCGCAAGTCGGACTCAGCTTTATGCGCTAACGTCATGCAGCATAATCCCAAAGACCTGCAAGCAGAGATCGCAAAATGTGAGCACAGGGTTTTTCCACGTATCTGTAGTATCAACTGACAAGGTTCGGGATTTCCAGTCGATTGCTGGAAAACAATAGTTCAAGGTAAAAACCGGGGCATTCGAAAATTACTCCTAGCTAATTCGCGGGGCTGTAGCTCCCTGGGGCGGAAAGGATTTATCGGCCTCTAAGTGGATAAGCGGCCGCACATGTTCGAGGAGTTCAGCAACAGCCATTCGGTCTCGGGTAAGCCGTCTCAGAGTCCACGGTAAGGTTGCAGCAGCCGTGGCCGTCGTGAGAGCCAGTACGCTTCTGCGAGAGTGTACACACAGCTGGCTGTGCAGTGTGACATTGTCGGTGTGTCTAAAAAAAAATAGGCACAAGAACCGACTGTCCAATTAACTCCCATGCTGTCGGGGCTCTCGGTGCGTGGTTGCTCTATAGGACCGAAATCAAGCTTATTTTTGTCTGTTCCTTCGAGGCAGTCCGTGCTTCAACCAGAACCCTACACCACGCATTAAGTCCGCCAAAGTCGTCGAATTTGTCCTTCCAGTCTCTGCTGCTTCTTTTTCTGGGGTATATATATTTCAAACGTTTCCTTCACAGGCCTGTCTGCTCGTTCTCCCTGTTTTGTCTGCCCGTGTCTATTTCTGACACTCGTTAAATTCTTTTCTTCTTCTTTTTCAGTCCTTTGTTGAAATCAAGAGCAACGTTTTTGCATTGGTAAAGGCCGTTCAGTAAGGAATACACATTCATCATGGCTGACGTTTTCAATGTGCAAATTTTTTTCATTGTCTTCAGAGAAGCCTTAGAGGCAATCATTGTTATCTCTGTCCTTCTTGCTTTCGTTAAGCAGTCCATCGGTGAGGCTAACCAGAAGTTGGCCAGAAAGATTAAAATCCAGATTTGGTGTGGTTCCATTGCAGGTGTGATTATCTGTTTGGGTATCGGTGGTGGTTTCATCGGTGCATACTACACCCTCGGTAAAGATATTTGGGGTGGGGCAGAAGACCTTTGGGAAGGTATTTTCTGTATCATCGCCACAGTGTTGATCTCTTTGATGGGTATCGCGATGGTTAGAATCAACAAACTTCAAAAGAAATGGAGAATCAAAATTGCCAGAGCAATCGTCACTCCTCCAGCTAAGAAGGCCGACCGTCTGAAAATTGGTTACCTGCTCAAGAAATACGCTATGTTCATCTTACCTTTCATCACTACATTGAGAGAAGGTTTGGAAGCAGTTGTTTTCGTTGGTGGTGTTGGTATCTCTGAAGCTTCAGCTAGAGCTTTCCCATTGCCTGTCGTGTGTGGTTTGATTGCTGGTTTGGCTGTTGGTGGTTTCTTGTACTACGGTGGTTCTGCTGTCTCATTGCAAATTTTCCTCTGTATTTCAACTGCCATCTTATATTTAATTGCAGCAGGTCTATTTTCTAGAGGTGTCTGGTACTTGCAAACAGATCATTTCAACAAACAGACTGGTGGTGATGCTTCCGAAAACGGCTCTGGGCCCGGTACTTACAACATCCACCAAAGTGTGTGGCATGTCAACTGCTGCAACCCAGAGCTTGACAATGGTTGGGATGTCTTTAATGCTCTATTGGGGTGGCAAAATTCTGCCACGTATGGTTCAGTCATTTCATACAACATCTACTGGTTATCCGTCATTGTCTTACTATCCTTAATGCTTTTTGAGGAAAAGAAAGGACACTTGCCTTTCGTTTCTATCGGTTTTAGACACTTGAACCCTCTTTACTACATCAAAAACAAGAAGAAGGACGAGTTGTCGAATGAGGAAGCCGACAGATTGTTTGAACAAGCTAAGATGCAAATTCACAATCACGCTGAAGAGCAAGAATTGAACGAAGTTCATGAAGCAACCCAGTTAAACAGCACCGCCAAGGCTTACTGAATATGATTGAGGTTCTCCCTGGTAACATTAGGTTCAGTTTTACCTTTTTGGGACAAAATCATCCAGTGAATTAATCAAATTTAATATTACTTAAATCTTTTAATATAATCCGCTTACTTTCCTTTGTTTAATTTAATGTCTTTCAGTGTTTAGACAGTCAAATAAATTGTTGCTTTTTAGCATGTTATTCTTGCTAAAGAAACACATTTTGTTCTGATGTCTAGTTAACTGTGTTAGACGATTTTAGGAATATTAATAAACTCAAGTCAAACATTGTTTTTATCTCCAAATGCTCACTCAAAAATGTGATCAAGTTAGTGAGTGCCGTATATTGTCACTTAAATATTTGGTATATTGTGAAATAGTTAATATAAATGGAAATATACAAAATGTGTTGGAATCAGCAGTATTCTTTTAAACTCTCCCCATTTTCTCCGATTATGGATTTGATGGCGGAAATGATGCTAGAGTGGACTGTTTTTGAGGCTGCAATAACACCTTGACTGTTTAAAGTACGACCATAACCAAAATCTAAGTCATTGCCATAAATGTCGGTGACCATGCCGCCACTTTCATTCACAAGAAGATACCCCGCAGCATGATCCCAGATCTTTTCTCTATAGTTAGGGTTTGTCGGTAATCTCAAATAGATTTCAGCGTCTCCCTTGGAAAGAGCACAGTATTTAGCTTGTGAATCTAAGTTCACAGAAGGTTGGCTGATGCCTAATTTGGCCTTGATGAGGCCTTGTAACCCGTGTGATGAGTGACCTTTCTCAACACCTTCTAGAACTCTAGCCTGGTCTAAACCATATTCGTTGTGAACAGTAATGTTGGAGGAGGTGTTTAATGGGTATGAAATGTCTTCATTCAAATCTTGGAAGTATGAACCATATCCTTTGATTGCGGTGAACAAACCACCCCTTTTAGAACCCGGGTCACGAAGGGAGTGTGGAAGGTTCGGGCAACCTATAACACCAACTTTTACCTCTCCGTCGACAATCAGAGCTAGGCACACTGCATACTGATCGCCTCTGAGAAAACCCTTAGTCCCGTCAATAGGGTCCAAAGCCCAAATTCTTCCCTTTTTACCACCTTTTGAGTTACCTTTATCAATTGAGTTGCATAACCCTTCAGCGGATTCAAGCCTACCCAATTTCGAGTCATGAGCAGCATCTGCCTGTTGAATGGTCTCCACGTGGCTGTAAATCAAGTCCTCAATCTTTTTCTCCTTGATTAAAGCCGAGTCTTCTTCCCCGACAACTTCGTCACCCGGAAAATTTTTCAGAATTGCGTTTATGATGATTGCCTGTGAGCCGAAGTCACCAACCGTGACAGGGGAGTGGTCCTGCTTGTCAATACTTTGTTCGTTCAGGTGCTCCTCGCTCACTTTGCGTGTCAAAAGCGCTGCTCTTTTCACTGCGAGCTGTGCAATATATGCCTCCTTCACGTACTGTGTAGCCAAACTAATACTCATTTTCCTGACTGCAGAATTAAACAAGCCCATTCATCTCCACAGAAGTTTTCAGGCATCTAGATCTTCTTCTTCTTTTCCTCTTTTTCTGCATATCCTTTTTGTCCACCGTGACAAAGAATGATTCATTCATCTCCGTTCGACACAGCCCGGAATTGCATTTGCCGCGGCTTACGTAAGGCAACAACTTTTCAAGTCTGTCGTACAGTTGGTACTTGGTACTTCGTACAGTTCGTATAAGTCGTTCACATGAATTCATTTGTTCATCAACCGTATTTTAACAAAAGCATAAAATCCAGCCTTTACATCAGGTGAACTGATTGTTTTTCTTGAAGGAGGTTGTGAAGGGTGTTTTTGTTGCTGTTTGCGTTTGAACGATACATACAATGTCACAATTGAACCCAGTAACGATTAATAAAGATTTTGGAGGAGCTATAGGAGCTAGCACGTTGACTGTTTTCCTACCTCTCGTTGTACTGTTTTTGTACTTGGCTTGCAACGATCAATATATTGCAGAAGGAGTGAAGATAGATGCTTCCAAGGTTGCTGCTATATTCAAAGAACAGGTTTTGAATGATTGGAAGAATGTGTTTTTTAACTCAGAATGTTGGGTATTTTACCTTTCTTGGTTTTTCACATTGGTTGGATTGGACATATTCATTCCAGGGAAGGTAATTTCTGGAGTTCAATTGCGTGATGGAACTAAATTGAAATACACTATCAATGGCTTCCAACTTGTTGGATTTTTGCTTGTTGTTCTCAGCTCCAGAGTTTACCTATACGGTTTTCATTTACCAGAATTGGATTTTTTATACGATAACTTCCTTGGCATGATGGCTACCTCATGGATCTTTTCTATTCTTCTCAGCTTCTTTGTTTACTTCAGCTCCTTTTTGAATCTTTCAGGGAATCAAAAAAATGGTAAGGGTACTAAGGAGAGAATACTAAGTGTTGGTGGTAACTCAGGGAATTTTCTTTTTGACTGGTTTATTGGTAGAGAATTGAACCCTAGAATCGGGGAATGGGACATTAAATTGTTTTGTGAATTGAGACCGGGATTATTACTTTGGTCTCTTCTCAATTTGGCGTCTTTACAAAGGCAGTACCAAAGACTTGGTTATGTCACAAATTCAATGGTTTTAGTGAATGTTTTGCAGTTCATTTATGTGATTGACGGCGTTTTGAACGAAGAGGGATGCTTGACAATGATGGATATCACTACTGACGGCTTCGGATTTATGCTAGCTTTTGGTGATTTGTGCTGGGTCCCATTCTGTTATTGTTTACAGAGTAGGTACTTATCATTGGTTGAAATCAACCTCTCGAGCATAGCCGTTTCGATCGTTATTGGTGTTATGATAACCGGATTTTACATTTTCAAAGCATCAAATATACAGAAAAATAAGTTTAGGCAAGGGAAATTGCCACATTTGAGATCTATACAAACTGATAGAGGAACTAAGTTGTTGATTGAGGGATGGTGGGGTGTTTCACAACACATTAACTATTTTGGGGATATGCTCGTGGCCCTCAGTTGGTGTCTTCCAACTGGTTTCAATACCATATTGACGTATTTCTATGTGATTTATTTTTCAGCATTATTACTCCACAGACAGACTAGAGACGAAGAGAAATGCAAAAACAAATACGGTAAATATTGGACTGAGTATGAAAGACATGTTCCATATAAGATTATACCCTATGTTTACTGAATAGCTTTTTAAACTTAATTTTACTGTTCATTTTAGATTTTATTTTATACAGTTGTAGCACAAACTATTGTAATTTCTTTTCGAAGTCAAATGGCTTTTCAAAAGCGCCATAGCTGATTTGCATACTATTCAACCATCCTAATGCAATGCTTAGCAACCATGCCAAAAATAATAGCACGATCGTACCCATCCAAATGCCTGTTGAAAAGAAGCCATACTTATCAAATAGTGAGCCATCAACCACTATATGCTTCTTGGTATTGGTTTGTGATCCAGAGGTATAAGCGTTGATGTCTGACTTTTCATAAATTTCAGCAAGTTGATCTTCCAAAAGCTCGTTAACTTCCTCGAATGACTCTTGTAATTCCCTCTCGACTTCTTCGTAGTCAATATCTTCTCTTTTGCTGTTGTTATTGATCTTCTTTCTGTTGAGCGAGTGGTTGAGTTTTAAAGATGCTTGGTTCAGTACAGCGTCTGAAGGATTGACAAATGTAGGCAAGCCTTGAATAATTACTTTTGAGTCGTCAGAAAACTGAAGTATTTTTTTCAAGTCATCCTTTGCGCTGTCTTTGTATATCTCAAAGACCTTTACTTGAAAATTTACGTCCTTCATAACTTCAACCCAACTATCGTCTGATTGGGAAGCAATAATGGCACCAGAGCATTCTTCACCCATAATGTTGTCAACTGCATCTTCAACTGTTCTGTAGACCACATGATCGGACACAGTGCTCAAAGAGTACTGCTCGACGAACTCTTGAGTGATATCGGATTCATCTAGACCATGGAATCTAACGTATGTGATGCTTTGTTCAGGGGAATTTAAACAAATTGAGTCTGTTATCTGTTTTACCTTCTCAGACGTTTTTTGTATGGTTTCGATATCTCTGAAAGAGACTTCTCTTGAAGCCAGTGCGCTTGAACTTATCAACAAAGGTGCCGTGTTTTCGAACGACGCAGCGGATGACAGCCCAGAAAGTGCAGAAACAATAAGAAGGGGAGATCTCATACTTTTGAATTTCATTATCCGTTGTTTTCTTATTAATTGTCTCCTGGACGTTGTATTAGTGCCCCCAATCGTCTTGCATTTCCACCATTTGATACAACCTTTTGAGAAAAGGCAGCACATCTTCTTCTTAGAGGGAGCAGCCAGGCTCCGAGGCGAGGAGGGCAGCTGTTGAGCACCGGGTAATATTCAGTCACGTGCGCACATGAATGTGGAAGAAGGAAAAAGATAGTTCGCTTAACTCACACTGATGAGACTCTGATATACAAGTATACAAATGCAGGGGGGATGACCGATGCGTAAATAGGTGGACCCAGAAACTTCACTGTGTCACACAACTCATGCAAAAGAAACGCTCTTCTTCTTGCTATTGTGGTTAACCTCCTTAGCTAAGTCTTTCTTTGTCTCCTTGGCACTCTTCCTTCTGGCAGATCTGGCAAGACTTGCCTTTTCTTTGATGTTCGCCTTGGCGTTCTCTAGCTTAGCCTTCTTAGCATCCTCCTTTCCTTCCATCTCCTTTCTCCGGAGGTCTCGTATTTCTTCTAAACGCTTACTTTTTTCTAGCTTACTTTCGTTGACAAGATCTCTCTCGTCATTCACCTGCTTGATGAGCCTCTGCAAAGTATTGGTATCATCGTCTGAAATAAACTTCTTTCCCTTCTTACCACGTTTCACGATGGCCCCAGGAACAATAGCTTTGTTGAGCTGGGGAATACCCAACTCTTTTTCGGTGTACTCACGCTCTTTCTTTTTCTTACCGTATAATTGTGTACTCCGAAGATGTTTCTTTAAGTCTTTTCCTCTCAGCATCCTCTTGGAAGCTTTAGGAGTCAAGTTAGGCTGGTTTTGAAGGAGGTTTCTAGCATGTGAATCACTTCTGATCTCCGGCTCAACTTCACGTTGCTTGTTCATAACATTTTTTCTTTTCGCACTTTTGGTCTGCTTGTTGATGGACATGACTGATGGATTATGCTGGATAATATCTAGTCAAGTTAAAGATACTTCTCATGAAATATATACTATACACTTCAATATTGTCAGAAACGTAGAAAACTGGTTATCTTATAACAAATTTTTTTATAAAAAAATGGTGCTGAAAAAAAAAAAGGATTTTCACTTGTGCTTACGTAAAACATTTCAAAAAACGTCTTCTCTATCTTCAGCACCATCAAAGGACATGTTGTCTAAAGAGGTTGTCTCAGATTGGTCAGCTGATATGGGTTGCCGGCTGAATAATCTACTTATCACAATTCGGTTTATCTCCAAATCATGCCTGTTGAACTTTCCGCTATCCTCATCGTAACCTTCTATAGTAGTTGAAAAATTACACCCTCGTGTTTTGAACTCATTATGTTTACTCACTACCGTGCTGACAAAATCTTCAATTGTCTGTAGTCTCAAAATTTTCTTCTCTTTGCTTTTAAGTAAAAAATCCGCATCGTTTAGCACATCAGGATTTGATGGGGGCTCTATCGGATTCATCAACGTAGTTTGAAGAACATCTGGAATATTCTGATCACTTTGATTCTTTTCATTTCCACTTGATTGCACGGTAGAATGGCTAAATAACTTACTAAATTCAAGTTGCATCTTTTCATCCTTAATTTTATCAAAATAAGAGACATTTTTTGCTACTGCACTGGGTATACTATTGCAAATCAACACAATATACTTATCAATGCATGGTCTTAACTTTAATCCTATTTGAGAGTCACTCGAAAGATCCATTTTGATAAAATGATCACTGAATAGCAAAAATGCAATTTTTTGCAAGCTTTCAACATTGTACCTTGTCTCAAATTCTAGCCTATCAAGATTCACCGGTATAAAACCCTTGTTCAATGGAGGAAAATTTCGCTCTATATCATTGTTATCTATGATATTACTACTGGCATTTTCTTTTGCGTGATTACTATCATCATCAAAGTATTTAAGCCTCTCCAAATCTTCACAATCTAAATCCATCATTTCAGGGAAATCTTTTACAATCTTCACTTTATCAGAGTTAGTTCTATCATTTCCAAGCTGTTGGCACTTTGTTGCAAATTCTTCGGCTACATTGGTATTTGGTAGGGTATAATACTTGAAAGCATTTTCTAAGTATTGTAGCGAATTAATCTCTGTAAACTTATCGGAAGAGGTTTTGATGATGATGTTGTTAACACAATCAATTTTATAATTTGGAATTAAGCCTTTATTGTAAATCTTGATCAGTAACCGTTCAAATGATAAGTTTGTAACATTGAGCTTTTTTGTGAAGTAGTTAAATTTTACCTTTTCAAACACAGGAATATGCTCAATAATATAATTCGTGTAAAAGAGCTCTTTTAGTTGGGGCATAAAATCATCTATTATCTGATAATCACCAATATTGCAGACAAAGTTATCTCGATTGACAATGGTATTAAATCTATAGATATCCATGTTTTGGAATGCAGCATACATATCCATCAGGTTCTCAATCAATTTAATTTTGATAAAACCTTGGAAATCACTCGATTGAAAAGGGTTGACTTCAGATTGAGAAAGTATTGAGCTTAAAATAAATTTCACAAGAACATGCACTCTCCTTTTATCACCACAATCATTGAAACTTTTGAAAGCAACTTGAAGGTAATTATTTGCTGCTTTAAAATCGCCTGAATACATTGACACTAATCCTGATCCCTCATTAATAGCCCCTAAAATTCTTGACTGCGGAATACCAGAGATCAAGTTATTTGCTGTTTCTGTTAACCTTTTAAGCTCTAAAGTATTACCTTTTTTGCTTAGGAGTAAAAGTATTTGGGCAGCCAAGATATCTAAGTGATACGTGCTTTTAATTGATTCATTTGCACTGATTATTTCATTCCCTAGAACTGAGAGTATTCCAGATGCTTGATCTAAATCTCCAGCATTCAAACAACAATTAGCAATGCATAGTTGAACTTTTATTTTCAATTTTTTGTTCGAAGTCTCATTTTGTTGTTCAGGTGAAAGCTGATGTATATATTGCTGAAACTTTAGAAATATGTTCTTGGCTAACAATATCTCATAATTTTCTCTGTCTATTCTGTTCACAATTTTGAAAAGTGATGAGTTAAAATATAATGTAGTAAGGTGTGGGTCGTCTTTCATGTCAAATAATCTTGTGAGTAATTCAAGTATCTTATCTAGATCTTTCTCGCTTTCATAAACCTTTATCAACTGCTTCAATGATTTGAACACATAAGTTGAAGTGGCATGCTGATTGCTTAAAATTACTTCAAACAATTTAGCTGCATCAACCAAATTGTCCTCCTCCTTTAAATTTTTGGCTTGGAAGTATAAACTTTCCTCGTCAAAACTCTTTGCCTTTTCGTCGAGTCCATCCTTACTTTCATCGATAGCTTCATCCTCCTCAAACGAAAGTTCCTCCTCTTCATCATCATCATACATATCCTCTTCCCAGTCAGACATGTTGTGTTTAATTTAAGAGCTTATAAACATCAATTGCTATGATCAAAGCTTTCACAAATACGATAATCGTTTAGCATAATGAATGCTTTAACAGTCCGAGATACATCCCAAAAATGTAAATTTCTTACATAATCGTTATCCTAACTTTGTATGTCGCCAATAGTACTAACCTTGTCACTATGGCAAAAAGTAATCAGTACTGCACTAGCGTACCATAAACAAGTGGCTTGAAAACCTGTCACGATTAAGTTTTGGTGCTTCTATAAGATTACAAAATTTTAGCCCTATAACTAAGAAAGTAAACCCTTTTTGGTATGTAAAACCTTTTCCACCCGTTGTATTCTTAAGTTGGTATTATATGGATCTCAGCAGCAAAGACGCTTTCAGTCACTATTATGAAATCAATTTAAGGCATAGTACTAGCCTGAAGTCACATTTTCAGAAAAATCCTGCTCAAAATAGACCAATATCTTGATGACTATAGAAACTTCTAATCTGGACACTTGACCTGTCGATGATGATCACAAATCGTATTACATTAGTTTGGTTGCTGCTGAGATAACAGCTAAAATATAGCGGTAACTGATGCCTAGTTCTCTTACATTCCTAAATGCATTTAACTGTTTTGAGCGTTCAGTCCCTTGTTTTTGAGTGTAAATATCGGTTGAGATGAATGAAATTGTCAAAATTTGGTGATACTGAGCTCTTGAAACCGCTCTTCCAACTCCATTTGCTCGTAGTCAATTATCTCGTTTAACTCCTCCTGTATAATGTCGTCATCGTAATCAGCGTCATAGTCTGTATCTTCCATCAATGTGTCTACGATCCTATTATGATTAATCGTGGCTTCTTTGGAAAGTTCGTGCTTCAATCTGTTTTCATCTCTGCGGAGCGCAAAATCGATATTCTCCAACTTCTCTTTGAACCGGTGATGTCGTTTGCCAAAGGCTCTGAGGTTAGTGGTATTGGTGCATGAGCTTCGGATAACGTTGCTCCCTATGAATTCTGCATCATCCACCACGTTTCCCAGAGTGCGAGTATGACTCGGTGTGTAGTCTTTGTGTGCAATATTTTGGCGTGATGGGTTCAAATGGGCGCTTTGTGCGTTCAATAATTGTGAGTTCAACATCGATATAGAACCGTGTCTGTTGCTCGGTACGTCTTCTTTGCCGTCATCTCCGAGATCAACCTCATTACCGAGTGAGGTACATGTTGAGAGTGAGAAAAGCGTGGAGTTTGCAGATGACTCGGAAGAGATGATCGTATCGTCGTGTTCTCCTCTATACCTCGTAGATATCGGACTGCTCGGAATCATGGTGCACGACATGTCTTGATCACACGTATATTTCCGATACTTTCTTCGCCCTCCAGCCAGTCCCTGTGGCTGAGGATGGTGTTTGTTGTTAACTGGCTTCATTATATAGACCCCTGTTACCACCTGGTCAAGAGATGAGAGTCATTAACTACCATGGCACCCCCCAGACGGGCCCAAATTCCCCGTCTTTGGTTCCGTTCCGATGTTGTTCCGAGACAGAAGATTGTTCCCGCCTGTCATTAAAAAATGTCATGATTACATAACCTTTGCAGTCGATCGCCCCAGAATAGCCACAAGCACTTTTTCTGACTTCCTTCTGTAGCGGGTTTGACTTCTCCACGGCGTCTGACTTCTGCAGCTTGCTGCGTCTCCGAGAGAAAGTTCAGTCATACCGATCATGGACATGAGAAAAGTTCACGAAGAAAACGACTTCAAGGTTTCGAATCTAAATAGTAGCAAACGTGCAATTGCTTGAGCTACCAACTCTGGAATCACGTGAATAGTACCTAACAAGCCAAACATGCTTTCCAGATTAGTATCTAATTCTGCAAGAAAGAATGCGTTCTCCACCATCAAGGTACGTGATAAGGAAAAAAGTGCTAGAATCAAGGTCTTTTTCATCTTCCTCAATAGGTCACCATATCATCGGTATACTAACACATCAACTGGCACCTCCTTTTGTTGTTATATCTCCTGTTTTTTTCCAGCGCTCTTACGCTTTGAGTGCTCAAGCCCAAGCCTTGATTTCCAAGAATGTCAAGGACATCGACCCGGAGATGTACGAAATTTTGCAATTGGAAAAGGCAAGACAGAAGAACTCGATCACTTTGATTCCATCTGAGAACTTCACTTCTCAGGCCGTCATGGATTTGTTGGGATCAGCAATGCAAAACAAGTATTCTGAGGGTTATCCTGGTGAGAGATACTATGGCGGTAATGAGTTTATTGACATGGCCGAATCTCTTTGCCAAAAAAGAGCCTTAGAGGCATTTGGCTTGAACCCAGAAGAATGGGGAGTCAACGTCCAATCCTTATCCGGTGCCCCAGGTAACCTTTATGCCTACTCTGCCATTCTAGAAGTTGGTGATAGGTTGATGGGACTTGATTTACCTCATGGTGGACATTTATCCCACGGTTACCAGACACCTTCCACTAAGATCTCCTACATTTCCAAGTACTTTCAGACTATGCCTTACAGATTGGATGAAAAGACTGGTTTGATCGATTACGACATGTTGGAGAAGACTGCAGTTTTGTTCAGACCAAAGATTATCGTTGCAGGAGCGTCTGCATACCCAAGAGTCATTGATTACAAGAGAATGAAGCAGATTGCCGACAAAGTCGGAGCGTACTTGTTGTCAGACATGGCGCATATCTCCGGCCTAGTCTCTGCAGGTGTCACTGAGTCACCATTCCCTTACTCCGACATCGTCACAACCACAACTCACAAGTCGTTGAGAGGCCCAAGAGGTGCTATGATCTTTTTCAGAAAAGGTATTAGAAAGGTCACCAAGAAGGGAAAGGAGATTCCATACGATTTAGAAAAGAAGATCAACTTCTCTGTTTTTCCAGCTCACCAAGGTGGTCCTCACAACCACACCATTTCTGCCTTGTCCGTTGCTTTGAAACAAGCACAAACATCAGAATACAAGGAATATCAAGCCGACATTGTAAAGAACGCGTCAGTTTTTGCCGATGCCTTAGCCAATAAAGGTTTCGATTTGGTTTCTGGTGGTACCGACACACACCTAATCTTGGTCGACTTGAGATCAAAAAATATTGATGGTGCAAGAGTTGAGGCCGTTTTGGAAAAGATCAACATTGCAGCAAACAAAAACACTGTTCCAGGTGACAAATCCGCTCTTTTCCCATCCGGTTTGAGAGTTGGGACTCCAGCAATGACAACTAGAGGATTTTTAGCTGACGAATTCAAGGCGGTTGCTGACTACATGGACAAGGCTGTCAAGATTGCCATCAAACTCAAGGCAAAGGAGGAAGGTGCAACTCCAAAGGAAAAGTTGGCACACTTTAAAAAGTTGGCTGCAGAGGACCCAGAGGTGCAAGCACTTGACAAAGAGGTGGTTGAATTTGTTTCAAAGTACCCTGTTCCAGGTGAGCTATAGATGTCCCCGTATATCTTTTGAATATCCTGCATTTTCTCTCTTTTTACCGCTATTTCTCATAACAGTAAAATATACATGTTTGTGTTACGTAATATTTCTTTTCCTCGCCTGTTGACAAATTTCCTATTGATCACGAAAGGTAAATAAATAAATAACACGGAGAAAACAGAAGGGTTTAGCAAGCTAATGCCCTTGTTGTTTGACTGCAAAAGTGCTTGACACTAAGGAACCACGCCTAACTATCTTTGCTCCTATTGCTGTCAAACTTTATTTGTTAGTGCCTTTGTTTGTTGAATGGCTCTAGTTGAGAATGCAAAGCAAAAGGGTTTTTCTACACCTCAATCTGTGGCGAATCCCTTCTTGATGAAAATGATCCATAATGAAACCTTAGACGAGGACATTATCTGGAGCTACACTGAAAAAATGATTACGGATTCTAAATCAATGGATTCTGAAAAATCTTGGGAAGCTCTTTTGACCAATTTACAAATACTCGATTTGCTTATTTCACGCAATACGAATTTACACGTACTTCAAGGTCTAATATGCACAATATTTCAAACCTTTTTGTATCTGAAAGCAAACTCAATTAAAGAAGATATCAAGCTACTTACTATTTTGAATTATCAAGATAAAGATATATGCAATGCAGCAGAAACTCAACAGCGAGCGTACTTGCAAATAAAAACAAGCTTACTCCGAATATACTCCCTTGATGCAAGCTCTGTCAAATCTCAATTCAAAGAACTTACACAGAATTATGACAGTAACTCTGATTTCTACAAACTTTTGGTTCAATTTTCATTTCAGAGTACAGAAATAGCATTTGCTTTGTCCTACTCCTTTATAAAATTATCATTGTCAACTAAGACGGCTTATAAGTTGGTCTTCTTAATTCTGGCCACACATTACAGTGTATTCACAGGCAATATAAAATCTGAACTTTTCGACAAAATTGCTAAGGATGGGAAACAAATGTTTATTAAGTCTGATAATTTAATTTACAAGCTAGCCTCCTCTCATTTGTATGCACTTGACCGTGTCTGCGAACTCAAAAGATATAATGTTAAACCTCTGGATACTTTGATTGAAGCTTTTAGCAAATTTGAGACGGACAAAGTACAAAAGAAAATACCTGAAAAAGTCTCCTCATTTTCAGAATTACTGCAGCCCCTAGTTAATATGAACTTATCAGATAACATTTCAACTCTTTTGGATAGCAAGAGGTTAGATGACTTGCTAAGCTCTAAAAGTTTCGTGAAACAATTTGGGATAATCATCAGAAACCTTGACATCGATAATTCTTCAGGTACCCAAACTTTGTTTAAAATAATCTCTTTTCTTACCTCCAACCCTGAAAGACATGAACTAGTTATCATTTTTCTTGATCCTGTTCTGATAAAACTGAAAGATCTCAAATGCACATCTGCTAATACTGAAATGATTCACAGCAATTTGGAGAAATTGGCAAACTTTATGATAGGTATAAATCTTACGAAAAAACTCACAAACCTATCACGCCTGTTCTTTCACTTCGGTAATATTGCCCTAATGTTTGAACCAGAGAAATCAGTTATATTCTGGGCATCATTTCTCCGATGCGACAGATATCTTTGTAGCTCGATGAGCATAAATGAAACAACTTTGAAACGCTTATATTACATATCAAGTGATCAAATTTCAAAAGCCAATTTTGAGGTTGCAATAGCAGTACAGCTATTGTTATTGAATACAGCACTTTCTGATGGGAACGTATTTGATTATGAATCTTTTCTCCAGCATGACTATCACACTTCCGTAAAACTGATAACAAACTGTCTTGTCCATAAAAGTCAATGCTCAAAGATATTGTTTGAGCATATTCAAAATGAGTCTTTGATAACAGCGCTAGTATTGAGTGTTGTAAAGCTTCTTGAAAGCATGAACTTGGGAGACCAAAAAGAGATTTTGATTAGTCAGTTGATAATAGTGCAAAAAGAGAGCTTGAATGACACGGGATTGTTTCTATACTTTCTTTCGAGGATATCTATGATAATAAATTTTCCAATCAGTTTCAAAAATAGCTCTTTGAGCTTTAACTTGGATTCAGCTGTCATCGATTATGAAAATCTTGTCATTCCGCATCTATACATTCTTCAATCATACTCAAACGCTCGATATAGCCCTCAATTTTTATTGAAATGTTGTGATATGGTCAAGGTTTGGATTAAAAAGATAGATTGCAAGCACACAGAATATGAATTTGAGATCATAAAGTGTATATATTTTGCTTTGCAGTACAACAATCTTCACAACATCTGCCTAGAGATTACGAGGGCTTATTTTAACAAAAGAGTTGGGTTGCTGTCAAAAAACAATCACACACTGCTGATATCTTTTATTATCGACTCGTTGCTGTTCTTAGAAAAGTTTATGGAATGTAAAGATTTTATTGATAAAAACAAGGAATTGTGTCATACAGATAAAATAAGAACATACGAAGAGATGAACTTGTCAATATCTATACTTCAACTACTAACAAAGACTGACGATCTAAACGTCATCAGCAAATGCCAGCAGATTCACTTAATGCTGAGCTCCAATGAAATGTTTTCCATCTCAAAACAGGGTGATAAGTACAAAGCGGTGGAACTGCTAATCATGCATTCCAAATTTTGCTTGGTATTAGGCTTGTATCCAACCTCTGGACACCTGAATTCTGTGACTAACATAAATAAATCTATGAGTATAATGCAATCTATTTTCAAGAACTTTTTACTTCAAGCTCCTCGAACTCCGTCACTAAATATCAATTTCAAATCACTTTTGAAAATAAGGTTTTCTTTAGAAATGCTGTATTGCTACAATAGCATCATAGAGCAGTTTTCTATAGTTGGGTTGGGGAAGGAATTTAATCACTATTTGAAAGAGTTAGACATGTTTATTAAAGTTCAGCCATCGATCAATTTACAGTACTACTACAATTTAAAGCTCCTGGAATTCAGCACTCGCCAAGATGCAGTCGGTACTGCATCGCAATACCTTCAGTACATCAATTCAATTCGTGATGATATATGCACAGATCAGAACGAACTAGTGGAAATATACTATCTAATGGTGATCGAAAATTATGCCAGAAAGAAAGGAGATGAGAAAACTGTTATTGCTACTTCAAATAAGTTAGATGGGATTATTTTCCGCTGTTTGAAATCTGAAAACTGCAACTCTCTTTTGATCAAGCAAGTGGCAACTATCCTGTGGAGAAGATTTGACAATTTTTGCAAGGTAGGTGTTGCAGCAAGCCAGATTTTGAGTACTAAAAAGTACTTTGAGCTTTTGTCGAAGCTTGAATCACAGTTAACTGTCTTGAAATCTTTTAATCTATCTTTGATATCAGATTCTAATGGTGTTTCGTGTTATCCACTGAGAAATTCCGGCTTAAAATTAACTATTCCTAATAATGGTACTGCGGAATTGCAAAATCTAAATTTGAAATTAATCAATCACTTCAAAGATACATTCGGGTTTTCAACGGTGGAAGTATCAAAAAGTAAGCTTTGTATGATAATTAATTGCTTTACAGCTTTGGTGAGCTGTGACAATTTGGTAAACGCAGACAATCAAATGTCTCGTATTATTTCATTGAGTGATCAATTTTGGTATCGTCCATTTGAACTTGAGAAAGAACTTGCACTTGATTCTCAAACGCAGAAGAACCTACTTCCTACCATTTTGGATGGTCCTATCCCACCTTTTGTCCCAAGAGACCAAAAATTCTCTTTGAAAAGTGTCTTACCTGCTGAATGGCAGGTACTTACTATAGATTACGTCCCGTCTACTGACAGCCTAGTCTTAGTAAGACATAACTATAAATCTGATGATCCTTTATTTGTCAGTATCTCACTAAAGAGAAAAGATAGTCAACATTCTTTCCCAAATATTTTGAGCTCACTAAAATCTATTATAGCAGAAAGTGATAAAACCACCTCTCCTGAAGTGACCAAGAATATCAAATCGTATGAGGAAAAGCTGAGATGGTGGGAGCTGAGAAAAGCGCTAGATAAAAAATTGGAGGATCTTCTTTCGTTAATAGATGCAGAGTGGTTCGGTGGCTTCAACTCTCTTTTTCAGCTTAGTACAGCTAGCTCGGAGGATGTCAAACATTTCAAACATAGTTTAGTTCAGCTGATTGCAGAAAAATCAAGACTTAAAGGCATCGATGACGCATTGATCCAGAAAAATTTATTAGATATTCATGGTGAAATTTATGAGCTTTTCCTGAATATTGATAGAATTAATGTGGAGAAAGTTGCAAATTTACTCCACTTCCTCCTCGGAAAAATTGAGTTAGAGGACGCATTTCGTTTCGATGATGATGCCATTTTAAGCGTGGCGAGACAGACAAAAGCAATGATTGTAGGATTGGAAAAGAATAGAATCAGTAACAGTGATGTGCCCTTTCACACTGTTTTGGTTCCAGGTGCAAGTTGTATCCAGATCCCATGGGAATCAATCCCCTCTTTAAGGGCCAAATCGGTAACACGTATGCCAACATTGTTTCAGTTGAAAGATCATTTGATCAAATATAAAAACTTACTGGACAATGGTATTGACGCATGCAAGGGCTACTATGTGATTAACCCTGGCGGAGATCTACAAAGAACGGAAGCGAATCTTTCACCTAAATTTAGGCATTTAGATGGTTGGAATGGCTTGGTTGGTGAGGTGCCCGATGATTCTAATATACTGAAAGCATTTGACGAGAAAAACTTGTACATTTATGCAGGGCACGGTGGAGGAGAACAATACATCAAATCTAAGAACATAAAGAAAAGAGACTTTATTCCGCCATCATTACTTTTGGGTTGCTCTTCTGGGTTGTTGAAGGGCGGTGGGTCAATACACCCATATGGTACGGCATATAATTATATCAACGGTGGATGTCCAATGTTATTGGTAAATATGTGGGATGTTACTGATAAAGATATTGATTTGTTCACGATCAGTGCATTAACCAAATGGGGTTTTTTTGTTGATTATGATTCATTTGATCCTTTTGACATTTCGGTAAACAACTCGACCATTTCTCTTTCTGTTGCAGAAGCCAGGAATGTCTGTAAGCTCAAGTATTTAAATGGAGCTGCACCAATAATATATGGACTTCCTTTACGTTTAGAGACGATTTAGACTTAAGTAGAAAAGAAAATGTAAAATGAAACTACTATTATATGAGTAACATTATCAACAGCTTAGAAACGTCCATTCATCAAAATACAATAAGCAATAAGCTCTTTGATCATCCGCAGGCTTTTATCATTGATTGGGATGAACCCAAGGGGAAATTTTTCGGCAAGTTGGCATTTTATCTTCTGATTGTGTTTTGCCAGCCTAGAAAGATTTATTGCAACAAAATCATTTTTGAGAAAAATAAGCTCATCTTCATCACCTTCAGAAAGCAGTATCTTTGACCGAGCATCAGGAAAAGTGGTGAAAATTCCTGACAACAATTTCTCAACTTGATCAGAGCTTATTTTGTTCACAACTTTTGCTGTGTTTATATTCCAACCAACACTTTTCCAATCTTTTATATTAGGATAAAGATTCGTATTGAGCGAGTATTTTCTAAGCATCGCAGTTTCCTCCTGAAAAGAATCTGGATACTCTTCTAGGAGGGATATATTTCGAGGATAGTATGCTACAGGGTCTTCCGGTAATTTCTTCTCACTAGGGTGAAAAGGTGTCATTATGTATTCATATTTGTTTTTTCCACCTACAACATTTTCTGTACTTTCCGAGATCATTGGATTTCTCATAACTCTGAAAGGAATAAGCAAGTCTCGAGGCACAACTGTTCTAGTTGCATGCGTCATTCTCGGAGGCGATGATAAGATTTGGGCAATGCAAGATTGTTCCAATGTTTTATAAGATTGTATCCTTTCTGAATCATCTATAAATTTGAGTTTGGATATCCATTTTTGCGGACTATGAAAAGCTGGAGATTTTTTTATACTATCCAGATCAATAATCCTTGGAAGATATCCATTTCGCAAACTGGGGGCAAATACTGAACTTGCCAGGCTCCTAGAACTTTTAGCTATATCTTTTCTTGAAGTAAACATGACATTATTGTACCACAGAGACAAATTGCATAAAGATATTTGGGTCCAAACTACATTGTTGAAAGCGTCATGAATCTGCAAAGGCATTGCCAAAAATGTTTTCTCCGCGGAGAATGTAGATGGTGATGGTGAAATTTAAGGTTTGAACAGCATTACGTCAATTTGAGTTCATCTCCATACACCCATATTCCGAGATACTTGGAATCTAACCATAATGAACTCATGGAAGGCAGGTGAGATGTTACTGCGTAGACTGGAAAGTCCTTTCCTTTTAGTCAGAATATTATCTCGCCAGTTCTTTACTGAGTCGCCTCTGCCACCGATTGAAGAATATAAAAATGCGATGGCAACTGTTGGATCACAAGGTATGTTATTGCCTTATTATTTTCACTTCAAACAGATTGGTATTGACAACTAACTTTTGTTTTTTTAACTCTTTTTTTTCAGCCATGATATTAACTGCATCGTTTTCAGGAAAACCTGAAATAGGGAAAATGCATGGTACAACATTATCTTCTGTTAGTTCTTTGACGGTGAACCCTGAACCAATTGTGCAATTCAATATTCAAGTTCCATCGGCTACTTCAAAGTCAATTCAAGATAACAAATATTTAGCTCTCCATATTCTCAAGCCCTCTAATGACAGTGTTCGACTAGCTAGAAACTTCAGCCTTGGCTCGAGATATATCAATGAACCACAGCCCGAGACTAGAAATACAAATAACAGCTCTGCAAGGAAAAGTACAACTCCATTTGAAAGAATTGATAAGGATCAGTGGAGCCTTTTTGAGAATGTCATGCACAACAAGCGACCCGGTTCTATCCGTCTTGACTCGGATTTACATCTACCTATTCTTACTAAAGACTCAGAAAGAATATTAATTTGCCAAAAATACAAAGTTTTCAAGGTGTACAACCATGAGATTTGGACATGTAAGGTGAAAGAGATTTTGGTAAATATTGATGACGACGTTAAGACTGGCGGCTTGCTGTATTTTGACCGAAAATTCCATCACGTCGGAGAAGCACTAATCGAGGTAAAAAAAGATGAAAAGGAAATTCAAAAACTAGAAACCTAATACGATTTCATTGTATATATAATTCATTAAGTATTTAAATTGTGCATATTATACACCTCTATAGACAAAAGGTCGAAGCCAGTATCAAAATGTATTGAAAGTTTTACCTCTCAATTGCCTTTCGATTTTCTTGATATCATTGATAAGGAGCTTATATTTCTCATCACGCTGAATACTCCTAAACTTTCTCCTTTCAACCCTCAAAGCGATTTCGGTCTTTTTCAGAGATTTGAGCTCATTTGTAAGTAGCTCTACCTCGTGATGAATGCGTAGTTTTTTAGAAATAACCTTTTCTTTCTTCACCAATAACTGGTTTTTTTCCGACAGTAGGGACTTTATACCTTTCTCAAGAGCCATGATACTATTTTTATTATCGTTTTCAAACTTATTGAACGAACGCAATTCGGTTTCGTACAACCTTTTGGCGTCAAGGTATTTTTCCTCAATCTCCGTTTGTAACAAGCGTGTTTCCTCTGACTTTTTGGATAGACTGGTAACTTCTATGTCTGACTTTGCCACAATCTGGCGTAAGCTGTCTAGTTTTTTATAGTTTCTTGACTCATCTGAAAAATTACTACGGTTGTTCAAGTTTTCAATCTCCGATTTGATTTGCGAGGATTTTTTTCTCCAATCAGTTTTCATCTTCTTCAACCTTGCTTTTTCTCTTTCAATTGCTTCTTGTGTAGTAACAACAGATCGTTGGAGAGTAGCCAATGGAGATGACACGTTAGATTCTGTAACAGTTTTGTTTTGAAAAACTGTAGAAACGGTTGTGGTTGTCAAGTGAATTAACTCACCATTCAAAGTAATCTTAACAAAATCAATATCATATTGACTCAAAGGACTCAATCCATTGATTATGACTAGTTCTCGTCCAAAAAATGCACAAGATGATACATGCTCCCATATAATTCCATTGACCTTAATCAACAGTTGTTCAAGGCTGATATTATGAAGTTCAAATGCCAGAGTAGTTTCACCAGTAAACCAAATGAAGCATTGAGAAGACGAATTGGCATTTCTGGCATAATCATCCATACCATATCCCGTTGTCACCACAGCATTTTGTGAGTAGTAGTCTCCTGAATAGTAATCCTGTCTAGAAAACATCGTCCTTGCTGCATTCAAAAACAACCATAACCGTTGTTGGTACTTTAGTTGACTCATTTTTGCTTTCTTCTCAGAGGGCAAAAAGCTTTTAGACTTAGAAACCACTCTTTTGGGCTGAGAGTTTACCAGATGGCTCAGATGAAAACTAGAGCTTTTATATTTCATGGAATTGCTATTTGAGTTAGACGATGATGCCAATGTACTAGACAAATTAGGACTATTGGGAGTTGGTATGAAGGTTGATCCTGAGGTTCCTGGTGAAGGGCCCATTTCTGAGACCGATGAAGATGTTAGTAAGTGTGCAGAAGAGCTCCATATCATCTTTCGAAAGTTTTCAAAATTTTGGGCGACAACAAAGCTTGGCGATGAAACGTCATTCATATTAACAACTTGATGGTCCTCTGGGAACCACATTGGAATTTTGTTTTTACTTGGCTCGCTACCATCGTTCGTATCGGTGTCAGTGCTATTATCATCATCTGATATATCCTCATCCTTTGAAAAAGAAGATTCTTTCTTCGAAGAGTCATCAACAATGATTCTATCCGAGTCTAAAGTTGGTAGATTGGAACCTGAGATGGTTTTTGGAATTTGGAATATGTTTTGAAACTTTGGTTTTTGAGCATTATTGTAGGCTGAAAAATTGGATGGGAGTGCAATATTAGGAGCCGCAAAATCTGAAGGTTGACTGATGGGCTCCAGTTGTTCTGTCTGTTCTTGCAAGGAAAAGGACTCAATATAAGTATATGCTTTGTTTATGAGAGAAAATTTTCGCAAAACTGGATTGAAATTATGCATTATAATGTATAATGATAATGATGAATGCAAAAATTGTAGAGCGTATTCCATTTGAAACATCAGCAAAGAATTTTCACGAATTTTATGGAACGTCAAATGAAATAACAGAGTTTTGGTGACACTTGCTGTAGGTCTATAATACAAAGGATATAAAAAGTCTGTTGATGAAAGTGTTGATGTCAAAGAGAGCATGGAGTCACCTCGAAATATTTCAAAGTGTTTGATAGTGTACAATATGGTATTTTCTAATGTTAAGAGCAGGATGCATGCTGCAAATGCATCCAAAATGTATCTATTTTTTAGTGAGGTCAAATTACTCGCTATCAATGATTTTGAGAGCAATATAATGTATGGCACAAAAGCTGGAAAAAAGTAAAAGATGAAAAGCATGAATATCGCATCCAGTAGGAGATATAGTACAAATGATATCAAGGAGAGTCTCCCTACTAAGGAAAACGATGATGATTTAGTTGACGAGTTAGGTGTTCGGTTTAATTTATGTTTCAGAACGAATGATAATATAGAATCCAAAAACTCCGGGTTACCTAAAAAGACGTAGAGTATCAATGTTATTGTACTAAACCAATGGGGAAATATCATCAATATGCACAAGAATGAAAAAGTATCCAAAAGTGGATACGATGGAAGACTAGCAATCTTCTGCTGTTGGTCAATCTCCGAGGGATATCCGGATTGTGCAAAAGCTTTTTGCTGGTCCAGAGGGGTTTTGGACTCAAAAGAAGTACTGCTGCTCCCATTCTGGCTACTCAAAGCTTCGGCTGCTCTATTGATACCTGCTGAGCTGAAGTTGTTCTCATTAGAAGAGACTGTGTAGCCCGTGGACAGGGAAGAAGGCATGCTTTTTTCTCTCCACTCCAGATGTTGGATCTGGATGCTAGCCTAAATGTCTCTTTTGAGTTTTGACTTGGTGTGGCCTCTTCAAAAGTTCTTTCTTCTTTCCAATGTAGTTAAATGTTGATGTCCAACACTTAAGAAACATCAAATCGGAAAAAGGAAAGCGAAGGAAAAAGAGATGGGTCACAACACTTATCGTGTCGCGTTGTGTGCAACAAATGAGGCGTCGCGGAGCCACGTTTCTGATCTATGATTACATTAAAAAGGCATGTGCTATAAAGAAAGCTGGAGATCTGAATATGAGTAATCCAGCTTCAGCACACCAGCTTATGCCAGCTACATCTAGAGAAAATATTTGAAGCATTAGAAAGCCAAGGCGAAATGTCTTTGCAAGCTATTAAGTTTTCAGCTACTCCAGAAGTTTCTTTGTCCATCTTGAACCAACTCCAGGTTCCATATCAGTCGAAGTATATAGCCATAGACTCTATTGCGCCATTACCAGGCGTTACTAAATTCTCCGGCTATGAAGCAATCAAAGGTATGTACACCAGAGGAGCTCCTGCCATCATGCTTGTTGGCTGCTTTTCCATTGTCGTCGAATTGAACAGGGTTTTACACAGTGATATTGGTTCTGCGCAGCAATACAAGTACAACCTTAATGATGCTGAGAGCTTCAAAAGACGTTTGTTAGAAAGAATTGATGAGTTGATAAAATCACGTCCAACTGCAGTGAACTTGGCAAATGGTTGCGAAGAGATCAAGAAGATTGTTGTTTCTGAAAAGAATTCAGATCTCGAACTTTTGTACAACCGAATACTCCAGTTTTCAGAGAATTTGTACAAAGAAGATTACCAGTCCAACATCAATATTGGCAAAAACGGTTTACAATACATCAAGGATGTTCTCAAGAAAGAAAATTTCAAGGGTCCTTTTTCGGTGATGACAATTTGTAACACCGGATCTTTAGCAACATCAGGTTATGGTACTGCATTGGGGATTATTCGTCACTTACACCAGTACTTGTCGAAAGATAAATCTACCGATCAATTCTACTTTGAACATGCCTATCCATGCGAAACCAGACCTTACAACCAAGGGTCAAGGCTTACAGCATATGAACTTCAGTACGAAAAAATTCCGTTCACCTTGATAACAGACAACATGCCTTCATTTTTGATCGATAATTTGAACAGAAAAGAGCAGCACACAAATCAAGGTGCATTGGCTTCATTAGCTTCAAACGCTCCAATTAGATTCATCATTGTTGGCTCTGACAGGATTGTTAAAAATGGTGACTTGGCTAATAAGATCGGAACATTCCAATTGTCTTTACTTTCAAAATTATACGACGAGATCAAATTCATTGGAGCTGCCCCAACAACAACCATTGACTATAATACTAAGTCAGGTGAAGACATCAAGATTGAAGAGCGGCCAAAGGATGAGCTCACTATGGTCTTGGGCGCTAAAATGAATGGTAACAGCTTTGCAGAGGATAAAGAATCTAAAGACGTTGTGTTGGAAAGAGTTAGGATGGCGCCTTTAGACATTGGTGTTTGGAATCCTTCCTTCGATGTCACTCCTCATCAGAACATCGACTGTATTGTCACTGAAAAGGAGTACTTGGTCAAAGACAGCTCTGGCGTATTCCACCTTTAAAAGTATAGTGCCTTGATCACCAACTAGTTTTTAGTTTTTAGTACAAAATATTTTAGTTATAACTTAGGAACAAAATTTAATATAAAAGAGTCAATTTAAAGATAGTAAACGATGACAAGAAAAAAACAAATGAAGAAAAGAATCGTAACAAGATAAAAAAAAACAAACAAATCGAAAATTCGATTTTTTAACAATTGAACAAAAACCATGAAAATGAATAAATATGTAGCTAGGTGAATAAATAATTCTCAAATTCTAAGTCTTTTTTTTCTAATACTTTTCGTTGAATGTCTTGAATATTTTTATTCGCGTAGGAGCTGACACTCTAACTAGCATCAGAATCCACCATTACCGAAGCCCATTCCTGTTGATTGTAGCCCAAGTGGAGCAGCAGTACCAACCGGACCGTTGGTAATCATCAATGGTTGACCCAAAGTAGAGGTTTCTTCCTTCGCATTTTCCTTTTCTTCCCGTACCTTCAAATCTTTGTATACAGCGTCTATCTTCTGCTGGTTCTCCTTGGCAATAGAAATTTGGTAAGGTTTGGTCAAGTCATCTAATCCATGTAACCAGGAAAGCTCTAGTACAACATCATATTCAAGGTAAGAATAGCATGAGTATAGTAAAGCAACCATGCAGGAACGGTTTCCTGTTTCAACAAAATATGTGAGTAATTCACTGACAACCTTAGGAGATTTAGAGATTGCAGCAGTCTCAATTGCATCACCCCAAAGACCATCAGCTTTGAGTAGAGAAATGGCCTTGTTGTATTTTTTGTTGTTTCTGTAGATCACAGCTGCAAGTTGTCGGAAGAAGATCAAATCATGTTTTTCTAATCTTTCAGCGAGTCCAATGCTATCAAACTTGTCATAAGATTCAATCGCCAGGCGCAAAGATTTGTAATCTTCTTCTTCAATCAATAAGTCGTGGTATGCAGAATTAACAATTGAATTGTTCTTTTCTAAAACAGAGATCAAAAATGGTTTGACTAGTGGCAAATTGTCCGATTTTTGGAAAATCTTTACAACTCTTGGCAAGTCTAGTCTTGGAGTTAAAACAGTCAACAAGTCGATCAACAAAGTTGGGTGTAGGTTAGTGTAGAAGTTGATAGCTCTGTAATAAATTTCCAAGTTGGAAACCTTTACAATGATCTCTTTGAAAGAGGAATGTTCAAATGCTGTTTCAGATCTTTCAATCATAGCCAAAGCAGCATTATCCCACTCATCGTAATGACAGTAAAGAAAAATCAACTCAGGCCACAAGTGTGCAGCTTCGCAAGCTCTGATGACCTTTGGAATGTTGATTCTTGACCAAAATAATTTCAAATGTTCCATTGTCTTTTCAGGTTCATATTTGGTGTATAAAATGGCAAGCTCAGTGAACATACCCATATGAGCTCTTTCGAGTGACAAACCGTTTTCAAACAATGAAATCAATTCCTTGAAGTAGCCGTTGTATTCATACTGAGTTACTAGAGGTTCCAACTCCTCCGCGTGGACAATTAAATGTAAGCCACACATCTGAGCTAGCTTAAATTCTTTGTTCTCGATACAGGCTTGGTTGACTTGCTTCCAGACTTGGACATTAGAAGCTTTTCTTGCACAATCGACAGCTGCGGTATAGTCTTTCAAGAACACTAAAGTTGAAGCCAATTTTGAGTAATTGGAGATACTTTCATAGATAAGTTTAGCAGCTTCATAATTGCCATTATCATACAATTTATCACCGATGTTATCTAAATCTGCAACATTCGACAACTTTAAGAATCTCTCAATCTCTCCTAGTTTACCCAAGGTGGCATAAGCGTTTATGATAGCACCGTCAATTAAAGGTTCTCTCAATGTCTTTCTAGCCATTAACAGGAACGGAACTAATTCCTCCTCTTTACCAGCATGTTCGGAAACCTCAACAACGTTGGCAAAGTTGGATGGGTCTTCAGCTTTCAGGTAAGAATTGATTGCTTCTGGGATTCTCAAACCATTTAACTGAGCTTCACCCAATTGTGACCAAAGCTCTGGCTTGTCCAGTTTTTCAGCATAATCTTCACCTCTGTCCAAGGACATTATATCTTCAACCAATACCTTCATTGCAGCACTGTAATTTTCGAACTTATTATAAATTTCAAATGCTTCCTCGTATAATTGGTTTTGAACACAAATTGGTGCAACCTCATCTGGGTTGTAAGCGTCGATTTTCTCAATATAGTTGTTAATACGAGACGGATCAACCTTGACGGCTGTCAAAATCAACAAAGCCTGTAAAGAAGGATTGTCGTTGAATGGTGAAGGTTCCAAAACAATCTTCTCTAACAAATCAATTAATTCACTTTGGAGTTGGTTATCCATGAAAGCCTTGACCGCAATGGAAATTGGCTGCGGGTCTTCCAATTCAGGGATGGCAGTACCAATGACTTGATCAACTAGTTGCTTCCTGTATATATTGTCAGAAGTCAATACCTTAGCCCACAATTGCAGGTCAGATCTCTTTAATAAGTATCTAGCCTGGTACTTGAACATAGAGTTTTCATTGGTAATGTTGATCAACTCATCATCATTCTGACCTTTATCATAAGCAATGTAGGCTAAGAATGGATCTCTCTTTTCACAATATTTACCAACAACTAAAGTATCATACTGATCATTTTCCTTCAAGAACTTTTCAGGGTTGTTGTTCGAATCAATATAAATCTTTGCCAAGGTATCAAAAACAGCCTTATCTTGTGAACCCGATGCTAAAGTGGATTCCAAGAAAGGTAGTAAGATCTTTAATCTGTTTCTCTTCTCAACTTCGTCACATAACTCACCAATTGGCACTTGTCCTGCAACAGATTGAAGCAATGACCTGATAATGTTCTCGTCACAATCAACATCCAAAAGTGCAGCAATGACTTGGGGAGTCTTGGATGGGTTGACTTGCTGCACATATACTTCAATAAATTTGAAGAACTTGTTCTTATAAAGATAGAGGATCAAATCATGAACAAAGTTAAATCTATCACAAACAACAATGAGTGGGAGTTGATCTTCTAATTGAGCTTCTTTCAAAAAGTTCTTTACCTTTTCGCCATCATAAATATTGTTATCTCTAACGACTCTCTCAATCTCCTTCACTTGGCCCAATTTAGCAGCACATTGGATGTACTTCAAGACAACTTCTGGATCTTGAGTAACGTTAACAATAGATGATAAGTAATAGTACAAACCTTCAACAGAATTGTAATCTTCAAAAACTTTGATTAACGTGATAGGACCAATCAACTCAGAATACTTGGTTGCAACTTGGATGGCCACCTGTAAGTTTTGAGCAATATTGTTAGATAGCATTTCTCTCAAACAAGCAACACATTGATCCACTTTTAAATTTCCAAAGTAAGAGACTAACCAGTCAGTAGGCAAAGCGTTGGCATGAACAATAACTCTTTTGATATCTTTGATGTTGTCATATAATTCCAAGGCTCTTTGGTACAATCCCGCTTTTTCACATAGTGTTGCAATGGTTGGCTTATCGTAGTGAGAAAACATATTGTTACCCAAAATGGCATCTGCAACTTGTGGGGCATGCAATAAGTTAACCTCCAATAACTTAGTTTGTAATTGACCATCTGCTGGCTTATCATTTTTCAAAGCATCCAAAAGGAAAGCGGTTGCTTGTTGAATGTAATTTTGAGAGAAAAAGATATCTGAAATTTGTTGGATATTAATATCTGGTTGAGATTGTAGTAGAGAGGTTGCAAATTCTGCAGCCTTGTCTGGATTTACTCTCAAAATATTTTGGATCAAGACAGTAAAATTTGGAGTGAAACTGACCTTTTCGCAGAATGGTATGATCTTATCGAATTGACCTAATTCTGCCAAGCATTGGATTACTTTGCTTGGAGCATTTGCTTTGTAATATACAGCCAATGCTAGTGTGATGTTCAAAGGTTTGATTAAATCACCCAATTCTTCGGATGTGTCTAGCTTATCTTCCTTCAGATATTTTTCCAAAGTTTCGACTCTATTTTGTTGTATCAAGGGTCTGACCAATTCTAAGGTTTCGAATTTGTTGAGAGAACCTCTGTCTAACAAGAACACTAGATACTGGAGGAAAGGAGCAGGTTGACCAGGTTGGGAAGGTAGGCTTTTCAACTTGGAAATAGTATCTGGAGTTCTCAATTGAGGCGAAGATGCTGCAATTTTCACAGCGGACTGATAATCACCGGTGGCAATCGACTGGTTGAATTGTTGGGAGAATAAGTTTTCAGCACCTGGAAGGCCACCTCTTGAAGCCAAGCTCAAAGCTAGCTCGACATCGCCCAAGTTCTTTAAAATGTACGGAACAATTCTATCGGTGGCGATGTCGACTGCCAAAACAGAACCGGCTCTGCTGATTGTAATGATACCTCCATCATTATCGAAGCTTGCACCGGTGAAGACAGGGTCGGAGGAAATTCTATTGAGGAAGATTTTCTTTCCTGTCTCCACGTCATACAAGTGAATGAAACCAAGCTTGGTGAGAATGTAAACAACACCGTACTTGGACGACAACTGGATGGCAACAGGGAAATCGTTACCTACTTCAGCGGGGAAAAAGACATCGACTGACTTCTTGGCAAACGCAGGGGCGCCGTCTTTGTGATCTATTTCGTTGATGTGCAAGATGCCGCCAGATTCTGTTCTTGAAGCAAATGCAAAAAGTTCTGTGTCGACCGCAGACCCTTGAAGCTTGAGCTGGGTGAAGTTGCAAACATGGCCCTCGATTGGTTGGGAGATGTTTCTATCTTTAGAATACAATTGGATGTGGCCAACGATTCTGTTGTTCTCCTGGGCGATACCGCCTATTGCGAACCAGTTCAGGTTCTTATTTGCGGAGAATTGAGTGATCTGGCAGTCATTCAAGCTGACGTGCCTGGAAGTCAATAGGACAGGTCCGGCGTCGGATCCATCGAAGATGTTCCACGTGTACACGGAGCTGGCGGTCACCAAACCGAGAGTCTGGTCGTCGAGCCACTTCCAGAAGACGATCTTCTCGGACATGATGTTGGACTTGAGTCTCTGCTTGTTTTCTAGGTTGAAGATCTGGATCGTGGTGTCATTTGCTCTCAAGGAGATGACCATCTGGCCCGGGTGCATGATGACCGAGTCAGCAGACATGGACTTGCGGATCACATTGTTGTTGTTCTTCAAGTCGACAATCACCGCAGCATTTCCCGACTCGCCCGTTTCACGACAGCACACGTAGTGATCCGACTCGAGGGTCGTGCTCAAGAAGTTGAACGACTGTGGGTTGATTCCCAACGAAGACAATTGACAAACGTCAACTAACTCAATTGGAGGAGCCTCAGACATGGTGGGAGGACTGTATTGCTGATAATTGACGCAGACAGCTTTGTGTAGCAAGCACAAAGGGCACAGAGACTTCCGGGACACTTGCTGATCACCCAATGCCTACTCTTGTGCCCCTAATTCACCACCCCATCGTCTTTACCACCACCACCGCCACTACTGCCAGCACGTCCGCTACTGCTGCTGCTGCTCCCACCGCCCCCCACTGCCGCAACCTCCACTGCCACGGTGCACGATCGCAAGGGCGAATTGCGAGGAGGCCGAGGGAATGGCCAGGGCGGCTCGCTGAGCACTTTAGCGCCTGGCCGCGTAGGCGTTTAGAGATGTCTTAGGCGTTTGAGTGCAGAGCGCGGGATCGATCGGCGGCAACATGAATGGGGCGGGGGGCTCAGCGGCAAGCAGGGAGTTGCCAAACCAGGGAATTGCTGGGCGATGGGCTGGAGGCTGAGGAAGATACAGGAGGGTTTTTCTTTCTTATATTTAGTTACACAAATAAATGAAACAAAGGTAGTCATATAAATATGAAGAGAATATAGATAGAAGTCGTTATAGATGAAAGTATGGTATTAAATATATTAGGCTAAAAAATTAGAACAGAACACGTGCAAGAATTTTTACGAGATTTTTTTATTGGTTTGAGTCAGTCTGTGGACGAAAGATGATGCTGATAATGTATGACGACTTATGATGAGCCGGTCACCATGATGCTTAACAGTTGACCAATTCGACAATGTCCAACTCGACTGGAGTACAGACGCTACCGATGTCCTTGGCGTACAAGTTGTAGAAGTTGCCGGAAAGACATTGGTAGAAGGTGGTGGTGTTACCGATGGCCAACTTACCTTCGTCGGAGATGGACCAGCCGGCAGCGTACAGAGCACCGGCTTGTGGTGGAGGGCCGTCGAATTGGAATTGCTGGTTGGCGACGATAGAACCAATTCTACCCTTGGAGTCGGTCAAGATACCGTTGTGCAATTGCATGGTCAAGGTACCGTTGGTGGCACAAGCTTCGTAGTGGATGCCGTCGTCGGTTGGGGCTGGGGCTGGGGCAGATTTTGCGGTGGAAGCACCCTTCTGGACTTGGCCGTCGCCAATTTGGGTGGCAGCAGAGGTGGTGGTCTTGGCGGTGGTGGTTGGGGTGGTAGCGGTGGTAGCTTGGACTTGACCGTCACCGATTTGGGTGGCAGCTTGGGCAGTTGCCTTGGTGGAGGTGGTGGCAGTGGTGGCTTGGACTTGACCGTCGCCGATTTGGGTGACTGGTTGAGCGGTGGCGGCAGCGGCGGTGGAGGTGGTAGCCTGGACTTGGCCGTCACCGATTTGGGTCACCGGCTGAGCGGTGGCAGCAGCGGTGGAGGTGGTAGCCTGGACTTGACCGTCACCAATTTGAGTGACAGCGACGGCGGTGTTGGTTGGTGCGGCAGTCTTGGTGGTAGCCTGGACTTGACCGTCACCGATCTGGGTGACAGCAACGGCAGTGTTGGTTGGAGCGCCAGACTTGGTGGTAGTGGTGGCTTGGATTTGGCCGTCACCGATTTGGGTGATGACGTTGGTGATCAATTGCTTGGTGGCGGTAGCAGTGGTAGCTTGGACTTGGCCGTCACCGATCTGGGTGATGACGTTAGCGACAATGGTCTTGGTAGTGGCTTGGACTTGACCGTCACCGATCTGGGAGACTGGCTGAGCGGTAGCGGTGGTGGCTTGGACCTGGCCGTCGCCGATTTGGGTGGCAGCTGCGATGGTGGTGGTCACAACGGTGCCGGTGGTAGCCTGCACCTGACCGTCGCCGATCTGGGTAGCTTCGGCCTTTCTGACGTTCTTGCCTGCAGCAGAGGCGGTGACGGAAGGAGCAGCGGAACCGGAAAGGGTGGTCAATGGGTTGACGGCGATACCGAAGGAGCCGGTGTATTCGGTGGTGGCGCCCGACAAGGTGGCGGATGGGGTCAGGGTGGACCATGGTTCGGAAGGAACGTAAGCAGCGATGGCGTTACCAGCCAAGGCCATGACACCTAGATTTCTGTATTGCATTGTGTGTGTGTGTGTGTGTGTTGGGGGTTGATCTATGAAGTAAACGAGCCTGACAAAAGAGAAAAGAATAAGCAGGAGGAGAGAGATACGAGGACGAGCCAAGCCAACCCGAGAGTGACGCCTGGATCAAGAGACCCAAAGAGAGGGAATGGGGCCAGCTTTAAATATGATAATTATGACTGGCGCCGGGGGCGTCAGGCGCCCAACACACCTCCCGGTTGCTAAATATAGGGTTCGGCACCCTTCTTCGGCCTCTCCACACCGCAGAGAAGCACTCTCCAGATCACCCGCCCACCAACCGGCCTGCACGCCTCATCCCTTTAACTCCCTCGATCAATCGATCCTCGAAAAACCGACTCATCATATTTCCCCTTTCGGCAGCCCTATGGCGTCCGCCGAGCCTATTAACTTGCTATTTTTAGCAGAGCGGCCCTCTGGTGCCTTTCCGCATCCGTAGCTCCCTCACCTTCTCCTCCTTGGCGGCCAATAGCAGGGGCGGTGTGTCCCTATCTCGGCCGTGCACAGGGCTCTCTGCCACGCACAGCTGCGTATTGCGCACGCGTGGGCAGCGGACAGGCCGCAGAGAACACGTCCGGCAGCCAGGCAAACAAGGCGGCCCCGTGTCCGTGCCCGTGCCCCGGCGTGGGCGTGGCCTTGGACGGGGAGTCGGCGCAGGCCATTTGCTCTTCTTAGTAATGTAATTGCCAGCAGGATTCCATCAGCCTCGTAGCTGCCGGCGTCTTTTTTTTTCCTTGCGTGGTGGCCCTTTGGCTCCTGCTCCTCTTTTCTTTTCCTCCGGCGCCCCGCAGTGGGAAAAAAATGTGTCAAGAGCCGCCGACGTGTCCCGCGTGTCCAGCGTGACGCGTCATATCCACGCCTTGCCCACGTCCACGTCCGCGTCCACGTCCAGCCGTAAATTCGAGACCCTTTCCCCATGCAGGCGGGCCCGCTAGGCTCTATTTCCGGCCCGAACGGGTGGGCCCTGTGCAGGCAACGGCTGCAGGCGCCCCTCACCGCCTACAGTAGCGCCGACGCGGCGGCAGATGGCCTGTTGACGTGTCGCCCGATCGGGCGATGCCCCGTCCCATTAGCCCCCGTCCGGACCACCTGCATTTCTGCTCACCACCGCGCATCACGGCTCATTACTGCACACTACATCCACTACATCCGCTACACACAGAGATGGGTTGCTGCTCCCTGTTGGGCCCGAGCGCACTGCTGCAAGCACTATGCTGAATCGGGAAGCAGCTCGTCGGCAACAACGGCCTCCACGGCGCCTCCGCACGCCTCCGGTAGCACCACCGTCGGGGCGGCTGCGGCCGCAGCCGCCCGCTCCGTCCGCACGACGGCGTCCGTCAGCTCGGCGCCGGTCGCCACACTCGTCACCACCCCGAGCGACTCGAACGCCTGCGCAATCTCGGTCTGGTGGTTGTCCTGCAACCCGGTGTTCACCATCACGATCAGCCGGGGCGGCCGTCTGGCGGGCTGCGCCGCACCCGCCCGCACCCGCAACGTGTCCATGATCGACCCGGTCCCCGCGTGCGAGATCACCAGCTCGCTCCTCCTCGTGTACCTCTCGATCAAGCGCACGTCAAACTGTATGCACTTGAGCGACACGCCGCCAACGTCGCTGTGGTACGTCCCGCAGACCGTGTGCCCCGTGTCCGGCTCGTCCCGCTCGCTGGCAACACTCACGCGGTCGCCCAGCGCCCCAAGCGCAGCCCGGATCACCGTCACCGACCGCTCAGACCGCCCGTACTGCACCACCACTCGCTCGTACCCGTGCTGCGCCAGCGTCTCAAGAAACCGGGGCTCCAGAACAGCCCGGATGAGTGCCTCGAAGGTCACCGTCGCCCCCGTCGTCACCAACGCCTGCTTCGCTGTCCCTTCTGTCATGCTTTTTGGTTCTCTCGCTATTTCTCTCTCCGTGTCCCAGCCCCACACGTTCTTCCTGTAGCACCACTGCAACCTCAACGTCCCGTCCTTTTGTCGTTCTCCGTTTCTCGTTCTCCCGCACTTTCCCCGACGCGACGCTAGAATCGTCTGGAGCCCCGCATGACATGATCTGCATGTCCGGTATGTCTTCTGCTGCAAGGGATACGGGGACTGTCACTCCCGGCCCCTTCTCGGTGTCCCACTGCCTGACCCAACCGGGCCTGCTGTCTTGATCTTGTCCCCCGGTGTGATAAAGCATTCCAAAACCAGAATAATCCCCTTTTCTCCCTGGTGACCCTTCCCTTTATCACGTGACCGTTTTTCTCCGGAAAGTCTTGATCTTACCTCATCACTCTCTCAACCCTCTCTCTGTTCAAAAGCGGGATTTATTTCCTAATGAATTGTTTCGCATAATGCGAGCACTGCTATCTCTATATGCTCTGCTAGCCAGTGTTTGGTCCCTCTGCCGATCCGTCCCACTACATACCCACCATCAGCTAGCTTGCAGCCACCACAATGTCCAAGGCAACAAGCGATGACAGCCATTTGGTCCCGAGAATCATCAATCACATGAACAAGGACCACTCGCATAACATCGAGGACTACCTTGTCGTTTATGCTCATGTTGATCCGGAGATAGCCAAGCGTCGTCCAGCCCTCGAAACGCTCAACTTGGGCGCCATGTCCCTCTCCTACATTGATATGGAGGGCACGAAATGCTTCATCCGGGTCCCCATCGAACCGACCATGGAGTCTTTCCACGACGCCCGTGCCAAGCTCGTCGAAATGGCCCAGGTTGCAGCTGCCAGACGAGGGTTCAGTGAGTACCTCGTCAACGACGTGCCTTTCTTCTCGAGCTTCAAAGACTACGTCTGTGTCGCCCTTTTCGCCTCGCTTTACACGTTCGCCGTCAAGCCGCATCTCTTGCGATACCTTGTGGACGACGTCTTGCTGCTTGGCCCCGAGATCTCCGGATACATCATGGACTACCACGTCACCGTCTTCAGAGGGTTGCTACTCATACACGCTGTCGAGGCAATTGTCATCTTGTACCCGTTGCTCAGAAAGTTCAGAATGGGAACTGCGAAGAAACTCGCTTGCCTACTTCTTTGTCTCGTTGAAGGGATCGTTTTTCTAAGTGCATTCAAAGAAACGGTCGATCGTGCTCAGAATCCAAACAGAAACAAAGAGAAATAAATGCGACTAGTGTTTCCTACTTACTATATAATCTTAAGCCATATTTAAACGATTCTACGTATACATACAACAATAACGAGACCACATCTACGATTCTTGCAGCGAGAAGAGAGAAACATTTGTCTTCTTGTCATCAACTGTTTCCGTCTTCGACAACCAACTGAAGAGAGCTCTGTGGGTGATGAGCTCCTTGCGCTTGAGCTGATTCCTTCTTCGTCTCTCGTTCTCCTCCTCTTGCTTTTTGGCATCCACCTTATCGATCTTACGGTGTAGTAACTTCTTCAAAGTCTCCTTCTTCTCAGCCTCCAGCTTACGCATGTTGAACGTCTTACGCTTTCTCGCGGCTTCAGCCTTTTTAAGTTGTATCTCCTCCTCCGTTAACGCCTTCTTCTTGGAACTGCCTTCCATTAATGCAAGAACACTCTTCGGTAGCTTCTTGCCCTCGTACAGCTCGGGCGTCATCTCTTCTGGTTCTTCAGAAACCCCTAAAACCTTGGATCTCTGTCTCTCGCTCAATTTAGAGAAATCAACATCACTTTCCTCGTTATCATCCATATTTTCTTCTAGATCAAGGTCCTCGTCATCATCAACTTCGTCCTCTTCATCGTCCTTGTCTTCGTCGTCGTCGTCATCGTCATCGTCATCGTCATCGTCATCATTGAGAGTGGCAGCAGTCTGTCGACCACGTCCTTTGTTGTTGCCCTTGGCATTGCTACTTCTTTTTATACTGGTTGGCTTCACCTCCTCTGCTGTATCGATATCGCTCCCAAAATCATCTTCGTTTGGTTCGGTATAAGTTATTTTGATATTCCTCGTCCGAGAATTGGTCTTCGCATTTGGTTTCGTTCCTTTAGCACCTGGAGAACTAGGTTGGCTTAATACAGTGGACAGTTTCTTTTTATCCACAAAATTCATACTAATCAGCAAACTATTCGTGGATTTGTTCTTAACCGAGACATTGTTCTGCTCTTTCTTACTGCTTTCAACCGGAACCTTCGCCTTCGTCCTGCTTTTGCTTCTGGCAAGCTCTTCGAACTCTTCTTCCTCATCTTCTTCATCCTCATCTCCTTCGTAAATTGCTTCTCCGTCATCGTAAACATCATCAGCCTCTAATTCTCCATCATCCATTGGTTCATCTTCATCATCTGAAATGAGGTTTTCTTCTCCTGATAGTTCCTCTTCCTCGAGCTCCTCGTCGAGTCCAATACTGTCTTCGTCCTCGCCTTCCCCATACTGATCATCCTCACGATAAGATCCCTGGGGAGAGGAACTTAGCTTATTCAAGACTTGTCTTTTCGGCCTTGTGGACATTTGCTTTTACGTTTTCTTGTTCTTGGTAAACTCCTTTAACCCGTTTGCCATCATTGCTATTATATGTTCGATCTTTTTACATGCGATAAGTTTATATTTCCCCGATAGTGTCGAAATAGAACACGCCCCCCGGGTGCGGTGCACGGAGGTATGAGACCGTGGTACTCTATTTGAATTTTCTGGCTTTGTCTTTGTTGTTACCAAATGGTTCATGTTCAGGCTCCGAAATAAATGCTCTTCAGCTATTATCATCAAAACGGGCTTTAAATAGGAATAGCTTTGGCAAAGGAAGAAAGCAACAGGCAAAGGTCCAAAAGATGCAGAAATCTATGTCTGATGACCCGCATTCATTCAGCATAGAAAATATACACGGAATAGATAATCTTAATGACTTGCATCTAAGCCAGTTGAACAACCAGTTACGATATGAACTACGAAATTTGAACACAGATGTCGACGTGGGGATGCACATATCAGGAGATGAAGATGATTATGAAGATGATGTTGAAGAAGGAGACGAAGTTGAAGAAGCCAACACTAGTAACATAAGCGATACCAATACCAGTCCACATGATCTGCTTAACATGAAGCATTCATCCAAGGACAATATTAATAGTCCGAACCATAGTATCGAGCACACTTTGAATAGTGCATTTAATGGAAGTGACAGCGAACCTTTCAAGAACTATATCAAATCAATAGTCGATCGTGGACAACGTGCGAACAATCACTCTGATATCCCTATGCATGATAGCAACGAAGAAGAAGATGATGATGATGATGATGAGAGTACTGTAGGCATGCATACCATGGCGCATAACGAACGAGAAGAAAAAAGTAAACATTATCAGTTACAAAGCACACCCACGATAGAGCAACAAAAGAATAGCATGATAGGACGAAAACCGCCCTTTGTTACACATATCAAAGATCAACTAAAACAGATCTCAGAAAAGGGTCGAAATATAAAAAAGATGAAGCTTGGGAACCCCAGCGTGAATCTCAGTGCAAATAATGTGATGAATGAACTAGGTTCCATTAAGAATCAAGTCAGCAAAAGCAACAAGAGGTCTAGTGGTGATGAAAATGAGAACTTGGTTGCTCATATAAAGAAGTGTTCTAGATGCAGAATGAAAAGATTACAAGAATCATCTGACGACCTCGAAAAATACCAAACATGTATGCAATGTCGTGAAAGACGTAAGGTCAGGGACCGGAAGCCGAGAGTTTTGGTGAAGTTGCCAAACTTGTCGGATGATTGGAAAACTTTTATTTCCAAGATTGAGTTGAACAATGTAATTGATTTACACCAGCATAACTACCGGGCATATACAGACGAAATCAGTTTCCCTAGGTATCAGCCGGAAGAGCTAACTATTCCTATTATTCAGTCGATTGGAGAGAGAATTGTGGAGAAATATATTCACCCGTTACAAGACGTGACAGGGTTCAAGTTTGCGGTGAGAGACCACCACAATCCGTCCTTATTTGATCACAACCGGGCAAAAAAGATTACGTGGATGTTCATATGTTCGCAGGACAAATTTAGAAGACGGAAGAGCAGGAGTGAGAACAAGAGGCAAGTCTCGAACCGGCTGAAGACCGAAGAGTGCTGTTCCAAAATAACACTCAGCTACGACCTGGTGTATGGGATAGTTCAAATAAGCTACAACCACAAGCATCACAGGCCACTGAAGGCGGTGAGCAGTGGAGAATACAAAGTGGATGGGGAGTCTTCTGAACAGGGCAACGGGAACAACAGTCTTGTCTCGTCATACACCCGAGAGCACGTGCGTCATCCTGTGATATCCACTAGAAGCGAGCAGCATGGTCACGGCGTCATAAGCATCGAGGATGGGGGCAAGGAGACGATTAAGCGGCGTGATGCCAAGGAAGATGAGGAGGAGGAGGGCGGTAAAAAGCATGACGCAGACCGGGAAGTGGTTGAGGCTGCTGCTGCTGCCGTCGCTGCCGTCGCTGCTGCTGCTTCGAGACACGGTGCCGAGGAGGAGGCGGACGGACAGTACGACGAAAGCAAGGTGTTTGACAACGAGCAGTTTGGCAGCATCAACATGCAGGTTGGAGACATCAACATGATGGGTGTTGGGGACGACGTGGATGTCGACGTTGGCGGTGTCGGTGTTGGCGTCGACGACGACGACGTCGACGTCGACATCGACGTGGACGACGTGGCCGAGATTGCCAAGTTGTTAAAGCAGGTCCAGCAGGCGCAGAGCCGCCGGCTGTCCGAGCTGAAAGAATACGAGCACGACGACGACAACGACGACGACAACCACGACGACAACCACGACGACAACCACGACGACAACCACAACCACAACCACAACCACAACGACGACAACGACGACGACAGTCACAAGCCGTCGCAAGAGCGGTCCCACGCAGCAGACCCCCGTCCGCCGAACGGCCCCAATCCGCTTGCCGACGTGAAGGACGAGCCGTCCCACTACCTCATCAACCAGAGCCTTTTGGAGCAGGTCCGGGAGCAGGTCCGTGCCCACGCTGGGATGGCAGACGTCGACGACGACCCTGTTGACGGGGTGGATGCAGTCGAAGAAGACCAAGACGTCAACGGCTCTCACCGCACGTGACGCAACCGGCCCTTTCTCGCTCTTTTCGCTGTTGCTTGGTCTGGCCTCGCCTTCTCCGCTCTGGAGCGCTGGCGGCCGCGACCGATCAGTCACTGCCCTTCGTTTCGGAAAGAACAAAGAGGAAAAGGAGGAGAGGCAGGGAGGAGTCGCCTAATCGGGGAACGGGTAGAAAAAGAGCCAGCTGCACCAGTGATGGAAGACAGGCTGACGTCTCATGGAGAGAGGGTGTCTGTGGAGGTGGACAGGAGGGAGTGTACAGACGTAGAGAGGGGTCGGAGAAGTGTACTTTTACATTTTTGTATTCTAGGAGTCAAGACAGCCTATCAGTAGGACGACAAGACAGTAGAGGATAGCTTGACGGACAAGGATGTTCAGCGTGGGCTCTAGAACCGCAAGGCGTGCCGTTGGCATGGCGAACGGCAGTCAGCTTGTGAGAAGAAGCGCTTTTCAGGGATTAGCTGGGTTGAACAGTGGCAGACTGGTTTCGACAGAGAGCGGGGCAGGCAAGAGCGGCAGCGGCGACAGCGGCAGGGCAGAAGTGCTCAAGTCGGGGGTGTTCACGTGGTCGTTCCGTGCAGTGGTGTTCTCAGGGATTGCCGGGTGGTGCTACTTGACGTGGCTGGTGTACCGGGAGTCGAACCCGGGGAGCCAGAAGCCGCAGACGGAGTTCAAGGAGAACGGGAGCCGGAAGAAGAACATTGTCATCTTGGGCTCCGGCTGGGGGGCGATCTCCTTCTTGCACAAGTTGGACACGACCAAGTACAACGTGACCATTGTGTCGCCAAGAAACTACTTTCTCTTCACCCCGTTGCTTCCGTCCGTGCCTAGCGGCACGATTAACATCAAGTCGATCTGCGACTCGGTGAGAACCATCGCTAGACAGACGCCCGGCGAGGTCACGTACCTCGAGGCCATTGCCACCGACCTCGATCCGACCAACAAGACCGTCTCCATCGAGCACAAGTCCCAGAGATTCAACATCGGTGACGCCTTCACCAACGACAGCGAGCCGATCGAGACCACCTTGCACTACGACTACCTTGTCTACGCGGTTGGCGCCACCGTCAACACGTTCGGCATCCCGGGGATCTACGAGCACGCGTCGTTCCTCAAGGAGGCGAACGACGCCACTGCCGTGAGACAGAAGCTCTTCAACCAGATCGAGGCCTCTCGGCTATTGCCTAAGGACTCCGAGGACAGAAAGAGACTCTTGAGTTTTGTCGTCTGTGGTGGTGGACCGACCGGTGTCGAGTTGGCAGCAGAGATCAAAGACTACATCTTCCAAGACTTGTCCAAGTTCATCCCGGGCATCGAGAACGAGATGAGTGTCACCTTGATCGAGGCCCAGCACAACGTCCTCTCGATGTTCCACCCACGGTTGATCGAGTACACCAAGGACGTGTTCAAGCAGCAGGGTCTCAACTTGCAGACGGACACCATGGTCAAGAAGATTGACGACAAGAACGTCTACGCAGCTTACCGCCATCCAAATGGTAAGACTGAGGACGTGGTCATCCCATACGGTACCCTTGTCTGGGCCGGTGGTAACGCTCAGCGTGAGTTGACCAAGAAGTTGGCCTCCAAGATTGTCGAACAACAGACAGCAAGAAGAGGCTTGTTGGTCGACGAGTACTTGAGATTGGATGGTGGTGACCAGATTTACGCCCTCGGTGACTGCACTTTTACGCAGAACCCTCCAACCGCACAAGTTGCACACCAACAGGGTGTCTTCCTGGCTGAGCACTTCAACAAGCAGTCCAAAATCGAAGACCTCAAGTACGAGATCGATTCGACTACAGAAGAGTCCAAGCTCAACAAACTCACCCAACGTCTCAAGCGTCTAGAGAAGAAGGACACGCCCTTCGAGTACATTCATCAAGGTGCACTTGCCTACATCGGTTCCGAGCGTGCTGTTGCAGATCTCTCTTGGGGTGATTGGTCAACCGTCGCTTTAGGTGGTACCATGACTTTCTTTTTCTGGCGGTCTGCCTACGTCACTATGTTATTGGGTATCCGTAACAAAATCTTTGTCGTTTCGGATTGGTTGAAAGTTGCTATTTTCGGTAGAGATTGTTCCCAGGAATGAGCTTAACTTACATTCCTCTATGTATCTGTTTTTGCGAAGTTGTAGTCTAGGTACAAATACTTTATTCCCATCTTCTTTAATTAGTTGTTCTACATCATTAATCAATCTTGTTAGTATAAGCGATCTATCGTATGCACTACTTCTAATTAAAATGGCTTCGCACACTTCCTCTTCTCGATCTCTCCTGTTCCAGGTGCCACCATGGTTTCCCAGTCCAACGGATACAGTAACTCTCCGTCTTCGTTTCTTGCAAAGACAACACCCAAGTCGTTGCTAGCAGTCGTCAAATAGAAGCTGGCGCCGTCACCCAAAGAAAGAACAGTCGCACGTATTATATCACCCGGCTGAAAACATTCCCAAGTTTTCACACTGTCACGCTCAGTAGAACGCACATCTTGAGACCTGATCAATGCCTTGAAGTATTCACCCGACTCGGTAGGAAGTAGGTTCAACAATTGTAAATCCTCAGATCTTTGACGTGTGTCTTCGCCCTCTCCTGTCTTTGGGAGGACACTTAAGATCTCAACATTCACCCTCTGGTGCGTTATCTTACTAACCCTCGCAAGTACCACATCACCCACCTGGGGTGTAACTGCCTTATAACTCCTGCACTTTATGTCGTTCACATGATTCTGAGACTGTTTCTCCTTTCTGGCTATCACAGATACAACTTTCACATTATGTGCAGCAGCAACTGCTGGAGACTCAGAGTCTGCAGAGGACTTATCAATTTCGTCCGTTATCACGACGTATCCCAATGTGGTGGAGACAAGTGTTGGAATATTCTGGTTGTCAAACGTAATTGATTTTAAACGAACATTTTCACCTGGTAAAAATTTTATACTTTCCGAGTTTTCAGTTGGTTGATAAATTGGCAAAATAGGTTGCCCCGGTAAAACCTTTTCTGGGTACTGTAGTGCTGTCATTTTGCTATTCCTCTGCTTGACTTCTTGTTTTCGAATGGACCAACGAGTATTAAACAGACTGGTGTGCATTTTCAATATCCCACAGTTTCAATTCATGATACAAGAACTCTTTTTCTTTGCTTACGTCATATCTATGAGGGTTTTTTTTATTTTTTTATCAGATTAACATTTTTTTTTGAAAAATTTTTTTCATTTGAAAAGTTCACTTTATTTTCCTGACATCTAAAAATTTTTCTTATATTTTATGTCCTTCTCTTCTCTTGCAAACTTTCTTCTTCTTTTCATTTCTTTCTCTCTTTTATTTCATTAAGTATTAAAAACATCACAGCATACACAATGGCTAAGGCAGATACTAAGAAGTCTAAGAAGACCGCTTCCAAGAAGCAAGAAGAAAAAGCAACAAAGGAAGTCAAGGCAAAGAAGCAAGAAGTTTCCGAATCTGGTTCTGATTCTGAATCTTCTTCTTCTTCTTCCTCTTCTTCTTCTTCATCTGAATCCGACTCTGAGTCTGAGTCTGAGTCTGGTTCCGACTCTTCTGATTCTGAATCTGAAGACGAAAAGAAGGAAGAAAAGAAGGAAGAAAAGAAGGAAGAAAAGAAGGAAGAAAAGAAGGAAGAGTCTTCTGATTCTGATTCCGACTCTGACTCTGACTCTGAGGACGAAAAGAAGGAAGAGAAGAAGGCTGAATCATCCGACTCTGACTCCGACTCCGACTCTGACTCTGATGATGAAAAGAAAGAAACCTCAAAGAAGAGAAAGGCAGATGAATCTAGCGAAGAAGAATCTACTACTGCTTCTCCAGAACCAGAAACTAAGAAAGCAAAGACTGAAGATAGTTCCGAGCCAGCTACTCTTTTCGTTGGTCGTCTTTCATGGAACATTGACGATGATTGGTTAAAGCGTGAATTCGAGAAGTACGGTGGTATTATCTCCGCTAGAGTCATCACCGACAGACAATCTGGTAGATCAAAGGGTTACGGTTACGTTGACTTTGAATCTAAGGATGTTGCTGAAAAGGCACTCGCTGAAATGCAAGGTGCTGAAGTCGATGGTAGACCAATAAACGTTGATTTGTCCACCTCCAAGCCACGTCAACAAAACACCAACGACAGATCCAACGACAGAGCAAAGAAGTATGGTGACGCTAAATCCGAACCTTCAGACACTTTGTTCATCGGTAACTTGTCTTTCGATTCTGACAGAGACAATGTCACTGAGTTCTTCGCTGAATACGGTCCAGTCATTGGTGTCAGATTACCAACCCACCCAGAAACCGAACAACTTAAGGGTTTCGGTTATGTCCAATTCTCTTCTGTTGAAGACGCACAGAAGGCACTAGACAACTTGAACGGTGAATACTTGAACAACAGAGCTGTGAGATTAGATTTTTCCACTCCAAAGCCACAAAACAACAACGGTGGTGGTAGAAGTTTCAGCGGTGGTAGAGGTGGCCGTGATAGAAGTTTCGGTGACAGAAATGGTGGTGGAAGAGGTGGAAGAGGTGGCTTCGGTGGAAGAGGTGGCTCTGGTGCCAACTCTACCCCAGTCACCAACTTCAGAGGTACTAAGAAGACTTTCGATTAAACGTCTTAGTTCAACCTGATTTCCTTGTTTCCTTTTCACACACACAATTTTTGTTTTCCAATTGAGTATCTTTTCTTTCCAAACATCCTCGTGCATGTATAAATAGTATTTTTTGTTTCCTTCACGTTGATTTTCTCGATTCGCAACACTTACTTTGAATATATTTACTTATGTAGAGTACCTACGTATCTAATCTCGACGAACGTTAGATATGCTTTAATTTAGACTAAAACTTTATTTCCGATCATTGCTGGCTTTCAAAAGGTTTAGAGTGAATTATTTCATTTGTGGACAAAGCTCATTTTTTGACAGTTATATAATTTCAGGAAAATCTTTTACGTCCTGAGATAATACCACAGAAAAAAAATTTGGATTTTCGAAGATAACATTTTCATAGAGTCATTCGACTATATGAGCCTGCATAAGACCATTATTTCTTTCTGCCGTGTAGAAGCATGCTTTTAGCTTGACCCAGTAAATCTTTAGTTACCGAGAAAAGAAGTTCCAAGGAAGATAAACAAATCGCAACATTACTTCTGTCGCACACTCTGCCGCGTCTTCCATGTTTCAGGCTTCAAAACACCTTTATATTCTTCGGTGAACATTAAAACAACAGTTTCTATTGATAGAAGGAAGTTCGATTATTGATTGATTAGGTGACAATAGTGAATAGGTAAATGCAAGGTTCTGGTCATGCTGGTCGGCGATCGCCGAAAAAGTCTTTGATACCTCAGGACCTTGATTTCCATACAGCAAAGTTGCGTTCTCCCAGCAAGCGAAGCATGGCAGAGCTTAATAAAATAGCCTACAAAAATGCCTTACGGAATCGACCTGCCTTATCTGAAGAGGCGGACTCACTTTCGATCAACGAAAAATCGGTTATCGATGAAATCATTCGATTGAGCAAAGAAGATGGCTTGAGTCCGTTACTTCGTGAAGAAGAGGGAGAGGAAGAAGAGGGGCAAGAAGAAGAAAAAGAGGAGGACAAAGACATTTTCAATGGCAAGAAAAGGAAATTAGAAAGCTCAAGCAATGCTACTGAACAATATTCAGTTTCGAAACTAATAAAACTTAATAAAACTGAAGGGCTGCCTTCATTTATTACCCCCAATGTCACTCCAACTTCCTCACCAGTGAAGCAAGAATATTTAGAGTCACCTGATACAACACCATTACGTAGAAGTGCAAGAAAGAGGTCATCCGTTCTTGAAAGGTTGGAAAGCGTATCCAGTGAGTCCTCACCAAGATCTTCTAGAAGACAATCAGCTAACTTACATTCTAAATTCAACACAATTAATGACATTATACCTAAGCATCATAGAAGCATTAAGCTCATGGAACCTCCTCAAATCGACACCAATGATGATGAGTTGCTTGTTTTAGACTCCATGTCAAAACAGAGAAATTTATATCATGATGGATTTGAGGCATATTTTGAGCAAACCCAGACTCGAGGAAGAATTTCAAGAAGCTCAATGACTAAAGCTCCAGAGCTTTCATACGAGGAGTTTAACAGGTATAATAGATTTCTTGATTTGATCTGTACTGATCCCATCAACAGCTTGAATGAATTATATGAATTTCAGTTTTCACAGTGGCTTTTCGAACTACGAGAAGGATTCAATTTGGTATTTTACGGTATTGGTTCTAAAAGAAAGCTCTTGTTTAGTTTTGTACAAGACTTTTTATTGCCTTTGGATCCACATTCGAAGTGCATTGTCGTCAATGGATATAATACAGAATTTAATTTGAGAATGCTCATGCGAGAAATTTGGAGGGTATGTTTTCATAAGTCGTTACCAACAGCAAGAGAGACGAGAGAGGCGTGTAATTTTACTCATCTAGAATTTATGAAACCAAGAAATAGAAATAAAAGGCTTTACATTCTACTACATAACATTGATGGTGAATCTCTGAGAAATGATGATTTACAATACATGCTCAGCCAGCTTGTAATTATTAGGCAGGTATCCATGATATGCTCAGCGGATAACTTAAACACGCCACTTTTTTGGGATGCATCGGTCATTTCAAACTTTAACTTCATATGGCACAACACATCGACGTTTCACAGCTATTCAACCGAAGTGAGTTTCAAAGATCCATTGAGTATTGGTAGGTCTGATGAGCTTCTTGGATCGAGAGGTGCCAGATATGTTTTGAGTTCCTTAACAGGTAATGCTAAGAGTTTATACAAAAACTTGATCTTACAACAACTTGAGAGAATTGACACATACATTGGCAATGATACAAAACTTTTGGATAATAGAGGTAATATAAAAGGCTCCCTCAAAACCTGTGTTTTTCTTAGAGACTTTTATGAATTATGTGTCACTGAATTCATTATTTCTAATGATATTTCATTCCGCACCATTTTAGGAGAGTTTGTGGAACATAAAATGTGCAACTTAACCAGAGACACATCGGGCACGGAGGTTTTATATATCTCATTTACAATCAACGAAATGGAAAAGTTATTAGACGAAGAGCTAATGGATTAATAATTTTTCGTGTATTATAGCATATGTACAACTAATTTATAGATCAACCCAATCTTGTCAATATTTTTTGAAAGGGTTTACAAAAAAAATAAGCGTTACACATCTAAGAATGTTTCTTGAACTGGAACTTGGATCTACAGAGTGGACAAGTAGAGGAACCGGAACTCTTGAACCACCTGTACAAGCAAGCAGAATGGAAGTTATGCTTACACGTTGGACAAACCTTATTTGGAGTCGAATGATCAACCGCATTTAAAATTGAGTAACAGATTGCACAATCTTCATAATTTTCGAAGTTAGCAGTAACATTGTCTTTGAAATGTTTGATAGAGTCTAAAATTGTCCCGTTCTGAAAGTTGATAACATACTGAGCTGACATGATCCAAGACTTCCATTTTTTTTCATCGACTCCGACTCTACTAATTCCATTAACTGTAATTTGAGACAAAGGAAAATTGGAAGGTAGTAGAATAGAAATTTCCATTTTCTGTTCATCAATATTATAAAGACATTTGATTTCATTAGTTTTTCTGTTAATGTTTATCTTGAATTCCGGGTCTTCAAGAACGTTTTTATCGGATAAAGTTGAAAGGATGTCATTGATCAACTCTGGACTGATAAAACGAATGATAAATTTTTCGACACTTTGCTGAAATTGTTTGTCCTTTATTGAGTTGAACCAGTTTTGAGCAAATGTTCCTCCAATATTGTTCATTATCTCATACGCCAAATTAACCAATAGCTTTTTTGTTTCCTCCTCATAATTGAGGCTTGAATTATCTTTTAGGTCATAATTCTTCACATAAGTTTTGTCATCTTCATGAACTTTGAATCGATTGATGTCCAAGTCACCAAATATGAAGTTCAAGAATAAACAAATCCTTTCTTCCCCCAAATCGCTGATATAGTCTTGTCTCATTTGCTGAGTAATGTTTTTGAAATGGTCCATGATTAAATACCATGCCCACAAATATTGATAAACTTTCCAAGGCTCCTCAAACTCAATGTAATCAGTAAGAGGGGAAGATGATATATGGAGCAATACCAGGGGTAAGTGGATTCCAGAATTTCCCTTTTCGTCAGCCTTTTTCTTGGATAAGGTGAATTCAACAACTAGGTTATCCTGAACTTCTGGAATCAATTGGTGAAGTAGAGTACATCCCAGACGTAAAATCTGTATATTTTTACTTTCCATCAAACTATAGAACTTCTGGTAGTTTTTGGCCAATGTCTTAGATTCCACCAATTCAGTTAAAATGTGTGAAAATTGACTGCATACTATCTCGATGGGCTGATTGATATGACTAATTTTTGAAACCTTGAAAAATAATTCAATAATTTCAGCTTCTGTGTCTGAGCATTCATCATCCCAATTTTCAATGTCTCTTCTGTACTTGTTCAATATTATGTACAGCTTCAATGACCAACTCAATAAGTCAAGTGGAACCTGATCTTCACTATTTACAAGATTGATCGTCTCAGAAAGGAGTTTAGCACCCAAATCGAAAACTTTAGTGATAAAGTCCGAAGGGTAATTAGAGTCGCAAACGTAGTAGATACCATCAATGTATCGTTGAATAAATTGCATCATAACAATTCTTACTGGTTTAAAGCCTTCTTCGTAAGTCACTTCGCTATCAAGCCAAGTTGAAATAGTGCTTAATAGATTTAGGCATCTCTGGGGGGAAATCATGGTAAAATTATCAGGTATGTGATTGTTCAGGTCAACGTTAATGAACGCATTCAAGATTAACAATTCTTGCATCCCATTGAAACAGATGTCGGAAGGTTTTCTTATGCTGATCAAGTTAGCAATAGTGTTGGTTCTTGTATACTCCAAATTTTTTGATGTCAAATGTTGCTTTGAAGAGTCAAGAATTGTAAATAATAAATTAGCATGATTAATGAAAGGCTTGAAGTCAATCTTTTCAAAAGTCTCATTTGGTAACTGATCTGCCTTTTCTACTAAAATCTTCTTTAATACTCTGTGAGCATAATAACTCCTCACCTGACAGTTTTCATGCAACAAAGATAAAAGATAAGTGAGGTGATTCTCATCATTTGTATCTGAGATCAGATTTTGAACTATGCTAATGTAGGAAGAGCTACCGAACAAATCGAGCAACATTGTTCTGGCAAGAGTTTGAAACTCAACTATTTTATCCTCATATATTGAAGATAGTGTCGTATTCAAAAAAAGGATGTCTGACGAGAACTCAGAGACCAGCGATAAATTGATAATATTGGTCTCAGTGATACTGTCACTCAAAGTATGAATCTTGAACAATTCACCGTAGAAAACTGCTTTATTGATAATTGTTTTGGCATGTTCAAAATCGATTGCTTCTGAATTCTTGTAGTTTTCAGTAAATAAATAAGAAGAAAGATCAAATGCGTTTCCAATGCACAAAAGGTTGCTTAATTTAAATTGAGATATCTCTTTGAGTTCATCAACATTGGACTTTTGAATGATGTTTTTGATGAAAGCTTCCGGAAGCTTTGCCAATCTCGATTCCAAAGAGGAGAATTCAAGATCTGATTTTCCAATTGCAGTTAGAAGAGAGTTTTGGTATAGCTGTGCGAATGTATCATCAGAAACTAGGTTTTCCTCGAGCTTATCAAGTAGCACCGAGCCAGCCAAATAATCTGTGTCATCTGAATTATTCTTTTTCATGATGATAGATAAAAGCTGTTCAATAAATTTGGTATTTTTTTTGCTGAAATTTAAGAAAAGATTATTGTCATAATGTTTGGAGCAATTTAAAATAAAAGAAGAAAAACTTTCGTGTTGATACAAATTGAGCAAGATTTCAAGAGTTAGGAATTGGTAAAGGGAACCATGGTCTTCATTACCGATATTTCCAGATGTGTTTCCCTCTCTTGATAAGGACTTTGAGTTTTCAACTAAATAGTTATTTAGCTTGGTTGCTTCATGTAAATTGAAATGTCCTAGATTTGGAATAATCTTGAGTAGTTTATTAACGAGATTAAGCTCCTGCAGACTAACGAACGTCTGATTTATTAAAGAGTTAACAAAATGTTCATCAGCAAAGCTGGAGTGCGAATATAGTGCCAATGTTTCTAAAGGACAATCAACGAAAGTTTCTGAAATCTGCTTCGGTATAGTTTCAACAAATGAATTTATTGGGTCAGAATATTGAACGGCATTCTTTTTAATGAGAATGTTTATGACTGTAAACGATAGTGTAGGAGATACCGACGGTGTGCTGATTTCTTCTACAGCCTCAATAGAATTTGCCATCAAAACTTCCTCCAAATCTGATTTGTTCGAAACAAATAGGTTTATGAATGATTCCACAAAACATCGGGTGTTTTTTACCGTATAATTAGCAAAGTCTCCAAAAACAATGTGTTTATCAGGAAGAGCGTCCATAACGGACGAATTGACATCCAAAAGAACATCCTTGTTATCGTTTGCAAACGTATGTATTTCATGCATCAAACCAACGAGTATCGGTGACAATACTCTTGGCGAGTCCATGAGTTTGACTAGTGAGAAAGTGAACTCATCAAGAATTTTATCAGAAACCTTACTTCCAGTAACCAATGTTTGGATTATGCTGATCATAACCTTCCAACCCTTTTCCAGAAACTGGACAGTTTTTTCCTTCTCTACACTTCTCATAACGGCATCAAAATATGGCTCCACCATGGATGGATCCTTCAAATCCAATACTTCAGTAGGTAGTGTCTTTAGTAACCTGTAGACTATATCATAGTAGATCGGTTCACTATTGAGGGACCCGATCTCCAATAATGATAGCAATTTCGCATCGGCCTTTTTGATATTCGACCAGAAAGCAGGGTTATACGAAGTGGCGCAAACCCACGTGTCCATTATGGTTATTATAACATTTGAATAAAGTATCACGTTGACTTTGGAGTCAAACTTAATACCCTTGATCATCGCCTTTGAAAGAGCCTTGTAAGAGTGCTGGTCGATGATCGACTCCACATGCTTGGATATCACCAACGATTTGAAGGCCATGTAGGCTGATTTTTTCAAACTGAAGTCTTTTGAGCTGAAGGCCTCCATAAGAGTTTCCTGGCTGAATATAGACTTCAACAGACTTGTCGCATTTTCATTCAACGAGGCAACGTCATTTTCAGCCAAGGTATGAACAACAAGCAGAATGGACGCTTGAAGCACACGCAAGTACTTGGCCTCGCTTTCGTCCTTTGTTGAAAATCTCTCATCAGAGAGGGTATCCTTGGTTTCGTAGGCCAACACCTGATGGGAGTAATGCACGATCTGCGGGGTGAAAATCTTCCAAAGGTTTGAGATTTTCTCCTTCTTGTGTCCAAACGCAAAATCAATCGATTCTCGGCATGCCCTGGCTGTCGATCTATCCGTGTCAAATACCCCGGACAGCCACACACCTATCGTATCCCGCAAATATTTCACGTATGCCTTCCCCAACGTGAAGACAAACTGGGACTGGATCTGATGGGCTGAAGAACGCACCTTTTTCGAGTCGTCTATGGAGAGCTTCGGGTACATCTGTACCCACGTCATGATCGTCAAGTCGTCATTCAGCTCTGTCGGATTCCCCCGCACATACTCAAGCATCGTGCTGATCGACTTCTCTTTCGTGCTGGAGTCTCTCTTCAACAATGACTTGAATGCCAGCTTAAGTGTGTTTGAGCATAGTAGTAAATTCGGATCTGGGATACCTGTGATGTAGTTCAGGGAAACTTCGAACCCGTTGGTCCCCAGTCCTGTGTGTTGTGTATCTCCAAAAGCAGTGCTCATAACAATAAGAAACTAAGCAACTGGCCAACAACCAGACCCGACTCAAATAGCTGCTTCCCGTTGAGTTCTTCAGGATGGCAATGGTCTTCATTTCTTCATCATCTCCATGCTCCGAAAGCGGATGAAAAATTCACATTCGGAAAAGGTCCCCGCTAAGCCGATCGGCGCAGCACAGCCCGAAAACTCACGGCCGGACGATAACCCGGTTGCCATTTTCGGGAATAGGTAAACACGGATTATGTCAACACGAACGGCAATTGGACTTCTCAAAGGGGAAGGAGTGCCCCAGCTGGAGACTCTTGTGACAGAGGAGAACGCACGGAACAGGAAGAGAAGGAGGAGTTGTTGTTGATGGCAAAAGGTCGGGCCGTGTTTGGATACAAGACACGGTTGACTGGCAGATCGGAGGGACCAGAGCTGGCTACATAGACAGGTTTTCTCATTGCTAATTCGGCTTACGGTACAGTGTTGTATTGTTGATACGGGCCTATTTATTTCCCTCTGCAAAATCCCTGAACAGAGCTCGACACGCAAGCGTACAACGGAGTAGTGTGTATCTGTGACTCGGAACGAAAACGAAACAACAAAATGGGAAAAGAAGAGATTGCGCCGATCGAGTTTTTGAAGGGCAAGATCTACTTAGTGGTAAGTGACGAGAAACCGGAAGACACAGACGAGTTTGTGTACTTCACGATAGAGGACTCGCTTCCATACAACAACTTCAACCTGGACTTTGGTCCTCTACATGCCGGACACCTGTACAGGTTTGCGGTGGCGTTGCACAAGATTCTCAACGAACCGAAGAACAAGAGCAAATGCGTTGGTTTTTACTCCTCGAACGACTCGAGGCAGAGGACAAACGCAGCCTGCATCTTGTGCTGCTACATGGTGCTGGTCCAGAATTGGGCCCCACACCAAGTGTTGCTTCCGATAGCACAGGTGGATCCGCCGTTCATGCCTTTCCGAGATGCGGGGTACTCGCATGCGGACTTCGAGCTTACCATCCAAGATATCGTTTACGGAGTATGGAGGGCGAAGGAGAGGAACTTGTTGGACATGAGGTCATTCAATCTCGAGGAATACGAGCAGTACGAAAGAGTCGACCAGGGAGACTTGAACATTTTGGCCAATGACTTCATACCGTTTGCGTCTCCGAAGCAATCAAGACCCGGTGCTCCATTGAACGAACCCTTTAAGAAGGTTTTAGAGTTTTTCACCGAGCACGACGTCAAGCTAGTTGTCAGGTTGAACTCCCACCTGTACGATAAGAGGGAGTTTACGAAGAAAAACATCCAACACGTGGATATGATATTTGAAGATGGTACGTGCCCGTCGATGGAGTTTGTCCAGAAGTTCATTGGTGCTTCGGAGACCGTGATTTCCAAGGGGGGGAAAGTCGCTGTTCATTGCAAAGCTGGATTGGGCAGAACTGGGTGTTTGATTGGGGCTTACTTGATCTACACCCATGGCTTCACTGCAAATGAATGCATTGCTTACATGAGGATGATCAGGCCGGGAATGGTTGTTGGACCACAACAACACTGGTTGTACTTACATCAGAACGAATTTAGAGACTGGAGACACACAATGGTCTTGGACACAATCCCAGACGAGTTCATTGGAGGTCTTTTCCCTCTCATCTCTTACGAAGAGTATAAAAAAAGGGAACAAGAATACGAAGCCAATCCAAGTGAAGAGTCCAGTGACGATCAAATGAATTTCAAAAACGATCAACTGATCAGAACTCCAGTCAGAAGGAGAAAGATTTCCAACGGTTTGAAAATCATGACAAAAGCAGTCCCAATGGCAAGCCCAGGTCAACCTAGAAAGTACAGGTCCTTGGATAACCCTGTACAGGCATATGCCAACTCAGACGAAGAAGAAGCTTATACTTCCACCATCAACCAGACACACAACCAAAGTACAATAGAAGACAAAGAAAACAAGGAGAGCAGGTCCAACAATGGCTCCCCATATTATAAAAAAACCACCACCACAACTACAACTACTATGATCGCTCCTGCTAGTTCGCCTGATACCAGTGGCAGAGTGAAAGAGGATCCTAATTTTCTCAAAATCGGCAAGCAGAGGAAAACAATCGTGCATGCTGCAAAACCAAGATCCCGGGTTTCTAGCTCCGAAAAAATTATAGGTGGTTCAGGCGTTCGCAAAGCCTCTTCCAGTAAAAAGACGTCGTACGTTCACATGTAGATGAGAACAAATTAACGGGGTCCTAGTTTTGAAGACTGTCCTGTTAGGTGTAGTTTTATAGATTGTCGATAGAAATCAACTGACATAATCCTGAAATGTTCGCGAAGCTTCCATACTTTCCTTCCCATGAAAAACATGACAGTACTTTAATAGGGGAAGGTTTCCTGTCGGAGTTGAAAGATGGGTCCGGCATCTCCTTGAAGCTCACAGAAAATAAACACCTCCTCCACTGAGAAGAGGGGCTGGATCGCTAACTATAACAACTAATGTTTGCATCCACAGTTTCCAACAAACCAGTGGCGGTGGCACAGCCTATTTCTCCCCAGAAACAGATGATTGAATTTAAACAGGTGCCGATAAAACAAGTATATCATCTCTCTATCTTTATGCTACCCAATGTTCAATTTGATCCGGATTACACAGCTTTAGTTTACTATCAGATTTTGCCTGAAATTGATAGTACCGGAAACCAGTCTTTAAGTAATACTCAACAAGTTGTTCAAAATGATTTTAAGTTATTGGGGTTTTTGAATGACTTAAAGCAAAGCGCAATCTTTAAACTAAATCCTGGAAATATAGACACACCAGTACTAGCAGGTGCAAACGACGAAGGCGACATTGATATGGAATCTGGTATTTCTGAACTCGAAGAGCTTGAAACTGTCACAATGATTATAGGTATTAGCATTGAACCTAACCAAACGGCCACTCAGCAGTTAGACTGTTTGAGAGTCACAAGAGATTACAACACTAGTACGCCTGCACCGGCTGTGAAAAGTACTAGCACTGTCGCCACACCGTCGCAGTCTGAAATATATGCAGTTTCGAATAAGATCATCGGAAATGCCTACAATTATCTTTCCTCTTTCACGGATGAGCAAAACAAAGTAAGTATAAGCAAGTTTAACAACTGGTGGGACAAGTTTAGGGTTAAAATGAGAAACGATCCGAACTATTTACAGACGTTGGAGTAATATATATGTATAGATGTAGGTATTTATAGAGGTAATGCATAGTACCGGTTCATAAGACGTGTGGAGCTTATTCGGAACCCAAATATTTGTCAAAAGCAACTACTCTCTCATTCACTTCTGCTGGGCCTAACAGCTCAAGAATAACGGGAAGGTTGATACCAGATTGTGGGCCACTCAATGCGTATCTTAATGTTTGAAAAACCGCCCTTTTTTTCAAGGAAGGAATATCTGCTAGTATTTCACCAATTGTGGCATTGAAGCTTGAATGTGTAAGCTTATCTAAATGACTAACAAGTTCCTGCGATATTACTTTCAAAACGTCTTCATTTACTCTCAACTTTGAAAGCAATTCACTTTTGTCATATGCAGGTTTTACAAAAAAATAATGGTATTGCTCAGTATCAAAATCATTTACCGTTGTTAGACTTGGATATATCATCTTCAAAACTTCTTCAACCTTGGTGACATCTAAATTATCAAGTTTTAACGTTCTGGACAAATTTTGATGACTTTCAGCCACACAGGTTTTGAAAAAGTCACTGGAGGAATCTTTCAGCTTCTCAGATAAGTAGTGCTTGTTGAAAAAGTCTAATTTTTTCCAATCGACTTTAGCGTTACCTTTAGTCAAACCACTCAGCAACCATGTTTTTGTTAGTTCATCTAATGTATGAATTTCACTGGTTTTCTCGCCTAATTCTCGCTTTGGATTCCAACCGAATAGAACACTGAAATTGACCAAAGCCTCAGGCAGGTAACCTTTTTTTTTCAATGACATGATATCAATGTCACCGGACCTTTTGGAAAGCTTTTTACCACTCACAGTCGTCAATAGAGGAATATGAACAAAATTCGGTTTTTCCCATCCAAATGCGTTGTATAATGCTATATGCTTGGGAGTGGATGCGACCCACTCCTCACCTCTGATAACATGTGTGATCTTCATCAAATGGTCATCAATCACGTTGGCAAAATGATAAGTTGGCAATCCATCGCTCTTCAACAAAACAGGATCCTCGTATCTACGGTCAGTTGGATTTACTTGCGGCTGCAAGTTTATTGTACCGTGTAAAAGATCTGTAAACTCAGGATAAGAATCTGGCGATTTGAATCTAATTGTAAAGCTTTTACCCCCTTTAGCAAGGAGGTTGCTTTCCTCCAATGATATGTGTTCAAGACAGTGTCTATCGTAGGAAACCGTAGTTGGAGGTTTCAGCAATCTAGCAGAGTCTCTCAAGCCATCTAGCCTTTCTTTAGAACAAAAGCAACGGTATGCTAAACCTTCTTGCAATAACTTATCAGAGTATTTCCGATATATTTCTGATCTCTCACTCTGGCGATATGGAACGTAGGGACCACCAACAATCGGTCCTTCATCTACACCAACATCAAGCCATTTCAAAGTGTCGTATATGTTGTCCTCTGCACCCTCAACAAGCCTGTTTTGATCGGTGTCTTCTAGACGTAATAAAAATTGTCCATCGGTTGATTTAGCTAAAAGATAGTTGTATAGGGCTGTTCTCAAAGAACCTAGATGTAGAAATCCCGTAGGTGAAGGCGCAAAACGTGTCCTTACAGGATAATCCGGCTGCACAAGCAAAGGGGAGTGTTTGTGGTGCGAATGTTCATGTTCATGATGATCTGTACACTTTGAATTCCCGGTTCCATCAGATTTGTTTTCTTTCAAAATGGTCCGCAAATTAAATGCCAAGTTGGCAGATGATTTATGGAAGTGTCTTTTTGTTATAAGCATCAGTGATTCGCTCAAATTTTGAGAACTACTATCCTCGAGTAGTGAAGCTACTTTGCCCTGACCCACTCGGAAAGGTTAGTGTCATGTTCAACGCTCTTTACCGGTTATGCAGAATGAAGAAACTTCGAAATAAATGATAGTAGGCCATTTAGCCCAAATTGGAAGGTGAGCCGAAAAGGAAGAAATGTCTCGGTGGAAAAATCTTTCACCTGATATGAGTGATCTGAACTTCTTCGATGATCCATCATCGATCCTTCAGACTTCACTTTTCATTCAAAAGTGGACGAGTACTGCAAGTTACAAGTTAACTGAAATTTTTAGAACTTGCTATAACTGTTTTTTGAAAGACTGGTTAGGGAAAAGAAAATATTTCACGAGCGCAAGATGGAAGGACCACAGATCAGTCAAGTAGAATTACAGAAAAGTAAGGCAGCTCTTCAGAAAGCTAGACTTTCAAGAGCCTACCTCGATGCTGCAAAATCATTTGGGGTTGAGAAAGACATGGAATTTTGTCCATGCTTTGACATGTCTACTATAGAATCTCCAGCAGCTACCACAGGATATCCTGCATCTATGGGCATGAGACAGCAGAACTCGTACATTGATTCTGAATCTATCTTCAAGATTCTGGCTGCTGCTGGAAATGTTAGCACCATAAAGAACAATAACAATAGTGTTTCCAGCAGTGCCAACCAAGCTAAGCTTAGTTTGAAGGAAATTAAGCAAATGGGAATCAATAACAAACACAACATTGCTGCCAGAAACAAATACTACGGTTAAATGCTTCCCTTTTTTTTCAAATATTTATCAATTCACTCATCATATTCTTCAATAGTTTGACTCGACTCACGAACTCGCCTTTTCTTTCTCTGCTATAAACATATTCAAAAAAAACATAATGAAACGACGCCATATGTTCCATGACCTGTTGGGCTAATACTCCTTGATTTTTTCCTAATAATTTAATTTCCCAATTCCTAATTCTTCTATATATTATTATTACACAGGCTCAACTATATAGTATATACTCATACAAAACCGCCCTTATACATTGTGTTCCGGTTTGTATAAAAAACATATCCCTAATGATTTTTTTTTTGATCATTTCAAAAGAACTAATAAAACCAATAGGACAAAAGTTAGGATGATAATACACATCCAATCCCCCCGTTTCTTCAACGCATCTCTGTATTGCTGTAATTTATTGGTGGAACGAATCAACCTGCTGTTGGAGCTTTCAATTCCCCTTTCCAAATCGTTCAGTAACACAAATTGATCGCTAGTTTCCCGATTAATATGCATAGATATTTCTCGTTGCTGCTTGATTGAATTGTGCAATTCGTCCAGACGGTCATCCTGGTGTGAAAACTGTTGTTGGTTGTGAATGAATATCTGCCTGTTAGACAGATCAATAGGAGGGTTATCAATCTCCGAACTGTCTGGATCCATGGTTTCGAACAAGGAATCTTTATATCGCCCGTTGCCGTTTCCGCCGTCGTTAATCTTATTATTTTGGTTATCGTTGTGTATGTCTAACTCTTCATCTATGTCATCTTTGTAGGGCTTGAATAACTTCGGAGGTGAAGATTCAATTAACTTCTGCTTGAAACGCACCGACTTGTTCTGCTGCATACTGGCCATTGGATCAGCAGAAGCAGTGATTGTTACACCTTCTTCTTCATCAGATTCATTGGGTTGCTCTATGTTGTCACGGTACCTTCCGGAGTAAGGAAATTCTGATTTATTCCTTTCCGGTATGAGAAATTCAGCAGGAAGCTTGAACTCCGTTAATTCCTTTTTCTGGCTCTCGTCTAATGCCAACCCCGAGAACAATGAATCTACCGATCTTTCATATTTTGCCACCAACGTGTTGAACTTCACCGCGTCATCATTATCGGGCGAACTAACTTTCTTTTCTAACGCCTCACGGAGTTTGACAAATAAGTTATGCAAAGACTTTAGAATAGACTTTAACTCTTCCAGAGCTTCCTTATCCACACTTGTGGAGTAAGAAGACGATAAGGTAACTTGATCTTCCAGAATGTCTTGCAGCTGGGCAATTTTGTCTGAAACCTGCAGGAAAAGTGGATGCTGCATTTTTGACTAGAAGATAATAGTGTGACTGGAGCTCTCTCTTGCGGTTTTGAGTCCTCCGCTAATTGGCTGGCTCTTTTCCGTTGTAGACTTCTTCCGATTGCCTATGTAAACCGCTGCCATTTCAAACTATAGGCTTACAAACATGTCGATCTCACTCAAATCACGACACAGTCAGGTGTTGTAACAGTTCACCCGTGCACCTTTTTAGAAAAAGATACAACTGCACAACACTAGAGTATGTCGTGCCACGACATTATTTTTCTGCAACGCCATCCACTGTCTCTAAGGTGCATCACTACAATAGAAACTAAAGAAAACTACTGAGCACACCGCCACACGATGCACTCCCACTCGGTGCACTGCGAATTATTGGCCAAAATGCACGGGAAAAAGAAAAAACCGTCACCTGCACATACTGGCAAATTGTATCTCAGATGCATACTGGAATCCGGCTGTTTGCCGATAATTTCTGTCTCTCTCCATATCGTGACCCCCAAAGATCAAGACATATACATACATACAGTTGTCTGAGAACCTCGATTCACTTTTTGTGCCCTGAAGACTTCATATACGTGTGTTTGTGTCCAACCTTCTTCACAAAAAACAGATCCCTTTCCAATCCCGTGGATTTCCTCTTCAGACCAATACATCCCCCTACTTTCACAGGAAGACATCAATTCCTCACACAATTGTCTTGGCTGTTTGAATGGCACTTGTGACACAACACTTTTCTGTCTAACACGACCGACTTAGACGACCACACTACCGACAGAGCCATATCTTTTGGGACACCCTTGTTGCAGGGATAGACACATTCTCTACCTTCTGGCTCGCTACGAACCGACCTATCACAGTTGCACCATCCAAGCACAAGCACATTAGATACCACTTCATCCAACAACAAAGTTAATTCCTTTGAAATTCTTTTTCTCTGTCAGCATATTCTCTCTTTTTCCATTTATTCCTCTCCTGGTTTACCTTTACTCTGCTATTAATAATTTAATTATATTCCACCTAGTTATTCCAATTCAACGTTTCTCTTCATTCATAAGAATTTTCCATCTTTCTTACATTAACAACTACATCCTGATAAATCCAACAAGATGTCAGCAATATGGCCTTTTTTCAATCATTCCTTCTCCAACGCCAATATCAATAAGATCTTGAACGAGATTGAGCAAGATGCTTCAAGACGAACATCACAGGCCACAATCACATCTGTCCTGACTGCTACGTCAAAATCAAGCGGTGCAAAATCAGCCGCAACCCAAGGCTTGAGCTCGTCTCCAGTGCATACCTCGACTTCTGCGTCAGCACCCATCTCGAGTACAAGTGCAGTGCCGATATCATTTTCTGCATCTTTACTAAATAGTGGCAACAGTAACGGCACCAACAATTGCAGCAACGTCAATGGCTCGAGCCATGCTAATAATAATAGCAACAGCCCCATAGACAGCTCTCCTTCAACTGCTTCGCTTTCTCCCCATGTGGCGTATTCTCCAAATACTACCCAATTCAACATAACTGCTTCTCAATTATTGCATTCAATTCAAAACAATTCACCATCACCATCACCTTCTCCTCTTTCGAAAATAACCAATAGCCCTTCCACGCACAACCCAAATGATATACCTTCTGCTGAGGGCACTAACAATAATAATAGGAAAGATAGCAATACATTCGGTAACTTGAATTCAAAGAATGGAGTGAACAAATCTTCTGCTGAAAGCTCAACAGGTTCAAGTACTAAAAGTAAATATCATCAGTTGACAGGAAATTCCTCACCTCAAATTGAGCCACTGCAATTTCCTAAAAGCAATATAAATGTGTATCTTTTCAACAAGTTATTAGACCAGCCAAATTTGATTGATGAGATAAACTTGTCTAAAAACCAAAAGTTGATAAACTACTTGTCACAAAAAGATGTTATCAACACAATGTTTGAATATATTCTTTTCTCCATGAAGCTCTCGAAATACTCAAATGCATCAGAGCTTCCAACAGAGTACTTAACTCATGATATTTTTGTATCATCAACCAGTAGCTTTGACCACTCAGCAAACAATTCGAATGATGATTTCTTGGAGAATACCTCCACCAATAATGATAATAATGATACTAATGAAAATATTAATGATAGCGAGACCAATGAAAACGAAAATGAAAATGGCAACGAAAACGAAAATGAAGATGCGGATAAGCTTCAAAGTGCATTGCAAAGGGCCACTGTGATTTCAGAAATTATGATTTTACCAAACTCAAATATACATCAAACTTTGTTGACAAACTTTGATATATTCACTACCCTCTGGAGAGGTTTTATGAACAATGATCCAAGGTTCTATTTTAAGAATATAAAATTGATTGAGACCCCTGATGATGACAAACCTGCATACAATATCACTGGTCTAGAGACCTCTCCATTCGAGAGTGACATCAAAGTTGATACTACTGATTTACAGAAGTTATCTGAGCTGGAGGAGTCTAATAATTACATTAGCCTTAGAGATTCACATGAAATTATAATGTTTAATAATTTCTTGAAGTTTGTCGATGACCTAGCATTAATAAATATAGGCGGCTTTATGAACTTCATCAGGTTTGAACAAGAATACAACTGTTTGACTGATCAGTTTGTTAAATTCATACCGTATTCACAGACCGTTTGCGATTTATTAGTGAGACTGATTTCTACTGATAAGCCGTATAATTCAAATGGTTTGATAACTATTTTGATTGACCAACATTTAATTCTGAATTTATTGAAAATTTGCAAGAAATATTACTTGGATCATCAAGTTCAAGACAACGTTTGCAACCTGTTGAATGGGATTGTTGGAATTAGTTCCAACATTGGGTTCTGGGAGGATCATATCCCTGTGAATAACAACGGTGGTAATAACCAAGACGAACAACCGGATGCAAATAATAACAATCCTAACATTGGGCCTAATGACCTCACTCGACAGTTAGTTTCACAAGAGTGCACAGAAGAAATGCTTGACATAATTTTAACTCATGGAAACTACGGCCTTGTGACAATTGTGTCTGTTATAATTGAGGTAATTCGCAAAAACAATTCTGACTATGATGAATTTGACTGGATATCCTCTGTTAATTTTAACGATGAAAATAAAAGTATGCCAAGCTCAAGAGATCCAATATATCTTGGTAATCTGTTGAAACTGTTTTCGCTGAATTTGGACAAAATTGTGCAGACTTATCTGACTGATGGCTATTATGATTTTAAAAAACTGGACTGTCTTAATAGTTCAATAGGTCATAAAATTGAGCCTTTGGGTTACGAGAGGTTCAAGATAATGGAATTAATTGCAGAATTGTTGCATTGTTCGAATATGATTCTGATGAATAAATCAATTGAATTGGATAAGCTAATCTACAAAAGAGATTCTTTACGAGATATAAAGAAAACTGAGCAACTGGTTAGTGATGCAATCAATGGGCTTATCATCAATAATGATGTGAGAGGTGAAGACGACGAAGCGAACGATAATGACAGATTATCACTCAAAAGTACTAGCACTATTCCATACATTGAGATACCGTTAGAATTATCTGTGGGTAACTTCTTCAAATATCAGTTACTGACGACTAATGCAATCCCTCTGATAACCTTGAAATTGGTCAAATTCCCATGGAATAATTTCATGCATAATGTGATTTTTGATTTAATCCAACAAATATTCAATGGAAGGTTGGCAAATTGGGATGAAGATAGAGCAGTTAACCAAGAGGAAACGATTTTTGACGACAACTTAAGTTTAAACAAAATTTTAATCTGGTCACTTTTTGGTAATTATTCTGACTTCTTCAATGGTAACGATAACGATGACAGCGTTGATATCAGTGCTGGGCCAACATTTTACAAGGATTATGAATGCAAAGACAAAGATTATCCTGGATATTTCAATCTATCATTATTCATAGTGTATTCCTACAAATTGTCAAATAAGCTGTACAAAGCGTCCAATTTCAGGTTCGGCTACATGGGTCATCTTACATTGATTGCCGAAGAGATTCACAAGTTTCAAAGTTATGTTGAGAATTTTGGACTGACCAAAAACGAAAATGCTTTTGGTTTACATAAGGAGGCTGAAGATGATATTAGGCCCTTTTACTTAAAGAGCAGCTACTTTATTTTCAACGAGTTGTACGAATCTATATTTGAACACAAGGGAGATTTCCAGCCTTGGCTTGATTTCGTTAACTCCGAGCTTAGGGAAATCAGCTCGATGTACAACAAAGTTTTAGGCAACCCCAACGAGATTGAGGCTGAAATGACTAACCAAGAAGATTCACACAACTTTGAGAAACACGACAACCAACTTGAAGAATCATCCACTGTTGCTCGTGTCAACTCAGAGGAAAATGAAAATCCTCATCTAGGATTGAGCAGTGAACAAGTTATGGCGAATCTGGATATCCAAGAAACTCCAAAGGCCCGGAATGCTATTATATTGGACAACGGAGATAGCGACGAATTTCGAGAGAACATAGGAGACGACGAAAAAGACGTCGGTGCAGATCATGACAAAAAGAGTTCTAATCCTATTTATGATGACGATCATCTCGATGAAAACAGCCCCAGTGAAACCAACAATGATTCTTATCAAGCATGATATTTGGTATCCTCAAAAATGATGGAAGCAATAACGAAAATCAAATAAACAAAAATGTTAACGATAGATTTATGATAACTTTAACGAATAATGACTACAAGAAACATTCAAAACAACTCCCCCTCCTCCCCCCTTTCTCTCTATTTCCCTCTTATCTTTTAAACTTTATAGTATGTAAATAAATTTCTGGCATTTTTTTTACACACAATGCATAGATATACACGGTGGACACCCACCAGTATCCGGCGTCAATCAAACAACAGCCGAATAAGACCCCTTCTAATTAAAGTTTCACAAACTGTGTCTAGGAACAACTCAGATGATAGTGGACGCCCACTGTATAATGTGGATTCGTATCTTCGGATTAAAAACCGTCTTTTTACGAGTACTGTTTCACATTCTCTGCCCCTATGAGCTGGCCTTTAATATGGCAGCATTACATGTCGCATCAAGTGGAAGTACCGGACAAAGCCTTAGGCTCCGGTATCACAGCCTCACAAAATTGGCTGCGGCTATCCACCAATGAGAAACGCAATAGAGCTGGTTTCACAATAGACTCACGCGCTTGCATCAGAGAAGCGGCTAACTCATTGCAGATGGATCTCCATCTGGAAGTCCCGAAAATTAGCTGGCCTGCTGATCCAAACCATTCCACTCTGGCAGCAGGAAATTTGGGATGACCATGTAAGAGTCGGATTCTTCGATTAGATCCGTCTGTGGAGGGAGCATGGATCGCCCATGTGCTGCAAGCATTTTCAAGGAGCATTGTGCCCGGTGTCTTCTGCCACCGATGGATGAGGCGGAAACGAGATCTGGAGGCATCATACCGTGCTTTGACTATTTAGTGAACAAAGAGCTGTGGCAACTGGCCCCACCGATCCCCGAAGGGGGGAAAGATTTTGCTTAAAACACTAGCTCACCTCCAAACTGCGCTGTTAATTTCTTGATGTTATTTGCTACCTCGTCGTCGTCGTACTCATCGGTTCTCCCTGTGGGGTTACTATTTCCATGACGGAAATTGTGTGGCTCGGAAGTCTCGGAATAGGAGACAATGGTATCTGTGTCGTCGCCGTGTACGTGGACGTTTCTAGAAGTTCCGCCACTAGCCTCCAATGCTGGCCATTTGGAGTCATCGAGAAGTGGATTCTTTCTTCTGGTGCCAAAGGTCGAGCCCTCGTAGGAGACAAGAGATGTTGCATCAAAGGATGTAGTCGATCTCGTGGGTTTTGAATTAATGAACTCGTTGTTCTTCGGCTGGAATCTGGTCAACTGTATAGATGAAAGCTGTAGATTGTCGATCTGGCCCTCAACTAAACAACCTTTACCCCGATAAAAGGTAAGTAAATGGTTCCACAACTTATCTCTGTTCAATGCCTTGGGGTTACCCAATATCATTAACCCATACTTTGCACGGGTCAATGCAACGTTCAAACGACGTGGGTCACGCAAGAAACCAATCAGCTGCTGCGAGTTTGCTCTGACACACGAAAGGATGATGTAGTCCTTTTCACGACCTTGGAACGCATCGACAGAAACAACCTCAATATCAGCGTACATGTCCTTGTTGGTTGATGCGGAGTTCATTTGCATGTACTGTAGGATGTAGTTTCTTTGACCCTCGTAGGGTGTAATGACTCCAATCTGCGAAGGCTTGACGCCGTCTTTAAACAACCTGGTGACAATTCTTTCGACATTCATGGCCTCCACCCTATTCAAGTAGGAGGTACCGCTGACTGAGATTTCTTCCCGTCCGTAGACAGCCCAGAACATCATTGGGGTATCCCTGATGGGCCAGGGGAATGAAGAGTTGAAGACTTGTCGATCTTCGTTCGTAATACCGTTCTGCAAACTACCATCATAGAACATGTTACTTGGAAACTCACTTAAGCACGGGTGCATACGATACTGGACCTCTAATCTGATCGGCGTATGACCCAACACAATCAGTCTTTCAAACAACGATTGTCTCAAGCCTGCCTCACTAGCCTTTTTGTTGAGAATGACCGGTCCCAACTGCTGGTGATCACCGACTAGGATGAGCTGCTTGCAACCTTTGACAATTGGAATCAAACTCTCTGGCTCGGCAGCCTGGGTAGATTCGTCAATCAAAACAGTTCGAAACTTGTGTTTATCCAATCTTTTATCTTTAGCACCAACACAGGTGCAGCAAACAACATCACAGGCATTGAGAATTTCACGCTCATACCTTCTCAAGTACGAAAAGTAAGTGTTGTTGTCTGATGAAGACAATTCACCCAACTCTTCCTTTAACTTTATCAACTTCTTAAACTCACCCTTTGCCTTCTTCTTGACCAATTCGTGCAAACAGAACTTTGTGATACTGGAGTCGACATCTTCTCTACTTTTGGCAACCAATCTCACAACCCTGATACCCATTTTAGTCAACTTTTCAGTTAAATGGTCAACAGCGACGTTTGACGGAGCACACACTAAAATCTTTTCTTTCTTATACATATGGCTCAAGTGGTAGACGATTGTTGCTGAAGTAACAGTTTTACCGGTTCCCGGAGGACCTTGAATTAAGGTAAGTGGAGATTTCAAGGCAGTTTCGACGGCATAGAGTTGAGAAGCATTCAAACTTGGCATCTTCGGTATCGACAAATCATCTGGTAAATTCACTTCAAAGAAAACATCAGGAACATCTTGTCCCAGCAGCTTGAAACAAAGGTATTCAGATATAGACTTGGAATCAAGAGCAAATACTTTCATTGCATCCTGCATTCTTTCATACGATGTGCCCTTCCAAACAAACTCCGCAGTAAACCTGTTGGTAATGTGAATTGGTGGCTTCTGCTGCTTTGTAGAATGAATCATTTCCAAGGTGTATTCTTCTTGGCGTGCATCTGGTAGTCTGATAATATAACCTGAACCTTCCCAGGGAGAGTCCATCTCTGGGCCGTCATATCTCAAAATCATTTCATCACCGACCGCAACTTTCAGATCGGCAGAGTCAGAGGTTGAAAAATAAAAGGACGCTAAATGTTTGTTGTTCAACGATAAGGACCATTCAACCGATATATAATTCAAGCCTCTGCTTTCTTTCATCGCCTTGTCATAATCAGCTTCTATCTTCACCAAAGGGGCGAAGGACCTCTGGTATTGGTAAGGATCGGTATAGCGCATCAAGATTGGAGCTATTTCAACCTCTTTTTCTTCTTCTAAATCGTCGATAGTAGCATTCTTATCGAGTCTCCATTTCATTTCAAGTTTGATTATTTGGTCATACGTAATGGATGACGCATTGATTAGATCTTCGTCTGTAGGGTAATGTGCAACCCAGGACAAAAGCTGACGATCTTCGATCAAGGACTGCCACTCCGTTGTATCCCAGTTCGAGTCTTTCTGCTGTGCACAAGGCAGACGACAAAGAATGACAACAACGTTTTCTTGCTTTGCAGAAACAAATCCTAGAACAAAGATATTCTTGTTTCCACAATTGTAACATTCGAGTGTGGAGTCACCCAAATCTCCGTCGGGATGCAACGACACCGAATTATGTTTTGAAAGAACCAAATGGGTGATGATGTGTGATCCTCGGTTGCCTAGCTTCCCATTGCAAAACCATTTATTGCATATCTCGCATTTGACAGCACAGGATGCATTAGAGATTCCACAATATGAGCATGCGTAATATGGTCTTTCCAATTCCAAATTGTCTCCATTGTTCTCTGCCATTGGAAGCTCATCTTGAGGCTCTGCATGAGTAATGATGTGGTCATGACCAACGTGATTGTACATCTGTTGGGGTTCAGCTTCCGCTATCGGAAACTCTGATGACATTTTATTTTCTTTTTTTCGATTTTTCCAGTGCAATATTTATTATGGATCTGAAATCTCTATTGAAGAAAAGAAAATGTAGAGAATATACGAGTAATCAATGACTAATCTTCATGTAAATCAATATATATTCATATATCTATGTCTGTAATATTGCCTAGCTCTTTCACGGGGTAAAAAAGCAGTATCGGTCTTCTCCTAGGCGGCTTAATTCCCCAAATCATCGAAAAGAGTCGGTAACGGTTGGAGGAAAAATGAACAAGTGGAAAGAAAAAAAGAGGGAGCTATGCCCTTTTGCGCACAGTGCGGAAGAAAAACAGGCGATCGACGTACTCAGTATAATCCAAAGTTCAATTAGGACCATAAATTAAGAAAGTGTATATAGATACTTATTTATGATATGATGAAAGAGAGTAACTTTTCATTTCGGAAAATTCAGATAGCCATCATGAAGAGAAACGAGTAAAAAAAGGGAAGCAAAGAGACAAAATGTGCAACAAAGATCAAATGCAAAATAAAGCAAAAAAAAAGAGTAATAAATAGTAGAATGTATTATATATTAGTTAATGTTGGTATTGTTGTTATTGGTGATTGAAAGGAGGGGGACAGAATGATCAATAGACAACAAAGGGAATTCAGGTATGGTAGACTTTCGGCTGAATTCTTTATGCGAAGCTTGGAACAAATATAATATGAGATGTGAAAAACTTAGAACTGGCTGGGAGCCCTAAGAAAAGAGGGTATGGATTTTGTTACTGTTGTTGAAATATCTTTTTCGGAGTTAGTGTGGGGTCGTTGCAAACAAAGCTGTTTCTCAACTCTCTGGTTCTTGAAGATAGATAGTCGTTGGCTGAACAGACGTTGACAACAGGAACCCCGATTCTGGAGCCAGTGTCGTGGGTGGAACATTCTTCCAATTCATCTTCAAAGTAAGAGTTGTTGGTGGTACAACTTTTCAAGCTGGCCATTTCCTCAACAATGCTCTGGCGTCTTGACCCAGTTCTTGAGTTTTCGCTGTTGAGGTTGTTGTCTTCTGGAACCCAGGATTGGATGGAGCCGTCTTGCTCCTCCTCTTCTTCTTCTTCTTCCTGGGTTTGATTGTGGTCATCAGCTATAGCAGAATGAGAAGAAAAAACGCTGTATAGTGGGGTTCCACGACCAGAATGTTTAGTTTCGGCGTTGTTGGCACTGGTGCCTTTTGAGCTTTTAGGTTTGTTTATATTCAACTCTTCATCGATTCTTGCGTCGCCGTCCTCCATGCAACCTTGATGAGCCATTCTTCTTGCCGCGATTCCGTGCTTCGGACAGTTAATGGACAAAAGGTCGCCAGTGAGCTGGTTTTCCAACAACTGCGCATTATTCAAGTCTCTCAGATCTTCTGCTTCTTCTTGGGCGTCATACAAATCACTCTGTCTTTTCAAAAAGTCGTTATTATAAGTTGGAGGAGAAGGAGAGCTACTGCTGGCGTAGTTCTTGTTGTTACCACTTGAAAGTCTCTCATAATTCAAAAGATCCAAATAAGAATAGAATGAAATCGATTTCCTTTGCGGAGACACAAGAGGAGAATCAGCATTGAGGGGATTATTAGAGGTGGCATTGTTGTGATTATTGCTGCATGTACAGTGAGATTCTGACTTTGTCTTGAGCAGAGGAGAGGATACGTTTGAGAAAGATGATCTCGATCTGTTGTGGGAGAAGGATGTTTGGAGATGCTCCAAGTTGATCTGATTCTTCGCTGGCCCATTATTGGCCGGGTTCGAGTATTTCCTTGAGATAGAGAGTCTTTGAGAAGATGAGCCTGAGAAGGAGGCGTTGGAGACATGCGAGTGGCTCTTGAAAAGTTGCTCGGAAGTACGGGCATGCGGAACCTCGACCACGTCGGTATCGTCAAATTTCTGGCTGGATATCAATTCCACAGTCGAGTCCAAAACAGGGGAGGTGTAGTTTTCGGATAGTAGGTGACGGGGTCTACAATTGGAGAGGATGTAGGAGTTGTTCAGGTTGGTGAAGGACTGGGAGCGGGAATGGGAGCGAGAGCCTGACCGGGACGGTAACTGTGCCTGTGGTTGTGAATGAGGACGGGGCCCGGAGGAGGGTAAGTCGACGTTCAAGGTGCTGTTGTTTGTGCTGGTGCTGAAGTTGCTGTTGTTGGCCAAAGGGCTGTTCGAAAGGTCTGTTGAGAGGTCGGCATTCTGGACGTTTCTCTCGAAAATGTCGACCGGGGACGACGGCCCGCCGAAGGGCTTGTTGAAGCTGAAGCTTGGGCTCAGGTTGACGTTGGGGCTGGCCATGTTGATGTTGCCGGAGGTCGAGCAGTTTGAGTGCATGCCGATGCCGCCGGTGAGGGACTTGTTGAGCGGTGAGGTGCAGGCGTTTTTGGACGCTGGCGCCGGCGCAGAGGACGAGGACGAGGACGAGGACACGACCGACAGCTTGTTCATGTTGGAGGGCAGTTTCTTGCCCTGCTGGTTCCTCTGCTGGCGCTGGAGGTCGTTGGGCAAGGGCTTGTTCAATGCAGAGAAGCTGGTGCTGCCCGCGGCGCTGTTGGCGGCGGGGTTGGCGGTGCTTGCCGACGGCGGCGGAGAGGGCACGCTGGCGGTTTCAGACTTGTCCGGCTCGTACAGCGGGTCGTTCTTGGACAACGCGGAGGACGAGGTGGATATGGCGGGGCCGGTTGCGGACGGGATGTCCGTCGAGGATTTGTGGGAGCCATTCGAGAAGTATCTTTTCAAGCTGGTGGAGAGGGTCATTGTCCTAGTGCATTCCAACGGGCTGGTGGGTGGCTGCGTGGGTGGCTGCGTGGGTGGCTGCGGGGGGAGATGTGAACGAAGCTGGGGCAGATCTGTGCTGGCAGGCGAGATCCGGGGACAGACAGCGATATATATGCGACTTGCTGGACAGGATGCTATCTGGACGGCGATCCAGGAGCTGGCAGGCGGGGAGTGTATCGAGGTATGAGGTGTGCGCAGGTGTGCGGGTGCCGAAAGGAGCAGGGGGCGGAGGCCTGCGAGGGGAGGAGCTGCCAGATAAGCGGGACAAGACGAGGCAGGTCTGGGGGATATATAGCGGCTGCGATAGCGGCAGCCTGCGTAGCGTCGTAACGTCAGACCCCCGTAGCGTCAGGCCTACGTGCTGCTGCCTCGCCTCGCTGCGTATGGCCCGAGACCTGCGAATGTGGTGATTCGACTGTTTCCACCGCTGTGCGCTGTGCGTGCCCTTCACTGGTCCCAGTCTTCTACACGCCTGCCACATGCCGCACGTACACATCCGGCTGTAGTAAACAGGGCAAAGATCCTGCCTTCTTGTCTGGCCAGCTCGCTCTCCGGCGGTCATTCGCGGCAGAGGGGCAGTGGCGCCAGACGGCCGCGAGCGGTGCTTCGCCGGCAGCAGCGCTGCAGGGCGGCCAGCATAGTCTGCTGCACGGAACGCGGCGGGCTGCAGGAGCGCGCGCGGCAGACGCTGGGCTGACTTTTCCATGCGGTGCATGATCTCCGTGCCCGCCCCGTTTTCCTACGGTCGGCAGGGAGACGTCTCTCCCCGTGTTGTGCTGACGCCGGCTTTGACGCGGGCGGGGAGCGCGGACGGTCACTGCAGGGACGGGGAGGGGGTCGGCACGTGACCGGGTGCGGGGAATGGGCCACAGGCTCGAGGCGGTCGCTGCGTTTCTCGAATCTTCCGTCGCGCGCGCAGGCCGCCGCCGCCCGTGCACCGGGGGGGGCGATCGGGCCGATCGGCGGAGGCACGGGCGCGGGTGCTTACGTTATCGGTTTGCTGGTGCTCTCCCGGCCCGTTTTTCAGCAGGCGTTGTTGTCGCCGAGGACAATAACGGGTAGACGTAAACAAACAGAGATGGATCGGGTATCGCAGCTCAACACGTCGGAGGCATTGCTCGGCTGGTGCCGCCGTCTCGTCGTCCCTGTGTCCTTTTGTGTGCCTCTGGATCTACGTGCGTGTCTGCGTCTGCGTGTGTGTGCTCGGATCCGCTTCCCTCTGGCCTGGTCTTGTGACTCGTCTCATCAAAGCGTAGGAATCCTCTCTCTGCGTCCCCCTCTCGGCCCTGCACTCGGCAGACATATGTATATAAGGACACCGTGAGCACCCTTCCTGCACAGATCGACCCAGCGCAAGCCATATAGACACATCCACCGCACACCCTACTCCCCACACACCGCACACAGCCATGGCGTCCCACCAACCCACCTCAGGGACTTCCAAGGTGATCGAAAACCTCCAGACCACGATCGACTCGCTCAAGTCGGAGCTCAACGAAACAAAGGCCACGCTGTCGGAAACAAAGCAGAAGTACGCCATCCTCTCGAAACGGAACGAGAGCATGGTCGAGCAGCTCTCCAACGTCAAGCACCAGGCAGAGGTCGCCGAGTCCTTGCTCAAGAGAAAGGAACGAAGAGTGCTCGACCTCGAGTCCCAGATCACAGAGGTCGCCTCCAGCTCAGACTCGTACAGGTTCCAGTGTGAGACCTTGAAAAACAAGATGCAGAACATGGAGTCCGATAAATCCAGGCTCCAGGCCGAAAACGAGAGACTGTCCAAGTCCTACGACATCCTACAGTCCTCATTCAACGACTACAAGCTCTCCATCAGCCACTCCGTCAGCAGCTTAAAATGCCAAATCCCAACCTTCATAGACTCCACAAAGAACAGGCTAGCGGAAAACCTCAGCCAGCTGCACTCCTCGCAGCCACAGATAGATTCCTCCTACAATATGATGCTGAAAAATTCGAAAAGGTTGGAAGAGCTCTACAGCCAGAAATACGACAAAGTCAATAACTACCTTATCCTCTTGGCCGAGTCCACCAAGCAGCACGGCCAGTCCACCTCCATCATCATGGAAGAGTGCGAAGACATCTTGAAAAAGCTCAATAGAAACGAAGACGTTCTTTTGAAAATCAAAAATGAAACAACAGGAAACCTCACAGACCTCGATAAAATGAGAGAGTTTAACAAAAGAAGAGACTTCTCCATCTTGAATGATTCCTCCAACATCCACAACTCTCAATCGGCCGCATCCTCGACTATCTCCTCCCCATCGCTGAACTCCCCCTCCACATCTGCATCTCCTTCCTTTGCTGCCGGCACATCCACAAAGGCCAAGAACTCACTTTCTTCGTCGCTCTCCAACGGTGCTGCAAAGTTCTCAGAAAAGAGAAGGATATCTCCGGGCATTCTAGACTCCAAGTTCAACCCGCTGAACAATACTAGCAGAGGCTCCTCTCCAGAAGTAAATGAGAACGACTCTCCAAGAGAGAGATCCAATAACAACAACAATACAGTCAACCGTGATAGGAAACGTCATAGTCTCAGCAACATACCGAAGAAGGACCAAAGGAGAAGAAGCTCTTACAGGCAGTCGATGAATCTTGATGACCATGCCAACTTCAATAGCGATCAGCAGGACGATCAAAGTCATATTGACAGAAGGAAACGAGTCATCAGTTCAAATAGCCCAGGACCTTACTCACCTTCCTCGTCTAATTCCTCCACTCTCGGCAGGTCGAACAGTACAAGGAGAAACAATAATAGACCCAACAACAGAGTATCTTCGACAAGCTCGAATCCCGGCAATAATAATAACCACAGAAGGTCTTGGCAGCCTCATGATATAAATGATTAATAAACTATATTCCTCCTCTTTCCTTCTCTCCCCTCCCCTCCTCTTCTCTCTTCTCCTCATATACATTGATAGATCATGCTATTTGGGAACTTTTGTATATGGATTCAAAAGTCAATAGCTTTAGCAAGGTTGTGAATAGTTTCTCTCTTCTCACCTCCGTGTCAGACTATTTTTCTCACCTCCTTCACTCCCTTTCCTTAAACTAATTCTTCTTCTTTCCTTTTTACTAAATAGAAAAGTTGTAAACTTAGATCCTTATAGATTCAAAAATAGAAAGTAAGAAATCTATTTTTTATAATTAGAAACAACGTCTTACATACATGTCGAGTAAAATTACAACTAGAACAAACCCTCGATCTCGCCCTTTTCATTGACTTCGACGTTCATGAAGCCACACTTTGTGGCAAGACCTGGGATGGTCATGATCTTGTCTGCCAATGCATACAAGTAGCCTGCTCCTATACTGGCCTTAATGTCCTTGATAGGGAACTCAAAGCCAGTAGGGACACCCTTCAGTTTAGCATCGTGAGAAAGAGAGTATTGCGTCTTGGCAATACATATTGGCAAATTGTCAAAGCCTTGAGCAGTATACTCCTTGATCTTCTCCTTGGCAACATCGCTAAATGACACAGAGCCAGCACCATACATGACCTTGGCAATGGTCTCAATCTTGTCCTCAATGCTACCCTCTAGAGAGTAAAGCGTATGGAACGACTCGTTCACGTCCTGTGTTGGGTATTCCTTGTTGGCGCACTTGATCACACCTTCAGCCAAGTCCTTGGCACCTTCTCCACCTTCTTCCCAGTGATTGGAGACAATAGCGTCGGTGGCACCGGCTTCTAAGGAGGCCTTCTTGATGATGTCGTGTTCGGCATCCGTGTCACTGGACATCTTGTTGATAGCGACAATGACATCGACACCGTATTGCTTGGCGTTCTGGATGTGCTTCTGCAAGTTGGCACATCCCTTGGCCAACATCTCGACGTTCTCGCTGGTGTATTCGAATGGAAGAGGGGCACCGGCCTTGACCTCGGCACCTCCACCGTGAACCTTCAATGCTCTCACGGTGGCGACAATGACAATGACGTCTGGCTTGAGGCCGGAAGTACGGCACTTGATGTTGAGGAAACGTTCTCCTCCCATGGTGAAGTCGAAACCGGCCTCGGTGATAACGTAACCTTGCTTTTCTCTGACCTCTTCAGGAGTGAAGGATGCAGAGGTACCGGCGAGCTTCAAGGCCATTTTGTCGGCCAATATGGAAGAAGCACCGATGGAGATGTTGGCAAAAGGACCCGCGTGGACAAAAACAGGGGTGCCTTCCAAAGTTTGCATCAAGTTAGGCTTGATGGCGTCCTTCATGATGGCGGTGATGGCGCCGGCAACACCCAAGTCCTCGCAGGTGATTGGCTCACCGGCCTTGGAGGAGGCGACGACGATTTTCCCAAATCTCTCTCTCATGTCCTTCAAGGAGGTGGACAAGGCCAAGATGGCCATCACCTCGGAGGCGACGGTGATGTCGAACCCGGTCTTTCTGATTAAGCCCTTTTCGGTTGGTGCCTCGTTGATGGTGACCTCTCTCAAAGATCTGTCGTTCAAGTCCAAGACTCTCTTCCAGGTGATGGTCTTAGGGTCGACGTCCAATCTGACGTACTTGGAGACCTGTTCCGGAGTCCACTCGTCGATCTTGGCCAAGTCGAGGCCGAGCTTCTTGGCTCTGTAGGTCAAGCCGACGGGCACGTCTCTGGTGCCGTCCTTCTTGACCGGACAGAGTCTCTTGAACAAGCCGACGTCCGTCTGTGTGGCCTCGTGGAACATTCTCGTGTCGAGCGCAGCGGCAACCAAGTTGTTGGCCATGCCGACCGCGTGGATGTCACCGGTGATGTGCATGTTGAACTCGTCCATAGGGATGACCTGCGAGTATCCACCGCCGGCAGCACCACCTTTCACACCGAACGTGGGGCCCATCGAAGGCTGTCTGACGTTCGCAAAACACGTCTTGCCCAGCACAGCGCCAATGGCCTGTGCCAACCCGACAGTGGTCGTCGACTTGCCCTCTCCCAACGGCGTAGGCGTGATACCGGCAACCAAGACGTACTTACCGTCCTTCTTGTCCTGCAATCTGTCCAACACGTCCAACTTGACCTTGGCCTTGTACGATCCGTATGGCTCCAACTCGGCAGCAACAATGCCCGCCTCCGACGCAACGTCGGAGATGTGTTTAGGGACCTGGTTCCGGGAGATCTCGTAATCCGAAGGAACTGGCTTCACCAGATCGAGCTTTAATCTTTTGAACTGTTGTGGCATGGCGTGCTGTGATCTGTGTCTTGACTACGGGACAAATCAACCAGAGGGGGGAGAAACACTGCAAAGAAAGACCAACAAAGACAAACACCACTGCAAACAACCAAGAAAAACCATCCAATTCTTCTCTTCTTCCGCTTCTGCTAACCACCAGGGGATCAACCTCCCCAACTGCCCCCGATAGCAATTCTATTCCGCTTCACCATGTGCAAATTTCAGCACCAGACCTGGGGAAGAGACCCCTGCCTGGACAGAGTCTGACTCGGTTTCGGCCTCGGACACACCCGACAGCTCACCCGAGGCCCTTCCGATTGGCTGGCGACGATTTTTCCGCCGATCGACCCAAAAAAATTGCAGTCGATCGGCGCAAAAATATAAGGTGCCGTCGATCGACCCATAATTATCGAATTCCGTCGATCGACCCAAAAGCAGATGCGGACGATCGACCCAAATTGGGAACAAAGCTCTCTCCCGCTGGTGCCTTCCCTTCTCGGAGCTTCTCCGGAACATGAATCCGGGCCACAAGACGCTGATGAGAAAGATGGAAGACAGATGCTAGGGCAATTATAGGGGGGTGTGGGGCCCGGCAGAGAACGAGGGATGAGCGGCCGAGTTGAAGAAGATGCGGAAGCTATGACGGTGGGTCCTGCTGTGCCCGAGGCAGGCGGGGTTGGCGGAACAACGGGGACGATAAAGACGCTGAAGACGGTGCCGTCGAAGACGGTGGAGGCGGTGGCGGGGTTGTCGGCGGGGTTCTGCACGACGCTGCTGGCGCACCCGCTGGACTTCGTGAAGCTGCGGTTGCAGTTGGACACGACGTCTGCGTCGCAGCAGCAGGCGGTGGGCCGGATCTACCGCACGCTAGTGGCGGCGTCCACGGACGCCGCCACGGGGCAGGTGTCTGTGCCCCGGTTCCTCGGGAACGTGTACCGCGGAGTGGGTCCCAACTTGCTCGGGTCGACGTCTGCGTGGGCGCTCTACTTCTACTTCTACCGGCAGTACAAGAACCTGGTGCTGCAGTACGCAGACCTGGACCGGGACAGCTCGCTGCAGTCGTGGCACTACCTTCTTTCGGCGTTTGCCGCCGGGTGGACGACGTCGGTGCTCACCAACCCCATCTGGGTCATCAAGACCAGGATGATCTCCACACAGCGGACGGCGCCGGGCGCCTACCGCTCCGTGCTCCATGGCCTGCGCCAGATCTACACGGAGGAGGGCGTCCTCGGCTACTACCGCGGGCTCACCCCGGCGCTCTTCAACGTCGCCCAGGGCGCCGTGCAGCTGTCGCTCTACGACATCTTCAAGCGCCACCTCGTCGACCGCAACAACAGCAACACCGCCGCCGACGACCCCGCAGGCCAGCGCTTGACCACGCTGCAGTACTTCTACGCCAGCTCGACCTCCAAGATGCTCTCCACAGGCGTCTTCTACCCGTTGCAGGTCGTGCGTTCGAGGCTCCAGGTCGTCCACCACACCCACCGTCTCCAGAGCGTCACCGCCCTCTGCGCAGATATGTACCGCCGCGAGGGCCTGCGGGCCTTCTACAAGGGCTTGCTCACCAACCTGCTGCGGGTCGTCCCCGCCACCTGCACAACATTCCTCATCTACGAGAAGATGAAGGAGTACCTCGGCGCCTAGCCCGCCCACCATACCCTACTATTCTGATCTGTATACTCTTTAATCCTGTACATACATCCATCTCTCCCCTACTTGGCCACGCGAACAGTATAGAGGGCTCCCTGCCTTTTTTCACGCTCGGCCCGGCCGCAGAGGCCTCTGCCAGAGATCAACGACCTGGCTCTCCAGCGCTAGGCTCAGAGGAGATATGAGCAGGTAGACAGCGGGACACTGCACACAGAAGACGGCAGCAGCAGCAGCAGGGTAGATCGCAGTTGCAACCACATCGCACAGCACAGCACCGCACAGCAGAGCGCCAGCTATGAACATCCTTTTGCGGCCCGGGTCAAAGAGAACATTGGCCTTGGAGTCGACGACCCACGTCCTCCTGTTCAGGTACATCCACGAGACGCAGAAATGCGCCATTGAACTGATACCGAAGACGTCGTTTGTCTCGCAGCCGTACAAGCAGCTCTCGAGAACACGCCCGCACGGGTTTTTGGGCTTGATCGAGATGAACGACGACGTCTTCCTCTGCGTCATCACGTCCAAGATCCACGCTGCACAACCCTTGTCCGGCGAGAGCATCAACAAGATTGCCGACGTCGAGTTCCACTCGCTCACAAACGACTCATGGGACTTCCTCGACCTCAATTCAAACGGGTACCCAAGCATGGAGACAGACATGGACCCACAATCGAGCAACCAGCCTCCTAGAATACCGCAGCACCCGTGCTATGAGTTGCGCAAGCTTCTTTCGGACGGCTCCTTCTTCTACAGCTCGGACTTCGACTTGACCAGCACCCTTCAGGGCCGTGGGGTCAACCTCAAGCAGCGCTTGTCGGTTGACCTCTACCACACCGACTACATGTGGAACGACTTCATGATGCAGGGGATAGTCAGCTTCAGAAACAACCTCTCCGACAAGGACAAACGGGTTTTAGACAACGACCACTTCCTCACCACCGTCATCCGTGGGTTTGCAGAAACATTGAACACCGCCGTCAATGGCAGAAGCTCGAAAATCACCATCATCTCCAAACAGTCCTGGAAAAGAGCAGGCACGAGGTTCAACGTGCGAGGCGTCGACGACGACGGGAACGTCGCCAATTTTGTCGAGACGGAGTTGATCTACAACGACGGCCACCAAGTGTTCTCCTTCACGCAGATCCGCGGCTCCATCCCGGTGTTTTGGGAACAGGACACGGCGTTGATTTCTCCCAAGGTGCAGGTTACTAGAAGTTTCGACGCAACCCAGCCTACGTTCGAAAAGCATTTCGAAAATTTGAACAGTAAGTACGGACCTGTGCACATCGTCAACTTGTTGTCGAAAACTAGAGCCTCTGAAATAGAGTTGAGCAATACCTACAAAAAGCATTTCCTTGAGTTGAGAAAGAAAAACCCTGACTCGGTTTTTTTCACCGATTTCGACTTCCACCAAGAAACTTCCAAGACTTACGCAGATGCAACAAGACTATTGCCCCTCTTGAACGAATCCTTTGATGATTTCGAGTATTTTCTATTCGATCTCGACCGCTCGGTAACGATCTGCGAACAAAAGGGCACCTTCAGAACAAACTGTTTGGATTGTCTAGATAGAACAAACGTAATTCAGCAGGTCATCTCCTTGCAAACTTTGATTGATCATTTTGAGAAAAAGCATGTCCATGATTTGTCCAGCTTGAAAAACAGCCACAGCACTCTTTGGGCTGACCACGGCGATAGGATCTCCCAAATTTACACCGGTACAAATGCCCTCAAATCTAGTTTTTCAAGAAGTGGGAAGATGGGCTTTGCGGGCGCCCTATCGGATGCTACCAAATCCATCAGTAGAATTTACATCAATAACTTTGTTGACAAAAACAAGCAGCAACTCACAGACACTTTATTGGGTAAGATATCATCACAAAGGCAAGTCCTTATTTATGATCCGATCACCGAATATGTGAACAATGAATTGAAGACCTATGAATCTAAGTTCACATCCCATAAAGATATCACGATCTTCACAGGAACGTTCAATTTGGCTGGGGCTAGCGACAACAAAAACCTGACAGAATGGTTATTCCCCGACGAAGGGTTCAGCCCGGACATCTTTGTAGTTGGGTTCCAGGAAGTAGTCGAATTGAACGCGTCCAACATTTTGAAAAGTGATGGATCTGTTGGCGAATATTGGACAAAGGAGGTTGAGACAACCATCAGAAAAAACTCAAAAGACAGTTACGTCCTACTAAGGTCCGAATTTATGTCGTCGATCCTTTTGTTGCTATTCGTCAAGTCGCAGCATGTTGCCAAAGTCACAGACGTTGAAGGTAAGTCCAAAAAGACTGGGTTGGGTGGGATGACTGCTAACAAGGGTACCGTTGCAATTAGACTCAATTTCTGCTCGACGTCCTTTTGTTTTGTCAACTCGCATCTATCCTCTGGCTTGACGTACACTGATGAGAGAAACAACGATTTCATTAGCAGTTGGAACGGCATCAGGTTCTCCAGAAACAGATACATCAAGCATCATGACAATATTGTATGGCTCGGAGACCTGAATTACAGAATCACGTTCCCTAATGATAAAGCAAGGGCTTTAATTGAACGCAGTGACTTGACTACGTTGTTGTCAAGGGATCAGTTATCCTATCAGATGATGCGCATACAAGAGTTCAAGTTTTTCAAGGAATCCGAAATCACCTTTCCTCCAACATACAAATACGACAAGTTTTCAGACGACTACGACAGCTCGGAGAAACAGAGGGTACCTGCATGGACAGACAGAATCTTGTACCGAGGGAAGTCGCTAGACTCACTGGTCTATTACAACGCAAGCTCCATCAAATTTTCAGACCACAGGCCGGTGTACAACGTCTTCCGTTCCAGGGTGAAGGTAATCGACGAAGATTACCGGGAAAACCTCTCGAGCAAGATCCGTGAGTCGTACAAGATTGACGTGAAGGCGAAGGACGACCGCATAGAGTTGAACGACGCCTCTCCTACGTCGTCCACGCCATCTTTCACCGAAGATTTGAGGTCCAGGAGATCAGCAGCATCCTCCGTGGCGTCTCACACGCCTACGACGGCAAACCTGATAGACTTTGAAAGTGTTTCCTCCGTGTCTCCACCACTTCCAAGACGTCCTCTCCCGCCCGTATACAACGCCGAAGAGACGAAGAGCATGTTGATCTCGGGCTTGACGCCCTCCAACGTGCAGCAGTCCATCGAGAGTTCCATGAGGCCGCTGCCGGCACAGAAGCCCGACTTCGCTGCCTTCTCCGTCATGTCTCCAACAGTGTCACGGTCGGGCACGCCGGTCAAGTCTAACCCGTCGTCCACCGCCGTCTCTCCACCGCCGCCACCCCCTCCAAGAAGAAACATCTCCACTTTGTCCACCCACTCAAGAGCTCCGTCCGCCGCAGATTCAGCCATAAACTCTTCCACCTCAGGGTCTACAAACGGTTCTTCCGCAAACGATGCTGTCAGGGATTTACACAAGGTCGCTCCCATCGTGCCGTCCAAGCCCCGGATCTTGAACGACCTTTTTGCCGCCGAAACGTCGTCCAACGCAGCAGCCTCTGCAACCCCGGCGCCACCTGCAGCGGCAGCAAACCCTGCTTCCACGCCGGTATCCTGGACCGCCATGGCTCCGACAAAGAGGCTTACCTAGTAACTAGCATTAAATCATATAGCATGTATACAATCGACACGACTCCACACGACTCCACTTTTATCTCGGAGTTCAGCCCGCCGCGCCTGGGTCCCCGATCGTTCCCTCCGATAAGAAGGGGACTGGAAAGCAGCAGATGTTGAAACCCGGGGAAGGACGGCGACAACGACTACAAGAGACAGGACAAGTAGGGCAGAGCACGCAGGCAGGCGATAATTGTAACGCGTGCTATACAGGTAGGCAGGCAGAACCAGGAAATGGACTTGGGTGTAATGGCTAGACAGTGCGGGCAATTGGGGCACGAGTCACTCTGCGGCTAAGCATTGCCCTGAAAACGTGTAGCGGTGGAGCTGGTGACGGCATCAGTAGAAATTGTGGGGTGTGTAAGGCGTAGAAAGAGCACGGGGAGCAGCAGTGTGGCAGTGTGGACTATAGCCTGGGTCTCACGTCTTGCCGTGTCAGCCACACGGGTCAGGAAAGTCATTATGTGGTGTAGCGCCAGGTGGGACAGGTTGACGTGTTGGGAAAGCAATAGGTGCAGAAAACCTTGAAGCTTTTCGGATTCTAGTATCAGGAGGAGAAGCAGTAGCGGAGGAGGCACTCACTACCTTTCCCTTCCTTACTTTCCTTCCCAGCCTGCCCGAAGATGGCTTGGCTATGTCGCTTTATATAGAGGTCCTCCTCCCCCGCTTTACTTCTTATGTCTTCGGTCGATCTTGTGTATAGCACTTATCTCTCCAACATTTCATTTTCTACAGAGTGATTCACATTATCATAAAACAATAAACTATCAGATTCAAACTAAAGAAACAAGATGACAGGCGCAAATACCATGCTCAAGACATTAGTGTTCGGGCTTGCTGGTATCTACGTGATCAAGGTTGTTGCAGATACCGATGCCCCAAAGCCAATAGTTGTGCGTGAAAAGGTCGACGCTGCCTCTGCCGGAGCCTACGATAGCCATGACAAGGCTTTTCAAGACCTTCGCAAGAGTATCTACAACTCCGGCTCGGATGCTTCTCAGAAGGCCATGTCCATGTACGAGGAAGCTTACCAGAAGGCCGTCGACGCTAAAAAGAAACTTGAATCGGGTAGCAATAACGACGGTCTTAAGTTCTGGGCTGACTCCGACGACGCTTTGAGACAGAAGTACCAAGAGGCACAGAAGAATCTAGAAGACGCTAAGAACTCGTTGGGGAAGTATTCACAGGATTACAGCAGTATTTTACAAGACGATCTTAACAGAGCCAGTGACTATGCGTCAAAGAAGGTTCAAAATGCGGTCGACTCCGTAAGCAACCACAAGGTCACCGCCGAAGATAAATTGCAAGCAAACCTCGACTACTACCACAAGCAGGCCGAACAAGCAAAGGCAGATTGGGACTCGACCAAATCCAGTTGGTGGAGATGGAGAAAAGCCCAAACCAAGGAGGTTCAGGACCGTGCCGAGGAAAAATACAATTACTTCAAGCAGCAAAACGACAAAGCTGTGGATAGCTTAGTCGACTACTTGCAAGAACAAGGGCGTTCGGTGAAGGAGGTTTTTGAAAAATACGCTAACAAACAAAAGGATAACCTTGAATATGCTGGAAAGTATGCTGCAGACCTCAAGGATCGTGCAGTGGGTGCAGGCTACGATGCAAAGGACAGTGTTCAAGAAAATGCTGAGTATGCCAAGAACTATGCCGCTGGTGCAAAGGATAGCGTTGTCCAAGCCGGTTATGATGCTAAGGACAAAGCCAAGGACCACGCAGAAGCTGCCAAACACTATGCTGCAGGTGGTAAGGACAGGATAGTCCAGGCTGGTTATGATGGCAAGGACAAGGTTCAGGAAAACGCTGATTATGCCAAGAATTACGCTGCCGGTACGAAGGACCGTCTGGTTCAGGCCGGTTACAACGCCAAGGATAGCGTGCAAGACAATGCAGAATATGCTAAGCACTATGTTGGTGGTGCTAAGGATAGTGTTGTCCAAGCAGGTTACAACGCCAAGGAAAGAATTCAAGATGACGCCGAGTATGTCAAGAACTATGCTGGTGGAACTAAGGACAAAATTGTTCAAGCTGGTTACAATGCCAAAGACAGGATTCAGGATGATGCTACTTACGCCAAAGACAGTGTAGTTCAAGCTGGTTATGATGCGAAGGACAAGATCCAAGATGATGCTGAGTACGCTAAGAACTACGCAGCAGGAACAAAAGATAGGGTTGCTCAAGCCGGTCATGACACAAAAAACGAAGCCGAAGGCTATGTAGCTGGTGCTAAGGATTGGATAGAAAAAGCTGGTTCCGCTACAAAGAATTATTTGAAAGACAAGTATCATACTTTGTGGAACTCAGTTGGTGTATTTAAGACCAACTCGAGAGAGCTTGCTGAAGAAGCAGTTGCATACTATGACGCTGAAGTTAACAAAGCAAGAAGAGAATATTATGATACTCAAGCCAGCTGGTTCAGATGGAGAGCAGCTCAATCACAAGAGGTTCAAGACGAAGCAAAGGCACGTTGGGAAGTCTTGAAAGCCAAAGATGAGGCTGCAAGAAGTGAATTGCAAAGATGGAAGAACGAAGTTGTCGACAAATAAGCTTACAGATTGGGAGAGCTACAACTTCGTTCGTACTGAACTTTATGTAAAATTTTGTTGTTTTTTTATAATGCCCACTTTATCATGAAATAAAATGTCTGTTACGAGCTCAGTTTATTTATTATTGCTTTCCAAAAAAATAAAAGCAAATTGTGTAAATTATGTTCCTTTCTTTATAAAACTTTCTGCATAGGCTATGAGAGAAGAAATGAGTCATTTCCTTCGTTCATAGCCTGTACAATTTTGGTATACATTACTTCCTTACTGGTATAACAAGGCAACTTCAAATAGTTTGCGCATGTCATTACACTTGGCAAATAATCATCAGGCTGCAATTTATCTTCGCAATGTTTCAATACAACTGTGAAAGGAGGGGATAACCCTTTGAATCCTTCAAATGGTAATCTAGGTGATCCTGTGATAAATTTCAAAAACTTCCTCCGCTCATCTTTGTCAAAATTTGACATTATCTGGATTAGCCATTCAACTTGTGAAGATTTGTTGTTATATCCATGGTCTGCATGAATCATAGTTATCAATGTCTCCACGTTCCAGTTTTCGACATCATTTCCTGATAATCTGGTCAATTCTTCAGCAGAAAACAAAATCATAGAAGTAAATGGAAAAATTTCAGAAAATCCTGAAACAAAAGACTTTATTTGATTTTCGATACCCCCATAGATGGTAAAGTCAATTATTTTGTTGATGTACATTCCTAAATTTGAACTATTCACTCCAATTTCATCCCCATCTGGAATCAATTTGATTTCTTCGTAGCCCGGCAAAACAAATGTGAGCATTAAATCGGTAACCTTACATCCTGAGATTTGAACTTCTTCCCAGTCTGCTTCAGGAATACGAGCGAATTCATCGAGATAAAGTTTCAAATGTTGTAGAGATGAGCTCAAACTTTGGTCCACACTTTTTATTTTCTTTATCGAATCCGAAATATCATGCACAAAACTTTTCGTGGCAGAATACTTCATTGCAATTTCAAAAAATAAAGGATTGAAGTGAAAATCAACTATTCTTGAATCCAAGAATGATCTTGCTAGAAATTTGCCCAAAACCTTGAAGTACAATAAAGTATTATTCAAGTGTGGATCCAATTTATGAAGTGGCCTCGGGAATAGCCCGTGATCGTCATGTACATAAAGTTCATTATTGTACTGAAGTTTAGAGTATTGATCACTTCTCCACATACGCAATTTTAGTCTCCCAAATTCCTTGGAAACATTAGAATAAAATTCTAGTGTAGGTCCTAAGCCTGATCCAACCTCACCAAAGTATTCGATCTCAATGAGACCTGGATTTGTTGCATAATTTTCCATTACCTTGACAGCACTTGAAAAGATTCTATCCCGGGATATCCTAAGTTTGTGTCTTATTGATCTACCTAACATTGGATTTCTTGTAGTTGAGTTTGAATCCTCCTCCTTTGACTTTGAAGACCAGAAGTCAATAAGTCTAGAGTAGCCAAAGGAAGTTGATTTCAAAAAGAATAGGCGTGTTTCTAATGGAAATAGAAACGGAAACTCTCTTGGAATGATAATAGCCCAATCAGGTAAAATTCCACTAGCAACCAAAAGTGGTTCATCCAATTGGCGGTTCAACTTTGCCGAGAGCTTATAATTCAAAAATAAGACCTCTGAGGTACTTGGATTTTGAACATTCTGGTTCATAGTATACAAGATCTTTAACAGTTGTAATGTATCTATGGTACTTTTCTCTCCAATATTTGTAAGAGCATCATCTACTGTTTCTTCAAAAGCCGAGCTATCGTCTGGAATTAGTTTACCAGGAACATACTTGTATTTGATAACGTGGGCTTGCTTCAGCAGATCTCCCTTCAAATCGTTCAAATTCCGTTGATTTTCTGAAGACTTATATATAACACCAAATATTGTTGCATCTGATGGAATTCTCTCATTGTCAATAAAGAACTCATAATGGTAGTCATCATCAAGAGAAGAAGAATTCAAATTAAAGTTATTGCCAAGGTTGATTGATTTCGAGTTTTTAATAAAATTTTGTATGCTTTCAAATGTGGCGATTGCCTGTACCACCAATAACACACTTTTGTTCTTGTCGCTACTCTCTGAGTCCATAGGAACAAGTTTGATTCTCATTTGTTTAGTCATTGAAGCGGCACGGAACCTTGAACTTTGTGATGCGTCCGAATCGGATCCGACTATATCAAAAGATTCATTTCTATCCAACGATTCCTCTAATTTCTTTACTAGGAAAAACAAAGGAGATGTTTTCTCGTTAACACATGGACTCAGGGCAGAGCAAAATATATACAGAAATGTCTTGCAAACTGGTGATTCAAAATTCTTTCGGCCTTGAAAAGTGTGCAATAGTTCATTGATTATCCCAGAAGAGACTAGTTCAAAACTGGAAGTAGATTTGTTATTGGAGCTCGAATCTAAAATGGTCGCAAATTTAGTCCATAAATCAATCCATTCATTCTCTGAGACTAAGGTCAGGTCGCCCCTTAAAGTGGAGATAAAAGTTTCCAGAAACTTCATACTCTCCGACTTGGTGAAATTGTTTGACACTGAAAGAGTTTCATAGTCAAAGTTAATCGAACTTGATAAAGAAAGCAAAGATTCCAAGATAGTCCTTAATGACAATAGTTTCAACCCATCATCCAGGATGCTAAAAGATTGGTTGATGGATTTGAAATGATGGAGTACACTAGAAGACTCACCGAAAGTTTCAGCATCATCCGCACTTGTGCCTGTTTCGTCATCATTATTATCATCTTCTACCCAGTTCTCGTAGTCACCATCACCATCCTCATCCTCATTTACTGCTTCGCTTCCTGCATGATCAGCATTCGACCCAGAACTGTTTGAAAACCCTTCAGCTTCTTCACCAATTGTTTCACTGGTATCTACTATTTTGTTGTATTCCTCAGTGGTAGCCAAAGTGAATTCTTGTATCTGTGCAATCAAACCTTCCTTTGTGAAGCTTTCCAAGAAAGTCACAGGGTTTCCATTGATCAAACTTTGTATTATAAGAAGTGAGCCAAAAATCAACGAATAGTGTTTGAAATCTTCACTGTTTTTGGAATTCTTTATCGTATGTTGCAAGAGGTTTTTCCCACGATTAATCGTTGATGCTAAAATTGAAGTTATTTTAGATTTGAAAATGATTGACTTCAGTTCATCAGGAGAACTCATATATATCATCCTCAATACTGATAGCAAAACTAGCCGTCTAACCTTAAACTCGACAGTGGCATCATAAATGTTCAAAAGTAGAGGAAAAATTAAGAGATTGAAATCATGTAACGATTCAGAATTGGATTTGATTAGTATAATTTTTTCTGCATTTATGTTATGTTTCTCTTCAGGCACTAAGGTGTAATTGCCTATATCAGTTTTTTGCTGACTCTTTATTGCTGTTGAGTTCAACGGTATTATGGAGGATATAAGTTTGAGTAATGTTACCAAAAGCTCTTTGGGGCATTTTAACAATGCATCGATGGTTACTGTGCTATTTTTAGAATGGGATACATCATCATGTTCGTAGGAGAGGAAAATCTGCATTATCATTGAACCAATATCACATTCCTGTAGCAGATTGTTAGAGAATTCGGGGGAGTAGCTGGTTAGAAGAGACAGGGAATCCAATAATAAAATGCAAGTTTTGAATGTGACCAATCCTGACGATTTCGTACCGTTGCCCAAGCAAAGTGGAAAAATCTCGAATAATTTTTTGATGAACTCTAGATCGATCATAGCTGTTAAAACCTCGGGGGTCGTATAAATGTTCCTGATAGTGTTGGCAATAAAAATCCATGCAGATTCGACGCATTGGGCGTCCGTGTATTGTGTGGCGACGTTTTTTATGGTTGGGAAGACGTCGATGATGTCATTGTACTTTGTCTTGGGGATGAAAACGGAGGCGTTTGCAGCCACTTGTAAGGCCTTCCGTTGGGTATGGATGGTGAAAAAGTCTAGGAACGTCAAGACTATAGGGACGGAGCCCTTATTCAAGCATTGCTTTCCCGCCTTGCGGGAAATGATCTCCAACGCTTGTAGGGCTTGCTCGGCCATATCAATATAGCTGAGATCTAGGAGTTTCGAGTTCAAGCATTCAATCACGCCGGCGGAGACGATCTCGTGCATGAGCTCGTAGTTGACCTCTGCGAGGTTGTATATGCAGCGGCATGCCGCCACCTGTAGCTCCAGGTGGTCTGGGTACCCGCTGATCACAGCGACAAGTTTTTCCGCCAAGAGATAGGTCGGGACCTGGCGTTCTGACTGTATGCTCGTCATCATCAAGAGGGAGTTGGAGATCTCGTTCAACGTCTCCATGACGAGGTAGGGGTCCTTGTGGGTGCTCATCGCGTCGATGAGGTCGGAGATTCTAGCCGAGGTGGAGGAGGGCATCAAGTGGTCCAGCAAGAGTCTGGTCATCTCGGATCGTCCGCCGCCTCGGGCAGGGGCGCTGCTGTTGCCGTGGCTGCTGTTGCTGCTGTTTATGGGGGTGGCCCTGTTCCCAGCGGGGTCGCCGTTGCGGCCGCCGCTGCCGCTGCCGAAGTAGCCCAATCTGTCGGAAATGAAAGACTCGAACTCGGACAACCCTCGAGTCGACGCCGAGCTGCCCGAGATGGCGTTTGCCAGCAGTCTGATGGCCGCTGACCGCGAGAAGTCGCCGTCGTCTTCATCCTCGTCCTCGTCCTCGTAGTCGTCCTCCTCGTTCTCCGTGTTGCCTCCATCTCTGGCGCGCTCCTCGTCCTCCTCCTCGTCCTCCTCCGCCTCCTCCTCGTCTTCCTCTTCCTCCTCATCGTCATCATCCTCATCCTCCTCCGCTTCATCCTCATCCTCCTCGATGAACGACTCACCGTGGTCCTGGCTGCTCAGGCTCCTCGCCAGAATCTGCACGTTGCCGTGCCGGTCCCCGCCGAACCCGTCCGTTTCCCCGCTCTCGAACGCAGCCTGTGCATCGACCTCCTCTGCCCGGCTCCTCGACCGCTGTGTCTCCGAAAACCGCCGATAGTTGCCCGTCAGCCGCCGTAGCACCGCCTCTTCGTCGTCCTCCTCGTCCTCTCCGTTCTCGTCCTCGTCCTGGCTGCCGCCAGCCGTCCTGGCAGCCCTCGCAGCCCTCAGGACCCTTCTCTGCGCCCCGTCGGCCGATGAGCCGACGTCCGACAGCTCAACATCGCTATCTGCGTGTACCTGTTTGTCGTCCATTGTGTGCTTTCTGCTGCACGCTGCTCCTGTTGCTGTGCCGTCCGTGCGGTCTGCTGCTCTGGCGACGTTCTGTGTCTCTCCACGCCTGTCCACCGTCCTCTTGCACCCGTCACAGTCCTCCTTGCCACCGTCACAGCCTCTCTCTGCTCAGCTACCCCAGTATCTGGTCGATCCGACTCGCCCTCACACAGGAAACCCGAGAAAATCGAAATTTCCTCTTTCAGCACCAGGGCCTCCCGGAATTTTTTTTCTTCTTTTTTTTCGGTACAAAATTTTTCCTGGCCTTTTCAGTGGAGGAAGGAAAGAGAAGAAGGAAAGGCAGAGGTCAAGCAGCAGCGTAGAGCACAGCACAGCACAGCACAGCACAGCACAGCACAGCAAGACACAGCATGCCTAGATCAAAGAGATCCAAGTTGGTGACGTTGGCGCAGACCGACAGAAAGGGGAAGGAGAACAAGGTGAGAATATTCGATGAGATCAGAGAGGGCCTCGACAAGTTCAGGTACACATACGTGTTGGGGCTCGACGACGTCCGCACGCCTGTGCTCCAGGACATCCGGAAGGACTGGGCGGGCTCGAAGCTCGTTCTCGGCAAGAAGAAGGTGCTGCAGAAGGCGCTTGGCCAGACGCCGGAGGAGGAGTACAAGAACGAGCTCCACAAGCTCGCCCGCTTCGACGACGGGCTGATCGGGCTGCTGCTCACGGACGAGAGCCCGGAGACCGTGGCGCAGTACTTCGCCTCGTACGAGAAGAAGGACTACGCCAGAGCCAAGACCAGATCGCCCATAACGTTTGCGCTCCCCCAGGGCGTCGTGTACTCCCGCGGCGGCCAGATCCCCGTCGAGGAGGACGTGCCTATGTCCCACTCGATGGAGCCCACCTTGAGAAACAAGTTCAAGCTCCCAACCAAGATGGTGCAGGGCAAGATCACCCTCACCGAGCCTGTCACCGTTGTCGAGCAGGGCCACACTCTCGACGTCACCCAGGCCTTGATCATGAAGACCTTCGGCGTCGCCTGCGCCGCCTTCAAGGTCAAGATCTACGCCTTCCACGACGGCGACACCAGCGACGTCGTTGTCCTCCTCGACCCAGAGACCGCCAACCCCTAGTTTCCTATCTGTATCGTATCTAATCATCTAAACTGTATAAAACTGAACCCTGCAGTCATGTGACTCCCCCACCCTTACTTTTTCGCGTTTTGTCCCACTTTCCCGGTGCGATTAGCGGTTGGTGAGCTTTGGGGAGACGGGATGAAGACGGGAAGGCTGACGGAGCCAAGGCAAGAGGGAACAGGCGGGATGCAGGGCGGTTTGTGGAGGCAAGCAAGGACACAGGGACACAGACGGCTATGGGTGGCGGCTACAGAAAAAGCGACAGCTCTCTCTACCCTGGGAAGGTGGGCAGGAAGACGGGATTCCAGGTGACATGGACGCCGACACGCGGAGCCAACGGGTTGGAAGACCCGAAGGAGTTTTTCTTGTCAGACGACGAGTTCGAGTCGCAGGAGACGACGACGACGTCGCCCGTGAAGCGGCTGTCGATGCGGTTTTCGAAGCTGCAGGAGCTGCAGGCGGGGTCGCCGACAAAGGACAGCAGGACGTCGCAAGCGGGAGGCATGTTGGAGGAGGTGAGGGAAGCGGAGGAGCAGGAGGCCGGAGAGGCGGAGAAGCCGGAGGCGGACAGGCTGGAGGCGGACAGGCCAGACGCCGGGAGCGCCAGCTCCGTCAATGCCAATGGCAGCGCCAGCATTGACGGCGGCAGCGACACAGACAGCGACATGGACCTGGAGGAGGCGATAAAGAGGGCTGAGGACATCGGCACGCCGATCAGAATACCCCACAGGACGCTCACGTCGATCACCGGCTCGCCCGCGTCTAACAGCAGCACGGTGCTGTCGAACAAGCCGCTGCTCACGCACACCGCCAACGGCTCGAAGTTGACCAAGAACATGGCGTTGAACAAGAACACGAGGAGCTCGAAGTTCGAGCCGCAGGATATAACGAACGCAGACCCGGAGCCGGCAGAGACCGGCGTCGGCGTGCTGAACGTCGTCATGGAGGAGGACGAGCGGGCGCCCCTGGACGATGCTGTGGCCGAGAAGGAGAGCCAGGTGAGCCCGGCAAACCCGCCAGGCAGGCTATCCGACGTAGCACCATTTTCTGAACCCCTCGACGGCAAGCTGGAAGCAGATGCGAAAGCAGTAGACCCGGTGTCGGAAGAGCCGACCGAAAAACTTGTCTCGTACAGCAACAACGACGAGCTGAGGGCGGCGTTGGAGAAGGAAAGCTCGCCCCTACTGACGCAAGTCATAAGCCAGCCGGCCACATCACCGAAGAAAAACGACAGAGCGGTTGCGGATCAGGCTGAAGACGTTGAAAACGGTCACACCGGTGATGCTGACAAAACCTCAGAAGATATCCAAGATCAAGCGCTACTGGAGCAAGAAAACAATGAGGCAAAACCTAGATCTAGAGCAAAGCCAAAGCTGCAGGCAAAGAATGAAAAGCCTGTCACCACAACTGATATCGTGGAGTTCATCAGATCAAAAGATGACCAGAACAACTCGATGCAAGACAGAAAGGCAAACAATCTGCTCAAAAGAAAAGCTGCTGTTAAAAGCTACTCCACATCGGAGCTTATTGACTCTGCGTCTGAAAATGAGTCTACCGACGACGAACTTTCGGCACATGACTCCAAAGCAACCATCGCCCGAAAGAGTAAGTCCATGGACACTGTTTCTCGAATACCAGCAAAGGCAACTAGGACAGACTCCAAGGTGTCTAAAATGCTTGTCCCAGCCAAACCCAAGGCAGCATCAAGGCAGAACTCTAAGGCAAAGTCTGCGCAGCCAGCAACTCCCATCCGTCGATCAACAAGAACCCGTGTTGCCCCAGTTGCAAGCTGGAAAAACGAGAAAATACTGTACAAAACTGAAAAGGTTAATGGTGTCATTGTCAAGAGTGTCGATAACGTTCTGCACAGACCCGACACTAACAACGCACATGCAACTCCGCAATCTCGTCAACGGAAAACAAAGAGCGCAAAGGAAGAGTCTCCAAAACGTGCTCCAGCTACGAAAAAGAAGGCACTCAAATCGAGTTCGTTCGCAAATGACAAAGAGATCGAAACAGTCAAGTTAATCGAAGAACCCAAGAAAAAGAGAGGCCGTAAGCCTAAAGCATCTGGAAAGCCTTCTGAACCAAAAAGCGTTCCGAAGCCTAGAACTGAAAGTGGCGGCCACCCAGAAGTACGAAATGGTATCAAAGCGCACGAGAAGAAGGCAGCAGACTTGAAACCAGCTAAAAGAACTTTGAAGAGGAAAAGTGAAGTGACTGAAAACAATTCCTCAATATCCCGGTCACGGCTCAAGAAGCCAAAGACGTCCACTAGCAATGAGGAAAACCCAGTTGACAACGGAAATACATCTCTCGATCTCCCACCCACTGGATGGCAAGGGACCGGAGATGGCTCATTGGCACTATCTATCTTTGAAGGGCCGGGAACAGAAAAGCAAGTCGAGCGTACTGTTGCATATGCTCCTGGTTCTTACAAAAATGTCACAATAATCAAAAGTGAAGACGAATACTTCAAGGTTGGAACTTTGTTTGATCAAGACTGCGAGTTCTGTGGTGGTGGTATCATCGAACTACCTTCTGGTGCTAAGAAAGCAGTCAAATCGAACCATGACACCTACTTTATATTCTATGTCATAAGTGGTGAAGTGGAAGTCACCTTAAGCCGGAACAACTTCACAGTCACAGAAGGCTGTTCCTTTGAGATACCAATGGGTAACTACTATCAGTTTGTTAACACAGGTGGAGCTATGGCGAAAATGATGTTTGTGCAAGCAAAATATATTGTGATCGGCGAAAACAGCTCCTCTGATAGCGATGAAAACGATAATCGTTCCGACAATAATGACAATGGTGATGGAAGTTCAGAAACCGCTTGATTCTTTTCTCTTACCTCTTCCTATCATGACGAACCTGTATGATAGTTTAACATGTATTTTTTTCCCTTCTATGTATTATGCAAATCTGTAAGAGTGTTTATCCAAATAATTTTTTCCTTCTCATTCGTATTAACATCAAAGTACAAAATATGTTTTTACAGTCCCCAACAGGCACTACCAAAGTAAAACTAAAATTACATTATATAAAATACCCTTAATGGAGGTCTGGCATTTAGCCTTTTTTCGATTTCACCTGGACCACTTTAGCAAAATCATCAATGCTGTCAACCTTTGATCGGTCTTGCTCGTTTTTCTTAATAAGGGACCGTAAGAATTCAGATGCAGCTGCAGGTTTTGAGTAACCATTTGTGTTGTTTTTTTCATTACTACTACTTTCATCAGGCTGATAAGGGAGCGTTTGCAACGTTGTTATTTTCCCGTATTTCTTAGATTTCATTTTTTCATCTTGCGGCATCCCCATGATTTTTTCGAATGAGACTTGGAACGGATAGGAGCAATGTGTTCCCCGTTTAAGACACCTTTTGCATGATGGATGCACCTCATCACATTTCACTTTGCTCTTCTTACAATTCGTACACCCTAACCTGCTCCTCCCTTTCCTAAAAACTGGCTTCTCTATTTCTCCTGGCATGTTCTTGAAAGTATTCGTTCGTGTGACCTTTATTCTGACCTACGTTGCTTCGTTTGATTCGATATGATTTGATTTACAACGTTATCAGTAAGCCCATCCACCTTTGGCTTCTTTTCTCGGCTTCGGCCCAACTGCTCTTTCTGGAAGCGCACACTCAAAAAAAAAGGCGACCAATTTCAAGTTCTCTATGCAACTAACTTACAGCTTTTATGATGTGTGTATTTAATGCATTACGTCTAAGCTATAAAAAAGTCGTTACACAGTAACTATGCGTTGTTGAATTCTTCTAAAGTATCCCTCTCGGTGTCGTGCTGTAGGGGTTCGTGTCCGTGTTGATGTAATTGATTTTTTTCTTGTTCTTCTTCTTCTCCTTCTTCTTCTTGATCCGATACGTATTCCTGTACGTTTGATCTCACGTGTTCCTGTACGTACTCTTGTTCTTCATAATCTTCTTGTTCATGATCTGGATCTTCTTCGCTATCCTGCTGTTCCTGCTCTTGATCTTGTTCCTGCTCTTTCTGCTTTTCAGTCCGGGCTAGTTGAACAAGTGGCGCCAATGTTAAATTGTTAGCCGCCATTTCAATAAACTTGGAATTCAACAGTTGAACGCTATTAGCACGTTTATCGGGATTGACCTCTAGACAAGCGTCAAGGAATTCTTGCAGTTCAGAGCTCAGAGACTCCCTCTCTTTCAACTGCGGCTTGCCGTTTGTGGTGATCAAAAATAGCGCACGCAGTGGTGTCTCATTCAAATAAGGTGGTTCACCTTCTATCATTTCAATAGTCATGATACCAAGAGACCATAAGTCGACTTTGGGACCATAAGCCTTCTTTTTGACAATCTCAGGTGCCATCCAATATGGTGTACCCACCATCGTGTTACGCTTGGATGCATGGTCTTTGATTTGTGCACAGAAACCAAAGTCAGTTAGCTTGATATCACCAGTCAAAGAAAGTAAAATATTGTCAGATTTAATATCACGATGAATGATACCTTTTGAGTGAAGAAATCTCAAACCTTTCAACGTTTCACGGCAAACTGCACCCGTTTGTCCTTCGGTCATAATACTATGAGTGACGATATCTGTCAAAGATCCACCCTCCATGTATTCCATAACAACCCATAGATTCTTTTTGAGTAGATAGGACTCAATGAAGTTGACAATATTGCCATGCTTTGAACCTTTCATGACAAGGATTTCGTTGATAATCAGCTCTTTTTTAGGTTGCTTTTCCAGCTCCATTTGCTTGATTGCAACACATTGATTGGTGACGTTATCATAGGCAGTGTAAACACCACCAGATGCACCCTGGCCAATTTTTACAAGATCATGGTACCTTTCGCTTGGATCCTTCTGCGAACAAATCTCACGAAGCTTTCTCATGTATTTGACATCCTTCGCCCGGCGTATCTCACGACGTCTCTCTTGTTCTTCCTCTGACATTTGTTTCTTTGAAGACTTCGCAGGAGCGGAAACCGGAGGCGCAATTGGAATAGGGGGAATTGATTGCTTGTCTTTAGTCGAGGATAGCCTTGAATCCTCTTGACTCTTCCTCTTGTCTTCGTTACCAGTTGCTGGAGTAGTAGCTGGGAAAGGAACTGGAGGTAAGCTTTTATCAATTTTTGCCTTTAGTTCATCTTCAGTAGGACGTTGTAGCTCATCTTCTTCCGGCTTTGAAACTTGATGGCTTGTCCTGATGTCCTTCTCTGTTGTGTTCATCTTAAACATATCTTCATTTACTTCGTCGTTTTCTTCCTCAATTATATCATTGACATCACTCATTGGAGGAATGTCTTTCGATAGAGAAACAGGGGATTTGAGTGTTGAGAAAGGTTCAGGCGCTAAGAATTCATCAGCTGTTGAACCTTGTGAGGGATCTAACGCAGACTTAGATGTGAACGTTGAAGGTGGTGGTGGTGGTGCGCGTTTTGGCTCGTGGTAACTCAATGAATGTGTATCGCTAACGTTTGGTGACCCATAGTTGGACAAAATTGCAGGGCTCAAACTTCCCTTACTAATAAAAGCAGTGGTACTTGCTTGAGCTGGTGTAGAAATTTGAATAGGTCCATCAGGGTTCGTTATACCCTCCGACAGATGGATAATGCGTGGTTTGTAATCGGCTGCATTCGTTGCTGATCTCTTTTTGCTGAAACGACGAGAGAAAGATTCAATGATGGAAGTGGAAGGTGAGTTTGGCGCACTTCTTCCAGTACTACCAGAGCTTATAACCCTTTTATTTGTCACTGGAGAGGTATTATTGGAGCCAAGATGTTTACGAGCATTTGAAAGAGAAGCATGTCTTGATAATGAGATTGATTTACTTCCACTAGAAGATGGGGTTCTAGTTTGGTTAGCAGATGAAGAAACCGTAGAAGCAGATGGAGGAGGTGGCGGTGCGTGTCTTTTCGGTATGTACTCGATATCGCCCTTGCTGTCGAAAGTTGGACTTGTTTGAGTGTTAGAAAAGTTGCTATTCTCTGTTCTAGGCGTTTGATACAAGTTTCTATTGGCGGCAGAAGAGAGTGATGTATCACTCTTGTATGATTGTCTTGGATAACTGTTGGATGTGTCCGTCGTGATATGTGTCGTCTCGTTGGAAGAGTCTTGAGCAACTTCTTGAGTCGAGTCCATGAAATCGCTATCACTTGAAGATCGTTTAGTACGGTTTCTCGATGAAACGTCCATGAACTTATCTCCTTCTCCTGGCATGCCTCCCTTACCATAAGCTTCAGAGTAAAACTTTAGGACTTCCTTTGCTTCTACCGGATTCGCCTGCTGCTCGGCAACAGATATGCCCTGGGCCGTAAGTATCCTTGCCCATTCCTGAGGTAGGTCTTTGTAAGTTTGAGTTTCTGAATCGTAACTAACATGTGTCTTCAAAACTACATTCTTAGGAGCGGATATTTTCAGGTCTTGAGATAACGAACGAGAGCTTGAGTTCATGCCAAACACTTTGGTAAACCCGTTGAAAAGCTTTTTCTTCTTCTTTTGCTTGTTGGGGAGATCCTGCACTGAGTTTGATGTTTTCGGTAGCTGTCTCGTTTTTATATCATGAGGTATAGAGTTGGACCTTGCATGGCCCCTCGAAGAGTTGCTAGTAAATGATGTTGGGTCGGAGGGTAAAGTGGAAGAAGACCGCTCGTTTAATGTAGAGTTCAGATTGTCGGCTTTTTGAGTGACTGTTGTGTTGCTGGTGCTTTTATTGAGCACATTTGCATGTGTGTTTGCAATAGTGCCGGCGCCGGCGCTGGAGGGTTGGGTTTTCTCCCCGCCTCGGTGACTTTCTTGCACAAAGTCGAGGCTGTTGGTGGAAGCAGTTATTCCGTTGTCGATCTGGTTATAGTTCTCAATGATCGAGTTGAAGTCGAGGTCTGAAGAGGCTGCCGTTTTCATGTTTGTGGCAAAGGGGGGTTTCAAGTCTTTGGAAGACAAATCCATCTTCAGCTGGTTTATGTCAAAGATAGAGCCCGAGCCCTTGTCTTCAGTCAAGTCGTTGGAGTGGGTGTCTAAGCGTTCGTTCATCAAGGCAGACTCAGACGGCACTTCGAGATTTTTGTAAAGCAGTTGTCTGTTTGGGGTAAGTAGCTGCATGTTCTCTTCGTTGGTCAACTGCATGCCCTCGAACTCGCCAATCATCGGAGAAAGTGTCTGGTGTTGGTTCAGCTGGTCGTCGAAGTCGAGCAGGTCCGGGGTGGAGAAGTCGAAGTTGGCGACCTCTGCGATGGCGTCATTGTGGGCTGAGTGGCGAGACCTAGGGGTGCGGTTGGCATTGTGCTGGGTAGTGATGGCACGAGGGGTGCTCAAAAGAAGATCGTGCTCGTCGAGGTTATCTACAGGCTTCATCTCAGGAGTGGTAATCTCTGACCTATCTCCTTCTTCGTCGTCCTCTTGCATTTCAATGTCCCCTTGCACGTGGCTGCCATGCTGGCTATGCCTCTGCTCGGCACGCTCGGTGGGACCCTGCTGTTGATTCGACTGGTCGCCGGCCTTGTCCAGCTGCCTCTTCTCTGCTTCTTCCTCTTCTTTTTCTTCCTCTTCTTCGCTGGAGTCAAATCCGGATTTTGCGTTGTTTATCTGCGTGAGCTCCTCGGTTATCATGGTGATCTCGGAGCGGTGTGGGTGAAGCGACGCTCTGTCAGGCACAGGGTCCTGACTGGCGCTGGCATCCTCCTGCACCTTCCCGTTTCCGTTCATGTGCCCGTTGCCGACTGCTTCCTCGTCTTCGAAATCCGATATGGTCTCCTCCATAATCTCAGACGCTCCAATCTCCTTCAATGGCGCTATCTGCTTGCTCGGCTGGTACAGCTCTTCCTCGCTGGGGCGGTCTGTGGCCAAGGCGTCCATGTTCAGCGTCCCTCGGTGACGTGGTAGGTTCACAGATTCCGAGTCAGACATCTGTTTCTCTTGTATGTGTTTGTGTGTATGTGTTACACCGCGGTCAATCGCTTCACCAGTGTAGCGGTCGAGCGTGTATCAGATGCGGTCTGTTCAGGCTGTCAACGGCGACGTGTCAATGTGCCTAGTGTGTGTACGTGTGGAGCGTGGGGTCGCAGGAAAGGAGGGCTTTGTGTTGGGGCTCGTCGTGCTGCCGTCTGCCTTCTGCGTGCTGCTACTCTTGCTGTCTGCTCGTGTGTCGTGTGCTACACCACTGCACCCTGTTGCCCTAAATCAATTCTATACTGCTCCTTCCTGCCTGTCTCTGCTGTCGTGATGGTGATGTACGACACATCCTCCTCCCACCGCTGCCGCTGAGCACTCGCTGAGCTGCTCCCCCGGGGACGACGCAAAACGGAAAACGGTCAAAGAGGCCAACAGCCGCGGTCTCGACCAGGGCGAAGAAAGGCCATGACACAGCGGGTGTCGTGGGGGTACATGGGGGGACACCGTATTAGACAGGGTGGTGGGTTACAGAAATTAGGAAGATATATAGGTTCAGTCCTCGTTCTTGGACTCGAAAGGAACAAGCTTCTTGGTGCCCTCATCCCAGGAGGCGCCTCTGTAGGTGATGGCCTCAACGGCGGCGACAACGTCGGCAAGCGAACCTCTCTTCTGGCTGGTGGAGTCTCTGTCTCTGAGGGTGACGGAGCCGTCCTGGATGGTGTCGTAGTCGACCGTGATGCCGAAGGGGGTGCCCAACTCGTCGTTTCTGGCGTAACGCTTACCGATGGACGCACCGGAGTCGTCGACCTTGAATGGGATCTGGGCACGGCGCAAGGTGGCCTTGACCGTCTTGGTAGCGTCCTGCAACTCCTTGTTGTTCATCAAGGGCACAACCAACACCTTGGTTGGCGCCACGAGAGGAGGGAAGGAGAGCACCGCTCTGGCGGAGTCCTCGGGTCTGGTCCAGAAGCTGTGCTCGAAGATGGCGTAGATGACTCTGCCGATACCGAAGGAAGGCTCGATCACGTTCGGAGTGTACTCTCTCACGTGGACGGTCTTCTTCTTCTTCTCGATCTTGATCAAGCTGTCTGGAATCTCTGTCTCCGCGGCCGCCGTGTTGGCGATCTTGGCGGTGATCTTGCACTTCTGCTCGAGCTCCTTGGCAAGCTCCTCCAGGTCGCACTGCGTTCTCGTGTTCAACCACTCCTCGACCTTCGGTGCGTCCTTTCTGAAGAGCGGGCCGAACTTCTTCTTCTCGATCTCGCACTCGTACAGCTCGACCGTCTGCGGCTCCTTCAACGCTTCTCTCACAGCAAGCTTCTCCTTCGTCTTTGCAGCGTGCACGGAGAGATCGTATGCAGATCTGTCAGCACATCCAACACACTCGATCCACCCGTAGGACGTCTGCAATTCAGCGTCCCAGCAGTCCTGGGCATAGTGTGCCATCTCGTTCGACATGTGCTGTCTGAAACGCAGCTTCTTCGGGTCCACACCGATCTTCACGAGGAAGAGGTAAATTCTACCGATGAAGTATCCCAAGGTCTCGTTGTCAATGATCTTCTTGGCAACAGCCTCGCCGATGGTGATTTCGGAGATGTCCGTCTTACCGGCCTGCTGGACCTCCTTTGGAAGAAGAGAAATCTTCAAGTCCTTGATGGCGTCGAAGTTGGCGTGTGCCTTGTTCTCGGGATCAACAAAGTGCTCGATTTCTGCCATCAAAAATTCTCTCACTCTCAAAAGACCGGATCTTGGGGAAATCTCGTTTCTGAAAGACTTACCAATCGAGGCAGAGGCGAATGGCATTCTCTCGTTGTTGAAGTCCAACAACTTGTTGAAGTTCAAAAACTGGCCCTGTGCAGTCTCTGGTCTGAGGTAGCCCTTCAATTGTCCAGATGGCCCAATAGCGGTCTCAAACATCAAGTTGAACTCGATTGGAGGCTCCAAAGCCTCACCGGTGGCTGGGTTGCCGATGTTGTATTGCTTCATCAACGCTCCCAGCTCAGGACCGGAGTAGCCGTCAATCTTGGCCAAAATGGTCTCGTACTCCTGGACGACTTCGTCGTCCAACTTTATGGCCTTAATCTCCTTGACCTTCTTCTTTCTCTTCTTCTTCTGCTCGTCCTCCTCCTCTGGCTCCTCTTGCGCAATTCCTCTTGCCTCCTTGTCACCCTTCAATCTGGCCTCAATCACCTCTTCGACCAAATGGTCTGCTCTAAAGATCTCACCAGTCTTCAAGTCTCTGCACATCCAGTCCGCAAACTTGTCGACGTGGCCCGAGGTCTTCAACACCTCGTGTGGGGTAAGCATGGTACAGTCCACTTCCAACATGTCTTCTTCGAGAACAAAGTGCTTTCTCCAGGCGTCAATGATGTTGGCCTGCAACGCACATCCCGGTGGACCGTAGTCGTACAAACCAGAAACACCACCGTAGATCTCGAAAGATGGCGCAAAGAAGAAACGACGCTTGAGCACAGACTCAAGGGCCTCTCTTGAGAACTCTTCGTTAGACATTTTGCTGTTTGGTATTACCTTCTTAAACTTAGATTTCGATTTCGATTTCGATTTCGTTGCACTCGAATAGTTTTTCCTATCGACTGAAAAAAGGCTGCTAGTTCGTAGCGCTGCTGTAGGAAGAACCGACGGTTTGTAAAAAGGTCTTGTTATTGACAACAAAGCGTGACTACAAAGCATTAACAGTAAGGGAACAGAAGTAAAAGAACGGAAGAAAAGAAGGGCAGCCCGACCCGAGCCAGCTGACGCAAGAGAAAAATGACACTACAAGATGTCTGTGTCATTCCGTCGTTCTCGACACCAAGCGTCGGCAAACTTTTTTCTCGAGAAAAAGGGCCGTCAGCTTACGTCAGCTTCTTGCACAGAACCTCGAGATGGAAGTCCCGACTGGCCATGATGTCGTTCTCAAGATGGTCCTGGGTGTCGGCCACCTTGCCGCCGCTGTCGGCGGAGACGGGTATGAGGACCCGCTCGACAAACTCGTAGCCAAACTTGGAGTACATCTGGCCGAGCAGGTGTTCCTCTATGGCGGCGATCCAAATGTCCGTGGCCGCGAGTTGGCTCCGTGCAAACTGCTCCACGGTCCGAATCAGATGGGTGCCGACGCCTGGGTAGAACGAGATGAACCCGGTCAGCTCGTAGGAGGTGCCGCTGCCGCCGCGTGGCTTCAGACACGCCATTCCGAGGAACCTGCTCGTGAACTGGTTATCTGGTGCTGGGAGACACAACTTCTCGGTGGTGCCTTTCTTTGGCGACACCGAGTCGTCGTAGAGGATACGCGGGTTTTGGGTATCTATGGTTCCCTTCGGGTAGAGCTGAAGAAGCTTCTCCCTCGCTGCAGCTGCGTCATCGACCAGTTCGTCGACGTCGATTTTGACGGTGGACGTGCGGTCCGTGCTGCTAGCGCCAGCCCGAGGGTCGGCGAAGCAGAATAGAGCATAGCTCGACTCTTCCGGGACAACGCAGAGGTCTTCGACGACAGAGTGCTTGATTCTTGGAGAGGTGATCACGTTAAACTGGAATCGTGGTGCGTTGTATCCTCTGTTGATGGTATGGACGAGGAGATCTTCATGTTTTTTCAGCTCGGGCGACGAGAAGGCATATGCTTGGTAGAGAAGTCCGTAGTCCTTGTCTTGGGTCATTTCGCCGGTGGAACTTGTAGATCTTGCTGGCGGTGGACACAAAGCTGGATCTATTGTGGAGAAGAACTATTCTGCGGTATCCGCAGCAACAATAAAAAACGAAGCCCCTACAGCCAGCGACGGCCGAGCAAATGGAGTGCGAGGGATCTTTTGGAAATGGCGAGAGAACGGACGCAGATAAGAGCTGCAGATTGTCATCGGAGTAGGTAGAAGAGGATTATAGTCGGCAGGACTTGTATTAGAACTGAAGTTTATAAATTAAACAAATTATACAGAAAAAAGGGAGACCGGTGGCAAAAATGGAGACCAGTCAAGGTGTATCAAGTGGAAACTGTAAATAAAAGCGGTTTTATAATAAAAAGAAACTGGACAAAACCAGAGTGATAAACGAAAAGAAGGAAACGTTGTTTCCCATAGCGGCGTTGAAGGTAGAGGAGGAGATGAATTGGACAAATCCGCTCGCAGAGGAGGAGGATGAGGTAGAGGAGGATGTGAGGGTAGTAGATGAAGACTCCGGTGTGACAGATGTGACCTCTAGCTTTGCAGTGGTTGATGTGCTGCTGTGGAATGAGAGGGTAGGAGTTGTGGAGGTCTCTGTTTTGTAAGAGGATGAACTGAAAAAGGAGGAAAAGGAGATTTTGGAGGAGGCTGATGAGAATAAGGATGATGAGGCTGAAGAGTAGGACGAGCGTATTGATGAGGAGGCAGCTGAGGAAGATTGTTTGGATGATGCGGTGGATGATTTTATGGAGGAAGAGGATTGTTTGGACAATGAGGATGATGAGTTCCTAGAAGAAGATTTCTTGGAGGAGGAGGATGATGAGGGGGAGGAGGAAGAGGAAGAGGAAGAGGAAGGTTTAGAAGAGGAGGCCTTGGACGATGATCTTGCGGAAGAGGACTTGTTGGTGTCCACTTTGTCCTGGCCGGTGTTGAAACCTGTTCTGCCCAAATCCTTCATCCAGGTCTCCTTGTCGGAGACGATGACGTTGCTCTGCAGGAATCCGTTGCCATCGTAGATGTAGGAGGTGTTACCCTTGACTTGGGCGTCGGAAGGAGGGTCGTAGCAGACGACGTCGATGGTGTCTAGGGCGACAAAGAGGTAGCCCGGGTCGGAGAAGTCCTTTGCGTTCCAGTCGATGTCGCCGCCGGCCCACTCGACCGTGCCCGGCGCGTTCTTAGTAGGGTCGCCCGCTGGCCAGATGGAGAACTGGAGTCTCGAGGGCGTCTGCGGGAAGTCGTACTCCTTGGAGGTGTCGTTGTAGGTGTCGGCCTTGTTCAACGTCCTCACGGAGACGCCGTCAATGGACCACGTGACGGAGTCCTCGGACCAGTCAATCTCGTAGGTGTGCCAGTTGGCGTACGTGTCGGAGGCAGCGGCCTTGACGGAGTTGGTGTAGTTTTGCGTGCCCTCAAAGTAGAAGTTGGTTTCGGCGACTTCCAGCTCGCTGCCGACAAACTCGTAGTCGATCTCGTCCTGCACCTGCGAGAAGAGGATGGCGGCGGAAACCACGCCGGCGTTGTGCGACGTCTTGAACTTGAAGCTGACTTTCCCGTACCAGAGGTAGAACGTGGAGGAGATGACCCCGCCGACGGAGTGGGCCGGCATCTTGATGATCACGGAGTCGTCCTGGTCTTCGATCTCGCCGTAGTAGATGAAGTCCGTCACGGACGTGTTTCCCAGGTAGTCTGTTTGGTTCATCATGTCTGCTGCTCTCGGCGTGTAGGTGCCGGCCTTGCAGGCCGGCGCCGGCATGCACGACGACGAGTTGAACGAATAGCGGGGGTCACACGGTCCGAGACAGTACGAGCCCGTCCCGCACGTGCCTTCGTTCGAGCAGCAAGGGAAGTCTTCCGGACAGTGTGAGTCGGCGCTGCACGATAGCGTGTCTGCCACGGCGGCAGCCGCAAACAGCGTTGCTGCCAGAGTCTGTACAAGTGTGAATTTCATGTTGCCTTTGCGTATACTTGTGTGATAGCTGAGCTTTCGCCTGGAGAGAATCCAAGCAAAAACAGCCTCGTGTCCACAATCCTCCACATGAAACACGCAGGGGGGACGCCGGTGGGTCTGGGGTATTTATATCTTTGCCACCCAAGACCCCCAACGGCCCAATTATGCTATAAATGGAAAACTAAACACAAATAGCCATGCCAAGAGACGCCGCTGAGATGGCGACACGGTGGCTGGCGTGTCTCGCAAGACGTGTCAACAATAGCGACACGCTCGCTGCGCCGCGAAAACCGAAACAGCGCTCTAACAGGAGTGAAATGAAGGGATCAACCGCGTTGCTTCCCGATCGGGAAACAGCCAATCGGTAAATAGCCCAATCGGGCAATATGTTCGAAAAGGGCGTTTTGGGCCGATCGACCCAAAACATTACGTAATACCATATTTGCGATTATGTCAGCATTTTGCGGCGATCGACCCAGATTACGTCAGCGTCTTTTTCTTCTTCTTTTTCTACTTCTTCCCCCCGCGACCGCTCTCGGCCAATCACAGCGGCCAGAATGGTCCGCTCACGCCTTATTTTCGCCAGGGAGGGCCCAGACGGCCTGCACATGCCTTGCTGGACGGGGTACATGGAGAAAGGAAAGCTCAGCAACAGGTCTCCGTGCAGCACCAGACACGCCCGCAATCCAAACCAGGTCCCGCCACTAGCTAACAGGAAACACCCGCCCACTCCACACAAGATGTCCACCGTCACTCTCGTCAAGAAACAAGCCGATTTCATCCTCAGAACCCCTCTTTTGAGACAGCTATTGGTGCCAACAGCCAAGGCGTTCACGTACTTCTCCGGCTACAGACAGATGGGCCTCAAGCTTGACGACTTGCTCCAGGAGGAAAACCCAGCCATGCAGAAGGCTATTTCCAGACTCCCAGCAGAAGAGTCGTACGCCAGAAACTACAGAAACATCACCGCCCACCAGTTGGCCGTCTCCGTCGAAGTCTTGCCAGAGTCCAAGGCCATCAAGGCTAGTGAGGACACCCCATACTTGACTCCTTACGTTTTGGAAGCCGAAGCCGAGCTTGCCGAAAAGGAAGCCTTGAACAACTCCGTCCTCGTCAAATAAGCAGTCCTGTAGCTGGCTATTTGTGATGTTATCCATCTTCCTCCCACCCATCCTTTATACATTCCCATTTTTGCGTGGTCTGCATATCCATGTATAACTGAACATCTTTGGTATTTTCTTTTATGTCTATAATCAACTAAATAGTTAAAAATCCTTTATTTATTTACCTCTTCGTTGATCCGGCCTCTTCAGTACCCGTACTCGTTGTACACAATGTGCTCCTCGTCCTCCTCGATGGGGAAACCGCATTCTTCAAGGATTTTGGCAAACCCCAACTCCAGCACAAGGTTCTTCAGCTCTTCGTTCTTCACACAGAACAAGCCCATGAACCCAAGCGAGTTCTGCCACACCTCCCCGTACTTGGCGGCCCTCCGCGGAACAATCATTATCCAGTCCGGCATCATCAGCAAGTTGTAACTCATCATCGAGTCCTCCATGTCGTGCTCCTTGTAGATGTTCAATGCCCTCTTGATCAAGTACATGTAGAGAATGGCCAACGAGTCTTGCTCATCCTCCTCATCGCTTGGATCATCCTTCAATTTCAAGATATAGTGCTTGAAACTGGCCTTCTTGTGGAACAACGGTCTCCGGTTCTCAACAATCTCCTTCGGTATAAAATAGTCAACACCTCTCACAACATCATCCTGGTAGACGTGGAAGTTGCTAGGCAGCATCATGAACTGGATGTGCTTGTGGAACTGCGAGTACCCACTCTCCGGACCGCTGTTAAAGAAAGAAAAGTACCTCTCAGTCATGTTCTTCTCCTCAATTTTCCTGTTGAGGTTCTCCAATATCGCATGCATGAGCTGCAGCTCAATAGGTTTCAAAAGAGTGTCTTGTTTTTCAAACTCCTTCGTGACAAGCAAAAAATGGTACCTTGTGTTCGGATACTTGTTCAATATCAGCCGATAATTTCCAAACAACGAATCAATAATGGTCAACTCCGGCTCCGGGTGAAGAAATGGGTTCTTTTTCTGGATATCGGCAATCTTTTCCTGTGTGACCTTCACGTCATCCCCAGGTTCGCTTGCACGGTTGTTTGGTCGCTTTGATAATGCCTCTACGACCTTAATCTCGTACTCCATCTTGGTCTTCTTGTCTGTGATCCTTTCAAAGTCGCTGGCCTCCTTGAAAACTAAATCTCCATTTTTTTCAGCTTCATCAAAGATCTTGACAATCCGATCAAAAAGGTCAAGATCCCGTAACTCTTCCAACGTTTCAATGACGAGCGGTTCACCCATATTTTGCTAATTCTGCTTAACGTGATCTTAGTTTCTAACCTCAGAATGGAATGCAGAGTACTGTCCCAGCTTCTACCACTCTCTGGTCATCAGTGCTCCACCCTAAAGTACATCATCGTGTCCCTGCTTTCATCTTTCGTTGCTCGCCGCGTCACATAATAATTAATATTTCCCCATGACGTGATAGAAAATTTGACACCGGCATGGGGACTGACAAGAAGACACTGTAAATCACGTACACTATCAGACAGGCCCAAGGCTGTAGCCAGACCTTACCTCTTTTCGCAAAGAGATTATTCGATCTCGATTTTAAATTACCTCGTTATATATTATATAGTCAAATCTAGTAAGCACAACTTACTCGTCATCACAGGAATATGTGAATCCACGGAACATCTCCTGCAGCTTAGGAGACAAAACACTGTTAACCGGTGTCAACTTGGCAGCCTGAGAGGTGAACTCTTCCTCAAAGCATTTGGCTTCTCTAGGATCGCTCACGTCGGGTTTGTAAGGAGGGGTAACCTTCATATTGAAAATGTCATTGAAATTGACATCTGCAAAATAGGGATGCTCCATGATCTCCTCTGCATCCCTCTCACTAGAACCTAATCTAAGTTTGGCATCTCTCGTCAACAACTTTTGAATAATGTCGACAGCTTCTTTCGACATACTTATTGGATAAAGCGGTTCATCGGTCAAAATAGCATTAAAAACTTCCTCTTCATCGTCACCTTTGAAGGGTGTTTTGGTCAAGATCATTTGATATAATAGCACACCAAACGCCCACCAGTCAACAGCCTTGTCATAGGTCTGTTCTCCAGAAATGATTTCGGGGGCCATCAATTCCGGAGTACCACAGAAAGTTCTCGTCTTGTTTCCAAACCACATGTTTTCCTTGCACAAACCATAATCAGCCAATTTGATGTGGCCTTCCGTGGTCAGCATGATGTTATCTAATTTCAAATCTCGGTAAATGATACCATTGTCGTGCAAGAACTTCAAAGCCAGTAGAATTTCAGAAGCATAGAATTGAGCCCTCCTCAAAGAGAATTTTTTTTGCTGGACATGCCACATCAAATCACCTCCACTGATATACTCCATGACAAAATAAATTCTGTTTTCAGTTTGAAAGCATTGGTACAGATTCAGCAAGAAAGGATGTTTCTTTTTGTTTGCAACCAGGAAAACTCTCTTTTCAGATTTCGTACTCTCAACTTCATCGTTTTCAACAATGAAATTCTTTTTTAATACTTTGATAGCACAGAGTTGGTTATTGTTGACATATTCTGCAAGCATGACTTTACCAAAGTTACCCTTACCCAAGACAGATAGAAATCTGTAATCATCCAAGCCGTATCTTTTACGGTGGCGGCGTTTCTGATGATGGCGGTGGTGATGATGTGGATGTGGATATTGTTTAGGTGCGACTGTCGAGTCAGCAAGTGTCATATCTTCAGGAGCACTTTTGGAGCCCTCTTGTGGGTATTTAGGGATTTTAACACTGTGTCTGATTTCGAGTTCTGAAGAGTCAGCATTAGCTTCAGGCAAGTTGCTATCAGTCGTTATGTAACTATCCTGAATCTCTTCTCTGGTGAAAGTGTTATTGCTCGTTTCTCTATCATTCGCTTCTTCCAAACTATTTCTGGTGACCGCTCTTGCCGGATATAGGTTGTCAGTTGGCGGGGTGATTATCGGTTGTGTTTTATTCGTAGGTTCCAACAGCTTGTTATGATTTTCGACACTCATTGTGCTAGTATCTGCTGTATTATCTACCTTGTGATCATTATCCTGATAGAAATAATCATCTGGTTTATCATTATTATCAAGGCTTCTAATGTAGTTGTTGTGGCTGTTACTATTATTTTGAGCATCGTTGCCTAACGACAGATTCAGCAATGTGGCTGCTCCAGAGGTGGTCTTCTGCTTGGTCAAAGGAACACCATCTGTGACTGCTTTAGAAGCTGGCAAAGACTTCCTTTTGCTAGTTTTCTGTTGACTTGCTCTTAAAGCCTCCAGAATTTTTTCTATAGTTTTTGGTGAGATACCACAGAGATCTGGAACATAGTGCATACAGTTAGCATGGCACATGGTACCACATTCTTCACACTTGCGAACATTCTTCTTACCAAATGGTAAAAGATAACCACAATGGCAACACCATTTTGCACCACGATTTGTAACCGGACTAAATCTGTGTGGGATTCTATGGTTCAATTTTGTGTCTTCCGAGCTGATATCAGAACTTGATTTAGATATACATTTGGCAATGATGTTTTTGATACACTTTTGGTGGCATAAGAACAAACAGTCTTCACATTGGAAGCCTGTGTACCTCAAGAACTCGTTACAAACAGCACACGACATGATGTTGTAAAATTGTTTCTGCACAAACCTATGTCCCTGAGATTCCACAACTTCTTCTTTCCTTTGACGGATTGCACCATGACGTCCTAAGCCGCTTGTGAAATTGTTATGGTCTGTCCTGTTTTTACTTTCATTGGTTTTAACAAAACCCAGCGTTAGTAATATTTCACCAGTCGGTTCTATTCCATACCAACCAGTCGATCTGATCGCTGAGAAGGTTGAAGCTGAAGAGGGAGAATCACTTGTACTTGTTGCCAAAGGAAGCTTTTGCACCGAGGAGGCTTTTGAAGATAGGTCGGGAACAGAATTGAGCAGTGTGCTCGACGACTGGTTCCCTGTACTGTCATCTGAGATGTTAGAGCCATTGATCCACTGTTCGGATGTGACCCTCTCCTGTTTGACCTTCTTTCTACGGATCTCTTCTGCAACATCAGATAAGGAAAGCCAGAAAAGGCCGACGGGAATCAACTGGTCGTTTATCTTGTCGTACACTGTCAAGGACAGCTCGTTGGCCTTTTCGACATTGATGTCGAAAAAGTCGGCCCATCTATCGTTTCTTGATCCCTTGGTCCTGGCTCTCTCGTTGTCATCTATTTTAATACTGATTATGCATTCTGGGTTCCTGGAAAAAAGCGGCGATTGGATGTGATCTACGTTTTTGATTGCCTGGATCTGGATGAACAAGACGCCGGATAGCGGGTTCTTCCTGACAGTGTTGATCATGGCATTTTCCCTGGAAATATCGTCAAAGTCGATGTACATCGACTGGTACTCCTTCATAGCTCTCTTCATGAGCTGCAATTTTCGATCGCTTTCGGACCGGCCCCGCTCGGCCATGGCAATGCTGGACCGGTCACCTTCGACCTGGTAGAGGTTGTACATCTTCTCGTTTGCTTCCCTGTACTGTGTTTCGACCTGGATCTTGAATTCCAACAACTGCATCATGTACTGGATTTTGTGGCCCAAGGACGGGCAATCGTACTTGAGGAGGTCCAACGCCGTGAAGAGCGGCCTCTGTCTGACCTGGTTGTACGACTTGGCATTGGATGTGTTCGGGTTGTTGCTGCCGGCGTCGCTAGTGGAGGAGGCGTTCGAGATCTGCAACTTCTTCAGGATCGACTCGAGGTACTCTATGTTTTTCTGTGCTTCTCTCACCTGCGTGTTGCATTTCTGGATAACGGACGGGTTGTTGGTCTTCTTCCGCACGTTGGTGGCTCCCTCTGCCAACTTCTTCTCCCGGTCGATCTTCTTCAAGATGTCATTCAGCTTGTCCTTGTTATTGTTGTTGTTCGAGGCCATGGCGGGACGCTTGCACGAAGTCCTGCTTACAGAGAAGGTGCTGGCGAAACAAAAAAGAGAAAGGTGGACGTAAAGGTAAACAGATCACCTGGAAAACGTGTCTGTTTGATGCAGGCTGGCTCCTGTCGGGGTAACTGGTAGGTGGTGGTCGGTCGTTCGTTCGCTGTCGTCGCAGTCGCAATCGTCGTCGTCGCAATCGTCGTCGTCGCAATCGTCGTCGAAGGGGACGTGGTCGGTCAGTCGGTCGGTCGATCGATCGGTTGTATTCTGGACACCGGCTGGTCGCTGATCTGTTCTGTGCCGATCTTTGCTGCCGGACAAGCTGACCCAACGGCACTAATTCCGTCGTGCTTCCGACCTGAGGCAAAACAGACAGCCCGGCCGGCTCATGAGAGAACCAGGCTCTCAGGCTCTCAGCCCATACAATGGCGCACGCCGTTCGCTGCGCTATAAATAACGAGGACAACAAACCGCAGCGGCCTGTTCCCAAAGAGGAAATACTTGCTTGTTCCTTTCAGAACGGGTCATCATCGTCTTCTTCTTCACCACCTGGGGCAGTCTATACGTCTACAAAGTTCAGCGGTTGTTACACTTGCACTCGCAATCGGGAACAGGACACACGTAGTGCTTGGAGAACCACTCCTCGGCGTGTCCTGCATGCATACAGTGGTTGCAAGATAGACAGAAGCTGAACCACTCCTTGAACTGCGACTCGTTCGTCGCATGTGGAGACTGCTTCGAGTTCTCTGGCAGCTTGTCGTCGGTCTTGGAGAGCTGTACCTGCTTTTCCTGGTCGGCCGGCTTGTCCAGGTCGGCAGGACTGCTCATGTGCATCACCTCCTTTGGCACGGGGACGCCCTGTGTGATGAGGCAGATGGCACAGCGGGGGAGCGGGAAGCCGCAGTGCTGGCACGAATGGTTGTTGGTGTCCTTCCGGGTCTTCTTGTCGTTGGCGTTGGCGCCGTGGGTGCTGCCGCTGCCGCTGCCGCTGCTGGAGACAGTGTCCTTTGTTATCGACTTGTGGCAGTTCGTGCACTGGAGATAGAGCTGTCTCGGCACGAAGTTGCCCGAGGGGCTCTGTTCGTTGCTCTTCCTGGAGAGCTTCGCCCTCGCAATGTCAAACTTCGCCCGTGCAGAGAACAAGCTCCAGCTGTTGAGCAACGTGCGGTAGCTATCGACCCAGCGTTCGACCCGCTCGTCGGTGAAGTACTTCGGGCTCGCAAACGACGCAATCAAACACGCCGTCTGAATGTCGTTGTTGCGGTCGACAAACGACTGGAGGAGGTTGATGCCCTTCATCGTGATCCCCGTCAAGATGATCCCCTCCACATCGCCCCGCTCGATCATCGTGTCCGCCAGCCGGTTCAAGTAGATCTCCAACTCTGAATCGGGAAGGAACCGCAACGCCACGCCAAGTCTCTCTCGCAATGGCAACGCAGACTCGTCAAGAACGTCCCACCAGTTCCCGTCGGCAATGTACGCAAAGATTATCCGCAAGTAAGGGTCTTCCAAATCAGACGCCAACTGCCTGCACCTATCCTTCCACGTATTGTTCGTGGTGGAGTCCTTGAAGGCAGAATACGCAGCTATCGCAGTAGACATGATCCGGTAGTTCTCGTTGTTCGATTCGCCCAAAATGCTGATTGCACGGTTCACGTCTCCGTGGAAAACAGCCCAGCCAGCAGCCCTTTCGTAGTTGCCGTTGGCCACCAAGTTGATGTACTTTTCCTCCAATTCTCTTACCCCAAAGTCCCATCCAATGACGTACATGGCCAAACGTCTCTGGACCTCTTTTGAGCTCTGTCCTTGGAACCCAATTACCGGCTTCGCAAGTAGACTGCATTCTCTAGCCCTTCGGTCTACAATCCCCTTCGCAGCATTCATGATATCCTTCTCGGTGATATTCTCAAATCCAGTGTACCTATTGAACGTCATAAAATCTTTGTTCATGTTCCAAATCCCAAGCACTCCTAGATAACCAAAATCAAAGTCGCCGAAGTTCATCTTGCCCGCAGTAATTAAATCATATGAAATGTCTATCCATTTCCATGCATTGTTTAAGTGCAATTGCGTCTCGTATGTATTCATGGAAGACAAGGTCTCCATGTTATTTTTACAGCTGGTCCCATACCCTCTCGAAGCTCTCCTTCTTATCGTGGAGCATATATCATTCTCCAACAATGAGTCCGATATCAAAGCCATTGCCTCTGCATCAGCCATGTACCCGTTTTCCCCATTTGCAGCCTTTTTCTTCCCATCTGTAGCCTCCTTGCTATCATCGAATTCTTGTGAATTGCCCAACCCCTCATCCTCATTATCATCTTGAGTAGTTCGTTTGGACAGCGAAAGGGCCGCCAGCTTGTCATCTATTTTTTCGATTTTATTATGCATTGTATCGTTAACTTCATCTATTGCAAATTTGCTGAAAACGCCACTTGATCCACAGAATGTGATATCATTGTACGAGCTGAAAGCAATACTGTTCTGGCTGTCAACAACTTTCATCTTATATATACTACCAGACTGCCGCATGCAAACTAGCTCTATGCCATATGCTGCATTTGCGGACGGGGCGTAATCAAAGGAGATAACCCTCTCGTATTTCGTCTTAGTGTCATGCACTTTTGAAATAAACATGGACCCTGTCGGTCTAGCGACCTTTGGTACAAAGTTTGGATTCTCCTTTTTATTCAGCTTCACCATTTGTTCATATTGGTATACCTCTGACTCAAGTGGAGGAACATTGGCCACTTGCCATCTTCTCACCAAATCACCATCAAATAATGCACCAATTTCGCCTCTCTGGACGGAAGAAAACCGATACGGAGAGCCATTGGTCCTTCTCTGATAATCATTCAACAATTTGCTAAACAAAAGAACGGGGCCCTCATTTGACACGTTTGTATTCTGATATGCACTGTTCATCTGGAATGATTCTGTAAGTTTCCGACGATCCCAAATCGCAAGGGAACCGTCTTCACTGTTGGACGCAAACATGAAAGGGCTGAATGGATTAACGCTTATGTTCAATGTGCATCGGGTTGCAATCTGATACGTTGGCTGATTGCTTCTGACATCATACTCTCTGAGAAGCTTGTAACTTCCTGTGACAAAGTTTTTCGGTTCAGTAGGACAAAATGAAAGCGATGATATACTTTCGTTGGTGATACAACTGAAAATTTTGCTGGTTTTGCCCCTGAAGTCACCTCTTTGTAAACTATTAATATCCCAGACGTGAATGGAGTGATCTTGTCGTCCTCTGTCATAGCCCAATGCAATCAGTCCATTCTCATTAAACGAGACAGAGTTGCAGGATCTCGGCTGCAGTGGTTTGAGAACAATCGGCTCGACAGATGAGTCTCTGATGTCTATAAGGAAGCTTCTACCGTCAAACTGTCCTACAGCTGCCAAACCTGGAGTAGCATCAGAGTAATTTATGCACTGTATGTTATCAAAATCAGTTCTCTCTGTTATTTTCACAATGTTGTCTTCTTCATTGGTGGCATGTCGGTCTGTCTGATAAAGGGACACGATCTCCCCATTTGGATTTACCGCCAAATACTGTTCTTCACCGTCAACCTGCCATCTTTGAGCACGAATCACAGAGCCAGACATTTTCAGTTGCGCTTTGTTCTATATGTTATTATGGAAACAAAACAATGATAAACTGGCAGTTTGACTAGACGAACAGTAAAATTTCAAGATTAGGAGCCTGTAATTCTTCGATGATTAGCCGTCGGAATTTTCCTCGCATCAAGTCTTACCGGTGCGTAAATGTTGTTGATGTAATTAGTAGTAGTGATACATACAAAACAGCTATAAAGTCTATACAAGTGTGGGAAAATAAATACTGGGGTTTCCATTTTAGTGTATCTTGACCTTAAGTTGTTCTCTCTGAAGATGCTGTTTTTTTATGTTGATATCTCCTTCTTCCCATCCCTCCACTTCGTCAAAAAGGGCACCCCATTCGCATTCTCCCTTCTCCAGAAATACAATTCCTAAATCATAGGTTCTTGATTCTCCCGGCTTAAGTGGAGTTTCTACGCTGTATTGTAAGACACCGTTGATTAGGATCTTTTTCTCAAAAGTATAAGGGGGATCTTTGCACACAGGTATGTGCCTGATGATGCCAAAAATTAAATGCTTGTTCCTGTTGGTCAACTGGAGGCGGACTGTGTAAAACCTGTTGAGATTGGCATTATTGAGATCAACAGGTTGATTTTCCTGGTCTAATAAAGTTAACAAAATTCCTATCTTCTCAACTTCCAGTACCTCAATCATTTTGGAAGAAAATCTAAAACTTCTTAGATCGATGGTTCCCGTTTTACCCGCATGGATGGAGCTTGAGCTTGAGCTTGTTGATGAAACTTTCCAAGTAGCACTCACACGCTTTAGGATTTCCTCCTTATACCAAAAGGCATGTTTGATAAACTCCTGTTCAGCTTGAGGGGTTTTCTTATCTACTACGAACTGTTTATTTCTCAAGCTTGGGATTCGTTGATTGAGATATTCTTCGTCAAAGTCCATTCTCAACAGGGGTATGAACATCCTTATGTTTTTCCGGCTTTGCAGTTGGGAAGTAACGGAGAACTTACCTTCGACAGTCTTACCCACAGAATTCATTGAACCGTTTATCTCACCTTCTTTGTCATTCTGAGGGTTGCACTCAATACATATCTCCATCTCCTCTGACCACATGTTCACAAAATCTAATGCGAGTAAACAAAAATGAGAGAGTTTGTAATTTTGCTCCTTCATCTGTCTCAAATATTCCCAACATGGATCCTCATTCCATTCACTTATCTTGGTATTAGAAGTCAAAGAAATGATATCACATCCTGCAAGTTCAACACTAGGATAAACAGTTAGATTCACAGGTATAGTGAGACTCCTTTTGAACTCCGAAGCTGTGTCTTTTTGATGAGAATATTCAAGAACTAAATTTGCTTCATTAACACCAAGTTTTCCTCGTATCTCAACTTCCAAATGAAAAGACTCATTACCTTTAATCTGTGCAAGTTCATTTTTATTTAAAATTTTGAATGGCTTCATCATCAATAGTTGGTATTCAATCTCATAAACTTCATTGGGTTGTAAGGCTTTGTTATTAAGCTCTGCATTCAGTCTATCAGTGGTGGAATCCTTGAACTTGGATATCAAATGATTAATTTCGGTATTAGAGGCATTTTTCAAAACCACCTTGAATTGTTTTCTTTCGCCGTCCAAAAGCATTAACCATTTATCAGAGAGTTTTACATCCATAAGCTTCAATAAAGGCTGCTTATAAACAACAGAGATTTCCCATGTCCTCACCAAATCGGTTTGATTTTTATCGCTTAATTTATTCAGCTTAGGTGGAAAAGATTTCGGAATGTGAGTTTTGGACACAAATGTCTGTTTTTTACAGATATCAATCGATGCAATTATCCCCTTGATTGCAACTTTCCCATGTTGTTCAGGTATGATTGCTAAAGAAATAGAAATTTCGGAAAGCGGTTTCAGAAAAATTGAAGGAAATTCTGTGATTGGCTCCGTATACTTTTTAGTGTCCATAGTAACCAATTTTAATGGAAAATTATTTTCTGTGTATAGTGATAATTCTCTCACTTCCACCTCAAAAGCAAAAGCGTTTCGTAGAATGATATGAGCACCAGTCTCTTCTCCTTCTACTATATTATCTGCAGCAGTATCAAACTCAAAATCCAAAAATAAGTTCTGGTCCCAGTAGTCAGGTGTAGCGCCTGTTAAAGAGCAGAACTCACCAATTTTCTGATGAACATCCATTTGCTCCTTTTCTGTCAAAATTTGACGAAAATGCTTCAGTAAAATAGATCCGTAATAGGTGTAGCCCTCATAGTGCTTAATTTTTGTACAGAAAGAAAGTAACTGGAACAAAAGCTTCTTCTGTAAATGGTTTGTGAATCCAACGTAAGCGGAGTTTTTCACTTTTATTCCGTAATTCTCGCAATACTGATTTAGCATTGCATTCAATTCTTTGTACTCAAATCTGTTTATGGATATGACGTGCTTTGATTCAATAATCCGGTCTAAGAAATTTTTTATCATCAAACATTTTTTCATTTGCATATTAGTTTTGGAGTATAAGGAAATGAGAGTGAAAAATATCTGGGATTGTTGGGTTAAGGAAAGATGTCTAAAACCTGAATCCAAAACATGGGAGCAAAGACTATTGAAATGTTCCAAATCGAAGTTCTTAGATGTCTTTCGATTTGTGTTCGTTGAAGAAGAAAACAGGATTTCATGGATTAAATCTAGATCGAAGCTACCCTTTGCATCTATGGAAACCAAAAGAGAAGCATATCTGAGCAAGCTTTCAGACACGGCTATTTGTGGGACATAGTCTGTATGTGCTAGTTTTGCTTGCTCGTAGAAAGCAGATGATAGTCTACCACAGTTGAAAATCGTTTTCTCCACAGTTTCAAGTGGAACAACAGGTAAGTTCAGAGTAGAGGAGGAATCATGGCCTAAACCATTCAGTTGTAAGGAGGCTCTAGGGGAACTATTTGGCGACAAAAAAATGCTGTCTATGTCTTTTGCCTTCAACAAAAGGGACTCAATGAATGAAGGTAATTGGTAGGGAGCTCCAATCGATGATAGTAAAAAAATGCAAACAGCCAGTGCATCCAATGCAGAAGCTAGCCAAAGAAGGTCATTTGCAAGTTTGAGATTGAAGATGGCCTCGCATAGATCCGACAGTGCACTTTTCAGGTTCCCAGCCATAAGGTAGAAGTTAGCACTGAGTTTCAGCTTCCTTCCTTTTGCGCTCATCTGCTTTACCTTCTCAGAGTTTAGCTCAAAAGAGCTGGCAATTTTCTTCTTAGCCCTACCGATCGAGCCATCTAGATTGCCAGGAGATCGCAATGTAGTATGTTCATAAGCTGATGCATAAGTGGAAAAGTTGCTCAAAAATCTGGACGTTATATCACATATTTCAGTCTCCATATTTGCCGTATCGTGATCAACTGTATAGACCTCGCTTAGTTTTGAACTGTACGTTTTCGGACTGTCGAAAATCATCAAGAACTGGCTAATTGGGGCTGGATATGCCTTTTTCAATGTACTTTTCAGACTTCGTATTCTGTCATCCGTGAGATCGGCATGCCACTTCAATATACCTATCACAATTGCTGTTTTCCTGAACGGTTCAAAATCGTGCAAAAAGAGAGATTCTTGATCATCATCTCGGGTGATGAAATTGTAGTAAAGGTGGCCCTGAGGGTATGCTTGAGGATTAAATTTTCCTGGATTGTGTATTAAGTCTACTGCTCTAACGTCCTTCACCCTCTTCAGAGTTTCGAGTATTTTTTCGAAGTCAGACTGGCTTAGTTCATCGACGGGTACGAGGAGAGCACGTACAGTAGCAGGAGACACAAATGTAACTGAATCCATTTGGTGGTGCTGTTGCCGACTTCTGGTCTATATCAGTAGCCAAAAGCCTTTGCCAGTGTTGTCAAAAAGATGCACCTCTGTCCCGTTACCTATAACTGGTTCTCTTCAGATCGGTAGAAATATTACCATCATCGATTACTATTTTGATGGTGGGTAAGTTTCTCTGGGTATCAAACGCGAATAAGCCGCAGGGTCGAACTGGAGCATGAAGATGGTAATTTCCACTTGGCTATCGTCAAGCAAAAAAGCGAAAAACCGTTAATTAGGATTCTGTTCTTCAAAAGTTTTCTTTCTTAATTTATTTCAATTTTCCTAAAAAAGCTACAAGCTTCATCGGAAAGAAAAAAGTGTAGGCGTTACTTTGTTAGATTAGAGATTTTTCCTGCTGGAACCAAAACTTAGATTAAAGCTTCGACTAATTTGTTGTAATCTGTTTATTCTAGATTGAATATCCATTGCTAGTAGTACCTTTTAACAGTATGATTGTTGCTTACATATATATAACTAATATAACAACCCACAAGCTAATACTCTCAATCATAAATACAAGAGACACACCTCTTGTATTTATACACTTTTATCCTCGGTTAAACCTTCCATGATACAAGCACACGGCGACTAACTTTCCAGTTTTAGAGTACTAAGATGCCTTATCATGATAAGATTCTTATCTCTTATCTCTCGATCCTTATTTGCTTGGCATCTTATCTCAACAATCCTTATTGACTTCGGCATCTTATCTCAACACCCCACCATAATCTAAACACTTGTAGATATGTTCGACATTCCAGCCAGACCAACAAACTTATTGAATTTAATCTTGGCCAAACTTTTAGTCAACGTATCAGCAACCATATTATCAGTGTTGATTGAAACTATCTCGCAGTTTCCTTTTGAAATATGATGTCTAATAAAATAATGTTTTATGTCAATATGTTTGGTTTTTTGATGATGAACAGGATGAGTTGATAACATGCTGCACCCTTCGTTGTCTTCAAAGATGCAAGGAACTTTGTTCATTTTGAGTCCAATGTGCTTCAACAAGTTATGAGCCACTTTGCTCTCACTTGTCCTAGAGATGAGGGCATGAAACTATGTTCATCGATTAATTATCCGAAGTGGTATCATCATACAGTTATGCTTATTGCCGCTCAAGGTGCTGGTCTTGATGCGTTCTTCACCTCTGGAGATGTGTTGTTATTTGTATATGGCACTGGGTGATGCAGTTAAAGAATTACTGTGGTTAACACAACTGCTGAAACACATTGGACTCAAAATGAACAAAATCCCTTGCATCTTTGAAGACAACGGAGGTTGCAGCATGTTATCAACTTGATTGACCAGCGTTAATAAAACTATCCCTTAGTCACTATTTCTAGTCACTGGTGTCAAACTACTGTTTCCCGGGTACTGCTGCTAACAGCAAAAGTGCTTACCCTGATCTCCCTTTTTTCCCGGTGTAGCCTCGGGTTCGACCCCTGCCTCCCAAAAAACTATCCCTCTTGGCAGCGACAAGAACTTTTAAATTCTCCATCGAACATTGATCGAAATTCAAAGGCATTCTCAACTTTCAAGGGTACAAGATGCCGACATATTCCAGTTGTATGCTCTCTCGGAATAGTGCTGGTAATTGACGACTTGACTCAGGCCGTAGAAGTTGAAGATTTTAACAAGACAGGTTGACGACTTTGGGCCTAGACAAGAGCTTAATTTGTTTTATTGGGGGCGGAGATAAAACTACCCAAATTTCAGTTAGTTTTTGGCATTTTACAAACTAGGACTGTCTACGTTACAACATTAAAAGTGAGCTGCAGTCACAGCAATGACCCAGAACTATATTGCAGGAGAAGATATCCATTTTGAATATGAAGATTCAAAAAACAACAAAATAGACAAGGCATATGTGGCCAACCGTGACATGACGGTTCAAGTTGAGCTTGATAATTCACACGAAGCCTACCCTGTTTCGAGAGTGATCAAGCAAGAGGCCAACGGAAACGTTGTTGTTCAAGAGGTTGTTGATGATCACAAATTTCACTCTTTTCACAGAAGTCAGCGCTACAATGAACAAGGAGAAATTGGAGAAGAGGACGAAGTAGGAGAAGACTACAATGATGATGAATATGATTATCTTCACTCAATTTGTGCATACTGTCAGAATGACCATCGTTGCGACCACGACATGCAGATGGAGGAAGAAGAAGAAGAAGAAGAAGAAGAAGAAGAATATGAATATGAAGAAGAAGAAGAAGAAGAAGAAGAAGAAGAAGAAGACTATAACGAAGAAGAAGACGAAGAAGACGATGACGAATACAATGATCACGATTGTCAATGTCCTCACCACCACTTGCACTATTCACACCATCACCACCATCATCATAGCCAGCATTACACAAAGCACGAACACAACCAGTATGATAACCACCATGCCAGCCACCGACATTGCAAGGATACCAGCGGAGTTCCTCGCTCAAGTTTGCTAGAAAAGCAGAAAAGGATAATAAAGGAACAGATACAAAGACCTGTCAGCGGGAACTTTCTCTGGGACTTTGAGTTTCCAGAAGATATACCTGATATGATTGAATTTTGGATAGGGCTACCTTATGAAAGGAAACGAGAAATAGCCAATATAGATTTTTTGAAAGAATTGGACCAAATTCATGACCACCAAAAACCTCAGGGAAGTTGCAGGTTATGCGGAAACAGAAAGTCTTCAATAGAGAAAGAACTTGAAAAGTTATACAATGGGTATTACAACGTGCGGAAACTTGCAACTGAATCGTTGGACGAGTGTGACCTGAACATAGAAACAATAAATACGATATTTTTCATTGTCGAGGAGGAAAAGATAATTGAACAAGAAGAATCTACGGATGCCCTCGAACGAGAATTACTATCAATGGCCGATGATCTAGTAAAAAATAATGGTGAAAACTTTATCAGTCTGATTGAGCAGCTGGACGGTGAGGCCAAAGACAGCCGAATATCCAACGCTTCATCGGTAAGTACCGCCAATGACGAAAACAACAGCGATATAAGGAAAACCCATGGACCGGAAATTAACAAAAATGATAACGATCTACTTCAAAAGGGCGAAAACATTCTTTACAATGATGAAAATGAACACAACAACGAAGATGGAGATGACAACGTACGAAAGGACGAGAAGAATGAATTAAAGGAAGAAGGAAACCATGAAGAGAAGGATGGCGAAGAAATTCTAGGGGAGGAAGAAGTAGAAGAGGAAGAGGAAGATGAAGAGGAGGACGAAGACTACGGATTTGAGAGCGACAATGCATCATGCTCTTCTGATGTTAGTGAAAATGACTACACATCTAGGAAGAGACTGGAAGAGACATATAAAATGCTTCAGATATTCTCTTCTAAAATTCTACGAAAAAAGGTTCATGATGCTTTTCAAGCCAAACGGGCTGAAGACATATCGAGGAGTCTTCTAGCGGAGGAAGAAAGAGAGAGCAAGTTGAAAAAGGAGAAAGAGGAGAAAGAGAAGAAGAAGAAGGAAAAAGTCAAGGAAAAGAAAAGACTGCAGCGGTTAGCCAAGGAAGAAGAGCGAAAGCGTCTTGAAATAGAGAAAGAAGAGAGTGAAAGAATGATTAGGGAGGAACAGCTGCGTAAAACCGAAGAAGGCCGTAAGCGTAAAGAGGCAGAGAAGAAAAAACGAGAAGAAGAACTTAAGGCCAAACAAGAAGAAAAAAAGCGAAGGAAAGAACTGGAGCTGGAACGCTCAAGGAAGGAGAAGGAGGAAAAAGAGAGAAAGAAGCAAGAGGCGAAGAAGCAAAGAGATGAGGAACTGCTGAAGAAGCGGGAGGAAAAGGAGAGGAAGGAGAGAGAACGCCAAGAGAAGAAAGAGCAAGAGAAACAATTACTTTTGAAGAAACAGATGGAAGAGGAGGAGAGATTGGAAAAGCGTTTGAGTGAGCTCAAATTAATTCAGCAAAAGAACAAAGAAGCTGATCTCGAGAAGGAGAAACAGAAGCAGGCCGAGAAGTCGCTGCAAGAGTCAAGACCATTACATATGGGAACTCCTACTCCTCTTCCGAACAATTCTGAAAGCTTGGGCAGCAATGGTCTGCATTCTCACCTTTTCAACTCAGACTTCATACCTATGAATCAGTCTACGCTTGCCGCCCCTCCACATCATTTCCCAGGTTTTGACTCCACACCGCTCTTGGAAAGCCATTCTTTGCTGAATATGAAGGCAGGCGCTTCCTCAATGTACGGAGCAAACACTTTCACCAACCCATTTGGCAATGATTCTAGCGGGTCCAACGCTCACTCTCTCCTCAACAACAACGGCTTGACCACCAACGTTGCGAACCCATTGCTTAGCGAAGAGTTGGGCTTCCAGGAGCAGAACAAAGGATTGTTCAATTCGGCGTTGTTTGACTCCAAAAGCCTCAGTGGTGAGGGCACACCAAAGGTCAACGAGGGGTCTATTTGGAACTCGAGTGTCACCCCACTCAACAACCTAGGCACTCGGGAGACGTCCCAGCCTGCCGCTACTGCTGCAACCGGACGTCACAATTCTATCTGGTCCTCCGGTGAGATGTCCGGTACTAGGACACCCAGCTTTTCGTGGAGTACTCCTGTTGCAAACGGGGCGGATCCGTTGGCCACCAACCCACACACATCTGGCGTGAGCGTGAGTGCAACGGAGAGCCTCGGCATACCACAGATTGAGCTTATCCAGCTGGAGAGTTTCAAGGCTGCTGGCCGTCTACCGCACATCTCATCCGACATCCTTTCTGTGCCGTTGCTCTATCACTACACAAGGTCCTTGCTTGCCGGGAAGCTTCCAAGCTTGAAGTTGGAACAGTTTGTGGCTGCCTTGTCTTTCGATCTCGGCTCCAAGCTGCAGTTCTCGTTCAGCATTTTCAAGGACGACAAGAATGAAGACGTGGTGAAGATTGTGAAGCGGTCTGCAATGCTTCCTGCGAACGGAATGGGCGGCATGAACCTCAACAACCTCGGCATGGACATGAACTACATGAACAGCAGCCAGCTCGGCGGCCTGAACGGCGGTCTGAACGTGTTCAACGGCATGAACAACATCAACCCGCTGAACTGCGGCGGGCTCGAGAACCTCGCCATGAATGGCAACGGACTCAATTTGATGAACAGTGACGCCGGTCTGCTGAACGCCCTGAACGGCATGGGCTCCATGCACACGATGAACATGAACCCGCTCAACATGAACCTGGCTGGCCTGAACATGAACACAAACATGAACACAAACATGGATGTGGGCGGCCACATGGGCCTTGGCGGCATGCACATGAACATGAACGTCAACATGTCGGGTCTCAACCCGCTGCAGGACTACAGTAACAGTGTTGGTCTTGACTCCAAGGATCCTGACCGGCTCCAGCCTGCCGCCTCTGCCGCCGCCTCTGCTGTTGCTACCGCCGACGGACGCCACTCCTCCCGCTCCGGCTCCGTCCTAGCGTCTAGCACTGCCGCCACAGACACCTGGCCATTGTTTTGACGTCCCCGCCGGACCCAATAGCCCTGTGTATCCGTCTGTAATCCCTTTATGTAGCTGTCTAGCCGAAACGTCAACAAGCAAATCCGTTTTATTACAAAAATAGCACACGCTGACATAATTCTTTCCGCTCTGCAGCCAAGATGGGAGACTTTCTCTCTCTTCACCAGGTACGGGAACGAGGTCGAAAGTGACAGGAGTGCTTTGCAGGGGTACTGGCGGTGCAGCGAGCTGGCGAAGAGGATAGACCACTTGTATAGCTCAAGTGCCGCTTTACACACAAGAACGCCCATTGTCTCTGGCCGGCACTCTTTCCTCGCAGATTCGGCTCGACCCCCATTCCTCGTGCCCCCTTTCTTTTTTTGCATGTCATCATCGCATACCGCCAGGTACAGTTCGAATTCCAACTCCAGTTTCAATTGAAAGAGATCACACAGACAGAGCAGAAACCAGACCTTTGTAAACAGCATACATGAGCACGAATCCAAACGAGAACGTCATTAGAAGGAAAATCGTGATTGTCGGAGACGGCGCCTGTGGGAAAACGTCGTTGCTCTATGTGTTCACGTTGGGCGAGTTTCCCACTGAGTACCACCCGACGGTGTTTGAGAACTACGCGACCGACTGTCGTGTCGACGGAAAGCCGGTGAGGTTGACATTGTGGGACACAGCGGGCCAGGAAGAGTACGAGCGGTTGAGACCGCTCTCATACTCCAAGGCCAACATCATCTTGATCGGCTTTGCCTTGAATGCGCCCGACTCCCTCGAGAACGCCGCGGTGAAGTGGGCCCAGGAGGTGAAGCAGTACTGTCCAAACGCTCCAATAATATTAGTCGGCTTGAAGAAGGACTTGAGACCCGCCGACGACGGCTCGGACCCACACTACTCCTCGCGGTATGTCAAGACCCAGGACGGCGACCGTGTTGCACACTACATCGGAGCCAAGAAGTACATTGAGTGCTCCTCCTTGACAGGCGAAGCCGTCGATGACGTTTTCGAAATCGCCACAAGAGCAAGCTTGATTGCTCGTCCGCTGGAAAGACAATCATCTGGCTGCTGCACCATCGCTTGAACACCTAAACGCTCAGCACTGTAAAGTCCTACCTCAGAAATTGTCGTATTTATTTCATTCCAAAAGTACCAAAAGAGTTTCACCACTTCAAAAAAAACAAGAAACATACACTACAAAAAGAGAACAATAGTTTCATCCCACCCTATCCTACGAAAAATGCTATTCCTGAAAATCCTTCCTTCCACAGCAGGCATCGCCCTGTGCACGCTCCTTGCTTTACAATCAATATTCCGGTATTTCCGTTCATTTCTTATGCCATAATTCCTAATATAATACCTTTTTACCCTTCGCTTGCTCAAATAGTATTCCTTCCAATTGTACCATAGCTTCACTCCTTTACTATTTTAGCCCAGCCTAATTTAATTTAATTTGATTTATGTTAACTTAATTTTTCTTGATTTGCCTCAACATGACATGACTCAATAGCCAGCTTCCTCGTATCATGATAATCCAACTATATTCGATCCTTTTAACTCAACAAAGCTACCTGCTTATTCACTATCCACTGTTCTCTTTGACTTTTATAGCTTGGTGAGACATCTTTTTTTATGTATTTTTAAATAAAACAGTATGTATGTATATGTTTTTATATATCCTTTCATAATTGTCTCTGCATGAACAGAAGCATGTATATTGTTTCGATCAAAATACTGTACAACTCCAATCCTTATTTTTGCGGTTATAATTTTGGCACGCTCTAAACATGATGAAAAGTTGAGGGCGATGTACATGAATTTTTCATGTTATCTGAGCTCAGTGAGCAATAATAAGCTTTTTTTTCAATTCGGAAACAGACACCTACACAAGTCAAATGCCACAGTTTACTTACCTGAGAAAATTTGGTACTTGCTTAAGCTGCAAGCAAAGCATCAACTATGCTTCTCCGACAGTTTATGCACTTTCCACCGCTCCAGCAAGGGCAGCAATCGGTGTTATCCGTATCACTGGACCCGCTTCAAAGAAGATCTTCACGAAGTTGACACATTCAAGTTCCACCCCTCAGCATAGGGTTGCATCTGTAAGGAAGATATATGATACTCTAACGACGTCAGACGTATACGGGGAAAGAAAATCAAAGAAATTATTACTGGACGAATGCTTGGTATTGTTTTTCGAGTCTCCTAAATCTTACACGGGTGAGGACTTACTTGAACTACATCTACACGGTGGTGTTGCCGTGATTAACAGAGTAATGAGCACGATTGGAAAGCTTCATTCACCTATATCCCCTATCAGATTGGCTGAGCCGGGCGAATTTTCCAAACGTGCTTTTCAGAATCAACGATTTGATTTGACAGAAGTAGAAGGAATCAACACCCTCATTCATGCAGAAACAGAAATGCAGCGAGTCAGTGCTTTATCATCAATGAAGGGTGAGACAAACATTCTATTCAACCAATGGAGAGAAAGAATTTTGAGAAACATTGCCTTGCTAACAACAGTCATAGATTTCGGTGAAGATCATGACATAGATGAGGTCAATGATCTTTTTGACCATGTCAACATCGATATAGTAGACTTGCAAAAGGAAGTTGAAGAATATCTTTTGAAAGTAAGACGCTCTCAAATACTACTGGACGGCATCAAAATAACGTTGACTGGCCCTCCCAACGCAGGGAAAAGCAGTTTACTTAACATATTGGCTCAGGATGATAAGGCAATAGTAAGCAGCATTGCTGGAACAACAAGAGACGCCATGGACGTTCCGCTTGATATAAACGGATATAAAATAATCATAGGAGATACCGCAGGTATAAGAAAGAGTACGGATGAAATAGAAAAGGAAGGTATTAAGCGAGCCAAAAAGAAATCAATGGAGGCCGATATCAACATATTGATATTGCCGGCCGACGAGTTAGACACAGAAACTGAGTTTTTGGCTCATGCCTTAAGCTTGGTGAGAAACTCTGATAAGGAAAACATGTTGATAATCAACAAAAGCGATTTAATATCTAAGGAAATGAGAGAAGAAATACTGGTTTTATTCTCCGAAAGGCTGGGCATTCCTCAAGAGAGCATCCTGTTCATTAGCTGCACCGAGAATGAGGGCATTGAAAAGTTGATTGGCAACTTAACTGCTCGTTTTGAAAAGGTTACTAACTCAGATAAAGAAGATCCTATTTCTATTTCAAATAGAGCAAAGGAAATACTCGCTAATGATGTCCTTTATGGGTTTAGTGAATTTTACAAATTTAAAGAAATTGACGATATTGTAATGGCATCTGAGGGATTGAGGTCGAGTGTAGAAGGAATAGGGAAGATTACTGGCCAAGCTATAGGCGTGGAGGAAATTTTAGGAGTTGTTTTCTCCAAGTTCTGTATTGGGAAATGATCCCAATATTTGCGATTTTACCGTCCGAGTATATTACTTATGCACAAAATTAATATCAAACAAAAAAATGCTTACACGTAGAACAAGCTGCCGATTGGATTTGATGTTGGACGATTCGGACGATTGTTGAACGTATGTTTCAATTTCACAGGCACAGTAGAATAACACAAAGGGGAGAATGATTTAGGGAATGCAGGATTGTTACCATCATCAACAGATTCAGTGTATGAAATTTCCTTGCTGTCAATATCGTAAGTAGAGATTTTTAGTCCGAAGAGGCCTTCGGAGTTTTCATCTACTTCAAATTTTCTAGGTGAGAATGCCAAAGATGGAGCACCATTGAAAGGATTTGTGAAATAAATAAAATAGAACAAGGTCCCAAAGCAGACACCAATTAAGTCTCCCACCAAAACATCTCTTACTCTATGCCTATGATCAGAAACTCTTGAAAACGAAACCTTGCAAGAGATAATCAACGGGTACATAATGGAGAGCACAAGCTTCCAACTAAAATACGAGGATCCTGACATTTTTATTTTCCCTATCAAGAACAAAACCAAAAAGGTTTGCGATGCAAAAACAGTTGATGAGTGGCCGCTAGGAAAGCTCTTGAAACCATCATTTATCAATGACTCGTCTGGATTCTGACAGAAGTCTACATTGTATAGACTCCCCAGCACTGGGATTGTCGAGTAATCTGGTTGGCACCGTGTTAGAAAGTCAGGTCGAGGAACAGCAGCAATGTTTTTGATAATGACTACTAAAAGCAATTGTGATGAACAGCAACCCAAGCTCCCCAAAATGGCCGCATGCATATCCCAGAGCATTCTCTTTTTGTTTCTATTCCTCAAAAACCACAGGCAGCATATGACCACAATAAACAAAGGTATTAGAAGAATCAATATCAAAAGATACCAAACTGGAGCATATGTTTCATTTTCGGCCTTGTAAGCATGCATGATACTTATATCATTTATACTGAAATCTGTATATCTGGTGACTGCAAACAACTGCCAGTTTACTGCAGCTGATAGTACAATAAAATAGGTTAACCAGTCAACTAAGTATGACAAGAAAGAAAACAGTGAAACTTGGCAATTGCAGACTCTATAAAATGTGTCTTTGAAAATCATGCTTGGCGATCTAGTCGTCACCAGTATCTATCGGATGGCTCTGTAGGACACGAGCTTTCTGTTTTTAACAGTATTCCCTATTTGGGCAACTAAAGATAGCCGGATTCATACCTTTTTGAACTTGGTTTTCTTTTGCGCGACGACCAAAATGTTGCAAGCACTGTCGTTTGGAATCGTGTCATTTAGATTTCGTGAGGGGAATGCGAAAAGTCCAAAAAGAACATGTTTGGAGAAGAGATTGCGGAATAAGACAGAAGGGGTGAATATCCGAACTAATAGATGCTTCAACACACAGAAGTTAAAAACAATAGAAAATGTTACTTGCTTGGACTGCTTTTGGTATGTTGCAACGCTGGAAGGAACAGCGGTTGAAATGAAACTCCGGACTGAACTACGATACTAACCACCATACGATGTCCATCTGTAATCTACATATCGTTTTCGACAGGTGTCGGTGTAAGAGCCTTACAAATGGGTATCAGACAAGCCCCATTATTACATGCTCCTATGGGTTTTGTCTACTCAGCAGCATTCACGACCACCGTCGGATACTATTTTGAGTCTTGGGTTGAAAAGAACGATGAACTCCTAGAACTAAGATTGGCTAAGCTCAAGAAGCTCAGAGAAGCCAGTGCTTAAACCCACCATACCATACATCTCAACAACACAACTGTCATCTTACATAAAACAGGCTCACAACATTCCTTCAGTTAGTTGTGTGACGCAATATTTCCGATAATGGGTTCTTTTGCACACTAATGGAAAAAGCGGTTCAGCTCGATACGTTCCATTTTCTAGTACGTTTTTTCCATGTGTGGGCCTTCTTTATATCATTATTTATTATTCACGTTTTTACAATCAACTTTGCGATAAATTAGTTTTATTAGCCTGATTTTTGGGACCAAGCATACAGAGATATACTACACTATTCTACATATCGATATATCCTTCCTTCCGTAGTTCATTGATATCTATGTTCATATCCTTCTGAAGGTCTTGGAGCTCTTCCTGTAAATTCTCATCGAAGGCACCGAAGCTGTCGAGCCCCACAATTGAGCCAGGGGTGAAGCCCGTAGTGTAATCGTCTTCGTGGCCGACAAGATCATCATCATCTCCTTCTTCGCCATTATCGTCGTAGTTGTCGTCATCTTCATCGTCTTCATCATCTTGCTCGCCGATGTTGTGCCCATCTTCGTCGTTGGCTTCCTCCTCCTCCATATTGTCTTCTGGTCCACTGTTGTCACTATGATCGTCGTCACTATCACCGATGTGGTAGTTGTCATCGTCCTCGTCGTCCTCGTCGTCATCTTGGCCATGGGCAACGCCAGGAACGCCGCCCGAAGGAATCAACTGTTCTCCGCCCGGAACCAACTTGGCGGCTTCGGCAAGGTCGCTTGGAGCCTCTGTATTGTTTTTGAGCTGTTTCTGGGCCTTGTGTTCGTCGGCCATGGAGTTGTCTCTGACATCCTTGGTCTTCACGTAACTGTCGATATTTTCGAACTCCTTTTGGTCGATCATGCTAAACTCGTACTTCTCTACCATGCCGTGTATCCTCACGTCTAGGAGCACGTTGAAGGTCAGTCTTGTGATCGAGTTGTACGTTATACTCTCGATGTCCGTCGAGTTGAAGATGTGGATCGGTTTCCTGAATCCGAAGATGACGTGGTTCGGCAAGAAATAGAGGTATCCCTCCCTGTTGCCCTTGTAGGCCTGGACAGAGAAGGTTTCGTCGTGGGACGTGCAGTCAAACACTTTGAAGTCGATTAAGGACAGCTGCGACGTGAGATACTGGACAAACGTCTTCCCGCTCAAGATGGAACCAAACTGCTCCTCAAGCTGGTCGTTGTTGAACTGGATCAAGAGCGGATCATTCTTGAAGACGTCGCCGTCGTTGTGGATGTAGTCGACGAGCAGGTACCGCAGCGGTTTCTTTTCCGGGACGTTCAGGATCGCTGCAAACTTGATGTTGTCAGGACTCAACGACCGCAAGAGGAGTTCAGGCTTGGCCTCCAGCGACTTTGTCAACGCCAGATACGCCTTCTTCTCGCCCTTGACCGCTCCGAAGAGCAAGTTGAGTCTCTTCCGCAACGGCGACTGGATCGAGAGATCCGGTAGCTGTAGCATGATGTTTGTGCCCTCTAGGGACGATATCGTGGCCGCAGACGGCGCCAGAGGGTGCTGCACACCGCTTTCCAGCTTCTTTCTCTTTGGATTGTCCTGCTGCTGCTGCTGCTGGAAGTGATCTATCACCGCTTCGAAGACCTCCTCACTGGCAGGAGCCTCGTGCACGATCTTCTCTACCTTCTCTCTGAGAGCCTTGGGCAAGCCCTGTAGCTTTCCTCCGGCTAGATTCATCAAGTGTGCTCTCTCTGCTGCAAATGGCTCTTCCTGAAGTCTTTTGGAGCCTGAAATGACGCTGTGCCAAGGGCGGTACACGTCTGCAACATGAGCCTCGTCATTTTGACGACAAGCGTGTCTCACGGGCTTTTTTCGGTGGGGACCTGGGAGAACCATCTTTCCTTTCCCGGCGGCGTTTTTTCCCCCGACGGTGTTTTTCCCGCTGCCTCCCCGGCGGTAAGACCGCCGGTTTCCCACAAACCCCCCCAAGTCTCCACAAAATCCCCACGAAAAGGCACCCCGCCGCGACGCGTCCCCCGGCGGCTTTTCGGGACGGGCAGGCGCGAGAAGAGCCGGAGCCGGAGAAGAGATGGCGATGGAGATGGCGGAAAGAGGACACGGCGTCAGGGCAGACAGCAACGAAGTGAAGTGGAGGTTCTGCAAGGGCCTGCGGGCAGAAGGAAGAGGCAGTGGGGTAATAGTGAAGCCAATTGGACAGAGCAGTAGTAGTGCAATGCTTACACTTCCGATGTGGCACGACGAGGAGGGGAACGACTACCAGGCGGTGTCCCCGAGACAGGCCCTTCGTGTGGCTCTAAACCTGAAAAAGTTGATAGACACGGTTGTTCCACTGGCTGTTCCTGCGCAGAGGATCAAGTCCTTTGACTTGAACCTCCCATACGATGCCACATTGAAGGCAGTCTACGGCGCCGCCGGCGGAGAGGGGGAGGACCGGGTGTCATCCGCCAGGCGGTACCAGGCGTGTCTTGTTTTCTGCTTGTTGAAGGTTGCCGGGTGGTACGAGACGTTGGCGGAGGCAGAGCTCGCCAACAACGACATCTACGGCAGCCGGGCGCTATTTGCGCAGAAACTGGCGTGCATCATCATTGAGCACGAGAAGGACGACAAGTACTTGTTTATCTCGATGCTCTGCCACCGGTACTCGATCAACTTGAACGACGAGGACTCTGACCCGGAGAACGCGCTCGAGTTGGCTGCCGACACCCACTCGATGATCATCTCCACGTCCGGGTACCAGCGGTGCATCAAGTGGTTGTGGGTCGGCTGGATCGTCCAGTCCAGGGACGACCCTTCCGAGTACGTCTTGTTCAACGGCAAGGCCAACACCTCCTTCGCCAGCCACTTCGATCCGGACAGAATCCAGACTCCGCTATACCAGAACCTCCTCGAAATCTTTGTTGCCGTTCTCTTCTTGGGGCTCTACACGTTTGTCGCCAACATCGACGCCGTGCCAGACTCGTTCAACTTTGCAGAACTGCTCCTGTACGCCTTCACCCTCGGCTTTGCACTCGACGAGGTTCAGCGGTTCTACCACTTTGGCTCCAACTACATCCAGTTCTCAAGTGCCTTTAACGATACCCTCTACGCCATCATCTTCATCTCCTACGCCTTCCGTGTTATGGCTGTCTACTGCTTGAACTCGGGGAATGCAGATGCCTATAACATCACTTCGCAGAGGTTCCTTGCAGTGGCTGCTCCCTTCATATGGATCCGCATGTTCTTTTTCTGCGACCTCTACCGTTTCTTCGGCGTCATGATTGTCATGATCAACACCATGATGAAGGAGTCGTTGATATTCTTTTTCTTGTTGTCCGTGGTAATCATTGGATTTTTGCAAGCATTCGTCGGATTAGACCAGGCAGACGGTAAAAGGGACTTGACCTATTTCATCATCACCAACATGCTCCAGACCATCCTCAGCGGGCCAGATTTCAACAGTATCGAAAGGTTCGCGTACCCGTACGGTAGTATCTTGTACTACTCCTACAACTTCCTTGTTACTGTTATTCTTTTGAATATCTTGATTGCCTTGTTCTCTCAGGCGTATTCAGAAGTTATTGAGAATGCAAACGACGAATACTTGCACCAATATGCAACCAGAGTCTTGAAATACATCAGGGCACCGGATGCAAAGATCTTCTTTCCACCGTTCAACTTGATTGAGATTTTCCTCCTCGACCTTCCTCTCTACTGGTGGATGGACAGAAAGCTGTTTAACAACATCTGCAACAAGATCATGTTGCTTTTGTACTCACCATACCTTTGTATCATTGCCAACTACGAGTCCAAGCAGGCCCGGAGAATCAACTACAACAGGAAGTTCAACCTCTCCGATGATGCTAACGAAGAAAACAGAGAGTGGCTTTTAACTGACGGTTACGAGGAAACAATGAATGATGAGGCAAACAGACACATGATTGCCCAAGCTTTGCAAAGACAGCGGGACGCGGAAAGCACAGAACCCGAGTTTGCAAAGCACTTCCCTGCTTGGAGAAAGAAGGTTGAGAACTTGAAGCCACCGATTAATCAAGCAAGCAATGCAGGTGTGAGTCTTGATAGCTACCAGATCATTGATCACATCAACAAGTTGACAGATAAGGTCGAAACCTTGATCAAACAAAACACCAAGATGAGAGAAGAACTGAGTTCCGAGAAATGAAGCTTGTGTAAGAATGCAACCTCAATGTCTCTACAGTTTTGTAAATTTAGTGTACACTTCAAGCTTGCTCTATGGACTGAAATATATTGATTGAACTGTAAATCGAAGTGCTAAATGTCAGTCCTTATCGAGGGATTATCCCTATTGGGAAGCCGACCGCAGGCTTTTTCCCCTCGCCCTCAGTGACAGCGCCTTCACTTTTTTCGCAAGTACATCGAAAAGATACTGTTGACACCATGATGTACCAAAACTGAACAACGGTCCAGCGACCACCTGCACCATTCCTGTCAGCGGAACATCTTTATAATGGACAGCAATAACACAGAAGGAAGCACGCATGATATTGAGGAGTATAAAGCGCTTACCACAGTTTTGAGTGCCCACCTGGGATACAAGGCATGGGCTCTTAGAGAGATTGTGAATCCCAAAAAATTGAAATTTGACTCATTAGCTGACGACGAAAAGACGCTGATAAGCTGGTTTCCAGATTACACAGTACAACTCGAACACTCAGCAGCTTTGAACGGTCAGTATTTTGAACTTGTAGCCAACTCAATGGGCCCTTCTTGGGGTGCAGGCGAGCCTCAGACTTGGTTTCCGGAAACATCGGCAGACTTGAACCGTCTTCTCGGCATGATGAGTCAATACGTTCGTGAATGGTCCAGCGACGGGGAAGAAGAGCGTGAGATATCTTTTGGCCGGATTCTTGGTGCTGCCGAAAGGCTTTTTCCTGACATTGACTCGAGACCGGATGTCGAAGTACTAGTGCCTGGAGCAGGTCTTGGCCGATTATTAGTAGAGTTCGTCAAAAGGGGATTCCGAACTCAAGGAAACGAGATCTCATATCACATGCTACTCAACTCCAACTTTATACTTAACAACACCTACTGTGAAAACAATTTTGCATTGTGCCCGTTCATCCACAAAAGCTCTAATGTTGAAAAGAGAAATTATCAGTGTCGTCAAATATATTTCCCTGACTTTAACCCTTCCGATATGTCGAGGATAACTGAAGATCATCCATCGATTCCCGTTGAAGAACTAATGTCTATGGTTGCTGGCGGATTCACTGACTTATACGGGCCCTTCAATAAGAACAAAATTAGTGATTTAGTTACTGATGATCCTCTGGCAATGGAGTTCCGAGAAGAAAATTCGGGCAAGTTCAAAATAGTGGCAACATGTTTTTTCTTAGATACCGCAACCAACATCATAGATTACCTTAGAACTATAAAACACTGTTTGTGTGATGACGGCTACTGGATAAATTTTGGACCTTTACTGTGGCATTTTGAAAATGACGACAACGCGTACAATGTAAAAGTTCAAGCTGCAGATGGGAAAGTAATTGACGTCCCAACCCCATTAAAGGGATTAGAACTGTCACGGGACGATATATTAAATTTGGTGACGGATTTAGGGTTCGAGTTTGTGGAACACGAAAGCGGAATAGAGTCTTCCTATGCTGGTGATGCTAAATCTTTAGGTAACTGGAAATACAAATGCGAATATTGGGTTTGCCGAAAGAAAAAATAAAGTCAGAAGTTTATTCAAAATTCAAGACCCCTACAACTATTTACGATCAAAAAAAGGTTTGAAGCTTCTGTTCGAGTGGGACTTTATCTCTTACAAACCCCACTGCAGTTTGCCACTCTCTCAAATGTCTTTCACTAATTTCAACTTTTTCAGCAATAGCTTCCTCACCTGCTAACGTTTCACTGTTTGAGAAAAGTAAAGATTTTGACAATTTAGCCATTACTGCAACTATCAAGGTCATTGATTTTCCTTTCCCTCTAAAATACTTGTACAAAAGTTTTGCCAAGGCAATTTGCGAATCCCCAGATTCAATCAAAATCTCATCCAAATGCTCTTTTTTAATTGGCAAACCCATAGACGATAAGAAGATGTATAGCTGAATTGTTTTGAACTTACTTTCAATTTCTTCCTTCGAGCATCTGGAATCTACTTGGACAGACAGCTTTCTTCTTTTTTCTGAGATAGGAAGGATTTCTAGTTTGATGAAGTCAACTACTTTTTCAACGGAAAGCTGCTGAATACTCTCTAAATCAATTGAATCCTCCCCTTGTTCATTATTTGAAAAAGCATAGGATTTATTTTCAATTTGCTCCCAGTAGCTGTTATGTTGTTTTATGATTTTTTTATCCCCGCCAGAACTTCCAAGCATACCAAAAAACAAACTATGCTGTCCACTTGTTGTTGCCAGAGATCTGTTTGAAGCCTTTTCTGAGGTAACGAACTTGTCAATAAGATCATTTAGTTGCAAAGTCTTCAGTTTCTTGACAGTTTGATTAAACCATTCCATGATGAGACTATCTACTTTTGAATCCAGCGTCTCCGCCGAGTGGCTACCACTAACAACTAAAATTTGAATACCCAAAGTTTTTCTCATCGATTTTAAACCTGCCAATGCTATGTAACCTAGCTGATATTCTGTCCTGATCTTACCAACTAAACTTGCAGACATCATGAAGGTTATAAATTTTGTTAGCGACCGTTTGACAATATCATCTCGCAAAGATGTTTGGAAAAAAATATTGACACAATTTGTATGATCCTTTGTAAATGAATGAACAAAATAATTGGAACCTTGTGGCAACATAACAGAGGAAGGGAACTGATACTCTTCTCCCTCAAACTTCTGAACAAGTTTGGTTACAATTGGAAGGATTGTGTCTTTTAGCAGGTGTCCATCGATTTCTCCCTGTACAAAAGCTGTTAGATAGCAGGAAGAAAATATTCTGGGCAATACAGATGACAAAGTTTCGATCGTCATTTTTTCACAAGATTCAACTCTTTGATCTAGCATCCATGTGTTTTCCTCGATGCTTGCCATTAAGCCTAAAGATGCAGTTTCCATTGAAGACATACTTTCTGCATTTTTATACTTCAGAAGCACGGCATTTCTTGCTTTTTCAAACTCTTTCATTGGGACACATGTTGCAACTGAATCTGAAATTAATTTGAGTTCATTTATCAAAACCTTCAATACCTCATCAAATTTGTTTTTTGGTCCACTGACGTGCAACAGTAAACCAGAGTCTCCTTTAAACGATGGAAATAAATCGTAACAATAATTCATGGTAAACGCTGGGTACAAGTACTCGTTCACTCTAAACTTCACTAGCTGAACTAAAATCTCCAACGCAATGACCAGGGAAGGTTTTGCTCCAATTGTTGTATTAATGAGCTCCAGTGTGACCAAGACTTTGTTTTTAAAAGATGGATCAACCTCTTTTTTGATCCACAATTGGCACCCTTGGTCATGATGGAATAGAATTGGCTTTTCCAAAAAAGTTATATTTTTTACGGAATAACCCAAAGCTGCGTTAGCAGAGCTTTGTACTGTGCGCAATACATTGTGAAGTAATGCTGTTTGATTGCTAATCGTATCATCTGCAAACATGTTCGGAGGTGCAATTCCCAGATTATATGTTTTCCTATCAAAACTCACAACATCGGGGTTCAACATTCCAATTTTGAAATCAAACTCAAAATCTGTTTCTGTATGGTAATTATCGGGCAATTGTTTAATCCAATCTAAATTTACTTGTGCAACATTGCCAACGAAACTGACGAGCGAGTTACCTAAATATAATACAGCTTTTGCAAATAATTGAAATGCTTCTGCTTCTTTGATCCACCACTCTTTTGCGTTGTTATTTTCTGAGTACCCACCACAAAACCCTTTTGTGTCCCGATCATAAATGTGCAATCCTTGGACAAAGAACGCTCCAAATGAGCTGATATCAAGTAACATATTCTTGCTTATAGATCGCTCTTCCCAAGCAGAATTCGACTCTACTCCAGCATTAAGAAAATTGTAAATGGAGATACCGTTAAATTGGGACATTGATTTAGCCAAGTGTTTGGTGAACTTGGGACTGTTGTTTGTAAATAGAGAGATATAATTGAAAACAACATCTATTACTTGAGAAATGTATGAAGTCCCAGTTGGAGTCAGCATTAGTTCAATTTCGAGTAATACCGTATCATACGTAATGGAACTAGTTTTTGTTGTAATCGAGATAATTAGCTCTCTACGAGACAGCTCTGAAGCAATAGTACCTTCTGCCTCAGATCCAAAAGTTTCACACCAAAAGTTGATATAAAACATAATCTGCTTTTTTGTCAACATCTTCAAATTTTTAAAGCACACAGGAAATGCAATACGGATAAGAGGATCCAAATCTTTGTTTATTAGAACTGCTCTTTGTAGATTGATCTTATTGTAGACATTACAATCATATCTTTTCGACCACACTTGTTCGCATACATTTGCGTTTAGCGGAGATGTTGCATTAGGCATATGACTGTGACTAAATTTGGACTCACCTATCTTGCCAAACTTTGAATGTGCCAGCTTTTGCAAATAATTCAAAGATTGAGGCCCTCTCAAGACAAATGCCATCCTGTCTGGTGTGTATTCAGAAGCAAAGAAAGTGCTCAACTGTGAATGTGTGTTACCATTTTGTGTACTACTTGTCAATGATTCAAAGTTGCCAGTCGAGAACCTTGAGAATGGGTGCTTGGAATTTGCCAACAGCTTATACCCCTGAAAAGCTAATCGGTGCCTTTTAGTTTTGTTAAGCGTGTGCTCGTTATCCACAGCATATATCTCACGATTAGAGTAGCTGGATTCGAAGTTGGGATTCTTGAAGTTAGATGTGAAAATATCCAATATGTTCTCGAAATCAGACTGGTTTTTTGAGGAGGCGGTGATGGGAATACTAAAGTAAAAGCTTGTAGTTTCATTGGTTGTCAATGCATTTCGAGTTCCTCCTGCATAGTGCACGGCATTTCTGTATGCATCAATCTTGGGAAAGTCTTTAGAGCTAAGTGAGATCATGTGCTCACACAAATGTGCCAAACCAGGGACATCATCGGGGTTTGCATGGTGTCCCGTGGCCACTGTCAAGCAGCAAGATGCCAAGTCTTCTGACGGATCTGCTATAACAAAGCCACGAATTCCGTTAGGAAGTTCTATCAGATTATAGCTTCTCTGTTCACAAGAATACGGCACAGCAAAGAGCTGCCGATGAACTGAAGGTGCCTCGGACATCGCTGAATTGCAAGAATAGTAGCCAACAAAGAAGCCTGTACAAAAATCTACACAGGGAGCTCTTTGAAACCAAGACAAAACATTCAAAGGTGCTGCTGTGCTTTCTTATATCCTCCTTGCTCCCAACTCCGAAGCACCCTCCACAATCATGGTGCAGAAACTCCGATTTCCTCTTTCGGATGCCTCAATGACATAATTTCTTACATGGCTTACATAATCCAAAGCTAACGTAAGCATGCTGCGCCACATCATTGCCGAACTGCGAATGTGGCGGTGCAGAATTAGGAACGCCTTCTCTCGTTATGAGAGGAAAGTAGGCAGAACGAAGAGAGAAAGAGAGAGAGGCTCTCTCACAATAGCGAAGATAAGATGGCACGAAATGACGGTTCTCATGGCCCTCAAGGCCAGCGGTTTTGGAGGAAAATAGGAGCTATTAGTACGGGATACACGCAGACGTACACACCGATTGTCTGCAAATAGTGGTACTCTCTACACAGACCATACTCTGCTCTTCCGGTTGATTCCTGCTACACACGCATTTTCCTACGATTGATATTAGTATCCGCATAAAGAAATGTCTGCTTCTTCACAAATACCCGTTAAATTGGTCTTGCTCGGCGAAGCGGCCGTGGGCAAGTCTTCTCTAGTTTTGAGATTTGTGTCAAATGACTTCCAGGAAAACAAGGAGCCGACCATTGGTGCCGCTTTCCTAACCCAGAGATGTACTATCGGAGACAAGACCATCAAGTTCGAGATATGGGACACTGCAGGCCAAGAGCGTTTTGCAAACTTGGCACACCTATACTACAGAAACGCCCAAGCTGCGTTGGTTGTCTACGACGTGACCAAACCAGCAAGTTTTATCAAGGCCAGACATTGGATGAAAGAGTTGAAGGAGCAATCGACAAAGAGCATTGTGGTTGCCTTGGTGGGTAACAAGTTCGATTTGATTCTGGACGAAGAGACGGGAGAAGAAATCGAAGGCGCAAGGAAGGTGTCTGTGGAAGAGGGCAAAACTTTGGCTGAAGACGAAGGCGCTGTATTTTTTGAGACATCTGCTAAAACGGCTTACAACGTTAACGAAGTTTTCATGTTTATCGGCGAAAAACTCTTGGAGAACTTAGAGAAGGCCCAACCAGAAGAAGCACAGTCACAGACACAAAACAACAGAATAGATCTAACAGCAGCACCACAGCACGATGTAAATGAGAACGCTTGCTCGTGTTGAATGTGAGTTTCTTCGCTGTTTAGAATTTTCTTATCGAATTCCCATTTTTTCTCTTCTTTTCCCTTCTTGTTCCTCTGGCTCCTCTTCTGTTTTCTTGTGTCCATTTTCTTCTTACACCAATATTTTGTTTTTGAGTTTTGTCCCTTCTTATAAATTGTGCTTTATAGCTCTGACCTTAAATAGCAGTATGTATACATGCAGAATGATGTATAACGCGGTTGATAATTTTCTACACTGATTCGTCAAGTATGAAATGAATCGCCTTTATATCAAACACGAGAGAGACATATATTTATATACATAACCAAACATTACAGCATTATCATTATAGCTTCGAGCGGACGTTTTCATCTAAACCTCCGGCAGTGGCGGCTCTGTTGATCTCCAACATTCCGTTAGCCGATCCAGTGATCTTCTCATGATCGTCAAAAAAGACAACAGTAACTGTCAAATCATCTCTGTACCGTCTACTCAACGGGGATGGAATACTTACCAGCAGATTGACATCGTCCTTCTTCCCTCCATTACTCAACGCGTTACGAATCAAATGTGTTGCAACGTTTTCGTCTTCCAGCAGATAGCCAGTCATGTTGCTCGTTCTTCTGTATCTTTGCTTTGGGTTACCAGCCTTATCAGAAACATCAACAACTTCCGGTAATTTTTTATCTTTAGAACTCGTCCATACTGAGCTGAATATGCCCCTCTTCGGCTTTACCATTTTCTTGGATTCCATCCATTTTACCACTAGACCAACAATCTCTTCATTGGATAACATTTCGTAAAGACCATCCGATGCCATGACCATAAAGTCATTCTTGGTTGGATTGACTTCATGTGTGGTTATGATTGGTTCAGCAGTGACATAAGGAGGGGTCTTCAAGTTTGCAGGTGACTGGCGTCCGAAAAACTGATTGTATACTTTGGCTTGCATATCCTTTGCCCACTTATAACGTGCGTCACCGAATGCTCTAGATGGCTCTAACGATCCTAAAATACGCCCATTACGTACAACATTCGGTTCATTAGGATGCTCACTCAATAACTTGGCAACTTCTGTTGGATTGGAACCTGTCTGATCGACGGATAACACCTCAACCGTCCAGTTGTGACTTTCTTCATTCAGAGACCCAAGCAAAGCTCTTGAATCGCCTGTGACTGCCACTTTCAATATCTTACTATGCGTATCATAGAAAGACATCAATGCACACGAACCTGATAATGCAGGCATAAGCAGCTCTGCTGCTGCATTCTTATTGGACGAGTCAAGAAGTTTCTGAACATTTTTGTTGACAATCTCATCGTCTAGCTTGACAAATCCCTGCTTGATTGCCTTGTCAATGACCTCGTTGGATGGTATAAGACGAAGATTTTTCTCGCTCACTTTATAAGCCCCATTCAGCTCGGAGATCACATAGTCAATCAAGTTGTCTCTTAAATAAGCAGAGGTGTTCCACCCTGCATGACCGTCAAACACGGTCCAGAAATGCCAATCGGCCTCCACCTTTTCATTGTTGCTGTAAACATCTTGGACCGGCACTTGGACTATTTTCTCAGCACGATCGTCCTCAATCGGATTGTTACTTGGCAATTGGGAAATATCGTATCTGTACACACCTTTACCTCTGTTAACATAGTAACTCTCTTCGTACTGTCTCAATCTCTTGTTCACCTCTTTGTCGGTGAAAACAGGGATCCCTTGCTTGTGTTGCTGGGCCGAAGGACCTCCAGAGTTGAGAGAGTTGGTTGTGGTTGTAGAGAAAAAGTGCTGCTCTCCCGGGGTCTTAGCGTTGGAACTAAATGGGTTGGTGATAGTTGACATACTTGCACCGTTAGAATCTGCACGCAGGGCATTGTTGGTCATTGCGTAGTACGAAACACCAAGAATTAATCCCGAAAACAAGGCAATATTGACCCCTCTACGCATGTGTGAATAAACGACGGGTCTCTTCAGAGTATGGATTGAACAAGTCAGAATATTTGAGCCGAAATAGTTTCCTCTTTCCAAAGATAGTCTACCCTTTACGGAATGTGACAAAGAGCTGTGTTGTTTCTTACCGATCTTCAGCATATTGCTACTAGCAGTGAGAAACAATGTGCACTAGAGCCAATCAATTTGCTTTCTCTGTCCGGCTGCCGTCCTGTATCAGCAAAGATGAAACTGGTTTGCCAGGGGCAAAGGCAACGGAGAGATCTTCTGTGACGTTATGGCTGGTCTCCTTAAACAAGTAGCCGGCCTCTCTCTCTGCCCCCCGGCCCTCTTGCTGGCAACCGCGGTGCACTGTTGTGGCCGTTCTCAGATGTCGGAAGAGGACAAAAATTTTTCACTCCTCAGGCATGGATTGAAAAGAACGACTGTGGGCCAGAAAAACGAAAGAAGCCGTAGGCCCCCTTTGAAAAGCACAATTACATCAAGTTCCATCTTGGATAAGTAAAGCATGCCTCCAAAGAAGAACGGCGGTAAGAACCAGCAAAAAGAGCTTGAAAAAAAGGCCAAACAGAAGTCTAAAGCCAAGAATGCAGACGACAAAACGTTTGGTCTCAAGAACAAAAATAAGTCCAAAAAGGTCCAGGAATTTATTACGCAGGTAAAAGCTGGTGTTCCTCCGGACCTCAAGAAACAACAAGAATTGGCAAAACGGCGTGCCGCAGAAAAGAAGGCTGCAGACGAGGCTAAGAAGGAGGCATTGAAGCTTCTTCAAGGTTCTGTCGGCACCCAAAAAGTGCCTTTTGGAGTGGATCCAAAGAGTATATTGTGTGAGTTCTTCAAGCTCGGTACGTGTACAAGAGGGAAGAATTGTAAGTTCAGCCATGATATGAATATAGCCAGAAAATCGGCCAAGAGAGACTTGTATACCGACGACAAGGACGATAAAGAAGATAAACTTGCAGACACGATGGACAACTGGGACGAAGAAAAACTTCGGTCTGTTATCTCGTCTAAGCACGGTAACCCTAAAACCACCACAGACAAAGTGTGTAAGTTTTTTATCCAGGCAGTCGAGGACGGGAAGTATGGATGGTTTTGGGTTTGTCCTAACAGTGATCCAAAGAACAAAGTGGAATGTAAATACAGACATTCGCTTCCTCCTGGATTTGTTTTGAAAACGAAGGAACAACGAAGATTGGAGAAGTTGGCTATAGAAAACCAACCGAAGATAACACTTGAGGAGTTCATTGAAACGGAGAGAGATAAACTTCCAAAAGGAAATCTCACTCCTATCAACCCTGAAACCTTTGCCAAATGGAAGAAAGAACACAGACAGAAAAGACTCAACATGCAGACAAAGGATAAACCCCAACTCACCGGACGGGAAATTGTTCTTAAGAGATTCGAAGACAAGTTCCTCAGAGAAGAAGAAATTGGAGCTGATTACGGTACCGAAATTGATATGTCTCAATTCAAGAAAGCAGTTGAGGATATTCAAGATGAGAACGAACCAAAGGTCAAAGATTATGGTGATGGTACTGGTGCCTTTGCTGATGCTAATAGGATAGACTGACTGTTTGTACATGAATAGTGAAAAGTATGTTAGATTGATGGGGAATGATGTATCATTCGACACGAAGAGTGTGGATTCTTTGCCGGGTTAGGTTTCAATTTCGATGAGACCGAAATGAACTTGTGGAATATTGACTTTAGATTTTTTATATTTTACATTTGTGAAGTTTGATTGTCTTCTCATATACTTTAGAGGAGAAGACTACTTACAAGCCATAAACAATATATAACTAATCAATAATACCATAAATAACCGCTTCAAACCAATACATTCTCTCTCGGTTGCAAAGCCTCTATAAATTTTTCAGTTGTTAATCCAGTAAAACAACTATAACTATGAGATATAAAACTAGGTGCATCACTTCAATTCATAAGTGATTAATTTTTCACTGTCATCACGAACACTTTGAACATCCTCCCAAAACTTTACTTGAATATGTTCCGGGACCTCCTCAATAATTCTTCTGACCTTTTGTTTCCATAATCCATACTTCTTGTCTTCCACCAAAATTCCATTAGCATCCAAGGTTTCACCATCAAATTCATCATCAGAGAATTCCATATAATCATCACAGTCGACATCAGCCATCAGAGGCTCTTTAGGGGAGATATCGGTTGCTTGATTAAGGGCTTGGCCAGTTTTTGGCGAAACAACTCCGTCAATTTTTAAGATTTTCGTACCCCTTAATTTGACAGGTTTTCTCGGGACAATAGGCGCTAGCTTCTTTACTTTCGTTATGTTGACTGCAGTGTTTATGGTATTTTTGGCCAGATCAATGCTAGATCTACGCCTAGAATGCTTTGGACCAGCAGTATTTTGCCCCTCATTTGCTGCTTTCGTATTGTTGACCCAAGACTTTGATGCAACGGAAAATTCGTAATCCGAATCGTCTGAATCAATTCCTGTAGGATTGCGCAAGAAATTATCCACTTTCAATTTCCTGGTTGGAGCTCGCTTGGTATTTCTTTGAGCTATCATTTTCCTCAATTCTTTTAAAACTTTAGCATCATTTCCTAAAGAACTGAGAGATGTTGGGACCACACGTAAATAAATCGCCAATATCTGAGGGGCATACCTAGGGATTAATGACAAGTATGCTTCTAGATCCTGTTCACCTGTATCACCAACTAAAACAAACTTTCGTTCAGGAAAATCTTCTAACAAGGTGACAAGAGAAGGACGTTTACGTTCTGCACTTGGTTGAGTAAAAGATGCTAACAGATTCCCACTATACTGACGTAAGTGAATAGAGGAAACGGGAAACTCAAAGTATGACATGAACCCTTGAACAACATTGAAAACTTGCCAAGGAGAGTTTGAAACATAATGAATGGGACACTTGTAAACATCATGTAGCTCCTTAAACCATTCTGCAACTCCCGTAACCTCACAGCTTGAATATGGTTTGGAAAAAATATTTCGAAAAACTTCTCTTTTATCCCCCAAAACTCCCGTTAATCGAATAGTATCATCAATATCAGTAATAACACTGACCCCCCTTGCCTCTATTATTTCCAAAGTCGTTGTTTGTAAGATAGAGGGATCGATTGCTGAAGATGCTGCTACATAGCTTGGCTTATATGGTGTCACAATAGAAACATCAAAGATTCCAAAATTATCTGTTGTTAATTTGGCACCCGAAAGTTGATCTACCGGTTCTTCTGATCCAATGGTTATATTCAGTGACGTTCCGGGTATAGTTTTAGCCAATATACCTTCCATCCTGGTTTTGACTGTATCATTGGGCAGCGTAACACTACTGGAAGAAATAGAAGAATCATCATCTTTGTATTTATAGTTGTCCTGATTTGTTATGGCATCTTGCAAGTCATTCTCAAATTGAGATTGGTCCACACTGTTTGCATCATTCAACTTTGAGATTCGTCGTGCCATACTTAATAGAAAACGATTCTTCCTGGAAACTATTCCTGTAGCCGTTACAATTCCCTTCACTCGTGTAACATACTCGCCATTATCATGTTTGCAATAATTCGGATATAGTGTGATATGTGTGTTTTCGGGCAACGCATCAACAAACTCATTCAACGAATTAGGAGTGGCTCCTTGATTGTTGAAAACAGAACTGGTTTCCTGGTAAATGGATCTGACATAAGGAGATTCCTTTGTAGTTTTATAGGCTCCCATTATCTTATTCATTATGAAGGACGAAACGCTTTCGTCGTTGTACTCTGAATGATTGTAATTCCCGCTCATTTTATTACGAACACTTTTGTTGTAGCTATTCAATATCCGCTGATAATGTTTTTGTTGCTCCTCTTTATCAAGCAAAAAGAAAAAGATCTTATCCTTACTAGTGCTTTTACGCAGAAACTTAGCTAGGTATTTGTAAAAATGGTATGTATGACGCAAAAATGAACGGTAGCTGGATAACTTTCCCTTGTGGAAAGTCGATAGTATACGGTGTGAAACCTTCAAAATCGTTGATGGTTATATTATTTCCTTTTCAGTTTTGCAGAGAGTTCAACCGTTTTTTGACAATAGATCAGAAGAATGCGGGTGTACTTTCAATTCTAACAGGTCAGATATTATGCCTCAACCCTTCTTTCCCTATCACGGTCAATTGCTAATTGAGCAAGGGCAAAAGTTTCACAATGGCGTTGTGAGGTAGCAAACGTAGCAGGCTGGCACAGATTAGCAGACGGAACAAATTATTGAGATTGTCCCAATGGGTAATTAGAACACAGTAGAGGTCAATTATTCACGCAGCTAACCAGCTCCATAGGATCCGCTTTCCTGAATTATTTGTTAGTGGCGAGGAAGGAAAAAAGCAAGGCTGTAGAAACGTGCCTCAACAATGACATGCTTGAGAGATGAAGGGAAAGTAAAATTAGATTCCTGCTAGTGTACAAAGTATTAAAGAAGTCTATCTATCTATCTATCTATCTATCTATCCATGCAAATGCTCTGTGAATGGTGAAAAGTCTTTTCACATATCCATCGTCTTTTTGATGCAGTAGCACACGACGATGGGCATAGAAATCACCAGGACTACATACTGTAGGGCCAAGTATAGGCCGAAACAGTTCAAGGGTGAGCAAGTCTTCACGCCCGGACGCATTGCACCTGCTGTCAAATAGATCTGGACTGTAGCGCTTGGTAGGGCGAATTCCATCGAACAGACAAACAACGCCATGGGGTCGGTCAACCAGTGGGCGTTCTTGAATCTTGTTATAAGGGCTGCGCCTATAATAGGCAAGATGGCCAATCTGAAAACCGTGTGGCAAACTGCTGACTTCCAGAAACCTTTCGGAATATCGCCGAACTCCAATCTGGCAAGTACAGAGCCAATCAACAACAAACCTAAGGGGACGCAGGGATACCCTAGATATTCAGCATACATCAAAATGAACGATAATGCGGGTTCATTGTCAGGAGCGTTTGCAACCTGGACAGTTCCTGTGTTAACAAAAAGGGCTTTCACCCAAGGTATTAGGGCTATAGTGATCGACACAACGAGAGAGACTGAATTGGGCTTTTTGAAGTTTTGTAGAAAGAAGATCACGTAGTGTAGATGGTACTTTTTGATAAATGATATGTCGGAGCCTGCTTCTTCGACATCTTTCATGGTCAAGTTTGTTTCTGTTATGATTTTCATGGCCTTGGTCATCTTCTGGTTGTAAGGCTCCACGCGGGAGTATTCCCGGATAAGCTCCTGATTCAAGGACATCACGTCGTCGATGTGGTCTGGGGCATCAACATCTTGGGTCATGTTTCTGGCAGAGGGGATTCGTGCTATAGCACTAGCTCTGGAAGTAGTTCTGCTCAGCTGCGATATTTTGGATGCCACCAGTGTCAAGGGCCGTGGGTTCAAGTTGTTGCTGAGACTTCTTTTGCGCTGTTGCTGGTCATGCTGCCGTGGTGGCTGCTGTTGTTGCTGGTTGTAGCTGGAAGCGACAGAGGAGGTTGGCGATATGGGGCTTTCAGATGAGAACGAAGTGATAGTTGTTGGAGTGTACAGATTTGGCATGTTAGAATCGTCAATGTTTACTGTGTCTTCGTAGTCGTCGTCGTCATCTCCTCCACTGCCGCCAGCGTTGTCGTTGTTGGAGAAGGCCTGATGAGCTTGGCCAGCAGCAGTTTTTTTTCTGTGGCTGCTGTGGTGCTCGAGGCGTCAACACCGGTATTGACCGAGCTGGCGTCGTTTTTCTCGATGTCTGTGGAGTCGTCGGCGGCGGACTTGTAGTACTTGTCTGTGTAGTTGAAGTCCCACTCGACCAACTGGAAGAGCCCGCAGTTGAACTGGGTCACGACGTACATGGCGAGCCAGATGATGACGTAGGCAGTACCCTTGTTCTGCTGCGCGGTGGAGAAGACGGAGACGGCCTGGATGTATGCAATGGGCAAGTCGGAGACGTTCTGCATGATGCCGGCGAGCAAAGCGCCGCCGACCCACCGGTTCTTCGGGTCCTTCGGGACGGGGGTGAACTTCACGACAAAGAACGCCACGCAGGCGTTGATGGTGTACATGATGAAGGCGGCGAAGCAGATGACGCCGATGGTCTTGATATCGGAGATCGAGATGTAGGACACGATTTTGTCAAATACCAACGCCGGCATGAACATCATCAGCACCATGTCCGAGCACGCGCGGGCGGCGGTGACTCCGAAAAGGCCCTTCCTGGTGAGGAAGAAGCCTGTGCCGATGATCATGTACATCCGGATGATGGGCTTCACCGCTGCGTAGATGATTTCTCCCAACGGAGCGCCTGCCATTGGTGGGGATGTGAGTGTGAGTGTGAGTGTGTGTGTGTGTGTGTGTGTGCGGGGTATGTGTCTGGCTGTGTCTTGTGGGGTAGTAAAGGGCGGAATGAACGACCTGTTCGATTCGAGTCTAACCTGTTATACTAGCGGCAGAAATCTGTGGTGCATCCAGATGAGCCCTGTGCTTCTGCGTGGCCGTTTCTGTGCTTTTTCGTTTCTGTGCTGCTACCGCACAAGTGTTCTTCCGACAAATCTCCAACCTGGCAATCCACACCTGTTTCCGCAAAGAGAACAAGCTAACCACAGCAACGCTTCCGTCAACGGGGTGCACACGCCCTGCTTATATATCTTACTGTTTCTGCCCGTCACCCCGTTCTGCCTGCCGGTGCCCGAGATAACAATGTCTGTCGCTCCGACAAGAGCTCCCCCGGCAGGGGCGACACGCCCGCACCGGCCAACGGCCGGCCCCCCACGCCGGCGGTAGTCACGGCGTGGGGGGAAAAACCGCCGGCGTGGGGGAGAACCGGGAGGTTGCGGGCGGGAAGCGAAGAACGCTCTCCGGAGTAAGGGAGAGGAGGTGGGTATCCGCGCTGACATAAGCGAGGAGCCAGGGGCGCAGGGGAATATGGAGGACATGAATGGCGGGGCAAGGAGTTTCTCAATCGGGAAGGTGTCGAGATGCTCAGCTGGAGTACAGAAGGGTTGAAAAAGTGGCTCATCGCCATGAGCTGGCAATGCTCTTCTCTTCTGTTCAGGGTCCAGGATGTTTTACGGTGCAAGTGGCAGACATGGTCAAGGCAGCACTACGGGAACGGGAGAACAGCAGCACTAGCGGGAACCTGGGACACGGGCGACGGCACGTGGCGGTGCATCTCAACAGTCGGCGGGTGCTTGGACAGACACAGAAGGTGTTGACAGGGCTTCTCGGCAAGGTGGCGGTGGCAACAGCAGCCACAGCGACGTTCAAACAGGTCGGAGGCACGCTGGAGGCGTGGATGCTGCTCATTGAGTTCGGCACGGAGGAGGAGGAGCTCGTGGGGTCGGTAAGTAACGCTGCGTAACGCGAGGCAGGCAAGGCCAGGTAGCACAGCACAGCACAGCACAGCACAGCACAGCACAGCACAGCACAGCACAGCACAGCATACTAACAGCTCTTTCTATCCAGGCGTTGGCGGAACTGCATGACCAGCGACACTTCCTCGACATCGTCGTGCCCACGGAAAGGGTTCCGCACGTGCAGGCGAGTCCCGGCCTGGAGGTCCTCCAGGCCAACCGCTTCTACCACCACCTGCTCCCCGGGACCTTGTTGCGGGTAGCACGCGCATCGCAGACCGAGCACAAGGAGAACATCGACCCCGGCAGGGCGGCGGCACAGCTGTCTGCAACCGCGGCTGGCTTTCTTGTGTTGTGCCACCAATTCGCTCTCTTCAAGGACTGTTTCGCAGCAATTGAGCACATGCGTCCGCCAGACAGCTCGTCCGTGGTGCCGTACGACGTCGAGTTCTGGCACCGGCGCCAGGACCCACTGCCGCTCGCTGCGGTCAGCACCGAGATCAAACCAGCCGTACTGCACAAGAAGCTCGTGCTCCCCTCCCAGGCAGTCACGTTCATGATCGGCAAACGCGGGAAGTCCATCGAGCAGATCCGGCAGCAGACGTCGGCGGTGATCAAGATCCACGAGACGGGTCCAACTAGCACCGACATGGCGCTGGAGCAGACCCAGCTCTTCGGCTCGTCGCACTCGTTGCAACTCGTCTCCATCCACGGCTCCCAGTCCGATGTCGACCACACACAACTCCTTATCGAGGAAAAACTGAGATTGTGGAAGAAACAACAGCTGCTCCTTTATCAGTAGACCTGATTAGATACCGGCTAGGACCACCACCCACATACCCCCTCGCTCCTCTCCACACATCTCCCGTGTACCCGGGTCCCGCATTTGTGTCCCGACCCCACGCAGCTTTTTTTCCCAGCGTAGAGGGATGAAAAAAAAAACTAACTATGAAACTTCTGAAAAATTTTGGAAAATGGAAAATTAAAAAAATTTTCACTGGTCTCTGCGAGGTTGGCTTGGGTTTGGATTGGTTTGGGCGAAGTGCAAGCTCAACGTTTTCTTCCAGTTCTTGCTCACTTTTTAAGATTCTTCTGCTTTTGCTCTTTTCCATTTCTTAGAACCCCTTCTTGTCCTTCTCTCTCCTCTCCCTTGGCAAGAAACTATCCCTCTAACTAGATATGTCTGAAGGTACTTACGCTGGTGCAATTGGTATTGATTTAGGTACTACCTACTCATGTGTTGCTGTCTACGACAACACCACTGGTGTTGAAATTATTGCTAACGAACAAGGTAACAGAGTTACCCCATCTTTCGTTGCTTTCACCCCAGAAGAAAGATTGATTGGTGATGCTGCTAAGAACCAAGCTGCTTTGAACCCACAAAACACCGTCTTCGACGCCAAGAGATTGATTGGTAGAGCTTTCAGCGAAGAATCCGTCCAAAAGGATATCAAGACCTGGCCATTCAAGGTTGTCGACGACAACGGAAACCCAAAGATTGAAGTCTCTTACTTAGGTGAAGAAAAGACTTTCTCTCCACAAGAAATCTCCTCCATGGTCTTGACCAAGATGAAGGAAATTGCTGAAGCTAAATTAGGCCAAACTGTTGACAAGGCTGTTGTCACTGTTCCAGCTTATTTCAATGACTCCCAGAGACAAGCCACCAAGGATGCTGGTTCCATTGCAGGCTTGAACGTTTTGAGAATCATCAACGAACCAACCGCTGCTGCAATTGCTTACGGTTTAGGTGCAGGTAAATCCGAAACCGAAAAACACATTTTGATTTTCGACTTGGGTGGTGGTACTTTCGATGTCTCCCTTTTGAACATCGCTGGTGGTGTTTTCACCGTCAAGGCAACCTCTGGTGATACTCACTTGGGTGGTCAAGATTTCGATACCAACTTATTGGAACATTTCAAGAAGGAATTCCAAAAGAAGACCGGTTTGGACATCTCCAACGACGCTAGAGCTTTGAGAAGATTAAGAACTGCTTGTGAAAGAGCAAAGAGAACTTTGTCTTCTGTTGCTCAAACTACTGTTGAAGTCGACTCCTTATTCGATGGTGAAGACTTCTCTGCTAACATCACCAGAGCTAGATTCGAAGACTTGAACTCCGCTTTGTTCAAATCTACCTTGACTCCAGTTGAACAAGTCATGAAGGACTCTGGTCTTGACAAGGCTAAGATTGACGAAGTTGTCTTAGTTGGTGGTTCTACCAGAATTCCAAAGGTCCAAAAGATGTTGTCTGACTTCTTCGATGGTAAGCAATTAGAAAAGTCTATCAACCCAGATGAAGCTGTTGCTTTCGGTGCTGCTGTCCAAGGTGCTATCTTGACCGGTCAATCCACCTCCGACGAGACCAAGGACTTGTTATTGTTGGATGTTATTCCATTATCCCTTGGTGTTGCTATGCAAGGTAACGTTTTCGCTCCAGTTGTTCCAAGAAACACCACTGTTCCAACCATCAAGAGAAGAACCTTCACCACTGTTGCTGACCACCAAACCACTGTCCAATTCCCAGTCTACCAAGGTGAGAGAGTCAACTGTACCGAAAACACCTTGTTGGGTGAATTCGACTTGAAGGGTGTCCCACCAATGCCAGCTGGTGAACCAGTCTTGGAAGCCATCTTTGAAATCGATGCCAATGGTATCTTGAAGGTCACTGCTCTGGAAAAGTCCACTGGTAAGTCCGCCAACATCACCATCTCCAACTCCATCGGTAGATTATCTTCCGACGATATCCAAAAGATGATTGACGACGCTGACAAGTTCAAGAAGTCCGACGAAGAATTCTCCAAGAAGCACGAAGCCAAGCAAAAACTTGAAGCTTACGTTACCTCCATCGAAGGTACCGTCACCGACCCAGTCTTGTCCGCTAAAATCAAGAAGGGTTCTAAGGCTAAGATCGAATCTGCTTTGTCTGACGCTTTAGCTGCTCTTGAAATCGAAGATTCCTCTGCTGATGACTTGAGAAAGGCTGAATTAGCTTTGAAGAGAGTCGTCACCAAGGCCATGGCCACTCGTTAAGGAGGGGGTATATTGTTAAAACACTCACGTCTCATAGTATGCATGCTCTCCATGTAAATACATATGGCTAATATATCTATTTTATAATATATACTACACACACAAAATATATAGTTTAGTTCTGTCTATTTAATCATCGTTCAAATCTCTATTTCTTCTTTCTAGCTCTAACCCAATCGCCATCTCATCGCCATCTCATCTCCCTCTCCATCTCCATCTCCACCTCCATGCCTCTTAATTAAGCTTAAAGACCCCCATTCCACGCGATGGCCGGGCCCCAGTTCCTTTGCCCCTGCCAGCGACTGATTTTTGGTTTTCTCCACACCATCGGACTGATTCGTGATCTTCTCTTTGAAGACCATTTTTTTCTTCGGGACACGGATCGACCGCCCCCATCGTGCAGAGCAGACGTCTCAGACAGAGATTTCTTGACATAGAGAAAGCCCCAGGCAATGATAGGCGTACTTTTGTGGTGTGTGGTGTGGCTTTGCACTCTCGGAGCAGAGGCAGCAGCAACTACCCACGAGTTCTACTATAAGGTGCAGTACGTGCTAGCCAATCCGGATGGAGTGTACGAAAAACAGGTCATATCGTTCAACGGAACGTGGCCCCTCCCGACCATTGAGGTGAACAAGGGTGACAGGGTCAAGTTGCATCTCATCAATGGTTTGGAGGATGCTACAACGTCCCTCCACTTCCATGGGTTGTTCATGAAGGGCGTAGGATACATGGACGGTCCTGTTGGCGTCACGCAATGTCCGATAAGTCCCGGCGATTCTATGCTTTACGACTTCGAGGTTGACCAGTCGGGCACCTACTGGTATCACAGTCACAGTGGATCACAGTACAGTGACGGGCTTAGAGGACTGTTTATCATCCATGACGAGGAACAAGAGGCCAAATACGCTTTCGACAAACAGCTGTCATGGAGTATTAGCGACTGGTACCACCTTCCAAGCGCAGAGCTTGTCAAGAAGCAATTGACAAGATACAACCCAACTGGTGCAGAGCCAATTCCGCAGAACTTGATTTTCAATGACTCCAGGAATGTCACTATCAACATTGACTATGACACGAAATACTTGATCCGGATTGCCAACATCGGTATCATGGTGTCGCAGTTTTTCTCCATTCCTGGCTATGAGTTCGAGATTGTCGAGGTCGACGGAGTCTACACAGAGCCAAAGAAGGCCAAGATGGCATACCTTACGGTTGGCCAGAGAATGAGCATCTTGTTGAAGACCAGACCGAAGTCCGATGTCGACTCCAACATTATTATCTTCACCTCCATGGATCGCCCGATGCTCGATACCATTCCGGTTGATTTGGAACTCAATTCGATCAATTACTTGGTCTATGACAAAGCATTACCGATGCCAAAACCTCCAAGCTGGATCAACGACCAAGACTCCTTTAAGCCGTTCAATGATCTTGAATTAGTGCCATCAAGCCATACTCCATTATTACCCGAGCCTGATCATAGAATAAATTTATTGCTGCACATGGAAAATTTGGGCGACGGCGTAAACTATGCTTTCTTCAATAACTATACCTACGTGGCACCAAAAGTTCCAACATTACTCACGGCCTTGAGTGCACCAGCCAGTTTAGTTAACGATGCCCGAATTTACGGATCGAATACAAACAGCTTTGTTTTGAAAAAGGACGAGGTAGTCGAGATAGTGATAAACAATGAAGACGACAACAAGCACCCGATGCATTTGCATGGACATCAGTTTCAAATACTTGCACGCTCAAAGGACTTTGAGGAACCTGTACATTATGATCCTGACAAGCAGGCTTCATTTGCTGAGTTCCCAATCATGCGAGATACGGTCTACGTGGAAGGCAATGGGTACTTGGCCATCCGCTTTGTGGCTAACAACCCAGGAGTGTGGTTCTTCCACTGCCACTTGGATTTCCACTTGGAACAAGGTCTTGCTGTAACCCTGGTGGAGGCGCCGGATTACCTTGACAAATACATCCCCGATGATCACATAGAGACGTGCGTGCGCTCAAACATGCCAACAAAGGGTAATGCTGCCGGCAATGCCCATGATTTCTTGAACCTACATGGCGAATTTGTACAGCCTGCACCACTTCCAGAGGGATTCACACCGAAAGGTTACGTTGCGCTTTTTGCTTGCACAGCTGCTGCCCTATATGGTATTTGGTCTATCTATGTTTTTGGAATGAACGATATTTCGGTAACAGAGGCGGGTAAAATAAACAATGAGAAGCGTGTCATGCAGAAGTATATTGAGATCTTAGAGCGTTTGAAGATGAAGTCAGTGGAAAGCCAGTCAGAAGAGACATCTGCTGACATTGAAAAGATGTTGAAACAAGTTATCGCCCTCAACAACAAGCTATCGCAGCTTTAACACAGCACAAATCTTACAACAAAATTACTTGCTATGTGTGCTACATAAAATTAATGGATAACTCAATATATATATATTATGTAGATCTTGCTAATCGATATAACATACGCAGAGATCAACAAAAATAGGCATTTTTATATCTCACCTAACAGCATCAGTGGCCATGGGAATGACCGTGGTCATGGCTATGAGAATGAGAGTGTTCGCTATCGTGCGAGTGGGTGTGGCCGTGGCTGTGCTCCACATCATCATCATCTTCTGCATCGTCAGCATCCTCATCTTCATCACCACTGGAGCTGAAATCGTTCTCATTGACACCCGAGAAATCGCCAAATTGGCTAGGTCCACTCTTGTCTAGACCTGCGTCACCGGCACCGCCAAACTGCTTGGCGAGTTCGGAGAAGTCCATGTTGTTCTGAGCTAAGCCTTGAAGGTCGTCCATACCACCCATGCCACCCATGCCACCCATACCACCCATAGCGTCTAGCGCCTCATCTGGCTTTTCGTCCTGTTCATCCTCGTCAACCCACTTGTCAAAGTCGGTACGTATGTTTCTATACTTGACCTTGTCCTTGGTCAACCGAGGCCAGTACTCCTCGTCCAAGTCCTTCTTGACAAGAACAAGGAAAATATGGGAACCAGTGGTGGTCTGGCGAATCGAAGATTCGTCGATCTCCTTGAAGAAGTCGATATGGAGTGCATACTCTTCTTCCTCAGTGGTCGTGCTCTTTGCTTTCAAGTCCAACGACGAGGAGGTGATGTTAAGAGCCAAAGAGGATGTCTCTGGGTCCTTCAAATTTATCGTGAGATAGACCACGTTACGCAATGGGTCGGAATTGCTGGATCTTTGTGCCCATAAAACTGTACCATGCTAGTGCCATGTTCTCGACAACTCACCGTGTTAGTATTTCACGCCTTCTATCGGGGACAACGCCTCAATTCAATCCTACAGCAAACATACCTTCTGGTGCAATTGGTGCCATCTTTGTGCTATATGTATCTTAAGTCTGGTTACTGCTCTCTCCTCCTTTTCTTGTCCTGTGCAACGGACGTCTTCCCCTTTCTACGCCACTGAAACGGAGATTTCTTCTTTTATACAAGGTCCGTCCCCCACTCACCGCCGCGTCTTCTGGAAAAGTCCATGAAATTGTGCCACATGGGCAACATCGACGACCCTAAGCAGGTCTGCTACGTTTCGATCTCTATCGTTTGACATTCTATTCCTTGATGCAGAGTACTTACTTACTTATACAATAGACCGAGGTGGTCGGGGGTCGTAGCGCTGTAGGTTGCGGATGAAACACCCGTTCATTGTCGTCTATTACGCATCCCACGAGGGTAGGCACGCTTCCTGGTCATGATGGTCGATTGGCCTGGAGGAGGGGTACCGTTCTGGGACGACTGGAAGATGGAGGACGGGTCAACGTTACCGGACTGGCCAGTGAAGTTGAAACTTGGGGTACCGGACCTGCTGTTGCCCGCAGAACTGTTTCCGCCGTTGTTCATATTGGTGTTGGGGAAACCTGAGTTGCCCGCGTTACCACCAAACACGTTCCCCATGTTCATCATGTTGTTGGGGCCGCTATTCCCGTTATTTGTCACACCACCAAAAGCACTAGAAACGGAAGGAAACCCGACCGCGTTAGATGCTGCTGGGGCAGCAGAGAAGTTGAATGAAGGAGTTTGTCCTGCTCCAGCTGCACCACTTGCTCCTCCAAAGCCACTCATTGCAGTCTTCGGTGTTTGGTTGAGAGATGGGAACGCATTGTTGTTGATGGAGAAGATTTTGCCCGTAGCCGGCTGCTGGTTTGCAGCACCGGGTGTTGGGCTATTTGAAGGTTGCGAGGCACCAAACGCAGAAGCACCACCACTAGCACCAAAACTGAAACCGTTTGTTCCCGTACTTCCTGTATTGCCAAAAGCACTCTTACCTGCCGTATCAGGTATGCCAGGAGCCCCAAACGTCTTATTAGTGTCGGAGTTGGCATTGCCAAACACGCTCGGCGAGCTAGCGCCCGTGCCGAAAGTAAACCCGGTAGCTGGAGCACCAAACGTACTTTTAACTTCCTCAATCTTCCGGTTGGCAGCGGGTTTAATGCTGGTATTGAACCCAGAAAACCCCCCTGTAGTGTTTGGAGTACTAGGGCCTGCGTTGAAATTGAATCCTGAGCCAGTAGATGAAACAGGAGCAGAAGGAGGTTGTCCATTTTTGGAAACATTAATTAAATCAGTACTGGTGGCGTTTTTGCCAAAATCAAATTTGTTGTCCCCTGAGGTGTTGATGTTTGAGGTTCCATTTGGCTGCTTGTTTTCAGCGTTACCTCCAAGGGAGGCAGCAGAACCGAATGAAGAAACGGGAGTGTTCGCTCCAAAACTGAACTTTGGTTTAGTATGAGCTGAATCTCCGGACGATTTCTCTGCAGTTAATGAAATTGGAGGCATTCCAAAGCTCAACGTCGGCTGTTTTTGTTCATCAACCTTGACAGCACCACCACCGCTTTCCTTGGAATCCATCCCCGAATTTGTCGACGGGGTTCCAAAAGAAAATCCGCTTTTAGTATCTCCTCCTTTACTTCCTGCAGTAAAACCGGGGGTACTGGTGGATTTTAGATCTCCAAAAAGAGGTTTAACTTTATCGTCAACTTGGGTATTTTTAGATCCACCAAATAATGACATTGGCTTTTCTGCTGCTTTTTGGGCACCAGATCCACCAAAATCAAGTTTAGGTCCTGAAGCATTGTTAACGCCATCGAGTGAAAAGTTAGGTGATACACTACTTCCGAAGTTGAACACTGGCTTCGGTGCTGGTTTGGTTTCTGACCCTTCATCCTTTTGATTGTCTGTGGCTTTGCTGTTAGCAGTACCAAACGAAAATGAAGGTTTTCCCGCAGTAGCTGTCGTGCTTCCAAACGAGGATTTACTTGTATCATCAACCTTGGAATTGCCAAAGTTCAATAAAGGGCCTAGCGGAGAAGGATTCGATGCAGATTTTCCAAACTGAAAGCCGCTCGCTACTTTCGGTTCAAGCGATACATCCTGAGGCTTAGAAGGTTGGGAATTTGTAGCAGACGAGAGGTTTTCAGAAACTTGTGGAGCCTTAGGAATTGTGAAAGATGATGATGCAGGAGAGCCAAATGAAAATGCTTTTTTGGATTTGTTAGGTTGATCACTTAAATCAGATGCTGATGGAGCTTTTCTTTTGACAACACGATCCATTGAAGCATCGTTTAAACCATCTTCATCTGGAACATTTTCGATAATAGCTTTTTTAAAACCGTTCTCTGACAAATCTGCAGTTTTGCCGAAATTAAAAGTAGGTGTGCTAGCTTCCTTTTTAGCCTCCACTGGACTTTTCATATTACCAAAAGAGAACACTGGTATTTTCGAGCCAGCGGTTGATTTTGAAGCAGGGATTGGGTTTGTTGGTTCTGACGTTACAGCTTTCGTAGGTGCTGGGGGATTAAAACTAAAGGCAGCTGAAGGCTTTTCGTCAATAGATGTGTCTACCTGCTTAATTGCAGGTACCGCAGCAGTGTCATTAGAACCGAAGATTTTCTTCTCGTTAGAGACAGAACCAAACGATAAAGTCTTTTCGGTGTTGTTTTCATTAGCCTTAGTTTGATTGCCAAGCTTTGGTTCCTCAGCGTTAAAGCTTTTTGCCTTGGTGGGCATCGTGAAATTATCAGCAGGATTCTCAGACGCCGGGAACTTTAACTTTTTCCCAATATCATCGTCAATTGGCTTCACTGGTTGTGATTTCTGTTCTGCACTTTCTATAGCTGTATCATCAACTGTGTCTAACAAGCTTATTCCAAACATACCACTTTTGTTCTGGCGTTCTTTTGGAACATTATGAGCATTCAGGCTTTTACCAATTTTACTGTACTTTTGTCTCATTATACTTTTTGAAACTTTGTTGATGCCAGCACGATTAACATGACGGGTATGTTCCCGCAAATAACTCAAACGGTACCTTCTGTACTTTTCCAACTCCATCATTTTCTTCAATTGAACCAAGTTTGCTCTTTCTAGAGGATCTGGTTGCGATATTATCTGTGGTAGTCCTAGAGACTCAGAATAATCGTCCATGTCCGTATCGTGTTCAGGACTTTCATCAAGGACAATAACAGGATTCTCTTCGACTGGGATGTCTGAGTTTGCATCAGCCACGCTATTACCTTGTTCAATATTGGTAGACTCTGCATTATTCCAGCTGCTGCTGACTTTCTCAGCTCTTTTGGCCGTGTTCTCGTCCACGTTATTAGCACTAGTTTGCCCTTTGATGACGCTGCTCCTGTTTAATTTGTCTGTCAAAACTTCATTCTGCACCTTTAATGAATTATAGTATGCTTCTAATTGTCTCGCAGTAATTGGATTTTGTGAATCTAGAAAAGAGGAATCTGCAATGATAGGATACGGCGTAGAAGTACCATTGTTTATTGGACCATGATCTTTCTCTTTGTTGTTTTTTTCAGTAAGCTTTGAGAGAATGGAGCTTCTGACTTTTCTTAGCTTCGAAAGCATCGGTGATTCTTCTTTCCAGTCGCCCAAGAAAAGCTTTTGCATCAACTTCTCCTAGAGAGTTGATTTTAACTGATGTATGGCTATAGTTCTAAGATACCCCACTACTAGTTGCACACGGTTGAAGAATGTTGCAAAAAAAGTTGAAGCTAGACGAGAAAATCATCGCTTACACGCTTTTTGATATTCGCTTCACTACTGAAAACAAATCAAAAACTACTGGTTGTAGATATATTTGATGCCCCTGCCAGGAGCGCCACTGCACATGACGACTTTGAATCAAGTACAACTAGATGAGCTGCATCTATTAGAGAAAAAATTAGTTCGGAAGTGGGTCTTTTGGGAGGAGGAAGATGATATAACCGTGATAGCGGAACAAAATGAAATAAGAAAGCAATGCGATTCAATTGTAGAGCAGATAGATCAATGTATTGATAACAATCACGCTTCGGAGAAGCTTGTTCTATTCATGGGAAGATTCTATCTGGAAGATAAGTCATTGGCGCCATGGACCTCGACAAAATCCAAGAATATTTCAACTCGATTTTTCCAAAGAATAGTGGCTGATGCTAACATGAAAGAGAAATGCGAATCATTCATAGTGGACAAAATACATAACACTCTACAAGAGATGAAGAGTGCAAACCTTTCATCTGAGGTCAACAGTTCGGGTTACAAGAAAACATCAAAGCTGAAGATTGGAGGAAAGCTAATTGGTAGCACTTATACAAAAATGTTAGATAAAATGGAAAAGTTCAAGAATGACCATCTCACAGAACTGGGGCACTTGCACTTTCTCATCGAAAAAACTGACATGGAAAAGAACTGGCGATATATTCTTCCTTTACTACTTGCATTACTAGATGACACTGACGTCCTCGTGAAACGAGAAGCCGCGTTACTTCTTGATATGATATGCCTCAAGTTGGCCATCATAGAACCTATACCGGCCAATATAATTATAAAGTCTCAAACGATGCCGTTATTCAAAACGGCCATACAACCTTTACTACTTGCTCTCCCTTCTTTGACTCCCGAAACAAAGAGTGTTGAAATTCTTTTACCTGCATATAAGGCTATCTTCGATCTCTTCCAAGTTTCGATCACAGATAAGTTGGAATTCTACAATAGCATGAGTGCTCTACTCAACGATACTTTGTTGCCGTCGATTGGCAAGTGCAAAGATTATGCCCAGGTGTCGCTTGAGCTTACACTGATTCTACAGGAATTTTTACAAAGATGTGGTGATTTTTCCAAGGTTTTAACGAAACAGGTGATTTACACTTTACTAACGGTTCTCATGGACCCTTACATATCCTTTGCCCCTGCTGTTGTTTCTGCTATCCTTTTGGTTATTCAAGAATGCATGGCCAGCAATTCAGCGGAAAGCCGGAAGAGATTCAAATATGACGTCCTGGGTTGCATGGGTATCCTAAAACGTCGGCTTCAAAATAGAGAGAACCACCTCGATGCTAATATAGAGGGTCAAATTGAAGTTCTAGTTAATTGTGTAAATATCTAGCATCTTTACCATGTAATTTATGTAGTGTATAGTATAATAAGGAAGATAAAATCTAATGTGTTGAAAGTGAGGGAACTCTTTAACGCGGCATCATGAATTCTTACAAAAATCGTACGAAGAGTAGCAGTAGTGGGGCATCAGTAAGGGAGTAAACATTTGGGGTCAGCATATAAAGGTTGTGCCCAGCAATGACATCTATCAAACCGTTCCAAGCTACAGATCTCTTCAATTTAACTCCAATCAACTTGGATCCATTGACGGAGAACTTCTATCTATATTTTTATCATCAATACCTATTAACATGGCCGACTCTATCTTATAAATCTGTGAACCAGTCTGGGGAGCCAACAGGATACATGCTAGCCAAGACCGAGGGAAGTGCCAAAGAGTGGCATGCACATATTTCAGCTGTGACTGTGGATCCGAACTACAGGCGTGTCGGACTTGGTTCCTACCTATGTGATCAATTGAAAATTGTGGTAGAGCCTGAGCGTCCTGTACATGCCTGGTTCATCGACTTGTTTGTGAAATGCTCCAATAAAACAGCAATCACACTATACGAAAAGTTGGGTTATAGCGTATTTAGAAGGGTGATAGGATATTATGGTAGTGGTAACGCTCCTATCGACAAGAAGAAAGTAGATGACGATGTGGACGCCTTTGATATGAGGATAAGTCTCCAGCGTGACATAAAGAATGAAACGGTAAGGAAGGACGGCAGGAAAACACACGTTTTACCGGAAGAGGTGTCGTTCTGAGCTAAAAAGCTGAGTTTTTATTTATAGATTTGCCGATAGGTAGAAAGTATATGTATCCAGCTGGATGTCACACTCTATGTGCATTTCCAGATCGAAATCTTTTTATCGACTGCGCCGCAAACAACAATGACTTCAGAGTCATTTCCAAGTTTCCCAATAAATGCTGACTTGGCTCTTCCATCATTGGATTTCAAAGTCTCGACCACTGTTCCTGTTCTCAAATCAAAGCCTCTCAACATACCGTCATCTCCGGGTATCCAAAGTCCAGAGCAGTGTGGTCTACAGAGTATAATTGCGTTAGAGTATTTGTCTTGCGGAGAAAGTGAGTTGAAGTTGGATATGATATAGGATCTCAAAATCAGTGTTTTGGAATGGAAGGATTCGATGTTCTCTTCACTCTTTGAAGCTTTTTCTTTCAACAGAGAAAGTATGTCAGGAGAAGAGAATGGTTGCTCTCCATTGTTCTGCAACTCGGTGACAAAAATCTCCTTTAAGGACGGAACAAGAACAGTTATAAGTCTCATATATGGCACATGATCAGTTGCAATGGTGATAATTATATCGTCATCGATGGATGATATTTCTGCAATTGCCATTGGCTGGAAAGAGTGGCTGGAAAATTCCGAGTCATTCAAAGATAACTTCGCAACCTCAACAAGCTTGGAGGCGCTTGGATTATGAGACGTTATTGTGAACATCGTTAACAAAGAGCTCTCTAGTCTTCCAACCAGAACAACAGGTAAATGCGTGTTTCTATCTTCAGTCAAAAGCAAAGACGTCGGGTTTGTGAACAGTTTGTAGTCACCAATTATCGAGAACTTGATTTCTTCACCCACACGCTGTGCTCTTCCCACAGTAACACGCCCATCCCAGCCTATTGACGCAAAGTAGCCCAACAGGGAAGGATTTTCGTCGCTCGTGAACCTGATGTATTTGAAATCTGTAATCAATCGTCTGTGCAACTTCAAACTGCTAGACCCCTCGGTGGTGGTGGATGCCACCAAGTCCCAATTGTCTTCGCCATCAACCGTGAACTTCATCGACGTGACACTTCCGTTCATGTCGCACACAATGATGTGGTCTGTCATGGTTACCCCCCATATGATTTTGATCGTCTGGCCATGCAGAGGGTCAAGCGAGCTCAACAAAATCTGGCTGGAGTCCATGTCTATTACGAAAATGCATCTTGTGTTGGTTACAAACAAACCCAAGTTGTAGACCTTCTCCCGCACCATAGCCTGAAAGAAAGACGAATAGATGATGAGAGAATTGAGTGTCCCTAGGTTCAAAAACTCACAGCTATCGGGATACTTGATTGACCAGTTGGGCAGTACTATGTTCTTCGCCTTGATGGTGTCCGACTGCGTGAACACGTCCAACGTGTTCACATTCTGGTCTGGGTCGGAAAACTGGGATAAAGCCTGGAAGTTGATTCTATCTCTCACTATTGACTCTAGTGATTCATCGTGAACCGGAGTAGTGAACTTCTTGTTCACCTCCTGTTCCAATGCGGTGAGTGTCTTGTTGAGGCCTGCATCTTTCAAGTACTGTGCAATGAGTGACTGTATATAGGTTTTTTCCTCCATCTTGGTCGGATCCGATACTCTTAGTGCAGCTTTCTGCCTTTTTCCTACGATTGAGTGCAGCAGCCAATGCAGAGGCCATCCTTTATCAGTACCTTTATGTGTAATCTATTCCAAAATCATGTTTGGGCCGATCGACCTAAAATATATTGCCCTCTTCTTTTAATTCACGTGCGTACAGCAAGGGTTTAGTCTAGGGCTTTACGCTTTTTTTCTCACCCGCGCACCGCACACATTGTTTTTTCCTGGTCTTTTCCCTCGCTCGAGCGCTCGAGCAGAGCTTGTTCCAATTCCTCTCTGGCCCTGAGCGTGCCTCAGCTCTGCTTACTGTGAGGGAGGAGGTACATGCTTTTTCATTATCAAAGCTCAATAGAAGTGTATTAACAAGAAGATTTCTTACTTCTGTTAATTGGTTCTGTTCTCTCTTTTGATCTTTTCGACTCTACAAGACACACAAACACCAAATTTCAACATGGGTAAGGGTAAGCCAAGAGGATTAAACTCTGCAAGAAAGTTGAGAGTTCACAGAAGAAACAACAAGTGGGCCGACCAATCTTACAAGGCCAGACTTTTGGGTACAGCTTACAAATTCTCTCCATTTGGTGGTTCTTCACACGCCAAGGGTATCGTTTTGGAAAAGATCGGTATTGAGTCCAAGCAACCAAACTCTGCTATCAGAAAGTGTGTCAGAGTCCAATTAATCAAGAACGGTAAGAGAGTTACCGCTTTCGTTCCAAACGATGGTTGTTTGAACTACGTCGATGAAAACGACGAGGTCTTATTAGCCGGTTTTGGTAGAAGAGGTAAGGCTAAGGGTGATATTCCAGGTGTTAGATTCAAGGTTGTCAAAGTCTCTGGTGTCTCTTTATTAGCTTTATGGAAAGAAAAGAAGGAAAAGCCAAGATCATAATCCTGTTTACTATTCTTAACGAAATATAAAGCTTCCTTTCAAATGTCTAATATATCTATCTAAATATACAAACAAATATATTTGCTCCATATCAATCAAGGAAAAGCCTCACGGGTGCAGATGCGTTTACGATTCAGAATGGGCGTTCAACAGCAAGATGTAGGTGCCGTATACGCAACCGATTACGCTTGCCATATTGTTGTACTCCCCCCTTTTACTCTCCAACTTGTCCAGAAGATGCTTCGATCGTTGTAGTGTGATTGCGATGTAGCAAGGACCAAATACAAAGTGCGTAGTAATATTACTGTACTAAATTACAAAAAACATTTATATGTTGAGACCTCTACCTTCAATAGAGACACCATCTTTCTTGCCAGCCTTCTTCTTCTGGGAAAGTTTGGTCAACTTTTTGTTGAGGGCCTTGAATCTCTCGTCTCTGTTCAGAGACTGGCCGATTCCCGTGGATAGACCGCTTGCTCTCTGTGCATGCAAGGCGTTTATGCTGGTCTGAGGGGCAATAGTGTAAACTGAAGTTCTAGCTTCAGGGGCAGCAGCTCTCTTCCTTCTGTCTGCACTTTCCTGGTATAGCGACTTTCTGCCGCTCTGAGCGGTATCGGCACCGCCGGTTTGCAGTTTCGTCTTCGCTTTGAACTTCTCGATGTCGAAGTTGGCCGTAGGAACCTCCCTGGCTCTGTAGTTGTCGGATCGGCCCATCACAGGTCTGGTCCAGTCACCAATCAGCTTTTCAGCAATCCTCTTCAACGCAGGATCCACCTTCTTGGACTTTTGGTAGAAAATCATCACCTTCCCCAACCCGGACTCTCTCAAGTGGATCGTTTTGATCGGTAACTTCACAAGTTCGTTCAGTAACGTCTTCTGGATCTCAAAGGATGGCAACGACGCGTCCGGCAATGGCTCCAACCAGATCCGCACAGCCTCGAGGAGGTTGTTGTCCAAGATCGAGTCGTACAAGTTGGACTTCAACAACGTGTCTCTGACCTGCGGAAGCAGCTTGAGCTTGTTGGCTGCAGGCTTCTTGTTGTTGACACAGTCAATGTCCATGTACGCGGCGTCTTTCATCATGTTTTTCAAGTGGGAGATCGCCTCATCTTGCATCGCCTCCAAATCGACGTCGTTGTTCTTCCTTCTCTTTGTCGGCTTCTTGAGTAGCGCGTTGAACTTCTCCTCGAACTCTCTTCTCTTGCGGGTTTGCTCGTCCTCGATCTCCTCGTTGCCGTCGATTCCAGCGCCGTTGCTTGCTGCAGCTGCTTGGCTGCTCGATGCGTCGTCCTGGAAGTCGCTATCTCTGCCTCTCTTCTGCCCCGGCGACGCAGATCTCCCGTCCGTTTTCTTGAATTTGTTTAGCTTCGATATGTCCTCCTCTATGTCTCCGTCTCCAGCGTCAAGCGGCTCTTCCTGCTCAGCTTCATTCGCAGCCGTTTCCTCACTTTCGCTCGCATCCATCCTGGCTTCGACCTCAGCCTCAGCCATCGACGCCTCCTCCTTCAAATCTCCTGCATCCTCGTCAGCCTTTTCTTCTCCTTCCTTCTCCTCGTCGCCGTCTGCTGCTGCGCTTTCTCCACTCTCCTGGTGCTCATCCACGCTCTGGTCCAACAACCCGTCGTGCGAGCTCTCTTCTAGCTTTGCCGCCACCAAATCCTCAGAGACCATGTTCGATGTCGCTGCCGTCTTCTGCTTTAGCACTTGCAGCTCTGTAACTCCTCTGCTGCCCTGCCTCAAGCACCAGTCCTTCGTACCCGTCCTTCCTTCCCGCCTTCACCTTCACCTTCGGCTCTGACTTGTCTGGCAGAGCCTCGCTGCGGCGATCGTCCCCCCCGGCCCTGCGCTCAGCTTTTTTTCCCTGCTGTGGACTTTTGCCGGCGGCACTCCAACGGCGAGAACGGACAGGGCAGTAGAGACAGAAGAAGACAAGGGCCTGCAGGGACAGAGAAAGAGCAAGGAAGTATCAAGCGGAGCAGAAAGGAATCGGCGTCGTTATACTCAGCAATACACACAGACACATACAAATGAACGGCTACAGTGAAGAAGACATCAGAAACGCCATGCTCTACCAAGAGCAAATGAAAAAGGCACAGGAAGAGCAAACCGCTCTGACCTTAAAGCTGGCTGGTCTTCTTGCATTCGGCTTGTGGGCTATTCCAACTGCCATCCACTTTGTCAAGAAGTCGTTAGCATGAAGCTAGTGCGGGTGTCTGAATATAGGGAAGACGCAAGAAACATTTGAAGTTCCGAACTCTTTGTACATATAGGTTATATATATCACACCGACTTTATATAATACATTTTTGAAAGAAACAAAACGAAAACATTTCCATCGAAAATTTTACATGACAACTAGTATACACAGTGCCCGACTGCACTCACGACACAGCACTATCTGTGGCGAAAAAGTCAATGATCTCCTGTCCGGATTGGCTGTCCACAGGCACAAGGGGCCCCTCGGTCGTCCTGGCAGGGTCTGCTGCCCGCTTCCCGGTGACGCCCTGGGTAACTTTTTCGATGATGACGTTGATCCGCTGGTTCAGCTGCTGCTCCTCCTTAGAGCCGTGCCGAAACCGCTCGGCAAGCTTGTCGTTGCTTATCAGGTCCTTCATCGCGTTCACCTTGTCACACGTACTTCGTAGCTGCGTGACCAAAAAGAAGATTGTGTCGTTGAGTGGCGTTAATTGGGCCAGCGTGCGCCTGGTCTCCGGACCGCTTTGCTCGTCTGCAATCAGCGGCTGTAGTCTCATCTTCACCAGTTTCGATACTCTTGCCAGCTTTTGGAACTTCGGCACCGCATCGCAGAGCACCTTGTTAAACTCGACCTGCTGCTGTATTTGCCGCACCGTCTCCAGCATCTCCTGGGTGATCTCCCTGTCCTTCTGAACTATGTTGTCGTACACCTGCAGGCCTTCGTGGTGCTTGAGACGAACGTGCCCCCCGGAGACAAGGTCTTCAGGCAACGTGAAGACGTTTCGGAGCGCATACACCTCGAACTTGTCAAAATTACGGTTGATGCTGTGTTCAAGCAACGACTCCAAGGTCGCCGTTCCGGTCTGGATATCCTCCACCGAGTACTGCTTCTCTTCCCTCGTCTTGGACAAGTTGGCGTCCACGATAATGTCGTCACTTCTCTGCTGCAGTAGCCGTTCGTTGGCGCTCTCTTCCAGCTGCAGCTTCTGGTTGATGAGGATCTGCTCCAGCTGCTCCGTACATCGGTACATGATTTCGTTGATCACGTTGATGATGTCGTCGATCACCGTGATGGGCTGGAACCCGAAGTGTTCCGTTAACAGCCGAGTAGTGTTCAATTGGATCTCCTCTTCATTCATGGCTTTTCCACCACGCAGTCCCCCGTTCCGTGCTGCCGCACTGTCCTGCTCTTCCCCGCAGATGCAGGGAGAAGCATTTTACGTGCAGATCTGCAACATGTTTCCAACATCATCAACAACGGGCCAGACGCGACTACTGTCAAATTTCTTTAAGAGAAAGATGGATCTCGGATCCACGTTTTATCTCGTGCTGGGATTGTGCTATACTTTACAGGTATATTAAACAGTTCTATACTGCAGGCGCTGCTCTGTGCATCTGTCTAATCAGAGCTCTCGTCGCCACTGCTGCTACTGCCGCTGCCGCTGCCGCTGCCACTACTGCTGCCGCTGCCGTCGTCGTCGCTGTCGCTGCTGGAGTCGCTATCGCTCGAGTCGTCGTTGTATTTTGGTGCGTCGTCCTTGCCAGCACCGGCGGCGTCGCTGTCGCCGTTACTGCTTTCGTTGAGCCCCGGCACAGGCGTGGGGTCCTCCTTTATTGACTCGATCACAGGGAGCTTCTCCTTCATCTCTTCTTCGTTTATGTTGTCGTCGTAGCCCACGGCCGCTGTTTGGACGTTGTCGCCGGCGTCGGCGTCGGCTTCGGTAGTCTCGCCGTCAAACTTCACGTGCTTCTTAATGTTGTCCTTGATGCTGTCCAACATCACCGGCTGGCTGTCTCTCTCCATGTCCGGCGTAAGGAGCGTGCCCTCGATGGACAGGCCCTTGCCATTGACGTGGATGCCACGCACCGTGAACTTGATTTTGCCCCCAACCGGCACCTCGTTTGAGTCACACCAATGACCCAACCGCTTGAAGTTGTTCTCGTCCGTGCTTGTCTCGTCGGCCTGGTTAGGCACAAAGTACCAGTCCTCCGGGATGTAGAACTTCTTGATGCTTGCGCTGAACACGTCGTTGATGAGCAGACCAATGTGACTCTGTGACTGCATGATGCTGTACCCCTCCAGCACGTCGCCGACACGCGGTCTCCAGACAACAAAGTCGACCACCGCCGATACAAACGAGAACGGGTTCTCGTCTGACACCTTAGCGACGAACTTGAACTCCGTGCTGCCGTCCTCCGTATCATTATTGATGTTCTCCTTCGCCAGACGCACGTTGTTGTATGTAATGATGACCCCTTCGACCGTCGGGTTGTACGACATTATCAGCGGATCAAGGTGCTGCTGGCGCAGACCCTCGATCGGCGTCTCTAGATAGCACGGCGCCAGCGAGAGGTACATCTTCGCTCTAATACGGTGGAAACATCTCGACAACCCCGTATCTTCGTCCACCACGCTCACTTGCTTCTCTTTGCTCCGCGGAGGTGTCACAATTGTCACCTTCTGCTTCTTCGACCCTGTCACAGACACATTTTCCATCTGTTCCAGGCCGTCTGTGTCGGCAAACACTCTTTTCGTCGCTACTGCGGGCGCAGACATTCTAGGGCTATGTTTCTATTTCTGTCTCCTTCTTAGCTTCGACAACGTCTTGTGTACATCGAAACCGGTTCCGGAACACCTGTTACAGATACAAACTAGGCCATTAAGTAATGCACAGTTGAAATAAAAATGATCCACTTAAAATTTTTTCCTCGAGGAAAAAAGCGAGAAAAATGTAGAAATCACCGTTTCCGGAACAGTCGCGACAACCGTGCTGTCGCGGTGATGCCACCGGAGTTCCCACCGGAGCTGTTCCCACTTCCAGCTCCGCTACCCCCCAAAAGGCCCTTCTTCTCCTTGCGGAGAGACATGCTGCTCATGCTCCGGACAGCGTCAGACTCGGCCTGGCCCGTGATGACATCCATCAGCATCACTTTGCCGTTGGGCTGGGTCTGGGCACCCATGACCATGTTTGGGTTCAGACCCAGACCGCCGCCGTTGGCATTCATCGGACCGGTGATGAGACCGCCCCCGTAGTTGACGTTTTTGGCTGTGCCATTGGCGCCGTCGACGCTGCCATCCATGTGGTTCTGCTTGAAAACCAGTCCCTCTTGTGAGTTGAGCTTGCGGAACAGCGGCTTGTAGGCAGCCCACTTCTGGCGGATCTGCTTCTGCATGCGCTGCGGGGTTGGCGCATCCTCGTCCTCCGAGTACTGCGATACACCGGCAAAGCGGACTTTCTTCACGACTTGGCCGTCAGGACCGACGCGGAACTCGCCGCCAACGTCAGACTCGGAAACCACGTCCATGTTGCCCAGCACCGAGCTGGACCTCGACCGCGTGCGGCCTTGGACAGAGCTCGACACGCTGCTCCGGCGACTTAGCTCCGACACAGAGCCACTGCTCTCGCCAGACGTTTGTCTGCTCACCGGCGCAAGCTTGGTCAACGCGGAGTTGCTTCTGCTTCTCACCCGGGATGGCGACGGCGAGGAGGATGGTTTTGTGGGCGAGGTCCGTGTGGTTCGCACAACAGGGGAGCCCTGGTTCGTGTTGGAGTTGGACCTGCTTCGGTTCATGATCTGCAGCTTCAGCGCGTTCTGCGCCTCCAGTGAAGTTGCCTTGAGGGAGTTTAGCGGGCTTCCTGGGAACTCAGACAACCCCCCTTCAGCACCGGCAGTGCCGTCGGACTGTGATTGTAGTGGAGACGAAGGAGTGACTTGCAGATTCGGATTTACACTTAGTGCGTCTAAAGTGTTCAAAAGCTTCTCGTCCAGAGACTCTCCCTGTGTCTGCGAAGACATCTGGTTCTGTAGCTCCATGTCGTTGTTCCCATAATTGGATTCTGCCTTCAACGGACTTGCCGTTTTGGAAACAAAAGACCTTCTGCTTTCCAAAGGCTTGCCGTAAATACTGCCATTTTGTGCAGACTTCATAATGTGCTGTTGCAACCGCTGCTGCGCAGTGAGGTTCTGCGGAACTACTCTCTTCGCCGCCAATGCCGCCATCTGAGCTTGGTTGCTTTCCTTCTTTCCTGTGGCGATTCCGCTAACAGACTGTCTTCTTTTCACAGTACCAGCAGAATTGGCTTGGCTTCTTAAACTTGGTGAGAAGGCATGTGTCAGTATCACGCTGGATCTTCTTTGCAAGCTTTCGCCATTTCTCACGCTTGAAGAAGTGGTAAGCGAGTTCCTTCTCGAGTTATCGGCGGTAGTTCGCCGTGAAACCGAGGGTGAGCTCCCAATGACTGGCGATTGTGTTGTTAGGGACGGCGATCCTGATGCTGCTGATTGTTGGTTTGTTACCAATGGTGACCTCAACCCTCTATTTGTTGATTGACGAGTCAAAGACGATGTCCTGGACGATTGAGAAGATGGAGAAGAGGCAGAGGTCAAGGAACCATAGGAGCCCTTCCGCTGTACTGTACGCCCTATTTTTGGTGGCTCAACAAAGGCCGGAGATTCAGCTATCGCAGATCTATTTGTCAATGCCGAGGTTTTCGATTCGTTCTGCAAATCACTGGCACTCGATCTACGAGACACCATCCGCCTCGATGCACTTGTGCTTGTCAACGAGTTTGACCTCGAGGTACTTGCAGAAATGGAACCCTTGAAATTGCTAGTATTCGCATTTGAGCTGGAGTTCGAGTTTTGTCGGTAAAACGGGGATCGTGAAGAGCTTGTCAAGGATGGAGAAGCTGAGGACAATCCACGCGACGGTGACTCTGACACTGAAAGACGACGCGTTAGCTTGTTTTGTGATTGAAACAAACTGGTATTCGTGTTCAAAGAGGAGTTCTCGTCGATGGAACCGATTGTCCCTATCGAGCTTACACGGCGGTTGGCTAGTCTGGTTTTGCCATTGTTAATATCTCCTGGAGTCAGGCTACCTGCCCGCAGATGCTCCATCTGTGCTTTCATTTCCTTTTGATTTTCAAACAACACCTTCAACCTTTTGTCTCTATCGTTATTGACGCGTTCCCTAAGCTTTTCTCTCAAAATTTCCTTACTGAATTCGTTATCTTTCCCCTCTGTAACAATAAGTGTCCATTGGTTGTGCATATCTCTCAATGCGGCCATCATTTTATCTAACAGTGTAATCATTTCTAGCGAAGTCTTTCTGAACTCCGAGACAAAGATGTTTGAATCTAAAGAAATGTTCTTGATTTCTGTTCGTCTGGCATATCTGGAAATCAATGTCAGAATCATGCTGTTTTGTTTTGAGTGAGTAAAGTATATCGACATTCTGGCCAATGCCTCCCGTACGGATTTACGGGATCTTGAATAAGGTGAAAAGTAGTTAACGTTTTGGAAATATATGGTTTTCCCCGTTTTCCGTATCTCTATGTACATATCTGCGATTCTAAGCAGTATTGCATACATTGTGTAGAGTGGAGTCAGGTGCTGTGGCTTCTGTGCAATGGTCTTTGAATTTGCTACCGAGATGCTTGTCTTGTGAATTCCTGCTTTGAGTTCGTCTATGATATTTTGAAACGTGGCGAGCTTGATTTCGAGAAAATGGAATTGGCTTTTGAGGTAGTATCTTAAAATACTCTCTTGCTTGGTACTTGGAATGTCTGGAACGTCGGTGAATGTTAGCTGGTTCACAATTGACAATTCAGGGAACTTCAACGGGCTCAAATTTTGGGCTATCGATTGCTTTGTTTCCTTCGTGCCGTGCTGCCTGTTGACCTGGCTGAGCGCCGTGGTGAACTTCGCATCCACAGCCTCATACACACTTAGAAGTAATAGCTCAAGTAACGTTATTGTGTCTATGACCCTCTTTCTGTTCGGTAAGGGCACCATTTTTTCCAAGGAGATTCCGTAGGGGTTAACAGGAGAGTTGCGGCTTATGTTTTCCAGTGAATCAAAGGAAATCGGCGAAAGCACAAGAGATACGTCAATCGTTTGCGCCGGGTTGTACTTCTGCATGTTCTGGAGCAACTCGGACCTTCGGTAAAAGTTGTCGTTGATGTTGAAGATGGGGCCGGAGAGAAGGATGATCGACTGCGGATCTGCCAACGGCGTGGCTGGGTTCGCCAGTAGCTCCTTTGCCCGCTTCACGACTATTATGAACGTCATAATCTTGCGAGAGATGTAGCAGTACTGAAGCAGCTTGGCGTCGATAGGAAAGAGCGTCTTGATCTGGGCCAAAGACTTCTGCCTTATCTCTGGTTTCAAGGTCGGCACCGATGCCACAATCTCGGTCGGCGGCTGCACGACCCCTTCTATTTCATCCTTTATTTGGCTGCCTGATTCTTCCTCCTCTTTCTTCAATTCCTCCCCAGACTCGGCCTTTGAGTTGTCGTTTGCTTCTCCTTCTGCAGGTATATTAGCTGTCTCCTCCGATTTCTCCACCGGTCTAATCTCAGTCTTCACCTCCATCTTTTCGATTTCCTCCTCAGTCTCTCCGTCTGGTTGCTCCAATTCTATTTGCTGCACCATCTTTTGCTCTTCTGTTTCAGTGACTGCCGCCACTGCCGAAGCTTCAGCCGCCGTCGTTCCGACACCGTCATCGCTTCCGGTACGAGGGGTTGCCTCATTTTTTGCGCTTGGCTCGTTTTCTGCACCCATTTTCAGGCTGCACACTGTTCTCTCAGAGTGCCAATGCTCTCTTGCGCACACACACTCACCAAGTACTTGTCCTCTGCTCTGTCTTCTGCTAAGGTACCTTGTCGTGTTTCCCTGCCTTCTCTCCTCCCCTGTCTCTGTTCTGCTGCCTCTCCTGCAGCGCCCAAAAGAGGAAGGCTTATATAAGGAGCGCGTGCTATTGTTGTGGGGGAGGAGAAGGAAACAACAAACAATACGGCTTTTCGCCAGGTGGGATGTTGTTGATGTTTCCGTCTTCTTCCCTGAATGTTCGTTCTTCTGCCGGTGCTTTTGCGGCTAAGTGGGGCTCTATACAGGTTAGCTAGTATCTACAGAGGGGACACGAGATGGCTCTTGGTTCGAGTCACTTGTGCTCGTCGATGAGCCACTTCCAGACAATGTCCTTGTCGTGTTTGCGCTGCTTGTCGGAGGACTTGAGGCTCTGGCGCAGCCGGATCTTCTCCATGAAGTTCTTCTTGGTCTGTTCGTCGAACTTATTTAACTGCTTTGAACTGACCATTGTCATCCGGCGGACGTCCCGTAACCGGCGCAGGTAGACGATGCTCATGACGCCGCCCAAGAGCAGGCTGACGCCGACGACGGAGACAAACGCCACACCCGAGTTCTCGAGGTAGTTCTTGAGGTTCATGCCGTAGAAGGCTGGGAGGAGGGTGGCTATCGTAAAGCCTAGCGTGAAAATGGCCACGCGCAACTCAAACACCATCAAAGAGTTCCGGTTTGCGTCCAAGATGATGTTCACGATGTCCTCCGTCGACTTGATGTTGTTGATCATCGTCTCTGCCTGCTGGACAATCTCGTCGCACTGTTTGTAGTACGCCTCGAGAAGCATCTCCACCTCGCCCGTGTCCCGGCTTTCACTGCCCTGCTGGATGAGCTTTGGGTTCCCTTCACCCCCGCGGGTGTCCATGTCGGCGAGCTGGGAGTCGTGCATCGGGTTCGCCTGTCGCTGGGCATGGTCTCGCTGGGTTGTGTTGGAGTTTTCAGACTGTGAAGATTGCCCTTGTGAATGTGAAGAAGAGGAAGGCGAAGAAGTTGGAGATGAAGAAGTCGACGAGGAAGCTTCTGCGGCCTCGTTGTCGCAGATGAGTTTTTTGATCTCGTAATTTTCTGTAAGATACATGTTCTCCAAGTCCTCGTCGTTGTCAAGCAACTCGTCTAACGTGTTCTTGATCAATAGACTCTTCTGGTAGAACATGGTCAATCCCTTCGAGTTCACAAGCAAATCCTTCAAGTTCGCCCTGTCAATCTGCGAATCCAACTCGTTCAAGATCCGGTCGATTTTGCCCAAGTGATTGCTCAACTCGGTCTCTAAGACTGCCATCACGTTCACCAAGATGCACTCGAGTGTCTTGAACTCGTACGTCTGGTTCACGATTCCGTGGTTGTGTCCGTGCAGCCCTAACATTCCGCCATGCACCACGCGGGTCTGCAACTTGCTCTCCAAATCGTACATGAAAAGACTCAACTTACCAGCAGATTCCGGGGATGATGTGTCAAACACCAGCACCTCGTTTCTCTTAATCAATGCCTTGATGTGTAACAAGTTCACCAAGATCCCGTTGCTCCGCACTGCAATGCTCGGCGCCACGTCGACGTTGGATGAGTCGATCTTTCGCAGATCTCTTGGAAACAACTTATTCTGCTGTAGAAACGTGGACCTTGGGAATCTTTTAGAGACGGCCCTTACCGTTCCGGACCCGTCGATGATAGTACACGAGATGGTGGAAACATCTGGCGATATGGGCTTCAACACCTTCGACGACGAGAACAGTATTGAGGAGTTGGCGCTCGCACTCGCAAGTGCCTCGTTGAAAGCATCAGATGATGACGACGAGTTGGATGATGAGGTCGATGATGAAGATGCAGAAGAGTAGTTGGCAGGTGAACCCGATAGATTACGGGTGCCCTGAAAGCTCCGATTCAGTACTATTGTAGGTCGTAGTTGGAAGGATATTTTGGACCCACACGCCCTTAAGAGCTGGCTGTTCATTGATACTGTGTTGTGGCTGTGGAATATTGTTTCAGACTTCCCCCTGGCATGCCCAAGCACGGAGGACGGGCGGTTCCATCATAGGAAGGCAGACTGGCAGGCCGGCAAAAAAAATGGATCAGAAAGGAGAAAAAAAGAACCATTTTGATAAAGAGAGCGAGACAGCGTGCATAGGCCCCATGGAGACTTCCACGCCCGAAAGCCTGCTAAAGTGTACGATAACAGCTGTATTTCTTTACAGAGACATTTTAGATTATACAATCGATACGGTGGATGGATGATGTGTTAGTGGGAAAGGGGGGAACAAGGTTTCTTGCTCTAGTTTGCTCCTCAGTCGAAGAACTTTCTTGTCTTCGAAGGACCGAAAATCTCCAATCTGATGGCTGGCAAAGCCGATTCCGAGAGAAGCTTCAATCTCTCGTCAAGGGTGTTGTTAACGGAGATCTTGCCCGATCCGTTGACGACAATGATACCACCGGCCACGTCCTTGTCCAAGAAGTTGGACTCGTCGACCTGGAAGTCGACGCTGAAGCCGGCCTGTTTGGAGAAGTTGTCGACAGCGGTCTTGGCAGCGTCCTTGACAACAGCAACGTCTGTCTTTCTCACCTTGATCACCACGGAGGGCTCCATCAACGAGTAGAGGCCCTCCTCAATGAGGCCTATGAGAAGCTTCTTGTATTTGTCCTTGTTGCCGGCTATCTTCTTCAACTCGTCCTGGGTGGCACCGAAAATCGTCTCAAGCGCTTCCTCTCTGGTGGCCAACACCTTCAATCTCGTCTTGTTGGCGATCGTCGATTTCGTGATCTGCTGTGCGAGCGACGCCTTCTTGAACTTGTCCTGGTAGGCGGCGTCAATTGCATTGATTTCGGAACGCACAATGGACGCTTTCTCGATCTCATACTCCTCGTCCGCCTTTAATTGGATCTCCTTCGCCTTTTCCTCGGCTTCCTTCGTTATGAAGGACTCCATCTTCTTCAATTCGCCCTGAACCTGCATCATTTGACACCACGGCACTCGCAGCACACGCGTGTTCCCTCGTTATTGTTAGTATCTGGTTCTTGGTCGGCTCTGCTGCACCCGACGTCACCGTCACAACCGACCGCAGCCCAACTGGGGGGACCACATACCTGCTCATCTGTGAGTGCTCTTGTAGAAGACATCTTTGCGTTGGTTGCTGAATAGCTCGCAGCCCCAATCCTTTGCTCGACACCCCGCCAGTGACCGTCTCTTCCTTGGCTGTCTGCTGCTATCGATATCCAAATACCCAGCCAGTCACCAGAAGCAGCCACTGCGGGAGAGAAAGCAGGCCAGAAGAGAGAGAGCTGCCTCTTCCCGCACCCGTGCACCGTAACGTACGTAAGCATCACGGCCGTAGTTTCCCTTTTGGGATTTTTTTCCTGCCCTCTTGTTACGCAACATGTTTCCAGGTAGTCCTGAGATACAGAGAAGATGAAGAAGATAAAAAGAGAAAAGTTTAAGAGCTGTCAGCCGAACATCGACTTGTCTAAAGCATCAAAGCCATCGAGAATCACTGACGGTACATGTTCATCAGGCGCAGCAGACTGGCACTGAGAGCGTCAGGAAGACAGCAAACGCCGTTACGATGGTGCAGGCTGTTGAGTAGCAGGGCAGTGGACAGAAGTCCATCGGCAGACAAGGAGGTGGCGGCAGAAGACACTCAGGTGAACAGAAACGCGTGCGGCATCCAGCATCTATCAGCGGAGCTACACAAACAGATTTTCCCGGCCCCAACGCTTCCAGGACCGTCCCGAAACTTGACCAAGATCTCGCTGAAGTATCTAGAAGATAACGAGTTGCTAGGCAAACCGTGCTCGGTGAGCCCAGAGATCAACTTCCGGCTGCCGCAGTTGCAGGGCGACAACATCAACCACCACTTCCTCAACCTTGGGTACAATAGTGCGGAGAAATACATCGGCTTGGTGGAGGAGCTATGCAAGATCGGCCTAACTCCGCTCCCGAAGCCCGAAAAATGGGTCTTCCAGTCGGGATGGACACGCTATGCGCTTAACGAACCGCCAAAAAGCGTTGCATATCCGCTAGAGGCGGAGCTGGTGTTTGACTGCGAAGTCATGTACAAGCAGTCCCCGTACCCGGTGATGGCGACATGTCTGTCACCCTTGGCATGGTATTCCTGGTGCTCGCCGTACTTGACGGGTGATAGCGACAAAAACAGCCATTTGATACCTCTGGCCACCGATAAGAGAGAATGCGTAGTAGTCGGTCACAACGTTTCGTTTGACCGTGCCCGGGTACTCGAAGAATACGATGTCAATCTCTCTAAGGCGTTCTTCCTCGACACCATGTCGCTGCATGTGTCGGTGAGCGGCATGTGTTCCAGACAACGGGGGACTTGGATGAAGTACAAAAAGAATATGAAGGAGAAAATCAAGACGCAGGAGAAAACGCTAGAAGACTTTAGGGACATGATCCAGAATGAAGACTTGAAATACACCATGTCCAACTTGGTCCTTGACGAGGAGTCAGTGGATGACGACAACGAAATCAGCAACGCACTCCGAGAAGATCCGTGGATGAAAAATAGTAGTATGAACAAGTTAAGCGATGTGGCAGAATTCTATTGTGGAATCAAGATGGAAAAGCAGCTTCGGGACCATTTTGCTACCACTGATGTGAACGAAATCAGAGACCTTTTCCAAGAATTGATGACGTACTGTGCCGACGATGTCCTTGCAACTTACCATGTTTTGCACAAGGTGTATCCGATGTTTCGCAAAGTCGTTCCTCACCCGGTCAGTTTCGCAGCTCTGAAACACATCAACTCATCTTTTCTTCCTACTTCAACAGACTGGGAGGATTATATCCATCGCTGCGAAGATATGTACCAAGCTTCAAGAGTAGAGGTGGAGGACAAAATACACACAATTTGTGAAGAAACTGTTAAGCTCAAGGAAGGTGCAGATGATATCCAACCCCCATGGGCTGGCAATCCTTGGCTTTCTCAACTTGATTGGACAATTAAGCCGGTCAAGTTGACAAAAGCAGGTATACCGTATAAGAATCAAAAGCTACCTGGATACCCTGAATGGTACAAGAAACTGATTGTGAAAAACGAGCTCACTCTGACAGTCAAATCGAGATGTTCTCCTTTGTTGTTGAATATACTTTGGGAAAAAAAACCAATTTTTTGGACCGACTACAAAGGGTGGTGTTTTATTGTAGACCATGATGAGATAGAAAAGTTCAAAAATATGAAGTATATTCAAGTGGATCCGCAAGAACTACTTGAGGTAGAGAAGGGATCTGAACTCAGTTCTGCGAGGAAGACGAGACGTAAAAAAAGTGTTTCAAAACAGAAACAAAATGGTGATGAAGTTGACGCTCAGTCCACTACAAGAGAGAAGAACAAGAAGAAGGCCAAGAGCAGTTCTGCAAGTGAAAAGGGCAAAAAAGAATTGGAAGATGCCGAATCCACTTCTGAGAGTAACGAGCCTGAGTTTGCCGAATCGGATCCTGTTGTGAGGGCCAACCTTGCACATCTACTAGAAAGCAAGAAAACACTATTCAAAATCCCACACGAAAATGGAGCAGATGCAAGAGTGACATCGCTAATAACCAAACCATTCTTGCGGTACTATGAAGAGGGGATATTATCATCCTCACATCAGTTAGCTAAGGATGCCTTTGAAATGAATGTGAAAAACAGTTACTGGGTGTCGAGCAGGGAGCGTATTATGAACCAATTTGTGGTATACGAATCAAATCTACAAAAGCAAGAAAGTAATTTAAAGCCAAAAAAAACCAGGTCCGAGACGAAGGGAAAGGAAAAGGAAAGAATAACTAAAGAACTCGGATTCATTATTCCACAAATTATCCCTATGGGTACAATTACTCGTCGTGCAGTTGAGAAAACTTGGCTCACTGCTTCAAATGCGAAAAAAACAAGACTCGGTTCAGAGCTCAAATCTCTTGTACAAGCGCCTCCGGGATATTGCTTTGTGGGTGCCGATGTTGACAGTGAAGAACTTTGGATTGCGTCCTTGGTCGGTGATTCTGTTTTCCGCTTACATGGCGGTACGGCCTTGGGCTGGATGACTCTTGAGGGAACCAAAAATGCGGGTACTGATCTACACTCGAAGACAGCAAAAATTCTCGGCATTTCACGTAATGAAGCTAAGGTTTTCAATTATGGTAGGATTTACGGTGCAGGTGTCAAATTCGCAACGTCTTTGTTAAAAAAATTCAATCCTGCTATTACAGATGAAAAGGCCACAGAAGTTGCGAAAACTTTATATGCTGAAACTAAAGGTAAAACAGGCGTCGTCAAGTTTAAAGACGATAACGATGAAAGATTGAAGATGTGGTATGGAGGCTCAGAAAGTGCAGTCTTTAACAGATTAGAAAGCATCGCCGAGCAGGACAACCCTAAGACCCCTGTTCTTGGAGCTGGTATCACCGCCGCTTTGAAAAGAACTAACTTGAACTCTAACTCGTTTTTGCCATCTCGTATTAATTGGGCAATTCAATCATCCGGCGTTGACTATTTGCACCTATTGTTGATATCCATGGAGCATCTTTGCAAGCTTTACGGTGTTGAGGCTAGGCTGGCAATTACCGTTCACGATGAAGTGCGATACATGACAAAAGAGGAAGATAAATACAAGTGTGCGATGTTGTTGCAAATAGCCAATCTATGGACTAGAGCGATGTTTTCCTTCCAGCTTGGAATTGAAAATATTCCGCAAAGTTGTGCGTTCTTCTCATGTGTTGACATAGATTTTGTGCTTCGGAAAGAGGTAGACTTCGACTGCATTACGCCTTCAAACCCTCATCCTATCCCACATGGTGAAAGTCTTGACATTTATGAACTACTCAAGAAAGAGGGTATTCAGGAGATGTTGGACAGTTTGGACGACAAATTGCTGCTGAACAAGCATTTTGAAGTTGGCTCCAAGGTTCATAGACCCGTTGAAGAGCTAGACAAGCGTATGGACATGTCGACCAAGCTCCACTGGCTCCAGCTACAAATCTGTAAGGACGAAGTTGAGTTCAAAAAGAAGAAGAAGAAGCTGTTTAACTCACTCGATCACTTGCAGCTAGAAAAGTTCGGCAAGCGCCTGGCGAGCGAGGATAAAAAGACCGATGACGTTGCGTGTGATGGCCTATTCGACCCAACAAGTAGCTCGTCCGAGCTCCTCAACGCAGGCGTAGTACTCGAGGAGTTGTCCGAGAAGGAGAAAGAAAAGGAAAAAAACAAGAAACTCAAGAGAAAAGGCAGAAAGAAAAAGACCGCAGCTGCTGCTTCTGAAGTGGGAGTCATGGCCCCTGATACACATGTGGCACAGTACCTCGACGTCCTGGGCGCAAACGTCGTTGAATCCACGTCGAAAAAGGCCCAGCCACCCAAACGCCGCAAACCTCGGCTGGAAACAGGCGCTGTTCCGGCACCACCAGCCGAGGAGAGAGTACCCGAGCACAAGCTGATAATTAACAGCATGATGCACCATTTCACCGAAAACGAACTTGTCGAGATTCAGAACAGCTGAGCATGTATATAGAACGCCCTCCCTGTATAGTATCATAGTATAATATAACCTAGTACGATATAATCATGTTGCCGCTGCAACAGGGTCGCTGTCGCAGTACGCCGATACCTGCTCGCCTTTCAGAAAACGCCCTGAGAAGGACTGACAGCCTCCGCAGAGCGCTCATTGTAGGCCACTAGCGTGTTGCCGGGAAGAAGGAATGCTCTGTGTTATCTAGACCTCAAGGAAAAGAGTCTGGTAGATTCTCCATCATAGCGCAGCGTTAAAGACACATCCAGAGAACACTTGGCAAAGCTGGACACTTTGCACTGTGAATTGCTGACTTTCAGATAACATTAGCAGCATTGTTTAGACACTACTTATCCAACAGATTACCAAATAAGCTTCGTTTAGCTGCCCTGTTGATTATCTGCTACCATTCTTTCTTTAAGAGCAGACCTTTCCTCCAGTCCCGTTTTCGCTTGATGGCACATGAGAGAAACTTACTTGCTACTCAGCGCCTCACCTATTTCTAATCTCGCATATTATTATTCCTAAGAACAAGACAGAAGATAAACACAGCACCGCAAAAATGGCAACTAACTTCAACTGGAACCACATTCCAGGCGTGCAGAATGCCACCGGGTCTGTGGCAGCTGACACGGCTCCGATAGACCATTTTGATGCTTTCTTCAACAGCCAATTGGGCCAGTCACCACAACCGCACAGTGCTTCGGCGTTGCCAACAGATCCTATGTCACTACACTACACACAACCGCAATCGCAATCGCAATCGCAATCGCATCCCCAACCTCAGCAGCCACAGCCACAGCAGCAAGGACTCACTCATTACCCTCAATCGTCTGCTACCAATACTCAGGCACAGCCTCCTTCCGGCGGTTATCTTCAACACAACAACGCAGTACACTCTGACAGCTCGCTATCGAATGTTTTCAACAAACTGAACATCAGCACTACCAAATCTCATAGCGATGATACTATAGATACGATAAAGCTGGGAGCATCCAAAGGAGCAAATGATTCTAGTTCGCCTTTGAAAAAGATCATGGAAAATCCTACGCACTCAAGCAGTACCGACACGATTATCGCAGACAATGATAGCTCTATACCCTTATCTTTGGCGCTAAATGACATGTCCCAGAAGGAACTGAAGACATACTTGAGGTGGTACGAAAATATTCAGGAAAGAAAAATTACCAACAAGACTGTCACTTTAGAGGACGTCTTCCTTTTCATGCAAAACTTTAGAATACCGCAGCAGATAAAGGAACGAATGAAAATGGTGTTTACTAAGTGGTCGAACTCATTGAACATTGGACAATTTTTTGCATTAATGAGACTTCTTGCGCATGCCCTTTTGGGTGAACCATTGGCACGATCTTTAATAAAGGTGCCTGCTCCTGTGCCAAGGCCAATTTCAATTTTGTCTAGAAAAAGGAAGGACCGGTCCACAGCGTCTAGCAGTGACACCCCTGTATTGGCTGCTCCAGAAGAACCGAAAAAGAAACTTGATATCGATTCATTCACCGAATTTATTTTAACTGGAGAGAGACCCTCTCTCAAGCATACGTCATCATCTACAAAGTCACATAAGAAAGTCAAGTTTTCAGAGGTTGTTAGCTTTTCGCCCCCACCTCAATCCGGTGAACCAGGACCGCAGCCACAACCAGAAATACCAATGATGATGCATCTGGCACAGCAACATGTACTTGATTTTTCATTGCCAATGGACCAGTTACTTGACAGACTTAAAGCTGAAAGCACCGGCACCCCTGAGGCTGTAAGCCAATCTCAAACGCAATCTCAATTACAGCAACAGCCGCTGAAACCACAACCAACTGAAAACGAAGAGGAAGTGTTAAAGGACGTTCAAATGGACACATTCAAAAACATAACACAGAAGGCCACCCGGAATACTGCAGATGAACCTCTGAAACCTAATTTAACAGGTAGTGCCTCTAAATCAATGAAGGAACATTTTCTTCAACAATTCGATCAAACTTTCAACTTCAATGCTGGCCCTTTCGATTCTACATACCCAAACATAAGCGCCTTGTCTGCTGTACCTGCTGTCTCATCTCCATCTACTGATCAGCTTCCAATAATGTCTCCTATGAAAGAAACTCCGCCTGTCCCTCAGAGCTCCTACAATACACCTCAATTGCAGATGCAACCACCACTGCCAAATGCAAGTCAAGCAAAGGTCCAATCACCAGATCGACAGCAGACGGATTATTTTGGGATGGTTCCTCAAAACGGGGCCTCTGGTTCCAGTCCAATGATATCCAGTTTGGCGGCAGGAATGGGTGTAAACAATACCTTCCAGCCTCCTGTTCCACCACGTTCACGATCAAGAGCAGGTAGTTCTGCCTCACCACCTCCTATTCCACCGCCACCGCCGCCGCCACGAGCCATAAAGAGCTCAAGGGCAGCAACTCCTGCGACTACACAGTCGAACCCAGCATTGCCTCCGAAGCCGGTGTTGAATGAGCACCAAAAGCAACAGTATTTATCTGCCTCAGAGGGTGACAACCTGATGCAACTGAATCCGCTGAATGGCATGGCCAATATGAACGCAAACGGGCTGGCAGCAGTGAACACAGGCTACGGGAACTCATACAACTTGAACGGAATGAAGAGTATGTCTCAAGTGAACCAGCTGAACCAGATCACTCAGATGCATCAGTTGGGAAGTATGAATAGCATGAATGGTCTTAACAGCTTGAACGGTATGGCGTCTCCTAACATTAATAAAATGAATGTCTCCAACGTCCAAGGCTACAACCGGCCACCTCAAATAGTGTATGGTCAGCAGGGAACTATGGGACAATCGCCTCAATTTCAAAACCAAGGCATGTTTATGTCACAACAAACTGGTGGTGGGTGGCCATCACTTCATCAACAACAACCGCAGCAGCAGCCGCCAACTTCACAACTGCAACCTCAGCAGACTTCATCTCACCCACAACAGCAGCAGAATGCGTGGTCCGGATGGCAATACTAAGCTAACACAGCACCTACAAAAACTCACCCCGGATTTTTATATATAGAACATATTTTGAACAGAAACATTGAACCGTTTATAACGATTATCAAGCATTACCCTAAACATGCACTTGTACAAGAACGAACTCAGTAGACTAGACTTAAGTCATTTCTTTCCGCGAGAGCGTTTTTTTTTTTTCACTGAGGGAGGAAGTCGTGAGGAATATGTAAATGGGTGGGGTGGGATATTAGCATGTACGGCAACTGGCCCTTCCCCATTCCTGCGTCAAACTATAGTTCTTCCCTGTCAAGCATATCCACGCAAATCACAGTATGCCACCAGTCCAACAAGTGCAAGTGCAATACCAGCAACCATCTCTCTTTGACAAGTTGAAGATGGGCTTCTTGATGGGAGTAAGTATCATTTAGGTTAGATTTTCATGTCACCGTGATTTTTATTTAAATAAGTCCGGACGAACCCAATACTAACACTGGTTCATGCAAATGCTGCCATGCCTTGCAAGCGTTTTACATTCTACAGAGTACAGTTGGTGCAGTATCAGGATTAGTTTTCGGAGGTTACGCCATCCTGAAGAATGGTGCTCCTAACGGTGTCGTCAACACCTTGGGACAATACATTCTCGGATCTGCCGGTTTCTTCGGTATGTTCATGAGTGTTGGTTCCATCATCAGATCGGAAGACATCGAGTACAGTAACATGGGAAAGCCAGGCAATTTTGCAGAACTCAGAGCAAAAATGATGGCGAGACACATGATCAACATGGAAAACCTTAAGAAAAACCTATAACGCTGTTCTATCGACCTTTCTACCTCAAATGTATATAATTTAATATAATGAAACAATTCATAACCATGTAGTCATAATATGGAGTTATAAACCAACTTGTTTTCACCAATCATTCGGGAGCACGCTGCAAACACGGATTTCCCTCACAGACGGAATCTGAAACAAGGCGTGGTAATGCGTTTGTTTCGGAGACAAAAACTCCAGTATCTGAAATTTAGTCAAATCGCAATTATGCAGCTTGTTTCATGTTGATGTACCTGCAGACATGCTTCAGGCAGCGACTAGGCCATTTGCAAACCGTCAGGAACAGGAAAATGTCAGGTAGCCATTGCGATGCGAGAAGGGGTTTGTTTGAAGAGATTAAGAGATGAGTTTATGGAAATACATAGCTTTGATCCTTTGCTAAGTAGAAAAAGCATTCCAGCTTCTCCCTGTTATCACGCTTCGGCTTACTGCAGGGTATCCGCAGAAGGAAGACCATATCTAGTCTCGAGGTAGCTTAGCTCAAGGATAGGTTTTTCAGCATGAAAACTGATAACACAAAACAAAAGCCAAGCAGTCAAGTCTCCTTGAAGACGTTGACCAGGACACCTGCAGGAAAGGTGTACCACCATGACTTGAAGAGCATATACGCTGCGCTTTTATGTTGCTTGGATCTAAAGGCTGCAGCAAAGAATGTCTCTTCAGCATTGCTAAAGTTAACAATGAAAAAAACACAAGCCTATTCTTTCAGTGTGGAACGAGCAGTTCATGTTATGTCCAACCTGGAAATTGACTTGCAGTATAATCTCACATTGACCAAACTGTCGTATGAGATCAATACTAAGTTTGCATTTGAACTACTACAGATATTCTACACTGCTAAACTCCTTCACTGTCCAGATGACCGGACGTGTAAAAAGCTGACAAATGAAAGGCAGATACTGCAGCCAACTCCGAAAGGAGTGGCGATACTACACCAATTCTGCTTGAAAATGGGTATTCCCAACATCAGCAGCATAAAGCTACCACAAATACTGAAATCTAGCTTCAATTCGATGCAGTTAATTGAGTTTGAAAGGCATTCCACAACAGATTCTATAATTCATAGTGAGAATTCTGACAAGTTGTTATTCATCCAGCTTATGGGACCGAGTATGAATGTATGGTCCTCAAAAAATGGACCTGATCCCATTTCTGACCTTGGCTCTCTTTTAAAAGCGGAATTAAGAACTAACGACCACATATACGGCTCATGTGAGGGAGATAACAGAGTCAATCCTCTCGAAAGCGATGTGGCATTTTTTGAGTATTTAAAACAGAGACAACAGGAGCAGGTAGAGGTGTTGAAAGAGTGTGACAACTACGGGGATGAAGATCAGCCAGTAAAAGCTGTGTGTTCTCCGTTTTATCACAGATTTTTCACAAATCCGGATTCAGATTCTCATGTTCAGTACTATGTGTCCAACAAGGGATTGAGATTCTCTCGGAAAAAATCGATAACACTTAACTCTAACAAAAAAACTATCAATAACTGCTTTTCCGGAAAAGCACTGATCCAATGTATTCTTGACTGCACAGACGTTATGTTTTATCAGGAGGCCTTGAAAGTTGCAACTGTTTTCATAAAATTGAAACTCATAAAGTGTGAATCTTTCGATGAAAGCAATCTGTTCGGTTTTATTCCATCTAGAGATTACATATATTCCTTGACTGAGTTGGGATACCAAATTGTTAAATGGAACCCTCCAGAGACTAGAAGGGGGACACATTCTGCTTCGTCCTCTGAATCCGGAATACAAGGTGTGGAATTAGCCTCCCCTAGCACAATTTCACTGAGCAGAGTCTTGAAAGATCCAGCTCTCAAATACTTGTTTAGATCATTTATGTCGGATAATGTTTGCATTGAGAATCTGAGAGTTTATGATGATATTGTGGATTTTCAAAAAAAAATCACTATTTTGAGAAAGATGCTCTCCTTGAAAGATAGAGAAAAAGTAAAATTAGTCAAGCAATTGGAAACAGTTGATCTTTTCAAAGATGCAGATCTTGCACAGTACCAAGTCAGTGCTTTGCAACACAAAAAATTGACCATTTACACAGCTATCAACAAATTGTCCGAATACTGCCTTTCTAAAGTTTACACTATTTTTGCGATGTATATTTCAGAAGATGCCCCAAGCGAGATAAACATTGATTCAAAATTGCGCTTTGAGGTCAAGCACTTGATTCAAAATAACGGAGAGTTCAGTTCGCCTTCCATGAATATTTCAGAGCTGAAAAGTCGGATTAATTCGGAAATATTTCAAACTTCAATTGATGATTCAGAAGCAGAGTCGAATGAGAAAGTTCTTTTATCTATGGATGATGTTGCTTCAGAGAAAAGCTCTTCGAATTCAAGCCTATCTGAGGGAGATATCAATCCGTTGAAACCAATACCTGGGTTGACTTTGAATTTGAGACATGCAAAAGGTCTTGAAATTCCTCCAGCTTCACCAACCGAAGTTCTTTTTGGGCCGAAACTAAAATTTCTCGAAGAAGTTTGTTTGCTTTATGAAGAAATTCGAATTATGGTTTATAGAATGATGGAGACAGACTCTCGAGCTAAATTTCTTGCTTCTGACCAATTTACAGAGTACTATTACTCATTGTAATAAAATATTTGACTAGTTTATGCTTATACTATATACTGTTTGATAATTAGTTGCTATAGCAAACTGAGTAATAAAAATACGTAGCAGGAGTAGGGGAATTTACACTGGAGATATCTTAACAAGTGAAAAATTACTTTATATCAAGAAAAGAATTAATTTAATACATACGTTTTCTCTCCATTAATGAAAACGCAAATTTATATCAGTTTGATTAATTGATAGGATCAATCGTAGTACCCTTCTTGATAGTAGCCCATCCGATCAATCTGAAATGTTTGTCAATACGTCTGGACAATGCAATCTTCTCATTGATTTCTGTACATGCAGGTGAGGTCAAGGTCAATCTAGCCATATCTGCCTTGACGGCCACCACTCTAGCACCGGTGGCAGTTGAACCAATATTAACCATCAACACATCGTCTACTTCTAAGTTTCTAACCTTGACCTTCTTTTGATCATCAGTCTTGACACCCAACAATCTTCTCAATAAGAAATAGTTGACTTCGATATCAGTAAACACGGAAGGTAGGTTACCCTTAGAGCCGACCACTTGACCAACAAGTCTGTCTGCTCTACAAAGAGTTGGATCAACCTTAGTACCAACACCAATCAAACCACCTGGAACTGCAAATTTCAAATCGTTGTTTTCTGCAAATAAGGAGATGATACTGGAGAAAATGGACTTACACTGAATTTTACCATTATCATCCTTAGTAACAATACCTGGTCTAATTTCAATTTCATCACCAATTCTAAACACACCAGTTAAGATGGAACCACCGGCAACACCACCCTTCAAATCTTGGATTTCAGCACCAGGCTTGTTAACATCGAAAGATCTAATGACCATCAATCTTGGTTGGGCCGAAAAATCTCTCATTGGAATTGGAATCGACTTTGCCATACACATGTTAACGGCATCGATATTATACTTTAATTGTGCAGATATTGGAATGATTGGAGCACCGTCGGCAATAGTACCTTTGATAAACTTTAAAATAGATTTTTCGTGTTCGATTGCAGCTTCCTTTTTCATCAAATCGACCTTGTTTTGTAGAATAATGACATGCTTTAACTTCATAATTTCAATGGCAGCTAAATGTTCAGAAGTTTGAGGTTGAGGACAAGGCTCGTTACCTGCGATCAACAACAATGCAGCATCCATGACAGCTGCACCTGACAACATAGTACTCATCAAGATATCGTGACCTGGACAATCCACAAATGAAACATGTCTGATCAAATTATATCTACCTGAACAACCTTCACGTTGACACTTTGGATGAATTTCTTTATCACTCTTGTAGGAACGGTAACAGTCAGGTTCAGGACATTCTGGGTTATCACACTTGTAAATCTTAGCATTTGCATAACCTAGCTTAATGGTGATATTTCTTTCTAATTCGTTCTTGAATCTAACAGTTTGGACACCAGAAATTGCTCTGACAACAGTAGATTTACCGTGGGCAACATGACCAATAGTACCAATGTTGATGGTTGCCTGTCTGTTAATAATTTCCGGAGAGATTGGAGTCAAAGTGGTGATATCTGGATTAGCAGTCTGCTCTGGCAATCCTCCACCTTCTTCAAACTCTCTTTGTCTTATTGCTTCCTCCGTTTCACCAGACTCTTCGTCGAGTTCTGCAAAACTCACTTTCTTCTCAGTCTTCACATCTTCGTTGGCTTCTGCTTCATTCTCACTTTCATATTGTACGTCATCATATGGTTGATCCCCACCGATAACGATGTCTGGAACAGCGTCTTGTAGTTCTGCAGGCATACCTTTTCGTGTCTGTATACTTAGTATAGTCAGAGGTAACCGAGTTATATGGTCTGAGCTATTGATGATCGTTCTTTTGTGACGACAGTGCCTCCATATTGTATTGTGCCTTCCTCTCCCGCAACGAGTGGAAAAAAATTTCATGCTGAAGAAATGAACAAAGCCGTTGTTCCTGGTGCACGGAGTTGATGATTATTGTGGTTCAGATGGCCCTCCCCACGTTAGTGTGTTAGTTTAATGTACAGTCTAATTATTACAGATGACTAAAGAATTTTACAGGTAACGTGTTAATAGTCTGCATGAAAGCCAAATTCATCCATAACCGATTCAATGTCCTTGAAGAGCATTGCAGAATCAAACTCATTGCCGATATCCCACGAATCAAGCAAAATCGAAGATCCAGGATTAACTGCTTCGTCCTTGCTCTGACTTTTATCTTGCAGTTCTTTTGTTCCATTCGACGCGATATTAGCAATATCTTGCGAAGTATTTTGAGTAGCCGGCAAGTCTTTATTTTTTGCAACAGGATTTGAAATTTTTGAGGCAATCACAGTGGTTGGTTCTTTGCCGTGACTTTCTGGAGAACTGTGATATTGGGAGGCAGTCACGTTGGCTAAACTTTGAGGACTTATTATCTTTTTAACCGAGGTTTCGTTATTGGTTGGAGATCTGTAATTTGACAAAAATGGCGAACTTTGTTTGCTGCTGCTGTTGCTATCCTGGGGCGTTTCAGCAATTGCAATAGGTTGTGGATCCAACGGAATGGTACTTATGATACGTCTTGCGGCTGATTCGGGGTGATAGCTGGACTTCTTCTTCAAAGAAGATGTGCTGTCTTTGCTCATTGATCTTCTCTCCTTGTCAGCCCTAATCAAATCCTTTGTTGCTTTATTTTCGAGCTTTTCATTTTCACTCGTTTCCTCGTCAATCACTTCTACTTCACTATCCGAATCCACGCTGTCACTGACGCTGTTCTTTTCCTTGGTGGGTCTCAATCTTATCATACCACATTTTTCTCTAAGAATCCATAAGGAATCAAAAAATATACTGGCGGCCATCCTGGATTTAACATTAACATTCAAGATGCCGGATTCGTCCTCGTCTAAAGTCCTGAATAAGTTCCATGTCGACTTCATGATACCACAAGATCTATAAGAAAGGTCGTGTTTCATCACAGATGCTTTCATCACCAGTGCAATTGCAGATTGGTACAACTCTTTTCCTGCTCCTACATCGAGTACAGATTTGTAGCAAGAGTTTACCAACCTTGCAATTATAACCGATGCCTGCCAGATACTCAAAATGCAAGCACTAGGTAAGTTGTTGACAAAAGTATCGTCTCGTCCCTGCGACTCTTTACAGTGTTGAAGAAGAGCCAAAGAAGCATTGTAAGTTTTGATATAGCCCCTTTTCAATTGAAAACTTGCAATCTGCTCATTGTCCAGAAAGTTATAACTCAGTAAATGAAGTCGAGCAGCATATAACAGCAGTACTCTAAAGTCGTCCATCGGATTTTGGGTATCAGCAGAAAGCCTCAATTCCAACTGATTCAGTTCGCTTTCTAATAGCTGAATCATTGGTAATCTTTCGGAGGCATGCTTAAGGCGCAAAGGGTCAAAAGCATTATTATTCAACGTCTTCTCAACCTGCTCCTCAAAGGTTTGTATTTCCAACATTTGTTTCATGGTTTTGGGGACTTCAATTCCTGTTAAAGAAAATGATGCGTACGGTTGAAAAAAAGCTGGAAAACCAAAAACCGTTCCGATCGTTTGTGACACAATGTTACAACCTATCCAAGTTCTGATCTGTTCGGTCATGAAATCCTTATTTGTTGACTTCAAGCTGTCGGAGGTATGACCTGGAGAGTGTAGTCCAATTCTCATGGCCTGGTAGATTGCAATACCTACTGTATTCCAACTCGAGTCAGCACTCAATGAAGAGATCAATGGAGGCCAGAACGTATATATCAAAAATGCTTGAACAGAGTATACGCTTGATGCATTCAAAATAGGTTCTTCATCTTCTGTTGGGGTGTATCTTGTAATTGGTGAAATCGTTATCTCCGCTAACACAGATTTGAGTATAGGAGATAGGGTAAAATAAAGTGATTGACACTCAGATTGCGAAATGGTTGGCGTAAGTTTGTGGTGTCCCCTTAGTGCTGTAAGCATTATTGTCCAAAAAAGCACAGGACAAAGCTTATAAATTCGTTCAATCCCTTTATTTACATCGACAACAGGTAAAAATGGGTGGTAATAAGTCACAAACGTGCTAAATAGCACTACTATTTGTTCTTCATTTAAGGACATTTCTCCCAATGTCTTGGGTGTGCATTCAAGCATGGGAGGGTTAATTTGAGGCTTACTTACAGCACAATTTTGCACTTTCCAGTTCAAGTAGTTGCTAGTCTCATTATTAGAAGAGCAAACAGATGGGCCTAAACTGGTGACTGGGTCATTTTTACTTGACGCATTCGCAGCAGAGATTAGTGTTGTTAGATTGTAGCTGCTATTTATTCTACTGTTCGAGCCGATGTTGTCAAACTTTGGGGTGGGGGCTGAAGAGAGCGGCTGTCCATATGTAGTTAGCGAAATTTGAGGATGAATAGAGGGTATGTTAAGGTCTGGGTTCAGTGGCGATTGAGGTCTATTCATGAGGGACAGAGGACTGTATTGAGATCTACTGGATATTGCCAGCGGACTCGTAGACCTGTTTAAAGGAAGGGTGTTGCTTCTGTGTAGCGGCTGTGCTGTAGTTGGGATAGAAGGGGAAGTGCTCGTAATCATGTTGTTGTTGGCCGAAGGATGAAATATGTTAGGGTCCGGCAAGGGAGAGCCATTAGTAGTTTTGAAATTGTTGTTCAAATAGTTGGACGCTCGTTGAAGCGATTGTAATGGAGGAAGAAATTGCGATTGTCCATTAAGTGGTGACGCTGCAGTGGTCAAGCCGAAACTCAAGTTTGGTATGGTGTGTGAGGCAGTATTTATACTGTGACCTCCTTGTATGTGCTCACCGTGAGAGTTAGGGGAACCTGACTGACTCCGGAAGTCCTTAAGGTTCACTAGCTCCGAGTTCACCTGCAACTTGGACTTGATGATCTCGTACTCTTTCACCAATTCATCAATTTTGGCTCTCTTGAAAGTTCTTTTGAAATCGGAATCTAATCGACATGGAATCCCTCGTTTGATGCATCGGGTACATGAGTCTGGTGCCTTGTCATTAGCATCGCACTTGGCCTTCTGCTGTCGACACTCTGTGCAAGCAATCTTTTTGAATCTCTTGGATCTTGAAGTCTTGCTCTTGCCGTTCAATTTGTTTTTAACTTCGTGATTGCCACTCTGCTCACTGCTGCCGCTCGGCGACTGCGGAGAATTAGAGGAATTAGTAAAGCTTTCATCCTCGCCTAATGACGTGGTTTTCTCCTCATGCTGTGATGACTCTTTCTCATGAATTGTTTTCGTAGATTTATCGACACCGGGAACGTTCTCTCCTTTCTTTTCTACCATCTTGGGAGTGCGCATCCAAGCTGGTTTCTTCTACGTCTGCCTCCTTTGATGATGTGCAAACGCGAGTATATTGGGTACTCCAGATCTATTTTTCCGATCAAAAGGTAAAAGAATAACGGGTCTACCCCTTGATGCAAGACCGGAAGGAAAAATTCATCTGCATCTACATTGAGAGAATAAAACCGGTTAAACTACTGGAGCAATAAAATAAAATTTCCTCCGTCTGAAAAAAAAATGCCGTTCTACGGCTGCTTACGTCAGCGAAGTCTTCTTCCCCGGACATGATTGAAGAAGTTTCACGGACAGCTAGCTGTCTCTAAGGTCTTCGGCGGGGTCGGAAACCGATACAGGACCAAGAACACAAAGGTGAAGCAACTCCAGGCAGAAAAATGACACACATTTTTCTTTCTTTGAAGCAGTCCTCGAGGGACATCAGGCTTCTATGGTTTTCGGTGTTCATCCGCATGATCTCATTTGGGTTGACAAACCAAGTGTTGACTTTATACCTCAAGGAAATTGGGATTTCAGAGGTCAACATCGGTCTGTTTATGTCATTAACAATGATTGGAGACTCGGTGATTTCATATGCGCTCACATGGAATGCTAACAAAATTGGTAACAGATTTATTATGCTTATGGGCAGCTTCTTGATGATGGTGGCCAGTGGTATCTTCTCGACAGGCACATCGAACTTTGGCTACTTGCTTGTTGCTGCGATCGTCGGTGTCATTTCTCCCTCTGGAAATGATGCAGGCCCGTTTAAAACGATAGAAGAAACGGTGTTGGCCAACTTGACTCCTCCAAACCACAGACCAGAAGTGTATGCCATCCATTGGACCCTGGGTTCTATTGGTGCTTCATTGGGTTCCTTTCTGGCCGGGCTTTCCGTCGACTATTTCACTCACAAGAGGCTCCTTCCTGTGGTGGACTCGTACCGCTACACTTTCTGCATTCTAGTGTTCACCTCGTTTTTGAAGTTTGTTTCGCTTCTTTTCGTCTCGTACAAGGCCGAACCTTCGTACGTTCCACCTTATATGGCTGTACAGCATGATCAGGATTCCAATATAGAGGACGTATCGACAGAACCAGTACAAGACTCGGCAAATTCGGCACTTCCAACAGCTGGAAGTGCCGAAAACAACGAACGCCGACCTTTACTAAGGATTGAGGCTACTATAGAACATGAAACGCTGACGGGTTTGTCGCCGCAGTCGCAATCCATCTTGTTTAAACTCATGGTTCCCTTTATGCTAGATTCGTTTGGAAATGGATTTATGACAAATGCATGGGTGGTCTACTACTTCAAGGAAAGATATAAAACACCGGCTGTACTTTTGGGTACGTTGTTCGGCCTCTCTGGAATAGCCATGTCAGTGTCAGCGATTCCATCGGCATGGTTTGCCAAACAATTTGGTCCCATTAAGTCATCTGTGATGACACAAATTCCATGTGGGTTGTTTTTCATGATGATACCGATACTGGGCTTCAATTTCAGCCTGGGTTCTCTTTTCTATTTACTAAACCAGATGACTACGGCATTCGATGTCGTTCCTCGACAGATTATTCTCACTACACTTGTTGAGCCAACTGATTTGTCCAAAGTGATGGGTTCGGTCAATATAGGGAAGCAAATTGCCAGATCAATCAGTCCCTATTTTACAGGTTATTTTGCCGAGGCCCAGTTACTATGGGTCTGCTTTCTCATTACAGGTGTGCTTTTGATCATTGCCAATCTAATATTGGCGATAGACTTCAGTGATCTCGATGAAAAGGTCAGAGAGATAGAGCAGGTCCAGCACGATATTATGTGATCAATGGGTTTTAAGATTTTACATCTTTGTGTATAAATAAGTAATCATATATATGTATCTATATATATATATATATGTTTGGAGAAATGAACGCAAAAACATTGAAAAGAAAAATAAAACAGGATTAAAGGTCATTCTGCAAACTTAGCAGCCGGCCAACAGCAATAGGCTTCTCCGTGTGTGCATTGTTGACGTTCTTGAAACTTGGACTCTTTCCTAGATTAACTTGACTGCTTGCTCTGCTGATAGCACGACTTTGCACCCTGGAGGCCAAGTCGGACCTTACATTTAACTGCTCCACATCAAAATAGTCGTAGCCTCCGAGAATGTAATCATCTGCTCTTGATGTTGGAGAATCATTTGATATCAAGGATGGAAGCCAGGTGGAGTTGTTAGAAGTCATCATCGACATGGGTATGGAGTGAACATACTTCTGAAGCTCCTCATCTCTGGTCGATTTGTTCGCAATGACCGATTTCCAAACTTGTTTTAAGTTCAAGAAAACTCGTTCAAGGGTATCCAAGAATCTGCCGGTCTGCCGCCACTGAGAGGAGCCAACAATGGTAATGTAATCATCCTTGATAATGTATCCGAATCCAAAACCAGCCGGAATGGAAGGCGTTATACCAAAATAATCCAATGCAGGATTGCCACAGTTAGCAGCAATCAATTCTGGTTTGTACAACGCCTCCAATGATGGGTTGAAAATGAAAGGTGGGATTGAATTATCATCAATCTTTGGCAAATCTTGATGGAGCTTGTTGAGAGTGTTTCTTTGGATAAAGGCAGATCTTAAAGCACTCAAGTGTCTTTCGAAGCCCATTCCCATGCTTGCATTCTTTGCCATCTCTTTATGTTTTTTTACAGCTTCTAGCAACAACTTCCACTTTTCAGAATCTGTTGTTTGCGAAATAAAGGCTTGGCAGAGATCTAGCATTGTGTCGTTCTGGATACAAATAGGTTCGGTTCTGGCATCTCTGAAACGGCGGGTAGATACAGGCTCAAAAGTGGAAGGGCACTTACCGTACAAGGCGTAGTAGGTGATTTGAATGCAAATCTGCACAAATGAATCTGTAGGGAGCTTCATTCTTTCACGAATACATCTCTTCCCCATATTAATTTTTTTAGAGACGTATTCGTGCTGGTTGATGATATCTGCCAACCTGGACTCGGCCAAATGCAAGCCGTTGCATATTTCATTGGTAAGCTGGAACTTTAGATGCACATAGTTGGGTTTGACAATCTCGCTATTAATGGGGACGGTGTTTATTTCTGTCCATAGGGTGTAATTTTTACCATTGATCATTCTGGCCAAACGGAGAACCGAGTCTGTGTAGATATCACTGATAAACCTTAGAACCGTTGTGCCATCAATGATCGAAGCCGGGTAGATGCAGGCTGCAGTTGCGTTTTTAGTAACAACGAGGTTGATCTTATCGTAGTATCTGTTCACACAGGTCCCGAGCTGGAAGCCCTTTTCGTCGATCTTAGAGGTGCCGTGGGTGACAAACTGGATCTTGTTCCCGTCGACAGTCTCGTCAAAGGCCTCGTGGTCTAGGGAGACAACAAACAAGGCGCTATCGATCATATGCATTAGCTCCGGGTTGTTGCTCACGAGTGCAGACCTGGCCATCTTCCACGTGGACTTGGACTCGCTGGTGAAGGTTCCCACGTTGTACTTGGACTTCTCGCACGCGGAGTCGTGGATGATGTTTTTGATGATGGCAGACAACTCGTGCTTGGAGAACCAGATCTGGTCGTTTTCCGAGAGCACGGTCAACGCGTAGAACTGGCCCCGTGACAGGAAGATGACGTGTTTTGAGTCGACGGACTTCTTCAAGCCCACGCCGCTGTTGGAGGGTATGACGGTGGTGCCAAACAAGTTGTGGTACGAGGACATCGTCAAGCGCTGGCCGTTCTGGGCGTTCAAGTCCGACTTCAACGTGCCCTGCTTCAACGCGACGATGAAGCGCAAGCTCGAGGTGGTCAACACCGCTGCCCGGTACTCCTGGCTGGGAGCGAAGTTGATCATCGGGTCGTCCTCCAAGATGAAGAACGGGTTCCGGGGCAACGTCTGGCCCCGTAGGTCACCGTAGACGTTCGACGTGGTGGAGAAAATGCCCTCGCTGTTCAAGTAATTGTCGTTTGTCTCTGCCAGCCGCCGCAAGTGGGCCTGCAAGACCTTGGACCGGTCCGACGTGACAAACTGTTCTGCGTTGGAGACCAACTCCTCAAACGCTGAGTCCGACAAGAGCGGTTTCAAGGCGCTCAACGCCTGCATGGCGGAGCTCTGGAGTTCGGGCAATGGGAGCCGGGGCAAGGACCCCTCCCCTTCGAATGTGAGCGGCATCTTGTGGTGTGGTGGGGGGTGTCTGTGGACAAGGTGCTACGTGTGCAAGACAGCCTGGCGACATACAGTGAAGCACTAGCAACAGCAGCCGTAGCAGCAGCAGCAGAGAACCAGCGTGGACACTCTATTTATATTCCTTCCAAGGACCAGCCGCCCCGGCCTGGCGAAGAATCCTTCTGCTGCTGTGCCATGACTACCGAGGACCATCGGAATGTGGGGAAAGCGGCCCGGCGCCTGCTGTTGCGGAGTTCGCGGCCGGCCGCCTTGCCTGGAGAAGAACTCCGCACCGAGAAAACGTCAGCGGGGCCCCGCGCGAGAGGGCAAAAGAGGGCAGGCTGGGCCGATCGACCGCTGAGCAGTGTGCCAGCGCAAAGGCGGCAGCGGGTGGCTGCAGTAGGGGGAAGGCCTCCCGCCTGGCAGAGCTATGGACATGTCTCGGGCTGCGGCAGCAAGAAGAGACAGTCAGATGGCTGCGTACGGCATCGATTAGGGGCGGCCAGAGGGCGAAGAGTGAAGCAACGCAGGCTTTGGCTTTCGCTTCTTAACTGTCTCTGGTCAGCACCTTTCTCTGTGCGGCTTGGCGCGTAGCGTGTCCGGGTAACCCCAGTTTGCACGTCGCCTTCCTATTTGGGACAGTTGGGCAATTTCGCAGATAGCCCGTCACAAACGGCGACGCACGCGGGGGATGCGCGGGCCGGGTAACCCCTGTTTGTCGCTTGGTTGCCTATTTGGACGAAAGAGGGTTATTTGCGGCAGGAGATTTGTGTGAGGTGTGTGCGCGGGGTGCCGGATGTGGAAGGTGTGACTGGTGATTTGGGAGGGTTGAGCGAGGCGAGGGAGGGCGCCGGGCGATGGAGGAAGGAGGAGGGTGAAAAAAAATGTCACCATGCCATAGTAAAGCGGACGGTTATGTGTTGATTTGATAAAACGTATTAGTGGCTTTTCCGTCTACTCTGCTCTCTGCTCTGTCTCCCTTTCGTTTCCTTTAGTCCAAGTCCACAGATTCACCGGTCCACCCATATCCATCATGTCTGACGTCGAAGAACAACAACAATTCGAAGAAGAAATTGTTTCTGAACCAGTTGAAATTCAATACGTTGAATTAGCAACCCCAATCCCAAAGGACGTCCAAGAGGGCTCCGCTGAGGTCAAGCTTTTCAACAAGTGGACCTTCGAAGACATTGTTGTCAAGGACATCTCTTTGACCGACTACATCCAAGTCAGACAACCAGTCTTCGTTTCCCACACTGCTGGTAGATACGCCACCAAGAGATTCAGAAAGGCCCAATGTCCAATCATCGAAAGATTGACCAACTCCTTGATGATGAACGGTAGAAACAACGGTAAGAAGTTAAAGGCCGTCAGAATTATCAAGCACGCTATGGAAATCATCCACGTCTTGACCGACCAAAACCCATTACAAGTCATTGTCGACGCCATCGTCAACACCGGTGCTAGAGAAGACACCACCAGAATCGGTTCCGCCGGTGCTGTCAGAAGACAAGCTGTCGATGTCTCCCCATTGAGAAGAGTCAACCAATCTATTGCTTTGTTGACCATCGGTGCCAGAGAAGCTGCCTTCAGAAACATCAAGACCATTGCTGAATGTTTGGCCGAAGAATTAGTCAACGCTGCTAAGGGTTCCTCCACTTCTTACGCCATCAAGAAGAAGGATGAATTAGAGAGAGTTGCCAAGTCCAACCGTTAAGAAAATTTGCATGGTATCCATCTGTACTACTTTCTTTTCAACCTTTCCCTCTTTTATATATATATAAAGCAAAACAACAAATAAAACTCACATCCAAACAAAAACAAGTACAGCGTAATTATTTGAAAACTTCTAGAGCTAAATAAACTAGGCGATCAGAGTATACATTCTAAATTCTACATTCAACAACAATAATAATAATAATAACGGTACGAGTATCGATACAAGGTGTTACCCTCTTTCCTCATTTGGAGAGTTCGGTGACTTGTTCCAGGGCGCCTTTGAAACTTGCCTCGGGACTGATCTTCACCTTCTTTACCTTCAAAACACCATCCACGAAAATAAAATGTGATCTGATCGTACCTGAAGGTGTCTTCTTACACCCGAGGAGAGTAATCAGCTTCTTGCTAGGATCACATAAAAGATCGTAAGGCAAGTTCTGCTTCTCCTTGAACTTGGTTTGCGCAGCAGCATTGTCAGCACTCAACCCCAAAACAGAAGCCTTCAAGTCACCGTTCAATTTGGAGTACTCGTCTCTGAACCCTTGTGCTTGTCTAGTACACCCTGGGGTTGACGCTTTTGGATATGCAAAGATAACTAGTATATGCGCATCCTTGGCATATTTCAGTAAATTGATCTTCTTTGAGTCCTGGGTCTCCAACTCAAGGTTCTTTGGCAAAATGTCTCCTTCCTCCAATTCCGTCTTGGCTTCTTCATCTTCCTCCTCCTTGGCTTTCTCATCATCCTCAATGACAATCGGCTCCTTCTTCACAGACCTGGACTTGCCCTTACTTTCTGTTGTAGCAGACTTGGTGTCCTTTTTACCTGCTTTTGTCTTGCCGTTTGCCTTGCTGTTTTCCTTCTTGACGACTTTGCCTTTGGAAGCAGCCTTTTTGACTGGCTCACTCTTGAGTGGCTGTGGTTTCTCGGTGCTCACAGCTAATTCATCCTTGATTGCTTCAAGTCTCTTAGAACGACGGGGGGCTGTGGACATTGTGTGCTCAGTCGGGGGTCAATGTGTAGTGTGTAACCAATTGGACGGTACACATCTCCGTTATCGCATTGCTTCCTTCCAACTTGGCTGCCAATTACCAGCAAAATTAATTTGTGGAACACCACCCCCCCCTCCACACCTGAGAAGGTGGGAAATCAGTGCGTCTGTGCCGAGCACTCTCACTCTCAGATAGAGACAATGGCATAGTAAATTATTACTTACCAGGCAGCTTGGATACTTTTAAGGCGACAGAATTGCCTATTACTCCTTCTTGTTCTCCTCTGCTGGCAAGTCTTTACTTCCCCACGTTTCATCTCTCCATCTCATGCTGAAAAAAATGAATTGGAGTGATGCATGGGTAAGAATCGTTCTGCTGATTTCCATTTTTTCACAACAAGTGTTGGCGAAAAGTCAGGCAGATTCTCCGTTTGAGAAGTATTCATACAGATCAAACTTTACAGATAAGGAATTGTTTCAGTCGACGTTCACAAAAGATCACTTGGGGAAATTGAAAGCGGAGACAAAGGCGTTATTCAACTATGCCTGGAAGAAGTATATGGATTTTGGATATCCATTTGATGAAGTGAGCCCCTTGACGTGTAAGCCAAACAAACGAGATATATGGGATGAGTTCAACACCGTCAAGAATGATGCATTGGGTAACTTTTCCATCACATTCTTTGATGCAATGGACACCTTTATAATAATGGGTGACCGTGATAAGTTCCACGAGTGTGTTTACACGATCAAAAATACATACACTGATTTTGCAATTGACTCGACAATCCAGATATTTGAAACTAATATCAGGCTGCTCGGTTCCTTGTTAACGGCACACCTTTATGCAATTGATCCACGCCGAGGACTTGTGATACCAGAATATGATGGGTTTATGTTAAAATTGGCCTACGATTTAGGTAAGAGGCTCGTACTTTCATTTTCTCACCGGGAAGATAATTATAAGTTTGAAGGTGACGATGTCTTAAAGTACTTTGTGTTCTCGTATCCGAGAACAAATCTTTTATACGGAACAAAAGATGTTCCGTTTGGTTTGAAGAACGAGCAATGTACTGCGGGTGTTACATCCCTAACCCTTGAGTTTTCGTTGCTTTCCAGGCTTACAAATGATACATTGTTTGAGGACGTCTCTCGTAGAGCTGTCACTGACTTTTGGGGAAGACGAACCAAGTTTGACTTGATCCCAATGGCTTTTGACACTTACCTGCGAACTTTTACAGACTCTATTACAGGAATAGGTGCTTCAATTGATTCCTTCTATGAGTATGCCTTGAAGTACTCTATTTTATTTGACGACAACTTTTTTTACGAAATCTGGCAAGATTCTTATAAAGCGTTACTCACACACTCGCAAAATAAGGTAGGAATTTTTACAAATCTCAATGTAAATAATGGACTCGGAGCTACAGAGTGGATAGACAGTTTAGGGGCATTTTTCCCCGGGTTACAAGTGCTAGCGGGTGATGTCTCAAACTCCATTGAATTACACCGCATTTTTTTCAAGCTCTGGAACAATTATGGAGCAATTCCGGAAAGATGGAACTTTATGCCTCTTAGATCGGAAGGTTATTTCCAGCATTTAGGAAGGTCTTATAAAGATGGAGATTTGATAGAAGGGTTGGATATCGATTCAACTAACGAAGTTCTCGCGAAAAACTCGGTGGGTTTAGAGTGGTATCCTCTCCGTCCAGAGCTGATTGAATCGACATACCACTTATACACAGCAACAAAAGATCCCTTTTATCTTCGATTAGGTGAGGACTTTCTCGAAAGATTTAGAGCGCATTATATTGCCCCTTGTGGCTTTAGTGGATCGCTGGACATACTCAATGACAGGAGACAAGACAGACAAGAAAGTTTTGTTTTAAGCGAAACACTGAAGTATCTATATTTGCTCTTTGATGTGGACAATGTCGTGCAGCAGGGAAATATGGTGTTTACTACAGAAGGTCATCCGTTTTGGTTTGACAAAAAGCTATGGAATTTTGACCCAATCCAGAAGCCTGATTTAGAAAATATGAATATTTACAATAAGACCGAGACTGAAAACCCCGGCTTCCTTAGCAGACTGCTGCTACCTAGAAAATTCTATTTGAATAAAGAGTTTGACCAATTGCGGAGTGAGTTTTACGAAGATGAGAATAAAGTGAATCCTATTTTGTACCGTATAAGCGACATGTACGCGTTTCAGAGCTCAGAAACAGGAGAACTTCTCGGGAACGACTACGGAAAGTTTATGCGTGTCAACAAAGAGGACTACGATAAAATTAAAAACCACGAAAAATTACAGCTGGAAATTCTCAACGCAAGCTTGAGAGAATCCGGTGATCTCGAGTTGGACGAGGATTTTCTTGGCTTGGGGACTTGTGACATCATAAAGCGCCAGGATATAAATCTCGGAAAAACTTTTTTCCTCAAGTCGGGTGTATTGAGAGATTGTCCTGAGTTCTATCGTTTGGACTGGGAATACGCAATGACACTAAGAAAACCTCTTTATTTAACAGAGCGTGAGCCTTTGGAGTTGGATCAAAACTTCTACCAGCAATATGTTGGCGGTGTGTCCGAGGCTGGTGGTGCAGTCTGCCAGGCAGAACAGACTACACATGAATGGGAAGCACTGATGTCCTCAGATGACACGTTCAGCGTTGCTCCCATCTACAGGTTGAAAGGCCGGCGGCTTGAGGGGGAGCGGGTTTCAGCTCGCATGGCTTCAAGAAGCAAGCGCAAGAGGTTTGTACCACGGGAAGGTGACATTTTCCTTGCAGAACTAGAAGGACTCCGTCTGCGGCTCGAGGAGCTTGCAGTTGGTGACCTCGACAGCCGAGGTGAGATCATCTCTCAGGCATCATACGACGAGATGGTGGAAGCCATTCTCAAATCGGGGAAAGGTAGCAGTGATGTCAGAGAAGTCCACTCCGTTGTGCGCTTGACCAAGCTTAACGGGCTGCAGATTGGAAACGACACCCTGGTATGGGTATACCCCGGCAGCCAACTTCTGACCAAGAGCGACTCGGTGGCGATGGTTGGGCGTCACCTTGTTTTAAACGGCCAAGTCGTCACCAACTTGCTTGTGCAATGAACAAGCCGATCGCTCATTCATGTTACAAGTGCAACACCGTAACTGTCGCGTTGCCGGCCGGCGGCGATTTTAAATTGACGCGCATGGAATGCAGAATTTTTTCTTTATACCTTTTCTTTTTTTCTCCCCTTATTACAGTTTCTCTGCTGCAAAGACGAGGTTGCGTTCTGAGGGGTGATTGCACTATCAACTATCGCCTTTTCAGATTCCTGGCGAGTCAATTGGTAAGCGAAGTACTTTGGGTTGACAACTGTAAACGCATTCAATCTGTTCAGCTGATTAAACCTTGAGCAACACCGTTTCTTCCGTCAAACTTCCCCCTCGAGCAGGTCCTATTGTCGAGCTTTTCTTGCCGTCAATAACAGAATTCAGTGACATCAAACTCCATCTCATCTCTTTATCCGCATTTCCTGCATACTGGATTTTATAGCATACATCTATTCCTGTCTTTGTATATAGATATCTCTGCATCAAAAAGGCCATCACTGAATATCTAATCGAAACAGGTCGTCTTATTTTGAACCTCTAGGTGAGACACAATTCAACACAAACTGAAAAGCATTTGTATTTATCCCCAAAGAAAGTGGACTTTTAATTTCCTTTCACATTTTTTCCTGTCCAGATAGTTTTATCTTACCGGAATTTACTGTCCTTTTTCCAATTCTGTGTAGACTGATTGCTAAAATCAACTATTATTGCTAGCAGGTATGTACCACGAAGACATAGATATAGAAGACAGCAACAACTCGATACTAACACCCATTTTTGGCCATTTTTTCTAAGTTCATACAGCAACACTGGAATGTCTGATTTTGCCAAGAACCTTTTCGGATTCGTCAAGCCAAAATCAACGTCACCCGAAACAATGGCTCCAGCACAGGATGTAAACGAAGCACCATTGGCACGTGTGGTTTCTTCAAGCGGCTTTCCATCGGAAATTCTGCCTCATGCGACACCTACCATTGGCTTGAACGAAAAGTCGTATGCTGTAGGAACAACAATCAACGACCCAAACGCTTTGAATAGATCCATAAACCAATTTGATCATGCACAGCAGAGCAATTTGACTGCTCAACTGAATACCACCCAAAGCAACGTGAATAACGAAAACCTAAACATTAATAATAACGAACAACAAAGACAGTTGAAGCAACAACAACAACAACAACAACAACAACAACAACAACAACAACAGTTGCATCAGCAACAACAGCAAAAGCATCAGCAGCAACATTACCAACCGTTGTTGAGTAAGACGCAGGACTACTCGTTAGCAAGTGCGGCCGACGCTGCTGATACTATACAGAGGGGAAAACTCCGTATAAATATCATGGAAGCTCGGGGGCTAAATGTTACCACAAACTACTCTCAACCCTATGTGGTATGCACTTTTGAATCGTCAGAAATTGTCACCCAGGGCCCAGAGAGCTACGATCCAAAGAATGCACAATTCGTCCACAGAAACAACAACGACTATTCTACTAGAACTAAGTCTTCAGCAAATTACAACCCCTCCAATCCAGTGTGGCATCATACTGCTATTTTTGATGTTATTGGTTCCAAATCGCAATTACAAATCTCGGTTTATGATACCTCAATAGATGGTTCTTTTTTGGGCCATCTGAACATCTCCCCAAAGACAACTGATGATTCAAGCGTTGAGAGATGGTACGAACTACAGCCTAGATTACCCAATGAGCCAGTTACAGGCAAGATCAAGATCAAATTAGATTACTCTAATATAAACAAAAGACATTACGGACCAAACGATTTTGAAATCTTGAGACTTCTAGGCAAAGGTACTTTTGGACAAGTTTTCCAAGTTAAGAAGAGCGATTCCAAACGAGTATATGCAATGAAAGTTTTGTCCAAGCAGGTCATTGTCAAAAAAAAAGAGATTGCACATACTATTGGTGAAAGGAATATTCTCGTAAGAACTGCAACCACAGAATCACCTTTCATTGTGGGTCTCAAGTTTTCATTCCAAACTCCAACGGATTTATATTTGGTCACTGACTTTATGAGCGGTGGAGAACTCTTTTGGCATTTACAGAAAGAAGGGCGGTTCAGTGAAGAGAGAGCAAAGTTTTACATTGCAGAATTGGTTTTGGCATTGGAACACCTACATGACAACGATATTGTTTATAGAGACTTGAAACCTGAGAATATTCTACTAGATGCGAATGGGCATATTGCATTGTGTGATTTTGGTTTATCAAAGGCCAATCTAACTGGTAACGGTACTACAAATACATTTTGTGGAACAACAGAATATTTAGCCCCTGAAGTTTTATTAGATGAATCAGGCTATACCAAAATGGTTGATTTTTGGTCTTTAGGAGTTTTGATTTTCGAGATGTGTTGTGGTTGGTCTCCTTTCTATGCAGAAAATACTCAGCAAATGTACAAAAACATTGCTTTTGGTAAGGTCAGATTTCCAAAAGAGGTTTTGTCCCATGAAGGAAGATCCTTTGTAAAGGGGCTACTAAACAGAAATCCAAAACATAGATTGGGTGCTCTCAATGATGCACGTGAGTTACGGGCGCATCCATTTTTCCATGATGTCAATTGGGACAACTTGAAAGAGAAAAAAATTCCTCCACCATTTGTGCCTCACATTGCAAATGAACTAGACACTTCTAACTTTGACCCAGAATTCACAAATGCTTCCACTTCGGCGATAAACAGACAGCTCATGATGGGGACGACACCGTTATCACAGGCTGTGCAAGAAAACTTCAAAGGTTTCACTTATGTTGATGACTCAACAATGTTTGATCATTTCAATGGCTCTATGGGTAGACGAGGTTCCTACAAACCTCAGTACGGCTCTTTTATTCCAGGTAACCCAAATTTACCTCCAGATGAAGAAGTTGTGGATGAACAAAGTGAAATTGAGGAAGAAAATGAAGGGGAAGATATGGATGTTGATGATGAGTTTGTCAGTGGACAGTTCGATTTGTAATGGGGGGAAATCGTTTCACTATTCGTGTATATTAGCCTCATGATTGCCAGCATCTAATCTGTGGACTTCTTTATTTCCCATTATTCCCACTCTACTACTTAGTTTCAATTCACATGCTTCATGCTCAAACTTAATTTTTTGTTTAAAACAAGTTCTTGTTTATCCTTATATATACTGTCACTCATTCAAACAAGACTTTTTTTTCTATTTCTTCTGGCTCTCATTCAAATACATTTTCTTAAGTCACATTGTTTTTTGATATTTAAAACTATAGTTATGAATCAAATTTATAGCATTTAGTCCTACCCGAGCAAAAGTCGTACTTTTCGTGCCTACAGAGGCTATTTTTCAAAATCGAGCATTGGCTGCGGCGCTGGTGAAATTTCAGCTTCAAGGTATATCTTGCCTTTTTGAGTAATACACTATATTCCTTAAGGCAGTTGAAGAGTCTTTTAATTGAATAAAGAACAATAAGAGAACCACCAGAATCATGGCTACCTACAATGTTCAATCAACAGGATCCTACATGCAGGCCATGGATCCCATGCGAGAAAAGCTAAGCATAATACATCTCGATAATGAAGAAGAGTCACTTAAATTGCCAACCAATTTGTTGAAAGAAGAATCAATTGCTAGCGTCAAGAGTGACGTTCACAAGAATGTCCATGAAATACTCAAAGCTTTTGAAAGTATTGATGATGATATTCTTGCAGATTACGATAAGATTGACGAAAGCGATTATGATGAAAGTGATGACAGCGGAGATAACGAGGCCTTTCATTATGAAGATGACGATTTAACAAAATTATTCTTGATCAATGAAATTAAGGAGGAGTGTAACAGAGTGCATTTAAAGCACACTGAAGGAGAGGATGTTGATGGCGATACTTTCCAGCTGTTTGAAAATATTGTAGACTTGTTACAGAAAGAGGATGACGACGCAGGTCTCCAAGGAGCTTTATTTGATATTTTGGGCTTTGAGGAACTTGATTTGATTACCAAGCTAATCACATCAAAGGAAGAAATCTTGACGCAGTACAGAAGACTCAATGAGCTGAGAATTCACAATGCTGGAGGTTCGTCGAGAATGAACCATGAATTGATGACAGTAGACCAAATTAAAGCAAAAGTTGCCGAAAATGCTAAACGGGCAAGAGAACAACCGCTTGCGAAAGAGCATTCCGTTACCAAATATCCTCATGTTTTTATGTCACACAGTGCAGGCAATACTATCTCTTTCACAGGTAAAGCATACACATTACCTGTGGGTACAGTAAGAGAATCTTTTGAGAAACATGAAGAAGTTATTATACCCAAAAGCGAAACACGAAATTCGTTGGCCCCAAATATATTCATTCCTATCAAAGAGTTGGATTTTCTTTGTCAAGGAACCTTTAAAGGATATAAAACCTTAAATCGTATGCAATCACTAATTTATGATGTTGGTTACAACACAAATGAAAATATGCTTGTGTGTGCACCTACTGGTGCCGGTAAAACAGATGTTGCATTATTGGCTATTTTACATACAATCAAGCAGTTTGTGTCCGAAAGTGAAACTAGCGACACTGATACTTTGAATGTTGATATCGATTACGATGAATTCAAAATTGTATATGTTGCTCCTTTAAAGGCTCTTGCTGCAGAAATTGTTGAGAAATTTTCCAAAAAATTGGCATGGTTAGGGATACAAGTCAGAGAATTGACCGGTGATATGCAACTAACTAAGGCAGAAATTATGACAACCCAAATCATTGTAACAACCCCTGAAAAATGGGATGTGGTCACTCGTAAATCTACAGGTGACTCTGAATTAGTGCAGAAAGTGAAGTTGCTGATCATAGATGAAGTTCATTTGCTACACGAAGACAGAGGTAGTGTCATTGAAACACTTGTTGCAAGAACTTTGAGACAAGTTGAAAGTACACAATCGATGATTCGTATTGTTGGTTTGTCTGCAACTTTACCAAATTTTGTAGATGTTGCAGATTTCTTGGGGGTGAATAGAAATGTTGGAATGTTTTTCTTTGATCAGTCTTTTAGACCAGTACCATTAGAACAACAGCTAGTTGGTGTAAGAGGTAAAGCGGGCTCCAAACAGGCGAGGGAAAATTTAGAGGAAGTATCTTTCAACAAGGTGATGGAAATGATCAAGTTGGATCATCAAATTATGGTTTTTGTTCATTCTCGTAAAGATACAACTAAAACCGCTAGAAACTACATGAAAATGATAGGAGAACAAAGCTATGAAAACTATTTTGATTGTCGAGATACAGAGAAATATTCTTACTTTGAAAGGGAAATGGGCAAAAACAGAAATAAAGATTCGAGAGAGTTGTTTGTCGGTGGATTTGGTATCCATCATGCGGGAATGAGTAGATCTGACCGAAACCTTACTGAGAAGATGTTCTTAGCAGGTGTCATTAAAGTTTTGGTTTGTACTGCCACTTTAGCTTGGGGTGTCAATTTGCCTGCAGCTGCGGTCATCATCAAAGGAACGCAAATTTACGATTCAAAGCAAGGTGGTTTTATTGATTTAGGTATCTCCGATGTGATCCAAATTTTTGGTAGAGCCGGTAGACCGCAATTTGAAGCACATGGTATAGGTATTCTGTGCACATCTTCTGATAGGTTAGACCATTATATCTCTCTCTTATTACAGCAGCATCCTATTGAGTCTAAACTTACGGCTAAGCTTGTGGATAATTTGAATGCAGAGATTTCTTTGGGGACTGTGACTAACGTTGAGGAAGGTGTTCAATGGTTAGGTTACACTTATCTTTACGTGCGAATGAAGCAAAATCCTTTTGCTTACGGAATTGATTGGCAAGAACTAGCACAAGATCCATTATTGGTTCAAAGAAGAAGGAACATGATTATTGATGCCGCCAGAAAATTACATAAATTACAAATGATTGTATTTGATGAAAGATCATTTGGCCTTATTCCGAAAGATATTGGAAGAATTTCTTCAGATTTTTATTTGTTGAACGAATCTGTTGAAGTTTTCAATGAAATGATCACTTCACAGGCTTCTGAAGCTGACGTTTTAAGCATCATTTCAATGAGTTCTGAATTTGATAATGTGAAATTTAGGGACGATGAAGCGAAAGAGTTGGACGAATTAAGAGATGAACGAATTGTTTGCGAAATAGGTCCAAAATTGGAAAGCTCACAAAAGAAAACTAACATTTTGCTACAGTCTTATATTTCACGGGCGTTCGTGAAAGACTCGGCATTAGCTTCAGATATGTCATATATTGCTCAAAATGCAGCTCGTATTTGCCGGTCCTTATTCTTTATGGGTTTGAACAGAAGGTGGGGTATCTTTACTCGACACATGCTTGAAATATGCAAAGCTGTTGATAGACAAATGTGGCCCTTTCAGCACCCTATGAATCAGTTTCAGTTACAGCCTCCAATTATCAAGTTAATTGAAGCCAAAAAGCCGACAATTGAGCATTTGAGAGATATGGAGTCTGGTGAATTAGGTGATCTTGTCCATAATAAATCTATGGGTCCTAAACTTCACAAATTAATAGGACGCTTTCCATACCTATTACTGGATGTTGAATGTTTTCCTATAACTACAAATGTTATGCGTATTCATGTTTCAGTAGAAGCCGATTTTATTTGGAATTTTGAGTACCATGGTAATGCTCAATTTTTCTGGATTCTAGTTGAAGACAGTGACAATTCGAATATATTGCACTATGAAAAATTTATCCTTAACAAGAAGTCTTTCAGCTCTCCTCACGAGTTAGATTTTATGATTCCATTGAGTGATCCACCTCCGCCACAAATACTTGTTAGGGCCATTAATGATGTGTGGATCGGTGCAGAAAACAGTGTTGCTGTCTCGTTTAAGCACTTGATCAAGCCACACAATGACACTGTCAAAACGAAGTTACTAAAATTGCATCCCTTACCCATCACAGCCCTCAATAATAAAAATATTGAAGGTATTTACAAAAGTAAATTTTCCTACTTCAATCCAATGCAAACGATGACTTTTCATACTTTATACAATACCAACTCTAGTGTATTTGTTGGATCTCCTACAGGTTCTGGAAAAACTGTTGTTGCGGAATTTGCCATTTGGCATGCATTTAATGAGTTCCCTGGATCTAAAGTTGTCTATATCGCACCAATGAAAGCATTAGTGAGAGAAAGAGTTGATGATTGGAGGGCAAGAATATGCCAAAACACGAACCACAAAATTGTCGAGTTAACTGGTGACTCGTTACCTGGTGTTCAAGAGGTTAGAGAAGCAGATATCATTATTACTACTCCCGAAAAGTTTGATGGTATTTCACGTAATTGGCAATCTAGAAAGTTTGTTCAACAAGTGTCCTTGTTGATTATGGATGAAATTCATTTATTAGCAAGTGATAGAGGTCCAATTTTAGAAATAATTGTGAGTAGAATGAATTATATTTCTTCATTCACTAAGAAACCCATAAGGTTATTAGGTTTGTCTACTGCGGTTTCTAATGCTATGGATATGGCAAGTTGGTTGGGGGTGAAAGAGGGACTATTCAATTTTCCTCAAAGTGTGAGACCAGTTCCGTTGGAGATGTATATTGACGGATTCCCTGATAACTTGGCATTTTGCCCATTGATGAAAACGATGAATAAGCCAGCATTTATGGCAATCAAACAGCATTCTCCTTCCAAGCCAGTTTTGATTTTTGTTGCATCTCGAAGACAGACAAGATTAACTGCTCTTGATATAATCCATTTGTGTGGTATGGAAGAAAATCCACGTAGATTCCTCAAAATCAATGAAGATGAGTTGGCACCATACATAAATAAAGCGAAAGATGATACATTGAAACTAGCGTTACAATTTGGTATAGGATTACATCATGCCGGTTTGGTTGAGAGTGATAGACAAATATCGCATAAGTTGTTTGAACAAAACAAAATACAAATCTTGATTGCAACTTCCACTTTGGCATGGGGTGTCAATTTGCCGGCACATTTAGTAATTATAAAAGGTACCCAATTCTTTGATGCGAAAATTGAAGGTTACAAAGATATGGACTTGACTGATATTCTACAAATGATGGGAAGAGCAGGTAGACCAGCTTTTGACACTAATGGTATTGCTATGGTTTTCACCAAAGAATCTAAAAAGACATTCTACAAACACTTTTTGAACGTTGGATTTCCCGTTGAGTCTTCATTACACAAAGTTATGGACAATCACATTGGTGCTGAAATCTCTTCGGGAACAATCAAAACGAGACAAGAGGCGATGGATTTTTTAACCTGGACTTTCTTATATAGAAGAGCACACCACAATCCAACATACTACGGCATAGAAGATATTTCTCAAGAGGGCATTAGTTCCTATTTAAGTGGGTTGATTGATAAGGTTATCAATAATTTAGTTGAATCAAAGTGTGTTATTACTACAGGAGAAAAGCTAGAGTCCACGCCATTCTTAGAAATATCATCCTACTATTACTTATCGCACAAAACCATTAGAAATCTTCTTAATAAAGTTATTCCGTATGCAAGTTTTAGACAATGCTTGAGATGGTTATGTGAAGCTTCAGAATATGATGAGTTACCCACTAGACACGGGGAAGAATTAATCAATATGGAAATGTCACAAGAGATGAGATATTCTGCCGATGACTTGGAAGACTATGAATTTATTTGGGATCCACATATCAAGGCATTCTTGTTGTTGCAGGCATATATGACCAGAATTGAGCTACCGATTGCAGATTATGCACAGGATACTGTTTCTGTACTAGATCAAAGTTTGCGTATTTTGCAAGCATATATTGATGCCACGTCTGAGATGAGGTTCTTATCTACTACACTGAATTTCATCAAGGTCATGCAATGTATAAAGCAGGGGTGTTGGTTTGATGATGATTTTGTTTACGCATTACCGGGCTTGAAAATGAAGAAGGCTAGCGATTCGGAGAAGAACTTTGATCTTGATGGTAGTGAATGGAGAACTGCAGCTGAAAACAGTGAGCTCACCTTGAAGCAAATAGGTAGCTTTAAGAAGAAGCCGAACGGCATGAACAAACTTGCTGATAAGTTGAGAGTCAGTAGAAATAAGAAAGAGGAATTTATCAGGGTTGCTTCTACACTTCCCACAGGAGAATTTAAGGTTCTTGAGCAAAATAGTCCCGAAGAGATTGGGGTGGAGTTGTCACATGAGAACGCAATGTTCCGGAAAGACTACAGAATCTATGCACCAAAGTTTTCGAAGCCACAAAGAGAAACGTGGTTTGTTATTTTGTGCGACTTGGCAAAGGACGAATTGTATGCCATCAAAAGAGAGTCGCCTAGAAGATCAGGAGGTGGTGTTGACAAGGTGCAGAGCAAGCTCAAGGTTGCAGAAGAACTACGTGGAAGAGAGGTTGACGTTCTCATGGTGAGTGATTTTACCGATCTCACCTACCGAGGGAGACATAAGTTAAAGTGACACATCAGCGAGACCGGAGCGCCGGTTGCCTAATTTGAGTCTAATGAGGGGGTAAATTGTGCGTGTAGACGTAACTAGGTATATATAAGGTCCTGTAACCAGTAAGTATTTCAGAAAAGGTAATACGTGCCAGATATTGGGTTCGAAGAGAAGAAGACGAAAGGAACTGAAGTCTAGTCTGGGGCTGTCAATATAGATGTCTACAGAGCCGTTGATAGGGAATTCAAATTTCGAGGAGGGAAAGGGTGGAGGTACAAATGTTAGCAATACCACAAACAATAATAGTAATAATAAGAATGATAATAACGGTCCTTTGAACAATGGTAATGAAAAGATGCAATTTGATGAGGGTGTGAACATAATACACTGCTGCTTGAGTATCAACTCCACAACTATATACACTTATGACAATCCTAATATTTTGCACAGGGCGAACTTGAACTATGTGGAGGCCATTACGCAGAACTTGGGGGAAATTAATGAGGTGCAGGAGGACCGTATGGATCACATAAACCTGAACCAGAGTATAAGGATCAACAAGAAAAACATCAACCTGATGATATACTACAAGAAGAACATTATGGAGAACAACGATTTAATAACGATCGTCATACTATGCGGCGATAAACTTATGAGTAGTTTTGTGCATAATTTGTTAGAAAAGCTTATGAACGAGTACGTGAACGAGTACTACACGAATAATAGGAGGTTTGAGTTCAAGCTTCGAATTAAGGAAATCATCAACCAAGAAGAGGGGCATCTGATCAGATTGGTGGAGAATTATGGCTCTGTCGAAGGGGAGATTGCCCAAGTGCGAGAGTTGATGAACGAGAATATCGACAAGATCTTACAGCGAGGTGAGAACCTCGATACGTTGATCAGCAAGACGTCGAACTTGAACACGAGTTCCAGCTCGTTCAGAAGGCGAACCACGAGCGTGAAGCGGAAGATGATATGGTCGAACGTGAAGTTTGTGGTGATTGTTACGCTGATTGCGCTACTGGTGGGGTACATTCTGTTGGGGCTCGAGTGCGGGCTACCGTTCTACAGCAAGTGCCTACACCCGAAGAAGCCAAGCCAGCCGTCGGTGGATGCCTAGCTGGCCAGTCTATAGAACACACGCATCATAAGAGCACACTCTTGTTTCCTGTTATATTTTTCCTCTTTATAAAGTCCGTTCTAGCTTGTTTTGCTTTGCTCTACTTTTTCCAACGTTCTCTAATCTCCATGCTCGTCGTCGTTGCTATCCTCGTCGTCGTCATCGTCATCGTTGCCGATGTGGTTCGGTGCGACCTGTCTGTCGGCAATGTCGCCTTCTAACTCTCGTGCTTCTAATTCGAGCTGCGATGGGGCATGCTGCCGTATCTCGTTGTCGTCTGCTTCGTCCGCTTCGTCCGCTTCGTCGTCCTCGTCGTCTTCGGCGTCCTCGTCGACGTCGCCGCCCGCAGAGTGCTCGTCTTCCTCGAGGTCATCGATCGAGTGGTCGTCATCCGGCACGGGGTGGCTGGCGCCCGCCGGCGGTCCGGATGTGGACGCGTTGTGCACGGACGAGTCGGCGTCGGACATCGTGTCATCCGGTGCGGGGTTGTCCAGCTTGATCTTCTTCACCCGGTCGGCAGCGCTGTCCCCGTCGTCGTCGAGGTCGGCGTCCTCCAGGTCGGTGGACTTCTTGGCGTCCGACTTCAGCTTCGCCCTTGCCAGCTTCTTCGCCTCCTTCTTGGCGTTGAACCGCTGCAACTCGTCGCTGAGAATCGGCGCAAACTCGCCGTACCCGACCTGCACCAGCGCGTTGATGATGTCGTCTGCGTTGACGACCTTCCTGTTCTGCAGCTTCACGATCTGCTTCGCATGGTGGTAGATGAAGTTCACAAAGAGGATGCTAGACCGCTGTATCACCGTCTGCGTGTCCTTCGCCAACAGGAAGCTGCCGCCGCTGTCGGCGCTGCCGCTGCCGACGCCGCTGGCCGACTGCAAGGCCTGCTTGCATATCTTGTTGATGGTTGCTTTCGGGAACAGGAAGCTGTCGATCGACAGGTTTTCGTTGAGCAGCACCGTGTCGAAGTTCGACTCCTGCTCGTCTTTTCTCCATCCCTTAGCCGGCATCGTGCTGTTCTGTACCAGGGGCTCTGCTTCCTTGTGTCCTTTTCTTCTTCTTCTGTTTCCCCCTCCTCCTTCTTCTATTTGCCCTCCTCTTTCATGCACCTTTCCATCCCTTTTCCTCCGCCTTGGAATGGCGACGCGTCACCACCCCCACGACAGAACCCTTTGTCGCGGTCACCTGACCCCCGCCGCATCCCTTTTTTGCGCCGATCGACCCCCTTCCCCCCGCACCGGAAACAACACTTGTTTCCGGCCCCGTCCCGCTTCCGTTCCCTCCTCCCGGGCCAGGACAAACTGACCATATTGACCGGCCTGCCACACCGCATCCTCTCCGCCTCCATCCCTCCCTTATCTCCCACCACCCCTCTTCTTCTGCACCCCTCCTCGCCCCCTCCTCGCCCCCTCCCCCCATCCGATTACTAACCCCCGGCCCCGACGCTTATCCCCTGCCCAGTAACTCCGGCCAAAGTCCCCGCCGGGGCCGGGAGACGATCGACCGCGTCTCCGTTAACCCCGCGGACAAGGTCCGGGCGGCAGCAGTGCTCTCTTTTTCAGCTCGCAGTCTTCGGTCCGAGCCCGAGCCCGAGCCCAAAACCGACGCCGAGGCCGAAAACGTAACCGGAACCAGCGCCCGTAGCCGAAACCGACATCTCGGACACGGCGGCCGTAACTCCAGCTCGCGTCATTTGTCAGGCGTGCCTCTTCACCGGGGTGTTACTACAGCCCGTTTGTAAGCATGTCGGCCAGGGAAGGCTTGCACAGAGAGGCTACAGCTGCCGTGTATGCAAAATTTGCCGGGCGGCTTCCGGAGGTATATATATATGTACGACGTGCCGGGGTGTCGGCCGCCGTTGTGGTCTGTGTGGTTGGTGGCATCTGTGTAGTGTGTAGTGTGTAACACTTCTGTTGCTTTCTCCAGGAACACCGGTTTCTGTGCTCACAACAAACACCAGACATCGCACCGCAGCGCACAAGAAATGTTCAGAAGACCGTCGCAGAAAAACATGTGCAGGACACAGCAGCAGCAGCAGCAGCAGCAGCAGCAACCACAGACACACAGCAGCGGTAAATACGGCCGAAGTGAGGCCCAGCAGTCTGCTCCCAAGCCCAAGCGAACGTCAAGCATACTCGGCAAGCTCATGAGGAGAACGTCGTCGTCCGCCAACACCGTGGCGAAGAGCGTCGAAATACCGAGCCAGCAGCCTCCACTGCTCCCGATGCTTCCAGCTGAGCCATCGTCTCCAGTCCTCTCCTCCAACTCGCAGTTCTCCTCCTATTCGTCCTCGTCGTCCTTCTCCGAGCGCACGTCATCCTTTGGCACGCTCCTCCCCCACGCACACGAGAAGCTCCCCTCCGACTGGGAGTTGCGCTACGACACCATGCTTTGCCAGTTCTACTACGTCAACACCACAGAGAACATCGTCCAGTTCGACTCGCCGCTCGAGGTCCTCACCCACTGAGGAGGTCCGTCTGCTCGGCCTCCACTCATGCATCCGTCTACACATTCAATCCTACGCCTTTTCTTTGCTTTTCTAATATTCTCCCACTTTTATTCCCTCCTAATGCCCCATCCACGTTCTGTCAATATTAATCATATAATGAAAATATAATAATAATATAATAATCATATAGTTATAATAATAATATGTAGCTAGCCTGTCTTATACATCCGTGTAGTCAGAAAAAGTAAATGCTCAGCGCAGAGGCTCCGTCGCCCTCCTGAGCCACTCGATCGCCAGAACGTCGTCCACAGCTTCCAAATGCGGCACCAATGTCTCGTACACCGTGCGATGGTACTCGTCTACCCACTTGACCTGCTCGCTGCTGAGGTAGGCCAGGTCGATGAGGTCTCTGCAGAATGGGACCATCGTCAGATACTCAAACTGCAACCGCCCGTCGTCCCCGTTGACAACCAACACGTCACTCTCGATACGGATCCCGTACTCGCCGGCCTTGTAGTACCCTGGCTCGTCCGAGATGAAGTTACCCGCCTCCAGCGGCTTGTAGTTGTACGACGTCCGGCTCGGGCTGAGCCCACACGGTCCGGCGTGCACACAGATGTAGTTGTCGATTCCGTGGCCCGTCCCGTGGCCGTAGTCTAGGCCGTACTGCCTCAACGGAGCTCGCCCGAGACTGTCGATATAGTACGACGACGTTCCAAACTTGAACCGGAGCATTGCGATGTTCAAATGTCCCTTGAGCACTAGCGTGTACGAACGCCTGAGCTCGTCGCTGGGCTTCTTGTCTCTGTAAACATATGTGGTCCGGGTTATGTCTGTGGTGCCTTCGAGGTATTGGCCTCCGGAGTCGAGCAAAAGCACGTTGTCTGTCTCGATCTCACCAAAGTTGTCACTCGTGGGTTCATAGTGAACGATAGCAGCATTGGCTCCGCTCGCAGCTATGGTCTCAAAGCTCAATCCCTTGAACTTCAACGACTTATTCCTGAATTCGTACAGCTTGTCGACAACGTCCAATTCGTTCAGCCGTCTTTTCGGGTGGTTTGCATCGAACCAGCTCAAAAATCTCACAATCGCCAAACTGTCGATCGTTTGGGATTCTCTCAAGTTCTCCATCTCAATGTCGTTCTTGACACCTTTGAGTTCTGTCAATATCGATCGAAAAACAATTTCATACGTTGAAGGGATGTTGATGTAAATCGAGTAGCTCGAGTTCAATTCGAGACATATTTTGTTGCTCTCTTTCTCCTCCGGAGACTTGTTTGTGATTGCAGGTAAATCATTCCAGATCTGATCGTACACTCTAACATCGATTCTTAGATCGCTCAGGTATGTCTGTACCTCTGCCGTCAGCTTCTTCTTGTCGATGTACAGCACCACCTCATCCATGTAGATGATCACGTAGCAGAAAAACACCGGGTTGAAGATGATGTCGTTGCCGCGTAGGTTCAACAAGTACGCAATAGAGTCAAGCATGTTCGAGACATATGCAAAGCATCCTTCTTGCTGCATCATCTTCCGGACTCTGACTATCTTGTCACTCGTGTCCATACCGGAGTATTTGTATGGATATATGGAGACCTCGTGGTTGCCAGTGTCCTTCAGTTTCCCTCTGATCGCGTCAATCAAATTCTTATCCAAATCGTTGACAAGTCGTATGTTGTTTTCGTGTGTCTTGCGGATAAGGTCGTTGCCCATGCTCCACGTGATCAACCTCGGACCGACACCTATGTCGCCCGTCTCGCCCATCTGGTCCATCTGGTAGACGCACTCGTCGATACCCCAAACCATCCAGCTAGGATATCCCTTGACACCCTGCTTAAGCAACGTCCAGTTCCCGTCGAGCTGTTCTGACGCCTGGAGGAAGTATCTCGAGTCGGTGGAGAGTGCAGCCGAATGCAGCGTGACTATGGCCACGCCTGCCGACCCGGTGAACCCGGAAATGTACGCTCTCCGCTGGTCCTTCACAGACGTGTACTCGCTCTGGTGCTCATCCTCGGAAGGTATGATGTATGCTGTGAGGTTGTTCAATTTCATGAGGGTCCGTAGCCTTTTTAAGCGCTGCGTGGAGTCGAACTGCGAGAAGATACGGATCGGCTGGACGTCGTCGTCATTTGACGAGAACGAATACGCATGGCGCATGTCGCTTGTGCCATCCATGTCGCTGCCATCCTCACTACTGCTGTTGCTACTACCACTACCACCACTGCTGAAGCTGAGGAACGACTTCAATGTTGACAAACACGACGTCTTGTAATCCGGCGACTCAATAAGTTGTTTTTCCTTTGCCGGCGACCATTTCTCTTGCACGTAGCTCATTGCTGACTTCTTTCCTGCCGATACAAAACTGTTTCTGACTTGTTGAGCTAGAGAGACCGAGAAGGGCACCGGAGCATGCACAGAAGGAAGAAAGAAGCCGAAAACCGGTTAGTGCCAGCGTCGTTCAGCTAGGGTTGTGCATGCGGTCATGCAGGAGGAGCAGATGCAGCGAAAGCGAGAGCGGTGATGACTTCGCTGCCTCCAGTCGCGGGTCCTTGACGGGAGTCATGCCTCGCACCGAGATAAGGCAGGGCCGAGATCGAGATCGAATCGGCGGAGTAGTGGCACACGAGAAGGAAGAGGGAGTAGGGGTGAGGGGAGAGGTAGGTGCAGGGGACTGGGGACTGGGGACTGGGTGGATGGGTTGATTAGGCGCTTCGGAAAGTAGACAGCAGTAAGCAAAGGGGATACACAGTAAGATATGCGGGGAGGAAAAGGGAGGAGAGGTGAGAAACAGTGTTAGACAAGAAGTGAAGAAAGAATAAAATAATGTAAGAAGTAGCATAGGCAGAAGTCATACGACAGAGTCGTCGGCGGTCTTCTCCTGGTCGGAGGCGTTGGAAACAGGCCTGGTTTGCGGTGCCGGAGACTCTGGGACGACGCCTTCGAAGCCGTTGACGTCAAAGAAGTTTCTGCGGACCTCGACGTAGTCGTAGGCGAACTCGCCGATCTGGTCCTCGTCCATTCCCATTTCCTCGGCGTCCTCGTCTGCGCGGAGCTTGCAGTAGGGTATCTTGTCGAGGACATAGCAGAGGAGGGCTGTGACGACGCAGCAGTAGCCAACAACAGCGCCTATGTAGGCGATTTGCTTGTACATCTGTTTCCAGTTGTGGTTGATCCAGCCGCCTGGATGTTCTGTGTAGCCGTCGTAGCCGATGACGTAGTCTGCGGCAAAGATGGAGTTGAAGAAGAGGCCGAGGACGCCGGCGATGCCGTGCTCGGCGAGGACATCTAAGGCGTCGTCGACCTGGAACCAGACCTTGAAGATGGTGGCGAAGTTGCAGATGCAGCCCGAGAGAATGCCGAGGACGACGGAGGCCCAGAGGGGGATGATGCCGGAGGTCGGGGTTGCGGCGACGAGGCCGGAGATGATGCCCGAGCAGAGGCCGACGGTGGACCAGTGGTTTGTTCTGTAGAAGTCGAGCAAGACCCACGTGAAGCCGCCGAAGGCGGCGCAGAGGTTGGAGTTCATGATGGCGTAGACGCTTTTGAGGGACGGGGTGACGCAGGTGAGGCCGTTGAAGCCGAGCCAGCCGAACCAGAGGAGCATGGTGCCGATGGTGACGAGGGACACGTTGTGGGGCCGGAAGTTGATCATCAAGTGCTCTTTGCGGGGGCCGAGGAAGTAGGAGATGACGAAGCCGGAGAAGCCGGACAAGATCTCGACGGGCCCTCCGCCGGCGTAGTCGAGGACGCCCCAGCGGTACGCCCAGCCGGAGGAGTTCCAGATCCAGCAGGTGACGGGGCAGTAGACAAGGGTGAGCCAGCAGAAGGTGAAGGGGATGAACGGGAGGATGCGGCCGCGTTCGCAGAGGGCGCCGATGTAGATGCAGGCGGTGATGGAGGCGAACATGCCCTGGAAGTTGGCGTAGGCCATTTCCGGGATGCCCTGCGGGTGGTGCGTGGCGTCCACCACCAGCGCCTGGTCGAGGTGCATGTAGCCGAAGTTGTGCAGGTTGCCGATGAACCTGTTGGACGCGGTGGCCGAGAACGCGAGCGAGTAGCCCCACAAGTACCACTGGAAGATGGAGATCAGGAGGATGAGGAAGACCGAGAACACCATGTGGAGCGCCGACTTGCGCCGGGCGAGCCCCGAGTAGAGGTACGCTAGCCCGAAACACATGATCAGCACCAGACAGGTGCCTGTCACGAGCGTGAGGATTGTGGCTGCGTCATACTGCGTGTCCCACACGTGGGAGACGCTTGCGGGAGAGGACATGCCTAGGCGGGTGATGCTGCGATGCCGGCGTATTTCTGACCCGACTTACACACACACACAACACCTGTCCACGACGCACCAGGAGAAGACGAGGGGGGTGAAAAGTTGACGGAGACGGCCACCACCACCCACGGAGGCTGCACAAACTCCCGGCCCATTGGCCTGCTACACACGGCATACACACTGTGCTCTGCCGGAAAACCGTTGCAGAGCAGCGAGAAAAAAAAAGGCGCCAAGCGCCCCCCGCGCCGCTGCGCTGACAGCGTTTCGCTGCGCTGACAGCACTGACAGCGCTTGACAGCAGGGCTGTGTGGCGGCCAGGCTTGACAGGCGCCGGCGGCTTATCGCAGCCAGTTGGAGCAGGGCCGGCAAGCGGGGCGACGGCATTGCGGGCCGGGCGCGGGCGCGGGCGCTAGGTGGCGGCCTGGAGGTCGATGAAGCGCGGGACCGACGCGTCGGCGGGGCGGCCGGGAACCGGCACGCGGCTGCGGAAGAACTCGATGAACTGCAACTCGCTGTTGTCCTTGCCGTGCTTGGCGTACTTGCCGTACTCGTCGTACACGGCGGCAAGCACCCACCCCTGCAGGAGCTTGCGGATGAGTGCGACGACGACGCCGACGCGGTGCTTGCCCTTGTTGGAGTGGATGAGGATCGGGTAGTTGGCGGAGTGCGCGACAACAGCAAGCAGGTAGTTGAGCTGGGCAGCGGTGGCGGCCGCCGACGCGTCGCTGGCGGCGGCGGCCGCGAGGTCGAGGTCGAGCGGCACGTGCACAAAGCCCACGGGCTGGGGCTGGCGCTGGATCCAGCGGTAGTAGTCCCAGTTGTTGGTCTTGTCGCCGACGTAGATGATGGTGCGGAGCTTGAGCGACTCGAGGAAGGGGAAGTTGATGACCTGCGGGTGGCCGCAGCGGTAGAGGTCGCTCTCGACGACGCCGAAGTTGAGCGGCGGGAAGTAGCGGGGCTCGCTGGCAAGGATCTTGAGCGACGTGTAGTGGCGGCGGGCCCGCCCGCTGCTGCCGCCGGCGCTGCCGGCAGCAGCGCTGCCGGCAGCGTCCGTGCGGCCGTCCGTCTGGCGCACCATCGTGCCCGGCGACGCCGCCAGCTGCAGCAGCTCCAGCTGCGAGTTCAACAGCTCGTCCTCGTTCGCCTCCCCCGCGTCCACCCGCTTCCCGTCCTCGTACTGCCGCAGCTGCTTGAGTATCTGCTCGCCCTGCGTCGCCATCGCTTGTCTGCTGCTGCCACGCCCTCTTCGTCGCCACCGCTGAGCCAACCTCCATCTGCAACGCTCCGAAACATGTCCGTCCTCTTTTCAGCGCCACCCCCCCCCCCCCCTCCGTCCCGCGCCGCGCCGCGCCGCCCTTTTTTGAGTCGATCGGCCCAGCCCGTCTTTTTTCCCCGCACTGCGTGCAAACCAAAACACACACACCAATCGGGCAAATAGCAGAAAAGGCTAGTTCGCCCTTGCTGCATGATGTAAACACTGCGACCGCCGCGTCGCCGTGGTGAAGAATCCAGGGCAGGCAGGGTCAGTGGTCGTCTGTTCCGTTGAGCACACGCCGGGCACCAGCACTGGGCTCGTGAGGCAGCAGGCTCTGTTTGGGTGCGTGTCCGGTGGGTATTGGAGGTTTGTTGCCCTGCGAGAGAGATTTGTGCCCCTAAAAAGAGGAGGTTGCCCTTTTTTTGCCACAGCCAGCACAAAGGATCTTGGACGTGAGTATTTGCCAGGCATCTACGCTGACAGGACACCCCAGACACACCATGAACCTGCTATGGCGCCTCATATGGGTCCTCTCGTGGGTCTCGTTCTCCCACTGCTTGGAGTCGACGGTGGTGGAGAACCTGCGCTCGTTCTGGAGCTCGAAACACACGTTCAGCAGAGACGAGCGGATCGACCTGCTCGTGAACTCGGCGACGTCTGCGGCGTCGGACCGCAACATCGGGTACTACCGGTTGCCGTTTGTGTGCCCGAACTCGTCCAGCGCCAAGCCGGTGCACCTGAGCGTGGCCGAGATCATCAACGGCGACCGGTTCTGGCAGAGCGACTACCGGTTGGCGTTCCTCAAGGACGAGCCGTGTCTGCGGATCTGCGACAGGGTGATGCACCAGCGCAGCATCGAGAAGTCGGTCGAGATCATCAAGGACGACTACATAGCGCACTGGGTCGTCGACGGCATCCCGGCGTCCACCACGTTCATCAACGACGACGGCGTCTCCGGCCCGAAAAAGTACTACATCCCGGGCTTCAGCCTTGGCTACGAGCAGGACGGCGACGCCTACATCAACAACCACGTCATGATCGTCATCCGCTTCCACAAGGAAAGCGACGACCCGGAAAAGTACTCCATTGTCGGCGTCGAGGTCTACCCGAAGTCCGTCAAGGAGGCCGTCTGCCCGGGCGCCACCCGGGGCTACGAGCACTTCAAGTTGGACCCCCACCAGGAGGAGCAGTTGGTCCCCTTCACCTACTCGATCTACTGGCGTGAAGACCCAGATTTAGAGCACAAAGACCGTTGGAAAATGTACATCGACCCTTCCACAATCGACGAAAACGGAAACATCATACAAGCGTCCTCCAAAAACACAGCCATCCACTGGGTCTCCCTCATAAACTCTTTCGTTGTGCTCTCTTTCGTATCGATCATCGTGGCCTTCGTCCTAATGACAACCTTCCGCTCAAATCTCGCTTCAGAGTCCGCCTCTGAGTTCGGCCAAGTGGCCCAGTCCTCCTTCACCCCGCCAGTCTTCTTGAACCTATTGTCCATCCTTACAGGCTCGGGCATACAGTTCATCTTCACCTTACTAGGATCCGGTCTACTGTCCTTCGTTTTTTTTAGAAATACCTTTGGACAGCAAACAACCATCTTCTCTGCCGTCATTGCAGTCCTGATCATTGGCGGCTTTTTTGCAGGGTTTTCTTCGATACAACTGTTCAAATTGTTCAGCACTTCTTCTGGAGAATTGAATTTAAAGAAAACAATCATCATCTCCTCCTTATCGGGAAGTGCCTTGATCACCTTGTCCTTGATCGTCGTCGTCATTGCAAACGCTTTGGTCTTCGACTCAGATTCTCCTAGGTCTTTCAAATTCGGCACTTTCATGTGCTTATTTCTCATCTACGTCGTTCTACAAATTCCAATCTCAGTCATCGGGGGTATCATCTCCAAAAATTTCAACTTACTCACAAAACTCCTAGTTAAAAAGATGCCAGATTTTGTTTCATCTTCCGTCCCACTGAAGAAAGCCTCAAACAAGCCTTTGCCAGCCTCTTCATCGAGAAATTATCCATTCTATCTCAAACTTCCATTTTCACTTTTGATACTCGGGATCTGCCCTTGCAGTATCGTCTTCATCGAATCTCGTTTCCTCTACGTGGCGTTACTGGTCGAACGAGCCTCAACTTCTTATTTCATGTACGGTTTCATAATCTCAGCTGCGATCTTATTACTGGTGGTAATGGTTGAAATCGGTATAATAGCAACATACCTCAGATTATTGAATGTTGGCTCACAGGTCAACTGGCAATGGTGGACTTTCTTAACCTGTTCTTTCTCAATCTGGATCTATCTCGTCCCCTTATCGATCTACCATTTGATTTTCAAAATGAAATTGCTCGATTCGGGCTCCCCAGTCTTATACATGGTCTATACCACAATCCTGAACACAGTCGTTTCAATCGCTTGCGGCTCCTTGGCTTTGTGGAGTGCAACCATGTTCGTCTATGCTGTCGTTTATTCGGCGGGTACAAAAGAGGACTAGATACCCTGATACCAGACTCAAAACCAGAATAGAAAGATAAAGTCCAGCATGCAGGTTCCCTGTGTTTCTTTCTAGTGTGTAATTAGTTCATTTTTATTATACCTTTCATGGCACATATAGTGTACCATTCGTTTCCTCTAAATCTATTCTCCCTTTCATCTAATAATACAGTTAAATAAACAGTCAGTATTAGGACTCTGTCCGTTTTTAATTGTCGTTCGATATATTCTAAAAAAAAGTAAAAACAGTTCATTTGAAATCACGCCCTCATCGGAAAAATAAGGTAATAATAAAAAAAAGGTACCACTCCATTCAATTGGTCTTTATGTATGCCCTGTTCAGGTTGTATATTTCTCGGCACAGAATGTACCAATCAACCTCTCTCATTGACCCCCGGCTGTTACTCACAATATCATACTCTTTTTCCTCAACGTATTTGTATCTCGGACTATCTTCGTATTTCACAATACTACTGTTAAAATCAAGTTTAACCATTTGGCTATTATCGTCCACTTCGTCTTCCTCCTCGGACTCAATCACAAAGTCTTGCTCAGGCTCCTCACAGATGGAACCAATGTATTTCATCTTCGTAGTATTGGTCCAGAACCCTGCGCTCACTCCACAACCATTGCTGCTACTGATGCTATTTCCTCTGGTCGTCGAAATCGAGGATCTTTCGCTTTTCCCAAGATGAGTGGTAAATAATGTAGATGTAGATGAAATACTCCCATTTCGTATATCTTCACACAAATTCGGTATCTCAACTTTTTGGTCAACTTTTTCGGTAACGGACCCAATATTAATTTTCTTCCATTTTGAAGGCTTCTTAGCCAGCAGGTATTCCTCCCACTTGAACAACTCATACATCAATTTCAAATTGGGCTGGATTATAACATTAAGACGACGTACTCGCACATACATATAAGCACGAGCAAGACTCAACTTTAGCCGCTTCATCACTTCACCGATACACACTGTAGCAGATCTGGAAACACCAACTTGACAATGTACTAATGCTCTCCCATTATTCTCGTAACAATCGTTGATAAAATCAAGAGTATGATCTATGGTTGTTATAAGGGTTCCGATTCCGTCATCATTGATATTAGGCAATATGAGCATTTTTTTGACATTCAACTCGTATCCGCTATTTTCATCCACTTGTCCTTCGACAAAAGTGATTATTTCACTACCAGATTTATGAACCTCTTTCTGGTGCTTGAATAATTCACACCAGGAAACTCTCTCCCCCACACTTACTATATAATCAATTTTCAATCGTGATAACAAGGGGATGGAACTTGCATGTGTTAATGAACCGAGATACAGGTGTTTCAAAATTCTCGAAGGCAAAGAACCGTGAACTTCTGCAAAACATCCATCAATCTCAGGCTTCACCTTTGCCGAAACTTTTTTCTTTCGATCAGCGGTTGATGAGACGTTGTTTTGGTTGAAAAGGCTGTGATTTGATCTAATTTGGTTTGATTGTATGTTTTGGTTCCCTCTATATTGCACCACATGATAACCTGTACTAGTAACAAAAGAAGATGCATTATGAATCCCTGTATTTCCAAAGTTGTTAGTTCCACTATAGCTTCCAACTTGGCCAACAGACGTTTTCCTCTTTGGCATAAGAAGTGACGATCTTATCGACTTTGAGTTTTCTTCAAAAAGGAATTTTTCCTTTGTTTCTCCAGGAGTTTTCAAGGGGGAGAATTTGTTCATTATAGTCTCTAATTTTGAAAGTAGTATATAGTCTGTCTTGAATATGAAAAATGGCCTACCATAATCCATATGTAACTTCAAAATTGCTTCGTCCAAACAGATATCTTCAGAATACATGAGGTAGCACAAAAATAACAAAGATGATTCAGTGTATCCATCTGAACAATATATAAGCCCGGGAAAATTATCATCACAGATGTAATAGCAGAACTTGCAAATATTCACAATTGATAAAATATCATCGTCAGACATATCAGCCAGTGATAATGAGCCTGATGGTGGGAACTCTATATTAACAAAATCGCAATCAGAAAAATTGTCATAAATCAGTCTCAATTGGTCCAACGTAGGAATCCGAGCACCTTCAACACATTTGATATAAAATTTCCAAACAATCAGTGGAAAAGTTATCAGCATTTTGTCAGATACCTCAGAATTCGTTACTCCTTCAAAATCATGTTTTGTGAGTCGTACTATGGTATTTTCTGCGTTGCAGTAGAGAGGTGATTCTGACTGGTTCTTTAGCATTGTCTGCACTTCCTGTGTTGATGCAACCTCGATATGTTTTCCATTGCTTAGCTGTATTTGTAAACATTCATAGTCTGTTATGTTTCCCATCCATAAGCTCTTTGACAATGGAGTTGCCGTAGACATTTTTGAAATTTCAAGTCGTTCTCTATAAAGATAGTTGGAATCCCAATTGTTAAACACACTAATGTCATACTTGGAACACAGTTCATCATCCCTTTTCAAAGAAGCGGATTCATCTACCACTGGGATTGACAACAGATCTGCATTATTCAAAGCCTCCATATTTGGGTCAGCTAGAATGAACGTGTTGTACTTCTGATTGTTCAACAAGTTAGGGAGATTTTTCTTTTTGACAAGTTCAGGGTGTTGCTTCTGATACACTATCTGTGCAATATGCAAAAGCCGTGATAAACTAACACATTTACATTTATTGTTGACAAAAGTGTCCTCTGTTTGATTTACATTGAATTCATGGTCCTCTCGATTGAAACAATAGACAATAAAATCTGAAATATTGCTAATTTTAGAAACTTGTATATGGAAATTTCTTAAATTGATACCTATTTCAGGGTCTAAATTTTTGAACACTGGTATCAGCTGTGTAATTATACAATCTGTTATTATTGTTTCAGGATGATAATATTTGAAAACTTCGTTTGGTAAAATTCCTTGAAGGTATAGCTCTAAATTAATTATATTTGAATAGGAAATCAAAACATCTCCGGGTGAAACGGTACCTTTAATCAGGCCAGTTGATTCCGTTATGATACTTGCAAAATTAGGTGTAATCTCACCATTGGCATTGCAAGACCTTATTGGCATCAAAAACCTTACATCGGGTGTTTTTGTTAACTTTGCCACATCATCCATTTCTTCTTCTTGTTCTTCACTTAATTCCTCCTTTTCTAACTCTTCTTCTGCCTCATCGGAGAACCTAGCTTTCCTGAAATTTTTGGAACCGCCAGTAAAATCAACACCTTCCTCATCATCACCATCGTCATCATCGTCATCATCATCATCATCATCACTATATTCTTCCAAAGAAGAATTATTTTCGTCTAACGAAGCAGGTCTTTCAAAGCTTATGATCCTGGGTTTCCTATCTTTAGTTGGATTTATATTGTTACTCAAAAAGCTGATTTGTCCGTAGTTCAATTTATGGATACCATGTAGCCAAGGAAATAGCTTATCTACTTCTGGGAAATTTTTGTTGTAATAATTTAAGAGAGAAAAAATTGTTTCTTCATTTGATAAAAGTTTACAATGGGTCAAAGTCGGAATTGATCTATAGGACGAAAAGTATTTCAGTTGGTGGTCAAATGGATTTAATTCATTGAACTGTAATGTATTAAAAGAGATACCCTTATCCTTAGCAACAAGTTCTTCAGAGCCTGATTGAAGTGTTTTGTTTTCATTGTCATCATCAGCTGTGATACTGTTGTTAGCATCACTCAGACTGTCATTAAAAGTAGAATGAGCATTAGGTTTCATTTTTACCAAACTGATTCTTGCTTTCACCTTCGAATATTCGTCCAAGGAGGAGCTCATTGCTCTTTTCGAACTTCTTCTTCCATGCTTAATATTATCAGGTATCATGTCTTCGCCACCTTCGTCATTCTGTTCATCGAGAACATCGTTGTTTTCCGCTAACAAGATACCCCTTGCCATAGAATTCAAGGATCTTGATATTGGAGTATTTTGAGTTGCACTAGCCATTTCACTATTGATCTGTATCGAAGATGGAGGTACTTCAGAAGCAGATATGAAAGAAGAGCTTGTAGAGCTGATCGAAGTCCCCATTGCCGCGTAAGAGGATGTGTTGTTTATACCACCAATCATTGAAGGGTCAGTGTTGCTACTTGGCATATTTTGGTTAGAGTTAGTGTTCTTCTCTATGGGTGGCAGATCAGCTTGTAGCATCTGCTGAGGAACCAATGGTCCCTGGGGCATCAACGTCTCCAGGTTTGTAATCTCCGCCAGGCTTTGTCTTACGCTCATCGTATTGCTACTCTGCATGCTACTTTCGTAAGGTAACATGGGCACAGAGCCCAAAGGTGGAGGTCTGCTGGAAATATCGGTGTTGGGAACTGTGATCGATGCAGATATTGGTGAAGCTAAGGGTGATGAGATCGTATCGGACCACGCCTGTATGTTTTCGTTATTTGTCTCCTCCTGATCGGGACTGTCCAAATCTTGGTGTCTGGTTGTGGCTGGAATATCTGTTACAGCAAGAACTTTCTCGTCCTGGTCAAAAGGCATCAAGCGTATCGTTTATATGTTTCCGTCTTGAAGCAGCCGGAGCCCGTGTGAATGTTTAGATCGGCCGGGCCTGAGCGTAAGTACACAGCAAAGGGTGCGCCAATAAGATAAGGAAGAAGAAAACTGCAGCCCTACCAGCTGAGCCAAAAAGACAAAAAAGTTCATCTACCTTTCTCGAGATAAGGTGGCAGCGGCCTGTGGCGAGCAATTGAGTTCTTGCAGAGGAGAAAACAGGGGGATTTACGCTTCGATTACCCATCGTGCGTTGCTCGTACAGGAAGTGTAATGCGGAGTTATTATTAATGTCGACATGGGTACGTGGGTAGATATATAGATAGATGCACGCTTGGGTGCAGGGGTGGAGCCCTCGGAAAGAAATATGTCCAGCTGTGCAAGAATCAGAACTTCTCCACCAGAGCGACGAGATACTTCATAAATTGTCTATCAGTGTTGCTTACCAAAGCCTGAACAAGTTCATTTGACAGGTCTCCTGGAAAGCCGAAGTTGTTGGACAACACACTGGAAATTTGCTGACATCTGAACTCGTTGAATCCGGAAGGAAGTAGTTGTTGTTTGCCGACGTCTTTGTTTCCTATAGTGGTAGCAGTGGTAGCAGTAGCAGTAGCTTCAGTCTTTTTCTTTTGCAGAGTGTTGGCATCTGGATACTCGTATCCTATGTGTGCAATTCCCTTTAGCAATCTGCATGTCTCTAATGTGACATTGTTTCTAAATTGTGCGTCCTTCAAGAGGTGTTTATTGGCTGCTGGAACTTTGAGACCCAATTCCACACTCAAAAGAATTGAGTTGTTAATTAATATCTCGTCGACCTGCTCAAACTTGTTGCTCTCATTTCTGTAATTGTCCAGTGGATCTATCACTATACCACTGCCGATACCCTGGCACAACATATTTAACACGATCAGGGATAATTTGACAACGGAGAGATCAGTAACGGAATAGTTAGAGGAATAATTTAAGGACATTTTGACAGTGTTGACTAACATCTCCTTGTTCTCTTCTGTGGAAAGCCATAAAGAGTTCAAGTGGTCATTCGAGATAGCAATGAGAATTGACAAAACGGATCTCTGCAAATCTAGTACCTCCTTTTTACTAAAGTCGTCTGTAGCGCTAGCTGTGACTGCTTCAATTCTGAAGAAGATTTTACTCAAAAATGGAGCCAATAGGGATTGCAACAACAGATAGGAATTTTCGTTGTTGTTACTTTGATGAAGGATTTGAGAAATGAAGTTGATCAAATTGATAATTTCAGACATCTTCAACTTATCAAAGTTGATCATTACACACGAAATGAACTTTGAAAGAATAGATTGTAGTAATTCCGTGTTGTTGTTGTTGTTGTTGTTTAGAATGATGTATAATCTAACAACACAAAACTGAATCGACTCTCTCACTATATTGAAATCAATGAAGTTTTCCATTGTGATCATAATGACTTGTGATATTTGATCGAAAATATTTAAAAGCTTTATGTTGTTGAGCGTTTCAGATCTTAGATTTTCAAAACCTTTCAAAATGTTTCCCATGGAAATTAATGAGTGATGGACCTGGATGAGCACATTTAGATCCAGCTTGTATGAAGTTATTGAGGTAATTCCGCTTTCAAGGTTCGAGAATAACGGCTGTAGTACATTTTCAAAAATGGTAATCTTGGAGTCTTCATCCGATACAAAGGTAATCAACAGCCCAACACTTTCAAAAAGGTAAAGTTGATTTTCGAACGACCCAGTTTCTTCTATTAAAGATAAATCTAGGTCATGCAATGATGCGACATCCGTAGATGAAACTGCTTTATTCTTGTTGGAAAGGATTTCAAAATTAAGATTCAACAAAGGTAGTAAAGATTTAATGAGCTCCTCAATGATATAGTCGTTAATTTTCGGCTTGGTCAATTTCAAAAATCTGTACAGTAAATACCATGACCTATGTTTAACTTTTTCATTAGCACTGAAAACACCAAAATTAGAAATGAAAACGTTCAGGACCTTCATCAAAGTATCTTCCTTATTAACCCCTTCGACCTGAATGTTGTTATTGGTGAAAAACGGATAATGTTTGAGTAGTAACTCAAAAAACAATAGCTGGATTAACGGGTGGCTAATTAAAATTTCGCCTGAATTGTTGATAACTTTACATAACATTTGGTTAAAAACAAAGTATGGTCTCGAATTATTGATCATGGTTTTAGGCAAATTCATAATGTTGTTTCTGAGCATATCACTGTAGTATGTGAGAACATACAAACCCAATTCAATGGTTCTCCAATCTTTCTCGCCGCCAGCTCCACTTGCACCAGTGCTGATGTTAAAGAGGAATTCGTTGATGCAACCGATGAGCACCTCCAACGCTAAACTTTCATTTAATAGCACAATTGAATCTAGAAATACATTGAGCTTGTTTCTTATTTCGTTGAATTGCTCAATGGTCTCATCGTCATCACCATCATCGTCTGGATCAAATTTCAGTTTCATTATTATATTTTTTGATAAGGTCGACAATAGCTCATCGTTATTCAAGGATGAAAAGTTAACTGTGTCATTCGTGATATTTTTCTTCAAGAATGAAAGGAAATTTCCAATAAATGGGAAAACCTCTAATGAAATATCATCAAATTCATTTGATAAAAACTCAAATATCAAAGGGAAAATTTCCAATATTTTTGAACATGCAATACTTCTGAATTCGTCGTTTAGTAGCTCCTGTGGAGATGCATTATCTAGTACTATTATTGCTTCAACCCCTATTTGATTGATAAGTTTAGCTAGTGCCATGGCCACATCAAATTCCATTATCTTTGAGTTCAAGTTCATTTGGCTCAGCATCGTGCCCAAGTTCAAGAAGTTCAAAAGCTCTAACTTTTTGGCCGATGGCATTTTCTTATGTAAAATTTCATTGAAGGTGTTCGCAGTGACAATCCGTCTCTTGCTGTTATCATTAGAGCTTAGGAATTGGTAAAGAAAAGACATATATTGCTCATCTAGAATTAGATTGATTTCAATCCACGAAATATAGTAACCTATGCAGAGGATGGTATTGTTAACTATTTCGTCTACTATTTTGTCGCTGGGAGAAGAAACTGCTGTGAGTTTGGATAGTATTTTTTTCCAGATGTTTGCCAAGTCTATCATGTCGTTGGCTCTAATGGAATCTTTCAAAAGATTATTGTGGTCTTGGGAACGACTGTCTCTGGTGATCATTTGATCTCCGATTTCTTGATGAATCACCAATAACGTTCTGATATAATAGTCGGTTGCAATCTCATTGAAAGAGTCTGTAGTGCTGTTGTAAGAGAGTGACAACAAGTCTTTTATCAAAGTTGAGTAACAGTTGGTGGTGCAGTGCACGAAAATGAGTCCCAAGGTCTTTGACAAGGCATTTCTGAGGAAGAAAGGTTCAATTTTGTTGTTCGCAATCAAACTGTCCAAATAGGTGAAGATTACTTCTTTTATGGTAATCTTGTCCTCGTTGGGTAGGAACGGTAACCTATCATCTACTACCTGGAAGGCAAAAAATTTGGTATGCAAACTGGTAGAATCTAGTTGGAGAAGCTTTAAGCAGCTTTTCCAGCCTTCAGCAGAAGTCTTGATTTGTGTGATAAAAGCCAAGGCCTGCTCCTTCAAAATCTGGTCACTGGAAGGGCTGTTTGCTATTTCAACAGCCTGCTGAATTTGTGCTTCCATTTTCTTTATTTACTTTTCCGGGGATCGCTACGGAGGGTAAAGGCTGAAAAGAAACGAAAAGGGAGGGAAGGACCTGCTGAAACTCTGGCAGTCTGATATGGAGTGCTTTGATGCCGAGAGGACGAAAGTGGGGATCAGAAGGCAAGCTTGAGTAACCCACACTGTATGTAGCCGCAAGAAAAGTGAGTGCAAGATTGGATCAGTCTTCCACCTAGCTGAAATTTTTCACCTTGCCACACTACCTCTCTAGCTCTCCTCCAAATGTCACACACCCAGCTCTGTCGCAGGAAAAACAAAAATAACAAGCACAGTGAGAAGCTCGAGTTTTACCTGGAAAAAAGCGAGAAGTGAAAACTCTCAAAGGTTTCGAAGGAAAAAATAAAAGGTCGTACCCGGATTCGAACTGGGGTTGTTCGGATCAAAACCGAAAGTGATAACCACTACACTATACAACCAATTACGCAGGGAGGGGCAATGTGTGTCTTCATGATGTGCGTGGTTGTATCCCCAAAAACCTTAGCTTTAGTCGTTATTGGTGTAGAGGGCTTCAAGTATGCCCTAGTATTTTCGTATCCAGATGTTTGGAAGAGTTTAGAAGTGTTTTAGGCTAGATATCAAAAATGCATATGAAAAGCAGGGATTCATCAGCCATCTAATTATTTCTTTCACCTCTAACTTATCAGCAAAATTGTTTTTATTTCACATTACGTAATCACACGTTGCGGCGGGGCACGTGCAACCCGACATACAACCAACTTTTCACATGAATCTGATCTACAATTTTTGATTATAAGTCTAGGTGTGCCCCACATGTCACAATTGGTGCTTTAACTGGTACTGTTAACTCACTCCACTTAAAACTATAGAGCCTAGACAGCATCATGGGTTGTTGTTGTGCGTCAAAGAAAAAGGCTTCGAGCGAGTCTCTCGATCAAGATAAGAACGAAATAAGCTCCGTCACTGCGTCGATGTCCTCCTGTGCCGCACGGAGTAACGATGCTTTGGTTTTATCCTCCGATCCGATTCACCCTGCAAACTTGATTTGTGAATTTTGTAGGTTGTTTTACCAGAATGGTTGGGTTACCGGAACTGGAGGTGGTATTTCCATCCGGGATGACGACAAGATTTATTTGGCTCCTAGTGGGGTACAGAAGGAGCGTATGCTCCCAGAAAACATATTTGTGATGTCATTCAAAACGCAGGAGTATATTAGAAAACCACTAAGCTTGAAGCCTTCCGCATGTACTCCTCTTTTCATGGCGGCCTACTCAAAAAGAAACGCAGGTGCATGTATTCACACCCATTCTCAAAACGCGGTGATGTGTACCTTACTGTTCGATGAGGTCTTCGAAATCTCCTCCATCGAACAAATCAAAGCTTTGCCAAGAATAACACGTCCAGGGAATATGTGGTATTCAGATAAACTAGTGATCCCAATCATTGAGAATACAGAAAGAGAGGAGGAACTTGAGTCTTCCTTACGAGTGGCAATTGAGAAATATCCTTCAGCCACGGCGGTCTTGGTTAGAAGACACGGGATTTACGTTTGGGGGGAGACCACTTGGAAGGCGAAAATCTACAATGAAGCCATTGACTACTTGCTGGAGTTAGCCATCAAAATGAAACAGATGGGCATACCAACAGTCAAGAAAGTATAAAACGTAAGTATGTTTATTTTATTTATTGAATGTATATAAGATGCGGCTTTCTTTGAGCAGATGGTGAAAACAAGCGTATCCCGCCATAATAAAAATTCTCAGGAATATTGTACAGATTTTGGATATTCAGAGCTGCACATAACAGTTTATCTGAAATCCAGTTATTTTAGAGGATTCTTTGTATCCTTTAATTCTTCCGCAAATATTTTGGTGTAATCTGTCGATTTCTCAATCTCTCCATCATAACTTCCAACGCAAATCACATCATCACCTCTTATCACCACACCCCCGATGCTCTTCTCTTGAGTGGATGCTTTTGATGAGAACGCTCGCTCCGTTGACATCGTCAGCACAACATTAGTGTTTTGATCGTACCCTTCCAGATTACCGACAAAAAGCCTTCCATCAGACGTTAGTATCTTAACCGGAGAACCCACAAACTCTCTTAGGCCAGACATAAACAAAATTGTAGCTTATTGGTTGCGACGGCTATAAAAACTAGTTGGCGGGTAAGCGTAAATCTGTGTACGATACATGCAATTAAAATTAACGTTATACAATCTGAAGAAATGTTGAAGTTACGTAATCACATTTGAAGATTGAAATAAGGCTCAGTAGATTTTCATGAAACACAAGTGTTTCAGAGAGCTTGAATTACAACTACTTCAACCTCAGGCCTTTTTCTATTATAGAAGCTTTTCCAAAAACCCAAGAAGAAAAAAGGACCTTTCAATGAATAGTGACTCCACGGACATCTCAAGTGACGTTGAAACTACGGCTGTGGAAGCTGACACTTTCGATAAGCAAGAGTTGATAGTGTGGGCCAGTAAGTTGGAGTTGGAAAGTATTGATTATAGAACCACCAGTATAGATTTATTAGAAAAATTGAGCAAGCTCTCGAAGCAGCTAACTGAATCTTTGGGCTCGGTAAAAACCCAAATATTCGAAATGAAGATCAACGGTTCAGAAAAAGACCGAAAACTCAAGAATTTCATTGAACTCACTGTTGCCGGAGAAGTGGACGAAGTATACGAAAAAATTTCCCAGGTCAGCAACAAGATAAAAGAACTGCACGGTTCAGTTCGTGCAATTGAAGCCTTAGATTTAGAATCAATTGAAAGAAAGTTCAATGCTTTCTTAAAAATTCAAAATAAAAAAAACAAGGAATATGAGGAACAACTGCAAACACTGCAGCTACTCCTGGATCAGGCAACTAAACGGACTCCACAGAGACCTACTCCACCATTTGAGGTAACAGCTGAAATCGGAACTGAAAAGATATCACAGAGGTGCAAGCCGAGCCGTCCCAATAAAGAGGATGGGAAGTTGAATGCTTATGCAAAACGTTCATATTCGTCTAAAAGGCCCGACTCCAAAGTGATAAAGCATTCACAACAACGTAGAACATCTACATTCACAAGAAAGCTTATTTTCGACTGAGAGTTCAAAGTTTGCCATTGAGTAATGTTCTGGACCCATCAATGTTGAGCTCTAAACTTTTGAGTTGTTTTTGTATCACTTCAAGTCTATCGTAGTAAAGATAGTATATTGGCATATATCTATCAATAAATCGCTCTACATCTGCATCACTCATTCCTCTACCTTTCACTCGAATCAACTCGTATTCTTGTTGTAGTCGCCATTTATAGACATTGGTAATCGCAGCCGTTTTGATGCATATGAATAGATCAAAAAGGCTCCATATTGCCTCATACTTTTCCAGGTTTCTATTGATGTCAACTATTTGGTTATCAGTGATATTCTCAAATTTCGGATACTGCTTTTTCTTTATGGCATGCCACTTTTTGATAAGGTCTTCATCGTTTGGAATTGACGTATATCCATTGAACCAACCCTCAAAAATGATGACATCTACAGGCTTCTCTATTTTCACCCACGTTGCAGGTGGCTGACGATCGCCTTTACCATTATGAGCAGATTTGTCGTAAATTGGGATGTGAATGGGGAAATGACTTGCGTCAAATGCCAAGAGTTCTTCAAAAACTTTGAGTAATAGTGAAACATCGTGTGTTCCTGGAAGTCCTCTTCCTTGTAACAAAACATTTCCCTTGTTGCGTAAATTGACTGCCAGCTGCTGCTCGTATGTCAGATAAAAATCATCCATGGAGAATTGGATAATATTAAGGCTGGGGTAAGCTTTTGACAAAGAATGTTTGATTCTTATGGATGAGTATGTTTTGCCGGAACCTTGTGGACCTTCCACTCCCAACACGATTGGCCGTGCATGCTGTGAACAATGTGAACGAATTCTTTCGTCAAGGAGTGGCTTAACGAATGCGACTGCTTTTTCAACAATTGCTGAAGTGCTCATTTTGAAATGACGAATGACTACGGCAACTTTTTTCGTTGGAATGCTTTTTGCTTGTTTAAAACATCATAAGCTCAAATAAAGAAAGTTCTTATTTTGACTGCATTTCCATATATTAGCGAACAAACGGTTTCCGTATTTTTCCCTCTACTTTTCGAGCCTTTGGCCGATCAATGATGGTTTACTCCATGATAGACATACCATTAGAAGAGACATCAAAATACAACATCTAAAAAAACTATAATGCTTTCAATTCCTTCAACTTAGAAATCAACTCGTCTACGTTATTCACCATTACCCCCGCCTTTCTTGGTGCTGGTTCCTCCAGGGAAACTGTTTCTAGTCTTTTGCTTATTTCGATGTTCAAATCTGCTGGCTTGACAACCTCCAATGGCTTCTTCTTTGCCTTCATCATCTTTGGTAAAGTGACAAACTTCGGCTCGTTCAATCTCAAGTCAGTACTGATCACCATAGGAAGTGGGGCCTTGACAACCTCGACACCGCCGTCAATTTCTCTTTCCACTTCAACAATACCGTCTTTTCCTATAGTAATTTTTGCTGCATTTGTAGCTTGTGACCAACCAAGTAACCCTGCTAGCATTTGTCCAACTTGGTTGGAGTCATCGTCGATGGCTTGCTTACCCAACACAACAAGATTCGAACCTTCCCTCTCGACAAAGCTCTTTAAAATCTTGGAGACAACTAAAGGCTCGACCTCCTCCTCTCCAACGTCAACTAGGGTAGAGGTGTCTGCCCCCTTGGCTAGTGCGGTTCTCAAAACCTCCTTCGCCTTACCTGGCCCGATAGAAACTGCGTGGATAGCTTCAACCAAGTCTTTATGATTCTTTCTCATCTTGCAAGCCTCTTCAACGGCAATATCATCGAAAGGATTGATGCTGTACTTTACACCTTTGGACTCTACTCCTGTGTGTGTTTTGTTGATTCTTGGTTTGAGTGCAGCATCGATGACTCTTTTGATAGGCACCAGTATCTTGATTTTGCTGGACATTTTTTTGGGGAGCTATTCTTGCTTTTTTGCTGGATAGTTCTTGCAATCTCTCTTATACCACAGAGGAAGAGAAGCCGGAGTTGTCAATCGAAGACAAGTTCACGTGAGCAGGAGAAACGGCCAGCGTGCTTTGGCTGACTCCCCGGGAAATAAACACCCTTTACCCATTACCACAAACATTTTTCACCTCCTTTTGGTTAAGCGACACATCGGTTGACTTCCCCGGGAGCGGGAAATCTGGCCGGAGCGAGGAACGCCCGGGCTAGCCAGGAGCTTTCGGACTGCCATCTAAATAGCCAGCCTCTGAGTAGTAGCATATTTATCCTCGCATCTGTCTATATATACAAACTCCACTACGTGTCTGCCATATACTATATGGGCGAAAGGGCCGACTCTGCATGCCACTAGGGTGCAAGAGAAGATGTTAGTCATCCACTGGGTCGAGTACACGGGTCCGTGCCTTCATGCGCTGTATCTTGGCCTTAAGGTCGTTGGTGACAGCAGTGGCACGCTTCCACCCATCGTCGGCGTCGTCAAAATTGTAAATCGAAACATTGTTGCGCAGCACAGGGATTTTCTCGGTTTCCTTTGCCTCGCCGGTGCTCGAGCCTATACTGAGAATGGATATTCTCCGATTGATATCGTTCGAGTCCTCGGGCACTTTGTTGATGCTTTCCACTGCCGTGTTTTTGTCATTCGACAGCTCCAGCTGTCCACTCAGCACCTTGTTCTTTTGTTGTAGTTGCGAATATCTGATTTGGCAGGTCTCCAAATCACTTCTGAGTCGGAATATCTGTGTGTCTTTGGACTTCAGTGTCATACTCATCGTGGTGAACTTCTCATGATAATCGTCGAGTTTGCCGTTCAGCGAGACTACATTTTTCAACAAGCTATCATTATTGCTTTTCACCTCCTCAAGATCGGAAAGCAGCACCTTTTTTTCTTCCAGCCAAACAAATTTCTCTGCCTTTAACAATTCCAACTCTTGAAGTTGCTGCGCTGATATACCGTAGTTGCTCACATTCGACGCCTTTAAAGGTTTTGACGTCAAAGTGTTTTTGTGGTTTGCAACATTTTCTTTCAATGGTGAAGTGGCAGCTCTCTTTGATGGTATAGAGCTACCGCTGGACCTCGATGTAGAAGGAGCTGCCGTTGTATTTTCATTCTCTGAGGTGTTAGATCCCACACCTCGTTGAGCTAAATTGGGTATTTTGTCATTTATTGAGGTGACTTGTTCCACGACAGTAAACCCTTCTCTTGTGGGACCTGTCTTTACGACAGCAGATTGACATATCTGCTGTACCTTTTTAACATGACGTTTGTCAACTCTATCCAGATATTTCCTAGACTTCTCAGATCCAATTAGTTTCATCAACGTACCGATCACTTCTGATGCTGCATTTCTTACCGTTACTTGAGAGTCTTGTAACAACTTGATGGCAGAAGCCATCATCCTCTCAATCTCGTCATTAGTAGGCAAAACCTTGGTCTCTTTTAAACATCGCACTAGATATTGCATGCTTTCAACTTTGACATGTGGTGAGATATGCACCATATACTCCACTGTAGGATCGACAATATCGTGAAATGAGGAATATTTGAAACAAGTATCAAGAACTTCAATTAAAGCTCCAAGTACAGTTTTTTTCCTTTCTTTGGTTCGTTCAAGCAAGGGAGATACCAAAGTCGAAGAATATTTATGAAAATTCGCTTTGAGCCCTTTTGCAAGGTCTAGCAATATTCCACAAGCCAAAGTGACGACTTGCAAATTGACGTCTCTTAAACAGCCAACCATGAGCGATATGAAATACGAGTAGTCCTCGTCTTGTATTTTCGGAGCTTTGAAAAATCCAGAGATCTCTTCTAACACTTCCACACGTTCCTTCCATACCGATTCTCTTAATCTTGTTGATAAGTCAGTAGGGAGTTGACTCAGCACATCCACAGGGTCCTCAAAATCATATGCATTGAAGACAGCCTTAGCTTCACCCGTACTTTCAATCACTGACTCTTCGGTCATCTGCACATCTTCATCATTCTCAGCTAAATTAGCACTCTTTTGAGAATAAGTCATTCTACTGGGTTTAGCTCCAGACTTTATTTCTTCAAATAAAGCTTTCAAATCCTTTTGCTGTATGGGCTTTATCTTCGGAAATATAGTTTGGTCAAAAGAATCACCAATATATGACCTAATGGTAACGGAAAGGCCAGAAGCTTCCCCTCTTACATTCTTGTCTGAGTGCTCAAATAACTTTGGTATACTGTTGATGATCAACTTGGGATCCATAGTTGGACACCCAAATGCTGAATATATATCGTTTATGGCCTTCACAGTGGCTGTAACTTGTTTTGGTGATTTGGCGCTTAGACTTGGAAGCATCAACTCAATCACTTCTTTGCCGGAATCTAATTCGACATAGAGCAAGAGTGCTTCGGTTGCTTCAGACCTGCTACTCGCCTTTGAAGATGTTAAACCCTTTTCAACTAATCCCGGAACCACTGTATCTCTAGTTCTTGAAACAGTTTCAGGCCTCGACTGTTTCAAAATCGTTGTGAGTGCTGATATACCCATTTCCTGGGCAGCAACATTGGAGTCAGTAACTATCTTCAGTAGACGTTGTGGGTTATTAACAAGTTGTGTGATCAGTTCATCAGAAATGCTTTTTTCAGCTATTTCCTTCAATTGGGAGTATCCTAATTGTCGGGCTTTCCATAGTTTGTGCTCCAAAAGTTCCTCAACCGGCAAGTTTTCAAATTCACTCTCTGACATCGCTGTTTTCTGTCAGCTGTGCTTGCCTATGCCATCTGTTCCCCATTACCCATCCATGCCTGCACCGAACAGGCTTGCCTGACACGGAAGAGAGAGAAACGTAAGGTAAACAAATGGATTCCACGGTGGCGGTGTAGCGAATACGCCGAGTGGCGCACGCGCCGTCATGAATCCAGATTCTTTGACGGTATTGATAAGCAATCGAAGCTGTCCCGGGCGATGACAAATTTAACAGGAAGGCTATATTAAGAGATGTTTCCCGGTTTGCTACAGTCAGTTGTTCATAGCCAATAGTATGTTATTTGTTATATTGTCTGTCGTTTGACTAGAGAAATTATTCAATCAGACACTGGCTTCATTATGTCTATACAAACAAGAAATTTCAATAAAATTGAATTCGTTCCATTGGCCTCCATTATCAGGCCGATAATGCCGGTGCTCGACAACGAGAAAATAGACACTATGGTTAACACATTGAATGGTAAACCTACTGCATCGAAGACCTGTCAACTGGAAGACATAACCCCCGGAGAGCTACCACCAATCGATGTATTGTGTGCTTCTCAAAATGGAGTAAAGAAATATTTTGCGTTCGGCGGATGCCACAGGTTCCAGGCATACGACAAGGCAGGAGTGCCGATGGTCAAATGCAAAGTTCTACCTGCTACAAAGAAACAGCTTAAACTATACTTGGGAAGTTCTGTTGACTCTTACTTCGATTGATTAGGAAGACGTATATTTTGTGAGTGGAGGTAATGATGATTAATAAAACTAGTATAAAAAACCCTATAAATGGATGAATGAATGTATGGAAAACTTTTTTCTGTGTATTTGAGTAATCAGTTGGAAGATGATTTTTTCCTGCACACTAATTGGTGTCGTTTAAATTTTGTTTCGGAATCGAAACTTTTCAAGCAAAGTTCACATCTATATTTTCTGAAATGTATCTTCATGTGCTTGTTTAGATTAGAAGATTCATTAAATCTTTTACCACAAATCTTGCATACCATAGGTTTGGCACCGCTATGTATTCTCAGGTGTATTGTCAGACTGGATGAAGTCTTGAAAGTTTTGCCACAAAGATCGCACTTGTATGGCTTTTCACCGGTATGTATTCTCATATGCTGTTTTAACATTAGATCGAGCGAGAACTTTTTGTGACATATTTCACATTCAAACGGCTTGTGCTTTGTGTGAGTGTTCAAATGTCTTATGATTTTCTGTCTTTGTGAGAATGGCTTTTCACCCCTGCAGCAATCCTTCCAGTGACAGGTATAACTTGATTTACCTGATTTTATGTGGGAAGTAATAATATGGTTGGTCAGATCTTCTGTCAGATCAAAATGCTCACCGCATTCAGATTTTGTTTCCGGGTTAACCCAATGACAAACATGAACATCGCTGTCTTCTTCACTGTCGTCTAAGTTTGTTCTTTTCAACAACTCAGTATGTTCGGGAACGTGCTCTAGAAACTTATCTATATCAATTGTAGTAAAATCACAGTGATCCCATCCACAACGCAGTTGCATATTCGACTGCTTGATTTCATTTACTCTCTTGTCATCAATATCGTCACCATAACAACCTGGAGACAAAGGAAGAAACTGCAAATGATTCTTGAAAAGATGAGTATCCAGCTCGTCGGAGTCTATTTGAGTGTTACATTCATCCCATTTACAGATTAGTGGATCATTTTTGATCAGTTTCCTTTCGCCGGAAATGTCCTCCATTTTCACCTCAGGATTTAGCTCTATGCTCCCATTGGAGGTATGTCCAGCGTGTTTGTTAGAGTGAAAATGTTCTTCGTGAGAAAAATCATTGTTTCTGTGATAGTGATGCTGCAAATGATGATGATGTGTTTTTTGGTGTGCTTTCAGAGAAGAATTTCCATGGCATACTCCATCCAGAGATTCATGGCATTTTTTCTGAGATGCAAGTTTCAAATTGTTATGCTTGTGGCACTTGTTCGGATGAGAGTACTGTAAGTTTTCCAGTTTCATTTCTGGATCATCAAAAATGTAATCCAGATTACAGATTGAAGATGTTAAGAAGTCCGTACAGTCATTTGGATCCAAGTCCAGACTTGGTGGAGTATCAGGGGAATCATTATAGGGCCTCTGTTCATTCCCAACTTCACAGTCAGGTAAAATGAAATCGTGCTTGATTTTTTGTCCATTTATTTCGTCCTCGAAGTGTAAATGATGATGATGATTTACTTGGTTGTTGTGGGAGCAACCATTTGCATTATGGTGATGAAAAATGATGTCGTGGGTATGCGATCGTGATGAATCGTCTGGATTGTGATGATGTAAATGCAATAAATGGTGATGATGTTTATTTTGATTTTTCGTAGTTGTTTTCAAGGAGTCCCGAATGCTACTTGAATTAGTGCTCGGCAGAGGCTTAGGATAGTTTTCAGTTTTGATGGATGAGATAGGAGGGCTGATCATGGGGTACTTGCTGTTCAAAGAGGCCTCGTCAAAGTTCAAGGTCGAGTCATTACAACAAGCTGAGAAGAAATTGTTTAAAATGATCATTTCAGACAAATCTGAATTCTTTTGATTTTGATCTAGACTTTGGTCGGGGCCGTCGTTGATGTTGTGGGTATGGTTGTGGCTATGTTCATCATGGTGGCTGTGATCATGGTTATGATGCTGATGTGAGCACTTGCCATTGGCAGGGTATTGGGCCTTGTTGGAGAGCTCGTGAGAGCTCGACACACAGCAGGGATTAAGGTCAATCGGCGTGCAGCAATTGAGTATGTCTGTCGGCAGAGCGTTGCCCGGGTTCGTTTTCACACTATCAGTGTCGTACGGAGAGGAGTCGTTTTCATGTTTAGGAGCCTGCGACATGCCCAAGCGGCTATTGTTACTACTGCTAGTACTATCCTCCAGGCAGTTGCTGCCGTTGACGGCCAAGTCCAGATTCATATCCATGTTCAGAGGATCCATGTTCATCATGTCCATGTGCATAATACCGTAGTTCTTGTTGTCGGAGTTGGCATCCAGCTTGAAGCGTCTGTTCCCTGTCGGTTCTGTGTTCAAGGCATTCAAATGCGAAGGATCAAAACAGCACTGCTGAAGCTGGTTGAAGACCTCCGAGTCGGCATAACACTTGTTGCAAGCGTCCGGGTCGCTGGAGGTGTCCTTACTCCGCTTCACATCGCTGGATACTTGCAGAACCATTTTGCTGTCCGGAGTAGGAATACTTTTGGGGATATGTGAGTGTACAAGCCGGGAGGCACTGATTCTAGTTCTTGGTGGCAAAGAGAAGTACCATTCGGGTTATGTTAAAGCGATCTTCTTGCCTTATACAAAAATTGCCGGCCTATAAACCAATGTCGTGAAGGAATTGCCCAGTGTTCTTGCTTTCGCCATGCAGGGGACACATTAAACCAGGCTTCGAGTTTCGTTTCCAGTGGAGAATTTCACAGAAAATGGCACTATTGCTCCCATCATCCGAGTGACTCGGCCCAGGCTGACCCCAGAGACACCCCCACAACTTCCAATAACCCACACAGTATATAATTTGTTGATTCATGGGAGAAGAGAACCCGTTGAGAAGCTCTGTCATCTCTCAGACCCGCACCCTGCTGGTTGCGAGAGCCCCGCCTCCACAGGGTCACGTGCCGCCATGGATGTGCTCCCTACCCGTTGAGCTGGCTGATGATCTCGCCCTGGACCTGCTCACTGCCCTCCACCGACGCGACGTAGGAGTCCAGCAGATCGTTGATGCGGTCGAGCAGCTCGGTGTCGGAGTACCTGCCGTCCTTGCCACTGCCAGCACCGTCGCCCGCTTCGCCGTCGGCCCTGCCACCGCTGGTGCTCAGCTTTTCTCGCTCAACATGCCGTTTCACAAGCTCTGTCTGTATCAACGCAGAAACCTTCCCCCGGTTTTTACTGAATAGCTCGGGTTCTTTCTCAATCTTACACTTCACCAGCTCGCCGATCAGCTCCTTCAACTGCTGCTGCCTCGTCTCGTCTGCTACAAAGGTGTCAAAGAACTGCTTCCTCCGTGCGTCGAAGAGGCCTTGCCTCTTGTACTCGGCAACGATCTCCTTCTGGTCCATAATGGAATGTTTTCACGCCGCTGTCCGTCCCCCCAGAGTGACTGTTCTCCCCTGCCCCCGGTCCGATTGGTTACCCCAAGGTCCTCTTCTGTCCGCCATGCTCAGCTCTTTTTGCCAACCCTGTGTCTTCCGCTCGCCGCTCACCCCATCCTCGCCAACTCCGCGCCGCAGCCAATCACCTGGAAACGGATGCCCCGCCAGTCATCCCGCGCCACACCCGCCGGAAGGACTCACGCTGGGTGGGATGGCATTTGTTCTCGGCCCTTCTAGTCGATGTGCATCTGCCATGGGTAACATGAGTCTCTGACTGTCCGAGGCACAAAGTCACATATTTACGTATCCGAGGCCAGGGAAAGGACAGGAAACGTGACACGGGCACGGAACAGTTCCTGCTCAGCGGAGTGCAGAAGGAACAAGGGAAGACCCTCCCCACAGTTATAAACGTTAGCACGTACGCAGTTCAGTGTGGCCCTGTGTGTTTATGATCAGCCGACCAAGAACCGAGTGAGCTGATAGCTTTCCACGCATTCAACACCAACGCCTTCTTATGAGCACATAGTTGTATATATACAGACATTGGAAAACAAAGAAAAGAGAGAAAGAAAACCGAGTTAAACGAAGACCCAAATCTGGTTTGCATTTTAGTGTCATTTTATCTCGAAAATTCTGACACACCCTGGATAAGTTAGGGAGAAAAATAAACGAAAGCATCTATCTATAAGTAGTTGCACGTATCAGGAGCAGACTGCGACATCTGCTCTTTTTGTCATAGGCGCCGAAAGCTGTAATGTCTGACCCGATAAGACTGTCCATGCTCATAGACGAGGAATCGAAATCGAACAACACCAGAACACCTGAGCTATCTACTGAAAGTCCGAGTTCGCCTACCGGTGAAAAATCTTATCTTGATGCAAACGACGATGAATCGAAGCCCAAGGGAAAGCTCCGTGGACGGAAGAGAACTCTAGCTGGACCCCCGTATCTTTGCCAGTTCCCTGACTGCAACAAAAGCTTCCAGCGCTCTGAGCATTTATCCCGACACAAACTAAACCACAACCCGAAAAAGATCTTCAGCTGCTCCCACATTGGATGCGATAAGACTTTTGTGAGACACGATCTTCTTTTGAGGCATCTGAAGAGACATGAAAACAAAATACAGAAACAAAAGTTGACGACAAAACCGTCTGAGTTTCTCAGCACCGTCGTTTCGAACAATCTCCGAAACGAACATTCTGCCAAAGCACAACATTTGGAGAACCTAACAAATACGCTGGACCTGAAATATAGAAAAACACAGCCGTCAGCATCTCACGATAGCCCAGTTACAGCAAAAGACATAGTGCGTCAACACTCCAATCAAAATACCCTAATCGATAGTATTGAAGCACCAGGTATACCAAGCGGATCACTTTCAACAACTGATCCGTCAGTAGACATCAACAATGGCAATTTAGGTGGTAGTATCAACAACAGCACAGCTCCAAATCTATTTAATTGGTTGTTTCCAGAGACCAGTCTAATCTCTGGAACAGATCCCCCGACTCACCACAACGCTGAAAGCTACATGGGCCACTCAACTGAAAACAATCCTCTTCCAACTGTGAATTTTTTGAGCAGGACAAATGTTAACAGCAATCATAATCTGATGTCCTCTTATACCAACACCAACACCAACACGAATCCCAGCAACAACATCAGTAATAATAATACCAGCGGGAACAACAATTTCCTATTTGATATGAGTGAGTTCAACATTAATAATGATTCTCATAACTTCTTTATCGTTCAAGATGACTTTTCACCTTCTTCCTCAAGTACCGGCCATTTCAGCACAACCTCCGACCAAAGGCCTGCATCACGCAATGACCAGAACCAGAACCGTGCTTTTGAAAATTCAACTTCTTCCAAAAATGACTTACAGTCTTTTCAGCAATCCCAGGGTCAACAAGCCAGCGAGTCGTCAGCATATCATTTTGATGAAGGTTTACTGTATTCTTTAACTCCGAAGCAAATGAAAGAATTTGAGATTTTGATCCCGACTTTGAAAGGTCACGTTGATTTCACAAAGTTGAAGTTTGAGAAAGCCTTGAAAACGTATTGGAATTTTTTTCATCCACGGTTTCCCATGCTCCATCGTCCGACTTTCAACTCAACGGATGCCCCATTACTATTGTTATTGTCGATGATTATTTTGGGCTCCAAGTTGTTTATGTGCGTTGATAACATCACTTGCCCTGATGATAAAAAACTAGTTCAACCCAAGTCTCTAGCTGACACAATCAGTGAACCACTTAGATGGCTATTGTTTGCATCTCCATTTTTTCAACCCCCAGCCGAAGTCTGGATCATTCAAAGTTTACTGATGTTGGAGTTTTATGAAAAACACTGTTCTAGTCGTAAGCTCCATGAAAGATCTCATTTGCACCATGGTACAACCATTCAACTTCTAAGACGCTCACCTACTCTAGGCGGTGCACCAACAAAGATAAACACGGACACTGCTAATGAAGAAACTGAAAATTGGTGCAAATGGATTGAAATTGAATCTATGAAACGAGCAACTTTCATGTGCTTCTACATGGATGCAATTGACGCAATTTGCATGGGCCACCAGATGTTCATATGCTCCCACCAGATTCAAATGACCATGCCTGTAGCAGATTCGGTATGGGAATCCAACTTTACTCAATTCATTAGGAATTTCAAGAAGGAGGAGAGGCCGAGACAATTTTTGATTGTCTTGAGGGATATAATGAATGGGAAACCAACAAAGACCAATTCGTTTGGTAAAAAGATACTGTTAGCTGGTTTGAGTGCAATTCTTTTCCAAATACAACAGAGAGATCTTCAGTTGTTTTTTGGGCTCGACAAGTTCACCAACACGATTTCCAAGAATTGGCGTGATTTATTAACAGCTGCGTTCGCAATTTGGAGAAATGATGTTGGAAGCTCATGTTGTTCTTCAAGAACTGCAATTGATAATTTGAACTCATTGGGAAACTCGTCTCAATTCTCAACATCTGACACAAGATGTAAATGTATTGCGTATCATTTAGCGCACATTTACATGTCCATCTCCCATTATGACATTTTTATTGTTTGTGGTGCTCCTTGGAGAATGAATGTCAAGCCTTCTTCTATACATGAGAGGAATGCCATCAAACGGAGGGTAATGGAGTGGTCAAAGACAAGGCATTGTGAAGTTTCCGTGGTCCAGTGTTATCTATCACTGTTTGAGATGTTTTTGTCTCCACAGGACTCGACCTACGAATATCAGTACGACTATTTACCGGACGCTGATCTTTTTTTCCGGAGTTACATGATCGGATACATTCTGTTAGTGATATGGGGCTATTTATACAGCAGTGATAAGTTGAAGAATATTGATATCAATCATGAAGATAACAATAGTGGATACTTATATTTGAAGAAGATGCGGACTCAATTCACATTGAAAAGTGAAGGGATATTGCTCCACACGTGGTTTGCCAACCCATCTGGGGCTGAGTTTTATGGCGACTTGATGAGATGGGTGAATGTGCTGAATGACATTGAAGGACTCGAAAACATAGTGGGATTGTTAGACATGATAGGCAAGAAGCTAGCCAGCGCCGATTATACGGTTGTGCGAGAAGTTGGAAAATTGTTGCTATTCTGTAAGGACAGAACTATTGGCTGCACGGATAAGGAGATCCTTGAGGATATGTATCATCCGGACTGAACATGATGCATTATTAGATTATTAACTTGTATACTTTAGAGTAGATGGAAAGGAGAGAAGAAAGATGGAGAAAAAAAATATGTAATCCGTAATATAGTATTATAGAGAGAAACAAAAAGGGGGTTGCTTGTCGAGCAAAATAGAGAAATAAAGGGAAAAAAGGCATGGGGGAAGACAAGAGAGCCAGACATGCAAGATACACGGGACAGCGAGTCAGATATAATGGAAAAGAAGAAGGGAGAGACGCAAAAGAAACAAACATCTTGATTACATACCCATTTCGGCCTGGAGCTCTCTCAAAGCACGCTCATCTTCGTCCTCGTCTTCGGCGGCGGCTTGTTGGGGTGCCTCCACCTTCTTCGTGGGAGCAGAGGGCATCTTATTTATCACGTGGGAGTCCGAAACGTTCTGCCGTTGCGCAGCGGCTCTGTGACTCTGCTGTAGCTGCTGTTGTGGCTCCTGTTCCTGTGTTCTATGCGTATCCACCAGATTCGACTCCACCTCTTCCTCCTGCAGCGCTGCCAACTCCTCGTCCAACTCGTCCTCATCCACGTAGTCTGTCGCCAACGGTCTGCTGATGGCCTCCGAGATCTCCTCGCTGGCCTCCACCTGTTCTCTGATGTCGTCCATTGTCTCGTCCACCTTGTCAATGTCGAAGTCGCTGTGTATCTGCTTGATCGCCTTGGCGCCCTGCTTCATGGCCTTCATTGTTTCCAAGTTCAAGTTCGCCGACTCGATCGCGTTCAATTGCGTCTCGAGAGACTCGATCTGGTTTCCGATCTTCAAGAGATCCCCCTCCAGCTTCTTCTTCTTCTTCAACGCAAGCCGGGCCACGTTCTTGTTGGTCGACACATTTTTCCTTGCAACGGCATCCTGTTCCTTCACCTGCGACTCCAGATACGCCGCCTTCTTGGTCAACGTTAGGATGTGCTCTCTCAGTTCGACGATTGCCTTTTTTGGCAGCTCTTTCTTCTGCTTTGGTCCCCCAAACAGGTAGTTCCACATCTCGGTCTCTGCTTTTTGTGTCGGTACTCACGCAAACAAAACACCCTGGGTGGTAGATGAAGATTCTGCAGCTTGTCTAAACCCGGTTTGCCCTGCTGCCTGTGCCTCGTGGCCCTCCTGTTCCCTGCCACCCACTCACTGCAAGAGCCTTTTTCGTCAAAAATCTCTTATCGCCACAACCCCCCCCTCCGATGGCTACGCAGGCAATTCCAGCTCTCATGCAGAGGACGGATGCCTGCCCGTTACTGACCCGCGTCCGTCAAATGGCAGACCGGCCGGCTGCCGGGCCGATCGTCCCCGTTTCCAAAAAAGTGAACCACAGGTAAAAATGTCGCGATACGACACAATGACGTGCAACAATTCTGTCCAGACGCGTAAGCAAAGCACCGATGCGTCGACGCGTCGCTGTTTGGCGCCCCTGCAGGCTCCCCATGCAAGAAAAAACCTAAAAGGCCGGAAAGTTGGCGTAGCGCAGGCTTCGTGGCGTCCCTATCCTGGTCCCGCTCGCACGGTCGCACTGTGGGAGAAGGTTGCTGCTCCTGCTGCTCGTAGTGGTCCGGTAGCGGGAACCGGCGTAGCAGCAGCACAAGAGTAGTACGGGTGGTACACGCAACGTCGACAGGGATCTCCGTGTTACCAGGGCTGTGTCTGCGCAAGAGTAGTGGTATCGTGTTTTGCCAGCGTTGTCGATCTCGTTCCGCTGAATTTTTGCTTTCCGTGTTTGTCATAGATTGGTATTCTCTGCAGTCTCTGATCACAGCATCTATTACTCTATTCCTGCAGCACGTGTACCTTTCCTGTATCACTGCGCTTCCTGCTTTTTTGCCTTTGACTTCCACTCCCGTTCAATTCAACAGGAGCCAGAGGAATTGAAAACGAAATTTCGTTCTGACCAGGATTGCACATTTGCACCGCTAGACGACCATGCCGCCGCAGCAGGTATCCAGATCGATGGTGTTTAGGTTCATCAAGAGGAAGTCCTTTGTCCTTTTTCTTCTGTTGTGCATGACAGTGCTGATAGTGCACAACATGTCTGAGATAAACTCGCCAAAGAAGCCAAAACACCGGAACAACCTTTTCCCGGAAGCCATCAAGCCGTACTCGGACTACAACTCCCACAAGCCCAAGCCAAACTCGCATTCCAACCTTAATGGTAAGGCGAACGGTAATGCCAATGCAAACGGCAAAACCGGCCAGAGTTCGGACTCCAAACTATCGTCCTCGTCCCTGTCTTCGTCCGTCAATACACGCAACTCGCAGAAAATCAAGGACTTCATCGAACAGCTCTACCAGCTGAAGCCCGACCAGACCATTTTGGGCGACAAGGCGAACCAACTTGAATTCACCAACGCCGACCCTCCAAACGGCCTGATCACCAAGACGTACTTGAAGTCCCTGGCTTCGATCCCACAGGCCTGGGTCGAAGAAGTGAAGTCCAAGCACTCCTTGGCTGTATCGTTCATCAACACAGAGGTTCTAGCCGACAGCCAGAAGGACGAAGAACCGGAATCCGCGTCTTCGAAACACGGTGCTGTGATCATCGGAGGTGCCGAGAACGACTACACCTGGTTGGCGCTCATCTCCACCAGACTTTTCAGGAAAGCTGGAGGGGTTCTCCCCATCGAGGTGATGCTTCCAACCAAGGAGGACTACTTGAAGGACAGGGAGATCTGTGACTTGTACCTCCCGCAGTTGAACGCGAAATGTGTGATCATCAAGGATCTCTTGGACGCTTCCACCGCGACGAACGCTGAGCTCGACGACGACCTCAACAAGTACATCTGGAATAATTTCACGTTGATCAAGAGAGAGTTGGCGATCTTGCTGTCGCGGTTCGAGAACGTCTTGTTCTTGTCGCCGGAGAACGTGATGCTGAAGCCGATGGAGTACGCTATCTTCGACAAGCAGTTCTACAAGGACTTTGGGCTGTTTGTGTGGGGTGACTACGGGGCCCGGACCACGCTTCCCGCCTTCTACGAGATTGCCGATCTAGAGGTGAAGAACGCGAAGACAAGCGTGTACGGTCTCCCGTTGACGGAGGAGCTGATTTCCAAGAGCGCCAAGCTGACGTCGGAGGAGCTCAGCGACGGAGTGAACTTCCACGACTTGGAGAACTCGCTCCCATACAAGCAGAGCGATGCGTCAGAGCTCATCATCGACAAGAAGCAGCATCTGGGCACGCTCTTGCTCTCGCTCTACTACAACTTGAACGGCCCGGACGCGTATTACGTGCTCTTGACGGGCCGGTTTGACGGGGCGCACGGGGCCAAGGAGACGATTCTCGCCGCGGCCCACGTTCTGAGCAAGCAGTACTACCTCATCAACAGCGAGGTGGAGAGCAACGGGTACTGGTACGACGACGAGTTCAAGGGCGTGTCGATGATGCAGTTCGACCCCATTGTGGACTACTACTCGTACGAGGCGTTCATCGACAAGTTCTCGCGCAAGGAGGGGTATGAGGTGAGCTACAACAAGTACCAGAGGTGGCTCAAGGAGTCGAGCGAGAGACGCAGCCCGTTGTTCCTCAACATCAACAACCCGCCATTGAAGCCGATCGAGTTGATCCAGCAGGGCACCGTTGTCAAGGAGAACGGGGACCGTGTCAGACTCATTGCCGACACCAGCTACTTCGACGCGGAGTTTGAGACCGACATCTGGCGGGTGATGAACGACTACATCTGCCATCTCTCGCTCGAATGCAGCTACGTGAAGACCTGGTTCGGCAAGGGCAACTCCAAGAAGAGAGACGCCTTCTGCAAGGGCGACATCAAGGAGCACCTTTTGTGGGTGTCAAGTCTCGGCAGCACCGCCGACGCCGATCTCGACGTCTGAGGGCAGTACTCTACGTCACTGCTGCAGCTCCGGCTGCAGCAATAGCTCTGTATATTTCTCCTATTCTTCTGCGACTTTCCATTCTAATCTACACAATCCGAACTAGACCCAAGCTGCTCGAGCTAGCACGAGCTAGCGCCCGCTAGCCTGCCCTAGCAATTGCATATACTCCGATCCGCAAGCTAAAGCCGGACCGGGTGCTACGCCATCGGTGCCCCGGATTACGTCACACCGTCCGATCTTCCTCCCCGTGCTCCCGCTCCCCCCTTTCACAGCGGCAAACGGCCATCGGGACTACGTGTCCTCCGCCCCGACACACGGCTGTGTGGCCCCGCAGCCGCCGGCGAGCCTCTGTGCAGCAGATAGTCTGTAAAGTGCGACGTGCAGTGTGCAGCGTGCCGGAATGCGCATGGCGCAACGCAGAAGATGGAGGGCGGAAGATGCATGCAGTCGGGCACGGGGACCGGAACGGGCAGCTAAGCGGCACGCAGGCTGCAGCGGCGCTTGCGCCGCGCGCATGACCTCGGCCGCCAGAAGTGGGCTGTGCCGGGCGTTTCCCCAGATTTTTCCCCGCGCAGCCACCGCGGCCTCTTCGCCGGTGACACATTATCGCGACGGGGCTGGAGCGCAGCTGCATCAGCAGGCTATCGATTTCGCGGGGTTCCACTGAGAGTAGCGGACGGCGGAAGCGGGAGGCAGTCTCCTTGGGGCAGTCTTCGCTGGACGGAATGTTGGGGGATGAGGGAGGCAGGAGATAGAAGCGAGCGGAAGTGCTGAGCGTTCTCCCTGTCGGGGTGTTTGCCGGGGTGTTTGCCGTTCTGCTGTCGGGTTGTGTCTCTGCACGCCATCTGGAGCTTCCCCGTCCCGGTGCTGCTCTTGCTCTTGCTCCTTCGTGTCGTTTGCTTCCTGTGCCTGTGCTTGTTTGTTGATCTGTTTCCCCACACACCACTCAGTCGCATATACGCCAGAGCCTATCCTTTACTTTTGTGCGTTTCGGTCCCGACTTCAGACCACGAAAAACGAGCCAGACAAACGCCCTCACCTACCGTTGTGACGCCCTCCTTTATTGCCAACAGCAAGACAGCCCTTTCTACCTGAAACACGCACATGACCACAGACACCACGACCGCAGACTCTGCTCCGTGCGAAAACAGCTGCGGCGACCCGCACGAGCACGCCGGGGGCAACACCGACGACGCCAAGTTGTCCACGTCGACGTCCGCTTCGTCGTCATCCTCGGAGACCTCTGGCTCGTCGGCCCCAACGTCCGACTCGGCCTGCGACACCAGCGCCTCGTCCTCCTTTTGGAACATCATCAAAAACCCCTCCAACGGCAGGACGAGAATCTCGCAGGCGTGTGACCGATGCAGAGCACGCAAGATCAAGTGCAGCGGCAAATCAGAAAACTCCCCAAAGTGCACAAACTGCGAGAAGGACGGCTTCCCCTGCGTCGTGTCCGACAAGTTGACCAGAAACTCGTTTCCAAAGGGCTACACGAAGAACTTGGAAAAGAGGTTGCTAGACGTCGAGTTGAGCAGAAACCAGCTCCTCATGGAGTTGAACAGCTTGAAGCAGAAAATGAGCTCCATCGAGCCGTCCAGCACGATGGAAAACGCATCTGTCACCGACAACCGCAGTACTAAAGACTTGAGTGGAGGCGCAGAAAATGCTTTTTCCAACGGCAGTGCAAGTAACCCAGCAGGCTCGAACCTCGCTGCCGAAGCCCAAGTCGGCGGTTTTCAGGACCTGGCGGCCAGCCCAGTTCCCAACCAAAACCGTGAAGTTATCACCACCACCACAGCCACCACAGTAGCGGAAGAGTCTCCGCTTGAGCTCCAGGAACGAAGCATCCAGGCTTTGAGGAAGAAAATCTACTACTCGAAACCAATCAGCACTACCAGATCAGGATCTCTTGTGTTGGATCAAAACCTGAAGTCCCCCTTTGAAACCATTTTCACCTCTCTTAAGTCAAACCCGTTTAAGGGCTACAAATCTAACGCCTCCTTCTCTTCTGGAAAGAATGCTTTCAGCTCTGCTGCCGCATCAACTACCTCTTCACACTCAGCAACCTCGTCAAATGACGATCTTGACCCGGCCTCCCTAAAGCACTTGTCCAACTATCACATGAACCTCAACAGATACTTAAACTTAATCTTATACAAGTTGATTTTACCCCTTTTCAACGCTAGTTCGAACAATGGTAGCTCCGACACCAATAAGAATCTAGACCATTTAATTTGGTTGTTTTTCAACGACTACAATAAGTTGATTCCAATCTTAGACTTTGAGTTGTTTTACAATGACTACTTAACTTTTGTGAACACTTACACAATCAAGAAATCAACCTACTCAGATAATGGTGAGCTGAAAAAAAGATACTACGAGTTCAATTCAAAGGACCAGGATACCATGATTAAGTTGATCTTAATCCTTAAGTTCACCCTTTGCCAACCAAAAATTAACCGTAATAATAAGTCTTCTGCATACTTACCTGACAAGTCATCCTTGAACCATTTGGACGAGTCAGTCAAATTGATTAATGTCAAGCACTTGATCATGATGTTGAAAAATATCAATTTCAGTCTATCTCCAAACCTAGACAAACTAGAGATCTCTTTGTTGCTCTTTTACTATCTTATCAAGTTTGAAAACTTCAACTTACCAAATTACACAGATAACCTTCATTCCCACAAGGAATTCCTAATGGACGTTATCAACTTGAATAAGCATCTGGTATACACACTTAATATTGACAAGCCAAACGCTCTATTAATGAGTAGCAAGTTTCCTGAAAAACAGTTGATTGAAATTCAAAGATTGAAGCTCTACTGGAATTTCAAAATTTTGATCAAACTTTCAGAAATTTATTTCAACATTCCTTTACTCGATGAAGAGATAGTTCCAAATTCTACGCAAGATGATGAAGATGAAGTGATGAGTGATATCAGTAGCGCATTTTTTGATGATCTTCATCCCTCTACAGTGAAGAAGTCTTCTCCTGCAAGTTTGGAGACGATCGTCTTGGTTAGTAACGATGTCAAGATCACTATATGTCTTGTCAAACTGCTTTGCTTGATTCCTTGGAATATTATGCAGTTTGTCAATGATGAAAATACAGAGGTTTTAAACAAAATCGATGTAGATTTGTCAAATTGGAAAGATTCAGTTGAAAGTTTGAACAATGACGAAAATTCCGTTGTTTTCAATAAGTTGAACTCATACTATTTGTATTTCAAAGTCTTAGTGAACATCAATGGTACCATTGACTCATCTTATTTCATTGATTTCGTCAATCTGGTTTATGAGTTGACTTTCAAAAATTCTAAATCGAACGGCAACAAGGGAGATGAGATTTCAATCGAGGCTTCTGAAAGTTTGTGTTTGCATAGTTTCAACTTCCACCTTGTAACATTAATATCGATCACCAGTCTACAGAACGTCAAGGATAAGCAACTCTGCCAGAAAATTTACAAGTTGATTCAACTTTACCAGATTTTGATCAATTACAAAGATGTTGATCCATTGATCACCACCTTTGTAACCTATATCAAAGAAAACATCCTGTTTGCGTTCTCTGATGCCAATACAATACAGGACGAGACTTTAAGGTTGTTCTCTTCGGTTGATATGGAAAAGGCAAATAGTACTTCGTTGTTCGATAAAAAGGTTTCGCATAAAAGTATGAGAACATCATCCTCTTTATCAAACCAGTCGCAGTCACAGTCTCAGAATTCTGGCTCTAACCAGAATGTTCTAAACCAGGGGTTGATGAATTTCGACTTGAATGCTTTCAACCTTCATGGAGATTCATTTAATCTTAATGATGAAGCTTCAAATACTAAGAGAAGAAAATCAAATGCTTCAACCACATCAAGCTTTATGTCCTCCAATCTCTCTTTGAACTCAAGAGAGTCATCTGTTGTCTCTTCTTCCAGAAGATTATCTGTTTCATCTAATGATAGTATGCCTTCATTGTTCCCATCGGCAACTAGCCCTTTCCATAATAGCAACAACACCAACACTAGCCTTTTCCAAAATAACAATAATGGAAACAACATCAATTTCAACGAAAACTCCATAACTTCTTCTGCTAAGAAGAGAATTATGGACTACGCCATTCAACCAATGAGAACAACAATGAATAGAAGCAGATCATTATCTGCAGAGTCCAGAATCCGTTCGTCTAAAATTTCAGATCGAAGATTGTCAGGGAGTAATCATTCTGCAGGTTTTACAACATCGAGAGAAAATTCAATTGATGTCAACAATGCAAGCATTGCAGATGATATGGTTGACGATGACATTGTATCTCGCATCTTGAACTCAGATGTTGATTCAGAAGTCGACTCGGATGTTAGCATGATTTTGACAGGTAAGCCAATGAGGTCTAGCAATTTCAAGCGGAATACCAGTATACTTCCTACAATTCCTTCTGAAGGCACTTTAATGAAGATCATGGGGGCTATGGAGACTACTGCTTTTGACGCTATTTCCAATTCAACTAGCGAATCCAAGGAGGCAGATTTTGATGTTAATTCATTGTTTTCTGTGACTTCAGCATTTAATTCTGGCACTAAAACGTCTAATGATTCTTCTAATTGTACTAATACCAACGTCAAAGATGATAATGCATTATCACCTGACTCTAATTCGATGAAATCGAAAATGTGTGATTTTTCAAAAGCTTTTAAGAAATCGACGAGTGGATCTATTTCCAGTGCATATCATAACACAGGCGCCTCCAAACCTAGCCATCCACTCAACAACGAGTTGAAGATAGCTGACGATGATCCACTTAACCCCGGAAACATCACTAACTCTAACCTACAAAACTTTAATTCTATTACAAATGATAAATCTATAATTGATGACGATGATCTCTTGAGATTGAAAGAGCATGTGATGAGCATGAAAACATCCATTCAATGACCCAAATTACTCACTTCTCATATCGTTCGTCATTAGTTGGTTTCTCCTTTTATTCTTCCTTACTATTCTTTCATATTGGAAAAAATTCTATATACTTCACTTTATATATCATTCCTTTTCTGTGCTATTTGAGTGCATTCACACTCTTCGCTCTTCGATTTCTTACTTTTTCATTTTGATCTTTATTTTCCATTTCAATTTCTGTTTTTATCCTACTATGTTTCTTTTCATGCTTTTTAACGGGATACATGTACTGGTTTCATTTAACGCTCAATAAAAGTCTTTGGTGACATAAAATCTTTCATGTCCTACGGTATGGGTAGGCTGTAAACGGGTAGAAATCATTTTTTGTTCCCTTCTCAAATCAAGAACTTTTGGCCTCATTAATGCCTGAGTGTTTTACACATATACCTGATTTCATCGTAACTGTGTTTATTGAGTAATTTAGTGATCAATTGCGTACCCACTGTTCATGTACAACTGACTGTGTTGTCAAAAAAGTATTTTCATATTTATTATATGTTTTCATTAAACCGTTCTTTTCCTATTATTGTAATTTTTATAATCGGCAAACTTTTCTAAAAAAATAGCTAAAAAATATCAAAAGCTCAAAAAGGTATCATTTAATCTTTGGTCAGATTCTTCTAATTCGGAACCTGATTCATTTTAGGCACTTTTTCATTCTTTTTCAGTTCCCATTTGTGCTTAGTCACAATTATCCTTCTCACAGCCAAATGTGCCAAGTATGTGAATGATCCCAAGAACCTGAAACAACTAAAGCCAAAAACCGACCACAAAATAAAGGCTAAGTACTTGTTTGATCTAATAGAATCAGCCTTCCATATTTGAGTGATTGTCATAACTAAAATCACGTTTGCTATCACCCAAAATAACACAACTCTCGATCTGATATCTCTATAATAATCTTCCTTACTGATTTGAAGCTTTTTCTTTCCACCATCTTTGCTGTCTTTCTTATTCCTCATATTAACTGGCTTCTTTCTTCTTTCCTTCAGTTTTAAAACTAATTCGCTGTACATCGAATCAATGTCTTGCTGTTCCAATACCCCTGTTTTTATATATTGTTGACCCTTCTCATCAGTCTCAATTATAGCAGAGCCTAGAGACTTAGCAACCTCGGTATCACCCTTGGTACCCCACGAAACATCATGCGTGTTACAGAAAGCATAAATTTGCAACAAACAAGTGTAGGCAGGTAACATCATGAAATATTGAACCGAGGAGGAGATCATATGCCATGGATCGAGATATAGGACAGACATTAGAACATACAACCCATAAGTTGATGCTAGCGAAACACAAATAGATGCAAAGCTCAAACCGCCTGCATTACCGGCTTGATGTTGATGAATCATCAATGCCAAGAAATAGAAACCAGAGATGATCGCATATAAACCACAAGCAGTTAGTAGGATAACACATACCCAAAATAACATTGGTGCTCCCGTTGGCTTATTTCCCATTGATATAACCAACATTCCCAATAATGTACATATGCAAATGTAATTCATTATTTCAAAGAATACTTTACCGCCAATACCAGCAATTGTTATAATTGAGCCTGCCAAATAGTAGAACGTGATATAGAAATTGGCAATTGCAAAAAAGCTGAACAACAACGTCAAACCTTGGTAAAGGAATTCAATCTGGAAAAAAACTTTCCTCATCACTGAATGATCAGTTTTAAAGATTTGGGCTGAATTTCTCAAAGAATACAATGCTGCAAAAAATGCACCATTCAACCAACGTCTTCTTTGCAGGACAAATTCTGACAGAGTTTCAGGGACATCCGTTTCACCTCTTGCATCTTTACAATACTTCAAAACCCATTGTGCCCCCTTTTTAGCTACTAACTCCCATGCCAGTATTCTGTCTTCTGCTAGATACATATTAGCAGAAAAAATGTTTGTCATATCCGCATTGTCCATTGTCTCACCTTGAAAGTATGCTTTTAGCGGACCTGTTCCATCTGGATGATTCTTTAATGCTGAATATCTATATGCTGATAGTGCACCCGGCAACACACTAATATACCCAAAAGCAGATTCACAAGGTTTATCTAAGATATTTGACATCTTATACTCAAAGTTTTGCGATGCAACTAATGGATTTATAAGTTTTGACCAATATTTACCTTTCATGGCAACAATTTCACCGGCTGCACCTGCCACATTGGAATCCAAGTCAAATGCTTTCCAAAGGTTGTATACTGCACCGACGTTAGGTCTAGTACCAACATCCAATAAGACACAAACATTTGGATTCAAAACTGGACAAATAGCATTGAATAGCCATCTATGAGAGTTAATTTTTTTTGCATTCTTCTCTTTCAGGCAAAAGACAATCTGGACAGGAGTTGAGTCTTTATCACCCACGATTTTTAGATCTTCGTTAACAGAAACTTGGGCAGTATATTCGAACAAGTGTGCTTTCACCTCTTTTTGATTAACAAAGGATTTGGCAATTCCTTCTTGATAGACACCCATAGTACCCAACACTTCTAAAACACCAGGACTTATCTTATTTCTTCCGTCAGCTACGATACACACAACAATTTTTTTCCAGGAATCTTCACCCCAGGTGGTACTTCTTTTCCTTTTTGTCAGATATGCAATATTTTGGAATACACCATATAACGTCCTAGTCAACGCAACTTCATCTTCGTTATACATAGTGATGCAAATCACTATTTCAGTCTCTCTTTCTAGTTCAATTGACCTCAAAGTAAATCCGTCTTCTGCAAAATCATCTGGATCTGAAGTCACTGCAGAATACTTCATATAATCAAATTCGTCGCTATCCTTTTGTGGCAATAGGTCATGCAACAAACCCGGAACAGGAGTATCCAATACAAGGTTACCAGTTCTAGATCTGAAAACAGTTTGCTTGTTATGATAGTTATTTCTGCGAGGTTGCACCATTGGGGCCTTATCCATTAAACGCTTGTCAAAGAAGTCCGAACCATTCGAATTGGAGAACCTTTCGCCTCCATTAGAGTACTGAAAGTCTTGGTCCATTGGCACGTCAATGGTTGATTGATCAGATGAAAAGTACGATGAAACTGCGCTTTTATTTTTGTATAATTCAGAGTTAGTGGATGACTGCACTGTTGTTTCTGAGGTTGCTGACGTGATTCTGGTGTTTAGATCTTGCTGAATAGGTATTGAGTATTTGACAGATGACCTTGGAGTCAACATCGGGATTTCACCCAACGAGTCTTGCAAGGAGTTTGTGTCACCACCTGCAGCAGCAAACAAAGAGTTAGAAAAAACAGGTTTTGGAGTTTCTAGTTCCGTTCTATTAGAATTAATAGATCTTTTTAATTCTCCTGGCTCTGTCTTGTTGAAAATAGAGTAGTGGCTTATAATGTCGTTCTCATTGTCACTTTCTGCTTCTGGAGCATTGAAAGGATCGATGATTGTAGTCAACGCAGCTTTTCTCTTAGGTGATTCTTGTTCTGTAAATAGCTTCCTTGCTGTAGGTGGGGACCTCAGAGGTGATTCATCTGCCCTTTGGATGAAGCTGCGGCCAACTGCGCTATTCATAAAGTTATTTGAGTCTCTTCTGAAGGAAACGGCAGGGGAATACTTCATGGCTGCTTTTGAAGGTGATACTCTTTTAGGAGAACCGGAAGGAGTGTATATCTCCTCCGGTTTTTTCACCGGAGACTGTAAAACAATGAACGGGTTCTGTCTAAATGGATCCGACATATTTACTGATGAAATGCCATAGAAGACTGTCCTTAAATCTTCTCAAAAGTTTACTTTTAAGAATAATAGTGGAAATAAGGAAAGGAAGCGTTTGATAACATACTACTCCATTACAACTTTGAATAGTAAGTCTGCGTACCTCACCAGCCGAAGTGAGATATGTGTGCTCTGCCAGGCATCTTTGCTCACCGAGACTAACTAGCTGTCTCACAACAAATATTCCCGTTTTCGGAAATACATAAACACTACACATCATTTGCTTTGCAAGCAACACTTCGGTTGCCAATTTGGGATCGGTGAGCTTCGCCTGAAAATCGCTAAAGAAAATATTTTTTCAAAATTATAAAATTTAGTTTATAGATGTCTCTTACATTTTTTACATAGTTCTGTGGAATAAAATGTCAGCTCACTCAGCATGAAGATAACTCAGTGTTTTGCATCGTAAGCTTCTTTTGCTAAACGAGAAAGTTCTTCAAATTCTCCAGTATCTTGACACATGGATTTAAACTGAGAGTCTTTCTTTGTTATTAGCTTGTATGGATGATCGTATTCTTTGACATTACCGTGGTCCAACACCAAAATCTTGTCATAGTCAATAATCGTCTTCAAACGATGGGCAATTGTTAAAATTGTACTTGTAGAAAACTCTTCTCTAATGGTTGTTTGAATCTTTGAATCAGTTTCGTAATCAATAGAAGCTGTGGCTTCATCCAAAAGTAAAATTTTTGGATGCTTCAATAATGATCTAGCTAAACAGATAAGTTGTCTCTCACCCTGTGATAGATTTCCACCATTTTCAGTGACTTCTGCCTCAAGGTCAAGGAACTTGTTTAAATTTTCCTGATTGTCTTTATTTTGCTTATGCAATGCTTCCAAAGATTCTCCATTTTCGAGCAGAGAACTTAGCCTATTGAATTCATCCTTTGAAATCAATCCCACACGTCTCATGGATTCGAAAATGTCAATATCTCTACTTTCATTGAACATATCCAAATTGGATCTTAACGTTCCTGTGAATAGAGTCGGTTCTTGGGGAATAATGGCCAAACCTTTTCTCAAAGCCTTCAAACCAATCTTACCAATATCAACACCATCAATAATAATGGAACCCTTATCTGGTTCAATGAATCTGAAGAAACTAGTAATAATAGTGGACTTTCCGGCACCAGTCCTACCAACCACACCAACTTTTTCACCCGGTGTGACATGGAAAGATATTCCTTTAATGACGAGAGGAAGGTCTTCAGCATATCTTAAAGCCAATCCTTTGACGTCAATTTCACCATGTTCCGGCCAAGAAGGAGGCGGATCGTTTTCAGTCTCTCTCGCACTTTCTTCTTTGACATCATTGATATACTCTTGAACTCTTTCAACTGCATTGATGTTAATCTCAACATCAGCATAGCAACGTAGCAACCATAAGGCGCTCATTGCAAAAGATGCAGCAAAAGATAAAGAAATACCAGCCAAACCAGCATCAATATGCTTTGCATAAATGACAGACAAGGCAGAAGAAACAGCAACAACTAATGAACCGACAACATTAGCCCTGAAAGACATCCATCTGTTGTTGACCCAAACAAAGAAAAATGGTCTATTATTGGTATCAATATTCTGCATATTTTGGACCATAAATCTTCTTTCATCACCAAAAGCTCTAATTGTTGTGACACCAGTCAAAGTTTCAGTGAAATGTTGGTTGATTGGGGATCTTGTAATGGATTCAAAACGTTTTAACTCCCTTGATAGAGTTAGGTACAAAACACCAACATAAGCAAAACAGAGAGAAACAATGACACCAAAAACAAGAAATAGGGGAGTAATCACAGTTATCAAAACGACCGTAGTAATACATCCCAAAAACGATATAACAAGTGCTTCAGCATAAGGTGCCAACTCTTGATCAATACCTTCGATATCCTTCGAAAATCTATTCATGATACGACCAATTGGTGTTGAGTCAAAAAATCTAACTTGAGCTCCCAAAACTTTGTCTAACAAAATGTGGAACATTCTGCTGGCAACACCTAAACCACCAAAGAAAACAACAAGAGTTCTGAGAGCACCAAACAAGGAGTAAATAAGACCAATCAATGAATAGATGGCAAGATAGTACATGGTTGAATGAATTGCAGTTAGTTCTGCGACGTCAAAATTGTTATACTTAGTCTTTAATATAGGCTTGTGCCATTCAATAGACTTGAGTGCACCGGCCAGATTATTCCAAGCAAGTCTAGAAGTAGAGTAAACTCTTGAAGGAACGTTTGAGATAAATGCCGCATCGATGGAAAATCTGTCATTTTCAGCCATTGACCAGTTTCTTAACCAATACGATTGGTAGATATTTGTCAACTGGGTGGCCAAGAAAAAACATGCAAGTGCAGACCAAATATACTTATTACCAAACAAATGGATGTATGTCGAATACACGTCCCATGAAACAAAACCTTCAGATTTAGTTTCCTCTTGAATCAATTTACCAGAAGAGTCAATCTTGGTATTATCATCTGTAGCATCTGCATCCAATTGATCAGCATTGTGATCCGAAGCAATTGCAGCAATAGTGGAATTCAACAAGTGAGCGTGATTTGCAACAGTCTCTGCACTATCGGTAGCACCTAAACCTGTCAAATCGGCGGAAGAGGTAGTACGGGATTGCATGACACTAGCTGTAGTTTCATCATCGAATGCATTAGCTTTGAGTAATTCGTCAATGGTACCTTGTAATCTCACTCTACCATTGTCCATAATAACAGCAAACGCAGCTTCTTTGATGGTGAGAGGGATATTATGAGAAACCAAAATACAAGTACGACCTTTCATCAAGTCACCAGTGATACATTCTTCATAAATGTGAACAGCAGTGTGAGAATCGACAGCTGACAAGCAGTCATCCAACAAAACGTAAGCTGCATTGGAATATAAGGATCTTGCAAGAGATACACGTTGCTTTTGACCACCCGATAAAGTGATACCCTTTTCACCGATTTCAGTGTTGTCACCAGCTGCTAAAATTTCAAAGTCACGCTTCAAACCACAAGCTTCAATAGCTGCCTTATAACGTTTTTCATCATATGGTGTGGCAAACAGAATGTTCTCTTTGATGGTTCCGTTGAGTAACCAAGCGGTTTGCGAACAGTAAGCCACTGATTCGGTTAAACCAGTTTCGGAATCGACAATAAGGTCCTCTCTTGGACTTGCACCTGGAAGGAAAACCTTACCTTCAAGTAAAGACATTTCACCCAGCAATGCTAGTAATAATGAAGTTTTACCAGCGCCAGTGGGGCCAAAGACAACATTTAACTTATTTTTCTTGAAGGAAATGTTCAAATCTCTCAACTTGAAATCATTTGAGCCTCCATGAGACCATGAGAAGGTGGCATTTTGAAAACCAACTTCTGGCGAGTTTGCATCTCTTTCGGAAACAAGCTGATCATACTTTGTTGTTTCAGGTTCTTCCAAAAATTCCTCAACTCTGTCCAAAGAAACTTTAGATTGTACAACAAAGGAAAGCATATCGGCAAACTGGTCTAGAGGAGTTTGTAACAAGTTGAAAAGCGATAGAGAGGTGAAAGCGATCGGAGTAGTCAAAGCCTTACCTTCGACAATGGTGTAGCAATAGAAGGCGACCAAACAGACTACTGTCGGAGTGACGTACCAGACGAAGGATGCCAAAATCCAAACAACGCAACGTTTCCATAAGATACTTAGTTCTTCTTTTCTGACACTCAAAATTTGTTCTGCAAACTTGGATTCCCAGGCAAAGTACTTGATAATTCTGATATTTTGGAAAGTCTCGTTCAACTTTTGGATTCTTTTATCGGTGACTGCAAGCATTTCCTTTTGGTAGTCACCCAACAAAAGACTTAATTTATAGTTAAGGGGCATCATGAGGATGATGGTCGAGGCACCAGCTAGTGCTGCCCAGCCCAACAAAGAGTATAGGATTGTAATAGCGATAATCGTCATGACAAAGGAATTGACAAAGTAATACAAGTAGGCGCAAATTTCCGAGACTTTGAAGGCATCGACTGCAATCAAGTTGATGATAGAGCCCAACTCACGAGTCTCCTTCTTCTCTGAAGCGTCTTCTGAATTTGCAGAAGGATCTAAATCAGAGCTGGAGCTTCCACTTGTCAAAGCAGGGGAGGTTGTTGCATCTGTATCTTCTTCATTTTCCTTCCCTTCTGTAAAGCTAGAAACCCTTCTCTTCAAGGCCTTTGAGTAAACTTCGCCAATGATGATTGCTCTCATTCTGGTACAAATTCTTCTTCCCAAGAACAAACTACGACCTGAAAGTGCCGCAGTGATAGGGGAACTGAAGACCATCAAGATGACAAACAACCATGCAAGACTGGTTGACTCCGTTTCTGGCGATTCCACGTACTCAAGGATTTTCTTTAAGAGCATTGAAGGAAAGAACATCAGGACAGCTTCGAGCGAGGTAATGACGGATTGGTAGAAGAAAAGTCTGCGGAACTGATAGAACAAGTTGACAGAGAACCTCCTGTGCCATTTCACTCTGTGGAATTTCAAGATGGTTGGGTAGGCATTATCTTCTAATTTCAAACTCCAGATATCTTCGAGTTTAGGAAGGACCTTCTGAGCACTGGTGATCATCGGCCCGACCCACGAGAAACTGATGATGCTAAAGAAGCTGGACTGGGACTCATCGGAAGGCGTCAAACCTTCCGAGAGGTAGACCGTGACGGGTCTGTCGGAGAAATGGTCATTGGCTTGGATAAGGAATAATAAGGAGACGGAGATGAATTCGACAATGTAGAATTTCTCCGCAAGAGTGCTAAGCGTGTGATGCAACAGGGCCGACCGGAAGAGAAAGAACGAATCGGAGAGGTAGAAGCACACCAGGTTGAAGGTGTGGTACCATAGGTTTGGGTACTGCAGCGGAAGCCCGGTCGAAGAATTGACGAGCCTGACAGTGGTCAAAAGCAGCAGGTAGGCCCAGAAGCCGAGTCTGACGAGCGGCACAGCGGCGGAGTCCCACTCGGCGGCCAAGTCGTCGACGAAGAAGGGCGCAGTGGAGAGGGCCGTCTGGAAGAGGAGAATGAGCTCCTGGAGGACCAGCAGCGTTCTCTCGAGGTGGGACCGGAATACGACCTTTGTGGTGACCTTAGGGTGTCCGTCCGAGTTTAACGTCAAGTACTTGATGTCGAAGTGTCTGTCAATGATATTAGCTACGGTGGAGGACCGACTCTCGGTGGCGTCGCCGCTGGTGTCGCCGCTGCCACCGTTGTGGTCGTCGTAGTTGGCAGCACCCGTGGCTGCCCGGCCCGCTTCGGCACGGCCGGACTCATCTGCATCGAGCTTCAGCGCCAGCGGCGCCGAGCTCCTGGACAGTACGCTGTGCTGCACAAGGTAGTATAGAAGGAACAAGGCCGACACGGCGACCAACGTCGTCGGGACAGCCTTCTCCAATACGTCATGCCTCGAACAGCGTGTGAAGTCGTCTACTAGCCAGAAGTGACTGCACGTGTGGTTCAGCGTCATTGCGTGTGTGAGATGTGCTCTTTTGCTTCAGGCCCAAACCGCTGAGCACGTCCATCAGGCCAGCACGGAGGGGAGAGGAAAGGGCCCAAATATAAGCACGGAAAATTTGCAGCGCTGTGGCTGCAGCTTCACCAATCAACTCCCTAGTGCCCGCCGCTGCCCCGGCGCCAGATGCGCAAGCCTCGCAGCTGGCGGCCGGACTTGGTTTACGACCACGGGGGGCTTGAGTGGTGCCGGTGCCGATGGCAACAGACTACACGGCTGGCGTCTGCAGCGATGACTCTTACGCTTTGCGACAGGCACCAGCCCTGCCCAAGATATCCCGGCCAGTAGCCGGGCAGATATAGGCAGAGACAGACAGGCGCAGGAAGGACGCCAGAACAGAACAATGGCGGACGCCTGCTATCGCAAATTGGCGGACGCGGATCCGGAGGAGGTCCGTGAGGATGCCCCGTAAGCCTCGGGGGGAGGCCTTGGGGGGACGGCTCTGGGCAGAAAGCAGGGCAGAAAGGGACGCTGGCAGGGACGCAGCGGTAAGAGAAGGCAAGAGAAGGCAGCACGAGGGGCAGAAGAAGCGAAGGAGCCGAGAAGATGGGGGAGACAGAGGAGTTGCAGCGAACGGGAGCCGGGGATAACAGGCGGGGTGCGGGTCGGGCGTTGGCAATGACGCCATGCTGCGGTGAGGCACTAGAGGTAGAGTAGATGATAAAGGCAACTCAGAAGAGGAAAAGAGCCGTAGAGTGCGCAACGGTGGTGCCCGTCGAGGTGACTAATTCATGCAAGGCTGAGTGAATAGGGGTTGTTGAGTTTGAAATTTTTTTATTTTTGATTATTAGTTTGTTTATAAAAAAAACATAGGTATAGATATGCTCCTTGAAATATACACAATTACATCACCGTTAGTCGTCGTTCTTGTCCTTAGAACCTCTCAACAAACCGGTTCTTCTGGCAGCAATCAAACCGGCCTTTTGACCAGAAACAGCGCCTCTGGAGATGGTCGAAGCCTTACCAATATGTTGATGGTTACCACCACCGTGAGGGTGATCGACTGGGTTCATGGCAACACCTCTGGTCTTAGGCCACGAGTTTCTCTTGACCTTGTATTTGTGGAATGCTCTACCGGCCTTCAACAAAGGCTTGTCGATTCTACCACCGCCGGCGACGACACCAATGACACCTCTGGCGTCGGAAGAAATGATCTTCTTGGCACCAGATGGCAACTTGACTCTGGTCTTGTTCTCGTCTGGGTTGTGTCCGATGATGATGACGTAGTTACCGGAGGTTCTGCCCAAAGCACCTCTGTCACCGACCTTCTCTTCGACGTTGGAGACGATGGTACCTTCTGGCAAGGAGCCCAATGGCAAGACGTTACCGATGTTAAGAGAGGCACTCTTACCACAGTAGATGAATTGGCCGGTGTAGACACCTTCGTTGGCAATGAAGGTTTCTTCTCTTAACTTGAATCTGTATGGGTCTCTGAAGGAAACTCTGGCCAATGGAGCACCTCTACCTGGGTCGTGGATGATCTGCTTCACGACACCTCTGATGTAACCGTGTCTTTCGGCGTAGTCCAAGGTTCTGAGCTTGGCTGCTCCCTTTCTCAATCTGGTGTGAGCAGTGAAGATGGAACCTGCACCCTTTCTTTGGTTTCTGATAACTCTACCTGTGCAATGAAAATTAAAGAAAAGAGGAAAACAATGTTAGTTGTCTGCTACTGAAAGCGGTGTGGATGGGGGGGTCCCTGCTTGAACGACTTCTGTGAATTTCTGACGTGTGTAAAGTCCTCTTTGTCCCACTTCGTACTTTCTTTTTAAGCCTATCTCATTTCTTGGCTTCCAACCACTGTCGCCTATCTTGAGATAGTACTCGGTCGTGTTTTGGATCTCTCTGGTGCGTTCTGACTTCGTTCAAACTGGACGACTCCTCTTGATGGTACCATTATACATACCCATTTCGACTAGTTACAGTTTCTTAGCAAGCAAACGAAACAGAAGCCTGTAAAACCCCATACTCTCGTCCGTTTCGGTCCGTAGATCCATTATTTCACTTGTGAACAACCATATCGGTCCCCACGACACCCGCTCCACACTGTGTGTGCACCAGCTGCTGCGCACTGTGTGACAGACTGTGGGAGACAGCGAGACGAGGACGAAGGCAGGAAGGGTAACGGGCGGATGAAAATTTGCGCGCGCCAGCGGAGGAAGTACTGAGCACAAAGTGTGTGGTGCGAGGGGGCCATTTTTTTCGCAGTCACGCAGGATGAAGTAGAGGGGCCCTTAGGAAACCGATGTATAACTACGATGAAGTAGAGACTACGAGATGGAGAGATCACAAAGCGTCTATAGTCATATACAGAACTGGTACCTAGAAAGTGCTAGCTGTAATTTAACTTAGCGTGCACACTTCACCCGACAGGACGATTGCTGCCATCATCTCTCCGGCAGCTGGTACCGATTGTGGGAGAGGAGGGATACAAGAAGAGCACGAGTCAAAGTATCTGCTGTAGATTAGTGACACTCAGAAGTTGTTCATTACGCTGAATATGTCTGGCTCCATGAGGGATCGCAAGGGACAATAGAACCTGAAAAGCGGTATCAGCGTGATGGGGAACAATGCGCATCCAGAACGATCAGCTTTTTTTCGTTTTCAAGGATGCTGACGGATAACGGATAACGGGTAACGGTTAGACGAGCACGGACTCGGGGAAGGGGAGGCGGATTGAGAAAGCAAATTGCTTTGATATTTGTTTATTGTGCGTTTAATATATATTATAAAGAGTAATAGTATAATATAATGATTATTATCAAGAGGCTGCGTAGCAGGGTGGACAGCTGAGAACTACTGGGCTACGGGTTCGGATACAGCGACCTCGATTTCCACGTCGTCGTCGTCGTCCTCTGCCTCCTCCACAACGGTTTCAACTATCTCGCTGGCTGCCTCTTCTACTTGAGAGGGTTCGCCTTCGATCTCGATATCAACTGATTGGGAGTCGCCTAGTTTTCCTCCATCCTCAGCTTCCGCCTCGGCCTGGTCTTGGTCTTGGTCTTGGTCCTGGTCTTGACCTTCTACAGCCTCGTTGTCATTATCGTTATCGTTACTGGTGGTGGCGGCGGTGGCAGAAGTAGCCGTGGTGCTGCCTTCGTCGTTGGAGTTAATGGCGACGGTCACGTTCAACTTCTTGCCGTTCCAATCTTTGCCATTGAACGACTCGATGGCTTGCTTTTGGTTTTCTTCGTTATCGAATCTGACAAAGGCTATACCCTTATTCTGGATCTGCACGCCGTTGGCCTTTAGCATCTTGTAGACATCGTTAGGCAAGGTTTTGCGAGGAACCTTGACCCATTGGGGGCTCAGCTCCTTCATGAAGTCACGTAGGTCATCTACAGTGACATTTCTATCCAAGTTCCCGACGAAGATTGTTGTTGTGGAAGGGACACCTTTCTCCAACTTCCTCTGCTTCTCCTCCTTTGACCGAGGGTAGTGAGGATTGAATCCACGCAACTGCTGTTGTTGCTGCTGTTGCTGTAGAGTGTGTTGCTGTTGCTGCTGTTGTTGCGACTGCTGCTGCGACTGTGGTTGGGGCTGTCCATTGAGTGGGATGGGGGTTGGATAGAATGGCTTGATGTTTCTGTTGTTCAAGTTAGGGAAGAAAGCGGCAGCTTGTGGGTTAGGCTTGAAGTAAGAAGGAGAGTTGCCATTGGCACTTTGTATGGACTGAGGAGGTGGGGGTGGAGCAGCGTAGAAGCTTCCGTTTGCAGGAGGAGGAGGAGGAGGGTAGTAGAAGTTTGGAGGGGCGCCACCGTTTCTAAGGTTGAAATGCGGGTTGTAGTTGTTTGGCATTCCGTAGAAGCCCTTTTTGAAGTTGCCTGGGAACTGATTCTGGTTGTTGTTGTTCAGGTTTCTGAACCTGTTTTTGTTCTGGGGCAAGGCGTACTTGGCGTAGATTTCTCTGCCGGATATCGATTTGCCGACGATGGAGTCAATTGCGTTTTTGGCGTCCTCTGCGTTTGTGTAGGTGATGAAGCCGTAGCCCTTTGATTGGAGGACTATTTTGTTGAGAGACCTGTTGAAGAAGTTCTTCCTTGGGATCTCGACAGACACCACCTCGAACTCAGGGGTCAAGTTTCTGACGTCGTTCTCGGTGACCTCGTAGGGGAGGTTGCCGACGAATATTCTGTCGGGGATGATGTCCTGTCTCTCCTCGGTGTACTCGTCGTTGTCCGGGCTGTCGTCCGGGCTGTCGTCCGCGTGGTCATTGCCGTTGGAGTCTTCGCCGGCTTCTTCTTGTGCAGCTGGGGCAGCTGCCGCAGCGTCCTGCTTCGACCTCTGCTTCAAGTCTTCGGTCGCCGTCTCGGAGGCTGCGCCCGAGTCTGCTGCTGCCTCGGCGGCGTCTGCTGCCGCCAGAGCGGCGGATGCAGCGGCGGAGGCGTCGGCGACGTCCTCCCTGTTCGGTGTGCTGTTGATATCTACAGTCATGTGGACGGTGGTTTGCTGTATTGCAGTGGTGGACGGTTCGTTTTGTTGCCGCAGGGGCGGGAAAAGCTGGACTGGAAATCTTTTAGAGATTCTAGGGACTTTTTAGGGTTGCGCTTGCAAGGGCAACTTCTATGTATAGGTGTGTGTGGGAGTATGTGACAGATCTAGGTGTGCGGGAGTGGGGCACGGGCCTGCGTCGGGACGGAATGCGGTTCGACGGCGGGAGAGGGGTTCGGCCTGTAGCTGTAGCTGTAGCTTCGCTGTTTGGAGGCAACGGTTCCGGGGGCTGTTGCACTGCACAGGGGTCGGCAAGACGGGCGACTTTGGCACCACCACACCCAGATACCAGGCAGAAACAACGACAGAACACGCAGCCGCCGACGCAATGGCGAACCAGAGCACAGCACACCACAGCACCACAGCACACCAGCACAGCACCGCACCCAACGACGTCCTGTGTCTTGCTACACGTCGCCAGAGGCCACAGACTCCACCGTGCAACGACGCCGCCTGCACAGCACCCTGCCTGCACCACCTGGCTGGACCGACGATCCGAGATAAAGAGCCCCCGCCCGCACGCGAAAATTACCTCAGTCACCCATTCGTCGCTGTGGAGGCGCCGGCCCCCGGTGGCTGGCGGCGCAGCGCCGGCCAACAGCGCAGGACGCTGCGTGTTCTGTCTGGGTTGCCAGACCACCCGCGGGCGGCGCCTGGTTCTGTAGCCGTCGCCAGCCCAGTCTGCTGCGGGCCGAGTGGGTCCGATACCCCGTGGCCTGCCGGCCCCACGTCCACCTGCGCCTGGCGGGCCCGAGCCCCCGGGCCGGGAGATAACGTCGCGGAAGCGGGCGGAACGGGCGGGCGGCTGCGAAAGCTGGGGCAAGCCGCCGACCAATGCAGAGGCAGGAACAGCGTGGCCGGCGGCGGAGCGCGGAAAAGAGCGGGGAGGACGATCGACGCGCCTATCGACGGAATCGACGCGTCGATGGGCCTGGGCCGCACGGTTGCAGGCGGCCGCGCGCGCTGGCCAATGGGAGGCGCGGAAAAGACTCTTATGGGGGGTCGATAGCAGCGCAGTGGCCGGCCGTCGCGGCGGGGCAGCATTACCACTACAGGCGCACCCATTTGGCACGCTGGCGAGGACGCATTCTGCGGCACAGGCGCTCTCAGCGAGAGACAAACTGGTCTCTATATGGCCTGCACTGGGTTTGCTGCTGAGCCTGTGTGCTGGAGGTGGAGGGGCCTGTGTGCAAGACCACCAGCCATCCGTCCACACACACACACACACACACACCACACAATGTCCTTGGTTACCGATCTGATTAACGCTGTCCTTCCAGTCACCGCCCACGCTGAAGAAGTACGTCCGCCCTGCACGCGGTGGGGGAGACCGGGGCCACGGCCACGGGCAAGAGGCTCGCCGGCGGCGTGTGCAGGACAGCACTGCTGTGCTGTATCACACCGGAACTCCGGCGAAAGAAGCAGAGAAAAGGCCCTCCAACTGGCCGAGAAGCCCCCCGGACCGCACTGCTGCCCCTCAAACCGCGTCCCCCGTGCCCTCCCACCAGCAACACCGCTTTCCGCCTCCATCCGAACCAGATACTAACACCTTCCACAGCCAGTCGAAGAAGTTCCAGAAACCGTCGAGGCCGACGCCGAAGAAGGAGAAGCCTCCGAAGACGGCGACGCCGACGAAGACGACGAAGACGAAGACGAAGACGACGACGACGAAGACGACGACGACGACGAAGAAGCAGAAGACCAATACGACGCCCTCAAGGGCGAGTGCGCAGAACTCCCTTCCGTCAAGCCCTTCGTCCACCACTACGAGGAGTGTGTCGAGAGAGTCACCAAGGAACAAGAAGAACCAGGCTACGAGGGAAAGCACTACAAGGAGGACTGTGTCGAGGAGTTCTTCCACTTACAACACGCTCTCACCGCCTGTGCTGCTCCTAAATTATTCTCCAAGTTGAACTAGACCCAGCCCGCTGTCTTTCGCTGAAAAAAGCACACCCCACCAGTAATAGAAAGTTTCAAGCAGAAGTCTCCGACCCTCGATTGCTCATTAATCAACAACTTAACGATCATAAAATCATGTTAATGAAACCATTCCACCATCTCCCCCTTCTTTATTCTCCATACCTCATCCATTATAAAGAATTTTACCCAAAAAATCTCAAGGGATCCTATGTATATCTATACAGTGTTTACTCTATCAACTTAGAGACTTATAGTTTTCTCTTCCTTCCTTTTTTTATTTATTATTTCAATTCTATTTATTACAACCATAACTCCTCTCATATTTGCATAAAGTTTGGTGTTATCATCATCATCATCTCACCCACAGAAACGTAAAAAAGAGATCCAAAACAAGATTACGTAACCGCACTGCTTGCGCCGTAACCTATTTTGTTGTTAGTCGGTAAATTAGTTTTTTATATCTATGTTATCATAAACAGCTTAATAAAGTAAACTACATTTATTTGGCAGAAGATGCAGCAGCAGCGGCAGCAGCAGCCTTAGCTCTTTGAGAAATCTTGGCTTGTGCCTTAGCACCCATAATACCACCACCCCAGTGTCTCTTGGAGTCGTCGTACTTCTCAATGTAGTTGGCGTTGATGGTGGAAACCAACTTGGCCAAAGCAGATTCATCTTCAGACTTGACGTCAACAAGAGCTGCAACAGTAGCGGTCTTTTGGTGGACTAAAGTACCCAATCTAGCCTTACCCTTGACAATGGCGTATGGAACACCCATCTTGTGGCACAAAGCTGGCAAGAAAAGAACTAACTCAATTGGATCAACATCGTTGGCAATCAAAACTAGCTTAGCCTTCTTGTTTTCGATCAAACCAACAACGTGGTTCAAACCGTACTTGACAACGTATGGCTTGTCGGAAACATCTTCCTTCTTCTTACCGTCAGCAATAGCGGCAGCTTCCTTGGTTAATCTTTCCTTCTTTTCAGCAGAGGTTTCTGGTCTGTACTTGTTCAATAACTTGAATGCTTCAGCTGCAGTGTTCTTGTCTAAGGTGTTGGAGAATTGTGCAATAGCTGGAGGAACCTTCAATCTCAAAGATAAAATCTTCTTTTGTCTTTGGAATCTAACATATTCTGGCCATTTGACGAATCTGGATAAGTTTCTCTTTGGTTGGATAGCTTGACCTAAACCAAAGTTCTTTGGAGTAGATTCAAATAATGGGTTCTTTGCAGATGCAGACTTGCTGGTCTTGGATGTTAATGGTGCTGGAGCAACCTTCTTACCTTTTGGAGCCATCTTTGAAGAATGTGTTGATTAGCAAAATTCTATTCCAAGGGCTCTTTCAATCAGCTTAACCTACAAATCATTATACTGCTATAATCCAAAAAATTAAATCATGCTAATATTTTTCACCGTGTTCCTCACCCTCTCACCCTCTCACCCTTACTCTCTCCACCCTCACCACCTCCAACTTGATATTTTTTCCCCCTGCGGCAAGGTTTGCTAGCACCCCGCACACCTCTTTTATTAGCAAGGGCTAAATTTACAGTCACGTGCACACATTGAGGGCTTACTCTATTTTCGGAATCGGTTCAACTCCGAGCTCTTCCTGTTCTCGAAACAATAGTTAATTATCAAAAGAAACTGTTAGTATCATCATCATCTTCGTAATCATGACTGAATAAATGTAAACAACCTCAATCGGCTCTGTTCTATCAACTACTCACCATCTTTTTATCAAATCCTTCCATTCCATCTTTGAGCGTCTTGATCATCTCATCATGCTATAATTTTTCCATTGCTGTTAGTATCATTGTCTCTAAATTGTCAGTAAAATGAGAACCATCCCAGATTAGACACTTACGATCTTCTTCAGTGGCTTGAATTTTTTCATCAATTGCCTTTCCTCTTGGTCAATTTTCTCCATCTGCATTTTGATGTCGTTGCTGACATTGGAATCCTTCTTGGTGCAATCCTGTATCGTTTTTTTTAAAGCTTCATTGGTTTCTTGCAAAGCCTTTTGTTTTTCTTTTAATTGATCATCGGTTAACTCGTTTTTCAATTGTGTAATTCCTGCAATTGATAAATTTTTGTTAGTATTCATGGATCTACGTAGTAATTCAAAGTGGAAACTCAATTGCTCTTACTCTTTTTGTGCTCAGCGGAGTCATTTTCATATTCTCCAAGCTCTTGTTTTAATGCTCCCAATGTTTCAAAGTCAATCGGCTTGACATTTTCATCACATTTGAGTTCGGAATAACAATAAAAGCTTAACTTTCCGTATCGTTTTACAATCAACTTTTGTTCCTCAACCATATCATCTAGAAGTTTTGTCATCATGGTTTTGTTGACCTTGTTATGTAAATTGAGGATAAGATCTGTTACACCATATGGTCTATATTCTTTCTTCATATACTCCAAGATCATTTCTCTCGCTTTTACAAAAAAGTGTGCATTTTTGCTGCTTGGTTAGTATTTGTGCTCAATAGATAGATGAACCATTATTATTGGGCTAATTACATACCTTGCTCAGCATCAACTTTCTCAACTTGTTTTTTCTTTGATGACATTTAGGTTCTGGCTGTGTAAAACTCAGGTAAGGTGTCCCTAACTCGCTAGGTGGAATAAAACAAAGAAAGGTGCTGTCTTGTAAATATATAAAGAGTCAGTTATATGAAAAAATAAAAGGCTCAGCTATCTAAAGTTTTTCGTGAAACTAGATGATTTCTCGAGGCATTTTCATCATCAAAATAACCAACGAAGTCCAACCCAAGAAATGACGAGTTCTTTGCCCGCTACCAGTTTCTTCATTATACTGTTCCCATGCGTATCCTGTTCTGAAATACTCCTCGTGAACATTCTTCACGACATTTTCTCTTAATGCAACATACGCTTCGTTTGCTGCCTTCTTCACAGAATCGTCAACATTTTTTTGACTTCCGTAATGGTACAAAGCTTCTAGTGTCAAATAGTTGATATTAATCCAAACATGACCTCTCCAGTAATCTTCTCCTTTATGGAATTTGGAGTCTTTTTTTGATAAAGATCTTACACCAAATTCACTCCACAATCTATTAGGGTCTCTGATACTTTCAATGATTGCATCTAATTTTTCTGTATCACTGACTGGAATGAGTTTGTGAATAAATGGCATAATGGACACGTACCCTTCATGACATTCAAAAGTATCCTCATCATCATCATCCACAGTGACATCACAATAACTATGCACATCTTCTGACCAATGAACTTGCCCGATGTTAGCAACTATATCATCCAAACGTTGTTTGTACAACTTGGCATCGTCCTGCTTTTCCAACAACTGAGCGATTTTGTACATGGATCTGGTCATCACTCCCATCCAGGATATCAAGTCAACGTTAAGCTCACCGATATCAGCCTCACAACGAGGATAATCATCTATCCCACTTGGCAAACAAAGATCTTGCGTTCTTCCCTTCCAGTTATAGACTTCATCATTGTTTACATAATGCCTTTCAAACTCTTTTGTGTTTCCTTTTTGTGTCTTTCTGAACCATTCATAGTGAGTCTGGAGTTTGGAATAGATATTTTGTGCATAGTTGATCATTAACTCAGGTTTCTGTTTATGCAAGTCTCCTAACGATTCTCTTAAATTTTCTACTTTGAAAAGACTATCATGATTAACAGCATTAACTTGCTGTTCTAAGTGGAGCTTTTTAGCAGAATCTAATAGCTCACTGAAAATTAGCATCAATGTTGGAGGGTTCGCAATATTCGGATTTTGAACTGTGAATTCAGCAGGAACCTTCGATCTGGCTTCATCACCCAATATTTGTTCTCTCGCAATCCAACCTTTGTCATCTATTAAGGAAAACCAACTCTTAACTATATCCAATGTTAGATCAGAATCATACTCAAGAATGGGTAACAAGTGGAACCCTTCGTCCCAATAAAAACCTCTCGGGAAAAATGGCCTACTAGGAACGCATGTGAATAATTCGTAGTCACCTTCACTCGAACCTTTCAAGTCAGCATGCGAAAATTTAACATCATCAAGGACAGCATTTCTATCTACTTGCTGATCTCCGTGCTCATATATTATACCACCCATTAATTGAGATAAAATTTCCTTGGCAAAATCAATGTATTCATTGGTGTTGAATGGAGCGTTCAACTGAAATTGTTTGGTAAACTTTTCATCAAATCTAGCCAATGCAATTTCAAACATCTCCTTAATATTTGCATGGGTAATCTTGTTCTCTGATACGTCAGAGTTGTAAATAACATCGTACTCAAAATCTCCAACAAATGTTTTTTGGATAAGGTGCATATTTCCGAAAAACTGATTTGGATTTCTCAATTGAAATAGTTCAAAAGGAGAAAACATTTCAGGCCTTTTTCCCTTTTCTTCTAATTCAGCAACATTGAACCTGATCAAGGCCCAAAAAATCTCACTTGCCTTCCAAACATTTTCGAATGGAACATTTAAAGACATGTAGTGGGTGAATGCAGGGTCGAAAGAATCATCATCAACAATGGTAAAGCTTTCGGGGTGTCTATTCTTCTCGTCATCAACAATCTTTATGCTAAACTTTCCGCCTAATTTCTCCATGTTTCCATCCAAGACGATATCTCCACTAACTAAATTGTTTGAATTTTGATGAAAATCATTTCTAAGGCCGATTTCTCCGTCATCCTGAAGACCGGCGTAGAAAACCACTGAATTAACAGAATCCGGCCTTGCAGCTTTGCCTTTAATTCTCAACGCCCAATTCAACCCATCATCAGTTTTAACAAACTCTGTAGTCAGATTGAGCCTTGAGTCGTCATCATAGATTGACTCAACTCCACCATATCTAGGGTCGTATTTAGTCCATCCAAATTTTTGGATGTTATGATTCTGTTCACACGAGTGCTTTGATAACAAAGGTGCGTTGAAAGTATCAGCTGGAAACCACAATAAACCAGTTAGTATCGAATTAGGAATACGTGGGCGTATTCCTACATAAAGATTGGATCTATATGGACCCCAATTGAGGGAAAGCCGATTTGTTTTTTCATAAGCAGCTGATATTGTCTCAATGTCTTCAATGGTTTGTGCAGTAACTAACCCAATGAGTAAGACGAAAAAAAGCCAAATATTAGCCAACATCGTTACACCAAGATGTGTCTCTGACATCTCCGTCTATGAAGAACCATCCTTGATTTAAACAACCGAAAGTCCGTCTTAGACACGTTTTTCAAGAACATCAGAGACAGGATTACGTAAACTCAATATGCAAAAATGCTCTGTTAATGCTATTATTGTACAAAGTTGAATATCTTAATGTTATACACAGAAGCCCAGATACAATCAGAAACCTGTTCTTCTTCTTTTACGTTTATTTCCCTTTGATTGGGATTGACTGAATCCACCACTTGAAACTTGTGAAGATTTCTGGCTCATTTGGGAGTATTGCTGTGAGTTTGAGACCGAGGTTGGAACAGTGCCTGAAGTTGAATTCGGGGGGTTTTTTTTTGCACCCATTTTCTGGCTACTATTTGGCTTCTCATGTACCCTGGATTGTGAAACTGAAATTTGAGGAGCTTGAGAAGTAGATATTGCTGGCACATGGGGCAGATTTCTGGCGATGGGATCTCTATTAGAATAAGAAACTTCCTCATCACCTAGATCCATGATTCCCGCCACATTAGCATCATCATCAAAAGAGTCTAACATACCTTTATAATCGTCGGGTAGCTCAGATGTTGATTCTTTCAACCGGTTGTTTATATCCGCTTGGTTTAAGGTTCCCCCATTTTTTTTCAGTTCAATTAGACCCAAAAGTAAGTATAGCGTTAAATCTGAAGTGAGATTTTTATACTTTTTGCTAGTCAAAGATTGGAAGAAATTAATGACTTCATTTCCTTTCTTTTCAATATTTTTTTCTGGAAAGTCCACAGATGACAGCCTATCAGTTAACCAAGCGGATTGATTGAAACTGAAACTAAAATCTATCTCGTCACAATTACTAGTCAGATGTTTAACAATTTTGAAAATGTTTTTAACATTTCTTGGTATGTGTATATGGTCCATCAACTGAAATAGTGATCGGTGAGAAATGCTTTCCTCGTCAAGAAAACGTTTCAATACTTGATAAATTTCTTTTGTAACTTCGGTAGATAGTGATGATTCTTTTTCGTTGAATTTATAGTAATTCGATAGCTTATTGTATAGTGCTGCTGATGCATGCTGTTCCATCGGAAGACGTGAACCATGCTTCATGAGTACCTCAAAATTAGTCAAACTTTTTTCTCTTTGCGGTTGCAGTCCATACTTTTGCTGATCATCGTAAAAGCTTGTATAGTTCAAAAGATTGAATGAGGCTTCACCATTCTTGAATTTCTGAAGTACAAGATGCAAGCAGCTATGTGTATCGAATTGATAGAAACTAGAAGAAATCGAGGGCTCTTTTAAGTTTGTAAGAATCAGGTAAGGGTTATCAACAATTTTGAACTCAACAGTATTGAACTCGATGACAAAGTTCAAGACTGAAGATTTGGAAGAAATAATACACATCTCAGCTGATGAATTTTTGGGTCTCTTCAAAAGGCTAATATACATCGAAGTGTCCAAATCACTAAAATAATGTTTCCAGGATATTTTTCTTGAAAAACCTTTAGAAGTGTCGATGACTATGATTTCTTTTGTAGTTAACATGTACAAAAGGCAGTCATTTCTGTGACTTTGCTTTATGTCTAAAATTTTGGACCAAATTCCTGCGCAAACTCGGCAAAAAAACTTCTCCTTGTACCCATTACCATCTGGAAGTTCAACAAAAGTATACTCGAATAGCTGTGTCCTAGAAAACAAAATCAATCTTTTTGAATCAATCCACATTGATTTCTTAAAGTTTGAAAGCTCGACAGGGTCATAAAATGACCCATACATTAGTTCGACTTGAACAAAATTGATGGTCTCCAAACTGTTCGATTTGAAGACAATGAATTTTCCCATGCAGTCCACAATACACAACATAAGTGAAGCTGTCAAAACAAGCATACTTGAATGCGCAAATGAGGCCCATTTTGGGCCTTGTTTGAACTCAAACACCTTTGTCAACGCCAACGATGTGTTGGAAATAGTGCATTTCAAAATATAGATACTATCAGATGTTCTGACTAAGAGTAGTGTACATGGGTGATTTTGAGCTTCAACGCTGTAGCTTTCAATCCCTAATATCCGAGATTTGAGCGTCAGAGATCTGACCCAAATAAATTTGGGTGACTTGAGTCCTTTTGATCTAGAATTACTGATGAAAATTCCTTCCTCTCCGTCATCGACAAGCCTCTTATCCATGTCACTAAATCGAATTTGTTCAGTATCTTCCTGCAAACTTGAGTGTCGTATTTTTGGTTTCATTAGATTCCAGCCAATCCACTTTGGATCAATCCTTCCAAATGCTAGAATAGTATCGTCGGTACCGGCATTTATAATTGAGAAAACTTGATTGTCTATTTTAAAAAACTGACAGAGAGTCCCAAGGGTCGGATCGTTTAGCTGGGAGTTCAAAGCCAAACTCTGGTTTAGGTTGTCTATACTAGGCAATGGTCCCTGTAAACTTTTATGCGCTATCCATCTTGAATTCCTTTTAATAAGCTTGCTGTCTAAGGTCTCATCAGTTTTGGTCTTTGCAAGAATCTTTTGGGTGGTCTTTGGATTTTTGGGGCTCCATATTTTCCTCTGACTTGAATTAACTACTGCCAATCTTCTCGGTATCTCAGAATGTGTGGCCAGAAAATCTAAAGAAATTGTTCCACCGTTATCACTTGAAAATTTTGCATTACCCACAGTTGCTGACCCAAAAGTTTCGGATATTCCTATATTTGGTGCATGTGGAAGCATCAGAATTTGTTTTTAACATTTACCCTGCGTTAACAGAGAGGAGATTATTGCCTGTAGAAACTATTGTACCCTTGCTTTATATTCTGCCCTTCAATTCCAAACATGAAAATATCTGAAATGATTGAAAAATCGTTTAAGACCGTTCAACGCGGAGTAATTTTCGCTACAGGTTTTCTGTTCTAGCATTCATTTATTGTGATAATAGGACTAAGCAATGCTCGGATCTACATGAAATTCTATTCTGCATATTTGCATTGGGTTGTTGTACAAAAAACAAAGTTACCAGAGGTAAGCGTGAAAACTTATAAAGCCAGATTTGCCTATTTGGAAGCATCATCAAAAGATTCGAAACGTAGGTCCCAGTTGATTTTCGGCCCTAATTTTGGTAAAACCTCTGCGACACTCTGGACATCCTTATCACCTCTGCCAGAAACTGTGATGACGATGTTCTTGTCCTTTGGCATTTTTCTGGCAGCTTCGACAGCACCGTAAACGGCGTGGGAAGATTCTAGGGCAGGGATAATACCTTCGTACTGAGACAACAATCTGAAACCTTCTAAGGCTTGTTCGTCAGTAACTGCAATGAACTGGACCCTGCCATTATCCTTCCATGAAGCCAACTCAGGGCCAACACCAGGATAGTCTAAGCCTGCAGAGACCGAGTGGGTATCATGCACCTGACCATCCTCGGATTGTAAAACATAAGTCTTCACACCATGGAAAACACCAGGTTCACCAACGGTCAAGGTTGCAGAATGGTAATTTGAGTGAATACCACTACCACCAGCTTCACAACCCAAAAGCTTGACAGATGCATCATTTTCGAAAGGAGAGAATGTACCTGTTGAGTTGGAACCACCACCAACACATGCGACAATCAGATCAGGAAGCTTACCATTGTTTTTCTTTTTGAACTGCTCTTTGATTTCTTGGCCAATGACAGATTGGAAAGTTCTAACGAGGGTTGGGTATGGATGTGGACCGATTGCAGATCCAACAACGTAGTAGGTTGACTTCAAGTTGGTAACCCAGGATCTGAAAGCCTCGGAGGTGGCGTCTCTCAAAGTTTTGGTACCGTTTTGAACAGCAATGACGTTTGCGCCTAGGATTCTCATTCTGAAGACGTTCAATGCCTGTCTTCTAACATCCTCAGCACCCATGTAGACGGTACAGGTCATACCGAATTTGGCACAAGCAGTAGCAGTGGCAACACCGTGTTGACCAGCACCTGTTTCGGCAATGATATTTTTCTTACCTAACCTCTTGGCAATCAACACTTGCGCCAATGCGTTGTTGATTTTATGCGAGCCTGTGTGGTTCAGATCTTCTCTCTTTAACCAGATCTTGGCACCTCCGGCGTACTCGGTCAACCGTTCAGCCTCGTGCAAGGAAGAAGGTCTTCCAATGTAGTCGTAGAGAGAATGGAACTCGTCCCAAAAGGACGGGTCTGCAATAGCATCTTCGAATGCGTCTTCTAGTTCTCTCAAACAAGCGTGCAATGCTTCAGGAACGTACTGACCACCGTAGTCACCAAAATTAGGGTTGTGTATATGCTTTTCAGCAAAATCAGGCTTATCGACGACCTCTGGTTGCTGGCTCAGAGTGCTTTCTGAGGTGACATTTTTGCCCTCACCATGTAAAATGGATTCGACGAAAGCCTTTGCGGTTGCACCTCTTTTGCCAGCTGGGGCTGCATCAATCAAGTTGAGCAACTTCGAGCCAATAACCACACCGTCAGAGTTCTCACTGACAGAGAGGTAGTGCTCTCTGGTTGAGACACCGAAACCGACGGCTAGTGGGGTGTGGCCTGTGAATTTTCTCACATGGTTGCACAACGGACCGACAGAGGACGTGACAGAGACGCCGGCACCGGTGGTACCCATACGAGAAACAACATAGATGAAGGAGTCTGCGATTTCTCCCAAAAGTTTGAGTCTGTCGTCAGTTGTCGAAGGAGCAACCAATGGGACGTAGGATAAGCCCTCTGAGGAACAGATGTTTCTGAATTTCACTGCTTCCTCTGGAGGCAAGTCGACCACAATGAAGCCGTTTGCACCTGCCTCCTTGGCAGCCTTGATGAGTTCTTCTTCGCCGTACTTGAGGATCGGGTTGTAGTAGCCCATGAGGATGATCGGGGTGCTGACGCCGGACGCTCTGGCCTGCTTGACCACGTCCAGACACTTCTGGACCGTGCAGCCGTTCTCGATGGCCTTTGTGTTGGCGGCTTGGATGGTAGGCCCGTCTGCAATCGGGTCTGAGAAGGGGATGCCCAACTCGATCACGTCGGCACCTCCCTGCTGTAGGCCCTGTAGGACTTCGACAGTGTCCTTTTCGGTGGGGAAAAATGCCGTCACAAAGGTGACCAATGCATTACGGCCCTCGTTTTTCGCCTTGATGAACGCCTCTCTTAATTCTGCAGACATCTATGTAGCTTCAGCGGTGTCTTATTGTGTTTGTTGGAGCCAGGAGGGCAGCAAGAAGGACGAGCAGGGAACGGATGACACGGTCGATCTGGCCAGGAGTGTCCGTCCTTTTTGAGGCCGTGAAAAATCTACATGAGTCACGGGAGCCCCTCGCTCCGATCAGATAGACAGATAGATAGGCGTTATCACCGTTACTGCTGTTACTGTTTGTTTTGTTTGTAGTATACACGGGGCTATACGGCCTTCTTCACGTACTTGCGCTTGGACGGCTTGGCGGCCGGGCGCTTGCCCGACGGCGTGTTTGTCGCAGAGGAGCCCGACACGGGGGCGGCGGCCGAGCCTGTCACGGGCGTCGTTGCCGCCGACACCGCGAGGTCGCCCACGGCGGACACGGCGCTGGCGTCGTTCACCGGCAGCCGCAGCTCGTTGAGCATCTTCATGTCGACCTGCACCCGGTGCGGGACGAGCTTGATCGAGTCGTCCGGACTCATGCCCTGCTTGATCTTGAAGTAGCGGATCACCGGGAGCACGCACTTGTACGCGTTGAAGAACGCCGCAAACTCCGTCTTCAGCGCCACGATCCGCGTCGACATCTCCCGGTACACCTCCTGCGGCACCGACGTCTCCTCTATCGATCCCATCGCGTTGATGAACATGTGCATGTCGTACCGGATCCGCTCCATCTTCCCGTGCAGGAACTCGATCTGCGCAAGCACCCCGTCGATGTCCAGGTTCCCGGCCTCCAGGTCCTGGATCGACACCGCGCTCATCAGCTGGCCTGCTCCAGCCGACACCGCTTCTGATGCCGCTCCTGACGCCGCCAGTGCAGCCCCCGCCAGTGCAGCCCCCGCCGTCGTCGCCGTCACCGTCGCCGTCGTCGTCGTTGTCGTTGTCGGCGTCGGCGTCGGCGTCTCTGCCGGGCCTGCTCCTGCTGCTGCCGCAGCCGTCTGTGGTGTCTGCAGTGCCATAGCTGTCTCTTCCATCTACTCCCGACCCGGCTCTGCCCCGTCCCCGCCCTCTTTCTTCTTCTCCGACCCCGTCTCTCTCTCTGTCCCCTTCTTCAACACGTCTTGTTCCTCGTACCGCTCGCTGCCTCGATACGACAGAATTCGCTGTTGTGCTTGCAGCTGCGCCACGCGCGCTGCGCCACGCACAGAGAGCCCCGCGACATGGAAATTGTTGTTGATGAGCTTAACAACGGCCAGATAGAGCTGTTCAAGAGGACCGGAAGCATGACGGGCGTTAAGGTCCACGGGTTTGAAGTGAAGGAGCGTGTTCAGCAACAACAGACTCTCCTCGTAGCGCTGCTCGACGACGGCGAGCTGCTCGGCGAGCCGGAGCACGAGCCACTCGTGCTCGGACGCAGTGAAGGCCCAGCGGCCAGCGGTGGCAACAGGGAGCACCCACTGCAACGCCGGTACATAAGACTCGTGGCTGCCACAGCGCACGCCAAAGCGGATCGACGAGAGGTACACCTCCCGGAAAAAACTCTTCTCCGGCTCGGAGAGAGCGGCGCCGGCGGCACGCCGGCTGCTGTCAACGGCAACGACGCTCTCTCTGAGCTTGCGGAACGCCAGCAGAATCGAGTCTCTCTCGCTGTCGGCACCCGCCGTCCCGCCGGCAGCGGCTTTCCGCTCGTACTCGTGGACCCGCCGCAGGGTGTCGTCAAGGAGCCTCTGGCGGGCCGTGGCGTCGTCCTTCAATCGCGTGTCCTCGCCTCGGCTGATGAGTCCGTAGCTGTCGCCACGCCCGTTGCCCGACCCCGCTTCCCTTTCGAGGTCTCTCGCAAACCGCTCTTGCCTCCTCCGCAGGGCCTCGTCATCGCCAGAAGCCACGCGGGGCCTGGCGCTGTTCAAAACGTCCGCTTCCTGGCTCCTGCCCCGGCCCCTTCCTCGTCCCCGGCCCCGTCCCCGACCACCGCCTCGCCAGTTATTAGCACTGTGTCTCCCCTCACTCATGGCAGGCGGATAGACTGCTTGTCCTTGTTCTAGACCCTTACTGTAAAGCCAAGCGTCTTGGTGTCTCTGAACTCCAGCTCCACCGACTTTTCCAATGCTCCCGAATTCAAATTTCCTCTTTTGGAACCGGTGTGCCTGCTTTTTTCAACATGTTTCCGTCACCTACACCTCTATCCCCTGACCCCCTACTCCCCATCCGAAAACACCAAGCCTAAAATCGCAGCTGCTCTTTAGTAATAACTACGTTAGTGATGCTGAAACTGGCCTTTTTTGGCTCGGACTACTTTAGTATTAACTGTCTGAAGCAGATCATTCCGCTGCTGCATGCTCCATCCTCTGCAACTCCGCTTATATCCCACCTTGATGTAATCACACGCTCTCCCAAGCTCAGCGGAAGAGGAATGAAGCAGCTAAAGGACGTACCCATTGCATCATTCTCCGCTTTGGAGTCACTGAACCTACTCCGAGCTGATAAAAAAGCCGATTTTTCTGATTTAATGAACAGGAATTACGATATTTGCATTGCAGTCTCTTACGGAAAACTAATACCGTCTACTTTTCTCTCGTCACTTAAATATGGCGGACTCAACGTCCATCCCTCCCTTCTACCAAAATACTCAGGTCCTGCTCCTTTGCAACGTGCATTACTAAACAACGATAAAGTGACTGGTGTGACGGTACAAACTCTTCATCCTACAGAGTTCGACCGTGGTGACGTTCTTCTCCGTGAGACATATGACATTAAGAATGGCGAAACATTGGAGTCCCTAACACAGGAACTTTCTTTGAAGGGTGGATTACTCCTAAGGCGTATTTTGGAAGAAAAAATTTACGATGTCAGCTCATCAAATCATTCCGTGCTGCAGCCACAACTACCATACAGTTATGCCAAAAAGGTCCAGAGCAGTGAACGCCAAATACTCTGGAACCAATTCTCTGCTTTTGATCTTTATCGTAGAGAAAACACACTTGGACCATTATATACTTTCAAACAATTTGTGCCCAAGAAAAAGAGCAAAGCTACTTTGAACCCTTTGAAAAGAGTTGTCTTGTCAAAATGCTCTCCATCACTAATACCACTTACTGAAGCAGACAAAAATTTACCTAATGGCACTTTCAGGGTTGGAGAAACTGATCAGCTTGAAGTGAAAGTCTATGATGGCTTTGTGTCATATAGTGAAGTCAAAACAGAAGGCTATGGAACTGAAAATGGTGCCAAATTTTTTAATTCACTAAAGAAAAAATTCGGAACTCTGAATACTGAGTTCACCGCCAGCTCCGACTAGTCCTAATAAATATAATTTATTCCTGAATATTTATCTGTATATATGAGCTCAATCTTACAAGCTTAACGAAAACCATCAACTTCAGAAGAACAATAGCAATTACGAAGAAACACTGAAACCTTGAAGCTTTACCTCATAATGCAACAATGCAGTGCTTGTTGTATTCGTTAACAGCGATAGCAATTTGGCTATATAAATACCTCTTATCAGCCCTGTCTGGTAGTGGTATAAACCTCGACGGGTCACTAACATTCTTAGTTTTGATACGTATACCAGTCTTCTCCAATGTAATGTTCAAAATGTTCTCTAGAGAGATTTGCCAATCCACTGTCATATCAAAAACTTTCATCACTAGTATTCTGTTAAAACTGATAATACAAGCATGATCTCCACCTTGTAACACAACATGGGCCAGATATTGATCATCTGAATAAATTCCGCCGCTACACGTTTTGAGCCAGTATTGACCTTGTGCATCTTTCTCCGAAAAAGTAACCACTGCCCCATCAAATGGTATGAAACGTGGAAGCCGGACTTTCTCAATACCCTCACCATCAAAAACTGTAGTAGTGTTTTTGATACTTTCACTGATGTTGTTGGCCAAATCTAAAACTCCAGTTGCAGTTTTAGTCGGCAATCCCAACAGACCTTTGCCAAGACCCTTGAAAAACCCACTTGCTCCCTCACGAGTTGCACCTTCCATGGGTGCCGTGGCCAGACCAGATAATCCACTGGATATTCCATTTATAAATGATGTGGCACCTATTGAGAGTCCGTCAACAGGATGATTGGGTTTTCCGACCTGTCTTGTCATGCGCCTTTTTTCCTGGAAATCTTTATCCATTGACGCAGCGGTCAAACCTTTGGCCATTGAGTTAGTGAAACGTGAGACACTATCACTGACACCGAAAACAGATTTCTTCAAGAAACTTAAACTACCCTTGGCTAATCCAATACCTAACTCCTGAGGTCTGTCCGTCATTATGTATCCTTGATAGGGTTCATAGAAAATATCCATTACTCCTGAACTAATATTGTTGAACAAACCAACTGGATTACCAAGAAGATCAGCAGAGCCCAACACTTTGTAAAGTTGATAAAGGAATGCTTGCTTGTAATGTTCGGAAATATTTTGAATCAAGTAAGGAACAGGAGTTCTGATATTTTCCAATAACAATGCTGATAATCTCACTGGGGCATCGTTAATATTTCCAATCGCCATAGTAAGAACATCTGCAGCAACGGACAAAGCATTTTGTGTTGTCATTGTGTCTTCCACATTGACTCGTTCAGTACGCACAAAAGAAATATTAAATTGTAAGGGTTGCAAATGTAATGCCTCAAAATAAAGATCATCTGTAGACCTGATAGTTGGGGGTTCTGGTATTTGAAGATTTTTGTCCCAAAGCTCATTTTTAACATCTGAATTCCATGCAGCTCCAGGGATCTTAGAGAAATCTAATATAGCCCAAAGGAAGTCTTCATCGACCTGAACAGACAACTCCTGCAATAATACCGTAGCAAATTTTATATAATTCACACCATGAGTATTGTCTTTTAGTCTGGCAATAGAGGTAGAGAAAACCGGGTGGCTATTTAGCTCATAGCTAGACTTTGGAACAATAGTAGGGAATAAGATAACAGGATAGATGCATGAGTATAATTGATTGTCAATTTGTACCCATTTCATTTTCAAGCTGGCAGTCTGGTAAATATCCGATTCATTGTAATGGAACTCAATACCTCTAATGGTAGTGTAACACAATTCTTGATAAGTGTTTTTCGTATTCACCAAGGAGACACCAATACCTTCAAAGTTGAATACAATGTTGGTATAGTACTTTTCATCCTTAATGTTTGTCTCGAACTCATCTTTCATTGCAGTGGTTGCTGTTGTCGAAGTGGACTTATTTTGTTTCAATTGATACATACTTGTCCTTGGATCATACTCCGAAATCATCAAAGCTTGAATAGGTCCATCAGCTATGACATTCAAATCAAATATTTGAAAGGCACCGCCTTCTTTCTTCACACGCATTGGCATTAGTGATCCAATTTCGGCAAGCTGAATATATCTTTCTCTACCTGAACATCTAACAACTAATTCCTTAACTTCAGCAGCAGGGAAGTCCCATGCATATGGCATGACACTCTTTGGTGGAATTTTGTAAAACACCGGTGTGAATTCTGCATCTGACAATTTATTGCCATCTTTGTCAATATATGGATCTGCCTGATAAATGAAAAATTCGTTATCACTAAAATTTCGGATTGAATATGGCCACAAGTTTTTTGCATCTAGAATGTTGATAAAAATCGAAGCGTGTTCAGTACTTATAACCACTCTCAACAACATGTGAGCGTTCGAATCCAACTTTTTCACACGAATATATATCTCGCCAACATTATTGATAACAAATGCAGCAGACATGTTTCCACGCCCCTCTTTAAAACCAATCATCATTTGCTTGTCACCATATGTTGGCATATCATATATTGGAGAGGCAGCATTAGACCCTACATTCACTGTTTTTGAACTGCCAACAAGGCTAACAACAATTGGTATACCCAAATCATTTCTGATAATGTATCTGGGCGTAATGATGATAACTTTGGTCAAGTTATACACACCCTGTCCCTCAGTTATGTAAATACCAACATCGTTTTCAAAATTTCTTGTTTTCAATCCAACTCTAACTTCGAACGATTGTCCTATTTTATCGATACTGAATTTTTCACTAGGATAGGAATCACCGACACGTAGTTGAACGGTATTTCTTTCTAAATTTCCTCGGAAAAATCCAAAAGCATCATTTTCAATACTGAACGAAAACATGTCAGGAAACTCTTTCTCATCACCAGTTAAAACTCCTTGTCTACTCTTTGAACATAACGTATTGAAGCTATCCATGACAAACAAGTCTTTCCCTGTTCTGTTCACAAGCAAGTATGGTGAATAAATAGAAACCTTGGTACCGTATTTGGGATCAGTAGAATAGTATAATTTGAGACTCAACCGATGACCATCATCATTTTTTAAGTTGATTTCCTTGTCGACAGTGGTCATATTATTAGGAGTATTGACAATCGAAGCTGCAGAAACAGCATATGTAGATCCTAATACCTGAATCTTAATGACTGCACTAAAGTTCATGTCAACAATGTGGATAGGACATTTTTCGCCTTGGTTTAATTTATCATTCCATTTTCTTGGACCTTTTTGAAAGAGTCTCCATTCTATATCAAACGGTAACAAATTTTCAATGACCAATGGTGGAGAGATAAAAATATTCATGTGGGGGTATAGCTGATTAAGTGATTCTTTTTCATTATACTCAGCATGTGCTTTGAAGTAGTAATAGTCTGCCGGTCCATTCTGCTCAATACGAGGGCATTCTAAAAGCAAATCATGATCTCTAATGCTTTCCCAGGACATGGTAATAGAAGAATCATTACCTTGTAGTTTGGCAGTGGACCAGCCAAATATCTCTGATGTTGTAGCAGGTCTTACCGCAAGTTTCCCGTTGTAAACATAATCTATCGGAAGGGCAAGGTTAGCGCCAGTTGGAACCATGATTTCTCTATCAACAACGAATTCTCCATCATAATTTCCGACTCCCACATAGATTGGAGTAGCAGTAAAATTTTTGATTGAAACAGTGGACTTGAGAATGACTTCTTTCACTTTATCCTCAGCTAATACAATTTCACAAGCAAGTCTATTGTGGTACTGATCTTTCAATATTGGCGTAAGCATCAACACTTCTTCACCTTCTGCTTTTAAAGAGAGTTTTCGGATAGGGTCGTATATTGAGTCAATAAATTCAACACCAATATAGTTAATGTTAGGGTTGATGGATAAACTTTCACGAACTTGTCTCCAGTCTTCAAATGACCATGGAAGAGTTTCTTGATCTTTCAATAACGTTTTTTGTCTTTCAGAGTCCGAATCATCATCTATCCAAATGTTTAAATCATAACCCGTTTGGTTAATGATTCTATAAGGTGAATCTTCTCCACGTGGTTTCAATTCACCTTTTTCGGAAAGTAAGTTTGCAAAATGAGAGAGTGTAGCGATGGACCTTGAGGTTACTGTCAGCTCTGCAGTCTCTCTCGAAACAAAGTTGACAGAAATCTTTTGTTGGGCAGACCTTTCAATATGAACTGCAAATGACCATGCTTCAAGCAGTGGTTCCCATTGTGAAAGAGAATAATTGAAAGTATTTATTAAGGAACTCACCTGAGTATCAGCTTCCAACTCAGTTGACCAATTCTTGGCATTAATTTCAAATGCTTTGATATCAAAGTCCAAAATTGGCAATTCATGAACATCTCCAATCAACACTAATCTGAAACCTTGAATGTTAATTTTCAAACGCTCACCTTTGACTATAACCAAAGGCTCATTTGATTTCTGTCCTCTACCTTGTTGGGAAGCTTTCGATAAAGACGAAATAACAGATGGGGCATACTTGGATATCTTTTTACTGATCTCATCAGTGAAAGAAGTTCCTTGATGGCGAACATGATGTTGTTGGGATTCTATTTCACCCTTACTACCTTCATTGAACATTGAGGAAGCCTTGTTGAAAATTTCAATAGCTAAATAAATGTCTCTCAATGATAATCTCAATAATAAAGGATCAATATTAGAATCAATGGTGGTTAAAAATGAAGTTTTGTTAGAACCACGAGTGTCCAGCATGAAATCGAATGAAAAGTCATCCAAAATCCTCAACTTACTGGTGTCATCAGATGACATTCTTCTCAAAAACATTCCAATTCCAGAAGCATTCATCTGCGTAAGTTCACCAATTGTCAGTCCCAACTGACTGATTTTGAAGATGACAGCTTCAGTATCATCGTTTTCTGGATTAGCTAATAAAATGATAGAAGGATCAACAATGTTGACCTTGTAGTTAATCTGGTTGCCGGCTACAACATCGTCATCTAAGGAGTCTTGTGGATCTAGAATTTCATCAATCTTTTTGCCATTTTCAGCGTTTTCATCTGAATTATTATAGTCTTGGAGATATTGATCCACAACGGTCTTAGGTTTATGCGTTGCAAAATCACCAAATGATTTCAATGCAAAAAGGTAATCCATCACCAAGAGCACCTTAGGGCTGTCAATTGCGACATCTATGGTGGTAATCCCATTGACAGAATTGACCAACCCCATAAATTGATATTCAGTATGATCAACCTCAGGAATAATATCGGTAAAAACATTTTTGGTAGTTGCCCTCACATCTTTGACAACAAAAGATTTGATATGCAGATCTGATTTAAAGTCACCATTATCAAATAATTGAAACTTCGCTGCCATATCATTAAGGGAAAACTTGGAAAGTTTTTTATCTGAAACATCAATAGATTGTCGTGTGTTATTGTAAAGTGTCAATGAAAGTAAAGGAATATTGAAGGCAAAATCTACACTCACAGAATTAGGCTTTTTGGAAACTGCACTTGTAGTGGAACTTTCACTGCTTACACTAGCATGCTCAATATCAACCGACTTTTTGCTTAACTCTGATGGTTCTTTTTCTGGAGACTTACTTCTTTTAATTAACATATTTGCATTGGTAGCATCGTTTTCAATATCTTCAATGTTGCCATCATTCACCGCATTATCTTTGAAAATTCTTGGGAAGCTTTGTAAAATTTGGATAATACTAAAGGTTTGCCATTCAGATAACTTAATGTCATTTCCGGAAAGGTTACCATCAACAATCATTGACGGACGCGGCAGTTTATCCCCATCATAATAATCAATGTTGAAAATGATGTCCAATTTATCAATAATCTCCAACTCTTGAAAGTTGTCACCATTAACCACAAAACTTGAAGATATCTTAGTGTTGGTCAAACCGGCCTGGATAATGTTTAAATATGTATCATCCTTCCTTTTGAACTCATTGAATGTGTGAATTTCACCAAGGTTTGTGGTGATGGTGTCAAATAATTCATTCACAGGATCCACAATTTTTGGGAAAACAAAGATAGGAGCACGAATCAACACATCAAATTTCATTTTGTTTGGATATTCAACGTTATTAGCTTGGTCAAGGGCAGCGTCTCTTGCACTATCATAGATGTATTTCATACGTTGGAATTGACAGATGAAACCGTAGATCCTAGCAAATGAGTCTTCAGCAAACATGACAACCATTGATCTAGTTTCAAATTTGAATTGAGAACTATAAGGTAAGGTATTAGTCTCAGGATCGTATGTTTCATAAGACAAATCTGCCAAATCGTCACCTTGGATACTTATCAATTCCCTTCCACGATGGGTATCATTATCGATCAAATTTAGACCACCGAGAGTTGCAGATACACGCATGCTATCAGGTAACAAGAAGACACTCACATCTGCGCGTTCCAATACTAGAGTGGCCAATTTGATACCGTCATCATTAAGTATCATATTGATACTTTTCATATTGATATCAACATTTATATGGGCTGGTGCATTGACATTTTCTATATCGTTGTGACGCAATTTGTCAGATGGAATCTCAGGAGCCATCGGATCGGTGAATGTGTTCAAAGAGTAGTTTAACAAAGTCAATAACGATTTTCTTGTGATGACAACTTGAAAGTCAGAAATGTCTAACTTGACGTTTTGATCGTAGCATTCGATTATCTCACCTTTGAAATTGGCCAGTCTTAACGACTTGGTGTAACTGACAACAAACAAATTATCCAGCGATGATGCAGTGGAAGTCTCTAGGTTTGCTTTCGATCCTACCAATTTTTTGAATTCATCAACATTTGAGTTTTCCATATAATCATTCACCGATAAATCTGCCAGTAACAAATCCACATGCATTACGTTTTCGGTTTTGTAGAAATTAAGTTTCAATTTGTCACCAACTAGGTCCACAAGTTTTTCTGCTTCAAAAGTTGTTGTATTGGAGCATCTTTTCATTGATAGTATTATCAAATCCATTGTAAAGTTGAACTCAATAGCATGCTGGTTCATAGCTGGTGATGATACACTTGTAGTGGAGTTTGCCATCTGATCATCTTTATCAGATGATTTAGTTTCTGAAAAAGAACTATCTTCTAGGCTGTCCATGTTTGGAGCGGCATTTGAGTCAGTCAAAAAGGTTTGGACATCTGAGTCGTTTTGATTGGTGATACTACTGTTGTCAGTTTCATCATCGTTGGCAGTAAAAACAGGTACCGACGAGGATAATAAATCCATGAAAATCTTATACTGATAATCACTTAACATTGCCACGAATCTAGGGACATCACCACCAATCTTCATACGAGGCAAATCATAAAACGTTGGAATAATTGATACTTCGATGACAAAATTCATATTAAGCTGGTCCAAAATTAGAGCATCCTTCGGACCATCGGTATGCAACTGTTCAATCGTTGATTTTATATCAGGACCTATCAATATTTGAGCATCTTGTAAGGCAAGGTTGTATTTATCGTACATGTAAGTATTCAATTTTTTCCAGTCATTTTCTGTGTAAGTGTCCTTCCTCTCATTTTTAATTTCCTGATATTTGTCAGCACTGATGATATCACTCACGATACTGATATGACCGGCATCTAATATACCAACCGGAGAATCCCATTTGGTTGGATTTATAGGTAGGATTATCAACGGTGCTTGAAGATCCATTTTAACGTTCATGGTCTTGTGCTCTTCAAAGGCATACTGAAGACCGATTTTGGTTTGCTTGGTGAAATCCTGGATGGTTGATTCTGCCGCATTCATCAAGGTTCCGATAGTATCGAGATGAGCCTTTGGTGGTTTGAAAAATTTGTGGAGCGATTCTAAGAACCTTGTGTTGTGGAAAATGGTCATACTACTCAACTTGGCAACCAGTTTCGAATCCGCAGATTCATCCAAGGGGTTATGTTCGAACGAGACTTGAAAGAATGGATTGTCCGATAACACAGCATCGGACAAAGATAATTGGTTCAAGTTGGAGGACGAAGGTGAAGGTGAAGGCGAGGTAGACGGAGGTGAAGTCAATTGTTTAACACTCACAATGTGTTTATATAGCGTGTCGGTTGCCCCATCTTCGACCGAGAATTTGTTCAACCTGAAGCCAATGTAGTACGAGTCTTTTCTCTGGAGAAATTCAACATGGCATCCTTCAGATATGAACTCCGCCAAGTTGTTTGAGGAATGGTTTTGTCTTATAATGAACGAACCTGTGTTCAACTTACAGTTAACTGCCACCTTGATCCTCTCTCTAGGGACATCAAAACTCTCGGATAACACTTTCGATTCATCGAACTCGATGGCATCATAGAACTCATTGATCTGTTCGTCAGTAATTTCCAAGTCGGCACCTTCTGCAGGTAACACCGTGGGCTTATCTTCATTGTCTTTGGCGGTAGTTGACGACCCCCACCACGAGGAGAGCCAACCTTTGTTATTATTTGCGTCCTTGGCTGCAGCAGCCTTTGCTGGCAAAGCATGGTGCTCCTTCTTGAACTGCATTTTGGCAAGGGATCTGTAGAACTTCAAGTCGCCGAACTCACATTCTGATTCCAATTGGGTGAGAGCCTTTTTCTCGTCCAGGGTTAGGGAATTCTTATCAAGCAAGTATTTCTTCCACAAAGCAATATACTGTTTTCTCTGGTCTCTTCTTTTCTTGAGGTAGCCCCAAGTCTTGCGGTAATTTCTCTCGTGTATCTCGTTGTAGATGGCCTGGAAGGAGTACTGCAACCACTTGTAGGGATCTTCGGAGACGGCGCAGTGAGGAGCGTTGATTCTGAACTTGAGGGTTTTCTGGTAGTAGTTCATCTCCGTGGTAGAGTCCAATATGTCACAGTACTGGAGACGGTTCAAGTTCAACCGGAACTGTTCGAAAAACAACTCGACGTTGTAGTGCGGAGACTCGTCTGTGGGACCCAACTTGTTCAAGGTCAAGTGTCCGGTACCGGAGACGGGTTGTAAAAGATACTCGATGTTGCCCGACGCGTTTGCGGAGGCCTGGTCGATGTAAGCTTTCAAGCGGTCGATCATCGCGTCCCGGTCGAGGTCCGAGAAGACGGCGGCGGAGGCGGTGCTGGAGATAGAGGTGTCGAGGTAGACGGTGAGGGACTTCAAGAGCAGCAACTTTCTCGAGGCGCTGCTGACGTTCTCGATGAAGTTCTTGACCCAGTTTTCGTCGGTGGACACGGCCGACAACTCGTCCAAGGTGAAGCCCAGGGCGTAGGGAACCTTGGTGAAGCAATTGAGGTCCTCGTACCGGATGTGGATGTTCTTGATGGTGATCTGGAGGTTGTCGATGATCTTCGAGATGAGCGAGTCCGTGAAGCTCTGGTTCTTGAGCTTGTCCTTCTCGTCGAGCTGGCTAAACTCCGCCTGCTGCTGCGAAAGCAGCTCCAGCTCGTCCAACTTCTGCCGCTTTACCCGCAGCTCCCGGCTCTGCTCGCTGCCCTTGTCGAACTTGGTCTGCTGCACCGCGGACACGAGCAAGTAGCAGTCTTGGATCAAGATCTTCACCGGCTTCGACTTCAAGTTCGACCACGGGATCTGCATCGTCAGCGTCCCCAAATGCCCGCACCGAAGGTCCAGCGGAAGATCCAGCTTGTCCAGCGACTCCCGCTTCAGCTTGAGGTTCGACAACGTCACGTCCCCCGACCAGATCCCGATGTTGAGCTGGTTCGGGTCGAAGTTCTCCACATAGGCCCCCAACGTCCGGTTGAGGATATTAGCTACCAACGATTCTAACATGGTGCATTGGCTTCTGCTGCTGACCCTTCGTGTCTCTGTGTGTTGATACCAACACTGCCAACCCCTTTTCTGCCATGAGCCACTTAACAAGGCTCCGCCCTGACGCCTCGCAACAGGGGCAACTGCCCTGGCTGGATCTCCGAGTGGCAGGGACATGTAGATAAAATTTACAAAAAATGAGGAGCCTCCTCGTTCCCCGGCCGCCGCCGCCGATCGGCCCCAAACCCCCGACGCGTCGTTCTGCCCACGTGACCCTTGTCACTTTCCGGCTCGTCTATTCCACTCCAGCCACTGCCCAAAATCAATAACATACCCGGATATCGCCACCGCACCCGCCACCCGCCACATACACAGAGTCTAGGCACCACCCAGACACACAAACAAACGCACCAAAACAGACACCTTCATCCCCCACCCCCCGCCAGTAACCACAACACTGCCAGCGGCCGAGGTGATCTGCCCAGATCAGAGCACGCCCCCGCGCCCGCACGCCGGCCGCGGGCCAATAGGAGGGCGCGCAGCCGGGGCCCCTGGACAAGGAGGCTGGTCTGGCGCGCGCCGCAGTGTTTACCTGTTGACGTTCCGGGGCTATTCTGCTGGCGATCTGGCGCCTCGAGGAGCACAGCGGAAGTTTGTGACAACGCTATTTATAGACTCTGCGGGCCGGCTGGCGTTGCTCGACTTTCGCCTTTGTTCTTCGCTCCTCCTGGTCCGCTGCTGATGTCGTCTTGCACTGCTCCCGGCTGCCCCTGTGTCGCTGCTTCCTTCCTCCGTTCGTTGCTACTCTTCTTTCTGACCGTCCTCCCGTTCCGCTTTTGTTGTCTGCAAACACACCCGCTTCGCCCAGACTGCTCGCTTCAAAACCCAGGAAAGCTTCTACACACTTTAACTCACGCAACTACCGACTAGCCTGCTGCAGACTAGACTCGACTAGACTATCGTTAACACACAGACATTCTCAAGAAAGAAAAAACTTTTTTTCTCTCTTTTTCACATTCACTCGTTCTACAGAAAAGACAAATAATTTGTTTTATTTGTACCGTCTTTGGAATTAAAGCTTCGATAGACAGCCAGACTAGCTCGACCCTGTCCTTCTGAACCCGCTGCGTCTATACACTGACCCGCACAACACAAACGCGCAAAAAAACACAAACAAAACATCAACAGCAACAGTACACACAATGAAGTTTGATTTTGTGCTTTCCACCTTGGCCCTCGCTGCCTCCGCTCTCGCCGTCAAGGACAACCAGGACACCACCACGTTGACTGCCTCCTTGTCCTCGACCACTTCCATTTCTGTGCCTTCCGGCTGTTCCTACTCCAAGGCCTTCACCGCCACTGCACAATCCGACTTGGACACCTTGGCCGGCTGTCAGGCTATCAAGGGTGATGTGATCATCACCGGTAACTTGGGCTCTGCCAACATTGCTAACGTCAAGGTCATCTACGGTGACTTGCAGGTCTACGACACCCAAACCTTGGAAGCTCTCACTGCCGACTCCATCACCACCATCACCGGTGCCTTGAAGTTGCACAATGACACTCTTTTGTCCACTCTGTCCTTCGCGTCCTTGAGTTCCATTGGTGCCATCAACTGGGTCACTCTTCCAAACTTGGGTGAAACTGGTTTGCACGAAGTCTACGAATGTAACTCTATCTTGGTTTCCGACACCAACCTTACTGCCTTGGACGGTCTTAACCCAACCGACGTCGAGGTCTTCAACGTCAACAACAACAAGCAATTGGTCAGCATCTCTTCAGGTATTGAAACCGTGTCCAACGCCTTGACTGTTGCCTTCAACGGTAACGACACTACCGTCGAATTTGAGGACCTTATCTGGGCCAACAACATGACCTTCTACTCTGTCTCTTCCATCTCCATCCCAGAAATCATTGCCATCAACAAGTCTGCAGGTTTCTTCGAATCTAGTGTTGAAGAGTTGGACTTCTCATTGGTCACCTCTATTGGTGGTGATTTGACCATCGAGAACAACGAACAATTGAACTTCATCGATTTCGGTAACGTCACCTCCATTGGTGGTGGTTTGGTCATTGTCAACAACACCGACTTGGTTTCCATCGACAACCTCGACTCCATCAAGTCCATTCAAGGTGCCGTCATCATCAAGGGTGACTTTGACAACTGTACCATGCACTCTTTGAAGACTGTTAAGGGTTCTTTCGACTTAGAAACTTCCGGTTACGCCGACTGTGACCCATACAAGAAGTTGTCTAAGAACGGTGGTATCAAGGGTGACTACACCTGTAAGGCTAAGGCCAAGAAGTCTTCTTCTAGCTCTGCCACTTCTAAGTCTACCAAGTCTTCATCCACCAAGACGAAGTCTTCTACAAAGTCCACTTCTGGTTCCGATGACTCCGCTGACAAGAACATTTCTTCCTCTTCTTCCTCTTCTGCAGAAGTCTCTTCCATCTCTTCCACAAGTAAGGGTGACGCTTCCTTGTTGAAGGGAAGCTCTGTCTTTGGTACTATGGCAGCAATCTTCTTATCTTTATTATGATTTGATAAATAAAAATCATTTTCCTTATATCACCGACATCATATTTGGGGGGCATATTTGTTTCAAATAATTAAGTTGTTTTTTTTTCTCACCATCCCATATTCATTTTATAACACCTACACTAATATAACTATAACTATGACTATCAGTTAATCTGACGAAAAAAGTAAAAGTAAAGCATGCTATACCTGCTACAGATTTGAGACAGCTACTCGAGTAAGATCTACAAACCCTTGCCGTAGTTACCACTTTCAAAAAAGTCCATTATCTCCTTCACAACGCTCTCTAAGCTTGAAACCCATGCTTGTAGTTGCTCATTGACCTTGGCCAAGTCGTCTCCCAACTTTGCAAAAAAGTCCTTTCTGTAAGGACAAGCCTTCATGGCCAATTTGAAAACTGGTCTCACTAACATGGAGTGATATTTGGTCAACGTCTCGCCGTAGGACTTTTCAAAGCACTTCGAGAGTTCCCAGTCCTGATTATCAATACACTTTCTCATTGCAACAGCGGTGAACTGTAAGCCACGGGTAAGCCATAACAAGCCCTGTGTGGCCGTTTTCTTACCACCTTCTTTAACTTCAGTCAAAATCAACTTCTGTAGCGTACCACAGTTGACTGGATCAGAGAGGAACTTGGCCGAAACCTTGTTGATGTTGCCCGACATGTCGGATTGCACAACGCTGAATGCAGAGGACCCAAGCAGATCAAAGAGTTTTACCAAAGATTCAGAAGCCTCTAGAAATTCCAACGTCGATATTTCTCCATCGTTACGTGGCACATCCGCAAAGGATGTCTTCATATCGTCAAAAAAAGTCATCTCTGTTTAGGTATATGTATAGTCTGCTCCTCAAACTCTTTTGTTCTGAAAGCCTAAACTTATCGGACGTTTCACCGGCAACTATGTTGGAAAAGAAAAAGTCAAACACAGCTATTCCCATTGCCAGATCTATCCGTTATGTAGCTACTACACGCTAAACACGTATTTTCGCAGAACACATGAACGAGGAAAAAAAGAGACCGCGTTTACACTGCAGAAAAATTGTTTCTTTTTACACGTGAGATGTGCAAATCATTGTTGTGTATTGGTTCTCAAAATGAGCTGCTTATACAGACTACACGCTATACACAGCTGGCTACAACTAGTTTGTGTACTTAAGTGCCAATCTTCTCAACTTCAGTTTCTCACTCATACTCAACTTAGACTTAGCCATTAGGGATTCGTATTCGGCTCTGTCTGGGTCGGCGGCATACCTTCTACGTTCCTCTTCCTTAGCAGCTTGAGCTCTAACTCTCTCTGCTTCCTTAGCGGCTTCAATCTCAGCTCTTTCTTCTTCAGCTTGTCTTCTGGCTTCCTCCAAGAATTCTCTCTTCTTGGCATCAATGAACGCTTGAATTCTAGCCTTCTTTTCCGCCTCGAAAGCTTCGGCAGCCTTTTGCTTACGTTGCTCAACAGTATCGGAAACCAAAGCATCTAGTTTCTTGGTATATTCTTCGTAAGTAGGAACAAAACGTGCGAGTCTTTCCTTGACATGAAGTGCTTCTTCGTGACTCTTCTTGCTTTGTTCTAAATTCTTAGCCTTCATAGCCTCGTACTCTTCTCTTTGTTTAGAAACGTCCTTCTCAATTTCTTTTTCAAGAATTGGAATTTCGTACTGTCTTTGAGCTCTTTCAATATAGTCTGCTCTCTTGACAATAGCATCTGTCTGTTCTTCCAATTTCTTACTTTCAGCATCAAGTTTCTCGGCTCGTAAAGCACGGATATCATCTTCACTCATATCCTTAACGTCTTCGAATTTGATGTGAATAACACCCTTAGAGTTGATTTCATTGACAAGAGTCTTCTTGTTTTCCATCAAAATACTCATTTGAGTCTTCTCACGCTTGTCGTTTTCACGCTTTTCGTTTTCTTGTTGAATACGTTCTTCTTCTGCACGCTTCTTTCTCAAAGCTTCTTCAGCTCTCTCCCTTTCGGCCTCCAATTTCTCGTTCTTCTTAGTTTCGAGCAAAAGTTCGGCACGCTCCTTGATAAGAGCAGCAGTCTGTAAAATGGTCTTCTTTTCGTCTTCAAAGTTCTCCTTGGCTGACTTGATAATTTTTGCTTGACGTTCTTTCTCAACATCAGCTGATTGTTGAACGTTAATCAAGCCAATGGCACTGGACAAAGCTCTTCTTAAGTCATACAAGCGTGAGTTGACCTTAGAGGTTGGAGTGACGTACAATTTATCGGTGAAATTGATGACACCTGCTTCTTCGTCAAACTCGATATCGGCGTTGATCAAACCAGTGTATTGCCCATTGGTAACAATATCCTCAAAGGTATATTCATCGTAGTTAAATCCTGCATTTTCAAAAGTACAGATTTTGTAGAGGAAGTCAAATTTTATGGACTCATACAAAGTTGAAACCTTGGAAATGATCTTGGAAATAAAAACCTTTTTCAATGGCTCAACATATGGTGCATACTTATCTGTTTTAACAATGGTATTAAGGATTGAGTTAACAGAAGAGTGAAATGACAAAGGATTGAAAGACTTCTCGAGCAAAGTGTACAGTTGAACAATTTCGGAATCGGCGTACTTCAAAACTTCCTTCAAAGTCGAAGAGCCTAGCAAAGATTCACGAGTTGGGATTTCATTCAAGTTTAATAAGGATGACAGCTTGTTGTTCTTTCTCTTGAAAAATTCGGCATCCACCAAGTCACTTTGAGCAGAGAAGGAGTGGTCAAAATATTCTAGAAGTGGAATGGACAATGAGGTGACCAAGTGAATGGAGGCATTTTCCTTTAATTCTGCATCAGTGATGACTGGAGATTGGATCAACAATTGGAACAACTTTTGTCTAGCTGCAGTTGCGTAGACGTAATTGTTGGAGACTTGGAAAATCTTTGCCAGGTTATTGTAATAGTTGATCATCGCAATTGGCTTTGGGGTTCTTTTGGACTGCTTCATCAAACTGTGAACTTCTTCGATACTCTTGAAAGATTCCTTCCATAATTCCAACTCAACAGCGGTATTCAATTGTTGAAATCTGGTATCCAAAAACCTTTGTAAAGTATCAGGATTGGATAAATTGACTGAATCATCATATTCCTTTGTGAATGAAAGCAAATGAGTTTTGAGAATTTCACAGAGTCTCTTGAATTCAGATTTTCTTTCATACCTGACGCAGAATTGGAAGGCTTGGAGAGTAACTTGACAGTAAGAGCTTTCCAACTTATTGTTACCTCTCAATAACTCGAGAACAGTTCTGTAAGATTCCCATGCAAATCTCAACCAAGGTAAGAAGAATTCCTTGTTTGATCTGTCAGTAGTATCATCGGTAGTAACAGAAGATAGAAGGATATCTTCAGGGGATACGTTGAAAGTAAAAGTCTCGTCGTCTTCACCCTCTTCGTCGTCATCAATGGAACCGATCACCTTCTGTGCAGCTGCGGCAGAGGCAACCGATTTTTCAATGGCAGCTTCCGCAGCAACATTAGCCTTGGAACGTGCTTCATCTAACTTGGAGTTGGCAATGGTGATGAAGTACTTGGTGAGTTGTTCCAAGTTTTCGAAGCCTGATGTGCCGCTAGAGTTTTGAGCCATCTTCTTGTATTGATACAAAGCATCCTTGATATCTTTTGACAATCTGTTGTTGACTGCAAGCGAAATGAAGAGTTTAAAGATTTCTAGCAACTGAGTGTTCGTTGGCTCAATGTTTTTGGTTCTTTTGGCCGTAATAAAGGTGTATAAGTTCTGAAGTGCAACATCTGGTTGGTTGATGTTGATCAGATCTTCTGCACGTCTGAGAACGTTTTCTGGACGTCCTGCTTGGTAAGACATGTTTTATAGAATATGCTGTTTAATCTTAATCTCCAGAAGAAAAAAAGATTTATCCTGCCTTCTAGCTCTTCATTCTGGCTTTCCCCTGAACATGTGTAACTTCTCTCAACCCCTTGCTTTTTCCAGATTTGTTTCCGTGCTCACTCTCTTCCTCCCTACCTCTCTCCTGTGGGTGCGTTTACTGAAAAATTTTCCACCAGTGAAGAGGGTGAAGATATGGTGCACAGAGGTTTCTGTTGCTGCCCTTTCTTTGCTACACATGTTATACTTTACAAAATACTCCCAATCTTGATTGCAATTCCTGCGTACTCGGAACAAGTTATAAACCTTCACAAAGAGGCAAAACGTGTTAAGTGTAACCCAAGTAACTTTGCCGAAAGTTTTTTTTTTAAAAAAAAGGGTTGTTTTCTTCAGGCAATGTACTTGATTTATGACCCAACTTGCACAAGTTTGGAATGAATGTGAAGGAGTTTATCGCTTCATCGGCTTTAAAAGGAGATCTGGCTTTTTTAGACTTAGACAGTGCTCCTATTTGGAACGCATCCACGTGATTTTGTCGTGGTCTGGAACCCGAAACTACATGACTTTACGCAGCCTACTCCGTCCTATTCGCCTAAGAGAACAACTACCTTGCTGTTACTGATGTATTAGTGAAACAGGTTCATGTTATTACTATAAATAAGGGTGGGTTTGCTGAAAAAAATGTATGTAAAGAGCTGGCAGGCTAATCACGCCTCATTCCGGAGTACATGCGCACAGTAGTTTGCATACAGAGCAGAGATGGAGAATATTACTTCATAGACGTGATTCTTTACCATGGCATAGTTAATCGTCCATCTTAATGACGGCTCTGATACAGTCACCATCGTGCATGTCGTGGAAAGCTTGGTTGATTTTTTCCAAAGGATGTCTGTGTGTTATGAACTCATCAACTTTCAAAGTGCCGTCGACATACTTCTCAACCAATCCTGGCAGTTGCGTTCTACCCTTGACACCGCCGAAGGCACAACCCTTCCAAACCCTTCCGGTGACCAATTGGAATGGTCTGGTGGAAATTTCCTTACCGGCAGCAGCAACACCGATGATGATGGAAGTACCCCATCCCTTGTGGCATGCCTCTAAGGCGTTTCTCATGACTTGAACGTTACCGGTACAGTCAAAAGTCCAGTCTAATCCGCCGTCAGTCATCTCAACTAGCTTAGAAACAATAGTTTCACCTTCCTTCAAGTCCTTCATTGGGTTAATGAAATCGGTGGCGCCAAAGTCTGAAGCCCATTCTTTCTTCTTATCGTTGATATCAATGGCGATGATTCTAGATGCTTTCTTTTCAACAGCACCCTGGATCACGGAGAGGCCAATGCATCCGATACCGAAAACTGCAACGGTATCACCTTCATCCATCTTTGCAGTGTTGACAGCAGCACCATAACCAGTGGTGATACCACAACCTAACAAACAGGTTCTGTCCATTGGTGCCTTAGGATCAACGGCAACAACCGAGATGTCAGCAACAACAGTGTATTGAGCAAATGACGAACAACCCATGTAGTGGAACAAAGGTTTGCCATCACATTTAAATCTAGAGGTTCCGTCTGGCATTAAACCTTTACCTTGGGTGGCTCTAATCTTACCACATAAGTTGGTTTTACCAGACTTGCAGAACTTACATTCACGGCATTCTGGGGTGTAAAGTAAAACAACACTGTCACCTGGCTTGACGTTGGTGACACCTTCACCAACAGATTCAACAATTCCTGCACCTTCGTGACCGAAAATGACAGGGAAAGCACCTTCAGAATCCTGTCCTGATAATGTGTAAGCGTCAGTGTGACAAACACCAGTAAAGTCGACCTTAACTCTGACTTCATGGGCCTTTGGAGCCTCAACCTCAATGGTTTCGATAGATAGGTCAGTGTTTGGAGCCCATGCAACGGCTGCCTTACATTTAATAGTCTGTAAAAAAACTTTCAGGTGATATCTTGTCGTGGCCAGTTAGTATTTTGTTCAGCTAACAAACAAATTATCCTCTCCCTTCTTTTTCATCCTATGGAAGTAAAACATACCTTTCCTACGGTAGACATTGTTCTTGATGTTAGTTATTTCTGGTTTGAAATTATTCTTGTAGAAGCAAGAACTCAAAGTTCACCAATTGGTTTGCACTAAGGATGAGTAGAAAAAGAATCTGGAATAGACAACTTATAAATCGCCTCCCGATCGCCATTCGAGATTATGCCAATCTCCTCGCTTGCTTTGGCCCGTTCGGGAAAATATTGACCTCGGCGGATCCGATTTCTTGATAGGGGAATCCGAGGAATGGATCACCATTCGCTGCATTTATCAGTATTTTCTGTGTCCTGGACTCTTCTGCTTCTTCCGCCTTATATGTCTCACTTCTGTGCTGCATCTAAGCTTGTTCCGATCTATGAACAATCTTTGAGCAGACATTTATAAGTTCGTTCTTTGCCATAGCTAGAGTAAGAAAACTTTGTTGCTGAAAAAAATCCTTCATAATAGTTGCCGAAGTTTCGTCGCTTCTTATGGTTACACGTTATGGTCATCTATAATTCATTACAAAAAGTAAATTGGGACGTTCATACTGGATAAGGGTATCTGGCCCAACTTAAATCATTTTCCCTTGTGACTTATCTCTCCCACGATGAAGTCTTTGACAAATGGTAGCGAATTCAACACGTTCACTCCAAGAGATCTCGCCCAGACGATCGGAGCAAAATCAGTCGAGTATATTTTGTGAATCTTGTCAACAATACCTAACATGACATGATTAGGGATAGCTCTTTCTGCCCAATAAGGCTCGAGTGCTATTTTTGTCCCGATGTCCAAACCTCTCTTACAAGAGTTTTCCAATGTTTCTACTAAACTTTTAACATCAGCCTGGCCCATGTTCAAACCTTGGCCCGCAAGTGGGTTTGTAGTGTGTGCCGCATCACCAACTAAAGCAACTCTCTCTTCAACGTATGAGTCAGCATTGGATAGCTTCAATGGGAACTTGGCTCTGCTGTTTGGAACAATATAGTCAATCTCTAATGGGAAGTTTTCTTTTTGCTCCACTGTAGTTAAAGTCTTGTTGAAAAGTCCTAACCTCCATTTGATCTCTTCAATAAGATTTTCTGGTTCTTTGTCTGCAATTTCGTAAAGGTAAGTCAACTCATCGGGAGTCAATTTGGCAGCGGCGTTTAACATGTAAGTGAACTGTTCGTCACTCAACTTACCAACAATCGCAGAAATCTCAGGTGGAACAGCCCATACTAGACTGCACCAGTTGTTAGGTAGCGGTAAAAATGCTAGGGTACCAGTAGGCAAAAATCTTTGCCACCCAGTAGGGAATCTGAATTCATTGTCTTTGTATTTACAAGTTGCAACGTTACCCCATCTGTTGTAAGCCCATCCACGTGATTCAATTTTAGCAAATTTCCTGGCTGGGGAGTTATAACCATCACAGCCCACTAATAATCTGGTCCGAATCGAATTACCGTTGTCCAATTTGAGAATTGGCCACTCGTTTTGTGGATCTTCGGTTATATCAACAACTTTGGTGCTGTCTAAGATTGTTAAAGGGTTATCTGGGTTCTCATTATTGAGCTGCTTGACTCTCTGTAAAAGAGATGACTGAATATTTATGTTTTCAATCATTGTTGCCAATTCTGGGGAATCAAACTCCATCTTGGCGCCAGAAACACCGTCATAAGTGTGAATATTGTCATAAGTCTCTGTTCTATCTTTCTTCACATAATCCCAGCTGCCAATTTGTTTGAAGAAGTCCATGGAGGCAGGAGTGATGCTGACGACTCTCTTGTCAATGAATTGTGGAGGAGACTCGTAAAACTTCTCCAAACTTTCGACAAGTTTCCCGCCTTCAACCAATGTGCATTTCAAACCCTGAAGCACTGGAGACGCTTTGACTGCTGAAGCTAAGCTTAAACCGGCCGGTCCACCACCGATGATAACAATATCAGCAGCTTCAATCGTGGGTCCAGCAGAACCTTTGGCTGCAGTAGCCAAAAATCTTCTAAACATAGTGTGAGCTTTGTATACCCTATTAACTTGCATTGTTTGCAGCCGATTCAGAGGAAAAAGCATTATCTTATGCTCATCTGACAGTTTTGAAGAATGGTATGATGGTTTAATTCTGTTTTCATCGCAGGTCAATTTCTGCGCCACCTTCTCATGCGCCACATGTAAAGTCCTCTTTCATTTACGACATGATTTGAGCAACCACTCTGTATTGTAGCTTAATGTCACGGGAACAATAGGCGTTTGAGACGCAAGACACACAAATAGTCATTGGTGTGGATGATAACAGTTTCTCATTTCTATTTCACACGGTGCTTTTACTCAAAACTGCCTCCGTTAAAACCAATCTTAGATTTTTCTTCGAGAAAAATTCTTATCACCGTCATCTGAAAAGTTTGTTTCCTTTCCGCCATTTTCATACTCAAAACCTTTTTCTTCAGCAAAACTTCAAGAGGTTCAAATTTGAAAAGATGAATGACGATGCATCTAGCCTTAAAGATGTTGTCATTGTGAAAGACCTTCAATATAGTGCTCTGATTAACAGTCACAAACAAGACATATTAATCACTACAAAATTTAAGACTGATTTTGCTAAGGCTAGCTCTACTGATGAATTGAAATATTCCATAAACTACGCTGTAGTTAGCAGGAGCATTAAAGATTATGAAGAGGAACACGAGGAACAAAACTACCCTTCAATCGCATCTCTTGGAAACAAGTTAGTGACAGATGTAGCCTTTAAGCAGAATTGTGCCCATGTGACAATGATACTTAAGTCTAAAGAAAGCAATCATAACGTATCCATTATATTGAACAGAATGGTAAATCAGGAAGGGAAGATTGTGAATGCGGGAACTGACCAGTGCTTGCTTGAAGATCTCTCGCTCTCAACCATTATTGGGATTTTCACATTTGAGAGATTTCAAAAGCAGCCTGTTATTCTAAAAGTTGACTTTGACATAAATTTACTGAATGAAGATCCTCCAGTTTCACTGTTAGGAGCAGCAGTTACTAAGTATATTGAGAATTCAAACTTTAAAACTGTGGAAGCGTTAGTATTAAATGTCAACAAGTTGGCATTTAAGCTGATACCCTCAATTATTGATTGTAAAGTTCAGGTTTTGAAAACAGATATAATTGATTACTGCGATGTTGGTGTTAGTTCTACGAGGTCAAAGAACACAATCGGTGATTTGGACACCGGTATAGTTCAATTTGACAGTAAAGATATTACCACTGAGCAATTTGTCATCCCAACCTTGAACGTTGAGACTAAGCAAGAACGTGAAGGCGAAGGTAAAGATCATACGGTCTTCCTTGCTTTTGGATCAAACCAAGGACACCAATTACACAATATTTTACAAGCTATAGAGGAGCTTAATCTTCATGAGCATATCGAAGTCCTGCAATCTTCCTCACTATACAAGTCAAAGCCGATGTATTATTTGGACCAACCAGATTTTGTCAATGGCTGTTTAAAGATTTCAACAACCTTGTCTCCACATCAGTTGTTGAAAGTGCTAAAGAACATCGAATACTCATCTTTGAAAAGAGTAAAGGAATTTGATAATGGACCTCGGACAATTGATCTAGATATTATTCTTTATGACTCGTTGATTGTTAATGATCCTGATCTAAACATCCCTCATATCAGAATGATTGAACGCTCATTTGTACTTGTCCCCCTTTGTGAATTGTTACCTCCAGACTTTATTCATCCGGTGACAGCTGAACCAATCTATGACCATCTACAACAGTTGATGCAACAACAGCCAGCCAGTGATATCCAAGAATCTACTGATTTGGTTTCCCTGATTCCACTTCCGACTAGATTTCCGATGTTAGATGAAGAAACAAACAAATCTCTGAAATTTAGATACTTGGAGTACGACCTTGTACATCGCAAGACAGTTACTCAGTTAATGGCTATATTAAACATTACCCCTGATTCATTCAGTGATGGTTCGGATTCTAACTTGGAACTAGCTGCGACCATGAGAAAAGTCGATGAAATGGTAGCAAATGCAGTGGATATAATAGATGTTGGAGGCTGCTCCACCAGACCTGGGTCTGAGCAGCCTTCTTTAGATGTTGAGTTGCAACGTGTTCTACCCGTTGTTAAAGAGATCAAGAAAACATATGGTGAGTCAGTCATTGTTAGTGTTGACACCTACCGCTCTGAGGTTGCTGAGGAGGCAATCAAGTTAGGTGCAGACATCATCAATGATATCAGTGCTGGAAAGTTTGATGACAAAATGTATGACGTTGTAGCAAAATACAATGTCCCATATATCATCAATCATACTCGTGGTAATATCGAAACAATGAAAAAATTGGTCAATTACTCACAAACTACTGATGGCGAACTAACTTTATACAATAAAAGAAAAACCAGTGAAGATATCATAGTCACCGAAGTTGCCAAGGAATTATCGGAGCTTATAAGTAAGATGTACTCAAAAGGGATCCGTAGATGGCAACTTATTTTAGATCCGGGTTTAGGGTTTGCAAAAAACGTCAATGAAAACCTAAGTGTGATCAGGGGTTTGCCATTTTTCAAGAAATACAAACAGTTCAACACGAAAACTAAAGAGTACATATGTTTTGATTATATTCCTGTCCTCCTTGGACCTTCTAGGAAAAAATTCATCGGTACAATTACGGGCAAGGAAACTGCTGCGGAAAGAATCAATGGTACAAGTGCCTCCATCACTGCTGGAATTGGATTTGGGTCAGATATTGTCCGTGTCCATGATTTTAAGGAGATGAAAGATGTTTGCTTAATGGGTGACGCAATTTACAAAAATCTTCATTGACGTAGTATATATTCACCACATCTATAGAATACTAAAATAAAATTTAGTGGCAAAACAAAATATGATTGAAAATTAAATGGGTTTTATAGAAAACAAGAGAATTGAAAAAAAGCGTAAAAAGATTAAACTGCTTCATACACACACAACCTCTCTGAACTAACTTCACATAAACAAACTAAAAAAATAGAAAGCAATAAATTGCAAGCTATTAATTTAAACTTCCCCAACAAACATGTATTATATATTTCTCTTATATATTGACGCATTCAAATACATCTCAACTAGTCGATTAAGCCGCATTTGGACATAATCTGGAGATGTGGCCTTCCTCGTTGCAGTTGTAGCAAAGCTTTGGAGCAACCTCTTGAGCAGCTTGGTCGCATTCTCTTGAAATATGACCAGTCATACCACAGTTGTAACACTTTGGACCTGCGGCTTGGCAGTCCTTAGCAAAGTGGTTAGCCTCACCACACTTGTAACAGGAAAGCTTAGAGCTGGCATTGCAATCCTTGGAGATGTGGCCAAACTTGCCGCATGTGTAACATCTTTGGCTGGATCTGACAGGCAATGAGCACTCAGACTGAACGTGACCGATTTCCTTGCAGTTGTAACATTGCTTTTGAACGGTTTGCTTTGGTAATGGACAGTCCTTTGACTCGTGGTTTGGTTGCTTACAGTTGTAACACAATCTTTCAGCTTGATCGCAATCTTCGGCTTTGTGGCCAGCTAAACCACACTTGTAACAGGTTCTTGGGAAATGGGACGACATCTTCTACTTATCTACTCTCTGGATATACTCAAAAGTACTGAGAATAACAAAGAGCAAAAGACACGTCGAAGCAACGCCACCTGCCACTCCAACTTGTACAATCAAACAATTTCATCTCGTCCCCTCCCACACAAAAACGTCGAGCATTTCCTGGGAAAAAAAAAAAAATTAAAAATTTTTCACTCGAAATTCCGAAAACACCCGATCGGGAAAGTCAACCGAAGATATCATCTATGAGATCCTTACTGTTCTCCTCGGTGTCACTGTCTTCCTTGTCTCTGCTACTTTCAAGGTCATGGATATATTGGTCAGCCCCGAGTGGACCGGTATTGTGGCCATCTTCCTCCTCAGAAACGATAAACTCTATGTTTTCCTCGTCCAAAGGGGTGTCAATGCTGTCTTTGCCCTCTATATCGACAGTATTGGTGACAAAGATTCCGTAGTCGTTGGTCTCTTCCATTTCATCGTAGGCAGCATCAAGATCTTCCAGTTTTCCTTGCTCTAGAACGATGTGCGCAATCACTTCGGGGGCAAGAACATACTGTGTGAAATTGTCTACACCCCAGAAGTTAATTACTTTGCTGAACTTTGCTTTCTCCTTGATGAGATTCCGTAAGGTAGGGTCTCTCTCAATGGCCTTTCCGATGTGGAACCCACGCACAGCACCAATGTATCCATAAAATCGTTCTTTCGGCAAATTGGATATATCCTCACCTCGTATTGTCATTAACGGAGAAGCCTGCTGTAGCTTCTTTGCTTCATTGTAAAAGTATGATCCTATCTGACCCTCGAGTATGTCTATCACAACAGCTCTGTATTTCTCGACAATTTCCCGAATGTGTTCAACCTTTTGGATAAGGTCTTGCTTAATATACTTTTTCTTGCCAGCATACTTCCTTTTCACTGCGTCGGACTTGTCCTTGTTATTTATGAGCGATTGTAGAGAAAGGTCTCGCAGTCTATGACCTTGCTGACTGTTCTTCTTGTGGAACGAATCAATTGCCTTAGAAGTTTTATCACGGGTCTTCATGCCCAGCAGGGTATCGTTTTTCAGCTGCTCCGAAATGTGCCTCGACACGCTGGTGCCTTTCTCTCGGGCCTTTCCTCTCTCCTTTTCTTTCTCCCTTTCTCTTTCACGTTTGTACGTCTCCACAGCGTCCTGGAGGTCATGTGACTTCTGTTCCATCTCGTCTACGTCGAACTCTTTCATGATGCTTTCCATTTCGTCGTTGTCTTCTCCCAGATGTAGCAAGTCGGACTCTTTTTCTCCCAGGTCGTAAACGTAAACATCCAGCTTCTTTTTCGCAGAAAGTCTTTCTGTGGCCGTCACCTTCTGTTTCTTTGGGCTGAGGTCGTTCTTTATCTGTCGACCGTATATGGCATTACTTCTTCGCTTAGTCGGCCTATTCAGTCTTGACGTCACCGGCATTAGAGAATCGATACTCGATGGTACGGTGTGTGTCGACTTTGGCACTTGATTAGACGGCGGCATAATTGCCGTCTCCCGCTGTGGTGGCTTCGTTAATACCAGATCATCATCGGGGCCAGCGGAGTTGTACCTGCGTGGAGACGATTGCAGGCTGTTTAGTGATTTGTTGAATGGAAACTGCGGTTTTCGATCCATAATTCCCGAACCCGGCCGAGCTCTTGTATGGTCTTGTGTAGTAGTGATGGTCAATGCACGAATGCTATTCTCCACAGCACCCGTGCAGTGATCGTTGTGCCTTTTTGACGAGCAAGCGTGCCATTAGACGGAGGAAGGAAACGCTAGTATGCGGTAAGTACGCTTTGCGCGAGAGCTCTGCTCGATTCATGTTCCGCTATACATATGTGTCAAGTTTGGATCTGCAGAAGCAAAGGGCGGCAACCCGGGTCAGACAAGCAGAGGCACGTATCTAAAGTTAGGTGCTGGGAAAGAGCATCCAAAATGTCTTCAATTGCAATAGAAACTAAGCTCAAAAAGTCTCTTGCTAGATTCAGAGAAAGAATCAACAACGGTTCCTACTATGAGGCCCAGCAGACCATAAGATCGATTACAAACAGATACGTACACTCCAAGAACTATGAAGCAGCCATCTCGCTCCTATATCAAAGTACAATGATACTTCTAGAAAGCAAGCAGTATGATGAGGCGGCAGATCTTTATTTGTATATGCTCGAGGTACTTCAAGACGAAAACAAGAGTGTGGAGGAGTTTGAAACTGCAGACTTGGGCAAGATTGTCAATATTCTCTCTACATTCCCTAACACAGATGCCAATTTGGCAAGCCTAGCGAAGGATACCAGCAAGTTTGTTAATGCTAAGGTGGGAAGCGATGTCGGATTGCCGAAGATCAATTTATTGTTGGGGACGAAGCTTCTTCAGAGTGGAGTTGCCTCTCAAATCGGACAGAGTGAAAGATACCTTTTCCTTACGAGCGATGTCAATGCTTTGAAACTGATTGTTGAGCTGGAGTATCACACGTTCAAGGCCGAAGGCAAACCGGAAGACTTTGGTCTATATCTGTCGAGAGTGGTCTTACCATATCTAGCGATAAAGAACGTCAAGTTTGCCGAGCTTGCCTTGAAGAAGATGTTGGAGGACTTCCAAGAGGACGCTCCTAGTAAAAGGTTCCAAAGCGTAAACGGGATGCTCATATTCGAGGCTGACGGGGATAGCGACCTCGATGATTGCTACAAGCTTATCAACTTCTTACAGCTGTTGCTGGCGCTGGCGAAAAGAGGGTCGAAGGATGACACTAACATTTTCTCCTTGATTCTCAAGCGGTACCAGAATGTGTTGAAGGGTTACGAGGGCTTGTTTGAAAGAATAAACGAGATCGCAGTGACTTACTACAACATATCGTTCATCAAGAAGCAGTCGAACCTCCTCCAGGACATGATGGGCAGTTTCCTTGGTGGCGGGAAATGATTGGAGAGTGTTGCGGCGGCATGTTGAATGCTGCCAGGTGTTCCAAGGCCATTAGTTTATGTACGTGCCATTACTAGACCTAAGTAGTCCGATAGACAATACGACGGAAGAGTGGTTACGCGAGGTGCGAGGGGTGCTCGTTTTTTCCTCCCACATTTAGGGCACAGACAGTGGTGACTGCGACTGCCACTGCCTGAGCACCCCAAGGTCTGCTAGAGCCAGAGCTTGTCTAATGTATAAGATGTTTATTAATATTGGAAAGATAAACAGAACCTATAGAGAAGGAGTGGAGAAAAGCCCCACGCTCACATCCACCATACTTGTAGACCGATCCAAGATTTGCTTAGAGTAAAGTGAAACTGAATGAGAAAGTACGGAACCGCAGACTTATCTTAAACGTCTTGCTTCTCTTTCGGATTCCATCAAACATAAGATGTCGTTTTCTCTGACTGGACCCTTGACGTTTCTGACAATGGTTCTGGAGGAATCATCCAAAAATTCGACTCTGACTTGGGTGACACCACCTCTGGAACCGGTTCTACCGAGAACCTTGATAACCTTAGCTAAAGTAACTGGAGTTTTAGTATCCTGTGGAACTAGTGGTGCAATCGTGATGCGCTCATGTTAGTAACGTGTTTCTGGCTTCGATGAGAGCATAACTCTCGTTGGCGTGCTCTTCTGCGGCTGTGAAACAGAACAAATGGCGGTCAAGCGCCTGCTGCGCCAGACGGTTCATTCCTTGCTGCAAACGCTGCTGGCCACAGTTTCCCGCCCCTGCCTCCCCGCCCCTGCCTCCCCGCCCCTGCTCAGACAGACACAAGATGTCGCCAACCTCCGTCTGTCACTCCAACATCATGTTCGGCACTCCTCACTCGACATTTCCGCCTGCATCCAATGCATGTGCATCTGTACATACCATTTTGTTTGTGTATCGATGTATAAGCTAGACAAGGAAGCAATGAAAACGACCACAAACGAAACAGTCCTCTCAGTCTACGTCTTCATCCCCTTATGCCCAAGTTAGAGAAGAAAAAAAACGACTTTGAAAAAGTTTGGCCACTGCCCGCTGCTGGAGCGAGCGAGACGCAGAGTTGCGTCCCCGGAGGATCTGTGCCGCCGCGGCCGGGTAACCGCGAAAACACTTTTCGGGGGCGATCGGCCCAAACGGGCCGGAGAGGAAGGAGGATGATGAAGAGACAGAAGAAGAAGGGTAGAGGAGCAGGAAGAGTAGTGGCGGGGTGGAAAGGGTGTCGGAGGGTGCTGGTGAAGGACAAAACACAGAATGAGTGCAATTGAGTTGGCGAGGAAGATTGTTGTGTTTGGCGGAACAGGGTTTCTCGGTATGTAAGACGTTGGAGTGTTGTTTGACAGTTGTTTGACACATTGGCCGCATGGCATGGAGAAAAGGAGTACTAACGTCTGATTCGGAGGGTCAGCGACGTCTGCGGGCGTGTTGCGTCTTCCAGCGTTGTTTTGGTGCAGGAAAGCGGATCTGCGAGAACGCGGTGAAAAGAGGCTACGAGGTGGTGTCGATCAGCGGGTCCGGGAGGAAGCCGGAGGCGTATGCGAGGGAGGAGTCGTCATGGATTGAGAAGGTGCAGTGGCGCAAGGGGAACGTGTTCCGGCCGGAGACGTACAGGTCGGAGCTGCGGGACGCCAGAGCGGTGGTGCACTCGATCGGCATTCTTTTCGAAAACGACTCGTACAAGAAGATTGTCGGGTCGCAGGACGGGGTGCTCAACGCGGTGAGCGGGCTCTTCAGGACGGCGAACCCGATGGCGAAGAGCCCGGACGTGGCAGGCAACGTCGTCATCGACAAGACGTACGAGCGGTACAACACGGAGAGTGCGCTGGTGCCTGCGGAGGCGTTGGTGGAGAGCCGGGCCGGCGAGAGCGGGTCTGCGCCTGTGCCTGCCTTTGTGTACGTGTCCGCGGACCGGGGGTTCCCCGGGATCCCGTCCGGGTACATCGAGAGCAAGCGCAGGACCGAGTACGAGCTCTACCAGCTGCAGCCGTCTCTCCGGCCGGTCATCTTGCGGCCCGGGTTCCTGTACGACCCGTCCGAGGTGGGCGACGGGAAGCGGACGCTGCGGGGCGCGTTGAAGGGAGCCGTCGACGTGCTGGACGCCGTCAACCGGAGGCTACTTTTCAACGCGTTGGACGGCGTGATCAGGCCGAGCGTGTCGACAAAGGTCGTTGCGCAGTGGTGTGTCGACAAGATCGACGACCCCGAGTTCCACGGGCCTGTGATGCTCGACGAGATGATCAACATCCGCAAATGAGGCATGAGGCCAGCCCCACTATATACGTTATGTCCTTTTACGAACCGAACTGACCCCACTCTGTTTCGTCGTCTGCTCCTCTTATCTGCTGCTGATAAGCACGAGGGCCTCGAAAAAAATAAATCAGGCTCGCAGTCCCCGAGACTAATCTGCGGCTGCGCTTCACACGCTATCCGAGGAGGGTACGTGGTGTTGCACAGGCCGTTCCACGGGGACTATACGGCCATGCTGCAGGCGATTTCCCGGAACGATGGAGAGATGAAGGCGAAGACGATAGCACGGGCAGAGGCCAGCACAGAAGCCAGAACGCCGGCGCCGCTTGCCCACCTCGGCTTCCACATGGACGAGAGCGACGACGACGGTGACCGATGGAGGAGCAACATCGTGTACAGGTGGATACTGCGCTGCGGCGAGACCGCCAAGGGCGGAAACCCTGCTCGAGACCACCTCGCCAACGAGCGCACAATCCTAGCGTACATCCGTACGTCGCTCAACATGGTGATATGCGGCCTCTTGCTGCTGCAATTGAGCAAGTACGTCGTCGTCGCTCCGATCAACGGCATGCGGAACCACGCCGCCCTCGACGACACGCAGCAACAGATCTACGACGACGTGATCCGCATCCTCGACTGCGTGTACCGCTTCTCCAAGCCCTTGGGCGGTCTCCTCCTCGCCATCTCCCTCGCCACGCTCGTGTTCGGCGGGCTGCGATACATGCGCATGTTCCAACTCCTCTTTTCCGACCACGACGTCTTCGAGAGCGGCTTGCTGGTCAACTTGGTCATCTTCTTCAGCGTGATTGCCTCCGTCGTCTTGGCCTTTGTATATACCTATAAACTCTAAGCCAGATGAAAAATAATGGTCACGTCACGTGCAAGGAGCGAGGGTTTGTAGTTCTCTTTGAAGCCCTCTTTTTCCCCGCCAGCGACACGCGCACACCGCTTTTTGCCCTTGGGCCTGCTGGTGCGGAGCGGCCCCGTGAGGGTGTGTGTGCCTCTGGCTGGGAGGCAGTGGTGGTGAAGAGGGTGTGAAGAATCTTCTCCTTGAACGAATGAGTTTGGCATACACGGTCAAAGACTACTCTCTAAACACCAAGAAACACTTACATATATCAACATGGTATGTAGCAGCATGGAAAACCAGCCCCACGAGGCTATTGCTATAGGAGGAGCCCCCAAGGAATACGAGAATGAAGAGATTAAGTGAACAAGAAGGCATGCTCAAAGATCAGGCCGCAAGGATGCCAGTCAGAGATATGACAGAGTTGAAACAGACCTGAGTGAAATGCACCAGTTGCAGACGTTGTTATTATCATGATGGATGTCCTATGAAGAATATAGCACGTGAAACTTGACAGTCAGTAGCAAGACGGATTTAAGGAATTACTATCTCTCCAACGCTAAGCACCAGACAAAAGACCAGCAGATGGACAGAAAGATTTATGTCAGAATTTTATATGCCACCACCATGCTCCATTCTTCACTCCTCCTGAGCAAGAGCTGTATTTTGCCAACGATTTTGCAGATTACTAACATTTCACGTGTTTATTGCCTCCCACGCTGATAAACCACTTTTTTCCTACAGGGTAAAGTTCACGGTTCCCTTGCCAGAGCAGGTAAAGTTAAGTCTCAAACTCCAAAGGTCGAAAAGACTGAAAAGCCAAAGAAGCCAAAGGGTAGAGCATACAAGAGATTATTGTACACCAAGAGATTCGTCAACGCTGCTGTCACCCCAGGTGGTAAGAGAAAGATGAACTCCAACGCTAAATAAGCGTGCCAGAAGTTCTTGTATAACCCCATTTAAATTGTTTAATACTTTTAAATATAAACATGACAGTCAAATTTTAACCTCAATCCCACACATGGTATATACATATTTACACGACCGCTTGGGGTTCAAACGGGATCCTTGCCGTCGTCCTCGTTTGTCGTGCCAGGCAGAACACTGGCGTCGTCGTGCCACGGTATCTTCGTCAACTTTATGTAGTTTGCCGAACCGTCATCGTTCACCGGCGGCGGCACGCCTACGCCCTCTATTCGCAAAGCGTTTTGCGAGCGGAAGCTGTCCAAGTCGTTCATCACCTCGTCGACGCTGCTCTCGACAGACAAGATGTTGATCAACGCTCGAAGATACTTCACCGCATATATGTTGTTCGTCGAGTACTCGCAAGTCTCCTGCTCCTCGTAATACATGTTCATCACTTCGTCGTCGCACTGTTCGTCGCAAACAAGATTGTTCACCTTCTTCCTGTAGAACTTCAACCCATCGTAGTCGAACGTCAAGTCCCGTTCTAGCGGTCTGTCCAAGCCCTCCGTCAGAAACACCATCGTTTCTACAAAGTGCAATATTGTGAACGGTGGCGACGTGTGGAACCGGGCCTCCAGGAGAGTCTCGATCCATTCGACCATATCTCCCACTGTTTTTCGTTTCACGCCGTACCCAATGTTAAAGAAGTCAGTGAACCCAGCGTCAGCTTTGTAAAGCGTGAATACAACCGTTGCTATGAAACTGCATATTCGTGGCACCGTCACCAACCACGGTTCAGGCTGGTTCCGTCGTACATATGTTCGATCAGCCTCGATATTCTCCACAACTCGCCGCAATGTGTCGTCTAGCAACCCCTTTATATGCTCCTTGTAGTATTTTCTTCCTGATAACTTGTCTGCATTTATGTCGACCATCGTCAACAGCCACTTTATATCCCTTTCTCTCTTTCTTCCTTTATGCAAAAAAAGGAGGGTACTACCGTCTGTACCAAAAGCCCTTCAGTGGAACACAGATGTTGTCATACCGGACCGACAGACGTCACAGAACATCTCTACACTGGTCGACAAACAGATACTCCCTTCCGGTAAATCCTGTCTGTTTGGCTTGAAAACCGTCAACCGTTGCATCGCAGGCTCTCTGCAGATCCTCCTGCCCGCTCATCCATTGTCTTCCCATTACAGCAGTGTAATTGATTTTCTCCCCCGCTCCAGCGGTGTTCCTGCCGAGAGCTGGGCAAGCAAAACGGACGGGCAAAGAAACGAGTCTTCGAGGCAAACGTAAGTTTTATCAGTTCCTGATATGTGCGTCTCTATCTATCTAATAAGTTATAGTGAGTAGTTAGTAGTTATACAGTGTTTTAATTTTTGTTTGCATAAGGCAGCGGGAGAGATTGAACCGCCCTCACTCTTCGTTCATCCCGTCCGTTGGCGGGCTGTACGGCCTCGTGGACTTGCGGTATCCGTTGTAGCTTCTGAACTTGCTTTTATTGTGCGACCCAAGAGAGTGACGAGGCGATCTTGGGTTCCTAGGCGAGATAGGGCTGTTCTTGAGCAACAGGTTGCCGCCCACATCGTTCCCATAGGAGCCGGTGATCCTCGCAGATCTGCGTCTCGTTTTGTTTGCCTGTCTGAGGAGATCAAAACCGAACAAGTTGTCCGAATCGTCGCCTTCGGAATTGGATTCGATAATCAAAGGATTGCCCAGTGCGCTTTCCTTGGAAAGGTCCCTATTCAATTTCAAGGGCTCGACAGCGCCTTGCAACGAGTTCTTACGGCTCTTCTTGCCCTTGTATCGCGGGGAAAGGAGCTTCTCTTCACTTGGAGAACCAACGTCCGCAAGTAATGTCCGGAATGATGCGGTGGACTCAAACTGCATAGCCTGATCCAGTTTCGGCGAGCTCACATCAAACTCCAAGCCCCATGTTCCCCGATCCATGGTGTTCGAGGTAGTGTTCGTTGTAGCTGTCGACCTGGTGTCTACAGAGCTGCTGTACTTGTGTCCATAATTGCCCTGCATCTCCTTGCCATCTTTGGTAAAGAAAGAATCAAGGGTTTCTAACGTAGCAAGCATGTTGCTCAACGAATCCTTGTCTGTCACTGACACATTATCGGCATTGAACTGTTCTTGCTGCTGGTGGTGGCGGTTGATTTGCTGTTGAAGCTCAGGAGTCAATGGGTTATACTGTACATACTGCGATTCCGCAGAAAATATCTGAGGAGGTTCGGACAGCTGTAGTGATTTCTCAAAGCCGTTGGAGAGCTCTGTCTCGTTGGCTTGCGAGTCTCCAATGGGCTCCTCGGTCGACTCGTCATTCTCCTCGACACTTTTCACGCATGTAGAATAAACGGAATGAATATTGTTTCTCGTGATCGCCGTGCTGACGCTTGGCATAGGAACAGACCATCCGCTGTCATCGGGAATTCCAAACAACGTCACGATTTTGTCATAATCTTTTCTCATTGTCGAATCACCCGCAGACATCATCAAGTAATGTTTGTCGAATGGAGACGCTGAGATAGATGCTGCCTCATCTAGGACTTCCAATGCTTGGTCCACGTACTCGGTAAGAAGCAACCTGAGTAATGGAGCAATCAAGTCTGCACCCAAACCAATAAATTCATCACTGCTCAAATCGACAACGCGAAAAACATGTTTCAACAAATCCATTATCTCAATTTTGATCCAACTGATTTTGTTGAACAACAATCCAAGTAAGAACACTAAAGTCTCAGCCGCATATTGTGGAAAAAAGTGTCTTTTTAAAACATTGACAATTTGGCTCATGAAATCTTCTTTGTTTCTAAATCTTCTCTTGATCAAAGACTCAATTATCCTGGATAATCCAATTACTTCATTCTTATCCGCCATCTCACCCAAATAGTTCCCCGCAGTTATGATATCTTCAGCAAATCTTTTGGTAGTGTGAGAGTGCAAAAATCTTGGCATATTTGCAAGTAAAGTTAACAGAACTCTATGTTTCCCATCACCAATGATTTGACTATTTTCTAGTTGGTTCAATTTTCCCATTAACTTAAGCGTTGGCTCATACGAGTTAGAAGATCGCAACCCAATCATGATGATTTTTTGTAGTCCTTCAAACTTTCCTTCCCATTTAGGAGGGAATGTAGCGCTCAAACAATTAACAGTGTCAGGTGAGTTGAAGTCAATTTTCGAAATAAATTTGGAGAGAGCTGATAAAACTTCAATGAATTCGTTTTCGTGAATTGTGGTTAGAGAGGCTACAGATGACCAAAACAGTTGTGGAAATGCAATCAACTGTTCACTGTACAATTCGGATGTGATTGCGTTCAACGTCATTAATATCTGCATTGAAAATCCTTGTATACCTACGTTCTCATCTGATATCGTGTTGGTGAGGCATGATAGCATGTCTTTTAACATAGTTTGATCTAAAAATGAAATCAGACAACGGAAAACCTGGAAAGACCTTGATGCTACATGCATAACCTTACATGTAGTTGCCCAGTGGATAGCCATAATACTCCAGTCTTTCTGAATTGATGGTATCTTGGCTTCAAAAACACTTAAGATATTTCTTACCAATGTATCCATGCTATCAGGTACTCTGCCACTATTTTTCACAGATGTCAAGTCTCCGTACGTCCATAGATTTTTGGAATAATCAGATGATCTCAATGAGCTGATCGTCTGCTGACCTGCTTCACTATTGCCATCTCCGTATTCATGAATCAAATGAATTATTAAAGCAGCAGCTTGATCTTGAACAACAAAAAGTTGGTGGTCTAAAAGAGCAATAGAGACATGTAACAACATTGGCAAATTTTCCTTGACCTTATCGCTAGGTATCAAAATCAGATCAGAAAGGAAAATCATTGATAGTTCACACAAAGAAAAGGCTGGAATTGTTGTAGAAGAATTTTTTTGAATTAGCTTTGAAAGTTTAGCAACATATGGTAAGCCCGGAAATGATTGTTTCTCTATTTCTGAAATTAAGATTTTGCTAACTTCAGGCTCAAACGGAATCATAGACTTCGGTTCCATATTTGAAATCAAAGAATCTATCAAGTTGAAATTGCATGGAATTGTTGATAACGAAACAATGACTTGTCTTGAACACTCAATAAATGATAAATTCTTTAAAGCTAAGGAATTGGTGATAATGTAGTCATAAATTGTTTTAACACCATCTCCTGTACTGTCCGTACCTAATGCCACCCATAATGCTTCTAATTCGTTTTGAATTTTATGACTGTATCTCATAGTGATGTCAAAGAAGTTTGACAACACAACCAAACAGCTGTCTCTGTCTGGAGTATCATTCTCTAAATTAAGATCAACTGTTTGAACCCATGGAAGGAGTACTGCAACAAGATCACGTCTTGGACTGGATCCAACTAAGTTGAACATTAAAGTGAGCTCTGAAATCATCTTGAATTTTTCCTCTGGATGGGAAGTTGCAAAATATGTCGATAATTGGAATAATGTCCTTTTGTATATAATTCTCGATCTACAACAAACGCCATCAACATAATTTGCAATGTTCTTCGTTTTGTAAAATTTGTTTTCTGTGAACTCGAGTAACACCGCTGCAGCTGCTCTAACATTGTAATTTTCTGATCCAGATGAGAACAACGCCAAAGAAAGAGGCAGGTAAACTTCATATTCAAATTTCACACCTTTTATCAAGGCGTCTTTAAGAGTAATAAAGTAGTTTCCTAGAGCTGAGTCATGAGTGTAGCATTTTTTGACGATCAATTCAAAAATCTCACTGACTTTACCGTTAACGATTAGAATATCCATTAGCGCATTTCTTGCCAATCCACTAATTTTTTCATTGTAGGTTTTGAATAAAGAATCCAACCATCCAAACGTGGTCAAGAAGTCAAAAGACTCATCACCTTCAGAAATTGGACTGCCACAAAGTTTGGAAATACAGCTTATTGAACTTAGCTGCAATTGGTGTTTCTGCATCTCCAAAGACGCTTGAAGATTCAACTTGTCGTCCTCTGTGGATATTGCTTTCCTCATTAGACTATATCTCTCAGAAAAAATTGAGCCTGTTTGACCATATCCAGTCCATTCAACTAAAAACTCAAAACTTTTCTTTCTAAAATCAAACCCGAACCACTTCTCAGCATCGTTAGTCTCGAGCAAATCTGTTTGAAGTGTTTCAAAAATGTTACAGAAGTATTTTCTCAACCGCTGATATCTAAAATTCGTTTGTGCATGATTGGTATTTAGTACGTGCAACATGTTCGATAGTAGAAGTGTAAGCTTTTGTAGAATTGATTCGTCCAAATAATCCTCATGAGCTTTTGAGAATTTGAAAATCACTTTACTTAAAACACAGCAGATTTCTTGCTTCAATGTCATGTCGCTTGAAAAACCACCTTTGAATGGATTTTCCCAGATTTCAATCGAAGATTCGATGCTCTGTATGAATGTTTTAAAAATGTTCACATTTATGCAACTCAAACCTTCCACAATAGCATCCCTCAAACGTGACTTCGATGTTGTCAGAAGAGGAACTGCCATCCTGAAAATTGACTTGGCACTGGTTATCTTTTGATGTTGGACGGTAAAAAGTTGTTGTGACTTCTTCCTCGAATGACTTTTCACCAATGGAGAATATATTGAAGAGGATGATGATTGCTGAGTTGCCTTTAAATCTGGAATATGCATACGTTGCTCACTAGTTGAAGTTAAAGATGCGCATGCTATTTTCAAGTACAACATATAATCCCAAATTACAGCATTGTCCCTCCCGTTTCCTCCATCGTTATTTATGCGAACAATTTGATCATAAAGTTGAACAAGCCTAATGCAACTATGAGATCTTGCAATCGCAATCTGGATAGGGCATGTTTTTACCAAAATTTCTAAGACATCCTCAAAGATTTTGAACCACAGTGCTGCGTCTACACCGTGACTGCTTTCGGCTAGTTTTATAATTGAGTTCTTTCTGTCGTTGTTCGCAAACTTATTATATCTTTTGAGTTCAGCTTCGCTGAATTGTGCTTTCTTGAGCTTCGCAAAATCCACGAAGTTTAGTGATCCTAGAACTTCTATAATTCTAGTTCCAGACTCTGCTGCAAACTTAGAAGGAAGCCTATTGTGTCCTTTTTTCACTTCTATGTCTTCTGTAGACAAGCTGTATATTGCTTCATCAAATTGGGTAACCATTCGTAAAATTTGGCAACCCAAGTATCGCACACGGAAATCATGACTGAATAGGAAAAATAAGGCATTTCCCTCCACATCATCAATCAATGTGGCCATACTTTTCAGCTCTAAGGACTCGATCTTTTTGGTTTCCCTAATTTCCTCTTGTACAAAGCCATGGTTAACATTGTACATCGCATTTGCGGTGTCCTCGGTATCTTGCTCTTCTGTTTCGGTCAAAGATTCAAGCCAAGATTGAAGAACTTCCAAATACACCTCGAGCAGTTTCACATAGTTGTCAGAAGATAAATACTCATGAGCGGACAGGTTGGATACTTTCTCGTCTAGACAAAAAGCGATTGTTGCAAAAGTGGTCGTTATCAGATTTGGATTCTTCTTACAGATTAAGATCTTTAGTGCATCAATGCAGAACTGTGCAGTAGTCTCATTCTCATGAATGCAATTTTTGACTAGTAGTTCAACAATCTTTCTATACTGAGAAGAGTTTGTGGTGTTTGCACACCAAGAAATACTTGTGATGACTGTTGTGAAAAGCTCGCTATTTTTGTAAGATGTGTCATCCGCAGTATGGAAATACGTTAAACTCGATATTCTTTGGTGTAAACTTGAAGAGCTTGTCGCAGAAGATGGAGTTGCAGGTGCAGATCCCGTACCAGGAGAATAGTCTAAAGTTTTGCAGCCACACTGAGATTCCAATAAAAACATAACTTTTAAGAAAATGGATGAAATTTCCTCATGGACTTGGGAATTAGAAGCCTCGTACTCAAAAACATTTCCTGCTCCAATATTACTGAATTCCAGAGGGTCAAGGGAATTCTGTATAACGTCATCTGTGGGAAATGGTGGTCTTTCGTGGTTTTGATGGTCCCAAAGAATGCAGCAGTATGATCTGATGCAAAGTAATAGCTTTTCGTGGCTTATGATCTCGAAATTGAAGTTATTGAATGAAGACTTCAAAAAAGGTATGAAAATGTTCTCTAAGGTAAAATTAAGTTGAGAGTAAGCAAGCGCACGGAAAAATTGGACTGCCGTTTGGATCAGCAAAGCATCTTCTGTCAGCCATTGTTGCTTTTTCTGAATATTCAAAAATAGAAGGTTTGCAAGTACTTCCATTGTCCGTGTTTTAGAGTTCAAGGTATCTGAATATCGAAATAAATAAGCCCATGTTAGTCTGGTAACACATGTAATCACAATCAACTTCTCGGAAGCAGATGTTTTTGGTTTTAGTCTTTTCGTTATGACATCAACAATATCTCTCCATTTGCTCTCAAACATTTCTTTTGGAGCAACAGATAAAGCTGTAACAGCCAAAGTCATTGCACTGTTCCAATATTTGTTTGAGTTCGAGCTGGCAATGGTGAGACTTTTCGAATAGATAACTTTTATTGCATCTACCCATGTTGGATGGTTTACCTCTGCAGTAAGTGTACCCGCAAGGGATAGTAAGAGCTGATTAATGACATCGCAGTATGATAAGAATATGTTTTCGTTTTCACATTTGTAGAAAAACTTGGCTAAACTTTTGATGAAATCTGCACCTTCTTCAAACCTTTCAAGGGAAGAATTGGAAAATTGTAAATACCTCATACCATGAATGAGAAGGTTGAGACTGGCTTCTGAAAACAACTTCCCACTCGTATATCCTGTTGGAAACTTTTCCAAATCTGCGATGAACCGATCACTAACACTCAAAAAAGATTTATCGGACATATGGCCAATTAGTTCCGAAAGTAAGTTCCAATTTGCTGAGTGAATCAACGAACGACTAACTAAATATGGATCTATGCTTCTCAAATAATTGTACATGATCTCTTCGAGACCGGTATCTTCCATCAAAGTAGAAGAGGATGTCTGCTTGATCACTTCAATCAAAACCCTCCACAATATGAAAGTACTTATAGTAAACTGACGATCTGCTTGAGTAAATGTTATTTCTGACTTCTGTGCTTGTTCTTCTAATTCTTTGGTAGATCTTTCGTTTGACACTTGATTCGATGGCAGCTCAGCAGACATTTTCGATCGAGATATTGATTTTCTGTGATAATTGTGCGTTCTGTTTTTCGATAGCGTATTTTGATAAGCTGCCATATCCTTTTCCAACATGGCTCTTGCCATTTCTCTTAACTCTGACTTCCCACGACGCCAGTGCATCACTGCATCTGTAACTCTCTTTGGAGTCCTCCTTGCAATGTAACCTAATGAGGATATTATTCGATCGAACATTGGATCTACGCCTTCACATAGTATCTCCACTATATTTGGCTCCTGGTCTAGTGGGGAGCTATTGAGGCATATGTTCAATTTCCGTTCTGCATATTTCGTGAACTGTCTAACGACTATATTCAAAGTGTAGCTTGGAGCATGATTTTTCTGCTGCTGTAAAGCAAAAGTGGTATCTGGTGATAAATCACTTGAAAATCGTTGGGGTGCATCAGTTATCAAAGAATCTGTAGTCCTCCCGCCAAGTTTGAAATTAATATCAAGTCGTCCGTAAGAATCATCCTGGTTGAAAAGTTGACTTCGAGCTGGTGCAGGTTCCGGCACATCTTTCTTGTACGGGCTACTAATTAGGCCACCGTGATTGTACTGTGACTGTTTAGAAATCTGATCGAGATCAAAAGCCTCTTGATTAGAATTCTGCATTGGCGTCTGTGGATCGCTTGCAACTCGGTTTGCCATCGTGAAAGAGTAATCATCTAAATTTTCAGGAATCGATAGTTCCGGTATTTCTATCATTAATTGTGTGTGCTCACCCAATTGACTCGGGAGGCCTTGGTCAGAATTGGTGTCCATATTGAAGAACACAAACACACGGTGTGCCTACTGAATGGGACAAGATGTGGAAGAACGGGAAAGGGGTCCGGAGGAGCTAATTTTAGGCGTGTCTCAAAACGTACAAGGCTTTATACACTGTGAACGGTTGTAGTAAAGGGGTACTCCTCACAGACCTCTCACTCACACCGTTCCGCTCCTGTCTCTCCTTTTTTGCTTGATTCTCCCATGGGGAAGAGCCCGTTTTGTGTGGCCAATTACGTAATAAATGGAAATTTTTGCTATCTAAGCACCTCTAATTCAAAGCACAATCCCTTGAACTTTTCCCTCTTTACAGTTTGTACATGGTAAGTTACTGAAAATCGCTATAAAAGCAGCCGTCCCTGGCAAAGCTCCCCTCTAGACCGGCGTCGACCCAATATTCATCGTCAGGGACAAGGTGGTCGCCCTTTCCTATCGACATACCTCTTACCTGAAGTTTCCCGCGGGATTCACCTTCAGCAGGATTCACGGTTTTCAACTCGACAGAGTTAGCCGGGACCCCAAGCAATGCCAAGTTGCGATTTTGAACAATGCGGAAATCGTAGATGTTAGTTTTCAGAATCGGACCAATAGAATAATTGGTGTAAACTTCTCTGACGATTCTGCATCCCAATATCGACTTGCAGAAATTACAGATGAAAGACGACAATACCGGACTTAGCTGACATGCGTAAACCATCTTAAGGTGAAGGGATTTCTCAATTTTCCCAAATGAGTTGAAGTAGCCTAGGGAGTTCAAATATTCTGAACGCTGTAGCTTAAAACTCTGCCAGAAGGATTTCTTTGTGCTGCTGCACAATGTCTTTAATATATGTGAGTCAATGCAAAGAACAGTCGGTTTATATGTTGACAAATCTTTCAGTGTGCCAATGTTTTTTGGATCTATTATTTGAATACTTCCGATATTGGAAATAAGTCCACAACAAAGTCCGAATAGTATATTCGTTGAAGAAAAGCTTTGGGTCGTGTATGAAAGTAGTAGACTGTCTTTTTCATTCCAAGAAAGCGGAGAAGGGATCGACATAACTTTAGCTGCAACTGCAGAAACAAAGTTGACCTGAAAAAACCTAGTTTCTGTTCCCTTACTGACAAATGAGTATGGGTGGTTATTCACTTTTGCAAAATCAGTGTCCGGATTGTAAAGAAAGTCTGTTGAGCTTTCTATGTCCTGCCCAATATCTAAAATCTGTGTAAAATGAGTGGACGATGTGTTGGAGGATAATCCTCCATTCACGTTGATCCCGATAACCTCGCTGAACATTTTTTGGGGTATTTTGTCAATAAACGACGAATTGGTCACAAGTATTCCATTTGGTGTATTGTGAATTGCATTGACGTCATTAAATGAATTGCATAAAACAACCGTTATGTCAGTTATAAAAAAACACGTCATTATAACCAAGGCCAACTCGGGGCTTTCATTTAGACGACCTAAAACGACAACTTTCTGCACATTTTTTTGTTCTAAGTTTTGAGCAATAAGGTGTAGAATTGAGTTGACTTGCCCTAACGTAAAACTTTTATCGCCAAAAGCAATTTTAGTTTGATGATTATTCAAAGCTAAATACCAGATATCTTTCAAGCAACCGTCTCTAATTTTGTAGCCATTTCGTAAGCTCAACCCTCTTGTGACAGTCACCCCATGCGGAACATCAACGGATCTATACACAGCAGACTCGCTCGATTTTCTTGTCTCGGAAATTGACGTTTGATGGTTAAGTAGAATAGGATCAACCTCCTGCAATTCCCTCGCAAAATGGTGGTATAGAATGTACAGCGAGGATAGCCCAAGAATTATAAAAAGTGACGCCCACATTTCAATTAATGTGATAGTCACTCTGTCGCTTTTAACAATTACAAGAGTTCCAGCTGTTTAGCAGTCTGCTGGGATCAACACCAAACATCGAACTGATACTTAGAGACTAATATGCGCAACGAGGATATGCGCAACGAGGATGCCTAATACACGACACAAAATCTGTCGTACTAATACTCATAAGCTTTTTGTTTCTTTATGTATCTTCAGACCTACCTGATAAGCAGATATTAGCAAGCTTGTATTCCGCTACATCCTAAGCTTCTGCTGTTGTCCTCTCCAAGCATATTTAATGTAGTTTTGATGATCTTCCTTGTTTTTTCAGTGTTTGGAATAAAAAATTAAAATGATCTCAGTATTCAAAAACTAAATGTTTGCCAAAAAAGTTGGCGGGTGCTTAATTGACTTATTTTTGAAGTCTCTTTGCTTAATTTTGTTGAGATAAGATGCCGAAGCCAATCATGATCGAGGGATAAGAGATAAGAATCTTATCATGATAAGGTATCTTAGGGTTGAGATAAGATGCCGAGGCCAATAAGGATTGAGTGATAAGAGATAAGAGTCTTATCATGATAAGGCATCTTAAGTAATCTAAAACTGGAAAGTTAGCCGCCATGATAAATGAATAATGGCAAGTTTAACCGAAGGTGTAAGTGTATAAATACAAGAGGTTTGTCCCTTGTATTTATGTTTGAGAATATTAGTTTGTAGGCTAGTTATATTAGTTATATATTAATAAGCAACAAACATAAGAAAAAGTGAACATATACAATGGATATTCATAATAGAATAGCTAGATTACAACAAATTTACTCTTTTAAGGTTGTTCAGCATTCAAAAGAACTTAGTAAACCGAGTTTCCAATAGCGTTAAATTTAAAGCGTTTTGAGTTTCGTACTACAACGATTTAAAAGCATTTGATATTGGGAATCTCCCTTTCGAATTTCTAAACTAATTCTTTAACCGATTCTTGTTGGACATAAAGTATAGTAGGTCTTCATCAAAAAGGCCTTTAACCTTTCGAATTTCCAAACACGAATTTTTCATCAGCACCCTAAATGCATCCACCACAATCAGTGCTTTTGGAAGTAAAACCCAACAAAATTAACCACATTTCTCAATCTGTTAGATTAAGCTCGAATAATTGATGGTATTAGCTACTCCTATTTACAATACTATAGCTGACTTATTATCGAACTTTAAATGTAATCTCGCCTTACCTCATCTGACGGAAGTCTTCCTTACAGGCTGAGCCTCATCGTGTTGAGCCTTTTATTCGTGGTTGGTGCACAGAAGTATTTATGTACAAAATAAGCTCAAAACAAGAACGCCTAGTGATAAATCCCGGGAAACGTAGTACAGAATTCGTGGCCAACATTAGAAAGTTGAGTATGCAATTTGTCTACAATAAAGCTGCTGAGCCAATCAATTGAAGCAAAGTGACTTCAAGCCATGTCTTTTGGGTTTGTCAATACCAATCAAATCACTCTGGAGACCTTTTCTTCCGATACAGCCCCCTCGGAATTTGTGAACAAGCTATCCAAGTTATCGGAGGATACAAATGGTCACGACACTTATATTCACACCGATAACAATAGGGTTCAATATGTAGATCCTGTCCCTTACATCAATTCTCTCCGTAGTGTACAAGATAAGCTATCTTTACTTATGGACGAATGTGAGAAAAAGAAGGACGTATTTGAAAGATCGACCAAAAAGAGAGAAAATGACCATTTCACAAACGTTATTACTCAATCAACGACAGCTGCAGACTTGAAGAGTAAATTCAATGACTTACTTTTAACGGTTGAAAAACTTAATACATCCAAGATTGATCCGCTAGGTGAAAAATTGAAGAAAGCCAGTACCTTAAAGGACAATGCTTCCAACATTAGTTTCTTACTGAAGTGTTACAATCGATTTTACATAAATAGCGAACCTCCTATTGAGTTATCAACCGACAGACAGCGTGCTAACACATTTGAAACAGCTAGAATATTGTCACAGTTGTTGAAGTTATCATCGAAGCTAGCCAGTGATGCTAAACTATCCAATGCTGAAAATGCCCATACCCTAATACTGGAATTTGCAACAACTTTTGAAAGCGATCAATTAAAATCCTTCAATACATATTACCAATCCAAAAATTTTGCACGTTTACAGAATATAACAAAGACTTTGTTTATTTATAATAATGGGATCAACATCGTGGATTTTTTTGTTGGAGGTCATCCAATTTTTGTTCAAATGCAGGATAACGTTAAGCAACCAGTTAGTGATTCCTATTGGAAAACTCTACGTAATCCTACTAGCGTTGACTATTCATTAGACCATGTATCCGCAGAGCTACTTGAGGCAGTGCGAGAAACAATCCTATCCGAAATTGATTCAATAACTACAATTTTCCAAGAAAATGCAAAACAAGCCCTGATATCTCTTATTATCAAGCTTGTGGACAATATAGTCAAACCAAGAATGAAATTACTGTTAACAACAGCAATGTCACAAAGTACCCTCTGTTATTTGAGAATTTTGCATTTGTTTTACAATGGAATAACACAGATGGCTTTTGCTCAATTAAGATCCGTATTACTAGATAAAAGCATTGATTTTGGGTTTGAGTTTGATAAGATTTACAACTCTCTGTTTAATGAACATTTGAAGGAAAACTCATACTTTACTTTAGAAAAGGAGAATTTAGAGAGCTTAATTGATTCTTTAATTGGGCCATTTGAAGATGCAAATAGAGATGCGATCAAAGAAAAAAAACTCACAATGAAAATCGAAAAAGTTAAGGAAGATGAAATCCTAGAGGAACAATCCCAAGAACTGGAAGGAGTTCACTCGCATGAAGATGAAAATCCATACGAAGCTTCCTCTCCTACTTTAGCCAACGCAAAATCGAAGGCTCCAAATTCTTCCGCTCACTCTAACATTGATTTATATTTACCTGACTCTCGTATACTTAGAGATAAGCTGAGAAGTGCTAGAAACTATGTTCCTAATTCTCAAAAGTTCAAAAAAATGACTGGCATCTCGTCATTTATCAAAATCAACGAGAAGTACTCCTTATTTGATAGGTACAAATCATCTTATGGTACAACAAGTACTAATGCAACAGAGTTATTTGGTAACTCAGTTACAGAAGATTTGGTAGCGCCTCAATCGAAATCTGCGCTCTCTCTGAAAGTGACTCAAAGTATATATAAGTTGGTGTTAGAGGCATTGACCAGATCAATTGAATTAATGCCTTCCCAAATTAGTCTACACAGTGTTGAGCTTTTCAAATTGATGCTTTATAAAGTTGGCCCATCTTATATTGCTGTTGGACTAGAATCTCTATATGACACATACGTTGATTCTCAGCTAAAAAACAAGAGTGTCTTTGGACGTGGCGCTACTACAGACATTGATTTGAGCTTTTTATCTCAGTTTTACACAATATTCGTACAACTATACTTACTTTCAACAGTGGTAAAAAAATCTTTCTATCCATTAGTATCAAGCGAGCATGACACCAATTTCATAAGTCATTCTTTCAACTTATTTTTACAAGATGTTGAAATAGGTGTTAATGTTACTGTGAATGATCTTGTCGGAATTGTACAAGAAAGGATTAACCTTATTTTATCGAAACAACCGGTGAATGACTATATGGTTGTAAGCGAGTCTGACAGGACTCCAACGTGTGACTCGGTGGTGGCATTTTTAGAGAACATACTAAATAGTGCATTGGAAGAGCTAAGCTTTGACCCAGTTTTGAAGTTAAGATTTGTGAATAAGATCTCTAGCTATTTTCTTTCTATGCTGATTCTCCATTTGAGTCACTTGAAGGTTTCTATGAACGGGTTCACTCTTCTCACTCATGATCTAGCCCAATATATCTTGATATTCAACAGTATTAAAATAGATAATACAGAATCTCTTGATCTTTATGCTGATGAAGAAGGGTCTAGAAATGCAAAAGGTGACAATGACAATAAATGGGTCAAGGAGCAGCTTGATCAAATACAGTCTGCCTTCAAAATATTGAATGAATTGCCTGGGCTATACACTTGCCAGCCTGAATCACTCAAAGAATTTTGCAGTGAGGGTAAGCTAAATGAGCTAAAGAAGAGTGTTATTAGGGGTTACATTTCCAACAGGGAGGACTTTCAGACTTGGTTCTTGTCAAATATTTAATACTTCATTATTTTAGCTATAAGTTGACTTTTAAGCTAGAAAAAGATATGTATCAGGGAAATATATATCAGGCTATCAGCCTTTCGCAAATTCTTGTAGTTTTTTATATAGTAAAGTTAGCTGATTTGCAGCATTTTCGGTTAGCAAAGTCTTGATTTCTCCAACAAAGAACTTTTTATTATCGGGCTGTGGTACATGAGTCCAGAACTCTTTTTTATCTTCGCTCTCTTGGTACTTTAGTATTAATTCCGAGGAGATTGAATAATTTTCCATTAAACATTTGCTCAAGCAATGGAGGGAAACTAGTGATTTTGCCATGGCTGAATGCCTTAATCTTTCATCATTATCATCGTCCTCAAATAAATCGAGAAGCAGATGAAACTGATCCGAGAACACACTCTCTTCAGTGAGAATGATTTTTTCTATACAATCGATCACACTTAAAATCTCATGCTGTGTAGTAAATTCCATCTCATTGATATTGATACAAAGAAACATAATTTGGGTTTGAGTAATGATGAGTTCCTCTCTAGTCATTTTCTGGAACTTGTAGATATTGACTAGTTTCAATGCCCTCAAGATTGCTTGTATGAATTTGTCAATCCTCTGCTTGCTCTTTCTTTCTTTTACAACTCTGAAAAACATCTTTAGGAAATTTGAACAATTTGTGAGCTCATCAAGGCGGTAAACGTTACTAACATATCTGGCGGTTAGTTTTATAGACTCTGAATAAGTTGATTCGATTAATGTTTCGAACTTCTCAAACAAAAACCGATGCAATTCAAGTGCAATGTGCCTTATGTGATTGGACTTTGCGCTTTCCAAAGAGACCACAGTTGGAAAGCAGAGTTTTGGGTTGCAAAAGCCAAATTTGATTACCATTCCCAAAAATTTAATCGAGTTCATTGCATTTTCAGGCTCTAAACAAATATGAAGTATATTGCCCATATATTTTTGAACTAAAGTGGAGCAAAGCCCGTCGTTAACGTAGCTCAATGTGTACCCATGAAAAACAGCTACATCTAGTTTTATCGAACCAGATCTTTTGGTGTCTAAACCATTCTTTTTTATCATTTGAATCTCTTCATTCTCTAGAAAAGTTAACAATGATCCAATCACTATATTGGTTATTTCTAAATCCTTCTTCTTGAATGTTGAATCAATTAATTTTGAAACTGGAACACTAAAAAAAAGCTTGGGATGAGAAATGCAAACATTAAGGGTATTTTTTATTGCAATTTTTCTAAGTGGCTTCGAGATAGAAGTATCACAAAACTTGAGTAAATATTTGAGCAAAAAGACAGAAATTGGCTCCTTCTCAAGCAAACCAAGCTTGGAGGACAAAAATAGTTGACGATCCCTTTCAAAATTACAGTAACGGCCAAAATCACCTATTAGGTATAATAATCTGGGAACAATGGAGTCTGTGCTGGTATTATTGCTAAACCGTTGTAAGTCACCGATGTATTTCAGGAGCATTCTCAAAGAAGAAATACATGCTTTAGAAACTGAAGTAGTATCATCATCAAGGAGAAACAGTTTCCACAGGCACTGTATTGCCCGGTCTAATTCTTTTGAATTGAATTTTGTGAGTCTTTTCATTAGTGATTCTTTGCAAGATTTCACAAAAGATTTGTTTAACGTTTTAGAGTGGTTGAGGGCCAAGTTTAGGATCTCTAATGCATAAAAACATATACTTCCTCCTTTATAATCGTTTATGATATAGGGCTGAATAGTTATTAGCTGATCCTGAGAGATCAACCTTTCATCACATTTGACAAAAGTGGACATGACCCCCATTATGGATTCTGAAGTTATTTTTTCTTTCACATTCTCTTGCTCATAAGAATTTGTAATTAGCTCCAGCATACATTCAATCAATAAGCCCAAAGAGCTTTTTAGTTCCAATCGGAAAGATTCATTGAAATCACTAGGATAAATGACTTTTTCGTTAAAAAATCTCTCAAATAAGATCCAAGTGGCAGAACCTTGCAAAAAAATACCACACAAAACATAGATCACCTCATATGCTTTGTTTTGAATGGTGACTGGATCCGTTACATTATTATCAACCACAAGGTGCCCAATGTCTACGAACAATAATTCGCATAATATATAGCATGATAGGTCTGTAATTCTGTCTTCTTCATCGTCTAATTGGTTGAGTAGTGCCTGTGAGAGTCTTACCTTGACATTGACCGATCGTGTATTTGAAAACATGTATTTTATCAGGGCGGCGGTTTTTTTCTTCACTGCAATACTAGGATCTGACATTTTCTGTGATACGATATCCGAATACTCCTCGATATATTGAGGCTTCGATTCTAGAACTTTGAACAACAAATCTAAAACGGCATCAGTCACACTAGCATAAGATTCCATTAATCTATGTTTGATCATATATCTCAGTTTTGCGTCTTGTATTAATCCAGGTTCTCTATCTATCAACAAAGTCAAGTTTTTTGTTGCCAAAGATCTTGATTTAGCCTTTGGATGGTTCAATGATGACAGAATAAATGTTAGAACATCATTATAACGATCCATTAATTCTTGTGATAATAAAAGGTTTTTGTATATTTCTCTGATTTGTGTGTCCGATAAAATTTCTATATCGACTTGGCTCTTATTTTGCGAAACCAGTTCCATTAATTTCATAAGAGCGGACTCAACACTTCTCAAGACCATTTTATTTGACTCTAATTGTTTTTGCAATAGGCTTTCTTTCTTTTGAGCCAAAAGAGTATTGATGTGGGTCTCAATTTTTTTGAGCTTTCCCAAAAAGAGGAGTGACTCAAAGTTAAAAACTGAATGATTGTGAAACCTTGTGGCACTGCTAAATTTGAAATACGACAAGATAGTTAGCAGATCTTCTATTAGAATTTCAAGAGAAGATGAATCAATGCGCACATCTAAAATACTGACATCTGAACTACCCTTCAAGGCTAGTATTTTAGAGCCAATACTACCAATAATTTCAAAAAAGAGTGTGTGTGCACTGGTTAGGGTGATGTCGGTATTGCTACAAATATTGAGCAAATTTGACAACATTGAGTTCAAAATTATGCCACATGATGGGAACTCCGGTAATTCTAGCATGAAAAATAAATCAGCCATTAGATTTTCTACTATTTTTCTAAGTGAAGGTGAATAAGATGCTAAAAGTTTCTTCAAAAAACTGGTAATGAATAGATCAATTGCCTTCATCATTGAATCTGTTTGGCGCCACACTGAATTCCAAAAATTATCATTAATTTCCTGTAGTTCCAACTTTTTTGCTTTTGTAGGATGGTTTAACGTGAGAAATTCATATTGTGAGTAATCAAAATCTTTCCCGTAATCATTATGGCTTTGAATCAAGCTGACAATCAGGTAGGATATTAATTGAACTGATATACCGCAATCTAATCTGTAATTTTTGGCCTTAGATTTTAGTGGGTTTAAAGTTCCAAAGTTTTCAATTATTTCATTGAAAATAAAAACTCGTTGATCGTTGTAACTTGAGTAGATAGCAATAATCAAGTGAGCAAAATTGGATCGCATTTCTTCCAACACTAGGTTCAAGTTCAATCTCTCCCTTGTGGAAAGGATATCTGTGAATATAATGTCAAAAGAGATATATTCTAGACGTGTAACAGATGATTCGTCCAAAGGCAGTTTAGTTATGTTATCAGAAAGGGTAGAAATTGTCGAAATGAAATGCTTTAAGGTTGAGATGAAAAAATCCGGAAGCTCAGTGAAAGTTTCACGTAGATATAAGGACTTTAGCAGGGCTGCGTAAATGCATAAAAAATCTACCACCAGAGAAAAACCGCTTTCATGTCTAGTCAGCTTTTCAACAAGGTTATTTGAATATAAAAGGATGATAATAGAAGTACAATTCATCACCACTTCTGCAAATCTCTGATATTCATTTGTATTGGAAAAATCCTCTGATTCATAAACAAATTCCCAATCCAGTGATAATGCTTCTTTTACTGAGTTCATACAGATATCAAGAAGTTTCGAAAACACAGTTTGTTCTATTTGGACATGGCTATTAGTGGTAACCAGCTCCGAAAGTTTTGACTTTAAGGAAGCCAGAATCTCGGGCCTGACTATTTGAAGCTCGTCAGCAAATATAGTTGTGTAAGTGTCCCACATGTTCAAAGTATCATTTTCAGTTTCAGTTCCAACATTACCTTCACATAAACTCGATATTGTCTGCTGGAATTCATCTATAAGATGAGAGATTAGTACACTTTGAGTAACTGCGGAATCATATATAAACTCTGGTTTTTGCTCCTGTTCCATTTCTCGACTTATGACGCGTGAAAAAGAGTTAGTTGCATCCGGTTCCTCCAAGACATCGGCACCAATAAGTTTATTGATCTCATCAAGAAGATGTTCATCATCAATTGGTTGAGTAATTGGCCCGGATTTATTTACTTTCAAGTTACTCTTGAAATAGTCTTTTTTAGTGACAGGTGTAATGTTTTCTGTTAAAGTATTATTCAACATTTGTGCAACTGGACTTTCCGATTTATCACTATCTGCGGTCGCCCTATTTTGTATAAAGGGCTTTTTGAATTTCACAAATTTCAAATCAGGATCTTCACCCTTCCAGATATCGGAGCTCAAAAGACTAACGGGAATCGTCTTATTTGTTTCATCATTATAGTCGTTTTGGGAGAACGTAATTGTATCTGAAGGAATGTTGGCATCGTATGGAACGGCAAGTGGAACAGCATACTGTTTTGGAATCAGAAAGCTCAGCGGGTGATAAGGTAATGAAGTGTTTGGCGTCGTTTGATCCAGGATTTCTGCGAACTCTCTTCTGCGCTTAGACATTTTAACTGAAACACAGCTTGTAGTATTTTCAGCAGTTACTAAAGACCCTGCACGACTCTAAAAAAGTTCTTGTGATCTCTTGATGACTTCTAGGACACTGAGCACGAGAAACCTGCATGAATTATTGAATCTTTTCTTCTCCGCGTCTGGTCTTAAAGAGGCTCGAGGTAGCTCCAGAGAAATGTTATATATTGAAGGCTTTATCGGGTCTACATTTAATGGCTGTACTTGCACCGCAGCATTACTCTCATCAGGTATGTCAACGCAGATATTCCCCCTGGAGAAGCTAAGTCGAGATGAGCTTCTGAGTTTGACCGTCAAGCACTCTCACAATGAGGTGCTGTGGTATGTGTCAGAAGTCATCTCTTCGCAGCTCGAGTCGATCAGGGACACGCTACAAATATGTGTAAAGAATCTAGAAGAAACAAACGACACACAATACAAATTGCCACTTTCATCTCATAAATCAGAAGTGCTTAAAGGTACGGTAACTAGGGAAAATTTCAAGATTACGGCGTTGCATATAGTGATTAATAGCAAACATTCCAATGGCGGGAAGAAAATAGAGTTCCAGCTTAAACCTTCCAAATACTTGATTGTTCGACAACTTCTAGACTGCCATGATGCTATGGAGAATGCAATTTCTAATCTGGACAAGATTATGGATAACAATGGACATGGAAATAGCGCTGATCTTTTTGTGAGGTACATGGAGCAAGTATGCTCACATGTCGATTTGGCACGCCAGTCTCTGTGCAATCCTGATTCGGCATACATATTCCCCTCCTACAGGGTGCCTGGGAACTCCTTTGAGCCGCAGCTGCCGAAGACCGTGGCCCTTGACTTTCTTGTGAACGAAGGGGAGCTCACTGTTGATTTCAAGAGTTTGGAGTTGGTGGAGAAAAAACCATGGAGCGTCATAATGGACAAAGCCAGCCGTCTTTCTTTTGCGGACATTGTAAGGAAGGAGATCTCGAAACAACGAGGGATACCGGTGAACAAGACGCTTTCCGACGAGTATGCGAAGTATCTGAAATGGAGGGAACAGCACCCAGACGACCAGCAAGAGGGATCCGGGATTGGGACCACGTTCAAGAACATATTTGCTTATAACTCTGACCCGTCGTTGTCCAGCTTGATCAAAAGCGCCAACATGTACCTCGAGCAGTCGGTGACGTTTGTGGACGATGAAAGTAATCCTTACGTTGTCCACGTGACCGAGAAGTGTGAAGTTGTGACGTCCGATCCAGTTCTCTTGTCGATATGTGTCAAACTCGAGAGCTTGCAGAAGACATTACACCGCATTAGGGAGAATCTTTCGAACATTTACGTTTAGTCTATAAACTCCGGCACTTAATCATTTCCATTCCGTATACCAATAACCGTTTCGTAATACCTTTAATACACAATTGTACGAAGATCAGCCATTCAACGTTTCTAGCTTGAGTTTCGCTATCTTCGACTGTTGCTCCAATATCAGTCTCTTCTTTTTATATTTGCTGAGCAGACCGGCCAACGTGGCGCTGTCCTTCTCGATGAGCGGCTTCACCACCTTTTGAATTCTAAGCGGTCTTTGCAGCACTATGCGCTCCGGCAACACGTCGAACAGCGGCCTTGTGTGCAACGTTTGCTGTAATCCAGACACGTCTTTGGTTTGTATGTGTAGCGTTTCGACCGCTTCCTCGAGTGAAGCCAGCGTGCCATTCAAAAGTCGGACAGATTCATCCAGCCTTTCCATGTTCCTGTCCAAGGCGCCACTCCTTATATGCCTCCTTTCGTGTCGTAACCTTCAAGCCTTTGTCTTAAGGCGGCAAGTGTGAACAGAAAATAAACTTGTTCCACTCAGAGTCAGCAATCATGTAGAGGGGCGCCGCCGCATTGGGCACTGCAGCGAAGCTTTTCTGCCCCTGCTTTCTGTCTTTTTCGCTTAGCTGTCGTCACTTGTTTATTTACCGGCAGATGGATTTGGGTTTCTGCTTCTTCTCTGGTTGACAAAGCGGCTACGTTCGCAACATTCACACGACATACACACACGGATTGTTACCGAGAATACTCAATTACTGTGCTTGAGCCTGCACCATCAAAAAGCAGTAAATTCAGAACAAAATGGCTTCTACGGCTACTCGCACAGAAACAACCGGCTCTTCGGGGTCTAAAGGTGATTCAGGAACAGCAAAGACGTCCGATCCTTCCCTCTCTGCGACCCAGGGTCTTTCCAAAATTCCGTCGCTCAACATCGGCGGTCCTGTGAGCAAGTCAATTGGCAACAAGCTACGGAAAGCTATGGAGGAGAAGGAGTTGCAAAAGAGATCGGAACACCCAGCCTCGTTTAGGGGCTGGAGGGAGGTGTCTGGTTACGATAAGTCTTATGCGCTATCCCCAGTCGATGAGATTATGGATCTCTTGACAAGAGCAACCACACTCGATCAGTATTTGCCAGAATTTGCGTACGGTGATTGGTACCATGGAATTGCGATCACAATATTGGCGTCATTATTGTCTGGCCTTTTTGGCTGGCTTAAATGGAGCCTTGGTGCTGTTTTCTTGGTAACGTTTGCTGCAGCGTTTTACTATCGTTCTTCTGTGAGAAAATACAGATTGAAATTGAGATTGGAAGCACAAAGAGAGTTTGCAGTTCATGCAATCGAAGACGACTTTGAATCGTTAGATTGGCTAAACGTCTTTTTAGACAGATACTGGGTTTTCCTTGAACCTTCCATCTCTCAACTAGTCACTGATGCTGTCAACCCTATGCTGGCTGAATTGGAGGCCATTCCTGCTTTTGTCAAGGGAATCTGGATTCATACCCTTACACTCGGTACCAAACCCCCAAGAGTCGACAAGGTCAGAACGTTGGACAGAACTGCAAGTGACGTTACTGTTATGGACTGGGAAGTTTCGATGATTCCAAACGCTTTGGAAGATTCAACCGCAAAGCAAATGAGAAACAAGGTCAATTTAGAAGTGTTGTTAAAGGCCCAGCTTTTTGGTATGACCATTCCCATTTTAGTTTCAAATGTTTCTTTCAGCGCCAAAGCTAGAGTCAGATTGAGAATGATGACCAACTTCCCCCATATTCAGACAGTTAGCGTCTCTTTAACCGAGCCACCTAAATTTGACTTTGTTGCAAAACCAGTAGGTAGTGACTCAATTTTCGGTTTTGAGATTTTCAACATTCCAGGTTTGTTCTTACTAGTCAATGAAATGCTCAAGAAGTATTTGGGCCCAATGCTTTTTTGTCCCTTGTCATTCCAATTGAACTTAGAACAATTGCTAGCTGGTAATGGAGTCAATGGTGCATTGGGCGTGTTGGAACTAAGAGTTAAAGATGCCAAAAATTTACAAGGTGCTGATACTTTCAACAACACTATCGATCCTTACTTTACATTTGGTTTCAGTGGCTCAGTTTTGGCCAAAACTAAAATTGTTAATGATACTATAAACCCAGTGTACAATGAAACCATTAGAATTATCTTGAATTCTTCCGCAGATCCGCTTGCCATCATGTTATACGATGAAAATATTTCCGACGGCAGGAAGGACAAATTCATGGGTGCAGCATTATATGATTTGGAAGACTTGATGTCTAAGGGCTTTATCGAAAACATTTCCTTACCTGTTTTGAGAAACAACTACCCTGCAGGCTGTTTTAATTTTGATATCAAGTTAATGAGATCGCTACAAGGTTCGAAGTTGCCAGATGGTTCTTATAGTCCTCCACCTGATTTCAACACCGGTGTTGCAAAGATTACCTTGACAGGTGCTAGATCGTACACTAAAGACGAAGAGGAGAAAGCTTCAGTTTATGCACAACTCTATGTTTCGGGTGAAAAGAAACTTGAAAGTCCAGTTGCCAAAAATGCTTCTTCTGCATCATGGAACTGCAGTTTTGAGGATATAATATATGACAGATCCAAGTCAAGAGTTCGTATTATTTTGAGAGAAAAATCTAAGGAAAACAAAATCATTGGTTCCACAACAATGCGCTTGGTTGATATCATTGATGCATCTTATGTTGGTAACAGCTGGTTCACTATGAACTCTGGTCTCGGGGAGGTCGAAATCTCGTGTAACTGGAATTCTGTCAAGATTGCAGGTGTTCCCGGTGCAATCGGTTACAGTGAACCTGTTGGTGTTTTAAGAGTTTACATTGAAAAGGCAGAAGATTTGATTAACCTTGAGAAGATAGGTGTTATCGACCCTTACATCAGAGTTTTAGTCAATGGTATCCAAAGGGGTAGAACTTTAACAGTTGATTCTACCACTTCGCCGAAATATTATGAGTCGATATATCTTCCAGTCTCTTCTATTAACCAAAGAGTTACAATTGAGGCGATGGATGTCGAAAGACATACTCAGGACAGAACATTAGGTTCATTCCAGATAAGATTGAACGAGTTCATTGATTACAACGCAAAGGGAGATCCTATTGAAACCAAAGGTGAGCTTTCTGAAGCTAGACTTTTCCATAAAAGAAAAGGTGCCAAGGGTATTGTATCTTATTCTTTAGCATTTTACCCTGTCTTACCTAGTGCAACACCTGCAGAAATTGAGGCTGAACATGAAGAAGCCAGAGAAGCTCAGGAGAAAATTGATGCTGAAGAAAAGAAAATGAAAAGCAAAGCAACTGAAGCTCAAAAAGCCAAGGTCATTGATTCTGCTGCGTTGACTGTGGATACGAAACCAAGACATGAATTGACTCTTGCTGACTTACCGAAATACAACTCAGGTGTGTTAGTTTTGACAATTTTAGGTTCCAAATTCTCCACTGGTGGATACTTCCAAGTGTTCTTTGATAAGCAAGGTCACGCTTCCTTTGAAACTAAAGTCACGCCGCAAAGTAATATTAGCTTTACATTTGACTATTTGGTCAAGGAGCTCAAGAACTTTTCTCTCATTACGTTCAGAATTGCTGAAAAGCCTAACCAAACTTTGAAAAAATCAGCCTCTAAAGAAGTTACGATGCCGACCTTCACGTTATTGGAAAACAGTTATGGCAAAAAGTCAATGTTAAAAATACCTGACAACAGTAATGTTATTCAAATCAGTTCGAAGTACCTACCGGCTCTAATCAGTTCATTGCCGCCAGCAGATTCTATTGGTAACTCAGGTACGTTGTCACTCGAAATTTTAAATGCGAGTGACTTACTATCGATGGACTCTAATGGTAAATCAGATCCATTCGTTGAAGTTTACCTTAATGGTGAGAGCTTTTTCAAGACCAAAACCAAGAAGAAGACGCTTGATCCCGAATGGAATGAATCTACAACTATTGACATTGATTCACGTGTGCAATCTATTTTACGTTTTAAAGTCAGCGATTGGGATTTTGGTGTTGAGCAAGATGATAAGATTGGTGAATACAATTTCGCTCTCAAAGATATCGATCCATTTGGAAACAAAATGACTGACTTTGAATTTCCGTTGGTTGCTGATGACGGAACAGCCGCTGGTACATTGTACGTGAGAATTGGCTTCAAACCTGAATATCATACATTGATTAGTACTGAGAAAGCATTACCAAACCCATCCAGTATGGCAGTTGATGGCGCCGGTAAAATTTTAGGTACAGGTGTAGATGGTGCAGGAAAGGTCTTGGGTACTGCCGGTAAGATCGGCGAGAAGGCTCTACACGGCGCCGGTGCTATTGGTGGAATTTTCAAAAGAAAACATTAAGCCTGTGAAGGAAAAACATTAAAGTAGTAATTTGATTTGTCTTTTATTAATACTAGTAATGAAGTAATAGCTACTTTTCTTCGTGCGAGCAAGGAAATTTAATTTTTTCGTGTCTTTCTCGTTCAAGTGCAAAGTAGCTGAGACAGAGGGATCGGGAAACAAGGTTGGAAGCCTGTTGCGGAGTGGGGAAGACAATCAAGCATTCCCCCAAATAGGGAGGCAATATAATTCGATGAGCAGTGAGAAGGCAGAAGAAGGAGTATTGAGCAATGGGCAGAAACTAGAAACTGCAGAACCCGCAATCGATCGAGCTGTGGCGGACAACGAAGTCATTGTGGGTAATGAAGATGCCTCTGACGACGATGAATTTGGAGACTTTGAAGAAGTGGACCAGATTGAGCCAGCTGAAGAGAAACTAGATGTGAGCACCGAGTTGAAAAAGGAGTTATCTTTATATGATGGTGATTACGTGAAAAATGAAGAGAATATAACACAATTGTTAGGTAACGTCTTCAATGAAATAGCGGATACAAAAACCTCGTTCGGAGAGTTAGAGAGTGATACAGCTGGTACAGCGTCTCCTACGGACCAAAGATTTGTTTTCAATGAAAGGGCAAGCAAAGTTTTTGATCAGCTCGTTTCTGATAATGATGGACTCACACCGCATATTATCTGGAGAAAGAGCATGGTATTCAAGCAGCTAATGCTCAATTTAAACATACCTATAGAAAACACCAATAATATATCCGGAAAAGTTCCACAGACCGGCTCTACGAGCAGTACCACAGAAATTAGGGATTTGTATGATCGAGAAAGTACATCCAATGTGAATAGTGAGCTTGAAAATCTATTGGCTCAAGTCCCTGATTTTGCAAGCTTAGGAATCGATAAGAAGAGTGAGGTTTTTGCAGATAAAATTACAAATACCACGAGAATTATCACGGAAGCTCATCATGCAATTAGAGAACACTCAGAAAACAATGAAGGGTACCTTGTGGAACTGGTTGCTGTCAAAAAGAACCTTTTGAATTTGCTTTCTGTCTGGGACGAAAGAATGGGCGATATAAGGGAAGACAATGAATTATTCTCTTCTTATGTCGAAAACTTGATAGGAAATACACAAAAATTTAGAAGGGTTAGCAAGATAGCCAAGTAAAAGTTCTGATCATTTTTATTCGTTTTTATGTACACTTATTTTCTATATAATTTACAAGTCATGCCATCATCATTATCACATGCTTCAGCGTAAGGATTAAATACTCTCGTCACCATATTTCTGAACAAACAGACCCAAAGCTTTGATGGGGAAGAGAAACTTGTAGTTCGGATACTCAATGGCACAAGAATGGTTGAAAACTCCTTCGACATATTCAAATTCCCATTCGCCTGTTCTCTGTTGGCGCTCAACAAGAAGATCAACAGCCCTTCTCAGAACTGGCTTATCTGGATAATCAGCCAGAAGTAGTCCTATGAGAGCCCATGCTGTTTGTACAATCAATGATTCTTGTGTTGATACATAGGTGTGAGTCTCGCAACTTTTCATTGACTCACCCCAACCACCATCAGGTAACTGACGTGAAACCAAAAAGTCGCATCCTTTCCTTACAGTGTCACTGTTGGAGTAGTTCAGATCAATTTCGGCCAATGCTTCAAGAGCAAACATCCCAGCATACGTGAAACAAATACCCCAACAACCATACCAAGAACCATCAGGTCTCTGGCAATGAATGATGTAGTCGGTAGCTCTTTTGATGGCTGTTTTGATCTCTTGAGATCTGTAGTTTGAATTCTTGTGAAAATATGCAAGACCTAATACGGAAGAGTCAGTACACTCCACATATGGGTATTCAACCATAATGTTACCAAAAACTTCTGCAGGATTTATCAGTTCTAGCATTGGTGTAGCCTTGATTTTTTCATAGGTGGAAAATGATCCAAACTCAAAATTTCCAACGTTCTGTAAGCCCAGCAGAACATCAATTGCATCATTCAATTTCGAAAGGTCGTAAAGGTTATACACATCTTTGAAACTTTTCGAGTTCATCACCATCAAAATAGCCTTTATTGCCTCGGCAGTGCAATCGGAAACAGTGTAGCCCTGTTCTTTGGTTGAAAATGGCCAAGCTCCAAGTCTTTTATCTCTGAATGACCCCTTAGCACAATCAGTATCAAATTGCGATCTTATCAAAAACTCAAAGGATCGCACTATCGCATCATGGTACTCGGGGAGGTCTGCTAAACCAGCAACAAAGTAGTACTGAATAAAGAATGCACAGTCCCAAACTTGGGAACCATTTGTGCCCATGACTGTCATTCCTTGCTTACCCAAAAACAAGGTTTCTTTCATTCTGTTAAAGCTTCTCAAGTAATCAGCACCTTTTGCGCCTTGAACAATGTATAGAACAATTGTCTCAAATGCTGCACTGACAGGTGCAATCCCTAAATGCTCTGTATTCTCAAGTTCTTTGATAATCAAGTCGTATGCTTTTTTATTGGAATAATCTAACAACCATTTTGGTCTTAGGTATTTTTCATATGCCACCATGCAATTGTTCAATATGTTGAGAAGTGCGGTGTGAGGGTAGTATAAGTCTACGCCACACACTTTGTTTCTGTTATCCGCAAATTTGATTTTATCGAACGGTTGAGTGAACAATTCACTTCTGATTTCTTCCAAAAGAGGGTCCAATTCACATTGTATTTTTGCGGATGATAAATATCCAAGTGGAATATATATTGCTCTTGTATGAACCCACCATTTCATCGGATGGATGGGTGTCCAATAGGGTAAAGCAAATAACTCAGTTGGAGCAGGGTTGACTCCTTCCCACTTGTACAAGTTCAATACAGCCAACCATGCTTTACCCCAATGCGGGTTCCCTATGGCGCCACCGAGTTTATGCAATGTGTTGCGGGCTTTTACGCAAACGGGATGTTCCTTTGGTAAACCTAGGATCCGAAGAATGACATAGTTGATGGTTGTACCGAAACAGGTAGATTTATCGATCTCGTGCAATCCCCAACCTCCATCGACTGGGTGGGCGGTATTGACAAGATATCTGATGATTTCCTTCTTTTCATGATCTGGAATAGGCATTTTTGTGAAGTAGGCGCAGGCAACATAACCGATGGCCATGAACATTGGACCCTTGTACAGAACGGGCCAAGTACCTGAACTTTTGTCTTGGACGCCCTGGAAAAACAATGCTGCATTTTTTGTTGTTTCAAAAACTGTTCTTGGGTTTGGAGTGATTTGAGGAGGAACAAACGCAGGGTCATCTAACAGATATTTAGTCAGGTTATCTTGGGGGTCATGCTTCGACTCTTCCTCGGATTGCAGGTATTCCCATTTCTGTGCACCTAGTTTAGTGGTTCTTAATCTCCATCTGGACGAGTCCGTCTTTGGAATACCAATGGTATCTGAGTACTGCATTGGTTTGTATTCACAGCTCTGCTGAAGTGGGGCAAGGAGATATGGTCATGACGTTGAAGAAGCACGGGAGTGTTAAGCTAGTACCTACCCATGTGGAAAAGATGCGTTAGGTAAGTGTTATGCTATAAAAGGAGCGAGCGGAACGAGTACATGGAACCGACGTGTATATATTACCGGATTAGGCAGAGGCGGGGTGCGGAAGCACAAACTATGGTCAGAGCTTGAAGGTGGACGTTCTCCCTGTGATGCCGTCGTAGACTAGACAGTTGTCAAGAGGGATATACTGGTTGGTCAAAATCTTGATGACCTCCTGGGCAGTGATGCCGCCGATGACGGCGCAGACGTTGTGAAGGCTGCGGCCACACGCCCTGCACATCTCATCCAAGACCTTGTCGAAGCCCTCGGGGAAGGTTTTGACGTCGTGGTTGTTGCAAAGGATGGCAATGGCGGTGGTGCGCAGCTCGGGCCGGTCGTCAAAGGTCGGAGAGCGGTGATGTTCCCGGGCAAAGCTCTCTAGGGTCAAAAAGGCCAAGTAGATCAGCGCCTTGTCGGCCAGCTGCTCGTTGCCGGACTTGAACACCTCTAGGATCTTGGGCATTGTGTCCCACTTGCTGCCTCGGACAACCTTCAAGAAACGGCTGTTTTTCACAAAGAGAGTGAGCAGGCTGTCGTTGTCGGCGAGCTCGTCCGGGGACCGGTGCAGCTGGCGGAGACTGAGGAGGGCCTTGTCGCGGATGAAGCGCCGGTCCTGCTCAAACTTGTCGGTGTATATGTTTCTCAAGCGGATGTAGTCGGCGGTGTCAGACTCCATGTCCGGGAGCACGCCGCTGAGCGGGAGGACGTGGAAGGTGTCGTAGAAGCACTTGAGGGCGTTGCAGAGGATCCAGAAGAGCGAGCTGGACCCGTCGAGATGCGTGGTCTTGCGGTCGGCGAGGATGTCCGCCACGCTGGGCGGGATCTCGGCGGAGTTCCGCATGAGCAGGTACGCCTTGCTGTACGCCTCGTCCAAGTTGAGCTCGTCGCCCGTGCGGTAGAGGCGTTTGAGCGCTGCTCGCACCGCCGCCGGCGCCGGGCGGCGGCTGCCGTCCGCGTTCTGCTGCAGCTGCTGGAACACCTTCGAGAGCACGACGCTGTACGGTGCTCGGAGGTAGCTGTCGTCGGCGAGGCTGGTGCGGTCCACGTGCTGCTGCAACGCGGGCCACGGCAGGTCCAGCCGCAGGTCGTGCAGGTTGCTCTCGTGCGTCTCGACGATGACCTGCTCGCCGGTCTGGATGCGCAGGTACGCGTAGAAGCCCACGGCGCCCACCTTGAGCAGCGGCACGCCGAGGGCCCACAACCGCTCGCTGAGCCGGCTCTCGCAGGCGTGGTACGCCGGCCCCGCGCACAGCACCACGCAGTCGAAGGAGCTCCAGAAGCCCGCGTCCTCGTCCCCGTCCCCGAAGAGAGCCCTGTCGTCCACCACGGCCGTGATGCACACGTCCGGGTTCAGCGTGCTGACCGTCTCCGCAAGCCGCACTGCCCGCTGCGCCCCGACGTCGCCGCCGCCAAGGAAGAAGTTGCTTGCAAGGTCCTCCTCGCCCACCGCCGCCGAGTCCACCACCACCACCGACCCCACGCCGGGCAAAACGAGGTTCTTGAGGATCTCGCTGGCCCACGGAGACCCGTTCACCACACACACCCGGCTGCCTGCCAGCGACCGCTGCCCGTTCCCGCTCCACAGACGCACCTGCCGGTCGTACTTCGATCCGAAGTTGCTGTCTTCCATCGCGCTGCTGTGCCCTGCGCCCTTGTGTGGTACCCGGCCCTCACGACCAGTGCCCCAGGTCTGGCCATGCCGTCGTTCCGGCCTGTCTTCACCACCGCCGGATTCATGTTTGAGACGATCGTCCACCCGCGCCTTGTTTCGCCCCGTCTTGCCCCGTCTCGCCCTCGCCCCGCCTGGCTTGTCGCACCATCGCCCCCCGCCAGCTCTTATCGGTCTTGCTGCGGCGCTGGCCATTGTTGCGCTGCGTGACCTCCGCAGCGCCACATCGTGCTGCCGCTACTCCGCAGCCGGGCCTGCTGCAGTCCGGACGGGTCAATCATCACATGATAAAGGCCGGACGGGGTGGCCTGTTGCGGCGGCGACAGGGTGGCGGCAGCAGCGGGCGGGCAGAAGTTGTTCCGCAGCGACAGGCCATTGTTTTCTCCGAGCATAAACGAGGAGAGCGGAGGGCCGAGAGGGGGTGCCAGCGGTGTGCCAGGGCGGTGATCTGATCGGGGCGTCGTAGGTTATCGGGGCGAGCAGGGTGCACCGCAGAGCAGACGGGGCCTGGCGCACGGACCCGTTGCGTTATAAATACCAGCCGTTATCTCCCCTGGCCGGTGGTGGAGTGCAAGAGGGCGAGTGGGTGGGTGCAGCGTTGCGCTGTGTGCACACCCAGACAAACAAGTTCCCCCTACACCCCCGCACCTTTCGCATGTTCAGCAGACAGACCAGCAGACTCTTCTCGAGCGCCGCCAGAGCAGGCAACAAGGCGGCCAAAGAGGCCGCCACCCCGGCCTACGGGTCGTTCAAGACGTTCGCCGAGTACCGGGAGTTCATTGTGCAGAAGGACCCGGAGCACTTGGCGGCCCGGTTCAAGATCATGATGTCGAACGGCAAGCCGGAGCAGTGTCCGGAGGCCGAGGCCGAGAACCACGTGTTTGGCGACGTGGCCAAGAAGGTGGCCTACAACGTCTGAGGCGTGCGGCGCACCGCGCACAGAGCCCCCTCTTGCAGCGTACACTCTATATCCCTGCGTTCCGTATATATCTTTTCTAGCACCCTGAACGAAACACAAATCCGGTTACACCCCCTGCGCCCGCGGGGAGAGCCCTGGCACTCCTCCAGCTTAGTAATGGTCGGCTATGTTGCTATATCCGTATACGCGTGTATGTAGTATGTATGTATGTATGTACAGGGCCGGGCGTGGCAGCGTGCGCTCACCACACACCCTTTCTCACGCCGGGCAACAGCCCCTGCAGCGCCTGCGTTCTGAACTGGTATCTGCAGAGCCTGAAGTCCCGGATGACACCTCTGCTTCTGCCCGAGTCGACACACCGGCCCCGCAGCTGGTTCGCCCGCGTGTAGTTAGGCAGCGCGTTCAACTGGATCTGCGCCTCCAACCGCACCTTCTGCGGGAGCGCAGCGTTTCTCGCAATGAACTTCAACGCCCTCGACGTCACCTCGTGCTGCTCAAACATCTGTCTCTTGAAGTGGTCCCGCATCACCCTCGTGTTCACAAACGTCGACGGCAGACTCACCGGCTGCGCAAACCGCTTCATCGGCTTGCTTCTCGTCGCCAGGCTCTTTGCCAGATCCTTCACCGCAGACATGTCACGTGTGTGCTGTGCTGTGCTGTGCTGCTTTCTCTGCCTCACCCTCTGTCCAGCACCAGTGCCTGGCTCCTTCCGCAACGCTGAGCTTTCAAACGTCCTGCGTTTCCCATTTTTCATGTCGACACTCCCGACTTTCTCCCCGCGCACCTTTTCTCGCGCACACCCGTGCACGGCAGCGTCGGCAAGGCAAATGGCAGGCCCGCACCGCCCGGCACCGCCCGAAAATCTTGGTTTTTGCGTCGATCGGCCGTTTTGGTTTTTTTGCTGAGCTCTCCTCCACTGCCTGCCCTTGCAATGGATTGATATTCGCACGCTTCTATTGGCCAGCGTTTTCCCTCGCGACGGCCCCCTGCTGCTGAGACGGAGAGAGCACGTAGTGGGGAGGAAGACCCTCACTCACACTGGCACCCGGGGAGCCAGAGACAGACAGACACTCGCAGACGCACTCAGACTCCCACACACAGGGATTATCGTTTACACCGGAAGGGTCTGCAGATTGAGACCGATAGACGCCCCTACTTGTTGCGAAACAGTTGGACTCCTTACGTCCTTGCCCCGTCCTCTCGAGAAAGAAAGTCCTTCTGTGTCGTCCGTTAACTCACACATCTAGTACACCAACAAAATGCTTTCCAAGAGATTATTTTCCACCTCTTCCAGACAGTTAACCAAGGCTGCTGTGTCGAGACTGGGCAACGGTATCACAGTCATCACCAAGCCTACTGCTGGCGCCAAGGCCTCGGTCGGTCTGTACCTCAACTCTGGTTCCAGAGCAGAGAACCCATACAACTCGGGTATCTCCAGCTTGTTGGGTAACGTCGTCAGCTCCTCCAAGGCTGCCGCCGACGCCCTCAAGAACGAAGGTGTCAAGTACTACTCCTCCAACCAGAAGGAAGTCACCGGCTTGCTTGCCGCCTCCTACCCTAAGGGTAACGCTGCAGGTGCGTTGGCCTCCATCAAGAACACCATCTCGCAACTGAACGCCATTGTCAGCGAAGACGTGAGAGTCGCCGACCAGAAGGAGAAGTCCATAGCCGTCACCGAGGCGTTCGAAAACTCGCCAAAGGACATGGTCATCGAACACATGATCGGCACTGCTTTCCAGGGCACCTCCTTGGCTTTGCCAAAGTACGGTAAGGCTGAATCACTAGAAATCTTGGAATCAGAAGACCTCAAGAACTACTTGGCATCCAACTTCGTCTCCTCCAACCTGGCTGTTGTTGCCGTCGGCGCAGAGATCGACCACGACGCCCTCATCAAGTTTGCCTCCGAACTCCCAGTGCCAACCGGCGCCAAGACAGCTTTCGAACCAGCCTCCTTCTTGGGTTCCGACATCAGATTGAGAGATGATAACTTACCACAAGCACATGCCGCCATCTCCGTCTTGACCCCTGGCTCCAAGGACTCCGCTGCCCACTACACAGGTTTGGTTGCTGCCCAAATCAACGGCTCCTATGAAGGTGCCAACTCCCCTTACAGTCACTTTGTTGGTTCCACCTTAGCACAATTCCTTGAAGAAAACCACCTGATCGACTCCTTCGACCACTTCCAATTTGCATACTCCGATGTCGGTTTATGGGGTGGTTACTTCGCCTCCCACAACGTCGGTAACTACGACGAAACCATCCACTTTGCCTTGAAGAACTGGAACAGATTCTCTACTGGTACCGTCAATGATATCGAAATCGCAAAGGCCAAGGCTGAGTTGAAGTTGAGATTGTTAACTCCACCAGAATGTCCTGTCCAACTCGCTGAAAAGTTGGCCACCGAAGCCTTCTTGTTGGGTTACGTTCCTTCCGAACAAGAAATTGCAGCTAACGTCGACGCTGTCACCTCTTCCTCTATCACCGGCTGGGCTCAGAAATACTTATTTGACCAAGATATTGCTATTGCTGGTAACGGTCAAATTGAGGCTTTGTTCGACTACAACAGAATCAGAAACGACATGTCCTTGTTGAGATGGTGATCAGTTTAAATATACAGACTATACTTGATATTAATTTAAATGATGATACGATGAAAACCCATTTTCCCAACAATATTTATACAAAAATAACCTTCAAAAAACCATTCAGTGAATTTAACGCTTTTTTTTTCACAAAAGAAAAACATCAATTTCCATTCTTCATATAAAGTACTCGGCTTCATTATCCGTTTATCTCTTTTTACTCCCCTTACTTATTTATTCTATGTTATATAAATCCCATATTTATATCTATATTTATATCTATATTTATATATCTAAATTATTTGTTAATTATTTACGTTAAATTGCGTCCGTATAGTGCCCCACATGAAATACTGAAAAAAGCAACTCTGAGGAGGGGGAGTGAGAGACATGTGTTTGTGTTGTGCAGAGAGGGTGTGGGTGGGAAAATGAAAAATGTTCTCAAGGTACATGGTGATCTTACTCCAAACAAGTAAATTAACAACGCTTCACACACTCAACTATCTGAACTCATAGCTAGCTGTGCAACTAAGCAATGTTCGCTACAAAACCGGGAGTGAGATTTGTAAGACCTGTGGTCAAATCTATTGGCCGGAATCAGATATTGTCTTGCAGATCTATACCAAGCTGTCACTATTCAACAGGTGCAGGAGGTCAAGGTGGTAAAGCAAACCACTTTTTACCACTAACGTTGCTTGGTGTTGCCGCCGTTGGATTGACTTACTACAATATGAACAACAACACGAAACCACCAACACCATCGATTGACCCTACTAGCTCGACTATTCAAGGATCTCCTTTATTCCCATCTGAAAAATATCCGGAAGCAATCAATGTTGTGTTTGTGTTGGGCGGTCCTGGGTCCGGTAAAGGTACCCAGTGTTCCAAGCTAGTTAAAGACTACAAGTTTGTTCATTTGAGTGCTGGAGATTTGTTGCGTAAGGAAAAAAGTACCCCAGGAAGTGAATTTGGGGACTTGATCGACCACTACATCAAGGAAGGTTTGATTGTACCTCAAGAAATTACCATCCAATTGCTGAAGAATGCAATTGTAGAGCAATATGACAAGGGAAACAGAAAATTTCTTGTCGATGGATTCCCAAGAAAGATGGACCAGGCTCTGAGTTTTGAAAAGACTGTATCGGAAGGTAAACTCGTACTTTATTTCCAATGTCCAGAAGAAGTTATGTTACAGAGATTACTAAACAGAGGCAAAACTTCTGGAAGATCCGATGATAACCTTGAAAGTATTAAGAAGAGGTTCACCACTTTCATCCAGACTAGTATGCCAGTTGTCGAATATTTCGACGACCAGCATAAGGTCGTGAAAGTCGACTGTAACGAACCTGTTGATGATGTTTACAATCATGTGGTTAGCCAATTCAAGGAGAAAAACATCATTTAAACGGGAAACAAACAATATAATTACTACACAGTACCAAATTTGATTATATATATAAATGTGTATGTCTAGTCTAGTTTGCAAAAAATTTAAATCACATGAATTATTCGGAAATCTCCTTTTTTATGACTTCAAATCTTTCCCCTTTAAATTGAGCAAAGGGTGCAAGAAATTTTGTCTTCTCCTGAATACCATTCATATAGTTGAGAGTTCCTACGGAAACTAGTAATCTATACGCGGACTCCTCATCCTGCATCACATAAGGAACAGTAACCAGTTTTTCGATGATTGTTAAAAGACGATTTTTGAACTTGGTAAGTTGAAATTTATTGACCAAAACGGCGTAATCCAATACCAACGTTGATACAGTTATAGGCAAAAACTTTGCGTCTTTTGATAGATTTTCATAAAGGTAGTCTGTGAATATGATATCCAAAATGTCTTCATCAAGCATCATCTGTTCACCCCACCCCTTTGCAGCGAAGGTATTGATCAAGATTCTTATGGTCATCATTTGAATTTTAGGAGTGAGTCCATTGGCTTCCAAACCAGTTCTAATAATTGGGAACAATTCTGCAGAGGGCTTAATTAAGACGATGATTGCACGTAGAATGTCGAAACCTAGCAACTTTGTATCAGCTTCCCATGTCTCAATAATATCTAGTGCAACCCTGTGAATTGCGTCGTAATCCTCACAGTTGAGCAAGGTTTCAAAGTTTTCCAAAATCTGTTTATCAGCGGGCTGTTTGGCGTTCAATTTCTTGAAAGCGGCTATTAATTTAGCCTGATCCGCTTTGTCAAAAGTGAGATACTTCATTTGTGGAAGAATTCCCGACCTTTTTGATCTCGATGCATCCAAGGAGACTCCCTCTGCGTTCTGCATGATAAAATCAACAATTTGCTGCAAGTAAGAGTGGGGCAGATCATGCTTCGCCAAAAACGTTTCCGCTACATCGTAGGGGTTATCCACAGTGTTCACAGGCAATTTTAATGGCGGCTTGCCGTCTTCGATATCAATGTTGAAGACATAATCGTAATAGCTTCCGGCGTAAAACTGCTTCTGATTTGACGAGGTTCCGTCTACCATCTGTCCTATCTTTACCCACTGGTTCTCTGACCACTGGTATATATCAATTGTGCTGCGCCCAGATTTGATCAACTTCGTCTCACCTTCTATTTTACGTTCGTTGGTTTGAAGTGCTTCGATGCCAGGAATGGAGTCCTTGTTGACACTAGACATGGAAGATTCGCTGACGGAGGAGTCTTCGAGCTCCTTTCTAAAAGCGAGAATCTGGTTCTCTTTCGCAAACCTCTCGCTTTCTCGGGTGAAGATGCGTATCTTGGAGTCCGAGGATGCGGTGACAATATCGTTGTTTTCCAAGGCCAGCACTTTCCACACCGAGATGCAAGGAAGAGTAATCACCTGGATGCACTCATAGTTTCTCCAGATCCGAACGGAGCGGTCTTCCCCACAGCTGACAATATCACCATTAGATAGAAGATCCAGTGAATAAATGAAGCTTTGGTGGCCTGTTAGTGTCCTTTTGTTCTCGAAAGAAACGCCATCCCAGATCTTGATAGTGGAGTCGTTTGAGCAAGAAGCAAAGTCACCGTTCGGCAAGAGCAACAAGTCACGCACCACATCTTCGTGGGCAATAAAGCACTTCACTTGCTTGTTTCCCTGCCACTTGCGAATTGTTCTGTCTGCGCCGCACGTCAAGAACTCGTTTGAGCCCAGGAACTTGGCCCCCCAAACGGAGTTCTCGTGTCCCTTGAGGTCGTACACGATCTCACCTTGCTTTGTCCACACCTTCGCCGTGCTATCCCATGAGCCGCTCAAAATAAACCCCTCAAATGTGTCCAACGTACACACATTCGCTGTGTGGCCAATGAGACAATACTGGTCGTCCTCGTTCTGTTCGTCCGTGAACACTGCCCCCGGCGCCGTGAGATTGATCATGTTGTCATTCCCAGCACTGGCAATGAGTACCTCGCCAGCATGCCGATAGATCGCTAACGCATTGACAAACTTATCTGACTTGAAGCTGATGATCGAACTGCCAAAGTCTTTGCTTTTGCCTGCACGATTCCAAATCCTCACGGTTGAGTCTCTCGACCCAGACACAATCGCATCTTCGTTGAGTGCCGCAAGTGTCTTCACGTCCTGGTCGTGTCCATAAAGTGTTGTCGATAGTCTGAACATGCTCAATTGCTGGTCCACCTTTCCCGGTACCCACGTCTGTCGATAAGCACGCCTTCAGCCCGTCGCCCTCCAGCGACCTGAGCCTGGACCCGAGCCAGGCGTCTAATTCATGCTCCCCAGGCACGCTCGATCCCCTGGCGCGTGGCCGAAATCTTCACCACCTCCTCGCCTGCTTTGCTCGGCGTGCTCTGCTCGGCGACCCGACACGTCCTTGCTCGTTCCTGAGAGCATGGAAAGAAAAAGCTTTTCTTTAAGTAAAGGTCTCATTGTTTAGGGTGAGTTCTGCAGGGACTAACAGGACAGGGAAAGCATAGAAAGAAGGTAGACCAGGTCGACAAATATGCCTTACGTGTCCAGGAAGTTCATCAGGTGGATGCTGGTGACCGTTCCGGCGCTCACTATAATCTACTTTATCTTTGTCTCGGAGAGAGGCATCGACCCGTCCTCGTTCGACACCAGCGACTTGTTTGGGACGAACGACGGCTACGGGATTGAGTACAACAGGAAGCTCATGTCAGAGGCCAGCACGGCGTCCAAAGAGATTCCTGTTGGGGGAATGACGTGGGAAGAGGTGGAGCACCAATTGACGTTTGACCAGAACTTGCTAAAAAACATCGAAGACAACATGGTCGAGGAGAACATGGATTTTTTCAGGGAGGTGTACTCGAAGAGAATCACCGAGCCGAAGTTTTCAAAGTTGACGTACAACGAGTACGTCAACAGCGATGGTGTGCGGGTTGTGTTGGGCAAGGACGAATATCCTCGGGCCAACGCAACCCTCCTCACCTTGGTGAGAAACCAAGAGTTGAAGGACATTATCCACACCTTGAGACAATTGGAAGCTAACTGGAACCACAAGTTCCACTATCCTTACACGTTTACCAACGACGAACCTTTTACTGACGAGTTCAAAGAGACTATCCGCAGACACACTGTAAGCGACTGCTACTTTGAGGTCATTCCCCCTGAGATCTGGAACAAACCTTCCAACATTGACCCCGACATTGAGCGGGAGAAGATCTCGAAGTTGACGGAGAAGGGTGTTTTGTACATCGACAAGGACTCGTACCACAACATGTGCAGATTCAACTCCGGTTACTTCTATCATTTGGAGAGATTAAAACAATTCAAATACTATTGGAGATTTGAGCCTGCCACTGACTACTACTGTTCCGTGGACTACGATCTTTTCAAGTTCATGGAAGACAACAACAAGACGTACGGCTTTACTATCTCTTTGTACGACAACCCACTTACCGTGGAAACCTTGTGGCCCGTCACATTGGATTTCCTCAAGGAGAACCCGCAATACGTTCATCCAAATGGTGCCTTCAGGTGGTTGACCGAAAATGTGCAGCACCCAGACTACACTAAAACAACTGGCGGTTACTCTACTTGCCATTTCTGGTCCAACTTTGAGATTGGTGACATGGATTTTTACAGAGGAGAAGCATACACCAAGTGGATGGACGCTCTTGAGGAAGCCGGTGGATTCTACTATGAGAGATGGGGTGACGCTCCTGTACACTCTGTGGGATTGGGTTTGTTTGAAGACAGATCGAAGATCCACTGGTTCAGAGATATCGGTTACCACCACTCTCCTTATAAGAACATTCCAAACTCAGATAAGTGTAATGCTCCAGAAGACTCTGGGTATTTTTCACCAGAAGATGTTTATGATCAAAATTGTTTGAGTAACTGGATCAGATTGGAGATGACCAACAAAGAACTTCAAACCTATTGAGGCCTAAACGTTATTACACCAACATAAACAAAGCAAATTCTTTGTTTCTCTTGTTACTTTTTGTATATTCATGCTTTTCTTTTCATGCATACTATTACGCTATAGCGAATGAGCTTATCAGCAAGTTGAACTGCCATTTGCTCCACAATTTTGAGGCTTTCTACAAGACGTTTACTCTTATAGTACCAATTCTTTTTTACCTTATAGCTTTTCTTTGTAGGAAAATAATCAAAGTACAAAAACTTTTACTCTTTATTGATACTGTAGCTAGCCAGCTATCACGTTTTGCTGTTGTTTCAGACGTGCGACACCTCAGGAACCTAAACCAAAAGAGAACCTAAATATAGACGTATAGACGCAGTAGCCCATCATAGATCTGCATAAACCGCTATCATGGGTCATTGAAGCAAGGGCGAAAGGTAAATATCTCCATGTGAAGAAAACAAATGTGTATTATTACTACTCCGTCTTAGCCGTAATTTCTACCTATTGTATCTGCTAACGGAAAGGGGTGGCGCAGACCCTTCTTCCACCTTGCCAGTGATGCCATTAAAATTTAGAAAAAACATGTTCTTCCGTTTTGCGAACTTCCTAATCGGGAGTGCTACGGTGAAATTGGAATCAAAGTTTGTTTGACGTTTTTTCTTCGTTGGATGCAGGGGAAGCATTGATATTTCAACGAGAAAAAATAAAGGTGTTTTGAACTGCCTGGAGACTTTAGCTTTGCGTGTCAAATGAGGAAATTTCTTTGGTTTCAACTTGCATGAATGCTTTTGAATGTCTTTTGTTTACCTGGTCAGAATGGCTAGGCCTTGTTTTGATCTATTTCACGATGAAGAGAAGAGAAATACTCTAGCTTACACCACAACATGAAACAACCTAAGCAATATTGATGTATCTTGGACTTGCAAATATAAAAGAATTGTGATTTTTCCTATTCGGTTTGAGTCAAAATATATTACAGACAGCACGGTCCAAAAGTCTTGACATTATGCTAACAATTGATCACCATTCATTCGTTACAGTATACACCAGAAAACTTTTGCAAAGATGATATTTTCAATTGTATTTAAACTCGTGATTTTTTCAGCCCTTTCAACCGCTGAACTTTTGTTCCAAAACTCATCAAGCAGCCTTATTTCTAGCACCAAGCCAGCGACTGTCGAACCCAGCGCACTTGCAATTTCAGTCAATTCGCAAAACGAGGTTCAAATTGACATTCCTACTTCTTACAATCCATTGCAGTATGCGACAATTCTGCAAGATCAGCTCGCCTCATCTTTCGTCTGGAACGAAGCTGGCAGCTCTTTTTTTCAATGTTCATCAGATTCCTCTTGCACTGAATTTGAAAGATCAAAAGTAGATTATTCCAGAGAAACCACATTTCAAGTCGATTCTACTCTCAATGCTAGCCCAGATCCTGGAAAATTTGTAAGATTCATTTCCCCATCAATCTCATACCCGAGTAATGGCATCTTTCCTGTCACTTTTGATGTTATCCTCATGACAGACGACGGCATGAAGATTTTCACTCTCCAGGCTACCATTTACCAAATGTCAACTACTTCGTCAGATCAGTATACATGGATCCCAACAACAATCTGCCAATATGATCATTGTGTAACTACCAGTGTTCCGGAAATCAAAGAAACACAGACTACTGTTATTGATGGACTCACTACCACCTACGAGACTTATACCCCTGTTTCTATCGCTACAAAATCAGTACAGTTATACTTGACCACAACAGTGCTTGTGACTAGTGGAAGTTCAATTACAATCGTAACATACTGCCCTTTGACTGATGATACTTTGACTACATCTTCTTCCCCACTTTCTTCTACCTCCTCTATTCCACCAACCCCATCAGCGCCTTCTTCTATCCATTTGACTACGTCATTTTCTACCTTGAAATATTCCTCAACTCCCTCTTCTTCATCCCATTTGTTGTCTGAATCATCGCCAGTTGCGGTAGTATCATCTTCATCATTAGCAGACTTATCTTCTACAAAGCTTTCTACCTCTTCAATATACCCATCATCTTCCTTATTATCAACAGCATCTTCGCAAAAATTTCTGTCATCTATGTCTACTTCAATAACAGTCTCGTCAACTCTTATCCCATCAAAACCATCCTTGCCAACTTCCTACAAGTCTTCAGTATTACATTCTTCACTTTCATCTTTATCAACCTCATTGTCCTCCAGTATGATATCTTCAGTACCATCGTCACTTCAATCCTTTACATTTTCATCTTCATCAAAGTCGAGCAATTCGCTAACTCCCTCGACATTTCCATCCCTTATTTCGTTATCATCGTCATCTATCCAAAAAATGGGTTCTTTATCCTCCACCTTGCAGACCTCCTCTGACACTACTCTACCAAGTAAAAGTTGCTCTTCTTATTCAACCATTACCATTACTTCAACCACAACAGAATGCAGAGCAGGATCTTGTGCCACATCCACTCTAATCAATACAGTTGCATACTGCCCAACTACATCTTCTTTTGTCTCTCGTTTTTCGGATTCATCCAGTTACTCAACATCAACAACATTGGCACCATCAACATTCATTACTGACTGCTTGGGCTCTTCTCGTAAAGTCTTGTGCGATGTCGGAGTCACCACTTTTCTTCTTGGAGAGACTAATGTAGTGCTTCCCACTACTTCATGCCAAATACCTCATAGTGTGACAGGCTCATATACCAACATTGAAAATTTGTACACTTATTCTAACGGTATTACGACCACAGTACTAAACTTTCCAAAACTCATTTTTCCAAGTGTTGTTTGTCCAGTTTCGAGATTTGTTTCATCAGTTCCTTCTACAGCCTCATCAGCAATCACAATTCCATCATTAGTTCCATCATCATCTACCAAAACCTTCGTTGTTACAACTACATCTTGTAATTCTTTTACATGTGATACTTCAGTCATTACTAAGACCACAACATACTGTCCTTTGAGTTCATTATTAACTTCTGTGTCTTCTAAAACATCTAGTACTGTGTCTAGTTTATTTTCGGAGACTATTTCTAGCGTACATGCTGTTCCTAGTTCTGATATTTCATCTGCGTACTATTCCATTACATCATCTTCTTCCAATCCATCTGCTTCAGCAACATCTTTTCCAACAGCATCCATTACGTCTAATAGATCCATTGAATCAACAAAAACTAAGGACACTTCAACATCATCATCTTCCGCGTCTTCTCTTACTACCGAAGTGACAACAGTTACAACAACTTCTTGTAACAGCGAAAGTTGTACCGAGTCAGTCATCACAAAGACCACTACTTACTGCCCATTGACTGATTCATCTACGTCCTTTACATCAAAAACGTCAGCAACTACTATGTCTAATCCTACTTTATCTACTTCTGCATCAGACTCCACATCTAAGCTGGTATCCAACTCTGCAACTTCTTTGCTCAGTTCCACTCTAGTGACCCCAAGTACATCAGTTACTACTGTTTCAGTTTCTTCTGCACCATCTGATACATCATTTGCATCAAATCCTTCAGTCTTCACAACATCACCTATAGTTACAACGTTACCCTCTTCAATCACTGGCCCAACATCCTCTACTTCTTCATCACTCACTACCCAAGTAACAACTTTTACTACAACATCTTGCGACTTTGGTACTTGTAGTACCTCAATTGTTACTATAACAACAACGTATTGTCCATTAACTTCTTTGTCAACCACCAGTGCAACCACCAGTGCAACCACCAGTGCAACCACCAGTGCAACCACCAGTGCAACCACCAGTGCAACCACCAGTGCAACCATTAATTCAGCCACCACACCAGCATCATCTTTTTCATCCACATTGACGACAATTTCGTCTTCCGAGATCTCTCAAGACAGCACTCACTCTACACCATCTTTTAGTAGCTCCACTACGTTAGTAGTTACACCATCTGCCTCTTCTCTTGAACCAACCTCATTTACTGAAACGTCCTTATCCAGTTCCTCATCTTCTTTTACAACTGAAATAAAAACTCTTACGACAACCACCTGTAGTTCTGGAAATTGTTATACCTCACTCACTACTGTCACAACTACCTACTGTCCCTTGAGCCCTGTTTCTACTACTCTATCATCCAGTGAATTCTTTGTCTTGACTACCTCTTCTGTTGATTCAAATACTATTTTTTCAACTGCTATCACCACCGCTTCACCATCGTCACTACCATCTTCTACTACAGATGTTATCACATCAACAATAACCTCATGTAACAAAGAAAGTTGCTCTTCTTTGATAGTCACTCTAACAACCACATACTGTCCGTTATCCAGCCAAGGTAATCCGACAGAAACAACCGAATATGAGCTGAGCTCACAAGGCGTTTCTTTGTCTTCATCTGGAATACAGTCTACTTCAGAAACCGAGACTACATTACCATCATCAACGGTCTCAAAGTCGACAGATTATGCCAGTAGTACTATTGTTGTTTCAATTAAATGCACAAAAGACGTTTGTAGTGCTGTTACTCAAACAACAGGAATTACCACCGTCACAACTGTGCAATCAGGAATCTCCACAGTGTTTACAACTTTCTGTCCACTATCTTCTACAGTCTCAACTTTGAGTACAAGCCCAAGTCCAAGCTCCGAATCAAGCTCTGCAGTTCTCAATACACAGACCACACAAAACTCTGGAACTTCGACAACGACAATACAGCTGACGACGCTTATTACAAAATCATGTAGTGATTCCACATGTACTACGTTTGAAGTCATCTCAACAGCGACAAACAATAAAACCCTTCCATCTTCGGTTTCTGTACCTACGAATGTTACGGCCCCTGTTGTTTCCTCAGCTGCTACCGCTGCTCCATTTGAAAATAGAGCCATCCGACTCGGGTCTGTACATGGTGGTGGAATTATGGCTACAGTAATCTCGCTTGGCATGATTCTTTTGTAAAATTTTCTAGAAAATGTCAACCCCACTACTACGTTTCTTTATCCTTCTCATTATGTTGACCTTTCTGCCTACGTTGAAATATGTATAAATTTTTAAAAACGTGTACTAGCACGCATAATTTTTTCCAGTTCAATTCAAATCTATAGTTTCTTGATAAAGCATTTATTCTTAATAGTGTTAATTGAGGAAACAAAAGTTTAAAAATATAAATTCCTCTCGAAAAATCCGTGGAAGTTTAGATTTCGATTTGCTTTGCTATTTCCTAATCGAGCGAGCTTATGTAAATTTTGTGGATGGACAGATCTATGTGACAGGTAATTGTTGTGATTGATAGAAATTGTCTTCTCTTATTGAGTTCTATTTTCACCCCCGAGCTTGTTTTTGCTGAACAAACTATTAATCCAATAGCTTGGTATCTTGTTGTTGCATACAATTTGATCCGGATACCCAGCAAGTATGGATGCCGGCGCTGCAAAATATCTTCTCAGCAGGTCAAGCACCTCTAACATGTCTGTAGGATTGCGGCATAAACAATCCAAACTCGATCTGTTAGACAGTAAGACGTTAACATCTTTCCCATTACCAAACATCAGTGAAGGTAGTGGAAATTCAAATAGTTTTGAGGGAGTTAGCAGCCGAACAACTGATGTTTCTCAGCTTAGTTCTTTTGATTCTATTTACGTTCCAAAGAGGTGGAAATCCAGCATGGTTTTAGGAGAATACAAGGCTTTCAATAAGAATGACAACAATGGCGTTAACATAGACAAATCTGCATCGATTTTGAGATCAAGAACGACATCAAGTGTTCAGACAATGGATACTGTTAGTAATATCATGATAAACAGTAACGAGAGAATGAAACATTCATTAACAGACTCAATGGTGTCTAAAACTCTCGTGGGATCATCAAAGATGACCACCCCTCCATCCTCATTAGATTATGAAAGCACATTTTATGATTATAAGCTGGTTCTGAAACTGTCAGAACAAAACGGTAACCCGAGCAGAGACATTTGTGAAGACAACATTGCTGACGAGACCACCAAAACTGGTGGCTCTGCCACGATAGAAAATACGAAAAACGAAAACACAGATATGTATATTCAATCTCTATATCAGGAATTAATGCAAAAAGATGAATCTAAGCCACAAATACAGTGCATGGTTTGTGATTTGCCAGTATTTGAGGATGCAGAGTATTTCAGCAGGATACTGGATTTCAAAGGTGTGGTATGTGAAAATTGTATCCAGAGGCATGATAGTGACAATGATACCGAAGACAGAGCAAGCAGGACACACTCTTCGGCTGAAGATGTGGTGAGCTTAGCGTCAGCGATGGATCTTTATTCATTGATAGATGAGACGAATCATACTATACAGATACAACTTGATACTACCATACAGAGCGATGAAGATAGTACAGAGTATGGAATCTACGGGAACATGGACTTTTTCCGTAACGACCACACAGGCAACAAATTTTACGGGACGGAAAAGGGCAAGAATGATAATTTTGGAAAAATAATTCGTCAATTGAGAAGGATTGAACGTACGGATTTGAGGATTCGGCAATCTATAGCAGATTTGAGAAGCAGAAATGAGCTTTCAAACGAATATACTTCGATGTGGAGTTCGGTCAAGAACAGGTTTACCAATGTGTAACGAGGCCAAAGAAGTATTCAATCACGTGCGGGACATTGAGCGAACCTAAATTATGTAATTGTATTTTTAATGGTGTTTATAGGTGTTTTTTGTTCAAGAATAATCAGGAAAAAAAGTGTAAACAAAGAGATATTAAATTGGAAGATATATATGGGTAGACGCATACAATACGAAAGTGTGAAACATTTTCCGTAATTATCATATGAAAGAAAAACAAGAACGGACAAGTAAAATACAAAGCTAGAAGCTAAAAGAGTGTGTTTTTTTGTCTCTTCAACAATCAAGCAATAGGGGACTTACAGGTGAAGGAAGTAGTAGTACCATCAGCAAAGGCCTTTTTCAAAGACATCGATGAAGAGTAGATACCCAAAGCTGCTGTTGCTGCGGAGGCAAAGAATAGAATGAGATGACAAGTGTTGGCAAACCATTTTTGCTTGTAACCTCTAGCCCATCTGGACCAGTCTTTCCATGAGTCGACTCTGTGAGTGATTTTGTTCACAGGATCGTACTCACCGTCTCCAGTCAAAGCGCCGACTTGTATGTCAAAACCGAATTGCATGATGAATGGGAAAGTGTAGGAGAATTGTAAGATACAGACTGCACCGATCAAGGAGACAAGGGAGGAGAAGTTTGGGATGGCTGCAGCAAAAACAAAGGCGATAGCCCAGTAGACGCAGACAAAAACGGTCCAGATGATACGGCCGAACTTCGAGGTAAGTGCTGGCCAGTTGAAGAATCTTTGGAAGACACTGGTGTAGAAACACTTGATACCAACGTTACCGTATAGACCAGCTGCAATCAAGGCAGAAACTAAATTGACCACGTTGGTAGTTGTTTGCCAACTGTAGGTGGAAATACCTTGGTTGGCAGGGTTGATGACGAATTGACCTTGGTAGTGGTAGACAACCATGGCGAAGATCAAGTAGACGGTGAAGATGAACAGTTGAGCACAAGCCATACCCTTCCAGAAATCCCAAGGACGCTTCATTTCAGCCATGAATTCGATAAAGACGAGAGCACCACCGTACGAGTAGACGATGTTCATACAAGCGTTAAGTTGACTTTGGAATTGGTCGCCAGCACCGCTGATGACGACATGTGTTATAACAGGGCCTTCGACAATATGGCCAGTACCTGCTGCGGCAACGTAGTTTGGAAGGGAGACAGAGACGCAAGCCATCGTGGCGACGATGACAAAGACGTTCATCCAGATGGCGGCATTAGCCAAGAAACCAAACTTGGCCAAACTTCTGATTTGACCAACAATGGCACCTGCGATGGCCCAGACGAAAATGAGTATAGTGTAGCAACCTTTACCCTTTGCAATCTGAGAAAGACCTTGACCGTTACCCAAGATGATGACGGCAACGTTACAGAACAATTGGACAGATTGGAAGAAATCAATGAAATAACGGGTGTATTGACCGTAGATACGGCCGACAATGTCACCGTAGTTTCTCAAAGGATATTTGATGGAGTCCAAGTATAAGTACTGCTTCCAAAGAAGGCAGCCACAGTATGCTGCGGCGATACCGAAAAGGAAGTACAAGAGAGCGCCGGGGACGTACCCCAACTGTGCGATGGCATATGGGGCGGAAGTTGGGCCCAAGATATCGGTGGTGATCAAGTAGAAGACAGAGCCCCATGATGCGACTCTGAGCATTCTATTTGCGTTCTCCTTGGAGGTGTAGAGCGGCTCGTTGATGAGGTCGTAGGACTGCTGGTTGACGATCTGGAGCTTTTCGTCTTCAGGGTCGTCGACGCCGTGGGCGTCCTTTTCGGAAACCTCTTCAGCAGAGGACTTGAAGGATTTGGCGGAGTGAGCGTCGGAAGCTGCAGCAGAGGACTTCTTTGTGGCAGGTCTGTTCAAGAGCTTGGTCTTGATGACGTCCCACAACGGGATCGTTGGGGCAGCCTCACCGTAGTCTGGCGACTTTTCCAACTCTCTCTGAAGCTTGGCATGGTAGAGGAACTCTTCGAGCGGGACGTCGAAAAACTCGTCAATCTCTTCGGTCTTGATTTCGAAGTTGTTGAGAGCGTTGGCATTGTTGGAGATGACGCTGGAGAGGATTGCGGCCGGACTCGAGACTGGTTTGAGTTCAGACATGGTGGGGCGGCGGGTGTGGTTGGCTGAGTACAGAGAGACGGAAGAAAAAGAAAAAGAAAAGAGGGAAGAGCACGAGGAGCAGAAAACCCAGGGGAGACACACGAGACAGTTTACGAAACGCAGGGAGAAGGGATACGCTTTATACGCTGTCAGGCTGGCTGGCTGGGGACGAACGGACGGACAAACGAACGGACGAACGAACGGACGCAGCAGCAACCGCCGGTTTGCTCTCGTTTGCTGCTGATAGAGTGTGGCTACTCGAGGACCCAATTATCGACCAAACGGCGGTGCTGCCCACTGCCCACTGCTGCTGCTGATAAGCATCTGCCCGTCTTCCGATTGCCCATTTGGGCTGGCATTTTTTTTCTTTCTTCTCTTCTGCTGCCCTTCGTTTCTTTTCGAGCGTTTTGAGCACGCTTTTTTCCGCCGGCTGCGTTTTGCCGGCCTGCAGCTTTTTTTTGACAGCTGCTTGTGCGGACCCTGCTAGGGGGGGAAACAGAGGCCGGGAGGGGAGGACAGGTCGGGTCATCGTGCGAAGCACTATCAGCACGGCCGCTGCCGGTGGCGGCGCCTGCACGGCCACACACACACATGTGAACAGCCATGCCGGCACCCAGCTGTGGTGGTGGCGATTGCACGTCCGGCGAAAACCCTCTGCCCACCCTTTCCGGCCCCCTTGCTCTGTGGCAGGCCATCCCCACCACTCTCGCGTGCAGCGCCCGCTACTGCGCCCGCTCCGGCCTACGCAGAGGCACGCGCCGGCGCCGCCGGCCGTTTTCCTTCGTTGTGCTGCAGCACGGCGCGGTGCCTCCTTGTCGAGGGGCACCGGCGGAGGTTTGCGGGCGGGCGCGCAGCGCGGGAACAATGTGTCGGCAAATTCCATCTAGACATCTACTTATTGGTGCCCGGCACGCCGTGCGGCCGTGCGCTGCGACGGGGGGTGCCGCTCTTACGTCAGCTGCCCCACCGCCCGCCGGGCCGACGACTGGCCGGCCCACTGGCCGGCCCACGGGCCTACAGCTCTAGCGCGGCCACCTGCCGCGCAGCCGCCCGCACCTCCTCCTCCCCGAGGCCCACCAGCTTCCCCTGGAAGCGTGCGGATTTGCCGCCGCCCCCGCCGCGGAGCCCGGGCAGCTCCTTCTGCAGGGCGGCAACAACGTCTGCTGTCGCAGCAGCGACGCCGGCGGCGTCGCCGCCATCGTCGTCCGTGCCCTGCCCCGCGCCGGCTAGCCCGGCCACGAGAACCGCCCCGTCTGCGCCCGCGATAAGCACCACGATAAGCGGCCCGGACAAGGGCTCAGCCCCTGCGGCAGCAGCGTCCTCAGCCTCTTGCTTGAGCGCAGTGTGCATGCTGTTGAGAAACTCCCCGTCCGCGTCGTCCCGGAAGAAGCTCAGCACCCGTGGCCCGCTGCGGCCCCGTCCGTGCTGCCGAGAGGCGTCAGCCCACAGCTCGTGCGCCTTCAGCGCCGCCAGCTCCCGGCGCAGAGCCTTCTCCCGGTGCTGCAGCCGCTTGCACTGCTTCACCAGCGCCGCCGCCCGGTCGTCCAGCTCGTCCACGCTGCTGCTCAGCGTCCCGGCGACGCGCCGCACCACCTCGTGCAGCTGCCCGGCGTACTGGTGCACGCGGTCGCCGGCCACGAAGCCGAGCCGGCTGGCCCCGCCCTTGCCCTTGGTCTGGCCCAGCAGCGCCACCGCCTTCACCTGGCCCACGCTCGACAGATGCGTGCCGCAGCACGCGTTGGTGTCCAGCTCGCCGATGCTCACGACCCGCAGCGCCCCCTTCTCGCCCTCGGGCTCGCCGCCGGGAGTGGCCACGCTCACGGCCGTGTTGCGCAGGATCTCGTCGTTCACCGCCTGCCCGACCGCCGCCACCTCGGCGTCGCTGAGCCGCCGCGGCACCTCCACGTAGCTGGCGGGGGCACCCATGCTCCACGACAGCGTGGGCAGCTGCAGCCCGTCTAGCACCGCCGAGAGAAGGTGCTGGCCCGTGTGCTGCTGCATGTGGTCGAGCCGCCGCCGCCAGTCGAGCGCCACCTCCACCTCCGCCTGCTCCGCCAATGGGCCGTCCACAACGTGCACCGCACGGAGCTCCCGCCGCTGCACGTCCAGCACCCGGACGGGCGGAGCCTCCGCAGCGGACCCCGCCACCGCCCGGATCGTGCCCGTGTCCGCCGGCTGGCCGCCGCCCTCCGGGAAAAGCACCGTGTCCTCGAGCTCCACCTCGTACAGCTGCTTGGTCGGCCCAGCCGCCGAGGCGGCGGCTGCTGCCTCCGCAGCAGGCTTCTTCTTGCTCTTCTTGCCCTTCTTGGGCTCCTCGCTCTTCGCCTCCACGGGCGTGCAGCGCAATACCGTGGTCCTCAGTGTCTGCAGGTACGAGTCCCGCTGGCACGCCAACGCGCCCACAACAGTTCCGGCCCTGGTCATTGTCCTTGGTTATGTAGTCGGTCGCTGTGCTGGGTTTGGCAGTGTGCCCTGATCTCCGTGGTGACGGCCCCGACCCCAGATCCGGTCCAATCACCTCGTCCGCAGTGGCAATGCTGCGTCAAAAAGCTTTACCCCCGGTGGCCAGCACTCTCCTCGCACGCTCGCCCTCGCGCTCTCGGCCCACGACACGTCTCTTGCAACGCCGCTGTTTCACATCCCGGTGGGAAGCCGTGAACATGGGGAGGAAGGAAAAAAATTGACGGCTGGAAGCTCCACCACCACCAATTGGTCCACAGGAGACACAGCTGGCCCCCGTGTGCCGTGCGTGTGTGCAATTCAAGCGTCGACTCCGCTGCTCTTGTCTTCCGAAACGATCCTCCGTCGTCTTGCTGCCTCCGCTCGCCAGAACCGCCCCTCCTGCCGCCCTCCCCCCTCCTGTCGTCATCAACCGCTCCAGACATCTCTCAGCTGGCCCTCCTCCAAGATACTGCAATGGCAAGGTACACACAACACCTCCCACGCCAGGCAAATGACGAGCACGTGGCTCCCTACTACGTCCCGACACAGAAGTCGGGGAACCTGTTCCAGAAAATCAAGGGCTTCTTCAGCCAGCCAAACAAGGTGAAAAATAACGAGCCCATCGCCAGCGGCACACACGGACAGCAACGGCAGACGAAGAAAAAGCATCCGTTCGAAAACGTCAACGTGTCTGCAATCGACCTCTCCCTCCAGTCGAACCTCTCGTACACATCCAAAAACCCAAACGACACTCTCTCAGAGTTCTTCAACAAGAAGGGCGACACGCCCTTGAACGACATCGAAATCGAGGGCGTGCTCAGCCTGATCAAGAAATCACAGACGTCGAGAGCCCCAAGCCGAAATAACAGCACCATGTTCTCCGTCACAAACAACAACATCCACCCGCAACCCCAGCACCACCTGCTCAACCACAGCATGTTCCTAAACTCAAACACAGACTCAAAGCTCGGAGGCCTCTCATCCTTCAATGACGTCAACAACACCACCATCCTCAGACCGGCCTCGGGCAAGATGAAGGCCCCTGTGAGAATCAATACCCCCACTTACGTGCCCCGCAAACCGAGTGACAGCAGACACGTTACCCTCGACAACCCGGGCCTGCCCAACACGTCCAACAAGTCGTTCAACTCCTCCATGGGCTCGAGGTCCTTCATGAACACGGGCGCCATCAGAAAAAGAAGAATTGTGGACTACTCCACATTGCAATCGCCTTACAAGGTGAAAACTTCTTCTTCGTTATCTGCATTTCTAGAAAAGAAGAAGTTGTTGGAGAAGCAGGCTAACGAGCAAAAGGCGCAGCTGTTGAAGACGCAAGCAGCAGCAACGGAAGATAAAACCGGAATCAACTACAATGGAGGTATCATAGACCTTTCAAACCTAGACGAAAATGATGATGAGCGGGAATTGCACAAGAAGAAAATTAAAGTTGACCTGGTGAAGCCATTGGAATCACAAAACCTGAGTAAGACCGCCAGCAAAGTCCTCGACATTTTGAATTTTGACAGCGCCAAAAAAACGACTTCAGAAGATCCGAAACCAGCATCCAAACCTGTTTCTTCTGAGAGCCTGATTATTACTATCGATGATGAAGATGATGATGTTGCCAAAACAGAACCACAAAAGCCAAAGCTAAACAACTTCAAAAGCATACCAAAGGAAATTCCTGCTGTCAAGCCACTACCAGTATTCAATTTCAAGGCACAGAAAGAATTAGGTAAAGATTTTACGAAACAGTCTGCGAAAGAGCCTGTCAAAGAGTCTCTCATGGAGAATAAACCGTCACAGTTCAACTTCAAAGGCGTGGAACAGCAAAATAAACAATCAGAACCAGCTAGCATTATTCCAACATTCTCCTTTGGTAGCACAAAAGCGACATCGGCTAACAGCACAGAAAACAAGTCTCCTGTTTTCCATTTTGGTAACCCTCTTAAACCTCAAGCGCTGGAGGAAAATGTAAGGAAGGCACTTGATAATACAGTAGCACCTCGGGTACAACCAGCGGTTAACGGTATAAAGGAAGAAACGCCCAGCGAGCTAGATGATCTTGAAATTATTGATTCGTTCGAATTTCCAGATGTAGAAATCTTCCATTCAGATACCGCAAGCGGCAGCAACAACCATGCATCAAACGGTGTTCATAGCAAGCCCACAGTCGATGGCAGTGCCGAACCGCGGTTTGAGTTTCCTGCAATTCCTAATATCTCTCCAAAAACTCTGGAACTCTTCGAGGCAGAGCCAGCGGACCAGTACCAGGATGTGTTTAGATTTTAATAAACTGTTCTAATAGATTAATTAATGAAAAATATAATAATTTACTGAAAAGTGTTGTAGTTTCATTTTTTACTCCGCGACACCCTTCAAATCTTAGTTAAGATCATCTTTTACATCAAACCTATCAACAATGACCGAGTGGAAAATCGCTGATTAGTACCTAGTTGAAACAAAAAGATCCTAATAGTCGCTGAAATATTGACCTATTTGTAAAAGGAGGAGATGTTTATATCTCAAATGTCGAAGGCAGATTTTGAGGAAATCAAACCCTTCAAAATCAAAACAGATGTACCTTCATTTACTATCAACTTAGGAGATGATTCGGCAACGGGGAAAGAGATTGCACTTGTGAATCAAAATAAAGGAATAGATGAAAATGAGGATAATTACTTTCCTGGAAGAAAAAACAAGGACAGGTTTAGGAAACGGAAGAAGGATGCAGTTCTAAATGCCAATGAGGGAGTTGATTTAAACCAGGCTCTTAAAAAAAACGGTATCCACTCAAAGCCTTTGCACAAAAAAACTACACAAGCAGAGAAAAAGAAAAGACACAGAAAAGAGGAAGAGTTTATCAATTTTTTTGAGGCAGATATCGATGACCTTCAATTGCCTCCTCCATTACCAGTAAATGATCTTTCTACATTAGCTCAACCCAAGACGCTAGATGATAGTTTACCTTCGCAATCAGATAGGTTTCAATACAATGGTTCGGACAACATTCACAGAAGTTCCACAAAGGGTAGCTCTAACAGGTTTAACGCTGATAACAATAATGATAGATTGACCTATAGTTCTTACAATAATAGACCGTCTGACTTTTACAAAAAAGTGCAGGAACGTGATGACCCAGGCTTCAAAAGCTACTATAAGCAAAAGCGCCAACAAAATAACGAAAATGATTATTATTACAAAGACAGGTCATTTCACGCACAATTTGACCAAAAGATGCAACAGAAAACAAAATTCTGCGGTCAATCACCTAACGAGAAGCATTTAAAACTATACCAAGGGACTGACGCTGATTACTACAAGAATGGTGAACATAATGTAAAGGCTCAATCAGCGCCAAATAGTCAGAGACAATCACAATCTATGGAATTGGTTCATTCTAGCCTTGAGAACAATAATCCAGAGTTGGCTGCAATTCTTACAATTTTGCGAATAGCATCAGAAAAGAAACTGCGTGCTAAAAAGGGTAAAAAGAGAGCCAAAGAAGTTTCCTCGAACATGGATTTGGTTTCTCTAGTTAAAATAGCCCTCATTGATAGTGATTCTGATTCTGATTCTGATGATCCTGACCGTAAACATAAACACAGAGCCAAGAAGAGTAAGAGTGAAAACCATAAAAGTAAAGACAAGAGAAAGTCAAGTAGGAAGAGTAAACATTACTATCTACCATCAGATGACGACATTTCTGATTCGGAATCTGATTCTGCTTCATATTGTTATTCCAGGACAAGTTTACCGAAGCTTGAAACAGGAAAACCCAGAAAGTCAAGACGCTATATTTCAACTTCTGAATCCGAAGCTGAGTCTAAAACTGAAATATCAGAAAGTGAGATTGAAGACAAAAAGCTCAGAAACAAAAGAGATAAGAAGAAGAGATTGTCGAGAAAGCATAGAATCAAAAGCAGTGAATCTGAAGATGAAGAAGTTTTCGAAGAAGAAAGGCGGAGAACAAAAGGCAAAATTAAAAGAGAGACACGTAATAATGAAGAGTTGATGGAGATATTCCAGAAATTGAATTTGGATGACGCATCAAATCATGATATAATCGTTGAAGAAATGGAAAGTGATGATGATAAAGTATCATCTTTTAAGAGACAGATGCTATTAACATACGGCAACGTTAACTTATCAGATGAAGAAGGGTTCGGAGCTACGAATATGAAAGCAGTTCCAAGTTTGAAGGTGAAAAACAAGCGGGATCCGTCCGACTCGAATGACGAAGACTTTACGGATTATGAATTAAATAAGCCCAAAAAAGCTAATGCTAAATCTAGAAAGTTTAAAGCTGGGTTTGAGACGCTTTCGCATACCGAGGACTTTGCAAATTACGACAAGAGGACAAAAAAGACTGAAATTAGAAGCAAATCTAAGCCTAATCCAAGGGAATCGAAATACGAAGAATTCACCGATGATGAGCAAGAAAAGGATGAAAAGCCTAGATCTAAAACCAAATCCAACTCCAGATCAAAGCCAAATCTTTCGGATTCGGATAGTGAAAGCTTTACGGACTACGATGGGAAGAGATCAAGGCAACCAAAGTCAAAGTTCATTCCCAAGTCTAAGCCAAATTCTATGGAATCGAACAGTGAGGACTTCGAAACCAAAAAGCAGAGGAAGCTTACATCGATGCCAAAGCCTTATCCGCTTGATTCTGATAGTGAGAACTTCACGGATTACGACGAAAAAAGGCGTGTAAAGGTTAAGTCTACATTTAAGTCTAAGGCTTCATCTGAGTCTAAGTCAAGACCAAATCCTATAGGATCTGACAGCAATGACTTTTCTGAATACGAAATCAAGAAACCGGAGAAATCGAAAACTAAGGCTAGGAGGTCAAAACATGCGAGTAGTGAAGAATTCACCTCGGAAAAACCCATCAAGCATAAGAAGCTGAAAGCCAAGCCGAGAACTCTTGTATACCATTCTGATAGTGGTAGTGATGATAGTGAGGGCTTTTCTGACTACGAGAGGAGGAATGGTATTGATATAAAGAAATGGAAAAGTAAAAGCCATATTACTTCCAGAGAAAAGTTTGGTTCTAAGTTAGGCAGCACCAACTCCAGACCTAACCCATTAAAGTCAGATAGTGGTTACTAAGTTTCTCGCAGTTTTTTTATTTTATAAAAGTTTAAACTAAAATATGCATGTATATATTAATAAGTAGTTAGGCATGTAGGTTAACCGCGTTTACAAAGAAAAATGGAAAAAGGGTGATAGAAAAGATTATAAACTCAAAATTGTAGGTAATTTTTTTCTCATTTTTGGAAAATTGAAAGTAGAAAATAGAAATGCTCAAAGGTCGTCATGAATAAGGAAAAGAGAGGTAGCTCAAGGAATATAGTGTAAGAATAAACTGGTTGCAGTGGAGAGGGTGAGAACATAGCGGAAATGCGCAGTCGGTCAGTCGTCTGTGAAAACGACTGACAAACCTTCCTGGACTGTAGTCGCAGCCAAAGTGCCTTCTGCGCTGAACATCTCTCCGAACATGATGGATCTATTTTCACCGGCTTTGATGTTCTTAACGTTGTAACTGAAGTAAGAGTTTGTGTCGATCTCGGTATTGAAATAGATGGTGTGGTCCAAGGAGACAGAGAATTTTGTTGTGAACATCTCCTTTAGGTTCAGACGCATGTTTGCACTGAGGTAGAAGTAGTCCGAGATGTACGCGATGGCGACCCAGTTGAAGATCGAAGGGTTCTTGAGCGAGTCCTTCGTCTTGACCCAGTAGCGCAAGGTGCGGTCGCTTGGGGGTGCGTGGCGCTCCTCGTCGGACACCAAGTCCTGGTCAAACATGTCCAGCGGGAGCTTCCAGATGCAGGGCTCTCTATTGTAGCATCGGATGACCTCCTCCTCGCAGTTCTTGCCCTTCAAATACTCCAAGTGCTTCTTGTTCATGGCCTTTTTGGACCAGATTTTGAACAACTCCTCCTGGGTGAGCATGTCGTCCGGGTGGTCAATGTCCTTCCCGATAAGGGGCGGGGCCCTATTGTGGGAAAGCTGGCCCCGCAAGTTTGCCGCGGAGCCCTCCAACTGGTACGCTTGGAGGGAGACCGTGGCTCTGAAGATGAGCTGGTCGTTCTGGAAGAGGTTCACCTCGCGCGTGCAGTAGTTCTTGCCGTCCTTCAAGCTGGACACCTTGTAGTACAAGGCCGGGTGGGGCTTGGCGGAGTGGAGGAAGTGGCAGTGGATGGACATGGGTTTCCAGGACTTCTCGTACGTGTTGGAGTAGAGGAGTGCAGCCAAGACAGACTGCGCCGCCATCGTGCCGCCAAAGAGGCCCCGTCCGCGGTATGGGACAAAGAGCTCCGAGCGGTTGGTGAACGTGTCGCTTGCCACCCGCTTGAGGTCGAGCAAGGCCTCCAACGCAGACTCCTTCGTGTCGAGCTCGAGGTTCAAGTCCAGGCTGAAGTCCAGGTCCGCCAAGTCGTCGTTGCTGATCGAGATCGACGTGTTCGACGACCCGTCGCTGCTCATCCCGTCATCCGAAAGCGACGACGTGTTGGTCACGTACTTCCTGAGCAACCGGTTGTTGCTGTTGACGCTGCTACCCGTTTCCGGGCCGCTCATGTGTTTTGTGTCTGGGTCCACGCTGTGTGCCGTGCTCATCGTGCGCCGCCGTGGGAGGGCAAATCGGAGACGCTGTATCTGCCCCTGTCTGTGCCGCGGTCTGTGTGGTAGTAGAGATGTAGCCTGTAGGGGACGCCTGGCCTCGACGTTAGCGCTGTGTGTGTCTGCGGTGTGTACAAGACCTCCAACCGACCTTGGAGCGTGCAGAAACGCACTTCTTCTTGCCTGCGACGCCCCACCAGCGGCAGCGGCAGACCACATCGTTAAGTAGTTTTATAGTACAGGGTGCTATACGCTATCTACAGGCCGCCTCCTTCTGCCTCTATCTCCTCCGGTGCCAACTCCGGCACCTATCTCCAGCTCTATCTCCACTGCCGGCGTCAGCGCCGGATCCTGCCCACGCCCCCGTTCTCTCCGCCCGGACGCGCCCCGCGGGCCTGTCCCGACGCCTCGTCGCCCGTTCTCGCCCTCGGCCGCGGGGCTCCTTCCGGATGGGGGAAGTGCGGGGCAACCACGGGGGGGGAAGGGCCTGGCGGTTGCCCCGCCGGTGGCCGAAAGAGGAAATTTGCCCCCACGTGACTCCATGAATCGGTGCCGGCTCACTCGCGGCGGAGAAAAGCCTGGAAGGCGTCGTTGGCAATGTGGACCTGGCCTACGCTCTTCATGTGCTTCTTACCCTCCTTCTGCTTGGAGAGAAGCTTTTTGCGTCGGCTGATATCACTCGCGTGGAGCTTGGCAAGCACGTCCTTGCGGCGGGCCTTGATGGTTTCACGGGCAACGACACGGCCGTTGGCACGGGCCTGGATGACGACCTCGAACTGCTGGATACGTAGAAACTCCTTGAGGCGCTTGACAAACTCGCGACCGTTTTTCTCGATCTGAGAGCGATGCAGCACGGTGCTCAAGGCGTCAACACTGTTGCCGTTGACGAGCAGCTCCATCTTGTAGATGTCGCTCGGCTTGTAGCCTGCGTCGTCGTAGTCGAGGGAGGCGTAGCCGCGGGTGACGCCCTTGAGCTTGCCGAAGAAGTCGTCGATGAGGTGGGCGGTGGGGATGTCGTACTTCATGAGGGTCTGGCCGTTGCTGAGGTACTGCAGCTCCTTCTGCTGGCCGCGGTTGTTCTCGCAGAGCGTCATGACCGCGCCGGTGTACTCCTTGGGGAAGGTCATGAGGGCTTCCACGTAGGGCTCGGAGAGCTGCACCACGCTGCTCTTCTTGGTGCCGTCGGGGAAGTCGTCCGGGTTCGAGATGATCTTCTCGCGGCCGCCCTTGAAGGCGACCTTGTACGGCACAGTCGGCGCGGTGATGATGAGGTTCTTGCCGTGCTCCTTCTCGAGCCGGTCCTTGAAGATGGAGGCGTGCAACGAGCCCAAGAAGCCGAGCTTCCAGCCCTGGCCGAGCGCGTTGGACGTCGTCCGCTGGAACACCACCGACCGGTCGTTGAGAAACAAGTGCTGGAGGCTTTCCTCCATCTTCTTGAAGTCCGTGCCGTCCGCCGGGAACGCCCCGACGAACACCATTGGCTTGGGCTCCTCGAACCCGGGCAACGGCTCCACGGCGCTGCCCACTTTCCGCAAAGTGTCGCCCACAAACACGTTGTTCGGGTCCTTGAACCCGGGGATCACGTACGCCACCTGCCCGGCAACGAGCAGCGGCAGCGGCCGTCTGTCCGGATACATGACACCCACCTCCTTCACCTCGTACCGCTCGCTCGTCTTGCAGAACTCCACCTTGTCCCCCTTCTTCAGGCTTCCGTCCACCACGTTCACAAGCATGATCACACCCACGTAAGGGTCGTACCATGAGTCCACCACCTGCGCCCGCAGCGGCAGCTCCCGGTTGTACTTCTCCGCCGGCGGCGCCGGCACGTCCTCGATGATCTTGGGCAGGAGGTACTCAACGTTGAACCCGGTCTTCGCACTCACGTGCACGATGTCGTCTCGCAAGAGCTCAAACGTCTCCTCGATCTGGTCCTCTGCCCGCGGGACGTCTGCCGTGTCGAGGTCGATCTTGTTGATCACGGGAATCAAGTGCAAGTTCATCGAGTACGCGAGGTAGAAGTTCGCCACCGTCTGCGCCTTGATGCCCTCGCTGGCGTCGACTAGCAGCAGCGCCCCCTGGCATGACGCGTACGACCGGATCACCTCCAAGCGAAAGTCTACGTGGCCCGGCGAGTCCACCAAGTGCAGCATGTAGTCTTCCCCGCGGTAGTGGTAGATCATCGACACCGTCTGCGCCTTCACCGTGATCCCCCGCTCCCTCTCCACGTCGAGCTTGTCCAACACCTGCTTGTTGTCCACCGTCGGGTTCACCACTCCGGTGATTTCAAGCAGCCGGTCACTCAGCGTCGACTTGCCGTGGTCGATGTGGGCCACGATGATGAAGTTCCGGTAGTTTTTCAGCGGGATCCGGCTGATCCGCTCGCTGAGCTCCTCGTTCGACAGGATCGGCGTCGGGTTGTTCCGCTTGTCGAGCACGTACTTTGTGTAGCCCTTGTACTGTTCGCTTCCTGGCGTGAACGGTGCAGACCCTTCTGCAGCCGTTGTCGTTGATGTCGAGTTCCATCGCACTGCGCTGCGCAGCGTGGACGGCCTCACCTGCAGCCTCAGCGGCCTCCGCGGCATGCTGCATCGACTAAACAAACGCATGGCTCTGCTTCACTCTTTTGCCAGTCTATATCCGGCCCCCCAACCGGTCCCTGTCAAACCCCCACTATGGAATAGGGTGTAAAATTCTGTCTCCACATACTGGGAAAAGGCACCGAAGGGGGACCCCTCGCTCACGTGACGGGATGAAGATTTTACACTGATTAAATGACAAACTAACTAAATGACTAACTACCTGTCTATATTACACGCACTGCGGACGGCGCCCTAGTCGCCGTTGTACTTCAACACGACGACGACCGAGTCCCCTCGGAGGAACATCTTGGACACAAACCGCTCTCGCAGCACCTTGTTCCCCGGCTTGGTCTTGCTCTTCACGTCGCCCTGGCCCTGGCCCTCCTCGTACCAGAACTCCTTCACGTTCTCCAGCACCATGTTGCAGTGGCGGTCAAACGCCTTCACGCGGGCAACCAGCTTGTGGCTGTTCCGTAGCGAGATCAACACCGAGTCCGAGTTCTGCACCGCCTGCGCCAGCACCCGCAGAGGGCCGTGGTTGAACTCGTAGTCCTCGAGGTCCTGCAGCTCGTTCTGCGACAGCTCCGACTTGGGTCTCGTGGTCAGGTCCGACATGCTGTTCTGCTCCTGCTGCTGCGATGTGTCTGCTTCTACCACCAGCTCCCCTCGTCCTCTCTCCTTCCAGCCTCTGGTCCCTACGTCTCCTTGGTCCCCTTCTTCTCTTCCGTGCGTGTATCTCCCTCAGCTCCTCCACGCGAAGCTGGCTGCACAGCCCGCAAAAAGGCCAAAGGCCTCTGTGTAGGCCTGCTGGCCTGTCTCTCTGAGGCCTGTGCACAAGAGGCACCGCTGGACTCAGCTCTTCGCCACCGGATCTGGGAGGCCGGGCTTCTGCCACGGGGTGTACACTGTGGAAACCACGGCGATAAACATAGACACCACAATGACGCCCTTAGTGAACACGGCGACGCTGCAGAGCGTGTCCTACCTCGGAATACAGAAGTCGATGGTGCTGCGACGCACACTGTCCCATTGCACAGGGGCAGGCTTATCGGGGCTGCCTGGCTCGGGGACTTGCCCGGCCTCGGGGAGGCAGAGAATGAGGAGGGGCTACAGCAGCAGTGGCGGCGGAAGCAGCAGCAGCACGAGCGCAGCTGGTGGTCAACAGATTGCCGCAAACATCACCCACACAATGAGCCAGATAAACAAAGACAAGTATCTCTCGAACGCCAAGACGACGCTGCGACATAGCGACAACAACAAGCCGTCGACCTTGAAGGTTTCGAACTCGTTCCACAACTCAAACCCGATTCTCGACTCGGCGCCGTCAGCGCCGACGGTGGCAACGGCGGCGGCGGGGGCTGCTGCCGCTAAAGGCGACGATGGCGTTGCCGACAAACCTAGCAGCGAGAGCAAAACCGAGAGCAGTGTCCGAGATCCGATCCGGAGAAACTCCAACGGACTGGACAGCGAGGACGTGATCCGCATGGAGTCGTTCTTCGACTCGTACAAGGTGGTGCAGGACTTCAAGAACAGCGGCTTCTCGGACGCCCAGTCGCTTCTGCTCATGAAATACACATACTACAAGCTGCAGAAGAAGCTCGACTGGCTCAATCAGACGTACGCGCCAAAGGTGGACTTGGAGAACGAGGCGTACCTCTTCGAGGCCGCACACAGCGAGTTGCTGTTCGAGGTCACCAACTCGAGAGAAATCTCGTTGATGAACTTGACGAACGCCATGATCATCCTAAAGCGGGCCTTCAACAACCTCGACGACGAGACAATCGCTCAGATCAAGCTCAACGACGACATCATCAAGATGGAGCTCAACCAGTTCAAGCACGAGAACAATCTCCACCAGAAGTCGCTCAACTTGAAGAACTCCGACCTCAACAGCCGCATCTTGAGTGACATGGTGTCGGGCTTGAAGTCCGAGATTGAGACCTTCAGATGGCAGCTTACCCGGGCGGGGATCTTGTCGATCATGATCATGGCCGTCTGCATCATGGGTGTCTGGAACCTTACAAAGAAATTGGCGATTGGCGACGACGCCGAGCACGAATACAAGGGTCCTCTGTTGCAGCCCGTCCACCAGCAGACCGACGAGGAGTCTCACGACTACGAGGCAGACTGGGACGAGCCTGTGGTGGTGTAGCGTATATACATCAGACTACTTTAATATCATTCTTTCCTTCATCTTGAACTTTTCTGTCTTCGTCTTCGTCTTCTTTCTTGTTCATGCTGATATCTGCGACGCTCGCTAAAACTTCCTGTCTCCGGGCGCTCGCTTACGCTTGCCCGCGGAGCCACCCGCATTTCCTCAAAAAGCCTTCCTTTTTTTTGACTGCCCCATTATCGGCGCCAACCCTCGGAGGACTCATTGCGGTGGAAAGGTTTATCGACTTTCCTGGCCTTTATATGACAGACCCAACCCCCATATTTCATCCGTTGTGGTTTTCTTCTTTGCTCTTGATTCTGCTTTTGGCTTTAACTTGTCTGCCTTTTTTCCGCTTTTGTTCTCTCTCCTCTTTCTATAGACTCGATTCTTATCTAAGAACAATCCCACACACATATACCAATGCTTTCGAGATCTGTCAGAACATTGCGTACGAGTTCCAAACTCATCTCCAAAGCGAGCGTCTCCATTCCTGTGGTTGCGTCTGTCCAATTCTCTCGTTCTGCCGCGCAACCAACCACTTCGACCAGAGGTGTTGCACAATTGGGCCACTTCGAAGCTCCACGTCATATCACAAATGAATACACTAAACTTTTCACCAAAGACGACGTCAAAGATTGGGAGTTGTTGAAGCAAGAACTCAGCAACTTCACCACTAACCCACAAACCGTTCCATTGGTGATTGGAGGTAAAAGGATCGAGAGCGGTCGTGAGACCAAGCAAATTGTCAACCCTGCAAACATCAAGCAAAGTCTCGGTACCTATGCACAGGCAACAAAGGAAGATGTTAAAGCCGCTATTGAATCTTCCCTAGAGGCCAAGAAGGTCTGGGCAGACATGCCATTTGCAGACCGTTCCGCCATCTTCCTCAAGGCATCTGAGTTGATCTCTACCAAATATAGACACAAAATGCTTGCTGCAACCATGCTTGGCCAGGGTAAGAACGTTTTTCAAGGTGAAATTGATTGTATCGGTGAGCTTATCGATTTCTTCCGCTTCAACGTCAAGTACGCCTCGGACTTATACCGCTCTCAACCACCTGAATCTGCTACCGGTGTTTGGAACAGAACTGAATACAGACCATTGGAAGGTTTTGTCTACGCCATCACCCCATTCAACTTCACTGCAATTGCAGGTGGTTTGGTCGGGGCACCAGCATTGATGGGTAATACCGTTGTTTGGAAGCCATCTGATTCAGCAATCCTATCCAACTACTTGTTGTTGCAAATTTTGGAAGAAGCTGGCTTGCCAAAGGGTGTCGTCAACTTTGTTCCTGGTAACCCTGTGGAAGTTTCAGATGTTGTGCTGAATGATACCAACTTTGCAGCATTGCACTTTACCGGATCAACTAAGGTGTTCTCCTCAATCTGGTCCACTATCGCAAACAACGTTGGTAAGGGAGTTTATAGGGATTTCCCACGTATCGTCGGTGAAACCGGTGGTAAAAACTTCCACTTGGTCGACAAATCTGCCAATGTCGAAAACGCCGCCTACAACACCATCCGTGGTGCATTTGAGTACCAAGGTCAAAAATGTTCAGCAACCTCAAGAGCATATGTCTCTGAATCTGTCTGGCCTGAATTTAAGAAAATCTTAACAGAAACAGTCGACTCGATCACTCCAACAAACTGCACACAAGAGTTGCAAGGTTTCATGGGACCGGTTATTCATGAACCATCTTTTGATAAAGTTTCCGGCGCAATCAAAACCATCGCTGAAGATCCAGAACTTGAGTTGCTTGCTGGTGGTAAGTTCGACAAATCTGTGGGATACTTTATCAAGCCAACTGTTGTGCAAACCAAGAATATTGAACATCCGTTCATGAGAAATGAATTCTTTGGTCCTTTGTTAACCGTTTACGTTTACAAGGATGCTGAAATCGATAATGTGTTGGAAAAGATTGATACCACTACGGGCTATGGTCTCACAGGTGCCGTTTTCAGCACCGACAGATTGAGTATTAGAAAGTACGAAGAGCGACTCAGATACGCAGCTGGTAACTTCTACATCAATGACAAATCTACAGGAGCTGTAGTTGGTCAGCAAGCCTTCGGTGGTTCCAGATTGTCCGGCACTAACGATAAGGCTGGCTCCGCTGCATTGGTCTCAAGATTCGTCTCTGTGCGTAGTATAAAGGAGAATTTCGGTGAACTCAAGAGCCACCTCAACCCATCCAACTTCTAATTGCATTAATAATGTCCTTTTTTTCCTCTCCCTTCTCCGTTTCACCTTCTCTCTTTCTCTGTTTACTCTTTTGTTTCAATCATTAACTTTGATTGCTTGTATAGAACAAAAAAAAAGAATAATAACCCACGAAAAGATCTACGATAAAACAGATTGAGAAAAAGAAGATGAAATAACGTCAAATGAAACTAATGTAATATGAAATAAAATGAATAACTGAAAACCAGAAAAAAAAATTAGTAAATGTACAGAGGTATATAGAAATAAATGCATACTAAGAAAAGATAAAATGTTGTGCCCTAGCCCTTGAACCACTTTTTGAAAATACTTTTACTTTCAGAGCCCTTGGAAGGGGGTTTCTTGCTGTTGCCGGCTTTATCGTTGGTAGCACTAGGGTTAACATTATTACTCGTAGTCGGAGTGGCACCGGATTTAGAAGCCTGAGGGCCCACCTTCACAGCAGATAATCTCCGCTGATACTTTTCAAAAAGTTCCTGCTTCTGTTTCTCGTGGCCGACCAAAGGTTTTGGATTTTCGAAACTACCTGAGCTACTCCGGGAAGTGCGCCTGCCTAGCTGGTTTTGCCTGTTACACTCTGGAGATGCATCATCTGAATCATCTATTGCGCACTGATAACTGTCGTCGTTGCTTGAAGACTTGGATAATACCGTGTCTGAATTTAGCACATCCAACATACTTCTTCTTCTTGACGTATCGCAAGAATTAGAATCAGTCCTGAGAAAGTCATAACTAGTACTTGTTGAATTACTGCTTGTCTTGCACAAATCTAAGAGTGGAGTGTCATTCAAGTTGTCAAACAACGACGACGTTTGTGTGTCATTTGTCTTCATCTTGGACAACTTGTTGGAATCCGAGGAATTTGAATCTATCGACGAATGGCTCACTGTATGAGAAATGCGGGGAGGGTCCACCACGATTTTAGGGGTTTGCTTTTGTTTGACAGCATCATTACTTCCCTCATCCTTCGACTTGAAAGGAACTTTGAAAGTGACTTGTGCGTTACTGCTCTTCACTGATTGGCCGGCGTTTCCATTACTGTAATCAGATGCAGGAGGATTTAGGATCTGGTCATTACCCACGTAAACAACAGATAGTAATTTCCTATTTGCAGTGGTCATCGAAGTAGACTTGGTCTTTGCATTATTGGTGCCAACTATGATGAGGCTTGGCTGATATAGGTTGAACACTTCGGCAAAGAACGCACCGGACTTGAAAAACTCCAGAGTGATGTTGATGGGGTGAACCAAACTCGAGCTATTTTCCAAATGAGACAAGATCAAATTTGTAAACGAGTTGATGAACTCATCCAACATCTCGTTTTTATCATTCCCCAAAATCGAGGTAGATAAAGAACAGCATATCACGATCGTGTCGCCCTTGGACGAGATCTTATTGATGTAGTAGTCCAACGAAGATAAGGAGTAGGACTTGCTGGACAGCATTATCAAGTAGAACTTGTCGTTCAGATCCGAATTTCTCAAGTCCGCGTGCTTGTAGTTGAAGCAGATGGAGTTTTTGGTAATGATTGGCTTTGTCGGGTACTCGTTCAAGATTGCGTTTGGAGAGAGATTCTTGAAACTGCCCGAGTCTAGAGAATCTTTATCGCAATTAGAGAGGGAAGAAGACGATAGTCTTGGACCAGCAGCGAAACCGTAACTCTTTTGAATGTCAACTGGTCTGACATTGAATTGAGAATCCAATGCGAGTAGTTCAGAATCGGACATCTCGCTATATGATTTCTTGCGAAGGTTATTGCCGGAGTTTGGGGGTTGTAGTGTATTATTGTTAGAGACGCCATTGCTGCTGGAGCTGCTGTATGTGTTCGCTGGGGGGGGCGACTTCGAGGCTGCTGCCGGAGCTGTGGGGGGGTTTCCAGTTCTGCCGCCCTTTGCTGTTAAGGAGGAAAAGGCCGAACCAGAGGAAAGAGACGGCGGGAGCTGGTTGTGGGAGGGCGTGCTGCCGGCTGTGTTTGTGTTTGAGGTGTTTGAGGTGGTGTTGTTCTTGGTGACGGCTGCGACGTGGGCGTCAAGGTGGGGAGGGGAGGGGAGGGCGGAAGAGTCTGGGTCACGGGAAGGAGCAGGTGCAGGTGCAGACGCAGACGCAGGAGGCGACTGTGACAGCGAGGAAAACAATGACCCCGAGCGCTTATCGGGAGCGCCCGCAGCGAATGGTGTCTGGCTGTGGGCCGACTTGAGGATAGACGTGGGCTTGGGCTGCTGCTGTTTCTGCTGCCGGTTTTCGCTCTGCGCTGAAGACGCGGCGGGGTTCCGGGAGGGCGGGGACTCCGGCGAGACGGGGGTGACGGGGAAGGCCGTGTCAGTGTCGTGGCGGGGGCTGGTGGCGGAGGGGAAGAGTGGTGGTGGAGCCCCTGATCTGTGAGAGGATGTGGAGGACGGGGAGGACGGCAGAGCACCTGCTGAGGCAGGTGTGGGCGTCAAGCGCTGCGGCTGCTCGGAGTTGGCGGCGTTGGGTGAGCCGCCTGGTGACGAGGGCGGCGGGCCTGGAGAGGAGCGTCTGCGCAGGGCCGCCGTGAGGACGGCTGTCTCAGGCTGGTAGTTGTCGAAGGACACTCTTCTGACGAAGCGCATGGTCTTGCCCGGCGAGGCGGCGGCGCTGCCGGCGCCGCCGCCCGAGGGGCGGTCTCTGAGGGTGGTCCCGAACATGGTGTGTGGTGTAATGTAAACTGGGGGTGTAGCAGGACGCGGTGGCAAAGAGAAGGGTGGAGAAGAGAGCAGCGGGCCAAGAGCACAGGAGAAGCCAGAGCACAAGAGCACAAGAAGGAGGGAGGAAGAAGAAGAGGGGCGGAACGACGAGCACGTGCAGAGCGGAAGGAAAAAGCTGGCGTCGGGTCGGGCTGTCACCGTGACAGATCCAGAGACACAGGGCCCGGGGTGTGGGGGCTTGGCTCTGGAGGCTCACGCTCGTGCGAGCTGTGTGCGGGAGGCAGACGCTTGCACGACTGTGGTTCCGCCATGCTCCTGCTCACCCTGCTTCCGCTCCTTCTCCCCTGCCTCTGCCCCTCCCCTGCTGCCTGGCGTCTTCCTAGGCCACTGCTGGTCCCGGACCCGGGCCCACGGGACGTGGCTGCTGTTCCCGCATCTCCCGCATTGTTATCAGCCGTGAGGCGCGGGCCCCCGGGCCGAGGGCAGCAGGGGGCTCAGCGGCGACGGGCCGATCGGTCCCGCGCGGGGCAAAAGGACGGAAAGGGCGAAAAAGGGCAAGCACGGCCTGCGGCGCGGGCGGTCTAGTCTGGTCTGGTGTGGTCTCGTCCTGGCTACATGTGCGAGCTGAGCTTTTCAGACGCTTTCTACAGGCGTCGGGACGGGTGGTGTGCAGACGGGTTCGAGGCTCAGCGCATAGGGCCATGGAGTACGTACCCGGGTTGGATGCTGCTTGCGCAGACGCAGACGCCGCTGAGGACGCGGAACTGACCAAACACGTCCTCGGACTGGTCGCCCGAGAGCTGGAGGCGGTCGACACGGCGGTCCCGCACGCCCTGGTGCCCGTGCTGCCGGAAGCCGTGGCCACAACGTCTGTGCTGCCCCGGTCGGCCACGGGGATGCGACCGTTTATGGCTGTGTCGCTGGCAGACAAGTACACGTCGGCAGAAGGGCTCGACCTGCAGCTGCTGGCGAGCCACTCGCAGCTGCGCATGGCCCGCAACGCGGTGCTGGAGCAGCTGGTGCTGGCGGAGGGCACGCCGGAGCGTCACAGGTTCGACAACCTGCTGCAGCTAGAGGCAAGCAGGCTGAGGGCAGGGAGGGCGGAGCTGGGACAGACGCTTTCTCGAAAGCGGCGGCAGCTTGAGGAGATAACGGAGCGCAGGAAGCGGCAGACGGCGGACTACAGACCCGTGGACGAGTTCCTGCGCAACCGGTGGAAGGAGAAGGTGAACGAGCTGGCGCAGATGCAGATCGAGCAGCTGGGCGGCGGGGGCGAGGGGTTGAGAGACTAGTTCTTTTGTTTTGTTAGCGTTTTATATAGTAAGAAAACTACACAGCGACTAAGACTAACCAAGTAAACAGCGAGCCGGGCGCTTAAGCACCGATGACGTCAGCATCGTACTTGGCCTTGAACCAGTTGATGGAGTCTTCCTGGGAGACCTTGTGGTACTTACCAACGGTACCTCTACATCTCTTTCTTCTGGAGACTCTGAAACCGGCTCTACCCATGACAACGAAGAAGTCCATACCGTAAATACCAATGTTTGGGTCGTACTTGATACCCAAGTCGATGTGTTCTTGGATACCGAAACCGAAGTTACCGGTGGAGGAGAAGTTTCTTGCCTTCAACTGGTATTCCTTGACCTTCAAGCCTCTTTCCAAGATCTCCTCGGCCTTTGGACCTCTGACGGTGACGTGGACAGAGATCTTTTCGTTTCTTCTGATACCAAAGGTTCTGATGGTGTATCTGGCCTTGGATTGGACTGGGGTTTGACCGGATAGTTGCTCTAAGACCTTGGAGGCTCTGGTCAATCTGTCACCGGATTCACCGACACAGATGTTCAAGACCAACTTCTCGATCTTTAATTCTCTCATAACATTGGAAAGCTTGTCAGACATCTTGTATGTGTGTGTATATGGATATCGTTTGGGTTATTCAAGGCGAAGTCTTCCACAGAGGCTTTCCCACTCTGCTGCACAGGTAAACCCAACAGTAGCACCTTCAACATGTGTTGGAAAATCTTCAACCTACACTCTCTCCCTCTCTGTGGCAATCGCACACTAACCGCTCACTCGCTCTAGCGAGTGTAGGAGAAAAAAAAAATCACACTTTCAGTGAATGTGCGGTGAAAAATTGAAGCGTGAGAGGGTTAGCACGTGCGTGAAGTGAGGGCTCCAGATATTCCCTGCGTGCTTTTTCTACTGGAGGTCGATCGGCTCAAAAGTCTTTTTTTCCAAATCCTCCTGCCCGGACATCCGTGCACCTGAAGACTTCCTTCCCCCTGATAACACTCCTTCTCTGTCCATGTATGCTCAACTCCTGCTCCATTTCTAGACAGACATGCATTTGCCCTCAATCAACACGCCAGATCTGCGCATTCTCTTCACTTTCACGCACTTCTGAAACCGTTCATCAGTATACTCGGACAGCAGTAGATACAAACATGTCTATAAATCACATTGCCTCCAAGTACACGTTTCAAAACTCAATCAATTCCGAGCTGAACGACTATAGCTCGTCATTCGCCCCAATAACGCCATCTCTGCAAAACCTATCGCCAGCAATATCCATACCGCCAATCTCCCAGCCAACAGACTTCTTGCGGGCACACACAGATGACGAGACAAATCCAGATTGCTCCATCAAGATTGCCCACGGTACCACCACCCTGGCGTTCCGTTTCCAGGGAGGTATTATAGTGGCGGTTGACTCGCGTGCAACTGCAGGTAATTGGATTGCCTCCCAGACCGTGAAGAAAGTCATTGAGATCAACCCAATGCTTCTTGGTACGATGGCTGGTGGTGCCGCCGACTGCCAGTACTGGGAAACCTGGTTGGGAACCCAGTGCCGTTTGCATGAACTACGTAATAAAGAACGGATTACCGTTGCAGCTGCTTCCAAAATTTTATCAAACCTAGTTTACAATTATAAGGGAATGGGACTATCCATGGGTACGATGGTGTGTGGTTGCACGCCAAAGGAAGGACCAACAATCTTCTACGTCGATTCCGACGGAACGAGATTGAAGGGTGACATGTTCTGTGTCGGTTCCGGTCAAACGTTTGCATATGGTGTGTTGGACTCAAACTACAAGTGGGACTTGACCGTCGAAGAAGCCCTATACCTTGGAAAGAGATCCATTCTTGCTGCCGCTCACAGAGATGCCTACTCTGGTGGCTCGATCAACCTATTTCATATTACCGAAGAGGGCTGGAAATTTCATGGTAACTACGATGTTGGTCCTTTGTTCTGGGAAATCAAGGAGAAGGAAGGTTCTTTCAACAACGTCAAGGGCTAAGAAGCGCCATAGTTTAAGATATAGAAGATATAATCTAATCATGTAAAACAGCTACAGTACAATATCGAGTTTTAAAATTTGATTGATAATACAGAATATACAAAATGATCCGAATCTACTATAAGTATGTAATCTATCTACATACCAGTTGGATCCGTCTTGACCCTCTTCTCGTCGCCTCCTTCGACCTCTACTTCTTCGTTAGTTTCTCCGTTACCTTCTGCGTCTTTTCGGTCGGCCTGTTCTCTTACTTCCTCAATCGTTCTCTTCTTATTTTCTGGCTCATCGTGATCCTCATCCTTTTCGAGATCAGCCAGCATCATGTGCAACTCGTCATCGAGTTCGTCATCACCTTCCCCATCTTCTTTGCTCTTCTTCGGTGGAAGGGTAGCAATCTTTTTATCATCAGGAGGTAGAGATTCTTTGGTCGTCTCTTCAGTTTCCTTGTTAGCAGGCTCAGGCCTTTCATCGGTTGAAGGTACTGACTGCTCCGGGGCATTGTTTTCGATTATAGGTTGTGTGCTCTTTTGACTGTCTTGGATGGAAACAACAGGATCTATTTCAGCATCACGGACTCCTTCTTTCGCCTCCAGCTCAGCTTTCTTCTCTGAGTCATTAACGGTCACGGAAGCATTGGCAGTAGGCTTACCAAACTTCGCAATGCTTCGCTTGATCTCTTCCGCTTCACTAATTCCTTCAACAGCTGCATTTCTGGCGTTCTCTATGGCCGGTACTTTGCCCTTGGCATAAAACTGCGGTTTAATGATTCCCGTTCCTGAAATTCCGCCTAATCTGACAGGTTTGATAGGCTTGATCGATGATTGGTGTATAGCAGGATGAGATGGACCAAAAGATTTTACAGATGCCCCACTAATTGGTTTTACTGCAGGTTTAAATGATGGTTTCATCCCTGCCTTGGAAATTTGATATACAACAGGACCAGTCGCTTGTTTAGTGGTAGCTTGCAATGTTGATCCCACTGCATCTGTGTGTTGTACCGGCGGCGTCAGTGAATTATTGTTTTCCGTTGCAGTCGAATCAATAGCACTAATATTACCAATATTTGACACCGAAATTGAGCCAGAACTGACACTTGCCTCATCAGTAAATTTAGAACTGTTTGTAGCCAAGGGTGGTATAACTGATTGGACCTTTGGTGTTACTTTGTGGAAAATTGGATCACGAGTTTCAGTGCCCTCTTTCTTGATATGCAAAATTGGAACATTACCGTTTTTGTTAAATTCATTTGTCGTACCAGGTTCGACCTTTGTAGTTGCTTTATTAGTAGATTCGGGCGTACTTTTCGAACCAGTCGCTCGAGTCGCAGAGTCTGTGTTTGCGTTGACTTTATTGGGCGGTATTTGGGCTGTTGGTGGGGCGTTCTTCGGTGGTAAATGCGGCGTCAATCCCTTTTGCTTACATACTTGAAGAGTAGCAGCATTGAGAGCTGCTGTCAGAATTTTGGTCACATGGCCTGGGTTTTTGTCAATTAATATCACAAGAGGGAAGCCTTTGATTGAGAAATTCTTGGCAGCCTGATCGACTTGAGAAATAGTCATCGCCAGTGCCTTTGTCAAGATCTCTGTAGATGTTGCCCTGTCGTACATTTTCCGTGATTTTGTAAGTGAAATCAATTCCTTTTGTAGATAGGCCAGTGCCTTTTTCGTATTTGCAGACATATTATTATGACTGGTACTGCTTGTGTTATTCGAAGCACTTTCTGCTTTTACGACTTGCTGTTCATTAGCTTTGTTGCTGACAGCTGGTGCAAAAGGTATCGAACCAGATGGATTAGTATTTTGTGATGATGGACTTGCGTATTGCAGTGAATCGGAGCTTCTGTTGTTCAAGTCATTTGCATTGATGTTTTTGGAACCAATACTAGTTGGATTGTGTATATGAAGGTTGGCCTGTAATTGTCTTGGCGGTTGTGCTAATTTAGGTGATAATGCTGAAGGTGATGAAGACTTGCCCTTGGCCTTGGCGTTCTCTAGCTGTTTTTGTCTGGCCCTATCCTTTTCGGCAACAACCTCTTCATTGACTCCCCAGAGCCATCCCTTACCTTCCTTGGAGATCTTTCTGAAAGATTTGTTCAATGAGAGATTATGCCTGACACTACTTTGCCAGCCATCTGGACAATAAAAGTAATATGGATATAACTCTTGTATTCCCTTGTAGATTTCCGACAGTGACATCCCCTTTTCCGTTCCTTTCTGTCGTAAACAATCCGTTATCAAAATCGAATACGGAAGGTTTGGTTTGGTTCTATATTGTTCGGGTATTTCATCAATGGTATAAACTTTCTTCTTTGCCTTAGGCTGTCGTTTAGGTTTAGCCTTTGCCTTTGATTCAGCCTTGATAGGATCTTGTAATGCGTCGTTGTCCTTGCTTGAGTCGGAGCCTTTTCCAGACTTCGATTTCGAAGTTGATTTCTTTTTCGTATTTGTCTGTGATAGTTCACCGTCTATGGTATTTTCTAAATGGGCAACATTCTGATCCTCAGGATGCTCACGAGCAAGCACTTTCCCTATTTCCTTTTCAATCTCCAACTCCCGGAGCTTTTGGGCATCTGGGTCGAGCACCATATTGAGAACATGCGGATCTTTGCTCATCAGTAACTTATCGCTTTGAATCTCTTTCTTTATCTCGTCGAAATTTGCAACTAGGCTGTCCAAACTTTCAATCTGGTCAGTCGGAGGAGCAACAACTGGCACGGATTCTCTCTCCTTATTGGGGAGCACAAACGCAAACTCCGTCTCTCCTATTTGAATCTTGGTTCCATCAGATAATGGCACAGTGACACCTTTCTCAACAAAGTTTCCATCGACAAAGGCCCCGTTTCTACCCAAAACACTGAGTTCAAATCGTTGGTTTCCGAAATTGTAAAATATTTTAGCGTGTCTTCTGGAAATGGCCTTTTGATTACCCAAATGGATATCCAACGCATCTGTGAGGGAGTCCCCTTCTACCATTCTTCCTAAAAGAATCTGCATTGTCTGGACGTAAAATGTAAAAGAGTCGAAATCCAGCATAGCGTATGCCTGAATTTTTTGAGGATCCACTATTGCCTCATCATTTTGCTTACCAACGGTATCTGTCTGCTGTTTCGTTTTGATGAGGGATTCGTTCGGGGAAACCTGCAAATGTACCGTTTCAGTCTCTTCTTCGGTCTTGCTCGATTTACTCCTGTCATCGAGCATGTCTGCTCCCTCCGGGAACTCGGACAGGATGTGATTAATCTCCAGGTTCGTCGGAGGATGCAAATCGACGCCATCGTTTTTTATTTTCTGTAGTTCCTCCATCTCAAAGTGCTCAATATTCAGTCCATTGAATGCTGTGTTTTTACCTTGAATATTAAGATCGCTGCCACTTGTATAGCCATAAGTATTGGGGTCCTGCGTTTGCGGTGGTGCGAGTTCCAAGCTGTGCTGGACTTTCATGGCGGTCGGATCGGAACCCGCAGACGCCGGATCGGTACTGTGCACAGCTGCAGCAGTCGCCACCGCCGTGGTGGGTGCCGTCTGAAATATCTGGCCCGACGTTGTTCCTGCTGCACCTTTTGAGCTTGTCGCAGCCGTTGTTGAGTCTGCAGGGATCGCTGCCTGATGCGCTTCCGACGCAGGTGTTGTCCGTGCCAGAGACGACATTCCTTTACTCTGGACGCTGTAAATATTGACGCTGACACTGACGCTTGTTGCTTGAGGTTCCATTTTTCCCCTTCGTCCCTGAACCACTCCGTCCCAGCTCTTTACCACGGGTTCGTCAACAACTTCATGGCGCTGCTCTCTCGCAAATCTTTTTTTTTCCGTTTTCGTATCAGTGGCCGGCCCGGTGGATCAGGATGCTCAATACAACATCTACCGGGGCAGCCGAAAGACACTAAGAGGTTCTATAAAGGGCCGTGTTGGGTGAAGTATATAATATCTAGGTCTAACTGAGAGTTGTTACACATGCATGCGGTCAACATATGCGACAACGTCCTCCAAGGGGGCTCGCTCGACAAGAATTTTGCGAAGCACGGAGTCTATGTCCGGGTGGGCCTTGAGGACGTTGGTGTCTTCGGCAGAGAGCCACTCCAGCACACGGCCCTCTTTTATGACCGTCAGTAGGAAGAAGTGGTCGTATCCGGCGCTGGCGTAAGGCTGGGCACCCGTGGCGGCCTCGAGAAGCACTAATCCTGCGCTGAAGAGGTCGCTCTGGAAAGTCGGTAGTGGTTTCTTCGTAAAGTCCAGGAGCTCTGGAGCAGTGTACTGTAGCGTCATGTCGGGACACTTGACGAGGCTACCGAGTTCGCAGGCGGAGGAAAAGTCTATGACTTTGAAAAAAATGTTCTCCTTGTGGTCGTGGTGGTGGCTGCCATCGTTGTCTTCAACTTCCAGGGCCATGATATTATCTGTCTTGATGTCGCAGTGCACACAGTTGAGCGTCTTAAGAATCGTCAGCGCATCCAGTAGGGTCGAGCAGAGCTTCCACCAGAGCGCAAGAGATAGCTTGGTGTCTGTTTCGTATCCCCTCTCGCTGTTCTTGATGTATGCCGACAACCCAAACGACATCTTCTTCATCAACAGGCAGGGGAGCTCGTCGTTCTTTTTGAAAAGCGGGAATTGTTCTCTGTTGAGGTAGTAGAGCCCATAGCAGTCTATGAATGGGTAGAAGCGGTTGTGTATTTTGAACCACTCGTCCTGGTAGTTTCGTAGCTTGATGGCGAAGTTCGACTCCTGTATGATGTGCTTGGTCTTGTTTCTGGAGATGGGTATCTTGACGGCAATGTGGAAGGAACTGTTCTGGATGCCGACCGTCGAGAGCTGGCATGAGTATACGTACGCGTTGGAGCCCTTGCCGATCTTGTCATCCAAGGAAAGGCAGAAGACCTTCGGGCTCAACACAAACCGCTCCAGGTCCGGGTCGTTGAGTGGAAACCTCGTGTAGCTAGCGCTGGGCACCTTTTTCGAGGCGTAGAGCCCAGGAGAGATGGGTGTGATGGGGGTGTTTAGCGGCGAGTCTTGGGTATCGAAAGTGTGTGAGTCTGGCGTCGTGTACAGGTCCGAAAGGACTCTGTTGCTGAAGGTGGAGGCGGCCGACGATAACACCGGCGTTGAGAAGGAGTTCGGGTCAACAAACGATGAGCAGTCCAGCGCCGCCGGCTGCTTCTTGCACTGGCTCAGACTGTCGGTGCCACCGTTATGGCCCTCATTCGTCCTGCTGTTGTGCACACTGTTGTTTTCGTCCTTATCGCTGCTGCTTCTGCTGCCGCCGTTGTCTGCCGCCGGCAGCAGACTGCGGTTGTCCACCGACGTCCTCGGCACCGGCGCCAACGCCTTTCTGTCCCAGTCGTGACCGCCCAGGATGGACAGCGACGTGTTCGAGTCCACAAACTGGGTGTCCAGCAGGGAAAGACCTGCCGTGGTGCCGGTCGTTGTGTTGTTGTTGCTATGTTCGGCACGTCGTGGCGGCCTTGTCGAAAACAGGTGTGCGCTCTGGTTCTCCATTGTGTGTCCTCTGTGGCGCAACTACTCTCTTTTCTGTCTTCTGCACTGTCTCTGCTCCCTTCTGCTCTGCTTCGGTGGCCACCAGAAGGAAGCTTGGACAGGCACCCGGCTCAGCTAAAGAGGAAACATCCGTCTGTCGCTGCACAGAGCCGCAAAAAATTTCCCCACGGCAGCCGCGGCGGGGGTTTCCGTATCTGTCTGTTTCCCTTCCGCTGTCCCTACTTTTCTGGCCAACCTGAACATGATTAAAAAGGTTGTGACGACAAAAATACGGGCGGGATAACACGGCGAAGAGGTGGAGGAAGATAGACAGATAGCATGAGTGAGAGAGACGGTGCTGGCAGTGGTGGAAGCCTGTTTTGGCTGCAATCGTGGCTCGACAGGAGTGGGCGGGTGCCGTTTCTGGCCATCTTCGCCTGGCGGCTCGTGAACGCATTCACGATCAACACGTTCTTCCAGGCAGACGAGTACTGGCAGGCGTTGGAGCCAGCTCATCGTGCCGTTTTTGGATACGGCTATCTCACGTGGGAGTGGCAGCACGGTCTGAGGTCTTACCTGCACCCGGTGATGTACATGTTCCCTTACTGGGTAGTGAAGCGGCTCGGCGACGAGTATTGGTACGTGTTGGCGGCGCCGAAGGTCGTCAATGCGCTCGTCGCCGCCGTCGGTGACTACTACCTGTACGACCTCGTGCAGAGGCGTTCTGGAAGCACCCGGCTGGCGAAGCTGGTTTCCCTCCTCAGTCTCTTCTCTGCGTGGAACTGGTACTGCTGGTGCCGGTCGTTCGCCAACTCGCTCGAGTTGACTCTCACGATCGTCGCTCTGTACCAGTTCCAGTCAGAGGCGTACGTGAGGTGTCTCACGGTGGCAGCGTTCACATGCCTCATCCGACCCACCAATGCCATAATCTGGCTCTATTCCCTCCCGGCGGTCTTCTGGCAGCAACCTCGCCTCATCGCCGTCTCTGCCGTGATCGGTGTGGCAGTGCTTTCTCTCGACGCCGGCATCAACTATTGGTTCTACTCAGGACTCCACGTGCCGCTCTGGAGCTTCTTCAAGTTCAACGTCACAGACTCTTTGTCGTCCTTCTACGGCGTGTCCCGCATCGACTTCTATTTCCTCCAGGCGATTCCAGTCCTGCTGCTCAACTACCTTCCTTTCTTCCTCTACGGGCTGCTTCGATCTCCGTGGTCGCACCTCAAGGGTCTCCTCTTCTGCTACCTGTTTGCCTTCACAGCAATACCCCACAAAGAGTTCCGCTTCATCTTCCCGATGATGCCTATCCTCTTGACGTATTCCGCGTCCGGCGTGTTGAGCCTCTCTGCCAAAATCTCCCCAACAAGGATGAAACAGGTGCTCGGACTCACAGTCTCCGCTTCTATTCTCCTCGCATACTACTTCACGCAGTACCATGAAGTCGGCGAGTTGCAGATCCCTACACTGATACGGAACAGGATCACCTCTTCGAAACCCCATCCCCGCCCTGTGAGCGTCGGATTTCTAACGCCGTGCCATTCAACCCCGTTTCAGTCGCATTTCCACCTCCCGGAGAATGAGGCAGAGCTCTGGTTTTTGACGTGTGAACCCCCATTGGCTCACAATGTGCTTTCCGGAACGACTGTCGAGTCGTACATGGATGAGTCTGACTATTTTTACTCCAATCCCCGGCTTTTCCTTGAGACAAACTTCCCCGCTATTATGGCACTTGATGCAGTTCCTGCGCAGGGTGCCCAATGGCCACACAGATGGCCGGAATACATAGTCATGTTCGGGAATCTATGGGACAACAGCGATGCTAAGGTGCAAGACCTTTTAGGTAAGCACTACACTGTCGTAGAAAGAGTGTGGAATACTCCGGGCCATTGGGATGGACGGAGAGAGGGTGATATTCTGCTACTGCAACTATCAGCAGTATCGCATTAACATTTAACGTTTCATCTGTATATACATTTCTATAAATCCCATCTTGACCTACGTTTCTGGTTGTTGTTGTCACCTGTCTCTTCGGCATGTTGCTCGTCAACTATAGGGTCAAAGGAGGTAATTTCTTGTACTTTCTCGACGTTGTCCTTACGAGAGTCGTAAAGCATCTTTCCAACACCTTGCTTCTCTGCCCTCGTGATGATGTCCTTTGCTCTTTTCCAGTCATTCCCACGGTATGCAACGTCAAACAGCCCGACTATACATTCGGGGACACCGAGTTCTGCACCAAGGGCGAACCACTCTTTTGCTTTCTTCAGTTCGTTGAACACGTTCAGCTCAATGTATCCAAGGTTTGCAAACGATTCTCTGAACCCCTCTTTTGCAGCCATTTGAAAATGATACCTGGCTTTCAGTGTGTCGATCTCATTCAACAAACCAAGGAAGAAATGTGCCTGAGCGTTGTCCGAAGCAGGTGCAAGCTGTACCGCATGTTTGAAATGCTCGGCTGCTTTAACTAACTCCTGGGTTCTGAAAAAGATCATTCCCAAGCTACGGTGTGCAGCAGCTGCAACAGTCGATTTGGGGTCTAGTTTCAAGAAGTGGTCGTACAATGATACTGCGCGTGCAAGTCGTTTTGGTGAAGATGTGATGTTAGTAAACGATGTGTCCGATGTGGGAGACAAGTCGGCAGTGGATTCTTCTGTTCGTAGCACTTTGGCATCCACTGACATATCTTCTTCTTCTTCATTTTGGTTCAAAGATTCCGTGAAACCCTTAAGTTCTCTGTCTGCAGCTAGTTTGAAAGCCAAAGGGTGTTCCATTTCCATCAAATCCTTAATGTATTTCTTTGCTGTACTTTTATCATCTTCGGTCCAGCCTTCCCCGTTGTTGTCTAAGGCCATAAAGGATAAGGTGCATAGGGCATCTCGAGATCCTCTCTCTGCAGCGTGTTCAACGAGCTCATTCTCGAGTTTCAATAATAAAGGGTTGATAGTGTGTGTCTGTTTCCTGATCTGTGCAAGCACCCGTTGAAATATAAGTAAGTCGTTTCCTCTGAACCTTTCTGGGATCTCCGGTTCTTTTCCAAAAACATCTGGCAGCGAGTCATAGATAGATTCTACGACAGGCAAGTACTTGCTGAAGTTGTAGCGTGCGTCATAGTCGAACAATAAACGAGAGATTATCTTCTTCGAAGGAAGGATATCCAACAAAAGTGGGTTTCCTGTGGTGGAAGCTGCTCCGGAGGAATAATACCTTCTAACCAGATGTGTTAACCCAATTCTCGTCTTCATAAAGACAATATTGTTTGTTAGATGCCAACTGACAGGCTATTTCGAGGCAGGACAAAGTAAAGGCCGGTAACTGGAGAGAGGGCATGATTGAAGAAAGCGTGTAGGATGTTTTTTCATGCCGAGAGTGGAAAAAACCTTTAGGAGTAGATAACATCAGGAAAAGAAATCCATGAGACCGATTGTGAAACTCACGAGGAAGATGGAATAGGTTGCACATGCTGACGCAGTCTACCACAAATATGACCGACGAAGATGGACCAGATGTGCATCCCATTGAGCTTACAGTTCAAGCGCTGTTGGAAACCCCATTGGAGACGCTCAACTTGAACTTGAAGTCGCTTTACGAGTCTCAAATGATTCTCCACACAATCCTATACAAGATGGAGCGCACGCTCATCGACACGGCAAACAACCTTCGACCGGGAAGTTTTCCACTGCAGGAGCAGGTTGTCCCCGGCGTAAGAGGCGACCGCAATGGCAACAACAATAGCAACGGCCACGGGCCGAACTCTTGCTGTGACAGCAGCAAGGGTACTGCCAACTGCAGCAGCGTGAACGGGAAAGATGATATTGGCGAAGAGGGAATCCGAATAGACCACAGCGATCTAGACGGAGAACTGGATCTCAAGATGTATCTGGAACGTATGGAGCGGTTAAGACGTAAATTGCGTCGGATAGAGAAGATAATAGACGAGATAGAGGCCAGGGTAGGTCGAATCGAAAACTCCATGAGCAGGCGGTGAGATGAACTCAGAAAGAGGAATCTGTATTAGTTCTATACATCAATGTAACTTTTTATACAATATGGGCAAGCGCAATCCCTACAACCTCTTCAACAAGCGTAGAGGGTAGCCTGGAGATTTGAGAGCGTAGATCTCCACGAGGTAGCTATATAAGAAGAAGACGATGACGCTGATGGTAATGACACCGATGAAACGCTTCTTCACATCCTTCACAGAGGGGAGGAATTTCAGAAGCAGACCCAAGCAGATAGTGACGAGGCCGTACACGAGGGAGACGACTTGTGTTTCTGCGGCGTACTGTGTGTTGTGGCCTGTTGCAAAGTAGACAATGTTCCCGTCCTTGTCCTTCTTGTACGTCTCCGGGCTCCGGATCTGGTTGTACATGTAACCCGAGATGAAGAGCACAATCAGACCGAAGGAGAGGAACTCCCACACGCGTCTGCTCTGCACCACGTCCAAAATGTGGTTCTTGAACTTGTAGCCCACAGATGCCAGCACAAGCACAAAAACCGCCAATGTGAAAAGAATTGATTTTGATGCAGGCGTCTCAATTTGCAATGACTTGAGGTCCATCCGGGGCACGGCACTGGAAACCCATCTCTGAAATCCGTCGGTGTTCTCGGCGGTGACAAAGGAAAACTCGCTCGAGAACTTGCTCATCTGCGGTCCCTTGCCAGGCTCGTAATAGAAGAGTCGGGGCACAGCCGTCAATCCCAGCATCTGAAAGTAATCCTTGGATTCAAGGAAGTCGGAAAACGCAAAGATCACCCGTGCCTTGTCGTCTGGGTCATCTGCCGGGTTGTACACCTTCCCGTCACCGTTTTTCAGATGCTCCACGTACTGGTACGCTGTCGTCTTGTATTGGGGAGCAAACTGGTGACAGAGTGTACACCCGACACGAGAGTCCTCTGCCGTGAGAAACACCACTAGAGCAAAGTCCTCGTTCTTCACCAGCTGCTTGTAGTTCTTGTCTGTGATGTGCAACAAGCCATCCTTGCCGAGCGCCTTGAGAGCGTTTTCGTACGTCAACGCACACGCCAAGTGCATGGCCAGCAACAGACCGGCCCAGATTGATCCCAGCTTCATTCTTGGCTTTGCTGTCTGTGTTGACTTCTCCAATCTAGTCCCCTTCCCTTCCTCTTCCGTCTTTCTTCTCCGATAACTACCACGTAGTCTTCTTTGCCACGGCTCATGTCAAAACGGGAAGCCCCCTCGGGGCCTCGGCCAGCACCCGTACACCAGACAACTGTGCCGCTAAGACAGTGAAAGGTGTTGAAGATGAAGACGGACATGGACATGGACATGGACAAGGACAAGGACAAGGACAAGGCACAAGGTAAGCTGGTAGGCATTGGAATTCAACTAGAGCAGCAGCAACAGCCACCGCCTTTGCCAATCATGCCCATCAGATCACTGGAGCCCTTCCCGGAGTCGCTTTCCCTGGACGCGTTGAAGAACTGCGTCGTCGGCATCGACGTTCAGCACTACGTCACGACGTCCCTGCTGTCAGCCAACGTCGACCCGACCTTCGAGGCCCTGGGCGGCTTCCCCATCTCCCTCGAGAGTAGAGTGGTCTCAGATGCCGCCGCTTTTAAGGCGTTGGGAATCAGGCCGGTTTACGTGTTCCCGGGGATGAAGCCGATCTCGCAGTTCAGCTACACCGAACAACCAGATCTGTTACCGTATGAGAAGCACCTGCAGCACTTGTGGGAGACGAAGAAGTCTAATCCGAACGCAGACATATCTTTCAGATGCTCTGACAACCCATACCTCCTTCGGTCGATCATGGACCAATTGCTGGTTATTTTGCAGGACCACGACCTCGAATATTTGGTCAGTCCCTTCTCGCAACTCCACCAGTTGTTCTACATGTGGAAGACGGGAGTGGTAAACTGCATCTACTCTTCCAACGACGCACTCCTTCTGCAGGGTCTTGACAACTTCATACTAAGCATTGACTTCAAGGCCAAAACGTTCCACTTCTTGGACTCCAGGAAGCTTTTGGCCGACTTGAATCTTTCGTTTAAACAGTTCAGAGACGTATCGATGTGTGTCGGTAACCTCCTCCAGCCGTTCCAGTTGATCACTGGGCCCAACTCGGACTTTTTCTCTCTGTGCCAGAACACCCAGAACGGCTCCTTCTCGGCCTATGCTGCGTTGTCCTCTTCCTCGGACGACTCGAAAAAATTAGATCGGTTCATCAAGGGTTGCTCTACGCTAGACTACTGTCCCGTCTTGAAAGTTAACGGTAGAGTGGAGCCATTCACTATAGAGGTCAATGACTCGTTGATTTTCCAGCATTCAGGTATTCCCGGAAATAATGCTTCCTCAGATACTACCCCTTCGATTAAAGATCTATCAGATAAAAAGTTACCTTCCAAATTGCATGAAGTTTTTGGCCCCCGCTTGCCTGATGAGTTTTTTTTCTACCAATCCATTGGATTGAACCTTTTCGGTCTTGCAGAGTCCTTCTTGGACTTGAACTTCGTCGAAAGACTACCTCTAGATATGACAACGGACCCAATCTACGAAAAGATTATAGTTGGAAATATTTCCATGAAATACAAAGAGACCATGTTCAATCTTTTTGCTGGATCCTTACACAGATATCTTCAAACTAGAAGATTGGTTCTGAAAACATACTTTAACGGTGTCGTTTTACATGAAATAGATTATAGAATAATACCTCCAATATCTACAAAGGTTAGGTCTTTGGTTGTCAGACATACCACAGCAAAATCATTCGATCTAGCATCAGTCTTGTCCAATCTAAGTGACACTTTCCTTGAGGAATCCACTTTCAGCGGACCCATCAACATTTCCACAAATCATGAACTCATTGCCACATCCGTCTTGAGAACGCTAACTCTATACCAATTCATTGATGAAAACCCTTTCAAGCTATCCAAATGGGGTCATGCTTTGTCTAAGTACCTTTCGAAATCCAACGCAAACTTTGAGACAACTTTACTCTTGTTCCTATTCTTTCAACGTTTCCAGGACCTCGATCTTGAACAGCTTGCCAAATCTTCGGATATTCAATTTGAAAAGAACGAAAAATACAATCTTTCATCCCTGTTGTTGATTTCTAATTTCTCAACATTGTTTAAAGTTCAGCATACCAAACCCTCGAACTATACAGGGCTTGTTTCTCGCTCGTTACTCCATTTCCATTCAAGTATGAATAAACTTCACACTGAGATCAAAGACTTCATTACTGTTAATGTTTTAGTTCTTTTGTTCGGCAATAAAAACGATATAGATAAATTTATTCGTGACAACAGTCAATGGTGTTCATTGGCCACAGAGATTCCTTTCAAATCGTCTATGTCGAACACACTTGCTGGTTTGTTGGTGGCCGAAACGATAAAAACATTCCTTTCAGTAACAGATACTTCCATATTTAAGTCGAATTTGGAGGAAAAGCTATCTAGCTTCAAGGGTGTTGTTGAGAATCCCGTTCAAGAAGCAGCTAAGGCACTCAAGTTTGTCTTATCTGTGTGTGACATAATTGACGTTTTAGCCGAAGAAGGTCTGACTAAGCAAAGCGTTGCAGAAAAATTCACTGGTGTCAGATCGACGCTTAGTGACATTATAGCTCTCTTCTAATCTCTCTGTACCTTATTTCCTTTTTTTTCTTTCTCCCTCTATCGTTGGGTAGTATAATTTTGGGAAGTAATCAATTAATAATGAACTTCATACTGTGGCGAATCTGATCCAATTACGCGATATTTCATAATAATAACATAGTAAATTACAATTTGAAAATAAATGGTCAGAATCTGTAAAACTCTATAAATTTCATAACCTTGAAAACATTGCTCGTTAGTACACCATAATAAAAATAAGAAATGTCGTGTAATAAATATAATAAAGAAAAATAATGGGAAAAAAATGAAAGAAATAAAAATAACAAAGATAAGAATAAAAATAAAAAATGTATCATATTAACAAGATCACACATGGTTATCAGTACTGAAAAAGATTCATACAACGATCTAACATTTCATTCAAGTCGTTTAGTTGCTTTTGTGCAATGTCCCATCTCCCTTGATCTATGGCATCCCAAACACCAGGTAAGGATTGTTTGTAATCAGCATCCCCGTCACTGGTTGCTAGATTCCTATTTTCTGGCTCTTGTTCTCTACCGTAGAAAACATTGTAATTAAATGGGTTATTGAACGTTCCCTCTAACTCTATCATTACCTTGGTCATGATGAGAAGTTTTGAGTTCCAGTCCCATCTGTTAACACTTAGCAAATTTGGTTCAGAACCAAAGCCATCGTCGCAAATGTCAGCCCATGTTGAAACGAAAGCTTCATGCTGTTCAGCAATAAATATCATTTTACTCATTAATTCATCCAACTCATTGAAATTTAACAATGATCCTCCGTCCGTTGTCTGATCACTCACATAACGTTTGACTTCTTCAATATTCTCACTCAGCGTATCAAACATTTCACGAACATTATAAGGTAAAATGGGAGTATCAACTAGTTTAACAACAATAGATGAAATCAACTTAGTCATAAATACATGTTTGGACATATCTGGATCTATCAAATTTTCCTTGAAGTTTTTAAAATTGTCAAAACATGAATTCTTGGGATAATGTGCAACATTGAAGTTTTTCCCAAGTTTATCACCGGAAGAATTATTGGTACTTTGTGTCAATTTCACAGAAATGGCAGCAACATTGTGATGTTGAATTAAAGGTACAGAATTTGAAATTGGGTTTATGCTATAATCAACGTCTTTCAAATTTACGACATTGACATGAGAATCGGTAGCATTTGATTTCATCAAATTGTGAACTGCTTGCTTCACCAAAGATTCAAACAATGGGTCTGATGAAATCTCCAAATCGTTTCCTTGTATGATATCGTCAAGGTCAATATAGGCATAAACATCTCTTCTGAAAAAGTCTGAATTTTTGACGGCAAAGTTGGTGACACCAGCCAGGTTATATTTTGAGCCTGTGAACGATGCAAAATAGATTGTCCTAAGAGGACGCCAAACTAATGACGATGACATTTCACTGAAAATATTCATCAACTCCAACAAAATGGCGGATCCTGAGTTTTCAATGGCACCATAACAAAGTGTATCTCTGGACGCCCCGATAATAACAGCAAAAGTGTCTTGCTCCGAACCTTGTAGTTTTCCAAAAATATTCCAAGATTCTTTGCGAGGTCTTTGGGTAAGAGAGTTTTGAAGTAAGATTTCATGGTCTTTCCCACTCCAAATTGGAACAGTGACGTCATTGATCTTAATATCCCATTCCTCGATTCTTGCACCCTGGTTTGACAACTTGCTCATTATGGTTATGAAATCTTTCCATTTAATAGGCAGTGAAGGAATGGAAGGGGCAACCTGAGATAACTGCAATTTTTCATTCATATCACCATCATCAACAGAGTTGGCTGCAGCATTTCCATAACTTAATATGTTCCCTGGGTATAAATCAACAAACGATACAGGTTCTCTTTGAATCGATTCCATATTATAGTACTGGTCTAGCTCTGGGTCACTAATGAAAAGCACACCAACGGCACCTTGCTCCTGAGCATAACGTAATTTTTTGTGAGCAGGGTAGATACCCCCATATTTCATCAAAAGGATAGAGCCCTTTACTTCAACTGATTTCTTCTTGAGTAGGTTATAATCTGCCAAAGTACCGTAATTCACATACACAATCTTGCCCCGGGAGGTCATATCCCTCGATCCTGGGTTAAAGGCCAATTTGTAAAAATCGTTTGTCTCAACACCGTCGTCAATATTCTCCTTCAAGTCGCAATCGAGCAAGATTTCGTCTCCATTGAAAAGTTGCACTTTGGGATCAAACGGATAATTCGTGTATGCCTCATAAATAATGTCTGGATTTATATCCAGCCGACTCTGCTTGATCAATTGTGCAAAGTACTTTGACAAGGCCAAATCCCCAGCTGTTCCGGACATATGGGGCATTGATGACAAATACTCAAGATTCTCCTCTAGCCTCTTGGGGTCGACCGAAAGATCTATAAACTCTTGCAACTTTGATGGGTTTGTAAAATCTGAGTGTGACCCAACAACACCATCAGCATTTAATCCAGAAAGAGAAGCAAAGTAGAGAATTCCTGCAATGACTATGATATAAAGTATACGTTTCACGATCAACGGGTTTCCCATTTTGGAGACGTAGTATTCAAATTTTGCATTGGAATAGCAGTAAAGCTGGTAAATTGGGTCAAGCGCATTGTTAATCGGTTGTACTATGCACCTGTTGAAAGACTGGGCAAACATTTCCGCCTTCGACCTGAAGTTTCTGGAACTGTCCATATTGGTCCCGTCATCTGCTGTGTTTGAATTATCAATCTCAAACTCCTCGAATGGGGAAGGTTCGTACGCCGGTGGAAGATCTGGTAGCTCTGCTGTCCCTGGACCTGAGCTTGTGCCCACACCGGTATCGCTCTCGTTGTATGCTGGAGTACGCTGATCTTCCTGAACGCTCTGCTCCTGTGATGAAGATGGAGAGCCTACCGACGTGCCACTTGTCGGTAAGCGTGTGTAGCTGTTGGAAGGCATGACGTGGCAGATTCTTGTTCAAAAAAACAGTTCCCACTATCTTGAGCTCTTAACCTATGTAGTAGTGTTCTTCTATGACTTCTGGCCTGTTGATGCAGAATTTCTGTACGGTAGGAGTGGTTGAGCTTTTTCAAGTATCTTTAGGGGCGTGAGTATAGGGAGACAAGGTATGAAACAAGCAGCGGATTTAAAGCGAATGGGTGTCCTTTAGTCAGCCTGGTAAGTCTTTATTCCGGAGGTATAAGCCTTTAGATATCCTGAGCCCAAGCCCCCCGGCGTCTACTCTGCCTGGCTCTTCACCTTCTCCGTGCAACATGTTTTCGCACGAGATGTTTACGCTCGCGGTGGTGTTGTCGTGCCTATGCCAACGGGTGTTAACGGTAAAGAGGCTGTGAGGATGAAAAGGGGAAATGCGGTTTCTGGGATAAGAAGCTGGATTCATAGTTACAGCGGGCAGACATGGGTGATTGTAAGAAAGAGAGACAGAAGCACTACAACATTGCCCTGGTATCAGACTTCTTTTACCCGCAGCCGGGCGGAGTGGAGCTCCACATTTACCACTTAGCACAGAACCTGATTGCTCGGAACCACAGCGTGGTCATCATCACGCATGCCTACGGCGACAGACAGGGGATCCGCATTTTGACTAACGGTTTGAAGGTTTATTATGTCCCGCATTTAGTGTTCCACCGACAATCTACTTTCCCATCGGTCTTCTCGGCTTTTCCGATTCTCCGGCAGATATTCATCAGAGAGTCCATTGAGATTGTGCATGGACACGGCAGTTGCTCCTCACTTTGTCACGAGGGTATTGTGCACGCCAACACAATGGGGTTGAAGACGGTATTTACCGATCACTCCTTATTTGGATTTGCCGATGTGGCGTCTATCATCCAAAACAAGCTTTTGAAGTTTACACTCACAGACATCGGGCACGTCATCTGCGTTTCGCACACATGCAAGGAGAACACTGTAATCAGGGCATCGTTGGATCCATCGATAGTAAGTGTCATTCCGAATGCAGTCGTGCATGAAGATTTCAAGCCTGCGCTGATACGACCTTCTTTAAACAAGATAACAGTGGTAGTGATCTCACGGCTTTTCCAGAACAAGGGTGCTGATTTATTGACAGCCATTATCCCAAGGTTGTGCTCAGACAGACCAGACATCAGGTTTTTGATTGCAGGTGACGGTCCCAAGTTCATTGACCTTGAGCAGATGCGTGAACGCTACCAGTTGCAGGACAGGGTCGAGTTGGTGGGCAGCATCAGACACGAACAGGTGCGGGATATTATGGTGCAGGGACAGATCTACCTGCATCCATCACTCACAGAGGCTTTCGGTACAGTTTTGGTCGAGGCTGCCTCCTGCGGTCTGTTAGTAGTCACCACCAATGTTGGAGGTATCCCGGAAGTATTACCGAGCAAAATGACAGTGTTCGCCGATCCAGATGAGGACTCCCTTGTTGAAGCGGTCAACTCGGCAATGATTAAGCTTAAGGAGAATACTGTCGATACTTCAAGCTTCCACTCCGAAGTCAAGAAGATGTACGGCTGGGCAGATGTCGCCAGGCGTACGGAGAAAGTGTACGACGATGTTTTCAAAAGGGAAAACACCTTGCTAATCAATAGGCTTATCAAATACTACAATTCAGGATCGTGGGCAGGCATCCTTTACGTTCTTTGTGTTGTTACGGATTTCCTCATTTTAGGTATTTTGGAGATTCTTTACCCGAAGGATAAGGTAGATTTGGCTAGGAAATGGCCCCGTAGAAGCGCCAGCAGCCACCTCACCTCGTAGCTTTCTCTCCATCTTATTATAAGTTCTCGTTTCGCATGTTTTATGTCTTATTATGAAAAAAATTGAAGGTATTCTGTTATAATCGTTTTAGCAAATGAGACATCCTATACAGTGTCAAGGTATTCCAAGATCTTCTGATGGTTGAAGCTGTGGTTGTGTACCGAGTCTGAAATCGGCAAACTACAAATGTCGAAAAGTTTATCTATCCTTCGGTAAAAAATAGAAGGTATAGGAGGTGCAAGCTTAGGTGGACGTAACCCTCGAGGCTGTGGTAATTTCTTCTCAAGCAATTTAAATGTATCAGGCTGTTCACTAGTATGTTCTACTAGCTTGGTAATTAAAGTTCTTTGCTTTCCAATAGTATTAAGTAGTTTGGACTTCTCCAAAATATCAAACTCCTCGGTGAGATTGGGTGTGTGGCTTTCAGAATGATTGATCCCATATTTAGCAAGGAGCTTTTGCAGCTTATCTATCTGTGTATTCAGAAGCTCGTCCTTTTCCTTGGCTTCTTTGAGTTTCTCTTCCAAAACACTTTCACTTTTTTCATGTTCACGACGTTTCCTTTCGAGCTGCATAATTTCATTATGAATTTTCTTTTCGTCTAAAAGCTTCGATTGCAAGATTTTGACTTTAAGTTCAAGCTCTGTTTGATCTGACGACTTTGAAGTAGAAACTTGAGGTTGCTCCTTCTCTATCTCCCAAAATGGCTTCTCGCCGATTATAACAAAAGCGAAGTCTAGGTTATCAAAGCTACCCTCCTGTAGATCTGCAAAAAACGTTTCTATATTCTTGGGTTTCACACCTTTATGCTCGGCTCTTGATTGTTTGAGCTGTAAACATGTTTCTGAGTCACACTGTTGATTCGCAGAGAAGAAATAAACCATTAATTCTCTGAATAGTAGAGAAGGCTCAATTGAGTTGTAAAATGGGCCTTCTTCATTAAGAAACGAGTTTGGAATGTCAAAAGGTAACTCCATCGACATGTTTAGCAGCAAGCAAGCGTCTTCGTTTTCATCGTTGAGCTCGACGCAGTGCATGATGAAAGTAATGATATTTTCGGCGTTGGTCAAAAGCTTATCGAAAACGTGTGCTTTTTCATATCCTACAAGCTCTAACATTAATTCAGACTTAAGGCGTAAAATGTGCCACTTTGTGTAGTCATCGGATCCACTTTCGCAGTATTGAAGGATTATGTTTGCCGAGTATTTTAAGCGATATAGTTGATTTATCAATTGCAAGGTATTTTTCCACTCTGGCTTGGATATTTTGTCCAAGAGGAACTTGTTGTAGGCATTGGACGATTCGTTGAGCGCAGATAATATTTTCTTGTATATGCCGTGATACTTGGTGACATTCTGCTGATTACTTTCCAGATAGTTCTCAAAAGAGGATATTCGTTCGTTGGCTTCCTTTAAACTGTTTTGGTAGCTGGAAATCTCCTCTGCGGCTTGAGAGATCCTTTTCCCCATTTTTGCAATGACATCATTGAGCTCCTTCTCTGTCTGCTCATAGCATGCGGTCAAGTCTTTATTAAGCGTGACAAGATGTTCCAGCTCCGCAATCTTCAAAGTCATCTGGTCAACTTTGGAAAGAAGATCCGAGTTTTCAGCAGTTAGCCTTTCGACGATGAGCTCATACTCGCTGAATTCGGACGACGACTTGTCGTCGTCGACGGCAGTCCCGGAGCGTGATTTGATTTTACTCTCGAAAGTCTGAAAATCTTCCCTTAGGGAATCGATGGTTTCGATGAACTCGGTCTCCTTTTGCTGGAAATCGTTTCTCAGCAGCGTCAGCGAGAGCTCCAGCCTTTTATTCTCCATCAGCAGATCGTCCTCGCCTCTCCCGGCCCCGCCACTCTGGCGTTCCTCCAGCGTCGACAGCAGGGCTCTGTGCTCGATTATCAGATCATCCAATTGCTTCCTCAAGGAATCGGTGTCGGAGGCCAGGCACTCACGCTCGACCTGTGTCACCTCGAGCTGTTCGGAGAGTTCTGCAAGCTGCCTTTTTGACGTCTCTATCCGTGTGCAGAGAAGGTTGATCTTCGTATCTGGCGTGATGTCTTGCAACGCAATGAGCTCTCTGGTGGAGAGGGGTCTTGCGGCCTGCGGCCGAACAAAGATGCCGAAACTCGAGCCTGGCGGCACTTTGCTTGCCATCTCCCGCTCTTTCTCCTCTTCATTCAGTGTGAAGTACTGTCTCCCCAGCACACTGCCGTCGTTCTTGGCGAACTTCCTGCACTCGGGCACCAACACCAGGCCAAGCCAGTCTCCACTGGCGAATTCGGCCGGACCGACATGGCGAACTGTGCCTACAATATGCGTGGTCGCTGCGGAGAGCTTGAGAGAGACCCAGCAGCCAAGATAGACGCCGTCAGAGTCGTCCATTCCGTCTTCCCGGCACGGATATCCCTTGGTTGACACCCGCAGGAGCTGTCCGTGGCCCAGTGCCTCTGACTGTGCAGACCAGATAACGTATGGCAACATGAATGGGACGCGTCTGGTTGAGTTTTTTCCTATTTTCGCATTTCCGTGCCTTTACGTTCCCGGTTCCCCTGTTCCCCGTGCTCCGAGCAGCAACAGCAGGGTCCACCACCACTACCACTACCACTACCACACACACACCACACACACACCACACACACACCACATCCCACCCACCATGTCTCTCAACAAAGGCGTCAGACAGGCCAAGGTGGAGCTCCTCAACGAGCAGAAGCAGGAGATCCGCGAGGCGTTCACGCTCTTCGACATGAACAACGACGGCTACCTCGACTACCACGAGCTCAAGGTGGCGCTGCGGGCCCTCGGCTTCGACATGCCCAAGAAGGCCGTGCTCGACGTGATCGAGGAGTACGACACCAACGCCAAGAAGCTCATCAGCTACGAGGACTTCTACCGCTACGTGGCAGCCAAGATCGTCGACCGCGACCCCATCGACGAGATCAAGCGGGCCTTCCAGCTCTTCGACGACGACCACACGGGCAAAATCAGCCTCAAGAACCTCCGCCGTGTTGCCAAGGAGCTCGGCGAAAACATGACCGACGACGAGCTCGCCGCCATGATCGACGAGTTCGATCTCGACGAGGACGGCGAAATCAGCCAGCAGGAGTTCATCAACATCTGTCTTGAGAACTAGCCCTGTCTCTGTAGAATACTGTCTTTCTAGTTTGTACCCATCTTATCCCTCTTCCTGGCCCTCCTCCACGCCCCGGGCGCCTTCTCCGGCCTCTTTTCCGCCGATCGGCCGCCCCGGGCCGCTCCCGCCGCATGCTTACGTAAGAACATGGCATCCCACGCGGGTAGACGTGGACCGTGCGGGCGGAGCGTGGGCATGGAGGAGGCAGATCCGAAATTGCAGACTGCACGATACGGGGCTAGCGAGCAGGCTGGCTCAGGCAGGAAGGATATGCTGATGGCACACAGAGACAGGGCAGGACGGGTTGGAGGAGGCCTTGGGTTGGGTTGGCGAGGGAGTTCTTCCTGGAATAGATATCTTTTCTTCTGGACAGCAAGTGCAGGTTACACAGGTGACAGAGAGGGAACGGTAATATAGAAAGCCAGCGCAATTGCCCAAGCACCAGTGGAACAAGAAGATGCTGTCGAACAACAACGTATGGAAAAGAGCTGCGGCTCAGAGCAAGAGATTTCTGCACTCGTCGGTGGGTCGCAGACACGAGCTCACGCGGGTGGAGAACGGAGTGGAGGTGATGACGGTGAGAGACGCACTGAACCTGGCGCTGCAGGAGGAGCTTGACCGGGACCCGGACGTGTTTCTCATGGGAGAGGAGGTTGCGCAGTACAACGGTGCGTACAAGATCTCGCGTGGGTTGCTCGACAAGTTTGGGCCCAAGAGAATCATCGACACGCCGATCACGGAGATGGGGTTCACGGGTGTGTGTGTGGGTGCTGCGTTTTCGGGGTTGAAGCCTGTGTGTGAGTTCATGACGTTCAACTTCGCCATGCAGTCGATCGACCAGATCATCAACTCGGCCGCCAAGACCTACTACATGTCTGGCGGGCAGATGCCCGTCAACATCACGTTCCGGGGCCCGAACGGTGCTGCCGCCGGTGTGGCTGCGCAGCACTCGCAGGACTTTGCGCCCTGGTACTCTGCCATCCCCGGTCTGAAGGTCATCTCGCCCTTCTCCGCCGCAGACTCCAAGGGCTTGCTCAAGGCCGCCATCCGGGACCCGAACCCGGTTGTCTTCTTGGAGAACGAGCTCTTGTACGGTGAGTCCTTCCCCGTGAACGACGAGATCTTGTCGCCCGACTACGTGCTGCCTATCGGCAAGGCCAAGATCGAGCGTGAAGGTAAGGACGTGTCCGTCATCTCGCACTCGAGAAACTTGATTTTCTGTCTCGAGGCCGCCAAGGTGGTGAAGGAGAAGCACGGTGTCGACGTCGAGGTCATCAACCTCAGATCCATCAAGCCCTTGGACTTGGACACCATCTTCGCCTCCATCAAGAAGACCAACCACGCCATCACCGTGGAAGCCGGGTTCCCTCAATGTGGTGTCGGTTCCGAGATCTGTGCCCAGGTCATGGAGTCCGAAGCCTTCGACTACTTGGACGCTCCAATGGAAAGAGTCACCGGTTGCGAGGTCCCAACCCCATACGCCAAGACCTTGGAGGACTTTGCTTTCCCAGACACCCCAACCGTCGTCAGAGGTATCGAAAAGGTTCTCTCCTTGGGCGAGTGGGCTTGAGTGGTCTCCATCCATCTGTCTATTAGTTTGTATAAAGTTCTCTAGTTCATACATCTCCTACAGGAAAGAAAAGAAAAAAGAAACATTGAAAGTTATGCCAATAAATTAAAATAAAATAAATTAAAAAATCAGCTACTTGCCTTTTTCATCTTTGCGACCCTCTCATGCACCCGTGCCAAACTCATTCTCACATCTCCCTGCTGGAAGTTTTCCAGGTCGTAGTACTCCGGAGCAAACTCCACCAACCATTCCGGTCTGACGCTCGTGATTGTCCGAATGTAGTTCTTCGACGTCAACACAAACTCGTTGTAGATAACCCACTCATCCTGCTGCGCCAAAACCGTACTGGGGTGTAACAACGCATCTTGGCTATCCTTCACTGTGATGTATCCCTTGCCTGTACTCTTCTTCTTCGCAACTTGCATGAAAAATCCGTTCGCCAACGCCTTTCTAATGTTGTCGTAATACGAAAGACTCTCGTAGTTACCTTCAATCAAGTCAACATCATGGGACTCCATCATTCTTCTCAATTGTTTGCGAACGCTCTGCGCAGACTTCAACGATCTGTAGTTCAAGAAGTTTTGAATACACCATTTTCTCTGACCAACTTCGTGCGCTTCGTCGCTTTCAAATGAGTGATACACATTCAACAACGTGAGATGGTCACCATCGGGGTGCGCAAAAAGCTTCTTTGCCTCATCTGCCGCACGCTTGGCACCTTCTCCCGAGGGACGAATGAAAACCGTAGGAACAGAGAGCATAGACACAATGGTCAAAATCTCTTCCGAGCACTTGAAGGCTGGAGACCCAATCAACAACACAGCCAACATTGGGTCCAATGGGAAAACAGAGGCCAAACGGCCCAAAGATGTGAGACCACCTTCATCGTCAATACAGGTCAGGTAGTTCAACTCCTCCAACGCACGCATCATTGTCTCCGGTGCCGGTGGATCCATGAAGTCGAAGTGAACCAAATCGTCGATGCCCAACTTCTTCAACTCGAGAACGGTGTTCGCCAAGTTCGAGCGCAAGACTTCAGGGTACGACTGCTCAATCAACTCCTTTTGGAAGGCTTCTTCCGTGTAAAGTCTAAAGCATTTACCGGGTCTGGTACGACCAGCTCTACCTGCTCTCTGCTGGGCGGATGCCTTGGAAATTGGCGAAACCAAGAGCGATTCAACCCTGATACGTGGGTTGTAAACTTTTTGCTTGGAGAACCCAGGATCGACGACGTAGACAACACCATCGATGGTCAAGGATGTTTCGGCAATGTTCGTAGAGACAATGACCTTTCTACCTGGCCGTCCTCCCTTTTTAAAAGCCTGAGGCGCAGGCTCGAAAATCCTTTGCTGTTGGTGGGGTGGTAAGGAACCATACAACGGATACACCTTTAGCGGACCACAGCCCTCCTCACGCACTAACTGCTCACCTTCTAGCGTGATCTTCTTTACGGCAGTCTCGATTTCCTCCTCACCGGTCAAGAACACTAAAATATCTCCCTCATCTTCCGTTGCATGGATCTGCAAAACGGTCCGAATGGCAGCATCCAAATAATCACGTTGAAACTCTTTCGTGTAATATATCTCAACAGGATATGTACGCCCGGGCACGGCTAGAAGTGGTGCATCGTTGAAGTATCTTTGAAACTTTTCAGCATCTAAGGTAGCCGACATAATGATGATTTTCAGATCCTTTCTACGGTCGCTTAACTGTTTCAATAGACCCATCAAGATGTCGGTAGCCAACGTACGCTCGTGCGCCTCGTCAAGAATGATGCATGAGTAGCGGGAGAGCTCGTGGTCCTCCATGGCCTCTCTGAGGAGCATACCATCAGTCATGTACTTCAAGATGGTTTTGTTCGACGTCATGTTTTCAAAACGGATGTTGTAACCGACCTCTTCGCCCAACTTCACGTCCAACTCCTCGGCCACACGGGCAGCAACAGACATAGCGGCAACACGTCGTGGCTGTGTGCACGCAACCTGCTTGCCAATCAGATGAGGCATGTCGTCGTAGAGAACAAACTGCGGAAGCTGGGTACTCTTACCGGAACCCGTTTCACCAACTAACACCATGATCTGTGTGGAGTGGAACATCTCGAGGAATTCCGCACGTTGCTGGTGGATCGGTAGATCGTGACGGACCTTCAAGATGTCAAAGTACTTGGTCGAGAAGTTTTCGCCTGTGAATGGGTTCTTTTTGCCAGAGCCCAGTCTCTCCCCATACGCTGCAGACGTCTCGTGACGCTTCTCCAAATTGAACTCCCCACCGTCGTGGAAATGCAACGATCTGTCCTCCGCAGCCGGAGGGTGTGCAAGCATCTCAGCTTCTGCATGTTCTGCCTCTATTTCCGAAATAGAAGTCGACGTGTGCTTCGTCTTGGATTTTTTCAACGGCCTTGTATCTGACATGTTGCTTTCTATCCTTTCAGTGTAATTCTTGGCCCAGAAACCCCTTAAGACTAGTGTCTGCAGAACCAAAAACACTCAGAATCCGTTGTAACGAAGAAGATTTTTGCAAATTCATGTCAGGAGAAAAAAAAATTCGGCTCTGATAAAAAAGCGCTCTGGGCCGATCGGCCCGGGCATCTGGAAAATCACCATCGCCGCAGATCGTTTCAGCCCGGCCTGCAGGACGAGTCCCTAGACAATCCAGATAGCCATCGTGTTGTCGATGCTTCGCAGTTGGACAGGGGGATGCAAAACAACGGCGGATTGCGGGGGACCAAACGCCTGGGGCTTGAAGAAGGGATTTTTGAGGGGTTCTCAGAGAATGTTTATTTAAAGATTGTTACAACAGGCTTCTAATCGTTTGTCTCCGCACTTCTGGTACCTCACACAGGCTCATCAAGACCGGAGCCAGCTCGCCATACCGCAACCTCCTGCACGTTCTAGCGTTTTTCCTTTGATAGTAAGGCCGACACCCGCAGCCTGATTTTCTGTCGAAGAGCGGTGAAATATCTACACCAGAATCCCGCCATTATTTGGATTCGGAGGATTTCATTGACAAAAAAAGCCAGAGCTGGTAGACTGAAAATTGAAGCCGATGGACCACACACAATAGAATGACAGCCAACACTCAACGCCCTACAGAACATGACGACGAACACCAGAATAAGCAGCAAGCAGCGTACTCCCCGAATGAGTCTTCGGAAAGCAGCAAGAATCACGACGCGGACGAAATGGATGAGTCCGCAAAAAACCTCACCGACAAGAAGGGTAAGGGTAAAAGGAAATACAACTTCCAGAGGGCTTCTGTTGCGTGTGAGCAATGCAGAAAAGCCAAGACGCGTTGCAATTATATCAATAACGGATCGAACTGCTTCAGATGCGAAAACCTATCACTGAAATGTAGCCTAAATGAAATAAAGCTGGAGCCGACTTTGTCCACGTTCCAAAAATCTGCAAATTTGAAAACCAGAGATGAGGCGGAGGAAAGCAGGAGCCTAAAAAGACAGCGAAAAGCGAAGTTAACAGCTGCAGGAGCAGCAACGGCCAGCCCGAAGATAAAACAAGAAAATATACCCGCATCCACATCAACAATTGACCTGGCTTCGTTGAAGTCAAAGTACATAGACACCTCTCCGGTAATCTCCTCCACCTCCTCGCAGACCAACTCCTCGTCACATAACTCGATGCTACTAGTTATAAATGACAAGATTGACAGGCTGGCCTCCACCTTGAAAAACTTGATGGATCAAAAGGAAACATTGTCTTCTATCAGGAAAACGGGGCCTTCGGGCACCGTTCCAAATTTACAGCACCCTACGCTTGACACAAGTGTTAACCCCTATATTAACTCGCTGCCGTCGATTAATCATCAATCTCCTGTTCAAATTGGAGACTCTATAGCGAGCCCTGGTATTCCGCCATTCTTGTACCCCCCAAGAGTCAACTTCCCCTTTGTGGGGCCCCCTGCTCCTGCTGGGAACTTTGCTCCCAACAATAATGTCTCTCCAATTTTGCGGCCTGCAATCACTGCACCCCTTGCACGTCCTTACTTTCGCAACATCAATATCATGAACCCGACCCATTATCCTCCTGTTGTGACGAACAATAGTAACAATTCAGCAATTGCAGCAGGGCTCAACATGAACATCAACAATATTACCCATGACAACAACAGCATTAACAACAACAACGCTAACAATAACAGCTTGATGGCTCCAAATAGTGCTACCACCAGCCACGCTAGTACTGTCACCAATATGGTTCACGAAAATGATGAGTTTTTCTTTTTGAATGCTCCTTATTTAGACATGTCGAACATTGCATGTAATTTGGGTTTACCTTTTACGAAGGAAATAGGATTTGACATCACTAGGGATGTTTCCTTATTATCTATCCAAGAAAGATATGACTTGATCAATCGTAAACTACTGGACTACGAAACGTGTTATAGGTTAATTGAGGCTGGATTATTCCATTATGGCAAATGGATCACATATGTGGAAGCCGACTATAAGGTCTGGTTAGACTCTATAAGACTCACATCTCCTCTACTTTTTTGCGTGTTGATTCTGTTTGGGCTACGTCATCAAAGACCACCAAATCTGGATAAAAACTTGGAGCTTGATGTTTTGCAAAGCATCCACCAATTACTTTCCCTGAGCGTCTACGAAGTTCCGCAATCTAAAGAATTTATTCAAGCCTCGATTTTGCTTGCACATTTCTCACCTTCCTTGTCCTATAAACACATTTATTTTGACAGTTGGTGGGTCTCATCATACGGATTGATCCACTTCATGACGCGTGAAATGAACATGAACCTATTAGTCAAAAGTGTCAAATCACCCGAGAAAATTCACCAATATCGATTGTGGAATCATTTGACAGTAGCACATTTGGTCAACTGCATTTTGTCCGGTCGTCCCTGCATCATCGATGAAATACGTTTAGATCAGTGTCGGGATATTCTAGTTTTGTCCGAAGCAAACTCATTTGATGCAATCGTTGTTGCAAAGATTAGCATGATATTGACCTTGTACAATTCTTTACAATTTCCAGAGAATGTCGATGTTTCTCTGAAAGAACTGGAATCCACGTATTCTGATTGGAAATATCTAACTGACAATGTCGCACTCGGTAGTGTGGTTACAGGTTTCTACCACTTTGGAAGAGCAATGATTTTGCGTAGGTACTTGTTGAAAAACTTGTATCTAAAAGGTCAGCCCAAATATACGCAGAGAAGTCGAGAATTTTTCGATAACGTTCTCGAATTAATTGAACTTGGAAAAGCAAAAGAAGAGCTTCTGGATACTAGTGATCTTTTCAAGCAAGCCTTCTTTTTGTGTGTTTTCATGTTGTTGCAATTCAAACAGCTCGATCTTTTCAAAGAGCCCAATGATAATTTTATTATTGCGGAAGCATCTAACAAATACCTAGAAATACTCTCATTGGCAGAAAAAAAATCATATTGTTTCAATGGCTATTTCAACCACTATGCGGACTTGATTTTAAGGCTAAAAAATTTGGTTCTTCCGACTCTATCCTAAAGCTACAGAAAACGAAATATTTATCTGCAGATTATCAGCAGAATGCACGTCGGGGCACAACTATGTATCATCAGGCAATTTTTTATACATTTTGCTTGCTGATGCTTCCTGCGGCTGTAATGTTTTGATAAAAAGACTTCAAACTTGAGCGTTGCTCATCCCGAACAATTATAAGAGGATCGAATTAAACAGAAGATGCAGGATGGCAGAAAACCTCGACTCCGAAATTTAAGGCCGCGTGAAGAGCCCCGAAAAGAGTAATCAGAGCTATCTTCCATGAAATTGTAGTGCGGTGTTTCCCTTTTAGGACGATTTTCTGCTGGAGGCAGAGAACAGAAAACAATTCAGTACTTTCCGTACCAAACGGACAGAACAGAATCACACTCTTTTGGAAAATTTGTTCAAACTCAAAACCCATATAAAAATAGCCATGTTTCTTATTTGGCAAGAGTTTGTCGACAATCATGTAGTAGTTTATTTGCTTTTCTATATCTTTTTAGAAAATAGATAGCTTTCTAAAGTACATTCGTTTTATAAATTTGTCAGCTGGTAGACCAAGTTTAAGAGTCCAAATTTGAAATATACAATGAAGTTCAGTGCTGCTTTCCTTACTGCCGTTGCAGGATGCCTTTCTGTTGTTGCCGCTGGTGAATGGGACCATGAAGACCACTATTCCACCACGGAAATCGACACTGATTGTTTGAGTGAGACCAAGACTACAGAATCTACGCCTGTTCCAACTACATCTGAGATTCCTTCCACTACCACTCCTGCTCCTCCTGCTCCTTCAACCACTGAAGTCACCACTTCCACTTATGAAAAGACTGAGCCATGTGAGTCTGAGTCTTCCACTGTTCCACCTCCACCTCCGACTACCGAGGTTACAACTTCCACTTACGAGAAGACCGAACCATGTGAGTCTGAATCCTCGACTGTTCCACCTCCACCACCAACTACCGAAGTTACAACCACCACATATGAAAAGACTGAGCCATGTGAATCTGAGACTACTGTCCCGGTTCCTCCAACCTACACCAACACCACTGAGTCGAGTATTATAACCTCTACCACTCCAGCTCCTCCAACTCCATTGACTAGCACTACTCATCCTGTTACTACCCAACCTGTCACAACTCACCCAGTTTCTACTCATCCAATTACAACTCATCCAGTCACTATCATTTCTACCACCCCAGCACCACCAGTTCCTGAAACTGAACATGTCACCACCCATCCAGGTACCTACGGCAATTCTTCTACCTCTCCATTTGTTCACCCAACCAACCCGGGACCAGGTCCATCTGAGAGTTCTGTCACTTTATCAACTTATATCGGTGAAGCTGGCAGAGCTGCTGGTTCCAAGATGTTAGCTGCCGCTGCTGCTGCTGGGTTCCTCCTTATGTGAGTGAAGCTTTCAACAGCCTCTAATAATTAACTATTGTGTTTTTTTATCTTTTGGTAAGATTTTTTTTCCATTATGTACTTTACTTTAACTTAACTTTTACTCTTTTTACTTTGTTTTCCTTATCAATTTTTTTGTGAACTTTAAAATGTATAATATGATTCTCTTGTTTTTTATGTGTATCCTTATAAAGCAAAGATTATAACAGCTAAATTATGTTCCGGGTTTTCATCAAGTAACGTGATTAAGCTTCTATATAAACAGGATACACAAAAATGCAAGGGATATGATACCAAACCTGACATCAAATCTGATTAGCTTGAAAATTAATATAGATTAAGCTATAATTAAATAAGGTTTTATTTAATTATAAAAAACTTGAGATGTGTGATTTTGAAGAAAGTCATTTTGAGACTGGTTTTCAAACAAGAATTTTAACTTTTGCTTTTCAAACTTCAAACCCCAATGAACGACGTCTGAACTATCGATTTACTCAACTTCGTCGAAAGTTTCACCCTCAACTAATTCTGGGATATCTTCTTCCTTTTCGCCCTTAGCTTGGTTGGACAGTTGGGCTAAGCTCTCTGGGTTCTTTTGGAAAGATTGAGCCAACTTTTGTAAAAGCTCCAGGTTTTCTGCACCCAGTTGGGTCAAGATTCCTGGCAGTAATTCGGTGATTTGCTTTTCTTGGGCAAAACCGGTGACAGCGTAGGTGTTGTTGGCAGCTGCAGCTTGGACACCAACTCTGTTGAAGTGCAAGACAGTACCGTTATCTCTGAAAAAGTTGGCTTCAGCAACGTCAGTCAAAGTGGTTGGGTTGAATTTCTGCAATGCGGCTTGGACCTTGGAATCGTCACCCTCAGAAGACTTGTTAACCTTCTTTGCCTTGATTCTTTGACCACCGATCTTTTTGGAGGACTGTTTTTGGAGCTTAGCTAATTTCTCTGGGTCGATTGGCATTTTTGAACGTGTGTGTTGTCTTGTCTGTGAGAAAATTTCAAAGATACGAGAGGATGTAGCCAACAGGGATGATCGCCTCCCCAAGATCTAAGCAGTGGCACAAGCCAGGCCAGCTGCCGCAGACGTCGAGTGAAATTTCAAGCCAAGCTCGACGACGAAAAATCGTCGATGCGTGGGCATTCACGGCGGTGCACGGGGGAAGAAGCGGCGAGCAGTGGCGCGGCGACGCGTCGATATAAATGTGGAATGGGTTGGATGCTGCTATATGGCTATTATACACTTCAGTTGGTTAATGAATTAAGTTGCTTCGGCCACAAGACGTGGCCGGAAAACGCCGTCAGATCTTACACACGGCTGACAACACCGTTCTTTTCGTCCTCAAGCTGCTTAAGAAGCCGCTGTCTGTTACGCTTACATGTCAAGGTGTCGACATGCCGTTTCAGGGCGTCTTTCCGGGCAAACCCTTTGTGGCACAAAGGACATATGTTTGGGGGAACCTTGAGATGGATTTTCTCGTGCCGCTTAAGGTCCGACGATCGCTTGAACGAAATTCCACAATTCGAACATTTGTAGTTTCTGGGGATGTCGGACCCGGCGATGTCACCGGCGGAGTTCTTGCGTTCGTCCGAATAGCTTGGGTCTCCGTCTAGGGCCGAGGAATGCTCGAGCTTGCCTATGGTTCGAAGTCTGTTCTCGTAGTTGTTGCTGTGATGGTTTTCGCTCTGCATCTCATAGTTTGCGTTGTTGTTGCTGTCCTCTTCGTCATCGTCGTCGTTGTCGCCGTCGTCGTCGTCGTAACTGTTGTTGTTGCGGGAGGTGTTGTTTTCCTCGGGCCGGGAGCCGTACCCCGTAGGATAGTTCAGCAAGCTTGAGATTTGGGTGTGGCCTGAGTGGGAGGCATTACTGGTATGATGCAAGCCTCCCTGTTGCTGCGATATTATGCTAGCAGTCAAGTTTTGCGCCAGCATGTTCTGGGGCCGGGTATTGTTCGTGTTCAATGGGTTATCTGGGCCGTTCAGCTGCGGCTCGTCACTGGACTTGAAGATGTCGAGGGAAAACTGAGGGAAGTCTAGGTTGTTGGGCGGGTTCCTCAATGGGTTTTCGGTGAACGGTGGCACCACGTATGAAGGGGAGGCGGCGTTCTGGTTGGCGTTATTGTGGGCGCCGTTATTGCTGCTGCCACCGATTTTGTTGTTGTTGCTATTGAAGTCCGTCAGTTGGCTGGCAACACTGTTGTTTCTGCTGGTATCGTAACTATCCGAGGTCGAAAGCATGGACATCCTCTCCCTTAGGTCGCTGTCGTTGTCTGTCGCTCCTATGCTCTTCAGATACTGCACCGAGATAGGCATACCTCCGTGCGGAGAATTCGAATACTGGAGTCTGTTCAAGATGTCTCTGATAGTGGGGTCCACCCGACTCTCGTGCAGCCTCACCACCTCATTCGCTGCCTTCAAAAACGCCACATCTTCGTCTGTGATGTTCGTGTTGATCAACGGAACCGGCTGCGACGTGGACCCCGTCGCTGCAGGCTTCTGCGAGTTCAACAGCTGGAACAGCTGCTTCTCCCTCTGGTCGGAGTTTGCTGCGTTGTGTGTGCTGCTGCTGGCCTTGCGGCCCCGCAGTTTTGCAAACTCACTGCTGCCGTTCCCGTTGTCACTGTACGCACGCTCGTCTCCGTCATCGTTATCGTATATGCCGCCCGGAGAGTAGTTCAAGTTGTTTAGCGACATCCTCGTTGCGTGTCTTCGTTGTGCCTGGTCCTCGACCTGTTATCTCTTCGCTTTGCAAAACGCCACACGTCTCACGTGTGTCGGCAGACTTGTATCGGTGCTGTGTCCTCCTCAGGAACGCTGTTTCAGTAGCTGTTGTAAGCGTGTTCAACTCAGAACGTATTATGTTTCCGGCTCGCCAGGGGTATCAGGTTTACGGGAAAATGGTTCGCTGTGATTCTCCGTCGCTGAAGTCGTCACCGGGTCTCAAGTGTCAATCTGAAGTCCAAGGTTGTCTTCGTTCGGGCCGGAAAAGGAAGATGGAGGGCCAACGAAAACAAGAAGGAGCAACAGGCAGGCTGAAATTATAAACCTCCACGCTAAAACCAACAACAATACCTGCAAATGCACAAGGCATCGACTTCTCTGCCACCGTGCCATGTGGAGCCCCGACTTGTTCACAATGGCAGGTTCCTACACACTGTAAATTTCTTCAATCAGTACAGGCTTTATCATGTTCTCACCTAAACAGCCCCAAAATCCACACAGTCACGTGCGCGGCCACAGTTTACGCCACAGTTGCCTGCTGATCTGCGTGTCTCGGTTTTCCCAATCGGGCAGGAGGAGGTCGTCGGTTACGGGCCGGAAGGTGGAGGGGGGAGCAGGGAAGGACAGATAGGCAGGCAGGAGCAGGCGGGCAGGTGGGAGGCGTGTAGCCAGCAGGAATAATGCATTTTGGATTGATGTGACGGTGCAACCAAAGTCTAGACAGTAGTTTTATAAAAAAAGCTGAAAAAAGGGAAAGAAGGGGAAAGAAGGGGAGGCCTCATTTGGTGGCCTTGACCAACATGGACTCTCTGGCTGGCCCGGTACCAACCCATTGGACAGGGACCTTGAGGTAGTCTTCGATGTATTTCAAGTACGCCTTGGCGTTCTCTGGCAACTCACTGTAAGTTTTCACGGCGGTGATATCCTGCTCCCAGCCTGGAAGGGTCTTGTATTCGACCTCGACCTTGCCCAAAACGTGCAGACACTCAGGGAAAGACTTCAACTCCTTGCCGTTGTACTTGTAGCCAACTGCAACCTTTATCTCCTTGAAGGTGTCCAAGACGTCCAACTTGGTGATGTTCAAGGAGGTGTAGCCGTTGATCCAGGTGGAGTATTTCAAAACAACCAAGTCCAACCAGCCGCATCTTCTCTTTCTGCCCGTGGTGACGCCGACCTCGAAACCGATGTCCTGGAGCTTCTCGCCGACCTCGTTTAGCTGCTCGGTGGGGAAAGGACCCTCGCCGACTCTGGTGGTGTAGGCCTTGACGACACCGTAGACGTTTCTGATGGCGGTGGGAGGAATGCCCAACCCGGTCAGGACACCGCCAATGCCTGTGTTGGAGGACGTGACGTAGGGGTACGTACCGAAGTCGAGGTCCAACATCAAAGCGTTGGCGCCCTCAACCAAGATCTTCTTGTTTTCCGCCAATGCGCTGTGCATGAACTCGACAGAGTCGACGACAAAAGGCTTGATTTCCTCTCTGAGCACCTTGTATCTGGCCAACTCGCCCTCGATGTCGTATTCAAATTCGCCGTATCTCTGCTGTCTGGTTGCAAACAGTCTTCTCAACCGGGTCTCAAACTCGGGCCAAGCGTCGGGCTCATCACTGACCAAATGGTGCACTCTGATACCGGATCTGGAGGCCTTGGTCGAGTAGGTTGGGCCGATACCTTTACCGGTAGTGCCGATCGACTTCTTCTTGTTCGAGAGCTCTGCCTCTCTTAGCTTGTCGACTCTCTGGTGGAAGTCAAAAACTAGATGTGCTCTGGAAGATAAGAACAATCTGTCTCTACATTTCAAACCCTGGTTCTCGATCTTGGCCAATTCGTCAAAGAACGAGGGCAAATGCACAACAACACCGGAGCCAACCAAGTTCAAGCACTTTGGGTTCACCAACCCGGATGGCAACATGTGGAAGTCGTATTTGGTTTTGCCCACAACAATGGTGTGGCCCGCATTGTTACCACCCTGGCATCTTGCACACACTTCGATGTCGTCGCAAAGCAAGTCGACAAGCTTGCCTTTTCCTTCATCACCCCATTGGGCGCCTAAAACAACGTCAGCCATTGTGTATCTATCTGTGTTTCGTTCGAAAAGACTTGAAAGTGAATATATATATTCTAGGATGAAAAGTCTGCAGATAACAGATTTCTCTTAAGCAGTATATATTGAACGTGAGAGTTGCACGTTAAGCCCGGAAAAGACTGAATGAGACGGAGGCGTACACCAGACCCGAAGCAACCGGCACAGAAAGAAGCAGAAGCCTTCGGAGGTTTTATATGTTTTTTTTGCATCCCAAGCGTTGTTCAGCAGCGTCAACCGTGCTCTGCGACCCAATGTGTCATTATTCCTTCATCTGCCGCGGGTACGAGTCAAGCTTTTAATTAAGCCCGGAGATTGCCTGTGTTACGCACACACTTTACATAGGAACCGGTCCGTATACGGGGCCCCGGAAGCTAGCCGAGGCACGACTGCAATGTCGCTGCACCACACAGCTTCTTCGGCAAGCAGGTGTGTACTCTTAAGCGACGAAGTTCCTATCATATCCCTGCTGCTCCCGATAGCCTACTCCGTGAAGCGTGGGTGTGAATGAGCTGGGACCGCCGCCATTTGCCGCATTGACTTCTCTTGTTTTCTGCACCAGGGGTCGATCGGCGAAGGAGCTTTGGACTATTACTGTTTAGAAGGCGGGATGGCTTCTCCATTCAGCAACAGAGTTTCATGATGTAACACGAGAGGACTTGATGCTGAGAATGATAGAACGACAGTTTCAACTTTTCGGAACTGGCTTCTTGTGAGTATCGTTTGGATGCCGAAGAAAGCAGCCGTAGAAAAAACTCAACCACAACATGTTACAACATAGTTTTCTGTCGTGGGGAGGAATGGCTGTGGGTTCAACCTACAAAGCTCTGAGCTTGCTTTCAGGATGCACAAAATGCAATACATTCAGCAGTCCATGTGCAATATATTGTGAGAGTGGAAGGTCGACCAGCAGCTCCTCCAAGATAGGGGGTGGACAGTTGGCTCGTTCCAAGTTTCACAAGCCTACTGGAAGTACGACATCCTACAAAACTCTACTGTGTCAGTCAGGAGTGCTGCACATTCTGATAAACCCCGAAACCAGATCTCTTATCGAGCGGTGTATTGGTGCAGTAGAAGAGGAAATAGTTGAAACGAGACCAGCCCCAGAGTTTATCGCTGGGAAAGGAGAAAAAGTTTCTGTGCGTCACACACGATAGGGGTCATAGTTTGACATAGACGTGTCTCACATGGAGTGGAGAGAGGGTTTATCGGGCGACCAGCGGGGGACACCCCCTACAAGCGTCAATGCGGCGGATAAGGAGACGGGCCGTTCATGAATTCCCGCTGCAAGACTACTCCTTTCTGACCCCGCCAGTTGTCAGATAAAGTCCGAATTTTGATACCACGTTTTGTGGGAAAGGAACATCCGGCTCTCAGATGAAGCTATCAAAGATTACAGCGGGAGAAAGTGGAAGTCCTACATCCTATTCTGCGAATCCCTGTTGCTGTCGTCGGGAAAAAAGTTGGCGGTTAAAACAATAGCGCCGATAGCGAGAAAAACTAAATACACGGCTGTGCCAATCGTTTTCTTATCGGCTGCAGTTCCAGCGGAAGGTCGGCAACCGCTTCGAAGAGCGTAGCTTTCTTGGGATTCTTCGGACCTTATTTAAGGTCAACATTCTCATGCAGCTGCTACGAGAGTTTGAATTCACAGACAGCTGGCTTTGAAAATGCCTTGGTAAGACAAATCAACTGTAAAATGCACAACAAGATTGACTCTAGCGAAGGTGCTGCTGATGTTAAGCAAGATTATGGAATCACTGTGACCGATGCGTCGATGAGCAATCTAGATTCAGCTGAAAATGATCAGGTATCTATTATCAAGTCTCATAAGTTGTCTTCCAAACTCAAATGGAAAGTCGATCTTATGGTTATGCCATTCTTTATGGCAATCTACTTTTTGCAATTTTTGGATAAGACCCTAATTAACTATGCTGCAATCATGGGTCTCAAGAAAAACTTGAAGGGAAATGAATTCTCGAACCTTGGTACGATTTTCTACGTCTCTTATTTGGCTACTGAGCCACTTGCTGCATACCTAATTCAAAAGGTGCATGTCGGAAAGTTTCTGGGTCTCAATATTTGCTGTTGGGGAGTAGTGGTGGCGTGCCATGCAGTCACAAAGACATATGCCAGCTTGATGGTGATTAGAGTGCTATTGGGTATTTTTGAAGCTTCTGTTCCTGCTTGTCTTGTCATTATTGGAGGCAAATGGTGGACAAAACCTGAGCAATCTCGGAGAACCTTTTTCTGGTACATGCAAGTTGGTTTGGCTACAATTGTGGGATCTTTAATGTCGTTTGGATTCCAACATGTTCATAATACCACTATAGAAAGTTGGCAAATTATGTTCATGTTTATGGGTATTCTCACTTTTGTTGTTGGAGTTTTGACATTTGTCTTTTTGCCTGAAAGTCCATTAAAATGCAGATTCTTGAATGATGAAGAAAAGGAGGAAGTTATGCAACATATAAAGGAAAATAGAACAGGTTTTGAAAACAAAACATACAAATTCCACCAAGTTAAAGAAATGTTGATGGAAAAAGAAACTTGGATTATTTTCTTCATTATTGTTTTCTCCTTAACAGACAGTGGTGGATTGAGTACCTTCTCCTCCCAAATTATGAAAACTTTTGGTTTCTCATCAAAGATATCTGCACTTGTTCAACTTCCATTGGGTTTTGTGGCCATCATATCTACATTTTTGTGTTGTTATCTTACAAGTTATGTTGGAGAACGTTCAATAGTTATGGCATGTGTCACGGTGCCAACTATCTTAGGTGCTGCACTATTCATTGGACTTCCTAACAGCTACAAAGTGGGTAAATTGTTCGGGGTTTACTTGCTAAACTTCAACAGTGCTATTATTGCTCAAGTTTATTCGTGGAACGCAGCAAACACTGCAGGCTACACAAAAAGAAATGCAAGAAATGCAATGACTTTGATGGCATTCTGTATTGGTAATTTGATTGGTCCACAATTGTTCCAGGCTAAGGATGCCCCGGAGTATGTTCCTGCAAAAATCGTCTTGTTGGTGTTTTTATCCTTAGCTTGTGTTCTATCCATTTGTCTAAGGTTTGTTGTTAGACATGAAAACAAGCGTCGTGATAGACTTACAGAAGGATATACTGAGGAAGAAAAGAACAAAGATGTTTTGCTGTTGGACTTAACTGATCGTGAAAACTTAAACTTCAGATACGCATATTAATGCACCATTTTACCCTTTCTGCAAGAAATGTTTTTTATCTTTTTATTTTCTATTTTATAAGCTAATTATTGTTCCATATTTCACGTTTACATGTACAGTGATCAAGACAAAGTAACGTCAACTGCTAGTTAAAAAGATTGCGCAGAATGTGGAGACAAAAAACAACTCTTTGAGCACTAAACTTATCTATTTACTCTCTGATTCAGTTAGGGAAAAACTCGGTCCATAAACGATAAGCACAATTAAGCAAAATAGTACATTTTAGAATCTGTTAAAGTCTATGTAGATTCAAACTAAACAAGCGGAACAGAAGCACCATCACCTCTTAGGTCACTACCAGCAGCATACACTAAATGCTTGGAATCTGGTCCTGATTCTTTTCTGATGATTTGTCCTCTTCCAAATAGCTTTCTATCATCGCCACTAATAACCTCCACTGAGTGTCCCAGCTTTCTCAACTTTTCAACAACAGCTATATCAATACCAGGTTCAATGCCTATACAAGTAACATCGTTACTGGCAGGTCCATCAGCCCCATATCCTTTATCTGTATGTTTCATTTCAGGATGGGCAAACAAGGAGATTCTAGGTGCATCGAGAGCTTCTTGAGGGTCCATGCCAAAATGTAACATGTTTAAGTAAACTTGGATATGTGCTTGAGGTTGATTGTATCCACCCATAATACCATATGAAGCATATAGTTCTTCATCGCCAGATTGGGTACTTGGTTTGGTGATCATACCAGGAATGATAGTGTGGTATGGACGTTTACCGCCTTCCAACGAGTTTTTAGCCTTTGGGTTCAAGCTGAAATTACCACCTCTGTTTTGAAGGATGAAACCGTAATCAGGAACTATGATACCACTGCCAAAGCCCTCGTATAAGGAATTAATGAATGAGCAGGCATTTCCCTCGCTATCAGAAGCTGTGAAATAAACAGTGTCTGATTTGAACATCGGATTAGGAATAACAAGCTTATTATTTTCGATGACCTCGTCCTTCTTAAATTCATTTGCCCTGCCAGAAAGATATTCATCACCAAGTATGGTATCAACAACATTGTTGTGGTCAACTCCAGTCTTAGCTTTGTAGTGGTCATAGTCACTAACATATTCCTCCGATTCCTTGAAACTTATTTTGAGGCACTCAATAATCAAGTGCAAGTATTCTGCAGAGTTATGCTCCAAATCTGCTAATTTAATAGCCCCAGATTTATCCAAGTTTTTGATCAAACCAAGGGCCATCAATGCAATGATACCTGATCCATTCGGAGGGATTTCCCATAATTTGTGGTCAAGGAATTCGTAATTGATAGGTTCAACAAATGTAGAAAAATGTGTTTCCAAATCTTTCTTACTTAAAACATGATTTCTTTTGCTCAACTCTTTCACGATGGCGTCAGCAACAACACCTTTGTAAAACCCGTCTTTACCGTGTTGGGCAATGAGCTTCAATGTTTTTGCAAGATCAGAATTTTGCATGAATTGGCCTTTCTTTGGAGCCTTTGAGACCGATTCATTTGGCAGGAATAACTTTAAGTTCTTGTCCTTTTTGTTTTCTCTTAGCAACTTTGATTCGCTGAGTGTCCAGAGATGTGCACTGATTTGGGAAACAATATAACCGTTTTCACACAAATCTATAGCTGGTTCCAAAATTTCAGCCAAAGTCACCTTGCCGCTACCCCATTTTTCAATTGAGTCGACCCAGCCTGCAATGGCTCCTGGAACAGTAACTTTGAACACGGAATCCGCCTTCAATCTGTGATTTGGCTGGATTTCATCCGGATAATTTTCCTTCAACCAATCAATGCTCAATTCTGCTGCTGAGCGGCCACAACCGTTGATACCGTGAACTTTTTTCTCACTTGCCTTGTAGAACAATGCAAAGCAGTCACCACCGATACCTGTTGAAGCTGGTTCCAAGACGGCCAAGCACGCTGAGATTGCCACGCAAGCATCTACACAGTTTCCACCCTTCTCAAGGATACGGATTCCTGCAGCGTTTGCCAGAGGTTGTGTCGAGGACACAATACCTTTTGTGGAGTAAACAGTAGACCTTCTCGAGTTTGTTGGCGCTTCCATTTCTCGTAGTTGGAGTATGCCTAAAGTGAATCAAACATTTTTCTTCTTTCGCCAAAGGGAAGCAGAGCAAGTGCAGAACCAGTTGATCACTTACACCCTCTACTTATTCACTCTGCAAGCTGGTGGTCCTGGGTCCTGGCGCAGGCGTGGCACAACCGTTTCCGTCACAGGCATCACCGATACCGATTAGCGGCCCGTGGAAACACAGTATCCGCAATCTTCCTCGGGATTTCTCCCCTACAGCCGCAGATTTATCCGCGAACGGATGCTGTGCTTCCGGCCGCTGTTGCCGCAGCTTATCGGTCGAGATTCTCTATCGGGAAAAGCGGCTAACGGAAGTGGCCTGCCGGTTTGGCGACAAGACAGAAACATATTCTTTTGACAATCTGGATTCTTATGCGCAGAAATGCACCACTGTATCATGAACTGGTGGATTGTTGGTTTCCCCTCTTCTTCAGAGTGGCAAAGCACAAGATTAAAGAGTAAAATTAAGCTTGAAGAAATAATATGCCAAGAAAAAGAGAGCATATTCCGATCAGCAAAAGAAAAAGAGCACTTTACAGCTGCGACCGGTGCAAGTTGAGGAAACGTGCCTGCAAGAGATACCAGGACGGTGCAAGAAAGTTTGATAACAATACGCCATGCGAAGAGTGTGTCAAAGTTGGCGCAGAGTGTGTAACGGAGATCAGCAGGAAAAAACGATCTTACATTTCCGTGAGTGAGACAACGCTAGAACAGCTCAAATGTCTGACGCTGATTATCAAGGCTATGTTTCCGGAAAGCGATCCTAGCAATCTGGAGCATATCAAGAGCATCGCTAAGGCTCTATTTGTGAAACTACCGAAATATGAACCGGGAGAACTACTTGGCGAGGCCATCGAAGATAGCTGTAACGGGAATGACGACTATGATGAGAGTGATGAAGATGAGGAAGAGAACGGGACCAACTTTTCAGAAGTCGGAGAAGAAGAACAACGAGGAATTGTGAGCCAGGCAAATTATGATAATCCAAGTGAAGCCCAGATCGGTTTAGGCGGCGCAGATAGGTTGTTCAACGCCTTATTGAAGGTTGGCAAGGTAGATTCTGCCAGTAAGCTGAAGTTTCTTGAAAACATGGTTGTCAGTGGGCACCAGCTGCCCTCTAGCCCTCCATTATTGATCAATGGTAGTGATATTCACAACTCTTTGCTGCTAAATTTAATACCCCATCAAGAATGTGAGATGTACACGAACGTGTTCTTCAGTAGACTCCATGAAAGCTATTTTATATTCAATGAGAAGAAGTTTAGACAACGCCATAATCGTTTTCTGCAGTGTTTAGCGGACAAGTATTTGCAGGCAAATGAAGAGTTCTGTAACGAGGAGATTTGTGCAATCTACCTTGTTTGGATTCTAGGAAGAAACTGCTATTTAACAAAACTTTTGCAAGTTGATGATCCCTCCCAGGCCAACATTGTCTCCAACTCAACAATCAGCAAGTACTCAGAGATAATCAACGTGTGCCTCTCTGGGTGTTTCTATTCAAATAACATTCACTGTGTGAGGATGTTATATTTGTTGAGTTTGTATAATTCTACCCTAAAAAATACAGACTCTGCGTGGCACTTGTTGAGTAACTGTTGTCTGAAGTGTTTTGGGATGGGATATAATAGAAGTGCTGTACTTTCCAAATTTGATGAATCAGAGAGAGAAGACATCAAGGTTGTATGGTGGTCAAGCTTCAAGCTGCATATGAACAACTGCGCAATAAAAGGACGACTTCCTAACATAACTTTATATGAGGTAGATCTTGATTTACCTACGCTTGAGCATGTGCACGATAAGTTGTTTAGAGATGCCTACACAAAATCCATTGAACTTTTCAAGATTATGTTCAATACTTTGAAGAATAGAGAGTATTTAGCCAAAAGCAGAAATCCATGGTGTAAAGAAAATCTCAGAAATATCATCAAAATAAACAATTCTCTAAGAATATGGGAAAGCGGACTAGGATACTCGTTGAAGTACTATAAGAGGCCCAACCCGAAGAGGTATCAGATAAAACTCCATCTACAGTATCATTATTGCTCACTATCGCTTATAGCTCCTTATTTGATTGCATACGCTCTCAACCCGCAAAGATCTTTTGATCCTTCGAGTGGGATTATTGATACCTTGTGCAGTGGAGTTTACTCAGCTATTCAGTTGATGGAAGTCATCAGCTTTTCTGTGAATTCGGGATACTGTAATGGACTACTTCACTACGACTTTTTTTACTCTTACAATGCCCTCATGATACTATTGTTGGGATACACACTAATAAAAGAGAAACCTAAAGAGAAGCACTGTGAAAACTACAATATTTTCACTGAAATTTTGTCGAAAAACTTTGATATCGATATGAAGCTGATTTTGAAATCGATTAAGGAAATACGAGAGATCAACGACTGTTATGGGCCGGGAGCAGTAGGTACCATGCGTGACTTCAGCAATAATATCACAATTCTTCTACGATACTTCAAGCTGAATGGGACCCCAAATACGCTTGATATGATCAATTCGACATCTTTAGACTCTCAAGTTCAGGCACTTTTCAAGGAGCAAGAAGACTATCTGAAAGCAGAAGACTCACAGGACTGCTCAAGTAAAAACAATGTGTCACTACTACCAACCGAGCATGATTTTTTCGATTTCATCAACTTTTTAAACACTGAAAACGACCAGGAATCTTACTTCAGCGATCAACTACTAGTAGATTGGAAGAAACTATTTGGCACAAGCGGTTCATCGGCCAAAGGGCATTGTGATCACCAGTTTTGATTCCTCATTAGAACGTATTAATGCGTATAGCGGTTTGATTAATTTTTATTGTAATCTCAGGTTATACAGTGTAGAATAGCAAAAAAAGAGAAGGTGTATTATATATTTGATTTATTGGGATTGATCAACCTATTCGTGCTTAGAGGTGATAAATTTACCAATGTGATAAGGGCCCTTACAAAGAACGTTGAAAATGATTTTACCTTCTTCCTTCACGTCTGAGGCAGAAGGGAAAAGAGGACCAACGCTCTTCTTCCATCCTTCAGCGCTCAAGTCTTCTCTGAATTGTTGACCATATGATTTGTGCTCGTGAACGTTATCCATTTTTGCGTGTTCCTGATGTATTTCGTCTGATGAGAAAGAACTCCAGAGAGATAAAAGATGTGCAAGAACGTCGGAGGAATCTCTGAAGAAAACTTAAGTAACGGGAAAGTTCTCCACATTTAAAGGCTTCGGACGGTGAGTTGGGTTCGGCATCTTGCGTGCTACTCTTGTATTGATAGCGCACGTGTGTGCACGTTTTCCTTTATCAACCCAATCGGGCAACCTAATTTCCTGTCGCTCGATGTCTTCTTTAGAAGACAAAAAAAAATTAAAATCAGTCGGGGTCAACTGGGAATTGAACCCAGGGCCTCCTGCTCCCAAAGCAGGAATCATACCACTAGACCATTAACCCGCGAGCAATATTCGAAAAATTCAAACGCATGTTAGGTATAAATCAAGCACCTTGGTACAAAGAAGAGTATCAGCTTATTGCTGAAGATAATGCATCGACAGAACCCGTCCAAAAGAAAGGTCCAAAAATAACAAAGCTAGCTTTAAAATTAGATGTTGAGATAAGATGCCTTGTCATAATAATATTCCTATCTTTTATCTCTCGATCCCTATTGGCTTCGGCATTTTCTCTCAACAAATTAATCCTTGCAATGAGCGTTAGCACAAGGGGTTTTGTTGAGATAAGATGCCGAAGCCAATCATGATCGAGTGATAAGAGATAAGAGTCTTATCATGATAAGGCATCTTAAGTAATCTAAAACTGGAAAGTTAGCCGCCATGATAAATGAATAATGGCAAGTTTAACCGAAGGTGTAAGTGTATAAATACAAGAGGTTTGTCCCTTGTATTTATGTTTGAGAATATTAGTTTGTAGGCTAGTTATATTAGTTATAAATTAATAAGCAACAAACATAAGAAAAAGTGAACATATACAATGGATATTCATAATAGAATAGCTAGATTACAACAGGTTTATCTTTTGTATCCATGTTTAGAAGTACTGATTGGTAAGTTGATTATGTTCTATATAACATGAGCAACAAACATAAGATAATATATACTACTAAGACTGAATATTCAATCAGGCATAAATAAACTCAACAACTATTAAACTACAATACTAAATTCAAATGATTACCGCAATTGAAAAGTGATTACAAGATGTGGAGTAGTCTCCAAGTCTCGGAGAAAAATGCGATGCAACTCCGATAACGAAAGATCTGCGCGCGTATGGCAGATATTTCAAACAGCTCATACGACTATTAATGATTACTAATGTAAATCATGGTATAAGAACTGTAGCAAATTCTCTACTTTGCATTCTTTACTTTTGCCTCAGCAATTGAATCAACAAAAAAAATTCTTACTCCAACATCCTGCGCTGGAATAAAGAAGAGAACAGATGGCAGATCCGTTCAGCACATTTTCGGTAGACGAAGATTTTCTTGATGCTCCCAAGTTCGACAACTCTTATCGGGAGCGTGAATGGATCCTTGAGCATATGGCTGGTGCATTCAGAGTGTTAGGCTCAAAAGATATTTCAGAAGGGCTTAGTGGACATATATCGGTGAAAGATCCAGTTGACAATAATGCCTTCTGGATCAACCCTTTAGGACTTCACTATTCAATGATCAAAGCTTCGGATTTAGTGCTTTACAATGAAAATGGAGATGCTATTGGCGGAAACCCAAGTGGTAGAATCAGCAAACCAGCTTGTCAAATTTTAGCTGTGGTACACAAATTGAGAAATGCAAAAGTCATCTGTCATAACCATTCACCTTATGGTAAAGCTTATTCTTGTTTTGGTAAAAAACTAGAAATGATAAACCAGGATGTTTGTTTCTTCTATAGGGTTCATAACTTTTATGAAGCTCCAAAAAATGTTTCAGGCTTGGAGGACATAGGAAGAAGCATCTTCGAGCGGTTGGGAGAAAATGGACGTGCTTTGATTTTACAGAACCATGGCTTAATTACTATAGGTAGCACCGTGGATGAAGCAGCTTATTTATTTCTCTTACTAGAGAAGTCTTGTAAAATACAGTTGTTGGTGAATTCTGCAGCCAACCATGGAATTTCAAAGAAATTGATGGACGACGCCGAGGCAGAAGCCAATTTCAAGAAAAGTGATTCAGACTCCTTGTATAAGGCGTTCCAGCCGGATTTTCAGTATCAAGTTTCAAGAGACGACTCCTTTCTATCATTCAGTAAGTCTAAATAATTATTAAATGAAGATAGCTTTGGTGTTTGCTAGGTGGTCGATGGCGGTATTTATTGTGTTGATTGAGAATGATGTGAGTGTGTAAGACATTGTATTGACTCTCCAAATACTGTCAAAACATAGCGTAAGATTATATATGCAGCGTGGTACACTTCTTCAACTGCAATCAATACTCCATCATAAGAGGCAAATATTTTTTGACGCCAAAACCAGTTAAAAGGTAGCTTTCCGATCTTTGGCTTATGCCAGACTGTAGTTTCTTACAAAATTTTACCTGCAACTGACCACCATTTCAGCCTCTTCATTTATGAATTGTTATCCCTTCATTACCGGGGTGACTTTGGCTATAAGAAATGTCGTCTTTGAGGTTAGTATAAGAACAATAATCTGCTCCTTAGAATTGTCTAAATTCTGTTAACAATCGTCAGGCTAGAGACTACAGTTGCGTACTACTTGACAGCCATGTTCCAGAATAATTGTTTTGTTTATGGGTTTCACCCTACCACAAAATTGCATTCTTTTTTATTGCGGAGTCAGGCGTATACAGATGATCCCAAAGAATGCGCCGTCCTCAACAAAATTACTTTAGGGCTATCCTAACTTCAAATCAAATTACTAGGGGCGAAGGCTAAGAGGGAAACCATCTTCAACCACTTATCAGTCTACTCCCACAGAAAATAGAAAAAATTAACGAAAATTGTGGAAAAAGGAAAGCAGCAGGAAAGATTGTTATCAGTAAATTTGATGAATGTTGGAAACAGTTGTGTCTTCAGTACAGATCAGAGTGAGCTGAGAAAATTTTCATCATAAACAATCTTTTCGGCGATCCTTTTTCCTGGAAAAAATACAAGTGCAGCGTCTACTGACGGCTACAGCATATCTGATGCATGCTATTAGAGTATTGAATATGCTCAGTAATCCATCGGCGACATTGGTTCAGATGCTCAAGCGAAAATAGTCCAGAATAACCACATTAGAGGAAGAAAGGGAAGGAAGATGATACAGATACATACAGCGTACATACACTTGATATAAAAAACAAATCTCATCGTGGAGGAGAAGTGCGAGAAAAAAATCCTCTTGCCGACCTTTCTTCGGAGACAGGGTTTCTCTTACTTTACACCCATATGCATTTTTTAGATGTTGCTAGCAGGAGTATGTGTTTAGCCATCCAGACTGAGAGGGCCCAATGGAAAGATCTTCTAAGAAAGACTACGAGTGGCTGATATCGAGGCGGAGAACAGCGTATGAGATATTGGAAATTGAAAAAAATGCCACTCAATCTGACATCCGAAGGGCTTATCGAATGAGAGCATTAGTGGTTCATCCTGACAAAAATAAAACAATAAATGCAGATGAAACGTTCAGAGAGGTAGTTGTCAGCTATAATGTGTTATCTGATCTAGATCTGAAGGGACAGTATGATAAATATTTGCTGGACCAAGCCAAAGTTTTGAACTCCGAGGAGAAAGTGAACAAAGTTAACAAAAGCTTCCAAGCATCTAGGTTTCGGACTGAATTGAAAAACAAGGAAAACCAGCATCGATCAGAGGTTGAGCTGGAAGCGACCAAGAGACGGAAGATTGATGAGCTTTCTGAATGGTACGATGATTACGTGAAGAAACAGTCAAGAGGAATCTCCAAGTTTCAAAAATTTCCGGATGGGCAACACAGTAAATACACAAAAAGAAGCATTTTTCCTACGCTTACACTGATAAAATGGAAAAATAGGAAAGGAGTAGAATTTGACAAGTCTCTGATAATGAAATTGATGGGAGTTTTTGGTACAGTTGTCAAGGTTTCGGTAACGGAAACTAACAAAGCTAACAACTATCATTATGCCCAAGTTGAATTCAAATCACCTGCAGCAGCCGCTCTTGCTGCTACTCATGACTTTTCTGTAACTGCGGATTATTGGGATGCATTGAACCTGCGGAAAATCTCGAGTCTTTTGAGAGATGTCCAGTTGGTAGACTACGACAGCAATGTTACTGACCAACTCAATGAACGCAAATTGTCCTCCTCAGACTACATAGCTTATAGTATTATGAAAAGTCAATACGTGTAACTTAAATTTTTGTACTTTTATTAATTTGTATCATTATATATCCAGAAATATACGTTTAGAATAGAGATATGAATGGAAGAAAAGACGAAATTAGTCAGAATCAATGATTATTGCCTCAGGAGAACGAACCTTGTTCTTGATAGGTATATGCGATTTGTTCTTGTCTTTTCGCTTTTTGTTAGCTCTCAATGTATGCCCTTCACCATAGAAGACAGCCTCCCCTTCTTTAGCTTGGTCTTGCTGCTCTTTCTCAGCAGCTTCAAATTCGTCCATATAAGGCGTTACCGGGAATCCGAAAAACAAATAACCTTCTGGCAACTCTAGCGGTCTAACTGGTCCAGATAGATCAAGGTCTTCAGTCTCGTTTTTTTCAGCATCTGATTTCGGTTTCGTGGATTTTTTACCCGAAAGCTTGAAACCATCTCCCTTGAACTTTATCGTCGCTTCATCTGCTGCTTCCTGCAATAATCCACCATAATTTATTTGTCTAGCCATGGATCCTTTGCCCTTCAATGATGGCGCAGATATAGCCGCTTCTCTCTTCTTTTTTTCATTCTCTTCCTTCAACTTTTCATAATCAGGTTCAACATATCCCACAGGTGGCGCAAATTCTGTAACCAAATCTGTTTCAATAACACAGATACCACCCGAAGACGATTCTGGCTTGACTTCTAATATTTTGATTTGGTAGATGTGACTGTTGTAATTCAATTCTATAACATCCCCAACGGTCAATGTCGTGAAATTCCTTAATGCATTTTCGAGTACTGCTTTTGGATCCGTTATCTCTAGGAAATCAGTTGATTGGGGCTCAAGTTTTACAAAGTTTCCCTGGGGCAAGTCTGCTGTTTCGATCTTCACAACCGTGCCTGCATTTATTTTAAGGGTGTCCATCATCCACTCAGGTAAATAGCATCTTCCTTCATCTGCTGTAAATTCGAGAACACCACTGTGTGTGCTTTTGTCTGTGCTTGTGGTTGAAATCTTGAAAAGCATTGGGTATCTTATGTTCAACATGGTAAGTTTATGCAAGGCTGATTGTGGTAGGAAAATTTTACCACCGTAATTTGCCACATCTTTATTGCCGGCATCTTTCATCATTGAAATCGGGTAGCATCTGAAGAAATCTTCAAATGATTGTGGAATTGGAACCATCTGTGGGAAAAACTGGTTAGGTTGACCGGAGAACCCTTGAAATCCTCCAAACTGTATATCATTGTGGGTTTGATGTTAGTAAACTGTCTTTTGCGGGAATTCCTAATCCATGCCTTGAATCTGCTACTTACCATTTTTGTGACTTTGCTACAGTATCGTTCTATGGAATAGCCACTAATTTCTGTTTCAAACACCTTAATTCTCCACAATGCAATGACAATCAACTTAATAAATCTCGGACCGCTTTTGCCTTTGCGAAGCGTGGATTTTCGGCCTGGGCGCTGTTCTGCGTTCGAACCGGGGAGGAAGGCGAGGAGATAAACATGTTTGGTGTTTTATTGATGCAGTTGTTTTGGTGTCTTGCTGAACTAGAAATCAAAGCCAATTAGCTTCCTTGAGGGCCCAGCACCAAACAGGATGACAAGCCCAAAGCACGTCTCAGAGGATATAGAAGCTGATATTGATTTAGATGATTTCTCCAAGGATCAACTACGACAGCTGTTAGACGATGACGATAACTATAACGAAGAAGCACTGGAGTTTTCGGACGATGGAGCAGAAGATTCTATAGCAGGTGATTACAACGACGAAGAAGACTATGAAAGCAACGATATAAACAGTGAAGATGCTTCAGATGAGTCAGATTATGAGGACTCTTCTAATAGTAAGGAGAACCGATTCAAGACGCTAGCTGAATTAGGCTTCAATGAGGATGAACAAGAAGATGAAATGATCAGTGACAATGACTCTGACGAAGAGTTCATGTTCCGTAATGCCTTGAGGGAAGCTACGAACTTTAAAGTCAAAAAAAGCTCCAAAAAAACAAAAAAGAGGGGTGGCTTGGCAGCACTGAGAAGAAGAATTAGGCGAACTGAGTTGGATCCCGAGGTGAAAATGCTTCTTTCGAAAGCAAATGAAGCATTTGTGAATAATGACTTAGACAATGCCCTGAAACTCTACTCTCAGGTAATCAAAATGGATAAGAATAATTTTAGTGCCTACAAAACTTTGGGTGAAATTTACAGAATGAAGGACGACTTGAACAAATGCTCGAATATATGGCTTCTTGCCGCACACCTAAATCCTAAAGATGTAGATTTCTGGAAAACAGTGGCCGAAATATCCGTCGAGTTGGGCCACTTTAAGCAAGGTATCTATTGTTATAGGCGAGCTATTACCGCAAGCGGTGGGAAGGACTTTGATGCCATTTTTTCACGTGCTTGTCTCTACAGGGAAATTGGAAAGTTCAAAAGAGCATCGTCAGGATTGCTTCGACTTCGTTCAGCACTACCCCAAGATTCAAGAATAGTAAGGGAACTGGCAAAGGTTTATGTAGAGGAAAACAGAATCAATGACGCCATCTCTTTGTATACGAAAATCTTGGACGATAATGTGAAGTTTAGAAAGCTTATAGACAAGGGTGAGCAAGTAACATTAGATAACATCCAATTTGATTGGTCAGAGCTCAACATTTTGTCCGAGTTATATGCTTCAAAAGCTGCATGGTCTTTGGGAATTAAAGCATTGAGGCAAATCTCAAGATGGATCCAAGAAAGAGAAAGGCAGACTTTCTGGGATGAAAACACGAACAATGACATCGAATTTGATGAGAGAAAATTTGATCATCCTAGGTTTCAAAAACTAAAATCTCATGAGGGCAGCTTGGCTTATACCTTGCCTATTGACATCAGGGTCCAGTTGGGCATCTTCAGATTAAACAACAAGAATGAAACTGAGGCTCTGCGTCACTTTTCAATCCTACTTGAGCAACCGCTGGAGGAAACTCCTGATTTGTTTTTCAAGGTTGGTATGGAATTGGAAAGTTTTGCACTATATAAGGAAGCACTAGAGTTTTTGATTCCACTTTCCTACTATGAAGAGTATAACACTTCAGAATTGGTCGTAACAATTGCAAAGTGTTTGAGAGAAACCGATGATTTCGAAAATGCCAAAGATACCTATATAAGGCTATTGGAATACGACAAAGACAATGTGGAGTTAAAAGTTGCTCTTGCCGAATGTTACTTTTATTTGGATAACATTGAGGCTGCCAATGATCTATATAAAGAGGCAAAGGCTCAACGTACGAAAGAAAAAGCAACTGCTCGGGATAACTTGGTATTGAATGATACGGAAGCAGACAGGTTGTTGAAGGAAACTGAAGAAATCATGGAAGATGAAGATGAGGAAGACCTTGAAACTCCTCAGGCTATCATTGATGATGGCCCAATAAAAAAGAAGAAAAGAAAAGAGTCAATTACACAGAAGATGAGATACAGACGATGAATGTGAAATCTGAAATTCGTGTCAAAAAGATATACGATAAGTGCTTGAAGCTTTTGGAAAAAATTGAGATATTGCACCTAAAGGAATCGTTAAGTGAAGCAGAATCTTCTTCACTGAAAACGATGGTCAGTATATGGATAGAAATGGTTTCAGATTTGATTGAAATTTTTGCAATGTATCGGTTTTTCTTCTCTTCAGATAGAGCCAAAAAGTTCAATATGCGATTGCGTTTAAGAACTGCAAAACTCGGTATTGATCAAAAGCTTTCAAGAATGAAGTACTTACAGCATGAAATTATACTATCACAAAACTTTTCTACTATGGACTACCCTGAAAAAGAGTTTAAGGGCTTAAATTATGATCAATGGTACGACTTGTTTGTAAGGTATGCGTTGTTGATTGCTGAATTTGAGAAAGATACAGAAAATGCTATAGGTATACAGGATATCATTAAACAAGTAAATGTGTTCAAAGGAAAGGAGTTGACAACTCAGCTTGTTGGGCTCTCTATAGGTATTCTGACTCAGGATACACCACTTATTATGATGCAAACCAGAAACCTGATGAATGATTATCAGTTTGCAATAGACTCTTTACGACTTTACCTTGCTAGCATGGTTACAACTTATGAAATGGAAGAGTCTTTTGCTGATCCCCCCTCCCAGAAATTCATGCTTCGTCAAATCAAGGCTTTTGACTCTCTAAAGGACGAGAGTAAGGAAAACGTGGCAGGAAAGGCTACAGTCACAAGGAAAAACGTGGACATCACCAAAGACCATTTTTTGATCAACTATATTTATGCTTCCTATCTTTTCACAAATAAATCATACTATTCGGCTTTGATTTATTTGTTGAAGTTGTATCACACTTATCCGGATAATCCAGATTTGCTATTCCTACTAGCCCTAGCAAATCTTCACAGATCTGTGCAACGGAAGACGCTCAATACCAATTTCCAAATTTTGCAAGGAATGACTTTCATGTTAGAGTATATCAAGACCAAAGATCAATCCAACCCATACAACGTAATGGAAGCATATTACAACCTTGGTCGTAGTTTTAACCTTCTCGGGCTCGACCATATTGCTATTGGATTCTACGAAAAAGTGCTGGACATAGAAGTGGAAGATCCTGCCTATGATCTCAAGAGGGAAGCTGCTCACAACCTGTGCACAATATACAATCTGAACAAGAATTTCCGACAGGCAGAACTTATCATGGACCAGTATCTTGTGATATAGCCCCCCCTTCCCCTTTCTCTCCCCATTGCCTATCTATAGAGAGTAACCCCTCAAGATGTGTGTGTATCTTATAGGTCCAAATGTATATTATGTAATCTTTAGGTCACGTGTGCAGAGCACGCTTAGAGTTTGAAGGCAGATCATAGCGAACCCCAGAGAGCATTAAGGTTGACTTGACACGTCTAGAAGGGTGTGTTGAATGATGATCCACGTTGCTGGAATAGACAGAATATGACATCAAACTCCAAACAAGCAATGGATATACATCAGAGCTACTCACAAGACAGACTACTGTCAATCGATAAACAGCTGGAAGATATTGATTTCAATCTTGAGAAATATTTTGAGAATTATAATCTGAAGCAACTACGATATTTTTTGAAGGAAGCTGATGCTGAACAGGTTACTGAGGATGCGATAAATGAAGATGAGAAGGCTAGCACAAGTTCCAAAATCCTAGAAAATATAAGCTCACAAAAAATCAAGAAACAGGATTACATTGAGCTTGTTGAATTGTGCAACCAGCTATGGATTGTCAATGGATTGGTGAACGAATTGGCTCATCAGACCCAATTCGAGGATAGAGTACAATCTTATCTGAAACTCAAATCCAGAACGGATGAAATCAAAAGAAGTATTGACCAATTTGGTGATGAGGGGCCAGTGAAAGTGTTGAGTGCTCTAGATGATAAGATCAGTGAGCTAAAGCTCGAACTTGTCAACCTGGCCCAGAGTAAACTTCATGTTTTTTTGACAATAAGCGATGATCTCGATGTTCACTACAGTAATACAGTGGATGAGTTACCCTTCTTCGCATTCTTGAAATGTTGTCGAAGTATTTCAAGCTCGGATTCAGATTCTCTCTTCAACTTCAATAAGCTTTTTAACAGTTGGCTGCAAAAGTTTCTCGAAAAACTAAACAAAGGGTTTTCGGCTGCTTTTCAACAAACTCCTAAGACACTTGAGCTAACTTTGAAACCAGGTAAACCAGATCTTTTGGATTTTACACAATCTATTGAGCAGCTGATACTTTTTCTGAATAGCCTGGCTGCGCAGAACGAAAGCATGGTAGAACTGAAAAATACCAGGACGATATTGGGGAAGAGCATATTGAAATCGTTGAAGCATACCATATTTTCCAAAGAAAATGTTTATCCATTGATTGTGGACAAAATGAATTATGATGAACATTTGAGTCAGAAAGGTAGTAAAGTTTCAATTGTTGCCGCACTATACAAAGTTTCCAAATTATTGTCATCAGCAGGATGGTCCAAAGATGGGATTTGTGAACTGGAATTTTGGATCGACGACTTGACTAATTCTTGGATTGATAACCTAATAGATTTTACTATCGACGATCTTAAGTTGTTTGTCATCAGTCTTGTGAATAAGGAAAAGGCGGATTTGTTGAAAGAATCAAATTTGATTTGCAAGGAAGTTGATGTAGTACCAAATGCCCCTCGAGTTCCGGACACCAAGCCACAAGAACCTGTAAAGGAATCGGGAGAAGATGGATGGGGAGATGGATGGGAGAATAATGATGGTTGGGATGATGACGACGACGATGACGACGACGGCAACTCTAGTAATGATGCTAACGCACATAAAAAAGAAGCCAATGATAGTTATAAGTTAAGTGGCGAGATAGAACAGAGTTTGGTTGATGAAGATGAAGGCTGGAACGATAACGACCTGGATCTGGACCTTAATTCCGCTGATCAGCCTCAGGACAATACTGAAGATGAAGATGGATGGGACGCCTGGGAAGATGACGTCAAACTTGACGGAGAAGAAGAAGATAAAAATGTGCAAATTCCTCTTATTAGCAGGCCGTTGGTTCCATCTTATAAATATTCAAAATTAGTTGACGAGGTTATGCTTATTATTGGTGATTATATGAAAAATCTTGAAGGTTTGAAGGAACTTGGAGTGAGTAAGGATCATTTTGATGAAGCACGCGGTTTATTTAAACATGGGTTTAAAAAATTGTGTGTTTCCTATTTCATGTTGGTTGAATCAAATATTGCAGAGACATATCAAAATGAGATTTTGTTTTACAACGATTATAACAAAATACTTGAAGAGTGTTACAATGCGTATGAGGTCGATTTGACAACTTGTTTCAAAATGAGCTCCAGGTTTATTAATACTTTGAAGTCAAACCTTTACTCAAACCTTTCAAGTGTGATCGAGGACTACAACGAAGTTATATGGAATGACAATAACTTGGACAACGACCTCCAACTAAGAAAACGTGGGAAGGAATTCTTAATGAGGTTTGACAACGAATTTGATATAGTCAACAAGAAACTCACCAAGCTAATTGGTTACAATACTCAGCTAATCACTAATTTTTTTGTCACCGTGATTTTCCAGTATTTCAATAGCATATGTGACAAAGTGTTGGCTAGAACTGATATATCATCGTATGAGTCTGAGCTATTAACCGGAATCATCAATGCTGTAGTTACCAACACAATCAATAAAACGAAGAGTTTGAACCTTATGGTAGAAAAAATCCAAAGTTATAATAAATTACAGCAGATCAAATTGATTCTTTCGTCGAACTTGAAAGAAATTTTAGATGCTTTTTACGACGCCAAGTTATTCGAAATGGAGACACATGAAATGATATCACTCATTCAGAGCTTATTTATAGAGAGTTCTCAAAGAATGGATGCAATCACTAACATCAAAACCGCAAGAGAAACCCAAATGTAAGTCTGTCTGAATGTTTTGTTTTCTTTCTATGTATATTTTTATAAAAGGATTACAAAAGTTACAATTCATCGTGTAAATTTTTAACCAATTTATTATCTTTTAGTGGTAAAATTACCACATACTCTATGAACAAATCTCCAAATTCATCATTCCCCCCCATTATCGGCATACCTTTTCCCTTAATGATTTCCACTTCACCATTCTGTACAAACACGTTCTCATCCCTAGAAAGCGTGATCTTTGGATCATATAGATCAAAAAATGGAATGTCCCTGGACCACATCCCAGACATGGCCTCTTTGAAGCTCAATGCCTCTGTTCTGTACAAATTATTTCCAACTCTTCTATATCCTAAGTTGGAGCTCTTATTTTCTTTCATGATCACGTTCAAATCACCAGCTATGACACCAGGCTGCGTAGGCCCTTTTCCTTCAAACTTTTCTACATAGTTTCTTGGTGCACCTTGTGGAACGTGAAGATTGAAGTGTTTTTCTTGCTGATGGGCACCTTGTCCATGACAGGTCCCACATTTGTGTTTGATCTCCTTCCCGCTACCTCGACATTTTTGACAGGTGGCTTCCATTCGCTGGATCATACCGTGGCCCAAGTTTCTTTCATGCAAAACTCTTCCTCTACCTTTACAAGTGGAACACTCATGCTTCACGCCATCTGCAGAACCAGATCCATTGCACTCTCCACAGATGTCCATTAGCGAAAGCACAAAGTCGTAATCCCTACCATTGTAAAAATCTGTCAGATCGAACTCAATTTCGGTTTGCACGTCCTGAGCTCTTGGAGGGCCCTGTTGAAATTGCTGACCGAAGAAGTCTGCAAATGGATTATGGCCTCCCTGTTGACCACCGCCTTTACCATTTTTCAGTCCATCTTCTCCATATCTGTCATAGATCTGTCTTTTTTCATTGTCCATCAAGACATCATACGCATTTGAGATTTCCATGAACTTTTGTTGTGCAGACTCATCACCAGCATTTTTATCTGGGTGATATTTTTTACTTAGTTGACGGTATGCGTTTCTGATTTGCTTTTCATCTGCGTTTTTGTCAACTCCTAGTATCTGATAATAATCCGCTCCTGCAACTACAATTGATAGTAGTGACCCCAATAGGAATAAGAAAGTAAGGGTTTTCATGGCTGATAATGTGATATCAACTGATGAAATATAGTTTCTGGGAATGTGTTTGATATCGAAATGGAAATTCAATCAGCTCTTGCTTTCACCTGTTCTCATTCATGAAAACCGACACGTTGCACGAAACCGTTAAACGAGGAGTACGGAAATATTACTTACGTAACAGTGCTCTGGGGCACGACCGTTTTTTTGTTTGTTTGCCAAAAATCTTGACTATATAAGTGTCAAACCCATTTGTCTGACTATCCAGGCTTAAAGACTCTATTTAAAATAACATTCACCTTTGGTGGGAAGAGGGAAGTTCTACAAACTCAAATCAGGTTTTTCGCCGCTTTTCCAGAAACTAAAAATGCTCTTTTTTGAGCGGTGATTGATATCGTTTACGATAGAGGCACCTCCGACACCCTCCGCAAGACCACCGATCTCGTTCTGTACAACTTTGGAGATCAAGCCTTCGTCTTCAATTAGCTCAGACACCAATTTGGTGCCCAATTTGTTGACCATAGTGTTTCTAGGAGTGGGCTTACCTGTGACACGAGAGGTCCGTATTCGGGTCTTGCGGGAGGATTTGTCCAACACTGTGTGGTGGGCAAAAGCTGAGGAGTCAGAGACGTAACCTGTGCTGAACAAGTTGATGATGGATCTAAATATTCTCTGGATAGTTCTTGTCCTGGAGTAGCGGGGTTGAGGAAGTGATCTCATCAAATGAATGGGGAATGGTAATTCTTATACTTAAGCCCAGGCTTTTCCCCGTATGTTCATATATATGTATTAGTGGTATGTATATATATATTTGTATATAGTTGTATCTCCAGGATAGCAAAGTGTAGATACACTAAGATTAGTTAAAAAGAATTGTATGTTCCAGACAATCACAACTCCCGACCATCAACCGTTTTATTTCTATAAAGCCTCAATTTTCTATTAACATCCCCGTTCATGTGGTGATACGCCCGATGCCCTGCGCGTTATTATTATTTCGTTCTTGCATATAATACTGACTGTATCAGTGTAGAGTATACACGTAAATCACAATTCAAATTTCAACCAATCCCAATCGTTAGCCAACGTCTCTCCCATGTGTGTGTCCGAGTTCAACATCGGCTCTCCCAGCTCGACTGTATTTTCCTCTCGCATCATAGCGTTATATCCCCTCTTCTTGTTGAAACTTGAGCTTGTCGAAGAGGAGAGATCAGCGATGTCATGACTGTGGGAATTTGCTGTTAGAAGAGCGTTGTTCGAGCTGATGATTTGGCTGTTCTGACTGTTGACCGGAGACGCAATATTGATGGAAGAAGACGAACGCATATTCACAAGGTTATGTGGTTTGCTATTGTCTCCGATGGGATTGACGATGTTGACATTGGAAGTAGAAACGGAATTGCCATTGCCATTAAAATTGGAGTTGTTGTTCCCCTTGAATTGTTGATTGACAGTTGGTGGTCTGATGACACCATGCAATTTGAAAAATAAGCCACAAGCATTACACAGCAGTCGGTTATCACTCGTTTTACGCCATAGGGGTGTTGTTGTTGTAAAGCAGTTTTCACAAATTGGTTGACTGCTATTACTATTGTTGCTATTTTTCGAATTAGAGTTGTTAGCTGAATTGGAGTTGTTGATGCTGTTATGTCCGTTATTGAAATTTTTACCAGCCATCGTAGACTTCACTGGAATAGAATTTTGGCTGTTGCTGAGATTAGAGAATTGGATCAAAGAAGGTGACGTTGAAACAGTGACAGGAGTAGGGTAGTTATCTTCGTTACGTATCGTTTTGTTGGACGCTGTTGACGAAGATTTGACGCTGGTAGCAGAGCTCATGTCGAAATTATTTGCTTTTGGGATTTGATTGTCGAGCGAGACTTCCAATGTGTTAATGTAGTTGGTCAGGTTGTAGTCCAAAGTTGAATTATTCTTGGCGTCGTCATCCACAGATTGACCATTGTTGCCGGAAATGTTGGTATTATTGTTGACACCGACATGACCATTATTGGCACTGTGATTATGGAAATGGAAATGGTTGGCGTGATTATTGGATGGATGGTCGCCAAAGTCATTCAAGCCGTCCTCAAAATTGAAATAGTTCTCGATGTTGAAGTCTTCGTTCATTAGATTTGACATTTTGCCCAGCTTCAGGGTATTAACAGGCAACCTTTTCATAGAAGATGCGGAGATTCTGTTTTGGTTGAAAGAAAACACCGAGTTAGAGTTCGAGGACAAGGAGTGACTTGTACTAGGAGAAGGGATATCGGAGTTGAAGTTGTAGTTGTTAGAGTCCATGTCTTTGAAAACATTCATGTTAAAATCGGAATCTGAAGGCAGGTCAGGGTTGATTCCATACTCCTCCTTCGATATCCTTCTGATGTGTTCAATGTAGTCAAATTCTGAGGAGTTTGTGTTTGTGTTTGTGTTTGAGCTTGGGTTTGGGTTTGGGTTTGGGTTTGCGGTCGCGTTATGCTCTGGTTTCTGGTCTGCCTTGTTCTGGGCTTTGTTTTTGACAACGTTAGAGTGCAGTGGATTAGAGCCGATGTTTGGGAAGTCGATCAACTGATCGGTGGAGTACCTGTTGAGAAGAGAGAGGTTGTTGGAACAGGACTTTTTGTTTGGGCTCGAGCTGACGCTGGTGGCTCTACTTGAAACAGTTTTCGAGGAAGATATTGATGAGGTGGAGGATGTGGATGGAGCGGCGTTTGGGGAGACGTCTGCGGACTTCTTCTGGCCCGAAGACGCAGCATCGGCGTGGTTCTTGACCCTTGTTATGCTGTTGAGTCTCCAGGAAAGGTTCAGGATCCTCTTGTTTTTTGGCAAAAGGTTGTTGTTATTGTTGAACATCTTAAAAATGTCCAAAGACGTGTTTTCGTTTCTGGACAGCTCTGCGAGGATTTCATCTTTCAACAGCTTGATAGGCTTAGGGTCGTGGATGGATGCTGCCGAGCTTGCGCTGGTCCCCGAGCTCGAGTTCGAGCATGTGCTTAGCTTTTTGGCTGGCAGGGCGGACGAGGCGGCGCCCGACGCAGAGGAGTAAGCGTTGAAAGAGGGAGGGGTGATGTGCTGCATGGCTGCGTTCGTCTTGTTCGTCTTGTTCTTTCCTGTAGTTCGACCCTGTTCGGTGTGCAGACAGGGGTGCAGGAGGCGGGGCTGGTGGGGGATAGTGCACTAGCTAGCGTGAGTTCTGCGAAAATCGTGAGTCAGTGGCACTTCTGACAGGAGGTCTGAGGGAAGGCGAGGGGTCCGGGAGGAGGAATGCGATGCACTGCTGTGCTGTGCTGTGCTGTGGGAAAAAGGCACGACGCTGTGCTGTTGGTGTGCAAGAGACGCGTTGGCAGGACTGGTAGCGCTAGATGTACACACCAGAAGATCACAAGAGCAGAGACCAGGGAGGAGTGTCGCAAGAAACACAGAAAAATGAGACACCAGACAAGATAACCGGATAATCAATAAGCCTGATAGGCCGAGCGAGCAGCAGGCAAGAGTCCAGCAGCGAGAAAAACAGAATCAGAAACAGACGGATCCTTCACTGCACTGCATTGCTATCGATCAGTCAGCCAGCACTAGTCTACCAGCAAATCTGCCACCACCGGTCAGCGGATGGGGACGGCGGCCAGCGATCCAGCCAGTGCCCGGGGCCCTTCTGCACTAGCACTAGTGCGGTTGCTCAGAGGCAGTGCTGCACGACAGGCGCTACAGATGCAGCAGGCGGCTGCGGCGCTGCTAGCAGCGAACGTTGGTAGGCGGGTTGTGAGGAGGCCTGGTGCAGCTGCAGATCGTGTGGGTGCAGCGGCCGTTTGTTGCGCTGCTGCAGGGGGTGCGGCTGGCGTGCGGGTCTTGGGCCCCGGGAGGGCGAAGCAGGAAGGCGCGCTTATCTGGCCAATGGCGGGCGCGGGCCGGGGAGGACGTGCAGGAGTGCGGCGGGACGGCATTTTTCATGCAGAGGTTGTGGTTTTTCTGGCATGCACGCGCGCCTGAGGAGGGGTTCCGGCGGAACAGGGAGTGGGGAGAAGTAGGCCCGTGCACCGCGACAGAACGGCGTGTCGTTGCGTGAGGGGGGAGGGAGGCTTACGTAACGGATGGACTGGCAGGCCCGGTGGCCTCGTGGCGGCTGGCAGCAGACGGGGAGGCGGATCGGTGGCTTGAAACGACACCCATCTGCAACATGCATGGCACGCCTCTGGCAGTGTCTGCAGGTCTGCGGCACCGGCGAGAGACACAGCACACAGACCCATCGCTAACCGAAACCCCGGCAGACCCAGCAGGATGACCATTGGATCGCTCATCGACCAGATAACGTCTCCGAACCTCCAGGACGACGATTACTCGTTGCTCCTTGACCTTGTCGAGCTGGTCAACCGGAACCCGCCCTCGAACGTCACCGAGGCGCTGCGGTTCCTCAAGGTCAAGCTCCAGTCTTCGAACGCAAACACGCTTCTCCGGTCGCTCACGATGTTGGACTTCTTGGCGCAGAACTGCGGCGCCATGATGAAGGCAAACATCGCCACCTCCGAGTTCGTCAACGACAGCCTCCTTCCGATAGTCGACGACTCCCTCATCCACATCTCCGTGAAGTACGCCGTGGTTAAGGAGATCTACAAGCTGTCCAAGTCCTTCAAGGACGACGAGAGCTTGTCGATCATGAAGCACACCTTCGGCAACCTCCGCTTGAAGTACCCGAACCTCTGCAACCAGGCCGTCGATGAGATCGATGGCTTGAACAAGTTCAATTCCTCCAGCCTGGGCCAGAACAAGACTGCCGCCGGTCGTGCTGGTGTTCCAGGCGGCCCCGCAGAAGAGGAGTCCGAAGACCTCGAATTGAAGAAGGCCATCGAGCTCTCCCTCCTGGACGCCAATCCTCCCTCGAGACAGCCGCTCCAGCAGCCCATTCAGCAACAACAACAACCACAGCAGCAACACGAGCAGCAGCAAGTTCGTCCGGCCCTCCAGGTGCCCAATAATGCCTACGCCAACGTGACACCCTTATCTCCACAGCAATCCAACCAGCCGCTTTCAAGAACAGTGTCCAACCAGCAGGTCTCCATGCCCCAGATCATAACTCCGGAAAAAAAGTTTGAAGAAGACACCTCCAAGCCAGAAAAGGTCGTCGCACTGTACGACTTGTCTTCCGATGATGAAGACACCCTCTCGTTCAAGAAAGACGACATAATAACTATTGTTGAGGAAATCAACGCAGATTGGCTGCGTGGGTGTCTGAATGGTAGGGCAGGTATTGTCCCCACGAACTATGTTAGAAAGATCCCCAGAACCGTCGACTCCGATCTTGAAAACTTGATCAGCGCATTGAACGGCTCTTTCGACATCGAAATGACTCTTTCTCAATTGATGGACTTGAACAAGAAGGTTAAAACGTCTCCCATGTCAAGCCAGCAATTTGAGTCCTGCTTGCTCTCCAACTCCTTCCCAAACAAAATCCAGAAAATCGAACAGATTAAAAACAACTTGAAACAAATCTTGGAGTTACACAAGTTGAAACTACTAGAACTACAAAGCCTCCAGTCCAACGTTGACAACAGCTTAAAGATCTACCAGTCCCTGATCACACAAATGGCACCTGCACCGGAGGATCCAACAATATCCAAGTTCATAGAAACTTACCCTAGCATATCCAGCTTATCGTTGAACCCACAGCCATCGGGACAATTCCAACAAACACAACAACCTCAGCAGCCACAACAACCACAACAACCACAACAACCACACCAGTTGCAATTCCAACCTCAAAACACACAGCAACAGCGGATGCCTCCAACCTCCACCGGAAGTGCAAATCATTACATGCAAATGCAGCAACCAAATTCTAACATGTATAACTAATGATAATTAATTTATTTTTCGTTCTAACTTTTTTCTCTTCTTTTCTTCTGTCCGTCTCTCCGTCTCCCATTTCTTTCAAATTTCACTTCTCTTCTATATTTGTGACTCCTTTAATGCCAAAGAAATTTAAAATATGTCGTAAACTCACGAAATCATCGCATCCCAAAACCACGTTCCGTGCCTCCTTTTGTGTTGGGTCCTCTGGCGTGTCACTCAAATATTCTACAAGTTTCGAGTAGCTGCTTTCTTTTTTGCATGGTATGAAGATTTTGTCCACAACTTCCCATATCTCATTTGACTCGTTGAGCCGTACATTCTCGCCCAAAAGCCCATCAAGCTTCTTTATCCGATCCAGGATCAAGAACACTTTTCTAAAGTTCATCATGTCGTAATCTATTCGCTCATGACTCACAAATTGTGAGAAAATAATCGAAAGAGAGGCCACAAACCCGTCTAGGATGAATATGTCACCTTGCACTTCCAATGGATTGACATATCCGCCGCTCTCCAGTTTCTTCATTTGCATTCGTAATATTTCTCGACAGAGGACCCGATGAATTTGGTTCAAGTCCAAAGAATGCAATATGCATACCGATGTGTTTGTGTAGAACTGATTCCACGATTTTGGAGTCAAAAACGAGTAATTAAGCACGATTTTTTCAATCTTATCATGCTGTACCGTAACTAGTGTCACCCGCATCTGCTTATCCTTCTCTGCATCGGTTTCCAAAAAGCCAAGCCCTTCTACTACCTGCTCTAGCGTTTCATGCTTCTCTAGGTGCATTTTTGGCAAGACAAACTAGGCTTTCCCAATGTGTTGCAGCTTCCTTTTTCATCTTCTCTTGCATTTATTAGCGTAATCGACATCACCGTCAAATAACGCGTTCAAAAAGCCTTAGACACGGCTTGGACAGAATTCCCCCATTAGGAATCTTATACACACCCATGCACCGGCAAAAACATGTACCCGCGTACGCTTTTCTCTCGACACCAAAAGGAATCAAACGTGCTTGACATGATTGCGCCGATCAACACGGCTTAGAACAAAGATTACTTACTAGAGGGAAGCAACGAGGAGAAGAACGAATAAGCTTCACAGCGAAACGTTGAAGATTCACAGGAAAAGAAAATGGATGTTCTACAGTCACAGTTTGAAACATATGAAGATAAAACTGGATTGAAGTTCCCATTCAATGTTTTTCCGAGAACGAAGGAACAAGAAAGAAAATGCTCAATACCTATCTCCTGTTTGTACCAGCCACTCAGACCGAAAGAGGATCCAGTGATAGTGGAGAACTATCCCATGGCATGTTTCAACTGTAAGAGTATCATAAACTCTTTATGCATGGCTGATTCTAGAGGTTGGAGTTGTTCTATTTGTGGTAATAGAAACCAATTTCCTAACGAAATAAACCAGTTGCCTATTGAGATGAATCCCGGTCTATTGGACATCGAATATATTATTCCACAACAAGGTATACTGAAGCCAACGATTTTTGTATATATAGTTGATTTGGCAATCGACGAAGAGGAGTTGGCCTCCCTGCTAGAAAACCTATTGATCTCAATTGATCTACTACCAGTCAACTCGATGATAAGTTTGATTACATATAGCAAGCATGTAAACGTTCACGAAATTGGATACCAAGGCAGCAACTACTCCTACACTTTTAATGGGGCTAAAGATTATTCAAGAGAGGAGATAAGCCAAAAATTGGGTATTTTGAGAAAAAATGTCGATGGTATGAAAAATGCTACGACTTCACAAATTGCCAACAGGTTTTTCCAGCAGACTGCAATTTGTGAGTTTTCCTTAGCAAGTCTTATTGAATCCTTGCAAAAGGATGCTTTTAAAGTTCCTCAGTTCCATAGAAAGGAAAGGGCTACAGGATGTGCCATAAATGTTGCATTCCATATGCTTGGCACGCTATACCCTAAGATTGGCGCTAGAATTATGCTATTTACAGGCGGTGGGTGCACTGTTGGACCTGGAAGTATAGTGTCAACGTCCTTGAAAGATCCTATTAGATCGCACCATGACTTGTCTAAAGATGCAAAGACGATAAAAAAGTTCAAAGCAAATGCCAAATTTTATAACGACATTGCAGAGAAGGCTTCGATCAACGGACACACATTTGACATTTTTATTGGATGCTATGACCAAATTGGCCTCAGCGAGATGGAATGCCTTGTGGATAAAACTGGGGGTGTAATTGTCCAAAGTGACAGCTTCACCTCTGCAATTTTCAAACAATCATTAAATAAATTCTTATCCCCTAATGAATATGGTGAGTCTCAATTTGGATTGAATGCCACTTTAGAAGTAAAATGCAAAAATGTGAAAGTTAGAGGTTTGATCGGACATGCTACTGCATTACATTTAAACAAGGGGAAAACTCTGGATGGAGCCCACAACAAGATCAGTTTCCATACTGAGGAGAAGGGTAAGAAAATTGGGTTGGGTGGAACAAATTGTTGGAAGCTTGGATCGGTATCTACACATTCATCATATGCCGTTTATTTTGAAATGGTCGACCACCCCATTGGTGACTATTCCGTCATTCAGTTCATCGCAAGCTACCAGCACCCAGATGGAACTCAACATATTCATGTGACAACGTCTCAGAGGTTTATGAACCAGGGTAGTGATTCGATGGATTCGATAATATCCAATTTTGATCAAGAGGCAGCCACAGCCATAATTGCAAGGCAAGCCATAGACACAGTTGCTAACAACTCTTCTGTCAATGCACTGACGTTTGTTAATAAAATACTGATTGACTTCCTGTCTGTATTTGCAAAATATAGAGTCAACGATACCAGATCTGTGGTTATTCCACCGAATGTCAACTTGCTTCCACAGTTCATCTATCATCTACGTAGATCCAATTTCATTCAGATTTTCAATTCTTCCCCGGATGAAACGTCGTTTTATCGCCACTGCTTTTTGACAGAAGATTGCCTCAACACCCTGATTATGATTCAGCCAACATTAACAGCCTATGAGCTCGAAAAGGATCCAGAACCAGTTTTACTAGACTCCACATCGCTAAAGCCTAATAGGATTTTGTTTTTAGACACATTTTTCCATATTTTGATCTTCCATGGATCGCTGATTTCTGATTGGCGTAGACAAGGGTACCAGGATCAACCCGACTACGAGTACTTCAAGGACTTCCTTGAACTACCAAGACAAGAGGCTGCAGACATCTTGGTCGATCGATTCCCGTTGCCTAGATTTATTGACACCGAAGAGGGCGGATCACAGGCACGATTCTTGATGTCCAAGTTGAACCCAACCACAAGCTACAACTCGTCAGATTCGTTGGAACAGTTGGCGACATTTGGGCCTCAGGATACGGGTGACGGAGCTGTCATCATGACCGACGACATCAGTTTACAGACGTTCATGCAGTATGTGTACGAGGCCGTGGTAAAGCCTACCTAGGATAGAACGTAGATAGACAAAAGCCGTGATGGATAAGGTGTAGAAAAGTAGAGTAAATAGAAAAAATTTAGAGCAAAACAGTAAACCCGACGGAGCTCGAGTAAGGGCACAGTTGCAAAGCCTGAACAAAGCAGAGCCTTACGCAATTGCACTGATGAAAAGTCCTCAAAAATTATGAGACCCAGAAATCCCATAAGGGAGGCTGACAGACATGGGAGCAGCAGGTGTGTGCAATGCAAACCGGCCATGTCCGGACACTAAGGATTTAATGATCTCCCGTGTCGACTCCAGGTAAGTATGAGGAAAGGAAAAAAGCTCAAAAGAGAGGCCTCAGCGCAGAGCATAGCTGAGCATTGCAAGAAAAGAACAAGGAGGGCAAAGGAGCGCCCTTTTATAGTTGAGCGCCGAGGAGAAAAAGTGAGGGAGGAAAAACGTAGAGCAGAGCAACGCGGTGTTTCCAAACAGAGGAGAGGCAGAGAGAAAGACGGACAGTGGTAAGAAGGAAGGAAGAAGGGTATCGAAAACGAAGCAAAGTTTCTTTAAGTGTGAAGAACAGAGCGTGTCAGTTCAGGACAAGACGAAAATAGACAAAATATGGCACCAGGTTACAAGGAGGACAGCTACTTGATCTTGCAGCCGGGATCACAGTACACTCTGGTGAGACTTGGGTTGGAAGACCCATTAGGCTTACCATCGCATTCAATCCCAACCAAAGTCTACAGATGTGAGAAGGAAGAGGAGGAGACAGTGTACTCGATGGCGGAAAAAGAAGGGTATTCGGAGGTGTTCCCGATAGTTGCGGGCCATATCAGGGACGTTAAGGGACTCCAGTTTTTCATCAAATCGATAATCACCACGTTGTTGAAAAAAGATGGGGATGGAGACGAGGAAGAAAACGGGCATCAAGAAATCACATCCGCAGAACTGGTCAATCTCTTGCTAGTGCAGGCCTCTTCTAGATGGAGCCCGTTTGCGGTCGAGTCCATTGTTAACTACGCGTTTGAGGCATTGAACTTCAACAGTGTGAGCGTCATACCATTGGAGTTGTGTTCGATGTTTGCGTATGGCTCTATCCCCAACGCATTAGTGGTTGACATTGGATACGAGAAGAGCGAGATCCTGCCGATTGTTGACTATCAGTTGTATTCTCCAGCGAAGAAGGTTGTCTCAAAAGGAGGAGATAACATCAACAAAACTTTGTGCAAGCTTCTACCGAAATTCACACATGAGCAAGCCGAAATTTTGAAGAAGTCCTCGATTTTTGAGTGCTTGAGTGAGGAAGATGCCAAAAAGTCTTTTTACGGCATGGAAGGGCTTATTGAAAATATTGACATGAACGATGGTGAAAATGATGACGATGGTGTTCTGGATATAGCAGCCATTGTCACAAGTGAGAAGTCCACTCGTGAGATATTGGAGGAGAACAAGAAGGCCAAAAAGAAGGCCGATAATAGGCAAAATTCTGAAATGGAAACCAACACGTTCTATGATTCTGATGGTTCTCTGCTGACAGTGGGTAAGGAAAGATTCCAAGGTTGCAACGACCTCATTGATTCCTTGGTATTCAACATCTATCACAGTTTAAGAAAAATCCCAGATTTGAAGAAAAGACAAGACTGTTACGATAATATAATTCTGACCGGACAAACAAGCAAGATAAAGGGCTTGAAAGAAAAGATTATATTTCATTTGTTCTCCAACTACGTCATTTTGACCGATAACAAGCTACTACAACCACAATCACAGTTTAGAAATGACGTCCGTACTGTCGATGACTCTGCAATTTCCCAGGTGCCAAGGCATTTAAAGCTGGTTCCAAAGGTGGAGTATTTCAGCGAGTGGAAAAAGAACGGTTTTGAAGACTGCTCCTTCCTCGGTGCTCAGATTTTATCTAAGCAAGTGTTTACCTCCAACAGCGAACTATGTTTGACGAGGGAGAATTATAACGAGAATGGCCCTATGGTCATTTGGAACATCTGTTTGTAAAAATCATGTTCAGCCTGTAGTTTTTATGTGTATTATAAAATAAAGTAAATCAAGACCGAAACCTAAATTTAAACCAGTTGAGAAGGACAGACGCCAATACAAAGAAGTCAATGTTTTGAAATTTTTATTCAGCAGAATAGGTGGTTAATATACAATAAACAAAGTGTGTGCAGAGTCGCCACACAAGAAGCAATGCATTTTACAGGTCAAAAGCAATAAAGGGAGAAGTAAAAAAGACAGGAAGAAGGAAGGATCACAAATTGACAACCGCAAACCAGAAACAAGAACAGAAAAGAAGATAGAGATAGGAAGAAAAGAAACGCCTTCTCCAAACAAAACTCACTCTCCTCTTAATCTTCTTGCCAAATGGATATCCTTCTGCATGATCGTTACTCTCTTAGCATGGATCGCACACAAGTTTGTGTCTTCCAATAGGTGGACCAAATACGCTTCACTGGCCTCCTGCAATGCCAAAATGGCCACACTCTGCCAACGGTAATCTGCGTCGTTACCAAACTCTTCCTGCACTATCTCACGGACTAGTCTTGCAAACGGTAACTTTCTAATCAAAAGGTCAGTGCTTTTTTGGAACCTTTTGATCTCTCTCAATGCAACAGTACCACTCTTGTGTTTTCTCTTCTGTGGCTCTATAGGGTCCCCAGGTTGATTTCTCAACAATCCACTTGCGGCCACAGGTTTATCACGTACCCATTCGCTTTCCTCATTGTCGGATTCATATATATCTCTTTTCACAATGCTCCTCGCTTTGCTACTGCTACTGCGGACTAGTGATCGTTGACTTGAAATTGGCGTCCGTTGGCTTGCGCCCAGTGTCCGTTGGCTTGCGCCCAGTGTCCGTTGGCTAGAACCCAGTGTTTTTCCGGAGCTCCTGCTTTTCTTCGAACTTTTTGCTAACCCTGCCGCCGATGCTGGGGCTTGAACTGCCTTTACCTTCCGTCTAGCCATTGTGCTACTAGATTCCAATGTCAGTGCCAAGGTTCACTACCAATTTCCAACAGAAACCATGCAACTGCACTCCTAATCTAGGCAGAGCACCGTTTTGTGACGCTTCCATCACTCTCCGTTACCACCCAGTCTCAAACTCCTTCCTCTCCTGCACAGCATCCACCTACAATTTCGCCGAAAAGGGAAAAAGCTCTTCACGCCGCCCAGCCATCTGAAACATTCGCGCGTCTCGTGTAACATCTTGATCAAGAAGAGAGACAACATTCCGTGGACTAGAGTAACAAGTAATAGTAACATTGGGGATAAATACAAAACTAGAAAGTAAACTAAAGGTGAAAATAAAGAAGGAGATGGGGGATAAAAGTAAAGATAAATATACTAGATAAAATCAAAGAAAATTAGAGTAAAAGTAAAAAGTAAAGTCAATAATTGTAACACTAATACAGATCAACCAGATAGTAAGAAGGGAAAAATAAGAGATAGCAAAACATAAAGGATAAAATAGGAAAACAAGAGAGTAAAATGAACAAAATAATGATAATAGTAGTAATAATAGTAATAGTGATGGTAGTAGTAATAAGAGTAGTACTAACAATATTAATGCAGAGCGGAACCTGGGGCTACTGGATAGTCGAAAGAAACTAGTGTCTCATACTTCATAATTCATGCTTCAACTTCTGATCCTTGAGAAAAACCACTGAAAACATCGTCGTCTTCGTTGTTAGCAGTGTCCTTGGTAGATGAGAGACCCTTGAATTTCTTCTTTGCTTCAGCAGGATTGATCGTCTCAGTCTTTGCAACAAACTCTTTTTCAGGCTTCGAAGACTTGAAGAATCCAAACAATCCCTTTCCGGTCTTATCAGATTTGATAACTGGAACATTTCTTGTCGAACCGCCGGCGGCAGGAGCAGTCTTGGCTGTCGAAGTGGCCTTTGCAACAGGCTTCGCAGCAGTGGCTCCGGCTGCACTAGAAGTCACTGCGGACTTTTTAGATGGAGTAACCTTCTTTCTCAAACCTGTGATGGCAGAAATAGATTTTTGAATCTTCTCGCTATCAACAACATCAGACATCGATGGCTTTTCCTCGGTTGGAACATTCACCAGAGGGTCACCCCCTTCAGGGTAACCGGCGGCCTTCAGTTCTTCCCACGTCTTCTTCTTCACTATCTTTTTTGGTTCAGACTTTTTTGTTGCAATTTCACCCGTTCCAACCTTGGCAGCCTCTTCAGGTTCTTCCTCTACTTCAGGTTCTTCCTCTACTTCAGGTTCTTCCTTCTTTGGCCATACCTCTTCAGGTATATCTTCTGGTTCAGACTCAACCTCAGGTGGGATTTCAATCGACTTGTTGTCCAATTCAAATTTGGAATCATTCAAGTCCTCATCATCGAAGTCTTCCGGTGCAATGACTTCCTTACGAAGATGTTCAGGGTAAATAACATTGATATTCTTTTCTTCCTCGTGGTGTTCATTGGCCAGCTTTTTGAGTTCTTCGGCCTTAGCTGCAGTATCAGCATGCAAGGTTGCACGCTTTTGCTGCAAGTTTTCTTTTTCAGTGGCTAGAGATTCTAAGTTAGTCTCTTTCTGCTTACCCTCTGTCGACAGCTTGGTTTCAGCCTCCAAAGCAGCCGATGTTTCTGTGGCTTCCTGGTCAGTGACTTCAGAAAGGCCTGCTTCCAACTCGGCAATTCTTTGATTCATTATTTCAAGCTTAGATAAGGTACCATCAAGATCGGCTTGAATTGAATCGGTTTTAGTTTTTTCCTCGTTGAAGAAGGACTCTTTTTCTTCTCTCTTTGAAATCAGCTCATTCAGCTTTGTGGTTTCATCCTCAAGTTCGGTTAACAAAGGAGCAACATCATCATCTCTTTCCTTTTGTAGATCGTCGAGTTCACCCTTTCTTTCTGAATCTTTCTCACTCTTGGCATCGTTGAGAACTTTCAGCTTAGCTTCTCTTTCATCATCAATAACCTTCTTGTCAGCGTTCTCTTCTTCAACTTGCTTGGTGAATTCTTCTTCTTTACCTTTGTAAACCTCATCTAATTCAGACTTGATCTTGTCATGCTCATCATCATACTCCTTCTTATCAAGGGCCAATTGATCTCTTCTAGCCTTTGCTTCTTCGGCTCTCTTCTTTTCTAAAGCAATTTGTTCTTGTCTCTTTTCTTCTTGCAATTCAGTGTTCCGTTGTCTGATTTTAGCAGGCAAGTTCTTTTTCTCTTGATCGATTGCCTTCATATCAACAATTCTTTCCTCCATATCTGAAATGGCAGGCTTGACAAGAGTGGACGCAATCTTTTCGATATCCAAATAGTTCATTCTTAAGCCTCCTCCAAGGGCAATTTGACCAGGGCCGAGTTCTTTTTCCTTTCTCTTCTTTGCATTTTCTTGAGCAAGACGATAAGCTGCTTCATTTGCTTTTGAATTGGAGAAGATGTTGACGGCAGCAACTTCGCCATCCAACTTTTTAATGTGTTCATTAACTTTTTTGGATGCAATAGCATAAAGCCCCTGATCGACTAAAGTGTTATTTTTTAAGGTTGCCTTTTCAGCAGCAACCAGATCGACACTCTTAAGATCTGCTTTCAAGGCAGATGATGCAAAAACCGCAGGGTTGACTATTAAACCCGAATCTGAAGGAGTTTCAATGCCCAAGGGTCTGATCGTTTTTTTGGACAGCTCACGTGAAGAAGCTTCAATTGCTTGATTGTGGATATTGTGGATGTATAGGGAAGAATTGTTCATGGTACTTGAACGACTAGAAACGTGAGCAGATGATGTCTTGATACCTGATCTGTGATTCTTTTCAGGAGTCAATCTTGTATTCATGGATTGGTTTGCACTCTTAGTTGCAGCCTTGGTCAACGTCTCAAGGTTTATTCTTCTGGAAGATTCGGCTGCGTTATTTGAGGTTACAATACCAGATCTGTGGTCTCTTTTGGAACTAAGGCTTTTGGCCGATTTTGCCGTTGGAGCTGAGGAGAGTTGGGTTAAGGTGACTTTTCCCGATCTGACATCGTCGAAATCGTAGATATCCTGCAACATTTCTCTGGCAGCGATGCTGGAAGGCTTTCTCAAGACAGAAGCGGCGGCACCCTCAGACTGGTGTTCATATTCAGCCGAGGAGGCGTTCGAATGGTCGAATGGGAACTTCAAGGACTTGGCAGAAATAGCGGCGTATTCAGCCTCAGGGGCGACGTTGTTCCTTTTGTAGGCTGTAATCGAGTCTGGCTTGGCAATCAATGCAGCGTGAGCAGCTTCGGAGGAAAGGTCTTTGGAGTAGCCGTGAATGGATAAGTCTGTGTTTGCCGCCAAGACAGCAGCGGTATCAGATGCCGAAGGATCGACTCCCAAGTTAACTCTGGCTGGGTTGTTATAAATGCCGTACTTCAACTTGGCTCTGTAGATGGCCTCGCTGCTCAACGGCTTACCATCTGTCTGGTAAACATGGTACTTCGATGACTTGCTGGTAAGTGAAGGCACGGACTCTGCGTATGAGGTGGACATGGTGGACTGGATTATACAGCCGGAAAATGCTTTTTTCTATCTTTTGGTAACTAGCGATTGTGCTGGAAACGTTCAGTTAGGATTAGTGCTAGTTAATTGGGTGAACGATAGGCACTCAATTCAGCAGATATGGGAAAATAGAAGAAATTTATCAGCGGCAGGTTTATTAATGGAGCAAGAACGTATTTTTCTTTTCTCTTCTTTGGTTTCTGTCGGTGTGTTCAACGGATGTGGGTACACAGCTGACGAGGATACGGAGTGAGCGGAAACGAAACTGGACGTAAACTAACGAAATAGAAGGGGAAAAATGGACACTCAAGTACGCAACGGTGTAGGGCTCAGAAGCAACGTCAGATAGCAAAGTTGTTTCCTTCTGAACTTGCAATTGAGGGCGCAGGAGTGCTTTCAAGTGAAGTTCAAGTAGAGTAGCAAAAGGCTTAGTGGTGAGTGTACGGGGAGAGCAGAAAAGAACGTCTACAATCGTCTGTCCTCTCTTGCTCTTGGGGCTCCAGGCTCACCGAATAGCCAAAAACCTTCTCTCTAACCTCACCAATGCCTCCTCCCTCCCTCACTCCCTCACTCCCTGTCTGCTACGCTGCACGGCCTGGCTCGTCAAGCCAGGACAATTCTCTACATATTTCGCAGCGTCTGCGGTTGACGCACGTAGATAACGTGCGGAGGGTCGAGGAAAGACAGAAGAGGCAGAGAAAGCTGCAGCGATGTTTGGGCTACTGCCCGATCGGGCAGCAGGCTTTCCTGTTGCGGAAAGATGCTGTCCCAATTGGGAAGACGGGGAGACCGACAACACAAACACGGACAGCCCATGTCAGAAGGCGGGAAAGGGGCGGGCCGGAACGCAGCAGCACACCCGTGCACCGAAATTTGCTGTGATACAAGGGAAAGGTTGTCTCGGTTGTTGCGTAGAATGGTGGGGTACATCTGTACACCAGCCAGGAACCAAGAGGCGCGCAGACATGGGTGGACGCAATAGGTGTTGCCAAGTTAGGCAATTCGAAATGGGAGCCCTTTTCTCTCTGTCTCGGTTGCCCTCTTTTTTTTCACTGCGTATCTACCTCTTGAAGTTCAAAGCCGTCAGATATACACGGCTCATACCTTGTCACCTGAAAAAAACGCAGATTTACCAGTAGTACCGTACCAGCATAGGTAATAACCAAACCCTCGTACTTAATCTAATTCTCGTTTGTTCAGTTAAACGCACCCCTCCCATAAACCACCTTATCTAGCTTTTTCTCTCCCCCTCTCTTTCGGGAAAGAAGAAGAAACGTGAGAATGATGAACAAGCCTTTGAAGTCGAAAAAGCATGATCATTATCTCTCCATGTACAGATCTAACACGAAAAGACCGCTACAGGACTATTCGGTGTTTACTTCCACCCATCTTTCTCCGAACTCGTCGCAGAAGGACTTGTCGTCCTCTTCTCCGTGTGGCTCAGCTTCTGCTTCCACTTCCACTTCGGAACCTCGTTCCCTGAAAACGCTCAATCCAACTTGCATCTTAAACAAACACATTATACAGAACATAGAGAAGAACAGCATCAAAAAAATAGACTTCTCCGATAACAATAACACTAACCACAACAGTGGTGTTGATATTGCGATCAACAATGGCACGGGCAGCACCAAAGACGGCTTCCACAATTTTCACGCTAGGCTGACCGATTCCTTCTTGAATGACGTCCAGCACAAGCCAGCCAACGACTTCTACAATCCGGACCTACTGATACCAAACCCAATTCACTACCAGGAGTATCTTTATATGAATGAAAACGGTTACGACCAACATCTGTACAAACCAGAGGATTCTTTATACACGTCAGGCTTCCAAAATGATACATTTGATTCAACAAGCTTTGAATTGGACTCAAACGTTTCCCCCCAGTCAGTCAGCAATGAAAACATCAACCCAATCTTTTTCCACAATACCCCGTCTCCATCGGACTCCAATTCCATCAGGATCGTTACCGCTTCTAACAGGATAATCAAGTTGAAGGACAAGAAATTGTTGCAGGCAATTCAGAAAAGTTTGAACTCTAACGTACGCATGGAAGCTTTGAATCCAAACAGGGGAAACATTGTTAACCCTAACGACAAATGTTGCGACAGATACAACAAATCTTCCGTTGGCTTCAAAAAATTGAATGATAACCAGGCCGCAACAAACTCAATTTTATCATCGCCAAGAAAAGAGATCAATGAATCTTTGAATAACGCAATCTTACAGGCAAGTAATTTTCCTGTTAAAAGTAAGTTCTTAAATCCTTCAATTAACCAAAATAGCATAAACAACGTGACCTCTAATGAAGTTTCCAATGGAAATGTATACAGAGGTTGGCAAAATTCAATGAATGAACATTATGCTGTAAAACCAAATGAGCCTCTTTCTTTCAGATCCAATTTTGATCCTGAAACAAATTCCAATCCAGATTCCGAGAGAGAATGTTCCAGTAGTAATGCAACCCACAGCAATAGCACTGGTAATGGCAATAGCAATAGCATTAGCAATAGTAATAGCAACAACAATAGCACTGATTTAGCAAGCAAGAAAATTACCCACTCAAATAACATAAATATTGACAGCAAAACCTACCTGCTTCCACAAGCTGAAGGGCAGCAAGATGAAAAGATACACAAGGCTCAACATTCGAAGCAGATTTTGAGCATCAAAAGGGAAATAAAGTGGAAGAATGATTTTCAAATCCCTAAACTTAGATCCAGACAAGGAGATTCAACTGTAAGTAACAGCAAAAATCTCAATTTAGAAATGGTGAAAGAAAATGCACACAATGGAGGGTATGATGTCGAAGATTATGGTGATGGAAGAGACGAGGATTTTGATGATGATAAACTTGACGGTCAACCGAAAAACAAGGATGTTGTAATGGAAATATTTCGTGAATCAATGAGGAAAAATAAAGACAATTTTCTCAAGACTAAACCACGAGATAAGAGCAATACTCCAATTCCTAAAATCACAAAGCTTAAAGTAACTAGATGCATTCCAAAGTTAGGAGATCCTACATTACGGGCAAGCATGTACGAAGAAAAAGATATTTTCAGATGCGCTCAGTGCCCAAAAGTTTTCAAGCAAAGATCACAATGGAAGCGTCATGTAGACTGCATCCATTTGAAGATCGCAAAGTTCGTTTGCATCAAATGTGGGAAAGCTTTCAAAAGATCTGATCATTTGAAAAACCATATTAGACGCATCCACGGAACATGATTAGTAAAAGTACTGCAATTGCACAGCAGAGAGTGCAGTAGTGACTAACTGCATCATAGTTCCTTCTTCAGCAAGTTCCTCACCATTTGGTTAGATGTCTTGACCGTGAAATATAACACATAGCTTTCTATACTCTTACTTTGTAGATATCTAGAGAAAAAGACGCAGAAGATTTAATAGCGCGAACCGTCGCAGCTGATGATGATGAGGCGGGTTTTGCCCTTTTTTCCTCAGTTCTTATATCCAAGCTACTTATCGCTAGTCTCAAGCTATGAAGCATAATGCAATTGATGATTCAGCAGACAACATTAAACAGACATTTTGATGACGATGGAGATGCACATAGCGTCTTCTCAACAACTACTAACACCCCTATTAACCCTTACCTTTTCTATTTCTTACAGGTCAAATCCCACATTTGAACAAACAGGATTACACTCAAATCTTTTAAACACAACAATGATGACAACCAAAATCCAAGTCTTTCATTAGAAGAACAGAGAAGAAAAGCAAGCATTCACAGCTTCTTTGCGCTTACCTGGCGTTCTCACTCGTTCACAATCATATATAAGAAAAGAGACCTTCATTGCGACGTACTACTCAACTTGTATCGAACTACCTATTTTCTCAAAGAAAAAAGCCTCACTATTATTGTCTAGTTATCTACATATTTATACATACTCATATGCCCATTGGCAGCATTCATTCCAGATGCATTCCAGATCCATTTTGTTCCATTCATGATACTGGTATTATAGTAGATTTCTCCACTGGTATCGTTTAAATACGTTCTGAGATCAACCTCTTTCAGACATTTGAACATTAATACATTTTACCCAATGTCCAAATGTTTTATCCTGTTTGATTGATTGATTGATTTTTCCACAGTTGCCTTTCACATCTTTCAATTGTGAATCCTTTTTACCCACCAGATTAAAATTCTCAACTTGTAAGTTTCCTCATTTTGTATTCACTGATATTTCCGTTATTATTGTTTAGTTATGTTCCACCATAGTTGAATTGAATTCCCAATAGTTTTTTCATTATAGTCTTATGGTTCCTCCTTTTTTTCACTTTTTTCCTTAGATTCTTCATCAATTTTTTTCCGTAAATGTCAATGTACTGATTACAGAATTTCAGTATAGTCACGTTTGGTAAGTATTACTTTCAATTACAGCTCACTCTCCTCATCATCATAATGTCTATTGTATAGTTTCATGTATAACTCATTGTTAAGTTGTTGTAGAAATAAAGGTTCTGTTTCAAATTAGCGCCATTACGTATTTTTTTTCTCCGACGTCTATTATCTAGACTTGTTTCAATCCTTTTCCAAGCTTCCCTATGACCCGCTGGAAAACGAACACCACTGTAATTTTCATCATGAAAGCAAGTGGAGTTCAACTGAAGAACAATTACAGTTACCATGTTACTCATGTGCTCTATTTTTTGACTGTGATTCGGTTCATACAGTTAGTGATTGTTTACTTCACACCGTTTCAGTTTGATACTTCTACATCGATACTGATCGAACGATATGCGTCCACGCGTAATATTGTTACATACCCCACATTTGTGCTAAGGATATTTAATAAATTGATGTCATGGGATTCTGTTTACTTTTTGAAACTAGCAATGGAAGGCACCACCTTTGAACATGAATGGGTATTTGGGCCACTCTGGTGGAGACTCATGTATTATCCGAAAAAATATTTTGGTTTCTCACTCGGACTCTATGATGTACTTGCTTTGTTTATTACTTTGAACACCATATTGACCGTTATTACTAGCAAGATATTGTACAAGTTAACTATGGAGGTTTTTCAAAAAAATGAAAAGCAATTACCTAGAAGTTTCAACATTACAAAGTGCGCTTATTATTCATCTTTTCTTCTAATTATTCAGCCTTCAGGTATATTTTCTGTGGTTGCATATGCTGAAACATCAGTTCAGTTTCTTTGCTATGCTGCTTTATATTGCTACTTTGTTTCACGGTCTAGAGTGGCAATTCAGAACAAGGCTCTTTATTTTCTATCGGGATCTTTATTCTCAATTGCGTTTGGGTTTCGATCCAACTGTTTGTTATATGGAGCCATGTATCTTTTTGATCTGAAACAATTCAATGGATGGGTGGATTTATTTTGGGTATTGTTCACTGGGATGCAACTTTTCTGGGCTTTGCTGTATTCAACCTATGTGCCTTTTCAATTCTATTGTCCTGATCGTGGGGGATGGTGTAACAGTTACACGAAATCACTTGTGTCTTATGCACAAGCTCATTACTGGAAAAATGGTCTTTTCATGTATTTCACAGCTGGAAATATTCCCCTCTTCATGATTGCTGGCCCCCAATTGGGCATAATATTATTTTCCACTTTGAATTTTCGTAAATGGAAAGGTGTGGCACCTGTTTTGATTGTTAGTGTCATTTACTTGACTGTACAATTTTTTATCATGCATGTGCAGATAGTAAATAGAGTCAGCACATTTATTCCAATACATCTATGGTATGTAAGCTACTTGCTTACTTTACAGAACAATAGATTAGGAAAAAATATCACAAGATGGTGGATTGTCTGGGTGTTCGTACAAACTGCACTATATTCTGCATTTCTTCCGCCGGCATGACAAGTCTGAATGTTTTTCCGACCAATGAATAAATAAAAAAGTAGCTTACCGTTTAATATTTAACAATGTTACACAATTTTTGTATTTAACTACATGGGTACATTGAGGTCATACGGTTTTTCCATAACTGGTTGGGAAAAGGCCTGTGTATCCATCAATTTCTCCTTCGGTCCATCCAGAACCGTCATCTTCATTCAATATTACGACTATATCACCCGCATTGACTGTCAGCTCATCATCACCCTGAGCCTCATAATCGTACAGAATTTTCATCTTTTTCACCAAACGTGCATTTTTACGTGGCGAAACTTTAGGTCCTTGTTTCTTCTGCTGTCTGTGCTCCTCAATCTTGAGATAACTGGTTGGAACAAGGCCTTCTGATCCGGATGAATTGGAGACACAAGTCCATCCCGATCCGTCATCCAACTCAACTACTGTGAAAGTCTCACCAGAAGCCATTGGCAGTTCGTCGTCCCCAGTTACTTCGTAAGCATATAACGCGGTAGCAGTTGTAACCCCACCGGCAGGTAGGGTTGAAGTAGATGCTGAGATGGATCCAGTACCGCCGTTTGAAAAATTGAGCGATGGAGCTCTCTGGTTTACCGGAGTGTTATATGCGTCAACTAGTTTACCCAAGGAGCTAAACATTCTTCCCTTTCTGTTACTAGGCTCGATTGAAATATTGTTTACAGATTCAGATAATTGTTGGATTCGAGGCTCTGCATCTTCTTCTTGATCGTGCTTGAACTTGAGAAAGCCAAACTTCGATTTTTTCTCCTTGTTAATAGGGGTGGTAATTGTCATATCTATATCGCCCGTAGAACCTTGTATTGTCTCGATCTCAACTTCTGCCATGACTCTTTTGGTATCATCATTGGTGAACTTCTGCAAGTTTTGAATTGATTTGATTAATAAATCTTCAAAACATTGGTAGTCTGCCGGAGACTTGATTTGAACTTCATTAAATGTGTCACCAACCAACTTATTTCTCTGAACAAGCAACTCCTCGACAGATTGTTTCTCATCATTACAAATACTTGTATAGGTTTCGTAAGTTGAACATGCGTTATTCAATTTGATCTTCAAGCTTGTTAGTGTTGCATCGTTGACAATCATCTTCTCATCATCGTGCCATATTTGAGATGGTATATAGTTAAAGTCAACCGGCTCGACCCAGTTGGCCATATTATGCTTGACAAACATGGCTGTGTCTAGTTTGGGTAAATTTTGTTTCACAACAACGTCGATAGCATCTACAAATTTGCTGATCTTTTCATTGGATTCCTTCTCCAGGATGGAGCTGGAGAGCCATATACTGTTGACCTTACTGACCTTTGCCTCATTCAAGTCCTGTAGACCATCCAATAATTCCGGGGTATCCTGGTAATAATACTTATCCTTTAGACGATTACAGACACTAATTGTTATGAGGTAGTCATTTTTGGCTATATTCATTTCTGATTCTCGCTTGGCCAACTTCTCTTGTGCTCTCTCGCCAGAGCTTTTCAACGATTTCGAACGTTGGCTTTCCATCGATTCACAACAACTATCATAGTGTTTCTTCTTGGTGGACATCTCGCTGTAGTTCTTATCTCTGATGGAAGTCAACTCGTCATCAAAGCCTTTCCAACGATCTCTAATTGCGCTATACTTGCTTTGTAACTTGTTGAGACTGGCTGCAACGTTGGTCTCAAAATTGCTACCCAACTCTCTCTTTTCCTTGGCAATGTTCTCAGTTTGAACCAGAACCTCCTTCCAAGCAACAACACTGGCACACTCTAAAGAGCCGGGAGTGATTGTTGGCTCTTCTCCAACACTCAAGGTTGTACTTAACTTGGAGACCTTTTGGAACGATTCGGTCGTGAGTTTCTGTAGCTTTTCTGCATATTCACGTTCGATCAGAGCCCGTTGCTTGTAGAAGGATTCCATCTCGCTTATGAATCCGATGTTGGCTTTCACCCATTTGTCTGTTCTCTTGAACCCATCTTTGATTTCATTTCCAATGCTGATGTCTTCCATTGTGCTCTATCGTTGGAGTGCCCAATTGCCGCTGGCCTGAGGTTTGGAGACTGTTGCACTTGCAAAAGAGGTGCAGTGACTGGGCACGTATAGTAAGACGAAGTAGTGGCTGTTGTCTATCCTTGTGTAGATCTCATACGCGCGGTAAGGTGGAATAAGTTTCTCCGAGGACATGAATTTGGTGAAAAGATAGAAGCTGGTCCCGCTTTGGGGGGAGAAACCGGGCCGGGGGTCAGTTAGTGGAGGCTGTTAGACACTGCGAAGATGGTGGACAAGACACTGCTTCACCAGCGATGGTCTGACATCCGGAAATATTACGGTTCAATGAAACAAAATGTAGCGGTTTTGTACGAACGAGGATTCTCCTTCGAAAAGATCATCATGTTTTCGAAGGTGGAGAACATCTTTCTGTGCGCCGTCTTTTTCATGCTAGACAAGCACGACATGACTGTCGAAGGGATGGTGTCGTCGTTTGGAAGTGCCGAGAAAACCAAGTACGATAACTTTGTCAACATTTTTAGGATGATCGAATCAGAGGACTACAGGCAGAAGTTGACGGCGGAGGACGAGGCTGCGGTGGCGCCCGAGCCGGAGGAGGGAGTGAAACAGGAGAAGGTACCGGATCAAACAGCGCAGAAGAGCCGCTTGGGAAGCCAGAGCAGGCAGGAAGAAGAACGGGGCTCGAGGAAACGGGTGCGTTTTGCCGGAGATGAGGGCGCCAAGCAGGCCGAGGACGACCAGGCTGCCACGGACGGGGCCGTCGTGGCCTGCGAGACCCAGGACGCAGCGGAGCCACACACGAAGCGGCCCCGGCCCGAGTCCGTGCACTACACGGAGCAGGTTGCCGGGCTTGTTTCGGAGCTGCGCACATCGATCAACGACTACACGCTGCTCCTCTTGGAGCTGGACCAGCAGCACACCCGGACAGCCAACACAGGCCTCACCCGGGAGCAAATCACGGCAGAGCTCTCGTCGGCGCTTCGACGGCTGCGGCAGTACGACGACGCCGCCGTGAGGCACGAGCTGGGCCGGGGCGCCGCCCCGGCGCTCTGTGTCCAGCTCCACGGCGACCTCGAGCGCTTCCGCTTCAAGCGCTACGAGGTGCAGTCCCGTCTGCCGCCAGGCGTCCTGACCGACCACAAGGCCCCCGACGACTCGAGCGTCTTCGCCGATTCCGACGACTCCGACGGCTCTGCCGACATCGTCCCTGCCACTCCGCTCGAGCAGCAACTCGCCCAGCGCATTGACGCCGTCCGGGCTGTTGTCGCTGCCAGCCTCGACGGCCCCGACGGCCATGTCCCCGTCTCCACAGACACCCTGGACCGGGCCGTCAAGGCCGGTGTCTTCATCTCCCGTCGTTGTGAACAGCATTTGACGGCCGTGCTTGCGCGTGCGACAGAACTCTGTGTCGCGGCCTCGGACGCCACACGCGCCGCCCGCGAGCGGCTGCTGGAGCTGGAGGAGCGGGGCGAGACCGGTCCGGAGCAGGAGGTGGGGGTGGAGAGATGAGCAGAGGGCCGGCGGGGGAAGAGCCGAAAAGACGGAAGAAGGGATGAAGAAGGAAGGAAGAAGAAGGGAAAAAGAGGGTCGAATAAGCTTTTGAGAAGAACTGCAAACCAGATAGCAAACCCAAGCAGGATGTCGGCCGGAGCAGCAGGAGCTAACGCTTTCAGGAGATTCCTCAACTCGGAAACAGGGCCAAAGACAATCCACTTCTGGGCGCCGTTCATGAAGTGGGCGTTGGTGCTGGCGGGGGCCAACGAGATGACGAGACCGGTGGAAAAGGTGTCTGCGACACAGCAGCTCTCGCTTTTCGCCACGGGGGCGATCTGGACCCGGTGGGCAATGGTGATCAAGCCGAAAAACGTGCTTCTAGCGTCGGTGAACTTCTTCCTCGGAACGGTTTCGATTGTTCAGCTTGCCCGGATTTTCGAGTGGAGGGTCAACACGATCGGCGACACCCCGACCAACGCCATCAAGTACATGTTGGACATCGGGGACGCGAAGAGCAAGACGGGCGCCGAGCAGCTGGAAGAGGCCGCCACGGCGGTGAAAAAGGTCTGACTCCGTCCATGCCAGTCAACAGCCGGCTCCCGCAGCGGGGCTTGGATTCCGTATATAATACCTACATCTAGCGGATACGTATATAGTTCTCCTGTGTACCTGTGCCTCAACCACAGAGACGTTACGAGTGTTCCAGCCGCTGGCCTCAGGCCTTCCCGAGCTTCGACAGGTGGTCGCCCAGGAGCGTCTCCTGCTTCACGAAGTTGTCCAACTCGTGGATGATGTTGGCGCTCTTCGGGTTCAGCTTCTCGAGCCGCTTCACGATGTCGTCGCTGGCAATCCCCTGGGGCCTCTGGCCCTCCGCCTTCGGCTGTGCCGTACTCCCGCCCTTGCGCTTCTTCCCCGACGTCTTTCTGCGTTGTTCCTCCTCATCGTCGCCATTCTCGTCGCCATTGGCGTCGTCGTCGTCGTCATCATCATCATCGTCGTCGTCGTCGTCGTCGTCGTCGTCGTCGTCGTCGTCGTCGTCATCACCCGACATCAGTCCCATCGTTATACTCTTGGTGAAGACAGTCTTGATCATCAGGTCGTGCACCTTGTCCTTGCTGATCGGAAGCCCCTCGCGGATGCACGACAATTTGTACTTCATGATAGACTTCACTCTCGACAACGCGAGCCAATTCAACCACCCGCTGCCCTTGTGGCACGTCGTCTCCAACGGAGAACCGTCAATGATCTTCTTCACGTCCTTGTCCATGATGTCGCCGATTTGGAACGACAAGGAGTTGCACGGGTTGCTGCCGTCGAAAAAAAGCTGTCTCGGTATCTTACCGATGCCAAGCTTGTTTATTTCACTAGTTGCATCGCTGAACTCGTCAATGTAGTCATACAACGTCGGCGGAATCATATACACGTCTCCGTCGCCTTCGAGAATTTTCTCGATTTCTTCGTCGTGGTTAACTCGGGTAACCCCTCTAAATGCTTCAATCTGGTAAGCAACGGCCTTGGGATCCTTTGTAGGATCGTACCCTAGCTTGATGAACGAGTGCCTCCAAGGTCCCTTTTTGAAAGTATATGTCACAAAGGGTAGCGCAAAACGAAGTTGTGATCTTAAACTCTTTGGCAATAGCCAGTAAATGTGTCTCCGGATCCATATCGGTTTCATATCAAATAATTTTCGCACAATTTTCAGGCATTCAATCAAATGATAGGAAACAGATTCGTAGATGATTCTATCCGGGAAATTCATCTCCTTCATCCGCTCGACTTCACCAATCGCCTTGTTATACTCCACATCTAGCTTCGGATCGTATTTGGTCGGAATGGGGTCGCCCCACTGGATCTGGATTGAATGCAATTTCACAGCTTTGTTTACCCACTCTCCTTGCTCATCAAGTAATAGATTCCCAAAATATTTATAGCTGTGCGATACGTCTTCTCTGGAATATCTAACCAAGGAAGGGAGGTCCAGATCCTTATTCTCGAATTTCTGCATCTCGTCCATGCTTTCTTTCAACTCTTCAGCAAAACCATCAATTTTTTCAAAGTTCCCGGATCTGATCGACTCATTGAACTTGTTGTTGAACTCGGAAGTCTTTGTCACTTTCTGGAAATCTGCTAACTTTCTGAACTTGTAGTTTTGTTTCAATATCCCAAAGGGCTCAATCAAGTACTTGATGTTTTCCTTCTCACACTGCTCAATAGATTTCCTGATATCTCTATTGTTGGCGGCCAAAACTTTCTTCGGAATACGGAACTTCACCAACACGTTCCCAGAGTTCTTCAGCACTGTCGAGTGTATCGGATGCGAAAGTGGGTCCTCGGGACGGAATCGCAGTTCTAGCTTCATATCTGGTTCGATGAAACACTTTTTTAGCTTTTCACGTCCTCCGATCATCGCTATGGCCTTTTCTGTGTCTTTCACTCTGAGCGGATACTCCACCGAAAGAAGGCTCGGCACATCTAGGTCGAGGGTCGGGGCTAACTGTGGTTTCATGGTGCAACGCTTGTTATTTCTCTCCAATGCTTCAAGGTTCTAGTATCTGTTCCTCAAAGTGTCTGCTTATAACCTCTTGTGAGAACAAACAACAAGCCCCTGTCTTATTATTTACAACAAAATGGCGTAATCATGCTTGTTCTCGCGACTATTTCCGTTTGCGGAAAAATGACGATCCGCCACTAGGGGCTAGCTGTCAAGCCACCATCAGGCAGATTTTAGCAGAAAGAGCAGGGTTACACTGTACCAAAGAAAAACATGAACAGTCAAAGTGGTGAAACCAAAATTGAAAGAAAAATGAAGTATACTGTGTAATTGTTTTGGGTAATAGGACAATCTAATGAGTGAATTGATGTATGTACAGATGCGAAGCAGAGACGTAATGCATACAGTTAAATTTTCCAGCTTCTACTTTGCAAACTTCTACGTAAAAGCCCCATTGAGCTTGGTGGAGCTCGAATTATATACTTCCTCTATTTACCATCCACAAAAGTGCACTGTACCTTTCATATCCCTGGGGGCTGATATGGAGCGTGCATGCTGCTCACGCCTTCGCTTATCCTCACCACTCTTATCGCAAGCAAGACGGACTTTACCGGAATTATCACCAAGGCCAGTGCGGTATATAAGGCCAGCACAAATCCGCATACAATGGATGAGCACTCTGTATTAAACTTACTCATTTACGAGCACAAGGCAAGGCCAACGAAATGACCGAGGAAATTGACGACGAGCTCTATACTTACTTGGGATCATCGGGTCTTCAAATCTCGAGACTTGTTGTTGGATGCATGTCCATCGGCACCAAGCAGTTTGGTGAATGGGTGGTGAGTGACAAGAACCAAGCTTTTGCCATATTGAAAAGAGCTTACGACCGCGGCATCCGTACGTACGACACCGCCAATTTCTACTCAAATGGGGCATCGGAGCGTCTTTTGGGAGAGTTTTTGAAAGAATATTCGATCCCAAGACATAGCGTTGTGATCTTTACGAAAGTGTTCTTTCCAACAGAGGATAATAACCCTGATTTTTCTTCAATAAAACCTGTTGGAAAGAATCCGAGGTCCAGCGTGTTGGTCAACAGATTGGGACTATCCAGAAAACACATCCTAGACTCCGTGGAGGATTCTGTAAAGAGACTAGGGACCTTCATTGATCTCTATCAAATTCACCGATTCGACCCAAACACGCCAATTGAAGAGACCATGAAGGCGCTACACGACGTTGTGGAGTCTGGGAAAGCGAGATACATTGGTGCCTCCTCGATGAGAGCATACCAATTTGTGATGATGCAAAATGTAGCCGAGAAAAACGGTTGGTCCAAGTTCATTTCGATGCAGGACTACTACAACTTGAACTACAGAGAGGACGAGAGAGAAATGATCCCTTATTGCAATTTGACCGGCGTCGGTCTTATTCCTTACTCTCCTAATGACAGAGGATTCTTGACCCGCCCATTCAGCGCTATAATCGACGATGCTTCAAGATCCAAAAGTCTTTCCCATAACCTCACCGATGCTGAAAAGGAGGTTATTACCAGAGTAGAGAACGTGGCCAAAAAACACAACGTTTCCATGTCAGCGATCGCTCTAGCCTGGCTTCTGCATAAAGGCGCAAACCCAATTGTGGGGTTTTCGAAACCTGAAAGAGTTGACGATGCACTCACTGCCATTGCTTTGAAGTTGAGTGACTCTGATATTGAATTTTTAGAGGAAGCCTATGTGAGCAAGCCTCTCTCCTTCTTTTTCGAGCAGAAAAAGTATCATTGAAGGGCCATCTACTGTTGTTTACAAGATGCTCAGACTCTGTATAGTGTTATAAGCTAATGAATGAAACATGATTTATTTAAAGGTCTCTCATAGAGAGCATGATATGCACTGTGTTGGCAGAAAAGCTGGTCTCAGTCTATCTAACCTCGGGGTAACTCGACTGGCTCCTCCGTATTTTATCATATCTTGAGTTTTTTCGCGGCTGTTTCCCGTGATCTTTGATGTTTCCACTCTGTGGGCAACTAGAAAAAAATCCAATCCACGATAATAGAAAGAAAACTTGATTGAATTGTTACCTGGTCGAACTAAAGGTGACTCAAGCAGAAGCTATTATATTTTCAACATATATACAACTACCAGAGAATATGAGTATTCGCCGATCTTCAAGGACGAACAAAGGTGTCCACTCTCAGCGACTGGAATTAGCATATGCTGACGAGCCACGCAACACAGAAAATGAGTCTGGCAAAAGAGTTCAGATAGAACCAAATACCAGTGTTAAAAAGGCGAAGATGGATAAGCCAGTGTCATCATCAAAACCAGCTTGGGTGAAGATTGAGGGCGAGAGTGTCAGGTGTTTGCCATGTGGCACCACGGATCTAAATTACAATGAAGAAGAAGAAGACCCTTTTGGAATGATGATCGAGTGTGTCAGATGTAACACGTGGCAACACGTGAAATGCATGTTTGGTGCCAAGACGAAGGAAAAGGACATACCCGACAATTATAAGTGTGATGTTTGTGATCCTTCAAATCCCGCTTTTTCCAATTTGCGGAGAAAGTTGTCCTATGCAAGATATCTCAAACTGAGACTTGGTACCAGTGCAGACCAGACTGAAGACTCAGTTGATTACTCTGTGGACGATCAAGAGAAAGATGCAGGTGCAATCAATGATGACGAAAACGATCAGGAGTACTTCGAGGGTGGGCTTTCCAATAAATCTACTCGCAATGCTTTCTCGGTAACCAGCGATGATGAGTTGAGTGGTGATCAGGAGAAAGACAGAGCAGGAAGATCTCGCAAGAAACTTGCAAAGAAAAATGTAAATATATCACCTCCAGTAGTTGAAACTGATTCTAAAAGTGCGACACCTTCCGCGGTCTATGATACTTTACGGACAAGAATCGTGAAGAATCTAGAGCTGAAGTTAGTTGAACTCGTACCAAAGTCAAACAATGAAAACATTTTGAGAGGGAAAACAATCGGTGAGTTGGCAAGAGAGTGGGCTATCACACTGGAGAAAGGCATATACGAGACTTTCCCAAATTACAAGGCAGATCATACGAAGTACATAGATAAGGCTAGAAGTCTTCTGACAAATTTGAAAATTTCCCGTTTGGTTGAAAGAGTGATAAGTGGAGAGTTTACTATTGAACAGCTACCAAAATTGTCTACCGAAGAGATGCGAACTCCTGAGGAGAAAAAGAAAGCTGAGGAAGTAAGACAACAAGCTTTAAACCAGGTTGTGATCAAGAATGATGTCAGCAATCTTCCTAAAACTCGACTCACTCACAGAGGGGAAGAGATCATTGGAGACACTGACTATCAGTTTGATATCAATGATAGAAGAAACGATGAAGTTGAAAAAATCAAAGATAAGATGAAGAAACAAGAGCTAGAAAAGCAAGAACGAGAGCAAGAGCGTGAATTTGATGGTCTAGGTTCGCCACCCCAGTTTATGATGGGTGCAAATTTAGATGACGAAGGAGAAGGAGAAAATGAAACCAATCCGCACCACCCTACACACAGCAATGGACTTTCGGATGATGAAGGATCTTTTATAGGTGGCCATACTAAGAAAGCAGATGGTGAAGAAGTCAACCATGATCTTTTGGATGACGATGATTTTGACAAAATTCTGAATGACACTCTCGGAAAAAAATTTGAAGAGAAGCCCAAGAAACAAAGCGGCATCGCAGAGAAGACAGCAAAGAAAGTAGCTGGCAAGCAAAAAGTAGAGAAGAAGGTGAAATTTATGGAAGCTGAGGAGACTGGAAAAATAGAGCAACGTACTACAAAGGATATGTGGGAAGGTACGTTGGGTTCTCCAGAGCTTTCATTTTCTTGTAAAATAGATTTTGTATCATCAACCTGTAAACCATCAAAGAGGAATATAATAGAGAGTGCATTTAGGATGATCAATGAGAATGCAGTTGCAACCAATGGATATATAAATAAGGGTCGATTGAATGCGGAAGTTGCTGACAATTATCTAGATAAGATCACCACATCCAAGGATTTGTATCTATTTGAGGTATTACCATTTGAAGAGGATGAACAAAGTGGTACCTCATTCATGAAGATGTGGTCATACTATCACGGTTCGTCCAAATATGCTGTTTTGAAGAACTCAGTTGCATATATTAGAGATACATATTTACTGGCGTTATCAAGAGAAAGGATGATCGATGGAGAGGAAAGTGCTATTGTGTTGAGCAAATTTCCAGCCGACGAGATCATGGAGCATTTGGAAGAGAGCAAATCAGAAAGCAAGTTATACATTTTATCGGTAGTCCAAAGGGACATGGACAATTTCAAACCAATCCGGATCCCACCAAAGACGATGAAAACCAATCCCACCATTTTCAATCCACCTGTAAGGTCAGAAAACGATCATGGAGAGTCTGAGAATGGAAGAGAGAACAAGAACGAGAATAAGAACCAGAAGGAGGACGAAAACGAGAAGATGAAGGAAGACTTGAAGGTAGCAGTTGAAGGTGATGACGATTACGATCCTGCTCTTTCGGTGACACTGTCTAAGTTGACAGGTGGCTCAAATACTCAAAGTGCGCCAGACCTGGCCTTGGCCAGCTTGATGAAGAACTTGAGTTGACTTTCCATCTTTATATAGTACCTAGTGTATTGACATTGTAATGATTTAGTCGGAAGTCGAAAAAGCTATAGTTTTAGTTATCACAAGAGAAAAACCAGATTATACAAATTAAAATTTTTATTTTATATTTTTTATAGATTATATTACTAAACAAAACTGTATTTGAATTTATCTACTAATATGATTGATTTAAGCCTTAGCCAAAGCTTTCTTGACAGCAAAGTTTCTTTGTTTCTTTAAAACCAAAACTTGGAATCTTTCGAAATCAGACAATTGAGATCTGGTTTCTCTTTGTGCAATCTTCTTGGCCCAGCTGGTCTTAGCCCACTTGGCGTCGATTTCAGAAGCAGCCCACTTCTTGGTGACAATACCGGTCTTGGCACCTCTTGGAAGGGTGTCTAAGACAAGTGGAGTCAAAACAACCTTACCTAAACTGATAGATTGTCTTTGGACGGATGGACCATCGATTAAAACCTGAGGGAAAAAAGTAAAATGAGGAGGGAAACTGATGTTAGTATGCTGTTTGCGATTCCGGAGATCTTCAGCGGACAGATGGTATTGGAGCTATTTGAGCATGTGGCATTCGACGAGTGTGTGACTATATGCCTGTGACAGTGCTACTATGTTTTTTGACAATATTTTTTTCTGCTGACTTTCATCTGAGTCATGAGGATACAAACTGAAGTGCACACGAGAGCAGAATTCTAGCACAAGGAAAAATTATCTTCCAGTCAATGTGGGTGCTGTGCACAATGGATATTCAGCAGATATTTCTCTAATGGACAGGTTGAAATCGTATACTGTATTTTATTCACGTTTTGCTGTATCAACCTGTTGCTAGCAAACGGTAGCAGCACAACGTTCTTTCAGCTCTATTGCATCTGTTCGTCACTTCTACTCCAATAACACTGTTGGATGATTTCTAGGGATATACGTACTCTCTTTTGATCAATGATTTCAACGACTGCGGCTAACTTGTTTTGGACCAAAACAACTCTACCGACTTGGACCAATCTCCAGTTGGTTGACACGACCTTTGTTTCAGTAGACATCTCTTGTAGATTTGATTAGTTGCTTGGGGAAAGGAGCAAAAGGATAGGGCAGATAACTCGACAGTGTACGATATGCCTGTCTATTCAAACGGATATATGGTGTAAAATCTTCAACCGATAGTGTCTACGAAATCCGAGCAGAATCGGCTCCACGCAGTCGCCAGCGGCGCGCAGTGGCCGTGAACCAAGGGACTGCTGAAAAAAAAGTCCGCCAGTGTAGGAGCGACCCAGGCCTCAGAACATGCAGACTCACAAGGTGCGGTGCGCGGGTGTCTTGTAAGCGGGCAAAAATACAAACCCTGAGAGGATGCACGTGAAATACTGGCACTAAACCCTGCTTTCAGCCCGCGTTCGCCTTTTACAAAGGTTTGGACTTGGACGGAGGAGAAGTGTTGAGAAACCGAAGCTGTCTGTTCTTCTTCTTCTTCTTCCGCCAATTCTACAGCATTACATAATTAGATCGGTAGCAATGCATCGACGGGATTTGCCCAAGCAGCAGCAGCAACAGCGACATCTTCACTGCAGCCAATGCTGGCTGCGTGCGGATGACGCCGTTGGTACTGAACCAACACGCTCTAGATGATGACCTATAATTTGCGTTCGAAAAACAGGTCACTTCGAAACACGCCTAGTTTCATTATGGAGGGCCTGCACAACCTGTGACCAACTTATTTTCTGATAGACTTTTTTCCAGCCGCTCTGCTGCTGCTGGTGTCCATGCATTTGCAGTCGATTAGAAATCAAAGCAGCCCTTCGGCGCCTTCATACGCCAGGGGCCGGCGTAGAGCGTACATCCATAGATACTCAGCTGGGTATTGCACGGTTGGTGCTGCTTTAGATACCGCTGTAACTATTCAACGGAGGGAAACGTAGCTTCTTTCTCGATACTTGCTGAGTGGCCTCGTGCCTCGAGACGCCTGACAGGGCGTCGGGGTCCTCTTGTTCGTAACTGGTGTTTATCGGTAGGGTCTAGCGGGCCTTGCCGAGTAGTAGCAACCATATGCACCGAAAAGAAGTCCCTCCGGCAGCGGGATGGGGGTCTGCAGGCTCTGTGCGGCAGATCCTCACGTTCCGCTGTGTGTGGCAGCAGCAGGTCCCGGCTCAGAGAGAGGTCGTGAGGAAAACAAAGCGTTTTTCCCGTCATGTTATTGTTATCTTTTGAGACCACCAGGACGGGCCGACCCGGTGTAGACGTTGATAACGGCTTTTTTTGTCTCCTGTTCACTGCCGCAGTAAGCCCGCTACCTTCCTTCTTCCAATCACCATGTCTAGGGCCTCGCAGATTGAACAAGAGAATGACTCACAGTTCCATCTGCTCGCAAACAAGGTGTCTGCGTTCAAAAACATCGCAAATGACATCAACTCGTACGCACAGGAGGACAACAATAACTTGGGCTCCATCAACGACCAGCTCTCCACGCTAGGGGAGAACATCAAGTCGACTGCCTCACGGTTGGGCCATGTGATGCGTGCCAACCCGAAGATCACAAGAATGGTAGGCGTTGGGTTTGCCATCTTCCTGGTCATCTACTACTCTCTCAAGTACCTTTTCTAAGCAAGAACAACCCACAGAAAACATCGTAGCGACATGAAATACGGTCTTTTATCTTATACCTTTTGTTTCTCTTTCAAATATGTATATATAAATATAACATTAAAGATCTATAAGCAGATGCAATGATACACCAGCTATTCGACGCAGATGCAATGCTGCACCAGCTATTCGACACAGTCAGTGTCTGCCACCAGCTACGTCTTGTCCGAGCTTGTAGTTACCGATAGCCCTACCCCATTGAATTTTGGATCTGCTAATTGGCATCAATCTTCTCAAGTTCTTGAACTTCTGTTCGTTCAAAACGTTGACCTTCTTCAAAACACTCAGCTCGTAGTTTTTTTCGTATTCAGCGATCTTGTCGATGACTGCTCCTACGCCGGAGATTTGGCCCAAGTCTTCCTCCTTGGCCGTATTCATGACAACGTTACCATCTTCATAATAGTGCACCCTTACCTTCACAACCGCAGACAGCCTTCCACTCTGCTCATCCCATTCGTAGACAGCAGCCCACTTCCCGTTGTAGAAATTCGAGTCGTTGAGCTTTTCTCCGACAATGACGACAGTTAGGCTGTCGTTGGCGCCAGGAATAACCATACCGCGGCTCAACTCGTTGTAGTGTGCAGCAATGTAATCGTCCAATTGTTCCTGCAACTTCTCAACAGCTTTCCCATCAACACCGGAAGGTAGCTTTTCTTCGACATCAATGACACGACCATTGATGAAATCGTAGTCAAACACAATTCCTTGCTGGATATCGAAAAACTTTATTCCGCTCAAGTTGTACTTCGACACAATGGTGTGCTGCCCGCTGGATAGTCTCACAAGCTTTGCATCACCGCCCTTCTTCCCGTCCTGTGCCAATTCCGTCGTGTAGTTTTCACGCAACACGCCGGCAATCAACTTGTCGGCGTCTGCATTGTTCAATAGGGCCTTGACATCACCTATGATGGTCCTGTCGTCGCCCGGAGGGGAGGTTTTCACAATCTGACGCACTATGCTCTCTACTTCGGAAACCATTGTATCGCTGTTCTCTAAATTCTTGTCTGCAAAGCCAAGCACAATTGCAACAAGCAAAACCACTGCATTGCACACGTGGTCCTAATCATGCCGTTCGGTCCGTCTTACAGCAGCATCTCACCTCCGTTAAAAACATGGTTCTTCCCTCACCGCGCTCATCTGGCAACAGCCGGTTCTTTGTTTGCTCCTTGCTCACAATACGGAAATACTGTAAGGATAATGTAAACATGGTTATATCTCTATATAGCCTTCACTTTACCTGTGAAGAAAATGAAAGTTTGTGCAAAGGTATGTACTATATGCATGTGTGTCTTCTTTTTTATATCATTTCACGGCCCAAAAAACATCCAGCTATTCGAGTGTAGCAAATCGTCCTATCAGCGGTTGTAGCTTGGGTTGATGTGTGGAATCAATCCACTTGGCGTGACAATCCATTCCTGGAGCGGCCGCTGGAACTTGTGCACATAGTTGCCCCCCACAGAACCCACATGGGTGAGCACTTCCAGTGATTGGAAATGGCGATCAACTGCATCCCGGCCCTGTGGCCTGTAGCTCTTGCCGATGTCTAGAAGCACATATCTGCCGGTCCAACGCTCGTTTTCCACCAGCGGCACCATACACCTGATGGAGTCCCGCAAAATCTTCCGCTGGGCAGGGAAGGTATGCGTGTTAATTGAGTGTGGAGACGGCTTTGCAATGTACTCTCTGTAAGTGCGGAGCTTGCACGTTGCTGGCAAACTCCCCCCTGTGTTGGACTGTATTGGCGTCAGCACCGACTGCGGGGTCGTATTTGCAGTGTTTATCCTGTTAGTTGTAGAATGCAAAGAGCCCGTTGATCTTGATGACTCCGACGACCTGTTTCGTATTCCTGGGGTCGACTCGTTCGGCTTCTGTAGCTCGTGAAAGCCCTTTGCTTCATGACCATTTCCCAAATCATTAAATGCATTCCCATTGTTGATGCCTGTGTTGTCTCCATCCCTATTATTATCAACGTTGTTTTCGCTCGCAGTATCACTGTCATGCTCGTCGTTTTCATCGTCCAGGTGGACGCTAATCTCGTATTCGTCCTCATCATCATCGATAAGCTCATCGTCGTCCGAACCTTCATAGTCTTCTCCGTCCAAACCTTCGTCACCATAATCTGTATCGATATGAGAATTGGCCATGTTGTCGGCAAGCATTACAATGTTTTGGTCGTCGGCACTCCCTGCACGCTTGTGATGGTGGTTAGAGCTTGAAGAGCTCGATGCAATAAAGGCCCCCGGCGCCGAGTTTGATGTCCTGTTTTTCCGAAACATGCCTGCCAACCCTTCGTTGGCGGAATTTCCAGAAGAAGAGCCGGATCGTTTTTTAAAAAACCTCATCAAGCTTGAGTTTTCACTTTTGTCCTTATTTTTGTAGCTTTCTGGATTGTCTTTGGAGGTAGTGTGGCTCGGTGCAGACGAAGAAGAACCTCTTCTCGTGTGCTGGTCCGCGATGCGTACGTGGTGGGCACCCAGGGTGATGCCCATGGCGACGTTGAGGGGCCTATAGTGAGTTCTATGTCTGCGGCGGCGCCTGCGGGGAACCGTCCGGTACGTGGGCATCTCCCGCCGGGAGAGGTCCAACGCCGTGTCAATTCCCAAATTGATGGCGTTGTACCATTCAACCATTGCCTCCGTGGAGGGAAACTTGAGCAAAAACTGTTCTGTCTCAAACCGCCCGCGGAAGACATCACTTTTCTTCTTGTAGTCGATGGCAAGTCCGATTCTGCCATACTGTAACGTGAACGACCTGACGACTTTCGTCGACTCCAAGGCGCCAATCGACTTGAAGAACTTCAACGCCCGCAAGTCGGTTTTGGTAGTCATCACCGAGCGGTAGTTGTCCTCGTTGTAATTGGACAACGCATCTGTGTCGACGGCGCTGGGCGCCTTGCAGCCCTGCTCCCGCTTCAGATAAAGATGGTGATGGTGGTACGGGTGTAGCAGCGAGTGAGAGTTCGAGCTCGAGAAGGACGACGAGGCGTCAAACTTCTTCAGCACCGGGTCGCCCTCCCGGAACGGACACCGGTAAAAGTTCAGCTGCGTGGAGTTGAGCTCCACGATGTAGGGTCTCCACTGTCGCTGGCTCGCCATCTCGAACGGCGAGTTCCACTCCGTCTTCCTGTACAAAATGCCCAACTTGTACACCGTCGGCACATACCCAGGCAACGCCTCGTTCTTGCTCTCAAAGTCGGAGAACGCAGGCCTTGCCATCCGGGGCAGCGTCGTGAAGTATGGAGGCGGCTCTACGGGAAACGGCTCGAGGATTGAGAGATACTTCGAGAAGTATTTGTCATCGTCGCCGTTGTCGCCATCACCTGTGCCGGCACCGGGTCCAGTTTTCTTGCTTCGACGTTTGCCTATACCTGCACTCTTTAGAACCGCAACTTTACCCCCCATGTCTCTCCCACCTTCTGTAGACATGCCCTCTGATCGTGATCTTGTCTGACTCGGGCTCTCTGCAGCCCTTCTTTCTCTCGAAGCTGCCGCCGCAGCGGCGGCGGCCATCGCCGTGGGCGCCTGCTGTCGTGCATTCTGTGACATCTTTGGCCGTGCCATCTCTGCCGTCATTGCAACCTTCTCCGACACCGTCAGCGTCCCCGATTCTTCCTCTTCGTCTGCAACCATCCTCTTTGCATGTGCCTGGCCACTGTTCCTAGTCCGCCGCCTCTTATCCCTCGTCCCGTGTCGATCTCGTCTCGATAAGTCCCCCACGCCGGGGCAGCGGCAAGCAGCCCGATGCGGAAACCGAGCCGAGAAGCCTCGTTCTCTGTGGCGGCCTGTCACCAACCAGCCTCATGGACTGGACAAGGCAGCTCCTGTTGAAGACGGTTAAGATCCGGGGTAGAAGACAGGGGAGCCGGTGGGTGGTGGTGCTACTGTGGTACAGTACAAGCAGTGATCAAGGGACGTTGGTTGCAGCATTTCTGTGGAGCAAGTCCGCGTTTCGGCGATAGCAGGACGTATTTGAAGACATGAGATCACCCCCAAAGAGAATGCTGAAAGAGACGGTGGTTCCAGGTACCAGGGTGTCTCCAAGAGCGTCTTCGTCGATTTCCTCGGAGAGTGCAGGCCTGGTAGGTTCAGGAAGAGAGGTGCGATTGTCGCCATCAAGGTACGGGGCAATCGGATCAAGTCTGGCGCCGGACGGCTACGGAACGCTGCCGGGGAACAGGAGTTCTGTCCTGGACACGAGCACCCACACAAACACAAACACAAGCACAAACACAACACCGTTGGGACAAACAGACGAGGAAAGCTGCTGCGACCTTGATGATGAGGACGAAGACGACGTGGAAGAAGCCTCGTCCTCGTCGACTGACTTCTACACGAGCAACTCGCATGTGATGACTTCCCGAGTGGTCCCTCATATCCGGAGCCAGGACGAGACGGTCCCGTTTTCGGAAAAGTTTGGCTACTATATCCCCTGCTACAACTGGGTTAGCGAGTACAAACTGTCGTACCTCTCGTACGACGTGCTGGCCGGCTTGACTTTGGCGTCGTATCAGATTCCTCTCAGCATGTCGTTTGCGACTGCAGTTGCCCACGTCCCGACAGCGTCCGGGTTGTTGGGGCTTTCCATCGGGCCAATTGTGTACCTCTTCATGGGAACGGTGCCGCAGATGATTGTTGGACCGGAGGCTGCCGTGTCAATGATCATTGGCCAAAACATCGAAACCATCACAAAGCACCACCCGGAGATCGACCCGGTCGACATCTTGTGCACTCTAACTTTTCTCTCAGGAGTGGTTTTGCTAGTCTTCGGTATTCTGCGTTTTGGGTACATGGACAATGTGCTATGCGGCACGTTGCTCCGAGGGTTTATCACCGCAATCGGCTTGTCGATGATTTTGAATTCTGTCATTTCCATGCTGGGCCTTGAGCCGGTTCTCAAGCATCTACCTTCCGACGTCCACGTGCATTCTGCTGTGGAGAAATTTATCTTCCTTGCCACTCACTGGACAGAGTTCCACAAGATGACGGCAATCGTGGGGTTCACGTCGTTCTTCGTCTTGATTTTTCTCTCTAAAACCAAGCAGTTGCTTGTGGTGAGGAAGTACAAATCTGCCTCGTTTTTTCCAGAGATTCTTGTTGTCATTGTACTCTTCACTGTTTTCTCATACCTTTTTGACTTTGAAGGCTATGAGATCGGCATCATTGGCCACGTCAGCCTGGAAGACTTCAAGCTCAGAAACCCCATTTCACACTCGAATCGGGAGTGGTGGGGGAAGTTGTTCCCTGTTTCATTTGTGTGTGCTATCCTCGGATTTTTTGAAACTTCAACTGCAGGAAAATCTTTAAGCTCTATGCTAGAAATGCCGGTCTCTTCAAACAGAGAGTTGGTTTCGTTAGGCACTGTGGGCACAACTGTGTCGCTGTTTGGTGCTCTCCCGTCGTTCGGAGGGTATGCTAGATCGAAACTTAACGCCATGATTGGTGCTAAAACGCCCATTTCGGGATGTGTCATGGGCTTGACAACCTTGTTTGTTACGTTCAACTTCCTAAATTATGTTTACTATTTACCTCTATGTGTTTTGAATGCGGTCATTGCAACCGTCGGCTGGCACATGATTCAAGAGTCCCCAAAAGAGATAAGTTTCCACATTAGAACAAAAGGCTGGAACGAGATCATTACATTTTTTGTCACACTAAGTGCCTCCTTATACTATTCCATCGAAATTGGTGTCGCTATGGGTTGTTTCTACTCTCTCATGCGGGTATTGAAGCATTCCACTCAATCGAGAGTCCAGATCTTGGCGAGAGTAGCAGGAACAGACACTTTTGTCAATCCCGACTTTGATGATTCACCAAGTAACAACTTCTTCAAATTTCCAAAGAGATTGATTGTTTCAGGTTATAAGGAGTTTCGTCGTCAATCATTGGTTGACGAAAATCCAACAGTAACGATGTTGAATGAAATCCAGAATAGTAGCAGCTCACAGAGTCAAGCGTCACAAGATAGAGATAAAAATGCTGGAGTGCTAGCAAACAATTTAGCAGAAACCAAATTGGTGGATGTTTTTCCTCAACTTGAAGACCGTGAAGGTTGTTTGATAGTCAAAATTGCAGAACCATTGACGTTCTTCAACGCGAATGACATGAAGGGACGACTAAAACGTGTTGAAATGTATGGTTCAACGCATGAGCACCCGGGCTCAAAGCAGAAGACCAACAAGAGTCTGAGACATGTGGTTTTTGACCTTCACGGAATGACAAGTATCGATTCTTCTGCCACACAAATCTTGTACGATATTGTCAACAACTACCAAAAACGTGGAATAAATGTATTCTTCTCTAGAATCTTCAAGAGCAGGCATCTAATACAAAGACTGCGAGATTCTGGTATTGAGGGATTACTTTCCATTGTAGACGGTGAGGAATTCGGTATCAGACAAACCATTAGACCGTACTACGACGACATATTGGATGCGTTGAAGGCAATTGATAAGATTGACAGCAGCTGCGAATGGGAAACTCGATCTTATTTCTCCAACATTGGCATGGATTGATCTCAATCCTGCTAAACTTTCAAGTTATTCTTTTAAAAAATGTAGCATAAAACAAAAACAACTATGTAACAATATCAATCATTCTATTCATGACTCTACGCTTTCTTCTGCCTTTTAACGTTTCTCTGGCTTTCATCATCAGCTTCCTCTTGTTCACTCAAATCAAGTTCTTCGCCACTCTCGTCTTCGTCTTCATCGTCTCCCTGCTCACCTATTCCCGGGGCAGCAAGAACGTAGTAATCCAAAGCTGCAGGGAAAATGTCCTCAGCTATTAATGTTGCCAATTCCTCACCATTCCTATACTCTTTGCCTGGCTTTCTACCAGACCACTGCCAAAAGGAAAAAAAAGAACGCATCCCTTTTCTGTATCTCTTTTTATCATCATCTGATAATGTTCTTTTTTCCTCCTTTGCCCGCTGTTTGATCAGCATTGGATCCAACGTACTTAGGCCACTTGGCCATTTTATTGTAACAGGTTCTGATTCTAATCTGCGAGATCCCGTGGATGGATCTATAACCCATTCAAAGTTCTTTGTTACCTCTTGTTCTTCGATTTCATTGTCTTTTTTTTCTGCCTTTACATTCTTGAAGAGTATTGTTAAAGTAAACCCTTTTTTTGGCATTGTAGCGATGGTGGTCACATTACCATCATCAAATTTGGTCTCATCCCAAAATTCAACGTACAAATCTGAAATCAACTCTATGTATTTCATGTCTTCGACACTCACATACTCCTGGAAATCTTCATGTTGTGCAAGAACAACGTACCAAAATTTAGGGATGGAGTCAAGCAATTTTCTCCGACGCCTGTATATAGGTGTGAATAGTTGATTCTTGAACTGCTCGACTTGAGCATCTGCACTTTGAATTTCACTTTCGATTTTCTGAAGTTTCACAAATGATTCTTCCACACTCTTATCTACTGGCGTATCTAATTCGCTATTACTCATGTTATTACCGAAAATTCTACCAATTGAAAATATTATCGTTTACACAATTTTAGATACATCCACAATGCAAATAGTCACATTGGAGAAAATGTTAAGTGCCGTGTAGGCATTCTCCTCACGCTGAAAAATTAGTTGGCAGGGTGAGAATGCTTATCGTATTTTCTCCATCATGTTTTTTTACCTATATTATACATATTGCATTCCTAATTATCGTCATCAAGAACATACTCTGAAAGAATTTGTTTATCTGTTGGCCTGCAAGGCCATTGCAGTTCAGAAACATTCGATACTCTAAGGGTAACCATGCATCCGTAGCACATATTAATCTCTTCTGGTTTATTGGAGTCATTATCGGTATCCACCTGGTTTTCAATACTATTGATGGAATCTAGATATCTTTGGAAATTGGCAAACTCCTCTTCTGTCTGAGGTGGAACACTTCCAGGTACAGTTATCTGCTCAATCCATTGCTTCGGATTGTGGTATATTGGCACTTTACAAATTTTGCAAAGCTGAACTTGTAGGGAGTCAGAAGAATTTCCCAGTTTTGCTCCGATTTTTACTACAGTTGAGACGGTTTCCGGGTACTCAACCTCTAGGGATGCAAAATACTCATTCACCAATTCTCCAACTGTTTTATTTTTGGTGGAAACGTCAGATATTGATTTGTTTTGTTGTAGAACAGAAGATAGATTATTAAGTGACAGAGCTTTTGAGTACATTTTCACTTCAGAGTTCAGAATATCTCGTAGGGGATGGATCACTTCTACGTCTCCAATAAGCATATCTTGTGTTTTCAACGGAATCTCCGAGCCTCGTCCCCTTATGGTGTCCGATAAGATATCCACCGCCATCTGTGTCATTGAATCAGACTTGATCAATACAGTGCATTTCTTTTCTTGGGCTGCCTGTAACCAGATGTCCTCATAAATAATATGGATTAGGTCTTCCCTTGTAGATTTGTCTACGATTTGCTCCAATAGTTGTTCGCAAGTGAGTTGCTTATCTCGAGTGTCTGGTACAACGTATGTTTGCATTGTCTGTTGATTCAGTTTGAGGCGCTCAATGTTTCCTTTCTGCACATAAGAATCGCAATTAACATTAACGAACTCTACTCCCAACCTATTTATCTCTACTGTAGTGTAATGCTCGATGATTTTGGAAATGTCTATTGGCATGCCATCGTTGATCACACAGACAACCAAATCAAATCCCCTCATTGCTTTAGGCCCCTGAGTAAGCTGTTCTGCCAGCATAGAAACGAGGATATCAAACAAAACATATGATTGATGATCATTATTCATAGCAAACAATACACGGACTCTTTCTTCCTTGTCACTGAATTTGACTTTGAATTTTTCATGTTGCATCTGCTTCCTCTGCTTTCCTCTGATAAACCGGATAAAACAATTTTCACAAAATGTATCATTCCTCGAAGCCAGAGTAGTAGGCTCTCTTTTGCATCGCTTACAAGTATCTCCAATAACAGCCATTTCTCTAGTTTGATTCACCAAATGCTTCATTCTGCTACCTCTCGTGAGCAAATCAAAGTACCGAAAGATGTAAGAAAAAAAGTGACAAAAAGTTGAAATAAAATGAGAGTCAAAATCAATCGCACAGCCCGGTTTCTTGGACTTCATGAAGTTTTTGGGACCTCAATTTACTCAATGGAGTCACGGACCCACATGCAGATGAGAAGTTCTTGTAAACCGGAAGAAGTGAGAAACAGTGAGGTGATTTAAACACCTGCAAGTCCGTCATTTCTCTGATTGTGTAAAGGAAAGACTGAATATGACTTCTGAAAGGCAAAGCACATCGGCCACTGCAGACCCTGCCGCTGGAGTGGCCCCATCAATATCCAAGGAAGATATGGAGTACTTAAATAACAAAACATTAAGGAGCCTGGAATCGAAAACACCGGAAGAAACTAAAGAGTTTATTAAAAAGAAAGAAGGAGCAGTATCAGAAGTGAGGTTTTATCCGGATAGACCAACACAGCGCCTCCATAAAGACAGATTTATAATCAAAGAGCCATCAAGATATTACGACCCATGTGCTGAATCTTCAAAGATGGCTGTTAGGTGCATGGAGAATCACGACGAGGACTACAAGGAGGTCTGTGCCGAATATTTCCGTGCTTACCGTGAATGCAAAAAGGAATGGATGGAACAGAGGAAAAGAGACAACAGAAATGGGGGTATATGGTGAAGTTTTGTGACTCTCCTATGTTGGTTGTAAAAAATGCGTGCACTTCATTCATTCGCCACAAATATTTATATATAGCCTGTTTATAACTTTCTTAACCAATTACGTCAAAATAATGAATCTATAAAAACACAATTTTGTTTATGCATACTCAAAAGAGAATAGTGATCCATGCCTTTGTTTATCTTTTCCATTTTCAAGGCCGGACTGAAATGTTAGTACCTTGTCATTATCAATGCTAAAAGAGCTAGTTTCACCCACGAAACTATATAGCTGCTCCTTGACATCGTCATTGAATTGATCGACAGCTGTACCACAGTCAGCTAAAATACCATTCTGCTGTTCCTTTGCCACCCTGGCTACCTTTTCATTACCTTTACCTTTTTTCTTTTTCACTCCATGCTGTTTTGATTTCTTCTCCAGTTCATTCAATTTTTCCCGATTTAATTGTCTCCTTCTCCTTTTTTCATCAACCTTTTGCCTTTGCGCTGTTTTCCTCTTTTCGTAACCGTTAATTATGGAAGGATTAGCCAACATTTGTAGCATCAGTAACTTCTTTATTTCTTCTGATTCAGTTTTGCGATGCGTTCTTATCCAATTTTTCAACCGTCTTGAGTACTTGGAATCTTTTTCAGTTTCTAAATTATTATTCACCATGAACAGCTTGTAAACCTTATTGAATGTTTCAACATCCTCAAATAGTTCTCCATCATTTTGTTCGTTACTCCACATATTCATATCTAGATTCCCTGGAAGAATATGCAGTTCACCTGTGTTTCTGTTAATACATGCCAAAAAAATAGTTTTCATTCTGGTATTTCCGTTCTTGTACAAGCTCAAACTCGAAACCGGTTCACGTCTATGTCTATGCTGTTCGCTGGCCATGTTGATGTTGAATAATAGCCGTGAAACCCTTCTTGATCTATCGTTGGTGAATATGATATTATAAGGATGATCAATTTCTTCATCAGTTACCTCACCTTCGTTACTACTGACATCCGGATCTAATATAGGATGTGATTCACTAAACCGCTCAGCGGACAATGGCCATACAGCCAGCATTCCAGAATTTTCTGGACCATTATATTGTGAAGTGGTTCTTTCGTCATCACTTACATTGTCATTCTCCCCACCGCTAGTATTGACACCATCATCGTTACCGTCATTAGCTCCAACATCATTTTCTTCACTATCACTGACCATGGCTTCATTATTGTTAACCTCTGGAAAGTCAATGCTATCTTCCCAATTAAAATCTAAATCAATCTGATCGTCATCATATTCTTCATATGCTACAGGATTCAGCTCAAATCCCGTGTCATTTTGCGACTCTTCTGATCCTAGGTTAGATCTATTCCCAAAGCTCCCTTGAGTAGTGAGCCGGACACCACGATTACCTTCGTCATCACTATCATCATCTCCGCTACTCTGGAATGAACTAAGTCTAGGTCTAACTCTAGTGTCATTGAAAAGTGAATTGGAGGTATGTGTCATTCCCCGCATTTGGCGTTCAAGATGCCTTCTGAAATTACTATTAGATTTTGACATCAGCCTATTTGCATAATCGTGAAATCTTCGGCGATGTTTATAGATCAAATCAGGATATATTAAACCATTGGTTGAGGAGTCAAAAGAGTTTTCAAAAAGTTCATGAATATCGACTTCCATTTTTATGAACAAGAATTTTGACATCATCAAGTTCACGCAATCTTTACAAACAAGAAGATTCTCTGGGTTGTTTGTGCATTTCTTCTGTCTGTTTGGAGGGGTTGGGGGAGATGGGGTATTAATAAATTGATTTAAAGGAGGCATTTCAAACCACTTTGATAATAACTTGAAGTTGTCAAATTTAGACTCACTCGTAACCTGCAATTTGTGAAATAATGAGCCATTAGGAAACTTTGAGGGCTTAACAGGGTTGATTATTGTTCGTTCGTTGCTGAGGCTTTGACTGCTAGGTTTATTACTCACAATATAGCCCATCCTATTCATGCTAAAAGGCTTCCAATTTTCTTTGGTGTAGCACTTTTTTCTTTTTCGATCAAAACATTTATTGAATTTTTTGCTCAATACTAGCTTGTTTCTCAATAAATTACTGAACACATTGCCTTCAATCAAAAACTTTCTATTTTTGGTGTATCTTAAGTCCGACTTCAAAATATCTACCAATTCTCCTGTGAATCCAAGCCTAACGTCTCCCAACTGGAGATACCCCGTTGTGTTTAAAGCCTTGTAGTCAACATCTGTGAATCGCACAGATAAGAATGACCCGCTCAATGAAACTGGAAGAGAAAAACAAGAGCCTGATTTGAGGAAAGAAGTGGGAGCAAGCTGTTGGATCTTCGATGAATACGATTGATCCATTAAAAATGCTAAATTCATATCTTCAAGACAAAGTTGGTTAAATGTCCTTTTCTTGGTTTTATCATCTGCTTGTGATTCAGTTTTACAAGCTTCGGATAAAACACATTCGCTTCTAGTCAGTAAAAGATCGTTCATCATGTTAATCAATCCATATTTTTGCATCGATAAGGGGATTCCATAACAAAACTCATGCTCCGGATGATATTTGAAGAACGACGACCCTGCAAATGCACTTTGTCTTATATTGTAGTCCTTATGCAAAATTCGAGGAATCCAATCCGTGCTATGAATGTCTTCAATATTTATCGTGCCGTTTAGTAGATGAGGTGGAGTTGAAGAGTTTGAATTTTCATCCTCTTGCATAGCGGGACTAAAAGTCTCAGTAAAAGAGGTATTGTCTACCATTCCAGTGCTATTGTAAACCAGAGGAAGAGGCAAACTTACCAGCGGAGATGTCTGGTTTATCTGTGACCTATTGTGACCATTGCCTTCATTGTATTGATATATACTGTCATGGTCGCTATTACCGTCATCGTCGATTTCAGCGTTGTTACCATCGTGGTTCCTTTCTTCATTGTCTAACTCCCTATCAGATAAGTTGTTTCTGTGTCTTCCTCTGGAAACCTCACGAATCCCGCTTGTGCCGGTCCCAAATTGATCGCCATCGTCTCCCGACCTATCATCAACTTGGTCAGGATTACCGTGCGATGTGCTATCCGGCATATAGCTTTCTTCTTCGCTCTCCGAAGAAGACCAGTCTCTGAAAGTGAGATGCAACTCAGAATGTGCTAGTCGACTCATTGCCTCTAGATACTCTGAAAATGCTACCTGGTTCTCCAAAACGTTTTGATGATCCTTCACCAAGAGGGTTGATCCTTTTTAGATATAAACATCTACAATTACATGTCTGTTTCTAGCCTCCGTGCCTACTAATTAACTAGCTTCCGCTTATCGGACACACCTTTGCACCAGCGCGGAAAGAAGAAAACCCGATAATGCCCTCTTTCCTGGAGCATATAAAAAGAGGCCATCCGCCACCAGCTGGGGTTGCCTTCTGAAGCCCGGCGGCGCAATCCCTTATCCTCACTGGATGCCCAGAAAGGTAACTGGAGTATCAAACAACTTTAGACCATAGTGAAATTCCATACATGTATTCAATAAACTGACTTCGTATGTGATCTTTATTTAGTGATACAACTGGTTTCCAGAAAAGTTGCACCTACCGTTTTGCTTGCTGGTTATGATGTATGCTTTTAATTCCTCCTTCAGTTTTGAGGGCCATATGTTATACATGCATGTATTCCATACCCAATTCTAGGCTTTGCTGTGACATGATTATTGATGCTGCCTGCCTATTTTGGTAATATATTTTATCATCATGCATGAATATATACGGTTGTCTCTTCCATGCTCTTCATCTGTCGTTGCATACCAGAATACTGCTGCTAGTGGTAAAGTTGATCAAAATGACGATGCTGATTTTTTGACCTCCTCTGGTCTTTGTGTCTTTGATTGTCCACCGTGGTTAATGAGTGATTTTACTATGTTTTACAAAATTGTGGCATAGGCATACTTTCCTCTCTGGTTTGGAAAGCAGAACTTTTCTGTTCTTTTCTAGGAACATTGGATTCGGCTCCTCACATGCCAGGGGTTCATAAAATTTACTGTCCACTCTATGATCCACCCAGAAAAATTTACAGGATTGTGCTGGTCTAATGAAGATGCACCGATTGGCCCTCTCTCCCTTCGAGTACATACATGTTTATGACTCAGTTGTTTTTCCTGTACTGCTTCATTTTCATTGGAGTCATTTGGTATCGTAGAGTCAGTCAATATACGTGGTGTCAACCTTAACAATAGAGAGGTGTTCTGAGAAAATAAAGCTTCACGTACTTCAGTTCCGCTTATCTGAATACTCAATTGTCAGAAAAGATAAAGAAGTGAAACAAAAATGAAATTAGACTTACAAGGCTGTTTTACTATTTTTTTATTGTATCATGTCTTCCTTTTCTTTAATCCATCAAACATTCTACCAAATTGGTATCGAGTCTGAGAGTGGGACATTGCTTCAGGCGGAGCCAGCTAGCTCTTCTAGACCGATCACAATTCATACCATTGCAATATAGTGCAGTCATGATCAGAACGGATAGTGGTGCTAAGACTATTTGTTCGTATCGCTGTATTAGACGAGTCGCCGTCTGCCCTGTAAAATGTAGCAGTGCCACGAGAGTTGGAAAGCGGAGAGCGCCCTCGTTGGGATCATGCTCTCCTCTTTCTTCTTGCGTGGAGACTAGCGGCTGCTTGCCCATATCGGGCTTTCCATGGTTTAGCCTTTCTAATAGTAAGGTAGCAACTACAGTACGATATTCGTGGTTATTGGGCTGATCAGTACTTATACATCAAACTTTTCTCCAATAACTAGAACCAGGTGTGCCAATTTCCCGGTTTTCTACTCTGCTCGTTTTCCTTGGTGTTTCGATATTTTACCGTTTGATCACCCTAGTAGCTGTTCCTTTTGACCAACGGCAAAGTCACAAAAGACTCAAAAGTTTAACATTGTCGGATAGTTTCAAGTCTGAGGGAAGCATCAACTATCTACTTGTTATACTCTTAACCTCGAATAATTAATAACTATCGAGTACGGTTTGGAGAATAATTTGAATCTCGCTGCAATATTGAGTTGTCGAATTTCGTTTTTTTTCCTACAAGACCTGTACTACTTGTTTACTTAAATTGCAAAAATAGCTTTCTTCTCCAAATCAGTGGATTCAAATACTTGCATTGCTTATTTATCAGATCATAGGCTGTTGACCACCATGCCTATAACTGACGACATTGAAAGTAACCCCGAGCTATATGGGTTACGTCGTTCTGGACGTGTAAGAACGAAGACTGAGACCTACAATTTTTCAGATGAAGACGAGGATGAAATAAAGCCAAGAAAGCGTAAACAGAAACAAGTCATAGGATCCGATGAAGAAAATGATGAATATTCTTCCAAAAGCAGCAGATTTGACGTTGACGGTGATGATGATGACGACGATGATGACTTCTACGCAACTAAAAAATCCAAAAAGTCACTGAAAATCCGGAAGACAAAGTTGAAAAAGAAGTTGAAAATTTCGTCAAAAGAGTCTGAAAGTGCCAGACTGGCGGCACAAGCAATTAGATTTTCAAGTCGTAACAATAATAAAAGTATAAATTACAACGTGGACGATGGAAATGATGATGATCTTCTGGAAAGTGGTTCAGATAACGCGTATGATTATGATGATGATGATGATGATGAAGGCCGTCCCTACGATTACGAAGATGATGATGATAGTTCAGCAAGTGATCAAGCCGTCACCATTGATTTGGTTGTTGGCCATAGGGTGATTGGTGACGATCTAAGCTCGGAGGCGGAGGATGAGGACGAATCTGAACTTATCAAAGAAGAAGAGGAACCTACAGGTGCTGATAAAACCAGTAATAATGATCAGGGCATTAAAGAGCTTATTAAAAAAGAAAAGTCGGAAAGAAGGATCCAATTAAAAGAAGTTTACGAGCATGGTGACCCGAAGAAAGACTTTGAATATTTAATAAAGTGGTTAGATGTTGCGCACATACATAATACATGGGAAACGTATGAATCGTTGAAAGAAAAAGGATTGAAAGGCTTCAAAAAATTGGACAATTACATCAATCAATATATTATCCAAGATCGTGAATATAGAAATGATCCTTTCGTTACTAGAGAAGATATTGAGCAGTTAGACATCGAAGAAGAGACAAGACATGAGAATTTTGAAGAGTACAAAAAGGTTGATCGAATCATTGACAGTGAGAGAGTCACAACTGATAGTGGAGAGTCTGCTTTGAAGTATTTTGTCAAATGGAAACGATTAAATTATGATGAGTGTACCTGGGAGTTGGCATCAGAAATTGCGCCTATCGCTCCTACGCAGGTCAAAAATTTCCAACATCGGCAAAGTTCGAAGATTCTACCAGCAAATTCAGCATCCTATGGTACAAATAGACCCAAGTTTGAGAAATTAACAGCTCAACCCGCATTCATCAAAAATGGTGAATTAAGAGATTTCCAACTGACTGGTTTGAACTGGATGGCGTTTTTATGGTCCAGAGATGAAAATGGTATCCTTGCCGACGAGATGGGTTTGGGGAAAACTGTTCAGACCGTTTCGTTTTTGTCTTGGTTGATATACGCCAGAAGGCAAAATGGTCCGCATTTAGTTGTTGTTCCATTATCTACTGTTCCTGCATGGCAAGAAACTTTTGAGAAATGGGCTCCTGATGTCAATGTTATTTATTACATGGGCAATACAAAAGCTAGAAAAACGATAAGAGACTATGAATTTTTTATCGACAACAACAAGAAAAAGCCAAAATTCAATGTTTTACTCACCACTTATGAATATATTTTGAAGGATAGATCTGAGCTCGGAAGTTTTAAGTGGCAATATTTAGCTGTTGATGAAGCACATAGATTGAAAAATGCAGAAAGTTCATTATACGAATCATTGTTTGAATTCAAAATTGCCAACAGGCTGCTAATTACTGGTACTCCATTGCAAAATAATCTAAAAGAGTTGGCTGCACTATGCAACTTCTTGATGCCTGGAAGGTTTGACATGGATCAAGAAATTGACTTTGATACACCCAATGATGAAGCAGAAAGTTACATAAAGGATTTGCAAAACAAGATCAAACCATATATTTTGAGAAGATTGAAAAAGGATGTTGAAACTTCTTTGCCCGGTAAGACCGAAAGAATTTTGAGGGTTGAATTATCTGATACGCAAACTGATTATTACAAAAATATTTTGACGAGGAACTATGGTGCATTGAATCAAGGCATTAAGGGTTCCCAGTTTTCACTCTTGAATATTGTTGCTGAGTTGAAAAAAGCTTCAAACCATCCATATCTTTTTGACGGGGTTGAAGATAAAGTGTTATCAAATTTTGGATCCACTAGAGAGAATATCTTGAGGGGTCTAATCATGTCTTCTGGTAAAATGGTTTTATTGGATCAGTTACTAAACAAGCTACGTAGAGATGGCCATCGGGTTTTGATCTTTTCGCAGATGGTTCGAATGCTTGACATAATCGGTGATTATCTACAACTCAAAGGTTTGAGTTTCCAAAGGTTGGATGGTACAATTAATTCTCACAAAAGACGAATTTCCATTGACCATTTTAATGCTAAAGACTCCAGGGACTTTGTGTTTTTATTATCAACTAGAGCTGGTGGTTTGGGTATCAATTTGATGACTGCGGATACCGTGATTATCTTTGACTCGGATTGGAATCCACAGGCAGATTTGCAAGCAATGGCTAGAGCCCATAGAATTGGACAGAAAAACCATGTTATGATATATCGGTTTGTTTCCAAGGACACGATTGAAGAGCAAGTGTTAGAAAGAGCAAGAAGAAAGATGATCTTAGAATATGCTATCATATCGTTGGGAATTACTGATAAAAAAGTTTCAAGTGCCAAGGCTGACCCATCCACTGGAGAATTGAGCGAGATCTTAAAGTTCGGTGCTAGTGCGATGTTTCAGAAGAAAGATAATCAAAAGAAGTTGGAAAATTTTGATTTGGAAGCAGTTCTTAACCATGCTGAAGATCACGTAACTACTCCCGATTTAGGAGAATCTAATTTGGGAAGTGAGGAGTTCTTGAAACAGTTTGAGGTTACGGATTATAAGGCAGATATTGATTGGGATGACATTATTCCTGAAGATGAATTGAAGAAAATCAAAGAAGAGGAACAAAAGAGAAAGGAAGAAGCTTTCCTCAAAGAGCAAATAGAAATGTCAAGTAGAAAGCGGAAGGCTGCAATAAAGACTGAATATCAAGATGAACAAGACGATGACGACAACACTAATGATGCTCCTGACAGAAAACGTGGGCGGAAATTAGATATGAACAAATTAACTGAGGCACAAGTCAGGAGTGTCTATAGAGCGATTTTGAGATTCGGTGATGTTGGTGTAAGAGTTGAAGAATTGATTGCGGACGGTACATTACCTAATAAAAATCCAGAAGTTGTGAAAAAATGCTATGATGAAATGTTTAAGAAATCTAAGGAATTGGTTGAAGGCGTTGAGAGCAAACGTTCTGCTGAGCTCAAAGTTTTGGAAGAAAGTGCAGCTGAAGAGAGACAGAAGATTTCACAACTGCCGCCCAATGCCGATGGGGCTCCTTATCCAACTCCAAATATGCAAGCTTTGAATGCTAAGAAAAAGGAGAAGAGAGCCGTGTTGTTTGATTACGGTGGATGTCGTAATTTGAACGCCGAAACCGTTCTTGCTAGACCTGTTGAATTGGAAGTGCTACGGAAGTATATACCCAGTGAGGATATCATGAAATTCAAATTTAGGGTCGACCCGAAAGTTGTGCATGGATGGTCATGTGATTGGAGCGCTGAAGATGATAGACATTTGTTGATCGGAATCTACAAATTTGGATATGGGTCCTGGATACAGATCAGAGACGATCCGATTTTGAATTTACAAAACAAACTATTTTTGGAAAGTGCACCTTCAACTGCAAGCAAAGAAGAAAAAGACAGAATCAACAAACGAATCCCTGGTGCTGTGCACTTGGTTCGAAGAGCTGATTATTTGCTCAACTTCTTGAACGACACAATTAATTTACCAGCCAAGCATGAGAAGAAGGATTCTGTATCGGCTGCCTCTACACCACCTGCTGGTAAGAAGGTCGGCAGAAAGCGTGGGCCCAAGAAATCTATGACACCTGACAATGGCGATAGTAAGCAAAATGGCAACGGGCCTGGCAGCAACAAAGAAAACGGTAACGGTCTGAAGAAGAAAGATAGTACCGAGTTGCTGAATATTTCCAATACATCTGCCTCTTCTCCATTGAATAGGGTTGCTTATGCTGCTGGGGGAAAACGTGGTAACACTGGCAATACACACCCATTGCTAACCCCTGTTGCAAGTGATCTAAAAATATGGATGTCCAAGGGTAAAGGGATGGACAAGAGTGAATGGGCCAACAAATTGAAAGCTTCATTGCTCAACATTGGTCGTTGCATTGAGGATGTTTCTCAAAATAAGCAAGGACTGAACCAGGAACTATGGATGGAGGCATGCAAGTCTTGGCCAAAGAAAGGTGTGAAGGCTGAAGATATTAAGCGTGTGTATTTCAAGAAGGTGAAACACGTGAAATGATCGATGCAAGCTGTAACTACATATATTGATGTATAGTGATCCGATTGATAGAAATAATAAAACGAATTTTGAGTAAAATGTTTTATCTACCGAAAATCGCCCTATTTGGAATACTTTTACTTAAATCGACGCGTCGCCAAGAATTAATACAAAGTGGAAAATGAAAACCTGGGAATCTTTTCTTCCCCAAACAATTATTTTCAGCGGAAAAATTTTCACTCTCTTTTCGTGGCAGGAGTTGGAGAGCTGGAAAAAAAGGACATTTTTGTCAGTTGCCCATTTCCAATTCGGTTTTCTTTCCATTTTGACTGTTTCTGTCTGCTTACTCTTTTTAGGTTTCGATCCCTTTTCCCTGCTTCTTTCCCCAGAACATATTTTTGGTTTTCATCGTCGTTTTATCGTCAGGTTTCATTTTTCTGTATAGTTGGATCTTCCTACATATTCGAAAAAGAATCTATATCCATAACTAAAAAAACTAAAAAAAAATTCAAAAAACTCTTGAAAAAAATTATAAAAAAAAAGATCAGATCAATTACCATTTGACTAGATTTTAATTACACCTTTTTTCTGAACCTGCTTTTTGAAACAAACAAACAATCAACAAACAACAAACAAACAATTAACTAAGAAAAAATATAAAAAGATATACATATACCATGTCTTCTCCTGATGTTAACCAACTCGCTGACAGCGTTGAAAAGCTCTCTGTCACCGAAAACACTGAATCTACCCCAGTTACCACTACTGAAGAATCCCCAGCCCCAGAATCTCAACAAAATGAGGTTCTTTCTTCTTTGTACGTAGGTGAACTAGACCCAAGTGTCAGTGAATCAGAGTTGTACGAATTATTCTCCGCAATTGGCCCTGTCTCTTCTATCAGAGTCTGTAGAGATGCTGTTTCTAAGCAATCCTTGGGTTATGCTTATGTGAACTACCAAAACCGTGGCGACGGTGAAAAGGCAATGGAAGAATTGAACTACGCTGAAATCAAGGGTAGACCATGTAGAATTATGTGGTCCCAAAGAGACCCAGCAGCAAGAAAGAACGGTGCAGGTAACATTTTCATCAAGAACTTACACCCAGATATTGACAACAAAACTTTACATGATACCTTCTCCTCTTTCGGTAACATTCTTTCCTGTAAGATTGCAGTGGACCAAAACGGAAACTCTAAGGGTTTTGGTTTTGTTCACTACGATAACGCTGATTCTGCCAGGGAAGCTATTGAGAGTGTCAACGGTATGCTATTAAACGACTTGGAAGTTTACGTCGGTCCTCACATCTTAAAGAAGGACAGAGAATCCAAATGGCAAGAATTGGTTGAAAATTTCACCAACATCTACGTCAAGAATTTCAGCACTGAATGGACAAAGGAAGATTTGGAAAAGCTTTTCACTCCATTTGGTACCATTACTTCCCTCTATTTGGCCACTGACGAAAATGGAAACTCTAGAGGTTTTGCTTTCATCAACTACGAAAATCATCAAGATGCTTTCAAGGCTGTTGAGTCTTTGAACAATACTGACTATGACGGTAAATTATTGTTTGTTGGTAGAGCCCAAAAGAAGAGAGAGAGAGTTGAACAATTGAAGCAACAGCACGAAGCTGTGAAGCAAGAAAAAATGAGCAAGTACCAAGGTGTTAACCTATTTGTCAAGAACTTGGATGACTCAATTGATGATGAAAAATTGAGAGAAGAATTTGCCCCATATGGTAACATCACCTCTGTCATTGTCATGAAGGACGATGCTGGTAAATCTAAGGGTTTTGGTTTTGTTTGTTATTCCACTCCAGAAGAAGCAACCAAGGCAATCAACGAAATGCATCAAAGACTTGTTGAATCCAAGCCTTTATATGTTGCTTTAGCTCAAAGAAAAGACGTGAGAAGAAACCAGCTTTCTCAACAAATCCAAGCTAGAAACCAAATGAGAATGCAACAAGCCGCTGTTCAAGGTGGTATGGGTCAATTTGTCGCTCCTGTCTTCTACAACCAAAACTTTATGCCTCAAGTACCAGCAGGTATCAGAGGTGGCGCTTTCCCAGGAGGTCCAAACCCAATGATGATGCAACAAGGTGGTGCAAGACCAGGTCAAGGTATGCCAAACTTCAATGTTGGCGCTAACGGTCAACCAGTTCCTGTTTACGTCCAACCTGTTTTCAACGACTACCCACAAGGTAGAATGCAACAGCAACAAAGATACTACCAAAACAGACCAAACCAATTACCACAACAACAACCAAGAAAGCAAGGCAAAGACGATAACTTAGCTCAAATCATTTCTCAATTGCCATCAGACCAACAAAAGAATGTTCTAGGTAACGAAATTTACCAAAAGATTGTTGATACTAACAAGGTCGAGGATCCAAACGCAATCGGTAAGATTACTGGTATGCTTTTATCCATGGAAAACACACAAATTCTAGCCTCATTGGAGAATGATGATTTGTTCAACTCTCAATTGAATGAAGCTATCAACGCTTACCAATCTTACAAAAACGAAGAATCTTCTGTTCCAGCTGAATCCTCCGAAGCACCAGCTGAGTCCAATTAAGTTGGATCCACTGTATTTTCAACGACAAAATCCTAAATATCTTCTCAACATAAATAGGAAAGCAGTGCCAATTTTGAAAATGTTATAGTTGGGGTTATGACACTTTTTTAATTGCTCAATATGTCTTATTCTGCTTTTTTAAGCCAAGCTTTTCCGTGGTATTTGCATTTATGTCTTTACCTATATTTTTCACTTTCTTTCAGTTAATTAATTATTTGTGTTTGTTTTCTATGCTTATCATTTTTTTGTTTTGAGGTGAAGCAGAAGTTTTCAGAAATGCATCGTTCATCTACATTAAGCTCTCTTTTACTTCTGATATTTATTGCTTCAATATATACATGTTTGGTGTAATTAACTTCTTTTTTTTTATAATGAAAAAAAAATAGAAAATTTTCAAAATAATACATAATGGACAAAGCTTACGGCTTGAATCCGCAACCTAGTGCTTATCACTCTTATCTAACAAAAATTCAAATTCGTCTCCCATATCATTTTGTAACCATGCTGCCTGGTTTGTAACGTCCTTCCATAGTTCCATGTCATTTGACGTGGATGATAATTGCTCAAATTCTGGTATATCGTCAATTTGATTGAAGATAGAAGATAAGCTTGGTGAAAACAAGCCAGTATTGATTTCATGTTGCGGTCTAGGACGATCCAGAATTGATGCCAATGAGTCCATAAAGAGAATTTGATGATGGTGAACCACATCTTGATTTGGGTTCTGTTGTAAATTAAACTGATGATCATTCTGATGGTGTGCTTGTGTATGTTGTAGTGTATGATGGGGCGTACGGCTCTGAACACGGTGCAGATCTTGCTGCTCTTTTTTGCGTTGGCTACCTCCGCTGTTTGTCAGTAATGCTGTTTCAGAATCTAATGGCTCATTCAATGGGCTCGCTTGAGAAGGTTTTGATGTGAGGGAATATAATGGATTAAATAGTGTAACATGTTTTGAACTTGCTGGGTTGGATATTTCTTGGGGCTTTTTGAACGGCTGTTCTAAAGATGGAGATTCATGTATTGCTGGTACTTCTTCGAGGGTTGGTTGTGATAATGAAGGAGGCTTGACAGTATGCGCAGGCGCAAAATGTGATTCTTGTTGTTCTTTTTCACTTATAGGGGTACTTTTCAAATCTCCACTAACGTGTTCAGAAGCATTTGTCTTTGTGTTGGCATTTGGATTTATATTTAAGCTTGTTTGCTCGGTATCTCCAACCTTTGCAACTGTAACATTATGACCAAAGGACTTGTCTAAATTGGCAGACGATGATGGGGGGTTTAAATTATCGTTATGCTTTTTGAGAAGGCCAGACATTGAGCCATTAAAATCAAGTATCGATATCAACCGTAAGATTTGTTCTCTTCTCAATGTTGCCGGATGGTTTCCTAGATTTCTCATTTTTGTGAAAAGAGTCAAAGCGTGGTCCAAGTGTTCATTCGTAGCATCATAGACGCCAAAGGTTGCATTGAATAACACAAGAGTTGCAGTTGAGTTGAAGAGGTATTCACGATCCATATATCCAAACATCGCTACCATGTTTTCAGGAACCAAAGCCCACAACGAGCGAACCGTATTTATAGATGCCTGAAACGAGGCATTCAATAAAGCCAAAACAACGGATGAGTATTTGGAAAGATCCAAGTACTTACCTTCTTTTGGATTGGTAGACTTGAGGTTTAGCAGCACAAAATGGAACAGAAGCGGTCTCACGGCTAGATTTATGCCCTGAAAATACTCAGTCATCATATTCACTACTAATCTGGAGATAGTCAATTCAGGCTGGGAGTAATCACAATTGATATCATGAGGAAGAGCTTTTTTCCATTTGAGCAATGCTACGACCATTTCATGAACAACAGGTAAAATGTTAGATGAAGGATGTCTAGTGTACAATTTTCTTAGTATATTGGCATTGATTTGCGTTATCTTGACACAATTGCTGATGAATTCAGCTTCTGGGAAAATGTAGTTCTCACATCCGGGAGCCGGCTGTGACATATCAAAGTCGCTTGGTAATTCTGTAGAAATATCCTCATCTGTAAGAGACAAGGGCAAACCTGCTTTAGAAGCAAGCATTCTCTCATACATGTAAACTGTCCACCATAATCTTCGCCTATGTTCAAGCTCGAATCGGTTTAACGTCTCTTTACCTATATCGACGTGTAAGCCTACTAGCAATGATGCTCTAAGAGCAATGCCAAAGTAAAAGTACGAAGCAGCCGTACAGTCAGCAACTTGAAGGTAAAATGCATACAAGAGCAAAACTTCGATTCCTCCTTCTCTTATACAATTGTCAATGGAACCACTTGCAAATAATCCGGTAAACAATTCACTGGCTTGGTTAAAAAATCCGGATCCGGGAAGTTTCGTACCTGTATAATTAGGTTTGTTTTTCTTCTTTGGATTCTGAGGATTACTACCATAATTTGTTTCCGTGTTTGAATTTTGTGCATCAGCAGTTGTGCCTGATGGTAATGATTGAGAAGCCAGCGTATGATGACGATTGAGTTTCTGTTTCTTCCTTCTAGGTTTTTCACTCAATTTGTATCCATTCAAGTAATTTGCAGTCCCCAAATACATTTCACCGGTTGCAAAAACTAACAGTAGTTTACAAAACCAAATAGTTTCAAGAGTTGACTCGTTTTGGGGAGAAGTGTTCAAAGACTCGATTCCATAATCTAACTTGAAACCTGTATCTGTCTCATCATTGTAAATTCTTCTCAAGTTTTCCTTCACCAAGCCTTCATTGAAAAAATAAAAACATCCATCGTTGTATGAAATGAATGAGTCAACTAATAACATTGCGTAGCTATAACTTGGCAAAGTAAAATTGACGTTTATACCCGGTCGTGAATGTGTTTTCCCAAGCATTATCCTGTAAGCGTTACCCTCTTTTTCAAGGATTGTTTCTGTTTCTGCTTTATTTTGAGGAGACTCCGAAACGGGCGACGCATCAGCTGCACCAGGACCTTCAGTGGCTTTGTTAGAGAGCATTGGGGCAACGAGTCGTCCGATCTCCAAACCAAAAAGAGTCATCGATGATGAGCCTATATATAACCTTTCACCTGTTCTTGAGTGAATAAGTCTTCCATATTGCTCAAGGAATGGTGGAATAACTTCTTGGTTCTTTTTCTCATTGCCAGTAGAAGAGTCATGAGCTTTAGAACTCGAGGATTTATTATCGTGCTGTCCAGCACTTTCATGTGTTGCTAAGCCATGGTCATCCAAAATATGGTTTTCACTGGTAAACTCCTTGTTAAAATGGGGCTCGGCTGTCTCCTTCTGATTAAGGTTTGCAACGGGTTGTTCCGTATCTTGCCTTTTATGGATCGTCGTTGCTGCATTGGTAGCAGGTGCATTCCCACTATCGTGCTCTAGGACTAGTTCCAAGGGCTCGTCTCCCTCATCATCGCTTGAGTAAGAAGATGCAGTTTTGCTCTGTGAGCTCTCTGGCATTGGTTCCTTTTTTGTTGTCTTCTTTAAAGTCCTCAAATTTGCATTCTCCACCTTGAGCTTCGATATTAAGTTTTGCAGTTTGTCCAAATATTTCACGCTGATCACTACCTTCCGCTCAGCCTCAAGATAAATGCAATTTTGCTTCAAGTTCAAGCAACGGGTACAGGGTTCCCCCATTCCATCACATTTGATATGCCGCTGTCTGCAATTTGTACAAGCCATATTGGTTCTCCTCTTTTTATCGGAAGAGGATGCCGTTGCCGCTTTATCAAACCCACCAGTGGGTTTCTCTATATACTCCTCCATCGGAGTTTCGCTTTCTGTTGCAACTAATATCTTGTCCTTTTCCAGCATTGCGTTCTGCAACCTGATGTCTGATATCAGCAGCTTTAAGCTGTCAGGACCCAGTTCTGATCGGTTGAAGCTCAAAAGCCGTTGGAGATCATGATTATTTTTATCGTCTTCTCTGTTTTTCAAATCGGCCGAGAATTTGTCGCTCATTCGCTGCTCATGTATGCTTTGCCTGATAGCGATAAAGAAAATGTAGAAGTGAACGCAATTACAAGTGCTATGGCTTGATCATCTATTACAAAAGAGCTTATAAAGTACATCAAAGCTTGGTTTCCTCAAGCTTTTCTGTTACGGATTCTGGTGTTGGAGCCGGAGAGCCCTCTTCCTCCTTAGCGCCAGGGTACTTGGAACCTCTGTTCTTGACCTTCTTGGTCTTCTTCTTCTCTGGTTGTGGAGCGGGATAACCCTCTGCTTCAGCGAGCTGGAACTCCTTATTGTTCTTGTACTCTTCGATGATTGGAGTCAACAAGACGTTGATGGCGTCGGCCACACCGGACTTCAAGTCAACAGGAGACAACTCTTCCTTAGCAAAGGTAGATTCGAGTTCTTCGTAGGACTTGAAGGAAATCGGACCACCATACTTTTCTGGTCTGTCAATAAAGAATTCAAAAGTGTCCTCACCGTACTTGAGTTCATGGATTGGGCCTATTACGTTTTTCACGAAGGCCAAAAGACCGTTTTCTTCGATGTTACCTGGAGCACAGAAAGCCTGGTTGATCTTCTTCTTAACCACCTTTGGCTCTTCTAGAAGATCGATCTTGGAGTTTGGATCCGATGCAGACATCTTGCCACCTTGCATCAAACCTGGAACCATACGGTTCATGAGATGTGCTCTCTTCTTGTAACCGAGACCTTGTATGTTTTCTTCGGCCAAAACGAAAATCTTTCTCTGATCGACACCACCTAGCTGGACGTCGACACCCAAGTATTCTTCATCCAATACCTGCATCAAAGGATAGATCAACCCGGAAAGGAGCGGGTTGGCAACTTGCTTGACCACATCCGCACCTGCTCTCTTGGCATCATTCTGTGAGACAATATTGGATAACTTGAACAAGTCCAGAGTGTATTGAGGGGTGAGTTGGTAAGAAGAGCCCAGCACAAACTTCAATCTGTCCACAGGAACGTTGATCGATCTGAGGATAGACTTCACCACAAGCTCGTAGTATTTAGCTCTGTGTTGGACCACCTCCAAAGGTGCTTTCATGTTATCTAGAAATGCGTGCAAGTCGGCAACAAGGACAGTGACCTCCACTCCGGCCTTCAACAAGTGGGCCAACTTGACCATAGGCACAAAATAGCCGCAATGTGGCTTACCAGTTGGAGCAGTACCCCAGTAAACCTTCAAAGGCCTCTTTTCAACCTCCAAGACGTTTTTGATGATTTGAGGATTGAGCACCTCTTGCAATCCCCTAGTGATGAGTTCATATTGTTGTTCAGGAGTCAGTTCAGACATTTTTGTACTAACAACTATATTCAGCAATCTTTCAGTCCGTTGATTTCGGTCTTATCCTTTCTTCTCTCCAACTATTCCACGGAGGATTTTTCTCCTATCTGAAAGAGTCACCTGTAACAAGGGAAAGTCGAGAAATTTCCACGTTTTTTTTTGGTAAGAAAAGGACGAGAGGAGACTATCGACTTTGAAGACTCGTTTCAGGCAAGGGAGGGTCCATGTTTCGGACATCGTGTGGTTCACGGCAGAAAGAAGGAAGACGACACAGATGGAAAGACAGCAGTCACTGCAGGTCGAAAATGGTGGAGACTCGAATGCCAGAGTCTTTTGATATAGACCCGCTGCAGCTCGATACGGAATTTTATTTGCGGTTCTACACAGGAGGATACCGAGATACAGGCTACGGACATGAGTTCCTAGAGTTCGACATCCGGCACAATCCAGGAGACAACTACGCCACGCTGAGGTACGCCAATCAATCGCACTACAGGGATGAAGAGCTGATCCGCAAACAGGTTTGCGTCTCAATGCTGGTGCTGGAGACAATCAAGACGATTGTGAGAGAGAGCCAGATATTGTTGGAGTCAGATCTGGACTGGCCTGACCCGCTCAAAGAGTCGAAACAAGAGCTGGAAGTGAGGTCCGGTCGCAACATCAAGAGGTTCAAGACCAAAAACATTTCCTCGCTTGTGTCGATCAAGTCGCAGAAAGATTCACAGGGGCTTTCTGTATTCTACTACCTTGTTCAGGACTTGAAGGTGTTTGTGTTCTCTCTGATATCACTCCACTTCAAGATCAATCCTTTGCAGATATAGCAGTTGTCTAGGCGGAAGGAACAGGCAATGCGAACGGCTTTGATGTTAAGATGCAGGATAAGATATAAATATGTAGTTCTATTTAGAGCGGTTAAAAAAAGTGCTTAGGAAAAGGCGGATGTGTCTGTCGTCTTGAGTAGTAATTATGTTACAAAAGGTTTCTGGGCTCTGGAACGAGGCCCCTCGAGCCGTAGAGGAGCTTCGAGCTTTGGGAGTGTGGAAGTGTTCGTTCTACCGTGCGCTCTGTGCTTGTTTGTCTATCAGAATGGGTCGTTCCGTTGTGTTTTATTGGCTGTGTAGTAAAGGGTGAGTTGTTGCTATTGTGGTAGGCCTCTTCGTATACCCTGGATGGGACGTAAACGTAGTTGTCGGTAACCGGAACGTGCTGTTCGTTTCTGTGCGGAGCAGGGACGGCGGGATATGCTGCCAAGTTCGTGGACGATGAACTGAAAGGATCCTCATCCGAATCGTCGGTGAACGTTGTGTTGAGGAACCCGTCGTTGTGTAGGTTGCTAGAGGACTTGTTGAACAAGTTTGTTCTGGAGTGGGAGACCGGAATCTCGTGCAGCTCGACGTCGAAGGGGTTCGACTTGTCGATGGAGTCCGAAGTGAAATCGTTGGAGAAGTTGAGGATAGAGTGGTCCACTTTCCGTTCCGCTTCGATGTCGATGACCATGTTTTCATTCTTCAAGAAAGAAGGCACCTTTCTTCTCTTTGAGAAGTCTTCCTCCAACATCTGCGACTTCACTGAGTACAAATCTGCCACGCTCCTGGCCACCAGATCTGCGCAGTACTTGCGGAACTTCATCTGAGACCTCTTTTTGGTGATGCTGATGACGCAGATGGACGAGATTATCATGATGACGTTTTTCACCGTGAAACATAGCCAGATAATGAACGAGAACATCATGAACGAAAGTAACACGGCCTCCTCCTTGTGGTTAGTGGCGATGGAGGAGATCACGCTGCCTATGTCGCCGCTTGTGAACTTGTTAGAAACCGAGTAAGCAATTGTTGCGCCATTCAAGATCTGTCTAGGGGAGTCGGCAAAAATCCAGCTGATGATGTCGTAGTGGTACTCACTATAGATGGTCAAGCACATCCAGTCGTGGAAGTTCTTTGTCTGGATCTCTTCGAAGATGCAGAACCGCTCGTGACTTTTCAACGAGTCGATAGTGCGGGCGCCCGTGTGGAGGTACGACTTGACCACTTTGTTCTCTCTTTCGATGAAAACCCCAAGCACCCAAAAAAAAATCACGTAAAGGAAAGAGATCCCGATGCACGTCGTGAAGATGATCTTGTACGCCAACACAGGGATGTAAGTGATTGTGTGGAAGTCGCTCCAGTTCTTCAACGCGTAGATCTGAACCAACGTGTACACATCTGACGCAAGAAAGAGCAGCTGCAATATCATCCCAAGCAGCATCATTATGTAGCTAATCACATTGAGAAAGCTGCATTTCCGGTAGTTGTGCTCCCCGCTGATGTTGTTGAAGGTGATGCTTTCGGGCTCATCAAACAACGTCGACGAAAACTGTGTCTTACTCTCCATAGTTGCTGGCTGCCCCCTTACACGGCGGCTTCTTTGTCTGCAACAGGAAGTGTGACTGGTTCGACGCTGAAAAGGCACTTAAAAGCATATCCAACCATCCGTTACTCTTAATCCAAACACACGGCCCTCCTTGAAGAGGCTCAGAGCACATATTCAAAGGCGAAACACCGCACACCAACGCACACGAGGCCTGTGAGGCATCCCTACGCGTGAAAAAAAAAACATGAAACGGCTGGAGGCTTAAAATAGAACGCTACACGTTTGCAACCCGTTTCGGACAGTAAACATACATATGGACATACACATTTCTTTAACAACGTCATCTGCTGCGACGGGTCCGTCGAGTGGAGACTCCCGGCTCAGCGTCGGTGTCTGCGGGCGCAGGGCTGACAGTGTTGGCGCTGGCGCTGGCAGCTGTTGTTGTTGTTGACACTGCAGCTGATGCTGTTCCTCCTGCTGCTGCTTCGGAGCCGCTGGCCTCGGGCGTCGGAGACGTCTTCGGACGGCGTCCCCGGCGTCTAGCGTTAGTAGCTGCGGTTGTGGCTGATACTCCGCCACTACCGGCTGTGGAAGCCGGTGTAGATGCACCGGGTGTCGTTGTTACTGTCGTCGTTGTAGGAGTAGCTGCACCTGTTGCAGCCGGAGGCGGTGATTTTAACACGGCTGGTGTCGTGGAGTTTGAGGCAGCTGGCGCTGGCGCTGTCACCGCTGCAGCAGCAGCAGTGGAAGCAGAAGCTGGGGCTGGCGCTGGGGCAGCGGTCTTTTGCTTCTTCGAAACGGTGGTTGGCTCTGTGTTCGGCGTGTCCAACCGTCTCTTCCGAGAAGACCGTCGAAGACGCATTCCCTCAGCGGCTTCGTCGACCTCCTCCTTGTCTTCGTTGTGTTCCTTCTCTTTCTCTTCAGCTTCGTCTCTTTGGCCATCTTCCGTCGCCACGCTCTTTACCTTGTCCATAGAAATGTTTGCGGCCTCCCTGACGCCTTCTTTGGACTGTTTGGCATCGTCCACCTCCTTGTCACTGCCACCCTCATTGTCACTCTCACCGCGTCTCTTAGAACGAGTCCTTCTTGTCGGCACCTCTGTCTCTGGAGCTGGAGTCGTCTTTCTCTTTCGACCGCCTCTAGGAGCGGTGCTCTCGGGCGAAAGAGGAGTGGGTGGCTGGTGCGTTCTCCCACTTGAACTGCTCCGTGTCCGCTTCCCAATCGCAGGTTCACCTACGTCGTTCTCGGTATTCTCGTCATCCTCTTGGTCTGATCTTCTTCTGAGCCTTGTGCTCCGGCGTGGAGTGACATCCTCTGCCGTATTTCTTCTTCTTCCTCTTTTTCTAGGGGTGGTAGATGTCGGCTCTTCTACCTTCTCCTCTGGCTCACTTTCAACTGCTACCGAGAGATTGTTCGCATCGTTCTCTGATTCCTCTGCGTCTTCCGATTTGGGAGCATCCTCTTCTTCATCTCCAGTCTCGCTCGTTCCCCTCGTGCCGGAATACTTTGTACGTCTTGCTTCCTCAAGATCGTGTGCTTTCTTTTCATTGTGCTGTGTTTCTTTTTCCACATTGATATGCAGTTTCCTAGCTTGTGCTCTAGTCAAATGTGCAGGCTCCTCACTATCTTCCCTGTCCTCATCTGTGTCCTCCTTCTTCTCGCTTGCGTCCCTCTTCCCTTCGTTTGCCTGCTCCATCACTGTTTCTGTCTTCTCTTCTTCGTCCTTTTGTTCTACTTCATTTTCTCCTTCACTTCTCTCTCTTGCCTCCTTTACCTTACTTTGTTCCTCTAATTGCTCTTCTTTCTCCAAATTTTTTATACTTCCTTCTTTCCGTGGCTCTTTTTTCTTTTGGTCTGCTTTTTCCACGCTATCGTTGCTGTTCGTAACCCCAAAATTATCCTTCTCAGTTTCTTTGAAAGGAACAGTCTCAACGAAGACCTTGTTCTTGTCCTCATCAATTGTAACGTGTTTAATGTGTTTTTTCTCTGCATGTGCTTCTTCTTCTGCGTCGTCAGCATCTTCTTTTCCTTTCGCCTTTTCAATCTCCTTTAACTTATTCTCGTCCTCGACGTCTTCTTCTTTCACTTTCTCCTTGTCGATGAAATTCACGCTATTATCAGCCTGGCGCTGATTTCTAGTTTGTATCTCCTCTGCATCTTTATCCTCAAGGGGCTTTTCCCCATCTTCTTTGTTATCGTTCGCTTGATCTTCCACTTTGGCAGCACCAGCGACAACATGTTGCGAGGAGGGCTCACTAGTGTTAGTTTCTCTAGAATCTAGCTTTGACAAACCCACCATATCATAGTACTCGTTAATTTTGGCATTGATTATTGCACTAGTCAATTTGGGTTCCGTATATTTTTCGGCCAGCTTCTTTTCGATTATGGATAAACATTCCGTGGCGTTCTTACCCAAAGGCCGATGAAAGCACATCAGGTTCAAAAGATATCCCTCTCTCTCCATATTCCACTCATAGTCTGTGGTAGACATTTTCGATAGAGGTGTTCGATCGTTCTCAAAATGGTATCTACTTGGGGCACTACAATTTTATTCCAACTACTTAAGCCTTTTATCGAGTAACAACACCTCTCAAAAAAGACATGAAGGGCCGAGCGAAACATGAAATTTCAAGTCATCGAAAAGAGTATCTTAAAAAGTAGTTGATCAGAAGGTGATCGCAGTCTTTAACGTACGTGCTATATATATTACAAAAGCTGGTTGCTTTTCAAGAAAGCGACCACATTATCGATCATGTCTCCTTTTGTCTTTCCTATCTTGATAAGGCCTCCCTTACTTTTGATGTAATTACGCAAGACATCGTTAGTGCAGTTCTGGAGACCACACTCACGGTAAAATATGATAGCCTTAGCATCAGTCAATGGATCAGAAAATTTCAACCCTCTGGACTTCTTGGCAGATAACTTTTCACTCTTCACATCATCTGAAGTCCTTTTTAGCTCGTTGTAGTTAGATACACGATTGTACCGGCTTTGCAGTTCCTTCACTAAACTTTGAAGTGATTCATCTTTGTTTATTTTGCGGCGGAGCAAAAGCATTTGCTGGTACATCTCGTCAAGCTCGAGTTGCTGCTCCCCAAAATTAGAAGACTCCTCTTCTTCTTCTTCATTGCTTTCCGCTCTAGTTTCTGAGCGAGGCACTTCCCGCTGCAATATGTGGTCTTCCATGACCTTGAATTTCCAAGAAAGTGAAGGATTGGAGAAAGCTTCAAACCCATCTAGCGTCAACTTTTCAATTAACTTATCCAGAATATGTGTATCATCCAATTCAGAGAGCGAATCCAGCTTGTTGATGTATTCAGGGGCTTTTCTGACTTCGTTTCCAAACGGAACTTCTACCATCGCTAATGCGTGAGGATATTTTTCAAACTTTAGTCCAAAATTTTCAGTAATGCCGGTAGGTATAAGATAGAAGAATCTGGGATACGAAGTTTTCCTTGGCATACCCCAACATAAAATCATCATTTTCTTTTTACAAAGTGACCTGTAGAGCGCAGCAAAGTTATCCAGTGAATTGGAGCTTTCCAGCTCTTCATCGTCTCCCGCAATTACAAACACAGCTTTGCTGATAATGGAAGAGGAGTTGAAATATTTAAATTTCCTAGTCCCAACGACATGCAAAATAGGTTTTTCGGATTCTCCGAACTTCATACACTCAGTTTGAATTTTTTCCTCCATCCCCATATATTGATCTGCAACTTGATACACCTTCTTGATGTCCGCTGTGTCTGCTTCATTGTCACCAGAGTTAGGTATATTTCTCTTCTTGACGTATTTCAATCGGTTTTCAATATTGTAAAACTTTACCTTTTTCCATTCGGTAGTAGTAAAAGGATTAATTCCCCTTACAATAATTTTAACATCACCAAAAATAAGAGGACATTGGAAGGCTGTTCTTCTCACTGTTGCATGCTTTACGATTTTTTCTTCCAAAGTTTCCAAAGATATCTCACTGATAGCCGGTAAGTATTTCTTTGCCTCTAAGTCGGTATCCATTGGAAAGTCAAAAAGCTGTTTGAATTCGTCAATTTGATGTGAGGCCATTTTGGCATCTTCTGACTCCTCGTTTTTCAGTATAAATGGATAAATCGTGATTTTGAAGTCATTTAAATCTCGTAGCTTATTGTGTATTTTTTGTTTGATACTCTCCTTGCCATTAAACGGTGTTTGACAGTCGGTGAAAAAAAAAACCTTTTTACTTGTGTATTCTTCTGTTCTTATCGGTATATTGGTAAAATCAAGCAAGGTTTGTTGTAGCATGCCATATAATGATGGGCCAAAACTGGCATTCACATCAACATCCTTGATTGGTAGCAAGCTATTCCACTTTTCGGTATTGTTAAAGGACAAATTGACCACTGTCTCCGTGGGTATAGCATTCTTTAGGTATCTGTCTAAGGTCTTCAACATGCCTTGGTTTAAATCTTGGAGCCGAAAAACACGGAATACACCTTCAGGGGTATCGACATTTCCGTCTTTCGATGCCTCACTTTTTTTTGCACAGTTAAAAATGTAAAGACCTAACCCAGTATTTGGCATAGTCTTCGTCAATGTGATTAGGAGATTCAAAAACGTACTGAAAATCGCAGTCATCTTCTCCGTCAGAGAGTTGGTCAAGTGCACGGCCAAAATGATTCCTTCGTGAATTTTAAAATTATTCACCGCCTCATCCTCATTTTCATCGTAGTCGTCAATACTGCTTTTATTCATCTCCTTCAATCTGCCTTGGAATAATTGTCATGTCCTTTCTACCTGAGCAATTGATAATCTATATCTCAATAATCTTATCTATTGTGGCTATCTTTCACATTAAAAAACTAATTCCCACGCCAAAGTTTTGAAGGTGCACGGGTGCTGTTTCCTGGTTACGACCGATACGAGATGAAAATAGAAAGTGTTGATGAAGTTTACAAACAGTCTTTCAAGTGAAGTTCTCCAAAAAGGATTATACTTCATCTTAAAGTTTGTGTTCGTCACACAGTTGCAATAAATATAGGTTTATATCATGAGCAAATACATGCAACTTGCTCTTCACCCCGAAGAGTTGAAATCTGTGATTCAATTGTACGTCGAAGCTGAACAACTTACTTCTGAAAACTGTTTAGAGGGTTATATTCGAAATAACCAAAACTTTCTCGGCTTGGCAGCAAAATACTAACGATGAGCTTTTCGAGCGTTTGGAGCACTTACTAGTGTTTTACGCCTTTCTTCTTTCATGTCAAATGTTTTATTGTTCTAGAAAATACTTCAGAAAAAAGATTTATCCATTAAACCCCGCATCAGAAACAGAAAAAACATGTTACGATCTGCTCAAACTAACATCTAGATCATTTGTGGCGGTCATTATGGAACTTAACCCAGAATTGCGTAATGCCATTATGATTTTCTATCTTGTTCTTAGAGCTTTAGATACCGTCGAAGATGATATGAGTATTGACCCGAAGATCAAGATTCCACTTCTAAGAAGTTTCCATGAAAAGTTACTTTTGAAAGATTGGACATTCGACGGCAATGCAGAAAGTGAGAAAGATAGGGTTGTCTTATTGAAGTTTAATAGTATCCTAGCAGAATACTCGAAATTGAAGCCAGAATACCAGGATATCATAATGGAAATTACCAACAAAATGGGTAACGGTATGGCGGACTATATCAACAATGAAGAATTTAATTTAGAAGGGGTCAAGACCGTGAAGGATTATGATCTTTATTGTTTCTATGTTGCTGGTCTAGTCGGTGTGGGATTAACACAATTGGGTGTTGCCTCAAAATTCAGTGATCCTTACTTATTGGATAATATGAAACTCAGTCATTCAATGGGCTTGTTTTTGCAGAAAACTAACATCATCAGAGACTACAAGGAAGATCAGGATGATGGTAGATCATTCTGGCCCGAGGAAATTTGGTCCAAGTACACTGACAAGTTATCTAATTTTACCAGGGCTGAAAATGAAGAAAAGGGTCTTCACTGTATTACGGATCTAGTCTTAGATTCAATGAGTCACATTAAAGACGTTTTGGTATACCTCACGATGGTTTATGACCACTCAACTTTCAACTTTTGTGCAATTCCACAGGTTATGGCAATTGCAACCTTGGCGGAAGTGTTTCAGAACAAGAACGTTTTCAAGACTAACGTTAAGATCAGAAAAGGTACTGCTTGTGATTTGATTTTGAACTCTAGAACCTATGAAGGTGTTTTAGACATCTTTAGCAAGTACTTGCAAATCATTCATCACAAATGTCCCGTCTCTGATCCAAACTATCTTGCCATTGGTATAAAATGTGGTGAGCTAGAACAGTTCATAGAGGAGCTCAACCCTAATCCAAAGCATTTACCAAAAGGTGTCAAACCAATGCAGACTGAGAATTATTTGCGTGCATTGAAGAAAATGGAAACTGAAGAATCTATCAAATCTTTAATCAGGTCCGAATACATTGGAACAAACATCATTTTGACTTTCGTTGGTCTCTCAGCTATCTCAATTATTTACACTTTCGTAGATCTGTTCTTTCACGGTTTATAAACTCTTTCTTTCCTTTCTATCAATAAGTAATTTTTGACCAACTCATCTGAACATAAGCCATATTAATTGTTTCCAAACAAAATATATATACACGTTTATGGGCACAAATTTATAAATCTAAAAAATCCACCAATTTCATATCCGCTTCATAGTCGTAATTTGTGAAACCGTCAATGATTTCATGTTCTTCCTTCCGACGTTCTCGCTCAACCTCTATATTCTTTTCTAAAAAGTCATAGTTCAATTGAGTTTTAATATCAGCTACTGACATGAAAGAATCATTCTGCAAGAGCTCCTGTAAACGTCTGTCATGAACTTGTTCATTCATTTGAGTCAAGAAGGATTTTATTCCCAACGGTATTGTTTCAAAGTCTTCTAACACCCGAACCAAAACGTAGAACAAAGTATCAAACTCTTTCCCAAAACATTGACATCTCATAAGGTGTAAGTAGTTTTCAGCTGAAAGTTGTAACCCCAAATTTTTGAAATAGCTTAAAAATTTCAATCCTAGCAGCTTGCAAGGAAATTTGGAAATCTGATGGAACACAATGTCTTTGTGTGTTTGGGTCAAAACTGATCTATCCATACCTAATCCGTTTAAAAAAAACACAGTACTTCCAGGATGACAGTCTACATTGTCTATAGATGAAAGGATAGAAAATATAGCAATCTTCTTCACATCTTCTAACTCTAACTTTTGGAGTGTGAGCAATTTTTCATCTATGTTAGCGTAAACGTCAAGCTCTTGAATAGATAGTAGAGCAGTTGGTAAATCTTCATTTTTGGGCAATGCAAGAGTTTTATCACTAACCAACCCTTCCAGAATAAGCATGCATTGTTCAAACCCGTAAGATGATATTAGTTTGAGACATACAGCATTTTTAACAGCAGTTGACTGAATTTTTGGTATCACCATCAAGACTTTTTCTTTTTCATCTGCCAAGAGCATAGCATCGGCATAGCATTCCCAAGTTGTATCGGTTAATTCCATACTCAGTATATTTTCAAACACCTTAACTAGTATAGCACTATTTTTAGAAGCAAGTGCACCTGCTAAAATGTGAGAATAGTTTGGTTCCGTGCACAAATTGTACTTAGATAGTACATCGAGTAAGTGAAGAATGATTACCGTATCATTACGTTTGATGGCCTCTTTCAAAATAGTAAAAAAACTTAAAGAATAAGCTAACTTCCCTTTATCCAAATACTTATTCTTTGAAAGCTCTTCAAATTCTTGTAACGCCATTAATGATGCCTGTTCGTATTGATCATTTTGTAAAAGCCTAGGTATTTCATAGTAACCCACACACATTTTCATTCTTCTGAGAAAATCTTTGTACTGTTCACTATATATTTCTGTGCCATCTTTGAGAAATATCACATTTGCAATTGTAGTAATCTCTCTGTTTAACATTTTCCTGTCTTTGATACTGTTGAGTATTCGCAAAGCCGCCGTGAACTGTTTTGTCCCGGACCGAGAGTTCAACAGATAAGATAACTCTTGTTTCAAGTCATTCCTTGATGTATTGAACTTTGTTAATTCTAACAGTCGTGAATTCATTTCATGGAATATACGTAACTCTTCTGCACACCATGTCAGTGTTCATTCCGGCAAATTTCACATTGTTGATGTATTGTATCAGAAAACTACTTTTCATGTTCAAACTCTCGGAAGCGAGGGAGTGCAAAATAGTAGATGGAAAAAAGGAAAAGTTTGGGATTAGATTTCAGTGGATGATGAGTGGTCCGGGCCATTAAGATAAAACCAAAGAAGAAATCAAGTTATCAGAGTTCATAACAGCATCTATATCTTTCAAAAATGTTAGGTAGATCTTTGTATAACAGACTGACCTTGAGATACTACTCGCAAAAGACTGGTGGTGCCAACAATGTGAAAGTTTTCGACAGACATGTCAAATGGTTACAGAAAGAGAGAGCTGCTCATAACCCAAACTCCAAATTTGCAGAGTACCTACGTGATGAAATAAATCGCCGTACTATTGATAGACTAGCTTTTTTGAAGACAGACTTCACCAATGTCCTCGATTTCGGTGCCCATGCTGGCAATTTTGAGAAACTACTATGCGATCCATCGAGGGACACTCAAAACTCGCAATGGAAGGCGGATAGAGAGCTTATCAAGTCAAAGATAGGAAAAATTGTCATGGTGGAATCCTCTAAATCGTTACTGTATAAAGATTTGACTTCAGCGTTCAATAATGAACTTAATATTGATAGAATCGTCGCTGACGAAGAGAATTTTGATGTTCCTGAACTTTCTGAACCTAACCAATATGACCTAATTATTTCCAACTTGTCAATGCACTGGATCAATGATTTACCGGAAGTATACAAAAAGCTACACAATTGTCTTAAACCAGATGCATGCTTCATTGGCTCGATGTTTGGTGGTGATACTCTTTTCGAGCTAAGAACAAGTCTACAGCTAGCAGAGATCGAGCGTTATGGTGGTCTATCTCCTAGGATTTCTCCCTTTGTGGAATCATCAGATGTAGGTAACTTGATGCAAAAGGCAGGCTTCCAAATGCTTACTGTTGATGCTGAAGAATTGATAGTAGATTACCCAAATGTCATGGCATTGATGGAGGATCTACAATTGATGGGTGAGAACAATTCAGTCCTAATGACTCCCCCTCCTCTTACTAAAGACTTATTGATGGCTGTCGAGCCTATTTACAGAGAAATGCATGGTGACAAAAAAACTGGTCACTTGCCAGCAACATTCAGGTTTGTGTATATGATTGGTTGGAAACAAGGTAAGTATTTGGCTAAACCTGCACAGAGAGGAAGCGCAAACGTTAGTTTGAAGGATGCTTTAGACGGTAAGACTATTACAACCACTACTACATTAACCGAAGATGAGGAACCTACGACGACGAAGAAATAAGCAAACTTCTAAGAGATGGTTTTCCTGTGTATAGTATGAATATAAACGAATATGTTAACAAGTAATGAACACTATTTATGGTATATTCATGATTTCTGAGAATACGTGAATTCCTCTTTCAAAAACTCACTCAAGCTACCTCCCTCAGAATTGAGAGATTTCAATTTTGTTCTCAAATTTGCGTCCATCAAACTCCGGCTGTCAAGATAAAAGACAAGTTTGACAAAAAGGTATTTGGTAAACTCATCACAATTCAATCTGAATTTCTTTAAGGCCTGCTGTATTTCCTCATCTGAAGCAGAGATGAAGTTTAGCTTGGAATTGAAAAGGTGGGCAGCAAACTTCCCTATGTTAGATTTCCCTTGGAAAATTCCTTTGAATAAATCATTAGTCATTATTTTGATGAAGTGTGAAGAGTATTTCGTTATCACTGTCGGCTTACCTTGCACTACTATTTTACTAGATTTATCAGCAGACAAATTTCTTAAAAACAAAAATTTTCGGTCTCTTTGATTAAGTTTCTTTGTTTTCTTTCCTTCTGACTTATCAGCAGTTTCGCCAGTATAACGCCCATTGGGATAAACAGTAATTGAAACTTTAATCTCTTCATCGGATTTGTCAAGCGGTAAGTTAAGGATTTTGACAATTTCTTCGCCGGTGGACTTTTTTGCTTTATTGATATTCAGGATTTTCTTGGATTTCAGATGTGCTTTTGTTGTTTGCTTATGAAACGTTACCTTATCAATTATTATTTGTTTCAGCTCCTCGGTCGTTTTGTTCTCAAAATCATTAATGACCAAAGGAATATTCATTTTCTGATTTACAATGATGTGCCTGTCATCTGCTTTCAGACTCTCAATAAACTCATTTAAAATTTTAAGGAAAGACTCGCTTAAAGAAGCATCGGCTGAGAAGCTGCTTAGTTCTTCCCAAAACAAAATCCGATCATTAATTTCCCAGTCAAGATAAGTTTTTTCTACTGTTTTCAACAAATTGTATAGCGGCCTCTTTTCAAAACCAGCTGGAGTGGATTCTATCATATTTGCAAAAAACCTCAAGAAGAAAAGAAAGTGTTTTGAATTTCCGATGACACATGCTTTTATTATCCGGAAACGATTATCAGAAACGCTAATATCCTTGTAGAGTGTGTCAGAAGACTCAACAACTGATACAAGGACTGTGTTTTGATCACTGATTTTGTCTATCAATTTGTTCAATAAAGGATCTATGACGCTGAATTTATTAAAGATCGCAGTTAAACAAGATTGGATATCTGGATCATTGTAACGGAACATATCACATATCATGAAATCATTCATATCAAGTTTTTTTTTGGCTGTCAATGATAACAGCACATAAAGATATATTCGTGTCTCCCTTCTCGTTGCGCCTGGGTATAGTGGGACCACTTGCAATCTAAATGAATCTAATTTCTTGATTGATTTTTTCAGATCTATAACAAGTTTGATCAAATTTAGTGAGTGTGTATCTAAAGTTGAGAAGAAGTTTGATTTATGGAGCTGATCAAGACATATCTTCTTCAATTTTTCTGGGTATTTGGTAAATGCGTTGTTATAGGCTCTGATGACATCAATGTTGGCAAACGATTGTATCGTGTAAAAGAGTTCGTCAAAATTGAACGCAAAAAATCTAGAGTTTGTCTTCTCGAATAAGAGCTTCACTATATACATGTGGGTTATCTCATTGTTATATTCGGTGAGACACTCCAAGCAGAGATCATTAAAGTTTTCCGAGTCGTCCAAACCAATATAGGGCGCCACTATATCCTTTTCCAACGAAAGCAATGCAGTCAAAGCTATAAAGGCGTTCTCTCTAACTTCAGTATCCGCTGAAAATGAAATATATGATAAGAGGATCAAAAAAAACTTCACATTCTCGTAAGGTCTAAGATCATTGACATAGGCAAAGTGGAGGATTTTAGACACGCAAATTTTGAAGTTATGACCATGTTCAATGGGTATATCCACTATTCGACAAAGCTTCAGCAAAAAACTGAGCACCGGTCTGAGAAGTGTGTTTTTAATGTTGTCACCGTTGGAGTAGCTGGATACCAGCACAAACAAATCTAGATAATCTATGACCGATTTCCACTGTATATTGCTTGCCGGAGTTGTGTAAGAGATGTCGGCCAACTTAGGGTACGCAAGGGTCTCCAAAGAAAGTAGGGAGTTTTCGGTCCAAGTTGCATCCTTTCCTTGAAAATAGGCAGCATATTCTTTAACTGAGAAATGGTCTAGAAAGACTTGGAACTGTAGGATTTTGTCGATATTCGAGCTCGTGACCAAATCCCCCCGCTCGTAGGCCAGTGTCCCAAGCTTGACGTAGAGCTGTAAGGTGGTCCGCAAAAGCTTATCGTTGACGCATTCAGTGTTGATGATGCAATTGTGCAAGGACTGGGAGATGTAGTCCACAATTTCAGTGTCGAGGCACTGCTGGGCGTTGTTGAGGATGTAGGATAGCAGGTTGATTGTGTGGTTTGCCGAAGAGGCGTCGACGGTAGCCACTGCTTGACAGATAAACTGCTGCAGCACCGTCTGATCCGACAAGACCAATTGAAGAAGCGGTTCGTTGAGTTTTCGCCCAAGCATCAGGTGCAGCATCGTGCGGTAGATGTAAGGGGTGTCGGCCTGCAAATGAGCCAACGAGGACTGACACACTTGATAAAGGTTACGGCCAGGGGCGGAGCTCAAGTCGGCGGTTTTGAGCATCCTCAACAACAGAATCAAGTGCTTGCCCTTGAAGATCGGGAGAGGCGTCTCCGACAGCTCCGGCTCCGACGCTAACAGCACGTACAGCTGCGACGCCGTCTTGGATGCATCCTTTGTGTCGCTGAGAAAGTCTTCGATTCTTTTCTTCAGCTCGTTCGTAGACACCGACGGCTCTTGTCCGGACATCGGTCAGGTGTCTGCGGATATGCACAGAACCTTTGTCTGGCCCCCCAGTGTCTTCTGGAGCACGGGGGCGGGCCCAGAGTAGCTGGTGATAAACGGTGATAAACGGTGACGCTGGTTTTGCCGAATCGAGCAAGAGCGATCTCATCGGGAGGCAGATCGACAATTACATGTCACGGGCGGGCCCGCTGGTGTTGTTATATAGCATAGTACATGTATAGAGACAAGCCTACTTAGCTGGCGTTTGCTGCTGCTTGCTGCTGCTGGGCTTCCCCTCCCGCCTAGTGAAGCTGAACTTCTCGTGTTCCGGCAGTGGCGTGTCGAGCATGTCAGCCAACTGCTGCCGCTGCTGCTCCGAGTCGGTCCGGAACGTCAGCTGCACCTGGTTGATGTAGCTGCCGACGCCAAAGTACGTGCTGCGGGGCACTTTGAAGTCGACGAGCCGGGGCTGCTGGTCGACACCCTCTGCGCCGGCAACGGCCTCCTTTCTGCTGTCGAGCGTGTGCTTCACGTGGGCGTAAATCTGCCAGACGCACGCCTGCGTCTGCGGTCCTGGCCGGACAATGTACACGACCCTGGTAAGAGCGGGCGGCATGGCGAGCTACGGCCGTACTGCAACATCTCTGTCACTTTGATCTCCTGACCTTTTCCTCTTCTTTCTCTTTGCCTCTTCCTTTTCGCCTACGCCCTCGACAGAGGCTTGGACCGTGAGGGCTTAAAATAAACAATTGCGGAAACGCCGCAAAAAAAAGCTCAGCTGCGAAAACTCGCGTTCTGTGTTTTGCTGTTTTCCTTTTCCTCCTTTAGCACTACCGCAGCCTCTGATGTTGACTGTTGAGAGGAGTTGCAGACGTAGATCAGAAGAAAGAACAGGGCCAGACAGACAGTAGCAGGACGCACGAAGCACACACGAAGCACGCACGAACACACACGAAGCACATACGCAACAACCATGCTCAGCAAACTCTCCACACTCGCTCTTTCCGTGGCATCCCTCGGCGTCTTGGACACCGCTTTCGCCAAGTCCAGCTCGTCCTCTCCAGCCGACATCCTGCAGTTCGACAACGTCGGATACCTCGGGTATTACTACCCGGTGACGAAGATCGAGGCCCTGAGTGACGGCAACTGCTCGTGCGAGAAGGACATGGAGAACCCGTTCGTTTTCTCCGGCCCGTTGGCTCCCTTGGACGAAGAGCTCACGGTCCACTTGAGAGGCCCTCTCAACTTGAGAAAGTTCGGCTACTATGTCACCGACTCGTACTCGTTTGGCTCCAGTTCCGGAAGCTGGGAGCGGAAGGCGTACTACGACTCCGAGCAGGGCACTGCCAACAACGTCACCTTCCTGGCCAACTACGGAAATAAGAACGCATGTTTGGGCAACGCCACCGACTACGTGACCCCAGACGGCCTCAAGCTTGCGAACGACTCGCAGGTCCTCGATAACACCACCATTCCCTCCGGCTACGAGGTGACCATTGCCTCGGACATCAAGTGCCAGGGCGAGGACGACTGCGGTGCTTACAGAACCGACGGTCAGGCCTACCACGGCTTCTACGGCCTCAACAAGATGTTCCTCTTTGAGTTCTGGGCCCCATCCGACATGTCCGAGGAGCACAAGAAGAACAAGACCGACGGATACGACATGCCTGCCATCTGGTTGTTGAACGCACACATCCCAAGAACCTCCCAGTACCCAATGAACCCTAACTGCTCCTCGTGGAACACCGGAGCCGGTGAGTTCGACATCTTCGAGGTCATGAACTACACCGAGAGAAACAACTTCTACTCCACCATCCACGACTTCCAGGGCACCGACGACATCGGAACCGGCTTGCAGAATTTCGGCTACTTGGAAAGAACCCCGGAGTCTGTCATGACCGGTGGTGTCATTTTTGCCGAGGACAAGACCATCACCGTCTTCCTCTCCAACAGCACCTCCATCGACAGCACCATCAACAACTCCGACTTGTCCAATTGGGTCTCCGCCCTCGAAAAGGAAACCGAAGACATCAGAACCTTGTCCTCCATCTCCCAGGCCCCTCCTTCGCTGACAACAACCGGCAAGTCCACCAAGACCAAGTCCTCCGAGTCCACAAGCAGCGCTAAGGTCTCGTCGGTCTCTTCCTCCTCCCACAAGAACGGTGCAGACGTGCTCTCAGCCGCCCCTTCCTCCCTCATGGCCACCTTGACTTACGTTGTTTTCAGTCTTTTCTACATTTGATTCCCTTCAGTCCGGTTCCACACTTCTTCTCCCGAGAAGCTTAGAAGCTACACTACTCAAACCAAAATCCATCGCACGTATACATTCTCCTTGTTCTTTCACTTTCTTTCTTTCCCTCTTTCTCTACCCTTATTTCCTTATTTCTCCCCGACCGTCCCGCCAGCGCCTGCCGCTCCACCTTCGGACGCAAAAACTACTAGAGTTTCTTTCACTACCTCCCCTCTGTCATTCTTGACATCAGGGACAGCACGCATTTTTTGTACTAGCAATATTTACCGTCTCTTTTGAATTCTATACATCCGACCCTCTAGACCTCCAAAATAGAGGCTCATCTGGCCGTTCTGGACCGATCGGCGCGAAATTGGGCTTGCTGGGCTTGTTTGGCGGACTCGTGTCGCCAACGGAGGTGGTGGGAAAGCCATGTGTTGTTCTACTTGGTTGCTGCTGGGGTTGGCTGGAAGGGAACGGGGCCGGTGGGGCAGGTAGGACCATTCTTGACAGCAGCAGCAGTGCTTCCCCGTCCGTAGCACGTCTGTACCACATCAGCCATGTCGAACCAATGGACCGTTGACCCAGACACGCGTAGGAAGTTGCTAGCTTTGCAGAAGCAGCCAACAAACAAGAAATGCTTTGATTGCCAGGCACCGAACCCACAGTGGGCGTCGCCTAAGTTTGGAATCTTCATCTGTCTCGAGTGCGCCGGGATCCACCGTGGGTTGGGGGTGCACATCTCGTTTGTGAGATCGATCACGATGGACCAGTTCAAGCCGGAGGAGTTGAAGCGCATGGAGCTGGGCGGGAACGAGAACTGCGGCAGCTACTTCAGCTCGCACGACGTGGACATGAAGCTGCCTGCGAAGGAGAAGTACAACAACTACGTGGCCGAGGACTACAAGGCGAAGTTGGCGGCAGAGGTGAATGGCGAGGAGTGGACCGAGCCAGACCACACGGGAGAACCGTTGTTCGGCAAGAACGACGCCGCGGGCAACGGGAATAACATCGGCAACAGCAGCAACAGCAACAGCAACAGTAACAGCAGCTCCATTGCCAACGACTCCGCCAGCTCGAGAGGCCCGCAGAAGGCCGAGAACGAACACTACTTTGCAAAGCTGGGAAGCCTCAACGACACCAGGCCTACCGATCTCCCCCCTTCCAAGGGCGGCAGGTACCAGGGCTTTGGCAGCACGCCTGCCCCAGACTCGGGCTCCGGCGCCGGCAACGCTGCGGCCGGCTCTCTGGCCGGCTTCACGCTCGAGGCGTTCCAGAGCGACCCTGTCGGCACGTTCAGCAAGGGGTGGGGTCTGTTTTCCTCCACCGTGGCGAAGTCCGTGAAAGAGGTGAACGAGTCGGTGATCCAGCCCAGCGTCAAGCAGTTGGGCGAGCAGGACTACACGATCCAGGCCAAGAGGGCTGTGGAGCAGTTCGGCCAGAGGGTGTCGGAAACCGGCTCGGTGCTACAGGGCCAGTTTGCCGAGCAGCAGCACCAGAACAGCAAGTTCGGACAGCTATTCGACGGTTTGGGTGACGCGTCGATCCAAGACGAGGCTGAGGTACAGCCGGCGTTTGGGTTGAAGAAGCCCGAACAGAAAACCACCTTGCCTGGTCTCGGCGGCAACGTCAGGGCCAGCAAGGACGACGACGACAAGTGGGAGAGCTTCTGAGATCCCCGCAGTGCTAGAACTGCGTGCGAGCTGTCTTTTATATATTCATGTGTCCATGTATACAAGTAGTCGCTGCTAAAACATGTCCAAAGCCATACCGCAGAGTGTTGTCGTTGTCGCTGCCACTCCACACGTTCAACACACGATACCCCGCAGCCGACTGAAAACGGTCTTTTCACTGACATCATCGGCTAGGACATCTTCGGCTAGGACATCTTCCCCGGGACCTTCACGGCAAGCCCGTCTTTCGTGGAACGATTCCGTCCCTCTGCTGCCTCTCCGCCTTTCTTTGTCTGTCGCCATTTTCCGCATTTGGCGTGAGACACGAGATGAGGCATCTGCTCCGAGGGGAAGTCTTTTTTCCACAGGTCAGCAGAACGTATAAATATGGGGAGGCCCTGGGCAGGGGACGGGAAGTCGGTGTCTTCGGACCGCCTCCGTCTGGTTGGTCGGGGTTTTGCGTCAGCAACAGCACAGTAGACAATAGATACCGGTCAGAAGCAAGTCATGAGCCACACAGAAACAAGCACCGCTCAGGGCACGGCCCACTCTGCTGCTGCCGCCGCTGGCGGCGCAAATGCGACAGGATCCGAGATTCCGGCGGACATCAAGCCGGCGTCCACCAAGGGCTACACGGTGACGACGCAGGGGGCACACAACATCACGATGGGCAATGCGAACCCACACCAGATCCCGAAGTTTGACGACCCGTACAAGGAGCGGGAGTGGATCTTGGAACACATGGCCGGTGTGTTCAGGGTCTTCGGTAGAAGAGGCTTCACCGAGGGCTCTGCAGGCCACATCTCCGTGAGAGATCCTGTTGACCCAACCACATTCTGGATCAACCCGTTGGGGATCCACTTCTCGCTCTTGAAGGCCTCCGACATGGTCCGGGTCGACGAGGAGGGTAACCTTGTGGGCGGGAACACGTCGGCGCCTATCAACGCCGCTGGGTTTGCGATCCATTCTGCCTTGCACAAGGCAAGACCAGACATCAACGCAGCGTGCCACACACACTCTAAGTACGGGAAGGCGTACTCGGCGTTTGGCAAGCCGCTCGAGATGATAAACCAGGACGTGTGCACCTTGTACAACAACCACTGCGTATACTCGGACTTTGGCGGCGTCGCCATCGAGAAGGAGGAGGGCGAGGCCATCGCCAAGGCCGCCGGCGAGTCCAACCGCTGCATCATCCTGCAGAACCACGGCTTGCTAACCACAGGCCGCACGGTCGACGAGGCCGGCTACCTCTACACGTTGATGGAGACGTCCTGCGAGGTGCAGCTGGCCGCCGACGCCGCAGCCGCCAGCGGCAAGGAAAAGAGACTGATTGGTGACGCCGAGGCCGCATATACCGCGTTCATGAACGGCGACCCGGAGACCCTTTACATGGAGTTCCAGAACGACCTAGCCTTGGAGAAGCACTACGACGACTCGTTCATGTCCTTCACAAAAAATCAATCCGCAAAGGTGTGATGCTGGGCTTCGATGACTACACATCTTTACCTGACACGCCTGCCTGCCCTGCTCCCCTCCCATCTGCGCTAATGTATACAAGTAGAGGCAGCTCAACCCGCCACCATACACCCTGTTGTCTATATATAAACCCTATACCAAAAAAGCTAACCGACAATTTCCCCAGCAGGCCTCGAGGGCCGTTTTTCCCTGCGTTGGGCTTATCCGGTCGCAATTGCGAGGCGCTTATCTTCCCTAATCCGCATTTGGCGGATGCACCTTTCAGCGCCGGCTCTATATTGCCTGGAGCCTGGAGTGTAGGTATAAATAAGAGTGTATGGACGTGTCATCCATGGAGACGGTGTCTGATGTATGTTTACCGTTGGTTTCGGGCTCCGACATGAAACGAAAATGACGCCAGCATCGTATAGCACCGGATAGGTCGATAGTAGATATGACATCAACCGCAACAACAACAGCCACTACGCTACAAAACGTCAGCATTCCTTCGCAGGTGAAGCCAGCCAGCACTAAGGGATACACCGTAAGCAAGAGCGGGGCAGACACTTTGTCATTCGGAAATGCCAACCCACACCAGATTCCGAAGTTCGACGACCCGTACAAGGAGCGGGAGTGGATCTTGGAACACATGGCCGGTGTGTTCAGAGTCTTCGGTAGAAGAGGCTTCACCGAGGGCTCTGCGGGCCACATCTCCGTGAGAGATCCTGTTGACCCAACCACATTCTGGATCAACCCGTTGGGGATCCACTTCTCGCTCTTGAAGGCCTCCGACATGGTCCGGGTCGACGAGGAGGGTAACCTTGTGGGCGGGAACACGTCGGCGCCTATCAACGCCGCTGGGTTTGCGATCCATTCTGCCTTGCACAAGGCAAGACCAGACATCAATGCCGCATGTCACACACACTCCAAGTACGGAAAGGCGTACTCAACATTTGGCAAGCCGCTCGAGATGATCAACCAGGATGCCTGCATAATATACAACAACCAAGCAGTGTATGATGATTTCGGGGGAGTGGCAATCGAAAAGGAGGAGGGCGAAGCCATCGCCAAGGCTGCCGGTGAGTCCAACCGCTGCATCATCTTGCAGAATCACGGCTTGCTAACTGCAGGCAGAACCGTCGACGAAGCTGGTTACTTGTTCACATTGATGGAAACCTCGTGCGAGGTGCAGCTCCTGGCAGACGCTGCAGCTGCAGGTGGCAAGGAAAAGAAAATCATCCCAGCCCCAGAAGCTGCTTACACCGCATCTGTGGAAGGCGACTCAGACAAGCTGTATTTGGACTTCCAAAACGACTTGTCCTACGAGATCGCAATGGACGACTCTTTCATGACGTTCACTAAAGCCAACTAAATATAAGCTCCTATTTCCTGCTTTTGTAAGCTTAATTGTTATAGTAAACAAACTTTTCCCGTTTAGCTGCTGGAAATGTAATATGTTTCACATGAAAAAAATGAGTTTGGATTTAAAGCAAGTTCTTGTAATAGCCTCGTTTCTTAGCGTGGCTACTAATTTTCTTCAACTGATGATCACTACTTTCGTTACTAGCGGCCCGAAGAAAGTTTACTCTTTGGCAAAATCGGTTGCCACTCCGAAGTAATGGAGAGGAAGCTATGGACATCAATGATGAACGGCTGAACGATATCACAAACTACGTGGTCGATTTGCGAAACAACGATGTCTTTATCCCTACAGACTTGTCCTCGGAAAACGAACTACCAAACAACAATAATGGCAACACCACACGGACGGCATATTTAGTCGTTGATACAAACTTCATACTAAGCCATTTGTCTTTGCTAGATGATCTGGAGCGACTGTTGCACACTAAATACATGGGTACATACCAGATAGTTATTCCAAAACAGGTTGTACACGAGCTGGATGGATTGAAAGACGCAGATCGGACCATCGACTCCAGGCATTCAATTTCTCGCCTGGCACGATCAGCAATAGACTGGTGTTACTTGCATTTCCATGAATCGATGCCTACAGTTACAGGGCAGCGACTGCATGAAAGGATAGATAAAAATGCCCTGAAAGACAATGCAATATTGGATTGCTGCTTATACTTTCAAAACGTGGAAAATGGAGGAGGCAACATGGTGGTTTTGTTGTCTAACGATAAGAACTTATGTGTGAAAGCATTGGTAAATAACGTTTTAACTATCAGTTATCGTTTGGGGATGACTGCAGATCTGATTGCTAATAATGTGGTTTCGGAGCTAAACAATAACTACAATTTCGACGATTCCTCAAATCAAATGCCACCCGAAGGCCAATTCAACAGCAACGATTCTAATGTGTTAATGAATAATGATGATATGGATGTTGAACCAATTTATATCCAAGAAAACACAATCGACCTTGTTCCAGACGGGCAGGATACCTCAACGCCAAACTCTACCTCTTCTCCATATTTTTTCCACGAGACGTCAGAGGAAATATTTTCACAGGTAACAACTCTGACCCTAGAGGCCATAAAATACGCTGTTGAGAGCATTTTCGAAGACGATATAGAAATGGTGGGGTACGACGATAGCAAAATGAGAACCCTTCTCGATGCAGCACGATGCATTGTCAAAATGGGACTATCCACGTTTTCAGAATTTTTTGATAGACGAAGATTCAACCCTATGAAAATGTTACAGGATAGAGGGCAGATGCAAATATATGTTAATGTGCCCAAAGATGTGCCTTCCCTAAAAACATTTGTCGCATTTTGGACTGACTTCTTAGAAGGCATATATGCTAATCGAGGCCAAAGTCAAAAGGCAGCGTTGAGCCAAATCATCAATCATTGGCAGGGCTTGATTAAACGGCTGTAAATTACTAAGACTGTGTGATTGTGATTTGGAAAAAATTCAGGTGACGGACTCATTCGACGAAGTTGTTTTCATTCTCTTCTTATTTCTTCGCAATAAGCCTTGTAATTTTCTTTTAGTGGTTGGTTGAGTTGAACTTGATGGGGCGATGTCTTCAGTCTCTTCTATATCAGTTTCTGAACCAAAATCCTTTATTTGAACTTTTTCTGTTTCGCTTTCCTTGGTGTGATCACTGCCTGAATGTTTCCCTTGCTCATTAACAGCTTCGCTCCATATCATCTCCCATTTCGGATTTACCAACTCGAGTGACGCATTTGCTGCAGTTTGGCGATACTTGAAACTTTGCTGTATAGCATCTGAGACCGTTGTTTCCAGATACCTTGTAAGCTTTCGACTCACAAAAATCTGAGAAATATGCTTATTTTTTAACAAATCATGAACTGATTCAGGTCTCGTTCCAAAAGGATCCATCTTTTGGCAGTATGTGTATGCCAATTTTTTAATTATTTGATTTTTATTTATTATTTGGTTTGACAAAGAGTTCATGGCGTTTGATTGCAAAAGAGAAAACATTTCGAGATTAGAATACATTTGTCGAGTTAAATCTAGCTGATCATTGGTAGACATGTCTGTTAATGGAAATTTGTATTGGAATTCATTGTAAGAGAATGTGAGAATATTTGTCTGAGAGTTGAAGTGTACATTTTCTACCTCTCCTTCTTCCACTTTTGAGGAAAAAACAGGGCGGAAAGTTTGCTTGATCTCCCTCATTTTAGCCAAAATCACTGAAATCATCCGCTTATCATCTATAGAAAGATAGTTAATAGAAAATGTTTTTTCTGCAAGTTGGTCTGCAGTGCTAGCTATGAATTCTTTGGCAATTTTGTGGATATCAGTGACGATTATCTTCAAGGCAAACCGGTTTTGCTCTTCAGTCGAACCAAACAAAATATTCACATACCCACACACATCTTTTGCGGTTGCATTTTGAATGAGAAATGGTTGAAAAACCATTTTGCTTTCATTTGCAATGGGACCTGTAGCTGAAAGTGGATCTAGTGTGTAGAAGATACCTTGGCTGTAGCTCGGTCTTCAGCTTGACGAGCCGCCTCGCATCCAAAATTCTCAAGACATTTTTTTTCGTTCTCTTGAAAAATTTTTGCGTAAAGTTGACCATGCTATTTTCTTTCTTTTCCCCCTCTATAGGAGCAAACCTTAGTTGTGAAAAACCAACAGCAGTCAAATCAAGGAAGGACGTAAATACCTAATAAAATGCTGAGAAAACAGGCACGTGAACGTCGTGAATATCTTTTCAGAAAAGCCCAACAATTACGTGAACAAAATACTATTGCTAAGAGACAACAGCTTTCACAAGCATTAGCTACAGGTAAAGCATTGCCCAAGGAAGTAGCCGATGACAAAGACCTCCAGAAAGACTTTCTTTATGATGAATCCATCCAAAAATCAAACGATGAATTAGATGATGAGTATTCTGCTCTTTCGGGTCTTATTGAACCAAGAATTGTTATCACTACTTCTAGAAATCCATCAACCAGATTATCGCAATTTACCAAGGAGGTCAAATTACTTTTCCCTAACGCAGTGAGGCTCAATCGTGGTAATTACATTATGCCGACATTAGTTGAAACGTGCAAGAAATCGGGAATAACAGACATAATCGTACTCCATGAACATAGAGGTGTTCCAACTACGATGACTATATCACATCTGCCGCATGGTCCTACTGTCACATTTACATTACATAACGTGGTGTTAAGACATGATTTACTAAATGTTACCAACCAAAGTGAAGTCTATCCACATTTAATATTTGACAATTTCGACTCCAACTTGGGTAAACGATGTGTTACAATACTAAAGCATTTGTTCCCACCTGGCGTTAAGCCTGACAGTCCTCGTGTGATAAGTTTTATCAATAAGGAGGACTTCATAAGTGTTAGACAGCATGTGTATGTGAAAACTAGGGACGATGTAGAAATGAGTGAGATAGGGCCTCGTTTTGAAATGAGGATGTTTGAGGTCAGGTTGGGAACAATGGACGATAAGGATGCTGACGTAGAATGGATGTTAAGAAGATTCGTTAGAACTGGTAACAGAAAGAACTACTTAAGTGCTGAATGATCCAATATAAGAGGTCTAGTTACCATCTCATGGATGCACGTGAAGAATAAATAAGTTGGTAAGTAAATAAATATGTAATTATAAATAAATAGGTAAGTATAAAAGCTGAATCTCTCTTCCATATATACACGAAAGTATTGGTAGAATAGTGAAAAAGAATGACAAGTGATAAAACCGAACCCACTATGATTATATTTGTTGAAAAAACGGCAGGTGCTTTTTAAATTTTTTCTATTTTGTTTTTTTTTTTAAATTAGTTTAACGGGGAAATTCATAAACAGACGTTGTTGAAAAGAACGACCAACGTTGAAACAAAAAGAGAGATAGAGATAAAGGCAAAGAAAGGTAAACAAAGAGTTGATAGAACTGAATGTGAGTAAATGAAGGGGGAAAAAAACAAGCTATAGAGGTAAGTATGTTGAGTTTTCCAAGATAGTAGAAAGAAGAAAAAAGCCCAGGAAGTCATGTATTAGAAAAAATTTCGAAAGGATTTGTCATAGGAAGAATGTAGATAGTTGTATTTGTGGGAAACGAAAAATTTGAAAGTATCGATAAGTACGAGTTAGGAGAAAGAATAGGCCATCCATTATTCAGTTGGCAGATTAGCGGTTTTGAAACTCTTGATACTTTCATCGTCAGAGATCAGCTCATTTTGGATTGATCTCGAATTACTAGAAGGCAATTCATTCTTTTTCAAATTATGTGAAGGGCTGTTAAAATTGGAGCCAGGGTAGTTATTACTGTTGTAGCTACTGTTACTGTTAGAGAGTCTCATTGTGTGTCCTCCAGTGTTGACTATAGGTCTTCCTGAAAATCCTGATCTGCGCGGGGTATTATTATTATTGACGTTATTAATAGGATAATCTCGATTGTCGGATTCTAGGGCGAAGGAAGGTAAGGGAATGTAATTAGAATCGGATTTGACTGAAGGGGAGCCGCCTCTGATGATTTTATTGTTGTTGGAAGTGCTGATGTTAGCACTGGTATTATTGTTAGCGTTATTTGGAGGCAAAAGGATATTAGACACAGTTGAGTTTGATCTAAGGTTGTTTGCAAAGGATGAAGGTGCACAGTTTGAAGGCGACCGAGGAGAATTGCAGCCACAAATCTGGCTTGCAGAACTCATTGAGTTTGTTCTAGCCAATTTCTGGTTATTCAAAGACAGAGATATCGAAGGTCTTCTAATTTGGAACTTGGATTCGTGGTCATCTTGTGCTATGATATCCGCGTAAGAGCAGAACGATTTGTTTTTTAGCACTGGGCTGGAAGATGGGTTTCTCTGGTTCGTTAGAGAGTTAACGGAAGAAGAGGTTAGGCTTGTTGTCAGAGGAGGTAGGTTCGATGCGCCTGCGGGAGGAATATTTGGAGCGGAATTTTGGGAGTTCTGGGAGAGAGATTGGGAGAGGGGTTGCGATTGAGGGATTCTCCGGCTTGAGTTTGAGTTTTGGAATTGTTGGGTAAGGTTTGAAAAACTCGAGTTTGTCTGCGATCTGGAGAGCGTGTTTGTCGAGCTTGAGTTCAACCTGTAGGAGGAGTTCATTCCAAAGGAGGACTGCAAGTTGGCGATGGAAGGTCTTCTGGAGGAGGCTGCCGAGGAGTGGCCTAGGGCCGCTTCGAGGTTGGCCAGGGAGGATCTTCTTGAGCTGAAACCCAACTGGACGCCGGAGGGGTTTGCTGGGTCGTCGTTGCTCATTTCCTCCATGGGGTCGTCGTTGTTGAGGATCATGTGGGTGGTTGTGTCCAAGGAGGCCGGGATGAACGCCTCGGAGGAGACGTGCCTTGGGAGTGAGTGGGGGATTGGCTGGGCGTCGGTCAGCGGGTCCTGGACGAGTCTCTCGAAGATGAGCGAGTCGTCTGCCCGGCTGTTCATGCTGGAGCGGGAGATGGAGGAGGCCAGGGAGAACTGGTCGTTGTCGAGGGAGGACTTTCTGTCGTTGCTGGTGGCGGACTTCGAGCCGGGGCCGCCCTTGTGCTTGACGTAGTAGACGCTTTCCGCGGCGTGGCTGGAGGCAGCGTCGGCGCCCGGGTCCTGCGAGTCGTTTGACTTGGCGCTCTCGAGGGAAAGCGGGGAGTGGATGCCGAGGTTGGACGAGTGGGTAGGGTTGCTGGCGATGGTGGCGGCAGGGACGTCGATGTTCTTGGACGCTGCGGGCTTGGAGGCCTTTCTCCTGGCGACGGACGACACCGGCGATGCGGAGGCAGACGCCGCCGCGGAGGAGGGGTCAGAGAAGGAGAAGCTGCCGAAGTGGTTGCTGGAGCTGTTGTTGCCGCTGCCGTGGCCGTGGCCACGGCCGCCGGGTCTGTTGCCCAGGCTATCGTCGTAGTCGGTTGAGGAAGGAGGGGAGAACATGGTGCGCGGTGTGGAGCAGACTCAACGTTATCCGGGTGCAGACAGGGAGTGTCGTGAGTAGAACAACAAGAGGCTAGACGCTAGACGCTAGACAGAGCTGAACAGTGGCGAGGAGGAAAAGGGCGCCGGGGGATGCTGATGCCTGAGGGGATGCTGATCACACGGACAGGACACCGACAAGGAGGAGGCCACACGGGGGACCAAAGACGGGGGAAGAAGGGTGGAAAGTGTGCACTGAGCAGTGCAGTGTGTGTGTGCCGCAGCGGTGCTGCGAGCGCTGTAGTGTGGTATCGCTGTTGAGAGACCGTTTGCCTAATCTCCCTGGCGCAAGCGCCAGCGCCACTGTGCCGGCCAGCACGGCCGCCGCTTGTGTTGGTGCTGGCGGAGCCGGATTGGATTATATTTTCCCGCCTGCGCACCGCCGCACACCGCCCGGCCGGCAACCTATCCATTGTCTGGGGCCGGACGTGCTGGCCAGTGTTAGGCGCAGTACATAATCATCCGGCACAGAGGGCGCGCGGGGCAGGCAGACGGGTCGGCCACGGCCACGGCGCCGATAAGCGCGGCGCAGCAGACGGAGACACGGTGGCGGGCGAGAGACGGCGAGAGATGGCGAACCCGTGCACCGGGGGATAAAACAACGCGGGTGTGGCACGGATAGAGGAGCGGACGGACGGGAGTGATGTCATGACGATAGGGGGGAGGGGAGGGGTTGGACGGGGCAAAAGATTACGGGGATGGGGATTGATTGTTTGATTCAGCTAGTATACAATAAGAAAGAAGGGGGTTAAACAGGGCAGGCCTAGGCGGTGGCAGCAGCAGTGTACTTGGTGACGGCTCTGGTACCTTCGGAGACAGCGTGCTTAGACAACTCTCCTGGCAAGATCAATCTGACAGCGGTCTGGATCTCTCTGGCAGAGATGGTGGACTTCTTGTTGTAGGCAGCCAACTTGGAGGCCTCGGAGGCGATTCTCTCGAAGATGTCGTTGACAAAGGAGTTCATGATGGACATGGCCTTCTGGGAGATACCGGTGTCCGGGTGGGTCTGCTTCAAGACCTTGTAGATGTAGGAGGAGTAGGTCTCCTTTCTGGTCTTGGATCTCTTCTTGGACTCGGTGGCGGCGGCGGTCTTCTTGCCGGCGGGCTTCTTCTCGGCGGGAGCCTTGGATGCTACTTTCTTTTCTGCCTTAGGTGCCATGGTGTGTGTGTGTGCGGGGTGGTGCGGGGTGGTGTGGGTTGGGTGCAGGGGAGAGCAGGAAGGCCAGCAGAAGGGCCGAGCGGGCGCCCGGAGCGACACAGAAGCAAGACGCCCAGGGCCGGATCTGCATCTGTTTTTATACAACGCCCGCCGGCGTGCTCTGCTGCAGCACGGGGCCGTCAACAGCGTCCCGTGCAGACGGCCGTGGCTGCCATTGACGGCGCAACGCGCTTTGCAGAGACGATTCATGTACGGTCCGGCAGCAGGCTCGTTGCTGCAACGGGGGCGCGCAGAGACCAGGCCGGCCCACAATTTATCTTCCTCGCGTGTAAATGTCAGGCCGCGCGCTTCCCCCCACGGTATACCCTCTTGTGCGCGACAGACGTGTCTTGCGCATTTCCACTGTGCGCGATCCACCCCAGCGCCCCAACACGCATCTGGCGAGCGCCCGGGCTGCACCACCCGCCTAGTCCCACGTTTACTCCGACGCGATAACGTGCCTGCCCCGTCTGCACACAGACACTGCAAATAAATACGTTGGCATCTGCCCCCCGGCCTGGCTCTTCCCAGTCCCCGCTCAGCTCCACGTCCGCCCCTCTCCTCTCTGCTTCCGTTCCCTTGTCAATCACACAAATACAAACTATCATACAACATGTCCGGTGGTAAAGGTGGTAAAGCAGGCTCCTCTGAAAAGGCCTCAACTTCGAGATCCGCAAAGGCCGGTTTGACCTTCCCCGTCGGTAGAGTCCACAGACTCCTCAGAAAGGGTAACTACGCACAAAGAATTGGTTCTGGTGCCCCAGTCTACCTGACCGCGGTTTTGGAGTACTTGGCTGCCGAAATCTTGGAATTGGCCGGTAACGCTGCCCGTGACAACAAGAAGACCAGAATCATCCCAAGACACTTGCAATTGGCCATCAGAAATGATGAAGAGTTGAACAAGCTTCTCGGCCACGTCACAATCGCCCAAGGTGGTGTCTTGCCAAACATCCACCAATCCTTGTTACCAAAGAAGTCCGCAAAGGCCAAGGCTTCTCAAGAATTATAAGTCGTGTCGACTGTGTAAGAAATTTCTATATTTTATTTTATGTATATTAGTGATTCAGGATCAAAGAAATAAACGATCAAATTAGCCCTTCTGCTGCGAGTACAGGTCCACCACAATGTTGATGAGTGAAACCAACACCTCCGCCCCAATCAACAGAATCACCGTCAACTCCAACTGCTCGTCGTTGTTGTGGCCCAACTGCTCCTTCAACATCTGTAAAAGATCGCTGATGATCTCCAATCGTTGGTTCAACAACGCCACCCTCTGGTTGATCTCCAAGTACCCCCTCGTCGCCTGGTAGATCGGCTCGAGTTCCGGCTCCGTCCACATCAACTCGGGCGAGTCCAAAATAGACCCATGGAGGTTGATGTTGATCCGCAAAATAAACAACTCTCCGATACTCTTCATGATCTCCTCCCGACTCATCTCCACTTTACCCGTCTGCGAAATTTGCTGCGGAATATCCTGCGTATCTTCAATAGTGTTGTCAACTAACTCCTCAAACAACGATATCTTCACACTCTGCGAAATCGCATAAGATATACTCAACTTCAACATGTGGTTCGAATCGTCCCTCAAAGTGAAAAAATCGTTGTAAATCCGAGGTTGATAACTCTGCGTAACGTAATAGTTAAACTCCTCCTTCTGAACGTCCTCATCTGCAAGCTTCTCATTCTCGAACTTTGCCAAGTCGTACAAAAATAGTCTCTCTTCACGCTTAGTAAACCCCCATAAAACAACAACACCGTACTCGAAAATAAAAATGTCAGTATGCCTCTTCCCAACATCAATCACTCCACCCTCGTCATCGAGTCGAATCGATTCTTTCTTAACTCTATTAAATCCCTTATCAAATTCTCCAGAATCGTTTGATTTGTGACTCGATGAACTATTTCGTCTCCAATCCTTATATGTAAAGGGTGTATATATACACTCATCAAATAACTTTGGCGCTGTGGAGTGAATCCTTCTCTTATCTTTCAACCATCTAATAAAATCTCTCATCCTATACGAACCAGCAGTGCAGTATGCAGTAACCCTGGGCAGCATCGACCTATGCTTTTTTCCTAATCGTTCAGCATCCTTCCTTGCGTTTCTATCTTTAATCTTCTGTAATGAATATTGTCTCAATGCGGCCGCCTTATTCGTCGCAGCGTCTGCATTACTTTCATCAATCGTCGGAGACTCATAATCCAAGGAGTCTGGTAATAACTTAAGCTTCTGTGTGATACGTGATGTACGCTGAGGAGTCATGTTGGGTCCTAACGCTTTCGAAATATTCTTTTTACCTGTACTACTTATACTACTATTGCTTGCCACTCCCGTAGTCTTACCCACCGTGGACCCTGCCAACGAGATTCCAGGAGTCTTGATCATGCTGGATGCACTTGCATTCTTCTGTTGTTGAAACTCATTGTCTGCTGCATTTTGGTACGGATTTTCTGATAGCAAAGCTGTAGATTCTGTCGCTTCATCTGACATCTCTTTCTAGACTCAACTGCTTCTCTTCTTTTTTCTACTGTCAAAATTCCACTTGTAATCGGATGCCTGATGGACTGAATGTTCTCGTTCCGTAGAATGCCCTGAGCGTTATCAAATTTGATTCATGGATAACAGTTTAGTATCCCATTCTATTCCTATGACGTACACTCTCGATTATTCCAAAGGCACCTTTATTTTCCTCTTTTTTTCTCCTATGATAAAAAAACGGACCGACGCGTCGATTTTTCTGTTCCCCGATTTGATTGTCGTTCCGAGAAAAAAAATATTTCAACATGAATTTTTTTCTTTCAATTCCATTACCTTCCACTACATCTTTAATCACCATTAGTGATAATCCATAACTTGTTCCAGCCACAGTCGCCACTTACAATGGTGAAGAAAATACAGAAAACTGCATCTTCAAGAAAGTTTGCGTACAAGTCTTTCAGGGATCATGTTGACTCCATCAAGATTGATCCATTGAAAGACATCAAGAGAAAGGCATTCCATGATGCTGAAATATCACACTTCTTGTCAACATTAGAACACTGGAGAGAGGTCAACTTGTCGAAAAACTTTCAAGAACTGGTAGAGGTTGTAGAACCAATCTCTATGACCTTACCCCAATTGTTATACCATAAAGATAAAATTTTCATTGCTCTAGATAAGGCTTTATGCTGTAATGATCCATTGTCTTTACAACCAAGTTTAGAATTACTTTCTCAGTTCTACCATGACCTCGGACCAGATGCTATGGAGTATTACAGGCGTACATTAGATATCATCAGAGAAATAGCCTTGAACCAACAGGATCCACAATCGTTAGAGTTCATCTTCAACACTCTTGCTTACATCTTCAAATATCTTTCCAAGATATTATCATCTGATTTGACTATCACATTCATACCTTTATTACCATTATTAACGGTCAAGCATAAAGATTATGTTACAAGATTCACTTCCGAGGCAATTTCTTTTTTGATAAGAAAAGCCAAGATCTCGAACTTACAATCATTTTTGGATCATTTATTCACATCCACAGCCTTAACTGAGGACAATTCTGAAAGCTATCATCTTGGTTTGACTGTTATATTTGCTGAGGCCTTCAAGAGTGCTTCAGGGGTACTACATTCTAAGACGGGACTCATATTGCCTTTGCTTACAAAAGCGTGTCTGCGAAGTCCAAAGTCTACTTCTGTTTTGTCTGACATCATCATGGAGCTTTTAGACTACACCGAAACAAAAGAAAACTCAAACCTATTGTACACTACTTTGGTCAGTACCTTGAAGAAAGACTTGGCGTCGCACGAGACTCTTGATTACAAGTATCTTACTTCCATTACTCAGATTTTGCTAACTTTATCATTTAGTGAGTCGGGTAGACGGGTACCTGATTGGAACATTCTACTACAATTCGTCGACATATTATATGATTCTTCACTATCAGTTGGCGATAGCGAAGATATCATGGAAGTGGATACTAAAAATAGCTCTGAAGAAGAGGTTCGGGACTTGAAGTTGGACTTTCTCAATTCAATGGCTTCTTGGTGTTCAGTCATAATAAGAAATTCTGAGATGAATGTCCTACTCAAGTATCATGTAAATATCATTCGAGTGATGTCTAAGCTAGATGACGGTTCTATTTTCCTTCCATTCATTAATACAGCGATAGAGTTGAATGAGGAAAGAACTGTGCAGTTTACGAAAAATTCCATCACCTCATTCATTGGTCACCACTGGCAAGAAAATTATAAGGAAATTGCATTTTTTATGGAAAGAATTGGGGAAAAAGGTCTGATCAACTCGGATTCAGGATTCAATGTCATCATCTCGTCTGACTTCAAAACGTTCATTTTAGATTCGTTCAAGAATATTCAATCCATCGAGCATAAAAACGCTCTAATAAATAATTATTGGAGATTATTAATTTTGAAACACTCTACCATCACGTTCGATCCATCAATGCTAATTAAATTTCTTTCTTTGCTTCAAAATAGCAATTTAGTTTCAGACTTTTTTATCCTAGATATTTTTGGAGCCACCATTGGTGCCTTAACGAATCAGAAATTGTCAGATGGTCAAACTTTGCAAATTTTGAATTTGGCCTTCAACGATTTTGATAATTTGATAGACAGTACGCTTTTTCTCTCCAACTTTGAAAAGTTCGTCTCTTCAATCAAAAACACGAATACTGAATCAATTGAATTTATCATAGAAAATAAAGAGAGTCTCTTGTTATCTCTATCCAACATTCTTAAATCTCCATCGCATGATTCAAGAGAGACTGCGCTAAATTTAATTATCTCAATATTCACAAAGTCTGGCGACGAAATTCCAGATGCAATCTTGAAATGCCGTACAATAGAGCAGATTCCTTTGTCTTTTAACCATGCTAGAGATGTTCCTCTAAGGTTCAAAAATCTAGCTCAAAACTATTCAGCTGAGTCTGCAATAACTAACAATATTGTTTGCAATTTCCTCTTTGGTCAACTGAGTAACAAGTTTTCTCCTTCATGGCAGGGTGTCCAGGAATTTTTGGTGAAGGTGATTAACCAAGTTTCAGATCTCATTTGGAAGTTAGCTCTTGATTTCATCTCGATGAATTATAGGGTTTTGCAGGAAAAGCCATATCTAGAATATGATTTTGGCAACTTTAATATTAAGAGTGACATCTCGGAATGGTTACCTCAAGACTCCAGGTTGTACACTATTTTGAATAAGTTTGAAGAAGAAACGTTTCATAAATACGAAAATGTTGATTACTCTTTAATTGAATTCTCTGAATCAAAAAGGAAATCAACTTTACATACAGACTTTATAAGATATCAAGTTATCAAACTACTTATCAAGATCCCACAAGTTGCAGAGAAAAACTTTATTGATCTACTTCCATTTGTGCTCAATGAAGACGCTGATGATGTCGGTGATGCTCAATCTGGTTCTTTGTTGGAAGGTTGGAAAATGGCTGACAGAAACGGGTTAATTGAATTAATGACGCAGTTCAGCCGACTAAAATCGGTTCCTTCTGCAGATAAAATCAAAGAGTTCTTACTTGTTGTTTTGATGGATAGGCAGACAGAATTACAGATACTGGCTTTGAATTGTTTATTGAATTTCAAGGATCCTGTCTACTTGAAATACCAAAATCATTTGAAGAATTTGTTAGATGACACATTATTCAGAGATGAGATTGTAATATTTTTACAGGACAGTGATAAGAATACAATTGAAGCTAATGACATTCCTGTTTTGTTGCCTTTGGTGTTAAGGATAATATTTGGTAGAGCCCAAACCCAAAAAACAAATAGTACGAAAGTTGGAAGAAAAATGGCTGCCATAAAGTCATTGAACAACTTGAGTGATACCTATGTGACCCAATTTTTGCAATTGACTTTTGGCAAATTTGATCTAACATCATTTCAAGAAACTGGTACTGTAGAGAAAGGTGAAATCAGCAAAAAGCTTTTGAAAAATATCAATGGTTTTATAAACATGAATATCGAAGTCAGCGAAACATTAGGAAAATTACACAGTAAATGCCTAAGTGTTCTTGTTGAGCCCTTACTTTATGCACTATCAGCAGTTGAGACAGCAATAATTGATGCTCAGCAGATTGATGATAATGGTATTGAAAAAGCAGCACGTCATGGTAGAAAGTCTGGTTTCAAGCTATTCTATTTACTAACTCAATTTTTGGGTGATCAATTTAATTGGTTGCCATACGGTGAAATAGTTTACAAGAACTTGGTCCAATCTAAGATGGAAAAGTTCGGAGAAGAGAATTTGAGTAGTGCCTCGTCTTTGATGAAACTCATGACCAAGCTTTGGTGTACACCTGAAAGACTATTCTTTTTATGTATGGATGATTATGCTCCTATCAAGGCTTTGCTTTCTATTCTACCAAATCCAAATGCAAAGGACTCCGTGCTGGTGCTTATATTACAACTCATACAGTCATTACTCAACTTGCCAACAAAAGAAGAAAGCGTTGTGGAGCTTTTAACAATTGTTATCTCAGAGTGCTTGGATTCTTTGATTTTGATATTCGAACACAGTTCAAGTAGTGAAGTCAATTCCTTAGCTGTTCAGGTTTTGTTGTCATTCGTATCAAATGACTATGTTACCGATAACGATAATAGAAAAACCTTGATATCTTCTTTGACTGCTGCTTTGGAAAAACCTTCTTCCCAGATTGAGACCTCTGTCAAGGTTGATATCGTTAGAATGATTGCAACACTTGTCGAAGACTTTGATTGCTCCTATGAAGAAATACTTCCAATATACTCCAATATTGCCAAACTCTACAGTACTTGTCAACAGTCAGACATGAGAAATGTTGTATCAACAGTATTTTACGGTGTTAGCAATAGGTTTGAGGAGCTGGAAAACATTTGCCAGCTTATAATTGATTTGAATGCTTTTGACTCGAAAAGATTTAGAGAACCTGATTATGATAGAAGGCTTCAAGCGTTCAGTAAAATTAATGAAGAAGAGTACAATAAATTGACAACTATTGAGTGGATTCCTATCCTCTACACTTGTATGTTTTTCATCAATGATGAAAATGATCAATCATTGAGGTCCTCGGCTACTTACACATTCATAAGATACATTGATGGATTTTCCGAAAAATCAGAACTTGATGCCACCCCGTTTGTAGATCAGATGAAGAAATTGATCATTCCAACATTGCGCTCTGGATTAAAGAGGAAAAATGAACTTGTTAGATCAGAGTACGTTCGTGTCCTGGATCATCTAGTTGGAAATGTTAAATACTATCACGAGTTTGATGACATGAAAATTCTTTTGAAATATGACGAGGAAGATGAAGAATCCGATTTTTTTGAAGACATCATTCATTTGCAAACTTATAGAAGACAAAGATCACTTAGAGCTCTTTCCAAATTGGCTTCTCAGCTCAAAACTGATAGTATTGCGCACTACATTCTTCCAATTGTAGAACACTATGCTTTCTGGACTGAAGAAAAATATAGAAATGTTGCCAATGATACCATGTCCGCTGTCAAGAAGTTGGCTCAGCACGTTTCATGGAGGCAGTTTACAGCAATTTTAACGAGATATATCAGCATTATGAATACTGCAAAGGCAAAGGAGCAAACTGAAAAATTAAGGGATTCTATCTTGTTGATTGTTGCTATGTCTTCTGCCATGAGAGAATGGTCCATTGGAACTAGTAGCAAACCTCTAGATTACCCAAAGATGGAGAAGATAGACTCTTTTGTTACATCAGAAATAATTCCTAAACTTCAAAAGATAATATCTGTTAGAAACGAAGAAACAGTTGTTTTGAGAGTTCCTTTATCTGAAGCGTTGATCTCTTTAATCATGTGTTGTTCTCAACAAAAAATTGATTCTGAACTAGCTGGATTATTGACTGGTATCTGTCAAATATTGAGAGCAAGGTCTGAAAATTTGAGAGACTCTGTAAGAAAACATTTAGGGAGAATTGCAGTTTTCTTAGGACCACACTACCTTAAGTTTATAATTAAAGAATTGAAGGGAGCACTAACAAGGGGTCCTCAAATTCATATTTTGAGTTTCACCATTCATCATTTGATCACTCTCATGAGCCCTTATTTAGAGCATGGCTCTTTAGGCGATTCTGTCGGCATGATTATGGAATGTATTATGAATGACATTTTTGGAGAAGCTTCAGAGGAGAAAGAAGCTACGGGATACAGCAACAAAACTAAAGAAATCAAGCATAACAAAAGTTATGATACTGGTGAGCTTATTGCTACCAATATCTTTTTGAAAGATTTTAATCATCTTTTGACTCCAGTGAGATACTTACTGAACGAAAGGTTATCCTTCAAATCTCAATCCAAACTGGAGCAACTCATGAAGAGATTCTCACAGGGTTTGAATAAAAATGAGGAGTCATCTTCTACAGACATACTCGTTTTGTGCAACGAAATTTACAATCAAGCTAATGATATTGTAAAGTCTAGGAAAAATCAAAAGCAAAAGGTTGTTGATGAAAAAACTGAAAGATTCTTAGTCCAACTTGATCGGAGGGTACAAAAAACACAAATGGAATACTCCCTTTATGTTACGACACTACAGCAATTTGCATTTGATTTATTGAAGACTGCAATTTCCAAAAACGACAATTTGTTCAAAGCCAGTTATCTTTCTCCATTTGTGCCAATTTTGAGGTCTAGTCTTTCGTCGGAGGATGAAGGAGTTGTTATTTCATCTTTGAAAGTGTTAAATATGCTGGTGAGATTGGAGTTCACTTCAGAAGTCAACTCCGAGATTATTGGGGCCGCCAGTGATGTATTGAAGATTTTACAAGACATGCCAAACACGAACAACGATTTATCACAGAATTGTTTGAGATTTTTAAGTAATGTTATTCGTTTTAAGGATGATCTTGAATTGAAGGACTCAGCTATAAGCTACATTTTGAAAAAGATTGAGCCAGATCTAGACTCACCAGAGAGACAAGGTACTGCGTTTGGTTTTATCAAAAGTTTGATGTTCAAAAATATCATGATCCCTGAAATTTACGATTGCATGGACATTGTTTCCAAGCTAATGGTCACGAGTACAACGGCAGAAATCAGACAAGCCGCCAGAAGTGCATTCTACAACTTTTTGATGGAGTATGATCAAAGTAGAGGTAGATTGGAAAAGCAGTTCAAATTAGTTATCAACAATTTGAAATATCCTGCTCATTCTGGTCGGTTATCTGTTTTGGAATTCATTCTAACGATCGTCAGAAAGTCATCCAAGGACTTGTTGTCGAGATTGACTACTTCACTTTTCATAGCCCTCGCTAATGTGTCGGTCACTGACGACAATCCTCGTTGTAGGGAGAGTGCCACTGAGATTTTAGGTTTAATGTTCCAAAGGTTAGTTGATTCCTCCATGAATATGGATTTTGTTGAGAAGTACACCAGTGCGTGGTTGAGCCAGGATAAGAAGGCTTTGTTGGTAAGATGTGCTCTGAACGTTTACAAGGTTTACATTAGCTCTGTTGGGATTGCCAAAAGTTCCACGTTAGATGAACTTGCTTTGAATCGTATCAAGAAAACACTAAAGCTCTCTAGAAGAGCCGATGATGATGATGATGATGACAATGATGAAGGAGACAATTTTGTTTCCAACGATGAAGCTGAATGGCAAATGGTGTACTCCTGTTTGAGCGTGTTTGAAACACTATCTGGCAAAACCAATGTGTTTGAGAGAAAGTATAATGAGATCTGGATTGACGTTATTGGCACGATGTTGTATCCTCATTCATGGATTAGGTTAGTATCATCTAGGCTCATATTCAAACTACTGAAAGAGATTGTTGACAACGAGTCGAAGAGCATCGAACTAGAAATCGACGACGCTTCTATCCAAACAGTCGCCTACAGGACATTCCGTCAATTAGGTGCTCCACGGATTTCAGAGAAGCTAGCATCACAAAGTATAGCAAACCTTGTTTATGTTTCCAAAAAGTGGGACGTGGAGAACACGAAATTTATATCCTTCAACAAGCAGGATGATGGTGACGAATCGGAAGAAGAAGGTAGACGTACTAAGAAACAGTTTGTGGATGCGTTCGATTGGGCACTAAACAGATGTGCATCCATCTTGAGAAATGATTCAAGAGATATCAATGATATGCTGGTTACTAAAGGTGCGATTATATCATACTGTGAGTTTTTGACATCATTTTTGAGCGTTGAAAAGCTAAAGGAAGCACTTTCTGAGACACTCTTGATTCCATTACTTCATATTTCGGAATTAGAGATAGCCGAAAATGAAGACCAAGAAAAGGCCTTGCCGGCTCTAGCGGCAGCTTGTTTGTCCAAGTTATCGAAAAAAGTTGGTATCTCAGATTACAATGTTCTTTTGAGTAATGCAATGAAGGCTATTCAACAAAGAAGGTATGAGAGAAAGACGAAAAGAGCACAAATGACTTTAAACAACCCTGAGCTTGCAGCAAGAAGAAAGTTGAAGAAGCATGTCAAGGTCAGGGAAAAGCGTAAGTCTAATAAAGACGAGAACGGGTACTATAAACCTAAAAGAAGCCGGTTCTGATCGAATTTTACTAATGCTGTTATGGATAGCGGATAAAGTATACAGCACTTTTTAATTTTCTAAATAGAATTACATATAAATCAATGAAAAAAATTTGATATGATTATAAATTTATATTATACATGTCATGTTTGACAACAGCAAATTATAACTCATTATCTTCGTTGAAAAAAATATCGTCAGGCTCAGACTTTAACATGGGAATTTCCAATCTCTCATCATCCTCCTGTATACCGTCAGTGGCATCAGTGCTATGGGCTATATCCTCTGCCTCATCGTCGTCTTCTTCCTGCTCACCGTGAGCGTCCTCTTCTGCATCTCCTTCACCGTCGTCTTCTTCTTCTTCATCGCCATCGTCATCTCCATCGCCGTCCCCGTCTCCGTCCCCGTCTCCGTCATCATCTTCTTCATCGTCATCGTCTTCTCCTGCATCATCTTCGTCCTCTTCCTCGTGAAGCTCAGAATGGAATTGTTCTTCGGTGTCACTCAAGTTGTGGCTGGCAGGATGGTCACCGTTACCTGACTGGCCATTTTCATGGACTATAGAAGCCTTGCTGGTATCGTTGTCCTGATTATAACCTTCTACTTCTCCTCCTACAACACCTTCCTCTTCATGCTCTTCTTCATTTTTTAGTGCGGATTTGTGTTCATCGTACGTCACGTCTGTGTTTTCAGGTTCCTGCATGGAAACGTCTGCCTCATCGTCATGACCGGCATCTACAGGAGTAATTTCGTTTGTAGTAATAGCGCCAGCTGGGGTTTCGGCTTCAGGCTCCACAGAAGCATCTGCAGCTGGCTGAGTAGCAGCCAATCGTTCCTGCTCCTTGATAGTTGCAAATTCCTCGACGGCTTTGTGATATCTTTCCTTGTCCTTTTCATACATTTCAAAATACGGCTTCTTGTCGTCGTTGGACATTTTCCTCCATACGTCTGTCATTGCTCTTGACAAATCAATGTGTTCGTTTGGATGGTTCTCTGCCCACTCTGCCTTCACACGATCTCTTTCAGAGTCACAAAAGAAAAGGTAAGCGTTTGTAGGTCTTTTAGGTTCTCTTGGATCTCTGGCTCTCTTCCTTGCCGAGGCCGTCGATCCATTAGCCACTCCTCTTTTCCTACGCGTTCTCCCATTGGCGGCAGGGGCAGCTTCTGTTGCGGAGGAACTGTTTATGTATTGCTGATGTCTTTCCGAAATGAGATCGCCCAAGGCGTTTGGAAGCAGGCTCTGAATGTTGGAGATGGCAAGCGGTGTTGTGCCCAAAAGCTTAGTTATATCCTCGAGAGACAACGACTCGATGGAGTCTGCATCTATATCCGATGGGGTAAAGCTCTTCAAGTCAGGGAAACCAAGTGTGTCGCTTTTTTTCTCTAAGGATTCCAAGAGCAACGAGTACTCGAACCGTAGTCTAGATATCGAGTCCTTGGCTCTCGATACACCGATGGCCCGTACCTGGTTCTGTGCTTCAATGTCTGCTATCTTTTGCTTCAAGTCTTTGCATTTTTGTTTCAGTCTGAGGGCTGTTTGGAAGGAATAAAAAGGGTGGAGGGGAAGGGGGGGACGTTAGTATGCTAAAACTTTGGAGGAGGCAAAGTAAGTCCGGTGAGTGGGTGTAGTACGTACCTTCTGTTTCAAACGGGATAATCTGCTTCGTGGCCTTGTTATGCTTGGCGTCCTTCAGCTGGTTGCTCAGCTCTCTCTCCTTCTGGTCCTTGCTGGCGCCTGCATTTACAGTATTGCCAGGGTTGCTCTGATCGGAGGCTGTCTGGAACATGGTGTCTGTGTGTATGTGCTCTCTGTGTGTATGGTGTGTGTATAGTCTTTGCCACAGATACGGGGGCCTACTGGGAAGAAACAAACGTCCAGTCGTTGCCGCCTCTTGTCCTCTTTGCGGTTTAACGAAGGCTTTGTCTCCCAACACCACAGGCTTGGTTGACGTCTCCTCTCCCGGGCAAGAACTCTTCACCGTGTTCGGTGCGTGAAGAGCCAGATCGAGGGAAAGAGAGAGGGGCCTCGTCGAGTCGTGCAGCGGGGTCCTGGGAACACATGTTTTCTTTGTTCGCTGGCTACGGATTCTAGGTTCTACGACTAATGGTACATATGTATTGTCAGAAGGGCGGCAGCTAGAGGTCGTCGAACTTGCGGATACCGTGTTCGTGTGGGGCAGCCCCCTTGCCCTTCTTCTTCTCCTTGCCGGCCTTCTTGCCCCGCTTGGCCTCGTCGCCACCGTCGATCTCTGGGTTGCTGATCCGAGCCAGGATCTGGTCTCTGATCTCGTGGAGCTCGACAGTCTTGCCTTGGCGTGCACGGCCACTGTCCTCCGTCTCGTCGTCATCGCTGTCCTCCACCTCCACGCCGATATCGGACTCGTCCTGCCCCTCGGGCTCTTCCCGCTCCAGTATAGGGTCAGTTTTGCTTTTCTTGCTGGATGTGCTGGTTGTGCCCTCCATTCGGCGCTTCATGGAGTCAGCAAGCGACCGCTTGGCTGGAAGCTTGACTGGAAGTGTCATTTCCACTGTGTTCTCGGCCTCCTCTTCCCCGGAATCGCTGGCGCCAGACACAAAACCGCCATCGCTGTCGCTGTCGCCGCTTGCTTCGTCCTCGTCCTCGTCCTCGTCCTCGTCTCCAAAGCCGCCGTTCTTAGACTCCTCTTCCCAGATCTTGAACCCGTCGGTTCCAAAACTGACGAGTCGGTAGTTGCAGTCCAAGTCTAGGCCTAGCACCTCGTCGACCTTGTCGTCGTCCTCGGGGTCGTTCTGTAAGAACCTCTCGACGACCTTGCCGCCCTTGATGTCGATCTTGGTAATGTGGCCGTTCGAGCAACCCCCGTACATGAAACGGGAGTCGGAGTCCATGGCGCTGATGAGGCTCTCGACGGTCTCGTTCTTTGCAACCCGGATTCTGCTGATCTGGTCCTCCCATCTGTTCATCTCGGGCTTCCACGTCGTCACAATACCGTCGCCCATCCCGCAAATCATGGTTTCCTGCTTCGCCTGGTCGAGCCATGTTGAGCAGAGGACCTCGTCCTCCTGGTCCTCACTTGTGTGCAACGGTTCCTCTGGTTTCCGCAAGTCCACCTCACACACCGTGGTGCTGCCGGTAGTTATGAACTTGTATTCGCTTTTGGGCCAGCAGTAGTTGATAGAGTTGATTCCCTCTCCTGAGTGTAGCTTCCTGAACGGCTTGTAGGCAAGTTGGAGATGTTTTCCTCTGGTGTCGTGACACATGAGGTTGCCCTCTTCGTCGCCGACAACTAAGAAGTTCTTCCCCGGGGGACTGACACACTTGGTGAAAGTCCCGATTTGGAAGTCGTAGCTGTTGTCCTTGTCACAAGAGAATTTCGAGACTACTTGGCCTGTTTTTAAGTCGGCAGACTTGATAACGCCCTCTGAACCAAGCGTGTATATTTTGTCTCCGCCCGAGGGGAGGTCGAAGCACAAGTCACGGCATGACTTCTTGTGTCTTTTGGTGTGCCATTGAACCACTATCGAGTCGTCGTCGAAGTCGTCGTACTTCACGCAGCTCACGTCGTAGGGGAACTTGTCCTGGTCCTCGTAGATCTCCTCCAACTTGTCAATATCATATCTGTAGGCCTGTACGTGACCTGTGGCTGTTCCTGTTACGAAGACCGGTTCACTGGGGTGACATTTTGCAGCAAACAGCGGGTCAGCCGAATGGTGGATGTTGAAAATTGGCCTCCTTGTGAAGGTATACTGCTTTGTGTCCTTTTTGCTCTTACTAGTCGGCTTCGCCATTGTATTGCTGAAAACAATGTATCTATGTCTTTCTCTCCATTCTTCTCTCTAGATTTGTCTCCATCTTTATCTTTATCAGTAGAAAGGTTGAAAAAAGATTCAATGAAAAATATTCTTTTGTAATTGGCATTATTACGTAATATCAACGAAATTTTAGAGCAAGTGGAGATAAAGAAAAAGTTGTCAATGTATCATTTCATGCCAACATGAGATCTTGCAAGTTTCCTGACATTAGTCTGAGGATCGGAACAACAATCTCTGCACCGCTTGCGTTGAGTTGAGATGAAGAAGCCGATAAGGATATAGATTTAAGCAATGCTGAGTATGTTGGGATAAGCTATCTAGACAGGAAATGGGTAGAAGATGCGAGATGAGATGAGAATAAGGCATTGCAGGATAAAGAAAGAGTCTTGTAAAGACCAGGCATTAAATTAATCTGAACCTGTAGAGATTAACCGACGTGATGACTATACAAATACAAGAGATTTGTCCCTTGTATTTATGTTTGGAAGTACTAGTAACTTAAGCAACAAACATAAGACAACGTATACCACAAGGAATGGATATTCCATCAAGGATAATTGGACGTCAACAGTTTGGGAGTCTGCAAACGTTCTGACAACGATGTCAACAAAAAGCGCAAGATGCTGTAGTCGTTTTCGCCTGTAGATCCTTTCAGCTTATCTCCTACTGGATGTCTGCACTTCTTTGAAGCATAAATTGTCCTATGATAATTGTCTTGAAGTAGACTCGGCTGGCACCATTGTGTTTTCCACAATTTGCTGACATCGAAGAATTTTCTGAGATGATTCTTGAAAATACACTTAACACAAGCTCTATTTGCCGGTAGTGCTTTGCAGAACTTCCGCGATAAGTTACTTTTCTACTACCCCTAATAAGAATCGCCACCCCTAATATTTGTGCCAAACACTTTCCGCGACGCTGGCCCAGTGTGCGATTCCTTTTCTTCCCCCCGGTTCGAAACACAGACACTATCTTGCTTTTGCACACGTGAATTTGCGCTCCTTTGTCCCAAAACTGTGGCGCCAGCCTTTTGCCGTCCCCGACTGCCGCTTCGGGAAGTCCGAAACAGCTCTGCAAAACCGGTGCTGAGTCAACGACGGCGACGACGAAGAAACCCAGCAGATAGGCCGGAGGTGAAAAACTGGGTGTCTGGATGTATAACAACCAGGTCGACGAAGCTGGAAATATCCCACCTGTGGCTTTTCCCCCGGCTGTCTCCCATCTCCACAGAAAGACTCCACGTATCTGCCTACATAAATACACGCAGCGACACACACAAAATGGCAACGAACATCACCTGGCATCACAACCTAACTCACGACGAGCGCAAAGAGCTCGTCAAGCAGAACGGAGCCACCCTATGGTTCACCGGCTTGAGCGCATCAGGCAAGAGCACAGTAGCGTGCGCTCTCGAGCAGAAGCTCTTGCAGGAGGGCATCCAGAGCTACAGACTTGACGGTGACAACGTCCGTTTCGGCTTGAACAAGGACTTGGGATTCAGCGAGAAGGACAGAAACGAAAACATCAGACGGATCTCGGAAGTGTCGAAGCTCTTTGCAGACTCGTGCGTGATCTCGCTGACCTCCTTCATCTCGCCATACAGAGCAGACAGAGACGCGGCCAGAAAGCTACACGAGGAGGCCAACCTACCCTTCGTCGAGGTCTTTGTCGACGTGCCGCTCGCTGTCGCCGAGCAGAGAGACCCTAAGGGTCTCTACAAAAAGGCCCGTGAGGGCCTCATCAAGAACTTCACAGGCATCGACGACCCGTACGAGGCTCCAGAACACCCGGAGATTCACCTCAACACCCACGAGCAGTCCGTCGAGGAGTGTGTCAGCACCATCGTCGCCTACTTGAAGCAGAAGCAGATCGTCGCATGAGCGTCGTGTTCTCGACCTCGACTCAAACCTACTTCTATATTTAACACTGTACCTTGTATATCACAGACACACACATTACTACCACTCCCTCTCTGCCCCCTTCCCCCCTCTCACGTCTATCTATTCTTCAACGCAACCCGTGCCAAAGCCTTCCTTCTCCTGCAGACACGACAATTCTCCGCGCAGCGCCTGTCTCACCTCCTCTCCTCCGGGCCTCTCGCTGATGGCGCTGTGCCGAGAACACACGTCTTTGCTCCGCCCACAGGTGCTGAGGAGCAGCTGTCACAGCAGAAGAGCCTGCCCAGCTGAGAAGACCAGACAGAAGCTCCGTGGACAGAGACAGACAGCCTCAGCACAGGAACAAGAGACATCGCCTCGACGCAGTTCCTCCCCTCACCATCCCGGCTATGTTCCATACCCCTCCAGTAAAATCAGACTGGCAACCGGAGGCCTCGATCGCCAACTCCTACGACGTTGGCAACGTGGACTCCAACTCGAACTACTCCGACAACGACAGCCAGCCGGCAACGTTGGACACCGACGACGCAAAGGACATTCTGCAGCACTCCCCGCTAGAGATCGGCGACGACGTGCTCAGTAAGGTGACTCCGAACATCGCCGTTAAAAATGGCAACGGCGGCGGCAAAGGCTTGGACAGCAACAGCAACAGTGCTACTACTGCGACCATCACCAGAAAGAGTGCAGACAGAGAATCCACACACACAGTAACCCCCATGCATCTAGCACCGAACCCCGTCGACCCACTGAGGTCACCCGCTCTGGATTTCCAAAACGACCTTCCAACCTCCACGGATGCCATCGCCGCAGTCGCCGCCGGCAGCACGGGCATACCCGACCAAACCGTCAGCGATAACTCCTCTTTCATTGAGAGCTTTGACATTGTCACAGAGGCAGACCTACCGATGCAGTTGGTGAAGCTCTACGAGTCGTTCTTGAAAGAGCTCAAGGAACCCAAATTTGAAAGATCACTTGCCAGCTTTGAGATTGCAGAGTTGTTCCAGACTTTCTATCAGCGGTTTCATGTTGGATGCACGCAGTACATCGAGCAGGAAGGAAAGTACGAATTGCATGACCCCCACCATACCGATATAGGGTACCAGTATTACAGATACAACCTCATACTGGAAAGGATACTGTGCGACAAGTTCTACAGTCAGATCATATTTCCCTTGAAAAACATGGAGATCGACGAATACGAGAAAGAATTTAACGACCAGTTCTGCGATAAGCTTGGATGCTTGAGCTCCTTGGACATCCATTTCCAAAACCTCGATATAGATCTACCTGAAAACATAGAAGCAGAATTCATCAATCATTTGGACGATCGGATCCTCCCCGAATTTGAGCTACTGACTGCAGAGAGGTCGCCGACGTTGAAAATGAAGTACTTGATCCGCATCCATAAAAAAATAGGGGAAATCATTCATGACATAACTAAAAGTTCCAAATTCAGTAAAACACTGAACACCGATATCTATCTACCGATATTGATTTTTACGATCATCAAACTGAAAGAACTCCGAGCATACTTCCTTGTCAGGCAGTTGAACCTTATGAAGAGGTTCTCTAACGAGTACATCTTTGAAAACAGCGTCGAATCGTTCCAGATAGAGAAGGGAAAATTGTTGTACGTGTGCGCAAATTTTGAAGCTGCTATCTCCTACCTCTCGAGCGTCACCTTGGACAACTTGGATATGCCTTTGCCATCGGAGGACATCAACCTTTTGCCTGGAAGTTTGAAGGACCGCGACGAACTACTAAACCTCTTAACTGTTCCGCTGAAGCTAGAATCGATCGAAGACGAAGTTAGTGCATTCAAGGAGTCGAATCCTCTCCTAATGACGAGCAGCCTCAAGAACGACGCAAGCATTGGCAGCCCAACACTCACAACGTCCTTGAGCAACATAACCAACTCGTGGGTGGACTATTCGAAGGTAAGCTTACCTTCTGTGATCAACGCGGATCAGGGCCTCAAATCGATCAGTCAAGCCATTGACTCGAGCTTGAAGAATATAATGGGGAAAGTGTCGAGGATTGGAGGCTCGTCCGATGATATAATGAGATATGTCGGCAGCAACGAGATCACGAATGATGGGCACGACGTGAACTACGACATAACCTACGAGGACTACGACGAGAACACCACACAGCACGGGAACGACACAAACACACACACCGAGGCTGGCAGCGCTTCTGCCACCGACGACGGCACAGACAACACGCTCTCCGACTCGCTACTGAGACAGCTAGAGGAGAACCTTGTCTTCGAGCAGACGGTAGGGGGCGGGAGCATCAGAACCATCAAGGGCTCCGAACACTCGCAGGACACAGAAGTGACCTGTCCGACGACAGCGCTGCCACCGGTCGGCGACCCTGCCGAGAACAGCCACCGCAAGATCCCGTCCATCCAGGAGGAGACCCCGTTCCCCGACCAATACGGCGAGCTGGCTAGCAGCAGCATAGTGGGCGGCCCGAGCTCGTTCACGTCCTACACCAAAAGCGCCCTGCGTGAGGTACGCGACCGGACCGAGTCCACGGTCTCTGTCGGCACGCAGGGCACGCAGGAGGGCAGCATCATCAGCAAGTTGACGACCAGCGTCGGTGGCGTCATGAAGAACTTCCGCCCCGTGAGCGCCTCGTCGTCGACGACGTCCTTGAACATGCACCTGACCGACGGCGGCATGGCAGCCACGACAACGGCCACGTCGACCGCAGCTGCCGCAGCACACCCTGCCGCCAGCGGGCTCGAGAGAAGCACCAGCGTTGGCTACCTTGCCACGACGCCCAACAAGAACGCCGCCCGCCCGTCCACGGTGAACATGCGCAGCCGGGCCACCAGCTTCATGAGCACCTCGCTCTTCGGCTCGCCCTCCAACCAGTCCTTCGTCAACGAGGCCAACAACTCCACAACAGCCCTCAACACCTCCGCCGTCGCCAACACCTCCGTCCCCGGCCTCACGCCCTCCTCGCCGTCCCGGGACTACCGCAACTCCATCTTCAGCTCGCTCGAGAGCGCCTTCGACAACGTCCGCAACCGCAGCAGAGACAACTCCCTGGTCCAGGGCCCGGCAGCCCCGCTCTCCTCTACAACAGCCGTCCCGGACGGTGCTCCCGCCCTGACCCCAACGTCTTCCGCCCCCGTCCCGCCCTCCGCCGGCCACACCAGACTCCTCGACGAGGTCGCCAAGTTCAAGCGCTTCGACAAGCCCTTCGAGCAGATGACCGTCACCGACTTGATCGAGATGTACACCAACTACCAGTACATCCTCTCCCGCCTGTAGATAGGATAGATAGACACATACAGATAGATCCACCTAAGGCCAAGCCGCCTCGAAAAAATCTGCATTACGTACGCAATTAGGCGTCCCAGGCTCATGGCCGCGGTCTGGGCCCGCGCCCGCCGCTGGCTCTCGAGGCTCTGGGCGCTTGCTGCGAAAGCTCAGCGATGTCTGTGGATGGACGGGTTTGGTCTGTTTGTTTGTCTGAGCCAGGGGTGGGTGGATGGATGGTGAAGTAGAGATGGGGGTTGGTGTGGAGGTATAGCGGGCTTGGCGAAACGACAGGTACGTGATACCAGGATTGGAGCACAGGGCCGACGGACTAGTGCAAGGCAGAGCGACCGAGCGATAGAGAGAGCTACACATATGTACAGACGGCTAGGAAACCATGCGGCCGAGCCAGGAGAGACGGGGCCTGGACAAACGTTGAAGACGTCGTTGCGGAGCGTGCTTGTGGTGGCGAAGACGTTCAGGTTGCTGCTTGTGTCGATCGCCACGGTGTTTGTGTTGTGCACGGTGTTCATGAGCACGTCGGTGACGTCGCAGATGGACGCGTTGGGGCTCGTGAGCCCGGGCACGGCGAACACGACGGGCTACTTCTCGTTCTACCGGGGCTCGCCGCCGAGCCTGAACACGAAGAGCATGGCGTCGATTGAGAAGCGGCTGCGGTACTTCTTCCCGTTCGACGCTGCGGGGGAGATCGAGAACAACATCTGGCAGTTGTGGAAGTACCGGGCGGACAACGAGAAGTTCCCGTCCAAGTGCTTCACGCACATGGAGAGGTGGCGGGTTGCCAACTTGGAGTACAACCACAACTTGATCACGTTGGACGAGGCGGAGCAGCAGATCGTGGACTACTTCTCGTACGACATGCCCGAGGTGGTGGACGCGTACTACTCGCTGAAGGACACGAGACTCAAGTACGACTTCTTGAAGTACTTGGTGGTGTTCACGAGCGGAGGCGTCTACGCGGACATCGACACGTTGGACGCTAAGCCGCTGCGCTACTGGTACCAGTCGACGTTGAAGCCCACCAAGTTCATGGTCGGCATCGACGTCGACTACAACGACGTCAACTGGGACATCTTGTACAACCGCAGGCTCACCTTCAGCACCAAGGTGTTCAGGGCGAAGTCGCACCACCCGTTTCTCGCCAAGTTGATTGCCCGCATTGTCTACACCTCCTACAACTCGGCCGAGGAGATCGCCAGCATCGACTGGAACCAGGCGTACCAGAACGTCGACTCCAACGACGAGCCACTAATCCAGTTCACAAGCGCCTCCATCTTCACAGACACCCTTTTCGACTACTTCAATGACTTGAACAACCCGGTAGTGCACAGGGTCGCAAGAACAGAGAAGGACCTCATTCCGGAACAGATTTTCGGGCCCGAGACCTCCTCCATCTTCAGCTACAAGCTCTTCACACTGGCCAGAGGCCCGACTCAGGTCGACGACATCGTGGTGATGCCGCAGTTGACGTTCAAGGGTCCAACCACCGGCTACCACAAGGGAGACCTGAATTCCCAATCCTACGACTCCGAGTACGACGATGAAAACGAAAAAGACTTTTACTACTATGCAAGGCCTCTACATTTCTTGAGCTGGGACTCCCTGGTACAGAATGAGAAGGACAAACAGCTGTTGTCTAACTGATAATCACGACTCTATTTGCATTCGGGACTTTGACTTTTCTCACTTTTACATTTCCAGTGTTTGCCCATCCTTTGGTAACAATAATATCATCATTTATCCAGCTTTGTACACATCTATCTAGTATATATATCTATGAAAGCCGCCAAAAGCCAGCCTTTTTTTCTTTCCATCCTCTTGGATATCGTTCACGTTCCACGCACGCCTAGGCTCTGCGGCTTCTGCGGCCTCTGGCCTCGCCGCATCGCTTGTTGCCGCAGCAGCCTCACCTCCTCCAACACCCCGTTCCACAGCTGGTCCGAGTTGATGATCGTCGAGTGATACCCGATAGACACCTTCAGCACCCGTCCGTCGGCCGTGACGCCGTTCAGCGCCGCCATGTAGCTCTGCAGCTGGTCCTCGTGTAGGAAAAACGCCTCGACCGTCACTGACGGCACCTTGTTGTGCGTCGTGCGCATGTTCAGCACCTTCAACACGGTGCCCAGCTGCTCCGTCAACACCATCGTGATGTCCGACTCCGACGCGTCCTCCGTGAGGTTCTCGATCCGCAGGAACGGAAGCAATGAAGCGTTCCGGAACGTGATGTCGTGCGCTTTCTTGCCCGTGAACGTGGCCCCACGGACCTCGCCGTTGCCAGCACTACCCGTACGGCCTCCGGGGGCCGCCCCCCGTGGCCCACGGGGAAGCGGTTTAACTGCTCCGCCACCATCAACCTTCTTCTTGCCCTTCTGCCCCGCAGCGCCGGCTTTGCGGCCTCCTCTGCCACCCATTCCGAGGGCCGCAGCCAACGCGTTCTGCTTCGGCGGTGCCTCCGTGTGCAGCCTGGCTCCCTTCGAGAACGTCATCTTCGCAAACCGGCTGCCGCCATCCAGACGCTGCAGCAGCTCGTTCCTCGGCGCCCTCCCCCGCTGCGTCTCCCTGTCGTCGTATTCGTCCCGGCCACGCTGCTGGTCCACCTTCCTGGCTTCTCTTCCGCCGCTGTGCAACGCCCTGAACAACGGGTTTTGCCCCAACGAAGGCCGCTTCCCATTCTTTGCTGCAACTCTTTTCTCACGCATCGTCTGTGACCCTTCTGCTGCTCTCAGAAAGTTCCCGGCACCGCTTATCCACTGTTCTCTGTCGTCCGTTGTAGTCTTCGTCCCGTTCATCTTCAACACCATTCACCGCCTGAGCCGCGCCCATCGACCTAAAAAACAGTCTTCCAGTGTCTCTTTCCCACGCCCCCGTCGTGTTACTTTATTTCATTTTCTGGCCCTTTTGCTCTGGGTGGCTGATTGATCTAAGCGATGTTTTGGGTCTGTTAGGGAGACACGCAGCACAGAGCAGAGTTCACCGCAGCAGCAAGCCATTGGAAGAACCTGCCGAGTCCAGTGCAACAGAAACAACAATGCCTTTCTGCGGAAGCCCCCCGAAGCCAGGTATGTCGCCAGCGTTTTTGAAAACGAGCCCCGGCCACCTCAATCTGCTCACGCTCGTTCCGTTCTCTGCCCTGAAAGGGCTGCACAGGGTGTGATGGCTCCCGGTACCCGGATGGGAAACGTATACTAACAAAGTTCCGCTTTTGATCTACTACAGTACAAAGAAAAATCGTCATCCTAGGAGATGGTGCGTGTGGTAAGACGTCTCTTTTGAACGTGTTCACACGAGGATACTTTCCGAAGGTGTACGAGCCTACGGTGTTTGAAAACTACATCCACGACATTTTCATAGACGGCCAGCAGATCCAGCTCTCGCTCTGGGACACGGCGGGACAGGAGGAATTTGACAAGTTGAGGTCGCTTTCGTACTCCGACACGCATTGCATCATTCTCTGCTTCTCGATAGACTCTCCGGACTCGCTAGAAAACGTGAAGAACAAGTGGGTTGGCGAGATCTTGGAGCACTGCGAAGGCGTGAAGCTGATTCTTGTGGCGCTCAAGGCGGATCTCAGACAGTCCGAGAACGCCAACACCAACAACGGCGACGATGGTGCCGACAATTTGGGCGGCACCTCTGCATATAACAACGACGGGCAGTTGAAGAAGTTGGTTACCTACGAGGAGGGTGTCAGCGTGGCGAAGCAGATAGGCGCCCTCAGGTACTTGGAGTGCTCTGCAATGAAAAACAGAGGCGTGAAGGAGGTCTTCACCGAAGCCGCTCGGATTGCATTGACTGCGAGACCAGGCGCAGCCTCGGCCAACGGCCAACCCGTCGCAGACAACTCGGGAAGCTCCAGTAGTTGTGCTATAATGTGACTGAGGTCCCGCTTCTAGTCCAGCTGTCCTTGCTTGATTACCCAGCCCCAATGATATATCGACTGATCCCCACTCTCCTTTCCTCTTTCCATGAACTCACTTATCCACTCTTTTACCTATTAACTTTATGTTCATCTTTTCCCTCTTTTCTTCTTCTTCTTCTTCTCTTGTTATCCTAGTAGAAATACACTTACAAAATTTCACTAACCCTTGTGTTAATTATCATATAACCATTATAAAGACTCATATTTTTATAAAAAAAAACAGTTATAAAAACGATAAAGCGAAATGGTGATATGCTTTACACATTGTTGAATGCACCTCTATTAGGACTCCGCACCGGACTTCTCGTTGGACTTCTGGATGAGCTTTGTGCGTACATTCCAACGTGATTGTTTCGCCTTGGAGAAGGACTTCTGACAACCGCGTGCTTAACAGCGTAGTCAGATTCGGGTATATCGTATGAGTTGTTAAAGCTGGTGTCCTCGAACATCGAATGGCTCTCCACGGAGACGTTGTTTCTAGCGTTTTGCATTATGGGGTTGTTGCTGCTAGTACCGTTTTCGTAGGAGATGTCGTGGAGTGTCCGTGGCTGGTCGGTCAACGCCGGCAACTCTCCCGTCGAGATGAACTCGTCCAACACGAGAGAGCTCAACTTCCTGTGATGGAAGTGTGTTTTATGATTCGGAATGTTCACCGTTGCGTTTTTGGCAGCCTTGGTTGGCTCGGCTATGGAGTAGAAGGAGGTTTTGTCTGTGTTGTTTTCTTTGCTGTCTGTCTCAGCCTTGGTGCTGTCGTTTGGCGCTGCAGGCGACTCTGTGCCCAGCATGCTGTAGAAGACAGAGTTGTCGGGATCGCTGCTGTTGTTTTGCGATTGTGATTGCGGCGCAAGCTGCGGCTGTTGGCTGAAGTTCAACTGAAGCACCGACCCTATGGACTGGCTTTTGGAGTGCTGGAGCCCCGGGTGCTGCTGCAGACTCAAGCTGGTGAAGCTGTCGTCCGCATGGTGGTTGCTGTACGGAGGCGCCGCGGTCACGCCCGAGAGGTGGTCCATGGACCGGCGGTACTGCGAGATGAAGTCGACCGAGCTGAGATTCTTCTTGTGTGTGAACGACTTGTTCGAGCTCTCGTACCGGTCGCTGAACGGGTTCTCCAGCTCGTCCTCCCCGTGGCCTCCTCTGTTCTTCCTCAGCTCCGGCCCCGTGTAATCCGTGAACTCGTAGTCCTTGTCGAACGGCTCCACCACCTTCGCCTGCCGGCTTGCCTTGTACTTGTTCACCACCACCCCAAGCACGTACAGAAAAAGAAACCCCCCGATAATCGGAAAGATGATCTCGTACAACGTCCCCTGCCGGAACCTCGTCGACTCCAAGAACGGGTTCCCGTTCGCAGTCGGTATCTCCAAGTTTCCGTTGGTGTTCTTGTGCATCACCAGCCCCGACGACGCCACCAGCCCGCCGCTTCTCGTGGCCTCCCCGCCACCCTGTACTGCGTCCTTTGTTATGAACGATGTCACAATCGATTTCTCCATTCTGCTTCTTGCTTACTGTCCTTTTCTCTGAAGCAATAAGACGACACTGTCCGTTTCCGATATGCTCTCTGGCGTTACCGTCTCCTCCCTTGGCTCTCCTTACTCTGCTCTGTTTTCTGTAAGCGTGTCTTCTCTACAAGCTAAGCACACACCGCCTCTCTTTTTCTTCTTCCTCATCTCTCTCATCTCCCCCCTCTGCCTCAAACCTGCTCCAACCACAAGTGTCTCTCTTGTCTCTGCATCTGGCCGTCTGCCTCCAGGAACCTTCTGTTTACTCTTGCCCGAAAAGGGTAGCTCCCCATAATGGGACCTGACCGTGTCCATGTAAGCCCAAAAAGGAAATGAAAGCGAAAATAAGCCTCGGAGGGCAAGAAAACGGGCGCTTACGTCAGCGTCAGGACGAACCGGCGCCGCCGGCCTTTTTCCCTGCTTGGTGGAGGATGGAGAAGACAGGTTGACAGACGAAGGAGGGGAGACGGAGGGGCAGAAGAGGAGGAAGCACAAGCTTCGACGACAGCAAGCAAGCACAGAAGAACAATGCTTTCACAGAACACGATGCGGACGGCGTTGTCGGCGGCGGGGAAGCTGGGGACGAAGAACAGGAGCCTGTTTGCGCAGCATGCGGTGAGAACGGCGTCGGTCACAAACGTGCGTTTCATCCAGTCGAAGCCGAGGACGGAGAAACAGGTGCTGGAGCGTTATAAGGCGAAGCTTGAGGCCCGGGCAAAGCAGCAGGGGCTCGAGAGCGCGGAGAGACTGATGGAGGAGATGAAGGACACGATCGAGCAGACGAAGAAGCAGCTCAACGCCATCGACCCGCTGAAGGAGCTGGACGACTACGAGCAGGCGGTGAACCTGCGGGACTCGCTGAGCGGGAAGAAGAAGACGCTGGACCCGATCCAGCCGGGGACGCCGACAAAACCGTACAAGACGCTCGACTCGTATCTTGTGCTGGAGAAGATCCGGGAGCTCGACGTGCAGCACATCGAGTTCTTGTGGAGAGCCAAGTTCCAGGGCGACCCGCAGTCGCTCGTGGCGGTCGTGCCGGGGGACACCTTCGACGTGATGTACGGGCACGCCCGGGCCAACCCGACGTTTGTGCTCCCGCTCCCGAAGGCAGACGCCCAGCTGGACGAGGCCGACAGGGCTCCCGCGGACGCAGACACCACGCCGATGGAGGTGCACTTTGTCCAGTGGTCCTTCGTGGGCCCGAAGACCACCCACTGCATGATCACGACCTTGATGGAGTACAAGCTGCACAAGGAGTACGCCAGACCGCACACAACCCTCTCCTTCCACCAGGAGCTGGAGGACGACAAGGGCATTGTGTTGATGTCCGGCCACGTCGACAAGGACGCTGCGATTACGCCCGCCGAGTCCCAGATCTTGCTGCTCAACTTGCAGAGATTCTACGGGGCCTTTAGGACCAACTCCGACATCGAGCACCAGAGAGTCCAGCTCGTGCGGGACTTCAACAGCGGCTCGCCAGGCTTCTCCATGGAGAAGTGCATCGAGCTCTCCCAATCGCTGGATAACTGAGTCTTCCACACGCTGTATATAGCCATAGCCCCAACGACGTAACTCTGATTATACTCTGATTATAGCCCAAACGAACAAACCCGGGGACTTTCCAGGCAAGGAAGGTCTGCGCGCCGATAGCTGGCACTAGATAGTGAGCACCATGGGTGACATGAAATCGAAGATCAACTGTCATCCATCCATCAAGTCAGCTGGAGGTCATGAGCATGCACCACGTCAGGGAATAGACCCAGCCATGGCGTACACCGCAGACATGACGAGGAACAAAAGGGTAATCACCGTCGGGTATTTAGGTCCGCCAGGAACATATTCGCATCAGGTACGTTGAACTCGAGAATGGAAAGTGAAAAGTGGGAAATGGGAAACCGTTTGATCCCGTCCGCATGTGCATCGTATCACTAACTCTGTACCGTCTTTTTCTTTATCTGCACAGGCAGCAATCCAACAATTCAAGGAATACGAGTCGCAGCCAAACACGGACGTCGTGTATAAGCCTCAGAAGAGCATCGGGGCGTGCTTCACGTCGGTGCAGGACGGCGCTGTAGACTACTCACTGGTGCCGTTTGAAAACTCGTCAAACGGCCAGGTAGTGCTCACCTACGACCTGTTCCGGGACTGGTTCACCAGCAGTGCCTCCGAGTCGGCAAAAAAAGTCGTCTCGACAGACACCCCAAGGTTCACGGTCATCTCTGAGCAGTTTGTGCCTATCCACCACAACCTCATCACCTTCGCCGACGACGTCACCAAGATCACCAAGATATACTCCCATCCGCAGGTGTGGACACAGTGCCGCCGCTTCCTCGCCGAGTACGAGCTCGACAACAACATCAAGGTCGAGAAGCTCGACACCTCGTCCACCTCGAAGGCTGTGGAAAACTTGCTGCACGTCAGTGACCCCGAGGAGAGACAGAAAACAGCAGCCATTGCCTCCTCGACCGCCAGCGAGATCCACAACGTGCCCATCAAGATTCCCAGCGTCGAAGACTTCTCCGGTAACACCACGAGGTTTTTGTGTCTTGGGCCCGACAGCGCATACCTGGACCAAAGCGGGCACCAGGCCGCTCTGAACTTCACCCCGGATACAAACAGTGGGACATCTAACCAAAAGATGCACCTGTTGACCTTCCTCATCAAGAGAAACGACGACTTCGGCAGCCTCTGCGACATATTGGAGAAGTTCAAGAAGTACAACCTCAACCTACAGACCATCACCACGAGACCAAGCATCGACAAGCCGTGGCAATACGTCTTCTTTGTAGAGGTGTGGGACGGTCACGAGCCGGACGCTCTGAAGGCCTGTCTGGCTGAGCTGGAGCCTCTCGTGTTCGAGCTTAGCGTGGTCGGCTCCTTCTACCGGAGCAGACGGTTCTTCGAGATGCTTACGTGACCGGGGGCGGGCGGCTGGCGAGGAGCGTTTTTGACGGCTCCGATAAAGGAAAGGGCGGGATGAGGAGTAGGAAAAGACCCCTCTGCAGTATGTTTACTGCGTTTGTAGTGCACGTAGATGTGTGTGTAGGCTTTTGTCGGAGGTGTAACTGTAAATACTAGTGGACACAAAAACAGCAGGGAACTACGCAGAATGTCTGTTGCGAAGGGACTCAAAACGCTAGAGACGGTGGTGTATTTGCCACTGACGCTTGTCAGGTTGAGTTTGCTCGGGTTCTTCTTCTTCTCAGGATGTTTGTCAATTGTATTCAGCCAGTTTCTCTTTTTGACGCTCTATTTCGGGGACAAGAATGGGATCCAGCAGTTGTTGGATTACACGAAAAGAAATTTCGTCATCTTGCTCACGTTTTGCACAAGCATGTTTTCTTCTCCGTCGAAGATCATCCTCAGCTTCAAGTCGGATGAGTTGCGCCAGAGATACATCACGGTGAGGCCGGACCAGAAGGGCAACAACAGATACGAGTTGCACTTTGACCCGTCTGCCGTGATCATCTCCAATCACCAGATCTACTCTGACTGGTTTTTCCTCTGGTTCATTGCGTATTTGAACCACTGCTCGGATCACTTTTTCATTGTCATGAAGAAGTCGTTGGAGAAGCTGCCGGTTCTTGGCTACGGCATGACCAACTACCATTTTGTTTTCTTGAGCCGGAATTGGCAGCTGGACAAGAGCTACATGGTGAAGCAGTTCCAGACCATCAAGCAGTTGAGCACCAAGTTCTGGATGTTGATCTTCCCCGAGGGAACCAACATGAGCCACAACAACCGGAACAAATCCCACAAGTTTGCAGAAAAGATTGGCCTGCCCAAGCAAGACTGTGTTTTGTTACCCCGTGTCAAGGGGCTCTACGTCGCATGCAAGGAGCTTGCGCCTTCCACCACGAAGATCATCGACTTCACCATCGGCTACTCCGAGCACGGCAAGGACGAAATGGCTCAGGACATCTTTACGTTGTGGAAAATATACATTCTCGGTGAATCACCTCGCAATATCAGCATCCTGGTGGACGAGTACAACTTGAAAGAGGAAGTTCCAGGCATGGACCTGAGCGGCTCCCACGATATTGTGCCCGCCGAGGAGGAGGAGCGTGAGATGCAGCTCTTGAACTCCTGGATCACCGAGAAGTGGCAAATCAAAGAGCAAGACATGGAATACTTTTACAAGAACGGCCAGTTTGAGGCTGGAGATGTCCACCAGTACGAGCTGGATCTGAAACTCAATTCGTCGTGGGAAATCCTCCACGTCTACCTCCCAACCCTTTGTGTAATCCCTGTTCTTGCAACCGTTTGGATGTTGGCGAAGTGGGTTTTCTGGTAAGGACTTTAGGGGGTTTTGGGGTATATCTTCTCAGCCGGTACAGTAGAAGTATGTTTTAAGTAGGAAATAGTACAATGTGTAGAGAATTTAGCCATGGTGCTTACGTCAGCACTTTGGAGTTTAGGAAAAAAATGTCGTCGAGAGGGTCGATGAAAATGTAGGCCGGAATGTAGGTGGATGGAGAAGAGAAGAATGAAAGAGATGGCGGCCCTGTTGTTATCAGAATAAGATCCAGAGACAAGGGAAGAAGATACCACCACCAAATAATGCTCGCGTCACTAGCTCGTTCGTTTGAGGCCCTCAACATCCGGACTGCTGTTCAGAGTAGGTCGGTGTCGATGATGGGTCGTTTGACACCTACACAAGATTCCAAGAACCGTGTGAGACGTGTTGGTCGTGGTCCAGGTTCCGGACTTGGTAAGACTTCTGGTCGTGGTCAGAAGGGTCAAAAAGCCCGTGGATCAGTGCCAAACTGGTTTGAAGGTGGTCAGACCCCATTGTGGAAACTTTTTCCTAAGCGTGGGTTCTACCGTCATCAAAAGCTCGAGCTCAACGAGTTAAAGCTCTGCAGAATTCAAGAGTTCTACGACAAGGGCAAGCTCGACTTTCTTGCCGAGGGAGAGACCCTTACTATGAAACACATGAAAGACTGCGGATTGATAACAGGCTCCATGAAGGACGGAGTGGTCATTTTGGGTGACGCAGCCAAGTACACTGCTCCAATCAAGATTGAGTCGACCAAAGCATCACAACCTGCAATGGAAACCATTAAGCAGGCCGGCGGTGAGTTCACCGCAGCATACTACAGTCGTGGACTTGGATTCAGAGCCCACCATTCTCCAGACTGGTTCCTTGAAAACAAGGGATATGTCCCAATCAGAGCCAGACCTATTGCCAGAAGAGACATCGTGTTCTACTCTGACGCCGAAAAAAACGGTTATTTGGCGGACTCAGACTACGTCAAGCAGATCACTGTTGGTGGTAGCAAGGCTAAGAAAGTTTTCAAGAAAACTGCCTTGGACCTCGAGGTCGAAGAGGCAGCCAAATCCGACTCTACCATTGCCGCTACACAAAGCTTTGCTAACAACAAGGTTGTTTCCTTTGCCGATCTGAAGCTTTGAAAGCAATCATATTCAGTTGACGTCCTTTCTTTCATGTAAATACTTTTATAAGATAACATTAGTGTAAAACCGAATTTAAACCTCCATCGAATAAACTTGGTGTCATCTACTCATAATATTGACAATAGGTGGTACATACGCTAACTAACATGTTCAAAATACATAATTTACAAAAATTTCACCATCCTCTGGCATGATAGTTCATATTATCTTCATCGTCATCTACATCTCCTCCATATATTTTTCTTACTATACTATCGTCAATGAAACCATCCGAAGTGAATACTGCGGCTCTTTTCTCCAGCATGGATACCGGGTCATCTTCTCCCTTCTCAATCAAATTTGCTGCATCAAGATGATGCTTTGCAATTTCCACAACCGTGGAGCTCGAGTCCGGGTCATCCAGTACGTCCGATTCATGTAGGCTTGATGTTGTCGCATTTCTAGACGGGTGTCCAAACAACGCCATATTCTCCTTGAATATGGAGTCCACTAAATTGGAAGGTAGTTGTCCAGGGGCAGGCACAACATTACCATCACCATTATCTCCAGCTGCCAGTTTCTTACTCTTCATCTCAAGCTGTCGTTCTTTCCTTCTTTGCTCTTTCATGATTCTATTCTCTGATCCGGGTATGTCAATAGAGGAAGTGGATGTTTTGATACTCGATGCGTATTCTACCTCCGGTTCACCTTCTGCATCGGTGCCTGGCTTGATGACCTGAGCGTTGGCGTATTTGGCAATATTATCCTTTGTGAGTTTGGTGATGTTCAATTCGTTATCTAGAACAGGAACTTGTTTCTGTTGTGTGGCCACTGCTGAAGACTCAGCATGTGGATGATGTTGATGTTGATGTTGATGTTGATGGTGGTGGTGATGTTGATGGTGGGGATGATGCTGTTGTTGTTGCTGGGAGTGTGGTGAATGATGATTAGTATGCGGCTTTTGTTGACCTATTTGTTGCGGTTTTTGTGGTTGTCCGGAATATTGTTGACGTTGTACACTTTGAAACGTCTGGAAATTTTTAGTTGGAAGAAACATATGGGTAGCTAAGGCTGTTGGTAGAAGGGTAGCAGCGGTTGGAGGCGCGTTAGACCTGTGATGAGAATCATAATGACCTTTTGTTTGTTTGGCACCAGCTGAGAACAAGGAAGAAATAGAATCACCATTGGTATCAATTTGGGCACCGCCACTCTTTCTAGGTGATAAAGAACCCGGAGCTCTTTCAAGTTTACCGGTCGTATTGCCTTCTTCTGTGTTGGTATCAGGCTGCTGTTTACCCATCTGGTCCAAGAACAGTCCACTCAACAAACTTCTTTTAAGAACTGGCTTCGTCTTGTTGCCGGCCTCGTCGTCCGTCACGACAGTCTGCTTTTGAAAGCTCAATCCTCCTTCTTCGTTTTCTTCCTCAGCGTGGTCCTCATCTTCACTCAAGGAGGACCATCCGGAGTCGTCATCGTCATCATCATCATCATCATCATCATCGTCATCATCGTCATCATCGTCGTCGTCGTCGTATGTATTGTTGGTTAGCGAATATACACTGTGGTTCGACTTTTTATTAGGAAAGAGCGACGCTGTGGAGGCCTGAGATGCATGTGACCTTGTAGAAGAAGCTGCTGACGCCATGGATACTTGAGAGGCATTTGATTTGATTTGCAGGTTTTGCAGGTTCAGCGTTTTCACCTCAGTTTTCAAGTCACCTGGGAGTTTTTTGAGGGGTGGATTGTTTGCAATACGTTGCTGTTGTAGTTGTTGCTGCTGCTGTTGCAATTGCCTTAGTCTATGCTGGTGTCTCTGCTGTAGCTGCTGCTGTTGCTGCTGTTGCTGTTGCTGGGAACTAACTTGTTGTTTCGACGGCGCTTCGCTGGAAGAATTGTGTGGCTTATCTGGGGTGTGCGTTCGATCCTTTACGAAAAGCGAGCTGGAACTCAGTCTGGCACCTGTGTGAAGCTGCAGCTCCGATCTGGCGTTACCTGGGGGCAGGTGGGCGTTCGACTCCACCGGCTGCTTGGCTGTGTTATTAGGTAGTGCTGGATCTGGCCGTCTGGACTGGTTTCTCTGGACCTGGTTGACCAGCGAGTGCATGCTGTTGTTCTTGGCTCCAAACAAAGACGTCACAACGCTCCCCGCGGGCGGGCCGTTGGAGGACGTCTTGGGAGACTTGTCCTGTCTGGCCTTACCGCCGGAGCCCGTGACCGAGCTCTGCATGACGTCCACTATGGACTCCCTGGCCGCAGCATGAGGCGAGAAGTTCGGCGGACTCATCGAGGAGGACTCCGGCGACGAGTGGTCGATGAAGAACTGCGTCTTGCGCTCGTTCACGGGCTTCTCGTAGAACCCGTCCGGGGTGTGTGTGGCGGAGTGCGTCTGTGACGATGTCTTGCGGAAGAGACTTGGTACGCGGGACACGTTTGTCGGGTTCGGCTGCGAAAGGGCCGACGGGGATGAGAGGTGGCTGCCGGCCTTCTTCTTTGCTGCTGCTGAGACGGTCTTGGCGTTGCTCTGCGTGAAGGAGCTGGACGCGAGCGACGTGTTGAGCGAGGAGGAGGAGTCCGTGTGCACGGAGGAGGAGGAGGTGGGGATGTGTTCGGTGGACCCGGCGGCCCCGCCGGGCCGTTTCTGGAGCTTCTTGCGGTTGTGGTGGCTCTCCCGCAGCTCCTTGCAGCGGGTGCCCTTGGAGACGCTGGCGATGGCCGAGAAGTCCGCCGGCGTGATGTCGTCGTGCAGGATCAGCTTGCGGTTGATCAAGCGCCAGCTGAGGTTCTCCAGCCGCCGCCCGTTCTGGATCACCTCGCTCGCCTTCGTCAGCGTCGTCCAGAACGTGATGATGTTGTCCATGTCTCTCTCCTCCGACGCCTGCTGGCCTCTGCCACACCCCGGCCCCGCACACCGCCCCGCGTCCTTCAGGTGTGTGCTGATGTACTCGATGGACGACTGCGACACCTCGAGAAACGGCAGCCGCCGCTTCCGTGTGTCCAGGTAGCTCGTCGTCATTGCGTCGATCTGTCCCTGCCTGCTGTGTCTGTGTCTGTGTCTCTCTGGCTGCCAGCTTCGATGCGCCAAACGGGTCTGTCCGGTGCCTTCTGCGCTGTTTCCTTCCGGATCGTCCGTGTCTGATGCTTTGCCGTGCTGTTCTGCTGCTCTACGCCTGTCCAGCCGGGCCCGCTGTTGTTCCTCCCTCCGCACCGGCTCTTCTTCCCCGTCTCTCACGGACCTCTGTCGTCTGGCACCCCCCGTTCCACCACCTAGGTCATGCACCTCTCTTTTTCTCGCAGTTTATCCGGGCCTCGGAGCGGGGGACGCTGACGTAAGCGGGGGAGAGAGGGGGTCGTTTGCCGAGGTGTTGTAGATGTTACAGAGGTCTAGATAATACACAGGAAAGGCCGGGACCGGGGGCTAGTGGAGCATGCCCAGAAGAGCCTCGAGGTCGTGGTCGTTGGAGGAAGAGGCCGGGTCGGCGGGGTCGGCGGGGTCGGCCGGTTGGGCCGGGTGGGCCGGTTGGGCCGGGTGGGCCGGTTGGGCCGGGTGGGCCGGTTCGGGGGACTCGGGGGACTTGGGAGACTCGGAGGGCTGGATGGAGTCGTCCTTGTCGAAGACCCTTGTCTGGGTGTCGTTGGCGAAGGAGACGGTTTTCTTGGTGCGTTTGGGGGAGGGCGGGGACGCGGTGGGGTCGGCGTCTTCGGCGGGGTCGAGGTCGGCAGGGCCACGCTTGGCGTGGGTGTCGGGGTCGGGGGTGTCGGTGTCGGTGTCGCTGTTGTTGTCGCTGTCGCTGTCGTTGTCGTCGGCGTAGGCAGGCACGCTCTCGCCGGCGTCGTCTCCGTAGTGGTACACGGCGACGTTGTCCCGCTCCGCGGCCAGCTCGTCCTTCTTGGCCCGCACGTCGGCGACGAGCTTGCGGATCTGCTGCTGCTTGCTGCGGTCCAACATGACCCAGTCGTCCAACTCGCTGGCCAGCCGTCTCAGCTCGGTCGCCAAGTCTGTGCGGAGCACAGCGATGTCCTTGGACTGGGCCTCGATGCTGAGGCCGAGCTTCTCGGCGTCCTCGAGGCGCCGCAGCTCCGTGCCCGTGCTCTCGTAGACGCTGGTGTCGGTGCCGGCGGCGGCGTCGGGCGCCGCCGGGCCCTTCTGCAACGACGAGAGCGAGCTCAAGAGGTTGTTGAGCTGCGTCGTCTTCTGCGCCTGGTTCCCGCCGTCCTCCGTGAGCAGCTTCGACGCAAGCCTGTTGAACTCGATGTAGCTGGCCTTGTACGACTTGTGGAGCCCGTCGAGCGCCCGGTACTTATGCACCGTGGTGACCAACTCGCCCGGAATGTGGCTGTCCGGGTCCTGCGGAGGGCCGGCGTTGGCGGCGGCGGGGTGGACGCCGCCGTTGCCGTTGGCACTGGCGGACGCATTGGGTCTGATTCTGAACGCCCGGTCAGGCTGCTCACGCCGGTCGGGCTCTCTTGCACCGCTGGCGGCGGCGGCCTTCCCTGTCGACGCCCCGTTCAGGGTGCTCTGCAGCTCGGCGATGAACCCGCTCGGGAAGACCGCCCGCTCTCTCCACACGTCCAACACCCTCGAGTACTTCTGCTTCAAGTGGGCGTTGGCGCTGTCCGACGCAACGCTCTCGATGATCTGCGGCATGATCTGCAGGAAGTCGTCCAAGTACGACTTGTACTTGGCCTCCTTCTTCTTGGCAAACTGCACAAGGTCGTTGCAGAGGTAGAACATGGCGAGTCTGTAGTTGGGCTCCGACTGCTCGATCGCCGGGTCTGGGCTGAGAAACATCGTCACCCACAACGCCACAATGTCGCCCGAGTGCCGGTAGTGGAAGAGACACCACTGCGACGTAGTCTGGATCGACTGCTGTGTGTTGTCGAGCTGGTTGAGCTTCTGTCTGGCCTTGTCTTCGGAGAACGACATGGTGGCAGGGGATTGTGCCTTTTCGCTGCTTCGTTCGTCCGGGCAGAGGGGAGGTGCTGACCAGAGATGTCCACCAGAGATGTCCACCACTGCGATGCACTGCACCCCGTCTCTCCGCCCTTCTTCGTGACCCACTCCTCTCCGTCTCCTGGTCCTGTCGAAGAGCGTCGACCCGTCCACGGACGCCCCTCAGAGAGGCAAAGCGCCTAGCGCGGAGCTGCTGAGCGTGGCCTCCTGGCCGTGGACGGGGGAGAAGAGGGTGTTGAGAGGAGGGAGGAGGGGGTTGCTGCTGGTGTGGATTGGCCCGGACCCGCCATTGGGGGGCAGCAGAGACGCAGAGGCCAGTGCAACGCATAGAAAGAGAAGTACACACGATGGCAGACAAGTTTCCCGAGATCGACGACACAACGGCGGGGGCCGGCGACGTGGCCCCTGGATCGGATTTCCTCTCACGGGAGAAGGAGGTGCTTGGCGACGAGTTCTCGACGGCCAACGACGCAGAGGTGTTGAAGGAGACCGGCGACGACGACGACGACGAAGAGGAGGAGTTCGAGGACTTCAAGTCGCAATTCCCCGAGGTGGGCGGCGCAGCGGAGGCGGCCGAAGAGGCACACGCTGCGCTGGACCACGACACCGGCGCCACGGAACACGCCGTGGTGAACAAGTTCGGGGACCTCAAGCTCGACGAGAGCGAACACGTGCAGGAGTGGAAGAAGACCCGGGAGCTCGAGGTGGCGAAGCGGGACGAGATTGCGGAGCGCAAGCTGAAGGAGGTCAAGGCGGAGGCCGAGAAGGCCATCGACGACTTCTACGAGAACTACAACAACAAGAAGGACGACGCCATTGCCGAGACCAAGAAGGCCGAGGCCGCCTTCCTCGAGAAAAGAGACTCCTTCCTCGAGCACGGCACTCTGTGGGACCGGGCCGTCGAGCTGCTCAAGCTCGACCGCAACTCCGACGCCGTCGACACAGAGAACCTCCGGGACAAGACCAAGTTCAGAGACCTGCTGCTTGCTCTCAAGGGCAAAGAGAACGTGCCCGGCGCCGCCGGCGTCTGAACGGCCTGTCGCAGCCTCCGTGCTGACGCCCGCCTTCGGGCCCCACGGGACCCCCCCGACGACCACCACCCACTACCACTATCTACAACTGTGTATCACACACCCTGTAAAGCAATACGTACCCTAGCCAGCCATCCAACCTGTAGCCCACTCGACCCCCGATCTTCCGCCAGGAGACCGTCTAACCTCCTCCCCCTTCTCGCACTCTCCGTCCTACAATCTCTCGCAGAAGGCGGTGTTTTTTCTTGGCCGTCTGTCAGGGAGGGTGGAGCAAGGCCAAGACGGAAGAAGGCTCTGCTGGTCGTAGTGTCTGTTGCAGAGGTAGTCGCCGTGGACAGCCAGCAGCAGCAGCAGTAGCCCCCAAATAGCAGCAGCAGCAGCAGCAGCAGCAGCACCGCCTAACTCATCTCCCGGAGCCCGCCCAGCACGCTCCATCAGTCTCCCACAGGCCCCCTCTGTTATCTATCAGGGCTTCAGCCTACGAAAGCCGATCCAGCAGCACAGAGACCGTCGTTAGCCAACGCATTCCAGCCAGCAGGCAGCACACACGCCGGCAGCACCATGAACGGCTCCAACCAGGGCTTTTTGCCGAACAATCAGCAGCAGCACTTCCGGCTGCAGATCTCGCCGAACGACCGGCTGCAGTTCATCAAGGTCTTGATCACGTCTTTGCAGAAGATCCAGGGCCCGAGCTTCTCGGCGCAGAAGGTCAGGCCCGTAGCCGAGGAGTTCGAGAAGTATGCATTCTCCCACTCGTCGGACAAGTCGCAATACGTGGACTTCCTAAAGTCGAAGATCGCCAGCTTGACGCAGGCCAGGAGAGCCAACCAGCAGCAGCAGCAGCAGCAGGTGCCGCAGCAGATGCCCCAACAGATGCCGCAGCAGATGCCGCCTCACATGTCTCCGCAGATGCAGCAGGCAAGGACTCAGCAGCAGCAAAATCTCAACCAGCACCACCAACCAGCACCACCACAGCAACAACCGCAGCAACCACAACAACCACAGCAGCAACAACTGCAGCAACCGCAACAGGGTGGAAAGATCAACCTGCACACGGCACCAATTCCTAAGGAATTGCTCGATAAGCTACCAAAGGTTTTTCCGCCAATGCTCAACACCTGGCAGACTATCATGCCGTACTTGAGAAACAACCAGCTCAGCCAGGAGGAATTGCAGACCATCAGGAACGTGCACATGATGCACGTGAATCTTTTCAAACAGAACTACGCAAACATGCAGCCCCAGCAGCAGCAGCCTCAACAACAACAGCAGCAGCAGCCAAAACCCCAACAACAACAACAGCAGCAGCCACAGCAAGGACAACCGCAACCCAACTCGAGCAACGCTTCTCTGAATCCTCAACAGATTCTTATGATGAACAGGCAAAGAGAGGTGCAAGCTCAAGCTGCACAAGCACAGGCACAGGCACAAGCGGCCCAGGCCCAAGCACAGGCACAGGCTGCCCAGGCGCAGGCGCAGGCGCAAGCTGCTCAAGCACAAGCACAAGCACAAGCACAAGCACAAGCACAAGCTGCTCAGGCTCAAGCACAAGCTGCTCAGGCGCAAGCACAAGCCCAGGCGCAAGTCCAGGCTGCCCAGGCACAAGCCCAAGCGGCACAGGCAGCACAAGCTCAATCCCACTCGAATAGTCAGCAGTTGTCTCAAGCCAAACAGGCTCAGATCAACGCATACAAGATTCAGGCTTTGCAAGTAATCAGAAAGCTTCAGAGTTTGGGAAAACTACCTGCTACACTGACTCCAGAACAAGAGGCTGCTTATGTTCGTAAATACCTTTTGCATATCTTGCAAAACACAAACAGAGATTCTCAAGATCCGAGTAAGCAGCAACAACAACAACAGCAGCAGATGATGAGACAGCAACAGCAACAACCTCAGTCAACACAACAGCAGATGCAGCAGCCGCCTCAGCAACAACCCCATTATCCTCAACAACCACAGCAGCAGCAGCATCAACCGCAGCATCAGCAGCAGCAGTTGAAGCCAAACGTTCAAGCTAACCAGAATCCAATGATCTCACCTGTTCTACAACAGGCACACACACAAAACATGTTTCAACAATCGGCAAATTATGATAACATGCAGCTACCGTTGCAGGTTCCTAAACACATGGCCAATTCCAACTCGATTGATATGAGCACCCTGTCTAGTCCTTTGATCGGTATGCAGAACTTGAATACCAATACCAATCAAGGTGTATCAAATTTTGGTTCACCTACAATCCAAAATCCTCAGCTGATGGTAAAGAACCAGCTTCCTATTCAGATGCAACAACCGCAAGCTGCCGCTCCCAAACAGCAACTGCAACAACAGTTGCCACAAAACTTTCAACAGCAACAGCAACAGCAACAGCAACCTCAATACTCGTTACAACAAGCAGCTCAACAGTCGTCGGCAAGGAAACAGCAGCAGCAACAACAACGCCAAGTTTATCCATCGCAGCAACTTCCGACCCATCCCGTACAGCAGTTGCCCACGAATCAAAACCAGTTTGGAAACGCCATTAGTAACCAGATGCCAGCTAACCAGTTTATTAATACAAACTCGTCTGGTGCTAAGTTGTTGCCTGGTCTTAAGGCTACAAATGAAGACTGGACCGCTTTGAAGGAAATTTACCATGAGACTTTGATTTCTCCGATCAACCTGAAAGACATGACTACTACCCTGTCCGATGACGACAAGAGAAAGGTGTTGGGTTTGGCCAAGCAGTCCAAACAGTTGATGGTTTTGTGCCAGAGCATTATTATACCGAATTTCTACTTCCTCACGAAACAACGTGATGCAACTAAAAGAATCATGTACAGTGAACTCATGCTAAAACAAATTTTAGAGAAGTTGAGTCTTTCTGGTAAGTACGTGGCTGATGAGAATTTGATTCACAGGATCCATGACCAGATCAAAAAGTATCTGCAGTTTGTGAAGGACCAAAGTAGTAAGATCGTCAAGGCTCAAGTTCAAGCACAGCAGGTGAGGGCACAACAGCTGCAGCAGCAAATGGAACTGGCTGGGAATGTACCACCTAAGGGAACATTCAACCAAGCACCAGTTCCAAATGCAACGCTGACCCCTTCTACAATTCAAAATTTCCAAAATAGACCTGTACAGGACAGCTTTAATGCTGATTCTTCCCAGTTCAACCTTCAAATGATGAACAACGTTAAGGGGAACAACAATATGAATGCCACCGGTAATTTAATGGTTCCTACTCCATCTGCAATCCAGCCGGGTGGCGACAACATGAAACCGGTCATGAACAATCTACAAGCAAATGGAGCTCAACTGTATCCCTCGATGAATGCACCTCCGATGCAGAATGTTCCTGTGAAGCCAGCTGTTATTTCCTCTTCTGCATCTACCCCTTCACAAATCAAAAAACCTAAGCGGAAGCCGTCAAAAAGTGTGGGCAAGATTTCAAATCCTAATACCCCTGCCTCAAGTAATACGGTTGCTAGCACACCTACCTCTACTACGGTTGCACCTAACAGAAATGCTGCAGGTAATACTGTAGGAGCTACTGCTGCTCCAACAGCCGCTTCCCCATCCAACGTGAATAGTGCTGAAATTCAGGCTGTTCTAAAGGTCAACAACGAAAATGTGGAGAAGGAAGAGGCAAGATTCAAGGCTATAGATGTTGCAAGAGCCCGGAGACGTATGTTAGTATCATCAGGTACTCAACCATCGAATGCAGCATCATCGCCTGTTGCGAGTGCAAATCTGCAGCCAATATCAGGAGCTGCAGCGTATTTCCTATCCACGTTATGTGATACTTTGGGATTGGAAAGCGAAGAAAAGGCCATCATTTCTAATGCCAACAATTCTTCTCTGGATGGCACCAATGGTGGAATCCCGGGATTCATCAGAACTAAAAATAACGGAAATAACGGAGGCAAGGTGTTAACACCTTCTGCTGTCCTTGCGACTCCTATCGGTTTGAATGCCAAGACACCGGTCGCCAAATACCCTAGCGCATTATCTCCAGAGGAGCTGAAGATCCTTCCATGGACCGGCAAAATCTCTGCTGACTGTATTGCCAGCTGTTTCAGAGCTCTTGACAGCAAGAACTTGAATCCTTCGCCCTCTTTTCTGAGCGCTGCCCCAGCCACACCTGTCGGCCACAAATGCTCCCAGACAATGTCGGCGGGCAGCACCAAAAGTTTTGTGCAGCTTGTTCAGGAAAGACAGTCCAAGCGCAAAACGATGTCCATACTTTGCGGAGGAGAGGACAAGAAATGGGGTGTCGATCCCGACAGCCCGTGGAATTGGAACACGAAGAAACAGACCGACGGATTGAAGGTTTACCCTACTCCCCCCGAGGACGCCGACTGTGCCAAGAAACGGAAGCTGGTGAGTGTCTATCCCGTGAAAAACGAGGACGACGATTCTGCTGCAATCAAGAAATTCAAAACCGAGGATGCCGACTACAATCTGTTGTGGGACTTCGACAAGGTGTAGTTGGATCTATTTACTTCTCTCCAGCCTTCTATTACTTTCATCTTACTTGTTTTATGTTTATTACTTCTTTTCCTTCTTCTTTCTTACTTTCTTAATTATACTATTTATTACCTCTAGCTTCTGTACCACTTTTTGCCTTTTCTTTTACTTTCTCTGTGTGTGCTTTCCGTCTTTATCTTTGTAACTAACTCCTAATTTGTGTCTATTATTCTTTGTGGATGACAAATCCCGGGCCCGCGATACCAGTATGCTTTTTTATCAGCATAACGAGCGAAGCTATTTTGAACTTTTTCTTTTGCCTCTTGGATCTCCGCAGACATGATTAGGAGGAAAAAGAAACGAACGATCTGGGAAGAGGACAGGCTGAACTTGTCTACACCCACGAGGACTTCATATCTTTGCTTTCTGATAACGACGAGGTCGAGGTTGGTATTGAAGCAGGGTTTATCATAACGGAAATGGTGCCACCAAGAAAGAGGACGAAGTCCGGGACGCGTGTGAACCAGCCCAATGTTCCAGTTAGATCAAGACGAACAAGGAGCACCGTGAAGAAGGAACAGGATACGGATGTGGCTGATGTCGAGGAAAATGGCGTTGACAATAATGGTGACGTGAAGGCGGAAGAGATCAGTCACTCCGATAAAGATGAAGATTTCCACATATCGGATATCGACGAGGACATTGAAGACGGCGATGACGACGACGAGGATCAGGATTACGTGGACGATATTGTCATAACTGGACACCGCAGCCGTGGCCAAAAATTCAATCCTGTAGAGCTGAGTGATGACGATATAGTTGTTTTCAGCGGAAAACCATCGAAGAACAACGGTAGACATGGTCCGGGAATTGAGGTTTTGGAACTTCAAGACGAAGTGACCGAGCTGCTCGACGATCAAAACGGTAACGAGTCGATAGAGGTGGAGCAAGAGGGGCAGCCACAGGAAGGAGAAGAGGAAGGAGAAGAGGAAGGAGAAGGAGGAGGATTTGTGAAGGATGAAAAGAAGACAAAAAAGAGGAAGGCCCCTGCCAAGCGGGCGAAGAAGAAGAAGGAGCCCAAGCCAAAGTTGACGCCTTTTGAGAGACGTACCAACAAGCTCTACGAGTCGCATCCCGAGTTACGTGACGTGTTCCCTCGTTTGGAGGAACGGGCTGCAAAGAAGGTGGAAAGGGCAGAACAGCCGAAGAACATGGCTGTTACTCTTTTGAATTTCCAACTAGAAGGTTTGTCCTGGATGCTTCGCCAGGAGGAGGCCAACGAGTACAAAGGCGGAATTTTAGCAGATGAGATGGGTATGGGTAAGACTATACAGATGCTTTCCCTAATGATGAACGACACGACTAAGGGTCCGAACCTGGTTGTTGCTCCGACTGTCGCTTTGATGCAGTGGAAGTCTGAGATCGAGACGCACACAAACAATTTTTTGAAGGTTGGATTATTCCACGGTGCAAGCCGAGCCAAATCTCTGTCTGAGCTAGATGGATTTGATGTGATCTTGACATCATACGCCGTGGTGGAGAGTTGTTATCGGAAGGAGAGATACGGGTTCACTAAGAAGGCCAAAAAGGTGAAGGAGAAGAGTATTCTTCATCAGAAGAAGTTTTATAGAGTCATCCTTGATGAAGCTCATAACATCAAGGATAGAACCAGCTCAACTGCCAAGGCGTGTGACTACTTAAACTGTGAAAAAAGATGGTGTTTATCTGGTACACCATTGCAAAACCGTATCGGTGAATTGTACTCATTGATTAGATTTTTAGACATTGCTCCGTTTTGTGAGTATTTCTGCACCAAATGTCCGTGCACTTCGAAGGAGTGGAACTTCCCCGATTATCGAGTATGCGCACAATGTGGACATGCTCCCATGCTGCATATGAACTTCTTCAATCATTTCATGTTGAAGAACATCCAAAAGTACGGTTTACAATTTGAGGGAGAGGAGAGTTTTCATCGGATCCAGTTGTTGCTACGGCAGATTATGATTCGTAGAACAAAGGTCGAAAGAGCAGACGACTTGGGGTTGCCGCCAAAGATTGTTGAGATCAGAAGAGACTTTTTCAACCCAGAGGAGAAAGATCTTTACCAATCTCTTTACTCAAACTCGAAGCGTCAATTCGACGATTATGTTTCCGAAGGTGTTGTGTTGAATAACTATGCAAACATCTTCACTTTGATTACACGGATGAGACAACTTGCAGATCACCCGGATTTGGTTCTTAAGAGAATGAAAGTGCCAGGAAAGAAAGGCGGCCCTGGTGCCAAGAAGGGAAATGGCTTTGACATGGAGGTATTGCTGGGGGTTATCATCTGCCAGCTTTGCGACGACGAAGCAGAAGAGCCGATCGAGTCCAAATGCCATCATAAGTTCTGTCGGATCTGCATCTCCGAGTACGTGGAGAGTTTCAACGGAGACACATCAAAGTTGAAGTGCCCCGTGTGCCATATTGGCCTCAGCATCGACTTGGAGGCCGCTGCCATCGAGATGGACATGGATGCGGTGGAGAAAAGCTCGATCGTGAACAGGATTGACATGGGCGGCAGCTGGAAGTCGTCCACTAAGGTCGAGGCCTTGATGGAGGAGTTGTACAAGTCTCGCTCGGACAGGGTGACGACAAAGTCCATCGTATTCTCGCAGTTCACGTCGATGCTCGACCTCGTCGAGTGGAGGTTGAAGAGAGCCGGCTTCGAGACCGTTAAGCTACAGGGTTCGATGACTCCGACACAGCGACAGTCGACCATCAAGTATTTTCTCGAGACGCCCTCCGTGGAGGTGTTCCTCGTGTCCCTCAAGGCCGGAGGTGTGGCGCTTAACCTTGTCGAGGCCAACCAGGTGTTCATATTGGACAGCTGGTGGAACCCCTCTTTAGACACGGGCCAGGCCGCTGACAGAATCCACCGTATAGGGCAGCACCGGCCAATTCGGATCGTCAAGCTCGTTATCGAGGACAGCATTGAGTCCCGGATCATCGAGCTCCAGGAGAAGAAGGCCAACATGGTCAAGGCAACCTTGGACAAAGACGAGCGGGCCGCCAACCAGCTCAGTGCCGCCGACATGCAGTTCTTGTTCAACAACTAGCGGTTGCCCGACTCCGGGGTGCTGCCTCGTCAGTTTTTATCCGCATTTCTCGCCATTTTTTTTCCACTGTTGCTGACTCATTTGGCTGAAATCATGCTGCGATAGATGTCAGAAGCATATCGGCGGATCTCTTGTTCCTATATATATATACTTTACTCCCTGTACGTTTTATTGTTTCTCCCGTTATAGTAACACTTTTTCGTTCTCTAGCAAAGAAAGAACGAAAACAAGACACACGCAATAATGGTGTATCCACTTTTACCATACTACACTGCTGCGGACAGAGTTGACTCGAAACTCTCTGTTGTCGGACAGGCCATCTACGAGTTTGACGGTACAAACGCCGAGTCGATCATACAGGCGGCCAAGTACGGCAAGCCAAATGTCTATGTGGACCTCAAGGTGTCTGCCGTCACAGACGAGACCATCGATGCTATTCTTTCTCTCTACAACAACGGCGTGGTGAGCATCTTTGCGTCTGAGGAACAGGGTGCACAGATCGCCGACAAGATTCCAAACGCCAGAATCACCTTCAGGATCTCGTTACCAAACCCTGTTGCTAAGACAGCCACATCGCTGGCCTACACGTCACTGGACGCTTTGCCAGCTAAGGCCGACGAAAACGTCGTGTCGTTTGTCTACTCCCCAACGTCGGCTCCGTTGTCCGATTTGCAAAAGGCCGTCAAAAACGGCTTCATTCCAATTGTTCCTTCCAAGCTTCTCACCACCGAGTACGAGAATGCGTCTGCTTACCCAATTGTTGAGTTTCTCGTTCCTTCGTTGGTCACTGACCGCCAGGATGGCCTTTTCACAACCTTAGTTCTCGACGAATCCAACCAATGTCTTGGCTTGGTCTACTCCTCCATAAAGTCCATTTCCGAATCCATTAAGACCCAGACCGGCGTGTATCAATCCCGTAAGCACGGTTTGTGGTACAAGGGCGCCACTTCCGGTGCCACGCAGAAGTTGGTTTCTTTAGATGCCGACTGTGATAACGACTGCTTGAAGGTTGTTGTCGAACAGGCCGGTGCAGGGTTTTGCCACTTGAACACGAATTCCTGTTTCGGTAACTTGAAGGGCCTTTCTGCCCTCGAGAAGACCTTAGTTTCTCGTAAATCAGATGCTCCAGAAGGATCATACACGAAACGCTTGTTCAACGACGAGGAGTTGCTAAACGCCAAGATCAAGGAGGAAGCTGAAGAGTTGGCAGATGCTAAGACGAAGGAGGAGATCTCGTGGGAAGCTGCGGACCTTTTCTATTTCGCATTGGCCAGATGCGTCAAATACGGTGTCTCCATCGCCGACATCGAAAAGAATCTAGACATGAAAGCTTTGAAGGTATCAAGAAGAAAGGGTGATGCCAAGCCTAAATTCATTGAACAAAAGAAGGCTGAGCCAGCTAAACCGGCTGAGCCTAAGACTGCTGAAAGAGTCATTGGTCCTAACGACAAGATATACATGAACAGAATCAACGCTGAGACTGCGACAGCCAAGGAAGTTGAGGCATGTCTCGAAAGACCTATCCAGAAGTCTGCAGACATCATGTCGTTGGTAACTCCGATTGTCGAGAAGGTCAAGCAAGAGGGCGACAAGGCACTGTTGGAGCTGACTGCGAAGTTTGACAGAGTTGAGCTCAAGACGCCAATTTTGAATGCCCCATTCGACGAGAGCATGATGCAGATCACCGACGCCGTCAAGAGAGCCATTGATATCTCGTTTGAAAACATCAGGGTTTTCCACGAAGCACAGAATCAAAGCGAGGTGATGACTGTTGAAACGTGTCCCGGTGTCTACTGTTCCAGATTTGCCAGACCAATCGAGAAGGTTGGTTGCTACATTCCAGGTGGTACTGCTGTCCTCCCATCGACGTCGTTGATGTTGTCGGTTCCTGCGCTTGTTGCCGGATGCAGCGACATCATCTTTGCATCTCCACCAGGAAAGGACGGCAAGTTGACGCCGGAGGTTGTCTACGTGGCACATAAGGTTGGTGCCAAGTGCATTGTTTTAGCTGGCGGTGCCCAGGCCGTTGCGGCTATGGCCTACGGTACAGAGAGCGTTCCTAAGTGTGACAAGATCATGGGGCCAGGTAACCAGTTTGTCACCGCGGCCAAGATGCTTGTTTCGAACGACTCTAACGCCTTGTGTGCCATCGATATGCCTGCCGGGCCTTCTGAGGTGCTGGTCATTGCCGACAAGCACGCGGACCCTGACTTCGTAGCCTCGGACTTGCTTTCGCAGGCGGAGCACGGGATCGACTCGCAGGTGATCCTCCTTGCGGTCGATATGACGTCGGCGGAGGTCGACCGTATCGACGAGGCCGTCCACCAGCAGGCCTTACGCCTTCCAAGAGTGGACATTGTCAGGAAGTGCATTGCGCACTCGACGACAATTCAGGTCAAGACCATGGCCGAAGCGTTCCACATGTCCAACAGATATGCGCCAGAGCACTTGATCTTGCAGATCGACGACGCAGAGTCTTGGGTGCCCAAGGTGGACAACGCCGGCTCTGTCTTTGTCGGCGCCTACTCGCCAGAGTCTTGCGGAGACTACTCCTCTGGTACCAACCACACCTTGCCAACATACGGTTACGCAAGAATGTACAGTGGAGTCAACACCGCCACCTTCCAGAAGTTCATCACGTCCCAAGTCGTGACCAAGGAGGGTCTCAAGAGCATCGGTTGTGCGGTCATGGACCTTGCCGCTGTGGAGGGTCTTGACGGCCACCGGAACGCTGTCCGCGTGAGAATGGACAAGCTCGGCCTCCTTCCAGAGGGCTACTGAGTGTCCCGCCAGACCCCCTGACGGGCTCCTCGCCCGTTTCTAGTTTACTTGTCAGTAGAGGCACACCCGCCTGCGTAGAGCACCCGTGTATACAGTGAAACAGCTTTGTCTTTGTCTTGTCTGCGTCCCGTCTACGTCTGCAAAGAGCCAGAAACCAGCCACCTTCGAGGGCTCACCGTTTTGTCGAGGCGGTGCGGGCCTGACGGATTCTGATCCCGCCGTTGTTTACCCCCGGCTGACGTGCTGGTTTGGGATGATTGCTTTCTTCGCTTGGAGCTTTCTTCCGTCTTTTGCTCCGGTGTAGTGGCTGCTTAGTCCCGTCTGTCTGTTACACTTCACGAGGCACAGAGACATCCCGAGAAACAACCGTCGTCGGAAGATAGAGACGCAATAGAAGAAAACGAGACGCAAAAAGCACTTGTGACAAAAATAGCAACATATTGCAGACTCGAAACCAAGATATAACTACATCACACACTCTCACACACAGACATGGTTTGTTGCAGCTTCATAGGAACCATCATTGTCGTGCTTTCGGCACTCGTGTCGCTGGCGTTGCTCATCGCCAGTAACGTCGGTACCATTGGGGAGCAGGCCGCCAAGAGCTCCATCTTCTTGATGGAGCTCAGCATGTCCGGGCTGGACGTGTCCAAGCTCTACCCTGGGGGTGCCGATGTGAAGCCCTCCGAGCTGGGGTTTGCAGATGCGTACATCTTTGGGATGTACGGCTACTGCCGGGGCAGCCAGGGCACGACGGAGGTGGTCGACAAGGTGTGGGAAAACATCCACTTCACGTCCTCCTCGTGCACGCAGTCGTCCATCACTTACGAGTTCGACCCGGTCTCGTTCATCGTCGACGAAGTCAACAATCACAACACCGTCGGCATCAACATCACCGCCGCCGACGTCACTCTCCCGGGCTCGCTCAACAAGTACATCAAGACTGCCGAACACATCTCGCAGGTCATCTACATCTGCTCGATCATTGCCATCTGTCTGACGATCGTGGCGATTCTCTGCGAGTTGCTCTGCTGGTGCTTCGGCAGCATGGTCATCGTGCTCTTCTTCCAGACACTCGCCTTCTTTGCAGCCATCATCTCCTCGGGCTGCGCCACAGGCGCCTTTAAGTACATCGAGACCGAGTTCAACAAGAACGGCAGCACCTTCGGCATCCACGCCAAGCTCTCGAGAAACTACCTCGTGCTCACCTGGGTCGGCACCGGCGTGTCCTTGCTGACCGTCTTCCTCGTCATGATCGGCCGTTGCTGCTTCGCTCCACGGCCGGCTCCCGCCCCAACCTACGACCGTGTCCTCTGATGGACCCCCCTTCTCCCCCACTTCTCCCCCACTTTCTTCTATTTCACACCGGACACTTTTTGTAAACTATTCTAGAGCTATCACTTATATATTCCACACATCACTCATTCCACAGCATATAACTCCCCCAACCTGGCTGGGGGCTTCTCGTCTTTTTCGCTCACCACGCCTTCCTTTAAGATCACCCGACTGGCAGGCCTGGCCTGGCCTACAAGAACGTCTCTTTGTTTTTGACCTGCTTCTTCCCTGTGTCTCTCTAGTTTTCCACTAGCCATCCCCGAGCCGTCCACGAGTCCTCCACCAAACCTATCAACCGCAATGAGCTTCTTGCTGCCTATCCACATCCTCACGTACGGATACACCTTCGGGTCCACCACCTTCCACTCCTTCGTCGCCTCCATCAAGGGCTTGGAGGTGCTTCCACGCCGCCAGTTCGGCGAGTTCCAGGGCGCCGTCTTGCCGATCCAGATCATCACCCAGTCGCTAGCCCCCGTGGTGATTGGCGCCACCGCCCCCTACACGATTCCGGGCGTCGGTCTCGGGCTCTTGCTGGCCAGCTCCGCCGGCGGTGCCATCAACTGGGCGTGGTTCACGCCATTGTGCAACAAGTTGAAGGACGAGCGGTGGAAGCTTGTCGACGCCCGTTTCGGCGGCGACAACGAGAAGGCAGTCGCTAGCGGCGAGTTGAAGGCCATCGACAAGGAGTTCGGCAAGTGGCACGGCATGAGCATGGCTGCCAACCTCGTCAGCATCCTCACCATTACCGCCTACGGCTTCGTTCTCAGCGGCAAGCTCAGAGTGGTCCCATGATCTCGCAGCGCAGAGATACACTGTATACCTTTTCATGAATTGATGCTATTTACAAAGATGTCTGTAGAAGAGCCGTCGGCGGCCCCCGCCCGTCAGAGGTTCGGCGGCAGCATGATCGACGCCACAAGCGCTGGCGACCGCTCCGTCGCCAACAAGTCGTAGCTCAAGGCACTGCTCCTCGTGTCCCCCGTCTCCACACGTATCCCAAGCTGGCTCAGCCTCTCCTTCGTCTTGGGCCCCAACATCCTTGTGCGCTTCCCGAGCCCGGCCACAAGCAACTCCGGCTTCGGGTACACCAACCCAAGCACGTCCGTCACCGCCTCGCCAAGCTCCACCACCACCCCGTTGTGCTGCAGCTCGATGCCCTCCAAGCTCAGCTCGAAGATCTGGTTGTTTAGGAGCAACGCCCCCACCGGCTGGCCCTGTCCGGGCGCCGGCGACCGCACCACCTTGAGGTTCGAAAACACTATCGAGTCGTCCGAGATCATCTCCACGTTGTTTTCCGGCTTGTCTGCCAGGGCGTAAATGTCGTACTTGGCCAAGTTCTGGCCGAGGTTCGACGCCTTGAACGTCGTCGTGTAGTGTCTCGACACCCGGGCAGTCGTGTGCAGCAGTCTCCTGAAATGCATCCTCCTATCTCTAGCTGTCGTGCTTCTGTTGTGCTGTCTGAGCTGTCCCTGTCGTGCTGCACTCTTCCCGTCTTCCTCTCCCTCTTCTTCACCATGTCAACTGTCCATATCTTCAACTCTTTAGCTTCCCCTACCCTTTTTCAAAAGTGACCCGGGACGATCGGCCCAAAATGTCTTTTTTTTGCTCTTTTTCGCTTTTCCGTCCTTTTCCTCCTCACGGGAATGTTTCCAGATTTCTTTCCAGGGTGGACGAAGAGGAAAGAAAGTGAAGAGAAAGAGGCTGTAGGAGTCCGGAGTGCAGTCCACAACCTAGACATATACTGATCCACAGATAGAACGCCGAACATGGTTGGAATCAACGTCTTACAACAGGTGTCCCGTGCCCGGAACGGGGTGGGTGCGTTTGTTCTCCCATGCAAGCGCATAACGATCTCGTACTGCAACTTCGGGGGTTCGTCGACGGGAATCAGGGACTTCTTGCGACTCAGACTGGCTGGCTTTGCCAAGCAGCACCCGGAAGTGGAGTTCCGTGTTGTGGAAAAGCCGGGCAAACACCCGGTCCTCAAGGGCGAGTACACGACGCCAAACACATTCTCCGCCGAGGGCAGTCCAGACTCGGTGAAGCAGATTTGCGTGAGAAAGTGGAACATCGACGTTGTGGAAAACAAACTCAAGCTGCTCATCAACTCCTCGGGAAAAAAGCTCTCGAAGCCAAAGCACACCGTCGTGTCGTCCAACCCTTCGGTGAGAGGCATCTGGTCTCCGTTCTACGTCGATCCAAACCACAGATACAAGATATAGGCCTGCCTCGAGACCAGCACCCTGCGCCGCTCTTCTCCGTGTACATAAGCAATATCCCAGTCATGTATGCTATATATATATTTATATATCAGTGTGAATATAGAAAGAAACTATATATTTCAGAACATTTCGATGTTGTCTTTCTCGTAGGGACAGTCGTCGGTGCTGTGTCCCTCCCTGTCGCAAAAGGAGCAGAAATCCTCCCTACCAGCAGACGGATCGATTTTTTCCTCCGGGACAAAGACCTTCAAGCCTCCGTTCTCGTCAAGCAAGTTTTGGTTGCTCATTGTAGTGGCAGAAGAGGGGGCGTTGGGCCCCTGCTGTGAGACAACTCCGACACCGCTACCACTGCTGCTGCCGACTCCACGTTCGTAAGACTGCATCCGGTTCCGCAGAACGTCGTTCTCCCCCCGTGATGATTTCAAGAGCTCCTCGAGACTCTTGATCTTGGTATCTCGCAGTTCGATGTCTATTCTCTTGCTTTCTAGCTCTTGTACAAGCTGTTCGTTCTGCCGCTTCAGGTTTTCTGCCTCAACAACGTCTACACTTTCCTCTCGAAGTCTTTCAAGCTCTTCGTTCAACTTGTAGGCCTCCATCTCCGCTTTGCGCAACTCGTTGATTTCCATCGTTTTGGAGATTTTGAACGACGCATGCATCTCTTTCTGCACGCTCAACTCTTGCTCGAGCGTCTTGATCTTTTCTTCAAGCGCCGTAGTGTTACTGCCCGGAGAGCCCAGCTTCTGCTGTTCTAGCTGTCTGAGTTTGACAGCATACGTCTCTTCTGCATCGCCTACTTTTTTTTCCAATGCTTCGATTGTTCCGACAAGTAGTTTGATCTCGTCCTCCTTGTCGTTCTTGTACCTATTGAATCGCTCTTCCTTGCGTGCAAGACGTGCATCGTTGGTGCGGAGAGTGGCATCAAGCTCGTCTAGCTGCACGTCCAGCTCCCTCAAGTCGTTTTCACGCTGGACGAGACGCTTTTCAAGAACGCTGATATGTCGACGAAGTTCGTTGCTGTTTTCGCCGACTGCCGGATTCCCGTTACCAAGAGAGGACAATGTCGCTGCCGGTGACCCATATTGCTGCTGCTGTTGCTGTTGTGCATTTGGAGGAGAAAATATGTTTGAGCTGGAGAAGCCGTTTCCATTCACGTTACTAGTGCCCAGCCATCCAATAACTTTTCGCAGCGGGACAAACAATCCACTGTTCGGGGTGTCCACTTGGAAGTATGCCATGCCGTTGACGGAGCCATTGTTTTTCCCTCTGGCAGCCAAAGCACCACAGAGCTCGAGTCCACAGAAGACTCCGTCGTGGCCAGACACGGATCCGACGTACTTCAAGATGGCCACGTCTGATGAGTTCGGAAACGGTAGTGGCGACCCAAGGGGCGGCAACACGGTCGATTGCATGGTGGTATTGTTCAACGGGGTGATTGTGCCTAAGACGTCTGGGATAGCGTTTCCGCAGAGGAAGACCGATAAATAACATGCGGGACTGAAATATAACCTTCCTGGTTCTGGAAGTGTCAACACGGTTTGACAGATCTAAGATATATAAAATTCATGATATCCTCCTCTGCATTAGGGTAACGCGCATAGGTTTTCGAGGTGTAGCAGGAGGGACTGATCTACAGATAGGATCGAAACATCGATCTAGGACTACACTGAGGGTTGGATGACTTATTAGGGGGAGGGAAAGGGAAGAAAAATAAAGGGAGGACAAATGGAATGAATGTAAGAGAAAAATGAAAAGTATATAAATACACAAGAATGGGAAAAAAAAATGTATAGGAAAGTGGGAAAAAGGGCGGAATAGCTGGGAGAGTGAACAATCGATTGTATGACAAATGGCTGTTTTCTTTTAACTACATGTCTAGGCCATTTGGAGCAATCATGATCTTGACGTTGGTTTCCTTGTGGTTGATCAATTGCATGAACCCACCTTCAATGGCGTCCTTTGCCTCGACCTTACCTGTGATCAACAACTTCATCGACTCTTGATCGATCAAGCCCTTTCCAATGGCATCGATCACCTCTTGGAAGTCTTTGGTGACGTAACACATCGAGCCGGTGGAGCGTTTTTCCTGGTAGGTCAAGCACATTGGGACAAACTGGATTGGCACGTTTGGCCAGATGGCGACGTTGACGGCGGTGCCGCCTGGACCCAACACGTCGATGGAGGTGTCGAAGGTCTTCTGGATCCCGGAGCAGTCGAACGAGGCTGTGAACCCTTCCGTTTCCGGCAACATGTTCTTCAAGTTGAGGATCGGGTCGTCGTAGTCCATTGGGTTGAAGGTCTCGGCACCCAACTTTTCAGCAAGCTCTCTTCTAATAGCTGCTGGCTCGGAGCAGACGATTCTGCCGGCCTGGTGGCCTTTCAAGGCCAAGATGGTGCAGAGTCCGATGGGGCCACCGCCCAAGACGACAGCGGTCTGGCCCGGGCTGAAGTTGGCGCAGTTGACTGCGTGCCAGGCGACCGCCAAAGGCTCGACGAGGGCGGCCAGGTCGAGCGGTAGGTTGTCTGGGATCTTCAACATGTGGTCCTCGCCGTAGACGACGTACTGGCCGAAGGCACCGTGGTCGGTGCCCAAGCCGACAAAGCTCAAACGCTTGCAGCAGTTTGGCTTCTCGACCTTGCACGCTGCGCAGAACGACATGTCCTTGTTGACCAAGTCCTCCTTGTATCTCTCTCTGTCGGAGCAGTGGGAGGTGGCCTCGACAACAACACGGTCGCCCGGCTTGACTCTGGTCACGCCGGAGCCCACCGAGTCGACCACGCCGGAGAACTCGTGGCCGGGACACAGAGGCAGCTCTTTGCCCGAGATCTCGCTCTTGCAGTTAGGCGCAGGGAAGAAGATGGGGCCGTCCAAGTACTCGTGTAAGTCTGTACCGCAGATCCCGCAGTAGGCGATTTTGACCTTCACGTCGTTGGGATTCTTCAGCTGGGGCTCCTCGATCTCCTCCGAGTATCTGAGCTGCTCCTTGCCGTAGTATAACAAGCCTTTCATTGTTGCTGTTGCGTGTAGTAGTGTATTGTAGTGGCGTGCTGCGGTGCTGTGGGGTGTGTTCTGTAGCGAAAACAGCGGCTGTGTGCTGGTGTGTGTTAGTGTATGTGCAAGACAAAGAGATATGAGGGGGAGTGGAGGGACGAGACCACACGAAGGGCCGTGGCGTGGGGTCCGTTGGCTGATGGATTCCCGATTCGATGCCTTGCTTGACATCTTTTTCCGGAATTTCTCATTTCTCGCCTTTTTTTTCTCGCCTCTCGTTTCCCCAACTTTTCAGAGCCGTCCCGGAGCACGAGTCGGCTCAGAGGGCCTGGCCACCTGTTGGCGTTGCAACTTACGGCTTGGGGTGCCTGTGTTCAGGTCTAAGTGCACTGGGTGTGGACTGGGTGTGTGGAAGTCGGAAAATGTGTAAACTACGAGAGTTTGGCCCGAAACCAGGATCCAGCAGAGGAGAAAACAGAGAACCAAGCAGAGCAAATACAGCAAATACAGCAAATAGAAACAAACACAGAAAACAGACCAGGGTGCAACGTGCCGCAGCCAGGGCGAGTAAAGACCGGGTGGAGACGCGGCCCGTCTTATAGCACGACCATGTGGGGTGGGATTGGCCGACGGGGCGGCTTGTCTCACGGGGGGCGAATGCGCCAGTGCCGTGGGCCGCCAGGACAGGCCAAGGACAGCCCGGGACGGGGGGTGGGGGCGGCGGCCCTGGCGGCGTGCATGACTGGTTGGCCGTGCGCCGGAGAAACTTGTGGGGTGAGGCGTGGCTGGCGGGCCGTGACAATGGATGGCAGGGGGGGCAGGCCCGGGGCCCGGGCGCGACGGCGACGGCGGCAAACGGTGTGGGGCAGGGCCGGGGCAGGGCCGGGGAACGGACGGCGATCGCGCAGATCGGGGGATCCGCGGGTCTGGCCAGGGACGGGCAGGCCGGAGCAGGAGCAGGGCCGACGCGACGGCGACGCGACGGCGTCGCGTCGGCAAGCGGGCCGCGGCGCCGCTGCGCGCTGCGCGTGTTGCCGCGAAGAGCAGGTCCGCCGCCCAATGAGGCAACAAGTTGCGCAGGAACGCCGTCCTGGAGCCGCCCGTTTCGGGGGGCGATTCCGAGCGCAGGCCTCGCGGGTGCACAGGCGCCCATGGCTCTCTACACAAGCTGCCCATCGGGGGCATCTCGGGCCCCGCACAGGCAGGCACCCACTCAGCGGGGAAGACAGTACAGATAGCAACGCACGCAGCACAGCGCAGCGGGCAGGCTGGACGGCGTCTGTCCACGAGAAAGAGTGGCGCCAGCGCTAGCACGACAGCAGCAGCAGCAGAACAGGCGACGCAGCCGCTGGACCCACCACTCGCTAAGATTTGCCGTCCCACCGGCCACGGCTGCGGCATAGTCCCGCAGGGCGTATCAGCTGCTCCTCCGCCAGCCCCGGTGGCTGCTGCTATCTCCCCCGTTATCTGTGCACCACCGCTCATCGGCCCCGCGCGCAGGCTGTTATCAGCAGCACGCAGCACGCCCTTATCTCCCGCAGTGTGCTTGAGCCAACTGAAGCCATCATTCCGACGCCCTACACCCTGGCGGAGGAGCTCCTCGGTAACTTCACCGACTTCCGACCCTCCCGCAGGGCTGACGTCTCCTCGGGTTGGGACCACAGCGGCCTTCTCTCGCATATATATTCCCCGGGCCCTCCGTCCTTCTTCCTCCAGCACCCACCCACCCCAGCTGGCTCTGTCCTCTCGGCGCTCTGCAAGCTACCCACCCACCTACCCACCCACCTAACACCCCCCCTCACCATGAACAGACTCAAAGACGTTTTCGGCACCAGCGGCCCCGTGCCCGAGTCCACCGTCACCACCTCCGACGGCGAGGTCTACGAAACACAGATCGGCTCCGCAACGTCCAAGACCGAGAAGAACCTGTACGAGTTCCAGGTCGACCACGATGAGGTCGACGACTCGGAAAACTCCCTCATGGGCACCCAGCAGAAGGGCACCGAGATGAAGCAGGGCCTCAAGTCCAGACACATCCAGATCATCGCGTTGGCGGGCGCCATCGGGACCGGGCTTTTCGTCGGTTCCGGCTCCGCCCTAGCCTCCTGCGGACCCGCGGGGCTCTTTGTCGGCTACTTGGTTCTCTCTCTCCTGGTCTGGATGGTCATGAACCAGATTGCAGAAATGGTCACCTTCATCCCCGTCCCGGGCCAAACAACAGTCTATGCTCTAACCCAGAGATACACAGGGAACCCTTCCCTTGCCTTCACCGCCGGATTGAACTTGTACTATGCTCAAGCGTTGATCGCCCCATCCGAAGTTACTGCAGCCGCCTTTGTCATTCAGTATTGGACCCCAATCAACTCCGGTGCTTGGATCACCATCTTCTGGGTGACAATGGTCGCCTTGGAGTTCTGCGCTGTCCAATACTTCGGTGAGGTCGAGTTCTGGATCGGTCTCATCAAGATCTTTACCATCACTGGTTTGATTATCCTTGGTATCGTGATTTTCTTCGGCGGTGCGCCAGCCTCCCATGGTGTTTTGGGTTTTCATTACTGGAAACATCCAGGCGCTTTCACGGAACATCTAGTCAAGGGAAACACCGGTAAGTTCTTGGCATGCTGGACGTCCATCATCAAGTCCGCCTTCGCGTTCATCTTGTCCCCAGAGTTGATCACCGCGTGTGCCTCCGAAGCCAAGAACCCAAGAGTCAACCTACCAAAGGCCACCTCCAGATTCATCTACAGAATGATCTTCTTCTACGTCTTTGGCTCCTTGACCATCGGTGTCATTGTTGGATCCAACGACCCACGTTTGATGAGCGCCATTTCTGCTGGCGCTTCCTCTGCAGCTGCCTCTCCATTTGTCATTGGTATCCAGAACGCAGGTATCAAGGTTTTAAACCACATTGTGAATGCTGCCATTTTGACTTCCGCGTACTCCTGTGGTAACTCGCAGTTTTTCTCTGCAACAAGAACCCTCCACTCGATGGCAGTGAGAGGCGAAGTTCCAAGAATCTTCGGTAGAACCAACAGATACGGAGTCCCAGTCTACTCCGTCATCAATACTGCTTTGATCAGCTTGGTTTCATACTTGAACGTCTCCAACAGCTCTGCCGTCGTTTTCACATGGTTGACCAACATCTCCACCGTCTCTGGGTTCTTTTCTTGGGTCTTCATCGGTATTGCATACCTTAGATACAGAAAGGCCATCGACTACCACAACCTAAATGACAGAGTCACCTTCAGACCAAAGTTCGGCATTGCAGGTGCATACCTCACCATCTTCTTCTTCACCTTGATCTCCTTCACAAACGGTTATGCCGTTTTCTTCAAGTTCAACGCTAGTGACTTTGTGGCTGCATATATTACCATTCCAATCATCTTGGTCCTCTATGTTGGACACATGTTGTGGTACAGAAACTTCACCCTTTTTGCACCACCAGAACAGATCGATTGTATCACAGGTCTCAAAGAAGTTGAACAACAAGAAGCTGAGTACGAAGCTCCTGTGGCTAAAAATTGGTTGATGAAGGTGTATTTCTGGCTATGTTAGCGCCGCCTACTTTACTTGTTATAGTTGCTCTTGTCTTATTTGTTTTCTTTTCTTTTCTTTCCATGAAATTTATTTTCTGCTTTTCGTCTGTGACCAGAACTTCTTCAGTGCAAAGCCACCAATAAAAACTCTAATTTTCGTAACGTTTGATACCCTTTCGAGGACTTGCGGCTTGTCTACATGTTGTATTGACTTGCTGCGGCTATAGACTCATCGGTAAACGAAAAAAAAACAGTCGCTGATACGGATACCCCACACTATTGCCCCACACCATCGCCCCACACATCCTGCGGATAGCATTCTTTTTAAAGAAACTTGCAGCACTTCTTATAGAAGGATCTACGATAAGCACGGTACAGCTTCACGAGGCAGACAGTAGTAGCAAACTGCTACTGTATAGCCCATACCGCCAGCAATGCAATCTTTTTTCTCAGTGCAGCACCACGACACCCCGCCCCGTTATCCGATAAGAAGGTTTGAGCTTCTGCTGGGAAACAATAGCATTGCGCTTAAGCGTTATGCGGAGACTCGAAAGTAACGCCTTGACAATTTCCAAAAACGCTCGCGCATAAAAAAAAAGGGCCCAGGCCTCCGCCTGCTGCGTGCCAGATACCGCTGGATCTGCTATCTATCCGGGCCTTATCTATGAATTCGCCTATCTAGAGCGTGGTGCTCCACAATTACTCAAGCCCCTTTGGTGCAGGAAGCGTCGACAAACATGAGTTTCTAAACCTCTGTGTTTTATGGAAACTGTCCCCCACAGAGCCAGTAAGGGAAGCCAGAGCAAACTGCTATCTAGTTTTAGGTTATCTGGGGTTACCGGGAATCAAAACATAGAGCCCAGTAATAATTTTTGTGTTTTGATAGTAGAGGGATGGCAGATCTTACAAAGATAGTGAACGTTACACCCCTCTGTGTATCCTGATTAGCAGCAATGTAAAGATAAGATTAAGACGATAGGAAGAGAAGGAGGGAGCCTGTAATGCCCTTTCGGGGTATTCAGACGAAGAGAATGGTCGGAATCAGACCTCTAACTTTTCGTGGTGACAAGAAGAATTAAAATTGGCCAACAGAAAAAGACCAAACAATAGAAAAAGTAAAAAATAAAAAGAAATAATGAAGCAACAATAAACTTTTGTTTTTGATTTTCAGCAGATGCCTTAGGAATTCGGGATTACTTCTCTTTGTGCATAATCTTTATCGGGTTGGTGATAGCATATTTTGGCGGTAGATTTTGTATTTTCCTATCCATAGACCTTGCAGCACATTTTGCTTTCCCCAGTAATGCCCCATGGTGTGTAAACACCGTGAACTTGCGCAAAAGTGTTATCTCTCATGAATACTCTTACGCCACCCATGTATTTATTTATATATCGACTGTCGTATCCCCAGAACATATGATTCTGATGGTAACGAGAAAATGAGAATCTTTTGGAATTTTGTTCCAGGTATTAGAATTAATATATCTCCAAACCCCGAACAGGACTTTTTAACAAGATGAGTTCGTTAAAGAACAATGAGAAAGGGGTCCCTCCCTCATCCGTTGCAAACTACTCTATTGGCTCTAATGGTGAATATTACGAAACCCCAGATAGTGCCAAAAAGGAAAACTACGAGTACCAGGTCAACTCAGTAGACCTTGATTTAGATGATGCTGATAGTGGCGAAAAAGCCTACAAGACAGACATGAAGCAGGGTCTCAAGTCAAGACATATCCAAATCATCGCATTGGCTGGTGCTATTGGTACTGGTCTCTTTGTCGGTTCTGGTTCCGGACTTGCTACTTGTGGGCCTGCTGGGCTTTTCGTTGGTTATTTGATATTGTCTTTGATGGTCTGGCTCGTCATGAACCAGATCTCTGAGATGGTCACTTTTATTCCCACGCCTGGTCAAACCACCCTTCCAGCTCTTTGTCTCAGATACACCGGAAATAACTCAATCTCCTTTGCTGCCGGTATGAATTTGTATTACGCCCAAGCTTTGATTGCTCCATCTGAGCTTACTGCTGCTGCCTTTGTCATCCAATACTGGACATCGATCAACCCGGGTGCTTGGATTACTATTTTCCTGGTTGCTATGGTCGCCTTGGAGTTCTGCGCTGTCCAATACTTCGGTGAAGTCGAATTCTGGATCGGTCTTATCAAGATCTTTACCGTCATTGGGTTAATCATTGTCGGTATTGTTATTTTCTTTGGTGGTGCTCCAGCCTCCCATGGTGTTTTGGGTTTTCACTTCTGGAAACATCCAGGCGCTTTCACGGAACATCTAGTCAAGGGAAACACCGGTAAGTTCTTGGCATGCTGGACGTCCATCATCAAGTCCGCCTTCGCATTTATCTTGGCTCCTGAATTAATCACCGCGTGTGCCTCCGAAGCTCAAAACCCAAGAGTCAACTTACCAAAGGCAACATCAAGATTTCTTTACAGAATGATCTTCTTTTATGTTCTTGGATCTTTGACTATTGGTGTTATTGTCGCTTACAATGACAAGTCTTTGTTGGAAGCTATTGCCACCGGTGCACAGGGTGCAGCTGCTTCTCCATTTGTCATTGGTATAAAAAATGCAGGTATCAAAGTGCTCGACCATATTGTGAATGCAGCCATCTTGACCTCTGCATTTTCTTGTGGTAACTCTCAGTTTTTCTCTGCAACAAGAATGCTCCACTCAATGGCCATCAAAGGGCAAGTCCCAAAGCTCTTTGGCAGAACAAACAAATATGGTGTTCCATATTACTCAGTTTCAATTACAGGATTGATCAGCTTGGTCTCATATTTGAACGTTTCCAACAGTTCATCTAAAGTCTTTACCTGGTTGACCAACATCTCTACCGTTTCCGGATTCATCTCTTGGGTATTCATCGGAGTTGTTTACATCAGATTCAGAAAGGCTATCGACTACCACAACTTAAACGACAGGGTTACTTTCAGACCAAAATTCCAAATTGCTGGGGCATACTTCACCATCTTCTTCTTCACCTTGATTGCTCTAACCAACGGTTATGCCGTTTTCTTCGACTTCAACGCTAGCGACTTTGTGGCTGCATACGTCACTATCCCAATTATTTTCATTCTCTTATTTGGACACATGATCTGGTCTAAGAGCTTTAAGCTTTTTGCACCACTCGAGGAGATTGACTGCATTACAGGTCTAGAAGAAGTTGAACAGCAGGAAGCTGAATACGAAGCTCCTGTGGCAAAGAACTGGTTGATGAAGGTTTACTTCTGGCTATGTTAACCTTCAAGTTTTATTGAATTTCCTTTCTTCGTTTAAAATCTTGAGTGCTTTCCTTATCTACAATCTTTTATATTTTATGCTTTTCAATTCCACAACATAGGCTAGTTTACTACACTTTTTGTTCTGTCGATTTAACTTTCAGACATACAACACGCCCTAGTAGCTTCCTGTCACATGGGTGTTGTGTGCCAGACTACTTTGTGTAGCTGATTCCTTAGTAAAGAGCAGTGTTCTACCTTTACTGGTCTCATTAAAATGCTCTAGATGTAAAAAAACTGGAACACTGGCAATTGCAACCTTCACTTTGAACGTTAATTAATTAAAGCAAGACTTGCATTTTTTGAAATTTCGCGTAAGCAATTGTTATAGACTGTCCGTCCTTCTTCACCAAAATGGCGGCAAGTTTCATGTACCTATTTCTCGCGTCTCAGTACATGAGACTAGCAAGTAATGTCTCAAGTTTCAACTAGAAAAGCTGGCTGATGCGACACACTAAGTACAGCTGGCACTGAAACCAAGATATCACTAACCTAGCAAGCAGCTTGAAATCATGTCGAACGTTGCATCATCCCCTCTACTATCTCAGGGCCCCGCTGTAGGAGCTCCCAGCTCTCAGCTTAGTGACTTCAATTTGGATGATGATACGATGAATCCACAGACTAATAATACCCAATCTTCTTTCTTTGGTGGTGGGCCTTCCAGTGATGCACCCACAGGAGCACGTGGTGTAAGAGCCGAACAGTCAGATTTGGCCACAGGTGGTTCGGATACTGCTCACAGAATCCGTGTTAACGCAGGTGTCTCGAATATACCAAAAGTGGAAGATAAGATATCGGAAACTGTTCAAGAGTCATTTGAGGAATTCTTGGAAAACTTCAAAGTGGACTCCGATGACGATGCATATGATCCTCATTTTGAGGGTAAACTATACCTTGAGAGGGTCGCTAAGATGGTCAACGATGATAGCACTCTACTCAATATTGATTTCAAGCATCTCCAGTCTTACCAAAACGGTATCCTTGCTGCCGCCATTACAGAACAGTTTTACAGATTTTTGCCATTCCTTCAAAACGGTTTGCGTCATATTGTCTCACAGCACCAACCACAATTCTTACGACGTCAAGTCTCTAGCGCTGCGTCGGACGAAGCTTCTAAAACTATCGAACATAATTTCCAGATTTCATTTTACAATTTGACCGTCGTTCACAGGATTAGAGAGTTAAAAGCAGAGAATATAGGTATGTTGATGGCTATATCTGGTACCGTAACAAGAACAAGTGAGATCAGACCAGAATTATACAAAGCGGCTTTTACATGTGACATATGCAAAGCTCTAATCACCAACATTGAACAGACGTTTAGATACACGGAGCCTACGTCTTGCATCAATAGTACGTGTGTGAACCAGTCTGAATGGACTTTGAACATTTCCAAATCCCAATTTCTAGATTGGCAGAAAGTCAGGGTCCAGGAAAATTCTAATGAAATACCCAACGGTTCGATGCCTCGTACACTCGATATAGTTTTGCGAGGTGAATTGGTGGATAGAGCTAAACCAGGAGATAAGTGTAAATTTACTGGTACAGAAATAGTCATCCCCGATGTCTCACAATATCAACTTCCCGGAGTAAGACCTGCTACTGTTCGTAGTAGAGGTGCTGGGCCTGCTGATTCCTTGACCGGCGGTATCTCGATGAGGTCTTTGGGTGCTAGAGATTTGACTTATAAAATTGCTTTTCTTGGATGCCACGTTAACTCTTCCTCTGGTAAGGAGCTTGAAGAGGCAGAAGATGAAGGAACATCATTGGAAAACTTTCTTTCTAATTTAACGCCCTCCGAGGTTAACGAATTAAGAGATATGGTTTCTGACAGAAATGTCTACTCTAAATTAGTCCAGTCTATTTGTCCCACCGTATATGGGCACGAGGTGGTTAAAAAGGGTATTATTCTTCAGCTTTTGGGGGGTGTTCACAAAAAGACTGTAGAAGGAATCAATTTGAGAGGTGATATCAATGTTTGTATTGTTGGTGATCCCTCATGTGCCAAATCCCAGTTTTTGAAGTGGGTCAACAGTTTTGCACCAAGAGCTGTTTATACGTCGGGTAAGGCATCAACCGCTGCAGGTTTGACTGCAACGGTTGTGAAAGATGAAGAGAGTGGCGAGTTCACTATTGAAGCAGGTGCGTTGATGTTGGCAGACAATGGTATCTGTTGTATCGATGAATTCGATAAGATGGATATCGCTGACCAGGTTGCCATTCATGAAGCTATGGAACAACAAACAATTTCCATTGCAAAAGCTGGTATTCACGCCACTTTGAATGCCAGAACCTCGATTCTTGCAGCTGCAAATCCTATCGGTGGTCGTTATAACCAAAAGGTCGGATTGCGCAGCAATTTGAGTATGACTGGTCCCATTTTGTCAAGATTTGACCTATTTTTCGTTATATTGGACGAGTGTAATGAAAAAGTGGATACTCAGTTGGCTACCCATATTGTGAATCTACACTTGTTCAGAGATGAGGCATTGAACCCCCCATATTCCAAGGAACAAGTCCTAAGGTATATTAAATACGCAAAGAATGTCAAGCCAAAACTCACTCCGGAAGCCAGAGCATATTTGATTGAAAGATACAAAGAATTACGTATTGACGATAGTCAAGGTGGACGATCTAGTTATCGTATTACTGTCAGACAATTAGAATCTCTTATTCGTTTATCCGAAGCAATTGCACGTGCCAATTGTAAGGACGATGTTACTCCAACCTTTGTTGCTGAAGCTTATGACTTGTTGAAGCAATCCATTATCAGAGTTGAAAAGGAAGATTTAGATCTAGATGATGATCAAGATGATATTAGTGGTGGTGATGATGATAATAACGACCAAGGTGATAATGGTGATGATGATGGGCTTGGTGAAGGCAACATGAACAATGAAGATGAAGATGGACGTGAACAGATGCTGGAGCAAAGTCAAGGAGCAAAAAGACCTAAAGGAAAACGTTCTAATAATATTCCATACAGCGTCTTCATCAATCTTCGTAATGTTTTCTTGGAACGTATCAAAGACAAAGAGGCTGATTCTGCGATCGTTGCTGAAGAAGAAGGTACTCATGATGAAGGGCCAAGCGGGTATACTCAAAAAGCTTTGTTGGACTGGTATATGAATGCTATAGAAGACCAACTTGAATCGGTCAGTGAATACTGGGATGAATTGAAGATTGCGAAAAAAGTGTTGAATAAACTTGTGAAAGACAATATCTTAATGCGTGTCAATCCTGATCCGACCGATTTTGACGAAAACGAGATTCCGGCTGATTTGGTTATCACTCCAAATATGTCCGTGGAAGAGAAAGAGAGGCTCACTAACGAACAAAACAACTGGAGGAGACGTCAAAAGAGAGAATTGAACAAAAAGTTGGTTTATATTATTCATCCAAATTGCTCCATAGAGGATCTACTTGGTGAAGTTGACGAAGAAGTAGAAGTACAGGAAGACTGATCTACTCAATTCTACTAAATTAAACTTCTGTATTACTATAAATTTTCTACTTGATAAATTAAACCTAAATTACAACTTAGGGACTAGCTCCTTATTCACTCTCCGATACCACCAATCTATACCTATTTGACCCTTCTGACAATCATATTTATTCACCAGGAGAATGTTGTCCCACAAAACATCGTATAAAAAGTAGACGTCCTGACTGCCTACTAAATTATCTATTTGATGTTTGATGTCTTCTAGAATATTAGTAAAAGAATTAATACTCGTAAATTGAAGAAGATCAATATAAATTGAAATAAGTCCAGCACGCCGTGTGCAAAGCTTTTCCGGAACAGTCATTCTGTCGCCATTAACAAAGCTGATTCTGGGCGGTAATGGTGTATATGCTGACATGTTTATCTGAAAGCGAACCAGATCAAGTAGTGTATTTAAGAATTCAGGATCATTAGGTGATGAAATAGCAGCAGCTTTGCCGCACGTTTGTGTAATTAAGGAAGTCTGGTTAAGTGAAAGGTTTTTGGGAAATTGGGCAAGTACTCGATTGAAGCATGAAAAAACTGCCTCCTGCAAATGGGCTTCATTTTCAGATTCGGAAAGGTTCATACACAGCAAATTTAAGTGTTTGACCATTATTGAATGGCAAAACTCAACCGTGGGAGCAGAAGAGTCATTCGAGTCGAACACTGAATTCATCAAAGGAAATAAGGTTGTTTCTTTAAATGATTTTTTTAATGATTGGAGCGTAGCTTCAGTGGTCCTGAAAAAGTAGTTCAATTTGGATTCATTCGCAGGTGTTTGTCGCTTTGAAACTGGAATTTCATTAAGCATGGAGTACAAAAGCGACTCAGTCAAATCAGGATTGTATTCCCCCAATAAAGAAGTTGTAGAATCAAAGATAAAGTTATAAGAATCGAAGCCACCGGTACCAATCTGATCGAGAACATAGGAAAGATAAAAAAAGGAGCGTAATATTTGATTGGAGATCATAAACGCAAATTGATTAATTCTTGAGGTTCCCAATACAATCTCTCTGGTTGCATGTTCAAATATCATGACTACCGTGAAGAAAATATATTTAACAAGATCCCACTTATCTGAAGCCTCAAATAGCGTTTCTAGTCCAGCGTTGGATATATTGATTGCAAATGAAACAATATAATCAAGAGACCTAGAAATAGCTTTTAAGTTTTGCAAAGGGTCTTTGGAGGCTTTTGCTATCTTTCCAAAAAGAAAAGCCCATTTATTTAGCTGCCTCAAAATAGGCTTTGTTCTCATTATATCATTGTAGCTTATATTTGAACTGAGCAACGAGCCTTTGTCTAAACCATATTTAGAGAAAAAAAGAATACGCATTAATTCTGGTAAAATTTCAGGATCTGCATTGGTCAATCCTGCATAAAAACTACTTGATAAGTGTTCCTGGGTGTAGATCAATGACACGAGGATATTATCTTTAAATTCTGGCAGTAAAGGAGATCGTATCACATAGAGGAATGAGTCCGAAAAAAGAGATAACTCTAACTTGTTCACTTTTGCAATAACATTATGATGAGACGGGCATGGGTTATACAATTCCATCGATGATATGGAAGAGATGCAACCTGCTAAGACGGGTAGTATTTTCCAGTGTGCAGTAGAGTCATGCAGTAGTACATCACGTATAGAATCGTAAATGGAAATATAAAACTCATGAAAAGAAATTGTTGGATTGCTAACTTTGTATTTAGTTGTGATTATGTATTGGTAACATTCAATTATCTTAGTGATGTTCTCTAAAGTTTGATCTTTCAACGAACTGAAGAAAAGGGGGCACCTCAAAAAGTGCTTCGTCAACAACTGAATATTTACACTACTTTTAAGTCTTGGATAATAGTGTACAAGATAAGAGAATACCTTATCAGCAGAAGTTGATGGTTTAGGATTAGCAATGTCATAGAGCAAGTAGTCTAGCTCAGTGGGAAGCTGAAATTGTTGAACCTTTGGTATAGCGCCATAACTGTCCTGAGCTGTGACATTGTTGGAATTAAGTATTTGGCGTCCCTGTTGCCCCAATTTATAGCCCAAGCCACTCATATCATACAGTGTTGTTTGAAGATTATGATGTTGCCTGTCATCACTCATGTAGTCCATATAAAGAGGGGCGGTGAAATCGGCTTCAGATCGTTGAAGATAACAAAACTTAGCGACGGCGCAGGCGACTTTTCGGGCTTGACCCAAAGTTGACATCGGTTAACATCTATTGACTCCAGCCCTTCTGTGGTGATTAAGAGTACCAATCTTTGTCTATTGAATCAGGTCTTCGATCAAGGGTAAAATGTCGTTGCCAAGGGGGTTCAAGTTTTTTTCTGTCACGGCTGGGATGGCGACCGGGCTCATCGCTATACCACTAGCTGTATCAATCTCTAACTGCAAGCCATACTTTATGTTTGCTTGGGACCCATTCATCACAAAATGGAACCAGTTCTGGCGATTACCACTATTGCAGCTTCAGTTTCAGAACCAGTCTGAAGTGACAATTGCCGTGGTGATTACAATATTGAAGTTGAAGGGATTGGAAAGAGTCTATGGAAGTTTAAAAATGATAAAGATTCTCATTCTACTTTATTTTTACAACTTTGTGTTGACAACAATAGTCTCCTTTTCTCTATACCGAAGTATTGGGTGGGATCTTTTCATTCCATCTGGTCCTTTTGGAATAATATTTGGGCTATACTATCCCTATATGAAATACATACCAGATGTATATGTTGCTGAGTTTGATTTCGGAGATCTCGCTAGCTCTGGACCGTCTGGAAAGTCACTCAGCATTTCCATAAGTGACAGGTTCAGTTGCCAGATACTCTATCTGATGTTGTTCTTCAGTGAGGGAGTACCTTCGATGGTACTATGTACAATCGGCTATTTCATCGGTTACCTATATTTTCATGACTTGGTACCTATAACGGACTCTGCGTTGGGCTATCTCGATCCATTGTACTACAAGCTAACTAATATAAAGGAGTACGAGTCTTCCGTTGGGGCCGCCAGATTCAATTCTGTACAGAATTCTAGTACCAACGACACGGCTGAGAATGAATCACAGGCTATCGACTTAGCCGACGAAGATGCAAATGGTACCAGCAGGGAGGATACTCCTGTGCGGACCTTTGGGCAGCAGATGCTAGATTCTTTCAGAAGATGAATTGTAGATATCATGTTTAGGCAATTATACAAAGATAGCATACTTACAAATTAACAGGTGTTTTTTTCCTCTCCTAAATGGCTAGCTGATGCAGAGGAAAGAAGTGATGCGTCGAGATAGCCCACCATTACTTCGACTCGGTTGTTTGTTTCAACTCTTTCCTGCGCTGGACATCCCAATTGTACACACGGGCCGTGTTGACTTCCATCGTTGTGATGTTCACCCTGAGGTAGTCCAAATCTTCCAACGTTGTTGCCTTCGAAGCTTTGGTCTTCTCAAGTCTCTCGGAAAGCATCTGGATCGCCTCGTCAATTGGATATTCTAGCATCACGTTAGCTCCAAGCCAGAGAGACACGGTTTTGCAGTTTTCTGTCGGTATCTGTGCGGTGGCGTATATGGTATCGTTGAGCTGGTAATCGATAAGCAAATCGTCATTCTCCTCTCCGGCATCTCCCTCTCCCTCTCCCTCTCCCTCTCCCTTTTCTTCGTCTTCGGTCCTCTTCTTCAAGAACTTGCACATCGTGAACGTGTTCTGAATGTCCGGTATTTTGGTCTCTAAGTTCGCAAGGGCCGTTCTCTTGTTCTCCTCCATGTATTTGTACTGTTCCAACCGCATTTGCAACTCATTTAAGAAGTTGGTCACGTCTGCATCCGTGCATGTCTTTGGGTTGATGAAATCATCAATGTTCTCGATGAACTTTGCCTCTGGGATTCCTCTAGGGTTAGTCTTCCCTGTTTTAAGACGGTCTGTTGCCATTGTGTTTTTTTCGTCTGCCACTGATGTTGGCTCTCCAAAACTCCTCTCGATCACACTCCGAAACGTCCTCTGGCCTCCACGTCTTCTTCAACTTCCCTTTTCATCTGTCCATTCTTTCCCTCCAAATCATGGAGCGGTCGATCGACCCAGCTTTCTAGAAAGAGGGTTAAGGGAAGGCGTCACGTGCCAAAAGAAACCCTTTTTTATGCAGCGCTTTATTTTTTTTTCCTCCTACGCGCACCGTTGGCTTCTCACTGTGAGGATGAGGGAGGAGACCGAGGGAGCGAGCAGGAGGGAGAACTGTGGTGAAAAGTCTTCTTTTTCTGAAACCTATCTCAAGTGCTACTCTTTCCCGTGATCTACGACAGGATAATATAATAAATCTTTCTCTGTCATCAAGCAACTTTCACAATGGGTAGAGATCACTTCAGCAGACCACACGAAAAGAACAGTCACAGAACTACTCCAAAGTCTGACAACGTCTACTTGGCATCCCTTGTCAAGTTGTACTCATTCTTGGCACGTAAGTAATTGAAACGATACGAAATGAAAACGAAGCCTTAAGGCCTCTCTGGAGTGCAAGCGCAGCTCCAGTTTTCTCTTCTTTTAATTCTTGCTGTCTATAATTTCACCTGTACGAAGAAGCAAGATATCATTCGGGCAGTTTATTATAGAACCAGACCTTACTATCTAACTTCACAGGGGAGGATGGGAATAGCAATATCCCCTTCGTCCGTATTCTGCAAGTGCGTATTATTCTTAATACTAGTGCGATTATAGAGCAGAATTAAGGGAAGGTGGTGTGGCCGAGCGTGGACGATGCATTTCGTACTGCCCGGCTGCACTATCCTTCATGGCAAGAAATACTAACTCTGGATTACTTTTTTGATGTTTACTCATTTTTTTTCCTACAGGTAGAACTGATGCTTCCTTCAACAAGGTTATCTTAAAGTCTTTGTTCTTGTCCAAGATCAACAGACCACCAGTTTCTGTTTCCAGAATTGCTAAGGCTTTGAAGCCAACCGTTTCCTCCCAGAAGTTGGTTGTTGTTGTCGGTACCGTCACTGACGACATCAGATTACACGCTTTCCCAAAGGCTACTGTTGCTGCTTTGAAGTTCACCAAGGGTGCTAAGGCTACCATCTTGAAGAACGGTGGTGAAGCCATCACTCTCGATGAATTGGCTTTGAGAGCTCCAACTGGTAAGAACACTTTGGTCTTGAGAGGCCCAAGAAACTCCAGAGAAGCTGTCAGACATTTCGGTTTCGGTCCACACAAGGGTAAGGCTCCAAAGGTCCAATCTAAGGGCAGAAAGTTCGAAAAGGCTAGAGGTAGAAGAAGATCAAGAGGTTTCAAGGTCTAATCTAATTAATTTTTAATACGATAGTTAATTATTTAGTCCCGGTGTATGTTTTATGTATAGCTTTCAAACTTGTGTAATCAACACTGTATTACCTCCTTCTGGGTATTTTCTAATCAAAGGTTTTATTATACATTCGGTTGCCTCCAATGCTGGCTCTGTAGTAGTATATCGGTCCATTCATGACACCTATGTCAGCCGATCAGCTGGAACAGATATGGCTTATGTAAGCTCAAGCCATTATTAAGTGTGACTGCTGCCCTTTCCGGAAGTCTGTACCGCATAAAATGTGTGGTGCGCGGGTTCTGTATTGAAGTCTTGGGCGCGCCACTGTAAACACGCGACACCTCACACAACTCTCTTGAAGGGGAAAATTCCGTTTTCGCTGTTGGTCGTGGTGCTCTGGATCCCTCTCTCGCTCACTCTCTCGCTCACTCCCTCAGTATCTGGAACGAGGTGGTGAAAGGTGTTGAAAAATTTGCCCGTGTTTTACAAGTCAACTAACACAATATAGGCCTTAGATAAAGCTTTTGAAAGACTTCCAAATATCAAGTACCAATAACCATGCCAGGTGTTACTGTTAGGTATGTACCGTACCCACGAAAGCAATTATGCAGCGGAAAGAAAGCAGAAGAAACGTGAAACAACTGAAAGTAGTCAACTTCATTTATGAGACCAGAACCAAGGAAGAGTGACCATTAGACATATCAGAAATAAGGGAATGAACAAAACGAGACCTCGTGAAGCTTCTCCAATATCGGTTTTACCAGTTTAGAACATCAAATGGAACAACGATTTAGTTTACATAGACTGTGATGACATGCATACAATGCGTAGGATTAGAAGTGATTAAGGAAAATTAAACTTATGAGAACCCATTCATAGTGCACCGAAGCCAATTTGGAAAGCCAGAATACAAACCAGAAGCCAACAGAATCAAGTGATTAACAACACAAAAAGTAGACACAGATACCACTGAATATTTCAATCTTTCAAAAAGTTTTACTCACGTTTCAAAGCTATATTTTCAACTCCCCGCATAGAATAAAATTCACGAATGCAAATACTAACAACTTCTTTTTGACTTATCAAATTTTCATTAATACAGAGACGTTTCTGCACAAGAATTCATCAACGCTTACGCACAATTCTTGCAAAGACAAGGTAAGTTGGAAGTTCCAGCATACGTTGAATTAGTCAAGACCTCTGCCGGTAACGAATTACCACCACAAGATGCAGAAGGTTGGTTCTACAAGAGAGCTGCTTCTGTTGCTAGACACATCTACTTGAGAAAGACCGTTGGTATCGGTAAGCTTAACAAGGTTTACGGTGGTGCTAAAAACAGAGGTCCAAAGCCAGGTAAGCACGTCGATGCTTCCGGTTCCGTCAACAGAAGAGTTGTCCAAGCTTTAGAAAAGATCGGTGTTTTAGAACTTGCTGAAAACGGTGGTAGAAAGATCTCCGAAAACGGCCAAAGAGATTTGGACCGTATTGCTGCTCAAACTTTGGAAGCTGAGGATGACGAATAAATGTCTTATAAATAACATTATATACAATACTACCACGTTGTTTAAATAGCTAATCTCCTTTCTAATTCTAAAACAATTACAAATTTTGCAAAGTGTCCCCATCAATCAATCATCTTTCTCCCTTACTTAATTGTATGCCTAAACTTATTGCTGAGCTCTACTTGCCTTTGAAAACTTGTTGAAGTATCTTTCTCTGAAGTTATTAATACCTTCACGGTGTTCACTTCGAATAGTTTTTCCCCTGTAAGCGTCATCCCTTTTGACATACACCAACAGTCTCCTCGACCATTTATGGAAATCCTGAACCAATTCGTATATAAGCTCAAGTTGCTCGTGTTGTGGAATCATAGTTGGAATGTCGACATCATTAGCGACTGGCATCCAAAAGCATAGTCTGGATCCAGTGTCCAGTCTTTCAGCAGCAAACTGTAGTAAATCATCTAGTAAAAGATCCAATGAATACGTCTTTTTAGGCTGGATATAGTCTCTCCTCAAAAACGCTAGCTCGCCATCGATCATAACAGTTTCACGTCCTATCTTGCTGTCCGTAGTACCACAAACCTTCACACCTTCTCGAACTCCATAAGGAGGGTCGCAGACAATCGATCCGAAAGTCAAGTCTTTTCTGAAAGCATTATTAGTGAAATCCATGCAGAGAACGTCGGTGAACAATAATGGATCCTCGTAGTAATCGAAATTGTCCTTCAATCTTCTCTTTGGACCCTTACCCTTCAAAGTGAGAAAGTCTATATCCGATCCAATAGTAATGCCTCCGAATTCTGCTGCGGTGACTAGAAATGACCCCGTTCCCACAAACGGATCATAAATGAGCTCGCCAGGACGAACTTGTGCCATATTGCAGGTGAATAACGACAATTCTGCATCAAACGACGTTGTCCCAAAGTAAGGTCTCTTTTTGATATCATACTTCTCGACAGCACCCCTACTCCGTGCGCTCAAGTTGATTTGTCTTCCGAACCAGCAATGATCTGGATGATCTAGTGGAAATAAATCTGCACCCAATGAATATTGCTCTAAGATAGTAAATGTTTGATCTGGGGTTTTCATTCTAATCTTACCCTTGAAGTCCAAATACACAAATTTCTCGTACATCTTAATCTGTTCTTCCCTAGACTTTTTGCCTCCTTGAAAGGTAAGATTTTCAAACTTGAATGTGTTGAGTAGATAAGGTTTTCGAAGTTCTGCCATGTTAGACTTCACACTCTCGTGCAATTCCTCAAAAGAGTTTCCATGTCCCCACAACTCATATATCCCCTTTGACAAAATTGCCCGATCTATAAGCTTGTATGCCTCTTCGTCACTTTGCAGACTTACCATCAAAAAAGGATGTTCTTCATTGTGATTTGAAAAATCTGCCTTTATTCCGTGAAGATTAGCCAAGGACTCAAGTTCCGCTTTTCTAAAACCAGGGTGACTTTGCGCAAGAAAAATAAGATAATCTTTCATTGTTATATTTTTCTGAGTAGATGCGGTTTCCCAATCTTCCTTCAGTACTTCTCTCGGTGCTTCCCCAATTACTTTTTATTCCATTCCCCTGTCTGGCAAAATAAATTTTTCAGCTTCCATTCTCATGTCTGATTCGGACATTTCCCTTTTGGGCGGCTGTCGCGAGGAGGGGTGAACAGAATGCCATGCTACCAAGTACCAGAAAAAACCATAAATAGGGGGCGCTTCCCAGCTGACGAGAGGCCGCCGCTTTTTTGAGGGCAAATTACTCCTGCCTGCACCGAGAGTCTTCTTTTTACACAGGACAAACCAGCACACAAAGTGTTTATTTTCAATTTTACTTTATACCTGGTATATACTCCCATATTTACTTCTATAGAATTAGACAGTTAATATCAAGTTATATCAAGTTATTTTTGATCCACAGATAGCAAAGCAAACTCACAAACGAACCTCACAGATATTTCAATTGTAAACTATATTTAATATATATTCACTTATAGTTATATAGATCTGGAGTTTGTTTGACTATTATCATCTGTTTATTTACTGCAACAATATTTTTATATTACTAGGATAGTTTTAGTTATTGTCTAGCTTTATATTGCCCATAGCAGCTTGTTTCACTTGACTCTCTTCTATTGACTTTCCACCATGTCCAATTTTGAAGACGACGAAGCCTTATTCGATGACATTTATGCAGGTGATCAACCTAAAACCGTTGACACTGCGCCTTCAAATGTTACCGAAAAAGAAACTTCTCTCACACAACAACCATCAAGCTATAATAATGAAGCACAAGCCACCACCGATAATACTGGTAATGATGCAGCTGTTGGTACGGTTCCAGAAAGTGAATCGGTCAACCAAAGTGGCTCATTACAACCTTATAACAACCTTCCTTTGACCGACTCTAACTCTAGCAATACTACTGAACAACCCCAGCAGAATTTACTACCTAGTGTTAACGGACAAGGCCAAGGTCAGATTCCTGGCCAGCCTGACTATGCCACCGCGTTCCAGCAGCTGCAGCAATTCCAAATGATGCAACAGCAGCAGCAACAGCAACAGCCGGGCCAGGGGCAGATGCCAATGCATGGAATGCCTCAACTATCACAGTATCAACAGTATCAGCAATTCCAGAATCAAAACCAAAATCAAAACCAAAATCAAGGCCAAGGCCAAATTGAAAATCAAAATCAAAATCAAGGTGATGTTCAAAACCAAAACCAAACTAATGCACACATTCCTGATATCACTGAAGTTGAAGTTCCAACCAATTATAAAGATACAGTGAAGGCAGACTTGTCTAATAAGGATGTTGGAAAGCTTTTCATTGGTGGTTTGAACTGGGAAACTGACGAAGATAGATTGAAACAATACTTCGGTAAATATGGTGAGGTTCTTGAGACAAATGTCATGAGAGATAGTAGTACTGGTAAGTCCAGAGGTTTCGCCTTTTTGACCTTTGCAGCCAGTGATAGTGTTGATGCCGTTCTGAGAGAAAAGCATATTCTTGACGGTAAGTTGATTGACCCAAAGAGAGCTATCCCAAAAGATGAACAAGAAAAGGTTGGTAAGGTGTTTGTGGGTGGTATCGCAGCTGATGTCACCCCTGAAGAATTCAGAAATTATTTTGAAAAATTTGGTACTATCATTGATTCTCAGTTGATGATCAACAAAGATACTGGTAAGTCTAGAGGTTACGGTTTCGTTACCTATGATTCTGCCGAAGCAGTTGATAGGGTGACAAGAAACAATTATGTCATGTTCCACGGGAAGAAGATGGAAATCAAGAAAGCAGAACCTAGAACTCAACACCTGAGAAATCAAGGTAAAACTGCTGATGGTTCCAGCCCAATGGGTGGTAACCAGATGAACATGATGAATAACGGCGGCTACATGATGAACGGCTATGGAGACATGTCACAATATTGGCAGCAGATGCAACAGATGCAACAGATGCAGCAATATTGGATGCAAATGCAACAACAGCAGCAACAAAATCAGCAAATGTCGCCAAACTCCCAGGAAGCTCAAATCAACATGTACCAAATGGGAAATGATAATGGCAATAGCAATAACAATGATGATGATGTTCCAAACCCACAAGAGCGTGGAAACCAATACCGCGATGATGAAGAAGATTCAAGAAGCATTCCCAACTTACCATCTGGTCCTAAAAAATTCAGGGAAAAAGGTTCAGGAGGCAGTTCAGGAGACCGTGACCGGGATCGGGACAGAGATCGGGATCGTGGAAATGGTGGAAACGGTGGTAGCCGTTTTAACGAGAGAAGAAGTGGTGGTGGTGGCGGCGGTAATGGAGGTGGTAGTAGAAGAAGCGGAAAGTACAGAAGTGGAAGAAGGAACAACTACCATCCATATCGCAGATCGTAAATGAGTTGATGAAAGGCTACTCATATTGCTACAAATGTATATAGGTGATATATATACGCATGAGTGTATGTATGATGTGTATGTTCTGGCATGAATAATCGTTTTTCTAATATACTTCCTTTTTATGTTTCACTGGAATTGTTGCAAGATATCGTTTTGACAGCTCCGATGGATTTTTCCTCCCTCCGAAAAATAAAAAAAAGATATTCTCGCTATGGCTGAAAAAATTCACAGCTAAAAAAATTTTATCAAATTATATTTTTTAGGTATAAAAAGTATCTATATAACTTATTTTATTCCTGAACTTTTCTATTGAAATACTAGCTATCAAGTATTCTATATTTGTCAAATATTACAACCATTCAAGAAAACAAGATGTCTAGTGACGAAGAAGACACAGTTGATATTTGGTCGTCTTTAGTAGCGAACAATGGCGTGAATGGATCATCAGATGAGGATTCTGATGACAGCGGAAGCGACAATGAAACAGGAGCTATTCAAGATGAAATAATTTCGTCCGATGAAGAGGATGAAGACGAAGAAAGTAAAAAGCCGAAAAAGAAGCAAAAGACGGGTGTTAAAAAAGCTGCTGATAAGCTTGATTTCCCGTTATTGGAAATTGAAGATGATGGTAATGATAAATCTGCTGCCAATGCGCATGAAGAAGATATGTACTTTATTAATCAAGAACAAGCACAACAAGGTAAAGCCAAGAATAAAGGATCCTTTGCATCTTTTGGACTGTCTAAAGTTGTTATTTCAAATATCGGGAAAAAGGGATATAGGCAACCTACTCCAATTCAGAGAAAAACAATTCCATTAATCATGCAAAACCGTGATGTGGTGGGTATGGCTAGAACTGGTAGTGGTAAGACTGCTGCTTTCCTATTGCCATTGATCGAAAGGTTGAAGACACACAGTGCCAAAATCGGTATTCGTGCTATCATTCTATCGCCTTCAAGAGAGTTGGCCAGTCAAACACACAAGCAGTTTAAAGAGTTCAGTAAGGGAACGGACTTGAGAAGTTTGTTGCTCATTGGTGGTGACTCCCTTGAAAATCAGTTTGGAGCTATGGTGAACAATCCTGATGTTGTTATTGCCACACCGGGTCGTTTCTTGCACTTGAAGGTCGAAATGAGATTGGATCTATCGAGTATTGAATTCATGATTTACGACGAAGCTGATAGATTGTTTGAAATGGGATTTGCCGAACAGTTGAATGAGTTGTTGGCAAGTTTACCTGAAAAGAGACAGAGTATGTTGTTTTCGGCTACACTACCAAGAAACTTGATCGACTTTGCGAAGGCTGGGTTGGTCAATCCTGTGCTAGTGAGGTTAGATGCAGAGACGAAGATCAGTGAAAATTTGGAGATGTGTTTTTTCAGCGTAAAGAAGAATGAGAGGGAGGCCAATTTGTTGTCGATTTTACAAGATGTTATCAAGATGCCATCTGCAACCAAGGAACAGTTGGAGAAGTTGACGGATGCAAACGATAGATTTAACGATTCGGACAGTGATAGTGAGAATGAAAACAATGTGAAAAACAGGAAGAGAAAGGCTCCCAAGAAGAAGGTCAAGATGCCGAAGGCCAACGAATTACCAACTGAGCATTCCACGATTGTTTTCGTTCCTACGCGTCATCATGTGGAGTACATCACCAACATATTGAAAGCAGCAAATTATGCGGTGTCCTATATCTATGGGTCTCTTGACCAGCATGCCAGAAGACAGCAGCTACAGAATTTCCGCATGGGATTAAGTTCTGTGATGGTTGTCACTGACGTTGCTGCGAGAGGTATCGATATTCCTGTGCTTGCTAATGTGATCAACTACTCGTTGCCATCATCTTCTAAAATTTTCATTCACCGTGTGGGTAGAACTGCAAGAGCCGGTAATAAAGGTTGGGCATACTCTATTGTGAGTGAGCAGGAACTTCCATATTTATTGGACTTGGAGATTTTCTTGGGACGTAAGATTCTGTTGACCAAGATGCAAGATAAGAAGGTGGAGCTTTTGCAGAAGAGGTACGAGGAACAGCACGGAAGCTTACAAGGATTTGAAGGGCCAAAGGTCTCTTATACTAAGAGAATGGTCTTGGGCAGTATTCCTAGGCTCCTGGTCGAGACTATGGAAGACTTGTACGAGACGATTTTGAGACACAACTTTGACATCCGGACTATCAGAGCTGTTTGTGAGAAGGCTGAAAAGTTGTACATGAGATCGAGGCAGCCTGCATCACAGGAGTCAATGCGTAGATCGAAGGAATTGGTGAGTGTTGGCTGGGACGAGCAGAACCTTGTGTTCGGGAAGAACCTCGAGACGGAGAAGAACGACTTCTTGGCGAAGTTGCAGAACCGGATAAACAAGGAGACTGTGTTTGAGTTCGGCAAAAGGGACGACGGTCTCATCGATTTGATGAACAAGAGACGGAAGCAGATTGCTCCTGCGCAGGCGAAGCAGAAGGAGAGAAGAGCTTTGTTGGAGAAAGAGAGAATGCTTGGTCTTTCGCACACGTTGGAAGACGAGATGTTGAAGGGGGACAATGGCGACAACGAGGAGGTTGGGTTTGCCGTGAACGAGGAGGAGTTGCTGAGAGACTTCGAGGACGGAGACGAGGTGTTGAGCGGGGCGGGCAAGCGCAAGAGTTACAAGGACCCGAACTTCTACATGTCGTACTACGCGCCACGGAATGTGATCCAGGACCAGCAGCTGGCGATCGACAACAACGGCGGGCACGGGAACTTCGTGGCGGAGGCCAGCAAGGCGGCCTTCGACATCGATGCCGAGGACGACAAGGTGCAGATGCAGAGACAGGGTCCCCGGGTTGTGTGGGAGAAAAACAAGTTTGTGCGCAAGCAGGACGACCGCAAGTTCATCATCAGCGAGAGCGGCCAGCGCATCCCTGCGAGCTTCCGGTCCGGCAAGTACGAGGAGTGGAAGGAGAAGAACCGCGTGGGCAGCTACAAGGTGGGCGGCGCTGAGAAGAGCGATGGCGCCGGCGCTGCCTTCGACAGCAAGTTGAACGGCAGCCGCATCGGCGGCCGGTTCAAGCATCACGGCGAGAAGGCGCCTAAGCTGCCCCGCAAGGGCCGTGACGACTACGACCGCCAGATGGACAAGGTCAAGAAGGCCGTTGAGAAAGGAGTTAAGGTCCGCGGCTACGTCGGCAAGGGCGCCGGTCGCAACGAGATCCGCGACAGCGAAACCATCCGCAAGCAGCGGGAGCAGAAGGACAGACGCCGTGAGAAGAACTCCCGCCCGACCCACAAGAGGCGCAAATAACCGCCCTACCTGTGCACTTTTGTATAGAATAAAAACAATAACACCAGAACCCTGTACTACATGCCCACCTGTGAGGCCAGTCTTCCGCGGCCCTAACTCCTTCTCCGCGCCTCCAACCACCGCCAGAGCTATCGCCGCGTGGCTGACGTAACGGGGGTGCGATTGGCTGGCCCCGGCTGGCCCCGGAGTGCGACATGGGCCGAACAGGGGGTGCGGCGCGCAGCGGCACCCAGTGCGGGCGGGCCCAAGAGGGGAAGCGAGGCAGGCAGCGAGCCGGGGGGCGAGCCGGAGAGCGAGCCGGAGGGCGATGGGGCGAAGACGCGGAGAGCGACACGAAGACCGGGTGCCGCGAAAAATGGAGCCGAGACCGGGGGAGAAGGCGGAGGAGTTGAGGCCGGGCGGAGACGAAGGAAGGGCTGTTGCAGATAACCAGGTCGGCGGTGTTGTGGCGATGTGGCGACGAGTGCGGTATAACCGTGTAGCCGGTTACAGCCCTGTGGCAGCCATATGGGGGAGCGTTCATTCGACGAACGGGGGGTCGTGCGGCAGCTGGTGCAGCAGCGGCAGCAGAGGGGCAGGAGGAGGTAGTGCCGACACCAGGTGGTGGTCTGCGGCAACCGTGGTGTGGGTCGGCCGTCACTGGAGCGGCCGGGAGGGGAAGCAGGGTGTTGTGTCGACAAGGGCCCGCTGGCGGAGCCGCCGGGGGTGATCAGGGGCGCCGGGGCCCGGGCAGGCTGCGGAGCGGGGCAGGGGGCGGCGGAGGCCGGGCGGAATCCGATGGGGCGGGGGCGGTCGCGGGGTGGCGGAGTCCGGCTGCGGGGTGGTTTTTCGCCGGGACGGGGGGTTTTGGTGGGGTGCTGCGGTGGAGTCCGAGCAAACGGCGTGGGTGTGCCCGGCCTGCTCGCGGGGCGGGAGGGGGTCCCACCGGGGGAGTCAACAGGGTAGTTTTCCAATTTCGGTTTTTGCACGCCCCAGGGAGCCCTGGCGGGCTGTATATATATGGAGGCTTTTCTTCCTTCTTTCCTGGGGGCCGGGAGGCACGCAACCCCATGCGATGTTGTGGCAGGGACACTCCTGCACGGTTTGTTGGTCCTGGCAGGAAAGAGCGTCTGCAGAGAGCCCAGCACCAGCGCACACCCCACCCAGAAAAGCTACTGCCCACCCACCCCATGATGATGGACCACCCTTCCCGGTCGTTGCCTGTGCCTGTGCTGCACCCCGGCGCCGGCAGCACCCCGGCACCCCCACACGCACTCCCACACCCACGCACAGTCCTCACCACCACGTCCTACTGCCCCATCAAGGACATCGCCGTCATGCACAACCGGTTCTTCCCCGACACGTTCCCGAACACCCTCACCACGACCACGCTGCAGAGCCGCAGGACCGCGTCGAAACTGCCTGCCCTCTATGACAGCGGCAGTGGGAGCACCCCCGGCAGCACGGAAAACCCGCTGTCTCCCTCATGCAGGTCCTCGTCTGTGTCCGGAGCCTCGTCCCCACCCCAAACTCCGAACGCCGGCTCCGCCGCTGCCCCCCAAAGCACATCTGCCGAGCTCCCGGCGCCAGTCAGCCCCGCTGCTCCTGCAGGCCCTAACTCCGTTGCCAGCACAAACTCCAGCACCAAGCTGAAGCTCAAGTTGACCAACCAGTTCTTCAACGAGAAGTCCGACATCAAGCCCTGGCTACAGAGCAGGTTGAGCTCCTTGGGCATCAACATCGTCATCGAGCGCTCCGACGACACGAAGATCGTGTTCAAGTGCAAATACTCCTTCTCCCAGCCACTGGGGTCCTCATCCAGTACCTCTGGTGCTGCCAATAGCCCCAGCAACAGAAAGAAAAAGTTCTGCCCCTTTAGAATCAGAGCAAATTACTCAATAAGACTCAAGCACTGGAGTCTGGTCATTGTCAACGACTCCCACAACCACCCGCTTCCCTTGGTGAACATCGAGGACGTTCAGGACAAACTTTCAGAAAGACATAATACAGACTGTAACAATAGCACTGACAACACCAGTCATAACAATGCTGAGAATGGCAATAATTACACACACTCTCCAAATTCCACCATTGATGCCGCAGAGGAGGAGAGGCAGCATCCAACGAAAAGAGTGAAGCGGTCGAAATCTAGCAGCAGAATCGCCCTTTCCCCGCTACCACTTCCTCCATCGACGACCATCAGTGCTGCTGCCCAAGACGGCAGCAGTGTTCCCATTCCGCAAAAGACGTCTCCGATGTTGACTCTATCATCGGAAATGACGCGTAAGTCATCAGGGAGTGTGGATTCCTTATTGAACACCGAGAACAACAGCAGCAGCAACATACCAAACAAGCTTCCTCCTCTAACGTCCTGCACACAGCTGCCAGCCAATAACATGGACTACCACCTTCGCCAGCCACATTTTCTCCAACCCCAGCACTTGGATCCTGCCTATAGAATCCAGGTAAAAAGAATCGAAGATACCCTCAAGGGGTTGGAGAAAATCGACTCGATAACGGAAGACTCGAAGGAGAAGATTTTCAGTAACGTTCTTTCGGTGCTAAACAACTCGATCTCGGAAGCGGCAAAGCCGGCTGTTACTGTTTTGGCATCGCCTCTCTCACTAGCACACTCAAACTCCTCCGCTGCCTCCTCCTCCTCCTCCTCCTTGTCCTCATCCTCCTCCATCCCCGCATTCAACCTTGGCAAATTAATAGAAAACCCTCCCTCGCTGCATAGTCCTTCTCTCGGATCCTCGTCGACGCATCAGTCGTTCAAATACACCCCGGCACCACTACACACACACATCTTCGACTCTTCCAGCCAGGCATCGGCTCCTCTATCCACGTATCCCCATGCGTCAGGAAAGTTCGGAGAGACGATCATTCTCCCAAGCTTGGACGTGTTAAAGCGGGGTCTAGACAACAACGCAGATTTAGACAACCACGCGAAACCACACAACAATCATCTGACCATTTCGTTAGGGTACAACAACGGTATCGGTAAAGAATATACATAACGGGCCTCTATCTTCTCTTTTTTTCTTCTTCTTGAGCTTTTCACCCTTTGCCTGTCCTCATTCATAGAGCTCTTCTTCCGGCAACTTTTACTATCGCATTTATACTTTGACTTTTTCTTCTTTTTGTATTTGATACATATACATACTATACATATCTTTTGTACTAATAACATTGTTAGCATAGAAACTGTATACTCTATTGCTTTTTGGCTTTTGGACTTGGGAAAGTACTTCTAATGTACAGCAGATAACACGGAAACGAGATCACCCCCCTACGACTCGTCACTTCGGAAAACGTTCTTGCACTCGAGACACACGTAGAACAACACCATCGACGTGTCCTTACGCCTCTGTTGACTCTGGAAAAACACACACTCGTTGTTGTGGCACTTTGGACAGATCTTGTCCGACCGCGGGAGCTTCGGGTCCGACCCGATGTCGTCCACCACACCAGCAGTCTCACCGATGTTCGTAATCAACTCGTGTCTGTACACGCACGCAGAGTCCGCGAGCTCCGAATACGAGCAGTTTCTGCACTGGTAGAGAAGTCTCCTGTTCGCCTTGTCCTCCTTCGGGTAAAGCATGTTGTTGCATTCTGCACAGAACTTGAATGACATGGCCGGCTGTCTTTTCGGTTGCTGTCTTGTGCTGTTCCCTGTTCCTGCCCCTCTGGTTGCTCCTGTCCTCTTTCTGTTGCAACAACGCCCTGCTATTCTCCGCCATCCTCCTCCTCTTCTTCCTCTTCATCTCCACCACCAAACCTCCAAATTCATGCAGCGACTCGCCGCCACGACACCTTTAGCTGTTGTACTGGCTCACCGGCCGATGTCTGTGTACGCGCACACGGGTCCGCGACAGTTGTGCCCCATACATTACGGCGGGTCCTACTGCACTCGATTTTTCTCGCTTTTCTCACACCTTTTTTTGGAATTTTCAAGTCGTCGAGGCCAAGACGGATTAGACAGTTAAACCCCATTCAGGATTAGAGCTAGGGCAATTGAAGTTCCGGCCGGTTGTCTCGTCAGTCCTAACACAGCACACACGCAACAGCACACCATGTACGCCTCCTTGAGAACCACCACCGTCAGATCTGCGCTACGATTCTCGTCTGTCTCGGCGAAGAGATGCTCCAGCCCAATAGTCGTGAGATTCAACTCGACTGAGGCTGCGCCAGTCCAGGCTGCTGTGGACCCAAAGATCCAATCCATTGTCGACTCGATCTCCACACTCACCCTTGTTGAAACCTCGTCTTTGATCAAAGCTTTAAAATCGCAGCTTGATATCCCAGATATGGCTTTCCCCGTCGGCGGTGCAGCTGCTGCTCCAGCAGCTCCAGCTGAGGCGGAGGCTTCTGCCGAGGACGCTGCTCCTGCTGCAGCCGAGAAGACCATTTTCAACGTCAAGTTGGAGAGCTTCGATGCCAAGACCAAGGCCAAGGTCATCAAGGAAGTCAAGGGCTTGCTCGGCTTATCGCTTGTCGACTCCAAGAAGTTCGTCGAAGCCGCTCCAAAGGTCTTAAAGGAAAACGTCGCCAAAGAAGACGCAGAAAAGATCAAGACGACCCTAGAAGGTTTGGGTGCCAAGGTCTCTTTAGAATAGGCGATTTCCGTAGCGCATTTCACTTCCTTGTATATAACCTCTATATATCTATACTCCATGTTAACTCTCTTGCAAGCTAGTTAGAAAAGAAAGAAAAAAATTGGAATTAAAGAGCGTAAAATAGGTATGAGAAGCTCAACGTGCCGCCTATAGAATGTGGACCTTGTTGACTTCCTTCAATCTATTGTTCAAGTCGTCAAGAAAGTGGTCTAGATCATCCTTCTTGAACTCGCTTTCGATCTTATCGTAACTGTATAAATCTTTTCTTAGTGGAATCTTGTATTTTTCAGGGACTTTGTCATCTACCCCTACTGATTTAATGGTTCTATCTGCCTCTTCTCTGTTCTTTTCGTTGTGGCTTACTCTCGGTCTGTCATTCTCATCAAAACAGGGTGAGTCCAACAACGCCATGTTCAATTGCTTCTCCAACCCGTCAATGAAGATCTCCATCGACGAAATTGCGAGTTTCCAATTTTCCAAGCATAGCTGGTGATCAGATTGTCTTTTGATTATTCTGCTTCTCATATTTTCATTGAACAACTTTTTCATAGCCTTGCAATGGATCATCAAACTACCAGTCATGTAGCTGGGCTTTTTCTTGTCCATATTCTCAACCCTTTCATAACATTCGCAAATTTGATCGTTCAATTCGTTACCTATATATGGTGACATCAATTTATGACTATTGACACTTCTCTTGTCCTTCGTTTTGCCGGAATTCGTAGACGATGAGCTGATGATTTTATAAAATAGCCTCGAAATAGCACTGTTTCCCGGTCTCGAGCTTGATCCTGTATCCAACAAGTCGTGGGCAGCAGATAGTCGTGGCATTTCAACTCCCATAAGCTTTTCCGACTCAGAATATAAGGAGAGAGAGGATGCACTTGATGCAGGTGATTCTTGTGTGCTTTTCACCCGAGAGTTTGCGTTCGGTGAAGACATGGTTGGCTTGGGCTCAGCCTTATCTGTTGTCGGGTCGCTATTTTCTTTACCGTTCTTAGCAGTATCTTCCCCAAAAACATCTGAAACACTTCTACGAGTTTTCCAAAAATTCTTGTACCTATTACTGGTTCGTAATGTTTGTGATGTCTGGCTCTGAGGGTGACCTGGTTTAGGTGCAGAGTGGATTGGTTCAGAGTCCGCTCCCTCCAAATTGGTACGTGCGTCGTCATCCTCATCACCTTGGTTTTCTGGTTGCATTATGGGCTCTAGCTAGTGACCTTATCGAGCAATGAAATGGTTATTTGAAAGATCTTCTTTCTTTCACAAAGTTAATCCAATCAATTTGATATATTATTGATGCTTTCGCCGGGCAGGATATACAAAAAGGGCAATTAATCTTGGGCCGCGTACTTTGCCAATTCATGTTCCCGCAGCAGAGTTACTTAATTCGGTCACTGGGGGGAAAGGTGAAGAAAAAATGAGAGAATGAGGTTTTATGCTGAAACAGATATCTGTAGTTGAAGGGTAGGTAAAGCTGAAGAGGTACAAGTAGTGAAAAAGAGTAGAAAACCTAGAGATTGAAAAAAAAGGGGGCAGAAGTATTATATAGAAAAAGCCATGGTAGTAAAATTATAGCCCTACGAGTTTGTGTTTTGATTCATATTTAGTGTCTGGTAATGTTTGTTTGATGTCGTGGGGTTCATGATGCAGAAGAAAGGCAATTAGAATTCGGTAAAATACTTTGCATATGGGTCTTCGCAAGAAATACCATAATCTAGCTGTTCTTCAGGATAGTGGTCGAATAAACTTGTGTCACCAACGCCCGCTGTAATTGGTGGCTCGTAAGGCGTCTCGATGTCTTTCAATAATAACTTTTCCCACACAACTTCGCTGAACCAAGGGTGATCCCGGATGTCGCAAGGACCGTTTTGCAAATTACCCAATCTTCTTGTCAAATCTGAAGTAATCAACTTGGACAACAAGTCCACTGCCTCGTGGTGGAAATGTGAAGGATAGTGAACCTTGCATGCCAGGATCTTTTCGTAAGTTTTCATTGGGGTCTGGTCATAGAAAGGGGTATATCCAGCCAACATTTCAAAAATCAAGATACCCAAAGACCACCAGTCAACACTCTTGTTGTAAGGCTTTGTTGTGATGACCTCGGGAGCAATGTAATCGGGCGTACCACAAAGAGTCCAAGTGACGGTCTGGACTTCTTTGGCGAAACCGAAGTCGGTCAACTTGATGTGGCCGTTACGGTCTAAAAGGATGTTTTCTGGTTTCAAGTCTCTGTAAATGATGTTGTGGGAGTGTAGATACTCCAAGGCAAGGATGACCTCTGCGGCATAAAACTTGGCTACCGGGTTAGGGAAGCGCTGCGACTTCCGCAATAAAGAGAAGAGTTCTCCTCCCTCGATGTAGTCCATCACCATAAACAGGTTTTTGCTGTCCTGGAAAGTCCCCCACATTCTGATCAAAAAGGGGTGTTCGACCAACTTGAGCATTCTTCTCTCGTCATTCGTGTGCTCGACCTGTTTCATCTTGATCACCTGGTACTTCTTCAACACCTTGATCGCGTAGTACCGGTGGTTGTGTACGGACCTGACCAAGTGGACCCGACCAAAGGAGCCTGTGCCCAAGGTCCGCATGATCTGGAAGTCCTTCAACGAGTACTTTCCCTTTGAGGTGGTCTGTCTGCGGGGAAGGAGGCTCTGCCCAACGAACTTCTTGTGGAGCGCCTGGTAGTTCGGCTGGATGATGGCCTGGTAGGACGGCATGCGCTGCAAGTATTCCAACTGGCCCTGCTCCTCCGGAGTCAGCTCGATGCGAGACGAGTACACAGGAACGCCGTGTTCATCCACCTGTGGTGCCTGGGCGTATTGTTGGTGGTATTGCGCCTGTGCTTGTGCCTGTGCTTGCGCCTGAGCCTGTGCTTGCGCTTGCGCCTGGGCCATCTGCGCTGCGTGCACATGTGCTTGCACTTGCGCCTGCGTTAGCTGTGCAGCATGGGCGTGGGCATCGCCAGCAGGACTGTACTGTGTTGCTGCATGAGATGCTTGGTCGTGCTGGTTTGGGTACGCCTGTTGGTAGTGCAGCTGGCCCGGAGTTGAGGTCTGCCCGTGCTGCTGCTCGGTCTGCAACTGCAATTGTGGCTGCTGCTGGTTCTGGTTCTGGTTCTGCTCCTGGTCCTGGTTTTGCAACTGGTTGAAGTCCAACGACACAGACTGCCGGGAGTTGTGGAGAAGGTGATACTGCTGTTGCATGTTGTCCATTTTGGGGTCGTCGCCTACGGAGACACGGTGCTGCCAGAGGGGTCAATTGTGGGCGATTCGGAGTGCTGACAACGGCCTGGAAAAAAAAACGGCTCGTGGGTGTCTAAGTAGCTTCCCAGTGACCAGCGTGGACCTCCGACACTTCCATCCCAGATATAAGCCTGTCCGGCCATATGCTGTGTGTAGTAGATCTGTAGCAGCAGCTGGTCGGGAGCAATCGCAGCCAATTTGCAGCAGCGGGGGGCGGGGGTGAAGCGCCGACGCGTCGGCAGCGGCCGCCACTAAAGGTGTTGAGGTTTCTGGCGACGGAGGAGTGCTGGAAAAATTTTCAAGGTATGTAGAGCAAAAGGGGAAGATGAGATACAGAAGGGAGTCTGGGGGGTCGTGAAGAAGGCCTTAAGCGAGATAGCCAGTGTTCAGTATCAAAGTCAACATGTCGCAGGAGATACTCACGCAGAAACAGGTTGAAACGGCCAGAAAGTACGATCTTTCGGCCCGGTTTTTCGACTTCTTGGACAGACATTTGATCTACCCGTTGTTGGATAATCTAGTCACAATCTATGATGAGAAGGAGATCGACCAGATGGAGTTCGACATCCTCAAGGACACATACATGATCAAGCTTTTGCGGGACCTCTACTTGAACTTGCATCCGGAGGCGGAGGATCTTCCAGAGGAGATTTTGAAGAAGGAGAATGAGGTGATTGCGAAGTTGGTTCCATTGAACGAGTCGACAAAGAAGACGTTGGACATCTTGTGCAGCAAGGAGGTGCAGGAGAACTTGAAACAGGACAAGTACTCGAACCGGGACTTGATCAAGTCGCACGGGATCGACGACAAGAAGATTCTGGAGTTGTACGAGTTTGGTAAGCTGCAGTACAACAGGGGCGACTACGTGATGGCGTCGGACTTGTTGAACAACTTCAAGCTATTGTCGACGAACCAGGAGTTGATTTTGAACGCGACGTGCGGTAAGTTTGTCAGTGACATAATGAGCGGCGACTGGGCGGAGGCCAAGAACGAGATGTCGAAGCTGAGAGAGGTGACGGACAACAGAAACTACCAGGGCTCCTCGCTGGAGCAGTTGAAACTAAGAAACTGGCTCATCCACAACTCGCTGTTCATCTTCTTCAACGAGAAGGAGTTGAAGGAGCAGCTTGCCAACAAGGAGACGTGCAGCCAGCTCTTGCAGATGAACGAGATCTTCATCTCGTCGTCGTACTTGTCGACCATCGAGGCCTCGTGTCCGTGGATCCTCAGATACATAATCTCCTCCGTGCTATACACAAAAGACTACAGAAGACTGAGAGATTTGATCCGGGCGGTCGACATCGAGTCGTACGAGTTCGAGGACCCGTTCACCCAGTTGATCGACGCCTTGTTCATCAAGTTCAACTTCAGCCAGCTGGGCGACATTTTCGAAAACATCAAGATTCTCACAGAAACAGACTTCTTCATCAACCACCTCGACCAGAAACAGCTCTTGAAGAACATCGTCGAGCTCATCCTCAGAAACGTGTTGAAGATTTACAAGACCTTGAGTGTCTCCAACTTCAAGGCCCACTTCATCAACGGCATAAGCGACGAGCTCTTCAACGAGATCGTCGAGTCCAACAACGACATCTCCCTCGATGCATCCAGCAACACCCTCAGCTTGAAAAAAGACAAGAACGATCCGTACTTCCAAGTGTACGAGAGAACCAAGGCTCTCTCTTTCAAATCGACGCAATTTCTCAACAATGCTTTCGGCAAAGACCTATGATCGACCATCTATATAAATTACGTATTCACACCTATATTTTAATGGCAGTAGTAAACAACAGTAAGCGTGTAACTATCTAGCGTCTGTGGGAGGAAACTATATACAGCAGGAGGATCGTGCTCCTCCGAGTCCACCACTACTCTCTTGGCACAAACTCGAAATTCGTCGTTTGTCTGTTGAAGCCGTTGGTGTGGCTCTTGAACCTCGGCTTGAGCTCGAGGTCCGCCTCGTTCTCAAAAAAGTTCTCCTTGCAGATCTGCACCGTTTCCCTGAACTTCGCCTCGCCGTTCTCCTTCGAGGAGATCACCTTTTCCATGTTTTTCTTCGTCAAAGGGTCCGCCTCGAGGCCCTGAAGCTCCAACCGAGCAACAACCTTCGCCATGTACCAGAACATCATCTCCCTGTCCGTGTTGTCCACCATCTCGAGAGCCACCTGCGGCGCGTTGTCGCCGTAGCGGGGCTCCAGCTTCAGCATACGCGTGAAACCCGACGCACGGTTGGCGTATCGTTCTATGAACTCGCTCGTCATCTTCTCGATCGTTATATCCTGGTTGTAGAGCTTCCCGTACAGCAGGTGCTTCCACTCCTTCAACGCCTCCGGCCTGGTGCTGTGTTTTTTCGACTTGATGATGAGGTTTTCCACATAGTTGGCCGTCAACTTGGCCTTTGCAGGGGTCGTGGTTATGTGTTCGTACTGGATGAGCGAGGACACGAGGTTCCTGACGGTGTGTTTCACCTGTTTTGCGTTTCTTCCAAGAGTCATCGTGGCCTGTTTTTCGCTGTCTCTGCCCGGTTCTCCTGCTCCTGTTCCTGCTTTTGTCTCCGTCTTTACCTCTTCCACCTCCATACCTGTCCGTCACCGTCTTCTTTCCCCATATGAAAAGAAGACAGCACTGGAAGCGAGAAGACAAACTGCCTTCCGCGCGCCGGGTAACTTTTGCGCCGATCGGTTCCCCGAGGTTTTTTCCCAGAGTGGGGGGTCCCTATTGGAAGACATGAAAAGACAGGACAAGGGGAGGCCAGACCAGGAGGAAGAGGAAGACGGGAGCAGGCATTGAGGCGGCGGAGTCTTGTTTGGCACAGAGTCGAAGAACACAGCAGCAGGGATGGCAGGAATTACACACGGAGTGCTCACAGGGGTGCTGGTGACGAGCGGGCTGGCGTACTTGACGGCCCGGCAGTTTGAAAACAACGCAGGCACGATCAAGCGGGAGATCGGCCAGTGCATCGACATTGCGGAGCACAAGCAGGAGGCGGTTCCGCACGTGAGTAACGTGCGGACGTACTACTCGAGCAGCGTGGTCGAGGGGGCGAAGGACCTGTGGAACGAGGAGGTGATTGGCGCAGTGAACTGGTGGTACGGTCTGAAGGTGGGCAGCCGGCTGATGGCTGCGATCTCGGATGCGTTCAAGTAGCGGTGGTGTCCATACACCGATGTATAGGTTGTTTACGGGCGAACAATGCGAATTATTTATTACTGTTCTACTTGAGCTTGCGGGCGGCGCCGGGGCCGCTAGGGCCGGTGGAGCCGCCTCTGGCGGCGTCCCTGGCGGCGTACCACTTGGCGATGAGCGACTCGTGGTAGAGGTCGATGAGCCGGGCAAAGAGGGCGCCGAAGAGCGCCAGCAGGACCTGGAGCGGCCACCACGAGCGGGGGCCGAAGCCGAGGCTGAAGCAGTTGAGCACCCAGCCGATGAGGTCGGTGTGGATGTAGGTGGTGCCGGCGTGGAGCTGGCGGAGGACGATGTCGGCGCAGTCGTCGACGGAGATGGGCTTGCTGCTGCCCTCGACGTCGGCGGTGATCGACGGCTTGGTGAGGTTCTCCTCGGCGTAGCCCTCGCTGGCGAAGTTGCCCGGGAAGACGGTTGTGACCCGGATGCCGTGGTACTTGAGCTCGTGGCGGAGCGTGTCGCCGAGCGCCTTGAGCGCCGCCTTCAGCGGCGCGTACTGCGAGTACCCGATGAAGGAGTAGAACGCCACGGACGACGACAGGATCACAACGTGCTTCTCGCGGTCCGTGCCGGCGTCCCTCGGGTCTGCGTCGAGCACCATGGCGGGCACGAGCGCGTGCAGCAGGTACAGACACGTCTTGTAGTTGATGTCGATGCCTGCGTCGAGCTCTGCCAGCGAGAGGTCGCCGAAGAGCTTGGGCACCGACGACCCTGCGCAGCAGAACACCACGTCCGGGTCGATCATCTCCTTGCGCAGAAACCCCCGCAGCTGCTCCACCTGCCCCGCGTCCGAGAGGTCCACTGCGTACGCAAGCGTGAACTGGTCTGCGTGCCGCTTGTCCTGCTCGTGCTGTGCTGCCAGCTGCTCGAGCCTGTCCTTTGACCGTGCCAGCACCACGAGGTTGGCGCCGCGGGCGTGCAGCTTGTCTGCGAGCGACCGTCCGAGGCCCTGCGACGCCCCGGACACCACGACGATGCGGTTGAACACTTCGAAGCCCATTGCGGTGTATACACGGTTGCATCTACACAAGTACAAATCCGCCACAAGAACACTACGTGGCCAATTTGCCTCCCAGAGCCACCTGGTGAGGAAAACCACCCTGCATTCATGTCATGTTCCGCAGCTCGCGGGCGCGCGCCATCATAGTGTGCTGGAGGTCCTTGCGCAGACCCAGCATGAAGAGCAGCTCGAAGAGCACCAAGTAGGGTGCCAACACGAGGGGCTGGACCGGGTTGTCCAGCACGGCGGGGCTGCGGTGCTCGTAGTGGAAGTGGCCGAAGAACTGCAGCGCCCACGACACAACGTGGACGGCCGCCGCCGCCGCAAGGACGGCGCCGCTGCTGTAGCGGGCGTAGAGCGAGCCGGCCACCAGGCCGATGGCGGCCAGAGCCGCCGACGCGGCGGCGCCGGCCGCAGCGTCGAGCAGCACGTAGTAGAGGGCGTAGACGCCGATGACGGGCCAGGTGAGTCCGAGCGGGTGCACGAGCACGAGTGCCGTGGCAAGGATGAGCGGGATGCAGTAGAGGTGGATGCGCACGTTGCGGCTGTCCATGTGGTAGGCCTTGTAGTAGGCCAATTGGAAGGGGAGGTCGAGGAGCTTCATGTCTGGCTTGCGGCGGATCGTGGAGCGGGGGAGGGTGCTGCCCAGCGGAACCAGAGTAGCAGCACAGCACAAGCAGGCCTGCTGCAGCTTGTTTTCGGGCACCTATCCAGAGCACCAGCACCAGGCCTTCGCTCGGCATATGCACCGGGGCTTCGGTTTGGGTGGCGCGGGTGCGGGGAGTGGGACGAGGAAGGCAGCAGGAGGAGGAGGCAAGAGGGAAACAGGTGATGAAAGGACAGACGGGGGCAGAGGACGAGGGCAAAAGACGGGCCACGGGGCGCAGTGGGGCACGGGGCAGACAGACAGACACGGAAACAGAGCAGCAGGATGTCGAAGACCAGCATTGAGGACTTGCAGGAGCAGATCAACGACCTCAAGTCGCAGGTGGTGAAGCAGCGGGCAATCATCGCCAAGACGGCGCAGCAGATGCTCAGCATGCAGGTGAAGGACACGAAGCAGCACATGGACTCGATCCCAGACCCGCTGGGGCTCGGCGGGGCTGGAAAGGCGGGCGGCGGGGCGGCCGGGGCGGCGGCAGCGGTGGACACGGCGGACTTCGCCACGAACGAGGACCTCGTGCAGCTCGTGGGCGAGTTGCAGGGCCAGTTGAACCTGCTCGAGCAGAAGTCGGTGCTCCGGACGGTGAACTCGCACCAGCACCGGGACAGCGACGTGCTCTTGGCGTTGCCGAACCTCGACGGCGACATGCCGGCCAGCGAGGTGTTCCCGCACTCGGTGGCGGAGTTCGTGAACCTGGGCGACGACGTGGTGGTGCAGCTGTGCAAGTTCTACCAGTTGCTGCCGCCCACGCTCGAGGAGCGGGCCCGGATGCAGGCGTTTGTCGAGGGCAAGATCGCCAGTCCGAACGAGCCGCTCAACGGCGACTACGAGCCGCCCGCAGACGACTACCCGCCCGAGACGCTGGCCGAGCTCTTTGTGGAGCTCGCCAACTTCATCGGCGTGTCGCACATCAAGAAGAGAGAGGACTGAGCGGCGTCCTGCGTTCGAGCTGTATACTGTCTAAAGAAATAACCGTTGCGTTCAAGGGTCCGCCTCCTCCGGCGCCGGAGGCGGCGCCGCCTTCTCCAGGTGCACAAACGCGTCGCCGATGAACTCGTGCAAGTTGCTCGTGAGCATCGCCCGGCCGTACTTCTCGTACGCCAGCCGCCCGGCCCGCCGCGTCGTCGTGCACCCGCCAAGACACGCCAGCGACACCACCTGCTCGTCCGTGAGCGTGTCCGGCGTCTCGTACAACCCCCGCCGGTACGCCCCGGTGCCCCAGCAGAGGAACGCCCCGACCATCCCCGTCAACGAGTCGCCCTGCCCGCCCACCCGCTTCAAGCTGCCCGGGTCGCCGCACCGCAACACCTCGCCGCCGTGGTAGCACACCTTGTCCACCGTGCCCTTCTGGATGATCGTGCAGCGCAGCGTCCGGCAGAGTTCGCCAAGCGCCCGGTCGCTGTCCGGCCCGTCCACAGACACCCCGAACGCGTCCGCTAGCCGCTGGAACTCCACCACGTTCGGCGTGAGCACGATGTTCGGGTTCCCGGAGCCCTGCACAAGGCCCTGCAGCCGCTTGTTCACGCTCAAGTGGTACAACGCGTCCGCGTCGAGAATCACCGCCACGTCCTTGCGCTCCGCCTTCGCCAACACGTGCTCCAGGATCGCCAGCAGGAACTCCTTCATCTGCCCGTCGTTGCGCCCTATTCCGGGCCCGACAATCAGCACGTCCACCCGGCTCACGAGCCCGACTATCTTCTCCATCTGCGCCGCCATCACCTCCTCCGCCGACCCGCTGCCCTGCTTCACCCTCATCCGCACGCTCTCCGAGTCCAACAGGTACGGATGCACCATCAAGTCCGGCGAGTAACTCTTGATCACCGGCGCCGCCGCCTGCTCGCAAACCACGTGCACGAGGTCCACCCCGGAGAGCATTGCTGAGTGCGCACTGAAGTACGGGGCTCCCGTGTAGTCCTCACACCCGCCTATCACCGCAAGCTTGCCCAATTGGCCCTTGTGAAACGATGGAAGAAGCGGCGGCAAGAGGTTGTTCCTGATCAATGCTAGTCTCGACATCTTTCTGCCTGCTTTCTCTGTGTTTTCTGATTTTCTGTGCTCTTGTACCGTCTTCGACAACGCAAAAGAGCTTTTTCGTCTTCTCTACGGTCCTTTCCACCGGGAGAAGCACCCTCTTATACTCCCTTCAGGCCTCTCAACCTGCCTGTCCTTCTTCTTACCGTCTGAGCCGTCACATGTCACCTCACCTCCCACCCTCACCGCCTGGCCTCGCCTCTCCCGGCCTCGCCCTCGCCGTCTTTTCTGTGGCTCCTCTCCCTCTCCCCTCCCTCCCCGGAGAGACAGACACCGTCCTGGCCCGCCGACCCTTCTTCTTCTTCTTGTTGTTGTTGTGGTGGTGGTGTTTCCGCTGCAGGGGCAGTGGCAATGTCTGTGGCAGCACAATTGGCATCAAGCAGCATTCTAGCGACCTCACACAGCATGTCTAAAGTCCTGAAGTTCCTCGTTCCAGCCGCCGCCGTCGCCGGCGGCCTCTACTTTTACCAGACCGGCTCTGCGGCAGCGCCGGCTGCACTTGTGCCTCCCGCCTTGAAGGGCGACGGCGAGTGGGTCGACCTCAAGTTGACAAACGTGAAGCCGGTGTCGAACGACACGAAGGTGTACACGTTTGCGTTCCCAAACGCCAACCAGACGTCCGGGTTGGTTGTTGCGTCGGCAATCCTGACCAAGTACGTGACCGAGAAGGGCAACAACGTGGTGAGACCATACACCCCGATCACCGACGTCAGAAAGAAGGGCTCGTTCGACTTGCTGGTGAAGACGTACGAGGGCGGGAAGATGTCCGTCCACATGCGTGGCTTGGAGGTGGGCGACAGCTTGCCGTTCAAGGGCCCTATTCTGAAGTGGAAGTGGGAGCCTAACCAGTTCAAGGAGATCGGCCTCATTGGCGGAGGCACCGGTATCACCCCGCTGTACCAGCTGGTGCACGAGATCCTCTCGCACAACGATGTCGACAAGACCAAGATCACCCTCTTGTACGGGTCCAAGACCATGGACGACATCTTGCTCAAGGAGGAGTTGGACGCGTTGGCCGCCAAGTACCCGGACCAGTTCACCGTCAAGTACTTTATCGACAAGATTGTCGACTCCAGAAAGGACGACAAGATCACCGTCGGCTACATCGGCAAGGACGTGTTGGAGTCCAACTTGCCTAAGCCTTCCGCCGACTCGCACGTCTTCATCTGCGGGCCTCCTCCTCTCTACAAGGCCCTCTCCGGAGTCAAGGTGTCCCCTACCGACCAGGGCGAGGTCTCCGGTGTCTTGAAGGAGTTGGGCTACGACAAGACCGACGTGTTCAAGTTCTAAGGACAGAAAGCCGAGTTTCTTTGTGTACAAGACCATCCATTCTTTACTTTCTTTAAACCTATTGTTATGACGAACATTTGAATAAACATTTCTCTATCTATATCTGCTGCAGCCGATGCGGGGCCTGGCCACGTCTCCGATGTCCCTCGTCTCTTGTAGTGAGTGCCACCGTTCGTCCACAGTGGAGGCAGAACGGAGCGCGTCTCTGGAAACCCGTCTGACTGGACATGTTTCGTTCCGCAGGGCCTAGCTACGCTTCTTCTCTGCGTTTCTACTCTTCTCCCCCACTCATCCCACCCAAGTCGTCTTGTACAGACCAGCAAGAGCAGACAGCAGCAGCAGAATGGACGGCATTGACGAAAAGAGCCTCTCCGAGACGATCTCGAACATGGCGAAGGGTCTCGAGGCCGCCGTGGCGGCCAACGGCGACCTGGCGGCGGTGATGGCCGACCCTGAAAAAATGGCAGAGCTATTGGGCAAGGGGTCCGGCGGGGACGATGCAGACAGCGGCGACGAAGACGAGGACGGTGACGGTGACGGTGAAGACGGCGGCGCCGAGGACGGCGAGGAAAACGAGCAGACGATCTTGGAGGAGTACAAGCTGTGGCGGAAGAACTGCCGGTACATGTACTCGTTTGTGAGCGAGACGGCGCTCACATGGCCGTCGTTGTCGATCCAGTTTGCCCGGGCAGACACGTTTGAGAACAAGACGAAGGACACAAAGTATGGGGTGACGAGAAACCTCTTTCTCACGACACACACGTCGGGCGAGGACGACGACTACGTGAAGCTTGCGTCGCTGCAGCTGCCCCGCTCGTTGACCGAGCAGAAGGAGCTCACGAGCGAGGAGCTGGAGACGGTGAACTCGAGGTTGAAGATCAGCAAGAAGTTCCCTCAGGCGGTGGAGGTGAACCGCGTGCGGGCCAACCCGTTCGACTCGAAGGTGTGGGCGACGATCAACGCCAGCGGCGAGGTGTACGTGTACAACGTCGACGCCAGGATGAACGAGGTGTGGCGGAGGAAGCTGGAGCACCACACGGCGAACGGCTTCGGGCTTGCGTGGGACCCGACGAGTCAGCATCGGCTCGTCACCGGGGCCGAGGACAAGAGCGTCGCCGTCTGGGACTACCGGGACAGCACGGGCGGCGCTGCCGCCGCCAGCCTGCGGCCGACAGCCGTCTACAACGTGCACACCGACTCCGTCAACGACGTGCGTTTCTCGCACAGGCGGCCGGGCGTGTTTGGAAGCGTCGGCGAGGACAAGCTCTTTGTGCTCGGCGACTGCCGCAGCCAGGCCGTCACGATGCAGCGCACCCTCAACGCCGCCACCAGCTTCAACAGCCTTGCCTTCTCGCCCGCCAGCGAGCACCTCGTCCTCTTCGGCGGCGACGACGCCAACAACTACATCTACGACCTCCGCAACATGGACCGCTGTCTCCACACCCTCGTGGGCCACAAGAAGCCCGTCACCAACGTCGAGTGGGACCCCTTCCACGAACACGTCGTCGCCAGCAGCAGCATGGACCGCCGTGTCATCCTCTGGGACCTCACCAAGATCGGCGAGGAGCAGCTGCCCGAGGAGGCCGACGACGGCGTCCCCGAGTTGCTCATGATGCACGGCGGCCACACGGGCGGCGTCAACGACTTTGCCTTCAGCCCCGAGGTCGAGTGGTGTCTCGCCAGCTGCTCCGACGACAACATCGTCCACGTGTGGGCCGTCAAGGACGAGATTGCCCGCAGCCCCGACGTCGACGCCGACGCAGACCTCCTCATCGACCCTGCCGTCCTCGAGTAGTCTTCTTTCCTTCCTTCTTTTCCCTGTATACCATCTTCAACACCGTACAGCCCCTCATCTTGCGCGAATGGCCGCAAAAACCCTTCTGCGCAGTGCGTGCTCAGCTTTTTTGCACGTCTTCTTTCTCGAGAAGAGGCCAGACGGGACAAGACAGGACCAGGGCAGCAGCAGCAGCAGCACACCAGCACACCAGCACACCGCAAGCCACAACAGAGCCCCCGCACAAAATGTTCAGAGCCCTCAGACAGTTCTCCACGAGCCGGGCCAGCCTCGGCCCGAAGATGCAGGTGTACGAGCCGCTGCCAAGACTCAGAAACGGCCAGTGCCTCATGGAGTACGTGAAGCAGGCGCAGTACGAGAAGTTCGACAAGACAGGCGCCAAGAGAAAGGCGCTGTCGCTCGCCAACAAGGAGCGCATCCGGGCGGACGACATCGTCACGGTGGTGTACAAGAACCAGAAGCCCGTCACGGGCCAGGTGCTGATGGTCAAGCGCAGCGGCTTGAACTCGACCGTGCTGCTGAGAAACAAGATCACTGGGCTCGGCGTGGAGATGAACATCCCCGTCTACCACCCGAACATCATCCGGCTCGACATTGTCAGAAGACCCGTGGCCTACAAGCCGAGAAACAGACACTACTACATCAGAAACTCGAGGTTGGACGTCGGCGAGATCGGTGCCAGCGGCAACTGAGTCTGCCGTCTTGCCACCCTCTTTGTACATACACCGGCCGTGCCTCCTCCCTCCTCCCTCCTCCTCTTTACCCTCCCTCTTTACCCTGTATAGACCCTACTACTGCCTACTACTACACCCCCCTCCTCCTCCTCGCGGCCGGCCCCTCTCGCCGCTCTCAGCGGCCACAGTGGGAACCGAGGCCGACGAAGTGCAGAAGTGGACGTTGCTTATCTCTGTGGCGGATAGGCGGGGGCAGCAGCAGCAGGGAAGGCAGCAGGGCAAAGCCAAGCAGCACACTCGGTACATCCAGCAGCAGCACCAGCACCAGCACAAGCACAATGGCCTACCCGCAGGACATCACGCCAGAGGAGTTCAGCAAGCTGCCTCTCCTCGAGAGACTCACGACATACAACTGGAAAATCGAGATCTTCGCCTTGGGCGTCGTCCTCGCGTACTTCGTGCTGTTCAAGCTCGGGTCCGGGTACAACAACAAGATCGCCTCGAAGTTCATCGACTCGGTCGTGCCGGCGCTCAGAGAGAACTTCTTCCAGGTGGGTGTCACGAGCCAGCAGCTCTACGCCCAGGACGACGGCCAGCACTACTCGCTCTACGCCTCGGGCAGACTGAGAGTGCAGTCCGTCTTGGCGAAGATCGAGTTGCAGTCCAGACAGAACCTCTTCATGTGGGCCATGGAGCTCGTGATGTCCTTCTTCCTCGACTCCGTGCCTCCTCCGCAGGACCTCGTGACCGTCGAGTTCACGTTCGACGAGGAGGCCAGCGAGAAGTTCGACAACTTCGTCTGGGCCGTCGTCACCAAGGACAAGATGAACACCTTCCGCTCAGAGAACTACTTCCTCTCCTTGACCAAGACGTCCGAGTCCCCCAAGTTGCCGCTCCAGTTCGTCTTCATGAACGAGGTCTCGGACATGAACGACGTGCTCTACACCAAGAAGCTCGCCGACCTGTTGCAGGCCAACGTCTCCACCCTCAAGTTCCTCGCCATCACCGACCAGCCCGTCGAAAAGCCCGTCAAGATCGCCGAGTTGAAGCCGTACAAGAGACTCATCCTTCAGTTCGCATTGAGCAACTCCGACTCCAACATTGAGGCCAGCAAAAACCTCTTCAACTACGTTCTCAACGACTACTTGGACCTCGTCGTCAACCGGGCCACCTTCAGACCAGAGCTCACCAGAAAGGTCAAGAAGACCAGAGAGAACGAGTACAACAAGCTCAAGAAGATCTTGGACGACCTCAAGAGAGAGGAGCTCAACACCAAGAAGATCGAGGAGCAGAAGAAGCTTAAGGCCTCCATGACTCCAGAGGAGCAGCAGAAGTTCTCTAAGAAGCAGCAAGAGCGGAAGCAGAGAAAGCAGCTCAACAGACAGAAGGTCAGAGGCTCTATGTAGCCCCCTCCCGCTTTTCTGCACTCTATAGTTTACACCTAAACGTGATACATTTTGTATAAATAAAAGCTAATCAAACATTTCTTCAATAACCTCCAAACACGTACGCGAACCATCTGCCAACATGATTTCCCCGATTTTTGTCACTTTTTTTCCACCTTCTTAACCGAAAGACGTGTCTTCTTCAGACACTCAAGATCAACAACACTGGCTAGTGAGCTAGCATCCAACAGTCGTCGCAATGCAACACCTCAGATTCGTTTACTTGCTGCTGCTGGCAGGACTTGCCCTCGCATACTTCTCTCCAACTCAATTGGAGATCTTGGATCTACACTACAAGATACAACCGAAACAGGCTTCAAAATCTGCAGATAACCGTACCTTCTACTCGTTGCTTTCAATCTCGCCATCGACACCAGAAGATCAGCTTGAACGTGCGTACAGAAAGCTAAGCAGAAAATGGCACCCGGACAAGTTTGTTATGGCTGAGCCAAAGGAACGCCGTCGGGCTGAACGGAAGTTCGAAACACTCTCTTTGATCATTTCGATTTTGCGTGATGTTGACCGTCGTAAGAGCTACGACTATTTTCTCAAGAACGGATTCCCCGTGTGGGATGAATCCAAAGCCAGGTACGTTTTCCAGAATAGATTCAAACCAAACTTCACGCTAGTTTTGGTGTTCCTGGCCGTGCTGACCAGTATCGGGCAGATGATCATTTTGAAATTAAACAGGTCTCAGAAGAACAAAAGAGTAGAACAGATATTGCGGGATGTCAGATGGAAGGCGGACAATATGAACCGAAGTAGTGCAGACCCTAACAAAGTGATGGAGCTCCCAGATGACTATGAGCTGGACAGCAATTTCTCAGGCTACTCCGTCGACGACAAGTTGGTGACCTACTGTGGCAAAGTTTTTATTGTTAAGCCCGACAGAAGTGTTCTTTTGTATAATGACGAGGATTTTAATGCCGAAGACCAGCAGAGTATGAACGATCTCACAAAACAGATAGTGGAATCTGGACATTTCAACCTCGCCGGCTTCCAGAAAAAGGAAATGAATAGAAAGGAGAGAAGATATGCAGAGAAGCAAAACAAGAAGGAAGCACAAAGCGAAATTGACAATGTCATCTCGAACCTAGTGCGATTCCAAGAGGATGATTCTGGCCTGAAAGTGACAGATCTATATCTTGTGAAAGCTGTTCTCAAGCTATGGAGTATTTCAGTAGGTCAGCTATTTGGCAAATCCAGTCCAGCGTCAGCGAAGGAAGCGGTGGTCACTGAAGAGCAAGTGATTGATACTGAAACTGAATCACATAATACTCCTTTGCAGGATAACGCAGAGAATGCAGATGGTAAGAAAGTGTTGTCAAGTGGGAAGGTACTTCGTTCAAGAAAGAGGTAATGTGGAAATGTCCTTAGTATATAAAAGTATCCTACATCGAGGTATAGTACTAAAAGCAAGAAGATCACTGCTTCAAAGCATGACTGTCGGACGTGCACTGAATGTCTGGAATACTACCTCGGCTGCCCTTCTGACTTTTGTAACCGGCATATTTCCCTCTCCAGGCTTTAAGTTCTTATAACAGTTAGCCAAAGCACATGAATTGAATGTTGATACACAAAAGTAAGCCATTTGTGTAATGGCGATACCAACGAGTTTAGACAACGCCTGGTTTTGTGATTCTGTCATGTAAATGTTGAACAGGAAATTACTCATTGGACCATCTCCAAGTAATAAACCGATAGCAAACGTGGACATGAATCCGTAATTTCCAAAAAATACATCCAAAGCACTAACTCTGTATAATTCTCCAAAATCTTCCCATAAACAGTACCATGTATCTCTGACCCAACTGATGCATTTATTCCAAAATGGTGAAGTATTGTACTCTTCATATACTGTTTCATTTCTATAATCTTGGATCGCCCACGCGTCATCAAGTGATAGTTTTAGCCCAAATACAGCAGGAATTGTTTGTTTGAACGATTCATAGTAGTAACGGTTGATTGTCAGCCTATAGGTGATAGCTGTAATCAATTTACCATAGATGAACTTCTGAAGTGTTGTGGTTATCCCAGAAGCAGGTATTCCGTAAGAAAATGAGGAGTAGATCGATGCAAAAATTAGTTGCAACAACCCCACGTTTGGAGTAACCATCGTATATACAAAATGGGGCACCATTATGAACCTCAGCAGTTCAGTGTAATCGAATTCTTCCGTTTGTTGGAAAAAATCACTAGCCCAGTTCAAGCTAAAGGCAAATGTTGCAGCCATCGAGAATGATGAAAATAAAGCTATTCCAGATACAAGACCAGCGGAAACGGTGGCCAATGCAAAAGATTTCAGATGACTGACAACCTTGTGAACACCTGATAGAACGGATTTCCTTCCAAAAACCAAAATAGAGGCACGGCAGTTGGGGCACAACATGGTAAAGGTATCGTTGGGTCTCATACTTGTAAGTTTTAGCAGGTCAGAAATAGAGGGTGTACATCTAATTTTGGCATCGACAAAGCCACACGTTAAGCTTTGTCTGTAATGGATGGCAATAGGTCCGGGGGAAAAGGGATCTCGAGGCGTCGATAGCTGTTCATACACTTTCCGATTAAAGAGCCAAAGGAGCCAGTTAACTGGATCTATCCTTTTTGAATCTTTTATAGCGTTAGCGACTGTCCTAATGGAAAGGTTCAAACATTCTTCATGGAAACATACCAAGCACCTGTGGCATGGATTCACAAATGGATCATATTCGGTGGGTCCTTGCTGGCATACAACACATATTGTTTCATCTGATTCCATTGTAAAAGAAATAGTTCACTCCCTTACTTCATGTAACAACGAATAGACGTTGGAACCTTTTTAAACCCCTATTAAAACAATGGAAAAACAGTATAAATCTCAGATAACGTCAGTGGGCTGGAAAAAGACGCTTATTCGAGATTGTTCAGCCACTTGTCGGGTGTGTCACTGAAGGCCTGAAAAGTCCTTGACAGGTCCTGCTATCTTTTCAACCTATTGCTTTCTTCGGCAACAAGCAAATTTGCTCATGTCTCATTGCGTTATTTGCTTTGACGATGGCACTCCGAAACATCCCCTTATCAAACCATGCAAGACATGCAATTTAGAAATTCACAATGATTGCGTTTTAAATCTCGTTTCAACACATATCATAGCTAAAAGAGCAGCATACAAATCCCACTTATTTCCAAACCACACGAACCCAAATGTTGTAGCCTCATTCGATGGAACCCTATTGCAGGATTCCTACTTTAGAGCATTGATCATGAACACCCCATTCGATGGAAGTGAATCACACTATTTCAAATACTTTAAAAGAGGTGCAATAATCTCGACACCCCCAAAGGCAGCGTTACAAAGTAATCTAGATACCATACTTCTGCGTGATTTGGATAATCCCATGGTATACATTCACGATGTGTGTCCACAATGCCATAGTGTTCTTTCGTTTGTCTCCCCTATAAAGAGCTTAGTTCCTTTTAGATCTATCTGCAATCGCAAAATACTCAGTGCATGCGAATCCTTTACAACTAAAGTGAAGGCCGTCTACAGTGTAACCAGGATGTTGGCTCCTCACTTATTATGCGAGTACGGAGAAGTTCTTATATGTGCAGTTTCCGTGATCTTTCCTCTGGTGCCATGGATCATCTTGGGAAGAAATATACAAGAATACAGAGTTGAATTTTTGAATGCAGATGGCATTTCGGAGGTGATAGGAATATCAGATCTACTGGCCCTATCCTCGTATGTCCAGACAAACATCAATCTCTTTTCTTGCCTACGACTTCTCTGGTTGGGCTCGAATGCTGTGGAAACAGTGCCATCGTTGGTGAGGTTTATTGCACTCTTTGTAAAGTACGCTAGCGATTTGGTTTACGCTGCAACTTTCAACATCTGCTACTTGAACTGGGCCATTGAAACCAGCCCCCAAAGGGTTGCAAAGTACATCAATCGGAGCGCCAAGACCCATGTCGTTGCCGACTCACTCGGGCAGCTGAGTTTGAAAGACAAGTTCTGGTGCTGCACATTTGTTGACTTCAAAAAGGTATTCGTCACGACGTGGGATCCTTCATTCGGGAGTTACGTGCTGAACAGCACTAAGATTGCGTCTTTGGATGCACCCTTTGACTCGATATTCTACACGTTGCTCGGCATAGGCGTCGGTCATAAGCTAATAGGGAAGTGCAAGCCCATAGTGAGATTCATCTACAAGGCTGTCAGGCGGTACCGGCCCGTGCCCATGGAAATAGAGCTCTGCCTTGAGTACCTCGGGTACCAGTCTGTACTGCTGGCGAAGACACTGTACGAGTTTCTCTATGTTTACTCCGAGTACAGGTCGATCACATCGTACCGCGTGTTCCGGACCGTGCATGAGGGTCGGGATTGACATTTTATCATGATTTATTATATAGAACGATATGTGGTAATGATAGGGAAGGATATACGAAAAATGAATATACAGAATACTGGAACATGAGGACTAAACTCTCTTCTTTTTCATTGCACCGACATTGGCAGTGAAACCTGTTCTGATGGAAGTGACAGATTTGGTCGAACCACAGGCCTTACAGACAATAAAGTGCAATCTGTTGGCAGCCTCTCTCTTCAACTCTGTGTTCATGGACTTACAAGTCCTGCAGATGACGTACTCTTGAATGTATCTTCTCAACACACCTTCGATGTTCTTGGCTTGGAACCTACCCTTGATGACCAACCTTTGCTCACCGTCAATGGAACCCGAGGTACCCAATTCGGCGAAAAGATACTGGATCAAGTGCGATGGGTTTCTCTGTAACACCTGGGCTATCTGCTGGACGTTGGCAAAGACCGTCTTCTTGTTACCGTCTCTCAACACTTCAGGAGGTGGGATCTTCAATCTCTGCTGCTGGCCACCGGCCAACTCAGGGTTCTTTTCTCTCAAGATGTTGTAGAACCTGTCCAACAGCTGTGAGTATGGAATGAGGTCCGACGTGGTCACGCTCTCGGCCGCGTTCTCTTCGATACCGGCCTCCTGCAACTGCTTCTCGAACTCGTCGATGTCAGCCTTGACTGTCTTCTTCTTCTTCTTCTTTTTCAGCTTCAAGCCCTCAAAGCTTTCTGCAAGCTCATCCTCTTCTTTGCCTGTCTCTGCCTCCTCCTTCTTGTCCTTGCTCTTCTTCTTCTTCTTCTTCAATCCGGCAAATAGATCTTCGTCGTTGCCGTCGCCGTCGGCCACCGCCACAGCGGCGGCATCCTTCGACTTCTTCTTCTTTTTTAAGGTAGGATCGAATCCTAGTTCTTCAGCAGACATTCTTCTTCTTGGCTTGCTGATGCGGAGACTCTATTTATCACTATTCCCTTCCTGTGCCCTGTCTCTGGCTAGCCCCCCTCCTCTTGCCAACATGAAGTGTGCAAATTTCATTCACCACTTTTCCCTCCCACTGAAAAAAAGTCAACGCGGACGGAAAATTTTCACTGATCTGGGCCGATCGGCGTAGAACGGTTTTGGCCGCCGAAGAGAAGAGATAAGAGTGCAAAACGAAGGGCCAGAGGCCTGACGGCACAGAAGTGGGACAGAAATGTACAGAACTGGTACAGAACGGACGGTGTGGTATTGCTATATAGGATGTTGATAGAGGTATACGCCCGGTGCGGGCGGATCATACGGCGAGGTGGTCGGTCTGCTGCGTGAGCTGCTCCACAGCTTCCGTGTCGTCCTTGGTCACCTTCTGGATCTCGGTACCTTCGCTGAACTTGACTGTGCTGGCTGCTGCGGCCGGTTCGGCACCTGTCTCGGCGGCGCCGTCGTCGTCGTCGTCGTTCTCGTCGTCGTTGTCGTCTATGTCTTGCTCCACGATGTTGCCGTACTTCTCGAGGAGAAAGTCGTCGACCTGCTCGTGGTCGTTGTTGCTGGCCTCATAAAAGGCGTCGTGGTTGTACGCATTCCTTATGAACGGGTCGGCGCCGTTCTCGCAAAGAAGCTTGACGGCCTCCAAGTGGCCGTTGTACGCTGCCCAATGCAGCGCTGTGTTCCCGCTGTCGTTCTTGGAGTTGAGAATGGCCTTCTTCTCCTCGGCGTCGGCTAGCAATCCCAGGAGGTACTGCAGCACGTCTATGTGTCCGTTGGCCGCCGCCATGTGGAACGGCGTAGTTAAGGAGTGCTCGTCCTTGATAGTCTTTAGCACAGCCGGTTCGACCTCCTTGCTGAAAATCTCGGTTAGGGACTCCACGTCACCCAGTCTGGCGTCGTAGATCACGTTGTCCATTTCCTCCTGCGTTAGCTGTGTGAGTTTCGGCATGTTGCGGTCGTTGTGGTTGTCGTTTCGGGGTGAAGTGTTGCTCAGTTTCCAGACAAGTTCTCCCAGAGGCTGCAGACGAAGAAAGGTGTCTAACAAAAAAATATTTGGCAAGAGAACGAAAAAAGCCGAGAAAAAATCAGAAAATGAAAAATAGCGTTTCACGGACTTGATTTCAGGCCAGACGACTTCTCTGAGTCTTCTTGCCTTCCGCCACCGGGTGCTGTTTGGGGTGCATACTGCAGAAGAGGCATGCCGGAGCTGGACCAGGAGAGGCTGCAAAGCTTGAGGCAAGAGCTTGCCAAGTTCAAGAGGGGCGAAAGGGTGGAAAAGAGGTCGAGGACCACAGCGTTGGGAAAACTCTTTGATGCCATTACTAAGAAAATCGAGGGCTACCAGACAGAGTCTGACGTGATCAGCTTCCTATATGCACAGTTCAGTCCTCATCAGGAGCAGGCCGGATCTGCAGCTAGAAGGAAGTACGTCATTGACGAGTTGCTGGGCTACCTAAGGGAGATTAACGTGCTTTCGGCGAAGAAGAAGGACTCAAATATGATCTCCATCCCGTTGTATGACATAAGAGTGGTGGGGGAATTGACCAACATCATCATTATACACGGCGTGTACGCCATCATGCCAAGCGACATTCTGCTGCCGTTGGAGAAAAGAAAGCTCAAGAACTTCAAGGCTCCAACAGCATATACTAAGATGGATTTTAATTCCGGAATACCTATTCTCAAAGACATCCTCTCCACGTTCACGGAGATCTTTGAGTCTGAGAGTGACTTGAAAGATCTTATCCTCGTAGGAACTGGTTTCACAGACGCTTTGTCCATTGCGATTTACTTCGCGGTGTCCATCGGACTAGCTGAGTACCAACAGTACATTGATCGTCTAGAAGCGCAGAGCTCTACCTATCAGCTACTTTCCTTCTACTCCATTCTGCTGAAAAACTGTCGAGCCAATCGGACAGTTGCGACATTTGTGTCTTTTTTACTTTCAAAGCAACTTGTGAAGCGCAATGGGGTGGAATCGCTAATTGATTTGGCGCTGGGACTCAGAGAAGATGAGGAGGTGGACATTGCCAAGATTAATAGTATTGTTCAAGTGCTACTCACGTCCAAGCCGCAGAGTATGAGCTTGATCGATTACTATAAGAATATTTTCTCGCAGATTTATGGCATGCTCGTATTGGTCAATAGGCCGCTAATGAACACCATATTGGTCGAGATGATAACTGTCATATACAAGAGAAACAAGCGGATTATTGCCGACTTTTTGTTTTCTGATGTCTGGGAGAATTTGAATCCAGCTTTAAGGAAAGACCGAGATATCTCTACGGATGAGTCGGTAGTCTTGACCAACGAAATAGATCTAAACAACTCTTTCAATGTTTGTCTTTCAATCTCCAGAAGTCTCAATAATTTGGACCAGGAAATAATGAATGAATTTTTCCAGCCAATACTTCTTTCATTATGGTACTATGCAAACTATCAAAGAAGCAAGCAAAAAGATTATGATATAGTATTGAATTTGGTTAAAAATGTCATCATTCTTGGAGATTCGGATCACTTCATAGATCTGATCACAACTAACTTGATTGACTATCAGATGGAATGGAAATTTTCTGATGGTGAAAGTAATCTAACTTTCATAAAATATAATACTAAAGAGTCCGAGACTTCGAAAGAAAACAAAATTTTGGAACTATTCAATAAAATAGATTTCTATATGGAAACGTTTGTTAATTTAACCTCTAAGTTGAATGATTCAGATATAGACCATACGAATAAAGTTCTCATTGCAACATTAAACAAACTGTATTCCAATACAGCATTGGATGACACTGATATTCCATTCAAAAAAATAGTTTATTTAAAGCTCATACAATCATTATTAGAAACTTTCAAGTCAGAAATTGAGGGCTCACCAAAGTCCCTACTAATTTTTGCAAAAACCTATTTCAATCAGTATTTTGAGTCCGTGAAATCGAAGTCAAAGTTGGACATCGTCAAAACTGAAGACTCCGATGATGAGGATGAAGATGAAGTATTGTTTGACGGAAGCGAAGGCGGAGATGGCATCACCTCTTTGGTTCCTATCTTGGATATCATCTCCACTCTATCTCCTTCTAGTGATAGCGAGAAAGAACAAATGGAAAGCTTGCAAATTACTTTAAAGACTAATATAAAATATATTCCAAAGTCGATTTACCAGGTGTGTGAAGATATAATAGGTATTGATACAAAAAATACAACCATCAAAAGCAGTTCCTCTGGATTCAATATGGAGACAGTTTTGAAACAGATCAATGATCCAACACCCTCGGTCAGGGTGTATGCACTAGACAAGCTAACAAACTATACTATAAATTCAAAGACTGAAGAGAGAAAGCAAGTTTCAACTAAATATACCCTAAATTTATTACTCTCACAGTTAAAAGATCTTGAGCCATTTGTGTATCTAAATGCAATCAAGAATGTGGTCAGTGTACTTTCATTCGACAGAACTTTTTTTAGCTATGTGATAGAGCTATACTCTACTTCTAAAAAAAGTATTGACGAGAAGTTACGTATTGGTGAGATTTTGACGAAGTTCATTTCCTCTCATGGTAAAGTTCTTGTGGGGTCACAAATCAAGGTGATCATAAACACATGCATAAAAATTTCACGAGCAGAATCCAAAACGGAAAAGAAATTGGCTGACAATAGTGATTTAAGAATGAAGATGTCTTCTCTATCCATACTCGGTACTACTTGTCATGAATGCGGATACAGCGTAATCCCTTATATTACCGAGATTGCAGACCTAGTTCATGGAATAATCACCTTTGAAACAAGCGCTGAGCTCAAGAGAGCGGCCGTTGTTATTATAAACGATATAGTTTCTAGTGATAATGGGTTGGAGATCATAAAAGATCATGGCGAAAAGCTTCAAATTCTTCTTGACTATATTTCAGAAAATGACCATGATTTGCTTGTTTGCCAATTAGCATCTGCAACTCTCGACCAGATAGAGGAAACCTTCAACTCGAGATTTACTATTTTAGACTGAACTTTTTTACATAACTTAGCTTAGTTATTTTAGATATCTTGATAGAAAAGGAAAAAGCAAATCGCTTACTTAATGGTTGTCTTACTCTAACTTTATAATTCTGAATTCGCCCATGATTCGTGAAAAATGTTCCCTATGAGAAGTATTCATTCTTCTTCTTCCAAAAAACCGAAAGGATTCTTGTTTTCCACGACCAGTGGTTCATCATCGTCTCTCATTTCATCAATAATCTCTTCTTCGACATCAGTATCTGTTTTCTTTTCGCTGTCTATCTGACTGACCAAATCATTGGAAAGGGAATTCTTAGCAATTTCGTTGATTTTGTCCCATCCTGTTTTTCTCAGATTTGCAATAGTCTTCTTTCTCTTTAATGCATTTTCAATTTTTCTACCTAGTCTACCGTCCACATTCTGGAATCTCTGAGTTTTAGTCCGTATCGTTTTAGACACCATATGTTGCTTCTTTTTGCTGTTATGCATGGTCACAATATTATCTCCAGGCTTAAGTTTCGAACCTTCTCTGGAAGCCTTGGTCATTCTATCATTTAAAAGTTGTTGGTTTTTGTTTATCGAAGAACGAATCAATGGGGAGACTGTATCAGTTTTTTCTAATCTTGGTAAAGATGCAAGCTCTTTTGCTTCTGAACTCTCGAAGGGATTCACATCTCCGCGACGAGCAGCACGTGAGTTCTTAGATAGTCCTTTCTTTGCCATTGCTATGTGATGTCAATAGTCAGCTTTTGCTATGTTAAAAGATCTTAGGAGTAAGGAACAATCTGCAAAATGTTGGAGTTGAAGATAAAGAAGGGTCTGTCTGAAAAAAAATTTAACCGAAGTAAAAAAAAAGTTGTTCTCCACAGCCCGATATGCGGAAACATGCTTAGAATAATCGATCGTAGAGGACTTGTAAGTGTATTGGTTATGTTATTGTCTGGTTGTGGGTAATCTGTTGATTTAGATTCCGGTAGAAAATTTTCACAAATGTACCAAAATGTCTGAAGTGTTTTGTTTGAAAGAATACCAATTTATAGTGGACAATTACACTAAACTCAAATATCTCGAGCCGTTGATCACGAAAATTGAACTTGTCAAAAGTGATCACTCTAGTTCTCATCTCAAGGTGACCTGGATAGAGCAGGTGTCAGAAAGAGTATTTGTCGATCACGAAGGGTGGTATGTGAATCCTTCTGAAAAATACCCAACGTTTGAAGCGTTAGCCATGAAAAGAAGTGGCGGGTATCACGTCAAGTGGGGTGAAGCTTTAACCGAAAGGTTGAATGAGTTAGATCAACTTGAAAGCGATTGAGTCAGAATTGGAGATTTAAAATACAAAGCTTGATACAACATTACGAATCACTATATGTTTTATATATTCTACATACTTATTTTGGTTGATAAGAGCGGAGGACAAGATGGCGACAGAAGCTCTGCTAAATTATATTCTACCCGAGTTCAGCAAAAGATTTATATGTTGTCTTAAGAAATCGTCAGTGTAGAAATCGGACTTTCTCACCAATTCTTCACTGACCAAACCGTCCTTACCGAACGACATTGAATCACTGCTCAAAATCTTCAAATACTCGTCATTCTTTTGCAAGATGTTTTCCATAAACTTGGTAGGGTTCTCACTAAACTTTTTGTAGAAGTCATATTTCATCTTAGAGTAGTTTAAGATTTGCATGTTTAACTTCAAGTTCTCATCGAGCTTGACTAAATCGGCAATGCTCTGTTTACTCAGAACGTCGTCGGTTATGAGTCTGTTGATGTCATCCAATTCGGACAGATTGCCCTTCTTTTCTTCGAGTAATGCTTTGTTGACCTTGATGTCGATCACCACATCACCTAAAGTGGTGTTCTTCAAGGTGTTAATATTGTAAGTAACTCTGATTGGCTCCACTGGCTTCAACAATTTGTTTCCAACAATCTCCATGATTTGGGGCATAGTCATGCTTGGCAGACCAAAAATTTTCATCAACAGTTCATCTGACTTGACCGAAATGATTTTTTTCCCAGTATTTTTACCTGCATCATTTGACTCTTTGACGTCAGTCTCTATATTCTGAGCTTCGAATAACTCATTCACCTTCGCATACCAGAAAATCCTCTTGATACATTCGGTCTGGGTGATTTCCTTTGCACCAACCAGCTCCATCAAGTTCTTGTCAGCCACCATCAATTTGATAGGATATAATTTAGGTTGAATCACCACATTTGCAACAATCTCCCTATCTTCTCCTGTTCCATCTGGAATACTGGATCCTCCCCGCTTGATATCCATCCCATCGAATTGCTTCGCCATTCTTTCAGCCTTTGGTGCCTTTATGTCGTCGTGCCATTCAATAAGAGTCTCTGCACTGCCACTGGCACCTGGCGCATTGACACCTTTGATGTTGGTTGGTGTTGACGCGTCGCCATCTGCAGGCTTCAGTTCGATACTCAAGCCAGATAGAAACCACGACATCTTGTGTCTGTTAGGGTTACTGAGTGGTGTTTTATCGTTGAGTAGTCGTCCCTCGACCCTCAAGGTCCACATTGGAGACTGATCACTGTCCGTAGGTGGTGATCCTTGTGCCTGCTCCAGCTGGGCAGCCTTCTGCCATGGTTGGTTTTCACTTGTGTTGTAGATGAATATGCGCAGTGTCTCCTCATGCGAGTCGCCTGAGAGCTCGCTAGTGCTGATGCGCTGTTGGTGATCTTGCAAGTCAAGCAACTTTCTGTTGATCATCATGTCGAGCAGTCTTTCACGGCTCTGCAACTTCTCGTACAGCTCAACCTTCTCTGGAAAATGTTCTTTGAGCGATGGCGGAATTGTCTGGTCAGTTGGTTTCAGCTGAATTGGAAGACTGGACTGTGCACCTCCAGAAACCTGTTGTTTTTGTTGCTGCTGTTGCTGCTGCTGTTGCGCTTGGGCGCCACCAGCCCTCGACGCGTTCGCGTGATCTTCCGTTGACCTTTGGTCAAAAGTCATTTTACTCTATTGTCTGATTAACCTGGGCTGACTGCTTTGGATATGAAATGCAAAAGCTGCAGTGGTAAGTGCTGAAGAAAACACCGGCGTATTTCATGTGTTCGATCACTGCACAGGCCTGTCTAAAATAATCGGCCAGAAGTGCTTCGCGCAGCTCAAAAAGAGGACTCGAAAAGGCGTAAAAGCATGTTGTTTTAGATGGTGGTTTGTACACATTTTGTTTATAGAAAGAGGGTAGAAGTAAGGGAAGGGAAAAGGGGGGAAAGAGACAAAGAGGTAAAAAGACAAAAAGTCTAACTTGGGGGGAAAAAACTTTAAGCCTTCTTTTCCTTGGCAAGTTCTTCAACAATGGCGTCCTCAATAGTCTTGAGGTCGGCGTGTTCAATGAGTCTGATTTTCTTTGGCATGGTAGACAGTTGCTTGAGCTCTGCTGGTAAGACGTCGTTTTCGAACGAATATCCTTCGAAGCCACCCAAAGCCAGGTTTACGACTTCGGAGAACTTAGCTGGGTGTGCGGTGGAAAGAGAGATGTAGTGTGTGTTTGGAGCGTCTTGTGCAGCGTCGATTTGTTTCAGGCATGTAGTGATACCAACGGCACTGTGAGGGTCCAAGATGTACTTGTTGGAGGTGCTGTCGTAGGTCTCCTTGATGGTTGCGACGGTTTCCTCGTTGGTAACGGAAGCGGAATCGAGAAGCTCTCTGGCTGCTTGCACGGTTTCTTGAGAAACGTTGAACTCACCCTTGGTGGATGACAACTCGGCCATGAAATTGGACATGATCTCGCCTGTCTTCAAGTCGTCGTTGCCACCGTCGGTCTTCTTGATCATGTACCACAAAAATCTTTCAAAGTTGGACGAGACACAGATGTCCATGGCTGGAGAGTAGGTCACCTTGACAGGCACCTTATCGTACTTACCGGAGTTGATGAATCTGTGGAGGATGTTGTTTTCGTTTGTGGCAACAACCAACTTATCAACAGGCAAGCCCATTTCCTTGGCAAAGAAACCGGCAAGAATGTCACCAAAGTTACCGGAAGGAACAACGTACTTCACGTGGAAGTCGCTGGTGCCGACTTGTTTCTTCAATTGGAAGTATGAGTAGAAGTAGTAGGTCATCTGGGCCAAAATTCTGGCCCAGTTGATGGAGTTGACCGCACCCACATGGTAGGTGTCGTTAAACTTGACATCGGCAAAGACCTCCTTCACCAACGACTGGCAGTCGTCGAAAGTACCCTTCACGGAGAATGTGTGGATGTTGTCGTCAGTGACAGTGGTCATCTGCTCCTCCTGTAGCGGAGACACTCTGCCTGTTGGATACATTATGATGACGCTCACGTCCTTCTTGTTTCTCAGACCATAGATGGCGGCAGAACCGGTGTCGCCGGATGTGGCACCGACAACGGTGATGATGTCCCGCTGTTCACCTTCCTTCTTGCTGGCGTTTTTTCTCTGCAAGAAGTACTCGAACAAGTTCCCGACAAACTGTAGAGCCACGTCCTTGAAAGCGTAGGTCGGCCCGTGGAAAAGCTCCAAGAGGTGCAAGTTGTCCTTCGAGTCGATCTTGACCAGAGGAGTCACGTCTTTCGCTCTGAAAGTAGAGTACGATTTCTCAATCAGTTGGCGAAGATCTGCGTCCGAGATCTCCTTGTCCGCGATGTACAGACGCATGATTTCAAAAGCGAGTTCCTCAAAGGACAGGTTTTCCCATGCCTGCAGGAAGTCCTTTGGTGCCTGTGGGATTTCCGAGGGAATGAACAACCCTCCATCCTTCGCAAGCCCGGTGATGATGGCTTCCTCGAACGTGATGGCCTGTTCAGCAGCAGAACGAGTGGATCTGTAGACTTGGGACATTTGATCTGTGGCTACTGGATATACGTGTGTTTTGGGTGTATCTTTGGTGCGTTTCAAGCTACTTCTTGCTGCGAAACACTTCGAAAATCACACTACAGGCCAAAAGAAAAGGAACCATTAACAGGGAAGAGTCACCCACCGGGTCCGGAAACATGTTGCGACAGAAAAGCGAGCTGGAAAAAAAGAGAAAAACGTGTTTTCACCGTCGCCGCCACCGGAGCTTTTTCTTTCGGGGTTCTGCCTGGCTCAGAGGCTCTGCGGAGAGAGAGGGCCGGCGGCTAGGGCAGAGGAGGGGGCCAGACAGTAAGAGAACGAGGTGTAGAGTAAAGAACGGAAGTGTGGGAGGGCCCAGACTGCTGCGCTATGGCGGCATAGGCGTTCAGTTTCAGAAAAGGAGCTCTGTTCGCCGTAAAAAGGAGGAGAGCCCGATAGAGCAAAGAGAGAGAACTGTAGTAGTAGAAGGGAAGCTGATAAAAATTGAGGAGGTTGGGAAATTCTCCAAAAAATAAGAGGTCTAGCCCGGATTCGAACTGGGGTTGTTGGAATCAGAATCCAAAGTGATAACCACTACACTACAAGACCTGTTGATGTCTTCTCAATATTCCACTTATACTTGGGGAGATTCGCGGGTGGATTTCGCAGAGTGACAACTGTCCATTGTCAGTGGCTGAGCGGCAGTGCGCAGCATTGGAGCAAATGGCGCGGGTTTATATTTCACAATGCACTTGGTAGAAGTCGAAAAGCTTAAGTGAAAGGAATGTAGAACATTCAAAGTGGAACACAAATTCCTTGTTACCGATTGCTCTAAAGAAGGATTCACTGTGTTGAGATAAGATGCCAAAGCCAATCATGATCGAGGGATAAGAGATAAGAATCTTATCATGATAAGGTATCTTAGGGTTGAGATAAGATGCCGAGGCCAATAAGGATTGAGTGATAAGAGATAAGAGTCTTATCATGATAAGGCATCTTAAGTAATCTAAAACTGGAAAGTTAGCCGCCATGATAAATGAATAATGGCAAGTTTAACCGAAGGTGTAAGTGTATAAATACAAGAGGTTTGTCCCTTGTATTTATGTTTGAGAATATTAGTTTGTAGGCTAGTTATATTAGTTATATATTAACAAGCAACAAACATAAGAAAAAGTGAACATATACAATGGATATTCATAATAGAATAGCTAGATTAAAACAGGTTATGAGCCAATTCGCTCTCACTTGCCCTAGAGATGAGAGCTTGAAGCTTT